AAATACGACGGTTGGAGGGAGGCATCAAGACTGTTGTATATCTGCGATGCAATATTGACCAGATCTGCCCATTGTTGTAGCACATTGTCTGCTTCATTGTAGTTGATGAGACTATAAGTGGACGGATCAATGAGCTCATATTTCCTCCTGGCCGCGTACATGGAGTAGTTGAGAAGGACTGTGGCGGTAGAGTCTGCAACTTCCGATCCAAATTGGCGAACGACCCATTGACTGAGCCATGAATGTGTGCTATTCGGTGAAGAAAGGGATGGGTTGTCATAGGCTGCGGCGAAGAAATAGCTGATGGGAACCTCCATGGGTTTCAGATCACCGACGTTGAGGATCCAGATCGTGCGAGCCTGCCTGTCATATGCCTGCTGAAGCTCACTCCAATACTTCTGCAGAGAGTTTGTGTCGATCCATTTGTAGTCTCTAGGATCTCCGACGTAATCAGCATGGTAGTAGATGCCGGCACCACCAGAACGCCCGGTCTCATTTGATAAAGGCAGACGTTGCATATTTGCCCAGTTGTCGTCGGACCACAACAAGGTCACATCATCAGGTACATTCATACCATCCGCAAAGTATCCACCCACCTCTTTGTATAGGCACCACATTTGAGGAATTGCCGAGACATTGGAGATGTTGTAGACTTGTCGAAGCAATCCTTGCTGGACATTGACGATTGTTTCTAGGCTGCTAGCGTTAAGTGTAGGGGAGGCAACGTCCCCCAAACCACGCATTCCCATGGTGTATAATGACTCGTACGGTTTGGCTCTCACAGCACCCTGGCGCATGAATTCGGTGACATTGGCTCGATTTGTGGACCATGACCATGTGCCATTCATGAAGCGGCTCTGTTCGTTCGTAGCTCTCATCATCGGTTCGGTATGACTGGTGCCCATTACAATACCATAATCGTCTGCCATCGCTGGATTCAAGGGATCGTCGACACTGAACATCGAACCTGGTACAAGTCTCAGCTATTGGTCTCTACAGTGACATTCATCGCTTACCCCATTGAGCTGGCCAAAGGTAATTTGCTCTCAATCGCAACAGCAGCTCGAAGACGGTCGAATAGAATAGATGATTGAAGCCAGGCCCGTATTCGCCTGGAGAAAATCGAGTATTGATCCAATTGGTGAGCGCAGGCTGTTCATCGTTCAGAAAGAAGCCACGGTACTTGACCGACGGGGAAGGCTGTAACTTGGTGTGATTAAGAACATAGACTGATGAACGAGGCATGGCAGCAACATCGGCCCACCAGTACCACGGCGACACGCCCATCTGCTCTGATAAGTCGTAGATACCATATATCGTTCCTCTTTTGTCGGAACCGGCAATAACCACCGCCTGTGAGATCCCATTGATGGGATTTGGGACCACTTCGACCTGATATGCTTCCCATTGCCCTTTGATGTCATTGATATTTATCTTTCCTTGTTGCACCAACTGATTTATGAGTGAAGACTTCCCGATTGTACCTGCAATGACGACCGGAGATGAAGATGAGGCGGTGAGGTTCGAATTGAATGTGGCCACACTGCCATTTGTTCCAGTCACTCGCCCGACATCTTGAGCAAAGTCACTCGCAGCTCTTCTTACCCCGAACCATTCATCACTACTCACAACCAGCGTCGGCGAGGTCGAGCTATTCGCAAGAAGAAACGCTCCTGGGGTATGGCTAAAAGTAACCAGTGGCTGTTGTGCAGTGATGGTCCAGCAAAAGGACAATAACAGAGTCAAGGAAATCCCAAAAGTCACCATCTCGAGCCGTGAAAATCGAATGACAGGTTCAACTTCACTCCATGAACAATCTTGCGAAGATATAACACATATTGCAGACCATCAAACCAGGACTATACTCGACCTCTCGATACATTTGTATACGGTGGGGCTCAAGAAGTGCCTTACCTTACACAGGAAAATATTACTGTTTGCATATCACTTCGTCAACGCATAATGGATAACAAGTCTGCAGATCCCAAGTCTTGTTTTCGTTGGGGACCGCAATTTTCACATTCAGAAAGATCCCGGCCAACATGGTCAACATTGCAAGCAACAAGTCCAGAAATTTAGCCGAAGTACGGGCAGTATAGCTTGTCATCGTAAGTCTTCCGTACACACAGAATAGATGTGGAGCCCGACGAAATCTGGATAGCGGAAAGCAACGAGGGAAGAATAAAAATCCAACAGTGGGTTGAAGATCAGGGCCGTTTTCGGGAAATGAACTGATCTCTGGAGGTGTTGACAAGATCTTTTCCCCTGGCATCGAATTTAGCCTAAAGAAGGCCCCCCAGACCAGAGTCGAACATTCCGACCTACTGTACTCCGTACCACCAGATCAAGCCCAGCAGGGGCTGACATTGACTAGCGCATTCGACGACGACCATGAGTTTGAATAGCCTGTAATGCTCCAGGCTGCTCGATCTCGGATACCCTGCTCTCTTGTGACGCCGCGAGGTCTTCTCTTCTCAGCCTGATAGTGACGCTTGCATTTTCCTCCTCCGCATTTTCCTGCACCGGCAGACAAGCGTCGTGGAGGAGCCGCGCTGAACGTCCTTCCAATCCAGGTATGGCAGCTTGAGTTTTTCTTCCCTGGCCATAGAGCCGAACTGTCTCGCCAGACGCAAGACAGAAAGTCGATGATGCATAGTGGTTACGGATGGATGGAAGTGAAGTTGTGGGCGAAATACCGAGGAGCCATGGTCGAGCTCGCAATGATAATAGTAAGGACATTTTCTCCTACTCGATGAAAGCTGCTGTGGTTCTATCCCTTTCATTTTCCAGTTTCTCTTTCAGTGGAATCGACCGCGATTGAACATGGCATCCCTAAGACGAGTCGCATTGCCGTTGGTTCTGCTCGTTGTGACTGCTTGCAGTCATCCTCATGATGTCGAAGCCAGAGCTGGTGTGTCCGCCTCAAATGCCCAGAGTTCGTTGACATTCGTGTACCAAAACAACCTGAATGCTTCCGATGATATCAATCATGTCGGAGCTATCCTGCTCGATCCCATGACCGCGAGCTCGGCATCAGCAGCCTGTGGTGCGTTGAGCGAAACATTGTTGACGCAAGCCACTATTCACAACTACAGCTCTGATTTTGTCTCCGCGTTGTCATACCTGGCATTCGCGGGTAGAGTCGTACCAGATCAAGCATACCATATCGCAGGAGAGAACCTGCAGCTTTCTCAAAACTCGCAACTATCGTTTCAGCCTACAGCACAGGGCAATGCCGTCCTGCCTGTGCTGTGCACACAAAGCAGTAGGGCCAGCGAACCACCAAACTCGACTGCGAGCAAAGCCAATGAGATCAGCGTCGCCGCAGCTGGCAACACTTACGTTGGGTATCGGAACCAGAAGTCTTTCCGGTTCCTAGGCATAAGATATGCCAATCCACCCGAGAGATTCCAATACCCACAAAAGTATACGGAGACCGGCAAGGTCGTGAACGCCACAGCTTATGGTTCCCAGTGTATTCAAGTGGGTAGCGGAAGTGAAGATTGCCTCTTCCTGAACATTCAAACCCCGTACATTCCCAAGGCTGGATCGACCAAGGGCCTGCGGCCCGTCCTGTTTTGGATCCACGGAGGCGGCTTTACGGGAGGTACTGGCGCTGACCCCCTGAGCGACGGCGGCAACCTTGCCTCTCGAGAGGATATTGTGGTCGTCACCATCAACTACCGCCTCAGTACACTCGGTTTCCTCGCCGTCCCGGGCACAGACATCAAAGGCAACTTTGGTATCGGGGACCAGATCCTGGCACTGGAGTGGACGGTTCAGAACATTGCAAAGTTTGGAGGTGACCCGAAGCAGATTACAATCATAGGAGAGTCTGCCGGTGCCGGGTCTGTCCGGACCCTTTTGGGTAGTCCACCTGCCATTGGCATGTTCCAAGGGGCGGTTGCGATGTCCAACCTGGGCGGCGGTGCCGACCTCGGTCTCGAGGGGAACTATGGAACGACCTACTCGTCCTACTACACCATCAACGAGTCCTACACCGTCGCGGGCCCTCAAATCTTCAACGGGTCGAACTGTACCCAACCTACACTGAAGGGCAAGATCGCGTGCCTCAAGCAGGCCAACGCCACCGACTTGGTCTCTCTCGAGACCGTCGCTCGGTACGTCGTCCAAGACGGCACGATCGTCAACACTCCCGAGCTGGACGTCGTCAATCGTAACGGCAGTGCCGCGAATGTGCCCATCATTTTCGGCGTGGCGGCAAACGACGGCGCTTCGTTCTCGAATCTGTCGCCCACTCCCGTCATGAACGAGACCGCGGGTCTCATGTACGGACTCGGGATCAACGAGTCGTACGCCCAGGCCATCATCAAGTCTGGTTTGTTCCCCTATTATGACACTGGCAATGTGACTTTCGACTCGTTCAACGTCACGCAGCGAGTGGCCACTGACAACACGTTCCGCTGCGTCGACCAAGCCACCGTGTGGGCCGGAGCGAAGACGGGCACGTTCCCTGCCACGTACTTTTATCAATTCGAGAGGACCATCGATGGCTACAACCCCGAAAACGTGACGGGCGCGCCGGTCACTCCTGGCTATCCTCACGGCAACCCCAACTTGCCTTATTTCAAGCTCCATGGGGCCGATATGGCCTGGCTGTTTGGCAACTTTTACGACCCCTTGCGGGACGCCAACGACCTCTACTCCGTCCAACTCGTCAGTGGATACTTTGCCGAGTTCGTCAAGACCGGACAGCCGAACCCTCCAGTTGACTACCTCAGGTCTAGGGGTTACACAAAGGCTTTGCAAGGAGTACAACAGTCGGGACCGTGGAAGAAGGTCAGCAGTGCCACTGGTCCAATCAAACATTTCAACTATCCGTCATACGACGGGACCTTTGTGGATTTACCACAGTGTGCTTGGTTGAACTACAGTATCAGCTACTACCTTGACCAGTGAGGAATCCCCAGGTTGACATGGGGACTGGCCCGCTCACAGGTGGTCTACACTACAAGTCGTCTATGTATAGTTGAATAGTTATAAGATAAAACTGTACCTCGTAAACAGTGCATCTCATCATAAGACCTTCCAGAACTAGTGTTAATACGTCGCCAGATCCTCAGGATGAGTCGCGTCTTTCGCCTTCATAGGAACTTTCACGTACGAATAGCTAAACTTCCGATCGACGTACTTCAACACCTCCGGATCCATGTTGTTGGTGTTGACCCCCATCATATACTCTTCTCCGTCAGTCGGACGAGGCCCGAGCGGCCACCAGTAGCACCTAAACACCATCAGTTTTTCAAATCTCAATCGTCAGAAAGGGAGGGGTTCGATTTTACATGCAGCCACAGTTGTCACAAAAATTGAAAGAAGCAGTTCGGTCTCCCCAAATGTATTGTCTGGTTATCGCGTCGGGCTTGGTCTCAATCTTGACCTCGTCCGGGTGGTAATAGGCCCATGCCACGCCGTAGCGCCTGCAGATGGTGCATTGACAGTAATTGGTATATTGAGGCAGCCGTGGAACTGTGACTTTGATGGCGCCGCAGTGACAGCTTGAGGGGATCGGAACGTTTTCAGCTTCGGCTGCCATCTTGTCGAATGTAGAAGTGATTTGTTTGGGACGAGTTCTGGCTTTGTTCTTGGGCGAGGCGATATGTGCAACGTCGGACTTTGTGGAGGATTTTCTGTTTTGGTCAAGAAAACGAAGCGCGGAGACAAGCTATATACGCGGAAACGTTCTTTCGAGTTGCTTGACAGAGTGGTATCGGTGAAAGAAACGCCTCAAAGTAAAAATGGTAGATTGATAGTTAATCCGTCATCCGATAGTGCTGATAACAGTCATATTAATTGGGGATTGTCGGTGGCTTCCAAGGTTTATAGCTCGGTGGTGGGCGTATAGTCGCCGTCAACGGTCATCATATTCCATCATTGATATGACCTTTCTCCCAGTCAACGGTTGCTTTAGAGTCAGTTTTACGCCCGTGCCAATTGAAGGGATGTTATTCCGCATCGTTGAACCATTATGGAGTACAGGCGATGGTGTCCTAATTTGGCAGTCTGCTTTTGGCCGGAACGGAACAACATCGCACCGTCGGCCGCGACTTGCATCCCCGAACTGTTTTACTGTGCAATGTATTCAACGACGCTGGTCTTGAGAACGATGATATCTGCTGATATACTACTACTCATGAATGCCTCACCATGGCTCACCAAGGCAAATATGGCGATATCGGCTAAAACAAGACTGCCCTCTCATGTAGCATCTGGGGGTAGCCTATTAGCCGGATTCTGCCTCGACAGGACTTCTGTGGTATTCGAGACGGTATCAGCATTGGCAGGATCAAGGATGTTACCAATCGGACTATGAGATCTGCGAGTCAAGATCTCCTTGGCCGTCAGGGATGAAGTCGTGCATTTAGCCCCGTGTTAGATCTGGGGCTCTACTGTCCACCATGTAGTGGTTGATATCGCGGGGGAAATAGCCTGAACAAGTTCAATGCTTTTCCCTGTCGCTACTTCTAACATCACTTCTCGACCTCGTCTCCAACGGGCCTGGCATGAAACGACATCAGATCAATATTTCCGACGTGGTAGTACTCGGTCATGTCGTTCGTGTCCTGGGCATCGAACGGTCGATGCATGAAGAGACCTATGTACGAAGGATCATGTCAAGATCTTCCGACATACCCATTCACCTGAGACGAAGGTTGAAGGGCTCTGATGAATAAGACACACCTTGCTTTCCTTCCTACCCAGTGTACTAATTCTTTTGCACTTCCAGAAAGAAGTCACTTTCCAGACAGCCGTACCAACCATGCGTGCCTCTTCATTCTGCCGCGAGATCTCGAACATGGTATACATCCAAGACCGCGCCCACCTCCTCCATCCTGTTTGAGGATCGACGAGCCTGGAAACTGGAAACCGTTCCCGAGATTGTTGATTCACAGCTGATTATTTACCTTCCACGAGGTATTGCGCCTCAACTTGCTTGCCGGGACATTCTACCATCTGTATTTTTGCTTTCCAACTCGATAATGAGAGGAGGGCTTGTGGTACACGCTTGCTTCAAGCCGGGGGTAGCACCTACGCAAAATGCTGCAAGGTCAGGAAAGAAGGGCCTCGATGAAACGCATTCAAGGACATACTGGAAGAGGAGAGAACCCCTGCTGCTCTAAAAAGGAGGAGGTACAAGTACAGGAGGCTGACACTGTGACCTTGAATCATGTGTCCAGGAATGGCTCCGAGAACATTGGTGTAGTATTCAGCAAACAGCTTATATTAAGCGCCGACTCGTCGCTCAGAGTAACGAGCGTTGTCAACCAATTGTCTACCTAGGTATTTACCTGGACTGCTGAACGAAGCTCGACATCCTTGACCCGGGGCCGAAACCAACTACGATATCAATGGGTATGTGCAACAAGCAAATCGGAACAAGGCTTCTATCTTGGGATCTGCAAAAGCCGCAGCTTGCAGCTTGGGGATGAGGTCGCGTAGGTAAGCGCAGTCGTGGATGGAACACCAACCTCGACTAAGAAGGTTCGCACCATTCGCAAGTTGCAGCTCTGACATGGGATGTGGCATGCTACACACTTGGCTAGGAACGATACGAACAGTCATTATATGATGAAGCAGAAATACAAGAAGGAAGATAGTCCCGCAGACGATTTGCCGGTCCACTGGATGGTGTGCAGCTGAATGAAGCGGTCAAGTGATGATTTGGTGACCAGTGCATTTGGGGCCTTCTACGTACTACTGGAGTACAGAGTGCAAGTAGGTCTCTTTAGTGGCCAAACAGTGGCTCTGCTTTAGTGGCAACCCCCCCGCATCTACCACTCCTCCATCTCCACAGACGGCACGAGCTCAAGCCAGGGAGTGTATGGCATGGGCATGTCAAGTAACGCTCCTAGCTGGGGTGTGTTTGGATCAACAATGCAGAGAACAAGAAAAAGACGACAAGACAGTGCAAGAGTATCAGGTAGAGAGGGGAAATGAGAAAGGGTGGATTAATGGCGGAAGAGAGATTACTATGCCAGAATTGCGGCCTTACTACGGGTACAGGACTTCCCCGGTACCAACCTACTGTACAAACACCTAGGAAGGCAGGCCCAATTGTGGCCTATAGGCACCTTTCTGGGTATCTGCCAACCCCGGGGCTTACCTGTACTCGCACCTATAGGGGGTCACTAGTGATCTTAGTGAGGCAACCCCCCCGGGATGTAGCTCCCTCGCTCCCTGTTCCCTCTCCAGGTATACCAAGCTTCAATCCCTGTCCAAGGCTGGAAAAGATGCACCGTCAACCAGCCATGAGCAGTTCCAACCCCGGGCAGATGCATGATTGATTGGACTCATCGTTCTCGTCCCCAGGTCTTTGCTCACCACGAGGCACAGGACCCAACGAACTAACAATTTAGGTACAGTCCTGACCTTACGAGCAAACGAGCAATACTGTTCAATAACGCTGCAACTACGACCAACCAGACCCTGCCGCTCCTCTCTTCCTTTGCTCCTCGGTTTTTTGCCTTCCACTCTTCGGCACCTTCAGCCCGGACTGACTACGCCTAGTACGAAGCACAAGAAGGCTACGCTTTTTCTTCGCTTCTCTGTGGAACTGGCATTGGTTACACTTCCGCTCACTTTTCTGGCTACAGGCATACAGTCGTGTACCATTTGTCGGGCCCTTGCGCTACACCATTGCCGCGTGCTGTTCCTACTTCCACTCATGTGAGCAAAAAATCCAGGCTCCACAATCCATTTTATCACCACTCGACGCCCGCGCCACCGACACCGGCATCTTTCTCCATTCCTCCTGCTGGTACGGAGTAGCATCGCCTAGACTCCAGACTGTGGGTGGCCCTGTCTTGTGCTGTGTGCTCTTCACTATTGCATACTTCGTCCACCACTCCTACGGGCGACGACACCAGCAATTGCCTGCATCCTCTGAGATATGACAGCAGCACTCGCTGTAGTTGGCGTCGCTCACGGTTGCTATTCAACATGCTCTCCCGCATTCCCCCACAATCCCACAATGGCTACGCCGAATTCCACGATTACGGCCAGAGGCCCGACATGATGCAGTCTCAACCGCAGCAACTCTCCTCCATACTCCACTCCAGTCAACAATCTTATGAGATGGGGTCCAATCTACAGGCAGGCCGCAAGAGGAGGGAGTCTGAACTGGACGGGAACGTGGCCAACGATGCCTCGGCAGTTCGCCGCCGAATCAGTCGAGCCTGCGACCAGTGTAACCAGCTGCGCACAAAGTGCGATGGAAAACAACCATGTGCGCACTGTACCGACAATTCTCTGGTGTGTGAGTATGCTCGAGCTCACAAAAAGCGCGGAAGGGCGCCCAAAAAAGAGACGGATCAGAACGAAGACACGGTCATTGCGAACGTTCCTCCCGCACCGAATGCCGCGACAATGAGGCAAGACCTTGGTGTCAGGAAATATTCCAGCACTTCGTACACCACACGAGATGGCCTTGTTGAGCTTGTCGACACCAACGGTATGCCTTCGAACCACACTCCACCGAGTGCGACATTCGACACAAGCCACCACAATCAAAACAGTTTCTTTGCCAGTTTTGACCCTACGACCGGCATGACCATGAACAATGGCGGTCCAATGCACGATATGGACCAGTCGTTGGTACCACAGATTACACAACCCCGAAGCATCGATTTTGCCGTCCCTAACCAAGCATATCCTCCCCCGTCTCTGGATTCTATGCACGTCCAGGGCACTACCCAAGGGTTCGGCTTTCCTTTGGGAGACGACTACTCCGTCGCATTCATGGGCAAGGCGCCCATGGTTGAGTCGCCGGACTGGTTAGCTCTGACCTCTCCCATGTTTATCAACGAGCCCATGCCCACCCAGCCTCGCATTACCGACACCCTCCGATACCCTGTCCTACGACCTCTCCTTCCGCATATCGAGCCTATTATTCCTCAAGCTCTAGCATGCGACCTTCTAGAGCAATACTTCACCAGTTCCACCTCGGCCTATCTACGACCTGCCAACCCGTATGTGCTTGGCTATATCTTCCGCAAGAAGTCCATCTTGCACCCTACTGATCCTCGTCCATGTACGCCTGCGTTGCTAGCCAGCATGCTTTGGACGGCTGCGCAGACTAGTGACGCCGCTTTCTTGACGAACCAATTGGATGCTCGGGCGAGAATCTGTCAAAGGCTCTTGGAACTGACCATCAATATGCTCAAGCCATTGGTTCACAGCCATCCAAACACCTCTGCACCCACCCCTACCTCTAGTTATCCGCAACTGCCACCTAATGATGCAGGACTCGGCGCACTCGTCGTGCCATCACAAACGAATGGTCACGGCACCGACCGTGCACAAATTGATAATCTAGCAACCTACATCCATCTCGCTACAGTAGTTTCTGCGAGTGAGAGGAAGGCGGCTAGCTTGCGATGGTGGAACGCTGCTTGGTCGCTCGCTCGTGAGATCAGACTCGGTCGTGAGCTACCACCTAATCCCACTGAGGAAGACGGCGAAGAGAATAATGCTACAGATGGCCACACCGGGGACGGACGCAAAGGCTCCATGGACGAAAATCGTCGGAAGCCCACCGGCTATGTGTCCGAAGAGGAGAGAGAAGAGCGACGACGGACGTGGTGGCTCTTGTACATGCAAGACCGACATTTGGCGTTGTGCTACAATCGACCTATGTTCTTCCTCAACAAGGAATGCGAAGGTTTACTGCAACCGCTCGATGATGATGCTTTTCAGGCAGGCAAATTTGAGCGGGCATCGGACCCCGCTCATCGAAGGCGAGGACTGAATATTGAATGCACCTCACACAGTGTATTTGGGTATTTCCTGCCTCTGATGGTCATTCTAGGAGAAATTCTGGACCTCAATCATGCGCGTAACCGCCCTCGCTTTGGTCCCAGAGCGAACAAGGCCAAGAATTGGGATGAGCATACTGAAGAAATTGTTCAGCAACTGGAAACGTATGGGCAGAGTTTGAAGGACTTTGAGGCTTCAGGGGGTCACCTTCCAGAAACGAGCCACAACGATGTTGTTACACCCTCGGTCGTATCTGCAGGAACGAACGAGTCACACAGTGCTTCGGAACTGGCGTTGCAGACCAAAACAGTGGTGGCGTATGGTACGCACATCATGCATGTGTTACACATCCTGCTGACCGGCAAGTGGGATCCTATTGCTCTGCTGGACGACAACGATCTCTGGATCTCATCACAATCGTTCGTCACAGCAACTGGACACGCAGTCAGTGCTGCGGAAGCGGTTGCCGAGATCATCGAGGATGATCCTGACTTGAGCTTCATGCCGTTCTTTTTTGGTGTATATTTGCTTCAAGGTAGCTTTTTGTTACTGTTGTTCGCAGACAAACTGCAAGGTGACGTGAGTCCGGACGTTGTGAAGGCTTGTGAAACCATTGTCAGAGCTCATGAAGCTTGCGTTGCCACATTGGATACCCAATATCAGGTAAGTTTCTTCTGGTATCCGGACAATGTCAACACAGTTGAGTGGAAGCTAACTTTGGAATGCAGCGCAATTTCCGCAAGGTCATGAGGTCTGCATTACAGCAGGTCCGAGGGCGCATTCCGGAAGATTTAGCTGAGCAGCAACACTGGAGGCGCGAGGTGCTCGCCTTGTACAGGTGGACGGGCGATGGTACAGGTCTCGCTTTGTGAATATTATGTATATATGATATCCCACGGCACACACTCGCTGGCATTGGTGAACGACCCTTCTTATATGGGTCCATAATGATGACGAATTACAACGTAAACAAGGGGTCAATAGTGATGACGGGAAAATGGAACGCGGCAAACTTCGGAGAGCAACATACAAGGCATTCCAAGTATCAAAATAACTGGATATGAAACATCTGGCTCGACTCGTCTGCAACGAAATTGTTGTGGATGAGGAGTGGAAACGCTTTTCGATAGCACCGCGAGCCTTGCGGGTCGAAAGCGTCTTGATGATTCCCCGTATCGGCCATTGATGGAAATTTGCTGGAGTAATCCCGCCATCTCTTGTGGCAAAGCAGAGACAAGGTTTCACATCGAGATAACAAATGCCCTCGCTATGGGCCTCGTCAGCAATCAACATGGCGCAGAAATCAGGTCTGGGGACGACTCGGAAAATGACCGAAGTCTGCGGACTCGGGACAAGGCATCGCGGAACTTGAGACTGACAAGTTCCTTTTGGTTTACTGACAGAGTGACAGTGGTGAACTATCGAATTATACCTACATCCGAAAACTTTTTGCGTACTTGTACCAATTACTTGCTTCATATACTAGTGGTCGATAGACAATGGCAGCCGCAATGTCCGAAGCTGGACCACCGGTATCTTGGTGTCCTGGCTTAGCGACTCGAGGCTCTTCCAGACAAGGTTCGGTGGAAGAATCTCACATCGAGAGGTGCTTGAGGCGCTTTAGGCGCCTGACCCTGCAGCCACCGACACGTTCTATTGGCGATGTGGCTCTGCCAGAGTCAGGCAGTGGCCAAAACCCAGCCAACGAAGATGGATCTCCACCATCCCCCGTTGGGTTACAACTGCTGTAGGTGGCACCCGTCACCCAGCACGGGAGGGCATGGAGAAGAGCATACCAGAGGTTCGGAAAGGACCTCGCGGTACGGGCAGCAGCCTACATCCAACTACTCACTGCGAATAGAGGATGAAACGGAGAGAAGAAGATGGAGAGATCAAACCACGCACTCTTTTTCTGGGAAGCAGTCCGAAACCATCGACTGCCTGGGAAGATGTCTCCAATCACGCGACAAGTCCTGGCAATACGGAGTCGTTTACTCCGTACTACCTTGAGTATCCGAGAGCTAAGTACGAACAGAGAGGGTTTTTTCTCGCGGCCTGGCAAGTCTCCTGTCGCCGACGTCTTGCCCCTCCTGCCATCCCTCGCTTCATTCTCAAGATCGTAACTGTCATCGATCACGTACACTTGTCGTCGCATAACATTCTCCCTGCCCTTTCTTTCCCATCTCTTTTGATCCTTCCTCTCGCTCGACTCATCAATATCCCGGCCATTGCGCAACAGACAGAGTGATGTGCGTGAATTTCACCGACACTCGTTACATCTCACCCTTGCCTGTCTTTTTTTGATTTCCAGTAAAACGGATAACTGAATGGGTCCCTGTTGATCGTCAACCCGCCCGGCCTCCCTCGCGTTCTAATCAAATGATCGCCTGTCGCCTTCTACTATTCCAGTCGACAACTGTTCCAACTTGTTACTACGGCTGATACCGGGGCTGTTCTACGTGGCGCCTTACCAGCCTGTTCATATCGTGAACCATTGTTGACTGCATCCAACGGACTGGGTCTTCCAGTCTTGTTGCTGACGGCATCAACCGAGAACCATTTTACCACTGCACCGGAGACACTTCTTGGTTGTCCGTGCCTATTTCCAGCCATGCCCAGCCTACCTGTCACGCCTGGGGCTCGTGCACCAGGTGAGTTCGTCCTTGTCTCAGCATAAAAATGTTTATCTTATCATGGGGAACGCCAACTACTGTCAAATGTGCAACGGATATGCAAGCACTTCTTTTTGGCAATGTTGGCGTTGCCATATGAAGCTGACGTCTACATCTGTTGACTCCATTCCTCCTCTTCGGTTAAGCTCATCCTACCCGCGGCACGCTTATCTGACCTCTTTTAAGAACATATGTCCATGATTGCTAACATGCCTTACTTCTTTTCCATTTCAGATGATTTCGACATGGCCAAGTTGCAGAAGTCTCTCAAGCAACGACAACGCCATGCCGTTCGAAACAGTGGACACGTTGCAAAGCTGACCCCGGCCGAGATTCGGTCACTTAATCACAATGCCCTCGCCTCGGCAACTGGCAGTCAATCCAGTTCAAGAGGATCGACGCATTCGACCTCAAGACGCTCGACCAATGCCACGCCACCTGCCACGCCGGAGGATCATCCTTCTAGAGCTCAGGCACAGAAGCATCGCGACTCGATTTCTCGAAGGTCGACGGTAGATATTCCAACACCACCTCATACTCCCAGCGGACATCGAAGACCATCACAATCCAGCACGCGTAGCCACAGCCATACCCCGATCCAAGGACATGCTCACGGACACATTCATGCTCCAAGACCACGAGGTCATGGTCATGCCGCATTTATGGCTGCCAATGGGTTATCCTCACGGCCATCGAGCTCAGGATCTGGGTCTTCAATGTATCGTGGGCTTCCCACCTATCGAGGCCCCGAAGTTACTCACCATGTGTCAATGAACATGCTTCAGCGACCAGCCGCCGATATTGTATCAAATCCTCTTTCCTATTTCTCCAGACCGCGGCAAAGCGTCGTAAGTACATCACCAGAACGGTCTCGGGCTCCCCAGGAAATGCCTGGGTATCAAGCACCGACCGGGCGCAATAATTCCGTTTCCAACATCAGTACGATATCTTCTCGGCCTCCTAGTCCTCCTAGAGCTACAGATTCCCCTGTATCGATGATGAACCACGATACCGAGCAGTTTCCGGCCCTGGATCTTGCTGACGATCCACATAACCAGCCCAAAATCCAAAGTGACGACGAACAACATCCTGATCTATCCCGACCTCAAGCTGAGGAACCACCCAGTGAATTGCCAGCACAGTTAGTACCGGAGCTTCAACAACCCCCAGCTGAAGAAATCCCGGAAACGCCTAAGAAGGAGCCGAGAAAGAGATTCACCCTCAACGGTGCCCTTTTTGGCGGAGACAAATCCCACAGCAATAGTCCAGAGAGTGCGGGCAAACTAAGAAAACTTCGGAGACGAACTTTATCTCTAGGAAAGAGTCCCGATAAAGAGAAGTCCGAAGCCCAGGAGCCACCGAACGAAGAGCAAACAACAGTGGTCGCCTCCCCTACCCAGGTCGATGGCGCAACATTAGAAGATAGCGACATGATAACACACCCTACGGTGCAGCCACTCTCTGTCACCATCCCTAGCGAGTGGAAAGGAAAGCAAAAGGAGATCCATTCTGCGCCAGTCTATGCCAGATGTTCTTGCTGTGGGAAATTGAAGAGGCCATCAGGCTATGGCAACGAACTGAGTCCAGTGTTGGAAAATGAAAACCTGCGCACGAATTTCAGTTTCGAGATCGAAAGGTCGTCTGAGAGCTCGAAAAGAAGGAGCTCAGATAGCCCTCGATCAAAATACACACCAATCATTCCGATGGAGGTTGCTAAAAACGATACTCGACAAGCCACGGTCGAACCACGGGTAATACCTACAATTCCTATGCGGGAACCGAGAGAGACAGCCATGTCAAGCCCACGAGGAGCAAAACGTCTGTCGGATCCTCCAAAGTTTGTTCGGTTTGCCAGTCTGCACGGTCGACGCAATGAAACCACCGTCATTGATGAAGAAGAAGAGACTGAAGTCATGGAGAACGCTCCTCTGATGAGCGGGGGTGAAGATCAAGGCAACGGGGCGATGGCCGACGACGTTGTCATGCATGATGAATCGATGACGAACCGACCTGTAATCAACATCGCTGCGAATGTGATTCCGGCGCAGATTGCAGAAATTGAACAGTCTCCAGTCAAGGTCGCCACACCGGAAGGCTCCCACCGTGATTCACATGCTGGATCCGACTCGGATGATTTCTTTACACCAGCCCGAGGCACGACTCCAGTGTCTGAAAGTGTCAGGTCCAGAAAAGAAAAAGGAAAGGAGAAGGATCTGAATCCAACAGAAGAAGGAAATGTGTTTTTGTCCTTGCCCCAACCATCACTGGGTCCGGCTTTTGCACGTAACAGCGAGGTTCTCAAGAATTATGTTCTCGCACGTTCGACGAGTCTAATCTTGTCCGACGCTGGTGGTGAGACCGATCTCCGTGCAACCGAGCCTGAAAAACTGCCAGCTGGAGAGAATCATCTCCTACCTACCGTTGACGGCATCCATGGACTCGACTCTACAAATCCAAAAGACCAAAAGTGGCTTTCTGAGATCATAGCGGTCTGATCATGCACATACTTTCTTGGTGCGGAATTTGTGCCTGGGGGCTGATTGCTTCAGCTTAGAATGGTACATATCTTGTGTTATACGTTTGTTGTCTGAAATGTTTTGGAAGGATTATTTTCACCAAGCGAGCGATGCTGGGAAGCATTGTAATAATGACTGAATGGGGGGCCAAATGGTTAGATCTGTTGGTGTTATTGTTTATAGTTAGCAAGCGAATGCAAAGAATGTAATTATGATCTCGAAGTCATGTTTCTGTATTGTCTGGTACCTTTTCTTACACTGTACAAAGCTGAATGAATCCCTGGTTCTCGCTCCTCGGTACCATGTGCCTTCACACACCCTCAAGATGAGCCAAAAAAGACGAGGCTGAAATTGCCCAGCAAGTTGAGGTCTTGGCAGCTGAATGTCACTTCGTATTTCTTTATTGCTTGTCAAAAGTCTTCGCTTCCGCTTTGTGTCAACGATGCCAAAAGTCTCGTATCGATCAAGACTGATCAGAACTTGAATCTGCATCGAAATGTGCGAGACTGGTTTTTTTCCCTGGCGCGAGCTTCCGGTCAGTCCTCAACAAGGACATACTCTTCCAATCCATTCCGTCCTCTGCATGACAACCTCAACCGTTGAAGAGCTCCTGAAAGAGACACAACATGATCCTGGTACCCTGGCAAGGTTAGTTGGCCATGATTGGTTCACCAGAACCATCAACCGGCATGTTCCAGACAACATGAACCATGATTTCTTCTGCTTTCGGTCGGTGGCACAACACGGTGAGTGGTGAGTGGTGAGTCGTCGTGTGGTACTACAGTCACAACTCGTATTTGTTTCTTCTTGGGGTCCAGCTCTTTCACCGTCTCTCTCCCTTTTCCCATTCAATCGAAAGGGAGATGTTCCCAGCCCATGCAGCCACCGAGCTTCAACGAATCACACATGTTATGTTTGTATGCTGGGGAATTTTTGCCAGGTCTCGAATCAACCGCACTCGTGAGGTGGCCTTGACCCTGGCACGGGCTAAGTGAAAAGGATGGTATCCCTCTCGTGGGTCAAGCACTACGCTGTTGGTGAACCAGCCCGACCGACCGTTGTTGTCCTGCCCACTTCCTTTCTCGTGTTCAGACAGACGTGTCTTTCTCAGAAAGGGCTGTGCATCTCTGGCTTTCTTTTGGCGTTGGCCGCTCACGAAAAAGGCTACGCCCAACTCTTGCTTCACTCGTCCACGGTTTTCGCTCGTTCAGCCCCCAAAAGAGGAGTTCCCCAATCATCTGCAAGAACACTGGGCAGGAATCCCTGTCTGTTGGTGGCTTTAACAAGGTTGTGCCATCGAGTACAGTACTCTCTATTCTGTCGAGTTTGATGGCTGCTGCTGCTTCTGCTGCTGCTGCTTCTCTCTCTCCTACAGGGCTGAAAAAGAAACAGAGCTGTTTCCCACCCCCCACCCTCCTTTTCTTTTCTCTTCTCTTCTTTCCTTCACACTTGCAAGGCACAACTTTCCTTTGTTGTGTTACTTCCTGTGTGAGACGAGTCTTTCCTGTGGTTCTATCTCGACGTTGAAAGATTTCAGAACACGATGGTGTCGTCTTGTCTGTTGTACCCGTTGTTGTGGTTGATTTCCTCTGTACTCGGTCAGTCAGTCGAATACAGCACAGATAGTTATGGAAACGTCTACTCTTCGACGGTTTACGACAGTGCCGCTACCGCCACTGCCACTCCGGCCACGAATTCATTGTCGGCATCAGACACAACCACAACCGCAGCAGCAACTTACCCCAGCAGTACTACACTGTACAGTTCTTATACGACTGCCAGTACGTATGATGAGTCTACCACGGCCCCTGGTACGGGTCCCACATCGACAAGTCTGCCAGCTATACAGACGGTGCCATTCACAGGTCAAGCATTACTCGTTGGGACGTAAGTTTTTTTGATTGCACCCCGGTCCCCCTCGGATTGAAAAACGTCTGAAGATCAAAGAATTTAACTTGTTTCTTAGATGTGGAATTCCACAATTCACAATCATCAATTTCCCGAATGGAGGGTCACTTGAAGTCCCTCTCGTGGGATGTTCGGATGACAGACCAGAATGTTGTCCATCCTTGAATTTCACCGAGTTTCGACCATCGCAGACCGGAAGTGATGTTGACGGGGCATCTTCTTCGACCACAGGAGCTGCTGCAGCGACGAGTTCCCAGGACGATGGCGATGGTGATTCAACCCCGACAACTTCCTCATGGACAGGTACCACTCCCAGTCCGACACCGACCGGTGTGGTGTCAATGTTGAGTAAAGCTCCACTTACGGTGTGTCCGAGGTGAGTAAACTATACACCTGGTACAACTCCAAGCCGATCGACCTCACAACCGATTTCCAAAATGACGACAGAAATGTGTACTGACATGTATGATTTTCTATGTCATTAGTGACATGGTCGATCTAGACCCAGTATGTTGGTACGTTGTTTCTCATCTTTCCAAGTCCGACCAAATCATCCCCCAAAACGTCGGGCCTTTTTTTTTCTGAAAGTACAAAAAGAAAAAGGTCAAAGTAGTATAATTCTCTTACTGACATTGCCATGTTTGATTTTGGTAAACCTACAGTCCAAGTGGATTTTCCCTTTACGGACAGAGCATAATCGGAAATCAACCTTGTGTCAGTACACTCACCACGACGATATATTCACCCGATCCATCGGTTTTGTCGTCAATCACTTCGATGATATCCGCTTCCATGGTGGCAGCTTCTACCACCTCGACACCCACAGTCAGCGTCATAATTAATCAGTTAGTTTTTTCAACTTTCCTTTCCATTCCAAGCACTACTTTTGTAAAGGGATTTTTTTTCTCTTCTTGACTTTGCCTTCCTTTTTTCAAAAAGGGACACTCTCACGGTCCTTACGGTCTCCGTCCCCCTCCCCCCCCTCCCCCCTCCATTTTTCTTGAACACTTACTGATGTTCCCCCCTTTCTGTTTTCATCTAGAGTCTTTGCTTTAGGTCTACCATGTGCCGACGATGAAGGAGAAGACGAAGACAAAGACGAGACCCATCTGAGCACCGGTTCGAAAATAGGTATAGGTGTCGGGGTCGGTGTGGCCGTTATCCTCTTGTTCTTGTCGGTCTGGGCTTGTCTGGCCGTACGTCACAGGAGACGTAAAAGGATGAGAGCTTTGGAGGTCGCGGCCACACAAGCAGGTGGTCCCATACGTCCGAGTCACCTTGATACGACGACGGGACCGACACCAAACAATCAAGGTAAACACGTTTCTACCGCCACGACCATATCTCCTCAAACCATACCGGCAAGTCCTCAACAGATGAGTCACGTCGGTGGTTATCTACAACAAGGTCACGGTTATGGCCCTGCCTTTGGTTATCAACAACCTCAGTACCCTCAATACCCTCAATACCCTCTATATCAACAACATGATCCATACGGTGGTCCCCCGAACTCGGGGTTTTATCAACCATCACAATCACAATCACCACCACCAATGTACGGTGGTGGATATTATACTCCCAACAACAACAACAACAACAACAACAACAACAAAGATGTTGTCGGTCCTCAATACTCTCCCGCTTTACCTTTACCCGTCGAAGTTGACGGTGGCGGAGGTGGTGGTGGGTTTGACGCCGATCCCAACGGTCATCATCGAGCCAGCATATCAACAGGTATAGGTAGTAACGGTCCAACTCATCCAACAAGTGACCACAATACCTCTGATTCCGTCACGGCGGTCAATGACACCACAACCACAAATACAAACACAAATTCCGTTCGACGAGGAGGAGGAGGAGAAGGTGGTGGTGGTGGACAACAAGAAAATCTGGCCGAATTAGGTGGAGATGGTTCAACGATTTCACCTCGTCACAACGTCGTCCGTCATTATCATACTTGACCAAGCTCAACGAAACGAGGAATAGTCCCGTCGATAAGGTATTCATTTGAGAATGCTCCAAGGAAAGCGAGACTTACGTTCAACGGTGTCTTCATGCAGCGACGAAGGGCAAACATTGTTCTTTTGGTCTACTCCATATCGATTGATGCTCTCTGTACCTACTATGTATTTGCTGTAATCAACACTCACTACGCTCATGGTTGCTACCTTTTCTGACCTGATCCCTTCTCCCTTTTTAATACTCCTGTACAAAAAGTACTCTCTCTGTGTACAACCGTATGCTGTAACAACAAAAACCTCGCCGCCGCTACCCAAGTACCCACTGCCTTTTCCCTCCCTCCCCACCACTCCCCTCCCCTGATTAGCCAAAATTACATTTGGAATATGTATACTAACCATTAAACAAAATAACGCTCCTCGCTTCATCCTATAAACATGGACCCAACATTCGATGCAGTGTTTCTCCAGTACCATGACCATAATAACCTTTACCCACAGAAGGTTGTTCCGGTAAAGTATATGCTCCTTCTTACTCGTGACCCATAACAGGGCAAACCTGAAAAAACAAAAAAAAAAATTAAAGCGGTCGCTTCACCGATGCCTCAATCTTGTTGCTTGCTGTCGGAACAAAACGCCGTCGCTGAATCGCTGGAAATGTATTTACTGCTCTTCACAAAGACGAAGCCGCCGATCTTTTGGACTCCATAACCAACGCCCCGGTTACGGTTCCAGAGCTTTGCTAGCACGTCGAATTCGATCGTCTCCCAAAGCGGCCAACCAGAGACATCGTTCGATGATACCCTGGACTGGTTCAAAACTATATCTCGAGCTGGCGTCAATCAGCCTCAAAAGCCCCTTGACAATCACTGCGGCGGTGCGATAACGTTCAAAATTGATCAAAGTGTCTTGGCCACGTCCACCGGGGATGTGGGTCGGTTTTTGTGCGTTATAAGTCAAATCATGCACATATAGACCTAGTTAACGTTAGCATGGGCATGATTGCATGATTAGATTTTCGTGACTCACCAATAAATGGAATACAACCATCACTGAGATCAGCTGATTCCATCTCTAGACGAAGATCATGGAAGTTGCGAATGGGCTGTACAAGTGCTTCCATGTGTTTGAGCAGAGACTTATCCGGACTAGAGACCATATCCCATGTCTTTGTAAGTCGAGTACAGTCCGTCGATGTGAGGGCTATGGTTAGCTGCAACATGGTTGCGTAATTATGCAGCCTCCTTGCATGAGCCGCGACATGGATGAATTTCGTAATGACTCGTGCTCGTTCGTGGATGTCATGAGTGAGAACGATCTCGGACACCGCCCACTTAACGACAAGGTTGAAGCGAGTGATGACCAGATCGATACCGTGAATAGTTCCGTCAGAAAGACATTCGACCCAGTCCAAGACCTCAGCAGCCTTGTTATTCCAGTTCATTTCGACGAGATCGGGCCATTCGACTTCACAAAGCGCCGACTTCTCGACCAAAGTCATTTGCTGAGCAAGAACTTGTGAGTCACATGCGAGGACAAAGGGTAAATGTGCCGGACCAGCCGGCAGTCGCGTTATCACCTGAGACGAAGAGCCAGGGGGCCGAAGTCCCGGACGGATAAGAGGAGTTTGAGCCTGTGACGGCACGTTTCCAGTCTGCGGGAGAGGATCCGAGACTCTGGTAGGGGGTTCCGGAACGTTGAGATTGACCACAGATGCGTAGGTCAAAGGATGAGCAGGGATCTCCAGTCCAGAGATGGCAGTTCCTGGTGCTGCGAGCATCGGAGAGATTGAGCGTCCTGCCATCTCAGAGTAGTTGATAATGTCGACAGAGATTTCGGAAGACAAATCAGACAGGTTTTCATCCTCGTCCAGGAGAAAAGACTGATTACTATCATTGCCAGAAGTTTCTGGTCTCGGGATGCTATGCCGTGACTTGGTTGCACTGGGTGGAGGGCCCTTTGGCAGGTGGAATAATTGCGGAGGATCTTGTGCAAAGTAACCAGGCGCAATAGGAGGAGGTCGATGCTTACCCTGAGTGGGCAATGCTTCAGCAGTGCTGTCATGAGCTGTCTCTCGCCTGAGCAGTGGCAGAGAGCCATATGACTCCTCAGAATCTGCCACAGACTCAGTAGGCAGGCCAAATATTGACGATCTTCGAGAAGACGACGGCTTGACCTCCACAACCTCCATTTTCTCTGTGAGCAGATCTTCATGACTGTCTTCAGACCCGATTTCTTTCACCGTTTCCAGAACTGCACGCTCTTCAGGGTCCGCAGTGACTGCGGGCTGCAGCGGTTCCTCGAGGTCCAGCTGCGACTTCATGCTCAAATCCGGCAAAGACCTACGACGTCCAGCCATGTCGTGAGGATGTTGGTCAATAGGAGGTGATTTCTTTTCATATGTCCCCTCCAATTTCATCAGTGTTGCTTCCAGTCCACCGTCATCGTCATCGGGGATGGCCGAGAAACCAGCCACAGCAGCTTCGAACGAAGGGCGAAGATGCTGAGATGAGTGGGTATTGATCATCGAAATCGGTTTGCCTGGTCGTGGAGCCCCCTCTGAAGCACGACGGGTCACTGTCTTCGTGAGCAGCAATGAGCCATGAGAAGAATCAGAGGCGATGCTGGCAGTATCGATGGAAGCGTGGTGGATTGCCTGATCGAGTTGCTGGACATTTTCCACGCGTCGTAGGTTACCCCCAGGCCTTCTTCTCAACGTTTGAGCCGGTAATTTGTTGTCTGGGCGAGGTTCCGTCTCTTCGTGCGAGGGTGCCGCGTTGTGATCGACTGGGCTAGCAGTTTCCTGAAACTCCGTATCTTCTGTCATCGGTCTAGGGATATCAAGGGAGCCACTCCCTCCACGTACGGTACCGGAACTAGCAGTGGTGGGTGAAAGTGGACGTTTGTCCAGTGAGAAGTCATCAACCATCTGGCCGGGTTGCACAGGTTCTGGTAGTAGCGGACTACTGGTCGGCAGCTCAAAGGTGTCGTTGCTCCCAACACCCAAGTCCAACTGATTCCCGAAGATATTGGAGCTTCGCTGTGTGACAATCGCGTCGAGACTATCGTCGCTTTGGAGAGCATCATCGCCTGCCGCATCATCTAGAGGCAGTGGTATTGACGCAGGATCTTGAGGCAATGAACCTCGGCTGTCCACTGGTAGAGCACCAGTCATGACCGTCAGATCGAGTCCAGTTCCGTCCACGATTAATATTGAACCGCTCTGGGCAGTGGCATGACTAGCCATCCGCAGCCTCTTGTCTTGTTCGTCATCAACGTCCATCGCCTCGAATGGCGTACGTTTGCCCAATAGGGCACTGTAGTGGACTTGATGTTTAGTTGGAAATGTTGTCTCATAATTCTGACAAACTGCAGCGCACAACAAATCAATGCGAACCTCTTCCTTCTTCGCCTTGGTGGGTGCAGCCTTGTTCCGAAGCTCATCATGTGACTTGGAGACGTTCAGAGGCATTGGCGATTTGTGAGGCCTGATTGGGACATCTGTTGCAGAGTGTGAAACACTCACTAGTGTCATATCCGCATGCCCATGCCTATTCCCAAGGACTTTTCGTAGAGAGCCAAATATATTCCTGCCCATGGGGTGCGTGACACCGTGACCTCCGTATTCCTTCTTTTGCATGTCTTGTGAACCGGACGACTGCGTATTGTCCAGGGACTGCGTGGAATTTGAAGGCAGAATCTGCACAAACGGACCACTAGGACTATACAGCAGACCTCTGATCATGTCACCATCTTCAACACCAACTGCCGGAGTTTCAGGTTCAGGCTTGCGAGGGGTATGCTCACGATTACTATCAATCGAGCTAGGCCCTCGCCTGTGGCCCAAAACCTTGGATGCGGAGTTCGGTTGTGTGTTCACCTGTAGGTTCGCGGGGGCATTCTTGCGTCTTAATTGTACGGACACGGGATGAGGACCTCGAGACGTGGAATCACGGTCGGCCCCTAAGCGAAGAAGATTTTTGTGAGGGAAGCATGAAGTGGCGTGGAAGCTGCCATCACTCATGAGTGAGTCCGCGAGTGGATCGAAGCCTTCATCGTGATGATGCCGCAGAGGAACGGGCTCGGCCTCGAACCAACTGTGCGATGGACCCCGTAGAATTTCTGTCTGTGGTGTATCACTGCGTGGGTGCACCAGGCGAGGAGGCCCGATCTGAGGCGTCCGAGCGCTTTCCGAGTCATCATCACCTCCAGGTTGAATGTCATTCTCCTGATCGCCGTCCAGATCGAAATCGGCCGGATCCCAACACAGGGAGCATCGTCCATTCCAACAGCGCTTGAGATCGCGCAAAAGTTTGAGGTCACTAAACCCATGTTCCGGACTGGCCTTGACATCACCATACAATTTATTGACTTCATGGCAGAAGCGTTCTCGAAGGCGTGGATTGGCATAGAAATCATCCATGAAATAATTCAGGATCCAATGTCGAAGGGCAGCAAACGTCCGAACACGAATGATGCGACCATCGTCTTCCAAGCGGGCAATTGCCCAGCGCAATCGTGCCATTAGGAGGTCCAGAACTGTGGATGTGGACATGTACAACCGGAATGTCAAGAAAAAGTCGGAGACCAGCTCATAGTCCATGAAGGAATCGGACGATATCTGGGCGATGATACGTGCCGGAGTGGCAGCTGTTATCTCCCTCACGTTCTGGCAATACCGAACCACAGAAGGATCATCGTAGACTTGAGTCAAATCATCAAACACCTCGGGTGGTATGGAGGTTGCCGAAGTAGAAGTGGTTGCCGATGTCGAGTTGGAAGAAGTCGTGAGCTGCGACTTTGACCGTTCCCGACCTTCGCGCTGCCCGGGGATGTTGGCGTCAAGATTTGCAAAGATCTTTGAGCTAGACGCATGAGGAGCACCAAAATAGTTGTCGAGCTGTATGGCGGCCGGCGTGGGCGTCATGTCCGAAGGTGTGGCCGACCCGATCGTGAACGACGAACCGCGCAGCATGGGCGTGCCTTGGGTACTGAAGCGAAAAGTGCCAATGCGGTAATGTGGAATGGGGACCTCGAGGGTCGGCAGAACATCGTCCTCGTCTTCCTCGTCGATGGACTGACCAGCTGTGTTCGGTCGGCCGTTCTCAGGGCGGTGAATCACGATCCTCACCGTCTTTGATTTGGATGCTGAAGGGGACTGTCGACGTTCCTCGACCGTCGAAAAGGATTGCGAGCGGGCATGATTGGGCGCGGCGATCCTTCTGTCGGATGATCTGACTCTTCTCGGTGACGCTGAACGGGTGTGCGAAGTGATTGACGGATTCGAGACGGGCTTTGGGTTCGTCAAAGTATGGCTTTCATGTCCCAGTGCTGGCGGGGCCGTTGTTGGCAAGGTTGGGGGAGAAATCACAGAGCGCGGATGGGCTTGCTTCGCGGACGGCCTGCGACAGGTTAGCATTTCCTCTTGTTGCGCGCAAAGCCAAAACCTACTTGAGATACAGGATTCCACCGGTACCAACATTCCCGACGGTGAAATTGCGACCTGATCTTGTATCGGGAATGGTCTCCAAGGGTTTTGTCTTTTTGGAAGACCTTGCGGAGCGCTGTCTCAAGACTTCTGTACTGTTCTTCACTCGCCTCAATGAGCCCGCTCTCTTCTTCCCACTGACGTTCGGGGCAGAATTATTCCTCATATGCCTTCGCGATATGTCTGTGTCTGGAGTTTTCGTGCTCTTTCTCGGACTGGAGCCATGCTGGGAGGTCCCGGGGACGGTTGTGGCTCGGGTGGTGCCTGTGATGTGGCTGGCGACAGCTGGGTCGAGCGAGATCAGCGACGTGCGAGTGCTGACGGTCGATTCGGAGACCATGGCGGTCACGAATCAAGGTAGGAATATAGAGAGTATACCGCTACAACCATGGTCATGAGCGGGACACTGGATCGAGAGTGACGAATGCGCAGGTTTGCTTCATGATATTTTGGCGACGGACATTGTGTAGGTATACGATTGTTCCGATGGGATTTCGCGATCAAACTCGAGACGGCACCGGCGACGAACGACTCGCACGACAGCGACTGCTTTCAAACAATGCGGCCAGCAGCAAAGGTGTGGGTTCGATCTGGTGAGAGTGTGTGTGTATCGCAGGTAGTAATGTTTAGGCGCAAAGGGTCGGACAGAGCCGGGGGCCGCAGCACAACACGTGAAGGAGGATATGCAGTACTTGTTACTCTGTGGAATTCGTCTGGGGGTTCAAAAGGAACGTATAAGTCTTTGCATTGGAGAGGCCAGGGAAAATGTTGTCGCAGCCAAAAAGCAGAATCCCAGGTGTGCCGGCGTTGTGGTGTGGGTGGGAATGAGAGGTTGTACTCCGTATGTGGGAGGACGCAGGCACTTGGGTCTCGGTAGGTACGTATGGGGTTCGACGAGTGACGGGAAGGAAGGACGAGCAAAAGCAGAAAAGGCTTCAGGTGTGGTGATGGAAGTGGCCGAAGTGTGAGTGAGAGAACGTGAGTAGACTATGGATACTCGTACTCGTACTGGTCGAGAGGCAGGAAGCGAAGTCGAGTGACAGACCAAGCTACAGGTTCTGACAGAAGCATGAACATGGCTGGAGGACGTTGCAACGGGTCGAATAGGCGGCACTAAGTCCTTCCACCCGAAGCCTGGAGCAGCCTGGGGATTGGGATTGGGATCATGATAGGTGCGCGGAACTGAGTTTGTCGACGACTTGTCTTTTTCTTTGGGTACGCTATGACTGCACCGTACATTAAACTTGTAGGATAGTGGACTTCCCTAACGAGACTGGGAAGGGATTGTATCCACGAGAACCCGTTTATCCTTTCCCTTGGGTCATTGCTCTACATATGTACTCCGTACGGCTGTACGCACTGTCGACTTGAACTTTGATCCCTAGACATCTCAGCGGATTCCTCATGCAGTACTCCGTAGAGTACGAGTACCTAGAGAACAAGTAGTAAGTGGTTCCATGTCTTTGGTGCTCGAGTACTTCCTAGGTATGTACCTGTTCCTTGAGGTACTTTAGGTACAAAATATAATTTACCAGTGCTGGTCAATATTCACCAGGACTCTCGCCTCGCCCTTGCCGAGTCTCAGAATTTGATTACACGACGACAAGGTAGATGATTTTCTTCACACCTGAGCCCCATCACCTACCTCACTTCCACTTTGACATTTACATTTACTCCATACGGATACATTTTTCATTTACGCTTACAGGATACTCCATACCCCGTAAGGACTTGAGACTCGTGTCAGGAAGCGAGGAGAGTATACGTACTCGTACTCCGTATGTAGGTAGGTATTTGTCGTCATTGTGTCGAGTCTCTCGTGATGGCCTGATTACTTCGTCCTGAATGCCTTGACAATCCTCGAACATACTGTACCTCAGGTACCTTGGGTAGGTGTTCTATAGGTTCATGACCTCGGCTGGAACTTGTTCGTCGTACTGTGCGGAGTACTACCACAGTCTCTCCCTCGTGTTTCTCTACGAGTTCCCATCATTACATAAAACGTCTCTTACCAAACAGTAACCACATGTTTTGGGCCCAGATGTTGGCGTCGAGTCTAAGCCCAAATAAGTGAATCACCCATGAACGCTCTAAAAATGCTCGGATGAACATCACTACGGAGAGTCAGGAATTAATTTCAATCCTCACTCCTACTACTCTCATCACAAGCCACTGGATTAAACGAGTGACTTGTCTTACACCGGTGTCTCTGAATCCTGCACTCGAACCTTGTGGAGTTGCCATCATTTCAATTGTCAACTGTCCCCTGTACGTTACAGTATGACTGCTGTCATTATCTTGATCTTTTGCCATCCAGATATTGACACTTCCGAATCTCCTTCAAAACTGCCAGAAAAAAAATACGACACCCAAACTCCTCCCTGTTCATCCACCTCAGTTTTCCGTTTTTCCCGTGAGCCGCCCATTACACATGTCGAAAGCCACCTTCTTCAATTCTCCTTGGTGCCGGCCTCATTTGCCATTCCCCTCTCCCTGCTCATTGCCCTCCCTGTCCTCCTCCTCGTCTTCATTCTCACCAACCCCCTCATTCCCATCATCATCATCATCCTCCTCCTCCACTCCTTCATCTCCATCGTCACCCTCCTCCCCATCGTCCTCGTCGTCCCCCTCTTCCTCGTCGGACTCTCCATCCGTTGTTGCGGAGGATTCGTCCCACTCCACCCGCCGCCGTGGGAAGAACTCTTCCGAAAGCAGTCGCTCCTCGAAAGGCTCATCGGCCAGCCACGCCTCGACCTCACGCGTCGAATAGTGGCGCTGCAGGTCGACTTCCCACCGGTCGACGGGTAAGTCTCTTCGCATCCGGTGTCTGACGGCACGGTCCAACCATACCGCCAGCCCGGACGCCTGGGTGTCTGCATGGTAGCAGACATCCTCCGCCTCTGCGACGAAGTAAGGAAACAGTTCCCGAATGCTGGGGTTTTCCGCCCTGCACATCGGGCACCTGTTGTCGTAGTGGTGGAGGTTGTCCCAGAACCCCTTGACGCACTCGGGGTGCATCCGGTGCCGGCAGTTGCGGAGCTCGATCACCAAGTCGTTGACCTGGTACTCCTCTTGGCAGATCGAACAAATGTCGTCGTTGCTGATGTCGCTGAAGGCCATCGGACGCACATTGAACATCTTGCTTGCCAGTGGCGAGGTGCAGGTCGTGAACATGAGGAATTCATCCACCATGTCCTTTGGAATGCCGTCCTTGCCAGTATCCACCACCAGATACATTTGCTTCCAGGGTCTGCCATGGCCCCATTCGACCAGGTACCTATATGCGTAGAGGTTTCTGATCCTGGTCGAGTATCCTGAAGCGTACTGCTTCAGGATGTCCATGTGCCAAAGCACCTGCTGACGTTGGTTGGCCATGACGGCCGCATCGGTCGGTACGTCGACCGCCATCTTCACCCGCTTCTCGATCTTGACATCGCAAATGTGGGTGTTGGCGTGGTCCGTCTCAAAGGTCTCCTCGGCCAACATCAGATCCACCACCAATCTGGTCATTGGTGGAATCATGGCGTACATCTTTTCGACAAAGTGCCTGACCTTTGAGATGGAAGAGAAATGCTTCCGGGCAACGCGGTAGGTGTCGAAGAGAGCACGGGTGCACTCTTCGACAGAGTTCTCAAAATCGGCAAGCCAATGGAACTCGTTGCGCCGTTGAGTGACGCCTTGTAGAAGTCGGTACTCGTCATCCTTTGCGTCGGTGATGCCACTCTGGATTATGTCGACCAATTCGCGGCTGGTGGCGACATCCAGCAAATCCTCGGAGTGCAACACACGGCAAAGATCCGCTCGGTGTTGAAACATGCGTGCGAGGGCTTCGTTGCCACGCACTTCTTCGGTCAATCGGCCTCCGGGTCCAATGTATTGCTTTGGCAGGGCGGGTTGTCGTTCATCTGCAAATCGGCGCAGCACTTCAATCATTCCTTGAGCGTGTTGAAGGCCACGACAGAGTTCATATCCTTCGTCCTCCTCGCCCATCGGCTCTTGTTGTTGATACCATGTCGAATCGGTATCTCTCTTGTCGATATAATACCCATCGATGCTGATGACGGACGGCAATTTTGGGAAGAGGGCTTGTGCGTTTTGAGTGAAGAGAGTCATGTTGAAAGAGGTAAGTGGTTTGTTGAAATGGTCGGCTAATAAGATCAGTTGTGAAGATCAGTTAGTAAGATCTGCTGTGAGGTTTGGTTAGTTAGGTCAGTCCAGAAATCCAGGTAACCAGGAAGGTCGTCTTTCGATTCGATTGAAAAGGTAAGGGGAAAGATGACAAAGGTGTTCAGTCGCGTAAGTGTTGCAGGTCCTTCGAGTTCGTCCAAACTTTTCCGGAGATTCGGTATGAGTTGAGAAGATGTCGGTATGTGATGATCCAGAAAGGTCGTCCTTTGGATTCGGTTTGCGATGTTAACGGGGAAGACAACAACAGTTCTCGGTGCTGGAAGAGTTCTACTACAAGTACTTCGAGTCCGTCAATATGCAAAGTCAGGTTCGGAAGGTGAAGAGGGTGTTTTGTTCTGTAAGAGTTCTGTAAGTCCTGGAAGTTCTGGAAGTCGTCTATGGATTCGATTTGCAATGGTAGGGCGAAAGATGACCAAGGTGTCCAGTCCTGGAATTGTTGTACAAGTTCTGTTGGGTCGAGTCGATATGCAACGGTCAAGTCGGAAGGTAACAACGGTGTCCAATGCTGGAAGAGTGTCGCAGGCCCTAGACGAGCTCCTACGAGTCGATGTGCAATGGTGAGTCGAGAGTGTTCAACGGTGTGCAGTCCTACAAGTCCTAGGGGTCGTCGTCAATGGAGTCGATAATGTGATGGTAATCCGAAAGAGCAGGAGTGGAGTTCAGTTCTGTGAGTCCAAGTGTTGAGCAAGTTCTGTTCAACTCGAGTCGATTGGTATGTCGTTTTGTGTCGTCTGAAGTATTCGAATCGATCGAGATGAGGGAAAAGGATTTCAATCTAAGGGGGGGTGGGATTCGATTTTTGTATGACATCTTCCTCCACTTCCACACCACTGAAGGTTTCTTCTCATGAGGAACCTCTTTTTTCTATCTCTGTCTCTTTTCTTCTCTGTACCATGTCTTTCAGCTCTCGCTCTCCCAGACGCTGACAAAAGTCAAAAGTATACTACAGTACTCCGTACTTGAAACCAAAAAAAACCTTGCAATCAATTGTCTTGAGTCACAGCCTGACTTGAAGCCCTCCTCACCCACCCAGTGGTCCCAACGACGATCAACACTTGGGCGGACCAGTTTGTGCCCTCGGTGACCCTATGAATCTCGAAAGGTGAGTTTGCTTGACGGGGCTCGTTGGAAGGGGATGGAAGCGGTCATCATAATCATCACGGTTTGCTTTCGTTTGGGGGAAAGAAAAAAAGAGCCGGGGTGAAGTCGTCCCCAGGGAAAAAAGCCACTACAATCACCCGTCTCGACAGTTTCCGGTGTGCTCTGTGGTTCCTTGCTTTTTGCTACTTGGAACCTCGAATTCATTCAAGTCGGAAGTATTGATTTGATTGTCTTTTCTCTCTTTTCACCCACGCTCGCCCGACCAACGACACAGACAAACCTTCAACAACTTTGTAAGTCAATCGAATCACACAGGTCTCCGTTTGGATATGAATTTTTCCAAAATCCTCAACCGAACCTTTTTGAACACAATGACTCTTCGATCAAACTCTACTCCACCGCATTTGTACCGAAACCGAACTTGAGACCTTTGAAGAAGTTTTTTTCTGGTTTTTTTGGGGGGGAAAAAGGGGGGGAAGGATGGATCAAGGTAGGAGGTAGTGATTGGGAGAAGGGAAAACCAGAGTAGAACTTCTGGAAGTACGATCCGTATTCTGTATTCTGTACCCCATACGGAGTACTCTGTGTGAACGAAAGTGCAGCATACTCACCTCGACCGTTTTAGGTGTGGTGCAAATGAATATATACTCTGTACCAGATATAAATGTGAAACAGTGAAACACATGTTATGGAATACGTACACTGGTAGGGCAAAAGTAAAGTTTAGGCAGACGGTGCTGGTAAAACCAAAAAAAAACCAAAAAAAACAACCCCCTTGAAATAACAAATACGAGTGTATCAAAACCTCCACTCTCACACACTGTACCACTACAGTAACACATCATCCGAAAAGAGAGTACTGTGTGTACTCCGTACAATACTTACAGTTCACCGACAGAGTAGCCAAAGAACTTCGTATGTGGGGGGTTCTTCAGTGACCAAGGCAGAACAAGTGTATACCCAGATAGATCAAAAACGGAAAGCTAGGCAACAATAATTGATGGGTACAATACGAAAAGAAAAGAAAAAGGAAAAGAAATACAAGATTACAATGATCCACCTGAAACTTGAGACGAAAAAAATGCAAGGTAAAACGTAGATACATACTCGACGTTATTAATATTATTGTTGCCATATTGTCATTGACACGAGAGAGGGAGCAACCACAACAAAAAAAAGGGGAAACGGCGAGCACCTACCTAGGCTCAAGTATCATGACTCTTGACCTACAATGTAAGAGACTTCATGACTATCACTACACAATACAATGTAGACACCAAATCTACTGCATATGATGACCGCCCGGAGTGCAAACCAAGGTGACACGATTAGGGCCCTAAGTCGAGCGCTTTTGCACCAGTGAGCTTTACTAGATAACGAACCACTTCTACGTGCGACGGTCACCTACAAGGAAACGAAGTAATGGTCAGGGAGACATTCAAAATGCAATAATTTCATACATTTCTAGAGCCATGGTGGCCCATAGAAGCCACCTTCGTTGGCATCGTCCTCGAGGCCTGACGCCTCCCCCAACTCCATCCACACCTTGGCCGCCTCGTCCGCCGCTGGGGCTGTCGACCCCTAGTTGTTCGACAGCTTCTTAACCAGGCGGCGAACGAGGGACGGCCGCGCCAAACCCGCCACCTCGTCCCTGGCGGCATCCAGGTAGTACCCCTCCATCGTGGAGAAGTCTAGGGCCAGGGCGCCCACACCCCCGACACCAAACAGGCCGTCAAAATCTTGCAAAAGCCGCAACCCATCCATCGGCAGGGTTTTGGCATATTGGGAGTGACTGGGTGGACCGACGGTCGCCAGGGCGACGTCGTCCACACCAGGGAGGAGGACGGACAAGATTGCAGGAGCAACCTCTGCGTAGTGATCACGTACAATAACGTTGTACGCGTCAATGCCTGCCGCCGGGTCAATGGTGACCATTGCATGTGACACCAGCTTGGTGTCAGGAGGCAGAAAACCATGTCTGTATCTGATGACCGCAGATAAGACAACAGACTCCTCATCTTTGTCCGTTTTGAGGACATCGAGGAAATGGTCGACCATCGCCATTGCCGAAGACATCTGCGCGTTGCTTTGTCGATGGCGGAGGGATGTTGACAATCGAGAGGCAAGACTTGTGTCTTTGATTCCCAGAGAGACGACAAAAACCCAGCGATCATCGTTATTCAGGTATGCAAGTGATGACAAGCCGATTTGAGAGACCTGTACGCCGGGTCCAGAGACAGTTGTTTCAATGCTCAGCTCGTGTAGGAAACCGGAGTAAGCGTCAATCATGTTGTAGGGAGGTTCGGGGACGTATGGGTTGACATCACTGTTGCGATGAAGGGAATTTTGTTCTCTTGTGCTCAGGTCAAAGACAACATATGCTATTGCTCGGTATTTCGGATCGTTACTCTGCACCATGAAAGTGTATGTGTCAACAGTCAGAGCTGAAATGTTGGGAAGACGAACTCGATTGCCTGCGACAAGTCCTTGTCGAATTAGAGAAGCGTCAGATGCTGATATTGAAGGCAATCCCGAATGAGCTGAAGGTGGAGGTACGAGCAAAGGGTTCGGATTTGGGACATCGTAGTATGTAGAGCCTGTCGGGTGGAACATGCTTGAGTATGTAGTGGCTTGGGTCTCACTACTGCGCGTAGTGTTTGGACTAGCTGTGCCAGAGACATGTCCGTTGTGTCGACGATTCAATGCTGAAAGAGTTCTGGTGAAAGTGCTTGGCTCGCCAACATCTGTTACGTGACCACGTAGAACCCCTTCGATAGAGGGATGGTGTGTAGATCGAAGACGTGGAAGATCAGGAGGTTCAGTCACAGGCAGGTGATCATCGTCGGCACTAACACCTGAGATGCTCGTGTTTGTTGTCATGGCTCTTGAAAGGACACGACGTAAGAGTGCTCGAGGTGGTATTGAGAATGAACTTCTTTTTCGACCTTGTGATGATTGAGATGAATCTGGCAATGTTGTTGACCTTGCAAGGAGCTGTTGGATGATTAGTACAAGCACGACAGAGAAGTCAAAGTGAAGGAAGGAGCATTACCTTGTCGAATTTGTGAGATGAGGTGACCTTGCTGCGATCTCTCTTGTGGATTGTGAGTTGGTTTGAAGGAAGACGAGAGATAGAGGATGAGCAACTACATGCGCTGAGAGGCTAGAATTGATGATCAGAGATTGGCATAGGATCCAAAGAGGATGAATGAAGCCCTTACCTTGTCTGCTCCGTCAATGGGGAACCTTCTCTTCGCAGGCTGTGATATTGTGTGATGACTGGGGAGGAAAGTGGTAAATGGGATGCATCCGTAGGACTCTGAGTCTTGGTTGAGATGTGTATGCGAGCGAGATGTGCTTTCTCTACCCCAGAGCGAAGACCATGAGCCTGAGAATGATCGAAAAGAGATACTAGAGAGCCTCTGTGAAGTGTTCCGAGATGACTGACTTGTCTGGTCTTCTGTTCTTGTCGGATTTCGCACCTTAAGGACTCTTGGAGTCGTCATGGCATCCTCACTTTCCATGGTCTTGACCGGTCTCAAGATTGTCACGACATGTGCAGGTACCGGCAGATAACTTTGACCGCCTCACCAATATCCTGCTTCAGGCTTGTTTGAGATGTGAGGCACTGTCCAGCAATCTTCTCTTTGATCTTGTCAGGCTCTTGAACTGTTTTTTTTGGTTGCTTTATGGAACCATCAACATGTACCAGCAAACCAACAAAGCACTACACGTCCTTCGTCCGACCCAGCTTGGGTACAATATCGAAGTCTTTTCAATAGATTTATATCCAAATCGACCTCTCCTGGATCGAGCAGATACCTCGAATTTCGAGCCACGAATCCTTCCTCCACAGAATCTCCCGTAGGACAGCGATGCCAGCGATCAGTGTTTCTGAAGAGGTGTGTTCAAAGGTTGTGGCCAAACGCGGTGCTTCCACTTGGGTTTCGTAACCAATGGCATCCAAGATGTCGAATACAAAGTCAAGACCAAGAAAATGCTGGGTGAACAAATTCGAGTTGAGCGTATGCTGCTGATGCAAAGAACTCATACAAGATGTACGATGTCCGTGCCGATACTCAAAAAGAAGCTGGAGGCATATCCTGCAAAGTACGTTGGTGTTGTCCAAAAAGAAGAAAGGATGTCTGGATCTCAGAGCCCCTGAAGCCATTGCTCAGCAATCCGGTGGGAAAGCGCACTTTGGTGCACCTGCACGTCGCCTTTGTCAAAGGTGGAAGGGGTGCCCCATTCAAAGGTCACTCGAGCAAGAGCCTCCCAGTATCCCAAGCCGTGGTTTTAATCGTTGTGCTGCTGGAAGGGACGAGAAGGCCGGGTATCATGTTGGCGTGGCGGTAGTAGACTTCGAAATTGCCCTCATCACTTCAAGGTAATGGTCATCATCAAGCTTTGAAAATCGGATTTGCCTATGGGCACTGGCGGCTGCTTTTTGGCGCATATCCAAGGTTGTCAAATCCACAGAACCACCCCTACCTGCACGCCCTCCAGCAGCACTGCCGAAGAGCGTCACCTCGTTTATGCTGGCTTCAATGCCATTGTTGACACGAGACTCCCAAACACCATCCCACTTCCATTCACCGGGATTTTTGGGCGAGGACGGTGAGCCATCATTAGCGACAGTCGGACACTTTGAGCGGACTTCTTTCCTCGAAAGGCCTCGATGAGCACGCCAGGCATGCCATGCGCTGGGATCTCCAGCAAATTCGAGTGGCATCTTATCCAACATGTCGGCATCTTCAAAGGCACTCTTGATGTGGGATATCAATTTTAGCAGAAGACCCTTACGATCATGTATTTCCTCGTCGCCGCTAGGTTGCCCAACTGGTTCATCGACGGTATCAGTTTCAGAGCCTGGACCGGAGGCTTGCTGCTTCACCATCACATCATTATCATGAACCACTTCTTCAGACGCAACATTCCACTGCGGGAACCAGTATGGAAATCCATATCGCAACCAGAACTCGCCAGGCCTCAGTCTGTTATTATCCGATGCACTTATGGTATTAGTCGTCGAATCTACTACACTTGCGCTGAAAGTGTAAGTCGTCTGTGGCACCACCAAAGGATGAAAGATATCGCTAGAGAAGACGATTCGAGGAGGCTCCGCAGGATACGAGTCTTGGAAGGTTATATCGAATCGAAGGACGGCACCCGCATAAGGGCCTGGGTTTCTCGAGTCAGCATGAATATGCGCACGTAATCGAATGGTGAGAATGGAGTACCATCTCGAACGAAGAGGACCGCCGCCCAGAGCGAAGGATTCCCAGGTACGAGTGAAAGATAAACGCCTTCGGGACAGTTGTCCTTGAGAATTGAACTTTTGAGGTGTCAGCAGGAAGCCAGCGCGGACAATGACCAGACTTACAAGTCAAGAACGAGCTGCTGGCGACGAAAAGATGGAAGTAAAGGAGTGGACATTGTTGTGCGAGAAGAGATGTGTTTTGAAGGAGGAAGTTTACCTTGAACCCCACGAGCGCCCAGACAAAGAGGGTGTGTACCTAGGCACAAGCCGCGGCCCTTAACGAGCCACTATCGTTGGTGGATCACCCCTGAATATCTCAGCCGCATGCCTGAGGTTCAGCCTCGGAAAGAGGGTAACATGCGGCCGCGGAAACTGGCCTTATTGGGCTTGTTATTGGAACACAATGATCTCATGGGTATGGATACACCAAAAGATTCATGGGGTTATCGTGATAGACAGGGTCGCTGTGCTGTCAGACAATCAAACGAAAGTCGTTGCAGCTGTCTTGAATGAGATGCGACATGTTTCTAAGCTGATGTTTGAAATCAATATCCTTTCGACGACAGAAGAGGCATCGTTTGCAAAAGAAGGGGTTTCAATCAAACTGGACGTGAGGCCTCACGGCAGGCAGAAACAGACAAGGCACAAACTCACAACAAGGTTCCGATATGCATGAGACTTTTGCCGCAGAATGACGTTAAGAGCTACACAAGGCGCAAACAAGATATTCAGACATATGTGATTTTGCTTATTGACATGAATGATCTATCACGATGCTCTCGTCCGGCCTTGGGCAACAGCATCAATACCATCATTGACACCACCAACAACCCCTTCGATCAACCATGACCCTGCATCTACACAGGCGCCTCCCAGACGGCCATCTTTGAATCGGGACAAGGCCTTTTGAAGTTCCAAACTACGTTCACCAAGGGCAGAGGTCAAGTCGAGTCCATTGGCAAGCACCTTCTCGGTCAGCTGGTGTTGTCGTTCGAACTGCAATGCTCGATTGAGGAACGCCATGATCACTGGAAGGACCAAAAGGATCCCTGCAACGATCCAACATACTATCCTGGCAACTCCCTGACGTAAGAGACTCGGACTTGACTTTCTGTCGATCTGTGGCATCAATGACGACTGGTAAAGAATCCGAGGAGACATACTGGCGCGCAAGGATTCCACCTCGAGTGCAGTCAAGTTCTCTGGAAGCGCCATGTGCATGTATCGAAGTGCATCAATGTGCATACTCCGGAGGGCGTTGACATCCCCGCCTTGTTCAGCTTGTGTTTTTGCAGTTATCCAGAGCCGGACGCCAGTCGCGGCGACATCCCAATCGACCCCACTGCTCGTGTCTTGTTGCGACAACATCTTCAGACTCAACTCTTGTGCGGACAAATGTTCCTCTGGAGTGTTTGGTCTCATCATCGGTGTATTGGCGCCGCTCGAGGGCACTGTGGCAGCGAAGCCAGTAGTAGTGGTCTCCTTCTCTTGAAATGATTCGATACGTGATAGCGTCTGAGGTTTCCTCCGTGCCCTCGAGTCGTGCAGTATGACAGCCTTTGCAGACCGTCGCAGAGAGGTCAAGACAGGCATCCGTGACCGAACGGCCGAGGGGATCATGGTATATAGGGTCGAGTGGGAGATGTCATCGCAGGAGATCCGAGAAGGGTGGTCCATGGTGACTTTGTCTGTACAGAGTATTGTCTGGCACCTTGGTAACGCGTTCTCCTGTCGTGGTTATTTTTTGTAACAGAATGCGACCTTGGGGGATGGTGCTATGAAAGGGTACAGTTCTGGGTTGAAGAGGATCAGGTACGACAAGATGGCAAGTTTATCTTTGGGATTACGGGGAGTATGGGATGTTATCAGCAATCTCCTGTAAGGTTCTGTCTGTTTTCACATGCACAGGACAAGAGCACGAACATAAGATAGACAGAGAGGGAAAAAGGCCATGTTTTGGGCCAACGGGAGATTTCTTTTTCCCTTTTGATGCGCAGGGCACGGTCTCAAAATTGTTGAATTGTAGAGGAGACCCTTTCCACGGCAAGGGAGAACCAAAACGTGGGAGGGTACTGCTGGTGTTGTGGGTAGGGCTGTTTTCTCGCCTCCTCCGCCTCTTTTTATTTCACATGCTCGGCGCCCCGACGCATGTCAAGCTAGATTGGATTTTATTATTGCTTGTCCTCCTCTGTTCGTGGCGAGGATCAATCAAATGTTTCGGCAACGGTCGGAGATCCGTCGCCGTCGGGAGGAACAGGGAAAGCACCACCGAGGGTACTTGTTATGTTATTCATGACCAGGTTGATGATGGAAAAACTTTGACGGTCCCGCAATCAGCCGCCCAACATGTTGGTATCTGGGAGGAGATAAGAAGGGTGGTGGGTGGTGGTCGTGGTAGTGGTGGTCGTGGTATGTACGGGGGAGATGGAATTGACATGTGAAAAAGAATTTTTGTTTTTGCTTTTGGTACGGACAACAACAGTACGGAGGAGTCAAAGGATATCGGGATCGGATTAATGTATATCCGTCAACCATACTCCGTATAATACTGTAAACTCGTTTGATACCCCATATCATCCGTATTACCACCCAAGACCACACTAATACTCTACACGGTCACCTCGTCACGTCGTTCTCTTTTTTTTCTCCCGTCATCTACAGTATTACCTGCACGGGAGCCCGGTGACATCCGGCGAGTACGTCCCGGACAATGTCATTCGAAAGGCGTGTAGACGACATTTCTGAAGTTTTCGGTAAGAGCAAGTGGACTAGTCATACTACTCGTTTCCGCCAAAAAACAAAATCGACATGGAGAAACCATGTTTTATGTAGTTTGGGGGAAAGAAAGTCAGCGAAAGGGCGCAAGTCGTCAACCCTTGGAACCACTCGTGTGTGTTTGTGTGTTTGGTGTGTGTAGTATGTGTACGGATGACAATTCAAGCTGAAACAAGAGATGACAATTGGATTAGATCATTCGTATTATTATTCTGTATATAGGGTACTCGGTACGCCCTTTGCTTGACAAACCAAGGCAAATCCAATGAGGGTGTTGAATGTGCGATCCTTGTTCTCGTGTCTCTGTGTGTCTGTATGTGTCTGTGTATATGTATGATCAACGCGACAGTCACGGTTCCTTCTTCTTTTTTTTCCTTCACCACTTTTTTTTGAACCATATATACAAGGTCCAAACACTCCGCTTTTCCGAAACCCAACAAAATCATTGAAATCCAGACATGTATCCAGTCAACTGATTCATATCCTGCTCGCTCATTGGACTGTGAGTATTTTGGGGACTCTTTTTCTGCTGCGGTTGCATAGGCATGTTCATGTTCATGTTCATATTTCCCATTCCCATACCCATGTCCATCATAGGATCAATTCCAAAAGATCCATATAAAGTCTCACCAGGGATACTCGACGAGAAAGGCGCAGACGTCATGACAGCACCAGTACTGCTACCGGCCCCGCCGACCTGACCTTCCAAACCCATGTTGAACGTCATGTCGTCCGCCATACCTAGATCGAGACCACTGAAATCGATACTGTCAAAGTCGAAATCCATGTTTTGGTCAAAGGTGGTGGCCACGGCAGAGTTGGGAGCACTACTGCCGTAGTCGGCACTCATGCCGGGCAAAGAGGCGGAGTCGGTAGAGACACTTTTCCTGCTGTTGTGGTGGTGGTGGTGTGGTGGAGGGCTCGTCTTGGTCTTCAAGCCACCCTTGATAACGTACGGGGCCATGATGGGTACCTCGGCCAGGTTTTGAGTCGCCAGGGCATCCGTGAGACCACACAGGCCTTGTTGGTATTTGAATGTGTCGAGCCACTGCTGATTGTCCGCGCAGGTCCAGTTCCAAGGGTCATTGTCTTCGTAGATGATCATACGAGCTTGATCTTGAATCTCCTTGTCAGAAGGAAATCTGCCTGCGGACCGTTGCTGCGAGACAAATTTGGTGAGTTCTTGCTCCAGTCTGCCCCAGCAGTTCGAGTCTTTGGTTATCTGGTCAGGCTCGGTGCTCTCGGCAGAGGTACCGGTCGTCAGTCCGGCATCCGTGCCAGCCGAAGGGGTCGCTTGCGCCGCTCGAGCAACGTAAGGATCCATGGTCAACTTCTCGTGGGCAATAAGGTAAGGAGGAATGGCATTCTCAACCAGCCTTTCGACGTATGGCTCGAAACCCCATCCGTTTGCCCACGTGCTCATGTCGGCGCCATTGCGGAAATGCGCAGCCAAATGGTCCGCCCTCTGCTGCCAGGTAGTGAACTTGGAGGGACAAAAACCGCAAGCCGATTTGATCTCATTGGTGGTACTCTTCCACGAGTCCATGTGAGAATGCACTTTGGCGTTGTGCATCAACTTGAGATGCTGACTCAGGTGGTCCTTCCTGTAAAAGGTACGTTCTTGCAAAGTCTTTTCCTGACAAGCCGTGAAATTGTGCAACTCCAAGTGATCGGCTGTCGGGTTTGGCTCCCGGCAGAAGACACACATTTCGGTCTGCGTCAAAGCATCAATCATTGTTCCACCATTGGGACAGCACGTCCATCTTTCCAGTGCCAGATGTAGTGACTTCTCGTGCCGTTGCCAGTCGTACTTTGCAGGGAAAGAATCCGTACAAAATGTACACTGGAATATTCTGGCGCTTCGTGTTTTGGCCTGTTGTGCAGCAGCCCGTTGAGTGACTGGTGCCCTCCTACGTCTGCGTCGTTCTTGAGATGAAGCAAAAGACGCCTTGGACTTGTTCGACCTTGAAGAAGCGAATGTCAAGTCACTGTTGGTGGATTCTCTTGTACCGAAACTGCTAACTGATGGTGCACGGAACATGGAAAAGGACGAGTTCTCTTCACTTGAGCCTTTGCGTGAGCTGTTCCTTGAACCGGCCCGAGAGCCGGCTCTGGAATTATGTGCGCTCGAGTATGACGGGTTGCGAGCAGGGAACGGCGTCGACGTAACGGCTTTGGCGATGGCAGTCATCGAGGCAGGTTCGTGTTCAGGAGGCGATGCCTTCCATCTGTCTAGGGGATTGAGGTTGGCAATGTCTGCAGAATCTTGAGCTCTTTGTGGGATATCAATGGCTCCCAACATGGGCGAGGAAGGACCTGAAGCTGGTCGAACTTTGCCCCTCCTCCGTGCGTTGGCGAGCCAATTTGAGATCTGGCTTCGCTTGAGACCGGTGACTTGTTTCAATTCATCCTTTTCACGCTCGTTGGGGTATGGGTGATCAGCATGCTCGGCGAGCCACTGCTTGAGGATCTTGACAGCGTCGCGGGGGAACCGAGCACCTGTTTTACGACCTCGTCCTTCTTCCATCGATCTCATCGCCCGTCGGCGTTCAGTGACCTCGCCTTCACCGACTTGATGATCTTCTGAGATACCGGTCAATGTACTGACGAAACCCTTTGGGATTTTTGGATGAACAAAGCTGCATTCTCGGTACAGGGAGATGCAGCATGTACACCCTGTGACAAGTGCGCCTCTAGTAGCTAGGAAACAGTCCAATCCCATTCTCGCACACAATTCACAAGGTTCTTTGGCACGAAACATGGGGTAGTCCATGTTAAGGTCAGAAGTGTGTGGAACAGCCTCGACTTCGACATTGTTGATTAATTTGATCATCACCGTGCTTGGTTCCGCAGGTCGACTGGAAGGAAGGGCAAATGACTTGTCGAAGAAAAGAGAGTCGTAGCATTCCGTGGCCTCATCCTGGGTGGTCTCGCCCAGCAACGAACCACAGTCATCGAGATCCAGGTTGGGGATGACATTCGAGGCATCCTCGAAGTTGAAGTACTCCATTTTGTTTGTCGCGGCTTCAGGCCACGAATCCGCAGTGGCAAGTTATCCTGAAGAACGAGAAAATGAACAAGACAGAGAAGAGTAGGATGGAGAGCCTCCGTGGGATAAGCAGCCTTTGAAGTCTCCCCGTGGTATACGGTGTGAATCAATACGAGTACGATCCAGTCCGAAATCGCTTATCAAAGAATGACTCTTGTTCCCCCAACGGTGGAAGTGAAGAGGAGACTTGACTTGGCTATGCACGCCCTTCGCTCGACATTGACAAGGGTAAATCCAACCTCAACCCACTCTTAACGACAACCGTGCGCTCGCCGATTCTCTGATTAGCGCCCGCTTATGGGCTTATGGGCTTGTGGCCGTCGGTGGCACCTTCCAGAACTTCCACTCGCTCAGGTCTTCTGCATCTTTTCGTAATATTCGTCACACCAACGACAAACTCTTTCGCATTATTGGTCGGTTGCCTGAGTCCCTTGCAACCTTGACCGTGGCTCCTCCGCATACGGAGTACGACATTGGCAAGTCCTCCCGTCAAGTCTTCACCATACGAAGTTTCATGCACCGCTGACAAACACCACGAAAGCCATCCCATTCCCGTGGGGAATCATTTAATGATGGTATGAGCGACGCTTATCTCGTTATGTAATCCGAGTTCCCTTGATTTACCTATTGTCCACCTCTTCGACATAGATTCTTATATTTATCGATTGATTTGAGCAATAGTCGCGTCTCTAAGTCAGGTTGCTCACGCGCGGTACATAAACATTCTCCAAACATCTGAATCATGCGGATTGCCATGTTTAACATTGATGACTCAATGTGTTACTCTGAAATGAGGTCAACAGCGTTGGAGAGGATTTTCCCTGATCCCAATTCTAGAACCATCATCATCATCATCATCATGATAGAATTCGACTCCATTTCCACCATCCACCACGCAAATGTGTGACACTTGAGGGTGTCGGTGTCTAAACCTTACTTGTAGACTCTTGAAGCCCTTTGATCACTCTCAAAAATAGATGTAGCCTTGCTATTGAAGTGTCCACCTCTTTCTTGAGCATCCGCCTTGCTGCCTCAGAGTAGGATATTGGGAACGTGAACGAGTTCAGGATTGACAGCTTGTGGCCAGTTAGTTCTACACTATCAGTCATCGTCGAAAGGAATGGAGAGGAGTGAGAAGAGCAGCCCGGTCTACTTCCAAAAACTCACGACGACTGCACCTTCCTCACAGTCTGGACCAGAGCACCGGTGGGCTTGATAATTCCGGTCACGCCAAGCATTTACCAGTGGATTTTTTGAGACTCTAAATATTACAAAACCCAAATTCGCTTCAACAACCAACATCCAGATTGGTGTAATGGTAACATTTATCGCTCTCACCTTTCACAAGATGATAGCTCCGATAAGCTCGGGGTTCAATTCGTAAGTCTATTACCACAATCCCAGTCAGATGGCAGTAAAACTAATACCTCCTCAGCCCGATCTGGAACAAGCTCGATTGTCTCTTTTTTTTTTCATTTTCGACTGTTTAATTTTTTTTTCTTTCCAAATTGTTGTAAAATATATTTTTGGGTGTCAAAACTTTACTTCATACGGAGAACAAAGAAAACGAAAGCTGGGATTCCAGGTGCTGGCCTAGCGCAACTTTTGACCAATCAGTACTTATCTCGGCTTATCTATTGGCTCTCAAAAAGGCAAGATAACGTGACCTCGAGTACGTGACTTCCTCCACTCCTTGCTATTGTTCTCATATCAAATTCCATCTGACAAAAGACTCTCTAGCCTTCACCGAATCCTCCACTTCACTCGAAGCCCAAACTCCTCCGTCCACGCAGACCTCAAGCCAATTGACACAACCTACCTTGGGCGATAATTGGAATCATCACCCTCAGCCTATTTTTTCGTACTGTCGCTCATCCATATGAAGTCCCAGATCCACTGACAAGAACTGAGCGGCGAATATGTCTGGTGAGACACCTATCAGGAACCCAAGCAGCAATAGCTGAGACCGCTAAGCAACTTCAAGCCGACAGAGTTGATTCGTGGTACCTAGGGCAGCGGTATTCGTCGAGGAAGAGGCGCGCCACATGTTCAGACCGGTGTTCCACAGCAGACTTGAGGAGACGGCAACGTGGGCAGTCCGGGTCGAGCGAATCCAAACCCACAAGCTGCACAGTTCACTCTAGATGGTAGCAACACAATTTACTTCAGGTGGTAGTAACACAGTCTACTCCAGGCGGTAACAACCCAGTCTACTCCAGGTGGTAACAACCCAGTCTACTCCAGGTGGTAGTAACAAACGCGCTCGAGAAGATGGAGAACTTGCCAATGATGTCGGTCAAGGAAAGCGAACTCGTTTACTCCTGGTGGTAGTAACAAACTCGCCTGTCGATGATGCCGGTCAAGGAAAGCGAATTTGTGGTGAAGGAGTGTTATCCCAAACTCATCAGGGTCTTAATTTCAGTTTTTATGTGTGACAATGGGGGATGGTTATATCTACGACAAAAAGAGAGGAGATCTTTGCATTGCTCTGGCGAACGAGGGAGTTGCATGATGTGGTTTGTTTGCGTCTATTCAACTGTCAAGAGCTACCTATAAGATAGTGACACTCATTGATATTTGATTTGCCAATGGTAAGCATGTCAATTGAGATATTATGATCACTCGAGGGCCCACGTTCATGTCCTGTTGCATGCCTTAGGCCTAGATATGCGGTATCCAAACGAATTCCAAATGATGCACATAGAAGTTGTCTGAACAAGTCGTTACAGTGTGCTATCTCAAAGCAAGCTCTTCAAACTCCAGCTCCCTCTTCATCATGAAGGGACTTCAGGGATGTGAACTCATCGCTGTGACTACGCTGTAGAGGTAAACTAATTGAAGTAAGTCAAATACTTAAATGCTGACATAAGATTGGGCAAGGCGGCGTCAGCCTCGTCCTGAAGAAGGCTGGAGCCGGCAGCAGTTTTCCCGACCACTTGGCAGGAATTGGAGAAATTTTTGGATTGCATCTCAGGCCTCAGTTCAAGTCAAAAGTTCAATCAGCATACCACACCATCTTTTTTCCTCTCCCAATTTACCCGTAATTACACTATGGCGACTAAAAAGCGCAAAGGTATTGCTCCAATTGCTCCAATTGACCGAACATTTGACCACAGCTGACACTATCTCAGAATCTTCCGGTGCCGGTGAGGTCCCGCACAAGAAGAGCAAAAAGTCCAAGTCCACAGCGGCAGACAACGCAACGATCTCGTCAGCCACCATACCTGTCGCCGATGCCCCCGTTGCAAAGTCAAAGACCAATGCCCCTAGCAATGCTGCTGCTGTCTCTGCAAAGTCATCTCGGAAGCGGGCTGCCGACTTCATGGAGGATGGCGAAGATGCACCAGGAAAAGCCGTGACAGCAACAAAGAGTGCCGTCGATTTGACGACGGCCCCTACAGACAAATCCACCTCCAAGAAAACCAAGAAGGCCAAAAAGAGCAATAAGGGCAAACATGACGAACTTCTAAGCGCAGATGGCGTCAATGGCATCATTGAACATAGTGGCGAAGAGGAAGTTGAGACTGCCACAACACACAAGCCCGTATCGACGTCAATGCAAGCCGAAGCTGAACATACGGTCGATCACGAACTGCAGGACGAGTACGGAAGTGCCGGCGATGATGATGAAGCGGAGCAAGACGACAACGCAGCCGTCCTACTAGCTGGCTTCGATAGTGAATCGGAAGACAACCAAGAAGACAAGGGCCTTGACGTCAATTCCAAACCTACCATTCCTGCCAACAAGAAACTACGGTCTCAATTGAAGAAGATCAAGAATTCCGAAGGCGCTGACGAAGAGCCTGGAACAGTCTATGTTGGGCGCATTCCCCACGGTTTCTATGAGGCGCAGATGAAAGAATACTTTTCACAGTTCGGAGACATCAGCCGTCTACGACTTTCTCGAAACAAGCGAACTGGAGCATCGAAGCATTTTGCTTTCATTGAGTTCAAGTCCAACGAGGTGGCGAAGATTGTAGCCAGCACCATGGACAACTACCTGCTCTTCGGCCATATCCTCAAGTGCAAATATGCAGAGCCTGGCTCACTCCATCCCGACGTCTGGAAGGGCGCAGACAAGAAATTCAGAAGAATCCCGCATGAGAAACTTGAACGAGAAAAACTGGCTGCTCCTAAGACCGAAGCACAATGGCAGAGACTTATTAAGAAAGAGCAAAACAGACGAGACAAGAAGGCTAGAAAACTGCAGAAGCTCGGAATCGACATGCCTTCGTCTACGTTGACCGACCCTAGCAAAGCTCTTCGGGAGAGATTGGCCGCACAAGAACAGCAGCAGCAACTCCAAGATGAAATCTCTGTCCCGACTGGCATGCTCGAACCACCAAAGAATGTACCAAAGGATGCCGTCGCTGTGAAAGAGGCGAAGAAATCGAAAAAGGAGAAGAAGCCGGAGAAGGTTGCATCAGCCGCTGTTGAGGACGAGCCATCTACCACGACCTCCAAAAAGGATGTGACAGGCAAGTCTTCGAAAAAGGACAAGAAGAGCAAGCAGGTTGATATCACTCCAGCAGAGGCTCAGGCAAAGACCGTGACGGAGACTACTACCGACGAGGTTACTGTTCCAGAGGCGACAGAAGCTAAGCCAGCAAAGAAGGACAAGAAGAAGAAGCAGAAGTCCGACTCTGCCGAACAGGTAGAAGCTCACACTTCAGTCGCTATTCCAGAGAAAAAGCTGTCCAAGAAGGAAAAGCAAGCCCAGAAAAAGTCACAAGAGGCTTCTGTCGCCGTCGAGGAAGCAGCAGAGCCTGCCGTAGAGCCGCCTGTCTCGTCGGAAGCTGCGCCTGCGGAATCCGGAGCAGACTTCATCTCCCTCGCCGAGTTTGCTGACGAACAAGCCGACTCGGGCGACGACTCGGGCGCAAATGAGCAAGCTGGCAAACCTGGAAAACTGGCCAAGCCCTGGAAGAAGGAAAAGAAGAAGAAGGACCGCAAGAACCTCGTCAAAGCCCGCGGACCCAAGTCGAATCTAGTTCCCACGTCGCAGAAGTCTAGACAGGAACCCCAAGCGTCTGGCAAGGACGGCATGCCTCTCATGGGCAAGTCAAAGTACGACAAGGCGGCGCGTCGGGCACACAAGGAGATGAAGAAGGAGATGCTGTCCAAGAAATTCAGTGGTCAACGTCGTTTGAGCAGTGGCTCATCTTAGAGCATCATTGGTTGGGAGCAGAAAAGCGCGGGTCCGTCACCTCGCATTACGAGTTTTGGGCCAGTATCAACTCATTTCTACCTGTAAGTAGTCTCTACTGAGCAGTGTGGCACAGGCGAATGTGCAAAAGGGGAACAAGAAAAGTTCTAGTATGCTTTTGATGGCGAGACGGACTTTTTTTACGTGAGCGGGTGAGCGAACTTTTTGGTTCCTTGGTTCATATGTAGACCTCCATCCGTACATACTGATTATTTCATCCCGTTGAGATAAAGAACAGCTGGCATTGTCTCGTGCCAATCACTGATCTACACCGTCCAATCTCCCATTCCGATTCTCTAGACCGGCATCTTCGTTTTACAAGTCCAACATCCCTTTACACCCTCCGTGACCGTCAAACTTGGTGCCCAACATTTGTCCACATACCCAGCGTACAGTCCTCGTGTGGAGGCTACCGGTCTCGTTATTCTGCCTTGGCCGAACAGCTGTCGAGCCAGGACGATCAGGATGCTGGTTCAGATCTGATCCTTGAGCCCGAACGGGCCGCGCAGGTTCAACGTTCGTCGCGCCGGCTGCCAGAGCTTGGAAAATCACCAGCTGATCCTCTGCGAATTCGTCAACACCGGCGTTGTTGGATTCACACTCCCTGGTAAAATCTCTCACGACGCGGGCCACGGCTTCGGTCACCACTCCCCGTCTGTCCGGGTCAGATGTCACCTTGCGTCCTGTACCTAGATAGTCACGGCCCAGTCGATGGCCGTCACTCGTGTGTGCGACCAGGAGGATGTATAGACGTCGTTCGTCGCCGGACAGGCCAGATGACGGATGTACTGATACCGGTACGGATGAGAGCAACGATCTGGCCGACAAGGCTTGGCGAAGATCAGACTCCAGACAGGATTGTGTGGTCGAGCTGCCTGATACAATGGTCATGACGACGTGCGTGATGGGACCGCGAGAGGACAAGGTGAATGGTGCAAGAAGATGTTGTGGTTCGAGTAGTCTCGATGCATGATGACCTGATGGTGGCGGGTGCGACAGTTCGGATCGACGAGTGTTGGGACGATGCACGGTGAGTTCGACGTGCCCGATCTCAGGAGCACTCCCGGCCCAACCGCGCTGAACGAGATTGATGTCGACCTTGGGGAGACCGATCTTTTCGCAAAGCGGGAGCAGGACTTGTCGTACATACTCTGTCGACGGGGATTTGGGGACATTGGTGCCACCCTTGAGAGTGATGCGGAATGGTTTTGTAGGTCGCGAAGATGGTTCGTGGAGAGAATGATCCATGAGACGTAATGCGATACAAGGGAATATCGCTTGCCATATCAACCAGACACTTCCTGGCTTTTGAAGAGCAATGACGTCGGCGACTGTATCCGTTTGGTTCCCTGTCGGTACAGATCGAGCACAAACAGTCGTCGTCTTTCGAGAAGGTTTGAAAACAATTTCTGAACATCCGACCTCATTGCCCTGGACGTCTGCATTGCATTGTTCAGCCAACCAGTTCACGGCGGCGAGGTGACTCTCCTTGAGTCCGCCTCCGTGACCGCCACCACCTCCACCACCCACGCGGCGGTTCCCAGAGCGGTCATGTCTACTACCCGACTTGTTGGATGAGTTCTTGCTCGACTGGCGGGAGGCCCTTGAAGACCGGTTTGCTCGGATATTGGTGACTCGAACTGGAATAGAACATATCGAGGACAATGACAAAGCGACACGTACAAGTTGACCACCTCCTTCGAGGGTGGAACCGTCGAGAGTCAACATTTGTGACGTTAGTAGTATCGCTGTCGGTGCCCCGAAACGAGAAAGATAGTGACTAGATACGGTCCGGTTGGCTTGTTGGTACGGTAAACAGAGAATAGCTGCGTGCAACTTTCAGCCTTTTTTTTCCCAACTGCGGGTGGTGAGGGATATGTCACCAAGTCGAAATTGCTTATGAATAACATTCCACGCCAGATGATGCGGCCACACATGACTGTTGGGCTGGAACAATGGATGACTCGCATGTCACACAGTCTCGCCATTGTTTGCTTTTCCAAAACAAAAGCGCCATCGTAACACTGCTTCGTGGTAGTAACATTCACACAGCCATTGAGGCTTAGCTTGTTGTAAGGTACGAGTCATCAAATGTCATCTGTTGAGTCACTGCCTACCTATCTAGACTAGATAGAGAGCAACACCACAACATGTACAAACATGTCTACGTGACGTGGCTAAAAGCACAGTTTTGATGCTGTCGGCGGCCTTTCTAGACCTGCACCAAATTCTATGAGTCGACGACGACGATGGAGTCGTTCTTCTGTATGGAATATTGTTTCTGTTTTGGAGCCAAACATTCAACTAAGGCCAATAACCGAATAACCGAGCTTCGTTGGACGAAGAATAGTTCCCACCTGCTGACAATGTCTACTTTTTCTTCTTATGGACTTGTCCATCTACGTCAAATGCTACGTCTTGTACTTGTTCTACCAGTAGCGAACTAGACGTCCCGGAGGCGAGTGTCCCGGCGATGAGCAAAGCTGCATTGGCCCAAGTCAGCATCACCAAGCATTATCCGTTCACGAGGTACGGAGTACAAGCTAGGCGACGTCGTGTTCTCTGATACTGTAGTGTTCTTTTCCTCGAATCAGCAAAATCTGCCATCAACGCTATTGTTACCCGTTTCGAACCTCAAGGTTCCCTGTCACGGTGTCGGTGTTTCAATTTGGGACAATTCTTCCACTGGTACCCGCCATGAAAATAGCTTAGGTAGTTTTTGCGTATAACCAATGATGTTGCTCGCAATACATGCACGATATATGGTCTGGCTGCGGCACTGGCTGCGGCACTGGCGGCACATTGCGGGCTTCTCCAGCAAAATGTCTGCCGTGGTCTCGATCGCGTTTAGATTCTCAATATCTGGACACAGTTGCGTGATCTGCGTTTCGGTGAGTGGAGAGGTACGAGTATGGAATGACAGGACGAGATAGGACAACCCTGATCCTACCTAGGTACGACTACAAGTACTCATTTCGGGGACGTGCTCGAGGAGATGGAGGGAGGGGTAGCGCGGCCTCGTCGGGACTTGTGTTGGGATGACAATTCGCAGGCAAAGGAGGGGCATTGGCATTTAGAGACATCTCAAGGTCAGCGATAGCGTGTACAGTACCTTCCTTCCTTCTTCCACTTCGCTTTCAATTCTCCATCGGGGACTTGTACTCAGTCGTATGTGCTCATTGTACCCTTTGCTTGACCGTGGTTTGAAGTCTCAATTTCGACTTGACACATCAATTCTTTTCCCTTCCATCTCGTCCTTGACTACGAGTTCGCAGGTGAGTTGGTTGATGGAGAAACATCTAGCTTTGAGCTGGTGACCACCAATGGCCTTGCTAACAATTCCACCAAGTTGTTGTCTATTGGAGGAGTCTCTTTCGTCGCTGTATCGACACCTCCACCCCGCCAACTGTCCAGCTACAGCAGCTAGTCCATGAACGGCTAGATACAGCGAATAACTTCCCCTCAGTCGCCCTGCGGTTCCAAATTCGGTATTCGAGAGCGAGCTCTGGAGTAGGAGCAATGTGGGCTGTTCCTCGTATCAGGCCACAGACCCTTGTGCAAACAAATCCCATTCTGGTCATTGGACGCTCCGAGGGGCTCGCAGTTCATACAAATAGGACGCGGGGTAATCCTTTCTACGCCCTGTCCGCTTCCTCTTCTTCCGCCAGAACATCCCTTCTCCCTCAAACACATCAAACAAGAAGACATTCCACAGACGCAATGGCAGAGTGTCCCGTCAAGCACGATACCCGAAGAGCCAACGTTGGCGGCGGTGGCCAGCATAACCGCGACTGGTGGCCAGAGGGTCTCAGACTCAACATCCTCCGTCAGAACAACGCCGTCTCGACCCCCCTGGGCAAGGACTTTGACTATGCCTCAGCCTTTAAGAGCTTGGATTACGATGCTGTCAAGAAAGATCTACATGCTCTGATGACCGACTCGCAGGACTGGTGGCCCGCGGACCACGGTCACTACGGTGGTCTCTTCATCCGAATGGCATGGCACAGTGCTGGCACATACCGTGTCTCCGATGGTCGTGGCGGTGGTGGTCAAGGTCAACAGAGATTCGCTCCTCTGAACAGCTGGCCTGACAACGTCTCCCTCGACAAGGCTCGTCGTTTGTTGTGGCCCATCAAGCAAAAGTACGGCAACAAAATCTCGTGGGCTGACTTGATGTTGCTCACTGGTAACGTTGCTCTCGAATCCATGGGCTGCAAGACCTTTGGCTTTGCTGGTGGTCGTCCAGAGACCTTTGAAGCTGACGAGGCCGTTTACTGGGGTGGCGAGACCACCTGGCTCGGTAACGATGTTCGTTACTCTGACGGCAAGGCCGGTGTACCTGAGGGCGCCCATGGCGTCGTCGACGGAGATGAGCACAAGAAAGATTACAAAGATATCCACTCAAGAGATCTCGAATCTCCTCTTGCTGCCGCCCACATGGGTTTGATTTACGTCAACCCAGAGGGTCCTGATGGTGTCCCAGACCCTGTTGCCGCTGCCCGCGACATCAGAACCACCTTCGGTCGTATGGCCATGGACGACGAGGAAACTGTTGCTCTGATTGCTGGAGGTCACAGCTTTGGCAAGACCCACGGTGCTGCTCCTTCTGACAACGTTGGCGCTGAGCCCGAAGCTACCTCCATGGAGAACCAAGGTCTCGGATGGCAGAACAAGCACGGCTCTGGCAAGGGCCCAGACACCATTACCTCCGGATTGGAAGTCATCTGGACCAAGACCCCGAACAAGTTCAGCAACGCCTATCTCGAATATCTCTTCAAGTTCGATTGGGAGCTCGAAAAGTCTCCTGCTGGTGCCAACCAATGGGTGGCCAAGAACTCTGGCAATATCATCCCTGATGCTTTCGACCCTAACAAGAAGCACCCCGCGAGAATGTTGACCACCGATCTCTCTCTCCGCTTCGATCCAGTCTACGAGAAGATCTCCCGTAACTTCCTCGAGAATCCCGACAAGTTCCACGATGCCTTTGCCCGTGCTTGGTTCAAGCTGCTTCATCGTGACATGGGTCCTCGATCCCGCTGGCTCGGCCCCGAGATTCCTTCAGAGGTTCTTCTCTGGGAAGACCCGATCCCTCCCGTCGACCATCCTCTCGTTGACGACAGCGACATTGCTTCCCTGAAGAAGGAGATTCTTGCCACTGGCGTGGACAACACCAAGTTCATCACAACTGCCTGGGCTTCCGCCTCCACTTACCGCAACAGCGACAAGCGTGGTGGTGCGAACGGTGCTCGCATTCGTCTTGCTCCTCAGAAGAACTGGGAAGTCAATGACAAATCATCTCTGCAACAAGTTCTTAGTGCCCTTGAGCGGGTGCAGCAGAAGTTCAACGGCTCTGCAAGCGGTGGCAAGAAGGTCTCATTGGCTGACTTGATCGTCCTTGCTGGTGCTGCTGCCCTTGAAAAGGCCTCTGGCGCATCTGTTCCATTCACTCCCGGCCGAACCGATGCTTCGCAAGAGCAGACCGACGAACAATCATTTGCACACCTCGAGCCTCACCACGATGGCTTCCGCAACTATGGCAAGTCCAGCCCTCGTGTCAGCACTGAGCAGTTCCTCGTTGACAAGGCCCACTTGCTCAACCTCACTCCACCAGAATTGGCCGTGCTCGTCGGTGGTCTCCGTTCCCTAAACGCCAACTGGGATGGCTCCAAGTACGGTGTCTTCACCAACCGCCCTGGTCAATTGTCCAACGACTTCTTCGTCAACTTGCTCGACATGAACACCGCCTGGAAGTCGACCAGCTCCGACGGAGAGTACTTCGAGGGTGTTGACCGCAAGACTGGCCAGAAGAAGTGGATTGCGACGCGCAACGATCTCGTCTTTGGTTCCCAGGCCGAGCTCCGCGCCATCTGTGAGGTTTATGCCGAGCCTGAAAATGCCGAGAAGTTTGTCAAGGACTTTGTTGCCGCATGGGACAAGGTCATGATGGCCGACCGATTCGAGGTCCACCAGGGTTCGCAACCAGGAAAGGCCAGCGCCAGACTGTAAGCATTCGACCTACGTAACACGTCAAAACCAGAACAAAAAAAGACACGTGCATTATGTTTCTATGACTAGAGTTCAATAACATCAATCAATAAATGATGAAAAAAGAATCACTTTTGATATTCCATTGCCGTTCCCATGATAGTACAGTTTTTTACTCGTAGGAACGTCGTAGAAACAAACAGGTTCGAGATAGTCTTGTGGCGCCAAGCATCTAGTCGTTTCTTTCCCGATGAGCTTGTCACTACTGTAGCAAGGCGTTCGAACACATTTCAGCCATTTCTACAGGATGGCTTTTCTTTCGCGCATGCAGCAACGCCGGCCAATATCATACCTCGATACTCCGCCTAGTGAGCCTAGATATATCTTACTGGGTGTCAAGTACAGTTACACTGGTGTTTAGGTCTCGGGAACCACACCCTTCGGCTAACATGTTGTGCCAAAGAACCCTGCTGGTGGCAGTGTCGAAGCTGCATTCTCGAGCACCTTTGGTTTCATGCAGAGCATGCAATTGCTCCCCAATCCGAAGGTAGGTGATGGCTACAGAGGAATAATTGCCGTCACGGGAGGCATGGATTAAAGGTCTCTAGCACCTGAAGACTTTTGGTCAATCCAAAAGTCCCAACCATTTCGGACTCGCACAGCCTCATGTCGAAACATGTGGTAAATAGGTAGGAATCATCGCTTCTCAGACGTGATGAGGAAACTCGAAAGTCGTCACTCTTCCAACGCCTTCTGATATCTGTCATCCTACAATCATCGGCCGTCACCATCGATTGCAGCAAACCAGTAAATACGTCAGCAGAGCGCGCGCTCAGTGCTATGAACATGTCGGAGGTCAACCACTCAACCAACGAGCAAGAGTGCAGCCGGCCAGTCCCAACCATCTCTCACGATACGACGCACAATTTATGCGAAGAAGGTGCTCAGATCGACTTCGATGCTGTGTTCGACTTGCCTTTCAAATCGGATTCCAAGCTTGAAGAGTGGTCGAAGCCAATTTCAAGGGACCTCACGAGCTTTCAGGACGAATGTCGACTTTGTCACATGGCAAAGACCTGCCTCCAACGACAATACTACCCCAAACAGCGGAACGGCCGGACACCTTTCCACTTTAGAGCGTGCTACGACAGATCAGAAGGGTTTGAGGATGAAATTTATGTCGCGATAGCCGAAGGTTCAAGGTCATCATACAGCCCACTGGAAGAGCACATTGATGAGTCGGCAAGAGGTGGTGTCATTGTCCACACCAGTATCTCATCAACGGCGGAAGCTTCTAGATGCTTGGGTGGGCGGAAACTATCACAGATGTGCATCAACTATGACGAAGTCCGGCACTGGCTGCAAGAAAGCCACTTCCGATCATACCAGAACGTTTTTTCTATAACCCGGGCAGTGGATACCTTCGAGCGCTACGTGATTGACTGCGAGACTCGCCGGATAATAGTGTTGCAAGAGAACATGGAGTACTTTGCACTGAGCTACGTTTGGGGCCATTGGCACGGTTCCGAGCTCTCCAGTGAAGCCTGTAATGGATATTCTTTGGACGATTCGAGAAATTTGCCTTCCAAGTTACCGCAAACGGTCGAAGATGCTCTTTCCGTGGTCAAAAATCTTCACGGCCGATATTTGTGGGTTGATCGCTATTGTATTCCTTCTTGGACAGATAAACACGTCCAGATTCAAAATATGGATCAGATATATCTATGCGCGACCGCAACAATTGTGGCTATTGACCCTGACCCCGACACTTCATCGAACTCTGGTCTTCACGGCGTATCTCGAGCCAGACTTCCTCAACAGGTGTTGCAAATAGGCCATCACGAATTACTTCTGACAGCGCCTCACCTCTCGCATCCATTGGCAAATTCAATATGGGTGACCAGGGGTTGGACATTTCAAGAAGTGAGGTTGTCACGAAGATGTTTGTTCTTCACCGAAGACCAAGTTTACTACTCTTGTGGAGGAGAGATCTCGTCCGAGGATACGATCAGGGGCGTATCTAAACATCGCGATGTCAGGCCGGCTTTCGTTTCTGCAATTTTGAGACCACGACTTCCCAGAGATGAAGCAGAAGTCGAGAATGAAAGTGCTGAAAGGCTCGCGGATATTGAAGAGTATACATCGCGGACATTGACATATGATGCAGATATCCTTGACGCTTTTCATGGCATCTTGAGGTCGACCACTCTGCCAACCTTATGGGGGGTTCCCTTAAAGGACCGCGGGGCACACGTATGGTTCGGTGCTCTCCTGTGGTTTGGCCAGAAGCAGGACGATGATACAACTTGGTCAGACTGCCTCAGAACAGGCTATCCCACCTGGTCTTGGCTTAGCCGTCGCGGCCACATCAAATTCCATCAATGGGCATGTTTGGCGGACCGTCCTGAGAGAGGTGCGGAGATTTCGATCTCGAAAGAAAATGGCTTGATCGGGCTGTCCGACTATCTGATGAGCGAATCAGGCCCGAGTTTTCCGCCTCTGCTCAAGATCAAGGGCCCGGCCACGAGGATCCATCTCAGATGGTCTACAAAGGCCTCGTGCTGGAGTGCAATTCTGTCGGCAACATGCAATGGCCCGAAAACGGCTTTCGAAATACCGTCAGCAGCCAAGCTCTACTGCAGGGGCCGCGGCCTGACACTGGATCGCATCCATTCGTCGCTGCTGCTCTCGCGATTGCAGCAGGAGACATGGCTAGCAATCAGGATATCGACGCTAGTGTGGATGGTGCTTGATGACAGCGTTTCGCCTTGCACACGTATCGGAATAGTAATATGTGCCTGTAGGGATGATAGAAAGATGCTACAGAGGTCACATCAAAGTAGCATCTATCTTAATTGAGATAGGTCAATGGGATACAAAAAGTCATGACTCGAGACACCAAATAGTACTGCCAGCAAAATTTGAATTATTGTAACGGTTTGCAACTACTAACTTGAGCTTCGGTCGTCATATCAACTTCATTTCTAACTTCAATCTTTTATCTCATTTCGTCATTCGTCTCGAAAGCAGTGCCGTCTCTTCCCACCCCCTACGTCGTGAAAGTGGTACTCATCGTGGAGCTCGTCGTGACGGTCGACAATGTCGGTGGCCCCGTCATGGTGTAAGTCAAGTAATTCGGACTGACGTAGGTTGATTCAGATGTTGTCAGAGTGATATTCAGGCTCTCGCTGATACTCGCACTCTCACTCGTCTCGCTCGGAAAAGCATAAGTCGAGGCGGGCATACTCGTCCAACTTGTATTCATGGGTAAACTATAAGACGAGAGTGTCGTTGTTGCTGCTGATGATGTTGTTCCGTTCCCCCCGCCCACGTTCGCAGTACTGTTGTCGGCAGAAGGGAACTTGTTGGCAGTCCCACCGGCGGCGTACATTGCCAACAAACTGAACAATCCACCCTGTACGGGTCTGGCGATGAACTCGATGGGACTCATACTTGAATCGCTGTTTGGGTAAGCCCCCGTACCTGTTGTCAGATACAAATCGGTAAAGGGGAACATTGTGCTGGTCTCGTTGAGCCAATACGCCAAGGCGTTGACGAAAAGTCTTCGCGTGCTGGTACCGCACGTCGCTGCCGTCCAGAGTTCCCAATCGCTCTTCGTCAGGGCGTGACGGTTGTCCAGGGGCACACCAAAAACCTGACTCACGGTCGGGTACCAAGCGCACTGCATGTCGAAGACAAAATCCGGGATGATGGACAGTGAAAACAACCTGGCGGGGAAAATGTTGTACAGCAACCCCCAAGACGACCTCCACTGGTAGGCGAGCATGGTGTGGTGACCCGAAGGGTCGATGGCGAAGTCGGTCCAGTTGGAGAAATAACTCGTCGCGATGGACGAGTAGTTGGAAGAGTTGGCCCCCTGACCGACGGCCTCGGCGACGTTGGCCATGCAAGCCAGACCTACAATCCCTTTAACGGCCAGGTTGGTCTGGTTGGCGAGTTGACCCGCAAAGTCGTCGGTCGACAGTTGCTGGCCCGGCAGGAGAGAATACTGGATCAAATATTCAGACCACTGCTGCAGGATGGCGTAGTGAGATTCAAGGTACGCCGTGTCGTGAGTGAAGGCGTAGTACGCGTACGTCATGATGATCATGTTGCCCGACTCTTCGACCGGCATGTATTCGTCGTTGCCCTCGACGTGGCCCGTGGCGTTTGGGAAGTTCGAGCCCAGGTCGTGCATGGAATACTGGTTCGGATAGAAATTGTTTTCCTGGTTGTAGAACAGCGGGTTGAGGTTGTACCGGAGCAGGTCCGGGTTGGCGTACAAGAAGAAGGGCATGGCCGGGAACATGACGTCGACCGTGTTGACGTTGCCGTCGGACGAGATTTCCTTCTGAAACATGAGCGGTTCGTCGAGGTTGGAGCTCGAGTCTAGAGACGGGGGGATGGTGAGGACGTAGGCGCCCATTATCTGTCGTGCCGCCAGGGCGACGAGAGAGTAGTACGCTTCTGGCTCCGAGACGTCGGGGATCGCGATGCCGCTGAAGTTGTTGGGGTTGAGGAATCCGTACGCCGAATCGGGGTCGAAATAGTACTGCTGGCCGTATTGGTCTGTTCCGATGTTCTGATCCGGATAGACTGGCGGTGCGGAAGCGGTGCTGTTGCTGTAGACCGCCGTGTTGGCGTAGTCGGGCGCGTAGTAGGCGTCGATGTCGGACTTGAGTTGGGATTCGAAGGCGTTGCCCAGCGCTGCCGCATTGTCGTAGTCGTTGTAGTGGTACTGGATCATCGAGAAGAGGTCGCCGTAACATTTGGTCCACCATGGCTGTAGGGGCACGACGCCGGCTGAGGTGATGTATCGCATGATGGGAGTCTGAGAAGATCCAATGGTGTACCGGACAGACGCAGACGTCGTTGAACCAAAATCATGGGCAAATGCGAAGACGGGCTCCATGTCTTGAGCACCACGATAGTTGCCGTCAACGATATCAGTGAGATAGTGCTGCATGATGTAGTTGAATCTCAGCGTCGCCGAATAGCCGCTTTGGAAGCTGAAGTTGCTGGCTTGACCAGGGCTTGTGGTGTATGAAAAGTTCCCCCATAACGGTAGCTGACTTTCCTCGGCGAATTCGTATTGTGACGAAAGATTGAAAAGCCATGTGTAGATGAGGTTTGATGAATCAGTGGCATCCCCGCTCCCATTGATGGACCTGATGCTTTGGTACAGATCCCAGATCAAGGTCTTGTTGCCTTCAGGTGCCATCCAGTCGCCGTTGACATCGCTGTAGAACTGTACGTCATGACTCGAGCCATCCAGAGACTCGACAGAGGTGGTCAAGTAGCTCAGAGGGATACTTGTTCGACATAGATCTTTAGGTATGACAGGAGAAAAGAAGCTGGCCGTGACCAAGACAGGACCAGCTTGGAAAGTATAGTTCGAGTACTGGCTGTCGTAGGAGACATCCTGTGGAATAGCTGATTTGATCAAGGGTAGAGTGGGAAGAGATTTCGACCCAACACCCAGGTACTCATACGAGATGCCGTCGACGGTCACAATTCCTTCCCATCCAAGTCCGCCACCCGTCCAGAACTGGACACCACCGGAATTCAGCGTGCTGTTACCTGCCGTGGATTGCCATGCACTTGTATAAGGCGATCGGACAGCCAATGGCACCACTGGTGGCCGAGCTGGAGAGTAATTGGGTAGGCGGTTGTCATTGGCATCATCTGCGTTCAGATACGGGTTTTGAGCCAAGGCATACGAAGAGATGAGGGCCAGATACGCCCAAGGTCGGCACCACATGATCTCTCCTCCTTGCTCTAGAGGAGTTCGCAATTGGAGGCTGCATTTTGACCGATCGACTGGCTGCCTGATTGACTCTTATAGCATCACACAGCGAGAAAAGACCCGGGACCCGAGCCCATGTACAAGGTTGGATCAATGATGATGTGACAGAGAAAGAGATGTTACCATCTCCGCACCAGTGGAGTTGGATCTGCAATGCATGCACTGTTGAAAGCTTCGCGGAGCTTGTATATCATCTAAATGTCGACGAACACAGTATGGTCCGTCATATGCAGGTCTATGCCGAGCGAATCAACATTTGGTTGAGGTGTATGTATCACTCTCGGTCGAACCGAAGTCGGCTAACCGGCCACGTACTCGTACACCACGATCTCCATTGTTACATGCCTCGATAGTACATGCTCCGGTGGTTACACGGCATTCGATACATGCCCAACCTTTGCGGGGGAAAGCTGCATTTCCATCCTGGTCGAGGAAGCTGTATGTACGAGTACGACTGTGCTGTGAACCTCAACTGGGTTTGTTCATTCATCATATTGATGCACGCTGATTTGAGTAAGAGTACGACTATATGCCGGCCATGCTGTGTATATCGTCAAGAAAAGGCTAGGGTTCTTTCAGACTCCCCGTTCAACGTAACTTTGCACCATGCCTTCGATCGTCGGCTCGTATTCGACCAACTTGACTTCACCAGTCTGTTCGTCCAGTACTGTATTCGCCTGCACGAATACTTTTCGAGGAGTCTTTTTCTTGAGAACAATAGGCCTGGCTTTCTCTGCCCACCAAGTATCAACCCCGGTGATGTCGTCGTACAATTTCTTCCCTGCTTCGAAATCGGCCGTTGCTTTGTATATGTGTAGCTTTTGAAGGTAATCCTCCACAGCTGGCCGACCGTGTGACAAAATCTTGCTTCTGTCCAAGAAGATCTCGAGATCGTCGGGACTGTTCAAATCTCCATTAGGAGCTTTGATCTCACAGAAACTCCCACCTGCATTCATGAAAGTCCGGAGGATGGAAAAGCGAGCTTGCATGTGAGCTTGTCCCCACTTGCGTGATTTGGGATCCCAATACTCGAGAGCCGCAACGCCTGCTCTGGCCATCTGGAGGTAAGCGACGTAAAGAACATCACCTGCTTCATTGCTCATGTCTTCTTTGCCATTACCAAACCCAAAGATTTTCAAGATCTCAAAGTCACAGGACAGTGCCATGGCAACACATTCTGCTCGGCACTCCTCGTACGACGAAGCAATGGAACCAAACACACTGGACCAAGTCTGGCCAGGTTTGTACCATGAAGTGACTGCTTTCCCTGTGACGGGACTGGCAGGGGGATTCTTGATATCAAAGTTGTATTCTCCTGGGGAGGTCTCCTGCAGCAGTTTGCCGCAACCGTGTCCCAGGAGCTCGTGAATGCCTACCTGAACCTCGAAAGCGCCATCTCGATATTTTCGGTACAGTTCGTCGTCCTGTGCACGAATAAAAGGTATGGGCTCCTTAGGTGCCTTGGCACTGAGAACATTGCCCAAAGAGACGTTCTTGAAGCCTTCGTTTTGTCTGATGAAGTCGTAGTTGGGTATGTTGATTCCTGCAGGGATGCCGCTGCCAGCAAAACTAAGCACCTCCAGGGATGTAAAATCAGGGCTCAAGAACTTGTCTTTCTCAAAATCTTTGTCCCATGGCAATTTCGGAATCATACTTGGTGCCGCGTCCACGAGTTTGCCGAATGCTCTAGTTCGCTCTTGATTGACCATGGCGACAAAGCCCTCCCACTCACCGCGGACCCCATGGGGATCTCGGTAAGTTTCTACAAACCCGATGTCAGTCTCAACCATAGGCTTCTTGTCTTTGATCCAGTATCGCTGAGATTCTACAAAGCCCTGAATACTGCCGGTGCCGAATGATCGAGCATACTCGTCCATCATCTTCTCCTCTGTTTCGTTGGCGGCTTCCTTTTTCGCTTTCTTGATCTCAAGGGCAATCTTCCCCATCTCATTCAGGTAGTCACCGAACACGAGGTGTAGCTTCTTCCCCGAGAGCTTCCCTGGCAAATCAATAGTCGACAGGTCACCCAGATCTCTTTCTGATGCCGGTGGATTCTGGATACCAGACGCAATCAATAGATCAAAATCTCCGGAGGCCAGCTTGCGTAATCTAGTGTTCTCGATAAGCAGCTTCTTCTCCTCCAATACATCGCCCACGATTGTAATCTCCTCTTTGGTTATAGTAGGAGAGTCTGGATAGTATGCAGTCATATGCCCGCCTTCAGGATATCCAAGGTGCATCAACGCTACGTCTTTGGTCTCATATATTCCACCTCCTGCTTGTGTAGCCGTATCATGCAACTTCTTGCATTCCTCATTCACTGCACACAGCTGTTTGAGTGCCTCGGGAGAGATCCTGGGGATGAACTTGGAGTCTCCGAAGCCTTTATAGTTGCCACAATTTCCTAAGAACTGAGCGGCATATTCGAGCCATAGGGTGATATCGTCTGAGCCCACTGATGTACTATCGGACAACTTCTTGTAATTTCCACCGCAAGCATGGTGTAGGGCCAGTATCAGCTCGTATATGACTGGCGATTCGGGCGACACCTGTGCCAATGTCACTCTTGTGCCATGAAAGCAAGCTTTGCTCAAATGATGAGCATAACGTTTTTGTTTGGCAGACAGGGCAGCGAAATGAGGAGTGATCTCCAGTTTTACAACGGTGGGAGGATTGTCAGCGAGATAGTGGGATCTGAGAGAGTGGTCCATGGTGTTCCGTAGCTTTGGAGTAATTTGGACTTGATGGGTGAGTTGAGAAAGTCTGCTGGAAATGCTCTGGGGCGAGAGAGTAGATTGTAGAGTGCGTGACATGTACGAGTAGATGTAAGTAAAACGAACGGTCAGTCAGTCTACCACGAGCAGGTGCAGGCAGGTCGATGATGAGCGTCCCCGCGAGGCTGCGAACCGACATGACGAGGCTGTGCTGCTAAAGAGGAAGGTGTGGCGACCGTTTCCAGGAAAGTGGAACGTGCCATTCATTGCTCTCTTCAGCCTCCACGAGTTTCATCGACGTATGTGTCTGTCTAACGCCAAATCTCAAAGAGTTCCAAGTCGAAGAAGACCGAGATACATTCTAGCATGGAAACTTGACATCAATCAAAGTTATTAATCAATTTTCTGGTAGCCTTCGACCGCAAAATTGTCAACAAGGCTGCGATGTTCGCATCCGCTTTCAAGTCTTTCACATCCAATATCAGCTCCAACTATGAAATTTCGAAACAATCTTCCGCAACTGTCGGGCCATGGACACTATTTGATGCGAAGAAGAAGAGCACAGGTGCTCAAGCATCTGTCTTTGTCTTCGAACGGAAGTCTCTAGATATCAACAGTTCTGGTTTTGGAGCACGTGCAACTAGTTCGACATCGATTCGCAAGATTCAGGATGAAGTTATCGAGAGACTAAAAAAGGAGGCCAGCATCCTTGCCCGTCTGCGCCACCCTTCGGTCCTACAACTGGTAGAGCCAGTGGAAGAGACCCGGAATGGCGGCCTTATGTTCGCAACTGAACCAGTCGTGTGTTCATTATCTGCGGCTCTTGCTCAGAAAGATCGCTCTGAAAGCAGAAGTGGTAGCGGCTATTCGAGGTCTACTTCCGGTCTTGACGCAAACACCTCTAGAGCTCTCCAGGATATCGAAATAGACGAGCTAGAGGTCCAGAAAGGCCTCCTACAGGTTGCCAAAGGATTGGAATTTTTGCATGACTCGGCCAAGTTGGTACATGGCAATCTGACACCGGATGCTATTATGATCAACGCAAAATCTGATTGGAAGATATCTGGGCTAGGTTTTGCTGGTCCAGCTGATGGAGCAGAGGGACATCAAGCAGTCCCACAGATATCACTCTCCGAAGTCCTCTACCACGATTCTCGGCTTCCGCGCATGGTGCAGCTTGAGCTCGACTATACCTCCCCTGACTTTGTCCTTGATTCCAACATTAATTTCTCCGCGGACATCTTCTCACTCGGGCTTGTCATTCTAGCCTGCTACAGAAAGCCCCATCGATCCCCTATTGAAACGCATGGGAACCAATCCACCTATAGAAAGATCTTCAACACTCCTTCCATGCTCCCATCTGGCTCCAACAATTACCTCTCCGAAGGTACTTTGCCAAGAGAACTCAATGTCACACTCCCACGCATGCTCGCCAGAAGGCCTGCACAACGATTGACCGCGACAGAGTTTCAACAGTCTGAATACTTCGATAACATCTTGGTCAATACCATCAGGTTCCTTGACGCTCTACCTGCGAAGACACCTGCGGAAAAATCACAGTTCATGAAAGGCCTCGGTCGAGTCATGCCTCAATTTCCACCCTCGGTGCTTGAGAAGAAGATTCTGAGTGTTCTCCTGGACGAGATGAAGGACAAAGAATTGCTGCCGTTGATCATGCAGAACATCTTCCATATCATCAAAGTCATCCCGTCCGGCAAAGAAGTTGTCTCAGATAAGATTCTTCCAAGGATGAGAGAGATATTTCTCTCTAAAGCCAAGTCAGAGGAACGTGACACCAGCAAGGAGGCCGCATTATTGGCAGTGCTCAATAACATTCAACTCGTTGCCGACAACTGCTCGGCCCGACAATTCAAGGAGGACGTCTTACCCATTGTTCATGTTGCGATGGAATCACCAACACATTCCCTGACCGATGCAGCTTTGCAGACCTTGCCGGTTGTGTTACCTCTCATTGACTTTTCCACAGTCAAGCACGACCTCTTCCCTGTGGTCGCCAATGTTTTCAGCAAAACAAGTAGTCTTGCCATCAAAGTTCGTGGTCTTGAGGCCCTTGCAGTTCTCTGCGGTGTCTCAATCCACAAGATGAACACAAGTGATGATGACTTCACGGGCTCAAACCAGCAGGAGAAACCTGACAGGAATGTTTCTAACCTTGACAAGTTTACCATGCAGGAAAAAGTAGTTCCGTTACTGAACAACATAAAAACAAAAGAACCAGCTGTCATGATGGCTGCCCTCAAGGTTTTTCGGCAGGTTGGCACAGTTGCTGACACCGACTTCCTGGCCATTGAAGTAATGCCTATTCTATGGACCTTCTGCCTAGGACCTCTTCTCAACCTCTCCCAGTTCAAGGCTTACATGGATGTCATCAAGTCTCTGACGGCAAAGATTGAACGTGAGCAGATGCGCAAATTGCAAGAAATGTCTTCCACCCGGCCAGGAGAGTCTCGGACTAGCATCACGTTCACAAACACTAACACCGGTGCCGTTAGGAACGGCGAGCTCAGTCCAGAAGAGGACTTTGAGAAGCTGGTTCTTGGGGGTAAAGGCACTCAGAGTAATGATGTTTTCGCTGGTGCTCTTTCTGAGGGAGAAAGGCTGACTCCTAACCCACCTTCCTTCTCATGGTCTTCGGCCAACACTCAGACCAAAAGTCCACCCCCTTCAGGTAATCCCCTTTCAAATCTCGCCACGTTGCAACCACAGCCTGCGTCTCGATCTATCACACCCGATATCAGCGCATCAACATTCCCGAGTTTGCAGCCCCAACAATCCTCTTCTTCAATATGGGGCGCATCTTCTGCTCCCATGGCGAGTCAGCCTCAGGTTCTACAACCGTCATCACATATGTCTCCACGACCTGCACAATCTATCGCATCACCACCGCCGACTTCGAATAATGCATGGCAGCTTCCACCGCCTCCAGGCTCGAGGCCTGGGCAGAATCCAGGATGGTCTCCAAGTATAGCACCTCCACCACAGTCCAATTTGCAAACAAATGCCTGGCCACAAAGGCAGCAGCCGAACTATCATGTTGGAACGGCATCGCCGCCTCCTATTGGAGCCTCAACGAATATACTACAACCGCAAACTACCTCTCAACCGTCTGTACAACCAAAGAAGTCGGGCTTGGACAAATACGAGTCACTGCTATAAGTTAGTCGTCGGTTGGGAGCAGCATTTTAGCCGAATTAGGGCATTCAGACGAAGACGTCTTGGGATAGTTGAATGGTTAAGCTTACTTAAAATGGCTTCGTGGGTCTCGTTGAAGACAGCAATAGTTCACAGAGTCACTCCTTCCAACGTGCATACGAGTAGCCGAGGTTTTAGGAAGTGGATCAGTTGCCGACTGTTCCTGAGGCTTTGGGATGCGAGTCGTCTTCCTCGTACCTACATAATCCCAAGCGATCGCAGGTCGCCGAATCTCTTATCACAGCCAATCATCTCTACAAGGGACTAAGCTACTTCCGGAATGTGGCATGTCGATGGATACAACGGATACCACCATACAATCAAGTTCCGCCAACGATATGACGAGATGTGCAGATCTTAGAGAGCTTGACCTGTCGTCCGGCGAGAGCTCCAGTATGAGCCGTCCCAATGAAGCTATAAAGCACGAGACATTGCTCGCTTGCCAGTGCTTGCTTTACTGGGCGTTGTAGCTTCTGCTCTGATGAATCGGTCGCCGTGTCCAGCGCAACACTAAGACGCCTACCAGCATGAAGCTCTCAACTCTCTCTGCCGTCTTTGCGGCCTGTGGCCTCGTCGGCACCTCTTCCGCCATCAATATCCTTATGGGAAATGATGATGGTTTCGGAAGTGCTCAACTTCGAGAGTTCTGCCGTCTTCTGAAAGCATCGGGACACCAAGTTTTGATTGTTGCGCCAGCAGATGACGAAAGCGGTCAAGGTGGTCGATCATCATTCACGAGTTCGAACAAACTTGAGAGGCCTTCCGAGTACGACCTCATTCCGGCTGGTGCTCCCTCGCTCGGTCGTGATCCGAAGGATCCAGATATTTGGTATTACAATGGCACCCCGGCGGCATGCACATTTGTTGCCCTGGACTTTGTCCTCCCGAATTACTACGGCAATAGAAGCATCGATCTCTATGTTGGCGGACCAAATTACGGCACCAATCTGGGACCATTCCTCTATACCTTGTCTGGGACGATGGGTGGAACATATGGTGCTGTTGGACGAAATCTTCCTGCCATCTCTTACTCCGGAGGCAACAGTGAACAACGTGCCTACACCTGGATCAACGAGACGACTAAGTCTGGCCAACCTGATCCGGCTACTATCCATGCTCAACTGGCTGTCAGTGTCGTGAATGCACTGGTCAACGGTACCGCGCCCGGGAAGCGGCTGATGCCACTCGGTTATGGACTGAAGTAGGTCTTTTCTCACTTCCATTCTTCCACAGCATGCTGACCGCCGACCTTGTAGTGTGAATTTCCCGTTCATCACATCGCTTACGAATGATTCTTGTGTGGCGCCGCCTCTCATCCAGACTCGACTTAATGGTGGTGCCTTCACTGACAAAGCCGTCTACAACGCCACGACAGGCTTGTTTAAGTATGGCAATAAGGTGACGGCTGCGCTCAATCGGTGCATCAACGGCAATTGTGCCTTGCCCGGAGAGACCCCTGTGGTGAATGGAGGCTGCTATGGCTCCGTGTCTGTCTTTAGCATCGACTACGATGCTCCTGTTGGGCATGACCAAGCTGCTCTTCGTGCCGCTATGACTTCAGTCGTGGCTTTTGAGAACCCCGACTCAAAGATGAGAGTCAGAGTTAGAAACGAACTGACTGGTAAGAGCTATGACAAAGAATTTGGTGCTGGCTGGCTGAGCTAACAGTCTCATTAGATGAACAACTGGAAGCTCTATACCCGGTTCGACATGAGTAGTCAATGACCGACATAGGCAAACAGCGATATATGTTCTACCTTGGGGGTTCCCACGGAGTACCTCGACGAGATTCAACACCGCATTCGTCGCTACGCGAGTCATGCGTCACGAAAATAGTAATGCAGAATGTTTTCCTTACAACATGTGAATAACATATAAAAGTACAGAATACAAATTGATATCGAATACCCCATTCAGTAGATGCTGTGTTGGGCTTGATCTCGTCAGCAATTCATGGAACTTGGTCGCCGCTTTCGGGGATACTTGGAAGACTCCGGGGGCAAGTTATCACAGTCATACGGAGTACCTATGAGTAGTACTTTGAAGCTACGGGCCATTGACGGTTATCGCCGGCGTTCATGGGCCTTTTGCCCTTGTTTCTCTACGTGATTAGATGTTCCTGGCGGCGCCAAGTGCCGAACCTCCGATTGCCGGGGGACATTTTTGTATTATCGAGTCGTTCGAGGTCTTTGTAGAGATATGAATCACCTACTCCGTACATCTACTCGGTACAACCCCCGGCGCCCTTCCAATTGACATTCTACAACACTACAAGATAGCCACTGTCTGCGTCTTGACAAATATACTGCGCAGCGCGTCCTCACCCTCACTGGCGTCCCTTGTTCTCCCTCTCCTCCCTCTCTGGTCGTCCCTCCGCAGTTACTGAAATACACACCATGTCACTCCCTCGGCTATTGCGCACGCCCTGCGCACGAAGTCTTACAAAAGCAACATTCACACCATCCTCCACACGGATATCACTCGCGTCCAGACAATTCTCACTGTCCCGCAGGAGGCTAGAAGCTCTGGCACTCGACGATGACCTCCAATCCAAGCTACCGGGAATCGACCCGTCAAGGGTCGAAGTCACAGAAACAATCACCCCCAAATCCCTCGTGGCGAATCAAGATCTCGTCTTTGGGAGGACGTTTACAGGTACGTTGGGGGGAACAACACACACGTGTTAGAAAGGAAAAAGAGTGACCCATGCCGCCAAGATGCAGAAATTTGAAAAAGTACAAGAACTTACTCTATTGTGCCATATAGACCACATGCTATCTATCGAATGGACGGCCGGACAAGGCTGGCTGGCACCGAGAATCACACCTTACCAGAACCTCTCCCTCGACCCGGCGACATGCGTATTCCACTACGCCTTTGAATGCTTCGAGGGGATGAAGGCGTACAAGTGCGCCAAGGACGATTCGCTGCGACTTTTCCGCCCGGACAAGAACATGGCCCGCATGAACAAGTCGGCCGCCCGCATCGCCCTGCCCACCTTCGACGGGGACAAGCTGACGGAGCTGATCGGCCGACTGTGCCGGTTGGACGAGAGGTTCATCTCGTCCGAAAAGGGTTATTCACTGTACATCCGCCCGACGCTGATCGGGACGCAGCGGACGCTGGGGGTCGGCCCACCGGGCTCTGCCCTGCTCTACGTGATCGCGTCGCCCGTGGGCCCCTACTACCCGACCGGGTTCAAGGCCATCTCCCTGGAGGCCACCGACTACGCCGTGCGCGCGTGGCCGGGGGGCGTGGGCGACAAGAAACTCGGCGCCAACTACGCGCCGTGCATCGTGCCGCAACTCAAGGCCGCGAAAAAGGGTCTCCACCAGAACCTGTGGCTGTTTGGGCCCGAAGAGTTCATCACCGAGGTCGGCACCATGAACCTGTTTGTGTGCATCAAGAACAAGGAGACGGGACAAAAGGAACTGTTGACGGCCCCCCTGGACGGGACCATCCTCGAAGGCGTCACGCGGGACTCGGTGCTCGCCCTGGCCCGCGAGCGACTCGAGCCCGAAGGGTGGAAGGTCGTGGAGCGCTACGTCAAGATGCAGGAACTCGCCGACGCCGAGGCCGACGGACGGCTGATCGAGGTGTTCGGCGCCGGCACCGCCGCCATCGTGGCGCCCGTGAGGAAGATCTCCTGGAGGGACCGCATGCTGGATTGCGGCCTGAAGCCGACCGAGGAGGCGGGGGAGATCGCTCTCCGAATGAAGGGTTGGATCGAGGGTATACAGTATGGCGATGAGGATCATCCATGGAGTGTAAAGATTTGATCAAAAAAAAACCCCTTGAACAGAGAACTTTTTCACCTTTTTTTCAACTACTCTTGGTATCCTCGAAAAGAGTGAATTGTCAATATAGATGTGATGGAAAGGGGAGAGAGAAAAAAGAACACCGACACCCGAGTCAGGTAGTAGGGGAGAGATAGAATGAGAAAGCGAATCGCAGCGTCGTTTTTTTTGAGAGCCATCTTTTATCAGTCCAGATTTTCATGTTTGAATACCTAAAGTTCAGAGATATTTGTCTCTGTCCATTCCGTTCTTGCAGTCCGTCATCGTCATAGTGACTCGTTGACAGTGTTCCTTCGTGACCATACAATCCACGTTGGGATTTTCGGATTGCAAAAAAAAAGTCACCTGGCCATAAGAGTGTCCAAAAGGGGTTCCTTGTGAAGGGTTCGTGACTGCAAATAACCACTTACACTGTTCCCCCTCCGTACCTATCTACCGTAGGTAGGGATGAGTGTACTGTATAAAAAAAATGGATCTTCACATGGCGGTGATGCCCAAATGACCTTTGAGATGGCTTCGCAAAACCAAATACATCCAGGACCTGTTGCCGTTTCACCATCCTTCTCTTGCCAACGAATGAAAACCTACAAACACGCCCCTGACAAGGAGTGTGTGATCGTTGTCCAGTGTCACATGCACTTAAGCTGTTGTTCCTCTGCTGTAATATCAGTGTGCATAGCCTATAGCATCAAGGGTATCTAGAGATACTGTAGGGCATGTAGCGTTTTCTCCTAACCAGGATATACCTTAGCAGTGGATCAAACCAATGTACATACTCGTTCCTCATCCTCGTACCCGCACCAAGTACACGTCCGGATCAACCGCGTACACGCCATTGTCCAGATGAAAGCGGAGTCGTATTGTTGTTGAATCCTTTTCGTCAAACCACCATCATCTTGTACTCGTAATGTCGACATGGATGTGTTGTCTTTGGTTGTCGTTGTATGCTTTCCGCGTCTTCGTCTGCGTCGTCGTCTGCGTCGTCGTCTTTTGTGTCTTGGTCGTCCCGAGCCTCCCCCTCCCCTTCCCCCTGTCGATCATCCTACAACAGAAAGCACTAAGCCTTGCAGCGACAAAAAGTAGCGAAAGGATCCTTTGGCGGTCATTTGGAGAATCCTGTCCTGCCTGACACCGTTACTCCATTACTGAGCGGAACAATCCACCGAACTACCAAAGAGAGAAAAAGGAAGGTGTGTTGGGAACATGAAAAGGAATCGGCCTACTCCATAGTACCCGTACCGTATGAGTACATACAGGGGGACAAAGCTAACCTACCTGCTCCATGGGTCTCATGCATTCATTCCTCCATCCAAGCAAGGACCGGGCTGTGTAGATGATGCATGGTGCATGTGCAAGGCCGATTCCTTCGAAAGGAGACGAGACAAACACAACAAAACAACAAAAAAGGATACATAGGGTAGGTCGGACGGAGTACATTCGCTACAGTACATATCCCGTACTCCATAGACGGATATGGCGCATCTTTGAACGGTGTTTCGTCCATCGACCACCTTTTTCTTTGGGATTATGCATGCATGATCCCCATCCATCCTCACCGGGTATTCCTGGCAGAACAGTCAAGGATCAAGGATTGATTCCAGGACCCCAAGGCCACAAAACTTGACTTGCGGCGAAACCAGGATCGTTGAATTCCTTCTTTTATCCTTCCGTGACCGCTTCGGCTCGTCCTGACTTCCGGTTCCTTCGATTAACCTCATACGGAGCAACGGAGTCTCAACGCTAGCCATTCGATAGCCAAATCACTCGATTTGTATGCATGTCATGGCGTGGCGTGGTGTGCCGCATGCCGTGTGCCGTGTCTTTACTTACAAAGTCGGGTGTATTGTTCAAAAAGAACGCGTGTTATTCGCGTCCCGTGCGTACCATGCGTACTTTATCATTCCGATGTCTTTTGTCTCCATTTCACAATCCCAACATCAGATCAGACCCTCTCTACGGGGTAGAGTATCCGGGATATCCTTGATCCATCCAGTCCATTTCCAAAAGCTAGAAAAGCGCGGTCGCGGTCGGGTCTTGGCGGGTATCCGGAAAGAAATTCACCCTTGCTCAGTGACTTTCCGTCGTCCGAGCAATAAGTATGTACGTCAACTCGGCTCGGACGTCGTCGTCGTCTTTGTTCGTTCGTTCGTTCGGAGTACGGAAACAAACACGTCGTACTCTCTCTTTTCCTTCCGTCTCCGTCCCTTTTTTTTAGTTGCCTACGGGGTACCCAGGTGGTAAGTCATTGGAAATCAAAAATATCTGGCTGCTTTTTTCAAAACCAGTGGCCAACCCTCCCCCTGTACGGGTACGCAGTACGAGTACGAGCACGAGCAACGACGGGGGCGTTGGACCTTGGCCTTTGATCCCTCTGCTAGCTTTCACCACCTTGTTTTTTTTTCAGCTAACATCATCAGGCCCCGTCACTCGGCGCTTTCGGCTTTGGATGTTCGTCACACTTTTGCCCCCTCCCAAGCCGCATCCCCAAGGCCCCCGGGACCGCGGGCGAAACTAGGCATAAAAGTGTACTACATGTTGCGAGCGCGCAAAACCAAAACACCCCCTCCCCTCTCCTCCCGTCCAGAAACAACCTTGAACCTTGTGACTTTGAATCAAAGACAGCAAATCTTCGCACGAGTTCAGAGACCGAGAGTCCGAGTTTCTTTCAGAGAAGTCCAAGCTACCTACGGATGACCCCGTACAGTAGTCAAGTTCACTGCTCGCCCTCCCTTACACAACTTCCTCGTACGGTGGGGAACAAACAAACTTCCTAGGCATCATACCGAGTAGCTGGCTAAACGAAAACTCGCATTGTCTGTCTTCGTCGGTGGCACGCCTCAATGATCTTTTCTCGTACAGTTACACTTTTTTAGATTGCATGGCTCGCTTTGCCGTCCCAGCCACATGAAATTGAAATCTCCCACCCAGGGCCTTGCGTATTTACTTGTAGGTAACCAAGGAGGCCTGTCATTCCTGTTCCTGAAATACTTTCCTACTTGAGAGTAGGTGTTTTCAGGCCCTGCTTATTGTTTTTGTCTTTTTTGAAACCAAAAAAACACCACACACGGCTTTAAAACAAACGCCACTGTCCGCATCACTATCCTCTTCTGGCAAAGATAACTTGTACCAAGGGTTATTTATCCTACGGGAAATATTGGGGTGCTGGGACGGTTACGCCACGCTAAGGCAACTTCGTTCATCAACTCGGTACGGTACGGATTCGTGTAACAGGCCTCCCATGATCAAAAGATGTTACGAGGAGATTGTTACGGAGTAGAGTAAAAGAAAATGCATCTTTACAATGATATGCCTTGGACATCTTACCAATTTCGGCTCTATTATGTACATATATATACTCAGTAAAGTTGACCCATCAACGTCACTTAAGAGTTGGCCGAAATAGACGTCAATTCACAGTGCACACGTCAGACGCTTGAAAGAGGGGGGGAGGGGGGTCCAGTACTGCCTCGGCGCTAATATAATAAGTACGGGAGGGAAAGAAGGCTACACAACGAGTACACGGTGTACTTGCAGTACTCAGTAGGTAGGGCCACCCCCGGCCGACCTTCTTTTCGGGGGGGGGGGGGGGTTTAGCTGGTGTGTACTACTTGTATACATACAATAAGGTGAAAAAGTCTCACCATCAAAATTGTTGGTTTGGTACTCCGTAAAAGAGAAGGCAAAAAGGAAAGAAAGAATGAAATGCTGGTGGCCCTACCTGGTCCTCCTCCATTTCAACGAGCAAAATAAATCCCCTTGGCGACATTAGTAGTTATGCGTATTTACCTACCGACCACAGCGTATTCCCGTACGGAGGAACAATTCTCCCGCTCTCTCGTTCTTGCAGAAAGTAATGTACGTTAGGTACTGAAGTGCTGCGGCTGGGCATTCGTATTCAATGTGGTCCAGAATCTCTAGGCTCAAGTTGAGCCTTGGGGTTGGGGCGAACGCGAGCACCTCCTCTCTACTGCCAAAGTTGAATTACAAATGCTTTGGTGGACGAGACGGAGGCAAAAAAAAGGGTAACAAACGAATACGTCGGTGGTCGTATGTGTCGATCGCCCCCTGAATTTCGAAAAAGGACTCCAGTTTTGAACCAATCACTCCCTTTTGGCTACCTTGTTTCGTTGGAAAGAAAAGGAAGGTGGTGGTGGTGTTGCATCTTTTTTTTTCAGCTTCTTCTTGGAACCAGCCTCGTGTTGGGCTTTAGGGCCATTCATCCAAGGACAACGCGCTACTCCGTGACTTCGTAACAAACCAATAATTGAATTCTCGCACGTTTTGCGAAGAAACTTGGCGGCGGCCTTAGTGTTTAGGTCCTACTTGAAGGCTAACAAACCCAAGGTAACTTCGCCTAGGAAACTCGCCAGGTGACAAATTGTGCTTGAGCGAGATGCAGTGAAACCTCACAGACGACAAACTGCTTGATCGAAGCCTGGGCAAAAAACACCCTCTCTGGGCGCCACATCGCCTGACGACGGTTCGCGTTGTTCTACCCGTCGGATGCATGGTCTCTTTCGACAACTTGCGTCGACACTTCATGCTGGCATTGTCATCGAATGCCAACCAAAAAAAAGCCTCGGAGCCGCAGTTGATGAGTTTCGCGCTGATTCGCACTGATTCGCACCGACTTCGAAGCGAAATACTCTCTGTACTCCGTACTCCGTATAGCATTCGTGAGGCCAGCCATTCGAAACTCGTTTTCCCCCACTCTCGCAATAAGTATTGAAGCCAGTCAACTGCAAGGCTGCTGGACGCATCACAATCGCGATCCAGAAGTGTCTCCCTCCCCAAGAATTGATCGAAGGGGCCAAAAATAGCCCGAGACTTGACTCCGTAGAAGCAGACGGAGTTTGTGGGAACGACTGGTCGAGAACCCCTGTCCGCCCAGTATGTTTGGTATTGTAAACCACGCTAAGAGGCGTATCGTATTGTGTGATTACATATGTCGAGAAGGTTGCACTAATCACCATTTCGTCCGAGGCAAACCGCCGGACGCTTTGTGATTTTTTATGCAAGAAGCAATCATCTCTACTCCGTACGGGGAACAAGTATCGAGGCGCCCTGCCGTCGACTTCCGAACCAAGTAATTCACGAAACGAGCTCTAGTTACGCCTCCGATTGACTCGAAACCCTCGACAACGACGCCCTGGGAATATGATGCGAGATGTTATGCATTGGCAAGCTTCCCTTTTACCTTGTTGCCTGATCATGAGGAACGCCGACACACATTTCGTCATAAACCCCTCTCGACAAATTTCTGGGCATTCGGGCTTTTGAGACATTTTACACGCGTCTTTGTTGTGGCCGTTGTTACCTGGATAGCATAGATTCGCACATCTCGGGGTCTCTTAAAACCCCCGTGGCCGAATTGCGTCAACGTGACCCAGACTTCCGGGGCTCGAAGGAAGGCCAGTAGGGCTCGCTGCCCTACTACCTGTTCAGGAATAATGACTTGGGTCACATTTTCGGTTCAGCCCACAGCCACATTATCATAAGGCTCTAAGCAGCGTTGTAAGACTGACACAATAGAGCCACTGGCGTATGTTCCTGTAGAATGAGTCAATGCTTTCGACCTATGGGCGTTCGATAATCAATTCCCTTATCGGTACAGTGGCGCGAAATACTGTGGCCGTTGATGGGGAGGCTGAACATCTCATGTAACTTTGGAGCGTCGTCAACCTTTCTGGAGTTCATGCTTGACATATCGCTGTCGACTGCTTTGCAAAGCCGCTATCTCCAGTTGTCGTTTTGAACCTGCTCGTATACCGGTAATGAAACCTTCCTTGAAAGCCTTTGCGAGGCGGGAAATGATGACCTTACTCAGCCATCTCGTATCCAATACTGGGGATTACCTGGTAAAGAGGGCCATTGGCTGTAGGTTGTGGGTGCAGTTCTGCTTGGTCTTCGACAGATCATCTTGCCACTGTGTGAACAAAGATACGAGGCAGAGTGCTAAAGCGCTTGGATCACTCTGACTTCTGGCCTAACTGGGCATGTTGGGTAAAAATCATCGAAAGAAAGGCTCAGTCTGCATCTCAACAAGCTTCCTCGGTGTATGCGGCCGGCTCGAGGGGGTGTCTGGAGGAACGATTCACCAGTTGGCTCATAACAGGGCCTGTAGGTGATTCCACAGCCCACTTGTCTATCCTCCTCTTTGCCCCCCTTCTGGGGTTTGCTGTGCCTGTGGCAAAGTGTTGGAGCCCATGCCCTCGAGATAGTGGACTACGTGGGCAAGTCCGCGGATGTTCGCTAGTTACTGGCAACGAGGGAGTTGACATGCAAGTTGAATTGCCCTTCTTGGGATCCGAAAAAGCTACAACATGCTGTCAGCTCTATCCATACCCAGAACCAAACCACAAGTCTACCTTCTGATCATGATGCTGATTCTCTTGATCTCGCCCAGCTTCAGGCGGTCCATCTCAGAGCACGGTTTGCCACGGTAGGTGGGCCTGAAATGGTCCCAAGGTATGAAGACGGTGGCGGACGAATTATTGTCTCCAGAATTGACTAGGAAATTTGACTTCGAGAAGTCGTATTCCCACGAGACAGTAGACTGCTCGCGACCATTCTCGGGATTCGGAGGAAGAAGATGGTCTTTCAAGATCAGTGTGTATGTATTGGTGTCAGATTGAAAAGGGTCGATTGAAAGCTCGATGCCTGTGAAGGCGGACAAGTTCCAACGTCGATCTTCTCCAGCACTTCGTTGGGAGGCGAAACCAGCCCCGCCCAGAGCTTTGATATCGAGACGGCCGTGGAAAGACACACTGTTATTGCCAGATGATTCCAGATAAGACTGTAAGCCATAGGATCCTCCTGTCAGCTTCCGCACAAAAGGTCACGTATCGGTGCTGATTTATCCACGCGAGCAAGAATCGAGCACGATGCCAGCTGTGACCTAAGCCTAAGGGGAAAGGATAGGTATCGTGGTTACCTGTGATTCACCACCTCTCACTCTATCATCACTCGAGGTCCAACGCTCCAGCTCCCACCCTCTACTGGCCAGTCAGTCAGGACTCTCTCAGGAAGTCAGGTATGATTCCGTGGTCAAGGTTGCCAATTAGGGAGATTGCGCCACTGGCCATGTATGTAGGAGACTTATTACCAACGCCGAGGCTGAAGCAGGATCGAAAATAACAACGGCTTACATATTCATTCCAAAAAGGACTTGCCGCTGAGCCATGATAATCCTTAGTCCCTACTTGCTTAAGTCTTTGTAATTGTGCTGTTGGTCCAGCGCGTCGTCCCTGCGCCAGCCTTCAGATCTAGACTCTCTTCCTCCCGGTTGAACGTGTGGTGGCGCGTTGCCTTTGAACGTGGGATTGTACTAAATTGTGTCGGCACGCAGGGGATTGCAGTAGGTAGATTAAGAGGGATCTCGACAGGATCGAGCAACGTTTCGGCTTGGTTAGTGGGTTTGGGCCCAGGTTAGGAAGAAGATCACAGCGATTTGACTGGTGATGTTGACACGTTGCGAGGAGCTTTGCTGGGCTTTTTCCCTCCTGATCCCTCATCGGCCCCTCGTCGGTAAAGCTTGCGCCCAAGCCACCGCCAGACTCTTCTTATCACGCTCCTGTTCCTTCCACTATATCGATTGTGCAGGGATAGAGGCTAGACCTCGAGCGCCCAATTTAACAGGGCGGCTGCTGCATGCTTCACTATTCGAGACTGTCGTCTGCCGCCTCGTTTATGCCGCCTCTCAGCCCTGCGAGCTGAAATGCAGCTGCCACATATGGCGGCACGAGATGCAGCTAAGCACAACTCAGCGCCTGCTACAGTTACACCACAGACCGTAAAGGGAATGGTTTTGGAGTGGTGTAGAATGCGTACATTCAATACTCTGAGATGTGACTGGTCTGCTATTCAATTGCCAGTCTCGTGAACCTTTCGCTATGAACTTCGTAACAACATAAAATCAAATCAAGCAACGCTGTCCGCCAATTTTTCAACGCTACCCTGGGTATTACCACCGTAAACTAGCATTGACTGCACGCCATTCCACGGCGCTGCGAGCGCATTTGACCGCTCAATGAAGAGCCCGTTCGGCCATCTAAGTGCTCCCGTCCAGCTCTGGCCCTTAGAGCTTGCCCATCATAACAGTTCGTAGAGGTAGCCATTCATCCATCCCTGTTCCAAGAGACGCATGCGTGGCGGCTTGGGAAGTCTTCTGTGAAATCGAACACAAGGGTGGTGATCGAGAATAAGGCTCTCATATGCAACTGATGTCGAATAAGTGAAAATTGGGGCTTGCCGTCCTTGATATCGGAGTCAACGGAACATCAAAGTAGTTGGGTGAATTATGCGTTGAGTCGATAGAGTAGGGATCTGTGAGCGGCGGTGTCTGCCGAAAGGATGTCAGCATTTGAGCTGCAAAGTGCAAGTCGAAATCTAGGAGGGTGCCAGGTGCTCTTTCTTGCTGAGGCTCAAAAGTGCGGGCTTGAATATGAACGAGAGAAGAAACTGGTGGGATTTACATGAGAAGTGGCCCCCGTAAACGCTTGGTGCGAGGGCATCTCTAGACCCGCTAGAGAAGCATAGTTCATGCTAAAGGGACTTAGAAAATCGTCATCGCCGAAAAGCTGTTCTTGCTTGGCGTAGGATGAGGGCAGCATGGCCGGCAGTGTTGGAGGTAAGGTTGAGGATGACACATCCAGGTTGTACTGGTAATTTGAGTAGTAATTGGATGGAGTGTCGTACATTGGTTGTTGCTGTTGCTGCTCGTACTGGAGATAGGCAGTTGTGGGAGGGTAGGTGGAGAAGGTGAATGCTGGGGGAGAGGTGACAGAGAGATGGCGAGAGGCAGGAGTGTCGAAAAGGGTAGAATGGTCGTCCAATGCCACGATCTCAGGGGACGCTCTCTGGGTCTCGTGTGAAGTGCTTGACCTTGACGTTTGACGAGCCATGGTTTGTGACTGCTTGGAGTCCTTTGGCGGACTCGTCGTCGCGAGTTCTGAATGTGACTGTTCTGGAGAAGCGGATGAAGAGCCGGCACGACGCTCTAGATCTTCAAGTCTTCTCTTGAGCTTCTTTCGATAATTTCGCTAAACAATCTGTTAGAAGATACCCAAGGTCAGCCTGTGAAGGCCACATACCTGGGCGATCCGATTCTGGATCCGTCTTCTCTCCGCGAGGTCGGAAATCTTGGTCCAGTCTTCATTGGGGTTTGCAGATGCACTGAATGCAGAGCTGGTAGCGTGTGTCGAGGCATATCTGGAATGTCCCACCATTGTTTGTGGGTAGGAATAACTTTGACTCCGCTGCATGGTGACGACTTTGTAGTGGAGGGGAATTGAATGGGCCAAATGAAGTAACGACAAGAAAATGACCAGGTCGTGGGTTGATCTGGAGAAGTACAAGAAGAAGGTTCGAATGGAAGAGGGATGAGGGTATCGAAGGGCCTTAATAACAATATGGTTGTTCGCAAGATGTAGTCGAATCACAGATGGACAGATCAATGGGAGGCCGAACGTGAGGTCCCTTGATATATAGGTCCTTGGTAACTGCCTGGAAACACAAATACCGCTTGTCCCAATGGGTTATAGGCAGAACTGTCGTGGCTCGGAGGCATTCAGGAAGCCGGCCGCAAAAGTTCAACCGGGGTGGTCGTGGATGAACCACGAGCGAAGGACCACATGTCCAAACTCAGACCCTCCATCATCTGCCCTGCCCTGCCTGCCCTGCGAGGCGGCGGCGGGAGAGCAGGGATAGTGAGTGGAGACTCGCACTGTGCAGGGGAGCATGTTGACCGCCCCAGGAGCGAGCAGGGGAGCGAGGCGGCGGCCCTGGGACACGGTCACAGCGGGTCTCCAGGTCGAAGGATGACAAGGGTGCTGCGAACGAGGAACCGGGTCAGGACGGAAATAGTGGTGCAGACATGCGTTTTGGGCTCGAATTCACGAAGAACGGAGTGCATTGCAACGTTGTAGGGCGCTGCGCCCCTGCCGCATGCCTAACCCGGTTGGCGATAGTGGCTCGCCGCTTGAAAGAGAAGGGCGGTCTGATAGCTGCCCCAAACAGCGACTCGACCTTTGCCGCAAGTGTCCGTCCGCCTCTCGCTGTGTGTGTGTTTGTGTGTGTATGGAGTAACTGTGCTACGTGGACTGTTCGTGTTGTTGGGCATGTCTGTCTGTCACTCTCGTATTGTACGGAGTACGAGTACGGGAATGGAGACTCGTACGCATACCCTACTTCTCAAAAGGTTGGTACTCTCAACGTGCCCACCAAGAGCTCCATTCTCCTCCTTCTCGCTCCCCCTCTTTGCTTTGCGTGATCATTACATTGCAATCAATAATTATCTGGCTTGACATGCAGTGCTCGCAGTGGCCCTGAGTTAACCGATATCATCGATCATCCCATCATCGTTCGTTCGTTGAGTCGTGACTCTCTCTAGTCATCCTCGAACGTGCCCGTCCGCCTGAAAGTCGTCCAGTCTCCCTCACTCATTCGGTCAGTTCCCGCCCTCTCTTGGGCCAGTCTCTCGTTACTACTTCTCCTTCAGTCTACCCAGCCAGCCTCGCTATCTCCCAAATAGTGTACCCCAATCCGTACTTGTCCAGCTCCTGCTTGTTTGGTACATGAAACGTCCACAATAGGCGCTAAAGAACGAGCTTGGCGATCGCGCAGCCCTCACCAAAAGGTAGAAGACCCAAGAAGACGGACAGCCTAACTCCAGGCTACCTAAACACTCCGACCCTGCTATGCCATAATCAAGACTTTGTCCGCATCGAGTCAATGCGTGGCCCCCAACGTGATATCATAAACTGGCAAAAGGACCGGAATCATTCATTTACTCGGCAGCGCAGTCGGTAAGGTATCGACGACACGGACACTGTAGAGTCCATACCTCTGTACAGGTCGGGAAGGCGTGAAGCTACAGGTAGAATTAGTTGGTGACATTTCTGTCTCCGCCCATTGACAATATGCCGCAAAATGTGCTCCTCCAGTTAACGGATCAAGTCCGCTAAAATCCGCGGCCTCTGGCCCCCGGAATCGCCTTATGACCGTCCGTTCCAGGCACCTCAATTGCTGATTACAGTTCTGATTTACAATCTCGTGCCATCTGCTTAGAAACTCAGACTACCTCCATTGACCTTGGTGCTGTTGGTCCCGAAGTCAATCCCCGAATTCCACCGTTGACTCTAGGAGGGAAGATTATCCCGAAGTATGGCTGAATGGAGGGCTTTCAACCTAACTCATCGTAAAGAAGCGCCCATCCGACACGCACAGTACTCCAAGAGGGAGATCACCACGCCACGCCAGTGTGTGTATACGCCATACGGATCCCCGTGCGCATGTCCGCGAGTAAGAGGGCCTCACACAACATTCCGGGTATTCTTAGGCCCCCTGATCGACCCTCACCCCCTCTACCTCATGAGGACAGCGACACACTTCGCCTGCAGGTCGTGAATATCCTAAAACGGTAAGGATCCGCCAGAACTCTCCTATACGAGTCTACTGTAATGCTCATCTCTCGCTCACTCCCCGAGAGTCAATCCCTGTGCAACCTGGAGATCTGTGCGGATATCTGTCAGTCTGCACAGTCAGGTCACATTGCTGTCGATTACTTCGGTCAACCATTCGATCGTAATGTCACTCGTTTCTCGTAGCTGAGATTCCAATGCCCATGGTACGAGAGGGAGAACGAGCACCCGGCCCAAGGACCCACCGTCGCCGTCAGCTCATCCATGTCCAACAAACGGGCTCCTTCCGTGCCAAGTCGAGCGGCTTGTGGCTGCGTCTGTGGCCCATAGGGCTGGCGTGGCAGCTATTCCAGAAGGCCATCACTGTTTCGAAGAGCAGCCTCCGGGTTGCTCCTCCCGACCCCTGAGCCACAATAACAACCGGCTAATTTTGGCCCAGTTGTGATTTGAAATATTCTCCCAGTAGCTTGATCTCCTGGCCAGCTTCACCAAACTTCGGCAAGCAGCAGATTACAGTTCGAAGGGCACTCCAGTAGACTTGTCGCGTTCTGTTTCGTGCGGTGGAATACCGGAAGAAGGAGCAACATGGTTCACTCACCCTCAATCATTGGTTTCCAGTAAGATGGAATCATCGTGGGGGCCTCAGAATGGACCCGCCGTATGCCCTGTTCAAAAGGACAATATTTTACTCGAGATAACGCATCTGGCTTCATGGAATCGTCGACAGCTTCGTGAACAACACCTCATGTCGCAATAATCACGAGGGAGGTGGTCAGAAAGTGTGGAGTTTCAGGAAGCGCTGTACGGGAGAACCATCACTCCTGGGTCCAAAGCACCATAGGGCTAGCTAGTCCAGAATATTCAACAGTGCTGTGTGTAAAGTAGCAAGATGTATCGTATCATCCGTACACACGCAAGGACATCGAAGTCGACGTTAGGGGCAGTAGCATCAACACTCAAGGCGCCTTAAAAAACGCGCAGGCGATGGCTCGCAAGATAATCTGCGAGACTGGCGATCGCCTTCAAGAATGGAAACCCAGACATGGTCCGGAACCAGGTCGTGTTGTTCCGCGTAAACGCTGCCCACCGTATGTTGCACAGAGCGGTAACGAAAATGTTGGCCTGTGTACGAGTATCAAACAGGACACCAAAGTTCCCTTGAATTATTGGTGCCAAAAAGCGTGCTTCTAACATCCCATCGAAACGCAATAGCGTAATTAATTAGGGAGGAGGACGCTTGCAAGGGTCAAAAGGTGGCCCCCATTTCGCTTGCAAGGTGGTCATTTTCTCCTTCGAGCCAAAGTGGTCCCTCCCAGCCCTCCCTCTGTCTTGCCAGGCTCTTTTCCGCCAATTGTCAGATGAGAATTCCGTTCAGCCCTAATGACAGGCCAACGCAACAAAAGGACCTTTGAGGATCAATAAACGCAGATGACCCATGTCGCACTAAAAACCACACACCAAGATGTTTCGGGCATTTTGACAGCGAGCCTGCTAGGCCTTAATCGGCCATTCAGCGGAGGAGGAGGAGGCTAATCCACGGGGAGTTCCTTGGGTGCGCTGGCGCCAACGCAAGGATCATCCAGTATGTATTTGCACCAAAAACCAAACCAGCTGACAAAGAAATGTCACCAAAAATACTCTTTAGTACTTAGGCATGCAGCATCTGTATCTCGAGTCAATTACGCTACGCCCGTACGACAAACGGATGCGGCGACCAGTCACTCATTTCCTCTGAAAGGGACTGCATAGTCAAGTTGGTCATGGGTGACAACTTGGTGGACTTCCATGCAGCCGGATTGGCCGCCCTAGAAAGTGCTACAACAGACAGTAGTTTAAACTTGGTGGAGAGGGTAAAAAAGATAGGGTAGACATCGTTCTCTTGTGCTCCTTCTTTTCTCTTGCAGGCTACTTGGGAAAAGAAACCCGGGCTATCCACACGTCCCAGAAGTTGAACTTCGGGATCAAACATCATTGTCCTCTCTCTCTGTCTCTCCGTCCCACTCTCATACACTTCTCTGGTGCGGTCGTGTTGAGGTAAACAGTTGGTCCTTAAGACGGCGACACACCAATCTCATCCACTCACTACCTTCCTAATGCCGTTAGTTCCGATCTATGCCTCATTGGGGAGCAGGCTGTGGGAATTCTATTTGTTCGTTCTTTAGCGCAGACCAACGCTGCGCCATGACCCCCTGCGGGCTGGCGCGAAGAGACTACAAGTACCATGTAGACAGACCCTCTCCATCACCCAGATCTCCGGTTTTATGTGCCGAATTACAGATGTCCCTGATCCTTGTCAGTCATACTCCGACCAACCACGCCGTGTCTTTTCCTGGTGAAAGTGTTACTCCCGGCGTATTGAGTGGGCTCTGGCTTGCCCTCCGCCGTTGTGATATGCAGCTTGCTCATTACTTTCAAGCCCTACGAGTATCCAGTACGACTTTGTCATTGTGCGCTTATCCTCCAACCGTCGTTCATGTTTCCCGGTCGTGGGTGCTGGGTAGAGAGCTTTCATGCAGCGTTGTTTCAAACGTGGCCAGCCCCCCTCCCCCGTCTGGTACCTGGGAGGTTTCCAAATCCGCTGCTCCATTAGTGGAGCGAAAGAACCCCAGATACTGGCTAAACCTCGTTGTCACTTTGGAATCCTAGAAATTCAAACACATCATGGTAGGTTACCTTCCTGTTCCTGCGAAGGTGAGTGAAACAACGATGCTTTCCACGGCGTATCTGCGGGAGGGTGAGATTGAGGACTTTTGCGACTGCCGCACTTCCAGACTATGACAATGTAACAAGGCCTCGGAGGAAAGAAAATTGAACTTTCGATGATTCATTGTGGATGATTCAAAATGAGCGTTCACAGGGAGACAATCAGAAATCGTCCTCGCAGGTGGCCTTGCAAGTTACTAACTCGAGACATCACGATCACTGGGTGGGGGAGTAAGAAGATGTGAAGTGAATCTCAGGCTCATGTTCCAACGCTCGAGCAGATGAGCAAGACCCAGCCACATGAGGAACATCTTCACCTCGTTCTTTTCCACTTCCAACGGGCGTGCGTGCCGCCTCTTTTACCAGACACGAGCTCTTGCTGTTTTGGCTTCAATTCGAATCCGAAGGTGTTTAGCCAAAGACCCTCCCACCTCGTCTTGAGAGATCCCACCGAGTCCACTGACTCTTTTGGGCTGATGAGCAGCTTCAAGCCTTCCTCTGTTGGAGTGGTGGTTTCCCCGTTATGATTGGGAAGTCAACCTCAACAAGCCAATCAAGGCATCGCGGGAAGCACGCCCTTTCTCCTTTGCCACGAGCACACGGACGTAAAGTTTTCACGATACGCTGACCATTGAGCGACCTGATCGTTTTTGTTATCTGTCTGACATAATCATCCACCCACAAGAAAGGGACGAAGAACTTACTCCTGTAAGAGTAGGTCTTTGGCCCCCGTCCCCAAAAGCTACTGGAGCAACCCACCACCCACGAGGAAAACATCCCTACCTGCAGATGCTGACTGATACGTATAGTTGCGAAATGGGAACTGGGCTGCAGCAACCCATTTAATAGGGCTGGGGGGCTTTGACCCTAAGGGAAAGGTGCCGGTCCACAAATTTCCCTGTCATATGCGAAATGATCCTTCGACAGGCAATAGCCCGGTTGATTCGAACACGTCGTATGGAGCTCCTTGAGGGATCTGCAAAAGTCCAGAACACCTCCCTGGACTTGATACTTGGTGCAGGAAGTCGAGCGGTACCGACCTGAGCCCCCTGGAGGTGCATGTGGAAAGCCATGCACAGACTCGAAATCAACTTCAGTGATGAGTTGTCGTTCCTTTCACTGATACACCTCGTATCCAAGGCGGAAATTCAACAGGAGATGAGCACTAAGGATCCACAAACACGAATCCGAGACGGAGAAACGCAACACCCTGATGAATGAGGAAGCGGGCAATAAACACCCTAGGTAACTTTGTGTGTGTTGATGGTTGTACTCTCCGTACACTCTGCTCAAACGTTTGGAAACATACATGCCGACAGTTCTCGATTTGCCGATTCGTCCAGTTCCCCATGGCGTTGGTCACCTCGACTATTAGGCTATACTACACGTGTCAAAGAGGTGCTTCACCGGCACAGGTGAACCTCCTAATTTGGATGTTTAGTCCCTGGATCCTGGGCTCTGGGACAAGAGGTAACGCACCGAAGGATTCCAATGGGAAATCTGCACCACGCAGGATGAGTTTCTGTGATGGTTCAGGAGCTTTTTACCTTGGCCATCGGCGATGTGCCTGGCCTGCGAATTGCCACCGCCACGACAAGACCACCATCACCACCACCATTATGCCGACTCGGAAACGAACTACTCGTAGGCGGCATAGTGTGTATGGCGTGCTCCAAAAAGGGGCCAAGTGTTTTGTGTGATTTCTGAAATGAACACGGAGCATCAAATTATTGGATGTAAGTTTTCTTAGGACAAGATCAAGGCCGAAACAAGGTCGAAAACACTGCCTGCCTGGCCAGGCCGACCGCACATCATTTGGCTTGCGAGATTTCTGGCTGATGCATACTGTGGTTACCTTGGTTTACGGAGTAGTTGGGGAGCAGCAGCTTCGGCGGAATGGTACCTGCACTGATCGGCGACCATTGTGGAACTTTGGAGCACCTCTCGCGTGCCCAACCGGGTGCCTGACCCTGTTACTCTAAGCGGCAAGCAAGAGGAGGCATTCCACCCTTATTGCCTATGATGAGCTGTCCCTGGTATCCGTACGAGGACCGAGAATGCCATGGCCGGCAATATGACAGACATGGGTTATGTCTGTACTGCCGATCAGTGAGTAGGTATGGATCTCCATCAGAAAAAGACAAGATTCTTCTCGCAATACTCGGTAATGAGTACTTTGTTCGCTTGAACGCGGAAAAGCTCTTTGATGTCTGATTTCGGAAGTGATAGGAGGAGGAGGAGGCCGACGGCAACGACGGGGCACAAATGCTGGTGGCGCGGTGCCACACCACCGTCTCTATCGAGAAGAGGAGAGAGCGTTGGGGTAGGTGATCATGGTCTGAGGTCATGGCTATGCAGTAGTCAGTCCAATGACTTACGGTACCTTGCACGCACGCACACACACAGGAAATCAGGACGTCGATCGACCCTCAGTGTTGGGACCAAGACTAGCCGTGCCATAAAAGGATAACCCACTCCTTTTCCTGTAGGGGTACAGAGTATGGAGTATTAAAAGAGTGTATGTGCATAGGCATTGTCGGCCCCCCTCTCTGAGAATACGGGTTGGGAGTGGAGACAAAACAGGTTACCTTGCCGGTATGAAATCAAGAATGCGACTCTGTACTCGTACGTACAGAGTATCACTTCGAAGAGAGAAACGAACGAGTACTCTCGTGTTTCATTGGAGTACTTTACCTAGGTACCGAGCAAATTCAGGCTCACCAAGGCCCCCGTCCATTTCATTGCCGGGGCCTAAGGCCCTCCAGGAGGAGGAGGAGGTGGTGGAGGTGGTGGTACCAAAAGACGGCAAGGACCTCGTACACCACGTGGCAGTGTCTTTTTCTTATTCTTCCCGAGAAATGAGAGAGGTGTGAGAGAGAGAGATATGGAGTGGCCAGGACGATAACATCCACCTACCTAGGTAGGTACTGATCGTCGTAAATACCTAGTTACATAGGTGCGTGTGGAACATACCACACTTCTTCTTCTTCTTGTTGAGGACATGTACGGAGTCCTTGGTATCATCTCTGAGAGAACATTTCTGGAGAACGCTGACCATGAAAGGAGAGGGAGAGAGGAAGCGAGAAAAGGGGGGGGCTGGTGACTCGTAACGAAAACGAGTACGAGGAGTTATCGAAAAGGTACACCAGTACGGGTAAGGTGTACAGGACTACCTGTACCCGTAGGTACCCGTAGACCGTAGATACGTACTTGTTGTGGTAACTGTGTAGTACAACCTCAAATCAACAAAATCCCGAAAAAACCCGTTTGAATGTACCGTTCGAAATACCCGTTAGATGTCCTGTAATCCATTCGAAGTACCCGTTCAAAATTGCCCGGACATGTCTGCGTTTAATCTATTAGATCAATTTGATATGGGGAGTGTATAGAGTACAATCAAAAGAAGTACAACCTTACCGTTGCACACTTGGGGCCAGCGTTCAAGGGTTGGGGTGGTAAGAGCCGGTTAACGGCGGATATTGCGATGAGGGTACAACAATTTGTACCTTGCCTACCGCTCCAGAGAGAGTACTGAGTGAGGAGTACACAGGAGGCCATCATTACCTCGTAAAGAATCCTACTGTCATTAAGTACCCTTGGTTCGTTTTCTTGCACGTTGAGACTTGGAAATATGTCTCTAGTATCTGAGGTATTGTTGACCTAGAGAGGAAACCGTCCTAAAACACAATCCAGGCGTCGAAAACCTTTCATCAATATCCTGCCAAACTCGTCCCCTTTTGCAATTGTGACAACCTCAACAGAGCCCTTGCGTCCAAACATGCCCACACATTTCCTCACATGGCGTGGAGGTCAGGTACGAAGCTCGAGATTGCCTCTAGAATGACCTTGACATTCTCGATCTTTGCGTCGGTCAAGGCTTGCTCGCGCAAATCACGCTCCAGTTTTCTGTCTTTGGCTCTCGCCAAAGCCGTGTAAATTGCTTCCGACCTCAACGCCAATGAGAGGGCCCATTGTTGAAGTTCAATCAATTGCTTGTACACGCCCTCAGACATACGACCATCGTCGTCGTTCCTTATTGCAGTCTCGCAGGTTTCCAGAGCCCTTCTGATATCCTTGCGCTTTGAATTGATGTCCTTATCATAATTGTCGAACATCTTCGAAGCAGTCCGATCAAATAGGCTCGGCCTCGAGTAACAGTTTCGGCTGGTCACCAAGTCCATACCAGACAAGAGCTCCAGACAGAGGTGTTTCCCTGCTTTGAAAGTCGGCAACGGTCGTGGGAAATGTATTTCGGATTCGTCGGGGTTCATGAGTCCCTCGGAATGGGATTTGAGCCGCTTAAGAACAGATCGAGCGTCTGGTTGGGCAGGGCCTGGGAGGGTATCACCTGGATTTGGTGGTCTGCGTATCACCGACATTGCTGAATTGCTGATCGGATTGACAATGCTACGAATCGTGAATGTGCGGTTCAAGAGTTTCCGTGGGATCATCCTGGGAGGGGTTTCTTCGTCCACCTTTTATGCCGTCCTGGTCAGGCATATCCTCCCCCACCCGCCCTCAGCTGCATACTGCAGGCCTGCGCCCGATTGTGCCTTGTTGGTAGCTCTAGACGTGGTGAAGGCTGATTAGTCCACACCTGTGCGCCCGATCAAGGTGCTTTAAGGATTCCATAGGTTGACATTGTCGTGGCATGGTTTGATTCGCAATGGCACACATCGTTGAGCGCATGCCCCTCGTATGCAAAGCAGAAGCCCATGTAATCAGGCGTCGGATTGGTGATGTGTCAAGGGGGACTGGAGTTCTACATTGACTCGTTGACTGTCTAGCTGGTAATTAGAAGTGAGTGCAGGACGTACCTATCTATGTTACCTTAGTAGGCACTTTGTATCGGCATTTGCCTACCTACATGACTTGAGTAACAGGAACCTACTAGTAGGTACATGGTGTTTTAGGTACTCGTTGTTGTTAGTAGGTGGTAAGTGATAAGTACCTCTGTTCCGATGGCAGCCAATTCAGCATGGGCCAATCTGGGCTCTCATATACATAATTTGCTACTGGAATTAAATCCCCGGGCTTCCCAAGCTTCCCCTCTTTCTCCAGTTCCGCTGCCCACAACGTCTGGATTCTCATTCTTCCCACCCCGATCGCTTTGGCGGAAATATTCCATTCTCTCCCGCAAAACATCACTCCACGCTCGCCACGGCTGTCCTCACAGGCTGCCTAACTCTGCTGGGATACTTGTAAATATGGTGTCGAGCGTGACTGCCTCCGATGACTCCCCTCACCTCAACGGCGACGAGCGCGGTCAAAAGCGCAAGGCCGACGGCGATGCGGCCAGCGACAAGCAGACTCATACTCGATCCAAGAGGAACCGATATATATCAATCGCCTGGTAAGAAGCTTTGCAGACACCATCATACTAAATGTTTGAGAGTGCTCACTAGATCTGTCTGATAGCAATGAATGCAAGAGGCGAAAAATCAAGTGCAATGGCCAGACGCCCTGTCAGCGATGTGGGAACCTCTCTCTCGAGTGCGTGTACGCACCAAACTGCTGCACGAATTCCTTGAAGGACTCTGCGTGCGTATACCGTAGCCAACATCGTCCTTTGAGCCTTAGCTGACTGTTCAAAAATAGCGAGTTCAAACAGATGCGCGATCACATCACTGCCCTGCAAGATCAAGTCAACGACCTCTACACGAGCCTGAACGAGTTACGCAGCCGGTCTGAGGTGAATTACCCTGGCCCTATTGATCCTCAATTCGCTCAGGATGCCTCTGGCCGCTCTCTGTCCGTTTCCATGTCGCGCACTCTTCCGCCACTCATCTCGCCGAAGCGCCAGTCCTCGAAGCCGTTGCCCCAGTTTCACGGCCCGACGAGCACATTATATGGTCTGGACGTTGCGCGATCGTCGCTACAGACGATGGGAATAACACAAAATGCAAACGATGACGGGCTGCTCTCGCGCGACCGTAGCCGGGCGGCTTCGCCAGTGCCTATTCCCGCCACACCACACCCAAGTAAAGATCCTTTGTGGCTGATTGACCATGCCGAGGTGATCCGTCTGTTGCGCGTATACGAGGAAGAGATTGGGATCATGTACCCTGTCGTAGACATCGACAGGGTCATGAAACACGCCAATTCCTTGTACAAGTTCATACAAGCTTCGCTGAGGACTGGGTTTGGACAGCCAAATTTGCCGGGCGCCGATGCGATTGACGATGAGGAGACTATTGTGCTGAAGATGATCCTTGCCACTACTCTCACTGTCGAGGGCCATGGGCGAAGTGAGTTCGGGCAACGCTTTTTCGAAGCGGCGAAACCCGCGGTTGATTTGCAGCTGGTTACCGCCCTTGACATAAAGTCGGTCATCTTGGTTGTCCTGACGGTGGGTGCCTCCATCTTATACTGCGGCCGTGACGTGACGGACACTGACCAGACTCTAGGCTACGTATTACTTCCAGAGAGACGAAGAGGCACAGGCGTGGCGCTTTATCGGCATCGCCGCGCGTATGTGCATCGAGATGGGCCTGCACAGGAAAGACTCCCTCCTCAAGTCCTTCTCGGACGAAGCCGATTATCAGCAAACCGTTCGCATCTTTTGGACGGTATATGCTCTCGATCGACGATGGAGCTTTGGTACTGGCATGCCTTTCGCTCTCCAAGATGCCGACATCGACCCGAACCTGCCTGAACCTGTATGTGGACCAGCTGTGGATTGAAGTCACCTACTGAAACTGTTATATAGGATGAGGGCCACCTCTATCTCAAACACATCACCAAGTACAACCAGATTGCGACCAAAGTCTGGTACCACAATTTGGCATATGAAGCAGGCCAGAACACCAAAAAGGATGAGATCGGCTTCTTGGACTACCAGATCCTGCAGTGGTATCAACAGTTACCTGAATCGTTGCAATTTAACAGCCGAGATCTTGTCGCGGAGAACGGGATACCCGGACGCGGTGTACGACGGCTTCGATTGCTGATGTATTTGCGGAAGAATCAAGCACGCATATCCATCTACCGACCCATCCTGCATTCAGCAACTAGCATCATGGAGAACCGACATTATGCCCAAAACGTAGTCGATGTTGCAAAAGACACGATCAACACACTGAATGGAGTCAACCAGATATCTGACATCTACAAGACACAACAGGTCATGTACAATTATTTCCTGGTTCAAGCCCTGGCAGTGCTATTCCTGTCTGTCGCTCATGCTCCGGCGGTCTTCTGCCCGCAAACCCGGGGCGAGTTCTATGCAGCGATCGAGATGGTCAAGGGGTTTAGCACCAAGTCTCATGTCTCTAAACGGTTGTGGAGGACTGTTCGCGGCTTGAAAGAGATGGGCGACAAGATTGGTCTTTTGGCACGAAATAACCCACCAATGGGTGAGACTGAGCAAGACGCGCATTCAGATGCTGCTGTCGCCATGGCTGGGTTGGCTGGGCACAAGGTCGATTACCCGGCGTTTGGAAATCACCATCCGGGCCAAAATGGCAACGAACTCGGCGTTAGTCCTGATGATGCCCTGCAAATCACGAATGAATTGTCGAGTCTATTTGAACTTGCAGGCGGGTATGGTGGGACAACACCTGGACCGGATTCGTTCAATTTTGTGGGCAGTAATGGCGAAATGAATATTGGTGAAGGATTCAATGTCTTTGGAAACGAGCCTGAGTTGACGAGAATCATGAACGAGTTGTTTTAGATTTGGAGGGCTCGATGGAATTCGATGAGGTATGAAAATATGTATGCGTCAATGTTCAAGGATTACGTGCTTTAGGGTGGAATACAAAGATCCAAAGTTCTATGCTACTACTCGTGATATGATCGAGCCTTTGGTAAAGCCTTGCGTGCAATATATCCTAGGCAAGCCTTGCGATCACGTGACATGCCAAGACATGAGCGCGCCTGATCCTGGTGACTTTGACTGCGTATCATCAGTTTCGCTCCGCAGCCCAAAAGTGCATTTGACTGTGCGCTTGTCACTGCACTCGTATTCTACCAATCCACCTTCTTTCCTAGATACTTGCGACCTCTCGAGCGGCATTGCTCGAAGGCCTTTACGATACACCTTTGCAGGACCTCGGTCTCCTGGAATATTCGTAGAGCAACCCTAGCAACCTGTCAATCGCAATCATCCTCTCCTTTTGCTCGGCCTTTCTCGAATCCTGGGTATTCTGTAAACGCGACCTAGAAGACGCACATACAGAAACGTCCAGGCTTGGAATACGCTCTTTATGCACGGATCTTGACACAAGAGTTCTCAACGCCCTGCCCACCTCTCAACCCCGCGACCCCGCGGCCTCTGCGAAGTAGCCACTTCTCCTTACGACGTTATCGCTGCCTAGCGACTGCTTCGCGTCGACACTGCACAGCAGGACGTCTTACCAATCTGTCTGCAGAAAAGGCCTCCGTTCTGGCCGCTGGCCTGGACAGGCTCGAAATCGACACAGAGTACTCTGAATCTCTCTACTATCAGCAGTTTACAAGTTCTTCTGCGACGATTTCAGACATGTCGCAATCCTCCTCGCAGAGTCCGGACAGCTGGATAGGTCAATTCTGCAGTTTGGTTGGACACGAATACTTTGCCGAAGTCAGCGAGGACTTTATTGAGGATGATTTCAACCTGACAGGTCTACAAGCTCAAGTACCAATGTACAAAGACGCCCTGGAAATGATACTTGACGTGGAACCTTCTGACACAAATTCATCGGCATTGTCCGATGAGGAGGAGGAAGAAGAGGAAGAAGAGGACGACGGATTACTTGGTGACGAACTCGATGATCCCGCCGCGAATGGTGGCGCGAGACGACAATCAGGCATGTCAGCAGGTGGCAGAAAGCATGGACGTTCATCATCGGATACGTCAGTCATCGAATCCTCTGCAGAACTTCTCTACGGTCTCATACACGCCCGATACATCACCTCAAGACCGGGCATCCAGCAAATGATGGAGAAGTATGAGTTGGCTCACTTTGGCTATTGTCCGCGAGTATATTGTGCTGGTGCCAAGGTCCTACCCATAGGATTGACAGATACCCCAGGTCAACAGACGGTAAAACTTTTCTGTCCGAGTTGTCAGGACGCATATACGCCGCCAAATTCTCGGTTTCAGGCCGTGGACGGAGCGTTCTTTGGAACGACATTTCCCTACTTGTTCTTGATGTCCTACCCGGATCTCGATATTGCTCCGCCTAAGAGGCCACGAGCACGAGACTCGTCCCATCAAGGCAATGATGACGTAGAAAGCACATTAAGCCCCAGCGAAGCTAACGTCTCGCGTGCAGGCATGACGGCCAGCCGAAGCTCCAGTCTCACACTGCCACAACCTCCCACGATTCCAGGTATCACGACAGCCAAGGATGCTCAACAGGCGTCGGGAAATGCTCCACCAACCCTCCCACCTCAGCCAGCCAGCATAAATGGAATCGCTACAGGCAATCTTGCTCCTGGATTGGGTAGAGGCAAGATCTACGAGCCCAAAATCTATGGGTTTCGTGTATCTGAACGAGCTAAGAGCGGCCCAAGAATGCGGTGGTTGCGTTCAAAACCAGCAGACATAAATGAACTTGACGAAGCAAGGCTGTGGCATGAAAGATATGGGGGAACTGTGGATGGAGACCCGGAGGAAGAAGCGGAGCAGACTGCCGGTGAGCAGGAAGATGAGGACGCGGAAGACGATGTCGCGGATGCTGATGGAGATGCAATCATGGCTAGTCAAAGTCAAGCCAACATCAAGGATAAACAAGGCTCTGGGAAGTCGAAACAAAAGTCAGCAGGTCAAAAACAAGGTCAGCAACAGGAGACCTCGACTTGGATATGAGATCAGATCCAAGAATAGCCCCCATGAGACGGCGCTCACTATTCCCCAAAAAACACTCTTCGTGGTGGTCTTGTCTGATAATGCAGCTTGTTAAATTGCCATCCAGAGTCCCCGAGATCAGATCGGTACAGAGAACGACTGCCAACAACGGCAGGTCCGAGAATTGCACCCTATAGACAGGCGAGTCTCAGTGGGAGCCATTCTTTCATGTTGTGATGATTACAAAAACCCCCCACGAAGTCATTACACGACTGAGCACACCCGAGGCCTCCGGATTCGGTGCAACAGAATACCGATATGAACTTGACTGGGTTGACACGGTGTTCAAGTCTTTTGCTCGACAAGACGATCGAGACTTGATAGTTTTCAAATTCCACGCCCACCAGAACTGTTAGCAAGAGATCTTGGGGACATCGTTGCGCTGACTCCATCCCGTCACTTACTTTTCTGGAAGTGAAATCATCTGGGATAGCGGGCATGGGCTTTTACACAACCGAGCGATTTTCTCTCTGGACACATGCACTATCTGGGGAAATGGCATATCTTGAAGCTACTTTCACTCCATCTGGTTGATTAGGGGGCCGACGGACTGGTCGTGCGATCGAAGACAATGCAGACGTTGTAATGAATTTACAGTGAGGACGGTTTGATGGTGGGACGCGGGGATGACGGAGGCACGAATGATAATGAATGAAACTGGGTGGGAAGAGCATGGCGGAGGTGGTGATGATCATGGTGATGCTACGTACTATGTCCTCGTGGTATTACTGCTCGTCGTCGCGTGCGGGGGATGTGAGGTGCAACAAGTTCTACTGGGCGTTTTGCATCGTGCCTTTTAGCAGCGAGAAGACAGAGAGACTACAGAATGCAAATTCGTTGTAAAGATCTTTGACAAAAGACTTTTTGAATGTTTTCTGCTCCGTTTCGACCTACCAAGTACCAGTATATTTTTATATATCAACTGCAGGTTTCAATTTGTACCTAGGCAGGCAGTATTGACTCGTCCACGTGTCGATACGGCAGACATAGGACGAGAGAAGAACAGGATTCTGATGGTGTCTCCCCTTTCACTCGTCTCCGTCGAGACTGTCGTGATCTCAACAAAGGAGAAGGCATCTCGAGGCCTGGCGATGTACCTGGGATGTCAGGTTCAGGCGGCCCGAACAAGAACAAGACGTGTATCAACACCGGTGCGGCTTCGAAAACAGTACACAACAAGCTGCCGTCGAAGGTGACCTTGGGAAGCGCAGTCCAGCACTGAGAATCTCTCCGGCCGTGCATCGTCTGGAGACGGTTGTGTGTGTGTGGTGGATGCACGGCACAAGTCCGTATCGAATTCGCCGGGTTCGTCTGGCTGGACAAGATTGGAGATTGTTTTGTCGAACCACAACCTCGGATGAGCAGTTTTTACAAACGTAGTCATCCTGACCGACCTGATCGAACGGACGGGGACTGACGCCACATACTAGAACTGAACTCTTCCAAGCCCTCTTAGACTCAATCAAAGCCTTCAAATGTATCGTCTTTGTCTTTGGCACGTAATTGTTTCTGTCGAATCTCCTCCACCATCCTCGCCGTTTTGGCTTCTTGTTCCTTCTCCGCGTCTGTCATTTTGGCGATTCTGTCATGTTCTCGTCGAGCGGCCTTCTTTGACCGTTTGACTTCCTTGGTGGCCTTGTGCTCGATCTTGTCCGACCATGCCACGGTGCTGCCGCGCTTCTTGTCATTTTCTCTCTTCTTGTCAGACACGTCCTCCTTCGGAGCTTCCTGGAGAGCCTGCTTCCGCTGCTTCTCCCTCTGTTTGTCCTTGTATGCGTACGCGTCCCAGTCCACGGCAGGTGGTCGGTACGCACTTCGATCCCAATTCTTGAGTTCCGGCATCTTTGGCATCTTCAGCAAACCCCAAGCAGACGCGTGGTCTGTCCAGTCGATGTCGCTGATCCGGAATATCGAAGATGCCTGATGTTTGGAGTAACTTCGAACCCAACTAACAAACCCCTTCTGTGCCTTTTCGTGCAAACCTCTGTCCTTCAGCACAACCTTTCGAAACTTTTCTTCGATTGCGCGGCACTCGTCTTGAGTGACATAGATATTTGGTTCTGTGAGTAGTTCAATTGGGGTTTGGCGCACGTTCAGAAACGACACGTAGTCTTCCTCACGCCCTGGTAGGAGGAACACAACACTCAGACCCTTTCTGCCAGCTCGACCTGCTCGTCCACAGCGATGGAGGAAGGCTTTCGGATCTGAAGGGGGATCAACTTGAACAACCAAATCCACTGATGGAATATCAAGTCCTCTTGCGGCAACATCTGTAGTTAGCAAGATTGCTGGAGACGCTGAGTTCGTGAACTGTATGAAATTTTTCTGGCGGACGTTGGCAGGATGCTTGCCGTGCAGAGGGACTAGTATCGTTTCGGATGGGAGTATAGCCGGCAGTAGAGCTTGGAAGTAGTCCACGGCAGCACAGGTAGAGAGATACACTATAGTGCGTAGTGGTAATGTGTCCAAGCCCCTCAGTAAAGCAACCAGCGCCGGGAACTTGTGTGAAGCCGGTGTCACGGCGTATGTCATTCGCAGACTTGCAGGAGTGCGCTTGTCTTCGACTCCATTTGTGCCTTTGACTTTGACGGCAATTTTGACTGGGTTCCGCAATCCGACGCGTATAATTTGGTCAACAGCTTCGCTCACGCTGGCACTGAATAGACCTGTCCGTCGTTGTTTGGGAAGCAGATTCAAAATCTTGGTCAGATCATCTTTGAAGCCGAGATCGAGTAGTCGATCAGCCTCGTCCAATACCAGCACCTCGAAAGAGGATTGTGGACAATGGACGTAAGGTGAAGAGAGAATCTCCAGGAGTCGGCCTGGGGTCGATACCAATACGTTTGGCGATGTTTTCAGGAACGTACTCAGATCTTGCGCCGGAGTAGTGGCACCGCCCAAGAGCAACTGCGGGACGATTCTTAATGTTGACGCAGGTACTATTTCTGGTGCACTATCCACTGCCGAGTCCTCTGATGTGTTCAAAGCTCTGCGTGTGGCCGCCGAAGGAGAGTGAAAGTCCAACAAAGACAATAGGACGTTGTATATCTGTGATGCCAATTCCCTTGTAGGCGAGATGATGATCGCTCCGACATGATGTTTCTTGATGGGCTCCTCTAGCCTCAGCAATCTCTCGACAACCGGTATAAGGAATGCCAACGTCTTTCCACTGCCAGTGACTGCTTCAACCACCACATCTTTGTGGCCCATGAAGAGTGGAATCGTCGAAGCCTGTACGGGCGTCATGCGGGAAAAGTTCATGGACGAGAGCGCATCAAGGACCCATGGCGAAACTGCGGGTTCGAGCGAGTCCCACGCTCGGGACTTCGAGGACTTTTGCCCTCTGTCAGGGGCCATATGTTATTTTCTGGAAGATGCAACGAGGTGCAAATTTACGTCTCGCTTTGTATGAAAGTCTTCAAGATGCGGGCGCAGCCAAAAAAGTTGTCGGCTAAACATCGGCCTTCAAATGCAGGCATATGATGGATACGATTTACGATCGGGAAAAAGCAGCAGCATCTTCTTTCCACAATTGGATAGCCCTACGGAGCCACTTTAATCCGATGCCGGCAGCGATAAGCGAAAGAGTCGGTGCGAGCAAATGAATGACCCTTGCATGTGCCATCATGTCAACTTCTTTATCCAAGGCACAAGTGACATATCTTCTTCCGCTCCCACACCTGCCGCCTGCGCTGTCTTCACGCGTCATAATCCATTCCTAAATCCAGGTCGTTCTTCTCTTGAGCCGAGTCAAGGTTACTAGGGCAAGAATACATGCGACCGTCTTTCACGATGTCGCTTCAATAATTTTCTCGACAGAGCCTGCGCTCTCCTTACCACGACGCGGTGGTGAACTTTTCTCTCCACGAATCCGCCCACTTATTGCACCCCTCGATCCTTTTTTTGGGCTCGGTCGGCCTTGAAGCCTCTCGATGTCTTCTCAGCATCCCATTCCAGCGACTCCTAGGGTCATTTCACCCTCCCCAACTCCATCCGAGGCCTCCGACCGGCAAGACTCCTATTTCGCGCCGGTCACACGATCTGCTGCCAAAGCCCAGCGACAGAGATCCCCTCAACCGGAACCCATCAACGAAGAAAAGAATGGCTCGGGTTCGGATTCCAGCGTCGAGAAACGTGCGAGGACGAGGTCGAGAAGCCCTATTTTGTCAGCCGCAGTCCATATGAACGGGGCTGCAAGTACCGGCTCCAAAAAGCGGCGCATGAGCGGCCTTACTACGAAAACACCGGTCAAAAAGTCGGAGCCTTTAATCAACGGATCGACTCCATTACCACAGCCGAACGGCCACCTATCGCCATATGATCGGGTCAAGAAATCCTGGCGAGAGTTTTCCAGATCACCATCGCCGTTGGGTTTGATCCCGCTACACCGACATTACCGAAACCTTATACACAAGCACGAAATACCCAGAAAACTCCTACATGTCTCCATAGGCTTTTTCACGCTAAGGTTTTATGTCACCGGCATTCAAACCACCTCGATCACGCCCTGGTTGCTTGGAGCACTGGCGATCATTGCACCAACGGATGTATTGAGACATCATTCCGACCGCTTCAACAGATTCTATATAAGAGTTTTGGGTGCTTTGATGCGTGAGACCGAGGTTGACGGCTACAACGGCGTCATTTGGTATCTTGTTGGAGCATATGTCGCTTTGAAGTTCTCACCGAAAGACATCGGAGTGGTGTCGATTTTATTGTTGTCGTGGTGCGATACCGCTGCAAGCACCATAGGGCGCCTGTATGGCCGCTATACGATCCGTCTGCGACGGGGAAAATCTCTGGCTGGCTCCATGGCCGCTTTTTTCACTGGCGCCATTGTCGCCGTTTTCTTCTGGGGATACCTAGCACCACGCACGGGTCCTTTCCCTAACGACCCCGTCGACGGGTTTATGTTCAAGGATCGACTATCCATTCCAGGCGGAGTAAAGGAATACCTTGGGTGGCAACCAAACCAGGGTGTCATTGTTGGCAATGCTGCTCTGGCAGTCATGAGCGTATGCACCGGTATCATTGCTAGTCTCTCAGAATTGGTGGATATATGGGGCTGGGACGACAACTTGACGATACCGTTGTTGAGCAGTGCCGGTTTATGGGCGTTCCTGAAAGTCTTCGGCTGATTTATTTGAACGACCCATATTCCCTACTCCGCCCTCATAATTTTTTCTTTCGTGTTACTCTAAAGCGTCATGTCATTGCATATCTCATGCTAGGTGTTGGTAGATACCAAGAATGTTAATATCGGCTTTCCAACAGCAAGACTCGAATTTCCCCTCTGCTTTGCGTCAGACACGCCGTGATAACCCCTGCCGCGCGATGCACCTGTTCCCCTGATTCCTCAGCCTTGCCAACACCAAACTAGAGCAGGTCATCATCAGATGTCATCATAAATTCTGGTAGGCGTACCCGGTCCACTGGGACAGATCGAGTGTCAGAGGCTTCCACCAGTCCCATGTGCCGCCACCCAAAAGAACAACGCTGGACATATTGGTTTCTCTTTCAAGCATTCAACCGCCTTGAACAGGCCTTCCGTTTTGCAACGCCTTGCGGTTTTGACGATGCTTTCGGTGGATGCTTTCCCTTGGTGCGTTCCGTCTCTCTTCTTGTCGTCGTTCTGGTTGGGGTCCCCTTGACATGCTGCTTCATCTGTCGCTTCGCTGTCACATCGTCTTTGTTCATAGCTTTCAAGGCTTCGTTAGGTGGGTCCCTAACAACTTCCGCTCGCTGTTTTCTCTCCGCTATCCGAGAGCTGCGACGGTTTGGGGTTGGCTTAGAGAGCTGCGAAGACGAGGCTGGACCTCCAGCGGCACTCCGAGCTTGCCTAGTTTTCGGGGCAGGTGGTGGAGATGGAATTTCGACGACCGGAGCAGCCGCCGAACGAGCTGTGCGGCCATTGGAACGTGTCGGGTGATGACGTGTAGTCGGTGGCGGACGCTGCTGCTTGCGTGATGATGTTGCTCGGGTCGAGGATGATCGGCTCTGTTCTGCGCAAGGGGCCACGTCGACGTTGTCCTCCACCAACAGCCGCTGTGCGGCCGACTTTCCACTTGTGAGTTCCGCCACAGTTTCTGGTCTGCTAGCTTCGTGGTCACCACCATCGTCTGTAGGAGACATAAATTTCTGTGGTGTAGACTCGGGAGAGGGTGCGTTCCTGCATTTCCAGAAGAGAAATGCCATAGGGTGAGCGCCCGGGGGTGGAGGTGGATCAAACTCGGGCTTCACTACTGGCGGTGACGGTGTAGGAGGAGGTATTGCTTCCAAGGCGTCGACCTCGGACGGGGTGAAGTCCATGTCATTCGGATCCGGAGGTTCTGGTGAGGGAGATTCATGTCTCCATTTCCATCCTGGCGAGTCTCTCCAGTCAAAGTATTGGGGCAAATTGTTACTCCAGCTGTCTTTCCAGTATCCTTTCTCTTTCCATCGAGCCGTCACATTCGCCCGTGCTGGTACATAAGTCCCCAGTCTCTCTGGGTTGCGCCTTAGTCTCACCTCTTCCTCTGTAACCTCCAGTGCCCATAGGAACCAAGGTCGGCTTGTAATCGGAGACTCATGATCGTCTACCTCCGGGACCTCAGCTATGCCATCGGCTTGTACGGGCTGCGGCATGAGAGTCTCGTTCTCATCACGGGCAGCCTTTTTCTGAAGATATCGTCGAACCGCACGGCTTTCGAGCGAGACCTTGTCTCGTGAATTACACCACGGCCAATGTACAGGCCCACGACTTTCTCCAAACTCTCCTAGTTTGCTGGTTGGGACTTCCCATTCGGGGTCCCAGACTCCAAGCTGTTGCCATCTTTTCTTGATACTGTGTCGGATCATTATGTGTAACCTCTGTAGTCCCCGAGTCCCGACCAGGTCAGGTCCACGATAGAGCGGAGTGTAATTTTCATCCCGTCTTCTCGATGCTTTACAGACCCGCTCCTGCTCTAGACGCACTTCATCATTGTATCGATCGACTGCGTCATATCCACCAAGACGAAATCTTCTCCGGATTGTGTCAATCTCGAGACTGCTCAGCGGCAGTCCAAGAAGCTCGGCGAGATTGATTTGGGCCCGAGGTTGGTCAAATGGTCCAGGTGTTGATTCTCTCGTCGTGCTGCGTGATGAATAAGGCCACGGAGGGTCATCTTGTCCGAAGCGACGCTCTCGGTATTCAAGGAATGCCGGATCGTCCGCCATCTGCTGGAGAATTGGCATGATCGAGTTCAGACGAGCCGGATTGATGTCGTGAACCGTATGAAACATCGTGGCAGTTGAGCCATGGAATGGGAAAATCGGTACGGTTGAACTTGATATGCAGCCGAGATGTATTTTGGGGTTCCCAATGTGTCACCTATGTAGGCGCTTCAAGTGGCTCCTCGTAGGAGTCAGACACGCGTGGGAGGGCGCAGCACCGCGTGAGCTCATGGTGTGTTGCGCAAACAGCTATGAACTCCATTCCTGTTTTGAGTGCGACACGGGACGATTCAAGGACTGGATATTGGGAATGTGCATTCCCATGACCCAATGTGTGGAGATTTGCGTCTAGTAGTATTCCACCCTGACACTCTCCCCCCTTGATTTGCCATGTGCTCATAAATGTTGCCTTTGCTAAACGAGGAAGTAGGCATCTATCAATCCTCTACCCGCAAAGCTGTTTACCTCTAGTACACTGGCATGGACATCAAGACGGCTTTACCCTCTTGGTCGTCCATACTACGGCCAAACTTGGAAGACTTAATTATCCTTAAGAATATATCTCAGGGCCAAACGGGATGTCAAATACCAGTTGATTTATTCGGTTAGAAGAAAGTGAGATGGGTTGGGATTGGGAGACATGAGTTCTTAATAGCCATCAAAAGAAGCATTACACCTCCCCCCGCGACTAAGTCCAAAAACGGCCCGAGCCGCCTAGAACGCAAAGTGTGATTTGGGGATTTCCCCGCAACGACTCTATAGATCAACGATGTACGGAGTACATGTGAGGAGTGTTGATGTATTACCCGAGGGTACTATTCACTGATTGTGAACGGTACAATTTGGCTTGGATCAGAAGGAAAGAACTTTGACTTTTGATCGAAGAGAGGCACATAAGATAGCGCCTAGAAAGCGACCACATACACTCCCTCAGAATGGCTTTCCGGATACCTCGACTCAGTAGTCCTCTACGCAGTGCCAGCCTCAACCTGTCCGGCCGAACGCCGCGGTACACCTCTGCTGGTCCTCCGACCTCTCCTCTTCTATACAACACACTCAAGCGTTCGATATCGACGTCAAAGACCGCTCCGGCGTCTGTGGCATCCTCCAACACCGTCACCGGCGACAACAACAGGGCGTCGCCGCCGCCATCTACGGAGTTTACCTATGGCGCGTACATGAAGGTCGGCGGGCCCAACGCCAAACCCGTGCATCGCATCCGCATCCCTAAATTCGAATCCCTCGAAGCCGAGCGGGCGCACCGCAAACTCCACCACGCCGCCGCCTTGAGGTGGCTCGGTTACCAGGGGTACAACAACGAAGGCGCGGGCGGACACGTCACGGTCCGCGACCCCATCATGCCGGACCACTTCTGGATCAACCCTCACGGCAAGTCGTTCAGCCACATGAGGCCCGAGGATCTCTGCCTGGTCAGCAAGGACGGCGAGGTCAAGGAGGGTGGGAACATGCACTCGATCAACCCCGCGGGGTACATCATCCACTCGGCCGTCCACGAAGCGCGACCGGACGTCGTGGCCGCGGTCCATTGCCACAGCGTGCCCAGCAAGGCCTTTTCCGCCATAGGATGTCAACTTGAACCCATCAACCAGGATGCGTGCAGGTATGTCTCGCGCAGTCTCTCCTGTCTCATGACCTTTTCCAACACCTTGAACCATCAAAGTTTTTCTCTCTTTTACTCGTTAATGTCTCATCAAAGACATAGTCACTGGCGAAACGGTCAAGTTGAGCTGAAATATCTGACCATGTCGTAGGTTCTACAACGACCACGGTGTGTACTCTGGCTTTGGCGGGATCGTGTTCAAGGAAGACGAGGGTAAACACATTGCTCAAGCGTTAGGTGGCACAAAGGGTGTCATCCTGCAGAACCACGGCCACTTGACCGTCGCGAAGACGGTCGACGGTGCCGCTTTCCTCTTCGGTGCCATGGACAGGTGTATCCAGGCCCAGCTCCTCGCGGACGCGGCGTGTGCTGGAAGGGGAAGTACGACCATCAAGGTCGGACACGAAGAGGCCGAATATACGCGAAACACGTATAATGATGAGATGGTTTACATCATGTTCCAGTCAGCGTACGTTACAACAGTTTTGTTTGTATCACACCCCCTGATCCCACTTGACTTTTGGCTAATGTTTATTGATTCATACGGGTTTGAAGACGTGGTCAAGGCGTCTAACGGGGAATTACCCATGCATGTGCAAGGTGAAATTCCCAGGGCATGATTAGTGTACCTACTTGAGATGTGAATGAACAACTACGCGGGTCAGTGTCTGAAACTGGTGCTGGCACCGGACTTTTCTCTTTGTGTTATATACAACTAAGTATAATATATACCTCTCGGGATATCTTTTTGTCTCTTTTCTCTCACTCTCAAAGATACTGCAACCACAACCCCCCCTCCAAACCTCTCTTCCCTTCACTGAAGAGGCTGCCGGGGGTACCACTCGCAGTCTGGGTCCTCCCAGTCTTGACTGAACTCGATCGTTTCAAAGACCGTTCCCACAGCCTTTTCGAGCGTATCAAGAAAACAAAAGTGGCACTGTCCCTTTTTCCCCATCCACCACCCTTGCATCGCCGGCTCGAAACCTCTTTCCTTCATTTCATTGAGTCTCTGTGCCATGGGTATCCCACCCATGTCCCAGGCAATGTGCTGGACGCCCTCCCTGCCCCCGTTCTCGTCCAGGTATCGTTGCATCAGAGACCGCTCACTCCCGCCGCCGGGCAAAGGCTGCATGAGCTCGACCACCAGGGAGTTCTGTTTCGCAAACGCGACTTTGATTCGGAACAGGTCCGTGCCTCGTTTTCCGTACAGTTCCTGCCTGGGTACGGTCGTGGAGTTGAATTCGTAAATCTGAAAAGGGCCAACACCGAGCTTTGTCAGCCCGTCGATGGTCTTGTAAATGTCGGGCGTCACGATGCATATTTCGTTAATGTCGCCCAGAATCTTCGCAGACGGCGACGAAGCAGGAGCAGGAGAAGTCATGGTGGGTCAAAGACGAGATAGATTGAGTCGACTCGAGACTTCTTATTGAAAATGAAAATTGGTGTCGAGGATTCCTCGCCGTATATTAGATATACCAATGTAGAAGAAGCATAGCCATTCATATATGGGTGTGTGAACGGCGGCTTTCTTCCATGTTAGCTTGACACGGTAGGAATTCAATCAGGCTGGATATGTCAGCTTTCGTTGTTTAGATGACGACCGATCAAAGTGATGGCGCCAGCTATGACGACCTGGTGGGCGTCATAATTCTTCAAGTCGGAGATCCACGGAGCATCGAATCCAAGAGCCTATGTAGACTTTATTCCCAGACGAGATTTCAAAGCACTCTCGGAATTGAGAACGAAAGTGAGGAATAATATGGTGTCTATTCTCAACGTGGTCCAATCCGTTCCATACCACCCATGTAGCCTCGAAGCACTTCGGGGATCACCACGCACCCTTCCTGTTCACGCCACCCATTCTCCAGAATGGCTGCAAGGACTCTCGGAACGGCGAGCGCGGTGCCGTTGACAGTGTGTGGAAACTTCCTTCTTGATCCGTTCGCCTCTTGGATCCTCGTGTCCAATCGTCGACTCTGGTAATCCGTACAAATGGACACAGAGGTGACCTCGCCCCAGCCATCGTCTCTGTTCTTGCGTGACGGAAACATGGCTTCGATGTCGATTTTGCGATACGCACTGGCACCCAGATCCGACGAAGGCATCTCCAGAACTCGACACGGGAGGCCCAGCGAGGACAATATCTCGGTCTGGATGTCGAGCATCTCGTTAAATGTCCTTCTCGAGTCCCTCGTCCACATGCTCTCCTCCCAAACCTCACTCCCGGTCGCTGGACAGTTGGTCCATGCGAACATTTCCACCTTGGTGAACTCGTGCACCCGATAAAGGCCCTTTGTGTCCACCCCACGCGCACCGGCTTCCGCACGAAAACACCGACTTGACCCGACGAGTTTGACGGGGAGGTCCTCCTCCTGTATAAGTCTGCTGGCATACATGGCTGCCAAGGGAATCTCTGCTGTCGCGGCCAAGCTCCGCGTGGGTTTTCCAGCGTCTCTTTCTGATTGCGCCACCTGCCATATCTGTTGTTCATCATTCTGATCCCGCGGCTGGAACCCGCAAGATGCAGCCATATGCGAGTACACGACAGAAGGAGGAGCCACAACGGACCAGCCATGTTTCATCGCGACCGCCAGCGCGTATTGAACCAGAGCCTGCTCCAGCAAGGCTGCTTCGTTCAAGAGATAATAAAATCCCCATCCTGAGGCCGTAGATGCCGAGGTGAAGTTGAGGAGTTTGAGTATGTCTCCAATGATAGAATGGTCCGCCGAACTGCTGTAGGTCGGAGGGTTTCCTGGGTCGTAGTTGATATAGGTGCGCAGCTTCGGCTCATTGTCGAGAGGAGTCTCGTCGGAGGTCAGATTGGGTAAAGATAGAGCCAGGGTGTCGGTTGCATCGGCCAGGTCGCCATGCTCGTCTTCCAGCTTTGCTATTTCTTGTTTGACCGCCTTCATCTGCGCGACAAGATCGGACTTGTCTCCCTTGCTAGCATTCAGCGTCTTTTGCAGGTCTTTTAACCTCCGTCTTGGCTCGTTCATCCGCCGGTCAAGCTCCTGCATGCGCCAGAGATTTTTGGCGACTTGCCGTGGTACTGTTCTGTGTGTGCGGTAGTTTCGCGCCAGTGTGTTGCTTTCGTAGAGCTCGACATTGTTCCGGATCTGACTAAGTTGAGGGTGCTGCTTAGGTGCGGTTGCAGCTCTCGGTGGATCAACAGATGTGGCATAGCTTCTCCTGCACTGAAGCAAGAAGGCTCTGGGATTGAGCACTCGCCGGGACATGGCTTCGTTGACTTCGCGCCAGCTTTCCTGCGTAAACTCATTTTCGCAAAACACGAGATGTCAGGAGTATGACGAAGAAAAAAATATCTCCGCACCAGGAGAACCGTGAGGGGCGCCGGCAAAATAGTCGACACAATATAATCTCTTCCCGAGAAATTCTTGTCTGATTTCGTCCACGAATTGCACACACATCTGCGGCACTGGAAATGCCGCAGAATGCTGACATAAGCCGATGGTGTGGCCTAATGGTAAGGCGTTGCTTTCCGGTGCTTTGGAGCATGGCAAAGACTGTGGGTTCGAGTCCCATCACCATCGAATTTTTTGTATCTTTGGCCGAAATTCTCTTTTTTTCCCTTTGTGAAGCTGGCCTTCGTGTCGTTATAGAGACACCGAAGTTAGAATATTACAATAAAAATGGAGCAACTGAACTGCGTGCTGCGTACTCCGTAGCTCAGAAGCTTTTGACTTTCTACTTAGACATGCGTTGGTTAAAGGGCTTATTGGACTACGTATCAGAGGAAAAAGGCTTAAACGTGAGAGAGCAAGGAAATACCTCTATGAAGGCTTGATGGATGTGGAATGAATACTCGGCAATCGATAGCTACTTTTACAAGAATCGCGAGGGCACCTCGCTCGCAAGACTGCAAGCCAGCAATACTCGTGATGCGTGTCTCAGTGAGCAGTACTGGCTAATATACACAATTAACTGCCATCCTGCAGCCCATCATTTACCATATGAGAAAAGGTATCATCTTGTGTGACCATCACCTCCGACCATATCCCTGATTGTAATTACCCCCTCCGCGTTGACCCTGCCCTTGAGATTGATAGTAGCCGTGATTTTGCCTCTGACCTTGGTTTCCGTAATTATGTTGGTCCTGGCCACCACGAGCCGAATTCTGGTAGTTTTGGTAGTTGGGTTGACCGCCGCCGTAGCTGCCATAGTTGTTGGCAGGAGCTTGATATCGATCATAACCATTTTGATATCCATTCTGATAGTGAGGCGGAGGCGGAGGAGGCCCGCCACGTCCTTGTGGTGCGTACCGAGGATCAAGCAACGCTGCGAACGGGTTGTCACTGTTAGTGTCTGCTTGGTTCGCACCAGGGTAAGACCGGTCTACAGCATAGTTGATCCGTCCTCCTCGGTTTTGGTGATCATTTGGGTCACGTCTAGAGTTATCGTAAAGAGGTGCGCCTCCAAAATCGCGGCCGGAATTTCTTGCCTTGGATCTCAAGATGGCAAGATCACTCTTGTCCAGCACCGGAGGAGGCAACACGACCCCTGGAAACAACATGGACTTATGCACATGAGTAGCAGGCGGCGCTGAATAGTGAACCATTAATGAATGGTCGTCGTCAACAATGGGTTCCAGCTTGATGTCTTCTTCTGGACCGATCAAATCCATGTGTGGCAAGAAGTCGTCGTTCTTCATTGCGGTGCCAGCTAGTTTTCCCTTCTTCATGGAAAGCTTGACGACGCTGCCATCCTTGGCTTTTTTGGAATAGAATTGTAAGGCCAATTCTTCATACAGAGGATGCCTGTGGGAGATGATTAAAGCTTCCTTGCCAAGCTCATTCCTAATCCGCTCGTCTTCTGTGAGGAGAGGATATTTGGTGGCCATTGCGTTCAGAAGTCGCTTCTCATCAATGAACGGTAGGAGCACGATAGCTTTCCAGGATTGTTTCTTCCCGTTCAAGTCAAGGTCGAACTCTTCTGGGTAGAAATCAACAATGTCGGAGTCTTCGTCAGTCATGAGTGGATGGAAAGCCTTAGGGATGGCGTGGTTTGATGAGGCGGGCAAGACACCCATGAGTTGTTCGTAAGGCTTGAAAGGCTTTCCTTTGTCGAATTTGACGGTCATCTTGTCAATGTCCACAAAATCGGCTGCGAACGGTGCATAGTGATAGGGATAATACCATGTCCATGAGGGGCAGCCCTGAAAATAGTAAAGCAGCACCCAACACAAGCCTTCCACGTAGGATCTGGCAACTTTGTGTCGGAATTCAAAATCGTCCGGTGAAACGTGAAATTTCTGCTCGTAATAACGTTCAGCATAGCCAGATTCCCAGAGTCGCACAGTATCCGGGGGCGGATCGTTGGGGTCGGCACTGGTTGGAGCTTTTTCCACGGGTGTGTTCCGTCCAGGTGTACCACTGTCGTCGGACTCGGCTTCTATCAATTCGGCTTTCCGTTTTCCTAATGCAGACGTAGGCGTTGTTTCGGCGGAACCGGGACCATTGCTGGGGTTGATATTGCCATTCGTACTTGGAGTCTCGGCGGCTTTCTTAGCAAGCATTTGCTCCTTGAGAACTGCTGCTGCACTCTTGTTTGAGGCCTGTGTCTTGTCCACGGAGGTTCTGTTGACAATTGCATTGTAGTTAAGCATGGGATAGCTTGTGGCTTCGATGGCGTCAATTGGTCCAGTAGGAACACGTGCATCAACTCTGGCAGGGATCCGACCGCCTAGGCTGTAATCAGGCGAACTGCGGCGTTTCTTAGGGTTTCGCGCAGCCTCCCTGGCGTCTCGGGCCTTGTTGTCTTGGTCTCGGCGTCGTTGGTTACGCTCTCGTCTGTCTTCCATCTCTTTCCTGCGCTTGAAAATAGCATCTTCCTGTTTCGCAAGTCCTTGGAGAATGATCTGGGCTCGAGCAAGATCCACGTTTCCATCGCAAGTCAAATACCCGCCCATGACTGGGATGTTATCTCTCCAGATAGCAATTAATTTGTCGATACCATCTTCATGAATATCCAGACTGGGCAGGTGAGGGAGAAAGTCGTTGCCAACGAAAAAGCACATGAAAACCCAATCGTCAAGGGCGCGTTCAAGGTCGAAACGGAAAGATTGACCGGGTACAAACATTTCTGCAGCCAAGTACTCACGCAAGATAGGGACATTCAACCAGACGAAAGGCTTCAATTCCTCGGTGGTGCCCTTTTCGTCAAACTCGCCCGACTTGGCCTTTGCATTACCTCTGCAATTCTCTGCATAATGGCCCTGCTGGCCGCAAAGCTTGCAGGTCTTTGCCTTGGCATCTCTGACGTTGACATCTTCTCGAAGCACACGAAAATGCGGTTCATGCGTGGCAAGCCCGAGCATGATCAAGTCTGCATCAAGTCCATACATGACGTGTCGAGTATTGGGATCATACTCAGGATCAGAGCGCTGAGAACGTATGAACTGCATGATCTTGTGTTCACCCTCACCTGGTACACTGGCATCTGAGATTATGATCTTCAATTCAGCCCAGGCAGGATCAGTGTTGAGTTTCCATTGGACCCAGTAGCGAATAGATTGCGCAAGGATGAACATGAAAGGTGTGCCAGGTGTGATGACATTACTATCCCATGTTTTCTTGATTACTTCTTCGGCCGATGACTCGCTGTCTTCGTCCCTATCTTGCTTTTGTTGACGAAGCAGTGTCTGAAATTCTGCTTTCTTTTCATCCGCCTCTTTTGCATCGCGCGCTGACCTGAAACGACGAGCACGTTGCTGGTTCATTTTCGCACGAGGGGCGACTCCATCTATATCCACGTCAGTACTTGCAATGTCCAGAAAGTCCAAGGAAACATACCTATTGCGATCATGAGCAATCTGCGCGGACGGACCATGTTCACCACTCGCTCAGTGTATTTAAAGATCTCCAGCATCATTTCACTTTCATTGGCTGGGGGCGGCTTGTTCTCTGGGTGAGAACAGGGATGAACAATACCATTGAAATCGAGATACAAATTGTGCAATTCCTCGCCATTAGGGTTGGGCTTCGTAGTGTCCACGGGATATTGCACGCCATCAATTTCATAAGGTTGCTCCTCGATGACGGGCGTAATGATTTTAGGATACTTCTTGGTAAGCCATCTGAACAGCGCCGGGACACCCATGATAATCTAGGGCCGGTATGATGATCCTAGAGTATGAAAACTGGCTTGACGAGAACGAAGAAAGAATCAACTTAGACAAAGTTGAGCGCAAGTCGTAGGGTTGGAACAACTGCGCCCGAGTCTGGACACGAGAACTATGCTTCTGGCACAGACAGTATCAGGCTGAGATCTGCGGGTCGGCAGCTATATGCACCGGCGCATTGTTGCGAGAAGGATTATGAGGATGAGCGTGAGGGAGTTGATCTCGATTGGAGGATGCCTTGAAATCTGCGCGCTCTCTCGACCCGAGAACTTCAAAGAGGCGCAGGCTTGGCAGTAACTAGCAAAGACCGAGTCCTAGTGCCACAGCCTTGCAGTATCACGTGCATCTGGACAAGGCTGTACGGCGACGCGATCCTACAAGAGGGCTTCCTAACACAAAAGGACACTTTGGAAACTAACGAATTGATCCCTACCTCACAAACCTGAGTACGAGATAGGCGCAACAGACTCCAGAGGCCTACCACAAATATGCCGGCATTTATCACTTCACAATGACGGCCTACACGGTAGCGCGAAGTCCTCTTCCAAGATGATGCGAATACTTGAAGCCCAGGCACCTGCACGGCAGACCGCTACCGATACCATCCAGACACTAAGTAACCGATTATCGAGTGCAACACTACTTGAAGATCGGCGGGCTGCCATATTGGGATTGAGAAGCTTTGCAAAACTCTACCCTGCGTCAGTTGCGTCTGGAGCGCTCCGGGACCTCATAGCAGGCCTTAGAAGAGATGGAGACGATTCAGATACAATCAAAGTGGTGTTGGAGACCCTTCTGATGCTCTTCGAACCAGATGAAAAATCTCCGGAGGCTTCAGAAGAGATAACGCTGTGGCTGGCTGACGAATTCACACAACATCAAGACAATGTCACGGCGCTACTGGATCTTTTGGAATCAAACGAGTTCTACCTACGGCTTTATGTTCTACAGATCCTCTCACATATATCTACGGCGCGGCCGCAGAGAACTCAAGAAGCCATTTTTGCTGCGCCCCTAGGTGTCTCGAGGATTACGAATGTGTTGGATGACCGTCGAGAAGCCGTCCGGAATGAAGCCTTGGTGCTGCTTGTGGCCCTCACGCCGACATCAGCCGAGCTACAAAAGGTTGTGGCATTTGAGAACGCTTTCGATCGCATCTTTACGCTAATTGAAGGCGACGGCGCTCTGTCCCATGGCAGCACCACCGTCCAAGATTGTCTATCTCTGCTAGCAAATCTGTTGAATCTCAACACATCGAACCAGTCATATTTCAGAGAAATCGGAGGTATTGTTAAGATCAAGAACCTGTTCTTGGCGGTTTTGGAACAGGAAGACTCCTCGGAGGCAATCTCGGAGTGGATGAAGCCTCAGCGAGACATGAATGTTTGGGGTTTACTTGGCATCGTACAATTATTTCTCATCTCGGGCTCCCAAGGAACTGCCTTGAATCAACAGTCATTTTGGCAAGCAGGAGTCCTCCAAATTATTCTGCGCTTTGCTTTTTATACAGCTTTCAGTAGTGGAATTCGCGCTAAAGCCCTCCAAGCTTGTGGAGATATCATTCGAGGGAACCCTGGACTCCAGGAGCGATTCGGCGATCTTCCTGTGCAGATTAAGCAACCAGGACCTGCTTCAAACGGACATGTCTCTCCAGCTACATCCGAAAAACCTTCTAAAGGTCCAACGCCAGTTTACCAGGATCAGAACGTCATCGAATCACTCCTTGAGTTGGCCCTAGAGCCAGCGCCGATCGCTTTATTTGACGTGAGGTTGGCAGCGACATCCTGTCTCAAGGCTTTTGTGGAGGACCATGCCGGTATCAAAGCCCACGTCTTGCGCAGAGCCATTGAAGGACATAAAAGTGGGGACGATACCATCCCCAACATGCTCACAGTGTTATTGGAACCGCCTGGAACTCGTGGCACTTCTGATCCTTACCAGCAATGGTTTGCTGCTGTATTGTTCCTCCATCTCCTTTACGACAATGCCGAGACTAAAGAGCTTGCATTGACGGTCACCGAAGGCGATGCTGACAATGGCGAGGAGGTTGTCACATTCATTCAAAGCATTACAAGTAATGTGGTGGCTGGTGTACAGCACGTGGAGGACGAACGTGCCTTACTCGGGTATTTGATGTTGCTTTCAATATGGCTTTTTGAGGATCCGGAAGCAGTCAATGACCTTCTTGGAGAGGGTAGCAACATTCAAGGTCTCGCTGCTGCTGTGAAGATTGCTAACAACTCAATGCCTCTGGTGGCTGGCCTTTGCGCTTTCCTGCTTGGTATAGTCTACGAGTTTTCAACGAAAGATTCTCCCGTGCCGCGCAAGACACTTCATGGGTTATTGATGACCAATCTTGGGCGTGAGACATATGTCAGTCGGTTGACCAAACTCCGGGAGAATGTTTTCATTCGTGATTTCGAGGTTCTGCCTCAAAGCGGAAATGGCAGCCTACCAGATATCTTCTTCGACAAAACTTTTATCGACTTCTTGAAAGACAACTTTAGCCGATTTCTACGGGCCATTGATAGGGATCCAAACTTTGAGGTCTCGATCGTAAGCAATGGTGTTCAGAAAGGAGTCTCAAGAGACTTGGTCGATAGCTTGAGGGCCGAGGTTCAAGAACAGAAGCAGGCTCTGGAGACGGCCAACACTGAGTTACTGCAGCTAAAGAGGAAACTAGAGCAGGAGGAACTCGACCACCGCAGAACCCGTGAATCTCTGAGTGTTGAAGTCTCTAGGATTCGGCAAATCAATCAGAGCCTGCAAGACAATCACGAAGACGAAGTGCGAAAACTACAAGAGGAAGCTGCTAAAGAAAGGAGTCTGCTGGTGAAAAACCACGAGGAAGAAATACACCAGCGCCGCACTGAACATGTCAGTATGGTCGAGACTATCAGGAAGCAGCATCAAGCCGAGGTTCAGAAGTTTGAGCAGCGCCTAAAATTGCTTGAGCAAGAAGCTGCAAGGGATCGATCCGCATTGATCGAGCAGCATCGACGTGAGATGAGCGACGCAGATTCAAAAGCACAGCAAGCCCGCCAGAGGGAAGCAGCAGAGGTCCGCGATTTGCAAGCCTCCGTCGCTGAACTAGAAACACGCCTGAAAAAGAACCAGGAGGAGCATGCCCAAGACCTTCAGACTGCACATGATGAGTATAGTTCTGAGAAGAAAGGCCTCGTCGAACGCCTGAAGCGTGCAGAGAGTCGACTTGAAGATGCTGAAAAACATGCCCAGTTCCTCAATGACGAGGTCGATAAGGAGAAAGCTGCACGAAAGGATGTACAAACGGAACTTGACGACCTTCTCGTCGTCTTTGGTGACCTGGAGGCGAAGAGATTGGCGGATAAACAGAAGCTCAAAGAATTGGGTCAGGAGGTATCCGAAGACGAGGACGAGGACGACAACGAGGCTGGCAGTGAAGCGACTGAAGATGGGGACGACGATGTCGAATAAAAGTTATCGTGATACCCTATATATTTTGTATAATTGAGCCCTCCGTAGGCTGCCCATTGGCTTTGGCCATCTATCTCACGTCGCATTTCTTAAATGTGGTCAGACCACAGAATTCCGTTCAGAAAAACTTGCTGGCCCTTGCATCATTTCTGCAATTGATGATTGACGTCTATGTAACCGTGCGGAGTACCTCTATTACCCGAGAGCGACAAACATAATGCACTGGAGACTCACCGGGTAAGTCGTTGGGCCTCTGATTGCTGGGGGCTGGTTGGGTAGCACACTAACTTGTTTTGGGTATTCAAGCGGATTTTGATTGTCCTTTTTAGGTAATTTTTTGATTGGCCGCAATAGGAGAATTGGAAAGTCGTCAATCCGACTTCGCTCAATGGCAAAAGCCTCTTTCAGTGGTCTCTGAAGCTCGTATGCCTGAATCCGGGGATCTGGGGTCCAGCCACGTCGTTTCCTTTTGGTTGGAGGCTTCGGTCTCGATGGTTCTGGCCACGAGGTGTTCAAGGCCACTCGCTCTGGTATATCCCGATGGCTTAGCGTGGAACAGAGTCGGTATAGGGTATCTCTCGGATTTTGCCATCGCCCTCCATCTCCTTGTTCATGTTGAAAAAAGAAACCTTCTCGAGTCTTGAGTCCCGAGGCACATGATCGACCCTGGGAGCTTTATATCTCCTACAGTGCTCCCTTCATCTTGACCACGTTCGCATCTCCGCCCGACCACTCGGGCAGTGCACATTAAACAGTGTCGGTACAACAGCACCTTCTGCGACATTTCCCAACGCCGCGTCATCGAGACTGCCATCATGAATCAAGACGACGACTCTCTTGATGCGTCCAGAGTCGATCACCTCGAACTCGAGGCCGCAGGCTACTCGCAAGCCATGCCTCGCCAGTTCTCGACTTGGGCGCTCGGGGCGCTGTCCTTCACTCTGACGTGTACCTGGATTGGAACTGGAGCGTCGATTGGCATCGGCCTTACTGAGGCTTCAGCGGCAGGGTCGCTGTGGTCCCTCGTCATCGCAGGCTTCATGACCCTGGTGGTATCGGCTGGAATGGCCGAGTTGTCGTCCGCCTACCCAGTGGCCGGAGCACAGTATTACTGGTCGTTCATGGTTGCCAGCGACAAATATAGGCCTTTTGCATCATACATGTAAGCTGCCCCTTCTCCTCTCCCTCTCCCTCTCCCTCCAAGCCATCGAGATGACAGAACGTCGCCCTGGCTGATGCTTGGGTTCATGCAATGTAGCAACGGGTGGCTCAGCGTCCTTGGATGGTGGCTGGCGTCGGGGTCGGTTGCCAACTTTGTCTCCTCCCTGATTCTGACCGTCGCCGCCATCTGGCATCCCACCTACACGCCCAAAGCCTGGCAACAATACTTGACCTATGCCGCTCTGGTCTGGTTGGCCGCCGTCCTCAATATCTTCGCCTCCCGACTCATGCCCATCTTCAACAAGCTGGTCTCGGTCCTGTCCGTGGTCACTCTGGGGGCGACCATGCTCACCCTTTTTATTGTTGCTCGACATCACCATGCACCGGCATCCTTTATCTTCACCGATGTCGCCAGTAGAAGTGGATGGACCAACCAGGGCTTCACATTTCTCCTCGCCACCGGCAATGCCGTCTACGGCTTCCTGGGCACGGATTGCGGAGCGCATCTCTGCGAAGAGATAGTCAATCCGTCGAAGAACGTCCCCAAAGTCATCATGTATCCCTTGGTGGTGGGCACGCTCACCGCATTCCCCTTTGCGGCGTCGTTGTTGTACGCCATTTCGGATCTCGACGCGGTCCTTGGCACGCCGACCGGGTTACCGCTCCTCGAGATTTACTACCAAGGGACCAGGTCGTACGCGGCATCCACGATCTTGCTGGCTCTGTTTACTTTTTGCATGTTCGGTGCATTGGTCGCCGTCGGTGAGTCCGAGGGGAAAGAATCCCCCCTCCACGGGAACTGGATGCTAAAATCCTCACCAGGGACGACTTGTTCTCGAACGCTGTGGGCGATATCTCGTGACGGAGCCTTGCCCTTCTCCCATATCTGGATGCGAGTGGATTCGACTTGGAGAATGCCAGTCCATTCCATGGTTCTGACAGCAACCTGCGTCTCGGTAAGTCATTATCAGACTGTACTCCATTCCTCAGCTCCTGCCGGGTCGAAATATTTGACTAATTGATGCTAACGCCATATCAGCTCTACGGACTCATATTCCTGGGTTCTACAACCGCGTTTTCCGCGATGGTGAATGCAGCAATCATGTTTCTACAAACATCGTGTGTCGTCCCTCAAGCCATCCTCCTTTTTCGAGGCCGCGATCGAGTCCTTCCAGAACGCTATTTCAGCCTCGGCAAGTTCGGCGTGGCCGTCAATGCTATTGCCGTAGCTTGGGTCATTTTCTTGGATGTACTCTATTGTTTCCCGACTTCCAGACCCGTCACCCCTCAGAGCATGAGTTATGTGTCGGTCGTCTCCGTTGGCTGCGTGACTTTTGTGGTTCTGTTGTGGCTCACTACCAAGAAAGGAAGGTTTACAGGTCCTCATGTCGATTTTGAAGTGATGAATGAGAGGAGACGGATTGCTCTAAGAACCCGGCTCCATGGTGTCGAGCCGGAAGGCCAGGCCAATATGTCCAATGGGCGACCAGTCTTGAAGAACGGCGGGGAGGCCACTGATCGAACATTCTAAGAACAACATCATTGAAGAGGTTCAAGATAAGATGTTCCAGGGCGAAAGCGTGTAGCAGAGCAGATTGAATTCATCAACTGACCAGCTGGAGTGTTCGTAACAATTCATGTTATCCCCTCTTCTTGTGTTGAGACCACGGTGCTTTTGATCCTGAGAACCCCGTATTGTTTTAGTGGCAGTAAGCTTCAGAAGCTCGAGGTCGCTTCTGAGACTGGCACCGGAAATTTCTGGGAACATGTGTAAGCCCAGGAACTTGTAGTCGCCAGTTCTCCAGTCATTCACTGACACCATTCCAGAGTTGGGAAGTCTCTGGAGAAGGTTTCCGCAAGACTCAAGTCCATTCTGAAGCAACCCAACACCGCACCGTAGATTACCGCTTTAGGCAAATCAACGAAGTTGGATTGAAGGGGATTGTTGGCCCCCTCTCGAGCCTGCGCCCAGGCTGTGGCATCTTACTATCTACATTGCACCCGTTCAGAAAGCTCCAGGCTCTCTAATTTCCCCTGATGGGAGCACAAAGTTCTCGCTCATTACTAATAGATCAGGGATAAATGTCAACTACCCTGCGTGGGGAGCTCCTTAAGCACCCGGGCCGGGGGCAGACAGGATTGCCCGATTCACTGAACATTTCGTAAGGCAGAGTGCTTGATCCATGGTGTTATAAGTGGCCGGTCTCTGCCCTTTCCAAAACCACAGATATCAACAGAAAGAAAGGGAGAGTGCGTGTCTTTCGAACGATATGTGTATCACTGACAGCCTTCCCGTCGGTGATGGGAGGGGGTTCGACTATATCATCGTCGGAGGTGGCACGGCAGGCTGCATTGTCGCAAGCCGGCTCTCGGGCTATCTACCTCAAAAGCGAATTCTCTTAATCGAGGCAGGCCCCAGTGATTTAGGGGAGAGACGGGCACTGGTTCTGAAAGATCGTCTGGAAATGCTTGGGTCCGAGCTTGATTTTGGGTACACCGCCGTTGAACAGCCGATGGGTAAGTACCTCCTTGCAATTCCAAGGGAAGTCTCTGCCAGGAAGCTGATATAATCTGTAGGAAACAGTCACCACGTCCATTCACGAGCCAAGATCCTCGGTGGTTGTTCCAGCCACAATGACATGGTTTCGATTCGAACGCCAAAAAACGACATCCGCACTTGGGAGAGGCTGGGCTGTACGGGCTGGTCATTCGAGATATTCAACCGGCTGCTCGACCAACTGCGCCTTTCAACATGGCATGCGGCTCATCCACGCGACCGCAACCAGATGAGTAAGGATTGGATCCAATCTGCGCATCGGGCCCTGGGCCTGCCTTTGGTCAGAGACTTCAATGAGAACGATTCGGCGCCTGGAGTCCTGGCTGAAGGCGTTGGATGGACACCGCTCTCCTATAACCCTGACAACGGTTGGCGATGCGGCGCGAGTGTTGCTTACATTCACCCTATTCTCCGTGGAGAACAGAAAAGAGAGCACTTGACCATCTTGACCAATTCTTGGGTGTCTCGCGTCAATTTACAAGGCAGCAGAGCCGTCAGTGTCGATGTCACTACTCGGGATGGGGTCAAACACACTGTGCACGCTTCTGCAGAGATTATTTTGTGTGCCGGAGCCATCGACACTCCAAGGCTCTTGCTGCTCTCGGGGCTTGGTCCTAGGGACCATTTGGAGTCTGTCAAGATCCCTGTCGTCAAGCACATTCCTGGGGTTGGGGAAAATCTGCAAGACCATCCTGGCTCAGTCGTGGTTTATGATCTTCATGAGCCAGTCTCGCCGAATACAGCCACGCACTCGGACGTGCTCGCGTTTCTACGCCACAAACCTCAAAACAACCTGGTTGGAGATGATGATGGGCATGTCCCTGACCTTCTTCTCCATACGTGGGCACTCGACTTCTGCAGCGACACGACTCGCCTTGGTTACGATCGGCCAAAACATCCTTTCTGTTTCCTTCCGGTCGCGTTGCGTCCGAAGGCTCGAGGGCGTCTGTACTTGAAATCCAACGACCCGGCCGAGAAGCCGGCTCTTGATTTCAAGTTCTTCGAGGACAAGAATGGCTACGATGCCCAGGTCATCGTCGCAGGCATCAAGGCGGCTCGAAAAGTTGCCGAAACAGAGCCTTTCAGGAAGTGGATAAAACGAGAGGTTGCGCCTGGCCCGAACATTGCCTCGGACGAAGACCTCGACAAGTATGCTCGTGCTGTGAGCCACACCATCTATCACCCAGCTTGTACGACCAAGATAGGTGATCTTGATAAGGACACTCTGGCCGTGGTCGACTCCCGGCTCAAGGTGCGAGGGATCCACAATCTCCGAATCGCTGACGCCGGGGTATTTCCCACAATGATATCGGTGAATCTGATGCAGACGGTGTGCGTGGTTGGCGAGCGAGCAGCAGAGCTCATCGCGGAAGACGCTGGCTGGACTGATTGCAAAGCTTCGCTTTGACTGTCATGAGGAGGAGAAATCAATCTTGATGGTAGTTTCCTCGTAGAGCCGTTTCTTGTTCTCTAGCGTAGGGAAACAATACCTAGGACATGCAGCCGGCAATGAGGACGATATCGACGGCCTCAATGCTGATGGCAGAATTCAATTCATTTGTCCTGATTTCTTGTAGATGCTCGCTCTCGTCCATTAGGAGCAGCAAGTCAACCCAAAATATTTGTGCGCTTCAGCCAAACAGAAACTCGGGAGCGTTGGGATTCCGGGTGTATAACATGCTACCCCACCACACGCTGAAGTTATCGTGACTAAGATCTCTTTGAGCCCATATCGTTTCCAAAAGGGCCGACACTTCTCTGAACATGTTATATCTGCACTTTTGGTACCACTGCTCGCAGTAATCCCGCACAAACTCCCTCGAGTAGGAATCAAGGGACTCTGAGCCGGCCAAGAAGACAGGGAATAGGAGCTGCTTCTGCAGTGGGGAGTCGAGCCTGCAGCATCGTATACTGTCTAGGACCAATCTCGACAGTGTGGTGATTTCGGGAAGCAGCTCGTCACTCTTTCTGTCCCATTTCAGAACGCGCGAGATGTACAGCATCAACGCATACTTCCAAGCGTTGCTTGCATTGTAATAATCGTGCCAGCCTTGAATGGACTCCCAGCGATCGGCGGTGCCTCGAGACAAAATGAAATCTCCGACAGTGTATTCTCGTATGCACCGTTCGAGCTCCAGCGCGCGCGTATTGTCAAAAATGGCGTATCGGAGGTTCGAGATCTGCTCCTTCTCACTCGATAACTGGGTCAGCTCCCGGCAGTACTGGAAGAGTGCGGGAGGCACGCCGGAGAGCGTAAAAATGTTCCAAGACGCGTTGTCGTCAACAGAAAGGATCAAGTCATAATAAGACGCCGGGAAGATGGGTTCTGAACGGGCTAGCAGGGCTACACTGCAATCCCACCTGTACATTGTTTGAGCCTTAGAAACCACCATAGGCGGGGAAGGTTCCTTCAACATGACACTTACCACACGAACATCGCCAGCTGCGCCCGGAAACGAGCCGAGGAAGATGCGATGAAATTCACGCCCCCGATGGATTCAAGCCTGAGATAGGTATCGGACAAACGTGCTTTCCACGGGCCGACAGCTGAAACAAGAGACTGGCGTGCACGACAGTGAAGTCAGCGGATGACAGGCCGGCAAGAGAACTAGGAATGCATAGACATACGTCGAGGGCAAAAAGGATGAGCATGGTATCCATCGGAACCGTTTCAGGTTCTTTCGAAGTGGTCACCTGAGCTGCGGCACACAATTCCTGCGCAGAATGCTTGTAAGCCGCTATGTGCTGAAATACCGGGTCCTCGGGAGGAGCATCAAGCATGCGGCTAACGTGCTGCATTGAGGTGGCCAATAAAGCGTGCAACAAATGCTGCGGCGGACTGTGCGACCGCTCCCTGTCAAATCGAAATGGATTTCCACGGAAATCGAAGGTGAGAGGGAGAGTGCAGAGCTCATTATCATCTGGCAGATCAGTGGGAAAGATCAGCCAGAGGGACCTGTCGGGGGAAGAGCGTACAAAGTGTGAGCAATTGGGGAATTCCCAGCGCTTCTAATGAAGACAGCGAGCAGATTGCTTCTGAGTCGCTCGTCCGTGAAAACGGCACCTCAACATCACCAGCATCATCATGGTGCCATGAAGGCTCCAGTTGCGGCTCGGGCAAGGTTACGTTATAATCGGGACCGTTTGAGTCTTCGTCGAGGTAGAGATCAATCTCATCGCAAAGAGGAGGATTGGGAGCATCGGGAAAAATTGCAGCTGTGGACTCAAGACTCTGACTCGAATCCCTAAACGGAACTGATGGTTGTCTGTTTCTTCGGAGGCCCATGTGTAGGGCGGGAGGATCCTGTTGATCCCTTGCCTTTTGATGAGTTCCAGAGATGTATTCGGCCGCTGAGACTGTGCGCAAGCCGTTTGCATTTCGCCGAGGTTCTTTTTGCAGCCTTGCAGGTTTGAATCGGAAAGTCTGATGGATCAGAGAAGTGGCAGGCTGCCAGTCTCGATCGGAAGAAGTGATGCTCATGGACTGGTCCTTCCGCTTACCCCGCGACTTTACACCCGGGAGCCATCGCAGTTCTCGGGGATATCCTTGACAGACATCAGACCTTTGAGCGCAACTTTTGCAGCGATGGCGAGTCCTGTCACACGGTCTGCGAGAGCTGGTACAGTTGAAGCAATCCACAGTCTCCCTTCTCTTGGAGTTAGCGTCTGGGTCAATAAGGCTCATGTTGCCCCGTCCGATTCAGGACAGTTTGATTGGCCTCTCCGAACATGTAGAGTGAAGACGAACAAGTGATTCGACGCTTGAGACGGGCGGTTCGGTGTCTCTTATCTCTTTTGACACCAGCGATCGTGCTTTATCTACCGAACTACCCGAGTCCAGGCGGGGTGGCCCCGTGGGGACTGTCTAACTACTTTCGAGTAATTTACGAGAGCCTACTAGCGCTAATCGAGGTCTTCGGGCGATGACTTTGTTAACCCTGTCCGCCATAAGGGCTAGGCGAGCCTGGGGAACGTTGAGAGATCCATGGTAGAGTAGAGCAGGACGGCGCAAAAGCTTTGGCTCTACCCATATGGAGCGTTGTCTAATGCCGCTCCTTGAAGTAAATTCAAGCTTGGGGGATCCCCTTTGGGCCTTCACTGGTGATGGCCTAGCTGTAACCCCTGATTTTTTTTTAAATCAAGTCTGCTGCCAGGTAACTTTCGAGCCGTTCGTCCCTTCACCGAATGAACTCCGAACCGTATACCACTTAAAATGTGGCGAGGCCTCGACCAGCCATACTTTCGAGGCTTCTAAAGTATTTGTTCGGCCTCGAAAGTCATTGGAATTTGGACGGCGAGGATCTTGAGGATCACCCGATGACCTTGGAAAGGGCTACGGAAAAGTATCCAGCGCAAGGAGCTAGCAATATGGTGCATCAAATGGACTTTGAAGATTTCATCCCTTCTGTCGAGGGTGCTGCTAATTCAAATGATGAGGCACTGACCACATTCAGGTCTTCGTACGCTCCTTGTAACTTGACATTCAAAGACCAAGATGATCCGGGGGTATCTTATGACAACGGTTCGGGGCATTGGCCACTTGAGCCTCCTGTTGCCCGCACTTCGAGGCGGTACAGATAATCATTGAGGTGCCAATACAGTTGCTTGTTCCCGCGGGCCACGGCATTGACATCACGGAGCCGCTCAAGTAGATTGCTTATCGAAAGTAGCAATTCAGGACGAGGATCGGGGAGGGACGGGGTCATAGAAAGAATGGGACTTACTCTCTCTCGAGCATATTTGGAGGAAACATCCACAGACCGCTCGGGTAGCGTCCCTGCGCTGTAGACCAATTGCGACCTTCGTCCAATGTTCTTTGTAATCGCTCTTTCTTGTTGGCGTATTCTTTACTCTTGACTTTCAACTCTGGATATGCGCAGGCCATCAAGTCGCATAAGGCCGTCCCGTCCGGCTGGAGCTTACCCTTGGTACGGGTTTGCTGTTGTAGACAGGTGCGTTCACCATAAAGTTCCACCGGAAGAGCTCGCTGCTCCATAGGGTGAGCAAAGTCGATCTTATCAAGTGCCTGAGTGCCCCCCTAGTCGTTGAAAAATTCAGAGTATTCCGTGCTACATCTAGCTGAAAAGGCATTTCTGACCTGTCGAAGCGCGTATGGGCCTCCAGAGTGAATTGAGAAGGCGAGTCAGATACCGATCTTAGGGGTCTTAGAGGCGTACTTGCAGACACTGGTGTATTCTTTCGGGAGATGTCTCTTTGGCAATTATTGGATCCAGATCTGGCCAACTTTTCGGATGTTCACGACAGTTTCCTCATATTTTCCGGCATACTTTCGTTTCTTCGAACAATGGAGATCCTTAGAGGGGCTATCCTGATGGTTTGCGTTTGGTGACCTGCAGTTCTGCGCCTGAGATTGATCCTCCCCGTCATCTCTGGCCTCTCGCCTGATTGCCAATTCCCTGTTTCGGGTGTTCACCTTGGCTTCGAGTCCAACCTGAGCTTCTTCCAATCTCGTATCTGCCGACGTCGTTTAGTTATGATTCCAATCTATATGATGACCATGGTCTTTCTCCTCCTCTTGTTGCTCAAGCACTTCTTCTATCTGCGTGAGCCAATCAGCAGCGTAACGATCGTAATCAAAGTAATCAAAGAAGGCGGATGTCGGTGACTTGAAGTTGTGAATGATGAGGAAGAAAGAAGGACTAAGTTACTTAGGCAGTTCTTAAGGAGCACTCAGGAATCGCTCCCTGAGCGGCAGGTGAGCAAAGCGGCGAGAGGCTAATCAGAAAAGGAGGATGGACGACAGGTTTTCCGCAAGAGACTGTCTACAGTAGGGTAGGTATCGAAAGGCCAGCACCCCTCAACGAGGCTGTCACAGCCTTGGACGCTCCTGTCCAATCGGAGCCCGACACCACAAGTGCCTGCCAAGATTTCGATATAATCTGCGGCATTGGCTTCCTGACTCATGCTTAGGCACAAAATTCCTACGACCAGCGCAATTGCGTTTTGTAGACAACACAAACATGGCGGTCGATTTCTCGGCAGAAGAAGCTGCCACCCTCAAGCGCTGGAGAGAAATTGACGCTTTTCAGACACAATTGCGCCTGTCGCAAGGCAACAGGCCTTACACTTTCTACGATGGACCGCCGTTTGCGACTGGTCTCCCTCACTATGGCCATTTACTGGCTTCGACCATAAAAGACATCATACCGAGATACTGGTCGATGAAGGGCTACTATGTCGAACGAAGGTTCGGTTGGGACACTCATGGACTGCCTATTGAATACGAGATTGACAAGAAGTTTAACATCTCGGGGCCAGCCGCAGTGAAAGAGATGGGCATTGCAAAATACAACGCGGAGTGCAAGGCTATTGTGATGAGATATGCTACCGAGTGGAGAGAGACCATTGACCGCTTGGGACGATGGATCGACTTCGACAACGACTACAAGACCATGAATGCTAGTTTCATGGAATCTGTATGGTGGGTGTTCAAGCAGCTCTATGACCAAGGACAAGTGTATCGCAGTTACCGAGTAATGCCTTTCTCTACCGCCTTAAGCACACCCTTGAGTCAGCATGAAGCGCAGTCAAACTATAAAGAGGCTCAGGACCCGGCTGTTGTGATTGCGTTCCCGCTCGAGGAGGATCCAAAGACCAGCTTCCTAGCGTGGACGACCACTCCATGGACCTTGCCGTCTAATCTTGCTCTAGCTGTCAATCCCAAATTCGAGTACGTAAAGTTCTTGGACAATGAATCTGGCCAACAATACATTATGCTCGAAAAGCTACTTCGAACACTGTACAAAGATCCCAAGAAGGCCAAGTTCACCATCTTGGAAAAGATCAAGGCGCCCGAACTCAAGGGGAAACGCTATCTACCCCCATTCAATTATTTCTACGAAGAGTTCAAAGACAGTGCTTTCAGAGTCCTTCTCGCAGATTATGTGACAGACGACGATGGTACGGGGATTGTACACCAGGCCCCAGCTTTTGGCGAGGACGATTTCAGGGTCGCGTTTGAGAATGGTGTCGTAAGCCACCACAAGCTGCCGCCGAATCCCGTCGATGATACTGGCCGCTTCACTGCCGAAATCACGGATTTCGTAGGTCAGCATGTCAAAGAAGCCGACAAACATATCATCAAACACTTGAAGACCTCAGGCAGACTAGTCCGAGAAAGTCAACTGACACATCAGTATCCCTTTTGCTGGCGCTCAGACACACCTTTGATCTATCGTGCGATCTCGGGTTGGTTCGTCAATATTGCTGGAAACGATAAGGTTCCAAGCATTATCCCGGATATGCTCGATGGAATTGCCAAGTCACATTGGGTTCCGAATTTTGTCAAGGAGAAACGCTTTGCCGAATGGATCAAGAACGCTCGCGACTGGAATATTTCACGAAATCGATACTGGGGCACACCCATTCCACTGTGGGCGAACGAGGACTACTCTGAAGTCATTGCCATCGGTAGTGTTGAAGAGCTGAAAAAGTTGAGCGGATATGCTGGAGAGATCACAGACCTTCACCGAGACACAGTCGATGAGATCACTATTCCAAGTCAGAAGGGCAATGGTGTCCTGAAACGTGTGGAGGAAGTATTTGACTGCTGGTTTGAGTCTGGAAGCATGCCCTACGCTTCATCTCATTATCCTTTCGAGAATTCTGAACGCTTCGAGAATACCTTCCCTGGCGACTTCATCGCTGAAGGACTTGATCAGACCAGAGGATGGTTTTATACTCTGGTCATTCTGGGCATCCATTTGAAGAAAATGCTGCCCTTCAAGAATTGCGTTGTCAATGGCATCGTTTTGGCCGAAGATGGCAAAAAAATGTCCAAACGGCTGAAGAACTATCCAGACCCGATTACGGTCATCGATAAATATGGTGCAGATGCCCTCCGTCTGTACATGATCAATTCTCCCGTCGTTCGAGCAGAGCCATTGAGATTCAAAGAGACCGGTGTGAAGGAAATCGTCTCGAGAGTGTTGTTACCCTTCTGGAACAGTTACAAATTCTTCGAGGGACAGGTCGAACTCCTCAAGAAGGTGGAAAATATCGACTACGTCTTCGATCCATCGGCAGAAAGGACAAACACCAATGTCATGGACAAGTGGATTCTAGCCAGTTGCCAGAGTCTACTCAAGTACATCAACAAGGAGATGGCTGCCTATCGGTTGTATACGGTTGTGCCCGGACTGCTCAATTTGATTGATGAGACTACAAACTGGTACATTCGGTTCAATCGCAAGCGTCTGAAGGGTGAACTTGGATTGGACGATACTCTTCACGCTCTCAATACCTTGTTCGACGTTTTGTTCACTCTGGTCAGAGGACTAGCACCTTTTACTCCTTTCATTGCCGACCTCATCTATTCTAAGCTTCTTCCTCACATTCCCAAGTCATTATACAGCGAAGACATGCGAAGCGTTCATTTCTTGTCATTCCCCGAAGTCCGCGAGGAGCTCTTCAATGATGCTGTCGAACGACGGGTGGGTCGCATGCAAAAAGTCATTGAACTCGCCCGGCAATCACGAGAACGTCGATCAATGGGATTGAAGACACCTCTCAAGACTCTCGTGGTTATCCACAAGGACCAGCAGTATCTTGACGACGTCAAGTCATTGGAAGGATACATCACCGAGGAACTGAATGTGCGAGATCTAGTACTGTCGTCCGATGAGGAGAAATACAATGTGCAATACAGTGTGACTGCGGATTGGCCTGTCCTCGGAAAGAAACTGAAGAAGGATGTGCAGAAGGTGAAAAAGGCGCTCCCAGACGTGACGAGCAGCGAATGTAAGGAGTACTTGTCATCAGGCAAGCTCAACGTCGCCGGCATCGAATTAGTCGAAGGTGACTTGGTAGTCCGAAGGGCACTGAAAGAAGACGATACGTCCAAGAACCAGGAAACGAATACGGACAACGATGTCTTGACAATTCTAGATGCTGCGCTCTATCCTGAGCTTGCACAAGAAGGTGTTGCTCGAGAGATCATAAATCGTATACAACAACTACGAAAGAAGGCCAATCTTAAGCCGACTGATGACGTGAAGATGGAGTACAAGGTGCAAGAAGATCCAGATCAGGTTGGACTGGAGAAGGTGTTTGAACAGCAGAGCGGTTTTATTGAGAAGGCGCTAAGACGGCCTGTAGACAAGCATGTCGTTACAGAGCTCGATGGGCAAATACCAAATGGAGCTCAGGAAAACATCATCGCTGAAGAAGTCCAAGAAGTTCAGAAAGCGACCTTCTTGTTGAGATTGCTGAAGATGTGAGGTGGTTACAAGTCTGATGCTGGACGGATTCCTCGAGGATTGACGAAATGAAGAAAAGTAGTATGTTTATGGAGAAAGAATAGATGATGAACAACCAGGCCAGATCACCTGCGATGTATCATGATTTCTTTGTATGTTTCTGCGGGAAATTATTAGTGGAAAAGAACTAGATAAAGAGACAGAGGATGAATGAAGAGCGACCAAGCTTCTCTAGCATGCTCTGGAGCAGGAGACAGGACTCTTCGCAGTAGAAAGGAGCAATGCCACAAGAGATGAGAGGTTCACGTACCAAGTAACAATCCTTCAGACGCATAAACTCCTTCGCACACATGTCCTGGTGTGTCGACTGGTAATCTGCAACTATGCACTTTCCATACGCTGTGGCCTAGGCATGTGTTTCGAGTTAGCTAAATATTCTTCTCTCCCCTCTTGATCCAACGATCCTCGTCTCTCGGTGGTGGCAACTCGTAGCTCAGACTTGGGGTTGATCGCTCTATCGTCCCGCATCTCGACGACCATGTTTATTGCTCAGTTAAACTGTGGCTTAGAAGAATTGCAATCTGGTTTACACGTCTTTCGAGACCGGCCTATCACCCTTCTCCGGTCGAGTTTGAATGGGTAGTTGTAAACTCACCTCGACCGAACATTTTGCAGCAGCTTCCGCAAACTTTTCGATAGGCCTAGCGCGGCCCGATATCGTAGGCATGTCGTTTTGAACTTGTAAAGGGTTGAGAAGGCCGCGGGGGAGCGCTTCAAGATCCTCTTTTGAATAAGAGCGGCGGTTCAAACAAATTCGAATAATATTTGTCGTGACAGGTCGAATGTTTAGGAAGAGTGGTGCCAGACTTTCTCAAATCCACCGCATGTCTCCCACGATAATCTGTCCGATCCCCTCAATTTCGCATTGACAGCTTCGAGTCTCTGTGGAACGGACAATCTCGTCCAACGAAAACGAATGTACTTGTGAGATGATCATTTCTTACTCGACATTGAAAGTCATTGACGTTAGGGATGTCAAAAAACTACCAACTGTACGTCGGAGCATATCGCCGGCCAGAGGTTTGCAGATGGTGGTGTCAATGATGCGCAATATTGCGGTTGAGGCTCCGTACTTCACCGGATCAGTGTGTTTTTGGGTGGTTACTTGTCGTCACATGTACGTCATTGATTGATGGTTGCGAGCGACCGCGATTGACCGCCCGGCGCCCGTGAGACGGACAATTCATTGATGGGGAAAGCGTGAGGATATGGTATCGTAACTGCAAATATCGAACCTCGATTGTTCTGTCTCACAATTTGGATGACCGAGACGGCAAACGACTCGACCTTTTCGATCTCTTCAATATCGGCGAATATCTCTACTGCCCCCCCTCCCCCCCTCGCCCTTTCCTGGATCCCAATCAGCCTCGCGTCCGACGGTACAGGACCGTGATCGTTCGTCGACTCGCATACCAAGTCTCGAACCCAGTCCAAACCTGTTCCAAAACCCCCCAATAGCCCCCAAACCCTTCTTTTCAAGCCCTTCACCACCCGTAAAAATCGAAAAACCATGTCTTCTCACCAACACACCCACGGCCACACCCCCGGCCACCCGACCACCCACCCCAAAGCGGTCGACCCGTCGGCGCCCTCGCACCAACACCTCACGAACCACCCGACCCACCACGACGCATCTGACAACACCACCGGCCTCCGGTCCAGCGACACCGGCGCCGACGCACACGCCAAACCCAGCACCAAGGTCGCGGGTGACCTCAAGGGCATGGCCCACGGCGTCGCCGGTTCCGTGGAGGCCGCCACCGGCACCCTCCTCCGGAACAAGAACATGCAGGAAAAGGGTTTCGAGAAGATGGGTGAAGAGGACCAGAGACTCGCCGCGAAATCGGGCAAACCTCCTGTCGGGACGACGGCGGTCGACGCCACGAATAGCCCCGGAGCCGCCACCATCGGAAAAGGCCACGCCACCACGGGATTGTCAAAGTGAGACTCTGGCACTCGGAACTCCCAAGCACACCCACACAGAGACTGACAGACCGAACACAAGTCAAGTCGGTCGGTTTCATTGCAAAGTATCAACAAAGGTCTCGGCTGGGGAACATCAGGTTAGCATTGCTTTAGAGACCCGGATAGTGAATATCTGGGGGTGGACAAAGGATGCCGGTGCTGGAAATTTCGAGGAACGGCTCATGCTTTACTCTAAGCTGTCTTCCTGGAGGTGTTTGAGCATCGCGCGAGGACACTATCAGTTGATAGCGATAGCTATGTATTCTTAGACACAACAATAATGTACAAAGACAAAAACTACAGCGCGATTATCGTGCAATAAGACAGAAATATCCTGCCTTGACGTACCGCGTCGACGCCTGATCGTATCTCACATGATTACACCACGAGCTGTGTGGGCTGATTCGTTCTGCACGACCGTGGACGGGAAATCGATGAGAAGCAAACACGCAGTGCGGAATCAAGTATTATCACAGTTGCAACATGCTCAATTCATTATCTCGTCTCTGATATGATATGATGCTGGTAATATGTAAAAGGGGTTAAAACGCGGCCGAATCGACGGAATTTGAGCAACTTGATGGTGCTGGAAATCACTTTTTCCCATCCTCCTCTTTCCCCTGTGGAGACCTGCTGGCGTTGGAAGTCGCTTCGGCACAGGACTGACTGCTTATTTGAGCCAAAATAAAGCTGGGAACGATACCTCGGGCCAGGTGCGAATAGACACCCGAAGCGATGCCTGACCATTCGAGGTCCGGGCTGATAGCTTTCATCTGCTCCATCTGCTTCGTCGACCTGTCGCTTCCTTTGCCCGGCAATCTCAGATGCCTCCATCGACATTCCAGGGGTTCAGCTAGGAACAACACAAGATTAGAAAGTATGACGGTGAGGCATGCATGTCCTCAGATGCAGTATTATAGACGTATTTTCCAACACGCAGCTGTGCGTGTGGTGACGGGCTTTTTTTCAGTATCCAAGATCCGTAACTCGATTATTCTTCGAAGAAGAATCCATCATCCCCAGTTTTCTGTACACCACTCATCCGATGTTCATGCGTTCTTGATCGGGCTAGTTCATTTTCGTCGATCCTGTCATCCTCTGGCTCTCTCGAGCCGCCGAAACGTTCCTCCATGGTACTTTCATCAACAAAAGTGAACCCTCGGAAGGCGTTCTGCATGGTGGGTGACAATGGCGTCGAGGCCGGGTTGGCACCAGCCGCTAGAGCCGCCGCTCGGGCATTAAGAGACGACGACGTGTTCAGGGCGTTGGTAAATTCGGGGTCAAAGTTCGACGTGTCGGCCACAGAGGACAACTTTGGCTTGAAAGGAGGAATGAGGTTTTTCTTACCGAGGGCATTCCAGTTGACATCGCCGAAGAAAGGATGCGCCATCAACTCATCGGCATCACCATTGGCACCTAGCCGATGTCGGGGATTGCGATTCAGAAGTCCCTTGACGAAATTCCGGCCTTCAGTGCTCAGAGCGTCTCTTGGAAAGCGTACCTTCCCGAAGGCAATGTTCTTGTACATTTGTTGGGTATCCTCAGCATAGAACGGACTCCAGCCGCAGCACATCTCGAAGACCAAAACGCCCAGTGACCAGAAGTCGACCATCTTGGTATAGCCTTGCTCGTCAAGTAAAACTTCTGGAGCCAAGTACTCAGTGGTACCGCAGAAGGTATTGGTAGTGTCATCCTGAGTCAAATTGGCCTTGGAAAGGCCAAAATCGCACAAAGCAATGTGACCATTGGCGTCAAGAAGAATGTTCTCTGGCTTCAGATCTCGGTAAACTATGTTGTGTTCGTGCAGGTGCTTTAATGCCAGGATGAGCTCCGCGATGTAGAACTTGGCACGATCCTCCTTGAAGCGACCTTCCTTTTGAAGATGCCAGAACAACTCACCTCCTGACATGAAGTCTGTAACCAAGTAAAGATCTGTAGGTGTCTGGAAAGAGAATTTGAGGCCGACAATGAATGGGGACTCGGTAGTGGCCGTCCGGACCAAAATATTCCTCTCTCCGATGGTATGCTGGATCTCCTTCTTCTGGATTATGACCTTCTTGGAAAGAACCTTCATGGCGTAGATCCGCCCGGTATCCTTCTTCCGGACTTGGTAAACTTGACCAAAGGTACCCTTGCCTATTAGTTTCAGTATTGTGAAATCGTTGGGACCGTAGTGCTTCTTGTCGACCTTGGTAAAGTGCATTCTGATATGGATTTCTCCGGTGATATCATGGTCTTCTGGGCTTCTGGCTTCTAGCCGGAAGAAACCCTCCAGATCTGGTTGCTGCTCCGAAAGGTTCAAACACAAACGGACATGACCCAGGAATGCCTCGGTCTGGCGATCGTAGACCGTCACATCCAATTCAGATTGATGGCTGACCACATCGCTTTGAGGTTGTTAGAGTTTGAACTGCACAGCAAGGCAGGAGACTTACAATGTAGCATCGTGATCCCACTGTGGATCAACCACTTTGGTGATTCCACGGTCATCCCCAGTGCCATTTGTGCTACATTGACGACTTCGCATCGGAATGGCCATCGGCTTCCCCATGTCGCTGTCTGTCCTACGAATGATGGACTGCAATGCGCCCACAGGGCCCTTTTGGTCATCGCCATCCACGTCCATTTTGTCATGTCTCGCCCCTTTCGAGACATATTCATTCCACTCAAACTGGCAAACCACGTAGGGGTCATACGATGGCTTTAGGTTACGTCCCTCTGCTATCTTGATGGATAGCTTGCCACGGGGGGCATTCGTGGGAATCTGCTCCTTCTGTATAGTTTTCTCTGCCGAATCAACACTGCTATCCCTGGCAGTAGTGCTTGTGCTGGATAATGGCGATCGTGTGTCAATTCGTCGATCTTCTTGTGACAAGGCTCGGGGTGTGAGAGGAGGTGTGCTCTTTTTACGCGGCCGGTCGGCCACGCTTGAAGTTAGCTCATGAGTCTCTTCCAAAATCTCAGAGGACGGTGGCTTAGCAGAACTTGGAGATAGAGGTTTAGGGCTTTCAGGTCGTGAAGAGTGAGTGGATGATGTAGGGTTGGAGATATGTGCCGCAGAAACATTGCTTTTTGTAACGCTAGAAACGGGTAAGGACTGGTGCCGGCGTTCTTTCACCGCAGAGGCGCTCTTGGGAAGTACAAAGTTCCTCAGAGCCTGGGTGATGGAAGCGAGACCACCATCCAGTATCGACGAGCCATTTTCTGCGACCTCTCCATCTCGGTTCACCACTGAGGCGGCGGACGAGATGGGCGTAGGTGGCATCCGAGAACTATCAGCCTGTGTGACTGGCTGTGTAGACTCGCTCTGTGGCTCATCAGGTGGTGGTGTGGACACTGGTGCTTGTTCCCGCTCCACCATCACCATCGAGCCTATGGACGCAGACGATCTCCGTCGGTCCTCTTGTTTCTCCCTGCGCTTCAACGAGGAATGTGCAGGCTCGTCGTTCTTTTCAAGGCTTGCGGCACCTCGTGACGACCGTGAAGCCGTATCTTGGGAAGGATCTCTACCCACCTGGCCAAAGTAGCTGTGCATGATTCCCGGTAGTCGTTTGTCATGGAGATCAGGCCGTGGCGTTGCGACGCCTGAAGGAGTTGGCGACCCTGAGCCAATTCCATCGCCGATATCATCGCGGAGCTGATGTCTGGCACTGCTACAAGGAAAATTAGTAACCGGCTTGCAAGAGAACAACAAATAGCGATAGAAAGATGTCGATAGGTCGCACACAGTGACACCTTGTAATTTTCGATTGACAGACGTGTCTTGACATTTTTCCAGCCTGTAACGACCAAGACTGGTCGTCTGGATGCAGCGTGAAAACACGGACCCTCCTCATAAGTGAGCCTGGGGTCAAACCAGTCTCGTTTTATCCAGTCGCTCCCGAGTCACTTGTATCACGCAGCACTTTGGTGGCGAGAGGAAAATTTGGGAACATACTTTTGTGCCATGGCTTGCCTCAACAGGTCTGCAGGATCCTGAGGGTTGAGCCCGGTTTGCGCCATGATGGCGACACAACTTTTTAAAACCCTCCTCTGTGCAGAGCCGCCGCTGGTGGATGTTCCTCAGTATCCTGGCTGATTATCACAGCTACTGGCGTATGGAGGGGGAGTTCCCTGAGTTTTCCGGATACAGGCTCAAAGGAGTGACGAAAGTGGTGCAGGATTTGGAGATTCTCGGAAGCTGGTCGGCAGGGATCGTAAGGTAGGTCTCGGAACGCCTGCAGGTCAGAGTGAAAGTCAATCGTCGCTGAGACGGGAAGATGGAGGATATGGGAGAAGAGGTCGGTGGCGAAGATATCGGTAATGACAGCAAGTTTCGACACAGATGCGGACGGCAATGGTGATATAATCGAGTTACAGGTGCTGGAAAAATATGACCCTTCTTCAAGATTCTGGCCAGCTTATGGTACACCGAGCGTAGTTGATAAATGTGTGGGATGGGGTAAAAGAGTGGTTCGATGATGGCAAAACGAAGGGCGAAAGGGCAAGCGCAAGGACAGCGGGCTGGGTGAGGCTAAAGGAAATAATCGCCTTCCAGGGCCGATGTCATAGGGCAGAAAAACAAGATGCTTCTGTTCTGGATACCACAGGCGAGCGAAATACGAGCAGTAGCACCAGACACGCACACACACCCTGTCAATCTGATTCTTCAGGTGGGATGGGGATGTGGCTAGGCTGTCTAGGTTGGGCCGATAGCCAAAAATCGATGAGTTACGGATGCCCCTCATTAGGTACATACGTACTCCGTAGGTCGCAGATGCCCTCACTGGTACACTAGCACATATTGTTTTGCCTCTCGAACGAGATCTCTTCCCTTGCTACTCTGCATACGGGGTCTGCAGACTTGAAAGGCTGCCCAGTCACCCGGGCGAGACGAGGACAAATGCAAAGTATCTAGAATAACAAGGATACGAGTGGCCCGTAAGGGCGACCAGACATAGACCAGTCATACTACAGTATGTATTGTACAGGAGCCAAAGTTCGGGTGGTTACCCTAGAGTGCCCCAACTCATGCGGCTTTGCGATACTCGATCTGGCCCAACCGTGCTCAACAATGGGCTGTGCTTCAGCTTCACTAAAGAGAACTATTGCACGGCACAACAAAATGTCTCTCGGTGACTGTGCCCGGTCGAGCCCATGTAGCTGAAGGAACGTCATTTATTACATGTCACCAATTCCTATCGTCTAGATTCACCAAGTCGACTTGTCAGACATCCTATTCACGGCTTTCGCCCCCGAGGAGTCTGTAAAGCAACGTCTGAGTGGTTCTCATTTCATTATTTCCACGTTCTTTGCCTGAAGTGACTTCCCTAGTACGGGAGTACTCGTAGGAGCGTGGGTGAACGAGTCAGCGGTGCTCCGTAGGCAACAGCCGCAACTTGCATGTGCAAATGGGCGAATGCCGGGCCTTTGATTCGACCAGCGCGAAATTTATCGCGCAAAGAATTATTAGTCCACAGCACATGCAAACATCGTCTCGGCTCTGCATGCAAGGCTAGGGAGTCCATGTTCCGTCCTACCCAACCTGTCTTAAGAATAGATCTTGGTACTCGCAGTCTGTGTCGCAGAGAATAATTGTAGTTGTTGGTTCGGCTATCTATTGGCCTGTTGTTTGTTGTCCATTGTAAAAATTATCCCCAAATTTAATAGCGATGATAGGGATTCAACGATAATGCGCCATTTGCGCGACTATCAACCATGCGGACAACTGCGTACCTCCAGTAAGCCCGGAGCCCATCCTTGGACTTGAATTTCAGTTTGTTGAAGGATGACAGTGGCTGTGAAGTTAACCTCTCAACCAGACGTGTCACCAACGGTTGAGAAGTCATCAGTCACCCCATTCAGCCGGCCGAGTTTGGATCGGCAGTGTTACTCGAGAGCGATCGACCGTGTGACCTCGAGAACAAGGCTGAGTTAACCTCGAGATGCATTGCTCTTAATAACAATTACCAAGGTAAGTTTGACACAAAGACAACTATATGTGTGCAATAGACAAATCATATGCGCAAGGAACGGGTGTGTGATTCTGCTTTTCCAACTGCGTGACTGGGTATTTCTTCCATGTGTCTCGCCCAAAAGGAATGGAGGTACACAGTACGGAGTGCACAGGACAGTTCAATAGGGCATGTAGGGTGAAGTGTGTCACCGTAGATCCTGCACTAACTAGATTCATGCTTCACCAGACGAAATTGTTGCCAAGTCTCCATCCAGCCGCTAACTTTACAGAACGCCCCCGGTAAGGCTACGTCTAGTAATCGCGGTTGCGCGTCTGTACAAGTACCGCTGGTGACGATTATACGAAGGATTCTGGAATTTGATTGTACGCCTCACTTCCACCATGGCTAGGCGTCCTCGTCTTGCAGCGCAGGCTGCTCAAGCCTCGATGAGTACGTTCTCCAATGTTATGCTTGCCCTTCCCTTTTGTTGACATTGGACAGGAACACCTATCCCAAATTTATCAGACAACGAGGACGAAGACATGCCCGATGCAACTCCTGCTGATCCTGCAACGCCTCAAGATGACGAAGAAGATGAGGATGAGGGGAACGCAGGTGATGAAGAGAATCAAGATGCGGAAGAGGCTCCCACCCCATCAAGAGGCTCCGATCAAGCGTCGCGCTCAGCGACTCCTCGTCGTGGTCCGGGGCGACCCTCTCTACAGTTTGGCCGGCGGAAGCGACTAGGAAGACCGCCAAAAAATAGGCCGCCCGTATCTGATGATGACAATAACGATGCTGGCTCAGAGATAAGCACGCCTAAACGAAGAGGAGGCTTTCGCGGCCATCGTGGAGGACGTTGGGGAAAATCGAGAGGCGGCACAGCGAGAACAGTTGCACCACTTGACGCGAATGGGAACCCTATGGAGATAGTGAATGACGAGGTTGAATTACCAGAAGACCCCGAGGGAGAGACTAAAGTGGATAAAAACGGCGAGCTCCTTGGTGGACGCGAATATCGAGTCCGGACATTCACCATTATGGGAAGGGATGATCGACTCTACATGCTTTCGACAGAGCCTGCTCGGTGCATTGGGTTCCGCGACTCATACCTGTTCTTTCAGAAGCATCCGCATCTTTACAAGATCATCATTGACGACGACGAGAAACGGGATCTCATCGACCGAGACGTCATACCACATTCCTACAAAGGCCGCGCCATCGGAGTTGTAACAGCTCGATCTGTTTTCCGGGAGTTTGGTGCCAAGATTGTCATTGGAGGGAAGAAGGTTTTAGATGACTACGAAACTCGGCAGGCACGAGAGCATGGAGACATCGAGGGCGAAATTGCTGTTCCTGAGGACCGGCTGCCACCACACGGGGAACCTTACAATCGCAATCAGTATGTCGCGTGGCATGGTGCTAGTGCTGTATATCATACCAATGCGCCGAGTATGCCGAATCAGGCAGTCAAGATCCAGGATGCTAAAAGGCGCAAGATCGTTGTGACAAGTGACAATTGGATGTTGGAACATGCAAGAGAAGCAAGGTACGTGATCTGAACTTTGCGAGTAATCCTCGAGCTAATTTATGCAGTCGCTTCAACTCGATGCTAGCAGCGGCGCGCGGGACCAACATAGACGGAGTGTACGATATTCACACCAATTCCATGCACTGGCCAAGTCATATGCAACCAACTCATGCTCGATGGGACGTTGTTGACGACGAGAACGATATCGAGGGCGCTGAGAAAACAGCTACTCTTCCTCACCTAGACCCGGTCTTCGCCAGGAACTTTCGAATTCACGACCTGTGTCTCGAATCAGCTCCCGAGTCATGGCTCGGGAGGCCGGGCCACAATGAAGACGTTGAAGGTCTTTCCTCAATACCTCCGGCAATACTCGAAGAACTGCCTGCAGATTGTCTGATTGCTTTTGAAGATGCCAAGGCTCGTGAAGCTAACTGGAGAAACAAATGGCAGTCTGAGCGAGTTAATGGCTTCCGAGCGCAGCTTCTGCCCTCAGTGGATTGGTATCCTAAGTGAGTTAGATGGAGAAAGAACCACAACAGCGCTATTCAATGTTCTCAACAAAGCATTCTGAATGGCTAGCGCCGAGCATCATTTTGTGAGGGACATGTTGGCCATGCATTGGAACTCCCCCGGAAAGCAAAGTTTCTTCGCTTCCCCCGGACTTTGTCTACATACGGTTGACCTGAGAGCTGAGTGCCCGCGCTTTACTACTACGCCATTTTTGGGCCTACTGACAGCCGAGACGACATCTATCTGCTGCCTCATACTTGCGCCCTTTGTCCGGTCGTGTCGAGAGATTGCAGCACCGAGAACGCGCGGGGCTTCACTTCTAAACCGACCGAAAGCCGAGGATGCATTTCTGTTGACTTGTTTCAAGGATCATGGAGTACATCACCCACGGCAATAGCACGCATCGAAGTCTGAAGTCCGGCGAGACCCGAATGAGAAGAGGGGGTCATATGCAGCAGAGAATCGAAGTGTGATTTCGAAGACAGTGCACAACCGATGTTCGGCGGATTTCGTGGAGAAGAAGCAATCATTTCGAACATGATTGGTCAAGCAAGCTCTGTTTCTTAAACACCATTTCTTTCAACCAATGATACCGTGCTGCACCACTCCTTCATCATCTTCGTGACAATGTAGAATTTTCTTATGAGTGGAGCAGTCTCGCATTGCATGCTTGTGAACCGCGGCAGAGAAGTCAGGAGTCCGCAAATATGTGAATGGGTGGTGATTAAAGGAAACTTCGTTAGACCGCCAAAGTGAGCGGTGGATTTCATACCAAATGAGGCTACCGAGACCATACTCAGAAGAGGTGGACAGTAAGTATGAAATCTGAAGTACGAGTATGCCTCTCGTGGCGGCTACTTCACGGCCAAAATGTGCCCTATTCCTAATGGCAGGTCACCTGCATCTATCTGGCCTGCACGTGAGAGTCAGCAAGAGCGCACAATGATGTCGCCGTGCATGGGAGAGTCCGAGGCAGTGTCGGGTGCAGGAAGGTTTATTCACCAGTGCTTATGAGATACTGCAGCTAAATGATAGGTACACTCGAGGGGCGAATCTAAGTTCTACGAGTAACAGGGATCTCATGGTCCCGACCTCGATCTTTCCAGGGTTTGACATAGACGGTAGGGAAGCTGGATGGATGAAATCAGGCAGCATTGATCGGTGGTGAAACAGGGTCTTGGGATTTTTCCATTGTGATGGATGTGGTTTGTTGTCACAAAGCCCCCGATCAGTGATCCATCCATAACCGACACCTTCGTCTGGTATCGTACGAAGTACGTATGGTGGCAAGTCACTACGAATACGAGTGATAGGATGCGAGTAGTGAACAGCGATGGTGTTGAGATCATTTCATCATGATGCGTATAACGTATGTCTAGCGGACAGAACAGGTGGTAAGAATGTGATCCGAAGACGATCCTCGGGCCCTCAAGCCATACGGGTACGTGGGATTGGATCTTCATCGCGGGCCTGAGGGGCGCAGGCGTGAACACTGCCAGAGTACGGAGTAGGTCGAAGCGGCATTGGCCAACGAGGTATTTGCTTAACAAAGGTGTACAGTACATACGGAGTTGCCATGTGTCGGTGTGTTCGGTTTCTCTCGCAAGGGGCCAAGGCGGCGCTCGGACGGACCGGAGGCTTCAAGGGGTGGTGATTGGCTCAAGGCAGCCAAACCACGCGGTCACAGTCGGGTGTGTCCAGGGATCAAAGGATTGTGATGATGAATAAAAACCCAAGCCACGCGAAAATGGCAACGGACACGCCAACTCAAAGTTACGTCGAAAGAAGGGAAGTGCGTGCATACGGAGGTTGGATTACGAAGTCAATGGAGTGTTGGACTTTCAATTTGACTGAAGTGATGGACAGGGTGACACATTCTTCACGGCCCAGTGTCTTGCTTGTGAGCGAGCACATCAAATCGCCCCTGTGGATTGGATGCCACCCACCCAAATTTTCTGCAAGTTGGCTACCTAACGAAAGGCGTTTGCTGCTCAGGGTCTTCGAGGCCCGACTGGCTCCCTTCACTTGCTACTAGTTGCGTTTGGCTCCCCCAGGCTCCTTTTTTTCACTGCCCGCTGTTGGCTGGATCGTCTCTTCGTTTCCGAGTTGTGCTCTTCGTGCTGCAGCCACTTTACCATTTTGCCTCCGCTTCAATGTGAATTGTCCCCGTTTGCAGGCCCAATCCGTGCCGTTGCTCGTCCTTCGCCCTCTGCCCACAGCCATGGGCCTTACAAGCCTGTGGCCCTCCTAGCCCCCCTACGACCCCCTAGGGTTGGCTAGTGAGCCCAACTTAGCAGCCGTCCCTCGCCTTCGCCATCAGCACTTCCCAGTCCACCCGCTAAAAACTTCGCTCGGCCAGTCAATGACTGGGCGACCGACTGGCTGCTGCACGTCGATGTGCACACACACTCTCTCATCCTGCTGGTCCCTTTCTTTCCCCCTCCCGATCCCGCCTCTTCAACCGCATCATCTCTTCCTCAATTCCCTCATCTGCTTTTTTTCCACTCTACTTTCACTTAACTCCTCACTCCCTCTTAACCTCAACCTCTCCTCTCCCATTTTAACACCTCGTCCCCGGTGTTGTGTGTTGGTCGTCCTTTGTTGTTGGTGCAGCCACGATTGCTATTCCTGGCCGCCCATTGAAGGATTTTCACCCAGCCAATTTCGGACCCGGGCCCACGTCTGCCTCTTGAGTGACGACTCCTTACGGTCAGCTTGATTGCCACAATTTCCCAACTGCACCACCGTCGCCAGGCTACCGACTTTTGGGCCTTGCTTCGCCCGTACCAAGTCAACCTCCTCGGTCGCCCAGGCAGCCTGTGAATAGTGTTGGTGGCCAAATTGTGCTTTCTTCTGACGAAGCACCTGCGCGTCACGAGCCGGTCAGAGCCTTTCCACGGCGGCGTTTCTCGTCATTGTTAGCGGCTGTGTTCCTTGTCCATACACCGTTCTCCTTCCGGCATTGCAGGGTCTCAAACATCCCTCTACACCTCTCGCCTGCTCCCGTTCAAAACATCAAACGCGCTTCCTACTTTTTTCTTCCTTTACATCAAAGTCACAGGACACGTTGGGTTTTTGTTTGTCTGCGAGTGTCAGTGCGGATTGGGTGACACCACTTGGTATGTTATTTTCACCGCTGCTCCCCTCACCACCTACCAATGTCGGCTTCTGCATTGACAACCTCACTCTAACCTCACTTGCATCTGCAGGCTGCCGTATTGATCAAAAAAGTCTTGCTATTCACCGCGCCTCACGATTACGACGAGCTTTTCACTAAGTCTTGTCGAACAAAATTTAATACTCTTCATCATCAACCTCTTACCAGAGATCACCACTGTACACACCAATCGTTTGCCGACCCGTTACTCTCAGCAAGCATCGACTTTCGTCCTGCTCGCGCACAAATTGATACCTCGTCAATATCGAAACCAGCGTTACGCAAAAGTTGTTTGCGCGCGAAATACATTCTCATCACCTCCATGCTTGGCTTTTGAGGTCACAAGTCTAAACAGCTTCCAAAGCTTCGGCTTCAACGCCTAGTGCGTTGACGCGACCTCCGAAGACAGACAGTGAGTTCCATCCGGAATTGGATGTGCTTGTTCCCCATTGTTGACGCACTTTCAGGGTTTCTGGCTGTCTTCACTTCTCCTTACCGATCATGCCTTCATACCATTCTTGGGGCCCGCATGGCCAACACTCGAGACTGCCACCAACTCCTCCAGAGTATCAAAATGACTACCTCACTCCCATGAGCGCAGTCTCCGACAGAGGCTTCTACCAACAGCAGAACTACCTCCCTCGACGATCACTCTCCAGCAGAGACTACGGTGACAGATATCAGGCACCACCAGCATACACTGCTCAACAGCCCCTTGCTAGTCATGTGGCTCGTCTCGGACATGGTCAAGGATCTCAAGAATATCCTTACCCCCAGCCATACCCTCAGACGGCCGCACAATATGGGTATGCTCCCGTCGGTGCTCCGATCTTACCACCTATCCGTGTCGGCGACTCAATGGACTTCTCTGGACACTTCACCCAACAGTCCACCGAATCAAACCTTAAGGAAGAGAAGCCGACGGGAGGCGTTGCGCAACATCTTGATTATGACATGGATCTGATGTCAAACTTCGTTGCTGAAATGTCCCAGAAACTGTAAGTAATAATCTTCGACTATACTGGTCAACCAGACTGACAATCTACCCAGTGTTACACCGGAATCATCTCCATCCTCCCAATTTCGGAAGTATGTCTCGCAGATACTGTCATCAACACGCCTGCCAAGCTCCACCATCATGTTAGGTCTGTTCTACCTGGCTTCTCGTATGGGCCAGCTCAACGAACGAGGCCAGTCGACATCGTCCTCTGGTACGGTCTATCGCATGCTCACCACCTGCCTTCTCCTTGGCAGCAAGTTCCTCGACGACAACACATTTCAGAACAGATCCTGGGCTGAAGTCAGTAGCATCCCTGTCCAAGAGCTCAACATGATGGAAATTCAATGGCTCACAGACTTCAACTGGGAGATTCATGGTATGATGTATGATAAAGAGGAGGGTTTCTTTATGTGGGTGGAGCACTGGCACGCCTACGAAGAGAAGGCTCAGCTTGCCAAAGCAAAAGAGTTGCAAAAGTTGGCGCCAATCGAGACCAACATTCGTCGCAGCCGGTCTCTACACAGCCAACCACTCATGTCGCCCGAAGGACCAATCCCACCTCAGTACCAACAAGGCTCGCAATACGATACTCGCTGGGTCCAGCCATACATTTCGGAGTATTCACCTCCATCTGCACCCCACAGCGGACCTGCTACGCCTGATTATTACACTCCAACCTGGTCGTACACACCTTCGAATGCCTCGTTTGGCCGTCAGTCATATCAAGCCAGCACTGCCTCAGCCTACGCTGCACAACGTAATCAACTCCCAACTTATGGCCATACGTATGGCTATCCAAGCATTACACCAAATTGGATGGCCCATGGTCATGGTCTGCACGCTAAACAGTCAGATTATTACTTCAATCATACCGGATATCCGTTGCAGACTGTGGTCGGTTGAATCCTTCCACAACATTCCTGCGTTCAGCGAGCTTGACTTTCGCGGGGAAAAAGTTAGTGCTTACAACGTTTTTTCGGTCTTGTTTTACCACCGTCAATTATCCTTGGAGGGCTCTACATGACAACAGAGAGAATCAAAGATTTCGGACCGACGGTGCTTCTTTACGAGTCGAAATCTCTCTCATCGAGCTCACATATAACGACCTTTTACGATGCTGTACCTTCCAGTCTTTCATTCTTCGGCATTTGAACAGCGAGCAAATTCCTTTCTTCCAGTGATAGAGCAAGGGTTTCATTCTTTCCACATACATTCATGATGGGTGGGTGATATCAGGAGCTTCAGGGGAAGGCAAAAGTCTAAAAAAAGTTCCGGGCTCCAGAGTCGGTTTGGTGGCGTTATGGTTTAGTGACAAGAGTGTCACGCATCGGGTTTTTCATTTCCAGCACAAGACACCGTTCATATATTTGCTTAACGGTACTTTTTTTCTTCGACAGCGAAGCACGACACGAATGGATGGTGGGAGGGCACCCTGGGATCTTGCACTTTGCTTGTTGAATCCGTCATCCTTCTAATTAGCTATGTGAAAATGAGGCGGCGAATGAGTTGAGGTGGCTTCCTGGTGCAAGAAGAGATTTCATTATACCTCGAGTGTTTGGTGAACGTCAAGGTCTGCATGACAAGATATGGAACGCGGAACGCACCTAGAAACGGCGGTGTTAGCAGAGAATGGGCTCCACAGAACATGTTGGCCATGGTGTTCAAGGGACCTTCCGTCAACTTCTTCATCCGATGGCAGGGTTTGAATGCATTCATTCGGTGGGCTTATACCCCGTGATAGATTATTGCTATGGCTTTTTTGCGCAAGACAACGAGAAAGAACAAAAATAAAAGATCGATTACCAGCATCAATTAGTGAACATCCTAAGATCGCCCAATGTGACATTCTCGAAGTTGGTAATCTCTAGTGATGGATGGAGTACGGAGTACAAGTCTGGCTGATGAGGCTCAGGCTGCGACGAGTGACGCGGTGAACAAATGCCAAGGCCAGGCCTGTCTCGCTGCGCCGTCGCCTCACTTACTGTCTATGAGCTTCCACTTACGGCTATGTAATCCAATCCGAACACCTCCAAGGCTCTCCAAACGCCTTCCACTACACTGGTATCGTTCATTCATCTCTGCGGAACTCTTTAGCTTCTACTCTTCCACTTGAACTGTTTTGTCCATCTCACTTTCTTCCCCTTCCCAAAACCACAACCTAACACAACCCCTGCGAACATGTCTACATTAGAAGATCTCGATGATCTGGAACGCGACCAGAAGGAGCAGAAGAAGGATGGCGACGACAAGGACAAGAAACCACCGACGGATGGTGATTCCAAGGATGCAGAGATGAAAGACGGCGAAGCAGAGAAGAAAGATGAAGAAGAAGAATACATTGATTCGGAAATCCTTCAGTCAAGTACAAGAGACATCATCAACCGGCGGCGGTTATTAGAGAATGAATTGAAGATTTTGAAGAGCGAATTTCAGCGCTTGAAGCACGAGGAGGCTACGATGAAGGACAAGATCAAGGATAACCTGGACAAGATTGAGAACAACAGGTGAGTGATTATCAAAATGCAAGTGTAAACAAACCTAACGTCTCTGCGAAAGACAATTACCGTACCTCGTGGGCAATGTCGTCGAACTCCTTGACCTAGATGTCGAAGCAGAGGCTGCAGAAGAGGGAGCGAACATCGATCTCGACGCCACACGTGTGGGCAAATCGGCCGTCATCAAGACCAGCACGCGACAAACGATCTTCCTGCCTCTGATCGGACTGGTCGACCACAATAAGCTGAAACCGGCTGATCTCATTGGTGTCAACAAGGATTCATATCTAGTCCTCGATACGCTACCTGCCGAGTACGATTCAAGAGTCAAGGCCATGGAGGTCGATGAGAAGCCTACCGAAAAGTACACTGATGTTGGAGGTTTGGACAAACAGATTGAAGAGCTTGTCGAGGCCGTAGTTTGGCCCATGAAGGAGGCAGAGAGGTTCAAAAAGATTGGTATCAAGGCTCCAAAGGGTATGTTGCGAGTCACTTTTTTGTATTATTGTTATGCTAAACCCTTGGCTTCTAGGTGCATTGATGTATGGACCTCCCGGTACAGGCAAGACTCTTCTTGCCCGTGCCTGCGCTGCTCAGACGAATGCCACCTTCCTCAAGCTTGCCGGTCCTCAGCTTGTGCAGATGTTCATCGGTGATGGTGCCAAGCTTGTTCGGGATTGTTTCGCTCTGGCTAAAGAGAAGGCGCCTTCGATCATTTTTATCGACGAACTCGACGCTGTAGGGACGAAGCGTTTCGATTCAGAAAAGAGTGGTGACCGAGAAGTGCAACGGACAATGTTGGAACTGCTCAATCAGCTTGACGGTTTTGCTTCGGATGAGCGAATCAAGGTACTAGCTGCCACGAACAGAGTCGATGTGCTCGATCCTGCCCTGCTCCGCTCCGGCCGACTGGACAGAAAGATTGAGTTCCCCCTTCCTAACGAGGAGTCACGAGCACAGATCCTGCGTATCCATTCCAGAAAGATGACTGTCGATGAAGGTAATATTAATTGGAATGAACTTGCCCGATCGACAGATGAGATGGGAGGAGCGCAGTTGAAAGCTGTTTGCGTCGAAGCAGGCATGATCGCCCTTCGAAAGGGTCAGAGCAAATTGGTCCATGAGAACTACGTGGACGCTATCGCCGAGGTGATGGCGAAGAAGAAGGATACGTAAGTTACATCCCTTCCCTGTTCAGATTCTGAGAGACTAACATAAATAGTGTCAACTTCTACGCATAGGCGTCACCATCTTGCGCCATGCTGTTTCTCCCAGGACGACGATGAGTCCTGGCTTGTACACACTAGCATAGGCATGTATGGCGTCCAGATAGATCATGGTGGATATAGGTCATTATCCGCAGCCATGCTGACGGACTCTTGGGCGGATTCAGTATGACAATAAAACCAAGTTGCATTGCTTGTAATAATGAATCCAGCACAGCTGAATATGCCAACTTTCCCCAGCGTCCTTTGTTGTGTTGACGTACGAACTGTGTATTTCTTTTTGTGTGAATTTCAAGCCTGGCCTTGAGTGAGCTTCCATTGAAAGGCTGCGCTACTATTACTCGCACATAAATCTAGAACTCGTTGAGGCTAGAGTCAGTGATTGGTGCGTTGAGTAATAACAACCGTTGTTACCGCTGTTCCCGTTCACAGTCGATCTCGTTCAGATGTATTGGCCAGAGCCCAACGCCACGGAGCCACTTACTTCCAAGTCTTGCTGCACCGCGTTCCAACTCTGCGGACTTCATCTGCCCACGCATTTCTTTCTCGACTACTTGTACCCTGGCATTTGGCCATGTCGAGCTGGCCTCTAGCTCATTTCTCGCTTGCTTTGCTCGCTAAAGACCAATGTTTTCTCTCCATGTTTCAACTTCATTCGACGTCAGACCTTCTACTTGCGCTAGATAGACAAAGCAATGGGTGAAGCCCTTGGCTGATTTGCCCAAGTTGTCGGGCGACTCCAGGTGTCGCCTTCGAATAGGATCGATTTCTTGATCTACAATAATATATTCACAACAGTCCTCAAATGGTTTTCCAGCCCCGAGGTCTGGCTGAGGAAGGTCCCCCCTACCTACGCTTTTGCCTGGGTGGCGTGGCTGCTGCTGTGACATGACCTGTACGCTACAGCTTGCTCTCGGCCATCATGTCAAAGCCATATTTGGGAATCTACTGCGATGACAGGAACTGGAAAATGGGGACAACAGCCACCCAAACAAGATCGCTCCCTCTCCCAACACGTCAAAAGTGTGCTCGCGCGGCCGATACAATACCGACAACATTTACGCCCAGTCGCGGTTGGCGAAAGTTGCCTGCCACAATTTTCGAGCTGATTTTACAGCAACTCAGGGAATTACATTTTGATGCCGAACCAGCATCATGTGCGACTTGCTTCATGAGAGATCTTTGTGCTGTACAGCGAACCTGTAAAGCATGGTTCTCTGATGCTCAACGAATGCTGTAGTCCTCTCTCTTCTGAAGAAGTCGAGCAGGCGCCCAAGGCTAACTCTCACAGGTATACACATATCGAGCTTATTGGACAAGATGATCCTCGCATGCTGCGGAAATGGAGATTGTCACGAGCAGCGCGGCTGGTCAGACTCCGGGCAACCCTACGAGCGAGGCCTCGGGTTGCTGCTCTTGTAAGGACCCTCCGGGTTGCAGATCCCCATATACCTCTGTATCTCTTTAATGATGATCCTAATCCGGAGTACGACGCCTACCTTTGCACACTGTCGTCTGTGATCATGGCATGCCCGAACCTCGAGGCACTGTTGGGATTTTCGCCTTTCTACAACCATACCTTTGACCGGCTCACACATGCACTGTCCACAAGAACAAAACTCCGTCAGCATGTATGGGTCATCGCGGAGAACGAGGATGTGAAAGAACGAAGTCAGAAACAACTTCCTCCAGGCCTCTTGGACAGCCAGCAGACCTTTGAATTCATACTCTACCATGACAGGTGGCAGGTGCTGGAGACACTAATGCTTTGCTCTCCTGGAGGGTTTGGTGTTGTTGAGCATGAGGTCTTCATCGAAGTCCTTCATGCTTTACCTTCACTCAAGAATTTCTGCGTCTCATCTTTTGATGTTGATGATTTCAATGACAAGACCTTGCTGTCTCTACCTTCGCTCGTGTCAGTGCGACTCGAGGAATGCGTGGGGGTGACTGATTCTGGTTTGACCCGCTGGGCGGGATCTCCAAGGGCTGCCATGATCGAAAGGCTTTCGCTGATACATCAGAATGTGACGAATTTGCTAACCTTGTCTAAAATCTTTGCCAGTCTCGATAAACTAAAAAGGTTTACACTTGTTCAGGTGGACGTTGTCCCAACAATGCCGGATGACATGAGTTCCCTTATTTTCCAGCCGATCATGGCTTCCAAAAGCTTGCAGTTCATGCACTGGGATGTAGGATGCAGCCAGGACCTACGAGATTCAGTGGCGAGCGAGAGCAGTGATTTTTACCCACATCATGGTTGCTCTGAGTCAGATCTGGCTGTCAGCCCTACACCAAACCACCACTTGGCCTTGTCAATTGTTCATAGTGGCTTTCCAGCGTTGACCAAGCTTCGGGCACCACGCGATACATCACCCCGCGGAATTCTACAATCAGCTTGCCGGCCCCCTACAGCTAAACAGATGAATGATCTGGAGCGGGATGTAGGACAGCAAGTGTTGGGACGAAGTTCTCCCCCAAACTCCCTGCGTTCAGCAAAGCTGCGAGCAGCGTTGATGGCTAGCGATCCACTGATAGAGCAGTCCATCTCCAAAATCGCCGATCTAATTGATGGTACGCGTTGCGTTGTACCTTCCACAGAGATCAAAATTTCACGGCGCTCTTCGGACAAAGAAGTGTTCTGCCAGGGCCACAAAGGTGATGATGCTGTTTCTTGGAGCAATGGAGAATGTTGCTGTGAACGAGTTCGAAGAGTTAGCTGCACTTGCGACCATATTGCTGATCCACAAACTCTTGACACGCTTCCTCCTCCGCCTCCACCACGAAGCCCTTTACGACGGAGGTTTCCTTCTCTCAACCGCACTCTTGGAACAACTCAGAATGTCTCTTCCTATAGGTCGGCGCCAGATTCTTGTGTGAGCCATGCTATAACGTCTGGAGAAACCAACATTCCCTCAACGCGACCGAATCGGCCTATCCTCTACCTTGAGCCTGACCTGCCGGGACATGACGACAACGGAGGTTTGACAGGCTGGGCTGAGCTACTTGGGATCAACGAAAAGGCAAAATCGGAGAAACGACGACGGAGCGCATCAACCAGCAAGTCCAGCCAAGCCAACGTCACTCAAGAAGGCGAGGATGAAAGCGTAGGTATGTGCACTGGTGCCTGGAATAGCAGGGTCCGAGTGCATGGTACCGAGAGTGTTGATATCGTCGCTGGCAGTCCGATATCCTGGTCTCCCGGGGAGAGTCAAGAGTGGAAGGGGAAGTTGGCCACAAGGGGCAAAGGTAGTCAGCAACAGAAATCAAGTTCCAGTCTGTCACTCTCCTCGACTTTGAAAGCTGAGTCACCACAAGCGCGAGTCGAAAAAAACAGCCATGTCCCGAGGCCAAGAGGGAGGAAGGGTGGGTTTGTGATGGTCGATGATTTCTTCTGAATAGAAAAAAAAGAAAGTCGAAGAGAGACCAGCCAGATGACTTATTTGACAAATTTCATCAACATGAAATGGTTATTATGCTATATTAGTACATGGCTGGTTTTGATATTCTATGTATATATGCTAGATAAGACAAAAAGCCGCACGCCCTTTTTTTGGGCATTCAGGATTGCACTTCAAGAAAGGTACAAAAAAAATGATCATAACTTTTCGATCCTCTCAAATTCCGACATTGTGTACTCATAAACTTTTGAACCCGCACCTTGCTCCCTCAATTTTTTCAGTTGGGCGTTTCCCCCGTTCTCGACGACACTCGTGTCGTCCTTGACCATGTAGGCTCCGCTGCCTTGGACGCCGTCGCTGCCCTGTTGGACCAAGGTGCCCGGGGCGGCGGTGTCGGGAGGGAGTCGTCTGAAGCGACCGTTCGTCGCGGCGAAGAGGACCCGTTCGCCGACCTCTTGGGAACCACGACCGACGACCCAGACGACGGTTTTGGCCACGTAGTCCCAGAGCCAACGGACCAGGAAGTTGGTGGACGGGGGCACGCGCAGGTTCGTCCCCGAGACGAGGCCGGGGTAGAGGTGAATAAAAACAATCTCCTCGTTGCCGGGTCGTCGGGAGAGTTCCTCGAGGAAGAGCGTGGTGAGCGAGGCCGAAGCCCCCATGGCGTACGCCATGCCGTAAGTCTCCGGCCGGGTCATGCCCAGATCCGACAGGTCCAGGGGACCCTCGGTGCCGGCCCCCAGGACGCTGACGACTCGAGGGGACCGCGAACGCCGGAGCAGCGGGAGGAGGGTGACGAGGATCCTCATGCGGGAGTGGTACCTCACCGCCGTGACCCGGTCCAGTCCTTCCCCGGGGGTGTAATCGGGCGTCGACCGGAACGAGAAGAAGCCCTGGGACTCGATCAAGAGGTCGAGGTGGGTGGCTCGAGAGGCGACCTCCTCGGCGGCCCGTTGGGCGCCGCGGACCGACGTGAGGTCACCGGCGACGACGGCGTGGAGGGTCGCGCCCCGGTTCAGAGGTTGGACCTCCGCGATGAGTCGGTCCAACCGGGCGGCGCCGCGCCCGACGACGTACACGGTGGGGGAGGTCGTGTGTTTGAGGATCGCCTGGAGCGTCGAAAGCCCTATCCCTGACGTGGCCCCGACCAGAGCAGCGACGAGCCCGGACCCGGAAGACGAGAGGGACTCGTTGTTCAGTAGAATGTCGGACGTGGAAACCATGTTTGGAGTCGAATGAGGTCCTGGTCTTGTTTTTGGTTTGGTAGATGTTTCGAGGTTGCTTTTAGAATCTCGTGAGGAGTATCTGTTCTGCTGTCTGTTGTCTTCTGGGTCTTCTGTGTGTTTGTGAGTCAAAGCCGTGAGGGTCAGCGATCAAGGTAGTATATATAGATATAGATATATCCAAGAATCTGTTATTTCAATCGGCCTTAACAGCTATGTGCTCATATTCCGTATTGGGATCTGTTGTTTGATCAAGTACAATCGGCCTATACAAAGGCCCCCAAGCTTACCAATATCACTCATGAGTTCTGGAGTCGGTGAAATAGCGTGGATTAACCCCGACGACACTTTGACTATGGTACAGAACACCTGTTATCACAGTTGGTACCAGACAAGAGTACTCTGGCCATCAGTAGACTTTTGGACCTGATTATGTTAACATCGCAACGTGTTCGGCCTCTGGAAAAGCCGAGATTCGCGACCTTAGATAATCGATTCGCGAGTAATGAGTTTCCTAGGGCAGGGAGGCTCGATGTCTGACAAGCCGTGAAACCATACACAGAAATAACAATTCTTAGGCGACTTTTACGTCAGACAAGGAGAATTAATTCCCTTGACTTGAAGAGTCTCATTTCATTGATTGTATCATTCATTGTCCACAGTGTCCATCTCACATCTACCACATCTTTTCCCAGGTCCTCCTCACGATGTTCATTTGCGCAAGTCTCTGTCTCTCGTGTTCGTTCAGTCCGCCTTCTTCCCAGTGTCGGCATTCTGCATCAATCTCCGCCTTTCCACTGTAGATGTCGGTCGTCTTTGGATCTTGGAACTTGGTACGCTTGAACAACTTCCAGAAGATGAAGACGACAATGCCGTACGCAAGCCCGAAATAGCTCGTGACGAAACCTTCAGTATCCCACGGGACGAAAACGTCGAATCCAATGAAGAACATGGTGACACAACCGATCCCGATCGCAAAATAAGCCGAGTATGGAGCAAAGGGTGCCTTGTAGGGTAAGGTGTTGCGGTCGATACCTTGTGCCTTCAACGCTCGGAACCATCCGATGAACGTCCAGAGCATGCTCGTGTACGTCAAGATGAAGGCAATGGTGGTCAGAGACACAAACCAGTAAAACACCGTCACGGCGGAATCCGAAGCGACCAAAAAGGTCACGCAGCTGATCAGACTGACTATCGAGACGCTGTAGATGGGAACCCCGGATTTTGTGCACTTCATGAAGATCTTGGGGGCCTGGCCGTCGCGCGCCAGCGAGAACAAGGTGCGGCTGGTCGAGTACAGGTAGGCGTTTCCACATGACCATCCGGACAACAAAATGAGGAAGTTGATGAAACCCGGGAGGCCGGTGATGGCCAAGTTTTCGATGCCGATGACCCAGGGGGACGCCGCGGAACCCGCCAAGCCCTCTTCGATCGCACCCATCAGGCGAGTGTCCCGAGACGAGCAGATGACGCCGACAAAGAAGACTCCGAGGATGTAGAAACCGACCAACCGGTAAAAGACGAGCCGTGCCACGCGGGGGACGGTGCGGCGGGGGTTCTGGATCTCTCCGGCGGCCAAGGCGATCAAGTCTGGTCCGGAGATGGTGAACGCGGCGTACCTGACGACCGACCAGAACCCCAGGAATCGACCAGTCACTCCGGTGGCGTAGTACTCGTGCATGGCCAGTCCGTGTTTCCAGTAGCGGAAACCATAGGCGTCATGTTTGGGGTTACCCCCTACCATGGTGACGAAGGTGAGAAGGCATAATCCGATCAGCAGAAGTATCTTGGTGGACGCCATGATGAATTCAGACTCTCCATACCACCTGATGGGGAGATTGTCAGCAAGAAGGAGCACGAACAGTCGTGATGAGGGGGTCCAGAGAGACCAACTCACTTGACAGCGACGATGTTTAACAAATAGCATACGACCAGACACATTGCGACCCACGCCGCTGGATTGACCTTGTCTGATGGTTCCCAATATTGCATCACGGTAGCCACGGCCGAGTATTCCGTGCACACAAGCATCTGTCCGCCAAAGTAATACGTCCATCCCTGTTGACAAACAGTCAGTCAGATTGAAGATCTCCCGAAGAACAATGTCCATGGGGAGGGGGGGGAGAATATTTTCGTACCATGGCGAATCCCAATGAAGGATCGACGTAACGAGCGGCGAGTTCAAAAATGTTGCCTTTGACAGGAAGCCAGGCGATCATCTCGGCGACGCACAGATAGCAAGGCCAAATGAACAAGAGTCCCCAGACTGTGTGGTTCGAGAGTTAGTTGCTCGGTTCGCAGCAGCCAGAGTTTTGAATATGGAGATGGTGAGGTAAAACGAGGATGGCCGCAAACGTACAGAGATAACCGAGAAGCAGACTCAAAGGACCAGTTCGAGAGAGACTACCACCTATACCGACGAAAAGGGCAGTACCGATGCTCCCTCCGATGGCCATGATCTGGACATGACGAGGACTTAGGCCTCTTTTGGTCGTTCCGTACTTTTCCCATTCGGCATTGCTGAGACGTCTCTCGTAGACATCACCTTGAACTTCCTCAGAGGCTGTTTCGGTGATTGGTTGTTCCCCTCCCTCTTCGGTCGTCTTGACATCTTGAGGGTCGACGCCCATTTTGTTTGTCCGTGAGTGGTAAGGTCTGATGTCTTGTTATTGTTGTTCACCTTTTACAGTACGTGTTCATAGTAAGTGAAAAGAAGGAGGGACGAGGATCGAGGGAATCTATACGTGAGAGAACCCCGGGGGGTCGTAATCGAAATGGAGACCTGAAAATCTCTGAACAGCAGTGAAAGTATTGCTAGTGGACCTTGAGAGGAGGGGAAAACCAACGGATATATATACCTAGCAGGTTATACACGGAGTAACGTGTACGTATCAAAACGACCACTCGCTTTGCCATGCCATGCCATGCATGCGATTGCCTATGCTAGTTGGGTACCTTGGACCTTTTCGGCAGACAATTAGGGAGTGAAGGGTTCTTGGGGATTTCCTCCACTCTTTTGCTGCAAGGGGGGACCGGCTATGCATCGCGCGTGGAATAGGCGAAAAGAACCAAATCCTCAAGATAAGGGAAAACAAAAAGAGATACACGATCCCTGTCGACATGCGTGCCTGGGCACACGAGACGGTACGAAGTAGTGCGGCGTGTCATGAACTCTACTTGGACTGAACAAGTGACGGTGGCGGATGGCGAGTTTGAGTACGCTTACTCCGTACCGAGACGCCAGAAAAGCAGAACAACTATGTAGAGAATACTAGACAGATGCGGCCTTTTTGATGTGATTGTGAGGTCTTTGCTCGAGTACTCGAGACTTATTATCGGATCACACATACCTCTTCATGTACTTTTGTACCCGTACGGTAGAAATACTGTCACGTATACTTGGGGGGGGGGGGGGGGCTTGCGTCTGGAGATAATACTCACAGTATACAATTATCCTGCTAATTACATTCACCATTCCCGACCTCCTTGTTCTCAATAGTTGGTACACGGTATGGAGTAATATGTATCAAATAATAGTGTCCCATGACAACGACAACAACGGAGATGATCGTTCGCCTCTCTACTAGCCCCGTAGATAAGAAGACAATGGGCCGATCAATTTCACTTGGAATATGGAGTTATGGAGTTGGATTGGGAAAATCCCTATACTCAACTTGGTGTCTAAACCCGCCCTGTCTTCCGACGATAACGAATCAAGGTCATCCCGTACTCTACGCCCAGAAATTGCCAAGCTGACAAGCACAGTAGACAAGTCCTCCTCGACTCTTTTAGACTCGCCGTACCTCGATACATGGGGGTTGAAAAACGAGGATCATTTGCCGACATCAACTGTCAAAGGGAAGGAGTCAGCGAGGGCACTTTTGCTCATATCTGATGACGAGTACGGAGTATCGACCATCTCCCGGGTCAAGCCCAAGGTGAGCTACATAGGGTAAAAGTAAGGTAATAAATAATAAGACAAGTTTATGTACCAGTGACAGACTTATTGATCAAACGGCTAATATATGTTGACCTCTTTTACGCAAAACAGGTACCCATGAAGGAACTTCATTGACAATACCACCACCACCACCACCGTGCATGTTGATGTTGTCGTTGTCGTTGTTGTCCTTCAATTCCCATGCCTCTTGAACCACCTGCCATAACTCCGTAATGTTACCTATCCCGTACTGAAGCATCCCCGTCCACCATTTATACCAAACGTCCCTGTGAGGGCCTCTTTCGGCTTCACACGACGCGACAAACCCCGGCCAAGTGATGGTTGCGCACAGGTTGTGATCGTAACCCGCCCGGAGTTTCAATTCTTCAATCTCGACCAGATGTTTTGCGACCTCGGAAATGTGAGAATGCATTTCCGAAGGTCGACAGGGTAAGATGCGAGTGTGATAATACACTCTGAGTGCACGTGCAAAGGCAAAAATGTGGTGTTTGGCCAGTTGAGGGGTGAGGTCCGTCCCCGTCCCCGAAGGGTCACGGTCGATGATGTCTTCGGCCACCGGTTCGGATTCGATCGACCAAGATGAAATGTCCTCGGACAGTCTTCTGCAAGCCGAGATCAAGGTAGGAGGAAAAGCGTCGGACCGGGAAACATAATACGAAATGTGTTGACCCAGAGTGACAATGTGATGCATGAGATTGGCGAGTCTGGGAGTGATGCCGTAGGCGAATTCCAGACCGGAATCTCGACCGGAGACGTCGTACCCCCGCACCACCATCACTTCTCTCGTGTCACCGTAGTAGTGCTGCTCGGCCGACGACCACGGTAGCTCGTCGAGTTCCAGTGAGGTGGTGCTCGCCAGTGTCGAGAGGAAGGTAGACATGGTGATGAGGCGGGCGATCCTGGGACTGGCATGCTCTTCTTCCCGTTGCAATTCTCTGGCGAGACGACCCATGCCTCCGAGGTGGATCCAGTATTCCGACATGGAACCTTCCATGACGTCCATGGTCGTGAGTGTCAACATCGCCGAAAGGATGGCCTCGAGATGGACGTCGGAAAAGGATGATACGTCGCGAGTGGTGGTGGTGGCCGCCTCGCCGCCGCCGCCGCCGCCGCCCGCTCCAAATGTCTCCATCTCCAACGGCTCTCGGAGTGCCTTTTGAAGAGACTCGAACGCTTTTGCACGGAAGCCTCGAGCGAGCACATCGAGCTCAAGACCGTTCTCGGCTTTGTCCCTACGGAGATGGAACGCCGACGTGGCCAAGACCGCGTAGAAAATGGCTTCATTACTGGCCGGCACTTCGGTAGGGCCGTGGTCGAGGTAGGGCAACAGACTCGAGGCACCCGCCATGGCCTGAGGGACATATATCGTTGAGTAAAGGTTCTCGGGGTGTGGCAATGGCGGAAGAATTTTGGCACACACATTGACATAGTTGTCCATGAGCCGCCGGACGATGGGTTCTTGTAGGAGACCTGACTCCATGTCGAAGCGAGAAGGGAAGTTCTCGACGGGCGAGCCACCTCTCACCACGAGAGGATGCTCTTCCAGCGTTTCGGAAGAGAAGATGTCGCGCAGTGCTTCTAGGGTCGTGTCATCCTGGTCGAACAGAGGAGCGTCATGCTGTCTGGTACTGTCCAAATCAGCTTGTTGGGGCTGCGAACCTGCGCCCGGTGGCTCATCGCTGGGTTTCCTTGGAAGTGGAAAGACGCCAAAGGGCCCAGTAGAGAAACAAGGCAGGTCATCGTGGTTGTCTTCGTGAGCCTCGATGTCAAGTAGTTGCTGATCCACCTCGTCGAGCTGGAAGGTCCATGTCTCGAGGCCTGATAGTGTGGGTCAGCACAAGGTAACATCTAGGGAGCGTTTGCCGGTGAGGTGTGCCAGGCACTGGATTTCGGGTCGTTGTACCTACCTTCTAGTGACATGGCCTGGCGCTTGATGGCCGAGGGTGCGACGGTGTCTTCATCCGTAATCCAGTACAAGCGCAGGCCGTACCCTTCGCATTTTAGCTCTGCTTTCCGACATCGATTGCATTCTGGTCTGTTTGCATCGCATTTCACCTTTCTCGCTCGACATGTCCAGCAACTTGAAGATTTGATAATGTCAGCCAGGGAGGAAGGTCTATGAGAGACAGAGAGATATAGAGAGGTCATGAGCAGATTTTCTTACCCTGAAAACGTTTTGGTCTTGGCTTTAACCTCCCGTGTTCGTTTCTTGCCGGTCTGCATTGCACGATATATTCATTCTAGAAAATCGGTCGTCCTCAAGGCCCTTTGTCATCGGCGCGAATGGCTGGGGCGAAGCCTGCGTACGAGTACTCTGGGAATGGAGAAGATGAGTCTTATCGTGTGGATTACAGTCAATCCTTTCTTTTCCTTCGAGGTTGACGTGATCGGATGTGTTTCATCATGAGTTGTCGACTACTGATCGAGAGTCAAATCTCGTATCAAGTGATTGAGACCCTAATCCGCTGTCCTTGCACACTTTTGATGAACGTTGATATTAATGGCGGCATCAAAAACGTCAATGAAATCAAACTTCAGAAACATTTCGGCAAAACTTCGGTTGTCGAATAGTACAATATGTACAATAGTATATGAGGAGAATGATTAACTTCATACTCCGTACAGGGGAAAGAAATACAACTCAATCTGCGCCCAGTGTGTCTTCATCTTGATTTCTTCATCTACGGGATATAAATATGAAACATGGTAGTACATCTACTTTCAAGACTCGAGATCATGCATAGTGGCACAAGAACTTTTCTCCCTCATGGCCCAATGATATCTAAAACACAGTTTGACGCCATTGGCAAAATCCTACCATGCGCTAGTAGGCTCTGTCTGTTGTCGGGTTCGACTGCGAGATGAGACCTTCTTGATGGCCAATGCCCTAGTGAAACGTAGAAGGTCATGATAGTCATCTTCCTCATCATCCATGGTCTTGGGAAGACTGTCTTGTCGAAGGGGATATCTTCCCCTAGTTGTGCCGGACGGCGATCTCTTTCGCTTGTCGACCTCGTCACGGCCGGATTTGGGACGTCGTGACGATACACTACCAGCTATGCTCTCAGGAGGGATGGGTGGTACCGGAGGCAGTGCTCTGTCCGGTGGAGCCTTCATGGGAGGAGGTCCTCCTGTCTGCGGGCGAGGCGGGAAATATTTCACACCTTCTTCGGACGAAGCGCTGGTGCTGTAGTTGAGGTACGTGAACGCCCCCGTGTCGACCGATTCACCAAATGATAGACGAGGATCCACCTGGCTGTCGTTTCTTTGCCAAGTATAGGTCGGATTATTCTTCGGGCCGTCGTGCTGCTCGTTCGACCAACCGTCATGCTGCTGAAGGCGCGGCGGATCATTCCGGCGACTGGACTGGCGACGCAATGACTGGTCTCGGGAGTGTGGACTGTCGGCCACGACCGTATCCGAGAGGGTGTCGAAATTGAACGAGGCCAGAGAACTGGCGGATGTTGTTGCAGGAGTGGTCATTGCACTTCGCGCCACAGGCAAAAACGGTGGTTGCAGTATCTGCATATCTTGGACGATCTCTTGAGGTGGTGGCAGTCGCTGTCGCAGTCGCAGTTCCTGTTGTTGTCGATCGGCGGTTAGGGTACGTAGGTTCGTCGAGACCTGCCGCAAGCGCTCCGACGACCGGCTTTCACCTCGCGTCACACTTACAGACCTGTTCTGTGAGAGCTGCGCACTGGCACTCCGCTCGACATTCTCCTTGACAATCTCGCTCTTGCAATGAAGCTGGGGCATATTCGCAGCGCGACAGATGTGTTCAGTCAGCTTCCTTTCCAGATCTTGGCTCGAGGATCTTGCTGACGGATCCCTGGCCAGGCAGTGTAATGTGAGTTGTACGATCGGACCAACAGCATGAAAGCTAAGGCTATCATCCTTCTTTGCCTTCTTTTCAGCCTCGTTCTGCAATGATTGCGCCCACGTAAAGACTTGGCCCAAATTCGCATGGAAACTGGCATCCGCCAAACCTCCACCACGTCCGGCTACGCGGTTCTTGGAAGACCGATGGCGGACAAAGGAGCTGTAGCTGCGTTTACACAGAATCGTAATGATGTCGAGAATCACAGCCCCAAGTGAAAAGATATCCGATGCAAACATGTCATCCTCCATCGATTGCCATGTCTGCACCACCGCACTTCGAGTTTCAGGGTTGGCGACGAACATATTTTGGCCCGTGAAGATGGAAGCGAGGTTGTTGCTATTGGATGACTTGGATGACAGAACTGATGGGGCTCTTTTTGGAGTTGATACGGAGGTAGTCGGACGTGTTGTGTCCTGTGTGATAATGGAGTGGTTGTCCGACGGCGTTCGCGGAGGCCGCCCCCGAGTATTTGGCTGTAGCAAGCCACCAGCACTCATTGAGCTACTTAGACGCAGTCTTGCATAATCGCCCCTTGAAGTAGGCTGAAAGCTATAGGCTGGCGTGATCGAATCCGACCCGCTCCTGACACTGTTCCTCCCACTCGAAGAAGTTCCAGTATCCTTACCACCAACTCGTCGACCTGTACGACCGCCCGATGGAAGTGATACCGCAGCGGCACCTGTGCTGCGAACAGTGACAGCCCTTTTCCATCTTTCAGGAGGTCCGTACTGATATGCTTCAATGTCATCTGACCGGACGCGATCACAAAGAACACCATCACCCTCTAGGTAGCCTAAACAAATCTGGAAGGTGTCTGTGACATGAATGTTTGATGGCCTGATAGCTCCGTGATATCGCCCATTGCGGTGGAGCCACGACAAAGCGTTTACGAGACAGTGAGGCCAATTTACGAGAGTATGTCGACGTTCTGTCTTGGATAGATTGGTGAATGACTTTGGTGGATCTGACAGAAAGGTTTTCAAACACCAATCTGGTGAAGGTAGAGAGAGCACATAGAAGTTGGCTTGATGTGTGTACGAGGCAAATACAGAAATAATGTGCTCATGGCGCAATCTCCTAATTGTTGCAATCTCGTTGAGAAGGTCTGCCTCGGTGACCTTAGCGTCGATGTGAACGCGGCGACGGAGGAAGACATTGGATGGTTTGTTGGGGAGTCGGACTTTGTCGGTGCCTTCTTGGCTGAGGGATATCACAACAGATTTCAGACTGAGGGCGGTGATAGGGATGTTCTCTTCATCAGCATATCTGATATGTTCGCCTTCATCGAGTGTACGACTCAATAAGCGAAATTGAGTCTTATAGAAGCGCCTGTCCAAGGAGCGATCGGGTTCGTAGGACAGGCGAAGGTTTGGTACAGCATGCTCTGCAATGGGAAGATCGTCATCGTCGTAAGAGTCATCCACCACACCAAAGATCTGATCGGGAACTCCTGTCTGGACCAATATTAGAAAGAAACGCCGCGCTCGAGTAAGGATCCAGTCGAGATAGGTATCATCCGTCAACCCAGCACCGAAATACAAAGGCCGGCGAAGCAGAGCCTGCTCGTCAGGACGTAGCTGAGCATGGACATACGCCGACGTGACTGTCTCGTATACGCGCTCATCGGTCCAGTATGCCTGAGAAGTCGGTGACATACTCAGTCGATGTAAGCCCACTACTTGTCGTGGGAGGTACGGAGTACTGCTGGGTTTATGAACTAATGTGAGACTCCACCAGCTAACAGACTGCTATGGTTGCAGTAACGGAAATCCACAAGAGGGCCATGCGGGCAGCGAGCTACGCTCATGTCTAGGTGTTCGGAAGGTGAAGGTCTTTTGCACCATTCAGGGCCATAACCGATTCTCAGTCAGAGACCTGTTGAGGAGCAGGGGAAAGCATGGGGCCTGCGTGTGGTTTTATCAGCCTTGACCACATGGCATCCCGCCTGATCCTACATGCGAGATGAGACGTCTTACTCCAAGCAACAGGCGAAGAATCAGAAAAGGTGACAGTATGAGAGACCTGCTACTCTGGGACTTGGGCCCGGGATGTCAATGGCGCACTCCGGAGTGGGGGGAATACTGTGGGAACCGAGCAGATAACAGTAGGAACTCACCCGGATACAGGCCTGAAATGACCTACTACCCCTACCCTTATCGCAACCAACGAGGATCCTTAGGCAGAAGGTGGCTTGCAATGGCCACTTAAAACAAACCCCCCTGGTGACAGCAGTTCGAAGGTCATATAGCGCCAAACTCCTGTCAGAGTCGGGAAGAGGCCGCTTCCCTCTTCCCGTCGCCTTCAGATCTGTAATCACTCTTGACAGCCTTGCGACAGTCGAGTGTTGCATATATGTATGGCTGGTGTACGGAGTATCTGCTCCAGTCAATGTCTTTTTGTTACCGAGTTCCTGGAACTCGCGACTCCGGGCGGGCAACTTTTAGGGAGAGACCAAGGCTAAAAGAAGCCCACAAGCCATGTTTAGCGCCAAGTAGGGGCTAACAAGGGGGTTCCCTGAGGTTTGTGCCACAGTAAGACCACTTTAAAAGCCTAGTGAGCCGTTGACACAGGCAGTTGAGAAGGGGAGCCTTGCAAAGGTCGGAACGGCAGTGTTTAGCGTCTCTTGTCCGAAAAACAAAGTGCTGATCGGCCAGTGACTAAGGAAATGGATGTTCTCGTGGCCGGCGAGAAGCTCAGAGTAAGCAATAACACGATATAATAATTTCATCTTATCCGGCCTCCTGACTGGTTGGCCTCCAGCCTTATCTTGCCTGTACTCCCTAGCGACTTGCCTCACAGTCACTCTGGCGCTGATGAGTACAACCTTGCCGCAGAGTGCCGTGGAGTTTGTCTCGCAAAAGCAACATTACAATCCCCGATATTAAACATTGAAATTTCAATACTGTTGAATGGCCACCCACTGATGCAGGGGCGAAAGGCCGCTAACGAGTGGCGGCTTGGAAGTGATAACTGCAGGGAGGGAGAGGACTTTGAAACCAATGTACGGCATGGACATACGCAAATGATGACCTCCCCATCGTCGTCGTCGACTTGCCAATGGCTCCTGCAGGGGATCCTTTCCATCCGTCCTTTCGGATCTGATGACAACGACATGGATCTTGAGATTGCTCCCTTTTCCCCCACGATCAGCACCATGACGGCATACTGGCATCTTGAACACTGATCAATGTGGCAATTCAAAATCTCAAATTTGGGAGGTGGCTACTGGCTCAATAATGATGCGCGGCATATCGCTTCAGACGGGCCGCTCTCCACGAAAGATGTGAATGTAACCGATGCAACATTCCGATGGTATCGATCATGCCTCCTTATCCATTCTGAAATGCTGCGGCCGGTTGCGACCGATACATCTATTGTCGTCGACTTGAGGTGGCCTTCGCGTAGCCGGCTTGCTTTTCGTACGGCTTTCGCCATGGTGCAGATCATTGTAAGAGATGAGAGCAGCAATCATCAGCTGTACCCATCCGATCTGTGTGACGGCTAGCTTTCATTCGGTCCCACGGCAAGGAGGCAATGTACAACATGGGCAAAGAGGTCGGTACGGTACCAAATTGATGCTGCTTGATATTGGCCCAAGCCCGCGCTCCCGACATCTGGTCTACCTTTTGCTAGACTTTGCTTCTGACTTTAGTTGGTGAAAGATTCAGATGATGTTGCTCTTGCCTGTCTTCCAAACTGCCCTTGTGCTCCTGCTCTCGCGTGCGTCTGCTTTCCTGGTGGCAAAACAAACCGAAAAACCGAATGAAACAACCTCAGAGCTCAATCACTCTGTCTACATCTGTCAGAATTTGTTGAGTTCTTCCTACTACCCATGTTACTCGGCCTTCGAACTGACTACGCTTCAGTGACTGGATAGAACCGTGCATCGATATCGCCATTTCAACGACTCATACACCGGGCCAAAGTCTCTTCTGGAATGTGCGTTACTCTCATGACTGCGGCTGGTCTCAACCAGCGGGTTTCGGCGATACCCAGTTCCCCAGAGATTGTACTGCTCAGCCTACGTGTTTTACTAACTGTCTTAGGCTCCTGCACCTCTCGGCCCCGGCCCCTTTCGAACATACAACTATACCATCGGTAGTTGGGGCCCTAGTCCTGGTCTCTTCACATTTTGGGAGGACAATTATGGAAACGTATCTGAAGTTTTTGTGTTCCCCGGCACAGGTCGAGTCAGTCGATACTGGGGATCTGAAGTATGGACATGGACAGCATGGTGGGTAAACTCATAGGTCCAGTTTGTGCGATGGAGGTGTTCGTACGTGATAGGAATCCTTGGACGCTGCTATGGACAATATACCACAATAGCTGGTTGCCTTGTCATAAGCCCAGGTTGAACAAATCTTGATTCTTAGATTAGGTGGAATAGTCAACTGAGATATGGTAATCAATTCAGGATCTCATGGCCCTCGGTGTATGGACTGGTATTTTACTAGGACTCACCAGGGTCAGTTCCAAGGGTCAACGGCAGGTAATGACTGAGAACAAGGAGTACGTGGTCGAATATATTGCTTTGACTGTACTCCGTATTCACCACAGCAATTGCGGCGTAATTTTTATTCCCATCAGACCGTGTTCGTTCCCTGCAATTTGACGTCATTTGAATTTTGGTTTGGACTCATTCTTCCTGACCCATGTTCAACCTCACAACTCTTGAGCGTGAATCGTCTACATCGCCTCCTCTATTCGCAAGCGATCTCGGGTTCATAACGATGTCGGGGCAACCGGATTTTGACGGTGACGCCGATGCGGCGATGCGCCAGATGATGGGCTTTGGCACTTTCACAGAGCGTCGAAAGAATAATCCACCTGGTAGGTGTCATTCCGCCTTGTTTTCAAGCGTTCATTTCCTACCCTGCCTTCGGCATGACACCTATGAGTTGTCCGAAGGTTTCATTGCGACCAGATGTCCTATGTGCAGAGACCCTTTACGGCGAGAAGTCTGATGAGCTCGTTTGAATCTGCTCGTTATTCCCATCACACCGCCGTGAGCAAACCGATCTCTTACCCCATGAAAAGCTCGTGGCATTCTCTCACAGACTTGTTTCATGCTTCGTGAAAGCCCGTAATTCCAACAGAGACTCGAATATTTTCTTCTAACGTCTCTTAGATACATCCTTTGCCTCATCATCGGCAGCGTCGCAACCAGGAGGATCTTCAAACGAACCAACAACATCCATCGGACCAACGAGTCTTATAACCCCACAACACGCGTCTCAACAAGTACCACAAACTCAGGGTCAGGGCGATGAAGAACCAATCTATGCCTTCAGCTCGCCAGTCAGCAATACCTACTACACCAAGGAAGACCTGGATCGATGGGCACGGGGCATGATCAACGCCAATGGAGACACTGTCTACTTCAAACCCGGGTTCGTCTCCAATGACCCCTGGGCGAGGCTTCGTCCGAGAGAAGAAAATGACAACAAGACCGCCGGAGCCTGATCTGACGACGATCTTTTGAGGTGTCTTTCATTGGGCCATGCATGAACTTTGAGGCTCATACAGCGGCTCCTCTGACGTTGAGACATTGCCGAGAAGGGACCAATTCAGGTACCACGACACGACGGCCAACACCTCAGAGCTGGCAAGAAGCCAATTGCATGTCGTATTCAGCGGAGCCATTCACTCCTGATCGGATAAGTGCACCGTTGTACGGTGTACACGCTGGTCATCGACATGAGAAACGCCAAGGACCCCTTCTTTCCAGCGATAGTGAAGGACTGCTGCGATTTGAGGCAAGCGAGGCGTGCACCCCCTATTGTGTTGGGTTCTGCAACAGTCAAGACGGGTCTATGAGGCCGTGCGACTGCAAACGGGTCGATGATATGGCCTGAGAACGTCATGAGAAGTTGATGCACCTGTAGCACCCACGACATCTTCCGCGGTCTGGTCGTATCGTTTACAAACCATCCAGATGGGGATCCTCTCCTGTTCTTGTCAATCTCACATTTCCGATCAATCTGCAATTTCCAAGATGTTTGTATTTCCAAACCAAAATGAAAGTTCCTGTCACCGCCAGGCCTTGACACCATCCATTCCAGGCCCGCCAATGCATGACCCACGCTTCGAGTCCACTCGTTGGGAATCCAAGCTTCTGGCCATTCCAATTTTGTGCCAAGGTTCCTTCATTTTTCCCTACTCCATAACCTTGGACACCATCTCGTCGACTCATGGATTGAAGTTTCGTGCTTTTTGCTTGCTACATACTTGTACCTCCCCTTGACACAATTTTCAGATGATTCAATGGCTCCCGCTTCTTCCTAGCGACCTTTGACCAAGATCCTACGTCCATTGCCCGCCCAGGCCATCACACAAACACTCACTCACTCACTCACTCACTCACTCACGAGTCGGTCCTTTTTGAGGTTGTTCGAATTGGGGGGTTAGGGGGTAAGGGGGGAGGGCACGATAACGCCGAGGGGAAACTTGGTCGGGGACAGAAACCGTCCGTACATTGATTCCCTGATGTCGACAAGTCGTCAAACGCTCTTTCACACAACGTCCAACGGTCACACCCTTGAAAGGTCCACAGAGTGCCTACCGGCGTGAAACGGGTATACGATTTTGGAAAACAGAATCGTGGACTCGTACAGTACAGTGCGGATCATTGTGTGTGTGTGTGTGTGTGTGTGTGTGTGTGGGCTGGTGGAAGAGAGGGAGAAAGGGGGGGAGGAGGGACCAAAAGCCGGTACAAGTTCGCCACCAAGGGGGTTACTTTTGAAACAGGTCCAGGCAAGCCCCAGAAAAGGTAAACTGGTTTACCATGTCAAATTCAAGTCAAACCCTTCCGGTGTGTACGGTAATAGGTATCATGGTCCACGGCACACGGAGCGAGGCGAGACCTGATGATCAGACGGGTTCTTTTTTTCGTCTTCGAGGTTACCAAACTTTACTCTTCAAGACCAAGGACCGACCGAGTCCACCCAGTAATATCCTCGACCTCCAAGGAGTAGCCATGCCTGTGTTATCATGTACGGAGTTACCGAGCAGTATCTGTTGACAGTATTCATTTACAGGTGCTCCCTAACCTAGACCTATCTACATTGTCATCGTAGGCCCTTCAAAGACCTGTTTAGCAGTCATGGCCCGATGGCTGGGTACAATTAGCTACAAATGTACCTACGAGCTTCTACCGTGACCTACGAAGCGATTCCCAGAGACCTAGGGCCGAGGAAAATTACCAAGGTCTAGATACTCCAACCGGGCTCTCCAGAAGGTCATGGTCCATCGCGCCCGAGAGACCATGGCACATGCCAGAGCCACTCGACTCTCACGCGGACGCTTCGAGGTGAAAACCCCCAGGCACGTTTTGAAGCCTCAACAACCCCCTTGTCCGAGAGACCAGGGCCCCCCTTGGGTTAAGCAGGGGGGCTGCCTAGAAGTCGTCAAGCTAGAGCCTATAAATCACAGAATCAAGAGCTTTCATTGAGCTCCTAGGCGCCGTCCACAAGAGGGCCAGCCCACGGGGCAATGCAGCTCAAGGCCGCATGATCCCCCCCCTATCGAGCTTCCAGTCCTGGTCGAGGATGAACCTCCTGTGAACCTCCTCCCTTCGCTCGCGTACTCGTTGCCGGTCCCGGCTAGGTTTGCAATGGGTATTGATTGTGATAAAAAGAGAATACCTCAAGGCACGAATACAAGGGTATGAAAAACCTGTCAGTCTGTCATCACCAAAAGAAACCCTAAAAACGTGATCCCTCTCACTAAGGCCCCCATGCCCTGTGAAATGCCCAGGGTTTTCGAGCTTCAAAACAAGTCACACTCCTACTCATGTCCAGGGCTTCAAATCCCCGGCCCAAACCCAAATATGGCTTAGCCAGTACACCCAGAGCTCCACACCATCTGCAGCTTTGGGGGCCTGCTTCACCTGCAGATTGCAAGGTCCGGTGATTGAAAATGGGTGCTGCACCGGGCAGAAAACGGACCAGGAGGGCTGACCCACCCAATCATATCGGAAAGAGCGTCGTACCAAACGAGTGAAAATGGCAAGCGTACCTGCATGGGCTCTCGTGTGGCACACCACGCCCGGTCGCCGGCTCGGCCGCCTGCAAAGGGCGATCGCTGCAGTGCGATTTGGCCATCTCATTTTCTGGGGCAAAATGGGATTGGCGCCATGCACGCCATCTGCCCGCAAGCTGCGGGGCAAAAGCAGCGATCCATTTGGCCAGATTCGTGGGGTGGAGCGGAACTTAATCCAACTGCCACGTCAACGACAACGGCGGAATACTGCCAAGGCTGTTTGTTGACTGTCCCGACGAATGAATGTGCGGTGTTTAAGATGCATTCCGATTTGCTGCTGTTCGACCTCGCTTGCGAAATGATGTGCCGCTTTGTATATCGCTCGGACTCTCCTCTCCACGCCAGGACAGATTGAAATGGGTGTCGAAGGGGAAGAGATTGTGCGATAGAACAGTCGTGAAGAAAGTAGATCAATGAAATTCGTCACTTCATCAAAGTTGTATCATGATTGTTTCAAGAATGGCGACTTCGGCTTGCTTTCGCATATGCCTCAGGATGCTTCTTTTCAGCCTTGCTTTTGATGGAGCTGGTTTCAAAATTGTCACTAAGGACTGCCATAACCGCCGGGCGGGCGACTTACGCCATTTTCTTGGAGGAATACTCAAGATCCCTTCGGATTTCTCGAACAGTGTCCAAACCCTCGGCAAAATTGACCTTTGCGGCCTTGAGGCGTCGCTGAGCGTAAGCCTGCAATTCTTCCAGTTCTCGCTGTTTGGCATTGAGCTCGCCAGATCTATTGTTGCGGTTAGTTTCGGCAATTTTGATCGAGTACGGTACACTTACGTTTGTGCCTGGGTCACCAACGAATGATCCATGCGAATTGGGTCGAACGCGGTGCTCATCTTGTCGTTTAGAACGTCCATGATGTCGACACCCGAGTATGAGGCGTACGAGTCGCCATCACTGCCACTGTGGCTTGGTGCGTAGCTGGACCTTGCCGAGTACGAACCAGCGGAGGTGCGACTAGGAGCATAGAAGGTGCTGGTGTCAGACAGCTCAGGAGGGGACATAGCCCTAGAGTAGGGAGCACTGTAGCTTGTGGTCTTGGGTGGCATGGTGATGGGTAGGGTCTTGCGGGGAGCAGCATGGCTGGTAGGGTGACGAGACACATGAGTAGCCATGATGAAGGGAGTAATAGACTGAAAGAAGATCAAAGGGTATGGCAACAGTCAAGTCAAAGTATGTGATGGAGTTAGCTGAGGGGGGCAGAGAGAAGGCTTGGAGAGTCTCGAGGTGAGTGATGGGAAAGGAAGCAGGAGGAAGGAGGATTTCGAGGGCCATGGAGCACCTTTTTATAGGCGAGAGTTCGAACCGGGCGGACGCAACTTCGCAGGGATTGTGATTGCCAACTCATCCCCTCCATGAGAAGAGCCAATATGAGTGCAAGTCGACGAAGAATGTGGTGTCAGGTTGAGCCACCGACCCCGCTCCTGAAGCAAGAGAAGGGAAAAGCGTAGGACCTGCGAAGCGGACAGCCAGACAGGGTCGGCACTGTCCGTCACCTTCCGCCCGGCAGGTCAAGAGAGAAGTCCGTGACGGCCACGACCAAAGAGAACGGCGGGCAGCCCACCATGAGCAGGGCGGCAGTAGCAGCATGCATGTTGGTGGGATGATAGTCTCAGCTGGATCCCCGTTAGGAAGGAAACGGGAAGTAGAGGCCGATCATTGGAGGGATTGGCCATTGTGCCGTGCCTCTTGGTCTTTAGTTGCGGGATCTAGAAAGCGAGCGGCGGACGGGAGTGGCTGTTGAGGGAACGAGGACGGAGCAAGTTGTGAGAGACATAAACAGGGGGGAGTTGCGGGAGGTGATGATTTGGTGGAGGCCGTTGCAACGTAGTGAGCCTCTACAGCAGGACACGGCGGTCCTGCGGAGGATGAAAAGGCCACCGAGGGCAATTTCGCAGCCAAATGCATAGGTATGAGGGCCGCCGGTGTGCTTGGTTATTTTGAAATTGGCTTCAGCATGGCCGCGGTCGAGCCTGAATTTTTTGTGCCCGGGGCGCGGAAGACGTGTAGGTGGACAGGATACTCGACGGGCTGAAGCAGCAAGGAGAAGGTCAGGAAAAGGTCAAGCGTGAGCATCAGCATGCAGCAGGCTCGTCGACTATGGCGCAAGTATAATCAGTAGTGTGGAACGCGGGCGTCATGGGTGGCGGCTTGGGCTGTACCCGAATGACTCGGTTTGGTGTCTCGACCTCGTCCGGGGTCATCGGCAACGACAAGGGGGATTTGCAACGGCATCGGTGTCGGTGTGAAGGCGTGAAGCCATTGTCTGGCCTCGGTAGGCATGAAACGCTCCGGTCGATAGCTGTGAATGGTCAGCAAGATTGTTAGATGGTTGATTGTGGACAAGTCATTGTGATAGAGGCGCCTGGCCTATTGTGCTGCTGAGGGATATTAGTACGAGAACAAGGAGGGAAGAGGAATAGCCATAGCGCAGCGCAGCCAGTGATGGGGAGGGGGAGTGGAAATTAACGAAACACACGCGAGCCACGGCCTGAACTTAGTACGGGTATCCGTATTATTCGTAGTAATAAAATTACAGTAGATACCCTAGGGGGGAAAGGTACGGGATATTACTCCGTACGCAAGAGGCTTCCGTGGCAAAGAGGTAGGGCGATCATCTAGTGAAGCTGGATGCCTATAAGTAATGCCCAAAAAATCTACGGCGCATCTCATGTAGTACCGATGATAGGCGCCTGTTGACCTCAATCAGTGGCTGCTCAGAGCCTGTATTGATAATTAGCCGCCAAAGCCTAACACCTACAATACACCTATGATACAGCACGAGTTTGTGATATGTCGGCAAAATGCTTGGGCCTTGGCATCCACCATGATTTTGACCCAGGCGCAACCAACGCCCATATACATTACAGAGTAAAGACCAGCAGTCAATTCAGTGCATCCCTGTACTCGTGCGATTCATCGATCCAGAGATCTACTTATCTCTTCTGCACCCTGCGCGTAGAAATCATACATTACGTACTGTGAGTAGTTGCCTATGCTAACTAGGCTCTTCTACCCATTCACCAGCAACGGCAATAAATACAATTGCGCTTTTCTCTTCTCCGCGACCGAGCACAGGTCTAACTGGCAGCACTTTTGTCTGGTGCCGTTTCCAGTGCCAGCGCTACCCAGTTGGTCATTGCAAATCGTGGCTCATCAAGTGATGCTTGTCGTCCGTTTTCCCGTTTCCTTGACAATCCAGGTCCTTCAAGATGTTCGTTCTGTCCGAAAACCCCGTACCATGAACCTAATACATAACAAGATGATGTAGGGAGATCCCTCAAGACTGTCATGGTCGAAGCCACAAATATTCCGGCCTTCCATTCTGGCCGTCCGTAACCAACCCTGCAATACAAAAGCAGCATCGGACTCGATAACGCCATTCCCCCATAAAAGCAACCATGCAATCCTCGCTAAGAACGCACAACACAACTGTGCTGCATACTTTGTCACCTGCAAGTTGTGGCAAACTCAACTGTCCCGGCGTCAATCCTTCACTCCCTAAGTTTCGAGAGGCCTATCACGTAAGAACACGTGTGGCACGCTTGGGTCTAGCAGCGTCATCATCATGGTCCCTAGCAGGTTGAAATCCACCGGCTTCGTGAGGTAGTCAGTAAATCCAGCGTTAGCAGCCGCTGCTCGCTCCTCAGGCATGGCGTTTGCGGTCAAGGCCATGATTGGGCATGACTTATAGCCTTGACTCCTCTCCCACTCTCGGATTTCCTGACACGCCTCGTACCCGTTTTTGATTGGCATCTGGATATCGCAAATTATCAGGGAATAGTACCCTGGACCCTTTTCTTTGACCATGTCGACGCATTCTTGTCCGTTTTTGGCGCATTCGTTGGCTAGCGAAGTCTTCAAGAAGTAGCGTTGAATCACTCTTCGGTTCACTTCGCTGTCCTCTACCAGCAAAAGTCGCTTGTTCCCGTTGCCAATCTTCTCCTTGACGAGCCTCACTATTTGCTGGAAGTCATCGGAGCTCGATTGGGCCACTTCCCGCGCCCGGTCTTTACTTAAGTTCCGTAGCTGCGCGGGATCAAAGATCATTGCGAAGACCGAGGGTTTGACGGGTTTGTGGATCAAGAATGCTTTTCGTCCGGTCGATGTCAATGCAGTGAAATCCTCCAGGATATCTCTCTTCTGATAGTGGTCAGTAATGACTACGAGTGCCGGAATCACAGGAGCAGTATATGTCGCCATCTGCCTCATAAAAAGCATGATATCAGAGGTCGCAGGTATGTCTAAAACGATGTGAGTGAACGTCGGTGGTGAGCGACCGTTGATCAAATCCAAGAATGATCCAATATCTGGGATCGTTGTGACATTGGCCGCAATCTGGTATGGCACAACGTGCTCAATATGTTGTTTGATAGCCGTTCGTGCATGTTCTGCCGGGCAGATAATGATGACCGAGTACGTTTGAGGATGGGCAGGGGACAACCCGCCTCCATCAGTGTCGCTTTTACTGCGTCGAAACACGGGGTGGGCACTCGTTTTCGCCTCCGACACTCTTCGTTCATACAGTTCTGGTTCAGACTCGCGAGAAGGTGCCGATTCTGGGGTAGGCACCAACGAGGTTATCGTTGAAGCATTCGCCACAGGGCCTGAATTTGATCTCACAGAGGTCGACACTCCAGAGCTCTCCGATGCCACTATAGCAGGCGACATCACAGCTGGGGTGGGCACGGCGGGTGAAGATAGCGCTGCAGGCGAAGCCTGTTCTGGCGAGGAAATGTATCGAGAAAGACCTGGTGTCTGAATGATTGAATCAGAAGGGTGCCTTGTGACGCTCATCGTTGGGGTTTTATTGTCCGAGCGCGACCGAGCGCTTGAATTGAGCATGTTCGCTTGCGGCGGGCTGCTTTTTGTCGTAGCTGAGGGTGCAATGCTGGACTCGACGCCTGAAGGTTCCATTTCTACTTTGACGTAGAAGCTGAATATTGAGCCTTCTCCGGCCTTGCTCTGCACAGAGAGCTCCCCGCCATGCATCTCGACTAGCTGTTTAGAGAGAAACAGCCCTAGTCCGGACCCAGCTTCGTGACTAGTACCACCACCAATTTGTCCAAATTGCTTGAATAGCCTCTGGAACTCGTCTTCGTTGAATCCACGGCCAGTGTCCACAACGTCAAAGTTGAGCAAGACTGTCTTGACGGCACCCCCCTTTGGACTCATGAGTGTAGCCGTGCGTAAAGAGCATTTCATGTAAACTTCACCTTGCTCCGTGAACTTTACAGAATTTCCAAGAAGATTGAGTAAGACTTGCCGGACTCTGAATGCATCCCCCTTGACCGTAGAGGGTACATTCGTTTCCAGAGAATAGTTGAGCTCCAACCCCCGCTCGATCGCTCGGGACGATACCGTGTCAATCACTTCCTCGCAGAGGCTACGGACATGGAACCATTTTGGAAATAGTGTCATCTTGCCTGCTTCAACCTTGGTCACATCCAAGATATTGTCGACAAGCTCCCTCAGATTGTTGGCACTGTTTTGGATGGTGTCGACCGTTCTTCGTTGATCATGGTCTAGCGAGGACTCGACTAGCCAAGGCATACTGCCAATGATACCATTCAGCGGCGTTCGAATTTCATGAGACATGTTGGCAAAGAACTTAGTTTTCGATTCCATTTCTCGATGTACCTTCTCATTTGCTTCGTTCAATTTGCGCTCCAGGGCTTTTCGTGTCTCAATATCGGTGCAGGTACCGTACCAGGATGCTTTTCCGCTTTGAGTCTGCCAAAGTCCTGTATCCACGCGGACCAAGCGTACGAGAAACCATCTGTATTCACCACCTTTTGATCTCAGTCGAATTTCAGTCAAATACGACAACTGGCCATTTTCGTCCTTCTCGACCATGACCGATCCCGACTTGATCATCTGATCGAGCGATGACAGGTCAGGGGAAAACAGATTCTTTCGTGTAGGGAGTGGAGGAGCTGCCGTTTTGTTCGAATCACTGGATGAATCTGTACGGCTACTCGCCGAAGATTTCGCAATGGCGGCAATGTCGGAGGGTGACAAGATGCCACATTTGTGCAGGTCATCACGATGAACGTGCTTAGCAAAGCCTAGGCCGCGAGCGTCATCTAGGGTTTGGCCCGAATATGCATGCCATTGCTGGTTGACAGCTACGATGCCATCTCCTTCGATGGCTTCGAACAAGACCTGTGGAATGGCGTCTGCCAAAGCACGTATTTTGGTCTCTCGGGCCATGATTGCTTCCTTCTCGCTCGCCTCAAGATTCTTCATATACTGTTCATGGACGTCAAGGAATGACCCAATCCAGTACAAAAGTCGGCCATTATTGGTCAATAAAGTACTAGCTCGGAAAACGAACCAGCGAAAATCGTTATCACTGTTGAAACGCTTCACTCGGATGTAGTGAGTAAATTGGCTTCCAGTTCGCAGAGCGTCGTTCCACAACTTCACCAGGCCATTTCTTTCTGCAGGATGGACATTCTTCCACGGATCGCGGACTCGCCCTTCTCCCTGACTTCTGAAGGCGTCAAATTTACGGTTTGTCCAGACTAAATCGCCGGTAGTTGGCTTAGCTAGGAACAGCTGGAGAGGTACTGAATTCAACATCAGCGATGAAATAAGCTCCGGGAGAGGTTTTTCTTCATCCTTTGACTGGCTGCCACGTCTGATTGTTGAACGCCGAGCAGAGGACTCAGGTCGCTCATACACTTGATCTCCCATCTCACTTCCAGAGGCAGTGCTTCCTGCGCGCATTGCCACGGGGCTTTGTATTTGAGCCTCGGGTTGTGTCTTGATGATGGTGGACTTCTTCGCTGATGCTTTAGAGGTCGATGCAACTTTCTCGGCGGACCGTCTGGGCTGTTCCCCATCGTCCTTGGTGGGCCGAGGCCCTGGTGTCAGGGGCTGCTGAGCACCGCGCTGTCTCCGCGTCGAGAAATAACTGTCAACCAACTCCGAGCCTGACCTTCCAGGAGTGGGTGGAAGACCTGGACTTAAGCCAAGGTGTTCTAAATGAGGAGTGCTCGAAAGGGAGCTACTGGGGCTATCTTTCAGCGCCGAAGGACTGCCGACTTCGTAGTTAGCCCAGGTTCTTGGCTGCTCTTTGTCCAGCGCGATTTGCTCGCTGAGCTCCGCTACCAATTCCAATTCCGAGCCTTCGTCGGAGAACGTCCCTCCTAAGCCGAATGCTGCGCCGTGACGGCTTCCAGGAGCACCCCTTAGACGATCTTGTAGAGCGCTATATTGCTGCGCAAGTGAGTACGAGCTTGCAATATGAGGCAACAAGGCCTCGAGTGCTCGACGCCAGCTGAGTGGAAAAGGATTGACGTTGGAGATGAATGATAGAATGGCAACAGGGAAGCGTAGATTCGATGCCATGGCGCCTCGAGCTAGAATCGGCTGTATTAGTGGTACGTGCACCAAAGTTTTGGACATGTCTGTCCCTATGGCATTCAAGGACTGATTCGCGGTGGTGGCATAGTCATACACCGGGGGATTCTGCTCAAATGCTGTCTCATCAATGGAAGCTGTTGGTGGGTTGAAGAAGGGTGATTCCTCAGGATCGGCTCTGGCTGCAGGCGAAGGCGATGGACTTTGAGACCAAGGTGAAGGTTCAGGTTGTTCATATTCGTCGAAGGCGCGAATTATTGAATACGGTGGCTCTTCAAGATTGTTGGTTTTATGTTTATCTGCAGCTGTAGCTGGCAATGCCTGAGGCGCCGCCCAAGCATCTTCACATCCCCTCGGGAGCGGAGAGCGTTTCGGGACCTCCTCTGAGTAGGCCCTCGTCAAAATGACAGGCTTCCGTTTGTTGAATAAAGATGCCACACCCGTTCGAACAAGCAGCGGGTCAGGCTCCGCTTCCAATGGCTGAAGCGAACGATGGACGTAGCATCTCAAAGTGGATGATGCCGATCCAGACGAATTGTACGGTCCTTTGAAGCTTAGTGGGTCGGACTCGGCTAGGGATGAAGAACGGGGGGTGGCAGGCTGCTTGGTGAGCCTAGGTAGTACTGACGGGGTTACCGTCGAAGCTTGTCCATCTTGCTCTCTGGCCGCACTACTAAACGCGCGGACAGGTCCGGCTGGCCGCTGACGAGAAGTGCGACTAATATGATCTGGCATTGCCCCTGCGATGGAATGTCTCGACACAAGAGGAGGTCGACGAGTGGACAAGGTACTCATGTCACTGGATGTCCGTACAGATGGCTCCGGCCGCTTTCCGACAGAGGACGTGTCAAGATCTGACGCGGTCGGGAAGTCCAGTTGCGAAGGAGGAACGCCATCACTACCATAGCAATTGTATGTGGCTTTCTGACCCCAAGGAACATTTTCCAGATCGGTGATATCTCCAGGTACGGCGAGTGACGCTCTTTCAGCGCCGAACTCACTTAGAATATCTGTAACATTCGCCCACCACATATCCAGCCCAGGCTCAGAGTTGAGGACCAGTATGCACTCCAGCAGATCTGGTGCTGGAAAATTGGGATCTTCAGGGAAAGCAGCAACTAGCGGCATCTGACCAATGGGTGTGCTTAAGTCGGAAGAAGAGGCATGCCGCTGTAGTTCTGCCGGTGCAGGTGAAGACCCGGTCAACGGGGGCTCGTTCGTTGGCGAGAGCAGCGTGAATGGTTTATGAGAGGGCCCAGACCGTTGACTGATACCCCGATTGAGCCGGAATGCCATACGGGGAAAAGGATACGAAGGTGTCCTGATAGCACCCGGTGTCGCATCAAATGTGGCTCTTATAGTCCGGGCAGAGTCGGTCGACAGGGTCCCAGTATTGACAGACTCATCGGAGCTGGACTCGGTATGTAAGAGAGGTGGTGGCGGTTCTACCGGTTCGCTCTGTTTGGCACCATCAACAGAGGCCGCAGAGACAACAGCGGCGCGCATCTGTTGTTTTTGAGCCAAAGCTTTGCTCATTTTTCGTCGCATTGCCTCCATACTGCCCGGTGGCTCACGTGCGAGAACTTGCGTGACTTGCTGATGTACAAGTGACGAAGTGCCAGTTGTCGTGACCTGTGAATTTCTGTTCTCGTTCATTGTGTCTTCACCTCCTGGGACAGATCTTGTCGGTGATGTTGATGATCCATGACCTTCTGCCAGGCGCGACGATCGACCCCGTGGAGAGAGACCGGGATGTGAGGACTTTGACGACTTCATCTTGGCTGCAGACACTCAAATATTGTATCAGAGTGTCTGCGACCTCGTTGTTGTAGGAGTAGATTCATGGAACCGATTGACCCAAAAATGATGGAGCCATGTGTTTGTTTCGTCTCTTCCCATGCAATATTAACACCTCGTAACCGGTATTCGATGGTTACGGTGAAGCGTGCGACTGTGATCTTCGGGATCAAAGTGATTTTTCTTGAAGATAAAACACGAAGGTGTGGGTGTGTAGAGGAGATCTGTGGCCAAACACAACTCGCGAGGTACTAGTGACGAAGGAGAGAAACGGGCAATTAAGCGACAGGTGCCCGGGAAACAAGCGGGTGTGATAGCAGTATGGAAGATGTTGATGGTGAATAGTTGACAGAGAGCAGGCCTGGTGTGGAAATCGAGATGTAGTGTAAAGACGCGCGAAAGATGGAACCAGCGGCTGTAGAGAACAGGCAAAGGCGCAGGCGAGGCCAGAGACGAGAGGATCGCACTTTCCGGCCGTGGCGCTCTTGCAGTATGTACCACGTACAATGACGTCGTGTTTGGGGACTTATCCGTCTAAGCCAATGACGGGCACCATGCCACTTAAAGTCCACCACTTGGTCCCTTAGTGAGCCTCACCAGCCTGCACCCCGTACGAGTACGAAGTAATACTACTACTTAGGGTAGGTTCCTTAGGCTTCTCTCACGGTAGGGATATCCGTACTCCCTAATTAAAAGCTTCTACGGGTACGAGTATAACGGAGTGCAATAAGGGCCAAAAGTCCAATCAATATCCTTGTTATATTTATTAGCATTCACGGAGTTCAGGTACGAATAACTAATAAGGTAGATAGATATTCATCAAGCTTACGCCGTCCAAGCTAGTCATATTTCAATACATCAGATTCACTGATTGATTGGCATCTGCTTTTTTCCCTTCCTTTGTCCTCACACTATACGGAGTACTGTCGCTCCCTATCCCTCCTGTCGGCCATAGTGTTGTGCCCACCACCCGTCCACCTTTTTTTGTCCACCTGATGCCCCATTGACTACAAACACGGCATGATGTACGCAGTATCTCGCTGGTGCTACACTAGATGCTTGGCCTAACTGGGTCTCTATATACGCCTTCCACGCCTCAATCTGTGTCACGGTCTGAAAAATGCCAACCCACCACCCGTCGTTCCCGGTCTTCACATCATTGGGCCATAGTGTGATTATCATGGTTTTGGGCGAATTTTAGCCACTGCGACATTGACATTTTTGGTAGTACTCGGTACATTTTCACTATCATTGCCCCTACGGGGTACAGTACGGTGCTCGTCGCTAAGTCCCCCTTTGCTTTTGATCGGTAGTCCGTTGGGATGTCTGTGCTTCTTACTCCTGCTAAATGGTCAATCCGACATCCACCTCGCCTCACGCGAAATGAATCTGATGACGATCACTAACTTGACCTCGTGTTGATCGCTTCTGCTCGCGTCTCGCGGCCCGTCCACCGAACCCGCACTGATGAAAACTCAATCCTTACTCATTCTGTGTTTTGGATGTTACTTTTTCGCCGCCAACATGTCATACAACATAAGTTACACGGTTGGTAGCGAGTCTACAAATACACACTTCCCATTCTATCACTCACAAGGCCTTCCGGCAGGATACCCGTCTGCAGCAAATCCCGCGGTAAGATCTCGGCGTCTTAGTTGATCGTGCCATAAAATTACGGCCACCGCGGTCTTGACTGAGGCAGACGAGGCTGTAAGTTGCATCTCCAAGACCTACTAGTCTTGAGGTGTTTCCTGGGTAGAAGATTCTTCCATGCACTGTTCCATCGTGGAGACTATAGCGCACACTGACCACCAGCGGCAAAGTAAGACAGCTCTCCGTAACTTCGACAATGATAACTTGATGTTGTTCATGTCTCGCGCTATCATGTCCAATTTTGGGGGTACATTTACGCACCCGTGGCCAATCACATCTCATTGTATATCGTACATAAAAGGGCTGGATCTTAATCGACCTTGATAGAGCCGTAAATTCGGTAGACAAATGCGTAGGATGCAAAGAAGCCAATGGTACCTATCGATAGTCAGTAAATGAAGCGCACTCGTCACCTGCAAGGGGACTTACCAGACAACACTGCAACCAAGAAACTAATGAGCGCGGAGTATCCGACATAGAGTACAGCTCCAGTCAACCCTCCAAAGCTGACTCGAGTCACCCAGAAACCCAGCGCATTCACAAATACATATCCGCCGGTCATCCCAGCGCCAAAGAATGCCCGCCACTGCCAGCGGTAGTCCTCCGCGCACAGCAAGAAGTACACAAGTAGGATGGTGGTGCAAGCAGACGTCAGGACCATCAAAGCGTAGCAGATGAAGAGAAATCCAAACATGTAGTAGATCTTGCTGGTCCACAACGATGTCATGATGAAGTACAGTTCCACGAAGATAGCGCAGAATGGTAGTATCCCAGTAAGGAGCAATGACGGTAGAGGTCGAAGAGATCGAGTGACTGGTGGTATTTGACGGGGTATTTGATTGATTCGTGTCGGTGCTTCAATTGCCGGCTGCTTAAAACCATACCAGGATCCGGCCACACTCAGTGGCACGCTGATCACAAACCAGATGGCGATGATTGCTAGCATTGTGGTGAAAGGAACTGCACCACTGGAACCCTTTGCCCAAACAAAAAGATTTAGGAGAAAAAAGGTTCCAAACACGATGCCCGGCACAAATATTGGAGTAGCCGCAATATTGACCTTCCACTTCTCCCCTCCAAAGCTCTTGTACACGCGTGCAGAGATATAGCCACCGATGCAACCGAACAGCGTGTATAAGAGCAGGCCAATCGAAGTGAGCCAGCCCCGGTTGGATGGGGACAGAAATCCTAGCATGGCAAAAGCGACCGTCACCCCAGTCATAACAAAGAGTTGTGCCCCGTTACCAAGGAGAACACTTAACATCAGACTGTATCGGGGACTACGGAAGACATCACCGTGAACAAGCTTCCACCCTGAGTCCTCTTGGATGTCGTCATCAACAGCTGACGTGCCCGATAGATCATCAAGGTTGATGTTGTCGAGCCGGTTGTATCGCGCGATATCCTTTCGCAACGCTCTGACAAGTATGCTGCTGACCATACCAACCAGGAAGATAACAAAAATCGTCGAGTTGATGAGCGAGAACCAGTGAATCTTTGGGTCGATGATGTGTAGGTATTTGTCCCAGCGAGTGGCCCAAGCAGTGTCTGAGGGTCGCCAATAAACGCTGTACGTATAAGTGACCTTTGTTCCTTCTCCCTCCTTCAACATCAATGGTCCGGAGTTGACAGCGCAGTCGGCCTTTCCTGCTCCCGTCACTTTCGACTCGGAATACGACTGCGGCTGGACCAGAACCCCAACAACCCTGTACCTTGTGCCTCGGAGGCCGGCTGTGTGGTAGTCGACAATGATGTCCCAATGATTGTTCAGTATGACTGCGCCATCTTCCCTCACTTTGCCTAACGGGAAGCCAGGACTGGAAAATCGTTCATGTGTCAACGGGTCCTCTCTCAACTCGGCCGCAGGTAAACCATCCACGAGCAAATTGACATTGTAGGCTTCATTGATCCTTGATCTCACGAAGCGCACCGACTTCTCGTCAAAATCCCCGCTGTCACAAATCATCTTGCATGTTTCATTCTGTGCCATGTGCAATTCGAAAGGCGATGTTTGAATACGGTCCCCAAATATGATGCTCCCAAGCGACTCGCGGACTCGTTGTGGCCCCTTTTCCGGACGACAAAACCGAAATGCGGGATGATAGTAGTCATAGGAAACAACCGCATGAATTTGTTCATCGTGGCGTGATATCGAAGGAGTGAGGGCGTTGACTGTCAAGGGGACTCGGTCACCCTGAGAATATGAAGAGGGTGCAACTCCAGGTAGATAGAATGCTGCCACGTTATTGATCGAGATGCTGCACAGAAGTGCTGAAGCGAGCAAGAAATTCATAGTCGGTGTATGTCCGGAGAGACCGCAGGCTGAAGTCGAGGATCGTGACAGATTCCAATCAAGAGCCCAAGAACGTCTTTCAGAAAGCCACTTGTCACGATCTGTTCATGGTCGTCATGGGAAGCGGATGCTGCGAGCGAAGCTGGTAGTCTCAATTAACAGATAGTAATGTCGCTTTCCAGTATATAGCAGTGCAAAGAAGTCCTTGTTCTCTATAGACCACCACGCAAGGAAATACCATTTAAAAGTTGCCTGCGCGTTCGTGATTGAGAAAGGTATCGGCTAACTTTCCCCGACTCAAGCTGCCACTCATGATGTCCCTGGTTATTCATAAATCCGTACCTTACCTGAAGCAAGCCGCTCTTTATCATATGCATCTTTGTCACTAGATGAGCTTTACTCGTAGGATGATTTGGGTCTACGGCGACTATATGTACATGCGCTACGCATCCTCTTGACGGCGGTGTTCTCTACCATTCGACAGTTTCCATTAGGTAATGACCACAACTTGAGACGAGATGACAATGGTAATCGACCTGACTTGCTATTTCATTGTGATGTAGAGGGCTATCACCCCTAGGAGCAAATAATCCCTATCGTACTGCATTTTCTGGAGACCTGGATTGACTGTGATCACGTCTTAGCCTCCATTTATTGACATTGAGGGAGCGAACCAGTCTTGGTGTACTTGTCAGATGGTGACTGCCTCTGCAACAAACTTCCGATATTTTTCGGCGCATCGACTCCTCCAGTATTTGCCCCATATCCCGATTGGAACCGCCAGTGCCATGGATCCAAGCACGAGACAACCGAAGAAAGTGAACGCTCGGCCATAATCAGTGGCGTCAATCAAAGGTTGTACGCTGAATGACATGGCGAAGTTGATGCACGAGGAGCATATCGCAAGTACGACGACGAGCTCTCCAGAAATCTGAGGAGCAGAAGGGTTAGTATTGAGATCACAAGCTTGACGTCAATATTACTTACCCCCTCGAAACACTCCATAGCATATGTGGTGGCTATGCTGGTAGCTGAGACTTGCTGGGCTATCATGGCGCCCAGGCCGATCGCGATACCAACCCAAGAGCTTCCAGCCTCTGCAGTCCACCCATAAGAGAAGTACCCAACACCTCCATATATGAAACTAAGAGACAGAGTCCATAAGCGCATCTCGGGCTCCTTGTATCCCTTGTTACGACGTGCAAGCCGTAAAACTATCAAGTCTCCCAGGTAGCCAGTACCCATTCTGAGCGTCCATGTCAGCATGCTGTGTGTCCAACAGCGAAATGATCCCTACCCAATGAAGGAGCCGACAAGGGCTGCCAGAAAAACAAGACCAGTAGGGCCAGTTCCCCAATCATATGGATCCTCTGTCAAGATCTCGGAAATAGTGTTGAACGACACGATTCCTGCATAAAAGTCAGCTTTCAACTCTTGGCATTGTTGCTGAAAGAGGAGGTTCAGTTTACCAGCTGTACACCCGAAAGCAAAGATTATCCCAGCCTTCGACACCGTCAGTATTGCTCCACGATGATCAAAGAGACTGCTCACCAGCACTATGTTTGGGAAGAAGAACAAGACGAAGGGACGGCGAAAATATTGCCACCATGTGGTTTTGTCCTCCGGGAATCGCTGAATGGGACTCAAAATCTCCCAGTATGTACGAGATCTGTTCATGTCGCCTTCGGTCAAAGTGAGTTGTCTTGTAACAGGTAGATCGGATTTACTCTCTCCTTGAAGTTCGCTCCCATCCTTTTTGCCGAGTGTGTCGGTTGTTTCAGTCACCACTAACGCAGTTTGTGTAGACTGGTTCAAAGTGCGAAAGACATGTCGTGGGAAGAGTGAATCATCGAATGTGAAAATGAAGAGGAGTATCACGAGCGCCTTCAAAATATATCATCAGACACAAGACATGATGGAAACGGCCACCTTACTCACGCTGAGTAGCGCAACGATCTTACAACCCCATCTCCATCTAATAAAAGGATTTTTGTTAGCATCATGGGCACGTTTGTTAACAACTCTGTCTATAATCTTCGCAAGGCGCTTGGTATGCACCTTTAGCTATGCATACATACCCAGGACCCTCTGCAATATAACCACCAAGGATTAATCCGAGGATTGATCCCAGCTGCTGACCCCAGATCTAGAGATATTGTTAGTTGAAAGGTATTTATGCACAAGTTCGCTTCTATTGAGCTGCTTCCGACTGTGAAAGTGTTTAACTCACATAGAAGGCGAGTGCAGTGCCACGCTGATGAGCAAAAAAGATGTCAAAAACCTATCAATGGCGTCAGCTAGTCCTTTGCAGACTTTGTGGACATGGGTGGGTTCCTACGGTAAGCTGGATGAGTGCCTCGTATGCGCTTGTTCCAACTCCTCCAAATGCATTGTTGAGATACCACTGCGCTGTACCATAGATGTACGCGTTCCACAAGGCAGCTGCCATGTTGATCAACATGCTGGAGATGTAGACGAACTTGCGCCCGATTTTCATCGCGGTAGGTATCCAGAGAATGTTGACGAAGCCGAGGAGAAGATAGTTCAGCGCCGAACCGCCGTTCATATTATTCAAGGTAACATCTGTTTCGACAGATATTTGCGTCCAGGCCGCACCCAAGTTGTTCTCGCCAAAGGACATGACACAGGCATAAAACGCTGCCAGGAGCAATGACCAGAGTTTCTTTGAGCGTGCCCAGTTCTGCGAATCTCATGTCAGTCCGGCTTGAGAGAATGTTTCGGAAAGGGCATACGAACGAGAGGGTCCCGGGCGGTCCTCATAGGCTGGGGCACAAGCACGATATCATGGTTTCGACCAGCGTGGGCGGCCACGGTCTCATGGTGGTCGACTTCATAGTGTATCAGCACTGGATCACGACGATGATGAGGGGCAGGGAAGAATTACTTACGGTCGATCAAGTACACCGTCCCCGGTATGTCGGTCGCCGCCAAAGTGACACTGTTTGGAGCCATGCTGGAAGATGACTGGCGATGCTTGTATCCTATGACCTGGTTCACAGATCTGGTCTACTCAACTATTTCTCCCTGGGATATCGAGAAATATATACCTATATTCATGAAGGCCATTTAGGGTGTACTTCTCCACACCCAATGCCTGCCTCCTTGTTATCTCTGCCTCCTCCGTAATGGCAATCAGATGCCCCACAAGAACAGTGCCAGAGACACTGCTGTAGGCCGTCCATGGTAATCGAGGGGACAGATGCTAGACGGACCCATGTATAAGTTACGTGGAGAAAATGTTGGGGAGAGAACTAAGCTTTAACTAGCACCCTGAGCTGCGAGCCGAATCGACTGCTTGACTCCACCAAAAGAGGCACAGAAGGTCGAAGCGTACGAATGGGAATGTGATGCGCACACAAAACGGGAGCACCTCCCCTTTCAAGGAAGACAGGGCAGGATATGATCCACAGCATAAGTACCTCGCGGGAGATGTGTACAAGTGAAGGATCTCTTCTAACTTTGATTAGGCTGTTTACATTTGGCCGTCCATATCTACCACGAGTCTGAGCTGCCGACGATTCGTGTACCTAATAGCACTGACATATCTTGCCTTGGGGGAAGCAGAACCCGCCGGTCTAAGTCATCGACGAGATCTGATATTGAAAAGACCTTTCTTACTGAATATCCTCGATCAACCTACGCAACCAGCTACCAGCTACCATCCAATCAAATTGCCACTCGGCACTCTCACACCTGATTCACTCTCACCTCCTGACTCCTAGACGTTTCCACGACCACCATGTCCCAGTTGACACACGACTCGTCGATCCTAATCATAGGCGGCGGCACGTGGGGATGTGCAACGGCCCTCCAGCTCGCTCGACAAGGCTACAAAAAAGTGACGGTTCTCGACGCCCACGCCATCCCTTCACCCATCTCTGCCGGCAACGACGTCAACAAGATCATGGAGGAGGGTGTGCCCTCGGATGATGACGACGAGGAAAGTTATGTTTGGAACCGGCTCTTCCAACTCGCCACCGAAGCCTGGAGGTCCGACCCGGTGTACTCCCCCTTCTACCACGCCACGGGCTTCGTCATGGCCGCCTCGTCCCCCGAGGCCGGCAGGCACGTCGAGTCGTACATCGCGTCGTGCCGGACGTCGTCGTCGCCCATCCGCCGCCTCGACACGCCCGAAGCCTTCCGCGCCACCATGGCCCCGGGCATCCTGACGGGCGACTTTCCCAACTGGAAGGGCTTCGTTCGGCCCGAGGGCGCCGGGTGGGTGTTTGCCCGCGGAGCGCTCGAGGCCGCGCACAACGAGGCCCGCAGGCTGGGCGTCCGCTTCGTCACGGGCGGACCCCAAGGAAAGGTCGAACGACTGATCTACTCTGGTTCAGATGTACTGGGCGCATTCACGAGTGACGGGGTCGAGCACAGAGCGGACAGGACTGTTCTCTGTGCCGGTGCGTACAGCGACAGGTTATTCGACTTTGAAAAACAACTCAGACCGACGGCGTGGACTCTGGCTCATATCCAGATGACGGACGAGGAGCGCCAGACGTGGAAAGATCTACCTGTTCTGTTCAACGTCGAGCGTGGATTCTTCATGGTATGTAATGTCATTCTCATTTTCAAAGAGCCCTCCCCTTTATCTGCCCCGTCCTATTCTTCCTTCCGCTACCCTCTTGTGCGAGCGTAACATAGTTTCCACTCGTGTTTAAGGTGTGACAAAGTTTATCTTTCGACGTAACTATTTTTTTTCTGTCTCACGGTGGAGGAGTACACACACAATTAGCTGTAGATACTAATGTTCATCGTTCTCAGGAACCGACGACAGGGACGGGCGAACTCAAATTCGTTGACGAACACCCTGGATACTGCAACTTCATCCATGACCAGTCCATCGATGCTGAGCGTTCTGTCCCTCTTTCTCGGCAACAGATCCCCATTGACGCTGAAGCTCGTGCACGCCAATTCCTGCGTGAGACAGTGCCCCAAATTGCAGATCGTCCCTTCACCTTCGCGAGAGTGTGCTGGGATTCGGATACTCCAGATCGAGTCTTCCTCATCGATCAGCACCCGAAATACTCGAGGCTTGTGGTGGCCGTCGGGGGAAGTGGCATGGGATTCATGACAATGCCAGCCGTAGGCATCCAGGTTGTCAACTCTCTAGAAGGTCGTATGGAGTCCCGACTGAAGAAAGCTTTCAGATGGAGGCCGGAGACTGCCGTCGGCAGAGACTGGCGCGATACGCAGGATCGATTTGGGGCCGATGGAAAAGTGATGGACTTGCAAAAAGTCAAGGGGTGGACCAATGTCGACAACGGAAGCCACGCTTCCAAGATATGACAAGCAAAAGATTGGATCGTATAGAATTTATCGTAGAAACTCGCTGTCCGTCCAATAATTGTACTCTGAAGCCCTCGTAGGTCGCTTCGAGCACGTTCACGAGTATGCACACGTATCAGATTGTGAGTGGTTGATAGTCAGTCCTTTAGACGACTTGTTGTAATTCATCCGATCCATACAGAGAACCTCAGCCTTCTCTTGCCTCGTAAACCCCATGATTCCATCCAGTGAGGCTATGTTCCGTGGTCCAAGATGCAATCCAGTGGCTAAAGACGTTTGAAACGCCATCTTGGAGTCATGACAAGTATCTCACAACGAAAACAACACGACGTCTTTCAGGTGAACAAAACGACCGCGGAGTTGATAATGTTGTCGGGACATCGTTCCCAAAGGGTAATCATAGTTGCCCATCGAAAATGCTTCGAAGGCGCTCCTGTTGCCATGCTAGGTGCCGCGCTCTCTCGTGGTGAATAACGAGCCGTGGTCACTGCTATGCAAAGATTCGACCGGTGAGAGGGCACATGTCGAGATGCTATAGAGATCGCTTCACTTCTCAGTACCGAGGATCATCTTTTCCCTTTCACTTTGTCGAGGCATGCTTCCTTTCTTGCTATGCTTACGAACGTTCTCCTCTGTTCTCTTGATCGACTTGATCTCTTCTCCTTTGATCTCAGAAGCCTTCTTGACCGTCTTAGGTAAGTGCCGATGTCTCTTGATACGTCGAATTTCGGGCATGTGCGAGTAACGCTTGATCAAGGCTTGGTCGTACTCCAGCTTTTGTCGTTGCCTAGCTGACTTGATCCCAGATCGACTTGAGGCATTTGTTCGCCATAATCTGATATTGCCATCGTCTGACCCCGACAAGACATAATTGTTGTCAGCAGTGAACCTTGCAGAGAAGACTCGTTGCATTCGCTTGGTGTGATAGATATCTCTTGAATGCCCTCGATCTCTGTTCCATAGTCGAATCGACCGATCATATGAAGCGCTGACCAACTCTTCACCAGTTGGACTAAATTCGACATCCATAACAGCAGCCACGTGATCCTTCAGTACGTTCAAAGCTCTGTCCATCTTCCGCATATCGAAAATGTATATATTGTGATCTTCATTTGCAGCAGCAAAATTGAACGCCTCCATCGGATTCCAAGAAATGGCATTCGATGCCAGCCTGAGGACAACTTTTGAAATGGATGAGGATGTCCGGAGATCGTAGAGCACAAGAGCTCTATCAAGGGCAGCAGAAGCAAGTATCGACGTTTCAGTCTGGTTGAACGAGACAGCCGTAATAGTGTCGGTAGAAGTTGGCCACCGCAACACCTGGCTGGGGCCGGAGGCAGGGCGTGAAAGATCGTAGATGGAGATGGCACTGGATGAAGCGGCAAAAGAAGAATGGTCGCGGTGGTGTGTTATATCTGTAAAAGCCCCTTGACCATGGTATGTGGTCAGAGGCGTGTTGTCCTTCTCGCTGTTGTAAGGATCCCAGACTTTGACGGTTTTGTCGGTAGCACAAGACAATAGTTTTCGATCTGGAGTCCAACACATGCCTCTGACGACGTTCTCATGTGCTCTGGCCTGCCATACCTCTTCGCGACTGGTCAAGTCCCAAACTTTGACTACGCCATCACCGCTGCCGCTGGCGAAACGCTCGAGGGATCCTGGATCTTTCGCCATCGAGTACACTCCGTCGACATGGCCTACACCCAGCTGGCCAATAAATGGAGCAGCAAACATCCGTTCCATCTTGACGGCGTTTAGGGCTCTCGTGTATTCTCTTGCCCGCTCGAAGGGATGGTGGGATGGATCAAGATTTCGAGATTGGCGCACCGCACCATCGCCTGGGGGCGGCGGCGCCCTAGTTAGCGACTTTATCTTCTGTGCATGCTCAGCTTGAGATAATTACTATCGGGATACAGCGTACATACCATCTCGTGAGAATCATCACTGAGCGAATCGAAGAGGCTTCTTCACAACGCATTCGATGAGGAGAAATTGTAGAAACGCAGCCGAACTTTTTTGTGGAGAAATAAGGGCATTTATGCATTTAGGGTCTGGCGTCATCCGCGGTGCCTGCGTCCTTAGCATTTTGATGCTTGTCACTCGCTAGACCGCGTACTGCGATCAGTCACTCTACAGCCTCAACACCGTTTATCCATCTCTCAGCCGCCTTCCTTAACCCCCTCCTCCTCGACCACATCTATGACTGCCATCATGGCTCTTCCACCTGCCGACAACACGAAGATCACTGACGCCAATAAATTGGCCAAGACAGAGCCCGCAAAAGCAGAGAGCATCTACAAGGAAGTTCTGGCAAAGTCACCCGGCTCCAATCAAGCTGCTCTTCAAAATTATGAGAATGCTCTCGTCGGACTGGGAGAACTCTATCGAGACAATAAGCGATCTGAAGATCTGGCTCAGCTGGTGAAGACAAGCCGGTCGACGTTATCTTCGTTCGCCAAAGCAAAGACAGCAAAACTAGGTATGTATATCACAGACGTCCTTTCAATGTCGCTAATTGTAATGCCTAGTTCGCCAATTACTTGACTTCATCGCCGAGATTCCCAACACCTTGGAATTACAGATCGCGACCACCAAGTCATGTATCGATTGGGCCAACTCGGAAAAGAGATCCTTCCTGCGTCAAAACCTCGAAACGCGACTGGTCAGCCTCTACATGCAAAAACAATCCTACTATGATGCTCTCACTCTGATCAATAGTCTACTGCGAGAGTTGAAGAGGTTGGATGACAAACTCGTCCTTGTAGAGGTACAATTGCTGGAATCAAGGGTATACCATGCCCTTACGAACCAGGCCAAAGCCCGAGCTGCATTGACCTCTGCGAGGACATCTGCCGCCTCTGTCTACACACCTCCACTGTTACAGGCCGGATTAGACATGCAGAGTGGAATGCTGCATGCTGAAGATCAGGACTTCAACACCGCCTTCTCATACTTCATTGAAGCTCTGGAAGGATACCACAGCCAGGACGACACTGCCCGGGCGACTTCTGCATTACAGTACATGCTGTTGTGTAAAATCATGCTGAACCTTGGAGACGATGTCACCAATCTGTTGTCCTCAAAGCAGGCACAGAAATACGCTGGCACCAATCTGGAAGCCATGAAGGCAGTCGCACGAGCACACTCGAATAGATCACTGGAAGAATATGAGCAAGCACTCTCCAATTACCGGTATGAACTCGGTAGCGACGTGTTCATCCGCAATCATCTCAGACGGTTGTATGATGCTATGCTGGAACAGAATCTCATCAAAGTGATTGAGCCTTTCAGCAAGGTCGAAATCGATCACGTTGCAAAGATGGTCGGCCTTGATGTGCAGCAGGTGGAAAGAAAATTGTCTCAAATGATCCTCGACAAGGTCATCGTTGGCGTCTTGGACCAAGGAGAGGGATGCTTGATCGTGTACGATGAGGTGGAAAGAGATGCCGGTTACGACGCGGCTTTGGAGACAATTGAAAAGCTGAGCAACGTGGTCGACGTGCTCTATACCAATCAAGCAGCGTTGTTAGAGTAGATTAGGCATGGAGTTTGGGATTGGCACAGTTCTGGGAATGGGGAACATCACGTTGATCGGCGGCAGTCATCTTCTCACGAGTAGTTACGGCTGCTGACCAGTCTTTGCTGGACCTAGATAATTATCCCGACTGCACAACAATCGACCAAGTTCTAGATCAAAGAATCCTTGTTCATAAAAATCATTGGCCATCTACGTGTGGCGGCAGACCCGTTCTTAGTGTCAAGCTCCGTTCCAAATGTGAGATGCGAGGCTTTGTCATTTGGCGGATTGACTCCCCGCCAAAGAAAAGGCTCCAGGCGCCGAAGACTGGTTCACTGCAACTGTTTCCGGCCGAACAATGTGAGGCTGTAAACCTCCTGCTTTCTTTCAGATCTTACCAAACACTGCGATCGCGCCATTTTCCATCAAGTACCTTCTTTGACTCTCACGACTTCACGAACGAACACCCACTGTCCTGCTCTCGATCCGTAATCGCATCCGCTCCCGCCGAGTTCCTCGACCCTTTACAGAAAACCAGAGCGCAGCACAACTCCTCCACGGCCTGACCTTCCTGAGGTGGCTCCTGGCACATTCTATTTCGATCCTGCCCTGAATTTCTTGAAATAGTTGGCCGCAAGGCCCCAGGTGGGCTACTAGTATGGGTCAGAAGTGAGCAATAGCGTACTTGACCTCATATGTACTTGCCGCTAATACACGCCTTCTAGACAGTCCAAGTTGTCGCGAGACCAACTCGACGAACTTCAAAAGGCTACACATTTCGACAGAAAAGAGTTACAACAATGGTACAAAGGTGCGTCTTTGAAGACATGAGCGCACTGGGTTCCTTCACGCTGATCAATATACCCAGGCTTCCTCAAGGATTGCCCCTCTGGCACATTGACCAAGCAAGAGTTCCAGAAGATATATCGACAGTTCTTCCCCTTCGGTGACCCGAGCTCCTTTGCGGATTATGTCTTCAAAGTGTTCGACTCGGATAAGAGCGGGACTATTGATTTTAAGGAGTTCATATGCGCACTGAGTGTGACAAGTCGGGGCAAGATGGAAGACAAGTTGGACTGGGCATTTCAATTATATGATATTGATGGCGATGGAAAGATCAGCTTTGATGAGATGCTCGCCATTGTGGAGGCGATATACAAGATGGTAAGTTTAACATCCCATCATCGCAAAGATGTAATCAGCCTACTGACAATTGGCCCATACAGGTAGGCTCTATGGTCAAGTTGCCCGAGGACGAGGATACGCCTGAGAAGAGGGTGAGAAAAATCTTCCGAATGATGGATAAAGATGAGAACGGAAGCCTCGACATGGCTGAATTCAAAGAGGGAAGTAAGCGGGACGAAACGATCGTGTCAGCGCTTTCGCTGTACGATGGGCTGGTCTGATTGATCCATGGGATTCTTGCTTGAAGGACATTATATCGCGAGACAGCATGTTTGAGCTCTTCAGCGATTGCGAACGTCGTGTCTCGTGGCTAGTGCTTGGATCATTTGCTCTACTTATGGCGAGAGAAGAGAAGACGCCGATGTGCGTGACAACCCATTCATACGATGCGAACACGAAGATATGTGCTGGGCACTGAGGGTCAAAGCGACCAACGAACTTTCATACCTATCTTATTACGAGGGAGGCACCAGGATATCTCCAGGGCTACACTACTGGTAGGCTGAATATCAAAGTTGGGTGTTTATTGCTAGCATCTCGGGCTGTTCCTTGCTCGGAAATTCTGTGCTGTGGAGGCCTTCTGTTAGATTCTCTCCGCCATTGCGCACATAGGCCACATACATGCTTTCTGTGGTAACCCAAGATGCATCATATCGCCATGAGCAATCCTCACAACGCAGCCATAAAGGCTGACTCTAGTTTAAACCAAGGCCTTCCGCACTTGTACTAGCGTGATTGATATCGCTTTGACTCCATGGCATTTTCGACTCGAGCAAGCCACTCAATACGAATACAATAACCCAGTCACTTACCGATGTGTGACAGAGAACAACGAACAACTCGTTACGCCGCAAACGACACGCAGGTTTAAGATAGCGTTTCGCCTCGCGAGAATTTTAGAGAGATCTTTTCAAGGGCATCCCCAAATGTTGTCTAGTTGAGCCCGGAGCTGAACCTGAACAAATGACGGACATTTGAAAAAGAATCCCTGACACCACCGAAAGAGTCGCAAAGGGACAGCATTTAGTGACCTGGCAGCACGATGCCGGCATTTGGAGCCAACACGCCGGTTCTAGACTCCTTTTTGACTGTCATTATCGATAGTATCAGAAGTAAAAATGGCCAGCGTATCACGGAACTCATTCAACTGGACATTGGCAGCCTACCGCCAGAACGACAAAAGCCATATGCCGACCTCAATTCAGAATTGAATCGAAACTACCCTCCGGAGAAGGATGGAGAACTATCGGCCAGATGCCACAGAGATCTATCACAGGATGAGTTTGGGCTATTCAGCATTACTTTTTCCGATAGCATCGTACATTACTTCCGCTATCTTCGAGATTTCACCACAGCCGATAATCATGCAAAAGCCTCGAAGATTCGACAACTTACTAGGTACGTGCATCGACGCTGTTTGTTGAGTCTAAGCTAATGGAGCCTCTCAGTCAATGTGTTATTGCTCTTGGCGATTCCAGATATGGAGTGATTATGATACCGATTGTGCTCTCCTTTTCACGTACTTTGGCTACGATCGCCTCGAATCTGGACCGGAACCCAAGCCTGGTGAGAAGCAACGATCTCCTCAAGACTCCAGACACAGAAGGCGCTCCGGGCAAAGTCAGTTTCGTTGAAGATGCTGCTAATGTCTTGCGAGATGCCTTCATCAAGTGTCTTGCGGGCAGTCCTGGCGTGTCGCGTACTTCACGGCCAACCGCCGATGACAAACGTGTCGGAATCTATTTGACGGCAAACTCGTGTCTCAAGCTGTTGACCCAGTGTCGGAAATTACGGAATGCACAACAAATGTTCTCTAGCATTGACGCACAGTCCCCGCCACTGTTGTATTATCCTGCGGCCCAGCGAGTTACATATCTGTATTATCTCGGTCGCTATCACTTCGCCAACAATCATTTCCTGCGTGCTCAAGCAGCTCTCCAAGCGGCCTACGAGCAATGTCATCGAGATGCAATCAAACACCGAAAGACCATCCTTATCTACCTCATCGCGGCGAACCTGTGTTTGGGTCGCTTCCCATCATCGTCCTTGCTGTCAAGGCCTGAAGCCATCGAGCTGAGTCAAAGGTTCCTGCCTCTTTGCAAGATAGTGCGGACTGGCGACCTGGGGGCTTTCTACCAATATCTAGATGCGGAAACAGAGTCCGGAATGTGGTTCCTACGTCGATCTGTCCTGCTCCAATTACAGAACAGATGCGAGATCATAGTTTGGAGAAGCTTGATCAGGAAAACGTTTTCCTTCAGTGGTTACATGGGCGAAGAGAAGAAAGTCCCGTTCTTGAGGCTTCAATATGTTCAACACGCTGCCGCTTGGGCCTTGAACAGGCGCATACCTCCGACGCCGGCAAGTGGCTTCATGTCTCACGCATCAAACGCAAAATCCTCTTACATTGACACCGAATTCGGTGATATGGATTTAGCGATCAATGAAACAGGCTTCGATGTAGAGAGTGGAGAGTATATTGAAGAGTATGTTGGCCAGCATCAGAGTTCCAATGGCGACAATGTTGAGCAAACACCGACAATGACTGAGATCGAGTCGGTGATACTCAGCCTCATACAACAAGGGCTCATCAAAGGATTTGCGCTGCATACCAATCCGAGATTTGCAATACCGGGCAGTCAAAAGGCAGGAGGACCGATGAAAGCTGGGTTTCCAGAAATATGGAAGGTCATCAACAGCAGAATGGGAGACGAGCCAGTGCCAGGCTGGGTTGAGGAGGCCAATCTCCACACAGGAGGTAGCAATGTGGTTAGGATCTTTGGAGCCAGACCTGCAGGCGCATAGAATTGAGTCACGGAGCAGACATGTACGAGTACCAAAGGAGAAGCAGATACATCGCGTAGACGACAAAAAAACGCCTTGCACGGAAAAATGACATGTATATCATAAATGCCGCACATCCTGGCGGCTGGTGTCACAAGCTAATGCAGACTCGACATGGCCTTTGGGCGGCTCAGTTTGATTCTTGATGCTGGGCACGGAGGTCGCCGACAATGATGAAAGGCCACTATACTGACATACATAGGCACAGGTACACAGTAGTTCCTTAGCTTCCTTGGAAAATCAAGTGGTGGAACGTGGACAAGCGAAAGCAAGGTACTTCGGAACAGCTCCCGCCTCACTTTGGAAATGTTGCTGCGCCCCCAAACAACGAGTCTTTGTAGCGAACCACATGCTCACTCCATTGGCTACCATTCTCTGGACTTTAAGATCGCTTTCATTGCCGAACGTGCTGCCTGCAAAGACGAAGGGGCTGTCTTGTCTCCCTTCAATTGTTCCGGGCAGGGCGCACGCGGTGCTCAGAAATAGTACCTAGGTAAGGTAACCAGTGGTGACTCTTGATGTCTCTAGGGGCCAACAAAAGGAGTGGGTGATGAACTCCCTGCCTCTCGCTCTCTGCGCTATCAGAATCTCCCTCAAAAGCCCTTCTTTGATCCAAATTGAATTCTTCCTTGCCTCTATCGTGCCCAGCAAGCTCTCGTTGTTTATCCATATGGCCGGTGTCCTTGCTGATTGCAGGCACCTGCCGGTGAAGCAGTGATGCTTTCGCCCATATCATACATCTTGTTTTAGCAGCTCACATCACGCGACACGAATCTGCAGAGACTAGAAACACGAACCACCTTCACCACCATGTCCGGTGTCGAGATCGGCATCGCGGTCGTAGGAGCCATAGCAGCACTTATCACGGCGTACAAAGATGCTGGTGGGATAGTCGGCAACATCAAAGCACGTCGCAAGGCCAAGGGAGCCCTCCCTCCTAGCTTTGCTTTGGAAGAATCCCTCAAGGAAGGGCAGGAAGAGATTGAAAGGATCACGGCCAAGGGCATTCAACGATTCGGAACTGACTTTGAGCAAGGCGATGGTGAATATACCTCGTATCTTCCGCAGTGCTACACGTCTCTCTTCTAACACGCAAGCACAGACATCGCGTATGGCGCCCTACAAGCACTCACCATCGAGGTGCAAGCGACGTTCCTGCACCATCTGGTCATTGCGGGTAAAAACGACGATTTCACCGACTTCGAATCCTGCATCGATTCCGCGATTGAGGCTAGACTCAAAGCCGTCACCATCCTTAATGAGCTATACCTACGGCAGCAGAAGCGCTCCAGCCTGGTCAATGAGCCCAATCTGCAAATACCTGGACGAATGGCAGGAAAAGAGGACGACAAGAACGGTGGCGTGATGAAAGAAATCAAAGGGTCAAAGAAGCGCAGTGACACAGTTGGAACATTTGGAACGGAATCCAAAATGCCACCCACTCCCGCGGCGAGTCGCAAGTCGTCTTGGAATCTCTTCAAGAAACGCCAGCGGACATCTTCCACCGAATCGTGGAGGGAAGACCCGTCAACGGTCTTGAACTCAGCAGAGTCGAGTGCCGCTGGCGCCTCACCTGTCCTATCCGCCTCGCCTGCTTCGATCACATTGAGAACATCGCGAACCTCAACAATACTCACACCACCCATCAGTCCAGCCTCGACATTTACACCGTACGAAGCCCTCGCCGGTGCAGGCTTTTGCAAGGGCGCTTATCATGTCCAACAAGGCGTGTACGAGACATCGGTCCAAGTTTCGATGAGGAACATGGAATGGTCCTGCCACTGTCGCAAGTGCTCCTTTGCCACGCCGGCCGACAAAGACGAACGCGGTCGTCCTCGCTTCGATGACAATGTGTATACGGCATCGATGGTCCGTTTCCGGCCTCTGCTCCTGTTCAAGTCTCACCTAGCGTCAAAGGAGAAGAAGGCGCGGAGCTACAAGTGCTTGATCTGCATCTTGGGCGGTGATTCTTCAGCCATATTTCAGGGCGAAGACCGTCTTCTCGAGCACATTTCCCACCACCAAAACGCGTTTGTCGGAGGGGTGGAGCTAGCCGGTCCGATCCGCCTCGAACCTACCGGTGTGAGAGAAGGCTCAGAGAGAACATTTGATATTTGTTTCCCAAACATGTCTACCTTATCATTGCCGGCAAGTGCAATCGAGCTGGACGATACAGGAATTGTCGAGGCTGACGACGGTATGAATTACGGGGGAGAGGATGAAGTGTTCAAGAACCAGTGGGTGAATGAGGGGCTCCGCTGATGAAGCAAGGGGTTCTTCGTTTAGTACGGAGTACTGTACATGCGACTTGGGGGGGGTTCGCTTGTTACTTGTATAAGATACTGGATTGCGAGATTGTCTCCGTACTGTATCTAGTGCATTGTGTTTTTGAAACGACTTATGCTCGTGTGTGACGTGAAATGGATGCATGCAGTATTTTGGGTGGACGTGAATAGGAGTACAGGAGTACCAAACGATATCATTGTTTTAGGACACCGATCTTGTAGGATCATAGTTGCATATGAAAGTGAGCGTACCAGATTTTGGTTGACTCTCGTCCTGTTCACTGATTTGACAATGGGCATGCAGGGAGGTGTGTGCAGCGTGACCCTTTACCCAGAAGGGAGACCTTGGAACATGTGCCTCGGACCATAATTGCCGAGTCATCGAGGCAGGGTTTGGGGCTCGGACCACGAGATAGCAAGCGAAGTTTCTTACTCCGTACAGTAGGCTCTGCTTTATCGCGTGTGGGTAGATTCCTGATTATTAGGGCCGTAAGAGTCTCTCTTTTTCCCTTATCTCGGCCTTTTGTGTGAACCCACCGGCGGCGACAGGACTAGTACGACTTTTGAGAATGTAGTGGTGTAAGGAATTGGATTGTGTGAAGTCGTCAACAAGTTGGTACGGTCAAGGAGACTAGATAGAAACAATTGATGGTCTCGTGTATTTTCTTCTGTACGGAAGTAATTCCATCATCGCTAAGGGACACATCCGTGAGTTTTGGTTGCTCTACCGAGTACAAATGTACAGTCCAACAAGCATCCGTACCGCAAGAGGAAGCTTCCGGGCTTTTCGTGTGTGTTGTATGTCTTGGGCCAAAGACCCTTCCCCGTCTGTGCCCAGGAGGCCGGTTGACAGTTTTGATAAGCGTGAATCTCGAGGGCTGGTTGGTACTCGTATCTCCCTAAGGGAGGTAGTTCGCACCTAATCCAAAAACTACCTGACGTACTCCGTAGGCCTTGTGCCCATCCCGCTATCGAACTCCTCATCGGCGGGCGGCGGTCTCAGTGGATGATGGCGTGGGCTCTGCTTCGCTTAATCCTCTCTCTCGTTCGCCTCCATTATCCCTCCCCCGTCTCTCGTCCACTTGAAATGGTTCGCTCTATCAGCAAACCAGCGCCACCGTCCACCGGCACACTCCTTGTGCCCACACAAACGCCCGCTAGCTCGCCAGGTCCCTGAACCGACCATCCAGCACTCGAGGATGCCCATCACCTCAGATTCTAGGCTCGTCATGCCTCACTCTCCAGCCTGCCCTCAACTTACCACACCACCACTTGTACCGAGTGCCTCGCTGCTGTTCTTACTACTACTCCTCATCATTTCGCAGCGACCTTGTGAAAGCTTCTCACGAATCCGCATACCCAAGATATCGACTTGACTCCCACGCGACCCAAGAGACGGCGCAAGATCTTCCAGTTTTGCAGGTCACCCGTGTTGGACTGTGCACGACTCACTCGCAGATCGATGGCTGCTTCCTTACATAGTCAGGAGCTCAAACATCTCCCCCCGATTTCCTCGAGGCTATGAAGCCGACGTCGCGATATTCCTCCAATCGAACGCACACGAAAACGAAATGGCGGAACACGATAGAATAGAGGCGCACATGTACCATTATGAACCTCCCGACATACAGTCGAGGCTGGACATGAACCCGACCCTCATAGTGTCGTGGTGGTGTACATTGTTCTCTGTGACAATAATCCTAATCAGATTATTTGGACGATGGATACGTACGGAAAGACTGTTTCGGGAAGACTGGATCATGTTGTGCAGTATGATCCCGCTCATGATCCGAATGGCCTTTGTCCACGTTATCTTGATCTGGGGCACCAACAACACAAAGACACAAGGCTTGACCGAGACGCAGATACACCATCGCGAGGTCGGAAGTAGGTTGGTCCTTGCGGCGCGCATATCTTACGCGGCTTTCATCTGGATTGCCAAATGGACGGTTCTGGAATTCCTCAAACGTCTGATCGGAAAGTCGTGGGCCAAATCGTACGAAATCGGCCTCCAAATCATCTACGCCTTCCTCATTGTAACCTACATTGGCGTCGTCATCGGCACGCTCAGTGAATGCCAACCCTTTGACCACTACTGGCAGGTCGTGCCAGACCCAGGCCCGAAATGTCGGGAGGGTCTGATCCAACTGATTGTCATGGGAGCTTGTGACATGGTCACGGATGTCGTGCTGATTGTCTTCCCCATCCCTTTGGTCTGGCAGTCCTCCATGCGGTACACCAAGAAAATATCCTTGATACTGCTCTTCCTTCTCTCCGTCATCCTCATCGCCATCACAGCCTACCGAATCCCCACGACCATCTCACGCCGCTCCTCCCAGCAGTATCGGTCACTCCTTGCGTCGCTCGAAATTCTCGCCGCCGCTGGTGTCTCGAATGCCATTGCCATTGGCAGTTTTATCCGCGACAAGGGCGTCAAAAAGGCCAAGTTCCGCATTCCTTCGGTCGATGAAACGAGCTCCCTCGGCCGAAGCGTCAGTCGCACGGTCACTCGAACCCGCACACGCTCCATCACTCATCATCATTGGGGATCGGACGAAGATCTAGCACGCAGTGTTGGCGTATCCTTGCCCGCTCCTCTCAGACACGGAAGTAATAGAGAACCTCGTCTCGCCGAACCAGCGACACCGAGCAATCACGACTCAACAAAAGACCTCGAGTCGGGACTTCATCATCGTCACAGCTCCACGTTCAATTCAGACTGGAACTTTAACTCTGCGTCTCGCGGCCGGCGACGGAGCTCGATGAACAGTATGAGCAGTACGTCGACGGACATCAAACTCCGTGACCTCAGAGCCCAACTACATGAGCCCATCAGTCCGCATGCCGAACAGCCGGACACCCCGAGCAAGATGGGATTTTTTGACGTTGGTGGCCTGGTTGCAAACCCAGAGTCTCCGAGTTCTGTATCCCGACAGGCTTCAATCCATGAAGCCCGCCGCCTTTCCCTCCCTAGCACCAGTTCCCGATCCGGGTCCAAGGCGTTCTTGTCAGATATCGGGGGATTGTTGTCTCGCCATTCTCACATTCGCGAGGAAGACGAAGTGTCTGGCACAACACCCTCACCTACACGCAGTAAAGGAAGGAGCCCAGGTCGCTCGCCGATGCGTTTCGCCATGGATAGGAGAATATCAAAGAGCCACCGTCTAGCGTCGCAAAAAGAAGAGGATGAAGAACCCATTCGACCTGTACCGAGTGGACCCGATGACTTGACGTTTGTGGACGTCGGTGGACTCCTCCGGTGACCATGGTCTGCAGGCGTCGACGCGAATATGAAGATGAAGATGAAAAAGGAACATATAAGACGGGACAACTAGCAAACAGCATAGCTAGATGTGTGGTGGGGATGTGATTTATGGAGTGGTCGCTTTTTATTTTTATTTTTGTGGCTTTTTATACCATCTAGCGTGGGCGCTTCTGGGAGGAATTCTTCATGAGGGTCATTGACGTTGTATTTTTGGGAGGGTTGGCTGGCTGGGAATACATCGTTTTTGATTGCTTTGGCAATGGCAAAACTTTGAAAGGGGGTTTTGTGAGATTGGTTGATTGGAACACGGGTTTTATGAGGTACTGGTTAGGAGGACTGGTCAGGGACCCCGATGATGAATCTTGAACAGAAGGGAAGAAAAGGTGCTTATGACATGAATCTTTGGAGTGGTTGATGTTTCTTGTGAACGATTGGAACGAAATGAGTATGAATTGTGTGTATACGGGAGTAAGATAGGGAGGTTTGACTCGGTGAGGTTGTCACGTAGTGGATGAATATATATACCCTGTCTACCCACCTCTCTACCTTGTATACCTAATAGCTGCTGTATTGAAATAGAACCTCTGTGGCATTTGTTCACTCGTAGCAAGAATGTCGTCATGTGGAAATTGAGGATCTTCATCTTCCGTAACCGGAAGTCGTACCATTTTACTCTACGGGAGTAATTGTCTGTATGTGACATGTGTACAATACTTTCTGTACAGTATACTCCCGTCTTGATACCTATAGCTAAGGTATGTAATCTTTCTTGAAAGAGATTGCAAAAACCTCGCGTACACACACACATGAATTTTTTTCGGGTTCCCTTGCCACACGTTTCTCCCTCCTTGATGACCCTCCTTTTTCCCAAGAAAGCTTTTTTGTCTAAAGAATCAAATCATTATCTACATGATGACCGCCCTCCTTTCTTTTTTTTTCTTTTCCCATCTTTACTAAAAGCGTCCCCCTCGATGTCATTGTCATTCTTGACGACCAGAATTGCCTCCTTGACGGGCCCCAGCCCTAACTTTGTCAAGCTTGACAAATTGGGAGAACCAAAAGACATTCATCTTGGGACATGTCTCTGGAAAAAAAAACCCCCCTTTCGTCTCTGATGGACGTCATTCTCATGCCGTTTCTTTTTTTTTCTCCCCCCTGCTCTCTCCCATGCTCGTCGTTTTTTTTTTCATCCGATGACGACCGCTGCTATTGGTCCTGCTGCTGTAGCTATAGAAGAAGCTACTTCCACTGCCCTCTTCGACGTGCCTTGCGTCGCCGACAAGGTCGTGAAGGTGGTGCTCGTGGTGGTGATGGTGGGGGGAGCGTTGGTGGTGGTGGTCAAGGTAGGGTCGATGGTGGTGGTGGTGATTGTCAGTTCGTTGGTCGTGGTGGTGATGGTGAGTTGGTTGGTGGTGGTGGTGATGGTGGGAACGTTGGTGGTGACAAAGGTGGTGGTGACGGTGGTGGTGGTGGAGGCGTCCGCTATGGTCAAGACGTCCGTCATGGTCAACATCTCCTCCCTTCCAACCAGGGGGGACGCCATTGGGGCCGGGGAGGCCATTGTTGTCATTGTTGTGGTGAAGTTTCCACAACAAGCCAAGAGGAGCAGAATGTAAAAAAAGACGGGAGACATTTTTTGTTTTTTGTTTTTTTTTCTCACTTACTCGAGAAAAAAAAGGGTAGGGCAAATGTAAGTGAGTAGTCAGGTAGTGTGTGAGTGTGTGTGAGTAGTGAGAGTAACAGAAAAGTATCAAGTCCTGGAGGAAGGAGGAAAAAAAGAAAGAAAACAAGGCTGTCCGAGGAAAAGGTCAGTATAAATAAACAATCTACATGTTCTTTGTCGTGTTTTTTTCATAATTGTCATAATTGTCATACTCGTCATGAATCGCTCGAAAAGGATCTCTCTTCGGCGAGTAGACGTCAGGAGGTCAAACGAAAGAAGAAAAGCTTCCCCCCAACAATTGATTCTTGTAGAGGTGAAAACAAGTGGTATCCAAAATCATTGTGCAAGTCAATGGTGTAGGTGGGATCTGGATGCTGGAGGAGGTAGGCGAATAAAACGTCATGAGAGAATCATGAAAGAAAACAAAGAGATAGACTCGGGATGATCTTTGGGACAGGCGAACGTCAGGTCCACCATGAGCAAACTCTCAACCTGGATGTCCGGTCAACACACAAGACGAAGAAAAACAAAAACAAACAAGACAAACAAGACGTGCCAAGGTGCAACGAAGAAAGTCCGGACAGGGTCAGGCATGTTGAACACAGGAATGAAGCCTTTTGATGGTCTTGATAGTTGCCTTGTTTGTGATGTGATGATGATCTAACAATCTCATGAAGCCCGATGAAGCTTTCCGTAGCTCTTCTGTCCAAAATAGCACACATGCAAAGCATGAGCAATCTTGAACCCCAATTGCCTTCCCTTCATCGGAGTTCCATGTCAGTGTGTCAAGTTGGTCGGTCAGAAATAAAAAGTCCGTCTGGGACAGGTCGATAGCTCTTCGGAGTCCGCAATGGTCATAGAAAGCACTCTCATGACGTGCAATGTCGAGGTCGAAGTCAATTGTGTCTCGCAAATCGTCCATTGGTCTTCTCCCACTCTTCAATCATAGCCTTGACACCTTCTTGCGAGGGTCTGTGCTCGGGTTGGTCCTCTTGAGCTTGAGAAGGGTCTGCAGGACGAAGTTCTTGCTCGAACACAACCTGATTGTTCTCATTGTGGACAACCAGCGAGTTTGGTGTATGTGGTCGTAGTGGTAGCGCTGAGAACGTGTCACTGATGTCGACGTCATTGTCATTAGTCGTAGTCGTCAATGTCGGGCTCAGCCTTTCTTCATCGTTACTGTTCGTCGCGAAGCCTTCGATGTTTGGATGATAAGTGATACTACTGCAACGTGTAAGATCCTCGACGCCGTTGTTAATGGTGATCTTCGGATTGTTCCCATCATTCTGCATGGTTTGTGCCTCAATCGGCTCGGTCATCTCTGTTGGGGGTTGTCTGCGTTTGAAAGGACCCTGAATCGTGTCACGAGGGATGGGTTGCGGAAGCAACATGGAAGGATACTGTGGCAGACCAGAGTACTGGGAAGACCGATACGAGCCTCGAGCTGAGGATGACATAAGGTGGCTGGATCGGTGTAGACTCGATACTGCATACGGGTCGTCACTACCGTAGAACAGTGGGACACGAGTGTAGTCCTGAGCCGAGTCCTTGAAGGTCTTTTAGAAGAACATTATCAGCAAGGACCATTCATGAGAGGCAAGGGTGACTGACCTTTCCTTTCGAAGCCGAATCTCCATCTCCAGTGCCGATGCTGCTCCATTCATCCCAATGACGCTCTTCGCCTACGCGTCCAACAAAGAGTGCTGTATTTCTCACTTCACCGACCTCCTTTCTGGCTTCCCTTGCTCGTTCCCACGCGTACATGTTATTGATCCATCTTACTTCTCTCATGCGCGCAGCTTGGCTTGCACTCACGGGGCGGTTTGGATTGAATATATCATAGCCGTCATCAGCTTCAGCATCCGTCGTTGTTGAACGATTGTTTCGGCAATATGCAAAGACGCTTGCGACGAGGACCATGACGCAGAAAGCGCACAATATCACAATGCCAACGATGACAGACGGGGAGACGGGCAAAGTTGACGGGCCAGCTGGGTCATCTCTTCGTGAAGCCATGATCAAACAAAGGAACCTTGTTGAAGAGCGTGAAACGAATTCGCAGAGTCAACTCCGTTGGCGCGATACGATTGAGCGTCAGAACCGGCTTGCTGACGTATGTGCTGAGACGCAGACGAAGCGAACGATGTCCATGGTTGTGCCAAACGATATCGAGAGAGTTTATGAGGCAAACGGAGTTCTTTCAGCGCGCAGGGAAAGTGATTCGGGCGGTCAGGATAATGTTTCCTGCTGCAGTGAAGATGAAAAGCGATACGCGCCATGGTGAGTGAATCTTGTTGTAAACAAACCCAGTTCACTGCCCGAGGGTGCGGCAGTGTGCATCTTATGGTTTGCTAGCGGACTCGTAACACTCACCATTCCCAAATGCAATCACAGCTGGTTGTGATTGGGGCGGCCATCAGGCATTTTGTGATTTCGCCTTTTTCGGTGCGAGTCCTTCGAGTCATCAAGCCCCGAGCCTTCTGGACAATCTAAATCGCTCATTATGAGAAGAGAAGAGAAATTCCGGCCACAAATAGCATGGATCGAGGGTCTGCCATACAAGATGGACTCCCTTGTTATGCAGAAATGGCGCCACTCACTGCCAGTGGAAGTGGTAAGACCGCAATACTTCTCGTGGTCATATCGTAGTTTTGGGTGGTCTTGTAGCTATTCAACAGTAAGAGCTTCACAGGGCGAAGACAACATACTCTTTGCTGGACTGGACAAACAATCTTTCGATGGAGAGAAATTGCAAATGGCGAGAAGGATGAAGAGGCAGAAGAACTGACAGGTGTTTCATTCATAAACATCGGAAGCTCGGCTCAGCTCGGTAGCGACTGGTTCCTCCTGCAGTTTCCCCTGATTTGCCGATTTTCTCAACGTCTACAGTGCGCCAGCATCGGATGCATAACTTGAATGGTAGTTCAAAGAAATCACCATTGCGTGAGGATGTATCTCATAATACACAGCAACCTGTAGTTGGCATGATGAGCTGGTTACAGCCCCAGCATAAGGTCTCGCAGTATCATGCCGTCTCGCAGCTCCACATGATCTGATCACAACATTCTATTGAACTCAGACAAACCCTCCATCCTAGGCATCATCAGCTGCATCTTTAGCCCACAGAATTGACGTGTCAACAGACACTTTCGCTCGAACAAAACCTCTTCCTCGAAGTTTTCCTTTGACAAACACATTGGATGCCCCTGGGAGCATTAGGATCTCTGAACAGTGTAAGTTCGGTAGTCAACACTCACATACCTCAGGGTTTGATATTCTTCCTATCGATTAGAAGCTTAACCACTGTGTCAATCTCACTAGCACCATCCTTGCTACTATCATATATGTTGTTCATGCAGTTGCTTAGCTTTTGTAAGCTTGCCATGATCTGGTCGTTCTCGAATTTGTGGCAATAGACATCAAACAAGTCCTTCATCGCTGATTGACAGGTGTTTATGTTAATTCTGGCATCATCGAGCTTTTTCTTGACTAGATTCAACTGCTTCGTGATCTCCGCCTCTGGTGTGATAGGCGGTTGAGGCTTAAAGGCTGGCCCAGGAGTACTTGTACGTGGGCCAGGATCTGTTGCCCTCGACTCTCCGGCGGATCGAGTAGGGATTGAGTAGGTCACAGTGGTCTTGGGAATGCTAGATATTGTTTGCATTCCATTCTTGGACGCACTTTCGCATTTGAAGGTCTTTTGTCTCTTGAGCGGGATGCTAGGAGAGCCTGGCTGCGCTGGCCTTTCCAAGGTATCCGAAGCCGCTGTCAGATCTATGATCTCTTCCTCTTTGACATCCTCATGTGGACGTTTCCGCATCAGAGGCTTCACAGGATGGAACTTGAGCTCGACATCGTGGTTTGGAGGTCGTCTGACGGGGTTTGCATTGTTCTTCTTTTTCCATTTCTTGCAACGCTGTCGCGGACGATATCTGTCGGGATATATGGACGTTCGAGAGTATGAAGGAGGCGTAAATCGACCAGGACCTGTTTTCAAGCCTATACGCTTGACAGCCCAGATGAGTTCGAATAATGCTTCGTGGTTGAAAGTGTCAAAACCTGCCTTCGTAGCTGCATCTGCGATTTCGAGTTCAACACCACCCAGATCGACCGCTATAGGGGTCAGCATGTTGAATGTGACGAACAGGCTCAAGGGCAAAACATACTTCCTTGGTACAAGCCATCGACTCCAGTATGCCGGTGCTCATACCAGCAACCGGCTCCCCGACCACAGTAGCCGTAATATTTCCATTGAATACAGGTACCGCGTTGCTGGAAGTGACTGACCAGTCTACCGGTGTCCCAGTGAGCATAAGAGCATGTAACAGCGCCAAACGCGTCGAAGTTGGGACATCCCGAGCCCAGTGCCCAGTAACGACAAGTACGTGACTTGTCAATGTATGGCGTCTGTCGCATGATGAGACAGGGACAGAGAAGATGTCGTATGCACAGAGAGAGCAGATTTGAGTTAGACAAGAGCACGACGACGATGGAAGAAACACGGCGGATAGGGACCGAACTAAGGGCAACGAGTATGAACGAACGATACGAGAACAAGGAGAAGCCAAGTAGAAGAGGGAAACATTGGCAAGAAGAAAAGGAGAGGGTGGAGTGGACATCAGCTTCACTTCAGACGAAACTGCGGTCACTGGGAAGGAAAAATGCTGTAACATGAGGAAGGGACGAAAAAACTACCAGTACAAAAAGAATTTCATATCGTCGTCTTGATTGCAGCTCATCACATTGTTATTCTTCTCAGTCCAATGTCCTCAAGCCCCGTTCCGACCGTGTCTCTCATCTAAACATTGCATCGTGCTCTTCATCGTGGTATCGCTCATGCTGAAGCTCTACGTTTGAGAGACCTCAACCCTTCTCCAACATTATTCTTACCAGACAGTTTCAACAACACATATGCAGCATTTGTCTCGGTAAAGGTATGTGAAGATCTCTTCCTGCTCTTCTCTGCTCTTGGAGCCTCCGAGTCATCTGAACCAGCTTCGTAGTGCTCATCTATGTCCATGGGTCGACGACGGCACTTGGGGGATATGCCTGGTGTCGTCGGCGTAGGGAGATAAGTGGGACTTGTGACAGATGCTTGGGAAGTCAAGGTGTTGATCGTCGGGTACATCGGTTTTCGCGGAGGCGGCATCAGGTCAAGAGGGGTGTGAGAACGAGGAATGTCAGCAGCTTTGCGTCCCTTACGAGACGTGCCTGAAGGCGAATCCGAACGAGTCGTACTCGCCGGCGACCATGGATTGGTGAAGGCGACTTTGGGCGACGGAGAGCGAGGAGAATTGATCGCAGACCATGGAGTGCTGAAGCCGATATTGGGTGATGTAGAAGATAGAGCATACTGATCCTCTCCACCTATGTCAGAGGTGCAGTCACTGGCATAGTCTGTCGTCGTTCTGATCGGCTTTGGCAAGATTCGCTTGAAGTAAGGTCCCAACTTTGGTGTTGAAGGTAATTGTGGACTGGGTGTGGCTGGCACTGGCGGTGATGTTTCTCTTCCCTCCAGTGCTCGATAGTGCTGAGCTTGTAGGGCACAACGCTTCGTGATCTCCGGATCAATCAGCATAGAACCGAAGTTCTCAGCGTTTGGACGAATGCACATGTCTGGGAAGTCTGTACCGAACACTGGAGTCAATGCATAGCGAATGCTCCAGCAGAAAGTAGCAGCGACGGCTTTGGCCGCTTCATACGGAATCCAGTAACCTGAGGGCAAGACACTCAGCAATGGCTCCTGATTGTCTGACCAGGAGTTGACGTACCTTGAGCAACAAGAGCTCCTCCAGTGATGCTGTGACAGATGTCTTTCAATCCCTCGTTTCGAGACAGGGTTTTGGCAGGAGTTGTCTGATAGAGGTTAACCAAAACTAGAGGTGGTCTGAATTTTTTCTCTTACTTTGGAATACCGTCCACATTTGAAAAGAGGCGTGGTGCGTACGAGCCCAATGTTGTAGTCCCAGAGCATCGTGTACGTGGTTGGGTCGTTGGGAATCTTGAATTGATACTGAAAAACTACCGAGGATCCAGTAAGCCCATGCATAGCTGATGATCGATCCGTCGAGGGTGCCATACCTTCAAAGCTGTCTCGTCCTGTCTTCTCCCAGAACAATTTCTTACCGCCGTTGTAGGGGATGTGCCGGGGGTAGTCGGCGATACTGCCCATCGGGTATATCTCGTGCATCTGATGCTGAGCAGCTAGGAAGTCGTCTTGATCCTCGTGAGGCGGATACCGACATGGTTCACGAACAGTACCAGGCTTGAAGACCGCCGCATCCTTGACAGTCTTTTGCTTCTTTCGACTGGCAAGGTCGTAACCACCTCTGCGCTTAGGCGACCCTGACGAGGTTTGGCTGTCTGCCGTGGAGACTTCGTCTTTGCTGTCGTATTCGGCGTCGTCCATGGTGGGATTGAGAAGAGATTTGATCTGGGCCATTGCTTGTGGAAGAGGAAGGTTCTTCCAGATGGGAAGAAGCGGGCATCTATGTACTGAATTCGAGGAAGACAGACCGTCTATCTACCCTGTTTGGATTCACGCGTGGCACTTGATCCAGTTGACACAAACAGCAATCAGCGCCTTTGCTTGAGACAAAGGTTGAATCAGACAAACTTGAAAGATCTCCTTTCTCCTGTTCATTATGGCTCCACTTGCTATGAGGACATCCAGAATTCCAGACCAAGATGGCAGTCGATTCTTTGACCGCATGGCAACAAGGACTGATGCTAAGGTAGGTATCCAGTCTGGCCAATATGTTAAGCAAGACGTCGCTCATCCAGATGTTCGCTCAGTGAACGAATCAACGAGCCTTTGGAACTGGCTTTGGCACGCAGAAAAAGGGGCGGTGAAAGAAGGTCTTCTGGACGGTCGGTTTGGCGCAGCTCTGAGGGCTCAACATGATATTGTAGGCAGGTTTGCAATCGCTGCTCTGGATGTGGAATCTCACCGTTGGATCTGACTGAGGCATTCATCGAATGCCACCCTGAAGAGATGAATATGACCTTGTCCAGATCGAGGAGACTGTGTCGTTCCAGATCGATTTATCATTAGTACAGTGGTTGAGAGTGGCTTAGACTCATGTTTCACCTAGCTCAATATATCGCCCCGGGCCCAGATACACAGTGGCCTCGAGCACATTTCCCAGTTAACCTCAAGTAGAATGAAAAACGGAGTCCCGTGGGAACCGAAGGATGACCGGTTGTGTTGTCAGGGCAATGAGGAACCAGGCAGCCTTTCAAGTGGTGGTCGCGGATTGCGCGGATTGATGCATACATGCGTTTCACGACAAGAGGGGTCATTGGCCGTCGTTGCCGAACAGACAAAGAACTATTCTGTATCAGACCATGCACGAAGGGTTAGGACATGAGTTGAAGAGGCCTAGAGTCGTTGCCATCGTATGCAACATAAGTGGTATGGGCCGTGCTCTGAAGGTTGAAAGACCATTGCAGAAGACTTCACTATGGTGGTGATGCTGTTACGGTCGCTTCGACCTCGTAGTAAATGACATTTGGCATTAATACATCAGTATCAGTAAGGCACTGAGGGTGCCCAAGATAATGCTGTGTACTAAAAAATGAACACATCGCTTCAATAGCAGCAAATTGACTCACACAGCCGGCACACTATGGTCCAGTGCGTACCCGTCCTCGTGCTAAAACCACCTCATTTGGTTCACGCTTCCTCGAGTATGCTCGGGTCCCTTAAAAACGTCTTCATTCACTCTCCGAAAACATCGCAGATGATGCATCATCCTGAACTCCTCCGTCTTCGTCGTCTTCGTCTTCGTCGTCTTCGTCTTCGTCATCAAACGTGTATGTCGCCGTCTTCTTCGTAGCCACAGCTCGTCGTGCTGGTCGAGCAGCAGGTTTGCGGATCACGGGCTCATCAGAATCTGATGCAGATGGTGACTTCAAGATGTCGTCTGCAAGTAGATCCATATCATCATCAGAGTCGACCACCTTCTTCTTTGCGAGTCGTTTGGCATACGCTTTGGCTACTGGTGACTGCTCGACTTTCTTCGAGGGAGGAGCAGTCTTCTTCGCAGTAGGCTTTTTAGCGTTGGTTTGGGTGTCCTTAGCCGCCTTTTTGACAGGCACAGTCTTCTTAGGCATTATAGCATCGCTATCACTGTCCAGGTCCATGACATCTTGCTGTTTCTTTGGCGCTGCCTTTTTGGATGATTTTGCCGGAACAATGTCATCATCGCTCTCCTCAACATCATTGGAATCTTCTTTGCTCGTGACGATGATGGATCGCCTCGGGGAAGACTGCGGAGCTAACCTCTTATAGTCTGTCTCATCGGCGGAGAAATCCTCTCTAGGAGGGGGTTTGGTAGGAAGTCTGTAGCCATGGCTGCTGGTAGGTCTTGATGCAGATGCAGAAAACAATGTGCGAGACTCGTTGCCACTGTCAATTGTCGTCTTGCTCGGCAATCCTTTGACCATATCACCAAGATCCGCAAGCAAGCCATCTCCGTTATCGCTCTCGGAATCACTTAATAAAGCATAGTTTGTCGCTTTCTTCGTGACGGCTCGAGCTTGGCGATTAGGGGGCTTGGTGGAGATCACTTCGATCTGAGACTCGACTTTGACTGGGATGCCATCTTTGGTGCCGTCTGTGAGTTCTTCTGGCTGGTCTAAAGGATCGCTATTGCCGTCAGTATACAGCTTTCGCTGCTCCATCGCATGCGCTAGAGCATTGGTTTTGGGGGCAGCATACGCTTCGATAGTCCGCTGCTTCGGCAGAGGTTTTTGAAGTGGTTTGGGCGCAGGGATGGGCTTCTTTGCTTTGGGTGCATATGCCTCAAAATCAGAGTCGTCCGAAGAATCAGCCATGCCCTTGCGCTTCTTGCCCTTTGGTTTCGAGGCAGCCGTTGCGAATTTCTTGGAAACACGTCGTCCCTTCCGAACTTTTCGCTTCCGTTCGTGTTCGTCTTCCAATTGGAATCGCCATTCTGCGATAAAATCATCCAGGTCCTGCATCCACAGATCCTCCTTGGATCTCTGCATCAAGGCATCGATCTCAGTCTCTTTATCGCCGATCTTGCTGAGCAGTCTCTCTACCCGTTCTTGGGTTAATGACCATAGAGCCATACCAAGCAGATAATCGTACGCACTTGCGTCGGTATTGTCATCTTCATCTTCATCCTCTTGAGCAGCGCGGAGAATCTCTTCTTCTTTGGTGGCCTCCTTTGATTTTGGAAAAGGATCGAAGTTCAATTTCTGCAGCTCTGCAATGAGAACAGCCTTTTTCTTCTTTGAGATGTTGAGCTTGCCGTCAATGATCATCTGAATGAACCGAGCTTGATTTGTCAAACGTCTCAAATCTTTTTGCATGTCTTGCAATAACCGCTCTTTTCGTTTTGCATACAGCTGAAGCCGGTAGCTGTAGAATTCGTTCATGATGGCCTCTACATTTGCGTATTTGGTGATGCGCCCTTCAGGATCAAAGGCTACAAGGTTGGATGTGGCAATAGACTTGTTGAGTTTGAATTTCTCAACCAGGCCTTCTTCGATAGCCTTATCCATGTGCTTTTCATCCATCTGAATAATGAAATGGACCTGGTCATGAGTGTTGTAGTCCTTGTAGTCCTTGATGAAGGAGGGAACTTTCTCAGCCTTGATGATCTCTTCCAATTTATCTTTGAAGTCCTGTGTCCAAGTCCGGATAGGCAACTCAGTGATCTCAACTTCGGTGGACCCGCTTTGGTGAATAATACCGCTGAATTGAAAACGATCTGGGGCAGTCTCTTTAACTTCGCCCTTGAAGCCGCGGAACCAGGGTTGCATTGGTCTCCATTCTTCGCCAGCCATTCGCCGCTTGAGATTTTCAACAATGTCTTCTGGGTTGTAGTTAGGAATGGATGAACTCCAGCCCGTACCAATACCATCAGCTCCATTGACGAGGATCATAGGAATTACGGGGGCATAGATTTCAGGCTCGATTTTCCGTTCATCATCTGTATTGTAGGTGAGAAGCGGCTCGTCAGCCTGGTGGAACAGCTTCCTGGCGAATGGAGAGAGTCGGGTGAAGATATAACGAGCGCTGGCACAATCGTTGCCGCCCTGGTTTCGCGTGCCGAACTGGCCGGAAGGAACCAGTAGGTTGACGTTGTTGGATCCCACGAAATTCTGTGCCAGACCGACGATGGTTTGCTGTAGGGAAGTGTCGCCGTGGTGGTAAGCAGTCATACCACTGACGAGAGAGGCAAGCTCGGCGACCTTCATATCCTTTTTCAGATTTCGTTTAAAACATGCGTACATGACCTTTCGCTGACCAGGCTTTAGACCATCGACAACAGAAGGGATGGATCGTATATTGTCAGCCATACTGAAGAGAATCAGCTCTTTGTTGACAAAATCAGAGTAGGTAATCTTCTTGAGTTGGTGATCAAGGTAAGTTCCTGGCTTGTATTGACGCAACCACTCCTTTCGCTCGTCTGCTTTCTTCTTTGAGAATGCGAGCTCGATCAACGCGGGCTCGTCATCCTTCATAGTGTCAAATTCTTTGTGGTGGGTATCTAAGTCATTGAAGTACTCTTGAGCCTCTTCAGTGGTACTTGTACCCAATCCTTTGTAGTATTTGCTTTCCCAGCCACGGTCATGTCTGTGCGCTTCCTTCCATGCTTGATATTCGGGAATCGAATAGAACGCTCGAGATTGAGAGGGATTCTGTGGGTCGCCCTTCCAGACCTTGATGATGGGAGTGATGAATTCGACAAGGAAGTCTGGCATTTTCAGAAGACTAGGGAATTGTACTTGTAGAAAGTTGATCAACAAGCCCTTAATGTGGCTACCATCATGATCCTGGTCAGTCATGATCATTAACCGACCATACCGCAAGCCTTGTCTGTCAGTATAGACCTTCTTATGCTGAAGTCCAAGGAAGTTTTTGATATTTTGAATCTCTGCGTTCTTCGAAATCTGGTCGATCGAAGCATCTCGGACGTTGAGGAGCTTTCCACGGAGAGGGAATACACCCCATAGGTCAGGGCCCACGACTGATCGGCCTGCCATCGCAAGACCCTTGGCTGAATCACCTTCTGTCAAGATCAAAGTGCACTTGTAGCCCTCTTTGGTACCAGCCTTGTTGGCATCAGTCAATTTGGGATTGTTCATGCGGCTTCGTTTACTGCCATCGGACTTTTTGAGGATCTGATCGGCCTTCTGCTGAGCAAAATGGAGAATGTTGGTGATGACTTCGGTTTTTATGACCTTCTTCATGAAGTCATCGGAGACTTGGCACTTGCTGCCAAACTGACTGGACTTGGTGGTAAGCTGTTCCTTCGTTTGCGAGGTGAAAGCTGGATTGACAATCAGAGCATTGACGAAGATAAAAATGTGGTTGCGGATCTGATTTGGCTTCAACGTCGCACCACCCTTGTTCTTCTTTTTGACAACATCCATCAACTTGTTGACGATCTGATCAGCAACATAATTGACGTGAGTACCGCCAGACGTGGTGGCAACAGAATTGACGAATGAAACTTGTTGGAAAGAGCCATCTGATACTGTAAAACCAATCTCCCAACGAGGATCAGTAGATTCGGTGATGATTTCATTGTTATCATTCGCAGCCTCTTCACCTCGTTCCTTTTTGATTGCCTTCGTGTACATCTCGATGTATTTCTTGAAGTTCCGGACTGGCAGGCGTGTGCCGTTCAGCTTGACATTGACACTCCTACAAGTGCCTGCCATGTCGTAGACTCTCCGCTTGAAAAGGGCCTCGAGGTCGTCATCCATACCTTCCATGCCGAATTTGGCGAAGTCAGGCTTGAAGGTGACTTTGGTGTAGTCCTCGCCTTTGCAATCTGTGATCTTTGCCTTGCCCATCTGAGACATGTTATGGGTCCAAGTCTGCTTGTACTTCTTCTTCTGGCGTGCATCGGCAGTTTCGATGGTGAACTCTGTACTAAATATGTTGCAAAGTTTCGCACCATAACCATTTCTACCACCAGTGACCTTTTGTTCGTTATCATCGTAGTTCGACCCTGTGAGAAGATGACCAAAGATCATCTCCGGGATATAAATCTTCTCTTTGGAGTGGATTTCGATGGGAATACCACGGCCGTTGTTGTAAACACTAATCTCGCCGTTCTCCCGATCGATTGTGACTCTGAGTTCGTTCATGTTTTTGTCATTTTGCTTGTTGTCTGCAGCGTTCACCAATATTTCGTCGAAAATCTTGAAGATACCGGGGACATAAGATACCTCTCGGAACTCCATGCTGTCTTGTTCGCTGTTGTAGACCCACATCTGTTTCTCCGTGCGCTCTACTGATCCGATGTATGTATCGGGACGTTTGATGATATGCTCCAGCTGTGTCAATTTCTGATATTGTTCTGAGACACGTTTCTTCTTTTGAGGCTGCGGGGAGTCATTTGCGCCATCTGCACCAATGGCCTCATTGACCAAGTCACCCAAAGGCTTCTTATGACTGCCCTTGACTGGGTTGGGATTGGCCTTCACTTTCTTCGTCTTGGGGGGAGTGTTTGCCAGCAGCGACTCATCGTCGAAAAGATCGCCTGCCCCATCATCTTCATCGTCGTTTTCGGCATCCTTTTTAGAGCGCTTCTTTGGAACAGTAGCCTTAGGTTTGGGGCCCGTTTTCGCTTTGGGTGCAGTTGTCTTTAGTGCTTTAGGCGCCGTTGCCTTTTTCGCAGGCTTGGCTTTCACCTTCTGTGGACAAAGTTGTCAGAACAACAGCTCAGACATGAGACAAACCTTTTCCACTCACAGGCGCTGGCTCAAAATCTGAGCTCCCACCGTCAATGTCGAAAACAGAGGAATCCATCTTGATCGAGTTAGAGTATGAGATTCTTGCCGTTTAGAAACACCCGTTAGGTGGGCGTATGTCTTGCGTCGTTGTGCACATCAAGACATGGATCGTTGGAAGAGACACAGGCTGCACAAAGAGGGCGTTGTTGTCAAGAATTGAATTGTAAACAGAGATTTGGGCAAAACAATAACAAGACACAGCCTGAGTCGCATTAGCGGCCCAGGGTCAGCCTTGTCGCGCCAAGATCTCGCGAGAAGAGCTAGGCCTATACTGGAAGTTTAGAGCTAACCCGTTTTGAGAGCCTCCCTCTCTTTACGAGATCAAATTCTGCATGCTATGAGTTACCGACTGTACGAATACGGAGAAGGGTATCACTTGTGGCGCTCCTGTTCCTAAGCGTCGTAGAACAGCGCCATGGCTTGTCAACAGTCGAGGCTCGATCAAATATTGTCGTATCCAGGATGCGGGGTGGAAGTCATTGCCTGCCGCTGCTTGTTTATTACCCCTGAACCATGAGCGTGGGTTGGCGAATGATTGTATTCCGTACCACCCTCTCGAAATCAACAGTCTCGATCACTGCAGATTCTGTCAGGTCAGCGCACTCACGTCCCTGGCGACCTCACAATGAAATGTCAGACACTACTATTGGCTGACTCCTATGTGGCATATGCTGCTTCAGATGTGTCTCGTTGCTTTCTTTGCTCAGATGTCCCCGCATTGTTTTCGGGGTCTCGCATCGACGCGTCTCATGAAGAGCTGGTTGAATATAACTCCGTACAGCGTCAAGCTTCAATCTGCCCTGAAATCCCTTCTGGTGTTCAATCAAGCATGAGTGATCAATATACTGAACGAGCAATATAAAAGAGCCCCCAGAGATAGTTTAACCATCTCGTCGTCAACCGAGATTACAGCTATTATCGCCGACGATCAGCATTGGCCAGCTAGTGCCAAATGAGGAGCAGTTTCATGCATCGACCCCCTGGCCCACTCCCCTCTCGAACATTCATTCCACTGATTCCATTCTGCGAACTGTGCTTCTGCAAACACCACCCTCTTCTCCTCTGTCGCTCATCGCCTTGATCGTCTTCGACGACGTCCTTTCCTTACCAGCCGCAGCCACCTCCGACATTCCCCTCGCACGGTCGCTGGCGAACCTCTGCGAGCAGCCTTTCATTTGATCACTATTGCAACTTTCCAACCTCCGTCAAGGCTTCACTCTTTTGGCCTCTGACGAACTGCCTTTCCTTTCCCGCCTCTTCCATTCTTCTCGCTCAAAAACGTTACATCTTAAGGATGGAGCAAACAATCATGGACGAACTTGCCCCAGAGGAAAAGCAAGAGATTCCATTCGAAGCCAACACCGAAGTTAAACCTGAGGACATACCTTTACCCAGAAGCTCAATGATAACTGTCCGATTATCCGATATACAGACGCCGCCAGAGCTCGACGTAGACGCTGAAGCACAAGCTTCACCGCAGCCCTCTGTTCGACAAAGCAGCCCTTCGTCCACCCGTTCCAGCCGTTCATCTTCCAGGACATCCGAGAGTTCTGTCTCGATAAACTCCGTGGATTGGGAGGGCCTTGAGAAGACCGAGGAACAAGAACATAAAGACGAGGCCACGGATGAGGTAAGATCCTTGGTAGATCATTCCAGGAGAGGCTCTAACAATGTCTAGTCTACGGCCCTTCTGCTTGCCCGCCTCGAAAAGGAGAATGCTGCCCTGGCGACTGACCCAAAGGCTGGAATTACAGCCACAACCCGACCGCGCAAAAATACAAGGCCACCTTCGATACAACAACTGAAGAGAATGATGGATGGCCCGATCAGACAGTCGCTAAGATACTCAATGCTTCCTGCGCCTGGCTTCACCGAGCTGGAGTTCTGGGCTGCCTTGGTTCAGGATTACAATCAGACGGCTCAACGCTTGCCGACGCTCACCTCCAACAAGATTCGAAGTGGTGTGCCAGCGATGTTCAGAGAACATGTGTGGCCCAGCATTGCACGAGCACGAGACCCCTTTCTTATCTCTGAGTACCAAAGGCTCTCCTTGGAGCCTAGCCCCTATGATGCTCTGATCGGCAAAGACGTAGGCCGGAGTTTTCCCAACGTCGACATGTTTCGAGAAAAAGATGGTGAAGGTCAACGCATGCTTGGAAACGTCTTGAAGGCCTTCAGCATCTATGACGAAAAGATTGGATACTGTCAAGGCCTTGGGTTTGTTGTTGGCCCACTACTGATGCACATGGGCGAAGCTGAAGCTTTCTGCATTCTCGTGAGGTAAGATCTCACACTTCAATATCGTGCCTTCCATCTCTAACTAATTCCTAGACTGATGGAGCATTATGACCTTCGATCATGCTACCTGCCTGATCTGTCAGGATTACATCTTCGCATTTATCAATTTCAACAGCTCCTCACTCGTCATCTGCCGGACTTGGCTGCCCATCTCGAATCCCTGAAAATCGAGCCACTCTATGTGTCTCAGTGGTTCCTGTCATTCTTCGCGGTTACTTGTCCACTTCCGATGTTACTGCGCATATACGACGTAATCCTATCTGAAGGTGCCACCGAGACGCTTATGCGAGTCGCCCTGTCTTTGATGCAACGCAATCAGAAGAAGCTCTTGGCTTATACCGAGTTCGAGGATGCGATGCAGTTTCTTCTCTCGAGACGTTTGTGGGATACTTATGCACAGCAAGCAGACGACCTCGTAACTGATTTCGTGTCATTGACTGGTCTTGTCAGCCCAGAGACTCTACAGTCTCTCGAAACAAGCTTCAAGCAATCACAAAATCTGACGGCGGCGCCTTCACTCAAAAGTGCAGCGGCGTCTTTTCTTGGACGATTTTGGGCAGGTTCAACGCACTCTCCTTCACGGTCTGCAAACTTGAGTTTGTTGATTCCAGGAAACAACAAATCTGTCCGAAAGTCATCCTCAGGCCAGAGTGTAACATCGACAGTCAATTCAGTGGAAACTTCAGTTTCTGACGCTAGTACATTAGCCACCGAGCTTTCTGAAGAAGCAGCACCGAAAGCTGTAATGTCGAACTCGGTTGTGATCGAAAACTCGATTTCACCGCCAAACTCGAACGACCGTGACTTACACCACCAGATCGAGGAGTTGTTGACAGAATTATCTAGAGTTCAACATCAGCATGTCGAACTTGCCCGCGAATTGCAGCAAGAGCGAGAAGAGCGAGAAGAGGATCGACGACTGGCCCGTACTTTACTCGATCGCTTACGGCAACAAACTGAAGACATCAAAGAGTTGGCTGGAGGTGACGACGAGGAGGAGGATGGTACACTTGTCGGACTTCTAGATCAAGCGGAGCAGCATCTTGGGACAAACGATTCCAAACGAATGTCCATTGTGCAGTCGAAGCATCAACTTCGAGATGCGGTGTCTGAGTGGAAAGAAAAGCACGAAGCTGAAGCTTCCAAATGCCGAGAGTTGATGCGACAGCTTGACGAGCGCGAAGCCGAGTATAATTCGGTAAAGGAAAGCCTAAAGGATGCCAGGACTCGGATACAGGATTCACATCGTGAAAAGCAACGCCTCGAACGAACGGTCTCCGATCTGCGCTCACGGAATAGTTCTGTCCCTGATTCACCTGCGGATCTTTACACACCCGTGGATGAATTCCCGGATCTCAAGCTGCCTGCACCCAAATCTGGTCTTCGAGAACTACGATTGGGCCGATCAGAGCCCCAATCTCGATCGTCCAGCGCCGGACCATTTTCGAAGCGATCGAGCAGTCTCAACACCCAAGCTCTCCTGGCGACAGAGAACCACGAGCCGGTATCCAATGATGCGCTTCTGATCGAACTGGCCAGTGCCAAAACAGCGGAGGCGGTGGCCAGGCAAGAGCTAGAAGAGACCAGGGGCAAGCTCGATGCTCTACGGAAGATCCTTAGTGGCTCCACGTCTTCGCCAGGAGTGCGAGTATCCGAATCGCCGACCTCCGCGACTTCTACCAGCGTCAGCCCTGGAGCGAAGGAGGCGTCCAAAACATTGCACGCTGCATCTGCGAGCACGGGCGGCTTCTTCAGTGGCTGGGGCAAACGAGGCTGAACTGAAAATGATCTGGGTCAACCCTGGAAACAATCTTACTCATTTTATATAATATCTTTTTAGTTTACGACCTTTAAATAGCTCATCTACGACCCCCTTCAATTGCCACTCATATATAGCAAGCGACTAAGAGAATGTCTACACTATCAATTAAGTCAAACTTGTTTATTCCAGAATCATCATTCAAGATGCGTGTCTCTAGTGCCTGAATGAGGCATCGTTCTCCCTCTGGATTCGCAAGAATCTTCTGCCATCTATGATGCCTAGGGCCGGCATGTGCGCAGCATTCTTCGATTGGCATGCTCTAGAGACGGCATTGCCTGTCGTCTAGGTTTGCTCCGGTTATATCCATACTCTTTATGGGATCCAGTTGAACTAGAGTCACCTTTATACAAGCCAACGCCGCACTTTCTCTATTTAAATGCGACAACGCCGCCACCTCACCAAGTCTATGGTTGTCGGCTTTTTGAGCTCCTCGTCCTGAACGGGCTGCTGTACATTGTGGACCTTTTTTATCTGCCTTAAGAAACGACCGGTGCATCACGATATCACACCATTCGCCTCAACTTCCCTCTTCGTCTCGTCGGGTTCGTTGACCTGAGCGTGTTTCGTAAAAGCTTGTTGCAAGACAGACTTCAATTCTCGCAAGAAGCGATCGACTTCTTGTTCCGTGCCGACCGTGATTCGGAGACAGCCCGTACAACCGTACTCCTTGCCCCTGAACCTGACTACGACGCCACGCTGGCCGGCCATGGTCTCGTAGACGTGAAGTGCCGTCGGGTTGTGAGGGTTTCCACCTTGGTCCGCCGGCGCGTCCAAGATCTCCACGAGCAAGAAATTCGAATCGGTCCCGCCGCGGAAGCGTCCTACGCCAGGTATGCGCGGGAGCTCCTGGAGCAATCTGTCGCGCTGGACGAGGATCTTCGCCCGGTTGGCTCGCATGACCTTAAGGTTCTGCGGGCTCAACGCGGCCGTGGCAATGGCGCTGGTCGGGCTTGAAATGTTATATGGGGCTTTCAGATTGTTCAACAGACCTGCAACTTCGGGCGCGGCGAAGGCGACGCCGAGACGTATACCCGCCAGTCCAAAGGCCTTGCTGAGCGTCTGCATGACCACGAGGTTGGGCCAGTCGAGGACCCATTCGGCGAGACTGGAGTCGTCCGGGGCGAAGTCGATGTACGCTTCGTCGACGACCACAATCCCGTTCCACGTGGGGTGTTCCAGTATGCGTTGAATGTCGGCCTTGCGGATCAAGGATGCAGTTGGGTTACCGGGAGAGCAAATGTAGACCATCTTTATGGAAGAGTCTTGAGAGAGTTTGGCGAGGATGGCATCGGGCTGCAAGGAGAAGTCGTCGTCTGGGTTCAGCGGTACGTGAACAATCGCGACGTCGTTTACATCTGCGGAGACGGCGTACATGCCATACGTCGGAGGACACGTAACAATCTTGTCTATGCCAGGGGTACAGAAACATCGTATTATTGCGTCTATGGCTTCGTCGGACCCAACTCCGCAGAAAAGATTAGCAGGTGTAAGGGTTTTACTCGTGTGGGTGTGGGTGTTGCGCAAGGCACAGAAGCGTGCCTTCAGATCGTGCTGATGAGGGTCTGGATATCGGTTCAGACCGAGAAAGTCCACGCTCAGATTCGTGTTCGTAGAGGCGGGCGGGTAGGTGCCATTGTTATCGAGAGCTAGGCCAGGACCATAGGCGTTCTCGTTGGCATCGAGGAGGATATTGTGGCCATCGTCTTTGTAGTCACTGCGAAGATGTGAGTCAACATTCCCAGTGCGGGGAGGTAGGGAGACGTTTCTTACTCGCGTGCGCAACGATAAGGTTGCAACTTGAGAATATTCGGTCGCGCGCATTTAGACAGGTCAAAAGGAGACTTCCGCGACATGTTGAAGGCGTTTATGGGTGATGCAAACATAGAAAAGAAGGTCGAGTGCTGAATACGCACGATCTCAATCAAAAAAAGTTCTCCGCATTTCGGAGTCACGACTGGAGTTTGTTGGTCTCGCTTTTTCCCGCTTGTGCATGACGCAGGCACCACCACGTCCATCCAAAAATTGGGAACTACATACATCTCACAACATCCGTTTTTCCAACGTTGCCTTCTAACTTCGACGTACAACAAGGCGCTCTCCCCCCTCCATCATGGCAGACTCCAAGTCAGCATACGGCAAGTCTGCCGCCTCCGACACAGACTTTCGCAGAACATGGGACCGATCCGAGTACGAGGCAAAGGCTAAAAAGGATCAAGAAGAGCGCAAGGAAGAAGCGAAAGCACGATATGAAGCGAAACTTGAAGGCAAGAAATGGCACAAGCAAGTGGACATGTCGTCTCTCGACGCCACCTCTGCTCGAGGCTCTCGGCTCGACGTCGCCAGCATGGTGGGCAAGAGCACGCTCGTTCCAGCGGGTGCAGGTGTAGGCAAGAGAGGAAAAGGCGCAGGTTTCTATTGCGAGGCTTGTGATCTCACATACAAGGACAATGTGCAGTACATCGAACACTTGAATTCAAAGCAGCACCTTATCAACACTGGTCAGTCAGGAGAGGTCAAGAGAGCGACTCTACAAGATGTACATGAGCGGCTGGAGATGCTCAAAGCCAGAAAGAGGCAACAAGAGGAGGAGGACAAGAGATTAGGTGAAGTCGACATACAGGCTCGAATCAAGAAGGCCGAGGAACTGGATGCGGCAGAACGAGAGGAGAAGAGGCGAAAGAGAAACGAGAAGCGACGAAAGGGTGGTGGTGACGGGATAAAGAAGGAGGACCAGTGGGAAGGAAGACTGGGAATCATCGCATGAAATGTGCCCTTGATCGATGATATTCTATTCTGTCATCTGGCAACCCATAATATCGACGCCGATCGGCAGCCTCTCGTGGACATCATCCAGTGCAAAATGATACAGCGCCGATGAACAAACAGCATTGGTCGTTTCCGCTCGACTCAGAGACTACGCGAACTTTTGAAGCCTGAGTGAATTGGCAGCACATGTGAAGTCGATCACTGGGGTCTCTCTTGGCGAACAAAAAAACTCATCCCATAATCCCCGAAGGGATCATGGGAATTAGAAAACCAGGGAAAACCTGATTTTTAAAGGGGCAACACCGATGGTACTCGAACCCGAGTCGACCTGCTCGAGGAACTCTCTTTTTCTGGTCTCCACTGTTGCAAAGATCACCACTATACAAAGTGCATAGCGCTTTCAAGCATGATCTTTGCAACTGGACGACTGGAAAGGAAAGTTGCCTTTGAGTTAGACCAGGGTCGAGTCCCATTGTTGAACAGAATTCGAAAAACATAATATATCAAGTGAACAAATATCTCGAGGCACATGAGTGACCTCAGGCTCCACTCAATCCAGATATGGGCGGGAGTCACTGGCCTATTCACATCACGAAAGTGAAGCGTATCTGGCCAAACCCGATCGAGAAGGACTACTTGATGCTATGCTGCGCAGATCCGTTGATCGAGAGCAAGACTACAAACAAGGCCGCACGAACGGCCATGCTCTGCTTTCGTGATCGCCTTTTATCAATAGGAATGAGTACTCAGCTAGTCACGGAACCTGGAGAACTTGACAGGAGGATCGACCTAGGTTCTTCACCAAGAGGAGGAATACGAGAATCCCGCCATTTGAGTAATGGCTAGGTTTACTGCCATGATACTCATCTCGTGCAAAAGCATGACGTATTGCACAAACAAGTCTACAAGAATCGATAGCGATGTATCAAAGATAGACTGTGTTCGGAAATGGATGCGGGATTTTGTCTTCCAACAAGCTCGAGTAGATACACGGAGTCTGTATAATAGTATCTGTGGAAATGGAGGGAGAGGGGAAGGCTGGACTCAGACAGACATATGACACATTTTCACCCTTTTCTTCTCGCCTTCCGATCCATCCTCTGCTGCATGACTTTCCTCTTCTTTTCAAAGGTTTCTCCGATGCCAACGCCGTCACCTCTCGGTCCGTCCTGTGTGTCTCTTCGCCGTTTCTCCCTTCGTTCGAGAACACCTCCACCCTCCCCTCGCGAACGCCCTGCCACAGTCCTGTTGATCCTGTCACCCAGGCCGCCCAGTCCAGTCCAGTCCTCGCCGCCAAAGAGGTCCCTCTGGTTTCGCTCGCCCTGTGCCCTTGCCTTGCGCTTTTCTGCCTTGCTGAGAGCCGGCAGACGGACAAAGTTACGCTCTTCGTACTCGGTACGTTCTTTTTGCCGTTCACGCTCCCGTGAGGACATGGAGCCACGTCCGTGCTGGATGATCGTGCTGTTTGAACCGATCGAAGGTTGTGCGCGCGGGGCAGAGGAGAGCTCCTCGTCGATGTATTCGTCCAGAAGTTGTGATTTTCGTTTGCGGGTGGGGTCACTGCGGTCTCGAGTGGAGGATGATGCCTCCGGCATAGCTGTAGGGGTAATCCGGGGCGGCTTGTATGCGCCCGTTCCTGTGGTCCTTGATGTTGAAGACGCCGCTCTTGTCTGTGAAGACTCGACTTTGCGTTGCAACGCGGCAGGTCTTGGTGCAGCTGCCACGTCCCCATCGATATCTCCATCTGCTTCCTCTTCCGACTCGACATCTTCCGACTCGGACGCAGAGATATCTGAGCCTGGGTTAAGCGTTTTGGTAGTGGGTATGGCTCGGTCTTTGGTCTTTTTGGTGGTGGCGGTGGTAGAACCTTTATTGGCTTCACGACGATCGGATTCCTCTGCGGCTCTGATGACTTTATCAATTTGATATTTCAATTTGTTCTCCAGTGGTCGGACGCCTCTTTCTAGGTAGACTCGCAGCTCGACCAGTTTGTTCACGACTTCCGCCCCAATACTCTGATTCTCTTGTGATTCATCGCCTTGTCTTAGTTTCAGTAATACGAGGAAGGTTAAGTTCTGGAGGTAGGAGAGTAAAAGGTCGTTCTTAATGTCCAGAAGCGAGATGCCTTCGCTGGGAGGTAGGAATTGCTCCTCATCGTCGGGAAACGTAGAGGTCGCCAGCTGCAAGGCGGATGTCAGTGCAGTAAGCAGACCAGTCGCAGAGTCCTCGGCAGCCATGGTGCGTTGTTGGGAGGAACGATGTAAGAGCAAAAGGTGAATTCCTGCACAGAGAGAGAATTGAAACTGCAAATCGGCTGAAAAATATTTCTGGAACTTCTCCAACATTCGTTATCGAGATAAGAAAATCAATTCGCACTAGTCTGACACCATGAATTATAGGTGCTTTGCTGGAGATACGGCACGGCCCTTGTGTCAGACCCTTAGAGTATTCTTCTCCAGCCTGTCCTCAGAGTTCGATTACTTCGCAGAGGCTCATCGTAGAATGAATGCCAGCTGTACTATGGAGTAAGGGATTGCTTTAATGCTATTAGACAAGTCAGTTTGACAATTTATACTGCGTATGTGCCATCCCTTTGACAGAGATCCGATCATTGTGTCCGTAGATTGGTCACACTGCTCATGACGCTCAAAGACTCAGCCTCGTATTTAACCCCGTGAAGTATCTGGGGTCAGAATGAACTGTGTAACGCTGGCTTCATTGAAAATTCTGTGTTGCACATGACAGGCTCGCAGTATATTCGTCTTGATCCTCGGACGTGATTCCCAATTTTCCTTTTCTCGAATCGTGTCTATGTTCCAGCTTCATTCTTTAAGCGAAATCCCCGAAATTCGACCAGCCAAAGCCTGGATTCAAAAGGGGATTGCGCCCTCGCTTGCCCAAGTTCGCTTCGCTTCACTTGCGATCATGACGTCGATCTCTCCTTTTCTTTGCCAATTTTCGCACCGTACCTACATGGAGATACTCAAAGGAAAACCCTTACATCCAGACTGTGACCCTTGGGACAAAACGAGATCGAGAAAACAACATATCAACAAAGAGAAGGATCGATTCTAGCCTCCGGTGTCACTGGAAGGCCTATACCTACTCAGAACGCCTAGGCGCCCTTGTCGGCCCCCCAATCATACTGCCTGTCAAGCCCATGCCGGCCCTCGCGCTCGCCCGCACTCGCTCCCGCACCACCTCCATCTCAGTGCCTGTCACGTCGGATTCGCATGCAGGATAATGGGCGGCTCCATTGCCTCATCCAACAAGTCGCCGACCTCCGAATTCAGGTACAGCTTGCATGGCTTACCCTACGGCCAGACCGTAGCATCGCAGCCACCCATCAAGGTCACAAGCTCGACCTCTTTGCATCGCATTCCTGACCACGAGAGCAACGAGCATTTACCTTCGCCGCCGACAGGGGATAACGCGTCCACCTTGTCCAATAGAAGAAACCAAAACGACGCGTCGCCGCACGATGGAGACGCATTTCGGTTTGCTTCTGCAGGTTCAATTTCCGCACGAGACAGCCAAACAAGCCTCAATACCAGGACCCCGACCGTAAGCAGCTTGACATCCGCCGCAGCCAGTGTTCCTCAGATCCGCGTCAACGACGCGCCCGATCGGAAGAGTGATGTGAGTGTTGGGGAGAGCAAGAAATGGTTATCCTTGAATCCGGGTCGAATAGGCTCAATGTTTTCGGGGCAAGAGGCAGCCAAAGACAAGTCTTCCATGCAGGGGAATTTCGACGCTCTTGCATTAGACATAAGCATTCCATCAGGAGGGTTTGCCGACGACCTTACGACGAACAGCATAGAATTCTCAAAGAGAGGGAGCATGCTGATTGATGGGAGAAGAGTGAATCCGTCAAACAATCGCAGATCTTCACCTATGCTCGCTTCAATCATGGACGAAGAAAAGAGAGAAGATGGGGCACAAGATGTCACGCCGACGAACAGTGCCAAAGCAACTTCGATGCCGTCTCCCAGCGCTACACCGAAGGCTGTAAAAGAGCGACCGCCCGCAAAGGTTTTGTCGGCCGATGAAGAAATGCTCTCTGAAAAAGTACGTGCTTTCTACGCCGCAGGTACAGATAGTCAGAATGAGACGGAATCAACAACCAATCTTGCAGCTCGTATGGGCACACGGTGGCAAACGTCGTTGGGTACCGATGCGCAGAGTGCAAGTATACCATCTCTGTCAAGGGCGACGTCTACCACCGATATGAATGAGGATCTAGACAGCTCCTCGAGACATCCGAGTATGACGGCTTCCGCTTCGCAAACGTACATAATACCTGAACGGGAAGAGACTGAGCTGGCTGGTGGCTTGGAAGACTGGAAAGATGTCGATAACGCAGACGTCGACAGATACGGGTTCATCGTATCGCGGACGCCCGTCATGGACGGTGCAGATGAGTCCAAGCCTCAACGACTGACTCGTGTCTCGACGAGTTTACAACAAGCCTCCGAAACTCCTCGGCGGAGGGTGACGATACGTCGCACACCGAGCAGTGCCCATGCCTCTACGAGATCGGTTCATAGCAGACACAGCACTTCTGATCAGACTCCGCCACGCCCGACGAGTTCGCAGAGTGGCTATGTTCGTACTTCCGGTCGGCGAAGCACCTCGAGTCGTATGCTTGGGCCTGGCTCAAAAGACCGGCGGCTGATGGAATCAGCAATGGATATGCTTACATTGCCGCGGTCCGCGAAATCCGTTGTTGAGGACGGCCACGTACACATTGACGACGCTCGAGCCCGGAGAAAAGAATTGGAGCGGGAAGAGAAGTGGCGACGGATGGCACGAGAGAAACCTCCTCCCACGGATCCAAAGACCGGTCTGCCAATTGTAGGTGGTGGCTCTGCCACAGGATATACTTTTGACACCAGCTCATCGAAACTCATCGAACGTACCTGGAAGGGCATCCCAGACAAGTGGCGAGCGACGGCGTGGCACAGCTTTTTGAGCACCTCGGCCTCGCGGCGGAAAGAGTGTTTAAGCGACGACGAACTGATTACTTTGTTTCACGACTATCAGACACAGTCGTCACCTGACGATGTCCAGATTGATATTGACGTCCCACGAACCATCTCTGCACATATCATGTTCCGAAGGCGGTATCGCGGTGGACAACGTTTACTGTTTCGTCTTTTACATGCCATGTCTCTACACTGCCCTGAAACAGGGTACGTTCAAGGCATGGCGGCGTTGGCGGTCACTTTACTGGCGTATTACGACGAAGAAAAGGCGTTCGTAATGATTGTTCGCATGTGGGAACTCCGGGGTTTGGGGGAGTTGTACAAGTCAGGGTTTGGAGGGTTGATGACCGCCTTGAACGACTTTGAGCAGGGGTGGCTGGGCCAGGGGGAAGTCGCGCGGAAATTGGTGAGTGCTTGTCGAGCTTGTCTTGACAGACTCGGTGCATGACTGACCATTCTTCAGGAGGAACTCAACATCGGCCCGACGGCATACGGCACACGCTGGTACTTGACATTGTTCAACTACACCATTCCTTTCCCTGCGCAACTACGTGTCTGGGATGTATTCATGCTTCTCGGAGACGATACCTCACCGGCCCCTTCGACCTCGTCGACCACGAACAACAATAGGAAGGCTTCGGTCGCAGTGGCGTCGCAAAACCAAGCCCAGGATCCTGGCCAAGATCAAAATCCAGAAGAACCTAAATTCGGGACGACTCTCGACGTCCTGCACGCTTCCTCGGCCGCCTTGATCGACGGGATGCGGGACATCTTGCTCGAGTCCGACTTTGAAAACGCCATGAAGGTTTTGACCAGTTGGATCCCGATCCAGGACGAAGATTTGTTCATGCGGATCGCACGGGCAGAGTGGAAGATGCATTTGAAAAAACAACAGTCGAATCATCATGGCACAGCCAGTTCCCAAGGGAAAAAGACCGGAAAGTGATGACGAGAGCCAGTAGGCGAAAACAAAGAAGAAGAAACCCCCCGGAAACTACGTACCTACGTAGGGAGTCATCGCACGAATCAAAGTAATGATTTATACCCGCGCGCGGTGCCGCCACTCCCATTCCCAAACATTACCAATGTTTTGATCAATAATAAAACCTCTTTACCTCTTCACCGGGGGGGAGTGAAGGGAAAGGGAAAGGATTTGGAGGAAGAACACGCCACATCATACACACACACGAATCACCACGGGGCATACATGCGACAAGTGAATTCACGAAACGAAACTTGATTTTTCTTTTTGTTTTGGTTTTGGTTTTTTTGGGTTTTTTCCCCCTCTCCCCGGACGAGGCCGATGGGAATGGAATACGGGATAAAATCGAAAGAACCACATTGACAGCGTCAACAAGTCAAGAAACACAACGCTTGGGGACAAAAATCAATGGAGCGAAATGGACCGAGTTAATTTCCCATGAGACAAGGGACACGCGAGGGTGGTTTTTTCGGAAGACAAAAAAAAACCATGAAAAACCAAAATGATCCCGTCTGGATGAGAGCGGCAGAAAAGATACTTGATCCGGGGGACTTGGATGTCAGTGTTGTGACGGAAAAGAGGATCTTTTTTCTCCTTTGACACCATGTTATGTATATACCTTAATGCTAGTTAGAGGTACCTACCTTTTTGACTCGAAAAAGAAGTACCAGACTTTTATACTAGTACCTACCTTACCATACCTTGAGGTAGGGAGTAATCGATAAATGATAATATTGACCCACGACATGGCATGTTTGAAAGTAGCCAGGTAGGGATTGAAAGTTGGCGAACTTGATGGGGAAAAAACCCCGACGGTAAATATAAGGTATTTTAGATACCTTTTGGTTGTGTACGAGAGTATCACATCTGAACTGGGCATCTCGTAAGGTGTTGCTGGATTGAGGATTTCTGTTTTGTTTGTCGAAGCTCTCTTGCTCTCGGATTTCTTCTTTTTCTCCCAAGTCCAGTGGTTGGTAACAGGTGGAACCATCGATTGATTTAATATGATGTTCAAATGGTTCCCCCCCCTTTTTTTTTCTCGTATTCTCTCTCTCGCATTGTAGAACCGTTGAGATGCCTCGTCCCCGTGTGTGTACGTTGGAATGATCACAAGATGTGTATTGGGTTGCCTCATTGTAGATCGGTCATTGTCGTCTTCGTCGACTACAAGAGGCTGCTTGGCTCGCTTGCTTCCAGATTAACATGGTCGAAATACTCCAAGAGTGACGAGGTGTACTGTGAAAGTCGGTCGGGTTTCGAGAAGAGAAAACGAAAACGACGACGCTCCTAGAAGGATCAGCTAGTAGCACCCTTTCTCGGGACGAGTATCCTCAGAACACGAGGGTTGGATGCAGTAACGATCACATTGTATCCGTCGTTGGGAAGTGGCAAGGTGTCCTATATCTGTTGCCGTAACTGGACCAGAGGCTCCGAAGATGAATATACAAACACACACACACACACACACACACACACACACACACACACACACACACACACACACACACACACACACACACACAACTTCACTTGAATCCGTGCCGAGCGACCAGTAAAGGCAAGTATTGAATGCAGATCCCTGTCAAGTATCATGACGCACAGAAACAAGAAGACTTGACCTCTTGCCAGCGAGCGAGTCAAAGAGTGCGACGACGTGTTCCCCCCCCCCGGAGTCAAGAAACAGACTTGCGTTCGTTGAGTCGACGGATGCCCACGAATGAGAGGACACAAACGCCCATGTATATATACTCTGCACGGGAGTACATATGTACCTTAGTATGTCAGAGGTTGGGGGGAGGGGGGACCATGTGGATCTGGGATTGAACGTGTCGTCGATAGATGTACGGCTTCGTAGCTGCCATTGGTGCTGGCAGTACGTAAAATTGTCTCGTGCGTTTGTCCACCGATGACATTATAATCGCGTGGCTCATCCATCCACGAGCTTGCAGACGACTTTGCCAACCCGGACACAGCCGGCCGGGCCGTCCAGGAGAGACAAGACGGACGACTGGAATCCCGTTTTTTCTCATCACCGTGAACGACGAAAAGTAGGACATCCTCACCCACCTACCTGTCCAGGAAGTAACCTGGCAAAGCAATCAGGTGCCGTGGCACTGGCGGTGGAGTAGTTTGCAATACCAAGTTCAGCCCATGGTTTGACAACCCGTCGTGGCGTGACCCAGGGAAGCGTCTGAAGAAAGAAAAAACAATAGGGCCCGCGATGCAATGCCGGCTTTGAGCAAGATGAAGCGATGATCGGCATTGTCAAATATGGGATTTAAATGGGGGGGAGCGTGTGCGTGCGCGGGCTGCGCGAGAGAAAGGCCGCGCCTAGAGTTGCTGTCCGATTCATCTTGAACCAAAAAAACCACAAACCCCCGAACCCTCCCAGAGGGGAGTTTTCTCCCGACGCGCCTCGACCCAACCGGTTTTCCGCTGCATGTTCGTCGGGCATCGTCGAAAGAAAGGTCGGTATGGGGAAACGAAGCCACCGGGCCTGCGTGAGTGGCCCTAATCCCTTGGTGCCAGTAATGACCGGTCATTCCTTGGGAGTCATACCAAAGGACGATCACCGCACCGACTGGATCATAGCCACAGCCAGCCACATTTCGACAACCCCGTCGAAGCGAAGCTCGACTATCAATTATCTCCGAGTGGATCATGCGAAGCGATTGCGCAACAAGAAACCGGTCATGGCGCCAACTAGATTGGATCGACCTGGCAGTTGCATGGGGGGAAGAGATGTGCATCGTTCATGCAAGCCATCCCACAAGCCCTGTCACCCCATCGAGGGATCTTCCGATCGAAGGGCGGGCACTCTTCATGCAGGAAAAGATTTGCCCATCCCATTCGTCGAGGCCGTTTGAGCCCTGTGATTCGTCACGGGCGAACGACAGACGTGAACCTAGCGGAGGCCAGTCAGGTCACTTATATTTGCTCGTAAACCCCTGAAAGTCCCTTTTGCTTTTCCTCTTTCCTTTCCTCTCTCACAAGCACCCTTCCTGCGTTGGTTTTGAGCCATCATAGCCTTTTGCGACCTTCCTGACCTTGGGAGTGCAACGTGCTCAAGTTCATGTTGTGGGCCCATTCCCCTTCCCATGTCAATGAACGACCTTCCCCTTCAGTGCGGCCACGAGGGACCAATCCCGGACAGGAACAAGGATCGTCAGAGCCCGTGTTATGGTCCTGTCGCGGAGTATGTGGAGAACACACATCGTCCAGCCCATAGTGCCTTTGCTTGTCGTTAAGAGTTGAACACAAAAGGCTGTCAATGGGGTCGGAATGTAAATCCAAGACATCCCAGGCACAGGTTCCTACCGATATTCAAGCCCTCGACCTTGCCTTGGGGGCTGCTATGGGCGCCAATGACCTCGGATTTGACGGCGACAATCGACGAGCCTTGAGCGAAGCACGATCTGTCCGGTCTCTTTATCGACAAATTATTGGCCGCCATGTTCTGGTTCAGCTGGCGTGTTAGGGTATCCAAACGACCATGTTCTGTACGCCGAGTGGGCCGACAGTCCTGTGGAAGGACGACATTGGTGTTCGGACGGACTGAGGCTAGAAAAATGGAAAAGGTTTTATGTCATAAAGTCATCATGGGACAATTGAAAGACGAGCTGAGGTTCTCGTAACCAAGTTTCCTTCCGCCGACGTCAGAGACGACAGGGTGTCCCAAAATGGAAGGAGACCAATGATTCACGGGTACGACAGTAAGACAGGCCTGGAGAATTTGAACTCTCAAAGGCCATTGGATAGTCATGGGCTGTTTTGGATTTTTCGTTTCGACTATCACGGGCTGAAGGGAGACAGGCAGACGGAGACCAAAAGAGAGAGGGAGAGAGAAGAAAAACGATTGGTCATGTCGTGTCTAGAGGAGAAAGGAACGACTGTCTCGCCGAGGTACGAGTACCAGACCTTTGGACTACCATTGGGTGTTTCAGAGAAACCCCCCCGGACTTTCAGCTCGGCAGCGACACGAAGGACCAAGACATCGGAAAATGGAAACCAAAATAAGAGAAGAGAGCCGGGGGATGGTCTACACCAAACCAGGATGATGATACCGTGCAACACGAACATGACCCAGCAAACATGAGTTGTGGATGAGGAAATCGGGTTCAACAAAGACATTGTCACAGAATTAATCTTGAATGGTGTACAAGTACCCCGTACTCTTTCAGTCAAGATGTGGGAGTAGTGAGTGCATTGTCTTGTTCGAGACTAGGTAATTACCGATAACTCGAGACGAGACTCATTCAGGTCTTGAAACGTACGGACCATCGAAACGTTCTTTCTGTGGAGGAGGAAGGAGAAGAGGACGAGACATGTTCCATGCTTCTCTTGCTAGGTACTTTGTACAATGTACTGTACGGTACGGAGTACAGCAACAACCCATCCGGCGGAGTATTACTCTCATACCGGGGTTTTGATCTGACAAAAAAGTCACGGTTTATCAACTGGAATAAAAAAGACAAGAATGATACTCGATCAAAGGATCTCGGGGTCGGTTGGGTTGGGGTTTGTTGATTTGCCATTACGAATTGGATGATGCTAGAGGTGAGCGGCGAAGGCGTGTTTCCCAAGAGGTCAGTTTAGGTACTGTACACGCCACAAAACGGTAAAGAACCATTACAAAAAGGTAGGGATGTCTGATTTTACTTCATACAGTACTCGGCTTCACCACTCGCCAAAGTTGTAACCAAAAAAATGGAGGGAGGGAGAGAGCCCTTGTCAATGTTTTGTTTTGTCGTGATTGTTGTGTGTTCGTTCTTGTTGACACACACGGGATGGGAAAAAAAGTGTTACAGGGGGCGGGAGATGGAAACACCCTTGTGGCACAGAATACGAAGAGTACCCTGTCCCCCTCGTAAAATTTGTCCGACTCGGTTTTAGGTGTGCCTACCTACAATAGTAAGGATACTCCGTACCTGAATCCCGTTTCCGCCTTGGTAATACCTAGGTAGGTACTCTTCCGTTGTTTTTCTGTGTCCTGTCAATGGTAGTTAACGGATACAGAAAAAATCAAACAACTTTTTGATCACCTAATACTGAGTACTGAGAGTTATCATTATCAACTTAGAAGGGAAAAAAAACACAAACAAAAACAACTCAAATCTCCTTCTCATCACACTAGGTCAAATCAAAGGTTGATTGGGCGTAGGTAAAAAGGCATTTTTCACTGCGTATCCGCATACGAGAGAGAACTGTACACCATATACGGTAAAGCGAGGTAAACAAAGGAAATGGAGTCAAAACTGACATATTACCAGACCTACAGTACATATTGCAAGGTAAAAGCCAAAGTACCTACTCCGTACAGTACTCTGTACTCTGTACTCTGTACCCAGGTACGAGTACGAACAAGGCAATCGAGACGGTTCAATTACATAAGACAGACACCCGCTCCCCCTCGATTTGTACAAAATCAATATCACTCCCATTCCACTATTGTACAAAAAGGGCCAATCATAATTTCCCGAGTCCAAAACGGCCGCATGAAACACTGGCGTCGATCGAGAGGTCCGAGTCCAATTTCTTTCGACATGTTTCATGTTTGGAAATATTTCACGTACTACACACTCCGCATTGGAGGTTGCATAATTTCCAAAAACACGCAGTAATGAATCACACAGATCACGGACATGTATGTCAAACGTGTACTCCGTAAACAACGGCCGCTGACTTTCTCTCTCTATATTGTAGCAAGCATACTCCGTAGCAACCTGGAATTCTATTTCTATCGGCCAAGCGCACAGACAACACCAAAAAACATCTTTGCGGCAAAAGCCCTTTCCCGAATGTGGTTAAAATCCAGCGCTTGGATCCACATGAGGCTTTCTCACTCTCTTTTTTTGGACTCCGTAAAAGCAAATGAATGTGCGGCCCGGTGCGCGCACTTCACTTCAGTTCTGGACCGTGTTGATCAGACATCCAAGAGGCTGAATGCCACGGTCGTTGTGGTGGTGGTGGTGGTGGTGGTGTTGTTGTCATGTTTCAGGTTTTGCCCGTTGGTCTTCTCCTTCGTCTGTGCTTATCCGACAACGAGATATCCCAAAACATGGCGTCGCTCGCATCTTTTCGGGTGGCTTGAACTGGTAATACCCGTAATCCTGTTGTGGCTGTTTGCGGAGCCAATTTCCCACCTCAATCATATTTCCTGGCAAGTTTCAGATGTTCCAACCTTTCGACCATCAGGCCCAACTTCCGAAAAGGACGCGTCAAACATCTCTTTTTCCCAGAGCACACCATCCGTGCCTTACTCTCGCTTAATCGCAAGACACTTCTGGCCATGAGACTCAAGCCTCCATGCACGAAATCTTGGACCATGTTCCCTGTGCTTGGCCATTCTCCACCCCTCCTCCCAAGACCTCTTGTCAGCTACGAGCACAGTAAAGGTCGGTCCAGGTGTTGAGCCCCAAAACAAGACTCCATCCGCTTGGACCTCTTTTCGAGCGTCGCCATGGGCCAGATGCCCAAAAAAGCCACATTCATCAGATCACCGCCCGACGGTGGTTTGAGAATGTCAAAGTCAAAACAAGTCACTATCTTATTGATGGTGGGATGGGTGGGAATTCCTTCATGAGCCGTAAACATCATGTGTCTGGTCCTATCTTGTCGTCCAGCAACCTGCCTGCCGTCCAAAATCTGGGGTTGAAATATTCCCTGCTAGGAATCTCGTAACATGCTCGTCCTTCCACACAGAAAAAAAACCCTTCCATATTCAGTAGAAGATACAACCGACGATTAAGCGTCGTTATTAACTCGATCCTCGGCAACCGAGAACTCGGCAAACGAAAACAAGAATAACAAGTGTCGCACATGCACATCATTTCGTGCATATGGGACCCGAGGTCAGACACCACATCTGACATGGCTGAAAAGTACCAACGCTCGACCCACCCCCCCTACTCTGGCGCCTCATCTCCGACCCAACTAGATGGCACCGCTACCGCGTTTCAGATTTGTACCCCTCATACCGAACGGGGTGGTCATCGCTTGATCCACTGGTCGACGAGCTAGTATGTTGCCTTCTTGGGCCTGGTGCCACGCCACCGGCTTCGTCCCGACGTTGCTGGCGACTACTGGGCCGGGGAACGTGACGACCGCCCATGTCGTGATCCCGCATCGAAGCGTCGCTGTTTTGACGCGAATGCCGATCCGACCGGTGATGACGCTGCCCGGGTGAGAACTCGCGCTCTCGAGACGATCGAGATGACATGGGCTGCGAGGGATCCGAAGTTGGTGCAGGACCAGTTTGGCCGGTCACGACTTTGCGCTTCTTCGGTGAGTGCTGATAGTCGCTTCTCAGGTGAGACGCCGGTTGTTGCGAGAAGGGTGAGCTTTGAGTGCTTTTACCCGAAGGTGTCGGAGGCTGTCCTCCTCCTGACGAATGATTCGGAGGCGTCCAGTGGTGGAAGAAGAGCCCAGGTGCTGATGATTGTTCAGACGCTCCGGTCGGTGTGTTGTGTAGTTGATGAGTCGACTGCCGGTTACCTTGGCCTGTTGATGAAGTAGGAACAAACTCGGTAGTGTTGAGCCGCGACAGTGCAGAGGTTGCCCCTTGAGTTCCCGAGAGAGAGTTTCGTCCATGGCTTGGTGCTTGCACGGGTTGTGTAGACACGAGACTTTGTTGAGGCTGTGTGGGCTGAATTGACCCATACGGGTTGGGTGGGATCATTCGACTATCTCGATGGACATCCGGCGACACTTGTTGCTGGAGATGTTGTTGCTGCTGAAGTTGCTGCTGTTGAGCCTGGATCTGCTGCTGTTGCTGCTGGTTCTGGATACTCAGGCTGGCGAGATACTGCTGCGCCCACTCCAAGGTGTGAGCCGGTAGGTTGCCGCCGCCGATACCGGCAAAGATGAGAGGGACCATGGGAGGAGGAATACCACCTTGCAGTGATTCCCGCAGCATGGTTTGCTCAATACGTCTCTGGTCAAGCCGTAGACCCTCTTGACGGGTCTTCTCCTCCTCTTGCTTCCGCCGATCCTCCTCGGCCTTTGCGTGCAGCCAACTCCGCATCGAGTCATCCTGTCCGGTCCATTGGGACGGCGGAGCAGGAAGATGGCCCAGAGGAGCGGGTGCCGTCGAGTGACCCCGATCCGGGGGCGGCAGACTGAGACCAGCTGGTAGTGGTAACCCTCGATGGGTGTTGTTCATCCTCGACTCTTCGAAGAACGAAGACAGGGTGCGAGGTGACTCGGGAGGGGAGTACGTTCTTGTCGGTGGGGGTTTATGATAGCTTGGGTAATCATGAGGTTTGAAATCGGTTTGCATGGGTGTGGGAGGGCCTGGTCCTAATAACATGAGGGCGGTTGTTGAGGTGGTCGGTGGAAACAACGAATAGGTATGTTGACTGACATGCGAGAGGTTCCAGCGCCTGTGCTTGGGTGTTTGATAGAGTGTAAAAGCCGGGGCCTGAGGGGTCTTTGTATAGTACGACAAAACGCTTGGTGGATGGAGGATGTTGTCAATGACGTTCGGGAAGAGCTCATGCGTTTGAAGATATACTTTGACTATAATACCAGGGCAAGAGAGTCCAAGTGTCCGGGAGTCCGGGCGGTGGAGGAAATATGGTGATAGATATGGATCGAAGCGAGGAGTGGCAAGGACTGGGATCTTGAAGTGTGGCTTTTGTAAAGATCTTCCGCCCAAGATGAGCCCTGTCGGCTAAGCAAACAAGTCAAGTCAGGAACCAAGCTAGTCGGCGGGCCTTGGTACAGTACGGTAAGATTTGTAGTCGTGCAAGTAGCCCTGAAGAGACTTTCGAGTCGGACCAGTTCCGTAGAAGCAGGGACAGTAAAAGGTTGGCCTGGAATCGAATACACCCGAGAGCAATATGTGACAGGGCCAGGTCAGAGGAGGTGTGGCCCAGGATTGATACTAGTAGTTACGAGTCAAGTAGGCGGTGGATCGGAGAAAAGCAAAAGGGTAAAGCGCAAGACGTAGAATCAGGTAGGGGTATATGGCCAGAGGGTAATCCAGGATTCGTTTCGTTTCATCGAGGGAATGAGGGAAGCGGTGATGTTGTTGGTGGAGTCGTTTCTGGTGTGGACCGTGGACCGTGGACAGTGTGGACTTGTGGTCCGTCCCACGAAGCGAAGATGGCGGAGACTGGCGGCGCCGGTCGACTTTTAGAGCGCCCGGGGTCTCTCAGTAGGAACGAGTCTGGCAGGGCGATGAGCACGTCGAAGCGGATCTTACCCTGTCACTGTCCTTCGCCCACGAAGCCGGAGAATAATCAGCCGGGAAAAATAGTATAGTGGCCGATCTGAGGTTGACAGTGCACAGTCTATTACCAAGTCAGCTAATCCCCCGGCTCGCAAGCTTTCAAGTTTCATACCATCGTCCACGGAGATGAAGCAGGGGATGAGGGGAATGGTGGTAATCTTGTTGCTACAGTAGCTAGGCACAAGTGGCTGGACAAGATCGAGAAGGGACCATAAGAAAGAGTTCCCAAAGCGTGATACCGTTGAAAACCAGAGTGTCAAAAGTGGCGCAAAAGGACCAGAAGGTTCAGGACGGTTGAACGACAATCCAGACGGGGGTGTGGTCGACAGGGTTCATAAGTGGCTAGAAAGTAGCAAGCAACAGGGGGACAAGGATAATGACCAGGACCAGGGGAGCAGACGCAAGGCATGCCAGATGACGGATTCGTGGTCTCTTTACCGATGTGGGATGGAGAGGGAGACGGCGAGGACCGCAGACTGAGAGAGAGCGAGAGGCAATAGGCCGATGAGGGATGAGAGAATGTGTGTGCGCGCGCGAGGAAGAGAAAGAGCAATGCCAGTACTCCATACTGGAGCTACAAAGATTCGCATACCACGAGTACCTAAGAAAACTGCGATCACACCATGTCTCTCATCTCTACCTCACTAGATCAGTAGAATACTGTCAACGAGTACTTGAATTTCTTTTCTCTCCCTCGCCAGCCGTCCTCGTCCTCTCTCTCCCTGGCTTCTCTTCCGTAGGTGTGTGTGGTCTGTATGCGTGATAGGACCAAGCTACACCTGCCAAACCCTCATCGTGTTGCTGTTCGGTTCACTGACCCATGCTTCCAGCCACGAACACCATGTCATGACCCTCCAATCTACGTTTTATGCGCAGTACCAACCCGCTGACTTTGACCCAGCTTCGAGAAACCTTCTTTTCCGCCCTTGACAATCCAAGGGTTCCATCTCGGTTCACGGCAATGCACCTCTATCGAGGCCCAGTCAGACACTTACTATTTCGCCTCCTCTTCACCCCAGCTACCGCCCAAACTGTCGCAGACCGAGACCTGAAAGAGGAGGAGAGTGTCCCTTACTGGCCCTCCTTGGAACAAACCATTGCCTAATGCAGTCCTCGTACCCTCGTACCCTGCTGTGCCGGTCCTAATGCGTGCTCCGTGCTCAAGACCGTCAGACGTGCGTTACAAAAGACGAACCACCGACGAGCGGTCGGTCGATTCGACTTGCCTCAGTGGCGTGGTCCTGGTCCCGTCAAGTGCAGCCGGGACCATTATTCGACGAACCGCACTGTATGGTCGGCTCGGACGACCATCTGTGGGAATGCTGTCCACAAATTCGACACAGCTCGCCTTGCACGCCATGTCAATCTAGGTCATGGTGCCGGAGTAGACACAACGGCTCTGCCTATCATCTGCTCATCACCACCTGAGATGGGGAAGATCTTCACGCCGATGATGGGCCGTTCAGGTGCTGCGCCATGCCCGTATGCCCATTCATCAGCACTACGGGGGACCAACTACCGCCTATCTTTCCTTGATTTACTCAGTAGGACATAGCCTAGGGACTACTGATCCTGGCACGCGGGAGGGCACATGGCAGCCATCTCATGGCCATGCGACTTCTTGACGTGCCACGAGACAGATGGTCGATCGTTTCTTGTTGCGGCGAAAAGGGGACACCTCCGTCATCATTTTCGTTCAACCTTGGTTTTGTCTCCCTTGTTATTGGAGCCTCTACCGACCTGCCTATCTGAGTGGTGGTTTGGTAGTCCAATCTACCATATCTACTCGTACACTTGTTTACTGTCCAGGGAACGGCCACCAGATGGTAAGGACCCTGTTCGGGTGATCGAACATGCTAGATCGACTTAAAATCTCCGTTACCTGGAGAGCTGCCTTTGGCACAGACGCCGATTCACATGCATGAAACGTGCACGGAGCTCCATCACTGTGGAAAATGGTGCTCCAGGTATGTTCCAGACTGTGGAACTTTGGAGGCGTGTGAGCTTTGCGACCTTGGCTCGTTGCTGTTACAAAGTCAAGCAGTCACAGCGCGTGGACTTGTCGCCTGGTGGCTCGCCTCGCGACGCTTGAGGGACCAGTGCCTGGCTTTCAACTCCTCATGTGCCACAAAATACGAAAGCCTCGACGGGAAAATGCAACAACCTGAAGCCACCTAGCGTCAACCAAACATTCCCACAGTAAACTGCTGGAGCACAGTCCTGCAATGTGAACTAACAGCCACCGTCCTTTCTACCATAGTTTGGCCCCCGGGCGTCGGTGTGCCACAACAACTGCTTCAGGAAAGTGCCGAGCTGGGCACTGAAGTAATATGGCCAGCGATACCCATACCCGTGCGAATACAGTAGTCTTGATCGCAATGGTCGCCCTGGGGCTCACGAAAAACTGCAGCACCGGCGACCCCGGACTCTCCACCAATACGTGCTTGTGTATCACCAATGAAGCTAATTCATCACTTTCCATCCGCTCACTACCGGCTTACAAGGCAAGGCAAAGGCGAGGCAGCAAGGGAATACAGGCCTCGGCTGGATTTTGGTACAAGGATAGATTTCGAAAACAATGTCTCGTCGACCAAAAATGGCGAAGCCTACATGCACAACCGAAGGGTTTTTGCATCCTGCATTGTCGTAGCGCTACAGGCAGATCCATTTCGAGGGATCCCAAGTAGAAGGAAAAATCCTCCGCATCATGCCCTTGGGTGCCCTGGATGTCCATACAATCCACCACAGCCGGTCAAGGGTCATTCACACTGGCAAATTGATCTCTAAGGGATTTTTTTTCTCTTTGACCTCCTCGATTCCCTTTCCAGGGATAAAATGATCACAGCAGATACAAGCCGCAACTACCGGTCGGCCCCAACGTCCAACAGAGTGACATTCGCTGAGAGAGGAGTGCTAAACCAGGCAGCCCGCCAGGAAAAGCGACCTTGATCTTGACCGTATGGGGCACCCAGTGCCTCGCTTCCGACAGGGTTAGCAGCCGAAGCATCATGCAATCTGACTTCTGTGGCTGAAGCCCATTTGCCCTGCAGACGGCATACCGAGATCGTCTGGATCATTGCAAAACTGCGACTAGAGGATTAAAAGCGTGGAATACGTTTGGTGGCGTCATCACACCGCATTTGTGAGGAACTTCCCAATGTGATACTTAATCACCGCAGCTAAAGGACTCTCTCCGCTGTAAGCGAGGGTAGTGTCCAGAAGGCGTTCAGATCTGGTACTGCTGCTCCGTCCATGTTCCTCCAATCTTGGGACTGAGTCAGTCGTCAAGGTGACACAGTCAAGCACAATTCCACTCGGTGGCGTGGTCGATCCAGCAGCAGAGGTCCTGAAGTTTGTGAATTGGTTACCGTTCCAAGTCACGCAGACTCTCATACGATGCACTTGGGAATCATTCTGCGCTCCTCACACTTGCACTCGCCTCATTGCTTTCCTCAAACCCATTGGAGCCCATGTAGTACACGATCCACACCAAGCATCTGCCAGTCTGGGTCAAGCAACCCAAGTTGTCGAGTCCCTTGGGAGGCCAGATTGAGGTGCAAGCATCTCCCTTGTGGCCGAATGGGTCACTTTTCCACTCCGAATGCGGGTCAGATCGACGCTTCTCAGCTCCTGATGTGCCTCTGCGATGCCGCATTAGGTTGTTCATGATGCAGGAGGCGGCGGCGATGACCAGGAAATCCCCAGTCGTCCATATGGTTGACGTACTGGTTGTTGCGTCGTCCACGTGTATTCTTGATCCTCGCTCGCCATGTGCATCATGAGCACGAGGCTACAAGGATCGTTCGGGTGTTAGGCTCTCGATTGCCTCTAAGCGAGCCCTGGATCAGCGTCTCTCCATCTCTGTACAGTTCGTGCTTCACCTCTATTCCAACGCTTGTCTCAGAAATGAACGAACGACTCCAGTCCAAACTTTGGGCGGCTTGACATTATTACGGAGTAGGACTTTTGCTTATCCCATGGTCGCCGTATCCTTGGGATTGTTCCATTGGCACTGTGCAGAGAACAAGACCCCTCACTGTCACTCTTGTCTATGGAGAAGTTTTACTGTAAAGACTCTGCACTCCTCGTCCACTGTCTGTACTGTACTGTAACTCTGAGTATATTGGAGAATGGAAAAATTGCTCTTGTCCACCACCACACACCATCCATCACTTTGTGGCGCGGATTTGCCATCCGTTGAGTTTTTTTTTTGCGCGACGAATCCGCGTACCTCAAACAGTAAACGGTTCTTGTTTCCAGCTTCTCTGCACCGACCTTTAGTCATTTTTTCCTCACCACAGTATCCGTCCCAAGGTGAAGTGTTGAAAGTACTCCGTAGGGACATGTTGCAATTTCCTTCCCCAAAGCTACGCCAACATTACACGGACTATGCCAGCGTGTTATTTTGTTCCTGGCTCTTTTTCATTTTTCTGTCTTGGTTTCGACACAGCGTTATCCTAAATGCCACCCAAACACTTCTTGTGCCAGCAACTAATTTGCTCCATACCTCTTAGCTTCACCGTTGCGACTCTGTAGGGTCTGGGAAAGGTTATTATCGTCCCTGCATTTGACCCTTAGGGGTGGTTGCACTGTTCCCTACTTTACCTAGGTTCGTGTGAGTACCAGGGATCTTCCACACAAAAAGCCATCCCATCATGACTTTTCTAGGCGATTTATGTGACATTTGACCGCAGGACGCCACCAACGCACCACTAAACCGCGCCTTAAACCGGCACATTTCCCTCATTCCCTCCAGCGCTTACGGACTTGCTACCTTTTCCACTGGAAATACGGGGTTGGCGTCTTGGAATGATTTCAGTGGCAGCTGCAAGGAGCTTCCCCTACACCATAACCTGCAGCAAGGGTGGCATTATCATGCTGCTAATTACCTTTCCTAGACGACCACATGCACCCCTCTTGTTGGCCTTGTCCACGCAGTGGCGCAGGCGGTGTGCTTCAAGCTCGGTTACATGAGGGCTTCGGTCCAGAGATCTGCGTTTCTTGACTTGTCCTTGCAGGTCGCTTGCGACCAGAAAGACTGTCAACATGAGCCCCCCCAACCATACCATCGTCTCTCCCACGGATCCAGAACTCTCTAGCTGGTTGATCATTCCTCATCCGAACATCAAGTACGTAAAAGAGCTTCAGGAAAATCCGGTGTACCGTTGAAAGAGACCGTCGCGGTGCCGCTGCTGTCGCGGTCATTGCTGTTGCAGTTGCAGTTGCACTAATTCCCACAACGCGAAACCGGGGTACAGGGGGTTTAAACTGTGGGCGAACCCTTCGATACGACTCGGAAGCGACCTAAGCTACCGTCGACGACGACGAGCACGCCAGGCCAAAGTGCTCGCAAAAAGCATGCTAACGTTAACGTTGTCCACCTCAGCGTCCAGGGTTGAACCATCGCGAGTGGCACTTTCAGTCGGCGGCGGAGCAGGAAATGGCATAGCTTTGTTCTTGGGCCCTTGCCTGTCATGCAACAACCAACACGACAACAGAACGACCATTGACCGAGTCCAGGTGGCTGGCAGTCGGCCCCCGAGTTGCTCCTGCTTCTCCATTGACGGTCGACAACGGCCTTAACACGGCTCCAGACTTTTCTGCACCGGTGGGCAACTCGACGGTGGAAGGAAACTCCCAACGTCTCAGAATTGTCGCAAGTCAGCCTCATGTTAATCGCTCAACATGGAACATGTCTTTAGCGCCAACTGGGACGCCTAAATGCCTCTCTTACAATGCCACGGAGTATCTACCAACTTTCACGCCTACTGTTACGAACCCTTTCACGCTGGCAAGGTAAGCGAGCCGATGTAAGCTTCTTTCGCGAGCTCTTTGACCAAGTACGGAGTAGTCCCTTTGCCTTCATAAAGTCATGGAGCGACCTTTTTCTTTCAGAATATGTGGAGACCGCGACTGTATTCGTTGTCGTCGGGAACCATCAAACGCATCACCTGCGCGATCTTTCCTGTTTACCCTGAGGTCCTGAGAAAAGTTGGTTCCAGGACTCATTGTCAAGCACTCGAGCACACATCTGTTTCGTTTCGTCTCGTCTCGTTTCACTATCGACAGCACTGCATTGTTTTTCTTTTTCGAGAAGGGTTACCGCTGCGCGGTGCATGATATATCTGATTCTGTTTCCGATCCATATGATGATTCCAGTTCACTAATTCACCGATTCTGTTTGGGAGGGGGAAAAGGTGGAAATTGTTTTCTTTTCTTCTTTTGCTTTTGGACAGCATACGGCGAATCGCCTGTCGCCTGTTTTTTCCTTCTGGTTTCTAGCCCAGTCAGTCAAGACACTATTGCCCGCCGGGTTCTTAATGGTGTGAGTTGCCGAAAATTGCGCGAATGATCCCTCGTCGGCATACGTAGACGGTCTTGAATGTCAAGCAAGATATGAGTCCGTGTTCCCCTTCATTGCGAGAAAAAGGAAAAGACCCAGGTTATATAATGTCAAAAATGGACTACGGACGCACATGTGTGAAGTTTGAAACAATCGTCAAAGAAGCTCGTACTTCTGTCTGCACTAGTTGGTCGTACTGGGGTCGTTTAGGAATGCACTGGCTTGTCTTTCGCTTGTTCAAGTACCTGTTCGAGGCCTTTGGAGAGGTTGTTTTCTTGTTTCCTCTTCGCTTCTCTCAATTGCCCCTCTACACACAAGTACGACTGTATTCGTCTAGTCTGGATTCTACCTGGGGACAGTGATCCTCTGCCTGCGCCAGTTTCGAGTGTATGATGGTATACATGGTTATGTTTTCGTTCTTCGTGTCTGTTTGATTCACCTTTCTTGAGGCGGGTACTTTTCTTGGAGTAGTGAGCAAGCAAGATAAAGAAAACCGTCGATGGACCTTTCGAAGAACAACACTCTCGCCCCTCTCCGTGACGTTGTTTATGCCTCCCCAAAGGATCGATCTCGTGTCCTCGAGGAGGAGAAAAGAAGGGAAGACACGAAAGAAGACGAGAAGGCTCACAGAGAACTGCGGGCGGTAGGTGTGGCTGAGAGAGAGAGAGACACGAAGCAAACGCCATGTAAAGACACAGGAGACAGGGAGAGATATCATGAGTGAAGAGTTGCCTTTTGACTGAAAAAGGAGTCTCGAGGTCAACAACACTTTTTCACTCGATAGAGAGCAGTAGCAGCTATGCGGCTTTCTTTCAAAATTCGAGAGGGGGAAAAAAGAGTAAGAAGACATTCTCATCAGAGTATACTGACTTATCGAGTGCCCGACAGATAGACACCTGGACCCTTCTGAATGCCATGTTACTACTACTAACCTTCTCTAGCGCGCAGAGAGCGAGAGAGAGAGAGAGAGAGAGAGAGAGAGAGACGCAACAATACATCTGTTGTTGATGAACAAAAAATTATTCTGGACAGAGCCAAAAAGATAGGAGAATAAGAGACGAAATGACGACGGCGACCACCATTCCCGAATCCAAAGCTTTACACTCGATCGATCCTCTCAAGGACACCTCAGGGGGCACGTTTGACTCTCCCACACCCATACCCATTCCAATTGCCACTGCCACTGCCACTGCCACTGCCACTGCCACTGCCACTGCCACTGCCTGAAAGACTTCTGAGTTCCGAAAGGTTGACAGATGCTGAAGAAGGAAAAGGCATCGCAATATAATGAAATCCTTGACAGGGTACATACGTGGGATCGAATAAACCTTGAAGGTCTTGAGATTCTTCCCTCCTTACCCGTCCATTGAAAACCCAAATTCCTTGTCAGGGGTTAAGATCAAGAGTCGATCGGTGTTGGTCGGGTTTTGTTTGTCCCTGAAGCAAAGCGGATTGCTTGCTGGGGGGGGGGTTCTTTTTCTGTGGGACAATGGTTTGACGACAAACCTCCATGACGATCGAGGGAGTTTCAACTTTGACGCAGTCCGAAAAAATAAAAACAAACAATATCGACTGTGTCCCCTTTGTTTGTGTGTGTGCGGACAAGGGCGTTATGAAAGCGTGTTACAGCCCCCCCTCCCTTCCCTCCTGTCATTGTCAGTCGAGCAAAGGTGGTGTATCGAGAGCTAGCCTTTCTTATTCGAGTCACCGAAATTGACGGTGACGGTGACGGTGACGGTGCTGTTGATGTTGTTGTTGTTGCTGCTGCCGATCAAACAGGAGGCTTTGTCGTTCATTCAATGAAACGCTTGCAGTTTCAGGCGATCACACCTTCTTTTTCCTCTTTTCCTCCATTCCTGGGGAAAGGAGAGACACGAAACTCTTTTCACAGTGTCAAAAAACCCGCAGCGCCCCATCGTGACCTGATCTCGTTCTTACCCAGACAAGGTAGCTGAGCCTACCTACTCAAACAAACACAAACACACACACATAGTTTCTCAGGTCGGCCGGGTTCTCATCGTAGGGGCTTGTGCTCCAAATTGCTCATCAAGTAAAAATACACGTGGTCCCTGTCTCACTCGTCTCTGGTGTCTTCCTTCTTTGCGTTAAAGTATCCCGAACCAGACCAGTCAAAGGGTTTTCGGTCTCTAGCAGCCGGCTCATCCCATTCTACCCAAGAAGGATGATGCCAATCAGGTTGACACTTGACCAGTCCAGGAGGATCGGTCTTCCAATCAATCATCGTGGCGGTAGTCGAGTTCCTTATTTTCGTCCTTGAGTCATCCTCTTCTTCCTCTGCACTCTGATCACTGTTCGATGTGTTGAAGACATCGACATTATCACTCGTGTACCCTTGAACCCTCTTCACTATGCGGCCTGACTCGTCGGAATATCCCACGTTGACACTGGGGATCACCGCGATACGACCGCGCCCGTTCTTCCAAAGGTCCTTGCAGAACAGTGTAGGTTCACCCATGTAACATTCATGTTCGTACGAAGCGCGGAAACGGATGTTGTCGTCTGCCTCGAAGAGTGGTTTCGCGTCAAACACCGTCGCCCCGTTCCAACAAGCGTAAACCTGTATGGGAAGTTTCGCATCGAGACGAGCCTTGGAGATCGGGTCGTTCCAAAACAAATTTCGGACAAAGTCCCAAGAACCCGACTGGGGTACTTCCACAAACAAGTCACCGTTGATCCCGCGAGAGACCCAAGAGTCGTAAAAGACGTGTCCGTCGTCCTTCCAGTCCATGGCGCATACCATGTCGGCCTGTTGTAGAGTGTATTGGTACACCAGCTCCAGGATATCGTCCGGACAGATTGCGACGTCGTTGAGGAAGATGACGATTGTGTCTGGTGAGGCGTATTGGGTGGGCCGGCGGACGAGGGGGTCCAGAGCGAGGTTACGAAGATTGGCGAGTTCGGTGATTCGGTCGTGGCCCTCCTCCAATGGATCGATGGGGCTTGTACCGAAGTAGTACTTCACTCCTAGTGCTTCGAGATGAGGTCTCAACGTGGTCAAAATCTCGGTCGTGCCGTCATCTGAACGCCCACCGACGATGGATAAGACGCAAACCTCTGGGCCGAGAATTCGGATGGCTTGAATGATGGAACCCAAAAGACGAGGAAGGATATGTGCACTTTGGTACAGAGTCAGGGCGAAAAAGTATCGTCTGGTGTGGTCTTTTCGGGTGGGGGTGGTACGTGGTGGATTGCGACGCAGGCCGTCGTAACGATCAAGACTCGCTGGGGGACAAAAGAGACGTTCGAATGATGTACTGTTTGGATCCATGATGGCCGATATGTAAGGCTCCACAGTCTGTAGTCTCGTCTCATCAAGATCTTCAACCTCGTGTGGAATCCACGGTTGTTGTTGTTGTTGATCATTCGACTGTGATCCAGTTGCTGCGCTGTCCAAAAATGATCCCTGGAGGTTGACTTTATCATTCTGAAGTCTGATCTGATGGACGTCAAGCCATTTGAAATCGGGTCTGACCGGGGCTGATAACACAAAGATGTAAACGAGACATATCAACAAGGCTGTCGCATATAGGATATGTACGCGAGACACTGACACTTTTGGAATTGTCGACATTGTTCTGGCTCTCTGGTTTGTGTTTCATTTGATGGACATGCCTTGAAAACATGCGTAGCAGAAGTATTCGCCCCGGACGAACATCTAGTGCCTTGGAGGATGCTGAGGACACCAAATACCGAACGTTTCTTGGAGATATCACAAACCCTCAATGGAATGCACTTGAGCTACAAAGGATGTGTATGCTCTTCTCCGGCACTCTGTGGGAGTGTGAGGGCTAGGTGCGTGTGTTTTGTGTGTAACCTGTGCCTCCTGAAACCGCGGCGGCACAAGAAATGCTTATCGGTGGAGTACTTTGTGTGGACCAAGATTGGCGAAGTGTCGAGGTCAGAATTTATTTCATGACGACAGCCATGTTGGATTGCATTCTTGTGTGCTCCTCATACGCGAAATATTTCAACGATTGGCTTCGAGGTACGACAAAGCCTTTTAAAAGCGTATTGTGGTCGCAAATAGCAGAGATACACATGCCTGTTGGAGGGAAGATCTGATGTAGATTGTATCGTGATGTTTTCGATCTGCAGGGGTTAATTTGCCGTATCTCCGCCGTGTTCCGTTGCAAGGATCTTTGATTTTGTTCCGATTTTGCACAAGAACCATTCGGAGAGAACATCTCTTATTCTTGTCTTGTTTCCTTCGACGGCGATAAAATACTCAAGGTGAGTGGGTGCGGGTGTGGTAACCCAAGGTCTTAGCTTTGATCCAGCACCTGTACAACCCGGGAGTTTCGAATGATGCTGGGTGATGCTCCTTGTGAGACCATATCATCATGCTTCAAAGCTCTTGACATGCTTGACGGAATACGCTTCCCCATCCTAGCTGCAAATCCCAGGATTGAGGGAAATGCAAAGCATGTCAAGCAACGGTGTTTGCAAGAAAAATCTGAGGCTTCATACCACCCTTCCCACCAACGTAGACCATTGTGTGAACACTTCGGGTGCAATTGTCCCTGATTGAGCTGTTGGGTCACTTGATTGTGGCCGGGACCAACACGCCGTGGTAGTGTTAATCGAATCAACTATCTTCCTCGCGAGTCTCAGCGTCGGAGCTGATCCAGGCTTGCGTTGGTGCGACTCGATGACTATCTCAAGGCAAGACGCAGCCTCGACGGCATTCGCCTCTGCCGTAGGTGCCGAAGCGACATCAAGAGCAGTCTGAAAACGGTAGGCCAATGTTAAGAACAACAGGTATCTGGTGGTGGTTGATTGATAGTGTCTCCGTGCATATCGACTGCGAAAGCTGCCTGTTTCAGAGCGAAGGTGGCGGCCCCAATATGTCAATTCGGCAAGCAAGATACGAAGTTGGTCGATCAATGCAGCCTTGAGTTCGGTGTTATTCCGATGCATAACAACCTCGGTGATGCTCCTGAAGATTCCAGGCACACGAGCTAGAATCATCCATAGCTTGATCGCCGATTCAGAGCGTTTTCCTGCTTGAGATGAAGGATCTATGCAGCGTTGCAAGGCTGATTGCCACTCTGCCCGACTCAGAAAACAGTCAATATTGGCAAAAGTGGCTTCCATGATCTGGAAAAACGTTCAGTTTTGTGACGGTCAGAGTCCCGGGCATGTTAACTCACCATACCACCACCCTGCGTGATGAGTAGATCCTTCTCGACTTCTGTGTGGATCTTGTCGGGGCCCAAAGCCAGCAGCACATCGAACGCGCCACGTGCATGCATGATCCACCCATTCTGGCTATTGTTATCCAACACCTAGTCACGTCAATATACAAGAATCATCGTGAAGAAGCAACTTCCTCACCTCAGCAAGAAGCAATGTCAAAGTTGCGTACCACACCGTCCAGTCAATCGGACTGGGGGCGGCAATGGCTAGGCTTAGGCTCCTCAAAGCTCGGCCATACAATTTGTCAACCTCAAGCTTATCAGACTGCTGTGCAGACTCATCCCCAGCTAGACATAGGCGAATGCGTCCAGCCGCGCAATCAATGGCATCATCTAGACATTTGCTATAACCGTAGCGTTGTGGGAGAAGCTGTAGGGCCGAAGGGTTGCTCAGGCGGAACGCCTTGATCCACCTGGCCGGATTGGCGAGCAAATCAACAGTGGTAGCATAATCAAGCAGCTTTGCAGTGAGGTCGGGCAGCATGAAGACAGAAATGCCTGAGGGGATGGGCCGCCCATTCGGTTTGAACGACAACGAAGCAGGGATGGCCGTCATCCACTGTTCACCCTCAGGCGCATTGCTGGGAATCTTCTTAGATCGCAAATCAGAGACTTTTGGTCTAGGCTTGAGCAACTTGTGGCACCCTGGGGCGTTTGTTAAAGGAGCTTGCACCTCATAATTTGCTCCAAGACTAGACATCAGGAAGTCGGGGATTTGCAGTTTGTTGACCTTCTTCCCGTTACCGTTGGCTTTGCGGGTTGCCGCTCCCACTTGTCGAGAGATCCGACGTATCGTACTCCGGTCCGCCTCGCTTAGGCTGCGAGTATTCGCTCCTTGATTAATGAATGAGAGCTGCATGTCGATGGGTCAAGGGATGAGAGGCGGCTAGTTGTGGTGCAGCAGTCTATGAGGCCTGAGTTACAGAACGTCTCCTGTCCCAGGCGTCCGGACAGTCTTGAGTAAGAGACCACAAATGCCTCCAAAGGGCATTTGATATATTCCGCATGTGTACGACGCGTCGACTTGTTGAGGCAAAGACATCATACTTATTGGCGAGCTGTGAGACACCAGCGTATATCGACGTTTCTGAGATGACTATCCATTCTTTGTAAGCGACAATGACCAGGGTACAACTGCCCCAAAAAGGAATAGCGTGAAGACGGAGAGTGTCTACCCAGGGTAGATTCACAATGTGCCTGGAAATGATTATTAAACTGGACACATAGGACACCTTCCCACAATCCAGTCTTAATACCTTGCTGAAAGAGATCATATCCTGCTTTGGGCATTTGTTGATTTCCGGAAAGCAATCACATGTCTACTACGGTAAGGCCGGAGTTTCGCATTCCAAGATGCTGGGACCATGTCGCCGCAACGTCTGGATATAAAGAGGTGAAGCGTTCGCTAAAAGAGACAATCTCATCTCGACAGCATCACTCGCAGCCTTCTCGCATCTGAAACAGCCTAGACCCAAAGACAGCTCCGAACTCGGTCGAGTCATATCGTTCTAGAGCATCACAAATGGCCCTGACCAGCCAGGAACTTCTGCAACGCCATGAGTATGACTTCTTCCTCTAGCGATGTGCTTTGGCTAAAACATGACCAGGGCTACTCTCGCCGAGTTCCAACCCCTTCCCTCATTGTTGGAGATCGAACCTGAGAAGCTGGCTCGGATATTGATCAGTAAGTGCCTACACTGTTCGAGCGGCAATGAGTTCCATCAGGCCCTAACATGGCAACAGTCACATGCGCAGATCCAAGAACCATTCCAGAGAACATGTTCAATCTGCAAACTGGAGGTAAAGCGGCCTTTGTTCCCTCAGGCTCAATGACCAAGGATCGCTGACAAATATCCAGAGGCAGTAGTGTTTCGCGTTCCTGGAGGCAATGCTCAATTCCTGTTGGAACATGTGCTCTCGCTTGACTCCCTCCTCCATTTCAAAGAGTGTATCATTGTCCAGCACACTGGTTAGTCGGACTCAATTGCTGCATGAATAAGTTCGATACTCACGAGTCGGCCTTCCTAGATTGCGGTGCGACCCATTTTCGGGATGCGAAGGTGAAGGAAGGTCTGAGAGAGCGTGCACCAGACCTCAAGCAGCAAATCGATGGGTTGAGTTTTGGCGAAATCACAGGGTATGTATTTCATACGTCCTCATGATGTTGTGAGGAAGATGCTCAAGTACTCGCATGCAGATCACTTGATGAGAACGTCAGGAAAAGTATCGATTTCTTGAGAGCTTCGGCTCTGGTGCCAGAAGAGCTCAAGGCGAACACGCGAGGTTTTGTCTTCGACATCAAGACTGGACATCTCAACGAAGTCAAAGTCTGAGAAGGGACAGTAGAAGAGAATAGCGGAATCAGAGTGTCGGCAATGATAACATGATGTTGAGGAAGTGAAGAATATGCAGTGACATCCAGCGAGAATAGACGTGGTGATATTATATTTACCCTGATATCTGAGCATTTTGCCGGGCCACAATGACTCGAGTAAAATGCCCATTCGACCCCATGATAGACATGCCCCCAAAGCTGGCCCCAGGTTGGTGGGCCTAACTGGGCACAAATCTTTCTGACTTTTGCTTGATACTGAAAACCTTGGATGATAGTCCAACTTTCTCACGGGCCACAAATTCCTCATTGATATCTGCTCTCGTGACAGAGACAACGAAAGCGGTACCAATACCAAAGGAGCCTATACTGAGACTCGTATCTACCACTTCGAGGAAGTCTCTTGCTTGCGGCAGCAATTCCGATGATTCCAAAACACCAAAGCGCCATATTTGAAATGCACGAGGTCGAAGCCAATTGAAGATAATTGGCCAGGACGCATGATTGTCTATGCCTGAATGAATTTCTGGAAATGGCTCATGGCAGCCTCTAGGATTCGTGGCTCATAATTCTGGCTCTTAGCATGCTTGATGAGATTAAGCTGGTCACACGGCCAATCAGTCCAAATGCACAACTTGTTATCAGATGAGGGGAGACGGTGAATTTACTTACCACCTTGTCTGAAGCACCTCCAAACTTCTCCTTTGCATACTTTTTAAAAGCTGCTTCAATGCCTTCTGTATCTTCAAATGCTCTTGGGATGACATCTGAGAAAATCGTACTGCCACCTGCGGCACCGGAGATCAAGGTGAACCATTGCTTTCGTTGCTCGGGACGCATGAGATCGAGAGCTTGTGCAAAGCTGATTGTCTCAAACGCAGAAACGAGGTGGATGATTCCATGTGCTGTAGCCAAGTCCTGGATCAGGCTATCTTGTTCACTGGCCGAGACGGTAGGCTTGCCTGCCAGTTCAACGACCAAGTTCTCCTTGTCAGATCCGAAGCCCAGATAGTACTGTACGATGCAACTATCGTCGGCCGTAGCGTGGGTTTGCATCACGTCCTTGAGGACTTCGCTTGACCTGTTCAAGAGCGGCAATGCGACGTTGAGTCTTGTCTCTTCGTCCCGGATGATACCAACATCCTTGTTGATGATAAGGGTAGCAGATGCCATGGGTGGGGTCGCACTTAGCATTCTCGGTCCGCGATTGTCCAGCATCCAACTCCAGCCCACCGGATTCTTGCCTGAACCGTCTTTCGAGACGAGGTAGTCATAGAACTTCTGCGTGTCAACACCGTGGACCGCCGCTAGGCCCATGATCTCCGATGCGGAGGGGATATGGATGCCCGCTTGCACTTGGTTGAGCGCTTTGGCAGATTGGCCAGCACCTAAAGAGCCAGGAATGATGAAGAGTGTCTTGCCCTTGCTGGCTACATTGTCGAGAACGGCCCTTGCGTCAGGTTGTTCTAGATTCTTGGGACTGTCGGACGCAGCCATTATTGTCAAAGTGCCGTTAATGGATCTCGCCGCTCCACCAGACACAGGCGCATCAATCAACTTTACGTCAGGGCGTTTGAAGTCCTCCGTCAGTCTCACGCGTACAGATGATGGCTCGGTGGGCGGAATCGTGGCATGAATTATCACCGTGCAGTCCTTGGGAAGGGCATGGACAGCTCCGACTTTATCATCAAACAACGCGGAGTGGACGTGGTGATGATTTGCGACCATTAAACACACCACTGAAACGCCCTGGACTGCTTCTGATGGAGATTTAGCGGTGGTAGCTTTTGACCCGGATATCTCGTCGCACGTCGATTGCCATCGATCCAGCGTCGGGCCATAGATATCGTAGCCGATGACTGGAAATCCTGTTCGCACGAGATGTGTTGACATGGCGAAGCCCATGGCTCCGAGGCCAATGAAGGCCACCTTAGGATAGGCGTTTGTGGAGGGAGTTATGGCCATTGTGATTGCTCGAGATTATTCTTGATCTCGATCTTGCTCCGATGTAGCTATTGTTTAAGAAGACAAGAAGATAATTTCACAACGTTCTTCGATTTAGGAGAGAATAAATACAAAGCAGAGAATGAAGAAGTCAAGCATGAAGACGAAGCAAAGAAACCCGTCCTTTCACGGTCGATATATCGTTCCATTCGGCATTGTGTAACGCTGTTGAATGGCCACTCGACGGGCATGAGCCGGCCGTACTCACCGACGCCGACGCAGAAACACTGCGGAGACGGACGTGCTTCTCGTTCCGGGTTGATGCTGAAACTCGAAATCTTCAACAAGACGCAATTGCCGGTTGGAACGGCATCGTCGGCATAAACGCCGTTTGCAAAATGTGGAGGGGAGAAGTCGTCCTCCGTGCCACGTGACAGGAATGCTATGACCAATGAAAAATCCACAATGTCTGACAAAGTTGAAAGACAGCATCTCGGGCGTCGTTGACGTGTCAGACGGATCAAACAAGTCAGGGTAGTTCTAATTGTGCCTTCTGGGTCGAATAAGTCACTTTTGTGCATGCTTGCTCTCCTTTTATCTCGAGACGACCCTGATCTTGTTTCGACTCACAGCCTGAACGCCTCGAACCCTTTGAGCGAAAGTTTGCGGAATTCTGCTCGACTTGAAGTTAATCAGGCAGCATCTTTGTGGTGGCAAGGAAACCCTTGACCAGAGTCAACCCCCCCGGGAATGTGTCATAAGTGCCCAGCGCCAAAGAAGGCTCAAACATCACCTCATCTATTGCGTATCATCCCTGCATAATCCTTCGTGAAGTACGTGGCAAACATACAGAACTGCCATTCGCGGTTCAAACCTCTGATCGACTAACCGGTAAGGCCACACACCGCGTTTGCCTGATTTCATATTAGGGTCAAATACGAACGGAAAGGCAACCTTGCAGTTGGGCACCTACAAACGACGAACCACAGCCTGCCAACGCCCAAAACAGGCAATGATGCATGGTACTATTCGTGTCAATGCCTCGCAAGGCGCAAAAGTTCTTGCTGAGCCTCGCAACCAGGAAGTTCTAGACGTCGCGGTCTGCCTTCAAAGGCCTCACGACCGGGACTGAAAAGCATCCACTTCCCCTCCTCTGACTAGCTCAGCCTGATCACCAATCTTCAGTTCGCATATCTATGATGACTACAAATTGACAGCAGATGCCGCCGTTCTTGCCCAACGCCAGAAGTGTTTCGAGACGCAGACACAGCAGCCCACGGCCGGTAGTATACAGAACTACTGACAAGACCTCCATCTTGTCAAACGATAGTCTAAAGAGGTGCCCGTTCAAGCGTGGCTTTGGTTCCTCGACCACTATTTTCGACCTTTCAGCTTCCACAGGAATTCCTCAATTACCCCTATATCTCTCTCCCATTGAAAAAGGCCTCTACCAGTCCAAAATGAATCGCCAAGGAGACCTTCGAGAGAATGTCAGGGATGGAGGTCCTAGTCGTCACAAAACAGGACGCAAGAAAGAGCAACAGGATCTGGACGAATTCGATCCCCTTGTTCCGGGCATAAATGCGTCGCAAGAGATTCCGTTCTTGCAGATCTACGAAATGATCATGGTGCTCCAGCAGCGAGGGATCACCATCCGACTTACCTCCACTGCCGTACGAGAGGCAGCTGCGGCGGGACTTATCAGCAGACCTCCCGCCGTCAACATGGACCGCATAAGTCCCGAGATAGACAAAACATCTCGTTCAGATACCAGCAGCATCAATGCTGCCCTGACCTTTTTGCTGAATTGCGGCGCTGACATCGACTTTGGCCCTGTGCTTCGTGAACATCGACCTGAACATCGATCATCGTCTATCAGATGCAACACCTGCTCCGAGACATTTGCCAGCCAACGAGAAAGGGAGCAGCACCGTCAACGTCGGACATGCGAGTATTGTGACTATGACGACTCCATGACATACAATTGTCAGACAAAGTATGATGAACACATACGCAGAGGCCACAATATGAGCCCACACAAGCGCATACCATCTCATAATGGAAGCGATGCAGGCTGGTGAGGTTCACGAAATTGAATCTACTGTATTACAATGTTGCTGGTGTTGCCTCTTTTTCGTGTGATTTTCAGAAAGTTGCATGATGACAATGCAGGAGTGAAAGGGGCGTTTGGAACAAACTAGATGCACATCAGCATCAGCTGAGTATCACGATAAATCATGTTAGTGGCAGTCATTGCCAGGCGTGTCCGTAGATTTGTGTTTGGACTACTCGAGTCCCAAAGTATACCCACCTGAGGTGGTTACCAAAACGATTTCAAAATTCCCTATTCAATGCGTACTTTAGTGGAAAAGAGATAGTTCTCTTAGGCGTCCTCTACCAAGCCCTCTAGGCATCACATCATCCAAGTCTGCCTAACGTTTCGCCCAATCCCTGGGTACTTCTCGAGCGCGAATGAGTGCTTGTAGCCTCGAAGATGGCCATATTGCGCCACTTCCTCTCAATGAACTACTACAGCCGAACAGTCTGAAGACTTCCCTTATATCGCTACATTGAGCAGCATACTACAACATCGAGTTGCGGCTGTTTTCTACTCGAGGCTGCGTCCCGTCCAAAACATCCTCCCACCTACATGCAATTTGTACTAGTTTGCGGCTGGTCCCTCTTCCGACTGACCTAATATATTGCTCGGTGTCAAGGCTGGCTTCTATTCTAACATGGCTGAGGTTGCAGCTGTCATCGGTCTCGTCGCGTCCATCACATCCCTCGTAGAGATCAGCAGCAAAGTTGTCTCTCGGTTGCGCGAGTTTGCAGTACAAACCCCGCACATTCCAGAAACCTTTCATGCCTTGTCAATCCTGCTGCCTCTGTTGACGAAGACACTGGAATCGATTCGAGTCCAAGCGGAGTCTGGCACTCTTCCAGAGGATACCATCAGACACGTGAGAGATGTTGTCGAGAACACCTGCGAGCATGTGTCCCGTGTTCAGGCCTGCCTGTCGGCAATCGTTCCAACAAAAGATGCTTCAAAATTGGAACGAACTCGCAAGGCATTGAAGAGCCTAGCCAAGGAAGACAAGATCCTCCAGACACTCACCATCATCCAACGGAACAATGATATCCTAGTGTTATATCAAACTACACGACATGTTGATACCGGCGAGCTCATTCTGGCTGAGTTGTCAAAATTGCAAATAAATCCACCAGCCAAATCATGGTCTCGGGGTGTACACCTCAGTCAAGCCCCTCGAATCGCACCGGATGCATTCATCGGGAGAGAGCCCGAACTCGAACAAGTCAAAAAGCTTCTCTTGTCCAGATTCCACCCAAGCCGCGAACGGATTGTCAGCATCGTTGGTATGGGTGGTATGGGCAAAACTCAGCTGGCACTGGCCCACGTGCGTCAGTGTGCCCAGGAGTACTCGTCGGTTTTCTGGTTCGACGCGTCCGGCGAAGCACGTTTGAGACAAAGCATGGCTGCAATTGGTGTCATGGTTGTTCATGGCTCTGTCTCTTCCGTTACAAGAAGTGCTGACGAGGACAAGCTTCAAATCGACAACTTCCGGCACTGGCTTTCGGAGCCGGGAAATGACCAGTGGCTGGCGATCTTTGACAACTACGATGATCCATGTTTGCAAGGAGCTCGCTCACCAACGGGGTTTGATGTGCAGAAGGTTTTCCCCTTTACGTCTCAAGGCAGCATCCTTCTAACTTCTCGATCGGCGAAGTTGACTTTCAGCCAGCAGATCAGGTTGCAGAAGCTGCAAGATCCGGGTGTGAGCATTTCTATTCTCTCACAGAGGTCGGGGCGAGACTTTACAACCGGTAAGACTTGGACGGCGTAATATCAGGGAACGATACTGATGTGGCTCGTTCAGATAAAGACGCGTCTGCTCTGGCGGAACGCCTAAGTGGACTCCCTCTCGCGCTGGCAACTGCTGGATCCTTTCTCCGGTCCGCTCCAGATATATCCTGCGGCGAATACCTCACACTTTATGAGTCTACTTGGGCCGATTTGGTCGGAACAGATGTAGAAGAGCGTCTCGTCTTCGAATCACGACCGATGGAGTCGACGTGGTCGATCTCTTTACAACAGGTCAGCAACGAGAACGAAGACGCTGCCAGCCTCCTGCGATTCTTTGCGTACCTAGGCAGCCACGACATTTGGTACGATCTGATCCACGCGGCCGCGAGTGATGAAGTGCCATGGCTACGTCGTGTGACGGAGAGTAAGCTTCATTTCCGGCGAGCCATGTCAAAACTGTACGACTACAGCCTTGTAGATATAGTGGGAAACTCGTTCCAGCTTCACCCTTGCTTGCATGATTGGCTTGTCGCGTCTTTTACAAAATCACCAGAGCGTCTGTTGTTCATTGCGGCCCTGACATCCATTGCTTACAATGTGCACCAAGACTCAACACCTAATTTCTGGATAGCCAATCGACGATTGTTCGAACACGTACGACAATTGGAATCTCCGCGCTTCGACGGTCTATGGCAGCTTTGCATGTCCGAGGAGAGGGTGCAGACTGCGACAGACGACATTGTAGGATTGCTAAGAGAGTGGGAACAGCTCGAAAAAGCCGAGCTGATGTGCACTCGAGTGCTGGTAGGAAAGGAGAAGGTCCTTGGACCCGATCATGTTTCGACGTTGGAGACGGCTTTCAATCTTGGCCGTTTGTATCGGGATCAAAGTGAGTTCTCCATGGCCGAACAAGCGTTCAAAAGGGCGCTGTCGGGGAATGAGAGAGCGCGTGGTAATGATCACATATCAACATTGAACACCATCCACTGCCTAGGAGCTTTGTACCGTGACCAGGGAAAGGTGGATCTGGCAGAAGAGAGCTATCTCAGGGCACTGGCTGGGAAGGAGAAGATCCTTGGACTCGAGCACCCATTGACCCTCGTTACAGTCAACAACCTCGGGCGTACTTATCGTAGCCAAGGAAAGCTGGACGCGGCCGAACAGATGTACTTACGCGCGTTGGCGGGGAACCAGAAAGCTCTCGGGTCGGAGCATACTTGGACACTCACAAACATTCACAACCTGGGAGCTCTTTACCGGGACCAGGGCAAATTTCACGCATCGGAGGAGATGTACGATCGAGCGCTGGCTGGGAAGAAGAAAACCCTGGGACCCAACCATACCTGGACCCTCAGCACTACTCATAATCTAGGCCGTTTGTACCGTGACCAGGGAAAGGATCAAGCTGCAGAGGAGATGTTTTCTGAAGCGCTCAGAGGCTTTGAGGCGCTGCTTGGGCCACTAGATCCGTTAACACGCGAGGCAGCTCTGAGTCTCAGTATCTTGTACCAAGACCAGGGCAAGGTCGAGAAAGCGAAGAAGATGGCCGAACGCGCTCAAAAGAAGACGTGATCTCGGTAGCTTAATAAGATAGGAAATAGTGGCCAGATTCGTGAGCATGACATGGCCAATTGAGTTGCAATCTGCGGATGTGGGTGCAAGTCGGAAGCTCACAACATGCCCCTAAAACGCTGGTATCCCGGTCGTGCGGAATGGGCAATAAGTAGTACGCACACCCACCTCTGCAGTACGCACAACGCTACCTTACCACCAAGCCACGGCTTTTAAGTCTGCAACCTTCCCGACGTCGACGAACTTCCTCGAGTCGCACGAATACCAGGGTCGAAGGCGATCTTGCGGTCCTTGCCGTCGACCGAAATGGCAAATAAAATGCATTTGTTCACAGACGCTACAATCCATAGCAAAGGGGCTATTTACTATTGGTTACGGAACCGGTCCGGGGAGCCGTCTGCTTCTACTATACGCAAACGAACGCACAGCTGTCAATCCTGGCTCCGAACCGTAGGACCGCACTCCCGATAAACCGACGAACACGATGCGGAGCCACATGAGCCCAGCTTGACTTGGAGGAAAGGATTAGCGCCGTCAATGAGTTCAACACCAACATAGCGCTTGCTGAACTCGTCCGAAGCCTCATCGTCGTGTCGAGTCAGGACCTTTGTCATCAAGAGACTGTGTCGAATTCTGCGAGATCAGCGCACCGCAAGCGTCAAGCAAAACATGACAATTGGAAGGAAGGGTTCATCTGAGCTTCCTCAGCGGGTTGCATCTATTGTAGCTGCGTGTTACATCACTTGAAGGATGATGCCATCTACCGGCCAACGAGTTCCTCTTGTCGATAAGTACTGAGCGGCCTGGCTATCACATCTCCTCTCGCGGCAATTAAACGTGCCGTCAGACTATACAGGCAGTGACTTCGAACCATTATTTGTGCACAGGGCAACTGTCTTCTCCAGCCCGTCCTTCGTCCTTGTCATCTGTCCCGATCACCGCGTCCTTGAAGACGGCAAAACTTGACGGTGTCTCCTCCAGAACAGGGAAGTGGAAGCCACACTGGGGGCACTGTTCGTGGAGGACGGCCTGCTCCTGAGCCAGGTCGTACTTTTTGTCTTGGGCTAGATTGCAGACAGGACAAATCCGCAAGAGTCGGGTGCCGACGAGCTCGAAGTTGGTGATGATGTCCTCCATGATCGCCCCATTGGCGGCCCAGGTCTTGCAGTATTTGTGGTACACGTTTTTGTGCCAGTCGTAGAGTGCGCCACGGCTCGTCCAGAAGCTGCATTCGTTGTACCAGCTTCGGTCGTCTGGATGCTCCCACCACGTCAGATGGAGGAAGCCGGGCAGCGTCATCAGATGGCGACGAGTGTCGGCAAAGAGGACTTTGAATTTCTCGTAGGCATCGGGGCTAGAGAAGCGCACCCGTTGCATAGACAGATATATAGGCATGGCGTCGAGTCGAGGCTGGTGAGGCTTTCTTGTGCCATAGTAGATACGCTGGATCTGGCCGTCGTATACTTTATATTTCAGACATGTCGGTGAGGTCAGATGCCGTAGCCTGAGAACCAGCGAGTAGGGGCCGATTGATTACTTTCACACCGTCCGATCTGGACTACATCTCAGCTTGGCCGAAAACCATGTTCGCAGGTGTTGGGCGTGATGTTCCGGAAGTGTTCGTGGTCACCTTCCCTGGGAGTCTGACCCACAAACTGTCCCACTTTGGCGGTGAGTTCCAATAGGGCCATCGGCTTCGTTATCTTCATTCGCTTTGTGCAATTCCCCCTTCGTCTGTGCCTCAATCCAATCAGAAGAAAAGATGGCTTCGCAAACTTCCAACGATTGCTTGGGACGCTTCAAAATTCTTTTGCTGATAGACGGAGAGCCAGGCCGAACGTCCCGGCGCAATCACCATTTCTTGTCGTTTTTGATAAGCAACGTTGGGCTGTAACTGCCGGACGAGACGTCAAAAGATCTTCATTTTCCTCGTTTCAACAGGTATTACGGCAGGCGGTTCGGATGCCAGAGATATTGACATCAATAGTGGTGCGACGGACAGGGCGAAACAGGAGCTCAGCCTGAGCGCGGTCCAGCCCAACGAGGGTACGAATGGATCAGACGTACTCCGGATCAACCCTCATTTTCCCCGCGTGAAGCATGCGGGGGGGTGGAACGAAAGCGCCATGTATAATAAGTTGTGGCCTGGTAGCACACCCTCACACACTTTCAAATTGATAGCCTACGGACAAAAGGGACATCGTCACCAAGAAAAAAACCATGTATAGCCTCAGCCCTGTGGAAGTTCTGATAAGACGGATGCGGTCCGAACATCTTAGAGATTGTTATTGAGTTTCAGACCACTGAGTTGTGGCACACTCTTCGATCTCACGCGCAGACATCTAAAGAGGGGTTGTTTGTTCTTCTAGGTATTCGCCCAACTATGAAAGCAAATAATCTAATTCAGTCTACTTAATCCCGTTCCTCCGTGCCTACATTTCAGTTGGACGCAACCTCCCACCATGATTCAGCGCGGACCAGAGCCTCCTAGGCCACATGTCGTGCATGCAGGGTTGCAAAACCCGCCTGCAGCAGAGTGGAAGCCTTTCGAGTAGGTGGAGCCCAAACTAGGCAAACAGGTCCACGGCGAGGTCACCATTGCCCGGACCTTTGGTTCGACAGGCGACCTGTCCTCTGGATTCTGGAGAATCGGGCCGACCTCGCCTGGAGCTCAAGTAGACGGTTCTCACAGACTCACCTACTCGGCGCCTCTTGGAGACGAAACTGCCTGTGTCGTAGACGGGACGGCGGTCCTCACCGTCACCTCGACCGCGAAGACGTACAAGGTAGGCCCGGGCAGCATCATCAGCTCCCAAAGGGGCTGGAAGTCCGTTGGGAGATCGATGCACCGTTCTTCAAGAAATACCGGGTCACCTGGAACGGCACAGACGCCACCCCCGAACCACCGGTCGACCTCCAGACCAATCATGTGTCTGACAACCCTGAGGAGTAGACCGACCATCACTTTACAGAGCCCAAGGAAGGCCCTCAGGTAGCTGGGGAGCTCTACAGGATTTCATTCGGATGGGCGGCTCCACTGGAACGCACTTGTCAGGTGGTTGGCGCTCTGGCAAGGGCATCGCCGCCACCAACCTCGACGATAAGGGCTCCTTGACGACTCCGTACACCGGGACTCTGGGTGACGAAATGATCCTCCTTCTGGAAGGGGAAGTCGATGTCACCGAGACAGAGACTGGGAACAAGCATAGTTTCAGAGCCGGTGATGCGATTGGCTTGACGTCTGGCATGCACATTACCTGGATTTCAAAGGGCCCTTATACCAAGAAACTATGGGTCATCACCCGCGACAAGATCCCAGAGGCTTGAGAGACGATGACGGCCCATATGCCTCCTGTCGCTGCCACGTACCTCGGACCAGGTAGGGGAGGACAGCATCGTCTACTGTCTAGCCTATCTTTCTAACTGCATATTTATCTTGGCAAGAACCGTCTGCTCGACCTTTGGTACGTTGTAAATTACATACGAAGCCCCAGCCGGCCATAAAAGGCAACTTGAGTGTTGATATGGTGAAACCCTTGTAGACAAAGTGGGATAGCACGCCAATTCAGGGGGAGACAGGCGATACAGGCGACCAGACCCAGCCTGAGGTGTCAGCAGTATTCGTTGCCGCGCTCATAGTGTCATATATGTATCCATCATACCGTAGAGAATGGCATCTCTCCGATCGAGCTGTTCGACAAAAACCCAGCTGCACATGTTGTCGACAGCTATGAGCCCCCGTTATACCCACAGTCAGGTCAAAGCTAGTCTGTGGCTTCATGCCGCCCAATTGCATAAAGTAGCCCATGTATCCAATGTTCCAGGAAACGCCAGAATGGCTTCACGATCAGCAGGCTTGCGTGGACATCAGGACCAAGACCGTGCAGCCAGGTTTCGCAAGGGCTTCTCGCATGGATGAAAACTTTGGATACCAGAGCGGCACACTTGGGTGGTCGATCACTCACTGTCTTAGTAGACCACTATTGTTATCAGTCACCATCTGACCTAAAATTATGTCTTTGGTTACGTTTTTAAGATGACGGAGCACGAGTCTATTCGAGATCTTGTCAGCTGCGTCGAATGAGACGACAACCGACGCAGGCGCCGAAGAATTCTCCCAACTCGAGTGTTCCCAGGTACAGAAACTGGAAATGAAGTGTCCCATCACGCAAAAGGGCCGAAGTCAAACAAGCAGTCCTCGACGCCATCCTTCAGCCAGTGCTGCAATGCTACTTAACCTCACGACTTTACTACCGGCGCATCAGCGCGTATAATGTATAGCATTGACATCGATTCAATACGGACAAAAGTATGAGAAGCTTAGAAGACCGAGTCCTAGTTCCCGTCTCAGCACGGCAGTCCAATTAGGGACACGGCGCCTACCGACCACGGTAGCAGCGTCGCACCATTGCTGCCTAAATTTCGCGTCCATGGCCGGTGAGTCAAGGGTGAGCAAGAACAGCATCACCCTGTTTCCCGATCGGGGGGAAGCCGCGAGCAGTTTGATCGTACCCTGGCCCTGAAAATCTCATTCTCTACTCAATCGACCTTGCACAAGAAGTTCCTTACCTAGGTCAGCTTGCTACATCAGTATTCCAGGCCCCCGTCGTACTATGAATGCGCAAATGGAATTAGAGTACGGTCGGCGCAAGATTCGCACGGCGAGGCTCATTCTACGTCCACTGACAATTCAAGACTTGGCTGATTGCCACGCCCTCAGGCAAGAGGAAGAAGTGATGAAATGGCAGCCTCAGGGCAGACCTGACGAGTCCCTGACCGAAACCGCCGAATGGCTGGTACGGCGAATGACACAAAATGACTCTCTCACGTATGGAATTGAGCTGCAAGATACCACCACGGGGACGCAGTCTCGACGTCGAGTGATTGGTCTGGTAGCAAGTCATGCCCTCGACACTCTACCGACGTGCGGGATTTTCCTCGCTCCGAAGTTTTGGGGTCGCGGTTTGGCCACCGAGGCTCTCACTGCCTGGCTGGCAGATTGGGAGAGGGAAAAGTTGAGGCGTCGTTCTGCCCCAAACAACAGCAACGACCATGACCAACAAGAGACCACTATCGAGCCAGCACCGACTACTTCTACTACTATGTGGGCCTTTCTCAACACCGAAAACCACAGGAGTAAGGGACTGCTTCGAAGATGCAATTTCAACTATCATGCTCGGGAGGATAAGATGGAAGCTGGCCGCTCGATCTGCGTTGAGAGTTGGGTATGGAGAGGGACTCGACAGCAGGATGAGCAGCCCTGTTTGCAGCCTTGAGAACCCAAGAAGCGTGGTGAGTCTCTGAGCCTGGTAAGCCCGGATCTGCCTGACGTCTTTATTTAGGAGACCTGATCAGCGTAGTGCCTCTGGCCCGAAGCGCCCCTCACGGCCCGCCCGAGGGTGCAGCCATTCCCTAACAAGTAAGAGCTCTGGGTGCGAGCATATTCGCCTCTAGGCTCACCAGGCACGGAGTACCCTACCCTCTAGCAACTGCTACGTCAAAATCAGCTTCAAAACGCTTGAAATTGTCCGCCATGGGGATTTCCTGGCAACTGACTTCGGTCTTGGGGTTACTGATCCTGTGGACAATCCTTCGACTTCAAATCGTCAACACGGCCGAAGTAGCTTCTTTGATTTTCATGTTTGAATGGAACCTTTACAAAACCCGAAAACGCCAGAGACTAGCCAAGGATCTCAATAGAGATACATCGTGCGTCGCCTGCGCAATTGGGTACAACGAAAACCCCAAGGACTTTCGAAGATGTCTCCAGAGCTACAGGAGCCATGGAAAGAGTGTCAAGTTCTTTGTCCTCGCATTAGACGGGACCTCGACTGAGAACCAAGAGATGATGGACATCTTTCACGAGGTATGCGATACAATGTGAATTCTAGCCTCAACCATCTGTCTCGCGGCTCTGGCTCAACACGTTGGTCTATATCAGGAGTTCCGTACAAGTGGGAGTAATGTGTTATCCTTTCCTGACCCATTGGGCGTTATGGTCGAAACAGAGATGAAACGGCGCAACCAGCCAAATGACGCTCAAAATCTTCAGAGGCAGTCTCAACGGGCTCTACGACATGTCTGCATGAGAGTAGCAGAGATGATAGACCAGCAAGGTGATCTGGCCACCGCTCAGAGAAGTTCCCCAGATACTGTCCCGTCCTTGTGTATCTTGCAACCTCACTCTGGCATCAAGGAAATCCGATTTGCGGCATGGCTTGTTTCCAAAGTCATTGCAGATAAACTCGGAACGCCTTGGATATGGTCAACGGACTCAGACACCTCTGTGCTTCCAGATTGCATTGAGATGACTGTTGCCACCTTGGCTGGGGATGACAAGGCTGGCGCAGCATCTTCCTCAGTTATGATCCGAAGTCAACCATGTTCTTTACTGAACTTAGTCTACAGGTCCTATTTCCAAGCTGGTGTGTACACAGCGCGGGCGTTCTGTGCAGCAAATGGGTCGTCGACAATTCTGACCGGTCCGAACACCGCATATTCTGTCCACGCTTTGGCACAGGCCCTTCTTCCCTGGTACTTGCAGACTTTTCAAGGCGCCAAAGTGGTAAGTGCAGCAGTTAGCGTACGCCGCGATGGGTGCCGAGAGAGGTCTGACTCGCAACTCAGTGGGCCAACGAGGATGCTCATATGGCTACATGTCTGGGTCAATTTGGTTGGAAGCGACTTTACGTGAGCAACGCCCTGGTCATGATTGAAAGTCCACCATCATGGACATCATGGCTCATGCAAATGGTACGCCCTAGCATGGTTTGATGATGGCATGTCTTCCTTGTTAATGTGTGAATCGGTCCCCAAAGGTACGATGGCAACGAGCACACCACATCGAGCGGATATCCTCTCCCGGATCCATCTTCACGGACGACGTGTTTGTCTTCCTCTGGCGCTTCAAGGAACTGACCATCCTTCCACTCTTGTTCATGGCCAACATCAAATTCGCCTTTACCGGACAACCCTTGGTCAGCGGTTATCCGACGTTGTTCTCTGGATTTCTGTTCTCTCGTGCCATACTCGGCTTCTACAACATTATGCGTTCTTTCGAAACACAAGTGAACTATATACGATGGCCATTTGCTGTCATGGTCTACATATTCACCCTTCCATTTGCATTTGTTTGGAGTTTCCTAACCATCTTCGTTGATTTTTCATCGGGGAACCCACGGGGCAACCATCCTACAGAGATGCAGTATATTGCTTTTGGTATTTGGACGATCACAACCAGCATCACCGTCGTTAGAGTTATCTACCGGGGCGTCCATGCATGTCTTTGACGCCTTTCCCCAAGCCCGACCAGTAACCAGACAGGGATTGGTGTTTGGGAATCGTCTTACCCAACATTGCAGAGGGGGAAGAGGGTAGTGGGAGAACGGCTTTACAATGGACCAATGAATGCAGAACACGTTGGTTAGGCTACCTTATCTGATGGTAGCCGAATGCAACGACAGGCTGGAGCCTGAGCAGGACAGTCGTTCTAGTGCGGCTCAAAGACCTTTGCCTTTACTCCGTATGTTCTCTTGCATCTGAATGTTGGGCAGTTTGACCCGATGATGGGCCATCCGAGTAGAGAGACTGTGATGAAATGTATAAAAGGCGTCCCAGGGGAATTTCCTTGGTTGGGGTTTCGTAGCCAGATCAAATACGTCCAAGATACAGGGTTTTCAACGCAACAATGGGCAACAAAGATCGTCAAGAACATCTCACCCTCAACGTGGCTACTGCTATTTGCTTTGGCTTGTTGGTCGGTATACTGACAGCGTACCGGACGCTGTTTGGGATCTCTCCAAGAAGAGACTTTTACGGACAAAATGCCTTGCCCTCGTCTGAACATGTCAACTCCGGAGTTCACGCCAGCAGTTACTTGGACAACATCACGTCGCCACACGAAGTGGAAGTGTTTGACAATATAACATCTCCACGGCAAACTTCGGGCAACATCACGTCGCCGTGGGAAATGATCACGTACAACATCACTTCACCGTACGAAGCCGTCGACAATATCACATCACCATACGAAATGATCAAGTATAACATCACTTCGCCGTATGAAGTCTTTCACAATATTACTTCGCCCCGCGCGACCTCGGCCAACATCACTTCGCCGTATGAGGTGTTTGAAAACATCACCTCACCCCACGAAGGTCTGGAACATCAAGAATGTAACCGGCAGGTTTGGGACAACATCACATCGCCTTGTCAGTAGGAACCACCGGGATTCGGAGAGAGACGGGCGAAGACAAGTCGAAAGGTGGAAGTCTGAAGCTGTGCCGGAGTACAAGTGCCAATAAGTAGGTGGTAGTGATTAGAAGCATCAATCAAATGCATACCTAGACTCAGTTGCCACGTCATTTGATCAAAAACACTTACCGTACGAGTATGAGCAAGAAAAGTACTCCTTACAAAGTATTTCCCTCGAGTATCACGGCGTATTTTGTAGGAAAAAAGAGATCCCATGCCTGAAGCGATCCTAGTTTTTCTTCGATCATCAAATCCCCTTGTCTTCCAAGGCTCCTTTGCCTTTTGTTCTCTCTTTTGAATTTGCGTCCAGGGTGAATCCTTGTAAACTACGTCATCATCAACACCACCCCCCGTCCACTCCTCGTTCTCTTCTGCCATCTTCCAACTTTCTACAACACAATCCCACCTACCGCAAAGCCACTTCCCTGCATGTTCCCTCTTCGCTGTACTCGTACTCCCGTGTGGTGTGTTGAGTGATTGAAGGAGTGTGACTGAACTGACGTACCAGCCACAAACCCCCCCCAAGGGCTTGTCATTCCTGTCTACCACATGCTCCTCTCCCTCTCCTCCTCCTCCTGGCACTGAAAATGTCCACATGATGCCATCATGCCCCCTTCTTTCCCTTTTGCCGCTTCTCGTTGAATAGAAAAGAAAAATTCTACATTCCCCTCGAGGTTACCTTGTCTGTATTGTATACGAACTCGCTCTACTCTACTCGTACTCTTACAACAGATACACTTGGGGGAATTTGTTCCATTCCTCCCTCGAAGCACACTGTCACAGTATATATTGTCGATCGAGCTACCCGTCTCCCCTCCCCGCCCGACTCCATCTCCCATACATCCCCCAAACCGTCGCACTGTATCCCCAAGGTGGTCAATCATGGAAGGTGCAAAGAATTGGTACAACAAACAATACGAGAATTGGGTACCATGGGTAGAAGATAAGGTCTTGGGATGGTGGGGTGAAAACAAGACCAGTTACGTCGCAAAAGGTACGTCTTTGCGAAATTTTGGCAGGGGAGGGAGAGACGGGATCGTTTCCTCTTCTTCGTACTCGCCGCCCCGGCCGTCACAAAGTCCTTTTCTCACCCACGCCCTCGTTTAGACAAACTGGGTCAAACCAAGATCACCGGCGACCAAAACGTCGACGCCGTTCAGGATGGCGTCAACGAGGGAGTCGGGGGTCAACTGGGTAAAGGCGGTGTCCTGGAGGGAGTGGGAAACTTGACTTCCAAGGAGGTCTTGACCAGGTCGGAACGTCAAGGCAAAAATGACAAGGGAGGATATATTTGAAAGGGAAATCTCTCCGGTCGAGTCGAGAACTCGCGGAACAGAATCGAACAATCTCAACACGGCGTACGAGTAACGGAAGTCACGAGTTGCGCGCCATATCTCCCTCGATGTTTTTTAGTTTGTAGACCGGACACGATGGGTGACGTTTGTACTTGTTCGTGAGGTAAATGGTGGACGGGATTTGTGAGCATACCAAAACACACCGCCCGATTGGTGATACAAAACCCTCCAGGAGGGAGTACTCTGTCAGGATTGGTGGCTTTTTTATTTGTGACTGTTGTCGTTTTGACAATGTCATCGCGTTACTATGTATTGACTTGATGATTTGGTTGCCGCGAGACAAAACCATGAGGACGAAAATAGTCTAGATAGTGGTCCACGATGATAGCTACGAACTTATTGACGCTGGAGGTAGTTCCAGTATTACTACCTCGCGAGTATCAAGAAACCACCTTTCGTTCTCTGCTGTCATGCATTGCCTATCAAAGCCATGTGCCCTTGTTGGTACTTGCAGACCCCATGCTTGTTGGACCACATTAGTGAGGAATTTGCTGGTAGTCATGCCGGATCCTAGGCAGACGTGGCACTTTGCTTGAAAATAACTCGAGTATGTACAAAGGTCGAGTTTGGTATTGGTAGGTTGGATACCTTGGTGCCGGCCATCCTTGATCCGAGATGATATGCCAGACACGGCGAGGCGTATTACACGCGTATGTGGAACAGGCTGATGAGTTGGCCTGCCGCTAGAGAGTCTCATGACCTTTAACACAAACTCCTTCGATTCAATTGTTGGCGGTTTTGGATCTCTTGTTTAAGGTACACAATGGCTCTGTCGTAGTCGGGACGATCACTCGTAGCCAACCACCGGCTCGGTAGTTCCTGACTGTGTCTGAGGTGGGTGCATATATGGGCTTCCAGGAATTCCCAACCGTCTGGCTCGCTCAGCTGGACCTGCTGCAAGAATCCTGGACACTTTTATATATCGGTGGGCGGTCGCCATAGTCTGAACCTCACCATGCCATACACACGCTTCCGCTTGTTGGGGGCTGGAACAAGACCGCCCAGTGGTGGATGGATGCATTCAATCACCTTATCAAAGAAAAGCTCGGGCTTGCTGCATTTGTCCTGTGAGAGACAAATGTTACAGGGTCAAGATGCGGGCACTCAGTGATATGTCACCGGACTCTACCTTCAACCACGCCCTCGAGAGCCTCTTCCAGATGTTCCTCGTCCTATGCCAGACGTTGTTCTTCTTGAAGACGATGCTCCGCGCTTGACACCGCTGCTTGAGCCTCCCATCTGTACGTATGAAGTAGAGGACGCGCTGGGTACTCTGCCTCCGACACCGATCCTGCTACCACGACCTGATGTAGGCCTCGCTTGTTTTGCGGCCAGATCAGCTTTCCTCTTCTCTTCCTCGGCGGCGCGTTTAGCGGCGGCTTGTTTCCTTTCTTGCTCTTCGGCTTCCCTTCGCTCAGCGGCACGCTGCTTTTCTAGGGCTTCTTCCTCGATATCTGCGATGTCTTGACTTGCGCCGCGCCATGACGGATCCAGAATCAAGCGCTGGTTGTGTTCTGTCTGAGATAATATCCGAGTCCATGTATTTAAAAGTGTTGATGCAGCACCGACGGTATTGTTGACGGTCTGAAACAAGAAGTTAGTGGTCATCGCAAAGAAACCGCGACACACCAATACATACCTGCATGTTTTCCTTTGCTTTCCCCAGACTCTGGATCAACCCTTCAATGGTCTCGTTGACCTGTCGTACACTCTCCAACTCCCTACGCAGTCCATCTTCTCGTTCTTCCTGTTCTTGATATGTTGGCCGTGTCGACTTTGCATTCTTGGAGGTGCTTTTGGGGGGTTCTTGTTGCTCGCTGCCAGGCTTCTCGGGAGAATCCCAAAGACTTGGGTCCACGTCGTCACTCCTTAATAGAGAGTCTTCGGTGTCCATATCAGGAAAGCGAAAGAAAGTTCTGGTACAGGGTTGACGGCTAGGGTTGGTTAACGCTGTGGTTGAAACACTCATATAATGCCAACAATGGCCGCAATTGTGACCCAAACAAAAGGCCATTTACGCGTGGGGAAGGCCTATGATTTACGCGCATCTCTAGAAATTTCGCTTAATTGGCTGCATTACATACTCTGTGAGGTGATGGTGGTGGTTGCTGCGTGGGCCAGAGAATTTGGCACGAGCCCAGCCACCCACTTCATGTTCCAGAAGTGCGATGCCCAACCTCTCAAACCCCCCAAGCTCACCACGTCGACCTCAATGTCGCTGTCACTTCTCAATTACTGCCTCAATCACTACCTTACCAAATTGCCGTCCTTGTACCTAATGTCTTATTGTCAGCCTTGATTCACTTTCAAATATTTTCACCCTGTACGCGTCCCTTGTGCACGCAGCGTGAAGTCACCGCCCGTTGCGCGACCGCGGCAGTCAATAGCACTTCACCTTCACTTCCCGCAGCATCGCGCATCATGGCAGCGACTCCTCCAGCCCAGATTACGACCACCCCCGAAACTCCTCTCACTCCTCTCCACGGCGCTGCCTATGAACGTTTCGACCCGAGACGTCCTACCCGATCCAGCGCAAGAATTGCTTCAAGAGAACACCATTCGACCCCGGACGCTTCGCGGAGGAGCCCTGACGATGCTTCATTAACGACGCCAAAACGTTCAAAGAAGTTCACTGTCACTTCACCGGGCCTTCACTCCCCTCAGTCGACCCCCAAAACTAGACCTGCGCGACGTGTACAGGTTCTGTCCCCGCCTTCTCCTACCATTCATCCATCCTCCTCAAAGCACTCTCAACCTTCCAGAGCAAACCTACAAGCTTTGGCATCGTCTTCAACCATGATTTCTCACGGCATGTTACCGACTCCGGTCAAGACACCCAAAAAGAAGGCCATATCCAAGGTCAATGCCACAGCTCGTGCTCTCTTCCAAGAGCCCACTCATGTAGCAGGTGGTGTTGCAGATGTTGAGCCTAGCCCACGAAGAAATCGGAAGGGCAAGCGATACAATGGTTACTCTCTGGAGAGCTTTTCAGTCGATGATGAGGGCAGCCGAGGTCAAATCCAGATCTTCACCGATTCAAGGGATAGGGTTCCACAGGTCGACAAGAGCAAATCCAATCCATTCGTAGAGAGTGCTATGGATGGTGAAACTGTGTCTGCTCGTAAAATCACCGGAACCGCGAAGCGACGCAAGGTCAGCACAGAAACAAGAAAGATGGATTCCCAGGTGGAAGAAGCACTCAAAAAGGACGAGGGAATGGTCTACGTGTTGTAAGTTTTCCCTTTTTTTTCATATGGAGGCTATAGATACTGACACAGCCACAGCCGCGGCAAGAAGGTCTATAGACGATTCAATGACGATGACGATGAGGAAGAAGAGATCAGCGCTGAAGACATCGAAGATCTTGGTTTGTTGGAATATACTCCGAAAGGATCCAAGATCAAGCCAATCCGTACGCTCACAAGACGCTCAATCAAGCCAACACGACTATTCCAGACGGAACAAGAGGAGCGAGCCCGTGAGCTTGAGAAAGAAGAAGAAGCATTGACTGATATTGAAGAAACGGCTGATGTCAACGGCGATGACTTGTTGACTGGAGACGTCGAATCCCCCAGCAAGACAACCCGATCATTGCGCTCTGCTGCCAAAGGATCTCCACACTCAGACGAAGAAGTTGGTGGAAACTCGCGCAAGAAGGGAAGCCCATTTGATACTTGGCCTCGTGTCAAATCGGCGGGCCGCAGCGTCTCCTCAAATTCGACCAAGGGAAGAAAACGAACTGCAGCCGAGGCTGTTGACAACCCGATCTAAAAGGCAACGTTGCACCTGAGAGGGGTTTGAGTTGAGAAATCGATACTCGAGGCTCCGAGTTTTCTTGATGAAATTGCTGCATGTATAGGGTATGGGTGTGCACACGACAATGGGCTGGTGATTGTGGACGGAGGTGGCATGGAATCCAGATGCTACAGGGTACTTGTCCGTGCGCGGATTGTCGACCAGCCACTTCGTATCATCAAAGCTGCTGAAGGGTGACCCGTTGACCTTCGCTTCAGGATGACAATACGTTCTCATGTTTTAGGTTAATTACAAAATTCAGGGATACCCAAAGTTGAAAAGCAACCATTTTCATTCGTACCTATGGTTGACTCACTGTACAATGATAAGTGGCCACGTAGTAGATCAGGAGCATTGACAACTCCTCGTACTCCGTAGTACAAAGACTAGAGGTTTTAGTCGAGTCGAGGTTGGGCGCGTAGTGTCACGTGATCAAAGCCAAGCCTTTCAGCCAAGCCCGCGCAGAGGTCGAATCAGCCTTTGCCTTCTTGCGCCTTCTGCTTCTGCTCGAAGGGAAACGTGGAGATGAGAGGAAAGACGCTTCTTTTACCATCACAAACCCGGTTCAACCACTTCTATTCTACCACATACAATTCACCCATCATCAAATCCTAAACCTCTTCTGACGCGTTGGACTCACCGCCTTGGCCTCTGTTCGTCTCAGCATACTGACTTCACCTCCCGCGTGTTCAAGCAGTCACTTTGCAATCACTTGTTATTTGCCTGGCAAAGGTCATGATTGTTTGGCATGAGCTTCGATAACCCCTCCTCCTTCGCGCACTGGCAGTCATCCGTTGCTTCACAACCAGACAGGCAAGCCCAACCTCGACAGCAGCCTCGCGCAGTCCAATCTCCCTGGGGACAACCTCTGTCCTCTTCCAGCTCCCGACGTGGGTTGACCCCCCTTGCGACCTCGAACTTGTCTTCGTCTTCGGCCACGGGAACGCGCAGGGACCAGGCGCTATCTGAGTCTGACTTGTACACCTCATCGATCTCCCCTTCTTCGACCAACTTTCCTCCTTTACACGCCAGTCAGTCTCGCCTCGGTTCAAGGCGGGGAACACCACCTGGCTCGTCTCATTCAAATTCTCCCGTCAACACTCTCCAAGCTGGCGCTCACCAAGTCCAAGCATATTCGTCCCGCTCCGTCACATCCCCCAGATCAAGAACCCTCACCCCTTCTCAGTCATTCGCCTCGGCCAGTGCGGGTCCTTTCTCGCAGTCTGGCCTTGGGGCCGGTGGAGGAGGAGTGTACAGTAGTAGGAGTGGTGCATACTCGCCCTCTTTGACCGGGCCTGGTGTAGGTTCACCTACCGGGACAAACATCGAACGATCTCCTAGCATATCATCCAATCTTGGTTCAGCAACCACTGGTCCTTCGTCCCTCTCCAAAATATCTGCAACCCAGATCCTTCTCCTCCTTGACACAATCAGTGAAAGAGAAGGAAAAGCAAAGTGGGAGAACAAGGCGGAAAAGATTAGAAAGTTGCTTGACTCGAACGGCATGGACGTTTTCGCATCTTACTTCAGACGGGCTGTCACGTCCAACGTGTCTGCTATATTTTCTGGGGCCAAGGATTTCGATCAAGGCAGTTACAAACTATTGAAGCAAGAGCTCGACAAGGTTTTATGGGACCCAGAGCAACCCTCTAAAATCGCAGAGGCTATAGACACTTCAAAGGAGGATGTGTTTCGCGATTTTGATCTTGAGGCTTTCATCCAACACTTCTTCTCCGACACGTTGCCTCAGGTCATCCTTGCTATTGCATTTACAAAATGTGCACGGGTTGACTTGAAATCAAAGGCTGAGCATTTCCTCAACGATTTTGGTCAACACTCGCTGCGAACGCTGTCTGATGGTCGCAACAGTACGCAGGCACTTGCTCATGAGAATGTGTGCTCAGTCATCGAATACTATGCCCTGGCGGCTGGGACAAGAACACAACAGCAGAAAATTGACCTTTGGACTGCGTTGTCATCACGTTACGGCAATGCCAATGCAGACCAACACACCACCGTTTTAGCGTCATCTCAACTCCTCCGAATCAACAGCGAGGCCCGAGAAATGGCTCGCAATCTGCAACGCCAGGGCCCCAAGGCCTTGTCTTCGAAGCAGGCGGCTCAAGATTTCTTAGGGTTGCTCAATCCGACCTCGATGACGGAAGCTGAAGTGTCTGTTGCCTTGTTATTCCTGGTTTCTTCTGTCAACCAATCATTCGATATGAACAACTTCGTCTCTGCACTCGTATCGAGACAACTCGATTGGAACCTGGTTGTACAGGGATTCGATATTCCGGGTTTACGATTAAGGAGAAGTTACTTCCCCAGACTATTCAAAGCCTTGCGATTGATCGCCGTTGACAATACCGCATTTGATTTGCAGAAGCTATGGGGAGGTCAATGGCAGAACCCAGATACTCAATTATCTTATCTCGGCGGCTTTCTCGCTAGCCCTGCGACAGAAGTAGAGCCGGCAAGAATCCCAGGTCTTCGTCAATGTCTCTCATTGGACAACTTCAAAAATGCACCTGTTGATATGAAAAGATCACTGGAAGCAGAACTAAAGACTCCGTACGTATCTGCCGATGCGTGTCAAGCGATATTTGAGGTTGCCCTGGGACCCAATACTGCTCCAGATGGCGAGGATCGTGTGGATATATTGAGCGATGTCTATCAGAATCATCCTTCCTTGTTCTTGTTATATCTTTCTGCATCTGGCGCGAAACCCTGGACGCCAGATCAAGAGAAGTTCATCGCCGAGTGCTTTGGTTTATTTCTCGAAAAACAGCGAGCAGATTATCGGGTTGTGCTCGAGACCCTGGCTGCTCAGAGCCCACCACAGTTCCTGTTCGACCTCTGCCATCTAGTGTTCCAAGTCGACCCGCGACATACAGAAATGATCTACGATCGTGCAGAGGAATTTGGTTGGACACAGGAATTCCTTAAACACTGGTCAAACCCCCTGGCCCTCGACCTTGCTTGTATCCGTGACAAGATAGAGCCAGAGTTCGACCTTGATCGGTACATCTCTGAGGCTGCTGAAGGTCATGATAATTTTGGTATGATTCTCTTCAAATATCTGCGTATCAAAGCAGATGATGAATTCCGGGTGCAACGTGGCGAGTCTGCTGCACAATCGATACCTCTGAGTTTGCGCACCGTTCACACTCTCCTCGAGAAGCTGGAAGATCATCTGGGCGAACGAGCTTTGATAGAAGCAGCTCAGACCACATGCCTCCAGACGTATCCACGTCTGATGAATTATGGAGCTGGTTTCGACGATATCCTGGACCGCCGCAGTCAAGAGAAAGGCAACAAACTTCCCGAGGTAATCGACAAGCAGATGTCAGAACTATTCGGACGTATGTATCGCTCTGAGCTGTCTATCCGCGACATGGTAAACGAAATGCGCAGGTTCAAGACATCGACAGACCCTGATCTACAAGACCTGTTCTGTTGCATTGTTCATGGCCTATTCGACGAGTACGTTTGCTACAACGAATATCCCGAGGATGCGTTGGAAAAGACTGCTCTACTCTTCGGAAGCATCATCAAGTACAAGCTATTGCCTTCCATACCACGGGATTTTGGTCTCGCCTTGATCTTGCGAGCGGTTCGTGACCATGATTCTGACAGTCTCATGCATCGATTTGGAATCGAGGCGCTACTCCAGATCAGTGACCAACTATCAGACTGGCCAGGGCTATGCAATCTACTCTTACAAATACCAAAGCTGAAGCATCCAGAAATCTTGCAACGTGCTCAAGAAGGTCTCCAAGCACAGCAGGCGCCAGGAACCAATGGCGTTGGAAATGCTCCAACGAATGGCGAACCAGCAGATCTAGGACGTGGTTTTCGAGCACTGCACGCAGACCCACCAAATCCCACAGCTCACTTTCTCGATCCCGACCAAAAAGTCCAGGAGAAAATTTTGTTCGTCATCAACAATCTATCAAAGGACAACATGTCTAGCAAATTGGCTGATCTGAGAGACTCTTTCAATCCCGAGCATTATCAGTGGTTTGCTTCATACCTGGTCGAACAGCGAGCGAGGCTCGAGCCCAATAACCAAGAGATGTATTTCCAGTTCATCAATATGGTCAATGACAACCTCCTCACGTCCGAAGTCATCCGCGAGACGTATGTGAGCATTGTTAAATTGATGAGTTCCGAGTCGACCATCAACTCAACTCAGGAGAGAGGCCATCTCAAAAATCTTGGTGGCTGGCTAGGATCCTTGACACTCGCCCAAAACAAACCCATCAAGCACAAGAACATCTATTTCGTGGATTTGCTCGTTGAGGGGTTCGAAACTCAACGCCTTTTGCTGGTCATTCCCTTCACTTGTAAAGTATTGGCTCAAGGCTCTCAATCCTTGATATTTAAGCCTCCAAACCCATGGCTTATGGAGATCGTTGGGGTACTGGTTGAGCTTTATCATTTCTCCGAGCTTAAGCTCAACTTGAAGTTTGAAATTGAAGTGTTGTGCAAAGATCTCAAGCTCGATTTCAAGAAACTTGAGCCCGCGAATGTCATCCGCGCACGTTCACAGGCAGACGATGAAATTACAAATGTCTCTGTTCTCCCCGATGGCTTGGAGAATTTTGATGAGCTGTCCCTCAACAGTGGATTGAATCGACGTGAGCGTCTCTCGGCTGCAGAAATCATGGCATCACTTCCCAGCCTTGAAGGTGTTCTGAAGTATCCCCCAACATCCGGCTCGCCAGCAGATCAAGCAATGGTCAAGAACATTATTTATCGCGCTTTTGACCAAGCCATCCAGGAGATAATAGCTCCTGTGGTCGAGCGATCCATTACAATTGCATCCATCTCGACAGCACAGCTTGTTGCAAAGGACTATGGAATGGAGCCAGACGTGGAGAAGTATCGTCAGGCCGCCAAGGCAATGGTGAAATCTTTGGCTGGCAACTTGGCCCTCGTCACATGCAAAGAACCTTTGAGAATGAGCATTTCCAACTACATTCGCCGACCAGCCCAGGACGACCTTCCCGAGCATCTTCTCCCAGAGGGAGCAATCTTGATGTGCGTCAATGATAACCTGGACACTGCTTGTTCCTTCGTGAGGGAAGCAGCAGAGCAGCGGGCCATGCCTGAAATCGAGCAAGTTATTGAACCAGAACTTGAAGAGCGTCGCCGATTCGCTGCTGAGGGAGGAGGCAGAGATTTCATCCCAGCCAACACCAATCGATGGTCAGCTTGGATTCCCGAACCCTACAAGCAAAGTGTCGGTGGCCTCAATGAAGCACAACGAGCAGTCTATGAAGATTTTGATCGCCGGGTGAGCGGAATGAATGTGAACTCCATGCCCAATGCGTCGTCCGATGCTGCCAGGCAGCTACCAGATATATTGCAGGATTCGCTCGCTATGCCAAACCTAGCGACTCCTGCTGAACAACCGGCAATTCCTCATCATAGCCCACTGGTCCAGCAAGAGAGCCGTATGCTGTCAGCCATGCAACAGCCGCGTGTCAATGGTTTTGCAGAAAGCCTTCCTCCACACGAACGGATTTCTATACTCATTGAAGACGTGCAAAAGGCCGCGCGAGCTTCAGAAGCCTTGCGGCTCAAGGACTTGGAGAAGAACAGCTCCATCTTCCAAGATTTTAGACAAATCTTGATCGTCCTCACCTCCTCCACCCGTCCTGCTGCCGACTTACTCGCGAGACAGATTGCAGAAAAGATTTGCAACATCTTTATTTCGCAGCCTCCACAAAGCCCGCTAGAAGCAGAAGTCCTTGCTTTTCTCCTATCGAAACTTTGCCAGCTGTCCGAGCTAATCATTCGGGACGTACTTAGGTGGATGACTGCGAATGAAGACCTGCTCCTTGCCAGCTCAAATGTGGTTGTGGCACTTGTGACTGTTGGTCTCATGGAGTTTGCCCGAGTCGACGTCGCCGTTGCCTCGATCTTGATGAGCAGGAATACTCATGGCTTGAAGGTTCTATCCGACATCCTCGACCAGACATTGTTCGTTGACGAGCCGATTGCACTTAGAGCTGACTTCGCGAACAGCCTCATTGCAATGTCAGAATGGTTCAAAGAACAGCCGGAACTCCCGCTCGCTACGGAGATGACCCAAAAGCTGAGGGCGCACGGAATTCCTCAGTTTGTCAGCGTTGATGTGTCTGACAAGGCCAAGGCCAAACAAGATCAGATGCGATATGTGTTTGATGAGTGGGTCGGCATGTTCGAAAACCTCGGTGTCAATGAAGGCACATGTGCCGCATTCCTGAAGGAACTACACAAGGAGCAGACAATCAATAGCACCGAGGATCTGACAGAGTTCTTGCGACTGTGCATCGACTCGTGTATCGAGTGCTACGATCGTGAAGCACAGAGCGTGCGTGGAAGTGTTGAAGTGGCCTTCTCTCATGCCGATGCTCTTGCCCGTCTGATAATCATGCTAGTCAAATTCCAGGGTGACACCAACGGCGCTGTGCGCCTCAGCAAGGCGCCATACCTTGAGACCATTCTCACGGTCCTCGTCCTCATACTGAATCATCACCAACTTATGAGAGGCGTGGCATTCCATCAGCGCCTTTTCAACCGGTTGTTCGCCACTATGCTCTACGAATATTCAGCTGCTCGTCTGAACACCACTCCTGAACACTCGGAGCTCATGATGGCCTTTGCCAAATGTTTCAAGTCTCTGCAGCCACTCTGGTTCCCAGGTTTCAGCTATGGATGGTACAGCCTGGTGGTTCATCGAGTTTTTGTTGATGGTATGCTTCGACCTAACAACCACGCTGGATGGAACGCATACCGCGAGCTCATAGGATTGCTGTTGCTCTACATCTCAGAGCTCTCCAGCACCCCAGGCCTGGACTTGCTCAATCTGGATCTGTACAAGGGTACTCTGAGAAACGTTTTGATCTTACTTCATGACTATCCAGAGTTTCTGTGCGAAAACCATTCGTACTTCTGCTCACGAGTGTCATATCAGATCCCTCAATTGAGAAACCTCATCCTGACGGCGAAACCCTCAGCATATCATGATCTGCCAGACCCGATGACTCCAGGCCTCAAGATTGAACGTCTTGACGAAATCAAGCGGAGTCCCGTGCTCGCTTCTGACTTTGATGCACCACTTCAACAGGATGGAATCAAGGCAACAATCTTTGATATTCTCAGCAAGACAGTCGACATGGAAACTGGTCTCAAACAAATCAAGTCTTCTTTGCAAGATCCCGAGCGCAGAACCTCGATCATGGCTCCTCCCAAGGCTGTGGAGATCATCAATGCTCTTGTACCTTTGGTCGGACAGGATGCCCTTACGAATGCGCAAGCCAGATTTGACCCGAACTCGACCCACGTCACCCTTTTGACCAAATTCACTCTGTCTCTGGGCTTCGAAGGTCGTTATCAAATTTTGAATGCGATCGCGGACCAGATTCGCTACCCTAGCACACATACAGACTTCTTCTGCAAGTTGATGCTCAATCTTTGGGGTTCCAGCAACAGTGACGCCCAGCAAGGCGAAATCCGGGAACAAATCTCACGTGTCGTTTATGAACGACTTGCCGTTGCTCGTCCACATGTTTGGGGCATGACCATCTTGTTCTTGGAATTGCAAAACAACCTGACATATGGCTTCTGGGATACTGTGGCCCCCGATTCTAATATGCAACAACGTTTGCAGCAAGCCATGCGGACCATTCACTAAACGCCATCTGTTCATGGACCTGGTGAAAGACTTACGCCAACACTACAGATCTATGAAAGGCAATGACTGCGGTACCATTGCCATTATGTATATGTGACGAAGCTGGAAGTAGGGGAGAAGGAGAAAAAAGTGATTGCGGAGCTTGGGACTGCGATTGGGATTGAACAATTCCTTTCTTGTACACATTTCCTCCACGGGGTTTACATGTGAAATGCCGAAAGCCAGATGGGGGCATTTTGGTGTTCTTCACTGTGTGAATGCATATGACGGAGCGATGATAACTCTCGGTTCGGAGCAAGGAGACACGGGGCCATGCATGCATTTTTGTAGTGTTGGCTGGGACACGGAGGAAGCACGAACCAGGGCGTTAATATATAGCATGAGCGACGATTGGAGTTTCAAGAGGGAAAAAGTGCGGATCTTTATTGATTAATTCTCAAGAGCAGAGGGGAAAAGGTTCTTCATCAATCACCAAGGAAGACAAAGGTCTGATATATAGATGGATCTGAGGCCCTTGGTTGAACCCTATGGTTGAGTTGAACCTACCAACCCCTCACTCTTATTGTAAATGATGAGCCTGTTTTGTGTACCATAGATGGCTTTTGAATGATATTAGAGCATTAGTTTATGATTTGATGTGTATTTTTTTTGGGCTGATGTGATAAGTTGTTCTCGAGGCTGGTGGTGAGGTGAGATTGAGATTGTGAGACACTGCTATACTCGTACCCTATACGGAGTAGGTATGGAGTAGATCGATGAGATGTACTACTACTCGATGCTTGGTAACCTACCGAGTAGGTATACGGGAGTAACCAAGTACCGAGGATATTGATTACCCTCCTCCCTCCCTGCTTTTCTCCTTTCTCCCCGACGCCGATAAAATCCCGCGCGTGTGTGTGGGGGAAAGATACGAGGGACCTAGGCCAGGAAACTTCTCCGCCTCGGAACACTTGGGGAGGGGGTGTGTGTGTGGGTGTGTGTACGGAGTATTGTTTGTATATATATGTGTGTGTGTGTCTGTGTGTGTCTGTGTGTGTGTGTAAAAAAAAAGAGAGGGGGGAACTCTAGGGATTGAAAGTGAAACAGAAAAATCGATCGATCCTTTACGACAAACAGATTCGAACAAAAAGAGGGGATCAATACAAGAGAAAGAAACAAAAATTCGAGGAGGGGTATACGATGCCGTTCAACGCCGTCGGTTTGCCTCTGGAATGGTGTTCCAAAGAGTACAGAGAGAGATTGGCCATCAAGAAGGAGTCACCGGCGGTGTCGGTGTCGACGTCCATTCACATCCGTGGAGGGAATTCAAGTACGAACGCAAACAAAGGACAGAAGACTTTGGCTTCGACGTCGACATCGGAAAACCACAAACAAACACAGAATGGTCAAAGTCAGAGAGGTGGACCAAAGTTGTGATGGATGAGAGATATGAGAGATATGAGAGATATGTGTGTGTGTGTGTGTGTGTGTGTGTGTGAGAGAGAGAGAGAGAATAATCATTACTGGTGGTACTCCTTACTCCGTCGTAATTACTCGCAACGTCTCATGCAGGACCGGAGGGTTGCCCTGATATAAAAAAGGGCCGGCGGTGGAGTCAATACAAAGTACCGGTACTTCTCAAGAACTACCTCCCCTCACCTTACCTTGGTGATAAAATACTCTTGGGCCACAAGTTCCCTACCTGGGTTGTACTCGTCCAATCATCTCCTTTCAGCAGGGTTGGATGCCTTAAAGTACGGAGTACCAGCCCAGGGGACCGACGGTCAATGCATAAAAAGGCCACTGAACGAGACAATCATGGACAAAAGAAGAGGGGGAAAAAAACCAGTGTTTGACTCTTGTTGCCCAAATATCAACCCCCTGATCTTTACATCTTTACATTTACATCCATTCATCGTGTCCCCAACGATGTCAACCACATCCACATCAGGCGGAACCCAAACTCAACGAGATCCGTGGCATGTCATTGCTCGACGTAAACAAGACCAAAGATCTCGTCTCGTCCCGAAAGAATGGCTCATCCCACGAGCCAAATTGCAAGAATACAACCTGGGCAGTCCTCGTGCGAATGTGACTGACGTCCCCGTAACTTGTGGGATCCTGACACCACGAGAACTCGAGATCACTGGTGACCATGACGCCGTGTCCCTACTCGACGCGCTCAGACGTGGTCCCGACGACAAGGGATTTACCGCCACCGAAGTCGTCACGGCGTTTTGTAAACGTGCCGCCATTGCCCAACAAGTGGTAAATACCCAAACCGGTCCCCCCCTCCTCTTCCCCTTTTACAGCCTCGGTTCTCTCGACGACGACTGGCCATCTCACACTGACTCTGGTGTCGCGAGTAGACAAACTGCTTGACGGAAATCATGTTCGCATCGGCCATCGAACGCGCGAGGGATCTAGAAGCAGCTCGAGCATCCGCACCCTCTTCGACGCCACTTCCACCGCTCTGGGGTCTCCCAATCTCTCTGAAAGATTGTTTTCAGATTCCCGGCGTCGACTCGACCACGGGACTGATCCACTTCGCCGGAAACCCAAGCACGACGTACTCGGCTTTACCGAAACTGCTTCTCGACCTCGGCGCAGTCTTTTACTGCAAGACCAACGTGCCTCAGACCATGATGACGGCCGACACGGACAACAACGTCTTTGGACGCACGCTGAACCCGCACAACGCCCGCCTCACCGCGGGCGGCAGCTCCGGCGGCGAGGGAGCCCTGGTCGCCATGCACGGCAGCGTGCTAGGCAGCGGCACCGATGTCGCGGGGAGCATCCGCATCCCGGCACACTGCTGCGGCGTGTACGGCTTCAAACCGTCCGAGCGTATCGTGCCGTTCGCCGGACAAAGGAACCCCACGGCCCCGGGACACGCGGGCATCTTGCCCGTCGCGGGGCCCTTGGCGACGAGCATGCGCAGTTGTGAGTTGTTGATGAAAACCGTCATGACGCACGACCCGTGGAAGGTCGACGTGAATTGCTTGCATGTTCCGTGGCGAGGACTCGAGACGCCACCCCGCGCAGCAGCGGGTCTGAAGGTAGGTGTCGTCCAGGACGAAGGGTTGTTGACGCCCACTCCACCTATCAGGCGGGCACTGGCCGAAGCGACGGAGAAACTGCGCGTCGCCGGTGTCGAACTGGTTCATGTTGAATTGCCAAATGTCATGAGAGATATCGGGACGGCGTGGACATCTTATTCTCTTGAAGGTTGCAAGGTATGTCCAGCTTTTGCCATGCGAAACACAGACCAACTGACATATCCATCTTTCACGACTAGACCGTCCGTGGTCACCTCTCCGCAGCAGACGAACCACTGGTCGAGTCGGTGAAACGTATCGGTCTAATGTCCATGCCGTCCAAGTCCCTGGACGACCTATTCGCATGGACCGTCGCGCGCGAACAAGCCGAGACGGCGTACAGGGACATGTGGCTCGAGAACAGACTCGACGCCATCCTTGGTCCTCTGGCTCCACACACCGCACCCCCGATCGATTCGTGGTCGTCGGTGGCACTGGCATTGTGGAACCTGGTCGACTACCCATCCTGCATCATTCCGGTCGGAAAGGTCGACGAGACATCGGATGTCGTCGACCAGGCGGCAAAGTATGGAGAAGACGACGAGAAACTGTACTCGATGTTTCCCGGGCCCGAGGACTATGCGAATGCTCCCACCGCACTTCAACTCGTGGGAATGAAGCAGGAGGACGAACGATTGCTGCTGATGGCGGGAATAGTCGATGACATTTTGCATTCTCGTTGAGAGCACGTTTGGAATGGAAATCAACAACGGGCCAAGCAAGTTGTGAAAGCGATCAAGGGAGTTTGTGATGCGAGCAATCGATTTGAGGCATCAGAGCCGTAGACGACCAGAAAGACTTAAATCCTTCATCTGTTTGAAAGGCCTCTGGAACTTCTTCTCCTGACGATGCCAGAACTTTGATGCTCACTTTCCATACTTGTCCCAATCCCAGAATCGCCTTCGAATCTTCTACCACGAATTTCTTGCGTTTCGTCCTCTTCTTCCTCGTCGTCTGCAACCTCATCAGGACCAGGTGGAGGCGTCAAACGCTCCACCTCTTCATCCTGTTCTGCATCTGCTGCTGGAGATCGCCCTTCGAACCTCAAAGGCATCTGTCCGGTCCGTGTGGGAAATTGTGCTGCGGTATCTGATAAATTCGAAAGTGATAACCCATGCTGCGAGGAGTCTGTTTCTTCTTCTTCCTTAATTTTACGTCGTCCTTCATCTTCACGCTTGATGTCACTCTGGCGTCCTTCTTTCTTCATCACGGTGCGGTCTCTCCCGTCGCCGTCATCTTTCTTAGACCAGAGCATCGACAATAAAGCCCAGGCCAAACCCATACTCGTCACACTGACGGTGTAAAACAGCGCCGTGAAGACGACGAAGGCAGGTACCCGGTAATTGTAAATCAGATACCTCATACCCTGGAACTTGGCACGGAACACCAACTTTGCACTGTAAACCTGCAGGACGCTGGTCGACTGCAGCTCCAATCGTGCGTGGGTCGGTATGTTTCGTGCCCCTCGGGGGAATGTGATCATTTCAAACATCGGCACGACCAGGTGGGCCGCGTCTAGGTCCCGTAATCCGAGCATGTGCCACGGCAGGTACAGGAGTGTGTTGCTGACTGAAAGGATCGGAGAAGAGTACGGTAGGATGGTAGGTCTCCGTGAACGAGAGTAGACGTTGTCCACGGTGATATTGCCGAGCCACGACGACAGAGGCTCAGGGACGTTTCGCACCACATTGGGTCCGGGCCCGAGTAACGACAGGTCCAGCATGAAATTCCCGGCGTCGAGGTTCGTAGGTGTCCTGGGCATGTCGAGTATCAGATCCACGTCGTACGCCTGTTGAGTTATCAGGGCGGTCGTGTCGAGTGCAATCGTCGCGTGCGGCGGGTGTCGCGGCCCCTCGCCATATTGCAGGTATAAGACGCGTTCAAGATCGATCTGGGGGATGTAGTTGTAGTAGAAGAAGCCGAACGCGGTGGAGGAGACCGTGAGGAGGACGGTGGAGGTGGTCAAGAAGAGGAGGGTGCCCAGGTAGGCTTTGACGGCGGTACGGGAGGTGAGGACGCGGGCTGGCGTGAGAGCCAGATACTGTTGCAGGTACCTTGGTCAATACTCGGTGGCTTCAATGCATGTGAGGCAAGCGTCATAACGAACCCAAGCTCGCCGGAAGATCGAGTCGTCGCGTTCTCCATCGTCGTTGAACGCGACGAGGTCGGCCATGTTTTGTTCTGGTCTGGCGCGGTCGCAGTGGCCGTCACGGCAGGACGAGGTGCATTCTGTGGGCTCTCACGAGGCTGCGAGGTTCATAGTTACCCCATGAAAAGGAAATTCGAAACAAGTTCACAATCTCGATTGAATGAGTGGAAATACAAATGACTTGTAGAGCACGAATTGTTGATTTCCTTACTGCACGCAAATAGTAGATGACGTCGTCAGCCTTGTTGTTCAGCTTTCAGCCTCGTCAACACAATCAACTTTCGCTTCCTACATAGTACTCCTCCACTACCAAGCACTATCTCCAGATATTCAATTCTGTTGAGTACGCCTACAGTATGTTATGAATCATGCCTGTTGGTGAGTCTCACACCCTACTCAAAATTCCAGTCACAGTGTCCAAGGTAAAGCCCAGAATTTCGACACCCTTCAAGATCTCTTCTGCTTGCAAAGCCTCGACGTCCTCTTTGATGGTCTTTACAAGGTCTTCTTCAGCGAAACATCCAAAGTCGATCTCCTTTGCAGTCTCTGCCGATCCGGGAAACTTGGTAACCAAATCATCTTGGATTTCTTTGTTTGTGAGATGAGTCATGCCACAATCTAGAGAAGATTCGTGTCAGTTATACGGAGTACTTCGTACGTACTTGCGACCATCGACCTCTGTCTTGACCTTCTCGATGGGTGAGTGGTGGTACGTACCTGTATGATGTACGACCATGACCGTGGTCTTTGCACCAGGTTTATCTGCCATCAACTTCCTGACCGTGGCTATGGTACGGACTAGGTCGGAACTATATCTTCCACCTGCGTTGCGAAAAACAGCGAATTGAGCGTTGGGAAGGAATTGTTCAGGAACAACTCTAGGGTCCATGCATGTCACTGTATGCATCGAAGCTGATTAGCAATTTGCCACACCACAATGCAGATAAGATACAATGTCGCCAGTCACCCCGTACAGGGATGAGGCAAACATTTCAAACTTACAAACGAGAAGAGCACCATCTGCCACAGCTCTCATCTGGACCATGGTAGGAGGAGTTGGCCATGATTGGGCAAACACCGAATTCGCTTGGAGAAGTTGGTCCATACGGGATGCCATTTTGTTGGTGATGAACGACTTTGTCTTTGAACTTGTTTGGTGACTTGTTTCTGGGTTGGGTTTTGGTTCCTGTTTCTTCTCGACTTTTGGAAAAGTGATGGGAGAGTATTTTGTTGTACCTTCACTTTGAGGTTGAAACTGTACTTGAGAAGTTTTGAAAGAGATCAAAGAAGTAATGATCCATCGTTATATACCAAATTTTCCCCTTCTTTGCTGTATGTAAGAATGTCATCGTCCCGTCTCATCATCATGTTCTCAAGCCAGGGCATGATTGGAAATGAACAGACTACTATTTCCTACCCTCGCCATAGAGTGTGCGTCGATTAGTTTCCCACCATCATCACCACCAAGCCATCGTTCGCTGCACTACTCGTACAGTTTATCGCACGCAATGATTGCGAATATAAAAGCCTCGGAAAGGGCGACAGGAGGTCCATTGATGATTGGGCCACAGGGATCATTCTGTGATGCACACAGCAATGCCCATGTATTTTGCCTTAAGGAGGTAGTAGCTATTTGGTGTGTACGGAGTAGGTAGTTGGTGATCAACCCCGTGTCAAAGGACAGAGAAAAACGGGATGGATTAGTGATTACACACAATATTTACACGACCCGGACCCCATGCGCCAGCACCAGCACCAGGCAAACGTGTAAAATGGCTTAAGCCACTGACATGTCCTTGATCACTCCTCGTACATACACACAGGCACTGGTCTCTCGTGCGAGAAACGAATCCGTACAACCACGAAAGACCCAATTAGGCCTTGCGCCCGAAAAAAGAAGGAAAAATATCAAAAACATCGTACAGTATGGTGTAATCTAGACATCTACAATGAATCAAGTACGAGTTGTTTGATAGTTGATCGAAACATACCTACCTCGGTACCATGGATGCATCATAGCGACAAACGGTAGGTACGTATGTACGTAGAATATCACTCATCCATCTCGTTTCATGTTCAGACAGCCAAATCGTCGGGGTTATGATTAGTCTATCCTGTCTCTCTCTACCTTTGACAAGGGCCAAAGAACACATATAATCAAAAACGAGTCAAATCTCAACTTCAAATCAAAACATGTTTAGAATTCTTCAATTAAGTAACTAAGTATCATTAAACCAGGGTATCCATGTAGCCGCTAATAGTTTTGTTGTTGCCCATTTCCATTTTCCCCTTAACGACCGAAACACATCCCCTGGTCTTTGTTGAATTAATTCTTGTTTGGTCCGTTCATAACTAAATAATTTCAAAACAAGCCCTTTGGTAACAATCGACTCCTTCGTTTCGATGCCCCGTGCCCGGTCAACTCCGCAAATCTACCTACTCGATAGGTGACTGCAACTTGACTGGATTAATATCGTACAGGTCTTCGCCACAATGGCGCCTGGCGAAGTTCATCCTCATTCCACACAAGCTTGTTCTTCTCATTGAGTTCTGCATGAGAATCTGTGCTGTCAATGCTGGCTTCTCGGTTTTCTTGCACAAGAACCTTGCTCACGCCAGCGGGATCCTTGGCTAGCCAGATGAGAGGAGCAGGAGATGTGATGGCTGGGTTGAGGTATGATTGCTCATATTCTTCCGACGTGTATGCTGGAATATTATGGTCGTGCTCGGCCGGTGTGATACTCTTGTTTGCCTCGTAGAACTTGAGCAGCATTGGTTCCAGACGTCGGCTCAAGAAGTTGAAAGGTTTGTTCTTGGGTTGGGGAGCGTCACCTTCAGTTTTGACGAACTCAGGAACGGACTTCTCTTGACTGGCCGATCCACTTTCCATTTGATCTTGCTTCATCTCGTGCTCATCCATGATCTGCTCGACAACGGTTGTGCTGAACTTATTCCCTTGCAACAATTCCAATGGCATGGTCTTCTCGAGAGGAGACAGAGCCCGGTCAAGCAGGAATTGGAAAATGATCACAACAACAAGGAACACGACCATGATGGCCAAAGGACCCGCGCTGACGGCACTCTTGCTGCAGCCAATGGCAAACAGACCGATGAGGCAGATGGAGGCGAGGTAAACACCGATCATCATGTGTTTCAATGCCTTGGAGTAACCTTCACCTTTCAGGTCGGTCTTATTGCCCATGACGAAGAGGAAGTTGTATCTGAACATGAGGTAGAGCAGACAGAAGCCGATGGTTGCGAAACCAAGTACCAGAGGCGCGATGCAAGCGTATGTGATTGCGATAACACCAAGAAGGGTGAATTTAGGGTAGGTTGAGCCCCAACCCAAACCCGGGATGCTGATGTAGCGATTGTACTTCTTTCGCGGGGTACTGTCCAAGAGGCCGCCGACGAGGGTATACATCAGAAGTGGGACGATGTTGAGAAGTTGCAGGGCTGCCTGAGCAAGGCCGAACAGAATGAAGTAGCTGATGTAGAAATTGGATGCCTTGGGCAGATTGGTGGCAAGCAGCGTAGGGGCAGAGCCTGGGTTTTGGATGATCTGAGTGGTCACCGAAGTGGCAGCTACACATTGTCAGCCTCCTGAACATTTTCTGTTGGGCTCGGAGAACCAATGACTTACCAGAAGTAAATGTGGTGATGAGGAAAACTTGCACGACTTGGAAGGCAAAGTACCAGCTCTGAGTTCGGAGCTCAATGGCTGACAGAGTGGGTTCTCCAGCAAGTTTTGCGAGCAGAGCACAGAAGATTGGGACAAGAGCCATCAACACGGCTAGCAAGATTGTGGGGAGCAGACCAGTGACGAGACCGAGGATGACCTTGGGAATGTCGTTGATGAAGCTAAGGAAATGTACCTTGTTGGTCAAGTAGTTGATGTTGGATAATGCACCCACAAAGGCAACGGGAATGGCCCAGAAGATGATCATGACCCAGATAACGGCCGTTGCGAGGAGCAATTTAGTCTTGCGAGAGGCATTGCTGACGCTGAGATTCTTCCATACAACTTCATCCGGCTGAACTCCAATGTAGCGTGGGTTGAATTTGTTCAATGAGCCAGTGCCAATGGTTTGATAGGCGTGGTGAGCAGCCGACTGGTTGGAGAATTCGATAAAGGCCGCAGGGACTTTGGTATGCTTCAAGTCGAGATGCTCGCTTTGCTGCTCGTGGACGAACCGGTCAAGCTCGGTGAGAGTGCCGCGAGACCAATTGATGGTATCAACCTTCTTCCACAATTGAGGCTTCAGACGGTGCTGTGGTCGCTTCTTAGGGTTAATCCAATGAAGAGCGTTCTGCTCGGTTGGCGTGTCTGTGGTCTGCTTCTTGAGGGTCTTATTGCGTAGCTTGTTTGCATTCTTGATCATCTTCATTTCGGCCCCTTCGAGCTTCAGCGCAGTCTTGTTCTGTTTCTTGACGTCGTCCTCGAGTTTCTTGCAGTCCGTCACGAGCCAGATTTTACGCACGTAAGGACCAAACATCTCTCTGAGAGCCTTTTCATCCTGGAATTCGAGAGGCAATCCAAGGACCATCAACGTACGTGAGGAGAGACGTTGAGCGTGAGCCGCCGAAAGGAAAAACGCTCGTCGAAGGCCGATAAAGTTGATCCTTTCGCGAGCGAGCAAAAGAACCACAAAGCCGAGAAAGATGCATCCGATAATTGAATGAGCGTAGTACCGGTTTGGGTTTTCGACATTGGACATGCTCAGAATGTCCAATTGTTGTTGACCACCGCCGCCAGTGGCATTGACAGGGAACAAGACAGGCCAGGTGATAATGCATCCGACAAAACTCATGACAATCAGGACCTTGAAGAAGCGGAGCCACAGGTAACCATCAAGCGAGTTGTGTCTGAGCACATGGCTGTCGGGAAGGGTCGAGTGGTTTTTGATCAGGCCGAAGAAGCTGGTGTCGGACTTGGGAGTCTGCCAGCCATCCTGGAAGAGTCTTTCATCCGACCGCGGACGGTAGACACGCGAATAACGAGTCCGAACAAAGAGGAAAGCAGAGAAGGCGACGACGGCGATGACCAGCGTTGGGATCAAAGTCGACAAAATACCGGAGAGTGAGTTCGAGCCACCTCCACGATTGCTGCCCTGCGACTACAAAACAAAGTGAGCGGATTATCATCATACTGCAAAAGACAAATCAAATGGTACCTACCTGGCGCGCGTACAGCATGTGATTGAGAGTTGACTCCATGGTCAGTGTTGACAAGTAATGACCTGAAGATTGTGTGTTCTACGATAGAAAGAGAAGCCTCGAAGAGAGGGTGAAGGAAGCGGGCATTGATGACAAGAGGAGGCCGTCAAACAAATTGGAATAAAATGGTGACAAGGCAAGAAGATACCTCGGATCTGGAAGAGAGGTGTTTATACACGTAAAGGACAGACGTTGGTACCCGTTGTATGATGTGCAAGGATGAAAAAGATCTTCCTGATCGATCGAGAGGTTGTTCCGCGGCAATGACGCAGGGGAAGAAGCGGCAGGCACTGTACAGTAGACAAAAGGCTAGACCAAGTTTTTTTGGGTGGCTTCACTGCCAGATTTGATGTTGGAAAAGGGTGGATGGTGGGTTATGGACACTCAAGATATGCGCAGGACGCACTGACTTGACCTTGTTGGGCGCAGACGGTACTGTAGACTCAAGACGGATAGCAGCAGCAGGGATATTACCTCGTACGAGGACTGGCAGCCAGGTGATGGTTGTTTTTTTTCTTCTTTTTTCAGCTGGCTATGGGGTGTCAGTGATGTCAAATTGCGGAACCCTCGTACAGCTGGACGCATCACATCAAAACACCAATTCTCTTTCTTGTCCCAGTGACGACAGGGTGCAATTATTGACTGGGCTGAAGTGACATCAGTAAGCTGGACAAGTCCAATCATTTCCTCCCCCCCAAGCCACCACCAGCCGGCAATCTGCAGTAGCTTCGCACTGACTCGTCGATCTCAGCAGCACTGGGTCCCAGGCGAACACCAGACGAGCAGCTAATCTGACCAGCTGCCTGCATCGGGATACAGCTTTGCTCGACCTGCGATGCCCCCCTTGATTCCAACTCCGCCTTTCGCTTCACATGCGCTCCTCTCGCACCACCGAATCCCAACCAGTGCTGTGATCTACATACGGAGCACCCAGTTTTCGTATCCAGGATGTGCGGCCCTACGAGATGACAGACTCTAGACTTCGAATATCCTTTTCGGTTGATCTTTTTGTCTAACTGGGTATCTATCTACCCAAGACTACCAAACTCCGCCAGAGTGTTATATCTGCTACGGCTGACGCGCATATTGTGGTCCAGGTCCTGTCTCCAGATTACCCGTACTCGTACGCGTACAATACTTCATCAACGATGTCCTTCTCTTCTCCAACTCAGTTGCGGCAGCTTTAGTGCCAAGCTACTTGTGACAACACTGACACTGCTCGCTGCCATCGCCACACTGGCCCAGACAGGTCCCAATCTCCAACCGCCATGATCATGGCTGGCTCCGATAGGGTAAAAAACCCCCGCTGCCACAGGAACCAGGCACAGATTGTATACTGCTGCCCACGCAAAATTGAGTTTGACACGGAGGAAGACTCGTTTCGCCAGCCTCACAAGAGAAAGGATGGTGTTGAGGTCAGAGTTGAGCAGGATGAAGGAAGCAGTCGTGATTGCCACATCTGACCCAGACGAGAGGGCGATAGATACATCTGCAGCTGAAAGCGCGGGAGTGTCATTGGTTCCATCGCCCACAAATGCCACAATCTTACGGGATGATGCCTTGCCAGAATTTCTAGAGCCAGACACGCCTTGCAGCTCCTGGATATACGCCGCTTTGTCCTGCGGAAGCACCCCAGCCCGGACATTGCTGACTGGTATTCCAAGCTGCGATGCAATCGCGAGGGCAGTGATTCGATTGTCTCCAGTACACATGTGCACGTCCACTCCGGAGTCTTGAAGCGATTTCAATATGCTCGGTGCTTCGTTCCGCACAGGATCGGCAATAGCGAAGATGGCTACAGCTTGGTATGACTCGGGAAGACCTGTTTCACCCGCTACCTGGTTCGAAATCTTCCTCATGGCGACAATGGCAGTTGAATGACCCAATGCTTGATGCTTTTGCAGGATGTTCTCGAGATAGTAGTCGCTTCTGACAGCCTGCGTCTTCTCTGTCACTGGGCCCGAAGATGATCTCAACGAGGAGTCGTTCATGCGGATTGTCCTGAGAAGTCGTTCATTGCCGAGTCCGACCTCGTATCGCAAACTTCCTGCATCAGTTTTGACAATGAACCGCCCGGTCATGCCTTGCCCAGGCACTTCTTTGACGTCCTCAGACTGTATCTCCAAAGCCGCCACTGTTTTTTCTGCGCAGTGTTGCGCGATGGCTTTGGCGATGGGATGTGTACTTGATTCTTCCAGAATGCGTGATGCTGCTAGAATCACCTGGACATCTCCATCCGGATCCAGGGTCTCGTTTTGACTGAGAAATTGAACATCTGTCACCTTCATTTGCCCTTCAGTGAGCGTCCCAGTCTTGTCAAAGACAATTGTGTCGAGTCTTGACGCTTCTTGGAATGCCTCCCCACCTCCCTGGACGAGAATGCCATGTTTGGCAGCAAGCCCACCACCAACAAAGAGTGCAGTTGGAGCTGCCAGTCCAATTCCGCAGGGGCAAGCTACTACGAAGACAGCAATCGCAAATTCGAGTGACCAGAATGGCCAACCTCCCTTCTGGACGTCCAACCATGCTTGTGGCAATCTCCCAGACTCACCCAAGCCTAACCAGATGACCCAAGTAACAATGGCTATGAGAGTGATTACGGGCACAAAGTACCCCGTGATGATGTCAGCAACACGTTCAATCGGTGCACGTTTGGCTTGGCCCTCACGGACGACATTGACTATCTTGTCAAGCATTGATGTGCCACCAACCTCGGTGATTTTGATTCGTACAGGGTCGCCGACATTCACAGAGCCTGTGTACACTTCTTCGCCAGACGACTTCCGGACAGGTTTTGACTCTCCAGTGAGCGAGCTTTCGTCGAACAAGAACGTGCCTTGCTGATCGACGAGGCCATCGGTGGGTGGTGATGCGCCATGTGGGATTTGGACAACATCACCTACCTCTAATTGATCCACCGGGATTGCGCAAGTACTGGTCTGCTCATCTCTATCGCCATCTTGTGCATTGCCCGCCACTAGTAAAGCATTCGAAGGTCGTAGTTTGGATAGCATGGCAACGGCATCACCAGTTTTGGCCTTGCTGTAAGCTTCCAGAAAGCGGCCAATCAGGATGAAAAATGTAAGGAATGTGACAGTATCAAAGTAAGTGTCGGCCGAGCGATGATTCTTCATGTCTCGAGGAGCAGTTGCGTCCATGATAAGGACGGCCAGAGATGAGAAATAGGCCACTGCAGCTCCGGCACTGATCAGCAAGTTCATGCTTCCAAACCGGTAGAACCTTCGTAGGATAGGCACTTTACTTGATCGTCTCCAAATGGATCGTATCTCTTTCAAGGCTCTGGTGTGGAATATATCTGTACCAAAAAACATGACCGGAGTGGTCATGAAGAATAATGCCCATTCCCTCCGCATTGCATTGCCAGCCAGGATGGGATCTTCCCACCACTGCCTCGTTTGATTAGACTTGGGTACAAGGCTCATGTAGACCACTCCAATTATGAAGGTTGGTATTGCGACCACAGCAGTGAACGCCAGTCGGAGAAGAATAGCTTTCTGTTCGCGTCGCTGAAGTCGGCGTGAGCGTTCCTCAAGCGTGGGAGGATGATACACGCTCGCCTTCAATGCCAAATCAGACTTATTGATGGCCGAGATGATGTTGCGGACAGTGATTTCGGGAGGAGCAGGTCGATAGGCGATGGTGAGAATGGGATTGCGAAGTGTTGGTAGTTCAGTGATAGTGTAGGCTGAGCCATCTTTGGCTGGCATGGCCGCTTGTAATGCAGCCACAATGTTGTCTGGACAAAGTTCACAGTACATGCCATCGACTTTGATCTGGACAGTTCTCTCAGATGGCGTGATGTTTCCAGGAGTGTCGGTAGGTTCTAATTGCACCACAACTGCATCATAGCCCATATCTTCGATCTTCATCAACACCGCCTCAACATTCTCCTTGTCAAGAAGAACAACGTCACCACGATGACCAAGTAAGTCGACGTTGACAGATCGTACAAATGGTAGTTCTTCGAGACCTCGAGTAATGGTACCAACACAGCTGCCACAAGACATGCCATCAATGCTCACGGTGGCTTTGTATTCTGTGTTTCCAACCCCGGAAATCGACGCTTTCCGTACCAGAGGCACTACATCTTCGATTGATGCCTCGTAGCCAACATCCTCAATGGCTTCGATGAGTTTTGCAGACAGAGACTTTTGTCCTGAGAAGACCACTCTGGCATTATTAGTCATTAAGCTGACGTCTGCAGACTGCACGAAGTCGAGATTGTTCAATTCCTTAATTATAGTACCGCTGCAAGAGGCGCAGGTCATACCCCCAATGACAACAGTTGCGACGTATTCGGCGTGATCCTGGCGATCGTTGGTACCATCAACATTTATCACAGCAGGTTGATCCTCCACCAGTGTATCATCGGATGTTGTGGTATCCTTTGACTTTGGCTTGGAATGACCTGTATCCATGCGCCTCTGTCGGGTAACTGCAGCCCACGGTCGTCTTTTGACGGGAGTTCTTTCTCTTTTGCTTTGACATGCTTTGCAATTTTCGATGTGTTTGCGTTGCGCCCGGGACATGAACCATCTTGACCGACCAAGTGAAGCCTCCACCAGAGGAGGTGACACATCGTAATCACAGGTCTGGACGCCGTCTGCTCCCACCGTGGTAACATGCTGAACCTCGAATGCTGCCTCGAGCAGCTCTTTGGTGATCCGGTCCTGTGTTTTGTCATGCGCATGTTTCACACGGATTGTTTGATCGATTAACGAAATTTGTACCGACAGGATGTTGGGTATCTCACGTAGGACATCTTGGACGTAGGTGACACAGGAAGGACAGTGGATATTGGAGACTAAGAATGTCGACACGGAGGCCATGGCCTGGATAACGATGCTCCTTCGATTGTAAGTATAGTTCAAAGTGCAGTAACAGGGGCTTTATTATTAAACTTGAGAAGGAAAGCACTGTAGATGTTGGATTGGGAGAGAAGATAGAAATGCAAGAAGAGAAACAAGGAAGGGACTCTTGATCAATCATGTCGATATTTCTAAACCAAAGGGGTGCGCATTTTGTGCGTAATGTGCTAGATAGAGAGGACATGCTAGGATCTATTAGCAAGGCGGAGAGAAGGATATCGATTTGTTGATTGACGCTGTGGGTGATGCGCGTTTTGTGCGTAGTGACAACACGAAAGAAAGATCAGAGGCTCTAGTCGCACTATGGCCTCACCAGACCTAAATTAGGCATGGCCGAATATTGCATTACATAAGCCAACCTAAATCACGTGCAGGGTCCAATCCCCCTCAATCCGGCAAGACGGGTCCTCTCAATTTTCGAACTCCCATGAAACGTCGACCGTTGTGCATGAAGGAGGCCCTCAGATACCAGTGATTATCGGCTTTTTACGCCTAGCTTCACCTCAGAACCTCCCTGAACAGTCTCAGAAATTGGCGGTCTGATATATAGAGGGCGCTTGACTGGCACCTCATCCCTTGCGCCCACCATCCTTGCTGCGACACACCTTGAGCTTCGAACATTAGAACCTGCCATGGCTACCCCTCCAGAACAGCCGACATTCAGATCGAGTGTCAAGATAGATGTTGCCAATGTATTGGGCAATAAGCCTGACCAGCCAGTATCTGGAATTTCCCAACCCACCACTCCCCCATCGGCATTGATATTCAGTGGCTCGAGCGACGAGGCTACTCCTGAAAACACCATAATCGTCACAGCGCCCAGCCAGACTTCATCCGGTGTTTCCCGTTCTGTCACCTATCAGCCTGGTGCTAGTTTGCCTCGCAAAGGATCTTTCCCCGACCTCTTGCCCCACGGTCATGAGGTCCCCCCTGCCATAGGTGGAGGGAATTTGGCTAGGGAAGTCACAGCTAATATCAATACCAATGCTCAAGCGGTTTACAAGCTCGATAAGGACGAATTGCAGACCGACAGCGACCCTGACTTCCGCTATTCGAGAGGCTCATTTGTGACGTTTCCATCCAGTACGCTACCTTCCTCAGGACATACCCATGGCTCCATAGCGAAAAACACGGATCACTCGATGATGTCCGTTGATGAGTCTAGCACTTCTAATGTCTCAGAAGACGTTTCCAATGACCCAGCTACTCGCAAGCGCAAGCAATACGTTCTATGCGATGGCTCTGTTGTGTCCGGCAAAGGTTTAGGGAGGGGCCGGCCGGGCGTCAAACGGGGCCCACGAAACACAAAAGACCAATCTGCGAATAATGGTTCACCTTTGACTGCAGCAGATACCTCCAATGATGCTTTGAAACACCCGAGCAAGAAGCGTAAGAGTGTTGATGGAAACACACTGAGCGCAAGGTCAACCACGGCGGAATCAGTTACAACCCAATCTCGAGAGTCTTCGGAAGAGTACAAACCGACTGGACACACAAGATCAGGACGTCAGACGCAGAAACCTGTGAACTTGACGAATGAAAATACCACTAGCGCGAGTCCGACCAAGCCGTCGCGAGCTGGTTCCAATAATGTTGCCACTCCATCGTCGTCCGCCAAAACCCACCCCAAGATCAAAAGGAGAATATATCGAGGCCGTGAACAGTTTGCCTTGTGTGAGCATTGCTCACGAGGGCATGGCCCACCAGGCAACGTTATTGTGTTTTGTGATGCATGCAATAAATGTTGGCATCAAAGATGCCATGATCCTCAAATATCTAAACAGACGGTCTCGGACGCTAAAGCTGAATGGTATTGCACTGAATGCGACCGAATTCTACATGGCAAAAAGGCGAAGAAAACTAACAACAAAGTGAAAGCTGTGCCCGCTCCTTCTGTTGTTCCAGCGACACCGGTATATGCAGGCACTCGACTTGGTGGACGATTCTTAAAAGCAGATCAGAAGCTGGCCTATCTGCACACATTGTCGAAAGAGAACTTGGTTTCACTTCTCATGCACGCATCAGATCTCGCCCCTGACTTGCCTATCTTCCAAACCCTTGTGACACCAGCTCAGCCAGCAATTGTTCCTCAGGCTCAATTTACATCTACATATGTCACGCCGGTGACCAACTTGCCAACCTCGCGTGAGGTGGATGGCGGCGATGCCGTTGACGAAGGTTATGATGGTTACTACGACGAGCATGCGGCCTTGTACCCCAAACCAGGCCACGGAATTCGATTGCCTCCCGAGAAAGAGGATTTGCATATGTTGTTGGAAGGTAAAGATAGCAGAACATTCAGCCACTGGGTCCGAGGCATGCCAGGGAATGAATACAGTGGAAGTGGAAATGCTACGAATCGCCACTGATGCGCAGAAGAAGTCATCCACTCCGTCGGCTTTTGTTTATCGATAGTTCCGAAGAACACGCGACGCACTCTGGTCGAGACTGGGTGCCCTCTTTCTTGTCAGACCCATTCATTGTCAACTTGACAGAATGTTCCCAACCCATCTGTCCGAAACACTTGTCGATTGGTCGTGTGCCTCCATGGACAGGCCCTTTATCCCAGTCTCGTCATCAGGCTCTCTATCATTTCATATCCAAGGATTCATTCGCAAATGTAAAGCTGTAAGTATACAAAGAAGGTCTTGACAAGGTCGATGGAGGAGGATGTCTTTAAGACTGAATCGATGTTCTCGTCGGTGGTGAGTCAAAGGGAGTGTGCAAAAGATGTTGAAATGAGAGGAGGATGGGTAGATTTGGTGTTTTTGGAACAGGCTCTCAGCATCCGAGTCCATTGTGGTTATAGAAAGCATGGTGGTCACGGGCCAAGCATAACGCTTTGCCGATGAACAACGAACGAAAGATGTCCTACAACGAGTAGCTCAAAGGGTGCAACAATGCAACTATTCATTCTCATCTAGTACACGGCCAAAGTGGCATCCTAAGTCTCTTCAGTGTGTGTTTGGCTACAATTCTACCAGTCGCAGTCACTTTTCGCCAAGGCGCATGCCCAAATGTGTCGCGACTCATTCACACAGAAGAAAGATCGATGAAGTTCATGGTACACATATTCTATCTTACCACACCATATGCATTTGGATCAATGAGCTTGGTTCAGCATGGCGACCATCAGCGCTCATCGTCCTTTCCATGCCTGGGGTCAAGAGCCATCCAATCATCATATCCATACCCTGCGCGCCGAGCCTCGCCCTCCTCTCAGATTCACAAACCAGCGCTACAATGGCTCCGCCGCGTCCAGCCTGCGTCACGATAATGACAAGGCAGACTACCGCGAGATACAAATACTCCCGACCCCTGACGAGATCCTTGCAGTTGACAGCGCTGTATACATGCCGAAGAAAGATCTTCGTCATGCACACCATCTGCCAAATGGGCCTAAGCGACATCTCGATTCCCTCTTCCGCCAGATGCGCTGTGACAGCATAGAGCACATCCGAGATATCTGCTACACTGCAGCTCAGCAAGTGTTCTTACAAGTCGACCCATATGGCAGGCCTCAGCCAATCTCCTATGAACGAATCCTTCATGAGACACTAGCAGGCCACAGATTCTTTCTGTATCACGATATTAAATTTGAAGAACTTCTTGCACATGAGAGCAAGGGAATACTTGTCCGTGCAAGCTACCATTGTCCATCATTCATGAGAGGCCGTAGGATGTATGGCTCCGGCCGCTTCCAAGAAGGCATGCTTGTTGCCCTGCTTCAGCTTGATCGCATTACCAATGAACTTTCGGTCTTCTTCCTTGAGGTCAGCCTTTCTCAATCTACATACTCCATGGATATGTCTGGCGGTGGTGGCGAAAGAGCAGCAGTGCAGATGTCGTTCTTACCTACTTCTACTCGCGAAGATGTTTTACAATTGAGCCGTCATGTCCTTGGACTCTGCTCCGACACCGACACGGCTCTTGTTGAATTTCCAAAGGTGCTTTTTGCTGGCTTCTACAACTGTCTAAAAAGACTACAAGAGATGGGGGAGACTGACTTCGCATTTCAAAATTACATTGCGCCTAAGGTCAGCCCACAAGATGCCATATCAATGGCCAGACGCAATGTCCCTGGTGGCGGAATTCCGACCGTGACTTGCCCACCTCCGGCTTATGCACAGAAAGAGGAGTTCCGATATGATCTCAGCTCTGTGCTGTCATCGACAAACCGGACCAAGTCCATGTCGGTTCAAGAACTGTTGCGACCGTCAACAATCGATATTTTGAGGCGTGAGACGTCTCTTGATGAAGGACAAGCTATGGCCTTCAGAGATGGTCTGATCAGCGAACTTGCGCTCACGCAGGGCCCACCGGGCTGTGGCAAGACATTTCTCGGTGTCCAGTTGACAAAGGCTTTGTTATCATCGCGGCCAACACAAAAGCCCATTCTGTTAGTGTGTCTGACAAATCATGCACTCGACAATTTCCTCCAGGATTTACGTGATGCACAAGTTACGGGGTTGCTTCGTGTCGGTGGAGGCAGCAAAGAGAAATGGACTGAGGCCATTAATCTCCAGACTATGAGAAAGAAATCTCGACCTCGCAAAGCTCCACCAGAGAGGAGCATCATCAGCTCACGGAGGAAGGAAACATTTGCAGAGGTAGATATCATGTGCAAAGGTAAGATCCCCCAAGCTGTATGAATGCTGTACTGACATTCATCAAGCCATCTCATCGAAACACCACACTGGAAAGGTGCCATGGCAATATGTTGAAGACATTTTGTTTGAAAAATACCCTCATTTCCACGGACAACTCTCCACTAATGCTCCATCTGTCTACGCAAAGGCGTTCGCCTTCGAGCATTGGTATGGAGGCGGAGATTTAGAGAGTATTCGGGACCTACACTTCGAGCTTGCCACGAGACTCAACGAAGTTCTACGAGAACGTGACCGTAGCTCCGCCAAAGATGTCGATGCCATTCTGCAAGACATTTCCTACTTTACCAAACAGCAGAGCGAAGAAGCTGGTGACAGAAGCCTTTGGAATTTACCATATCCCGAACGTCAGGCCCTTCTACGCCAATGGGAGGCTGAGGTCGACACTGAGAGGTTTGCTGCTAAGCTGACTGGTCTGCACTTTGAATATAAAGACCTGGTCTCTGCTGCCAACGACTTGAGCCATCAGAGAGATATCAAGATCATGGGCGATTCCAATGTCATTGGAATGACGACCACAGGATGCGCGGCGCGATGGAAACAGCTGGCCTCTGTTGGGATTGAAATAACTCTTTGCGAAGAAGCGGCAGAGGTTATGGAAGCACATACACTATGCTCACTGCTCCCGACAGTTCAACATGCGATAATGATTGGCGATCCATTACAACTGCGGCCTGAGACGGACCAGCAGATGCTTACGTTGGAAACACAAATTGGCATGGATTACCGACTAGATGAATCACTCCTGGAACGTCTGATGCTACCGAAAGACCCGTCCTCTTCGGCAGTCGCATCAACTCATCTAAACATTCAGCGTCGCATGCATCCGACCATTGCCAACATAGCACGCATCTTTTACCCCTATCTGAGAGATCACAAATCCACATTGGACAATCCTCCCACGGTTGGACTTGTGCACAGAATGTATTGGTGGGATCATCGCATTCCTGAGCTGGAAGCAGACGATCTGAAGTCTCATGTCAATCTCTACGAAGTTGAGATGGTGGTTGGACTTGTCACTTACCTCCTTCGCGGAGGTGCTTATGACCAGGGCGACATTGCCGTTCTGACTCCTTACGCCGGTCAGCTTTCTAAGCTTAACGAACAACTATCCACCACATGTAACATCTGGCTCAGCGAAAAAGATCGTCAGCTGCTCATCGACGAAGAAGTATTAGGCTTGGTCCCAGAAGGCAGATTAGCCAAAGACGAAGTTCCCATGGCTGACATGTTAAGAATCGCCACAGTCGACAACTTTCAAGGTGAAGAAGCGAAAATTGTCGTTCTAAGTACGGTTCGGAGCGGAGGCAGCGCGGGCTTTCTCAAGAGTATCAATCGTATCAATGTTGCGTGTAGCAGAGCACGAGAGGGCTTTTACATCATTGGAGACACGCAAACCTTGTCAAAAGTACCAATGTGGAGACAGGTCATTTCTGCTTTTGATGGAAACATTGGTGCTTCACTGTTGACTTGCTGCAGTACGCACCCAGAGCACTGCCACGCTGTACAACAGCCCTCCGACTTCCAGATGGTTCCCATCTGCGCTGCCGTCTGCGGTCAACGCTTGGAGTGTGGTCATGATTGCCAACAGATGTGCCACCCGCCGCGCCTCCACGATCGTATTGCCTGCCAAGAGGCATGTCAGGAAGTCTTCCCATGTGGCCATCCTTGTCAAAAACTATGTTATCAAGATTGTGGAAGTTGTGACTCATCTAGAGGGGACTTCATCCTGCCATGTGGACACCAGGGCACATCTCTTTGCTCTGGGCAGGTTTCAAAGTGCAAGGTCGTGGTCTCACAAAAGCTACTAGACTGTGGCCATTCTCTAACGGTCATATGTGGTGACGACTCCACGCAGAAAGACTTCTGCTCAGCTCAATGCCCATCGATCTTGTCTTGCGGTCATCCGTGCACCGCTCAATGCGGCACTTGTCAGCAGAATCAGAGCCACAAAATCTGCCCTTTCAGATGTGGACAACAGAAACTTTGTGGTCATGTTTGCAAACTGGACTGTCACCACGGATCACCTTGTCCGAATTCTTGTTCGGAGCCATGTGCAGATTCTTGCGAACATGGTCCATGTCCAGGTCGTTGTTCCGATACATGTGAGCCCTGTATCAAACTATCCAAGCCTAGATGTGAGCACGAGAACTCGGCAAACGTATTGTGTTGCCTACCCAGCACAACTCTCCCCTGCTGTGTACCATGTCCTAAAGGTGAGCCCTTCGCCCCGAACGGCTTCTGTGAATACTGCCACTAACTGATTTATAGTCTTGGAGTGCGGCCACCCTTGTCCTTCTCTGCATGGCGAAGTCTGTCTTCCAGCAAGCCTGTGCCCAACCTGTGTTGCTGGTTTTATTCCATACAACCCAATGCTCTACCTTCCCGACTGTGGTCATCTAGTCGACGTCTTTGAGCTGGATAGCATCAACCTCCACTCGGTCTATGAGCTTACACCCAATGGCACAATCTTATCGGTCAATTCCAATGTAATTTCTGCCGACCTTCGACTGCCAGTATGCCAGTGTGGCAAGCCTTGTGCCAAAACACACCGATATGAGAGCATTGCAAAACTTGTCAACTTCGAAGACACCCTTGATCGGCTTGTGTCGAAAATGGGTCGCATTCTACAAAAGTTTGCTACCAAGGTTGACGCCGTTGAAATAGGACTCGTCGACAATTTTGGCCAAAGTGTTGAGAATATTAGGCCAAATCCAATGGCCACGAGAGCAAATACTGACCTCATTCTTCGTCGGGATCGTGATGCTCTCGACCTCCAAAAAGAGATCGTCAAGGTGCGTAACGAGGTCATCGACCATATTCAGTCTCAGATATCCAAAGTCAGCGAATCATTTCCAAACGTTGCAAAGACATATGAACTGCCATTCCGATTCCGTTTCGACGTTTTGGAATATCGAATCATTGGAATTCGCATCGCAGACTCCTTGCAGATGGCCGGGTATCTCCTCGACCTCCGCGATCCGTCTTATGGCGTTCAGAGACAAGGAATGACCATGCTGGAGTATGCGTACAGAGAGTCAGTGGCGTGTGCCAACTGCTGTGAGGAAATGCTGAAGAATGACCGCATTACATTGAGCCCTTTGATCGACGTTGAGCTGCGCCTGCACCAAATCCAGTTTGGTCTCTTCGCCGTCGCCACAAGAGGCAAAATGAGAGTGCTGGGTACTTCAATCAAAGTTGGTGATGCGGCGGCCTTGATCGACGATGCTGCCACTGTCAAAGACAAGCTGAAGAAAGTCATGGACATCTGCGAGCATTACCCCAACACGCACAAGCTTTTGCTGGAGACTGCCACCGACTTCATGCAGGCACTTGAGCGTTCAGAGTTCATGGCAGACACACTCAACGTCCCCAAGATCAAGAATCGAGGCATGAGAGACATCGAGAAGCGGTGGGGCCACTATGAGGTTGGCTCGCCCGAGGTTTGCGACAAGGGACACGTCTATTCGGCAAGGACGTTCCCAGAGGGTTTCTGTCCTGAATGCGGAACCATGAGCATGACGGACAAGGAGATTTACCAAGAGACGTCCAAGCATCTCTTTGAGGATCGGTTCCTGGAGGCAATGCGAGCAAGAACCTCGCAGGCTACTACTAGTAGTAGTCTTGCTAAGGTCGCAGAGAAGGAGGTGTCCAACGAGGACAAGTTTTTGTTGGCGATGAGACAAATTGGCAAGAAGTGAGGTGAGGTGAGAGGTCGAGGTCAAGACCAAGATTGAGATAGTCAAAAGTGCTTTTCATAGGTTGTAGTTCAATCAATTTGCAATCTCTTCTCCAATGTGTCTTACACGGTAGGCTCGTGCTATGTACTGTACGTGTCTTTCTGTTCACCGACCTCCTGTACCTTACTCATCGTTATCTATATCCTTTCACCATAAGCTTCCCGTCATAGTCTAAACAATATCTTCAACCCGTTTCCTCAGGAGGCTGTCGTGTGGGAAAGAAACATGTTGATAGGATTGAGATCTTGGAATCCGTCGATTTCAATACTCGATGGCCATGGCAATGTATTTCGGGACGTGTCTTTAGGCCTATAGGTATCAGACTTGGAGTGGCCATCATCTGTGTCGAGAAGTAGATTTTGGATTTGTTTTTTCCAGACACCTCATAGCTACCCCAAGTACTCGATCTTTGGTGGAAATGGTGTTCCTCGACGGGCAAAGCTTACAACCAGGAATACATTTGATCGGCGAGGAGGGGGAGACGCCTCCTTCTCAAAAGGCCTACTACTTCTGCTCCACGACGTCCTTCTCCACGACACTGCCAGGCTTCGCAGGTCCACTCGGCCTCCTCACGGCGAGACTCGAGCTCCCCCTTCTCGCAGCAGCAGCCGAGCTGGCCATGCTGGTCCTCCTGCCGGTCTCCGGGTCGATGACGAAGCTGTTGCCCCTCTTCGCGGCCTGGACCAATTCGGGGTTTTCTTCTTTCAAGATTGCAAAGTTCTTCTCGGCCTCCCAGGTCCATATGCTGTCGCAGGCAAACACGAGATCCATCTCCTCGAGCGTACGTTGGTTCGTCTCCGGGTACAGGGCCCACACGACGATGATGCTGAGGACGTTGACTCCACCAAAGATGTAGAGCGTCTTTTCGTTGAGGCGGGCAAAGATCGTGGGGAGCAAGAGGACGCACCAGCCGTTACCAATCGACCAACCGACCACACCAAAGGCGTTGCCTCGCGCGCGAACGTGCAAGGGGAATATTTCGGCAGGGTAAAGCCAAGGGACCGTCAGCCACGTGGCCCCAAAGATGGCCGTGTACAGGAACACAAAGAAGGTCGCCCCGGCACCCAAGGACGTCTTGTGGCTCTCGGAAGAGGCGTTGATCGTGGCTCGGGCGAGACCTCCGGCGGCGAAACAGCATATCCCCTGGCCGACGGCGCCCCAGTACAAGGTCCACCGACGACCGATGCGGTCCAGCGTAAAGACACAGATCAACGTCGCAAACATGTAGGTGATGTCGTTGAGACCACTGACCCACAGCCGGTCTTTCGCCTTGATGCCCGCTATGGTGAAGATTTCGGGTCCGTAGATCGTGATGCCCGCGATGCCGATCCATTCCTGCAAGATCTGCAACCAAATGACCAATTGGACGCGGCGGGCCGTGTGTAGTTTCCCCGATCCGATGCCGAAGAGCATGCTGAAGTAGCTGTTTTGCTTGGACGTTTCCACCTCCAAGGCACTGACGTTGCGGATGTCTTGAAACTCGGCCTCGGCCTGCTCGCGGTCTTCACCCTCGTCGCCGCGGAGGCGGCTGAGGATGTACCGTGCCTCCTTCTCGCGTCCCACTTTGACCAACCACCGGGGTGACTCGGGCATGAACCAGATGACGCACAAAAGACCGATCAATGGGACGATCTGGAACGCGATGGGGAAGCGCCAGATGAAGGGTGAAGTTCCGTCTCCGTATTTGGAGGTGCCGAATTCGATCCAGTAAGCCACGACAACACCGAGGATGTTGAGGGTGAATTCGATCGACACAAACTGTCCTCGAGACGTGTACGCTGCCGTTTCCGTGGCCCAGACGGGAGTGATGGCGTTGAGAATCCCCGTGCCGATTCCGTTGAGGACACGGGCGCAGAACATCCAGTTGGCGCTCTGGGCGGAACATTGGAGAGTCGCGCCGACAATGGCCCAGGCGCATGCTATGCCGATGGTGGTGATGCGACCCAACTTGTCTCCTATCCAACCGCCGATGAGAGCACCGAACAAGGTTCCAGGAAGGTAATATCTAAGCAGAAAAGCCAAAGGGTCAACAGGTCGTCTTTGAAGGTCCGCAAACAGAGAGTGCTATCATGTAGGGAGAAGACAGGGTACATATGGAACGAGCCAGACTCAAGGACCCAGTAGTCCAGTAGACATCGTCCAATCTCTGTCTCGACTCTCCACGGTAGAGATCTATGTAGATAGGTCATTTCAACTTACACAGCAACAATGCCACCTTGCAAAAGACTCTTGTCAACCTTGACGAGACCTTCTTCTGCATCCCAGTGCCCGAAACCCATGAGCTCTGCATAATCACGAGTCGTGTTGACGCCACCCATCACACCTTGGTCGTAACCAAAGAAGAAGATGGACAAGCCGGCGACAGCGTTGATGGCGACGAGAAGGGAGCGCTTCTGTAGTTTGTGGGCGACATTGTATTTTTCGAATCTGCCGTGGAATGTCTCCATGGCGGCGGTGGTGATGGTCGTGGTGGGAGTCAACCCAGGGAGATCAGTCAGTAGGTGTCGTCTTGTTCGAGAAAGAAGACATCGTCATCATGCTGATCCCACTGGCTTTATACTCCGTAGGCTATGGGAAGTCGTAGCCGTAATTCTTCATCTCGGGTTGCCATATTGGTCGAAGATCGGCTTCCCCAGCATTTAGGTCGGCTATTGATGCGTGTGTCATACTCCGTACCAGTGTGGAAATGAATTTGCATACCGCATCTAGACTTTTGCCGGTGGGCAGGGTAGTACTTCCTGTATTGTTTTCGTTTGCCGGTGGAACTTATGGGTTGCTGTATGGACGGACTTGACTCGGACACATTTCCGGTCCGGCGTCGGAACAAAAGCATCGGCCTTCACAGCCCGATATCTTCAACATCAACACGCATTTTTGGTGCGACAGCCCTAGGGCTTGACTAGCCCACTATGTGTTTCTATTCCTTCGCTATAAAATATCATATGATCAGTCGGAAGACACAGTATATAGATCGACAACATGGAGGGCAAATGGTCGTACCAAGGACGGAGTACTCCGTAGTGGTACAGGGAGGCGATGGGAAGGCGTAAGCAAGTCTGCATGATCTGCAAAATTAGGGGCTAGATGGCGAAAAATGCCCCGTAAAAGCTCAATTATTGGGTCTGTCAAAAACCGAAGCTCGGCCAAGGAGAAAGCTTTTTCACAGCCTTGTGTGGATGCCGGGCGTGAATTGACAAGCTTGAAAAATTCTGGTGGCTCGTCATTTAAGGGCTTGCACAATCCTTTCTCTTTGATCCAGCATGCTCGGACTTGGCAGTGTTGCAAGCCATGGTCAGGTGAGCAGAGTCGCCACAAGCTTGAGGTTGGCACGAGAATGTTCATGGTTGTACTAGGCTGAGACCTGCTTGACCGCTCCTGTAGGTCATGATAAGCAACAGCGGCTGTATCGTGCCGTCAAAAGTTCACCTGGAACCGAGGATGCGTCCTGAGTCGGGCACCATAACGCATGAAAATGAACGGTAGAGGTACCATTGCGAGAGCGATAAAAGCCAGCACCGAATTGCCCCAACCCAGCTTCAGATTCGAGTAAAGCGGACGGCCGGCCAGCGGCAGGAAAGCTCCCACCAGCGACCTAACCACAGTATTGGCGGCCGTCACCGATGCAGCGTATAAAGGATAACAGTCGACAAGGTAAGTTTGGACGGCAAGCTAGTTCAGGTCAGCAGACAATGCGAGTGAGAATGTGCAAATAACGCCTTACAAATATTCCAATCAGACCCAGGCCGACCCAACCCGTTCCAATGATTGGCATGATCCAGTGAATCTGTTTCTCGGCAGACCATCCGTACCAGAAGAGACCGATCGGGATGCATATGGCGGCAGGAATCAAGCCTTCCAGTCTTATTTCCGGAGAAACGTCTCCCTGTGCTTTTTTCTTCTGAATTCGCCGGTCGCTAGTCGCTCCGAAGACGCCTAACCCAATAAACATCCCGACACCTATTCCAATGTAAGATAGACCTGCCAGACCGGTCGAGAAGTGGTAGACGCTCTCATAAATCTCGGTGATTGTGGTGAAGAGAAGGTAGAGGTAGCCATAGATGACGCCGATGTACACCTGTTCAAGTTTAACGTCACAGTCAGAGGCTTTGCTCAAGGCAACGCACCACAAATACGAAGACAACGGGAGACATAAAGAACATCTTGGTAGGGCGTATGAATGCTTTTGCGATCGCATTCCGCGGTGAGTCGTCTGTGGACAGCTTTGAACGGAGGTCTTGATTTCCCGTGGATTTCCTCAAACGAGCAGCTTTTCTCTCCAGGAGTACCGGTGCATATGTTTCCCTCATGAAGATGAAGCATGCAATCACGACAATACCGGCCTGAAAAGCTATAAATTTTGAACAGAACGTCAATGGAATGCACTTACGGCAATGGTAATGACCCAGAACACCCAACGCCAGCCAACATCCTCGGCCAGAAAGGCGCCAGCCACAGGGCCTAGGAGACGGTGAGTACCTCACAGCCATAATCAATCTCGTCGAGCTTACCTGCCACCGGTCCAATTAGGGGACCTATGGAAAACACGGCCATCTTGGATCCGCGCTTTTCGCGAGGATACAGATCCGCGACACTGCCTCCACCAAGCACAAGGGGTGCAGAACCTGCTGATCCAGCGAGAAAGCGAAAGCCTATGAGGCTGCCTAAAGACGGTGCAACAGCACAGGCGATTGTGAAGATGATGAAAAGGACATTCGTGACGAGATATACAGGCAGTCGTCCATAAAGCTCGGAGAGTGGGGCAAACACCAATGGGCCGAACGAATAGCCTACCAAATAGACCGAGACAGCAAAGGTCGCATAGAAAACACTGGTGCTATGGAAGTCTTTCATGACCAGAGGGATGCCCGGCGCAAACATCGATGAAGCAAGTGGGCTGAAAAAGAGGCATCAGTTCTCAGCTGTCTGTGAATGGTTGAGAACACTTACGTGACAAAGGTCAGGCACGATAAGAGGGCAATGTTGATGCCCTTGCGCTTCGAGGGCCAATTGAGGGGGTTCTCTGGGTCATCGTCGCCAGCCCAGTCGACAATGAGATCGTTGGTTGGAGGATGTACCTCTACAGTCTTGCCTTCTTCCATTGCCCTCGTTGAATGTTAAGCCTTGAAATCTGGTCGCCCCCGTATCTCCTGACAACGGGTGACTGTATATCACGAGAACAGACAGCCCAAGCGCATTTAGGATTTGTCGTCTTCTTAGAATGCTTCTTGATAAAAAGAATCAAAGTCGCCTGGTCAGGCTGAGAAAGATGAGACATTGTCGGTTATGCAGAGCGACGCAACTTATGTAGCTCCCCATATGAAGGATCTCGGGGGGCGGTGACAACATCGGCTACCAAACGAAGGTCGTTGAAGGGGCCAGAGATGTTCGTAGACCATGCCCCAAAGGATGATAGTGTACGGAGTACGGGCTACGTCTTAACGAGGTGCCACACTTCGGTTTCGGGTTGATCACAACAAGATGGGGATGAGACACGCGACTGGGCCGTGCCATCGCCTGAAGCGGTCCATAGTACTCCGTACTGGCTGTCACGACGCCGACTTACAGGGGTTGGATGTTGATTCGATGATAAAACCCATCATTTGTTGATAATCATACGCACTGTTGGAATCTGGATGGAGAATGAGCGGTAAGTAGGAAGTTCACGTGCTTCATGCTGTAAATTTGGAGTCTGGTGGCCGAAATAGTATTGCTGCTTTAAATGCCAGGAACGTAAAATGTGTGGCGTAGGGAGGACCGATAAGAAGGCCTAGTAATTATTTACTTAGAGCGTGGGCGGCCTGAGCCTCGGCTGCGGGGAGCCCGCAAGGCACCTAATCGGGCTTAACAGTCCCCGACTTCCACGCAGACTCGCCCGGACACTCGCTCAAGGCACCTAAAGCTGTGGCCCCGAGCCCATTCATCTGGTTACAGTACCCGTTCAATTGAGTCGGACTTGCGATTTGAATACTCCCTGCAACCGACAACAACCTGGTTTGCGAGATGCCTCTCAGGTCTTCAATCATATCGGCCAAGAGACATGTGTGTCCACATTGTAGCAGGAGCTTTGGGAAAGCCGAACATTTGATGGTGAGCACGCTTCGAGAAAACCGTCCGCGCACATCTCATATGTTAACATGGGCGATTGGTGTTTCTTCCAGAGGCATGAGAGATCACGTACGGAATTCCAGGCTCAATATAGTGAGTCTAAACAGTCTGACAATATATAGACACTGGAACTCGACCCTTTGTCTGCGAGACGTGCTCAAGAGGTTTCACCAGAAATGATAGTCTAACGCGCCATATGAGGCGCCATGAACGCCCTGCGCAAGGATACAACACCGACAGCGAACGTCGTCTCGACCTCACCCTAGAGGCAGCCAACGCCGATGCTTCCTCATTGCCACCCTCGACAGATGAGCTTGCCCCATCGATATCAACGTATACACCAATGGCAGATATACATAATGAATCGCTACTTGATCCTGCTGAGACAATGTCCCTCAATTGGCCGGACTCTGCGGACCTACTCACATCGATTCTGGCTGCCGACTTCACCAATCTTCCTGCTCTTGAGGCCCTGCCATCTCAAGCTGTTGCACCAACTGAATCAGAGCACACTCCATTGTCGCCCTGGCTTACAGCTGATGGGGACAAACAGCATAGAGGCACCCGTGCTGTGAAGAATCTGACAGAAATGATCACTTCCTTGGTAAGAGCAGCTAGGTTCGGATTGAAATTCTAGATCTAATTTGAACAGTCGGCAGATGTCACGTCCGAGGCGCAAACTACAGGTTTCACAACCGTATTCCTCGATGGATGTCTCCATATGTTCTTCAAACAATTCCTCCCATCTTTCCCCGTTGTGCACGCAGCTACATTCGTCTTCAAAGATTGGACTCATCCCCTTTTGCTCAATGCCATTGCGCTTGGGTCGCTATTTATGGGCAAAAGAGATTATTTGCTCAAGGTCGGACTTCCTCGATGGTACAAGCCAAGTTGCTGACTTCCAAAGGGCGAGATTCTATGGCGATTAGCACATACTGCTGTTGCAACCTCGGTAAGACTACCAATTGGCCCTTTTATTCACCACCTAAAACGGCTTTCAGTGGCATACTCTCATCAAGCACCGAAGTCCTTATGATACATGTTCCGGTATACAACTCGTGCTCACGGCGCTTCTCGGACAGATATACGCAATGCTATCTGAGGTAAGCACACCAACAATATCTCTCCGTAGGTCGGCTGATTCGTAAGAACATCACCCTTCGAACCACCGCACAAGTCTTCCATAGTCTTGGATTCTTCTGGGCACGCTGGTCAGGTATGTATGAACTGGAAGATCAAGAAGAGATCATGCCTTTCGATTTTTTGGACAGTCACGATGTCCTTGAACGCAAATGGAGAGTTTGGGCTGCAAGAGAGACGCAGCTACGAGCACTACTGGGACATTATGTGCTTGACGGCCAAATCTCGACATACAGTGGTGGCCCTACATGTCAACGCCATACTTCTCATTCATTGCCCATGCCAGCAGAAGCCGATATTTTCGAAGCTACAGATGCCGAGACTTGGCGAGACAAAATGATTGCGAGATGTCCAAGAAGACAGGAGTTTTCGCAGCTGTTCAGTTCGGCCATGTCTGAGAATGTCCATGTGCGACATTTGGGCTCTTCCCTGGCTTTTCTGACTGCCTCTGTAACGCTTGAGGGATTCAAGTCACTCATGGCGGAGAGCCCGGTGTCTGGGATGAACGTGATTGGCGTTCCTTCGAGACTGGACATATCAAGAGGTCTGGCTAGATTCTACTTGTTTGCTGACCAAAGTTTGTCCATGTCGGAGATGAACAAGAGGGTGATACTTCTCCGATGGCATACGATTGGTCTTGATTCTGCCATTGATTTCAATTGGTTTTGTCGTAAGCTTTGCCAACAGTACAATGTTGAACAGCGCGTCGTTGGTGGCCGGAAGAAACCAATGCTTGACTTTGAGTCTTGGTTTCGAGGTCCCAAAGCACGCATGGGGCTTCTTCATGCTATGAGTATTCGAGAAATCATCCAAGAAATTCCGGCCAGTCACGCGCACACGATCAATGCTCCGATGGCGGTGTTTTCAGCTGGTATACTGTACTGTGGCTTTCTACTGGCCGGTATCTCTACCATTCTAAGGCCTGACCAATGCAACTGGGACAGCGTACTGCTTCTGAACATTGACACAGTATCAGAGAGCATTGAGCACGATTCCGACACGCAGGTACGACAGTATCTAACCGGCACCTTGAGCGGTGGCCAAAGACAGGAGAATCTGCTCTATGAAGTCAATGTGTTTTTGACGTTCCTCGAGAGTCTCGGAAGGGTATGGGGTGTGTCTACGCATATGCACAAGGTCTTGGAACAACTTCTCTCAACCTGCGGCCTTGGTTAAGGTATTTCGGGTGTCTTTCGGTTGAGCTACGCTTGAGGAGAGACGGGTATCGATGGGGAATCACTGTGCGTTGCCTTCCCCGCCGCAATGTCCCCTTTCTCCACAATCTACTTCTCCGCCAGTCTCTCCACCACATTCTTCGAGTCAATGGAACATATACTATTACAGTCTGCCCTATGGAATATCCGAATCCGCGATATCACTACTTGAAACCTGTGTGCGAACTGGTCAGAAAATCAAATCCCGCTAGTCCCAGATTGCAGAACATCGTTGAATCCGACCTATCAACTTCGAAATGCTGGAATCCATGGATGCTACCAATCCCGACCAACGTCCGAGCTCGTTCGTAGTACACGAACACGACGCTTACAACATAGATGTCCCGGTTCTCATTGTTGGAGGTGGACCTGCTGGTCTTTTTCAGGCGCATCTACTTTCTCAGCTGGGAGGTCATAATCTTCCACCCTCTTGGTGACGAGAATTAACGGGTAAACAGTCAAATGTTTGATCGTCGAGAGGTATCCCGAAAGATTGGGTGCACCCAAAGCCCATGCTTTATCTCCAAGATCGCTTGAAATATGCCGACAATCACACCTGGATGTTGCTAAAATTCGTCAACTGGGCACCCAAAGGCGTGACGCCTACTGGGTAAACTTCGTCACGAACCTAAGCGGCCAAACTATCGGTGTCTTGCCATACGAGAGGATGGATGTCGATGTGCTGCGATACACGCCTGAGGTGATCTGCGACTCTTCTCTCGGACTTCATACAGACTGACCCGTTAAAGATGATCCACAACATTCCTCAGCCAGCCTTTGAACAATATTTGACAGATGTGCTAGCCAAGGACTCGAACGTCGACATTCGAAGGGGCGTATCTTTCATTTCACTACGTCAGGTAAGCAAGTCGCTGCGCCACGAGAAGCCTCTTAATACTGACTTCGGCGGAGGACGGCTTTCAGGCAGTTATAACGACCGTAGAGGAGCGTACAACAGGCCATCAATTCCAGATTCGCTCCAAATACCTCATCGCATGTGACGGGGCGAGGAGTAAAGTACGCACAGGCCTAGGTATCGGAAGTGATGGAGAAGACTCATGTGAGATAGCCCAATTAGCAACCTGACAAACGTTCATCCCAGGCGCATCAATTAACCATGTATGTTATGCAGATGAAACAATGATGACCATCCATTTCAATGCCAACTTGCGTCCTATCGTTGGAAATCGAGTCGGCATGCTACATTGGATTGCCGACCCTCTAGCGTCTGGATTCATCATTGCCTACGATCTATCAGGAAACTCGGTCCTGATCAGCAACTTTGACGTGAGTTCCTGGATTTTCCTGCTGACCGAGCCTTTCATTACAGCCTCTGACCGTTCTCCAGGCGACCAAACAACCGGTAGAGAGCTGGAACCAAGAACTATGTCGTCAAACCGTCACAAGTGCAATTGGGAAGGATATTCCCTTTGACGTTCTAAGCTACCGGCCTTGGGTGCTCAGTCGAAAAGTAGCGAGATTCTACAGACAAGGCAACGTTTTTTTGTAAGTTGGGGACGACTATCTGAACCGATATCCGTTGTGTCGATAATTGTAACCGGTCTGTTGACGTGTCTGAACAGGGCCGGCGACGCAGCACATTCCTTCCCGCCCACCGGCGGTCTCGGACTGAACTCGGGACTGGGCGACGTCCACAATCTCGCGTACAAGATCGCATTGGTCCTCCAGGGTAAAGCGTCTGAGCGGCTCCTCGACTCTTATGACGAAGAAAGACGACAAGTCGCCATTGTGAATTCGATACAGAGTGTGAAGAATGGGAAACAAATTTTTGGCCTGCTCAAGACGTTGGGGATCGGAGAAGATGCGGTCCGAGCCAGACGAAACCTTTACGCTTCACTTGGTGATCCGGACAAGAAAAGAGAGATTGATGAGGGGATCGAGGCACAGAGAGAACATTTTGATAATGTGAGTTTTCCAGTGCGGTCCCCTTCCTTGCTTCTTTTCCCTGTACTAAAGGAATACGTGTCCAGCTTGCACTTCACATTGGCTACGTTTACGGCGACAAATCCATCCCGCCCCACGCATCAAAGTACGTTCCCAGCTTCGCGGTCGGCGCAAGGTTACCTCATGCATGGATACGTCTTTTGCGTCAACAAAGCAGCACCAAACCGAATCTGGCGCCGGTAGATGTATCGTACGTGGACGAGTTTTCCGCCGACGACATCCAACTTCGACAACACAGTACCCTTGACCTCTGCGACATTGACAAGTTTACCTTGTTGGGCAATCTGGACAGCGTTCCTGGAGTCAAAAGTTATCGTCTAGGTCGAGACTTTGAAGTCGTCGGGCCCGGTGCGGACGGGTGGTTGGCTTCGTCTGGACTTGACAAGGCTGGAGGTCTACTCGTCCGACCTGACCAGCATATATTGATGGTTTTGGATGCCACTACCACAGCCAAAGATGTAGAGATTGTATTAGATAAGTACCTTGGGCGAAGTCATTGAGATTGTGATTGAGATTGAGATTGAGATTGAGATTATTATGCTATATTATCCTCTCTACCCGTACGGAGTATAAATCAAAGCTATCGACATCATGTACCGCGTCACCATGTCTTTAGGGCTTAGAGTCTAGATGATAATACTCAGGAGCATATCGTACTCTTCCCCACGGTGTACCATGTTACCCTGTATCATACCGCATCATCACCGCCGCCGCACTCAACTGCATCGCCCTGACTCTCTCGAGCGGACAATTTGGGATTTCCGTATCAGGTATACCGTATTGTGATTGGTGTGATTTTGTCACTTTGTGAAGTCACTGTGTTTTTAGTACACGACGTCGAACCCCTTGAACCCGTCCAATGTATCTCTACACTGGAGTTCATAGTTGTCGATCCCGCCGATGTGGGTCAACATCTGGACCTTCTTTCCGGGGATGTTCGCGCCCGTCCACCAACTGTTGGTCAACGGGAAAAGCGTGGGTTTGTTCATTTTGTCAATCATGTCGTCCCAGTTGTCCTCGGCCTCTCGGGTGGGTTCGACGGATTTGGCTTTGGACTCTTCGAGTTTCTCAATCATCGACACGACAAAGTCGCACTGCATCTCGATGATGGTCGGGCCGTTGGAGAGGGCGGTGGGTGCTGTCGACAATGACAAATTAGAAATGAAGACAAGAAAAAAAAAAAGAGGACAAACCAGAAACAAAGGGCAAAAGGGTCATACCATGAGGTGTATAAATCATAAATGCATTAGGAAACCCGTTGAACGTCATTCCCAAGTAAGTTCTGATACCGTCCTTCCAGACATCCTTGATGTCGACTCCATCTTTATTCTTGAGGCCCATTTGTGTCAATCTAGAAAGTAAACCAATGTAAGTTACAACAGACCCTCGAAAGGGGTTTCAATTTTTTCAGGTTTTTTTTGTGTGTCAAACTTACGATCCGGAAAATGAATCAAATCCAGTTGCCAAAATAACCATGTCAAAATCCATTTGTTTCCCATTTTTCAAAAGTAGGCCCTTCTCGTTGAAAGTCTCGAGGGGTTCTTCGTTCATGTTGACAATGTCGACGTTGTCCCGATCGACACACTCGTAGTAATCCTGTTCCAGGGGGGCACGTTTCGTCCCGATATAGTAAGGGGCCTCTTTCGGGGCCATGAGGTCTCGCTTTCGGGGGTCCTTGATCCTCTGCCTGGTCTTCTTGGCCCAAAAGTCGTAGACCTTTTGGTTCGATTCCTTGTCCACGTAAATGTCGAGGTAGTTTGCGGTGATGAAGTTGAAGCCGCCCATCCCCCACAGTTCCTCCCAGTACCTCTCTCTTTCCTCGTCCGAGACGTCGTTGACGCCGCAGGTCCCCTTGATGCTCGGGAAGCCGGCCCCCGATTTGCGGCCCTCGCGGAACAAGGTCGGATAAAACGCCTTCCACCCCCTCTGCTCTTGGTCGTCGATGCGCCTCTGACCCATCGGCAGGCACAGACTCGGGCGGCGCATGAAGATGGTGAGCTGGTCGGCCTCCTTGGACAGTTCTTGCGTCACCTGTACCGCCGTGGCTCCGGCGCCGATGAGGGCCACTCTCTTCCCCTGGACGCTCAACTTGTCCGGGTAGAACCCCGTGTGGTGGATGACCCCTTGGAACTTGTCCAGCCCGGGGAAGTCGGGCACGTGCCGTCGGTGGAGCAGGCCAGAGCACAAGATCAGGTACTTGCTCTGGGCGACCTGGCCCTGGTCGGTCTTGACGGTCCACTTCCCGTCCTTCCACTGCGTGTCGACGACGTGGGCGTTGAACTCGACGTCCTTTCTCAGGTCGAGGGCTTTGTCGGCGTGGTCAAAGTACGCTCGGATCTCCTCGTGGCCGGGGAACCTCTCGCTGAATTTCCAGTCGCGGTAGACCTCGGGGATGTTCAACTGGTAGTAAGGCCATTCAGAGTCCACCCGTGCCCCGGGGTACCGGTTCCAGTACCAGACTCCCCCGAATCCACTCCCCGATTCGAAGATCTTGGTGTTGAGTCCCAACTTGCGTAGGCGGTAGAGCATGGATATGCCACTGAAGCCGGCGCCGATGATGAGAGCATCGCAATGGACAATACTTCCGGTGGAAAGATTGTTATCTGCCATGATTGGAAATTTCTGGCACAAGGCGACAAGGCAATTCAAAACAATCAAAACAACCAGAAGGTTCAAAGACTGCGAAGGAAAGATGGCTCTATTTGAAGGGGTAGAGATATACTAGTACATTTACCGATCAGGAAGTGAACGGAACGACCGTCCACCGAGCATGGCCTTTGGCATAACTTATACCTAGGTAGGGCGCGTATCATGATATTCGAGTCAGGAATCTGGCAAGCGACCTGGTACCGTTACTCGGGAAGCGGGAGTGTGAGAAGTCGTATCGAATCGATCCATGCTGACACCAATAAACGACTCGGTATGTACGTGCTCGCAGGGAGAAAAGATGGCAACCTTTGATGATGCGAGGGGTGGATCTGTAGGCTACTGGTGCCTTGTGAGCATCAAATGCAATACGTCGTTGATAGCTTTCGCAAATCACTGCGGGGCGTCCGTAGAAAAGCACCCCAGTCAACAACAACGCTTGAGGAGAACCACAAAAGCCGAGGTTGGTAAGACACTGGGGCTTGTGTTTTGGACTGGTGGGCAAACATTAATAATAACTGTCCGAATGGTCCGACTCGGTGGGCTGATAACGACAGCGGTCTGCATGATTTGAACAGTAGACGCACCTGACCGCCTTTGCATGGCCTGGTCAGCATGTAACGAAATAGACAGATGTCCTGCGAGGGTTTCATTTGCCAGACCCAGGTCTCGATATACTTGACTGTTTTTGTGTATCTGCATGACGAGGAGCATGCGCAATTTCGGAGTTGATGTATCTTCCCAACCAAGGTTCCATCGGTCCGTCGACTTCAGGGCTGTGAGATATCACCAAAGACACTCCTCCAACGACCAAACCTTTGGGCTTACTTTACCCTCGGGTTGCTTAAGAGCTAGATGAGTCCCTCTCCAAATGCTCCAAATGTTGCTTCCTGTCTGGCACGGTCGATCAACATCGTCGACTATGTGACGTGCGATTCTTACCTGGGTCCAGTTCTCTTGCGGGGTACTCGTATCATCTCCAGCACTGCCTTTGCTTGTCCAGAGCGGTTCGCCCATGCTTTACAGCGCATTGCCATTCGTTGCGGGGATTCGATGTTGTTTTCCCCCGATCCACGGTGCTGAGGGGTAGTTTCGTGAGTTGAAAAGTAGTTGGGATGAAGACCACAGCATGCAATGTTATCTTTGTTCATTTCGTTGTCCTGTAGTTGCCGTTGATCATTACGAAGACCATAAACGAGGTCCGAAGTCTTTCGTCTCTTATCATGTCTTTCGTCAGCGAAGTGGTGAGCAGCCTCACCGGCTCAGGTACGGAGGTATACGATCTCGTTGTGGTGGGAAGTGGGTTTGCCGTATGCTCTCGTCAGCAGCGTATGTATGGATAACACGCTCAATCATGGTTAGGGATCCATGACAACCTTGAATTTTCTTGAAGAATGCAAGAAACTCGGCAAGAAAGGCAAAGTTGCCTTGATCGAGGCCGGCAAGGAGGGAGAACGATGTGGCGCAAGCAGGTGAGTTGTTGAAATCGTCGTGGAAACTCTCTGAACTGAATCCGTTCAGATGGACCATGGCGTATCTCAGATTGGACAAAGGTTTGCCTCGAGTGCAACATGGAGTGAATCGGTTCTCATACTTGCAGATAACAATTTCGACTTGGATTGGAAACATGAAATGAAGGCAAGCTCTCCCTGGCATCGCTCGGGCCGTACTAATCTGTTCACAGCGTGTCAGGTTAGCTATTGACCAAAAAGATCAGAGGCAATACTGACCAAAACCCAGCAATGGTCTCGCCGACCAAGAGTACTGCGCAAAGATGGAGAAAGAAGTGCCAATAACGGCACAGTATCTGCTTGATCGTAAGAGATGACGACCTAACAGAGCCCCATGCGATACTTAATCCGGACAGATGGAGTCAAACTCAACCATCATGATGAGAAGAATGTGCTTCTAGAGTTCAATACCAGTAAGTTCACATGCGGTTGCTCCTCGCATCTGTGTCCATCTGTACTGACAAACCACCAGATCAACATTTCGTCTTTCCTGAGGTCAATCGATCAGCAATACCACGGCATTCAACTCTCTGACTGAGGTTTAGGGCGGCGGACATGCCATAGTCAATGCATTGTTCGACCACATTCGGACATTCGACGGCGCCAATATCATGTGGGAGACACAAGCCGAACACCTCCTGACAGAAGACAACGGTACTGTCTGCGGAGTCCAAGTTCGAAAGTCCGATGGCCTCTTGACAAAGGTCCGCAGCAAAAAGGTCATGCTGGCTTGTGGAGGGTTCGAAGGCAATCGCGAAATGTATGCGCACTTCCTCCTTCGAGACCATTGCGTACTGAATCCTGATGATTGGTAGGCTGGGCAAATATGTCGGACCACGGACCGAGCACCTCGAACTCATTGCTCCAGGGTTGAAGTACAACACAGGTTTTGGCCTGAAGATGGGTTTGGAAGTCGGAGCGGCGGTAAGAAAGAGCAACCGGAAACACCAGGGGTGAAGCTGGGATCAATTTACTCACTCACTGTTTACAGGTAGCAGGGTCAATGAGTGGAATGCACGTAAGTAAAGGCTGAACACTGAAGCACGGTCATGACAGGGGAGATTCCTGTTATGTACGCTGACCAAACATTCAACAACATTTCAGTGCGAATTGGTCGATACGAGAGCCACCAAACCCGACGCTGTCATCTGGGGACACAACTATGGTATCGTCGTTAACAAGTTCGATCTTCCTCTATCTCTCGACTGGCCGTACAACCAAACAACTAACTTGTCACAGGAACTGCAAGAGATTCTATGACGAAGGAAAGAGACAGTAAGTCCATATCATGCCTAGTACACAGAGTCCGACATACAGATATTGACATATCGCGTACTTACTAGTCTTTTCTCGACCTTTGAAATGATCGCACTTGAGACGTGGAGGGATCAAAATCAACAATCATATTTGTACGATAGTCCTCGACTCCTCGTCCATCTTTCTCGGTTCTTGTACACTGACACGACAACGCCAATACCAACAGCATCACCGACAAGACAATCATGGACCGGTTCCGTCCAGGGTGGGTTTACGACACGACTGACAAGGAACCAGAGCAAAGCGACACGATCGAAGGTCTAGCCGAGAAACTTGGGCTAGATCCAAAGGAATTGAAAAAGACCGTGGACGAATTCAATGCAGCGTAAGTTCATTTCTCATCGCCCTTTTTCCATCGAACATACTCTCTAGTCAATCATTCTGACAATTCCCAGGATCAACAAAAACGAATTCGATCTCATGAAGTTGGATGGTAAACGTACAACAGGGTACAGTTGACAAGACAATTGATTGCCCATCGTCACTTCTCCCCAGAAGCTTCACCTCCCTTCATAGAGAGTGCTCAGCGAGAAGTTACCCACCCAAGATACCTAAACTAACACTTTTTCTACGTGATGTTGGTAGATTGTCTCCCGACAAGACGAATTGGGCACAACCCATCGACGCGCCTCCATTTTACGGGTAAGCAAAGCAATATCAAGTTTCACGGATGCTCTGTCGCTCGAAAGACCATCAATTCTGCCTTGAAAAGCATCATGCCCGCCCCCACCCGCTCGGTGTCATCGTTGTCATCATCAACACTGACTTAGTCACCTCATCGAAGATATCCCATGAAGGCTCAGTTGACATTTACATACGGCGGGTTGAAGTGCGACCTTGACTCTCGAGTCTTGTCGACGACTGGGGTTCCTATTCCAGGTACGTACTCCATGACCGTTTACACTCCCTCCCGTTACACGCAAGTTGATCATCGACAGGACTCTATGCATCTGGTGAATTGAGTGGACTATTTTATAACGAGGTGAGAATAACACCTAACAGCCCCCTCGAACCTAGACAAAACCCTCTACACTACATGATGCTGACCGAGATATAACAAACAGTGTGAGTACAAGAGTCTACTGAATACGCTATATCAACAGCATACCACATATGCCCTTTTGCGTCACGACGACGAGTAAAATTCGAGTACGAGTACCGTCAGTATACATACCTGACATCCGTTCTCGAATACAGACCCACCGGCAACGAGCGTCCTACGATCCCTCACCTTTGGTCGTATCGCTGGAAAGGATGCCGCACAGGCACTTTGATCGAGAGCTCCGAGGGAGAAAACTGCCGGGGAACCCTTCTTTTTAACTATTACAAACCTACAATACATTCCCCAAATACACACCAACGGCTCGTCGTGTTATCAAAGGCACGTTTTGTTACCGACACATCGGAAATCAAAATACAACAAGTCCCAGCCATCTCTGTAGGTCAAGAGAGGTGGTCGAAAATGAAAGTGGCAAGGGGAAAATATGGAGGGCCAACCGGGGGAAAAAAGCAAAAGAAACAAAACTGCCCACAGTCTCCAGGACTATCTATCATTACTTGACTTGTCTCGTATCTTATTGATATCAACCTGAATATGTTGTCCATTGCATACACTGCTGGTGCTCGTGATTAAAACTGTTAGGTAGCACTTAGTCTCCATCAAAGCCGTCACACCATCTTAGGTAGCTAAAGCGGAAAATGCAGCTCTTGTTTGATACCAATCCATACATGCAATATTAGCCAGTTGTGTCAGGAACCAATCACGCAGAATCGTTTCATCTAACGGTGCAGAATGTCGTTTGGCAAGGCCAGACAGGCCTATCCTTTGGTTCTCAAGATAAATGGGTGCTTAAGGGCGTCCATGGGCGTGATCCGTTTCTCAGGTCTCAAATCCAAGCATTTGTCCAGTAGATCAGTGAATAATTCCAGTTCCTTTCTCTCTTGTTCGTTCATTCGCTTGTCCTTTGGCATCAACCTCGATCTCAAGTCCTTAACCGGCTTCGGCTTGATGTCTATCATGCGTACTAGGGTTCGACCAGTCACCTTGTCGACCTCTTGAGCTCGGAAATTGAGCAGGTCGTCGAAGTAGTCATAGGTCAAGGCACCTCTCCGCAGCAATTTATGTGGAAACTTGCCTCGACAATCCATGATCGCTTTCAACATGCCGTTGTTGTTTCGACCGGTGAATAAAATCTTTCCAGTGTACAACTCGAACAACGTGCACCCGATTGACCACATGTCTACACCATAGTCATAGGGAATGCCAAGAATGACTTCTGGTGCTCGATAGAATCGAGAGACGAGATAAGGTGCCGTTGCGTTCTCGGTGATGGGGGAGGCTGATCCGAGATCACAAATTTTGAGAGTGCTTCTGGCTTCATTGACGAGGATGTTGTCTGGCTTGAGATCAGCATGGATATACTGACATTTTTTCAACAAGCTCAATCCCAAGAATAATTGCTGAGAATAGGCTCGGATGGCCTTGATGTTGAGGCCGACATCTCTTCCAAACTTCTTGAGCACTTCTCGCAGATTCATTGAAAGGCTTTCGAACACCATGCACAAATGACCTTTGTGATCAAAAGAACGTTCCAGACGAATGACATGCTTCTTGTCCTCTGGATCATTGGCTGCGATGTCCTTGAGTATGTCAATTTCTTTGATACCGGCCTTTCTCATAGACTCGTTGTTTCGAACGATTTTGATAGCTACCGGCTTGCCCGACTGCCTGTCGGTGGCTCGAACGACGGATGAGAACATTCCCCGACCGAGATTTTGTGTTACATGGTAACGACCCATAATCAGCTCACCAAGTATTGTGATGTAATATCCTTCGGGATCATCCCAGTTATCCATGAGATTGACATCAAGTGCTTGAGCAGTCTGCGCCTCTGCCTTCGGTTTCATGGGGGCCTCTGCGAACATATCGTCATCATCCTCATCGGCAAACATGTCGAATTCATCTTTTTTCTTGGGACCAGACGCAGCGGACTCCTGGGCATGTTCAACAGCCTGCTCATCTGCTTTAGTAAGTGATTTATCGTCCTCCTTGAACAATCTCTTGTCATGGCGTGCGCGTTCTTCTTCCATATCCGCCGTAGGATCGTAGTCCGCCGCCGACGGTCCATCAGTGGGTGGGGTGCCTCTAGCAGGATTACTCATTTCAACGTCGACATCAAAACTGAGCTCGGCAGGAGACTGCGGCGCTGATACTTCCTTCGGGGTTCGAGGAGTGGAGGGCGGAGATTCTGAAAATTTCGTTAGACAACAATGAGACAGCGAGGATAGCCACTTACCGGAACGTCCTGGAGTGGTAGGATAACTTTCTGGGGCAGGACTACCGATTTTCGCCTCCGCGCCCGTGTGTAATGCTTGAACGAGAAGAGGGGTAGCCTGGCTTTTGTATTTGTTCTTGATAGCTTCTCGACGCTTGCGACGTTGTTCGATGAGAGCCGCTTCATCAACTACCTTGGGTTCCTCGGCTTCGTCAACGACTTCTGGCGTTGCAGCATTAGCATCACTAGGTAGATCTCTGCTCGATCCTGGCCCGTCAGTCAAGGATTGGGTTGAAGGAGTGCCAGTTTCCCAGATGTGCTGATGCTTGACGTCCGAGGGAGTACCTTGCCTGCTTGTTCGCATTTCACCGGTGTCAACTTGACGGGGCGGGCGCGGCTCTGCATCGCTCCTACCGGAAGTAGCTGCGGCTTTCTTCGCCTGTGCTCTTTCACCATCATCGTACTTTGCACGTCGATACGGTGAGCGGCTTCGACTGCGACTGCGTGAATATGTTCTAGACCGCTTTGAGCCTCGCTCTTCGTAGGTTGTGTTTCGGCGATGGCCTCTAGCCTCGTCGTATCTCACAGAAAACGTTCGCGGATCATTTCTCGGCCTGTTCCTCGGAGAATCGTAGTCCCGCGGTCGCTTCTCGCCTCTAGGAGCTCGGTAGGGAGATCTCGAACGTGATCGACGCGATCTAGGTGCGGTGGTAGAAAAGGGTCTGATATGACGGTCAACTTTGCTGTTATTGTGGGAAGACGGTATGATCTTTGCCTTCGCCTCGGAATCTGTACTCGACACCTCGCCGTCAGAATGACTCAGCGACCTTGATGCCATGATGAGGATGATATCGAGCCCTGGACACGGACTGACACCTAATCTTCAAGTGATCAAAAGTGTTAGCCAAGGATCCTGAGATGAAAAGGACTTTGCGGTTGTAGAGCCCGACCGGTGTCGTCCTGTCCTTGTTCCTTCTCAACTATCCATACAAGTGATTGCAGATCCTCGTTTAAAACAACCACAGATTCTGCGTGTGGACTGCGTAGATTTTGATATGCGTTGGCGAAGAAGTCGTCAAAGCCTTGTGACGTGGTATTCAAAATCGCAGGCAAACGAGGCTAGCGAGAGGAACTAGCTAAAAAAAGGAAACTATGCCGACTGTACGGAGTTACTACTATATCAACAAGCGCTCGTTTCGCATGCTCGTAAATCTACGTGGTGGTCACTATCCTCGCCTCTTGATCGATTGTAGCATCCGGAATCTAGAATCAGCATGCCCTGCTTCTAGAAACCTACCCTCACGCTGCGGGAACGCTCCCAAAGCGATACTGTGCCCAGCTCAAACTCTTCTCAGAAAGAGTCCACAGTCGCTCGCCTACATCTGAGCCTGCGGCACCTGCACTTATATGCATGGGAAGTATATGCTCTAGACTAGGGTGTGCTTCTCTTGCATCACGCCTTTTCATCAAAGCAGACATTCTTCCCTGACGCCGCTCGGGCTCGGCTGTGGCAGCATCTTTCAAGGCATCGTCAAAGCTGAGTGCATACCTAAAGCTCATTAGCAAGATTGACCTTTTGGTGTGGTTATACTAGAAGGACTCTCAACTTACGGCATCGTATTGCTCTTACCACTCGTTCTCATGGCCCGAAAGTCTCTCAGATTGTGAACAGCCATCCCAGCACCAATGATCAGAACTCCTTCGTCCCGCAGACCTTCCAATGCTTGTCCAATGCGGTAATGTTGCTCCCAATCATCATTGTCGTACAACGAAACTTGGACAATTGGCACATTCAAGGGGTTCGTCTTCGGATGGAACGCTATTCGAGTATCGATATTAGTAGCCACACATTCGCTCTCCCAGCCATTCTACCTACCAACCATGAACCCAGCCCAGACGCCATGATCGAGACCTCGCTTCACACCCTCCACTTGCATTCCCCCGACCGTTAGTCTATCAATGACCTTTTGAGCAACCTCAGGGCTGCCTTCGTTCGGATAGTCGTATTCATAATAGTGAGGCGGAAAGCCGTAAAAGTCGTAGATGAGGTCGGTTTTCTCGGCGACATTGATTCCAATCTTGTTCGGACTGTGTTGCCAGTGCGCAGAGAAAACGACGACCGCCTTCGGTTTGACCCGTGTCGTGATCTCTCGGCCAACTACGGCCAACTGAGCGTAGGCGGGGTGTTCGGTATCTTCCATGAAATTGGGACCACCAATGCCCAAGAAGTAGACTGGCATTCGCGAAAGAGTGCTGGCCTCCATCGTGCCAAAGATGTAGGTAGCTATTTGAGAAGTGGCTTGCCAGATGCTGCCTGTGTAGAGTTGGAACGGAAGATAAACACGAGGAATGAACAAGCTCAACAGAGCAAAGCAACAAAATAACAATACCTGCCGTACACTCATCAGGGCTTGTTTCTCTGTCTCGAGATTTACTACAGCCGGTCACCGACTTGATAACGGCGCACTCGAGATTCTGAGCACCCAGCACATGGCCTGGCCATTGAAAGGTGACAGGGTGCGTTCTACAATGAAGTCCAAAATTGTGCTTTGTAATGTCTTACCGCGCGTCTTTGCATCCCTGCGGCTTGACATCTTTCACAATGGAGCGATTCTTGCACAGATTTCAAAAAGAAATCATCCCAGCCATAGCCTGGCCATATGCTGATGCGCGTTGTAGCCAATGACGATGTCAGAAAATTGAGAACGAGAATGTGGTGTACGCCGTGGATGACGCAGCTGGAGAATGATTAGTCGTTCAGCAATGCACAAGATGGTAACTAGCCTAACATGATGATGGCTTCGAATTCTTGCCGCGCGCGGTCGCTCTCAGCCCTGGTGAGCCCCAGACCTTTGTGGGTCAATTTCTCTACCGGTTTTTTTTGCCCAGCGGATCATCGCGCGCGGCTTGTGGGTCTCGACGTGCCCAGTCTTCGCGAGCCTCAAAAATCAAGCCTGTGCACAGCAAATAGCGTCCTAAGCATCGTGAATGCGGATATGAATGTCTACCCGGATGGGATGCCATACACATCGACCGCGTTCTCGGTACCATGGCATTCCGTACCTGCTTAGAAATGCTCGCTCGAAGAAGATCAGTGAAACAGCTCCGTGAATAAGGGTATCTAAGCTGGCCTCATCTGGTATAAATGACCATTTGAAGACATTGAAAACGCTGAATCAACTTTTGTCTCCTCAACACTTACCCAGCAGCTTTCCTCAATCGCAAATTGCTCCAAAAGAAAACGTTCCAAAAATGGCAGCCAGTCCGATCGTTCTCATTCTCGGCTCCGGGCCCAGAGTTGGTGCTGCTGTTGCCGCGAAATTCTTCAGCAGTGGCTACAAGGTTGCCGTTGCATCCAGAAATGGAACCGGGGCCAAGACGAATGAAGGATATCTCTCCCTCAAGGCTGACTTTGCCAATCCCGATTCAATCCCGGCGCTGTTCGATGCCGTGAAGGCCGAGTTTCATGCCGCGCCGACCGTGGTTGTCTACAATGCTGCAGCACTCACTCCACCCCCGGCCAAAGACGATCTCTTCTCGATCACGGCCGGTATGATGACCAAGGATCTCAACATCAATACCGTCAGCCCTTGGGTTGCGGCACAACAGGCGGTGTCTGCGTGGGCGGCACTTCCCAAGGACACTAAGAAGACCTTCATATATACCGGCAACGCCCTGAACGCCACGATCCTTCCTGTTCCCATGATGTTGGATCTAGGCGTTGGCAAGTCAGCTTCGGCATATTGGCTTGGTACCGCTGACAGCTTGTACTCTTCACAAGGCATCCGGTAGGTAATTCTCGAGGTTTCGATGAGAAAAGCGGAGTCTGACAGTTTGTATGATCAGCTTCTTTTACGCCGACGAGCATTACGAGGATGGCAAGATGAAGGGGCAGCAGCTCGATGGGTCGGCCCATGCTGACTTTTATGTACAGCTGGCCGATCACGCAGGCAACGTTCCGTGGCATGCCACCTTTGTCAAGGACAAAGGTTATGTCCAGTTCAAGTAATGGGCTCTGTCGCAACACATTAATATCAATGCTATAAACACGTATGATATGAATATTGACTTGCCTCTGGTACAATGGAGTGCTTGAGAATCACTTCTCTGAATGTTCGTCTATACCAACAACACAAGATCACCTCCATTTCTGAGGCATGTAGCAAGGTCGAAATTTGTGATCTCAACGGTTTCTCTTTTGCGCCAAACACTTTCCATGATCTCTACTGCTTTTCGTACCGTGCCGAAAATCGTGGGCGGTTGGAGATTTTCAACTATGCCACGTAGTTGAGTTTCCTGAGCTGGCTCTGCAAGGCAGCCTGTCACGCAGAAGGGCCATACCATAGTACGCAGCAACGTTGGCGAGGGCATATGAAATGTGAGCAGTTCGATTGAACGGCACACGTGATATCGAATATCGACACTGGCTGGCTGCCATCCTGACACAACAAGGCACAGATAAATCAAGGCCGCGTGAGCCCACACACGTGTAATCAGTGACGTCTGGCTCGGTGGTGCCTGGAACTGGTGGTGGCAGTCCACTGTAAAAATGTCAATCAGATCGTTTCCTCCTCCCTGCATGTCCCTTGACCTCCTTTCCAGGTCTGTCAGGTGCGCTGTCAAGCCGTCTTTGATTGCTGTAGCTCGATGGACCAGTTCGATGACATCTAGGGTACCCGTCTTCTTACATCGTTGTTTCCAAGCGTCTAGAACAGCCACCTTGCCGATCTCCAGAAACACCCAGTTCTCGCATCCAATGGCAGTCTCGAGCTGTATGGGCGGCTCGAGCCCGTCATTCGAAGTCAAAAGGCTTCGATGAAACGTATAGAGTGCGGGCTCCTCCTGGAGAGCCGTACTTGCGATGATGTCGTCCAAGAACAAAAGGCTAGATGAGAAGCGAAAAGCGGACTGCTCGGCACTTGGAACTTGAATACATTGCGCAGGCAAGATCCATGTGGATGGTCCCAGTTTATGCATGAAGGCATCGAAGTTTGACCTGATTCCTTCTGTTCCACCAGAACTGCTAGTGTCGAGGAGCTGTTTGAAGAGTGACAATGCGGCATTCAAATGCGCCCTACAGTTGTCAAAACTCAACAGAGCAATTTCAAAACGCTGCACCTGCATGATACTTGCCATGACTCGCACAGCCCCGTGCAGATGTTCTGAGATGTCCGAGCCGCTCATAAGCTGCAGCGACCGTCTCAGCACTTCGAAAGCATCTCTCGTACGTGTTAGTACTGTATCCCAGTCCACAGAGTGGTTTGCTGCCTCGTGAGCAAGAGATAGAAAATATGCGCTCTGACAAAGTGTTGCTTGTCGAACTACTGGTCGGCTTATCATCATTTCCAAGATCCAAGCTCTGCCACCTTGTAGGGGCGAGGGCCGATAAAATGGAAACAGGAAGGGAAACAAGTAATCGAGGTAGAACGTGAGGAGAACCGTGTCAGATCGTTCAAACGTTGCTGTTTTCGGGGCATTTGTGTGGGCAGAGGTGCAGTCAGCATTACGCAATGGCGAGGTCGTCGGAGCCCCATCGTGTAGCTGCATTCCATTGAGAAGTTCAGTGTTGTCTTCGAGACTCTCAGGGCCAGAATCAGCGAGCGAAGAATAGCCTCCAGGAAGGTGGGCAGAACGCTGCACAGGCCGGAGGTGAGCATTTCCTTTGACCTCGCGCTTGATCTGCTCAGCCATCTCCTTCTGTCTCAGACCCCCATCCATCCAATCCGGTTTCTCCTGAGAGTAGTGGCAAGTGATGTGCAATGCCGTACAGGCATCGCATGTGAGAGGACTCTCATCACACTTTTTTCGCCGCAGTCTACACGTCCAGCAGCCATTGAAGCTTCTTCTCGCACCGGTGACAAGGGGAAGACCTCGACCCAGATCCATACTGGCTCGTCATATAGTCCTTCCTGGGAGTACTATTGGATCGTACTATTTGTCCGAAACTCGCAGCCATCCGTCAAAGAGAATAAGATAACTCCAATCTCCATGCTTCCGCAGCGTCCTATGATGTAGACTGAAGAAGACTGAGAGGGCCTGAGGTGATGTGATTATGTAAGCGACTGTACGAGTACGAGAATTGCCAAGTCTTTTGCAGCGAAAGTTGCTGCGCGGCGGTCGAGAATCAGCAGGCAAAAGTACTCGAAGTCTCACCCAGCACAATTGCGCTCGACAACCCTACCTCTTCACTTTTATTCAACCTCGAGCAACTTCAAGTGTATACAATCAAAATGGGTGGCCAAAGTCGAGAAGGTTTGTGAACGGCACAGTCTACGCCCCTTTTGACTCAGTCTGACCCCTCGAATAGGCGGCAAAGTCAAGCCTCTAAAGGCACCTAAAAAAGACAAGAAAGACCTAGATGACGATGAAATGGCATTCAAGGCCAAACAAGCAGCGGGTGCGTGAATTTTGCTGCGTCTCTTCAACAGAATATCTCTGACCCGCTTCTCCAGATGCGAAAGCCCGAAAGGAAATGGCCGAGAAGGCAAAAGGCAAGGGCCCCATGAACGCCGGTCAGCAAGGGATCAAGAAGAGTGGGAAGAAATAAGCCAGTGGACAATGATGATGATGCAGGATACCAATAGAGATGACATTATGAGCAAGGCGTATTGTGAGGCGTATTTGGTCTGCTTCCTGACTCTTGTACTTGCAAGACGCGAACGTCACCACAATACAAGTCTACTTCACGTTTCAGACCCGACTTTCGATATTGTTGTTTGCTTGGTGAGAATAAATTCAGGACATCAGCTGCCCAGTTTCGAACTGTGACACGTCATGATCGTTCAAACGCTGGAAGCAACAGAGGATACCATGCATTCTGTGAGGCCGATAACTTTGAATTAAGACCGTCTGGATTTCGGCAAGCAACAACGTGGAAGGAAGATGCTCTTATGCTCCAACAACAACACTCTGCTGTGGTATGATTCTTTTCGTGGCAAAAACTTACAGCCCATGCAAGTTGCCGGTGGTTATGAATTGTGTTTATGTTTGCGAGGAGACCAGGCTTCCAACAGCACGGGTAAGAAAGAAATATGCATACTGGTTCGCAACACAGCCAGTTTCTTTGTCTCTGACATCTTCGTTTCATGGCTCTTGCATCTGTACTCTGGCCAACGGCACATGTGATTTCAAGCGACATTATCGTTGGCTTTCACAAATTCACTCCATCATCCTTGCGGGATTAATTCACTGACAACACATTCTGCTCTCAAAATCATTTCGTCGCCTCAACCCTCTACAAGCCACCCCTTTGCGCGATTGCCCCGAAAGACCTACTACTTTTCTCGTGTAGACCTAGTCATCATGGAAGACGGCAGCCCCCCTCGCCCTCGCGAAGATCGTGGTCCGCGCATCCCACCGGCGAAACTCGCAGAGTAAGGCCTTGTTCCTAGAGTGTCCTTTTCAATGACTAACGATTCACAGCATCAATCCAACTCCTACCATCGCGATCTTCTACCGATCAGAGAAGGGCTCTCCCCTTCAACTTGTAGATGGCAATTTCTCTCGAGATGCAGCCATGATCTTCTGCGATCGCATCCGCCGTGACTTCATGGACGACAACAACCGCAAATCATACATCGTCACAGGCATTGACCTGACTGGTCTGAAGGAAGCTCTGGCTTGGGTCGATCAGTGTGTCTCGGAGCAGAGCATTGTCAAATATCGAGAAGTGAGTTCTCAAAAGCAATAAATTCCGCCCATGTTCACGCGCCTCGCTGACTAGTCGTGTCTTTCTTCCAGCTCGAAGAAGATTCTCCCCAACTTCTGTCGTTGTACGCCAAGGTCATCATCGCAGCCACTTACCTGGGCATTCCTGACCGTGATCTCGCCGAAGGACTCACCAAACGTATGCGAGGCATTGCGCGCAAGGTGCTCATGAGTTGGGACGAAGTCGAATGGTTCTACACCTCGCCTGCGCTGAGCAACTGCAACGACTCTCTTCGCGAAGTGGCCTCGGCCAGTGTCTTTTGGGCCTGGTGGAACGCCGTGCTGAACGAAGAGGATACACCCAACGACATGGACATTCTCGAGGAAATGAGAACCCGCATCCCTAAGCTCGACGAGGACCTTCATGACTGGTGCGAGCGCAACGAGACCGAGGTGAAGAAGAAGTGGGAGGAGAAGAAGCAGAACAAGGTTCTGCGAAACGACCCCAACATCAGCGACGACGTCGAGGCTTTCAAAGGCTGGGACACGGTTGGCATTGGAAAGAAGCCCGCTAGAAGCGGCAGCGGTTGGGACGACCCCGCTGACACCACCGACCCGTTCGACGCCGCCAATCCAGCTTCCGCCGCTTCTGGTGGTTGGGATGTCGCTCCCGCCGCCGGCCACAACAAGAACAGCGACGAGTTTGGCTTCGACTCTGGTATCTCCATGGACAACGGAGCCGGTGGCAATGTCAAGAAAGAGAACATGTTGGACGGCCACGACTATGAAACCGGTGGTGGTGGTGTCAAGATCGACCCCTGGGGCGGCGTTGAGAGCACCGGAGGCGGGGAGTGGGCTGACGAGGTCAACGAGCAGCAGTCTTCAACCTGGTAAATATCATTGCACCATTGCTGCTCCATTGACTCGTCTTCAGCTCGAAGTCGTACAGAATGCCGATTCTGCCGATTCTGACAGACGTGTGTTTCCATGTCAAAGTTGGGGACGTGAGGCAAACGAAAAATCTTGCGTACAAGAGATCAATGTGCTTGATGTGTTTTTTTCTGTCTCTCTCTCGGCAATAATCATTTCGAATAGGTCGTGCGCTGTTCAATAGACGGCGCCATACGGAGAATGATACAGAATGATACTACTCTATGTCTCTCTCTCTCTTTCTCTTTTGTTGCGTCTGTCTTCTTGCCTAGTTCTGCCAACAAAATATACGTAATAGTGTCCCAATTTCATAATCTCCTTTCTCATGATTTACCAACTCCATAATTGAAAAGAGTCTAGTATCCTCGCCGAGCACAAATGAGACAATGAAGCAAATAGTATGGATATATGGAGTGCGGAGTATTTACTTGATACGGAATACGGCTATGCCTTACCTAGGTATGAGTACTGTAGATGAGTGGGCGTTGGGTACGTGGAGTTATGTGTTCGGGGGAATATATGTATGTACGGAGTTACCGATAATAAAATATTCAACATTGATCTACGGGGTTCGCGGGGAACCACTATGCAGATCCAAAACCAAAACAAAAAATTTAAAACTGTTCGTCGGTGGCTTTTTTCCAGATATACTCCGTATCAACCAAAACCTTCAAAGGACAGTTTCAACCGGTGCTTTGTGTTTTGTGTTTTGTTTCTCGATAGATTTCGCTTGATGAGTACTATTGAACGGTGGTACTGGTGTAAGTATCTACTAGATGCACTGGGTGAATTCCAACGTTACGCGTCATCCAGATGTGAGCCCTCCCCGGTTGACCAGGGTCAGTTTACAAACAACCGGGGGAAAAGCGAAAAAGAGATCACGTAGTACAAGATCCTCCAGTGTTAATCACCTCTAGTCATGCAGTGCAGATACGCAGTTTGGAGTATGGAGTACATGTTTTTTACAAAGATGAAACCCCTGCAGGGCCAAATCGTTCTCTACTTCGTACCCCTGCAAAAAGGAAAAAGCCCCGAAAATCGACTACCTACTCCGTGTCAACCAATTGACAACCGATCCCTAACCACCCATCACCAACAACCACTTGAACCGACAAGTTGTCTTGTCTAACCACACGATGAGTAAAAATGACTCGACACGTATGACCATGTTATCTCTTCTTTTTTGGAACCCTTTTCTAGACGAGATTACTCATCTCGTGTGTGCGTGTGTGGGTGGGCGAACACTCGAGTTGGTAGTGATTGTGTTTGTTCAATTGCACAATTACCATCGGCAACTATCTTTACCGTACCGTACGGTGTTGAGGACATAATACAATTACACTCTGAGAGTTGACTTGGTAGGTGGATCATAACATTACCAGAATCTATGCTGGATGACACGTTCTGTAAACAACTCACCAGTCCAACTTGACGAGAAAATCGAGAAATATTGTGATCGTGCCACTTCAGGAGCAACACGAATTTGAAAATGCGTGATTACAAATTTATAGCCATGTCCTTGCCTCTTGAATACGAGGTAAGCTAAACCCCCCAATGCCACGCTCATCCTACAGGAGTTGCCATATCATAAATCCATTGTCCTCCTTCACAGAACTAGTGAGAATAGGATGATATTTCACCATTCGGTCCACAGTGCTAATGTCCACCACTAATTTCCCAGGTCCTGGTCTTACGTCGAGACCAGCTCATATGTGAACGCGGGAACGTTTATGCTGCCGAGGTGACACCAGAAAGGACACCAGTCAGGACGGTGAGCAGGTCGTTGGCGAGGGAGGTGACCTCGGAGAGGAGGTCTTCGACACCAGAGGTGTTGGTGAGACTGCCAAGCCCGTTGAGGAGGTTTTGCACTTCAGTGATGGCGCTGGACAAGTCTCCAGTAGAGCCAGTAAGGCCAGAGAGGTCGACACCGCTGGTGGCGCTGTTGACCTGGGACAGGGTGCTCGAGAGAGTGCTCTTGACCTCGCCGAGAACGGTGTTGAGGTCAACGGTACCGGAAGCGGCACTCTCAATCTGACTGACAAGGCCAGAGATGGTGCTAGTGAGGCTGGAGAGAATGCTGGTCAAGGTGTCGAGCAGGCCACCAACAAGGCCAGTGACGGAGCTCAAGTCAGGAAGCTGACGCTTCTCTGCAATGGCGCTGTCCACGTTGGCGATGTCACGCTTAACAGCCTCAAGGGCGTTGTTGGCGTTGGCATCTATGTGTTCATTAGCACAAAATCAATCATGGGTGGGTGGTCGGCGGCATACTGTTGAGTGGGATTGCTGAAGCGCAGACAGCAAGGAGAAGAGAGGCGAGAACAGCTGATGGACGCATGTTGGCTGAACGAATGGATGTCTAAGAGACTTTCTTTTTAAAGATTTGAAAGGAAAGTGATGTGTCTTGAAATGAAGATGCAACGAGGGACTGTTGGAGGAAGATGGAAACCGAGAGGTAGATGGGCAGAGCAGACCTCGTTCTTATAGATGTTCAAGACGCGGATCTCGACATCTCTCTTCGACATTAGCCTCATCGTAGAACAGACCACCGATATGTCAATCACACCTGTGCTCTCAGAGGATACCGTGCCAACCTGGGTAGCCATTGTAGTTCGGTTCAAGGGAGTACAACCAACGTCGTCACATGGATCTGTCGGGAAGGCTTGACCTTCAGTCGGCAGTTTGAGGTTTGCATATCATTTAGCAGTGGTAAATTGACGATCGACATGCCTCTAACCAGTCTCTTACCCATCTCTTGCCCAGGTGACTTGATGGCTTAATCTTACAGATGCCCAATTCGGTTGGATCTGCAGGCATATACAAGTGAGGGTGTATGGTATGATCGAAAGAGGTGGAGCGCTGGATCCCCGGACGTCAAGGAAACTAAAGAGCGCCCGAGCGGGAGACCCTGGCTAGGAGGCGTACCTGCATGATTAAAGCTTGTACTCCGTACTCCGAACTCGATATGGTTGATGAGTTGCACTCGTGGTTTCAACACGAGGCCGGAGTGATATTGCTGGTGACGTGTACATTCGTTAGATCTCAACGGCGTGGAGTAGGCTGTACGCCGTTGCTACTAAGGACTTGGAAGGTGGTGATGTTCAGGAAAAAAGTGGTGCACTTGCACAAAACACAATATCTTCGTGACATGTGTTGCTGCATCTTCATCACGATGCGAGAACAGAAGGGTGTGTCGGTTTCTCATTGCTCTCAGTACGTACTGACCTGTTTGTAAACCCCCGACAAACAGTGGTCAGACCTCTGAAGAAGTCCCCAGCAGCAGAGTGACACATGAGTTTGGGCTCGGAAGATTGCTTGTTGACCGTGGTTGTCCCGAATTTTCGCGGTGGTTTTACATGTGCGACATCATGTCGGCTCGCATGGGCCCCAGCAATTCAGCCTATTGGTGCCATTAAGTCGCCGGTTGTATACCCGGGAGCGTGGGCACGGCCCCCAATTCTGGAGGTCTGTGTCTTGAGCTTTCCCCTGGTGAAACACTCAGCCTGTCTGCCAATATCTCTTGGGCCGCATGGTTCTTGCTTGTCGATCTCATTCCTGAATCGTCGTTGCTGCATCAATCAAGAGGCCGACCTCAGAGAGATCTGCAGAGTGGTTTGATCGTTGACATGGCCGCTCATTTTCTGTCAGGGTCATACAAAGGTGTTGGAGACGGACAATGCACTCACATGGCGCGAGTTTTTCTGCCGATCTCTTGTCAACATCGTCCACACAATTAAGATCAAAGTACGAGTCAGGGGTAGGCCACATAACAGATGAAGAAAACGAAACGTGGATTTCGTCCAAGACTTAGGCAGAAAGAGAGGGAGAAAAAGAGACGGAGAGAGAGGAGGTTGCTAACTTGATTGTTGTCTTTGAAGTTGGAAGCAATACAAATGTTACAATACTGACTTTGTCGTGTAGAGCGAAATTCTATTGAGTCGCTCCTTCCCTTCAACACCGTGCGAACCACGCTCTTGCTCCTGCCTCCTCTTCGAACAAAATGATACTACAATGCCATGCAAAGTCTTCGATTCCATCACTTACTGGAGTGCATCCATTGGTGGGCTTCATCCTCTCATCTTCATCGCGCTACAACTATTCGGCGGATTGTGAGCCAGAAACTTGATCTTAACGCTATTGACCTTGCAAAAATGAGTTCCCCTGCCCTGCTTTGCTTCATCGTTCTCTCTCTGCTCCGTGTTTCTTTCGGCTCCTTTGCCATCAGTTCACGTCAGTCATGTGGCTCAAGCTACACGCTTTGTGCACCTGAAGGTGCTTCCATGCTAGGCATTCCTCCCGTTGGACCCGGCCTTGCTTCGCTATACCTCAATCTTCTCGAGACCATTGATGCTCTGGGAAAAGCAGATCAGACCAACTACTTTCCTGCTCCACATGAGCCAGCACGCCGCGCAATTCAAATGCCACTTACGCTTTGTTGTGAGAAGTTCAGGATTTTAGGTCCTCATGTCTAGCCACTGACAGGCGATAGGTGCCGCTACCACACAATGTCTCCTTGTGGCCAGCTATGATACTCCATGTTGCTGGGTAAGTGTGACGTCCACAAGCTGCTTCTGTAAGCTGATGGCACTTTCTCAGGACCGTTTCACCACGAATTTCTTCTTCGCAGACGGCACCTACGGTTCGGTGACTACCGGCAACTACACGACCCCGACAGGAGATCATGCAAACCTGATCACCGGTGACTATGAGCTTGCAGATGGGCAAATGGGGAATATTTACCAAGGTGGACAAATCACAGCTGAAGCCAATCCAAAGACCTTGGTGACACCGACACCGTGGACAAGTACTGGAATTGGCCCAGCTATTCCAGCCAGCATAGTGGGCAGCTACCTCTCACTTACCTCATCAGCGCCCACGTTTGGCATGAACATAAGTGCCGTGGGACCTCACGCCACGACAATTGGTGCTCCCAGCAACGCCGGAACAGTCACTGTCGTCCCTTCGCAATCCCATGTCGCACCACCCACCTCCAATGGAATTTCACGAGCTGATCACAGTGGTGAAAATGTGTACTGGGCGATGCTGTGTCTTGCTTGTCTGTACCTCGGAAGGTAGCGTGACAGAGAGCCCAACAAATCAGTCTTGATAACAATGCCGGCAGAAAAATTAATTGTCACATGCACCCACATGCGCAACGTGGACGGCCAAAGAGTGAGCATGTGTTACAGAAGATGTTGAAGACTTCTATTCAGATCGTGGCATGGTTGACGTGCTGGCTTCATGGCATATCACAACGCCTGTCACGATGTTTATTAAACTTAAACAAGGCGAGAGAAATAGGTGTTCGTATGAAGGCGGCAAAGAGTTATTATCTCCAATAGCGCCGTCCAATAGTGATAAGTAATCGGAATGGGAATAGATACCGTCATGGATTTCTTGCTAGCTCGAGCACTTCGCCGCCCTGCCTTTATCATTACGCGCATACTTTGTACAATAGTCCACAAGCGATGGAAAAGGGTTCCTCGCGTCAATAGCGGGGAGTGGGCGAAGCAAGACTCACCAGACTGGTGCGTGGCTGGGCTTTACTATTGGGTGGCCTGTGGCCTGGGCGTGTCTTTTTGGAGACGCAGTTATCGCTCTAGGGTTGCTTACCCATCTAACTGCCTCCGACCAAAGAATCCCGCCTACAACTTTGGGACGCTGAATCATCAAACCACCGGTAGATCACCAGAATCTTACTATCTCTCTGCCTGCGCTGGCCTTCCACGCTGAGCGTAGATCTTGTGCATCCTCTTGCGCTCCCTAATTGCGTCGTACTCGTACTCGGAATCTCCTTCTTCCTCCACTTCAACTCCGGACGATTCGCTTGATCCATCCTCACCGGCGACATCGTGATTGCTGTCGCTCTCCCTGTCGTCTGTCCACGTCAAATTCGTACGATGACATGAGCACGCCTATGTCGCCGTCACCGACGTAGCAGGGCCGAGATGGACGAAGTTCTTGGGGAGGACCTCCCGCTTCCGCCCACCAAACTCTACGAACGACTTGCTCAAGTCCCCAACTACACCTGGGATCGTTCGGTGAGTTCTGAGTGACATGATGAGAGTAAGAAAGTCGCTAATGAAGGCAGTTTACACCATTCCATTCGTCCTACGACCACTGGTAAGTCGAACGGGAGGAGCGCACATGCCTTCAAATGTTCTTGATTTGTAGCGCACTCTCGCTGACACACCCAGGCATGTCTTTGGCATCCTACACAACCCCGAAGTCATCAACCCTCGGTCGTCCCTAAGTACTCTGACCAGCCTATCCCTTCCTTCCGGCTCGAACAAGAGTTCCCCTAAACTCGATGCCCACCGCCCCTCTATCCGACACCACCACTGGAGCAGCATCAGTGGTACCTCCACAGACAGCGAAAATGCATCTTCAAGAGGCGAACAGGACATGCTATGGCAGCCCGTTGTTGCACGCATTAGTACGCATGTTGTGCGCCTGGAAAGAGAGTTTCAATATAATCAGTGGATAATGAAGGAATGCGATCCCGACTGCGCGCACACTGTTCGGCCCATCGAAATCTTCAAACTTCCAGCTACGCCCGGCGATGAACAACCTCTGATCGCTTGCGTCTACGAAGCGCCCGGAAAGAACTACCTGGGAGAAGTCCTGGATTTTGGACCGGCCTTCTATGGAAGACAGACCTATCGACAAAACGCTGATGGCACACCGGGCGAACGTATACCGCTTCAAGCTTTCCTCGACTTTGCCATCGGGGCTTCGGAAGCGCTTGAGTTGCTACATCATGGGGCCAAAATAATCCATGGTGAGCTTCGGGGCGACAGTTTCCACTGGAACCGCGAAACCAACGCGGTTAAGATTGCAAACGGAGGCAACGGACCTCGGTCTTTCGACAACATCTTATCAAGCGAAGGTTGGGCAACGCTGAGTAGAGAACTCGGTGTCAAGACGAAACTACAGTTCATTGCCCCCGAGCAGACAGGACGTCTCGCTGCGGATCCTGACAGTAGGACAGACATATACAGCCTAGGAGTCCTTTTTTGGACCCTCCTTACAGGACAGCCTGCCTTCGATGCGGAAACCCCTATCGATATTATCCAAAGGGTTCTCACGCATCGCTTGCCCCAAGTCACAGCCATTCGCATGGATATTCCCGACGCCATCTCACATATCATCTCAAGGATGACCCAAAAACAAATGGATGAGCGATATCACTCTGTGAGTGGACTCAAATATGACTTATTGCAAATCCAGAAATTCTTAGGCGAGGGCGATCAGGAAAAGATCAAGAACTACAAGGTTGGCCAGCGGGATGTATCGTCTTTCTTCATCCTCCCGTCCAAACAGTTTGGGCGTACTTCAGAGACCGAGAAAATTACCAAGATCATCGAAAAAGCATATAAGCGACATGGCTCTGCAAGTGCCCGTCATTCGCCTTCACAGCACGGGCTTCTCAGTGCCGCCTCCAACTCTTCAATCTCGGACGGCCGGCCAGACGGTCCAGAGCAAGGTGAAGGATCTGATTCCTCCAGCTCTTATGGATTTAGAGAGTCTCGGAGTAATTCTACCACGATTGGGCTCGATGGTCCTTCATTCACCCCCACTTTTGGCAGTAAGCCCAATATTCTGAACAAGCGTCTTCCTGGCTCGCGCGGTGGCCCACTGGACTCTCTGTCTGATCGCGATAGCAGTATGTCTAGCGGTCTGCAATCAACGCCCGATAGTATACCCGGAATGATGACAAGGCGCCGCAATAGTCACAAATACAAACGGCGCACAAAGACGGAGGTGATCACGCTTTTAGGTCCTGCAGGAGTTGGAAAGACGGCTCTTATCAAAGCCATTCAGCCTTCCATCCGCCGTCACGGCTATTTTGCTTTGGGGAGATTCGACAGAGCTCGACCATCTCCTTTCGAACCCATGATCAAAGTGATGGCGAGTTTGTTCAGGCAAATATTCTCCGAGAAGGATGTCAACACACCATATCATGAACACCTCCGAGCACACGTTAGTCCGTTTTGGCCCATCCTGAGTTCTATGCTGGATTTGCCCGCCACTTTACTTGATGTCACGGTGCTTTCAAAGAAGCTCTTAACAAAAGGAGATACCACCGCCACACAGAGCGTCAATACAGAGGTGCCCACGATTGACAGTGGGCATAAGACGGTAAATGGGACGGCGAACCATAATCTGTGGGACGCAAACGATTTTCTTCGTGGCCCGGCCAACACTAGATCTATACGACTCATCAATACCTACATGGATGTTCTTCGGACCATGTGTACAGGCAAGCTGATCTGTCTATGTCTAGATGACCTGCAGGCGGCGGAACCGGAGTCGATCAATCTACTGATGCATATTATCAAGGCTAAGATCCCTGTTGTTTTGTTATTATCAAGTCGTGTGGAAGACGGACAGATTCCAGAATCTACGGCGAAGATTCTCGAGCTTGACTCAACCAACAAGATCGAGCTTGGAAACCTCCGGGAAAAGTATGTTTTTGAATATGTTGCTGCAACCATGTCTCAGTCAGTCGAAACGGTGGTGCCTCTCGCTGCGGTGGTGTATGCGAAATCTGAGGGCAACCCTTTTTTGTTCAAAGATATCTTACAGACGTGTTACCAGCGTGAGTGCTTGTGGTACGACTGGAGAGCTTCAGGCTGGCAATTTGACTTGGACAAAATTTTCGACGAATTTGCCTCGGATTCACGCTTCTCAGGCACTGAATATCTGCAAAGACGTCTGCAAGACATACCACCTGCTTCAAGATCCATCCTTGCTTGGGCCTCATTATTGGGAAGCACGTTTTCTTTCAAGTTGATTCAACACATTATGTCCGGGGACTATTTCTATAGCAGTGGCAAAGACCAAGCAAATGATGCTACTTGTCCCAGGCGCGCCAAACTGTTCAATCTCTCGGAATCAGATTTGGTGAATGGTTTACAACAATTGGTCAACGCCTACATCATTACCCCAGGGCAAACTGATGACGAGTTTCGCTTCTCTCATGCGCGATATTTGAAAGCTGCAAATGAAATGCGGGAATGCCAAAATACAACCAAGATGCATTTCATCATTGCCCAAACAATGATGACCTATCTGAGCCAATGCAAGTATAACCTATATCCGTTGTCCCGTCATATTTGTCTTTCTGCAGACATCATCAAGGAACGCGTCCCTGTACGCATGCGTTATCGAGATGTGCTGTGGCGTGGAGCACAGAAAGCGCTCGAAACAGGAGCACAGCAAACTGGTTTATGGTATTATAAAAGCGCTCTCAAACTGCTACAGGACGACAAATGGAACAGTGATGACCCTGACGTATTCTACGATGAGACTTTGCAATTGACCGTTAACAGCGCCGAGGTGATGTTTTTGCAGGGTGAAGTAGAAGAAGCTCTGGCACTTCTTGAGGATACCTTTGAACATGCACGGTGTTCGGCGGACAAGACAAGGTCGTACATCCTCAAAGGTCGGATTCTATCATCTCTGGGTCAATACCTTCCTGCTTTTGAGGCGCATCGGGAGTGTTTGGCTGGGCTTGGTCTGCCATTGCCCGAAAAGTCTTGGGAGGAGTGCGATCTTGATTTCAAGAAGCTGGAATTTCGTCTGAGAGAGGTCAACCGAGAAGAACTCATTTCCCGGCCCCTCAGTGACGACAAGACTGTAATCGCCCTGGGAACTCTCCTGAGTGAAGCTCTGGGAGCCCTCTACTGGTCAGACGCCCTGTTGTGGTACCAATTGGTCACCGCCTACATTTCGGCTGTGCTGGATCGTGGCGCATTCCTTCAAGCAGGACTAGGCTTTTCAATGATGGGCGCCGCAGCGATTGGTCGCTTCAAAGACATTGAACTGGGTCTATTCTGTGGTGAAATTGCTCAAGAGTATTTCACTCTTTACGATGACCCTTGGACTCGCGGCAGAGGATGGACCTTGTACACCTTGTTCATTGGCCATTTTCAGACTCCTATTCGCAACCTCCTTCCCATCCTCGATAACGCTCTCGAATACTCACTGTCGTCAGGAGATCGGTTTGTAAGCATCCTGAATATCGGCGTGATGGCTCTCTCGAGACTCTGGGCAGGACAGGATTTGTCTGAAGTGGAAGCTTTTTGCAATTATGGACCAGAAGAATTTGAGGATTGGGAACATGACCACCGAGGTGGTACACTCTTGATTATAACCCGACAGGTCGCTCGAGCATTGCAGGGTAAGACGGGCATTGAGAACGTTGACACGGTCCTCGACGACGAACAGCACAAGAGAGATCAGTGGTTAGCTGAATGCGGAAAAGCTGCCAACCCGGAGCGACCACGAGATATTTACCAGGCCGTAGGCTTACTCGTCTATGCTATCTTAGGCTATCACGAGTTTGTGGTTGAAACCGGCACAGCGTTACTAGGCACCGGCTTGGACGAACTGTGGTCTAACAGACCAGCATATGGTGCACGATTTGCCCTGGGCCTATCGCTTTTGGCTATCGCTCGAAATAAGCCCGAGGAGGAGCGTGGGCCGTACATCGAAAAGGCGAAGATCATGAAGCGAGACATTGATGAGCTGGGCAAAGTCAATGATGTCAACTTTTACGCCTGGTCACGCCTTCTCGAGGCTGGCATCTGTGAATTGACAGGTGTATATGCTGGCATCATCTCAAATCTCGAGGCAGCTGTGGACCACTGCCAAGTGCACGGATTTGCTTTGGAGGAGGCTCTTGCTATCGAAATGCAGGCAGAGTTTCTCCTTGCCAAAGGTGCGAAGAGGGCCGGCAAGGTTATGATCCAAGAAGCCATCACTGCTTGGAATAGAATCAATGCCACAGGCAAAGCAAAACAACTCTCGGACAAGCACGAGTGGCTGATCAAGACTGCAACCACGTCACGGACAGTGGAAGCGACAACGCAGACAGAAGATCTTGCTCTGCCTGTGTCGGAAGAAGCCCAGGCTCAGATCAAGAGGGAGTACACCACCGCCTGGGTGCAGCCTAAGGGAACAGGCGCAACGCAAACGTCGCAAGATGTGCCTGGGCTAGGTCTTGACATCTTGGACCTTACCTCTATCCTTGAATTCTCCAGGGTTATCAGCTCCGAGTTGCAGATCAACAACCTGCTGTCCAAGATGATTTCAGTCATTCTGGAGTCCGTTGGAGGACAGGCAGAGTTCTGCGCCATTGTCATAGACTCGGAAGATCAAGGTTGGTGTGTCGCCGCCAGCGCGGATCATGAGACTGGTGTCAAAACATATCCCGACGGCATTCCATTTTCCGAAGTTGATGATCAGGCGGCGCAACAGATCACGCATTATCTGCTTCGCACCAAGGAGACTGTTTTCGTGCAGAATGTGCTTGAAGATGACCGTTTTTCCAACGTCGGAGATGCATACCTGGCTCGAAATCCACAGGGGCGGTCCATTATTGCAATCCCGATCATACAAGCCGACCATCTTATGGGAGTGATTCATCTAGAAGGGCGACCAAATGCTTTCACGCAACGGAACATGATTGTTCTAAACCTTTTAACGAACCAAGTCGCTATATCTCTCGGTAATGCTCTTCTATATCGAAAGGTCCGAAAAGTTAGCGCATCCAATGCCAGCATGGTCGAATCGCAGAAGCGTGCTCTTGTAGCTGCACGCGAGGCCGAAGCTAAGGCAAAGAAAGCAGAGGCTGAGGCAATGCACAACGTCAAATTGAAAGAAGAGGCCGCCAAGGCCAAGTCTATATTCCTCGCCAATGTTAGCCACGAACTTCGGACGCCGCTTAATGGTGTAATTGGCATGTCAGAACTCCTCAAAGGTACTCCCTTGAGCAAAGACCAAGAGCAGTATGCCGATAGCATTCGCGTCTGCGCGGATACTCTCTTGACTGTGATCAACGATATACTTGACTTCTCTAAGCTGGAGGCAGGCAAGATGCAGATGTTCACAGTACCTCTCAATCTCAAGGAGACCATTACTGAAGTGGTAAGAGCTTTAGCCTACACAAACCAGGAACACGGTCTGCAAACTATCGAGGATTTGCAGATCGACGACGGCCTGGTGCTCGGTGATCCAGTGCGACTACATCAAATCTTCATGAACTTGTTAAGCAACGCTTACAAGTTTACGCCTCAAGGATCAGTCACTGTCAGGGCACGTAAGAATGCTGAGTCGCGAGACAGAGTCAAGATCACCTGCTCTGTAGCCGATACTGGCATCGGTATAACGCAGGAACAACTCGCCCGACTATTCCAGCCGTTCTCCCAAGCGGACTCATCCACTGCTCGATCATATGGTGGGAGTGGTCTCGGGCTGAGTATCTGTAAAGCCATGATTGAGAACGTGCTTGGTGGTAAGATTTGGATTGAGTCTACACCCGGCGTCGGCACGACCGTCTCATTCACTTTGACATTCCAAAAGGCACCCAAGGACAGCAGCGTGCCTAACGATATGAGGATCGCAGCCAAAGATCCTGATCCAATGGCCAATTGGTCGCAAGCAGCCAGTCCCGAGACCGAACAAAAAACTATTAGCTTCTGCGACTTGTCCAAGGTACCTCGCGAGGACCTTCGTGTGTGCATTGCCGAGGACAACCAGATCAACCGAAAGATTGCCATTTCCTTTGTCAAGAAAATCGGACTCAACTGCGAGGCATACGAGGACGGCAAACAAGCATATGATGCGTTGAGGGCTCAAAGTAAAGAAGGCAAACCTTTCCATCTGGTACTCATGGATGTTCAAATGCCGGTCTTGGACGGTTATGAGGCGACGAAGGCGATTCGAGCCGACCCTGATCCCAATGTCAGTCAAGTTCTCATCATTGCCATGACTGCGTCAGCTATCCGTGGCGATAGGGAAAAGTGCTTGGAGGCAGGAATGAATGATTACCTGGCAAAGCCGGTGCGGCAGACAGCATTGAAAGCCATGATCGACGAATACCTCAACAACACCAAGCTGGCTGCCGATGTCGCAACAAATGGATCGACAAGCATGACGCCTAGAGACAAGCTCAATGGGATGTTGGGAGAAGAAGCTTCCAAGTCCATCAAGACGATGGCCAATGGAGATTTCCCATCACCTCCCGGCGAAAAACCCAGATCCAGACGGCCATTCAAGAGGGTGATGAAAAAGGTCGATACCGCGGTTGCGGAAGTGAAAGAAACCCTTAACCGAAGTGATAGCCCTCCAAGTGGGAAACGGGAAACGGACGAGTTGGGCAAGATCAGCAGTGACAGCGTTCCACCGAAAGACTTTATGCTCGTGGGAAATCCTACTGTTGATGGAATACGCACAGTACTAAATGGAACCGAGGCTGCGTCTGGAGATGGTGGGGAACGCCCTGTGTTCACTCAGAGTCCGGCACCACTCGGTGGTGAGGCCAATGGAAGTAGATAGTCGGGAACTCGTGGCGAGCAGGGAAGTGGTATTGTCTTTTGGCGAAATCAAACTATGACTGTATGAAATGTTCAAGGTATGGGAAGCGATATTCATCAAAAACTAAAGGGGGCAATGTTCTGAGCGATATTCGGGTACCTTCGGCGCAGGGTTGGTGTTGGAGAGAAACCTAGTCTAGTTTCAGCAGTGCATACACTTATGCATACTGTATTCACAGTATGCTTGGGACTAGGGATATTGATTGATGGAGTATCTTCACGTTTGGGCAAGCGAAGCCAGCGCCACGGGGTTCCAGCAATATCGTTTGTATTCGTTTAGTCAACGACAGCAGCGGGAAACAGGCTCTGTTGGCCGTCGACACCTTCAATTGATATCAGTATTAGTATGTTATAGATTTTCCGACCAAGATCGACAGAAAGATGCACTGGTCGCTTGGAGTGTCCTCGTGTCAAAGTCCGGTGGGAGAATCCGAGTAGCCTGTGATATTGTACAATATGTAGACGCGGTAGGGAGTTCGTATGTAACACCACAACTGAGGTCAGACATCAACCAATCAGTGAGTGGAATGACTTCGGTCATGACCCAGTTTCAAACGAATGCAATTTGCCCCGGCACGCGCGAGGAGCTTCAATTTCTCGCTTGACACGCCTCAAAAAGAAACATGGTCTTCATCTTTTGACCACTTTGACACCCTTTTTGTCGAGGCGAGCTCATTAGCACTGCCTCTAAAGTGGACATTCAGTCTGTTCCCCGGCCACTACTGCGTATGATGGTGGCTTCCATCCCATCGCAGTCAGGTCTTTGGGCTTCAAGAAGCTACTTTTTGGCGCCTTGCTGGTTTCGAGATCCTTTCCTCCTGTCCTGTCGATGGTCGCGATGGCACGAATTACCCGCCATGCCCGGTTCAACACTTGCCATAGTAAGGTGGTCGAAATGCTGTCTTTGTCTCTCGCCAACCCCTATAGCAAGCATTTCATTCGCCTGGATTCATTTTTAATCGTTTCAGCCTTTTCTATCTTGAGCTTCTCTTCCGTGAGACTCGGGTGGGCTCGAGCAGAAAACATCGTTCAAATCAGCCACCATCCACACAACCCTTTTTGACCTCAACTTTTGCGCGCGCGCCAACACCCCGTCTTGTACACGGCGAGACATGTCGGCTTCACAATGTCTTGAACTTGGAGCACGCTACGGAGGGCCTTGGAATCGTGGCGCCGCCTTTCCAATGATGGGGTGCGTGGTGGTCAACACATGGTCTCCGTCTACCAATACGCGACGAACCGTGTGCCTCCACAGGTTTCTCGGTTGGTCTCGACGACATGTATACAAATAGGTGAGCAGGTTCGTCTGAGACACAGGTTGGTCTTCTTCCTTCTTCATCCTCATTCTGCATCTCTTCGCGGTGTGGTTCCATCTCCTCTACTGTTTTTTTCTTCTCCCAGTCTCTCGTTGACACCCAAGTCATTCGTTACCAAACACAAAAGTCTTTCGCTACCACTCTGTCTCGTTCACATACACAGCCAAACTTATTGTCATACCATACACCACCACCATGAAGTCCACATTGACTGCTGGGCTCGTGGCCTCTGTCCTTCTCCTGCAGCAGGCTGCGGCTTCGGGCGGCTGGGGTGATGCACCAAGCTTTTCCAGTCCTTCCAACTGCAACAACACCTGTACTCCTGACCAGGAAGGCGGGTTCAACTGGTCCGGTCTACCCACAGGTGGATTCAGCAACTATGGTGGGTTCGGCTTCAGCGGGTTCACTTGTCAAGACTCGTTTCAGGGAAACAGAAAGAGGTCTCTCGAGACTCGCTCGGACTTTCAGGTACGCAAGCAGGAAGACCGTCAATCACACCAAGAGGAAGGGAACAAATTGAGTGCTAACATATCATAGCCCAAATGCATCCAAGGCAGCGTGGGCAAGTCCACGAGTGGTGGACCGAGCTTCTCCTGTGGCCAAGACGATGCCTTCTCCATCAGCCACATGCAAGTCTCTGTCTCCTATGACACCGACTTGGACTTCATCTTCTCTATGCCCGATGGATCAACTTGTAAGCACACTGCTTCGTGCAAGGCTTCAGGTTCAACCATCGAGAACTCTCAATGCGGTGGTGCCAAGTCGGTCACCTTCAACCTTCCCCCCAGCAGTGGAAAGAGCTCTTGCGACGTCGGTATTCATTCGATCGGATTCAACTGCAACAGCCCTCCTCCACCGCCTGCGACCAGCTCGACTACACCGGTCTTCTCAACTACCTCTCCTGTAGTAGAGACAACATCAACCACGAAGCCTTGGGTGTGGACCACCACTCCTACAACCACTCCTACAACCACTCCCACCATTCCGACCACCACAACCACTCCCGCTATTCCGACCACAACGACCATTCCTGTAATCCAGACCACAACAACCACTCCAGGCAAGGAGACGCCGTCCACCACCTCCTCCTCCTCGACAACAACGACTCCGGGCTGGGGCTTCACGACCACCACAACCCCAGGAAAGGAGATTCCCACCACTTCTAGCACTACCACGCCTGAAGTGGTTCCAACCACTACGACCACCCCTGCTGAGGTCCCAACAACAACCACACCTAGAAAGGAAATCCCCACAACAACCACGACCACACCAGGAAAGCAATTGCCACCCACTACCCTCTCAACCACGGTATTTTCCACGACTTCTCCGTCGACCACACCAGGTAAACAATTGCCGCCCACCACCCTCTCAACCTCTTTTTCGTCAACATCGGCTGCTCCACCCCCGCCCGGGTCATCTGCTCCTTGTCCACCTGTCCTCCCTAGCTGTTTGAACACCTGGCTCAGCCTGGTCCCCAAGTGCTCCTCCAACAGCGACACCAAATGCTTCTGCCCGTCTCCAGAATTCATCTCCTCGGTCCAAGAATGTGTCTCGGCCTGGTCGGGAAGCGACTCTGAGATCTCGTCTGCCCTGTCCTACCTCGCTGGTATCTGCGCCGACTTTGTCCCTCAGAACCCAGGTATCTGCACCGGTATCCCGACTGGCATCACGCTGATCCCCTCCGTCACGCCCGTCACAACCACCCAGACCAACGGTATCGGTCGTGGCTCTCGACCCGCAGGGCCAACTCCTGCTCCAGTGACCACGCTCACCTTCACGGTGACCAAGAGTGAAGGAGGCGCTGTCACGACGACCGTCGCGGTGCCGGCCGTGAGCTTTGTCACTGCCACCGAGACAGGTCCCCAAGGTGGAGGAGTCGGCCTCGTCCCCTGGGGAAGCCCTGCGACTCCTACTCCTGTTTCTTCTGGAAACGGATCAGGTGCGCCGGCTCCGGCAGGTGGATGCTCGGGTAACGAATGCCCTGCCCCCGCTGCCCCGGCTCCAGCGAGCAGCACCCGCGTGGCTGCAGGACAGACCTTTGCGGTTCCATCTGCATCGGGCACCACGGCTGGGGTTGCCCCCGCTCAATTCACTGGTGCGGCAGGCAAGACTGAACTCGGTATGCTGGCTGGAGCGTTGGCCATCGTTGCGTTCTTTGCTTAGAGGACGGACTTTTGGTTCAAGACGCCATTCGCCTAGTGTCATGCGGATCTGCAATGGAAAGTGAAGAGAGAATATGGGAGGATTGTTATAACTTAATTGTATTATTTTCCTTTGAAGAAAACGATGGTTTGAGGAAAAGTGTCGACAAGAAAAACCACTAAAAAAAGAAGACTCAAATGATGGAATGATGTGCAAGAAATCTGGCAACTTATCAGAACAGAAACATGGCATAACATAGCATAATATCTGCATAATTTGATTTATTTTTATTTGTTTGAGCATATTTGTCTTTCGCATTGTTCCTAATCATGATGCATTTTTGTGTGTGTGGAAGGGAGAATATTCAAGCCACAGTGATCAAGGGGTAGTCATGAGTTATAGATCCCCTCTCCTCTTTTTTGGTTCGACTTCGCTAGATCTATTTGGTATTTCCCGCTCAAACTATGCGATGAAACCTTTTAGACTGGATAAAGTCGAATGGCCTGCCCCCGGGAATCTCTCGGAAAATCCAAAAACCAGCGGAATGAATGGTGGTCGTTACCGGAGAACGAAACGCCATCTGAGGACTTATCACGGATACAATCTCCCCTTGCAAGGGCTTGGGCCACAACCGGGCCGGCCGCCATAGAAGTCAATGCGTCTGTGATGCTATTTAGTTTTTTTTATCAAAAGAATATACCGTAATCTTTGTTTCTCAAATCGGTATACAATCACAAATTGAAGTTTAGCGGACGACAAGTGACAAGACTTTTACGGGCAACTCATACATCTATCATTTACCCAAAGTGCTGGTTCCATCATTCACACAAAGGACAGACATCAGCAACATGTCTACAACTACGAAACAAGTGGCGTTGATTGTAGGGGGTGCTTCCGGAATCGGTGAAGCTACTGCTCGAAAGTTGGCAAGCCGAGGTTGCGTTGTCGTGATAGCAGACATGAATGAGAAACTGGGGAAGAGTGTGGCAGAGGACATTTCAAGGATATATGGAGTCGAAGCAGAATTTGTACGGATCGACGTCACGAATGAAGAAAGTGTCAAGGCAGCCGTCGACTTGGCAGCTTCGAGGACGGGTCGTTTGGACTTTGCCGCGAATTGTGCCGGTATCTGTGAGAGTACATGGGAAGAAGAGAAAAGTATCACCGTTGAACTTTTCGACAGGTGAGTGTTTTCGATCTCGTGCAAGAAGACAGGCTTCTAGAGAGCTTCCACCTGTATGTGACATATACTGACACCTTTATTGCGACCACACAGAACACACGCAGTCAACACACGTGGAATCTGGCTTTGTCAAAAGTACGAGGCAGCACAGATGCAAAAACAAGACCCGAGACAGATTTCCTTCAGTCCTCCATCACAACATGCCGTTCCTGGACAACGTGGAGCCATCGCCAACGTCGCATCGATGGCTGGTCTACACGCCATGGGTTTGGCCGCTTACACTCCCAGCAAATACGCCGCGGTCGGGGTGACGAAAAATGGTGCCAAATTTTACGGACCCGATGGGATCAGGTGCAACGCTTTGTGTCCCGGGTGGACCATGACCGCCATGACGGAACACAGTATGGGAGAGGAAGCCAAATTGGGCACCGAAGAAAACGAAAATTCGGCCGTGGCCAAAGCGATATCGTTGCGACGAATGGCTTTTGCCCAGGAACAGGCCAACGTGCTTGGGTTCTTGTTGAGTGACGAGAGTAGTTATATGAATGGGTCGGTCGTGGTGGTCGATGGAGGTTACCATGATATTAGGTGAAAACCTATCATCATAGAATGGATCAAATCAGTGTTGCCCATTCTAATGCCTCTCGTGACATAACTTAGGCTCGACGGCGGCTTCACATTGCAGAACATACTATGCTTGCTCTAGCGTAGTGAACCCTATATAGGTGCATGGTCCCCATTGCAGGCTGTTTGTTACCTTCACACTGCGTCACGCACGTCGACCCAGTGCCTGCCTAATTGGTTCTAGTGCCGTCGACAGCACTGCCTGCGCTCCCGTACTTACTCGCGCAGCCCCTACTCTACCCAGTTTAGTCCCTCGTCTTAGGTATTTCCCTCAATGGGGATTCCCATTGTTTTGAGATACTGATACAATGACTGGGATTTACCTTGGCACGAGCTCGAAGTGGATCAGACTTTCACCTTTGAGTGCCCGACGACACCCGCTCGGAAAAAGGCCCTCCCCAAGCTCGGCTACGACAGCCGTGATATTGTACTTACTTCCCAAAACTTCGCCACCCCATTTCCGTGGTTGAGACAAGCGACTGGGAATACGAGAAGAAGCCAACCCCCGTCATCGATCAGACAAGACACAAATCATGATCGCTCGGAGCTGTAGTTCTCGGGGAGCCAACGATCTAGGTTGTGAGAGACCCGACCCCGGATTGTGTATCGCTAGCTGGGACTGGTTTGTGGGGTGCTACTCGGCATTCCTTTTCCAAGGACACAAACCTCCTACTCAGCTTCAATGACTCGATCACTGTTGCACCAGGCAGACCTAGATTCAGGTCTGCTGAATCCTAGTGATCCCTATACGGGTTGAGATAAGATCGATTGCCCGGAAATCATGGTAAACTTAACCTTGAGGTTAAGATCTGCATGATAATATGAGGGAGAGGGTATATAACGATAACGACCTGGGTAGTGGGAGTGAGAGTAGCTGCACCCCTAGAGTTTTCTATCCAGCATACTTCGTCACAGCTCCTCCGTAGAGAATACAACATAATGGGTTGTACAAAATTCAAAGTCATCATCGCCGGTGGAGGCATAGCAGGGTTGTCACTAGCCAATATGCTGCAAAAGACCGGCATCGATTTTGTCGTCTTGGAGGCTTATCCTGAACTCGCACCTCAAGTTGGCGCGAGTATAGGTTTACTTCCTCATGGACTTCGCATCTTGGATCAGCTGGGACTGTACAAGCCCATCAGAAAACTGGTCGCACCTCTAGACCATTTCCATTTCCGAAGTTTGAGAGGAGAAATAGTTGCGGAACATGAAGGTGTCGCCGATTCTTTCATGGCGAGGTAAGTAAGAAGATGGTCGGTCAGATGGTTCGGAGACGTCTTGTCTTTACGTTTTTTTTGTGAAGCAGAAACTGACACTCCTAGACACGGCTATGGCATGCTCTTCTTGGACAGACAAACCGTATTGAAGGTCTTGTTCGAAAATATCCAAGACAAGTCTAAACTTTTGACCGGCAAATGTGTCGTGAACATCAAACTGGAGGATGACGGGGTCACTGTAACCACGAAAGATGGATCGGTGTACAATGGCGACATCTGTATAGGGGCAGATGGAATTCACAGCAACGTTCGATCAGAAATGTGGAGAAATGCAGATGCCCTTTGCCCGGGTTACATCCCTGACACTGAACCAACATGTGAGTTTACTTGTTACTCTCCCTCAGATGATTGCAAGAAATCTAACATTGATAAAAGCCATGCCGTGTGACTATAGCTGTGTTTTTGGAATTTCAACTCCCTGTCCAGGCATAAATCCGGGGTCCCTACACTCCGTCTTCCGAGAACACAGTTCTTACCTGATTCTCGGTGGTCTACACCGTACCTATTGGTTCTACTTCTTCAACATTGGCAAGACGGTTTACAGTCCAAATATCCCCAGGTACACGAAAGAAGATGAGGCGAAAATCATCCAAGATCGTCTAGATGACGCGATTCTACCCAACCTCAAGTTCCGGGACATTTATAAAAACAAGGTCTCTTCAACTCTGACGGCTTTACCAGAGTATGCATTCCAAAAATGGCACTTTGGTAGAATCATGACCATCGGAGATGCCTCTCACAAGGTAAGGAAGAAGCAAATCGACTTTCCATGCACTACCCTTGTAGGAAACCAAGTAACTAACGACGCCACCTGAATACCAGATGGAACCTATTTCGGGACACGGAGGTAATGCTGCCATTGAGACCGCGGCAACACTCACCAACGCTCTCGTCAAAGCCTTGGCCGAAGTGAAAGGACCACAGCGGTCAATGTCGGCGGCACGGATATGCAAAGTGTTCCAGAACGTCCAGGAAACTCGCATGAAGAGAGTACAAAAGTTGATTACAGACTCTCACAACCACCAAAGGTTTGAAGCTCTCGAGGGTCAAATGGAAAAGATTTTGGCTCTTAACCTTCTTCCGTTGTCCGACACCGACGACGTATTGATGAATGCTTCCAAGAACATTCCCCAGGGACAAAGGCTCCAGATGCTCGAGAATCCTTTTCGAGCTCGCCTGATTCCCTTTCACGACGACCTCGCTTGTACCCCCCAGAAAAGAGGATGGAAAGGGTGGGCATGGGCTTTGTTCTTCCTTTCTTTATCTGTTGTTGGGTACTGTGGAATGCACATCTTGCCGACCCTGTACAGTGGAGTGCAGGAGAAAATGGTCGATATCCTGACGTCGTCAACTTTCTACCAGGGAACTCGTCTGCGAACACGATATACTGGGTATCCGGCGGTGGACGAGACTTTGACCATGTTGACGGTATTCTTCATGCCCGGCGTCGCCGGATGGGACTCCGCACACCAGACGCTACAAGTCTACTTCTTGTTCTCTCTATTCCCCTTGATCACGGTCTGGACGGTCGAGTCGTGCCGAAAACGAAACTTTTTATCACTTATCTCGTTGTGAGTTTTTCGGAACCCCACCCCCCCTACCCCTCTAAAAGTTTCCGCTTGTATGGTCAGAAGACCGGAGTACGTGCTAACATGGTGTATTCACTCGCAGTACAAGCCTCTGGTCAATTTACCAGCTCTACGGTATCGCGGTCGTGGCCCCAATATTCTACATAATGTACCTCACGGTATCAAACCCAGAGTCTTATTGGTGGCCACTATCCCGACCGGTACCGGAAAAATATGTCAAGACACTTCTACCGGCGGTGGTGTTGGGATATTTGATTCCCACTATACTCATGTTCTGGCCACACTCGAATGACGACCAAATTCGTCAAGGTTTCATTGCGTTTTGGCAGCCATCCCCTGTATACGTCAACATTCTGTTGTGGCTATTGGCGACGTCATACAATACGACCATGTCAACACAACGGGATCACAGCAACGTTGTTGTGGCCGCCGCTGAGCCTCCCGATATGGCACATCTCAAGAGATTGTATGCATTCTCATTCGGTGTCTCCATCGTCACACACTTTGGTGTACTGCTGAAGGTCATGTTCTCGGCCGACCCTCACCTTCAGTTGAGCAAGATATTCCTTCTCCCTCCTCTAGATCAGCGGTCTTTATCGGTGGTTGAGAGTCTCCACATCACCTGGCTAGTCGACTTTTGGGTCTGGACCATGGCAACCATGGCTTGGTGCTGTTTGTCGGTCTGGGATCTGAAGAGGGTCGGCTTGGCCGTCGTGTCTGTGCGAAAAGCCGCAGCTGCAGTTGCATTGGGAACTGTACTCGTCGGACCGGGAGCTGTGATATCCGCCTGCTGGTATTGGAGGGAGACGCAAATGGCCAAAACAACAATAATTCAGAAAGCTTCCACGGCTGCGTAGGATGAGATGCACTTGGGGGTCGCAGACATAATTCCTAAATGTTCAGATTCATCAAGAAAAAGAAAATATGTCCGGACGAGATGAATACAACGGATGAAGGGAGGGATGTACTAACACGAGTTGAGAGAATGTGAGAAGTTGGCTAGAAGCTAAGGCTAAAGGTTGACGGAACAAATGCTCGTGAGGAAACAGGTGGTAAGAAGAAGATGCTGCTCAGCGCGGGTCCATTATTATCATCATCAGAAAATGCCATGCTTGATTTTGTAGCTAGGTCATTTTGAACGCTCTTTGAGTAGCAAGTTACAATCATAGATTCCCCTTGGGCACCACATTCAAAAGAGCTGACTTTGCGCTGTCCATGGCCGAGGCAAACCCACTGAGCAGGACGTTGTAGTCCAGCGTCACCAGTAAAAACTTCATCCCCAACTCGGTTCGGGCTTTGATGCTATCGGGAGTGGTACCCATGGACCCGGAGATTTTCCCGCACCTTGCAGCAGCGTCACATATTTTCGTCAGGGCCTGTTGAAACTCCGGTTCTGGCCCGTCGACCCCGATCGATAGACCCATGGAAGATCTCAAATCGGCAGGGCCTATAAACACACCCGACACTCCATCGACGGCCAAAATGGACTCGGCGTTTTCGAGACCTTCGACAGATTCGATGATTGGGAGGATAGCAACACCTTGGTCTTGTGCCATGTCGTAATAAGTGCCCATTTGAGTACCTCCGAGTTGTCTGCCGAACATGGCGTTGAAGGGACCAAAGCTTCGCTTGCCCTTTGGTGGGTAGAGGGCATGGGATATAATGTGTTTCATCTCCGTGGCGTTGTTGACCATGGGTACGATGATCCCGGCGGCGCCGCTGTCCAGCGCCCATTTGATCCACTCGACGTCGTGAGATGGCACTCGGACGATGGCCAAACATTTGCCCTGGGACGCCGCCACCACACTGTGCACCAGACGGTTCATCTGTTCAGCCGTCATGGGGGAATGTTCCATGTCGATCATGACAAAGTCGAAGGTCTGCGCGGCGAGCATGGCGACCATTTCAGCCGGCACCGTCAGCACCGTGCCCAGCAGCGGTCGGCCGCCCAGTTTTTCATGGTGAGTTTGAAAACGCAACGTCTCCGGCTTAGTGAGGTTGCCACCTTTTTGGGAGGCCGATACTTGGTTCTTGTACATTGTTGCTGAGCAAACTTGAGGTGGCCTGAGAGAAAAGGGGCGAGGTGGGTACGTCTAGGACACGAGTAATGACCAAAAGAATACAGGGTTGGGGCACCATACCAGCAAGGTATCTATTGTATAATAACAAATAAGTGTCTGTGAGTTTCACTCGACAAAGGATTAATTAACACCGGGATCATCGTAGCAAGCCTGTGGTCCTACGGGCTGACAGAAGCACAGCCAGCCTCGGCCCGCGATCTCCGTGGCATTTTGCATACACCATGGAGAAATACTTCAATTCACTAATGTGCAAAAAATGAATACGTACCAAGGTACATAAATCAGGACTCTGTCTTTTTCGAATTTGCCCTTCAAGAAAAGGGTCATCATTCTTCTTAAAGTGCGACAATGCTCCTAGATCCGACTTCCGAAAGTCTGCCTAAACGCAGTGCTCTACCATCGATTGAAGGCGCTCCAGCTGGAGCTGCCTGGTTCTGGGGAAAGGATGATGAGGTACTATATTCTTATCTTCTGTTTACAAACAATCGTTTGGTGTCTAGAAAGTTCACATTCTTGTCAAGTTAGGACGTTTGAATCTTCTCACACCGGAGCGTGTTGCGGCCGCGGCCAGAATGATAAAGAGCGGAGAAGTGGTCAATCTAGAGTGCGTCACTTGGTCGTAATCGCCACCTTGATAGCTTCTAGACGAAAAGAAAAGTGCCTGTGTGCTAATTCAAAAGAATTGACGACATGTAGTTGGAGGGCCGACTTACCCAATCCTCCTGTGTTTGGTAGAGAACCATTCAAGCATACTATCAAACAAGTCACCGATCAGGTGTTTGACGATCTTTACGACATGAACACACAGAGTGGGTCACAGGTATGTTGAGACGACTCGTAGAGGTGTTTATTCTTTACAATTGCTTACCATCCATCCATGCAAACAGTGGGACGGTTTCCGTCACGTTGGACATGCCCATGGTGGAGGGTTCATCTTCTACAACAACGTAAGATCTCTCTCTTTTCTCTTTCTGGCCGTGCTTGGTTTCTCCGCTAACAGAGCTACCACGTTTTCCATTCTAGTTGAGCCCAGAAGAAATCAAAAATTCTTCACGTTGCGGTGTTGATGCTTGGGCTAACCATGGCATAGGTAAAGTCTTTCGTCTGCAGATATGCCGCATGTAAACGACGGTTTCTAACTCCAAAAATTGATAGTCGGCCGGGGTGTATTGATAGATCATTGGGATCATGCCAAGGGGAATAAGTACGACCCAAACACGACACATCGGATCACACTCGAAGATATTCGTGCCTGTGCGGAAAAACAAGGAATCACATTTCAATATGGTGATATCCTCATGATTCGATCTGGTTGGGTCGATACCTACAATAAGATGAATGATTCCCAACGCACCGCTCTTGGGAACATCCCTCCTGCGGAGTGCACATTTGTAGGGATTGAACAGACGGAAGAAATGATCGACTTTTTGCACGACAACTACTTCAGCGCCGTGGCCGGCGACGCCCCTGCCTTCGAAGCCTGGCCGACCAATCAATCTTGGTTTCACCACCAGTACCTGTTGTCCCTCTGGGGTGCTCCCATCGGTGAAATGTGGGATCTGGAAAAACTGTCAGAGGTTTGCAAAAAACGAAATCAATACACTTTTTTCTTTTCTAGCAGCCCGGCCAATGTCAAAGGTATGTTGCTAATTCTTTGTTTACATTAACCCCAGGAGGAACTTTTGTGATGCCGCAGCACTCGTGTTCTCTCATATCCACTATTGCTAACTATGTTATCTTGTATAAAAAGGTGGCGTCGGTAGTACTCCTAACGCCTTTGCAATATTTTAGTCTGGGAAGATCTCTCAGGCTCGGCTGACATGAAGTGATGAAGCGGGCTTGGTCATCGTAGAGGACGTGGTCAAATAGACAATGCCATTTTGAGAGCTTCTCAGATGAAGAGAACAAAAATTCGATTCACCTTTTTTCATGTCCTAGCAAAATAATGACAGTCACTACCTTAATGTATGCATTACACAACGTATCTCAGATGGTCTCCAGACCAAAAGGCTGGGACCATCGCTCCTGAGTCTTCTTTTGACAATATAGCAAAGACTGAGTCTGTGGCAATCCACTGGAAGGAGATCGAAGGGGACCTCGGGGGAATAGACCAAGACAGCTTTTTGACAAAAGTTTAGGTTAAAAAGTCTCCAACATATGAAAAAAGTCTGATCAACTACTAACTACTGATGTTTGGTCTCTCTTTATTACAGAGTTTACATGAATAAGACCCAAAAAACGGCACTACAGTATTTCCTTTTGGATCCATTCTGTTTGCATTACCGCTGATAAAGGGAAAAAACTCCCCTATCTTCGGTATAGCCTGACAAATGTGTGTGACGCGAAACCCAGGTTAACAAACTCAAGAATGTGGACCGGTTTCTTTCTCTCAGGAGAGTGGCGCCTTGTGTTCGACCTGGACCTGCTCGCAAGGTTGCTTCGCGTCTTGGATCGAGTCGGCGGGAGAAATGTGGCGAGCTGTTGTGCTGGTGGTTTCGTCTCCGAAAAGGCGACCGATCTCTTCGAGTGGCAGATTTCTCGTGTCAGGAAATGAGAACCACACCCAGATGGTGCCGAGAAAAGTGATGATGATGAAAAACAAGTAATAGTGCCAGCCGATTTTCTGGAACGCCGTGGGCGCAGCCTGGAGCCAGATGATGTTTGCCAGACACAAGCTCCCCATGCCGGCGGTCATGCCCTGGGATCGCAGGTGGTTGGGGAAGATCTCGCCCAGATAGAAATAGGTGGGACCATCCAGAAAGACGGCGTAGAAGAAGACATAGACGTAGAGCATGACAACGCCCGCGGAAAGGGCCGACTTGTTGGTGCCTCCTAGGTACACGGCCTGGATGGCTGCTTCCACGGTCAAGGCGCAGAGGCAACCCACCAAACCGATGACTATGAGGTGTGGCCTGGGAAGTCGATCGACAACGAGGACGGCGAGAATGTTGCACACGAAAGAGACAGCCAGCCAACCGGCCTGGAGATGAAGTTGCTGTTCCGAATCGAAGCCAAGTCCACTGTACAAGAGGGTTCCATAGTCTGTGAGTAGATTCGAAACATATTAGTAATTGTTATCTTGAAGTGTTTCGCTTTTGTTGTTTCCTGGAGGGAATAGGACAAAAAGGACCAGAGAAAAGTGTGAATCACACAAAAGGTGTCAGCAGACTTACTGTTTATGACCAGCACGCCGGAACTGATGAGCAAGAATGGCAAACCGCAACCGATGACCAATCGTCTTCGATAAGACGGTGTTTTTAACATGTCGAAAAACGAGACCTTGTGTTCCTGTTCCAAGGTGATCTGCTCCTTCATGAGCTGGAACTCACCCTGGGCGAAAGTGTCGTCGCCATCATGGGCCGCATGGTGAAGCTCGTGAACAATTTCCCAGGCCTTTTCGGCCTTGCCGCGCATGATGAGATAGCGGGGGCTTTCTGGGACAAATGGCAAAGAACAAAGGTGCAAGATGCACGGCAAGCAGCCCAGGGCCAATGGTCCCCTCCATTCGTTGCCGCCACCATTCTTATAGTAATAAAAGCCGACACCGACGTAAGAAGCAGTGACATAGCCGACGTTGATGAAAATTGGGTGGATGTCACTCAACATGCCTCGATCTTTAGGTGGCACGATCTCGGTGATCCAAAGAGGGACTGTGGTCAATTCGATAAAGGCGCTAGAACGAGAAAGAGTCAGTACACGCATAATAGACTCGGTTTCTGCTTGCTGTTGCAAAGAAGGGGGAAAGAAGGAAACACATACCCCAGGCCCTGGAAGAATCTAAACACGATAAACATTGGCACATTCACAGAACCCGCCAAAAGAGCGTTGGAGACCAAGATGATGGATGTTCCCAGTATGAGTGAGAACTTTCTCCCGTATCGATCAGACAGTCTTCCAATGAACGCCGTCCCGATGAATCCACCGGTGTAGAAAAGCCCGTTCATGGTGCCGATCAGGGCGGCGGCGTTGGGGGCTGTGTCCAGGCCCATGTATTTGATGAAGGAAGGCTGACCGAGGGTCGTCGCAATGATACTTCCTGCATATCCGTACGCCGCTGAGCCCCAAGAGACAGCGATGATGATCAAGACGGTTTTCCACGTGTATGGACGGCGCGCTGGAGCCTCCATTTTGTTTGGTCCCTTTTGTTTCCTGTGCGAAAACAGATATGAAGGAGAGAAATGATTTTGTACTACTGCTTGGTAAGTACTACTGAGGCGGCGGAGCAGTTCACGGGAAACATGAAGCTGACTTGCCCGACATTTATATATGCCCAAAAGATTGCTTACTGGAATGACCCCGTTGGCCAAGGAGTCCAAGGACATTATAGCTAGCATACAATTTCTCGGAACCGAATAACCGGAATCTGGGGGAGCATGCCCCAAGACAGTCAGTGGGTTGACCGGAGTTGAGGACACAAACGCGATCCTCCTCAGAAATCGACCAATGATGGATCCTATGGGTGTGCATACCCGAATATGAGGAAGTGGGTCGTGGGTCAAAACGTGGCTCGGGGCTCTACAGCCGAATGACCGGCCGAATTCATGGCTCTCCCTGCGCGGGGTCCCGGGGTCCCCAGATTGGAAATCCATAATTTCCTATCATGTGAATGGATGGCAGGAGTATGGATATTCTACAGAGGACGCATGCGGTTCTTCTTCTCACCGGAACTACTGCTGATAAGTACGGGGGGCTACGACGAAGCGTGTTTATCGTGCCGATCGTTTTCTGTCAATCTCACTGCTATTCCTAGGTCACACTTTCATAGAGTAGTTGCGCAAGGGAAAATAATGGCCTGGAGGGAGCCATGCGGCTGGTTTATATGCTACTTGGCACTTATGCATGGCTAAATTCAAGCTGAAGAAGACTATCTTAGGTCGACTCGACTGTCGAGATTGTTGTAATCTTACAATGAAACTCTCAAGCGACCTCTGTGTCCCGCGCAGAAACATAATTCGAGAATCTATCTGCCCTATGGAAGACCCTGCTGCCAGTACGTGGAGACGTCGTTCTCGCCGTACGCCGTGGGGCCCATGTCAAAGACAGAGACTCGCCTCATGTCCCGGCGATACTTTCCCTCGTAATCTCCGTGGGTGGCCCTGTGTAGCACGGCGCAATTGTCCCAGATGGCGACGTCGTTGTTGTCCTGCCAGTGGTGCACAAACTTATACTTGTCCTGTTGGCAATGCTCGAAGAGCTCCTTGATGAGTGCCTGCCCCTTTCCCAGATCCATGCCATCGATGTGGTGGCAGTACGAGGTGACGTAGAGATTCATCCGACCAGACGCTTCGTGCAACTGGGCAATTTTGTGTTTTGCCAGGGGTTTCGTCGCAGGGTCGATGTCTTTGAACAGTGGCGAGTCCGGGTTGGCAACTTTGCGGTTGTGGAACAGCGAGTTGCAGCCGATGAGTCCCTCGATTTCTTTCTTCTTCTCGTCCGACAGGTCGTCGTATGCTGCCCGGGAGTCCAGGTACTCGGTGTGGCCTCCGGTGCCCTTGGGCGGTAGTTCGACGCCTCGCAGAATCGAAATACCAGTCCTCCTAGGGTTGAAGGCTCCATCGGCGTGCCACAAGGCGTTGCCGTTAGCCGTGGCGTGGCGGTTAGGATCCTTGGTCGTGACAATCTGGTTCTTGTCGTCGAGGTTGCCGACGTCGAATATCTCGTCGTTTGGAATTCTCATGACCCGTCCGGCCAGGCGGTGGGCCCTGACGCTGTCGAGTTCACCAAATCGTCGGCCAAGTGCGATGGCAGAATCGTCGTCCAAGGCCGTTTTCCGAATGACAATCACACCGTACTTTGTCACAGCATCTCTCAATTCCTGAAAGAGTCCATCATCGATAGGTTGAGAGAAGTCAATACCCTCCACCTCTGCAGCAAATGTGCATCCGAGAGGAGTGATCTGGAGTCTCGTGACACTGGGCATGTTGACGGATGATTATTTTTGACCAACTCGATCGAATATGTTCTACTGTACAATGAAATGCATCAAGTTTAATATCTGATATGACAGTCGTGATTAAACCAACATCAACCCTAGTGCTCTTATGCCCTTCACCCCCCTCCACTCTCACAGAGAGTGTTCGGATATCTGGGGCCGAGCATTCCTTCTACCCGGAATGCTAGGATGGGTTTTGCCGTCATTCGAACCTCAGTGAGCGCCAAGGTAACCCTGGCTGGAAGTGACCCAGGTGAGGGTATCTCTTAGGACCGATCTACCATGCTGCACTTGTTGCACTTGTTCTGGACTAGACCGAGACTTGTCATGCCGGGTCAACCTCGACCGTAGGGTTTCTTGCTTTGCTGTTTGTCACGTTGGTAGCATCTCCATGATACTCAAGCAAACCTTCTACAATGCTAACTCGAGACGAAGTGGCCACTCATGACTCTGCATCATCATGTTGGGTCATCATTGATGGTAATTGTTATGACGTGACGGACATGATAAATGACCATCCAGGAGGACGAGACGCTGTTTTGCGGCATGCTGGAAAGGTGAGTGAGAAGATTTTATTGTTTGCCATAATTAAATGCTAATGATTCTAGGATGCTACGGAGGATTTCATTCCAATCCATCCATCCGATACTTTGCACAAACATCTTCCAAAGGGTATGTAATGTCGCATGAAAAGACTCTTCAAGGCTGAAAGTTGCGACTTAGAAAAGCACCTGGGCCCTGTGAAGCCAGATAACAAACGCAAGGAAGTCATGAATCATGTCCTGGTGGCGAAATCGGGTGATTCGAAAGACATGCCTTTGAAACTCTGCCAAAATCTCTTGGACATGGAAGCTCAAGCATCCAAAGTGCTGAGCGAAAGGGCGTTCACGTACTTCCACTCTGCTGCAGACTCTTTGGGCGCCCTCCGAGCAAATGAGAGAGACTGGTCCAGGGTTTCCTTCCGGCCCAGGGTTCTCCGAAATGTGGTTGATGCAGACATGTCTTGCAGGATTATGGGGCAAAGCAGCAGGCTACCAATCTTCATTGCACCTATGGCTATGATCAGACTCGCGGATGACGAGGGTGAGCTGGCCTTCGCCCGTGCAGCCAGCTCCCACGGTATACCCTACGCGATCAGTACTTACTCATCCTATTCGCATGACGAAGTAATGCAGTGCGTCAATGACGAAGGCCTTGGACGTATGCAAATGTTTCAACTTTATGTGCCCAGAAGACGAGAAAATGCGATTCAACTCATCCACAAAGCCCGTCGTTTGGGATTCAGGTCATTGCTTGTCACCGTGGATACTCCGGTTGTTGGGAAGAGAGAAGAAGATGACCGCTACAAAGCGCGGGTTGAATATCAATCAGGGGTGGCGGACACGCCTCGGACGGCTGACATTTCAGACTCGGACGATAAACCTGTCCTCCGAGGTGTCCACTCGTCGACATTGAACTGGGAAGACATCAGCTGGATCCGTGGTGCGTGGGGAGACTCTGGACCTATCATACTGAAAGGTATCCAGAGCGCCGAAGATGCTCTGCTCGCCTACCATGCTGGGGTCGACGGTATTTACCTCAGCAACCACGGTGGGAGACAGCTTGATTTCGCCCCAAGCGCGCTGCAGACCTTGCTAGAAATTCGAAAATTTTGTCCCATCATCATCGGGAAGTTACAGATTTACGTGGATGGAGGAGTGAGAAGGGGTAGCGACGTCCTCAAAGCTATCTGCTTAGGTGCCACGGCGGTCGGACTCGGGAGACCTTTCGTCTACGCCCTTGGTGCTTATGGACGCAAGGGCGTTGAGCGTGCGATTGAACGTAAGGACAGCAATTATGGACCACAATGAACCGTTGATAATTTGCTGACCCAGGTTGCAGTTCTGAGCGATGAGATTGAGACCACCATGCGTCTATTGGGCGCCAACAAGCTCTCAGACCTAAGTCCACACTATGTCAACACGAAAGAGCTGGAGCATTATCTTATCGAATCAGTTGACAGAAAAGAGGCGAAGGCTCGACTGTGAAAACCCTTCGGAGCGTTTCCGGAGAAAGAAACTGTTCACCATTGTCTCCACACGCAAGCGGTAGCCTCGGCTGGAAAAGGGGCTCGACACCTCGGAAAACGCGGCCCGGTGTTGCAATTTGGATGCCCTGAGATTTGGTGGCTCTGGGGACATCTCGTATTCATTAGTTTTGTCTCAGCTATCATTTGTTGAAGCATGTCTTGGTCGGCTTGCATTATCCGAATCGCGCACACCGAGTGAGATGTGAGCAATTGTCACCCTAGGCATTGCGAGATAGCAGCAGTACTGTTGTACTCCGTAGAAAGTCAACATTCAAATTGGGTTTGATCTGTTTGCTTGAGGAGAGAGGAGAATGTTGTTCGCCTGCCTAGAGGACCGCAGGTTTAGAAATAGTTATTCTAGTGCATCGAGGTAGCTGGTCACTGAACCAAATACTCGGTCTCCTGTCTGTAAGGCATGCAAGTCCCTAACCCGAAATCCAGGATCTGGTTCCAGCAAGATGAGCCGTGCGTTTCTCCATTTCCCCGCGCCAACGACCCTGTGACTCGATTGATTGGGTGGGAATCTGTGCTATGGAGTAGTTTGGGGTGGAAACACGGGGGTAGTGGAGGAGGACGAGGATGAATGGCCCAAAGGTGGTGACCCACGGAGTAAAATGTGGTATTTTGTTCTCTGAATCCCTAGTGACTGATCCCATTCACACTCTTTTGTCTTTCATCCTTTCATCCTTGACGCGAGCACATGGCGTCTCCATCCTCCTCTCAAGCGGCTTCACCATTGCCTGTAGGTGCGGATGCGCCCAGGCCGAAGCGATCGAAGCCTACCAACACTCGTTCTCGAGCCTCCCTGGCTTGTCACAACTGCCGTCAACGCAAGATAAAAGTGAGATGCTACTTGTGCCTGTGTGCTGCTGCATCGGCCCTCATTGACCGCATACTAAATGGCTTCAGTGCGACGTTCAAAACCTCCCTGCTGGGTCCAAATGTGCAGCATGTCGCAACTCCAACTTTGACTGTCGAGTCAACAAATTCTCAGACCGCAGGAAGTCAGTGAACAACGAATACCGCTTACGGTGTGTCTCACATAGCTAAATCTCAGCTCGCTTTCTCAGACATGGTTCTCGCGAACACCTTGCGGCGCTTCAGGACCAGATACGCTCACTGGAGGCCCTGGTGCGTAGGACGGTGCCCACGACAGACGACACGATGACAGTGTTCGAACCTCCTCATCATACAGAGAAGCCCATCATCTCTTCGCCCTCCACCGTCATCAGTGCTCCCAGCTTTCTCAACAATCCAAACCTACTACTCGGCGGCAATCTCACAGCTGTTGGTCCAGAACTGTCGCATTTTGACGACGTCATGCACTCTCATGGCGATGACGGTCGTGTCGCCCAAGAACGAACCATGACTGCCGATCAAGGCGTAGAGTATGTTCTCTTATGGATGACTCCACCTAGCCGATTGCTAACTTGGCAAACAGGCAGCACAATCAACCGATGGCATGTGTTGTTGCCCACTCCAGTGGCGATAGCTTCCCTCAGCAAGCTGCACCTAACGATGGTGGAATCAACGCCATGAGTTCCCATGAGTTTTCGCATTCAGGACATCAGGTCACGCCGCAGAATGCATTCGATGCAGTGCAAGCACGATCCCACATGAGCACCGCCAGTGGAGGCAATCAAGATAACGCTCATAAGACAACTGGCGTCGCATCGTCTCTCAATGGGGAAAGCAGTTCAGTGCAAGGGGATGTATTCTACGGTCCAACTTGTAACTTGCACGTATCATCCCCGTCAAATGTGGTACGAAGTCTGCCTCGAACTATTCTCTCTGGTCCAGAGGTACATATCGACATAGATTCTCTTCGACTGAAGAACATGCTCCTCAACAACTATTGCAACTTCCAGACTCTGTCCGTCAGCGTCATCCACCGCGAAAGCTTCCTATCACACCGCGACCGTGGTTTGAGATCGCAGCACTATTCTGTATTTTTGGAGAACTCGGTCCTGGCATGCGCCGCTCGACTGAGCACCTCCGCCGCCGTGCGCAGCCTAGCCCCGAGCTATGCTAAACGAGCCAAATCCGAGATAGTCATGGAGCTGGAGGACGCAAACATGGCGACGCTGAGGGGAATGCTGACTTTGAGTGACTTTGAGATGAGCGAAGGACGTGATCGAGTCGGTTGGATGTATTGTGGTGAGTCTTTCGCCGTGATTATTTTTCCGTCTACAATGCTTCATCGTCACCAGACTGACGGTCCGCGCGCGCCTGTCGCAGGTATTGCTTGTCGACTTATTTTCGATCTTGGCCTCCACAAAGGATGGACGGTAGATGGTCAGAATCGCGCCATAGATCACAATCTGGAAGACGACTTCAGCTCCGTTGCATTAGGATGCTTGGTGTACGAGACCCTCTGGAGTTTTTACCTCGGACGACCCGCTCACATAGCACTCTCAAACTTATCCATCCCACTACCTGCTGCTAATATCTTTGAGAGTCCGACACTGAAAGCTTGGTTTGAGTTGAGCCTTCCAATGTCCGAGATTACACTGATCTTGAACGGACCCTCGACTACGATGCACTCGGGAAGCATCAATAGACTCTGGGAACTCCACGAACATCTGACCCGGTGGTCTACATCCCTCCCCGCAGATATTGCTCTGGACAGCAGCAAGATATCCGCATTGGACCAAGCCGCATACGGACTTCACATGCAATACCTTCGGGTTCAGATGTTGTTGCATTCCATTTCACAATCCAACCATAAATGGAGTAAACAAGGTGATGACCAAGAAGAATCCGAGCAGCAACAACCAGCATCGGAGTCAATAGTGATGGGCAGTTGGACCTTCGAATCTTCCCGACGACTGGTACATTTGAACGCGATCAAGATTGCCCAGCTGGGGGCCACCTACAGACAGATATACGGCGTGGAAAACACCCCCTCGGTCATGCTGGACACCCTGTACGTTGCGGCGGCCACGTTGACCTCGTCGGCCCTGCTGGCGTCGGAGAGCTCGACCGTGGACGAGAACGACATATTCTGGCTCCGGACACTCGACGAGATGATGAAAGATTTGCAGGCCCACTTCAGCATCACCGCAAGGATGAGGAGCACTCTGGCCCGGGCGGCGAAAAGCTGTGCGTGGCTGGCGGACGTCTTTACGGACGACGTGCATATCCCATCGGGCATAGATGACAACATCAACGGCGAAGATGTCTCCTCCTTTGCAGGGCCATCCCACGGAGCCTGGGGGACCATGCAAGCCGCCGTGAATGACTTCATCTTTGATCCTAACCTTCTCAGTTACGTCGACTTTGGGATGCTAGATGATGATGGAGAATAGTTTCGCTCAGCACGGAAAAAGGCGTATGCAAGTCAGCAGTGATGGATTTGTTTTGAAATTCGGGTGGAAATTTCCACAGTGGTGAGTTTTTTGGTGTTTTGTTTTTCGAATGTCAAGATTCCCAACATAGCCTATACAAAAGAGTTCACAAAATCAACTTTCGCCTTTCTCGGGACAAATTCTGAGCTTTAAACACTGCAGTAGAAGTACCTTGTTCTATATATGAAACCCGGGAAGTGATCTACTCAAATGCTACATGCGTGTTTCACGCTATAGCCGGATAGAAATCCGAAAATGAGCGGTACCTGGAGGAGAGGTATCCATTGTTGTTCCTCTAGGATTTCCTGCACCCTGAAGGTATCAGAACTGAAAACTTCGGAGAGGGTTGAGCTCGGTAAATTGGGTATTGTCAGGAAGTGTTGGATCGAAAAGTTCAATCACTGCTGTACTTTCACGGAAATGACCTTTGCTTGCTTGGAATCTACCCACGGAAGGGGAGGTTGTCCTTGTAGCCGTACCGTAGATTCGGTCGGGTTTCTATGGACCCACCCGACCACTTTTTAAGTCCGACGACAGCCGTGGTCACTTACGGGGAGTCAGTGGCACAACGCGCGTGGAGTGACTTACAGTACAGTTAATTGTAGATGGACAGATTGGAAACAAGGTTTCTGGTCTTTGCTAGACTGTGATTGTAGCTGGGGAGCTGGTGGACCAGTGTCTATCCCATTCCATCTGATATCCGAACTACCCACACAGCCATACATGTGCCAACTCCGGTCTTGTCCACATCATATGATGGGAGGGGTCAAGTATATTGCATTGTAGGGTAAGGTAGACTTTCGAATTCAGAGCCCGGTCAGTTCTATCGCTGAGTGACTTTTTTAGTCTCCCTTATCACGACATCGTAAGGTTCTTGGATATCTTTCTCTATATGCTATAAGATCTTTTGCCGTTTCCAGAATTCACATTCCAGCACTCGAAATCCCAGCAGGACCAAGGTGAACGACCATTTCGCGCCGTTCAATACTCAATATTCTTGCCTTACAAAGTGAAGACACGGATCTCAAAGAAGCTCTACTCAATTATGGCTGGGCCTCCATCCAGCACGAATGGGGAATCTCAACATGACGAGCCACATGTCAATGGTGTAATAAACGGGCTCACCAACGGGTCATCGACCAAGTTTCATTATGCCAACCACCGTCTAGGACAAGGTCGACCTCTTCGCATGATCATGGTTGGGGCAGGAGTTTCCGGAATTGCCGCCGTCAAATTATACAAAGAAATGTTTCCTGATCGAGACGTCAATCTTACTATCTATGAGAAGAATGCTGATGTGACTGGGACTTGGTTGGAGAATCGTTATCCAGGGTACGTAGTTCCATCATATGGCTCTGACCGAAAGGCTAGCCGTAGCCCTTTTAGTGTCACACACACAGACACACACACACACACACACACACCTCTGCACAATGACTGGAGATCACAGAAACTAACTTATGAATCTTATTTCAGGTGCGCTTGTGACGTACCTGCGCATGCATATACGTATTCATGGGAAGGCAACCCACGCTGGAGTCGGGCTTATGTTGGGTCTGTTGAACTCTTCGACTACTTCAAAGGTCGAGCCGTGGCTTATGGAGTGTCCGAGTTCGTGAAACTCAACCACAAGGTCACCTCTGCCACATGGGATGAACAGAAAGGAAAATGGGTGGTCGAGATCACGAATCTGGAAAACAACACTTCCACCCAAGATGAGGGAGAGATATTCATCAATGGAGCTGGGTTTCTAAAGTATGGTTTGCGAAAACCCCCCATTCTTCCAAAGTCATCCTTGTATCCATCGAAAAAGAAGAAGAAAACATGTCGAGGGGAGAGAGACCTTGAGAAACAACTTGCTTACTTGTGTGGCAGCAACTGGAAATGGCCCGAAATTCCAGGTCTCCATGACTTTCAGGGGAAATTACTTCACTCGGCTTCTTGGGACGACAGTTATGACTTTCAGGACAAGACTGTCGCTATTATAGGTTCTGGAAGTTCTGCCATTCAAATAGTTCCTCAACTTCAACCGAGTACGTTTTGTATCTTGGCCCCTCCCTTTTTTTCCCCTTTCGTGCCCACCACTTGAGAACAACAACAGCGATCCCCATCCTGTCCACATGGACTACAATTCGTTCACCCTTGGGGGAAGAACGTATCATATCTTCAAAAATGCTGACAAGTATTTTTGCAGAGGTAAAACACATGACTTCCATCAACAGGTCCAAAACGTGGATCACTCCTGAATTCGCCGCCGAGTTTGCTCCCGAAGGGAGAACGGCCTTTTTTTCAGAGATACAAAAGAACAAGTGGGAAAAGGACAAGGGCGGGTTTCTCAAGTATCGTAAGCAAGTGGAAAGTACCATGAACAACTTCTTCGCCATGCAGTACAAGGATTCGGATTTGCAAAAGACCGCGTTTGAAAACTTCACAAAGACCATGAAGGAACGGTTGAACAACAGGGAGGATCTCATTAGCAAGATTGGTGAGCCCCCATTCTCTGCCCCATGTACATACGCACACCTGCGAGCAGTCCCTTGATCCAATGTGTCCAGCACTCTCTGCTAGTGCAGAGTTAGAGCGTTGCGTGTGCGTCGCTAACAAAGCATTTTTTTCCTAGTGCCTGAATTCGAGGTTGGATGTCGTCGTGTCACCCCGGTATGTCTTCCTTTGTCGTCTCTCTGAAGTCCGATGTGTAGCCCCAAGGAAGACCTGTTATGAAAAAAGAAGAATGAAAAAAGTGCTGACCTCTCCTCTCTTCGGGCTTTTCACCACAGGGCCACGGATATCTCGAAGCTTTGGCATCTCACAACGTCACCGTCAGGAACGATGAGATCATCGGTGTCGTGCCGCAGGGTCTCAAGATGAAAGATGGAACCATCGTCGAGGTCGAGGCCTTGATTTGTGCCACGGGATTCGATACCTCTTTCAAGCCTGCATTCCCCGTGCTCGGCTACGACAAACAGGACTTGCGCGATCTCTGGAGATCAGAACCCAGATCGTACCTCTCGGTCACGGCGGCTGGAATGCCCAATTACTTTAGTCAGTATACACTCTCGTCAAACCCGTATCTCTCTCTTCGAGGTGATCCACAAGTCACGATTCAAATGATTTGGACAAATTAACAATGAGTTTTGCTAACGACCAAAATGCATGTTCTGTAGTCATCAGCGGGCCAAATTTCCCTCTGGCCAACGGTTGCTTGATCCCCTGCCTTGAAGCGAATATCAAATACGCCTTCACGGCCGCAAAGAAGATTGCGTATGCTAGCATCAAGAGCCTAGCGCCTTCACAAAACGCCGTCGACGATTTCCAAGAGTACAAGGATTCGCTGATGGCGGATCTAGTCTGGACAGGTTCATGTGCATCGTGGTACGTTTCATCTTGTCTACCTCTTTTACACCTCTTTACTCCAGGTGATCTTCCGAGTACTGTCACATGACTCTATTATAGCCCGGGGATTATATTGGCGCTTGAAAGACTAACATTTGCCGTTTTCCTTGATCGTGGTGCAGGTACAAGAATGGTCAGAAGGATGGCAAGGTCTGGGGACCTTGGCCTGGTTCTTCTCTTCACTATCTCGAGTTGATGGCCTCACCTCGATGGGAGGACTTTGACATCAAGTACTTGACGACCAACAGGTTCAGCTTCCTGGGCAACGGCCGGACAAAGTTGGAGGATGAAGAAGGTGCCGATCTTGCGTACTACTTGAAGGAGCCGGGTGCTACTGCACTAGATCGAAGGGAGGACTGTCCAAAATGAGGTTGGACTTATGGACGGAGGCTTGCCCAAGGGCCGTTGACCGTGAGGAATAATAGACAGGCTGGTTTGAATTGGGTCTCGGTTTGCCATGCAATAGATGTAGAGGGACGCAGTAGTATGCGGCATTTACAGCCAGACTCGTCGAGGTCTCTGTTGAACGCCGAGTCCCCGGTCGATATTGCTGAGAAGTACAAATGCTCACCGCCCTCACAAGATCCGTAAGCAGTGACCTTTGGCCGCCAGGTTAAATTTCCCCAGTGGTTCCGTGTTGGTGTAGGTCGGCATTAATATGTTCGTCACTTGCACGAGAAGGATAACCGCAGATGACCTGAACCATGCTCATACTCCTTCAATGTCCAAGCTGGCCAGAAACTTGTCTGTTTGAGCCTTGGCTCTCTGCTCGGCGATGATTTTGCGTCTTTCTTCAATTTCCTTTCGTCGCTGTTCTTTCTTTTCTTCACGTTCCTGACGTATACGCTCAGTCTCTTTTCTTTCCTTCTCCAAGGCGTCCATTTCCTTCTGCCTCTGGTCCGAATCCTGACTAAAAGCGTAAAAGCCGGTGCCCTTCGTCCTGATCTCGGCGTTGGCATCGAAATGCAAATCTGGTGGCGGGGTGGCAGATTTATCACGTTTCTTCGCAATTTCTGCCATCCGATCCGCAACGTCCTGTTCGGGATTGAATGCAGAGTGCTGGATGGTATCTCCGTAGAGGACGTTTGTTGGCATTGAAGGTCTCGCGGACATGCGTTCTTCTTCTTCGGCCGCGTTAGCTTGTACCCTCTTCCTCCTCTCTTCTCGCGCAGCCTGTGCCTTTGTTCCTTTCCGCAACCGACCGAATTCGTCAAAGTATTCAACGATGTCGTCATCATCGGTCCCAGCGTCCTCTGAATCAGAAGCGTCAGAGTCACTGGCTTGCCCTTTTGCTTGAGTTTCGGCCCATTTCCGATCAAAGTCTACAAGTCCTCGCTCGTCGTAGTCTTCTCGACCAATGTATTCACCGCGCTTCATGGCATTGTATAGTCTAACTTTGTCTTCCATCTTCCTCTTGGACCTGTGCAGCTCCGCAGCATCGACGGAGCCGATGTCATCTCTTGTTTTGTGGCGCTGTTCATTATCTTCGAGATCGGCGGCAGAGCGTTTGTTGACGTTCTTGTTGTGCGCTGTGAAGATGTCTGATTTGTCTTTCGCAGGTCTAGGTCGCCCAGAAGTGGACTTGTTTTTTGATGAAGAGGAACTCGAGATTAGTGATGCGAGGTTTGTGGAAAAGGCGAGCGACGTGGAGGAGGATATTTCTTTGGCTTTGGTTTTGGAGGCCTGCTTGACGCCATAGAGCCCGTCGGACATGTTGCTCACCACCCAATAGGACAGAAAGATCCGAATTGGGAGGATCGCCTTGTGCGTCGGTTCAGTCGCATGCTGTACTCGTAGAATCGGTCCAAGATTGATGTGGATGCGATTCGGAGACAGATGCAATGTCATTTGGAGGCGCAAGGCTGTACTGCGGAGATGACAAGGCTGAATGATTGCACTAAACCATGTTAGGCCGACGGCACTGTTGTACACCGTACTGTTACTGCACATAATGAACAATACTTGACTGAACAAGCATTGAGCTACTCATACTCGTACAGTGCACATTGATAGATGGATCTTCGACACTGCACGCAGTTCTACGATACACCACTTGTGATCTATGAGATTATCAACCTCACGTCTACGCTCATCTAGGTAAGGACTCGATATCGGGATCCTTGTGGTGATCTTGGCTGTGATCAGCGTCACATCGGCTTTTGATTCATTTACCAATGACATTGTGTCGGTTGACGGCTGTAGAAAAAACTCTCTGTTATGGCCAATACCCTGTTGATCTTTTATCTTTCCCTTAAACCTCCTCCCCGCTTCACGAATCCCTGACATACGGAAAGCAGAATGTCGACCTCTATGCGCCCAGCCTCGGCAGGCATCTCGCCGCGGCTCTTGATGAGCATGTCTTAATCAGACCAGTCGGCCCTCAATACCGCATGTACCAGAGAAAGCTATACAGTTTCGAGTTCTTTTTCTGATCATAGACAAGGCTCCGCGCATCGAAGATTGGAGCTTTGTAACTCGATCTGATTATTCCACCTTCTCCGAACCTCACCATGGTTGGGTCAAGATCTCTCCGGGCGTACCTCTGGTCCGACAAGTCGCCTGAAGAGAGGAAGCTTGTCCGCAAGGTTGACTGGTTTATCCTATCTTTCTGCTGCTTGATGTACTTTTTCAACTATCTTGACAGGTCGAACTTGACTCAAGCATATGTCTCGGGCATGGAAGAAGACCTTGGTTTCAAGGGCAACCAATTGACCCAGATCACCACCATATTTACATGTGGCTATATAGTGTACGATGTTTGGACCTAGATTATTTGTTCGTGGGCAGAACTAACGCTTGTCACAGTGGCATGGTGCCATGTAACTTGGCTCTTTACTACATCAGGCCGAGGATATTCTTTCCTTCCATGACTGTTCTTTGGGCCGCCCTCACCATGGTCACGGCGGCAGCACGCAAACCTGAACATATAATGGCGATTCGATTCTTCGTGGGTGTTGCAGAGTCCAGTACATTTATCGGCACTCATTACATCCTGGGTTCGTGGTATACCGAGAGTGAGTTGGGCAAGAGAAGTGGCATCTTCACTTCTTCCGGTTTGGCTGGAACAATGTTTGGCGGCTTCATTCAAGCTGGTATCTACAAGAGCATGAATGGTCTTCAAGGACTCGCCGGGTGGAAATGGCTTTTCATTATTGATGGATTAATTACCCTGCCAGTCGCTGTCTACGGCTTTTTACTGTTTCCTGATACTCCCTCAACGACAACCGCGCCATATCTGTCCGCCGAAGAACGAGCTCTGGCCTTGTCAAGAGTGCCCGAAGTGCCGGAGCAAAAGCCAATATCGCTATCGTTTGTGAAGCGAGTCTTCAAATCTTGGCAGTTTTATGGCTTTGTGGTGCTTTGGATCATTGCAGGAGAAACGGAGAGTTTCAGCTCCAATAGTTTGTTGGCATTGTACATGAAAGCCGAGCCGTCGGAAAATTACAGCGTATACCAACTCAACAACTACCCTACCGGAGTTCCCGCCGTCGGCATTGTATCGACCCTTTTCTGGGCCACCCTTACCGATTTCTATGGCGGCAAGAGATATTTGGTGGCTTACTGGATCGCCACCACTGGTATCATTACTTCTGCCATCATACTCGCACCATCGACGACTGTCGCCGGGCATTTTGGGGCCTATTACTGGGCGGGTTCGGTGTACGCGTGCCAAGCAACATTCTTCGCCTGGGCGAATGATGCCTTGAGATATGAAGAAGACTCGCTTCGAGCTATCGTGATTGCATGCATGAATCTTGGAAGCAACGCCGTCAATGCGTGGTGGTCAATTGTCTTCTATTCTGCTGATTTCGCACCCAAATTTACCGTAAGTCATGCATCGTTGTTTTGTCTCCGGAACATGTGACTAACTTGAGTGACAGCGTGGTATGTGGGCCATGATAGCGGTCAGTATTGCAATGGCCATCTGGACATGTGGTTTGCAAATTATCGAAAGGAAGTACAGGAAGACTACGCCCGTTACTGCTGGTGGACAAACCGTATCTGAAGAACTTGAGAAGGAGACAATCAGTGGCGAGGAGAAATTATAGCTGGCTAGTGGTAGTATCTGCGATAGTAACAGTCACTGTTCCAAGAAGAAAGTTCTAGTTTGACTTGAACATACGGATCCAAGAATGAAGTACCTCTAATCGTTGCCCACCATTGTCATCGACGTGATGTGGTTTCTTATCATCTGATTGGTCAGCTCGGAGGGTCGGATGGTCGGATATCATGATGACGGCGCGGAGGAACATTGTATCGACACCAGCACAGACTGTGTATTTAAATATGTCCAGACTGTCTTCACGCTTCTCAGGCTGACACAGTATGGTCATGGAGTCTTCATCTATAGTACCATGGCAGTCACCGATACACCAGAGTCTCTGCGAGGGACCGCCGCGGACCCTTCAGCAGAGGATCTTAAAGCCGCACGCCGGCGCAGAGAGAAACCTCAGTTGTCCTGCAATTTATGTAGAGAACGAAAGTAAGCTGGGCGGCTTCCCCTTTAACATGGCGCTTGATTCTTATTGGCATAGATTGAGATGTGATCGCAAACTGCCCTGTCACAACTGTACACATCGTGGCTTTGCCGAAACGTGCCATTACCCTCATGGCAGGTCTTCCAAATCTTCATCATCGCAGCCACTGGCGCCGCAAGTGCTGGGACCGACCGTTCGTGACCGAGTCAAGCAACTCGAGGATCAGGTGGTGATGCTGATGGACGCTCTGAATGACGCGACGAAAAGTGGTCGGACGAGTGCTCCAATCACTGAGCATCCAGCGACAACATCATCATATCCCGGCACGTCAAGCGCGCAAGCACTTGGAGTATCCGAAGTAGCTCTTCCTGACGCGGCTGGACATATCGAGTGGTCCAATTCGAGCGTAACGTATGTGGGCAATGCACACTGGAGAGCATTGTTGGAAAGTGTATGCATGCCTGCGACACTATTGGGACACACAATGATTGACGCTGCACAGATCCCTGGGTTCCAGGACATGATAGGGGACATCTCTCAGGTACCCAAAGAGGCACAAACTGCAAAGCCACAGATGCCAGGACCACTGTCGGGAATCGTCCAGCGCGTAGACCGTGCAGAGATCATGGCAGCTATCCCTCCCAAAGACACGGTGGATATACTCATACAGGAATCGTTCATCAACACGGACAATGAATGCAGTGAGTTCTCTGTTGATCCCCCCTTGACAAGTATATTGGCTGACTGGTAGTCAGTGATCTTGCATGTTCCAACTTTCCGCAAAGAGGTAGAGATGATAGCTTTCATTTCATTGTGCAAATATCATGCTGACATGAGTGCGCACAGTATCTCCAATTCTGGGACGATCCGGACTCGACTTCAATCATATGGATAGGTTGCTTGTTCAGCTTGATGTGCTTGGCCATACAGTACCAACAATTCTCCTCCGACGAGGCACGCAGGTTACAAGTCGCAACATCCAATCCTCAGCAATTGATCACGACATTCCACATGAGAAGTACCCAGTGCCTATTGTTGGGAAACTATTTGGATGGACCGCCGTACACAGTCGAGACGCTACTGCTCCACCTCCTGGCAGAGTACTTGTCCGGTGACTACACGGAGACGACGAGTGCGACCTATGCGCTCTGGGGACTCATCGTGCGCATCGCCCTGAAGTCGGGTTATCATCGTGATGGCTCACATTTTCCCAATGTGTCCCCGTTTCAAGCCGAGACCAGACGCAGGGTTTGGCTGATGATCGTTCAGTGGGATATCTACTTGGCTTCACAATTCGGACTACCACGAATGATCTCTCGGTCGCAGTATGACACGGCAGAGCCACACAATTTGGAGGGAGAAGATTTCGACACCAACATGGTCGAGTTGCCTCTGGAAAGACCGATATCCGCAAGGACGACGGCTCGATTCCACACAGACAAGACCAGGCTCCTCTCGGTGGCCAACAGTGTCACGGAACTTTGTAATGCACTCAAGTCGCCACCGTTGAATGAAGTGCTGAGACTCGACGATTCGCTCACACAAACTTATGAATCTGTCGCGTCGTTGTGGGAGACGAATGAGAACGGTTCGCCTCTGTCACAAAAGGGTTACATGTACGGTTCATTCTGTAACGTCCGGAGTATGTTCCTGGGTGTCATTTACAGCAGGAGTCAGATCGCGCTCCATCAACGATACCTGGTGGCCGGGAGGACAATCCCACAATACGCGAGATCACGAAAGACGTGTATCGATGCCGCTCTGACCATCCTCCAACACCAGTGGAGGTTGTACCTCGAGACGCAGGTCGGTGGGCCATTGTGTCGGTACGGTTGGAAATTCCTGTCATTGTTGATGCAGGACTTTCTCTTCGCCACGGCTTTTTTGTGTACCGAACTCGCACAGGACTTGTCTGAAGATGGTGGCACCCTATTGTCAACAGCCGACGATCAGGGAGACACCAAAGCTCGGGTGTTCTACTCGTTGAGCAGCGCTTACATCGTCTGGCTGCAGTCGAGAAATTACGACTCATCCCGCGCAGTTCAAACCATCGTCGCGGTCATGAAAGCTTTGTTGACCATGGCACAAGAAGCTGGATTTGGAGCGTTGAGTGCGAACAGTCAACCGTCATTCGCACCATCAGAGACTCTTCCGCAACCTCAGTGCTCGACAACGGCGACACCAGTGTCCCTGGAGTCGGAACAGGGTAGGACAGGATTTCCCGAGACGTATCACAGTATAGGCCATTTTCCAATCTGATAGATGTGAAGAGATGGAAGACGTAGGTATTGCCTACTTGGGTATGACAGAAATGAAGCAGCATCTACTCATCAGCCGGGAGGTTCTAGTCACCTACAGTAAGGTATTGATGGGCATGAAATAATGGGCCTCGTAACGAGTGCTTAGTAACAGTTTCATATGCTCCGGGCTTCAATCACCAAGAGAATTGTATTTACATACCACGGGTGCAGTGATGATTGTCCATAATGTCCATAACCTCCTATGCCCGGCTCGAACAAAGGTCATATTAAATTCAACCGTTCAAAACAAAAAAAAGATTGCAACCGTACTACACACCAACCCTTCGTTCGTGGCCGTGGTCGCCGTGGGTCTCTCTGTCAGACTGATCAGAGAGATCTTGTCATGATAAGGGCGCGCAAGTGGAGAATCAGAGTGATATCGGTCAGCGTACGGAGTACCAAACACTAAACCCGAGGCACGGCCACGAACCAAGGGTTTTTGTATAAGGTACCTAAGATTCCTCATAAACAACAAATTTGCTCACTAGGTAAGTAATATCGTCGTTTATGACGAGAAAAAACAACAGACTTGACCTTTAAGATATACGCGACGGTCTCGACGATTATTTTTGGTCGCACGGAGTGAAAACCTCCACCGACGTGAGCCGAGCATATCAAACTGCCAGATCTGCGTAAACGCTGGGATAGATAGCTACGCAAGGCTGGCTAGAGGAGTATTGAGAGCCAGGGCTCTTGTCAGCTTCACGTCTTCGGCCCAAAGTGCGGCACTTTTCAGGGAGAAGGGCAGGGAAGTGAGCAGAGTGTTACCCTACTCTCAGTCTCGACGGGCTACACGGATCCTCCCTCTTTGCACATATTCAACGAGTATTCGTCGACTTATTCAAGAGCCTCGACGGCCTTTCTGCGCACCACAGTCAGCCATGGCGACCCCAACAGCACCTTTCCAAACACCCCCACCCCTCCCTCCGGGGAAATCCCAACACCACATCGTCGTTCTCGAAGGCATTCACGCCGACATGCCACCTTTCGACTTCCCGCACACCATCGCCATCCACCAACGCAGCACGCCGGCCCAGGTGGCCGAACGGATCCGCGACGCCACCATCGTGGTCGCCTGCGTCGTGCCCGTGACGCCTTCCGACATGGACGGCGCCCCGCACCTGGGCTGCCTGGCCGTCATGGCCGTCGGGATCCACTGGGTCGACAAGGCCGACTGCGCGCGCCGGGGGGTGACGGTGACCAAATGTCCCGCGGGCAACGTCGACGCCGTGGGCGAACACTTTCTGGGCTTGTACTTTGCGTCGCGGAAACGCGTGGTCCAGGTCCACCACAAGGTCACGACGACCGACGAGTGGCGGGAAAGGGGGACGTTGACGAAACTCTGGCCCGACGGTCCTCCCATGGGTTGTCGCCAGGAAGTTTTGGGGATCATGGGCTACGGCACGCTGGGGAAGAGGATCGCACAGCTCTCCGGGGCCGTCGGCTTCGGCGAGGTGTTGATCAGTGAGAGGAAGAACGCCTCCGTGGTCCGCGACGGCAGGGTCAAGTTCGACGAGGTGATTGCCCGGGCGAGCGTGGTCTGTGTCTGTGTGCCCAAGGAAGATGACACGGTGGACCTGATTTCGGAGAAAGAATTCAAGGCGATGAGGAGGGACGCCTTGGTCATCAACGTCGCCAGAGGAGGCATCGTCAACGAAAAGGCTCTGGCGACCGCCTTGAGACAGGGCCGGATCGCCGGTGCTGCGACGGATGTGTTGGAGGTCGAACCTGCCGGCGTGGGATCGGGCCCCTTGACACCGGATGTCAGTAAAGGGGAGGAAGAGGTTCCCAATTTGACGATATGTGAGTTCTGGTCACTAAAATCACCCGTTTTCTTCACTTTCTCTCTTCTGCCTCTATTCCCACCACTTCCTAACCCCTCGAGCATTGTTATTCCGTGTCGACGAGAAAATCAAGACGAGAAGACCAAAAAAAGAAGAAGCCAGCTAATCATCATCCACCTCTTGTGTGTTTTTAGCATCACATGTCGCATGGTTTACACAAACCACAATCGAGACGTACAAACGCCTACTCAAAGAAGGAATCGAGGGCTGGGCCAATGGAACCCTACAAGAGAGCCCCGACAAAGTCAACAGGGTGGTCGTGGTGCATAATGGAAAGGTGTGGAATTGAAGCTGTCTTTCAACAACAACAATCGTCGCCACCACCACCACCACCAAGACGACCCTAGAGACAAGAAAGATTTACTTACAAAAAGATTCTTCTACTTCAGCAAATTACGAGGAGCCGTCGTGGGGGTACATCCTACACGTCGGAAGAGAAAGTGCTAGAATTGGGGCTTGATGAAAAGTTCGTAGAAGGATACAACATGAAAATCTTGTAGAAGGATGGATACACCACCTGGTCGAAATACCGATAGTAATAGAACAAATACCGGCATATAGAGAAGATCAGAAACTGGTAGACTCGCTCTGAGTGTTTGGACCATTGATACATGAAGGGGACCTTTCTATATATCCTAACATTACCCCAGCCGGCTGGTGTACAATGGCTCCCGCCATGGCCCCCTCCCTTTTTTTCCTTGCCGTGATCGTTCATCAGGCATGAAGAACATACATCTTTTACTCCATCGCATCATTCACAACTGATCATCGTCATCTGGATCTGGCATCCCATCCCACATACCGGTATGTGCCGCAGGGGCTACAGCACTGAATCCGTGAGTCTTGACGTGCTGACCTATCTCAAAGCCTTGTTGATCCTGCTCAATCGCTTCCACTTCTTCGTCAGCAACTTCTTCATCGGCAACTTCTTCATCCTCATCTTCCATGTCCTCGTCTTCCTGTCCTCCTCCTCCCTCTTCGCCGTCTTCGCCTTCCTCCCCTTCCCCTTCATCCTCGTCTTCAGTCACGCTGACATCTTCGGCCTCACTTCCTAGCTCCTCAGCAACAAGGTTCTTCCCTTTCAACTTCTTTCTCTCGCGCTCATACTCCTCGTCGTCATCTTCGTCGCTGCCTCCACTTCCTTCACTCTCGCCGTCACTGCCAGGGTCATAGTCTTCCTCTTCCTCGTCTTCCTCGTCTTCCAACTGCTGCTGTGCCTTTTCCAGTTCGGTCCTCGTATCGTTTTCGTCGCCGTCTGCCTCATCGCCCGTAGTTGCAGTTTTCCCTGTCGCACCGGGCGCCTTGATTTTTTGTGCCCTCCGTGACTCGGCCAGAGAAGCATCCTGTAGTCCATGGCGTTTGATGTAAGCATCAATACCCGGGAAATCGGCCTGGTCCAACATGGAGAACTCTACTTCTTGTCGAACGTCATCATCGTCTACGTTTCCATAGGCAATGTTCAGGTTGAACGTGCGCTGCAACACGCTCGTATATGATATTGATGCAATGTCCTCGAACGCGAAGAATGAAAGAGGCTTTTTGAAGCCAAAAAATATTCCATTGTGCAAGAAAAACAGAAATCCGTCCTTGGATCCCCTGAATGCTTTGACGTGGTACGCTTGATCGTTCTTGCGATGTGATTCAGGCTTTGCACTTGCAAATTCATCGGCAGAGGGTAACGTAAGATGAATTCCAACTTTTTCCAAGATGAAGTCCAGCGCAGCATCAAGCGCCGTATCTGGGTCAGGCGCAATCTTTGCAAGGGTGTCGTTGGAGATATGACACGACTTCAGAGGGCCGTGGTTGACCGTCCATATTACAGGCCCCGTGCCCTTCGCGTCTGATTTTGGGAGTAAGACATAGTTGTATTGCTTTGCCGCCTTTTCAGGCACCGGCAGCTTCAGCGCGTAGGCGTATTGATCCAGGGGCACTTCCATATCGACTTCATTGCTCGCAGGGTTGCGGGTATAGACTGCAAACTTTGTGGATGACGCATGGATGTCTGTGCCATATTGCGCAACGCCCAAGTGCAACTTCTTGCGCTGAGGAAGGGAGAAGGACAGATCGCGTGCTTCGAGTAAGACTTCTCGAGGTGAAGAGGTCGGGTTGGAGGAGACTGGTAGAGAACCATTGGCAAGCTTGCGCTTCTTGGAGGCTGGCTCGGTATCGTTCACACCATTAGAGGCTTGAAGATTCAGATGGTACTGGGCAATGTCCTCGAACAAGCCGACATAGCCTGGTGATTCTCCTGTGGGCTGTTAGCCTTGAGACATGTCGCCCAAATAACGACAGATGGACTTGCCGATTGCATCGTAGACTCTTTTCTTCAAAGACGAATTGTGGCCAAAAGCTTGGTCGATGAGCGCTGTATTGACAGTCATGGCGCCTGATAATCTTGTGCAGCGATGTGGAAGAATTTACGAGAATGCTGGTCGCCGGAGGTTGTAGCAAATGATGCAATCAGGAAGAATAATGCGTTTTAGGCGCGTGTGACGGTGCACGAGGCTATTGGTACTGGCGTGTTCCATTTAATTAGTGCCCCTGACGCGTTGGCGCCTTGCTAGAAATAAATTGCAGGTGATTTATTTTATTTGCAGCGTTCTATACCGAGTATGAAGAGTGGCACACAATCACTTTATACCATTATCCTATTGTCATTGTCATAATGTCTCATTGCACCTTCACCTCATTGCTCAGACATAATCTCGAGCATCAAATCTCTCCTTGGGCCAAAACTTTGCCTTGATCGGGTTGCCGTTGAAAATGCGTCCTTCCAAGGCATTGACTGCTCTCAAAGCACTGAGTTGACTAACAAAGTGCACAAAGACCAGCGCATCTTCACCTTCAGTCTCCGGCCGATGAATGTAGACGCGCTCGACACTTCCATACTTCTCACCACACTCTTCCCCGATTTCCTGCAAAATGCCTCCTTCGCCGCGAGTAAGCTCTTCATCAAGGTCTAGCCCATTCAACATTCCCTCCAGCCGAATGACTTCTGACATGGGTCCGAATTTACCCTCTTCCTCTGCACGGGCAGCCTTGGATTTATTGCCACCAAGAATCTTGCCTGTGCTTGCCGGAGTTGCATAGCCACCACCTTCGGCGTCAGGCTTCTTTTTACGCTTATCCGCCTTTGCGTAAAGTGGGTTGATGATGCCAGTTCCTTGAGCACCCAGACCCTGGCCTTTGCTCCAGCCGTATTTGGCCATGAGGCGCTCCGCGAACCCTGCTTGGCCGGGACGGCTTGATCGAGGCTGATCAGGGCCATCATCCTCGCCAGGATTAGTGTCGGCAAGTTTTTCCTCCAGTTCAGCTTCTGTAGCTGGGAGTTCTTCTGGGGCCGCTGGCAAGTTGTACCGCACAGGCGCCCTGGCTATCTGACCAGGTGGTGGATTCACCTCTGGGGATGGAGGTGGCGGCGGTTGCGACGCGCCTTGAGCCATTCGCATCCGACGTAAATATGCGTCCTCGCCAGTTGCATCGTCTGGAACAGGGGCGGGCGGGGGTAGTGGCGCGGGTGAACTTTCGTCGTTGAGATTCGGCGGAGGTGCAAATGACATGGGCGGCGGAGCAAATTGCCCTGCAGTATGATTAGCGATGTGGAAACGAGACTGTTCAGGTGTCTTACGGTTTATGGACCGATAGCGATCTTCCCCATCAGATTCGCTAGAACCCCCCCGCTTCATACGGTGTCTGTATAGAAGATCTTTCCATTCCCTGACCTCGCGAACCTTTTCTTCACTCTGCTTGTACTCCTCGTAATTGTTCGGTCTGCTTGGATCATAAATATCATCCCAATCTTGCACAATTTGAACCGCTTCCTTGTTCTTCTTGCGCTTTTTGCGTCCCCCACGTTGCCGCTTTTCTACAGTATAGAAGTTGCTGATATCTTCGTCATCTGATGCGGTCGCCGTCCAGTCTGCGGCAGTAGTTCTCGGGGCAGATGTGTGTGGTGTAGGCGTGGTTGTGGGCACACTCTCTTTGGACTCGATCTGTGTGGTAGAAGGTGCTGGGGAGGTGGAAGAAGGAGGAGCGAATTTGGCCGCGATCGCTTTTGCCTTTGCTTTCTGGTTGGCGATTTGTGGTCTTTTTGTAGGTTGAAATCTTAAGGAGGCTGTATATCAAGAGAGAAGCGTGGCACATGTGAGCAATCCATTCCGCAAACCTTTAGGTCCTTACGACGATTGATGTACCGGCGAGAGCCTGCTGCTTCTTCGCAGCTTCATCTAGATCAGGCGAATTCTCCGCATTCGCAGAGTAAGACACCGGCGCACTTGAGATCGTCCCTGGCGCAGCGCTTTTGGGGTCGAGGAGGTTGGCGTAAAGCGACAGCCCTCCACGACTCGACCCTGAGGCGTTGTTGGCCGCCATGGTCTGCGCCTCCTCCTCGAACAAGTATTCTTAAGACAGTCCGCTTAAATGTTTCACGACTTTGTGGTTGGCTGCGGTCGGACGGTTCTCGGAACTCTGCAAAGCCTGAGGATGAGGAAGAGGAGAATCGACAAGGGAGGAATCGGAGGGCAAATATGCGTTCACCAATCGGCGAGAAAAGAAATGAACCAGGATGATGCGCGTCCTATAATTTTATCGGAAGCTGCCCAAATCTTGCAGAAATCATCACCCGATATTGACTACGGATACTTGTATGGACTATCAAGATGACACGGTCCAACAAGACTAACCAGCACATTGGAAACGGAGGACGACGGAGGCTTCGTCCCCAGCGCCAGCAGCCTCCGAGATCGAGTATCCATCTTCTATTTCCTTAGCATATCGCGTCATGCGACTCAGTGTCTTTTTTTCCTTCTGCCTTGCGATAGATACTTAGTGACTTGAAGGTCAGGCCCATTCATTGATAACCTTTTTTCAGCTTCATATCTGCCCCCTCTGCGTTCTCACGTATCATCCACGCCTGCAGGGCAGTTTAACCAGTGCACTATGGCCTCAACGCTTGCGACGTCCTTCTCACAAAACTCCTCCGCTGCCGCCGTCATCGTCCCATCGAAACCCAACGCTTTGACTGTTTCCTACAAGCAGTTATCGCAAGACATTGTCAATTTTCAGAGCAAACTCGCCGAGCTGGGAATAGGTCATGCGGACGCAGTGTCGATAGCATTGCCCAACAGCTATGAGTTCATCGTGTCTTTCCTTGCAGCCTCATATCAAAGAGCTATCGCAGCCCCTTTGAACCCTGCGTATAAACAAGCCGAGTTCGAGTTCTACATTGAAGATCTGTCTTCTGCTGTCGTTATTGTACCGAGAGGCTCGTATGCAAAAGGTGGACCAGCAATCAAGGCTGCTCGGAAATTTCAAGCTGCTATCGCAGAGTGCTGGCTGGATGGGGCTACACCAATTCTGGACGTGAAGGAGCGCGGTAAACTGGCAAAGAGACAGGCTCAGAGAGTATCCCAGGCTCAGCCTGAGGATGTTGCTCTGGTGCTGCACACGAGTGGAACTACAGGAAGACCAAAGGCAGTTCCTCTGACTCATCGGAATCTTACCAGGACGATGCTCAACATACAACGCACATATGAACTGACGTCCAACGACCGGACCATGCTCGTAATGCCTCTTTTCCACGTTCACGGCCTTTTGGCTGGGTTCCTCGCTCCACTGAGGTCAGGCGGGTCAGTGGTTGTCCCTGCGTCATTCTCTGCCCGATCATTTTGGGACGACTTCATTACTCATAAAGCCAATTGGTACACTGCTGTGCCTACGATTCACCAGATCTTGCTCAAGAACCCGCCCCCAAAGAGCAAGCCCAAGATCAGGTTCATCCGATCATGTTCTTCTCCGTTGTCACCAAAGACGTTCTATGAGCTTGAAGCCACATACGGTGCTCCGGTGCTGGAAGCATATGCAATGACAGAGGCAGCTCATCAGATGACGTCAAACCCATTGCCTCACAAAGGCAAAAGGAAGCCCGGGACTGTGGGAGTTGGGCAAGGTGTCGAGGTCAAGATCCTAGATGAGCAAGGAGACGAGGTGCCGCAAGGGGCGGCTGCCGAAATCTGCATTCGGGGAGACAATGTTACCAAAGGCTACATCAACAACGAGAAAGCCAACAAAGAAGCATTCACCAAAGGGGGCTTCTTCCGGACAGGGGATCAGGGCAAGAAAGATGAAGATGGCTACGTGATCATCACTGGTAGAATTAAGGAGCTCATCAATCGCGGAGGAGAGAAGATCAGCCCCATTGAGCTGGACCACCTTATCGCCACAAGTCCCGAGGTCGGAGAAGCTGTCAGCTTTGCGATTCCATCAGAGCTCTATGGACAAGAGGTCGGAGTTGCTGTCGTTCCCAAGCCAGGAAGGAATGTTACAGAGGATAGTATTGTCGAGTACGTCGGCAGCCGGACCGCCAAATTCAAGACACCGAGTCGTGTCTGGATATTGAAAGAAATACCCAAGACAGCTACTGGGAAGATTCAGCGACGGAAAGTCGCTGATTCCTTGCTGGCTAAAGATAAACCAAGAGCAAAACTTTAGATGTAGACGTAGATGCATTGTACATAAGGTTATATAGACAAAGATCTTCTCAAGAGATGATCGACTAGCGTTTAGCGAGTGCAAATGGTCGACCGAGTGTTCATGCGAACTCGGTCATACCAAACTAATAGGACCCTCCACCTTGGGGGAATTGTTGTACTGTTTGATCCCACATTGCGCCTTGTGTCGATGGGGTCGACGACGGTGGGGAGCATTTTCCCACCTTTACTTCCCCAGGTTCGGACTTCACACTTGATTCCCCTGCACGAGCGGTTCTAAGAGCATTTATATCCCATGTCCCCCGCTGTCCGTTGTGTTTGTCGACCTCGACTTCGAGTGGTGCCAGATCTAAACTCCTCTCATCCGCGTATTCAGCTCCCGTCGGCGCTGTTCAGCCGCCGTACCCCAACAACTCCTACCACAAAAGCACTACTGTCCTTTGCCAGAATGTCTAGCACTTCTACAAAGGAATGGCTCGTCCACGTGCCAGACTTCCCTGGCGCTCTCGAGAAGCGTCTCGCCGCTCGACCGACACACCTGGGCAACCTCAAACCGGCGGTCGAGGCAGGAAAGGTGGTCTTTGGAGGAGCAACGCTGTCCAAACAGCCCGCTGATGGGGCAGCGCCAGACATGACGGGTAGTGTGATGTTGATCAAGGCCGATACTGAGGAAGAGGTCCGCAAGGCGCTCGAGGAGGATCCATACACGGCAGGCGGCGCATGGGATGTCAAAAACGCGACCATCTGGCCGTTCAAATGTGCAGTGAGGACTGCCATGTAAGCAAGGGGGGCCAAGATGGGCACGGGGCATTCATGAAAGACGACGAGTGACGAGCCATGGCAACTTGATCGAACAAGGGATGAGTTTTCCGACTACTTGACTCGAGGCCTAGGAGAAATGAGCGCCGCAGTCAAAGATGGGACACAAGAATATGGGAAAAGATCCAATGGAAACATAACATGACCGGGATGTCTCCTTGAAGCTGAGTCCTATTTTCTTTCTCGATGGAATTCTTCGTCGAGGCTAGCTGCATGGCTGTTTCCGGGGCAAAGGGGGAGTTACACCTCATGGTTGGTCTGAATGAAGATGTTGTTGCCCCGGGACGCGAGATTCTCTGTCCAACATTGAAGATCTTCAACAAGTCAAGGGCCACATTTCAATCATTATGAAACAGTTGATATCACTGATAAATACCAGTGAGCGGGACTGATTCAGCAACATTGAATATAGTGAATTGGATCGTGGTTGGTGACGTTGCGCCGCTGTCTGTTTCTCATTCTGCCGTTGTCATTCCATTCCATGCACGTTGCCGGGTGTTTTCCTTTTTCGTTTTGATTTCTTCACCTGATCGACCGAGCAAAAGGTACAAGTCAAGTCAACTTCAGTCTACAACATCAACTACTTTCTCTCAGTCCAAACATCTCTTTCGCTTTTTCTCATTGCTGTCTACCAAGCCATTCACCCTCTCATATCATCAGCGATTTCAAGACCCAAAGAACTTTATCACACTCTGCATCGAGATCCATCATAACACCAACAAGATGAAGCTGCTCACAATCATTCACTGCCTCACGCTCTTTGTTCTGCAGGTCCTCGCTCAGTACTCGAACAATGCACCCATCACCGAGAACAATCCCATCAAAGCCACCTTCCAGGCCATCCTCCAAGTCGACAAGCCGATACAAGGTCAGATCACCGGCGTGTCCAGCGACAACGGCACCGGTGTAAACTTCAACGTCAACTTTTTCGATTTCCCAGATGCTTCGATTGGTCCATTCTGTATGTACTATGACAATATTGCTTTTTCCCTTCCGTCCTCGCCCATTCACCCACTGTTTGTCTATGTTTGTCTATTAGGGTCACTTCATTTACTGACCACATCAACTTATCATATTTGTTCAGCATACCACATCCACGTCGACCCTGTCCCCAAAGACGGCAACTGCACGGGCACGGGAGGCCACCTCGACCCTTACGACCGCGGCGAGACGCCAGCGTGCGACGCTTATGAGCCGTCGACATGCCAATGCGGTGACTTGAGCGGCAAACACGGTCCCATCAACGACACTGCAACCGAAAAAAACTTCCAAGTCACCTATCTCGACCTCTACCTCTCCACGCACCCCGAATCCCCGGCCTATTTCGGCAACCGAAGTGTCGTCATCCACGCCGCAAACGGGACAAGATTGAATTGTGGCAACTTCACACAGCAAGTGGCTACAAACGTAACTACGGGAAATAATAATAGTACAGGTACTGGTTCCGGTAGAAGTGGTGGGAATGTGACGACCTCGAGCACTCCTCCGCTCGTCACACAACACGGTGGTGATGCGGATGTTGTCACTCCGGGTATGGTGTTTGGGTTTGCCGTGGCTGTGGTTGTCGCTGGGGTAATGTCTCTGCTTTGAGCACAGCATCCTCGCCGTCGAAAAAGTATCACGGCCTTGGTGACCCTGATCTGCGGATAACAACAAGGGCAACCTGTGTCCGACGGCGATGGAAACAAACCAACTCCATCATATGATGCCAGAAATACATTTCCATCTCGACTGTTTGATCCAGACAAAAAAAGAGCAACAAAAACAACCAGTGATTTACTACGAGCTTTGATGAGACATTCGAAAAAGATCCCAGCAGGAAGAAGAACAGGCCAATAAGTTGTGTACCAAGTACCCAGGTAGTCAGTAGTAATACAAATCAAAAAAAAAGATCTGGAGATCCCAACTTCTGATCCATGTTCGGTGTCTGTAATAGTATTACTCGTTACTCGTGATTCATTTCATATATACATCCTTTTCACAATCATTCGACATTGACCCTTTTTTTCTGATGCTTTGGTCCACCTCGCAGAGATGGCCAGACCGTAGTTCTTCATGTTTCAAGAAATCTCAACTCAGCCTCTGCAAGAAACCCATGGCGATCAGCCTCTCCACGTCCGCCTGCCGGACATAGAACTGACTGTTCTTGGTCAGATTGATCGCTCCGTACTCGGTCTGGATCTCCCCGGCGTCCTTGAGCACCCGCACGTCGATGAACAGATCCCTCGGCGGGTCCAGAGTCCCCGTCAGGTCGACATCCGTCCATTGACCCTTGTACTGGGCCAACAAGTCGGTGTATTTTCGAAAGTAAGATTCTTCTTCCGGACTCAGTGCATTTTGTTGCGACGAGCTTCCTCCTCCTCCTCCGCCTTGGTCTCCCGCACCACCAGCCCTCATCGGGTCCTGCTGTTGCTGATGCTCGTCAATGTCTCGTCCCTCCCAAGCGAGGGACTCCAGCTTCTCGGCCCGCACGCGGTGGTAGGCGAGGAGACACCTCTTGTTGCGCCGCATCGAGAGGTGGTCGACCAATAGAGCGCAAGCGGTCTCCGGGTGGTCCACAGGGTTGAAGGTCGATTGCTGAGTCGACGTCGGGTTGCCGTCCTCGTCGACCGTCGAGACGGTGGTGGTGTAAGGTTCGAGGAGGCGGGTGACGTCTCGGTCGAGGTCGCGCGTCTCGCGCACGCAGCCTCGCACGAGTTCGGTCTGGTAGGGTGGGAGCGTGGGGAGGGTGAGGGTGCGTTTGGCGTGTTGGGCCTGTTTGAGGTAGTTGTGTGAGAGTCTGTGTCAAGAGAGAAAGTAGGAAGCCATGTATAGAGAGGGAGAGAATCGTGAGTGGGTTGCAAAGTGCATGTGCAGGTGTAGAATCACGACGAGGCCCTTTGAAAGATCCAGAGAGGGGCATTGGAGTACACATACGAGTTTTGTACCTATGTCGCCGTACATGATCAGTGTCTACATAGAATCCAACGCTCTTTTCTGTGGCGAACTGTCACGGGTATCTCAAGGGAGGGCGAAAGATGGTGGGCGAAGAGGTTGATGTCGTGGAAAGATACTGGTACGCACAGTACGAGTTCTCGATGTGGTCGCGACCGCGTCGGAGCTCCGCCAATCAACCATCGCTATTTCGCGGAGCCTCGTAACCCTTTATCACAGCCTTGTCACCAGAACTCCCCCTTCTTGTTCAGCTTGATGGGACGAATGTTTACAAGAACCCAGGACTGTTGATTTTGAAGGATGAAATAACACTATTTGAGTTAAATTTTCAGCCTATATAGACCTCTACTGTTTTCTCGTATTCATTTCGTTGTCTACACCCGGTACCCCGGTGTTTCTAGTCCCTCTAATCATTACTCACGGATTAATATGAACAGGTCATGATCCACGCCACTCTCATGAATGCATCAGGAATATGTCGGTCACGTTGCAAGGAAACAATCCTACGAAGAGAAGTCAGTAGTCTGAGAACATTTAAAATGCTGGTCAACATTGCCCGTCAAACCATGTCAGTGTATGAAGCCTGGGATATACTCGAGTACTACATGGAGGGTTCAACACCACACGAGGATCTTGAAAACTCATGAAACTGAGCAAACCCGAATGCCCGGAGATATACAGCGATCCGAATGATGGGAAAACTTCCATCAGCCACGTTCGAGAATTCTGTGGTCGGATACTCGTAGCGCGCCGGCCTCAGAGCAGCCGTGAAGCAGCAGTCAACGCCGGCTGGGGACGGACTACAGTTCTGGGCGAATTCATGAAGTCAAGTTTAGCCGGTAGCGGGCCGTCTGCCGTTCGCAGCCGCAATTTCTCGGCTTTCAAAAACAGCTGTGAATACTCGGCTCTGGGTTCCATAGTGACTGCCCATGCAATGACGATGGATGCAAGAATGTCAACAACTCCCAACTGTTGTACCATCAGCACAAATAGTCGTGTTGAAGCGAAAGTCACCCTTGGAGAACAACATGCGGCTTTTTCGGAGATTATGAACGCCAACGGTCGGTTTCATGACGATCATGCCAGCATCCGCTGTCATATGAGTCGTTCGTCGCACAACGAACTCGTGGTAGCCAATTAAATGAAAACATCACCTGGTACGTATCCATCCGGTCAAGATCCTGATCAGTCCAGATTCAATGTCGACAGGGTTCGATACAGTGATTCTGGGATGGAGACCGCGCTGTAGTCGCCGAAAGCATGCGTCGCTGATCGTAAGGAATGTGGCTGGCGGTCCAAGCGCTGATGTTTGGATCGCTGGCGCGAATATACCCTCTCGAAAGATACTCCCTTTCACCACTCTGGAGTTGAAACCTGTTTTTCCTGCTTCTTCCTGAACGAAATATCTTCCACAGACAGAGCTTGTAGCCATGTTCCAAAGTTGTGGCTGGCACATGGCTTTTCATGACGTGTCAGCCTCATGGGATTCATCATGAACGGGGTATCCACTCTCCGCAGCTCTACAGGGGAGCCTTACCACGTACGCTATACCACCTTACCGCCTGCCTGTTCAATCTGCAGATTTTGCAGGTCTCTGGAGGCCATGGCGGTCTTGGAAACGTTGATTGCTTTCATCAGTCCGGAAACAAAAGACTTCTCTGAGATAAACCCGGCTTTATGTTGGGTGTAGCCGCATGCGGATAGTCTTGCTTGAGGCGTTCAGTGTCACTCCGAACGCGACATGGCTGAGATCTTCATGAATGATTGATATGTTGGCTTGTTGTAGTCTTTCTTTTCCTGCTCTTCTTGCATCAACAAAGATCCTCATCCCATCCAAAGTATCAAGGTTGAAATTGCTTGCCATCGTCTCACGGGTAATTGAGACAAAGCCACCAAGACCTAGCATCATCAGCTTCAGATCTGGAACATCAATCCCACTCACCGCAAGTAGCAGAGTCTCGCAGATCCTGCAGCATACCGACACAAGACTCCTAGCACGTACAGCATCCTCTCTCGTCCTGCGCCGGGTTCCTGCAACGATCCATAGCAAAGCTGGTGGTTGGAACCTTCATTGCCTTCAGTAACGACAGTGCTCTTTCATCAATTGTCCCCTCCGTCAAAGCACAACCATCATAATAAAGCATCATCTCATTGTCAAGCAATCCATTGCAACGGCATCCGACAGCTCGCAAACGAAACCAAGTGCCAGAATCAGACCACAGGGCTCTTTGACCCGAATACAAATCTAGAAGCACGTCTTAGACAGCATTCAGCTCTCCAGAGTGGTCAACCGGTGTCCTTCCTGTCACCATACAAACGCTTCTGGCCTCTTCTCTGCTGCGACAATCGACGGAGCAGGTCAGGCTCTTCTTGATAATCCCGCAGCCTGTCAGAAAGGCTTCGAAATTCAGTAAAGCCACCAGCCTCCATTGGCCTTCAGCAACAGCCACCAGCATCAATGACCCAAAACACTCGTCCACCTTCACCACCTCCTTCGGCAGACGGCCATTACCACTCAAGCGACAATAACCGAAGAAACCCAGTGATCGCTCCAGCCCCGGAGCAGTTCACGCCGCCTATGCACGGCAGGTCAATCATGACAGAGATTATGCCGGCATCGCCGTTCGTAAGTCATGCTGTCGTTCATTCCAGGGCAGATCCCCGCACATATAGAAAGCAACTTACTCTGATAGGATCCATATGGCGACCCTTCGCTTTACCACACAGCACAAGCTCCAATCTACTACACTCCACCAAGAGTAAGTTGAAAGAGATGCAGCTGTAATACTCGTACTGACATTGATAGGCCATGATTACATCCATGCCTGCGCATACTCCCCCTCGCACTATTCATGAAGCCGGCATCCAAACCCGCAGTAGTCGAGCGTTCGGTACTCCATCAAGCCCAAGCGCTATCACGAACTCCACGCGTGCCTCGGAGTCACCAATCAGTCGACCCCGGCGCAACTTGAAGAAGAAGCCAAGCAAGAAAGGAGGACCCGTGATTGAAGAGCCGCTCAGCATCTTGACAAAGGACTACAAAACACCAATTCGCGATATGTCGCTGTGGGTGAACCGATCGGTGCAGGAGAGAATGGCAGAGGTAGAAAGAAAAAAAGGGTACATCTCAAGGCCAATGAACTCCTTCATGCTATACAGATCTGCTTATGCCGATCGAGTCAAGCAGTTCTGTAAAGAGAACAATCACCAAGTTGTGTCGCAAGTGACTGGTGCGAGCTGGCCACTGGAACCCAAAGAAGTCAGGGATTTGTATGAGCGGTTGGCTGTTCTTGAGCGCGACAACCACCAATCAGCACATCCCAATTATAAGTTCGCACCGAACAAGGCAGCAAAGCGACCGAGGCGTGATGAGGATACCGATAGCGATGGTGAATGGGAAGGCTCCAACAGGGGCTCCAAGCGAGGTCGGCACATTGCCAGGAGAAGCGCGTCGTCCACCCCCTTTGATGACATGCCCAACTACACTCATGCTGTACCAACACTGAACCCATCTGGGTATGAGTATAGCAACCCATACGGACCAGCACCCATAATGGTCGGGCCTTATGGTCTGTCAGGCGATTACTACCAGACAACAGCCGCGCCCTACTCTGACCAAGTCAGTGACCTCAAATATCACAAGATGGTCGACCCATTCCCGCAATACCAAACAGCCATGGGACTCGTCGGGATGCCGAACACTGCTCATCACGAGCTCTTGACATCATATCCAGGCCCTGCCGCACCGAGTCAGATCGACATTCTGGACCCTAGACTTGGCCAAGGCGATTCAGACTTCCACTTCGGGTACTATGATGATGGTATGACATTGGGACCGGACGTTGCAAGGACCATCACATATGAGCCCGCTCAGCCAGGAGCTTATCAGCAAGAGCCATATCATCCGGGATTGGCGACTTTGACGGAAGAACACGACTTTGGTGCAGGATCTGATTTTGAAACTGAATTCAAAAAGCTAGGATGAAGGATGAGCTTCTTTAGGATGTTACTGATAGCACTTGGTGCGGGTGTTTTTCACTTTTGCATAGCGATGGGCACTGAGTGTGGATGCTAGACCTGCATTTTCAGCCATCGTAATGGTTGCTGTAATCAACATCAACTTGACTTTGTTGTTGTTATCAAAGAACACAAGGTCGGAGGCATGTAGCATAAACACTTCCCTTGGTTAGGAGTTTCACAGAATTCATGAGGAATTACATCGCGCCATCGACCTTAGACATTGTAGAGACATGTGTTGATGTGAAAGAGAGTATTGAATTCGAGACTCGAACGCGTGAAGTCCAAGAAACTCGAGAATGCAAGCGGAAAATGCAGTTGCATATGTGGTATTGTGTTTGACCGTATACTCCGGATTGTCTACGGTGGATCGAGGAGAGATTTCTTCTTATGTACTTCGACTTATCTTCAATTTGTGAAGGTCAAGTCCTTTACCTACTATGTATCAAGGGATCTTCATGATCGACAGCCCCAGGCTCCCGTTGCTTCAATTCGGCCCTCAAAGTGCTGTACTCTGGCTTATCAACTTTACTTGGACTGGCTGAGACCGATTCTCTGCCAAAGGGATGCTTGACTACAATTTCGACACAATACTCAGCCATGGTTAATTGTTATCTCAGATGTCAAAGGCTGGTGTCAGTCAAGCTTCAGGCCGGTGGACACAATGTCAATGGGATACGAGGTGATATTTCCGCCGCCGAGAAGAGTTCTTTGGCCAACGTATATAAGTCCTGGGTAACGGAGCACAGTTGATCTGTCAACACCAATACACTATCAGTAATGTCACCGTCTTTTGAATTTGTTTGGTCGAACCAAGGCGAGTATTCACAAGTATTGATGTTTCGGTGTCCTTCGATACTGAGTTAGGAGATCGAAGCATGCCCCAGCCTTGTGGTTTGCTTTGAAGAAGTCATTTCTTCGGCAGTTGGTGACCGAGACGCGACTTGGAACTCAGAACGGCTGGAGGGTCGGTCATTGCAGTCCGAAACCTTGGCCTCCCCTACTGGCTCCATTGTATCTCCGGAATTTGTAAAAAGCAGGCGAAGGCAATGGTCTTCTGTTCTAAGCTACCTCTGTACGAGCAGGAGGTGGTGATCTGATCTTGACCCATGACAACGTGACAAGCATCAAACCTTGAATACGACAGCTCAATACCGGTGGCAAACAATACAACGCATCAGACATAACAACACACTGCATCATTACCTCGTGTGATGCAAGGTCGATATGATTGTGGTCAACGCTTTTCAGCGCACATCATTTGATAACGCTATGGGAGTCAACTGACATCGCATCCTCTAAGCCACCCGTTCTTTCAAGGTCAGTTCGACTCGCCTCTATGCAACCATGTTGCCGACATCAAGCTGTCACCCTAAGCATTATATTCGAACCCCTCAGATTTGAACAAACAGCGAAATCTCGTTTAAGTTCTGCAGAGGGGCTTCTAAAACCCCTTCACTCTCGAGGACTCTTCTCGGGAACTTATATGGGCCAGTTCTTTCTCCTTGTCAGACAAAAAGCTAGCCTTTGCCCATGTGCTACCTCATTGGTAAAGCGTCACCTCCAGTACCTAGGCTTCGTACTCGATCACAAGAACTGGCATCGATCATGTACAGTACACTGCGGGGACATGTATTGCACAAGACATCTTCTCCGCACGTGAGGTTCTCATCCCTCCCGCTATTGACACCCATAGCCGACTTCCGAGGCGAACAGGTCCAGAGGAGGATCAATCCAAGACCGGTATTCCATCCCCGCATTAACTTCCCCAGATCACATATCTAAACCTTTTATCAAGACCTCCACTCTAAACTATGAGAACAGCACCCCTATATGTATCAGTCTCTCTCTGGAAAGATATAGCGATTGACAGCGTAGCCTCTACTTAACTACTGGGTTGACATATCTGTCTCACTCGCTCACAGATCAGCAGAAATGCCGCTCATACGCGATATCGCAGATGTGAATGGAGATGCTAAGAACCCCACGAATGGAGCTTCTACGCGTGACGGTGCCTCTGACGAAGGCGAAGTTCTGGATATGCTTATCGTTGGAGCTGGGTTCGCTGCTGTCTACTTGATGCATCAATTGAGACAACGAGGCTTCAAAGCGAAAATTGTCGAGGTATCTATTCTTTGTGGCTGAGTGCACGGCTCGATTTGGACTAATCTTGCACTTTAGGCAGGCTCAGACTTAGGAGGTATTTGGTACTGGAATCGATACCCTGGTGCACGAGTCGACAGTCAGTACCCTGTCTATGCTCTCTCGATCCCAGAGGTCTACAATGATTGGACGTGGTCTTCGCACTATCCAGACCACGCCGAGCTGCGTGAATACTTCCAGCACGTCGAAGACCGTCTCCACATCAAGAAAGATTGCGTGTTCAATAGTAAAGTGGTCTCAGCCGGATGGGATGATAGCAGCTGCTTATGGACCATCACCTGTCATACTGGGATGGTGTTCAAGACAAAGTTCTGGACGGCGTGTACTGGGTTCGCAGCAAAGAGGTACATCCCAGACTGGAAAGGTATAGAAGATTTTCGAGGCGTTATTCATCATTCGAGTTTCTGGCCCAAAGAGGGTGTCGATGTTAGGGGCAAACGGGTCGCGGTTATCGGAACAGGAGCAACTGGGGTTCAAATCACTCAGGAGGTACGTCTATTATTCCGCTCCCGGGACCTCAAGGCTGACGGAACGGACATGATAGTGGGCTAGAGAAATTGGGGAAGATGGCCACCTTGAGATGTGGCAGCGAACGCCGAATTTTGCATGTCCAATGAACCAACAATTCCTGACAAAAGAGGAGCAGGCGAAATTACGAGATGGCCTTGCTGCACGATTCGCGGAGCGCAATAACTATTACAACGGGTTTTTGTATCAGTGGCGCGAAAACTTGACCTTCGACGACAGCGATGAGAAGAGGGACGAATTTTACTGGCAGCTATGGAAGATGGTGCGTATTTCGATGATACCCGGAAGTTGATACTGATTTAATAGGGTGGCTTTCGCTTCTTGATGAACAACTACTACGACATGACGCGTAATGCCGACGCCAACCAGATAGCATACAATTTCTGGCGAGATCGGGTCAGAGAGCGTGTGCGTGATCCAAGAAAGCAAGAACTACTCGCACCTTGGGAGCGTCCGCATCTCTTTGGAGGCAAACGACTATCCCTGGAGCAGGACTTCTATGATCATTTTAACAAGGTGAGATGGCGGAGCATCCATCTTGCTATCGCAAAAGATCTGACTGAAACCTCAACAGCCGAATGTCGATGTCGTTGACGTCCGTAATAATCCAATCAAGTGCTTTGTGTCAGACGGTATAATTCAGGAAGACGGTACATACCATAAACTAGATGTTGTCGCTCTTGCAACAGGTTTCGATTCCATTACTGGTGGTTTGAAAGACATCAAGATTACTGGTGTGGATGGCGAAGTATTGACCGATAAATGGGCTAAAGGCACGTGGACGTATTTGGGTATATCGACCGCGAGGTTTCCTAACTTCTTCTTGTGAGTGTCTCCCTGTCTTTTCTAGCCGCCTCCACAAGCATCAGGTTGCCTGGAACAATAGACACTAATGTCACTGTAGCACATACGGCCCTCAAGCACCAACCGCATTCTCGAACGGTCCATCATGCATTGAGATTCAAGGTGATTGGATAACGAGTGTTCTTAGTGATATGAGAGGCAAGGGATTGAAGAAGATCGACGCGAAGAGAAAGGCGGAGGAAGACTGGAGAGCTCTCGTCTTTGAGCTTATCAATGACACACCTCGTGGTAAGGTAGATTCATGGTACAACGGGGCCAATATACCAGGCAAGCCACGCGAGCATCTAAATTATGCCGGTGGCATTCCCAGGTATAAGAAGACACTCGAGAAGGTCAGGCAAGACGGATATGAGGGGTTTGTGGTTTCATGATTGAGCAAGTGTCTGGTTCTTAGATCTAAGATGTATTCGTGTCGTCCGCCTTGCGATGTTATTGATGTTTTGCAATACTTGCTGTCGCCGGACCCTTGCTGCGCCTCAGGAGTCGACTGCAGTAGCTTGGGGAGCCCTAGGCGTGATGGAGTACGGACAGACTCCACTGGAGACGTTACTGGGGCCGGAACTGACAGCATGTCTCTCAGCCTTTACGGAGTACATGGTGGATTGTAAAGTATATGAGAATCCTTGTCGATATGAATGCGTCGTGTATTTGTATCCTAAGCGCATCTGAATGGAAGATCATGAAACGACCAACGCATAGGCCCGTGCATTGGTGCCCCTCTGCCACGTACGTCGACGCTTGGGAAAAGACATGTCTGACAGTCATAAAGTCCCCTAAACGGTAACTCTGCTTTGGTCAGACTGAAAGCATTTTGCCTTTAGCTCCTACATCTTTCTGCCGACTCGTCACTGTTCTCGAACTCACATATCACTCTACCAGTGTCGATACAATTCATTCCTGCTGTCTCGTATACGGCATCTGCAGAGCTGGACGTTACTGTCTCGGCCTCCTGCCGTAGCTTTCCCCTCAAAAAGCTCACCAACATCATGGATCGTCACAATTCATCAGTGGTACTAAATAGGAGAGGTTTTGCTCCCTTGCTTGTCTCTGATCACGCCTCCAAGACGTCGCCCAACTCTCCTCTCGCGAACACCGTACACGATCGCAGAACATTTTTTCATAGGGTCAAATAACAATGGCTTCAGGAACGCATCCTGCGGAGCCCGGACATTGGTTCCTGCGAGGGGTACAGTCCGCATGCTTCTACTACATTTCACTCACGCCATGCCTAGAATTTCAACACAAACGCAAAAGAAAACAGGAGGCTAGAGCGGCAAAGGCACCGCAGACGGATATAGTAACCACACAACCAAGACCCGTGACCCAGCCCAGAGCCTTCGAGACCAATGAAGCGTGGGCGTATGAGTTAATGCTGGGCCCTGGTCCGCCAAAAGGTTGGAAGGGCGATACACTATTGCGGAAATATCAGAAGCACATGGCGAAGAAGGCGAAAGAGTCAGACGAGACCGAAGCAGAGGCGGAGCCTGACCATCCACGGCTACAATCGCAGCCTACAATGTCATCACAAGTGTCCACACAACCTACGTTATCCTCAACACGACCGCCTCCCAGTGCAACCGCGACCACAGTGTCTGACACACAAAGCACGAGTGACAAAGCATCCAATGCCCCAAGTAGGCCTTTCAAGGAGCGGCACCTGTCAAGTGCGTACGGATATATCAAAGACTCTCTGATTGTAAATCTGCATCCCGAAGGATGGAACTGGAAAAAGTACAACCGTGAGGATGAAGATTTGTTTGGGTTTGGCGCAAAGATGAAAGGATTGTGGAATCGTGCAGTATCAAGTGCTCATAACGAGGGTAGTGGAGGCCAGGTCTCGACCCAGCAGCGAAAAAGAGCCGAAACCACAACCAGCGAAGGCTATGATTATCAGAGAGGTAGAAACCCAGAAGTCAACGACTTACACCCTCCTATAGTGTCCCAACTACCAGCCACAAGTGCCGACGCTCGCTGGATGCTACTGGGTCCACCATCAGGCGACGTGATGATGGGTAGGAAACAAGCGACAGAGGAACCAGAATGGCGATGGCCAATGGCACTCCTTGGCGGGACAAAGGCACGCACCTTCTTTGACGAGGACTACGAAGAGCCTCCCTTGAGGATGACACGATCAGTCCAGCAGCTGGACGCAGTGGGTGTTGACAAAGACACCGCAAGTATGCAAAGCATCATCAGCGACATGGACGAAGCCTGCAGCCTCGATGAGGGTGATGAAGAGGGCCCAGAAGTCACCAGTATAACGAGAGTCAAGCATATGTCGGATCCTGTCATCAGGCCACCTCCTGTTCACCCACGCCCATCTGTCGTGGATGACCTATTTGTCCTGAAAAGGAGAGGAAGTTGGCAATTTCACTATATTGTTCCTAACAAACCGACCGTCTGGTGAAAATCCAGGTCACGAGTCAACACTCCAAAGCAAGTCATTCTTGCATGGCTTGTGAATCCTTTGACAACGACACGAGCTGCTTCCAGCAGACTGGGCTATTCGAAAGATTCTTGATTTGTTTTTGGTCACTATGAGATTGATGATTGAATGAATTTGCCATATTTGCAGCAAGGAGTTTGGGCCATTGTAGAAGCGTTTCAGGGTGTTTGAAATCGGCATTTATACAGTCAGCATGCATTCAGCGGTCTCAGGAGCATGAGAAGCCGTATACAGATGGATCGATTCACCAGGGGGAATGTTCAGGGTCACTGAGAAGGAGTACAAGGAGAGAATCGGGGTGTGGTCATATAGATGTGTCCTCACCTACGAGTATAGTACATACTCCGTACGGAGTACCTAGACAGGTATTCACTTTTGTCCAAATCCATGACGCCGAGATTCCACCTGCATTTCGCTTAACCATGACTTTGAGGAGTAGTATTTGGTGATTGGGTATCTGATCGACTGACACGGCTACCTTTGCCGGGAGCCTCACCCGCTTTCAGCCTGAAGATATTGGCAAGCCACTGGCGATCCCTCCTCGGTGGACCTTGAAGTTGTATGGTATTGATTTTTTGAATTTACTGAGTCAACTCCGTCACCATTTACCGAGTGACAAAAAGATCATTCATCCCAAGTCGGCGACCACTTTTGTAAAGCAGGACACAACCTGTCGCAGATAATGCAGACTACTCCCTGCGCCGTGTCACTTTGTCTTGGTTTCGCAGGCTTGGCCGTAGACCTGATAAAATCGGTATTATTTTTGACAGAACATTCCCACATGGAAAGAAGACACAAATTCGATGCTGGTTGGGCGTGATTTCAGTGCGTGGCGGGCAGGGATCGTAGCCACTTGGGGTGATGCACGGGGCTTCTTTGTGAGATGAGATGGGCGTGGCCTGCCTATCGAAGGCTCCCTAGGCAACCCCTTCCAGGCGCCGGTGGTGGATGATTGGAGATGGCGAGTGCGGAGAAAAGCAGCCTAACAAGGGCCTCAAATTTGGTACAGGGGCCCTAGGGCAAGGTAAGGAGGAGCCGCGACACGCTAATCCCCTTGGAGAAAACAGAGGGTGATGAGGGTGACATCCAGTTAAAAGAGAATCAACCACTCTGTCAACAACTGCTGGTTCCCTTTCCTATCAACTCCGTAATAATGTTCAGTACCATTTCTTCACTCTTCACCTTATAGACCCTTCAAAAAGGGTCTAAAACCATTTGTCGCGTTTGTTTTCTTCTCTCATAAACCAACCTTTATTCCTCCCGCAGCTTGAACATCGTTCCACCAACTTCCAGAGTACGTGCTCCGTACTGTACAAATACATTCCCAACAAGCGAGTGGAACCCCTTCTCTTGTCTGTCACTTCACCCTCATCAGACACTTGGAATTCCCCACCTTGCCGTCACAGATACCTGACCTGACCTGGCCGCACTTAACCTTGTCTTACGCGGCAGTGAACCAGTCCACGCACACAACACCCTTCTCTGGTTGAACAAACAATTTCACCAAGTCCTGATTCAGCCTGGAGAGCTACGTGGATCGTCGCGCAGTTCCACTGGGTTGCCCTCCATTTTAACTCGTCGGCTGCTTGGTTCGCGTCGTAGATCGAACTGTTGGAAGGTCCTCAAAAGGTCCTCAGACATTTCGATCAACACGCAAAGAATCTCTATATCTTCACCAACTCACGCCCACGACATCCTCGCGAATTCTTGGTCAAGCACCGCACCGGCCACCTGATATTCCCGCCGACACTCCTAATACTTGTGAGCCGTTTGGCTCTCGGTCCAAGCTTGCCACGATACTATCCCTTGCTTGGCTGCGCTGATCACCACAAAGAGCCTCCTTGATCAGATCAGAGGTTGGCACCGATCTATCAAATATAGACACATTTTGCTGTTGGCTGTAGACATTATCGATCTGGCGTCACCTAAGATGTGGTCAACTGCTGCCTCTTGGCTTGCGCTGCTCGCAGTCGCTGCAGCACTCACAAGACATTACAATCCAGAATTGTTCAACAAACTCATAGGACATACCGCAGCGAGATCTGAGTCGGTCGAAACGTCGCAGAGACAAGCCAATAAACGGCAGAGAACCAAGCGACAGCAAACCGGTCGACTTGAGCCTGGCAATAGTGGCACAGCTACACCAACAAGTGGTGCAGAGGACAAAGCAAATAAGAGGAGGAAAGTCACAACTACACCTTTTGAAGCACAGACAGCGCACAGCGGACTGGTAGAGCTACCTAAGGAAGAGGATGATGGAATGACTAACAGGGAGTTTGCGCAACAGCTCTCCAAGGCTCAGGCTGGTACAAAACTAGAGCCAGCCAAAGCGCAAGGGCCTAGCAAGAAGGAACGCCGAGCTACAAGAAAGGCCTCGGAGACCAAGCAGAATGATGCGCATGCTCTTGCGACTGACGTGGCTGTCGAAAACGGACACAAGACAGATGATGATGCAGTGCCAGAGCCTGAACCTTCGTCTTCTCCAGCATCAACGGGTGCACCAAAAGCATCTGGAGATGTGTCAGATATGCTAGAGGCACCAGCTGCGAAGCCGACAAGCCTGCGATTGACAAACGTCAAGGACGCTGTGGCAAAGAACGTCACCAAACCCATTGCCAAGGCATTTGAGCCGGTCTTGTCCAAGAAACAACGCCAACGACAAGCTAAGAAAGCTGAGGAGAAAGCCCGCATGGAGGAATCCAACCGGATTCAGGAAACGAAGAAGCAGAACCAGTTGAGAACTGCACGCATGGCGGAGGGCACCTCCAACCAGTCAAAAGCAAACTCATTCACTGCTCAACAGAATGCGTGGCAGCAAGGAATGCTGTCTTCATCAGCAGAAGCATCTTCCAAACCCTCCCAGGGCGGGGCAGCGCCATTACTCGATACTTTTGAGGAATCAAATGAGCCTGCCTCACACGTGAACGGCGCAGTCACTTCCGAGCCACTGTCAGATATCACAAAATCTGTACCCGCAGCAGCGACCGTCAATGCAGTCCGACAAGAAGAAGGCCAGGGCAAGACTGCCGCTCTGGGCGCATCAGGACGCGAGAAGGCAGAACGTCCACGACTTGGGACTCAATCCAGCTGGGCAGACGAAGTGAACGAAGAGGAGCAAGACAAGTGGGCCACTGAGCTGGCGAAAGAAGAGCAATGGGAAGCCGTCACATCCAAGAAAGGAAAGAAGAAGGCAAATGGAAAAAGCTCCTCACCTGTACGACCGACAACCACTGTTCACAATTTGGTGACTAATGGCGCTGCAAATCGATTCCAATCTTTTGCGCCGTCGGCACACCCATCCGACTTCAAGGACGATGACTGGGAAGCTTAGAAAGCCGACCCGTTACTGAAGGACGCTGAGTGGGAGGCTTGAGAGTTTGGACGAGACGATGCAAATGGCAGTGGTAACACTTCTTCTACGTCTTCCGACACCACACGGTTAGCGCTACGAGTGCTGATTTCTCTTCTTTTCTATCAGCTCTCAGAAGAGAGCATTTGTTTGATTAGCACACAGCACATCGACACTGGTCGATGTTGCAAGGCAAGAGAAAAAGGGTCTGGGACCGGAGTTTTTGTACCTAAGACACCCAATTTGTACTCCCAGGGGCATGGCAGACTAACAACGAAAATATTAAAAAAAGAAAGAAAATCATCCAAATCATGTTCGGTTCCCGCACTTTGTTTCTACTTGATGTGATTCGTAGGAATAGAAACGTAGGAATAGATATGTCGCAGCTCCGATGACATACGGATTTGCGTTGCGGTCACAGTCAGACAGTCTACCAAGCTGATGGTAACTTCGGATCGACGTGTTAGGAGAGAAAGTGGCTGTAGAGAAGTCTAGCTAAAGGGGCTCAGTCTCAGGGGATTGTGGTGATGTGTGATTGGCAGGAGATGGGCAGAGGGGCGGCAGCTGCAGGTTTTGGTACGGCCAGCGTGTTAAGAATAGAGAGAGCACAGAGAGAGAGAGAGAACTGTGCGCGCACCCACAGCCCATAATAATAAAGTGTCATCAGTCTCAAAAAAAGGTCCTCGCGCTCCCACTACAAAACGCGAATCTCATCGTGATTAATCCGGGCCACTGGTCAATAATACAATCTCACACTTGACAGCATTCGAATAAACACTTGTCCGCCCCACGCAATTTCTCCCTTTCTTCTCTTCTCCTTGATCAGTTCGACTCTTTCCCTCCCCTTGGAACCATCACTCCATTCACTCCCGTACTACCACCACCGCCACCACCGACCGAGAGCTCATCCTTGATCTTCCGGACGACACAGCCCTTCCCACCATGGCGCAGATACGAGGAACCGCAGGCTATAACCTGGGCCTGAACAACCAGTTCAGCTCTCAAAGAAGTACCGATGCCACGAGTGATCCCAGTCCTCTGGACCAGATCCGAGAACAAACAAGCAAGATCGAAGACTGGCTGAATACCATGGGAGAGCCCTTGAAACCGTGAGTACAGCCAGGCCGGAAGCTGAACCTGATCCTGAAGCCGTCCTTGCTCGCTGGGAACACAAGATCTAACTGGACGGACATTCACAGATACCTCCCTGCCATCGGGCGATTCCTGATCGTGGTCACCTTCCTCGAAGACGCTGTGAGAATTATCACGCAGTGGGGTGACCAACTCACCTACCTCCGAGACTTTAGACACAGTGAGTTTGTCCAGGGAGAAGAAGAGAGCGGATGAAGAAGTGCGTGTGCTGACACGTGAGGCAGTTCCCTGGGGCATTACACATCTCTTCCTGATCTTCAACGTCGTCACCATGTCCGTTTGCTCGACCCTTGTCATCATGCGCCGCTATGGAGAGTACGCAGTCGCTGGTCTGTTGTCGGTTGTCGTCGTTCAGGCCCTTGGATACGGCCTCATCTTTGACCTGAACTTCTTCCTGCGCAACCTCTCCGTCATTGGCGGTCTTCTCATGGTGCTTGGGGATAGCTTCGTCAAGAAGAGAGTGTTTGCCGGTCTCCCGTCCATTGACGAGAAGGACAAGAAGATGTACATTCAGCTCGGTGGACGTGTTCTCCTGATCTTCTTGTTCATTGGCTTTGTCTTTGCCGGTGAATGGAGCTTCTGGAGAGTGCTTGTCAGCCTGGTCGGTTTCGTGGCCTGCGTCATGGTGGTGGTCGGCTTCAAAGCGAAGCTTAGTGCAATCATCCTGGTTGTTCTGCTCAGTATCTTCAATGTGCTTGTCAACAACTTCTGGACGGTATGTGACGGATCTCCCCTCTGACCTCCAAGGCGAATTGCTAACTTGTCATTGCAGCTGCACCACAACCACCCTCACAAGGACTTTGCCAAATACGACTTCTTCCAGATCCTGTCTATTATGGGTGGACTGCTTCTGTTGGTGAACATGGGACCCGGTCAATTGAGTGTCGACGAAAAGAAGAAGGTTTATTGAGCGACAAACCATCTCGCCTCACAACTACTCCTCCTACACGAAGGCGCAGAAGAATCCACACGCGTGAGCATATAATGATGATGCGTACGAGATCATGCAGAACATGAAGAACGCAAAACGGGCATTGTTCCTCAAGTAGGAAACTCGAAACAGGACCACCCCAATCACAAAATTTCTTTCCGCGGGGCGAGTAAAGTCCCTGGCAAGAACAATCATGTGGCATTTTAACAGCATACTGAGCGTTCCAGGAAAATCGAGGATCCTTCTTAACTGAGGCGGAGATAGTTTTGCACAGTGCCTGACAATTTTTGGTGTATGAACAGAATGACAGAAAAGAGAAGAATAAGTCAATAGATTCAAAAGATTCAAAAATGATGCTCAAAATGTGAAACTAGAGGACACCTACGATTGTTTCCATTCGGATTGCAGTGATTGACTCTCTTATGACTACGGAGTATTCGTGTTTATCAATATGTACTCGTAGTACTCCGTCCGTTGCTTGTCGAGGAGAAGAAACTCGGTTACCGGACATAGTATTTTTCCGCATTCCGTGGCACTCGGTTTTGTTTGTGACTACGAGGATTACGAAGTGTCACTCAGTACGACGACGCTCCACAAATGATTTCACAAACCTCAAAAGTGAGATCTGGTCGACTTCCCGAGTCAAGTTTCATTTGCAACTGCACTTGACTGACTTGTTCGTTGTAACCTATTCTACTTCCGAACACCTAGGCAGGTATCGGCGGTGAAGAAAGTTTGCATCGTCGACAAGTGACTTATCTACGAGACTCTAGGATATCAGGACCACCTGTGACAGAAATATCTCCGCCGCCACCACCCAAGAAAGCTTGATCGATTGCTTGATCAACCGATCGATCAATCAATCAATCAGCCAGCCAACCAACCAACCATGCCTGCAAAAAACCGTGTCATCATCGACACGGACCCCGGGTGCGACGATGTCCTGGCCATGTTGCTCGCCTTTGCCACAAAGGCCGAGGATCTCGAGGTGCTCCTCGTGTCGGTGACGCACGGCAACGTGGACGTGAGGAGTTGCCTCCGCAACGTCGTGGCCATCTTCCACGTGCTGGAAAAGGAGCTGGAGTGGAGAAAGGAGCAGGGCATGCCCCTCGGGTTCGAAGGCATCACCAAGCACAAGCCCATCGTCGCCATCGGCGCCGACGCACCGCTCCAGGAGACGACCGAGTCCGCGGACTACTTCCACGGCGTCGACGGCCTGGCCGGGGTGCACGACAGCCACCCCCACTTCTCGCCGGTGGAGGACTGGAGGAACCTGTTTGAACGGCCGCCGCCCGACGACGACCTGACCAGGCAGGCCAGGTCGACGGCGGAGGTCGACGTCGACGGCCCGGCCAAGTCGTTCACCCCGAGCCCGTCGCCGGCGCACAAGGAGATCCTGAGGCTCCTGCGGGAGAACGAGCCGGGCACGGTCACGCTCGTCGGCGTGGGGCCCCTGACCAACTTTGCGCTCGCGGCCGCCGAGGACCCGGAGACGTTCCTCCGGTGCAGGGAGGTCGTGGCCATGGGCGGCACGGTCGACGGCATCGGCAACGTCACGCCCGTGGCCGAGTTCAACGTGTACGCCGACCCGTTCGCCGCCGCCCGCGTCTACGCCCTGACCTCCCCCCGGCCGAGCTCGACCATGCCGGTCCCCATCGAGGGCGAGCCGTCGCAGCACCTGGCCCCGTACCCGGCGGGGCTGCCGGGACAGCTCAGGCTCGTCCTCATGAGCCTGGACATCACCGAGTCCCACACGCTCAGCCGGAGGGACTTCAACGCCCGGGCGGCGGGTCCCGCCGGGCGGGGGAGCCCCCTGGCCCAGTGGATGACGGCCTTCATGACCCCGATGCTGGACAAGATGGAGCGGCTCCACACGGGCCACGAGGGGGACGGGGCGGCGCTGGCCCTCCACGACCCCCTGTGCGTGTGGTACGTGCTCACCCGCGACGACCCCCGGTGGCGGGCCAGTCCGCGCAGCCCCGAGGACATCCGGGTCGAGACGGCGGCCCAGTGGTCGAGGGGCATGACGGTGGGGGACAAGCGGCCCAGGAAACGGAGGGACAGCGACGGCGAGGCCCCCCACGACCGGGGGAACTGGCTGGGGAACAAGTCCGGCAACAGGATCTACCGGATGATGGAAAGTCCGGGGAGGGACCTCGCGGCCAAGTATTTGCTCGATACTGTATTCGGGCCAGAGACTTGAGAGGGGGCTGACTTTGCAAAGGTCGGGTCTACTCGAGGGAATCATGAGCGGAAGGAAGGTCGGGATGTTGTTTGACAAGAATGACCCCTCTCATCTTGCATTTGGGACGGAATGGGCTCTGTTTTTTTCCCCGTCGTAGCCTGAACCGGTCATGAAATTTGTATGTGACATGCATCATGTATGAGACGAGTTGATCCTACTTTCAACATTCAAACCCGAAAGGAGATGAGATATTCAACTATGGGGAAGAAGAAGAAAAAAAAGAGGTGATGTTATGCAGTCGTGATGACATTCACCATTACAATTCGCATTCGCATTCGCATTCTGCCTTCCCATTGTCTTAGGATTTATCTTTTGGGACCTCCACGACACCAGACTGTCTCTCCACCTCCTTCCACGCCTCGTGCACGTCGGGACCTTCTGGGCTCATTCCCTTTTTCCAATCCATGTCCGGGTCACCCTTTTCCATGGCCAAACGGTACGCTTCTCTGTCGGCGACGCGCTTCAACCAATCCAAAATGTTGGGGTACGGTGCCAGGTCGACGGGTGAATACGTCCTCATGGTGGTGACTCCAAAAACGTTCATGACGTCGGCCGCGGTGAAGTCTGTGCCTGCCAACCATGCCTTTGTGTGCGCCAGACGGTCATCCATGGCCACCAAGGCCTTTGTGACGGCGGCTTCCATCCAAGCATGAACCGGTCTTTCGAGGGTGGGGTCGGCGAGCCTCATGAACATTTTCCGACCCAACGCCGGAGTGAGGGTACCGTTGGCGAAGTGAAACCAAAAAAGGTAATGAGGGAAATCGGGGTGCGTCGGGGCGAGGGCCAGACCGGAATTGTCGCCCCCGTACACCGACAAAATGTACTCTGCGATGGCACCTGATTCGGTAATATTCAGTGGTTTTTCAGTCGTGGACGAAGCAAGGCTCATGACAGGAGCAGTGTGCATTGGAGTCAAAGATGCGAGTTCGGGTGGTGCCAAAAGGGGTGATCGGTCGTAACACTTCAAGGTATAAGAGATCCCAAGTTCTTCACACAACCAAACTATACGCTCGGATTGGGACACTCGGAGGTGGTGGATCGTCAACTGTGGTGGCATTTTGTTGGGGAAAAGGAAAATATCCGGTGTTTCTGTGCTCTGGATTGTATAGTGCGTAGGTCTGTAGTCCTGTGTTTCTGTATCGCTGTAGTCGCAGGTCTATGATACCTGTACTTTTATATAGGTGTAGGTCCCCTAGAATCGTGGTGAGATGGGATTCGTCAATATCGTTATTGTTGTCGAAGGTTGTTATTGCTGTCAACGTCGTTGTGGCTGGCGAATGTTGTTATTGTCGGTCAATGACGTTATCAAAGTTCGATGTTAGTCTCGTTGATGGTGGTGATGGATGATGATGATGATGATGATGATGAAATGGCTCAAGGAATGAAAGATGGTACAAAGTAATCCTCTTGAAGTTCTTACCAGGTACCTCCCTTTATATATGTTACAGAATTCTTTGACTTACCACTCACCATAAGTAGTTCTCGGCATCTCTTTTCATAACTGTTTCATAAACTTTGTTAATTGGGAGGCCGAGGGAAAATATTCTTACTCGGTACAAATTGTGTCGATCGGACATATTAAGTCCGCACCTACGGATAAAGTACACCGGTCAACAGGGAACAAGACAGAGTTACTGCTCATAACGTTGATTGACATGGACAGGTTCTTCCTACGCCAGGTGAGTCATGTCTGTACCGATGTCCAGCAGGAAAAGAGAGAGAGAGTATGAGGTGGATGATTTACAACCTCATGATGATCGTCGCCTGTTCGCTGATATTGCTGACTAAAGAAGATAACAGTCCCTACCTCTCGCTTCACGAAGACAATACTAGACATCGATGCTCGTACGTCAACAAGAGTACCATGTACCACATCCTCTCAATCTTCGAATGTAGATAAGATACATCAACTCATCCGTCAACAACGCACCCATCGTCTCAATCTCCAACCTTCCTCGTCGGCGACAACAAGTACATCATAACTTTGAACCTGGCACTTTCCACTTTCTTCTCACCTTCCTCTTCACTCATACCCGGTTCCCTCAGTGCGTCCAATGCCTCGTTGTACGCTTTCCACGCCGCGTACCTTCTCGGTCCGGCCGGGTACATCGTACTTTCTTCCTCGTCCTCCTCGAGGGTCTTGACGTGCCACCCCTTGAAGTCGTCACAGATGGCGATTCTTGCCTGCATCTCGTCCTGTCCGTCTTCGAGCCTGTACGCGTCCCAAGGTTCCCGACCGTGCGCAAACGTGATCCAACGCTTCGCGGTCTCGCACGCTTGCTTGGCCAGCCAATGGTCGCGGTGCTTGGGATACCGGTCCATCAGCGTCAGAAAAACGAACAGGATCTCTACAAAGTGGTGACCCGTCACGAAACTGTGATCCGAACCGAAGAAAGGGTTCGACAGGCCGAACGAGTATCGGTAGACTTTCCGCCTCTCATGGTCGCGCCCGAGAGTGGTCGTGAGCCGTTGGATCAATCCCGAGAACATGATGTCGCCGAGCAGGTGGGTCAGGTTGCGCAAGAAGAGGTTCTGATCGATACTCACCGCAGATTCAACCGTGCTAGGCATGTCGTAGGCCTCGAGAAGTTTTACGGCCTCGGCTTGAGGAAACGTCGACAACATAACCGTCACAAATGCCGGTGCGGTGGCAGAACGAATGCGATCCGTCAATACGTATCCTTCCCAGAAATCGTCACCAACCACAAGCTCTTCCAGCCATTCACACGACTGGATCAATGCCGTTTGGCGAGTGTATGTCACCGGTCCACGTGCAAAGAGAGGCTTCGGTACGTCTACTCCTGGGATGCCATCGACCAATGGAAAGATGTGGGCTCCAGGATACTTGATCAAGTCATCCGCAGGGATTTGCCTGATCTGCTCCAGTCTTCCTTGAGCTGTTGACCCAGTGATGTTGAACGTCTTCAACAAACCCTGATATTCTAGCTCCTTTTGCTCGAAAGGTAGATGGCCTAGCACGTTTCCTGATTGAATGATGGCACGATTGAACAGCTTTTCGGTAGATCCTGTGATATGGTAAACCAGGAAAATACCTCCTGCCGACTCACCGAATGCGGTGATATTTGATGCATCTCCGCCGAAGCCACCAATGAACTGGTGGATCCACCAGAAAGCAGCACGCTGGTCTTGGATGAAATGGTTGAAAGGTCCGTGTGGACTTGGATCGGGGTCGGACTTGTACTCCTCCAACATATCCTGGCAGACCATGCTACCGAACCAGCCGAGACGGTATCCAATATTGACAGTAATGACCGGCATGGATATCGAAGAAGCGTATGCTGCCAGTGGAGAGTTCGAATGGAGACCGTCCACACTGCCCACACCTTCTTGTGCTCCACCGCCATGGACATAGAGCATCACCGGCAGTGGTTTTGGATATTTCCTCTCTTCCAGGCCGACCAGGTGTTGTTGTGGTACCGAAATCGTCGTTGTGAGACAAGTAAACTCATCAAAATCTATCCCGTGGTCATCTGGCAAAGGACCGCCGTATGATTCAAACCAGGTAGCACTCATTGCCGCAACCTGAGGACATGCTGCGCCGAATTGAGTGAAATCACGATGTGGACGTCCATCGAAATCGGGAGGTATGTCGGTCAGCATCTCACAGGCGGCAAAACGCTTTGGGACTGTAGCGTACGGGATGGAACGAAATTGTACCGTCTCGGATGGTGTGGATGATCCTCCGAAATGGTTTGAAGTGACGGAGCGACCTGTCAGGCTCCCCAGCTGAGAGTGAGTATGAGTATAAGTCGGGCCATTGTACGGTAGCCTTTTGGAAGCGACTGCTAGCTTTGCAGAAGTCATGGCCGGATTGACGAGATTAGTGTCAATATCACTGTCAAACGACTTGATTATATATCTCAAAACATGGATTTAACCAACTGGGTTCAAGTAAAAGTCCAGCTTCGGACCAAGGAATGTAGTAGGTCAGGCCATGCCAATATGGATCGTGCAGGAAGAACGTCTGTCGAGATCAACTCGACCCGGAGCATCAGTTCAATCTGAATCTTGGGGAAATGGCAGAGTTGGTTGCATATTGAGGCGCGGAAGTGAGATTTGCTAGGCCCTGCTAGTTGATGCCTAGTTGCACAGGCTGCCGAAGTATTAATATACGAGTTGAAAGGAAACGAAGGGACGAAGCATTTAATTAGAAAGAAACTCGGTTGAGAAAGTCGCCGAAAGCTTACGTTTCGTGTTTCTCATTTCGTATTTCATATTTCCCCAGCATGAGTTCCAATCTGGCCAATATCTTGTTTTCCCCAGAATGAACACATCGATGGATAGACAACAGACATCTGCAGACAGAAGCTTGCATTGTAGAGGTAACAAGACCACAAAGCAATGGTGTCCTAAAGCAATGGTGTCCTAAAGCAATGGTGTCCTTAGTTGTTGTCTTTGTCATGTGAAATTACCCCCTTCATCGAAAGTACGTAGCTGAAGTGTAGCACAATCAGTATCTAGTGAGTGTAGAGTGTAGGCAGAGCGTCTCTTTGTAGGACAAGTGCCATCGTCCATAATTGAGATCTTCTGTTTCTTCAGGAAGACACTCAGAAGCGTGTACCCCAGCTCAGTGGCGGCTCGTTAGAACTTCACCCTTCACCGCTATATATGTGTGTGTATGGGCACAAGATACAATGGCTTGTAACACCACTGTGAATCGAGGAGTACCATCGCCATGGCGATCAGTGCTTGCGCCAGATGAAAGAGATGCTATATCGCTGCAGAAACAGTCAATGTTGTCAAAAACCTTTCAAGAGACACTCCTCCACGCCACACATTCCTTTCAGCGTTCTTTACCACCACAGACTGTTGTCATCTGTTGTACCCATCGTTGATCAGATCAGTCGAGTCCTCAAACCCTCACAGTCTCTTGCGAACATGGCACGAGTCAAATCCAAGAAGAGACAGCGGCGCGGCCGAAACCGTGGAAAGCGGAATCCACGTGGACCGCAGCTCACAACAGCGCAGAAGATGGCTCGACCCTTGAGTGATCACAGACCAAACAAGAATGTCCAACAAGCTCCGGTCTCGAAAGAGGAGCGAGAGGCCATGTTCAACACAGTCAAGCACTTCACACAGGTGGAACGTGATCCGGACGTGGAAAACGACATCCTCCTCTTGTTCAAGAGCAGACAGCCGAGTCTCTACCACAAGCACGTCAACCACGAGGCATACGGGCCGGATGATCTCAGTAGCGACGTGACGCGTGGCATCAACGGCATCATCCAGGAGCACGCAAAACGCCGCGACCTTACCAAGGGCATGGACATCGAGGTCCCTCAGCACACAGTGACGGAAGAGATGAAGGATTTCAACGACAGGTACATGGGAAGACTGTCAGAGGCGAGGTACAACCAACTGCAAGGCCTCGTGGAGACGGACTACCCTGCCATACGGATGGGCGAGGATCTGCCGTCGTGCATCTCGTCCAGCCAACTCCCCGACAGCGTCGCCTTCATGATCAACCGCTACATCAAAGCGCATCTGCCGGACGATGTCAAGGAGGAGATCCAAAAAGGAGAAGACGACGAGGAGGAGAAAGTTGACCACGAAGAAGACATCATCGACATTGATGGTGACATGGAGTTTTGCTGACGAGCTGGACTTTGACCTGTAAGATGACGGTCCGTCCACGCAGGGGTGAAGATGGAGAATGCCGAGAGGCGGACAGAGATGCGATGAGGGTTGCTTTGGGTGGTGTGCTGGCGAGCAGAGGGTCAGGAAGGGCGAATGATGAGGGAGGTGTCGAGGTGGTGTTCATGTGACGACCAAAGACATCGTCGACATGTCCGGGAGTTGGTGAGACCGATCACGTGATTGCCTTGGTTTTGTTCTGTCTCCGTCGAACCAATCATAACTCTCCTGATTCAAATTGCGGCTTATGGCCCTTTCGCATAGTTGTCCGTTGGTGTCTGATCGTACGAGTCACAGGGCTGAGAGTTGACTGTATTTAGGGGGCCTGTTGAAGGCCTTCGCATCCCCAACTTTCGGGCTCTGCAGGTCCAGGAACTGAACTCCCTCGCCTCGACTTTGCTTATTTGGAGGCGCCTACGACCCCCCGGAACGAGCCCCCCTGAATTTCCCCCGACACTCATCGCACCGTCTGAAAAGTTTGTCCTCTACAGTACAATTCGGGCTCTGCTTTTCGCACTGTGCCGTCTTTTGTTTTTTTTTTCTCCCTGCAGCGTCGAGGGAATAATCCACCAACGTGGAGTACATTGGAATTTCCTTCTTTGCAACTTTCTCAGACGCTGGACTGGAGGAGATTGAAATAGTCCATGGCGAGAGCATCCGTTGCAATTCCTCCCTCTTCCGCACTTTCACTGGTATCTCCCCTGCTGTCTCCTCCGTTATCGCATCGTTCCCTGCGGACATTGTCGCCCTCCTTTGCTCTCGGTGTTTCCCCCGCACGCCGCCTTCACCGGTCGCTCAATCGTCCCGTCATACACACCAAATATCAATTCGGATTCCCCTCCCCCACAGTCGTCAAGCTGGCTCCTTCACGTTCAACCTCGACCAACTCTCCTGCGGCCCGCTTGAGTTTGATCTCGAGACACCTTGAAGAGCACCACCAGTCCTCCTATCCGCCCATCAACACCCCCTACAGCGTCGAGCGAGACTCTCTGCCTGCCTCGACCGACGACCTCCCCTACAACCCACCCCGTCCGCGCTCGCCATCCTTTGTCGTCCAAAAGCGAGAACTGTCGACCTCGGCGTCTCTCAAAATGTCTACTCAAGCCGCCCACCCTTCGCTCCTGATCCCGGGACCCATCGAGATCTCCGACGAGGTGGCCCAGTCGATGAGCTACTATGCTCAGTCCCACGTCGGCCAGCCTTTCGTAAACGTCTTCGGCGAGACCTTGACGCTCCTCCGCGATGTGTTCCAGACCAAAAACCCCGGCTCGCAGCCATTTGTGATTGCAGGAAGTGGCACGCTGGGTTGGGATCTGGTGGCTGCCAACCTTGTCGAGCCAGGTGAAGATGTCCTGGTGCTGCACAGCGGTTACTTTGCAGACTCGTTCGCGGACTGCCTGTCGATCTACGGCGCCAAACCTACACAGCTCAAGGCCCCAATCGGGGACCGACCACAACTGCCCGAGATCGAGGCTGCCCTGAAGGCGAAGAAGTACAAGGCCGTGACCGTCACCCACGTCGACACCTCCACCGGTGTCTTGTCGCACATTCAGCCTCTGGCCGATCTCATCCGCAAGGTCTCTCCCGACACACTTCTGGTCGTCGACGGTGTCTGCTCGGTCGGCGCAGAAGACCTGCACTTTGACAACATGGCGATCGACGTCGCCCTGACCGCGTCACAAAAGGCCATTGGCTGCCCGCCGGGTCTCTCGATCATGATGGTCTCGGAGAAGGCCATGGACGTCTTCAAGTCCCGCAAGTCCCCCCCCGGCAGCTACTACGCCAGCTTCAAGAACTGGGTCCCCATCATGCAGAACTACGAATCCAAGAAGCCGTCATACTTTGCCACCCCTCCGACTCAACTGGTGCAGGCACTCAACACCGCCTTGAAACAACTGCTCTCCCAACCCATCGCGGCCCGCGTGGCCCAGCACCAGAAGATCAGCCAATACGTCAAGTCCGAGATCACGAAGATGGGGCTGAAGCAGCTCCCGGTCGACCCTGCCAATGCCGCCAACACGATGACGGCAATTTATTTACCCGAGGGTCTGACCCCCCCGGAGATCCTCCCGAAGCTGATGGCCCAGGGTGTCATCTTCGCCGGTGGTCTGCATCGGGAGATCGCGGCGAAGTATATTCGCTTTGGACACATGGGCGTGACTGCCATGGACGAGTCGAGAGGGGAGATTGACAAGGCCTTGAACGCCTTGAAGTCTGGTTTGGCCGAGGTCGAGAAGGCAAAGAAATAGATGGTTGATCATGGGCTGGTATGAGATGTACATACGGTGCAGATTCGAGGGCACAAAGAAAGGCCAGACAAAACTGGAGGACTAGGAACTTATCCCGTGGTAGAGTGGGTGCGACGTGAATAGGCATAGGCATAGGCATATGTACTTCCTTAGGTATTTCTAGACGGTATTCAGGTGGCCCGTGGATCACGGAGGATACATACTGTCTTGCGGCAGGAAAACAAAAAAAGTTTCGTCCAGACATGAACATGTAAATATGTCAAGGTGGTCAAGTTTGGTTGAGATTGGGACAGATGATGACCTTGTGACCACAATTAAATTAAACAGACTCGGTCAATCGTGAAGATTCTTCTTTGGAAGACAATTTCGTTGACGTACAATTTTGTTAATCAGTCTTTGACTCTTTTTGATGCAGTTTATTATTTCTCATTCATGATTAGATGTATTATTATACACTACAACTCGGGTATATTCATATAAATAACACACTTTTTCTCGCTTTCAAACCCACCGCTCCTAGAAAATATGCAATGTCGTCGCTAATATTTCACGGTCCAATAACAATCCAATCACAATATATGTTGTGCATCATGCTTCGCCAAGTCGAGAGAGCGTGTAACGAGTAATTTGAGAAGATGATGACTGAATAAACTGAGCCGGGGGGCATGGCGAACAGATCACGACGTCTCGTCCGAAGTGCCAAACTTGCTTCGCTTTCGGATCTTCTCGCCATACTTGAAAAAGAGGAATCTGCCCAAACCATGATGAATCAGCACACCATTCGCTCAAAGCCACAGACAGGAGAGCTCGAGAACTTACGGCATTGGGAGGCATGCCAGACCGAGGAAGGCGAGGAGGGACGACGCCCATTGGTAGCCTAGATTCTCATACACTTTTCACAAGGTCAGTACAGGAACGGGGAGAGGTGACCAACATCTGCTCTGGATACTCGGTCCGAGCATCTCTGGCATCGAAAACACTCACTCTGGGTTCCGAACAACGGAAACGCGCCGGCGAAAATGAGGCGGACAAGCACATTGGCTGCGACTGCGCTGGCTGCGTAGTTGGCGTACTGTGTTCCCCAAGTTAAAATCTTCTACTCAAAGCAGCATGAGGTAGGGGTGAGGCACTTACAGCATCGACGAGGAAAGTAAGTACGCCGTTGAAAGCTAAAAAGACACTGTGGACACTGATTAGCACCTTGTCGACCATGTAAAGGGGGCGGAGAGGAATGCCCATACCCTGCTCCAAAGAAGCTGGATCCGATGATAGGCACGATCCAATGAACACTCGGGTACGTCGTCCAACCGAACCAAAATAGCCCGATGGGGACCAAGAAGGCGCCAGGCATGGCAGGGGTAAGTCGGAACTCTGGAGGTGGTCGGATACATTTTTGACCCGTCCTGGTCTCGAGGTTTGCGATCAGGCGACTCGTATTCCATCGCCAGAATGGGTTCGTGAGGGCGCCGATGATCATGCCGACGCCCAAGCCGCAGAACGTCAGACCGACCTGGTAGGTTGAGAAGCCGTGGTTGTTGCGAAACACCAACGGAAAGGCCCCGAAGAACAAGTACACAATGCCCAGGAGGATTGCTGAGTACAGGCAGAGCAGGAGACACATTGGCTCCAAGAAGAGGAGCTTGAACGGCGTCACACAAGAGTGGAGGACCGTGCTCAGGATCGATGCATCGTGTCTTTCGATCGGAGCCCACCATCGCTCGTTGCCGGATTCTTTACGTTTGCTGGCCGCTTTTCGCCTGAGTAGGACTTTGGGATATGTCTCTGGAACGAAAACGATGACAGCCGCCGTCAAAGTGCCTGACCAGATCAGTAGCGTGTAGAATGTCCATCGCCTAGAAGGGAAGCGTTAGTACTGTAGGAGGTGGATTTTGAGGTGTTGCAATGGAGAAAAACCCACCAAGTCGTGAATTGGTTGATGAAGCCTCCGATAATAGGGCCCGCAGCTGGACCTAAAAAGGGAGCGATGCTGAACATTATCATGGGAAGAGCGATTTGCGCCGGTTCGAACATGTCCACGATGGAGCCGGCCGCAACAGCTAGAAAGGCGCTACCAGCGAGGCCGTTGAAGAATCTACCTACAATCATCGTCGCCATGCCCTGAGCAACCGCTTCTGGAATTAGCCAGATCGTGAAAAGGACCATTGAGATGATGTAGATTGGAGTGCGGCCGTAGAACTAAGTCAGGGACATTCGTCAGTGTCATGTACTCGTACCTAGGTCGTGAGAAATCATGATGGGGAGGTGTACCTCTGACATCGGAGCAAGAAACATCGGTCCCATGGCCAGCCCTAGCACGAACGAGGTCAGGCCCAGCGTCGCAATTTCTCTCGTGGTGTGGAATTCGCGGATAAGCTGTTCGTAGGTGATTGTATATATTGAAGAAGTGCATGTTCTGGGGCTCAAGTCAGCATACAACGTCCCTTCTTTGTCCCCTCGAATATCCATCTTGTCTGTCTGGGACTCAACTCACACAAGGAAAGCCGAGGACGAAAGGATCATCGTAATCAGCCATTTACGGGGACCACTCATGTTTCGTGGTGATAAAGGATCACTCTTTCCATCCCATCGCACCTCATAAGCGTCCGAGGGAGTCCTTCTGGCAGCCAGCACATCATCGATCGTGTCCTCTGGCTGGTCTACCAGGCTGTAAGATGCGAAACCATCGGTGATAGATGCGCCTGTTCGAATGTGCGATAGGGTCGACCGGGCCACCGATCGAGCATTGGATGCGGAGGTCGTTATTGGTGCATATGACCTGTCAGCTGCGGTCTCTGCTTTTGCGAGTTCTCCTTCGGTTTGTACCCGACACAGCGCTTCGCTGGAGCTTGGGCTTGAAGAGGATTGAGGACCTTGGCTCTCTGCCTTCTCGATGTCGACCATGGCGCCTGGAGTTATCTATCAACGTGCAGTGATTGGGTGCACTCTCTCTCTTTTCGAACCTGTGGTGAACGACTTGTTCCTGGAATAAAGTGAACGCAAAAACCCACGAACCTACCGTCTTGTTATATGGCATCTTGTGTCGGTGTTTCGCGACGATAGGACTTACCATGCTTGCGGCTTCATTAGGACTGGATATGATTACCACATGTCGCTTTCAAACGTGTGGACCTGATCCGGTTGTTTAGAGTCGAAGAAGCTTGCGCTTTGTCATCTGGTAGCATGACATGCCCGAAGGATGTTGGGGCGGGTGGATATTGCGGTTACCGTACAGTCAATAAGAGCTTCAACTCTGACTTGGGTTCATGAGGTTGTACGAAGCAGTACAAACTGCGGCCGCAATAGCCGCGTTTCATTCGGTTTATTAGCTGGTATTTGCCGGACTTAGTCGCCAATCAATGCGCTATATATCAATACATCAAGCAGGTCAGCCGAGACTCGTACATACAGTGCCTTCTTGGCCTTGCACCGTCCATTGTCACGTAATCACAACGACGTCAATAGTTCCATCTCCTTTTGCGGGAATACAGTATCTCGCAATCTTGGATTCTCTACGGAGTGCTCGTACTCGTCCCTGTGTGTTCCTGCGTCTACGTGAAGGGATGATCGCCACGGAGTACGATGAATAACAATCGAAACAAGGCCTCGCATTAACCCAAGCTAGCCCTGCAGGCTGACTAAAATCCTAAATGCCCTAAGTTGATTCTGTTCAAGTATCTGTCCCTTTGAAAGGGCATGGACCATTCCAAAGACTGAAGGCGCGTTGCGAAGCGGAAGCTTCGGCATTCTTGACCGTGGTGTCGATCAAGCGACCAAGAAAGTGGCGCACCGCTCGTTGTCGCCTGCGGCTGTGCAGTCTCGTTGAGAGCGAGGGTCCTTATCGCCTAGCTCTCGGATTTACTTTGGATAGATCATAGCACTGTGGCCATGGTTAGGTGTGTGCCACCGGCAGTCCTCCCACCAATTTTGAGACCCAAAACAACAACAATAACTCGACGATACCGTGTCCTGCGCGAAAGAGAGGAGGTGTTGAAGAGGCCTCATTCATGCCTCACCTTACTTTGAACAGCACATCCACCCTGTGGTCTCCATTGTGAGCGGCGTATCCTGATTCCTACCGGATTTCACGGAATGGATCATAAATCCTGGCAGATGTGGTGTCCGCACACTTGCCATTGACGCCATCGACATTGCTGAATATACATACTGTAGCATATGGCAATGTATATTTCTATCATGTAGCAGGACCATTGACTGCATGCGACATGGATGGGTTAGAAGAGTGGCGTCCGAAATTCCAACCAGAAGCACATGCAACAATGAATCAGCTGAGTAATCAGAGCTGTCCAGCATTACGCAGGTCGCTAGTGGCTGCAGGCACCACAGCATTCTCGGTTGGTTGAGCTGAGGTCAATTGCGAGATACTAGTCATTTATCGTCGGAAGACACTTCTTCCGACGATACTCGAAGGCTTCTCGAGTCCTTTTACCCCATGATTATATCCGCGGCGATAACCTAGGAATTCACATACAAGCCTCAGGTAGTATGACTGAGGCGACGCCGAAGAAACGAAATCGAGTCACATTCAGCTGCACTAATTGCCGTCACAGCAAACAAAAGGTCAGTTGAGTCTTTCAAGCTCGAGGTCTTTGCCGTCTTCTAACGCAAAAGGCTGACTTGCCGCCAGTGTAATCGAGGCAAGCCTTGCTTGACTTGTGTCCTACGTGGCAAGCAAGATTCGTGTAATTATGGAGATATCGACCCTGAGTGAGTCCTTCATGTTCATCGTCACAAGCCACTGACAAATGATAGCCGCGTAGCACGATTCAACGCTTCGGTAGTGGGAAAGCCACGAGACAAATCTCAAGATTGGCAAAGTCAAGAGTCAAATTCTGAAAACGACAAGTCGGATCTTGCTTCCTTCGGCTACTCTCATGTCAACGCACACAATGCTCTGGGCATTTTCAAGAAATTGGAACACCTCGAAACAGGCACCACACGCACCATTCCTGAGAAGACGAAGACTGCCACCCTCAGCCCTTCCTCTTTTGAGACATACAGGTCTATCATCAGGCGCTTGCCATGTCAAGGATGTGTAAATCATCTTGTCAGCGTCTTTTTTCAAGAGGTCAACTGGCAATTTGCCTTCTTGGATCGCAGTTTCTTCGATGAACAATTGCAGGAGTATTATCAGCATCCTGTCGATGCGGTGTCGGAATCTCATTGCACTATTCCCACCGAACTCATCAGCTTTCCAGCTCTGCTGTTTATAGTACTTGCCCTTGGGATACAGTTTCTACCACCGCAGGGCTCTGAATCTCTTCATTCTTCGTGTCTATGGGGCATTCCAGGAGACGAGAAGAGCTATGGGAATAACTGTTCGACCTTGCAGCTTCTGGGACTTCTGGAGAAGGACGCTATTAGCCTGACCTATATTCAAGCGGAGTTTCTGACGGTCTCATGGCTGAAAAATCGTGGTGCAATTGCGGAAGCATGGCACACCCTTGCGCAGGCTGTTATGGATGCACAAGAAATTGGCCTGCACCGAGATGAAGGAAAGCTCCACGCAGATAGTTCCGAAAACGTGTGCGAGCAGTTATGGAAAATTCTTATGCGTAGGCGGACCATGATCAATCTTTATCTGTGGGACAGGTGAGCATCGTCCAGGCGCTACTTTGCGGTTTACCAACTAACATTTGTAAAGCGAGATGGGTATGGTTCTTGGCAAGAGCTTGACATTGTCAATCAATGACTGCTTGATAGTGCCTCCGACAGACTGTGACATTCCAAGAGACCGCAAATCCATAGCCCCTTCGCCGCGAAGTCCTTTCGAGAAGCCTTCCGTGTTCACAGTACGTCTACTGGAATATCAGCTGGCGTCCTGCTTCCATGATATAAAAGCACTCGAGGCCGAAGGGCCATATCCACGAGACTACGGCAAGGTTGAACGACTCCACCAACGAGCTGTGGACTTCATAGACAGCATCCCTCCCATATATCGGTCAAATAACCCTGACACCTCTTTCGACGAACAATGTCCCTGGCTACCTGCTCAACGCGAGCATTTGAGGTCGAATGCGTGGTTTTTCCTGCTTCTCCTCCACAGGACCTATATTTTCTCTGTCGCAAAAAGCCGAACCGAGATTATGAAGGCCGGAATACAAATGCTTCACGCACAGCAAAAGTTCTTTTGCAGCCTGCAACCTCAACACTGGAAGCTCTTTACGCTCACATATATCAGCGTGGATCCGGCTGTTTCTATGTTGGCTGTGTTGATAACATATCCCAAAGAGGAGCAAGAGGTGGTTCCGGAAGCGTTCCGGTGCATAAGGGAGACCCTATGGAGACTCAACCAGATCCGTGGATCAAACATGGTCGCAGGACAAGGAGCAGATGTGATACAGAGCCTACTAGCTCGAGCGGAGCAAAAGCATCCGCAGGCATGGACGGCCGCGGTTCATACGCCCACCGCCACAGGGGACACGTTGGATCAGATGACCCGAAGCTCTGGCGATGAATCATTTTGGGCTGACACTGCTGTCGCTGATATAGGTCAACAGGCGCAATATCCCGAGGCATTGGACAGTATGGCAAGTTGGTCATCTCTCACCGCGGTCGAATCGGCTGTCGACGCGGGTCAAAATTATGGTGACATGACTTACTCCTTCAGCGACATCCCTTTCCGACCGACGGCTGATCTCACCTCCTATGATCTGGCCACGAATGGAGTTCCTCAGTTCCCTACCCCGCTGGACGATGCCGCGATGGGGAGCTCGACTTTCAATCAACAGATGCCCGGGCAGTTTCGGGGAGCTTTCGATGAAAATTCATTCTGGGGATTCATGAATTCGACCAATTGAGTACACTCATTATACTCTACACCTAATGACTCTGCGCCGTCCACAAACACCATGCCGTAAGAATCGTCACTCAACAGCCTCCTCCACCGCCGCCGCCAGAGGCCCCAGCACTTGCAGCAGACGCAGCGATGATTCCATTTCGTCTCCTTCGCTTTTTCTTCTGCTTCCTCCGCTCTTGCTCCTGGACGTATGCCTCCAGAGCAGCCACATACTTTGGGTCGGAACGTTCAGCGGCATTTCTTGGCCGTGGAGGGGGTTTGAAATCTATGTCGTCGGTGAAACACATGTTGAGGCGAGGTTCAAATTCAACGTTAAGGTGATGCCTTGGTGCCTGATTCTTGTACAGGTTGTCGGATATGACTGACGACGTGAAATGAATGTTATGTTTGCTTTGATAGGATCTCGGGTGCTTGAGTAGTGATATTCGACAAGTTGAGTGGGAATGAATTCAGGACGGGATTGTCTGTTTATATAAATGGCTGGTCATCTGGGGTAATGGCATCATTCCCCAGAAAGAGTTTTATGAGGACACTGTTTGGTTCGAAACGAATAGCATGAGCCACGATGAAATGCGACATCGAGACAGATCTGTTTAACCGGACATGGCCACGAGGCTGAAGATCATGACGCAGAATTTGGGGGCCGTTGAATCGGGGGTTTTTCTTTTTCAGCCTTGTTGGCTGCGCCTCGTCTTTCTGAATCTTTAGTGCATGTTTGATGGTGCCTGGCTTAGGCAGCTACGTTTTCACAGGTGTTCATAGGAGTCTCTAGGTATAATCATACTTTGTTGGACCGACAGGGTCGCACAAACATGGTCATTCTGGAAAGACGGAAACCGGTACAGACCCGTCGCGAACCCTGATGGCTGGTGTCCGAGGCCTCCAAACACGAGCGAGACCAACAAGATGAGCCAGTTTAATAACATCATGGTCGTCTACTGTATCCGTCATGTGTCCCTTGACGATTGCCCGTTGCTGTAAGTGATATAGTATTGTACCCTTAATATCTGAGGTGGTTCGAGGTTGTTAACAATAAGGCAGGCAATGAGGCTTGGGCGGGGCTTTTCGGGGCATTTTTTGTTACATCCCCGCGGGGCTCTGTCCTCGTATTCGTACTCGTACTGTACATTGGAAAACTGCTCAACCCATATGGTTGATATTCCTTTCCGTCCTCGACTTGATTCATCCCTTGCACTTGGACGACGACAATCTGGCCGGCGCCATCCTCCGTAGGCTCGCACTTTTCCTCCGTTGGACAATGTCATCATGTTCCCGTTTCGAGTGGTAGAGCACAAAGTGCCATGTCAGTACATTCGCGAATACCCTCGAGCGTTGGCCGACGAACAAGAAGACACCCTCCACCTCTCCGTCAAGCAGTACATTCCACTCGATAACCCTCGACCGCCCCAGCCAGGCGACGTCACCATCATCGCCGCACCGGGAAATGCTTTTCCCAAAGAACTCTACGAGCCACTCTGGGAAGACTTATCAAGGGTTCTCGCGTCTAGGAGGTCATCATCGTCGTCGTCGGTCCAGGTTCGTAGCATCTGGGTCGCCGACGCCGCCAACCAGGGAGCCAGTGGCGTCTTGAACGAGGACCTCTTGGGTAACGATCCCAGCCATTTAGACTATGCCCGAGACATTGTCAACCTCATCAACGTCAAGCGTGACGAGATGCCCAGACCCATCGTCGGCATAGGTCACAGTATGGGTGGACAGTATCTGTGCGTATATGTTTTCTCACGTGCACATGTACACATACCGTCCAGAAAAAAGATTCCACGTCGCAGATTACTTTGTCTTTTTTTGCTCTAACATTTTCCGTGGCTCAATAGCGTCTCGGCCTCACTCTACCATCCACGACTCTTTACGACTCTCGTCTTGATCGACCCCGTCATTCAACCTCGCTTGGTGGAGACCAAAAAAGGCACCGTGGACGCCCGCCCACTACAGTTTGCCATCTTCCGAAAAGGTACCTGGCCAACTCGAGAAGCGGCGGCGGCCGAACTAGATCGCTCTCCTTTCCACAGGTCTTGGGACCCACGGGTGTTGGAACGATGGATCAAATATGGTCTACGAGAGGTTCCGGTCAACACCATCTCCACCGCCACCTCCTCCTCCTCCTTCGAGGAACCCCCAACGGCCTCTTCCAAAGCCGTTGACACGATCACAACAACAGAAAAGTCAAAGGCGGCGGAAACCGTCGTCGTGCTCACGACTCCACCGTCCCAAGAAGCGTACGCGTTCATGAGGCCCAACTTTGACGGTGTCGGCGTCCATGGTGAATTGGTCAACCACGAAACCCATCCCGACTTGGACCCGCGGTGGAAACACATCTACCCGTTCTACGCGCCCGCCGTGACCCGGACGTTTGAGCGCCTGGGCGAATTGCGGCCCCCGGCGCTGTACGTCTTCGCGAGCGACTCGTCCATCTCGGACGCCGGGATCAACGCCGAAAAGCTCGCCGCCACGGGCACGGCGGTGGGGGGCAGCGGCGGCGTCGCCGCAGGTCGCGTGGAAGGTGTCACGTTCGACGGCGTCGGACACTTGGTACCCATGGAAGCACCCGGGCGGACCGCCGACGTGGTGGCGGACTGGTTGGACCGGCAGCTGCGGATTTGGGAAAGGGAAGAACGAGACTTCAAAGCCATGTGGCACGCCAAGTCCAAGGAGCAAAAACAAAACGTCGACCGGCGGTGGCTGGACATGGTTGGAGGGGCGCCCGATAAGAAATCAACAAAGAAGAGTAACAGCGGTGGTAGTAAGATTTGATCTACAGTGTTATGGAGGAGAGCAAATTTAGAGCATTAGAATAAATGTCTAGGGTTAATGATCCTCAAGGGTTGAGAGAGGAGTGCTGTTTTTTCCCCTTCCTATACTGAACTTCTCCCTACCTACTTTGGTACATATGTGCAGTATATACTGGCTGTATCATCCCACAAATGAAGTCTAATGTCCAAGTCTATAATCTATACCAAAACAAAGTCCCTCTAGCCCACCAATAAATGAACTCATCACCCACCCAGGGAATGAAAATTCTACTAGAGAGTACAGCATACTCCTCTCTTCTCAACTCTCTTCTCCTCGAATCACCCTTGAGCTTTCTTACTCTGTTTCGTCCTCAATTTCATCAAGGCATACACCAAGGCGTACGAGCTGAGGACAAAAATGACCACGATCGCCGCGTCTCGCCACGCGACGTACTCGTGCTTCAGGTTAAGTGTATACAGATAGTCGGCGCCCGTATTGTACTCGCACACCCGACACCCGCTGGTGTCCTCCGGGTTGACGAGGTTGGCGAGCTGACCCTGGGTCGTCTGCAGATATTCGGCCAGGTACTCGCGGCAAGTGACGTTGTTGGGGGTGTCGAACCTGGCGAACTCGCGCTCCTTGCAGGTGATGTCTTCGTCCCAGAGGACGAACGACAGCATACTCCCCATAAGATAGTTGAAAGGATCCATCCAGTACATCCAGTAGCGCCAGAAGGCCTGGATCTGTTTGTAGGGGACCAAGGTGCCGCAAAAGGAAACGAGCACGCCGACGACCAACGGGTCGACGAGGGCGGCAAACACCGCGTTGGGAGCGTACGCGGCGATGAACTGCCCTATGCCGGTATAGAGAAACTCGTAGAAGAGCATGACGAAGAAAGTCCCGCCGGCGCTGTTGCTGTTGTTGGGGAATCCGACGGTGTAGTACCAGCACACGAAATAGAGGACGGCGCAAATGATGAGGTAGGGAAATTCGGAGACCACAAGGCCCGTGACAAAGGCGATCCAGCTGTACATCTTGGACTTCTTCTCCCTGGTCTCGAAGAGGTCGCGGCGGTCGATGAAGAGAGGCTGGAGTTGGGCGATGGTACCGGGAGCGACAAAGATGAAGTTGAAAATGGTGAAGAGTTTCAGTTGAAGATCGCCTACGCCATCGCCGACCATCCAGAAGGTGAAGCCATTAAATAGTGCGTTCGAGATGTGCAGAGCGAACTTGTTGTTCGTGTAATCGGTGTTACGGAATAGAGAGACATTCATTCTGTGCGTGACGATCTTGATCTGCGACCACAGGGGTATCGCAAACTCGAACCCGTCGTCGTGAGTCCCCGGTGGTTTGGAGGCGGCGTCGGCGATAACGTCATCTAGCTCTCTGGTGACATTCTTGTGTTCCTCCGAGTCCAGCCATACTTGGGCCCAGTCTCGTCCTTGAGACAGGTGTCCCGAGACGACATCGATCATGTGCTCTGCTGGGTTGGCCTCGGTGGGACACGGGGCACCGTATCGGGCAAAGTAGTCCTTCACGACGATAGCATGGTCACCGATATCTCCAAAGTACACCGTCTTGCCACCTCTGGCGAGCAGGAGCAAAGTGTCAAACTGCGCAAAGAGTTGAGCCGACGGTTGGTGGATTGTCACCAGTACGGCTTGACCCACGTCGGCGAGCTTGCGGAGAAATCGGACGGTGTTGTATGCCGACTGTCCATCGAGGCCTGACGTCGGTTCATCCAAGAAGATCAGAATGCTCGGTTTGGCCACGAGTTCCACCCCGATCGTGACTCTCTTTCTCTGTTCAATTGAGAGTCCAGCGCCAGGAAACCCGATGAGTGTGTCCTCGATGTCCCCTAGTTCGAGTAAATTGATAATCGTGTCGACATACGTGAGTTTTTCCTCTCTCGGAACATGACGTGGTTGTCTTAAAAGAGCCGAGAACTCCAACGCTTCCCGAACTGTTGCATACGGCTCATGCACGTCGAGCTGTTCGCAGTAGCCCGCTGATCGTTGGAAGGAAACAGGCAACGGCCGACCATCGACAAGAATAGAGCCGTGGATTGTACCATCGGTCTTACGTTGGGCCAAAACATCAAGAAGTGTCGTCTTTCCAGCACCAGAACTTCCCATCAGGGCACCTAGCATCCCAGGTTTTACCCAACCCTGAACATTGTCAAGAAGTTTTAGGTCGCCATTTGAGGTCTTGACAGTGTAGCTCAGGTTCTTCCACGTAAAGATGGAGCTATTCTGGACAAGTGTGTCGCTGCTGTTCTCGGCAGGGGTACCGGCTTCGTTCAGTGACGAGTCAGAGCTGACGACCTGCTTTTCTTGCACCTGCGACTCGACATCTCCTAACATGTGGCGCAACTTATGAGCATTCTCGCGGGGTATGAGGGCTTTACTTCCTTTGTCAGAATCCGACTTCCATCTTGACGTGAATATGATGGTGATTGCGACGAACAACAGCCACCAAGTCCAAATGATACCAAAGTTTCTCCAGATGTGGGAGTGACTATAAGATAGCGACCCCAAGTAAGCATCGCCTGTCACAGATACCGCTCCGCTTATTGCGCCGCCAACTCCTGTGCATGATTGGAATTGCGGATCGGTATAGTTGGGTCCATTCGGAACAAGATTCGTGCCTACGCAAGGAAGCAGACGATTGTGCAATTCGTTCCCCATGATGGCTTCAAATGCGTAACTCAAAGGATTAATCCAGAAGATCCACCTACACGAATATCAATTCACTGGAGTACTCCCAACAATGGATGGCAATGACTTACTCAAACCAAGGGTGCATTTCAGGTTTTGCGATCAGGTATCCCGCGTACATGACGGTGACCATGATGACAAAACCAGATGCTTTCGACGCAGCATCAAACGTAGAAAATGCAGCACCAATAGCGCGGAAGCATGCAGTTATGCACTAAAAGAATCATGAGTCGATTTTCTGGCAAAGGAAGGAAGGAACCATACCATAGCAGTGGCAAAGACGATGACCCAAAAAGTAAAGAACTGGCCAGCCGAGGCAGCCAATCCCACCATCCAGTAGATTATCACCGAGAATGCACTGACCTGGACCAGTAGCTGAGGTATGTCGGCGGTGATCTGAGCGATACAGAACGCAGCTGGATGAAAAAAGGCAAAGGATTTGTGTTTCGCCAGCACAGGTCGACCGACAAATGAGTCGGTGACTTCGGACATGGCAACCAAAGTTGGGTAAAGAATGGAAAAGAACAGCGCACCGCCCTTGATAAACAGACCTGCCGAATTGTCTGGTGCATTGTAGAACAGTGATCCTGCTATCAAGGCCTGTACGATGTTGGAAACCTGTTTGATGAGAAATGTCGCTTTGTCACCCCATATAACCTGATATTGGCGCAACACGCATGCTTGTATCTGAGCCAAGATCCCAGCTGTCAGGGGGCTTGAATGTGCTAGGCGCTTGTCCTTCTCAAAACGGACAGACTCTTGGAAAGCCTTGGTATTCGTCTCCGCTTCGGGCGTGCTTGGAAATTCATATTCTGCTGTCATTCGTTCGTAAATGTGGGATTTCTCGTACCGTTGCAACAGCTCGTCGGCGTTCCTTGGAAAGCTGTCTTCGTAGCCCTGTCGAATCTGTCGCTCTGTTGGAACCGTGACACCAGTAAGAAAGTCGGCTACATTTGCACCGGGAGGACACCAGAAGCCAAGGTCTTCCATGAACGGTCGTGCTTCTTCTCTGGTGCCATAAAAGATTTCCTTGCCACCATCGAGGACCAGTACTTTGTCGAACAAGTCGAAGATACCATTACCAGCCTCTGTCAAAAGTCAGGACACCGTGCGTTGCCTGGGATCAAACACATTGAAAACCTACGGTACAGGGTCACGATCGAGGAGAGGCCCAGTATGTCTGTCATCGAACGGATGGCCTTGGTGTACTCCAGTGCTGTGCTGGCATCCAGGCCTCGCGTACTGTTGTCCCAGCAAAAGACAGAAGCATTGGTGGCCAAGGTCTCGATGATGGATACTCGTTTCCTCTCCCCACCTGACACTCCCCTGACGTACTCATTACCAACCTTGGTGTCGCTGGTGTGGGAGATATTCATCGACTCAAGAAGGAAGTCTCGTGTCGCTCTTTGATGTTCTGCACGTGATTGTGCTCCTTTGGGGAGGTGGAATGGAACTTTCAATCGAGTGGCAAAGTCCATTGTTTGTCCCACGGTCAAGGTGGGAAAGAACAATTCTTCCTCCGTGTTCATCACGATCTGACCCCTATAGCCTTTGGCCTCGTTGTGAGGCATGGAACCATACCACACTTCACCTTCAACAGTGTCATAACCTCCTCTTCTGTTCGCTAGTGATTTCAGTAATGTTGTACAGCCTGATCCAGGTCGACCAAGGACCAGGAGCATTTCCCCAGGCTTGACGCAGCCATGAGAACCATGAAGAATCGTTCTCAGTGGCGGCTTTTGTCGAGATTCCTTTAGGATTCGGGGAATGTTGAACTGTGACAAGCCGTTCTCGTGAATGCTCGCGTCGGTGCTGGTGACTTTGACCGTTAGATTAGACCAGGTCACACCCAGCTTCCGCTCTTTTGGGAAACTGTCTAAACTGTTCTGATGTTTTGTCCTCACAACATCAGCCAGCTTCCAATCATTGGACACTGAGACTTTCTCTGAATTCAACATAGGTTCGACAGTCACACCCTGTGTGTCTAGAACTTTCTGACCGAAGTCCTGGGCAGGAGTAATACTGTCCTTCAGATCCTCTCTTTCACTCATCTCTAGAAGAATCAAGGCCGGGTTTGTGTTCCTCGAGAGGAAATGAATCGGGAATAGCCCTAGAAGTATATTAAATACTTACTCTTTTTTCATGGGTGGGTGCGCGGATATCTCGTTAGCCGAAAATAGCAAGATAACACTGCAGGCGTCATCCGCAAGCATAACAGCCTTCATCTTGAAAGTCTTGCGGGTTTTGAATGAGATTCCAACCTACGCATTGCCTTCATTCAAGCAATCGGTCTCATTGTGCACCGCACCCGAGTCACGGACAGATAAGGCTGTGGGGTCTCATGCGGCTTGCAAATGGTATATGGATCAATTGTTGCGCCATCTCGAGTGGAACTTTCTTAGAAATCCAGGGTGAGCCTGAAGGTGACCCTGTGCTGTGGACCAGAAAACTTTCTCCTGTCAGCCGGTGCGGCTACAAGTTGAATGCCGCTGAGTAAGCCGCCGAAACAAACTGTTTTGAATTCGAGGTAAACATAGGAGAAAGGAGCACGTATCGAGAAGGAATATCAGTCTACGCTTTCCTACGAAGCCTAGACTATGCGGTGTTTTGCTAGTATTGCGAATCATCCAAGGCATCGTAACTGTGGACTGCTCAATATGGTAGTTGGGGGATGTTGATTCATTCTCGTCATTGCCAAGTCGGCGGCCTCGTACTCGTATTGCCTAAGGAGTAGGTTCACTGTCTATCTCCGGCCGCTTAGTCAGCGGGACGTTTAAATTGACGCAGTTTCCGCGCATCATTGATTGGAAGCCATCACACAGGAACACCTACCAACTCGGTGTCATGTCAAGCCGATACTGCTCTAGTGGCTGTGCTCTCTCTGACTGTTGACGAAGTCCTAGCGATAGGCGGCCAGCACCTCATAGTTACATTTGCAGGCTCTGCCGCCATTTCTTCGAGGGTGCTGGATCATCAACCAAAACTCTCCATGTCGGAAACGCCCCAATCAATCGCTTCCGACGCTTCTGAGGAAGCCGTCCCTGCCACTAGGCGCATTCTACGTGCTTGTGATTCTTGTCATCGAAGAAAGGTTGAACACTCCATGACCGATCCAGCCAGGGCCAATTTTGCGAAAAGGCTTTCTGACTTTCCCAGATTAAATGTGATGGCGTTCATCCTCAGTGCAATTGGTGCAAGCATCATGACCTTGAATGTACGTTTACAAGGTCACAGGGTGCACGGAAAAGGGAGAATCGGTCTAGGTACGAAATTGTTTGTGACTTATTGGCTATCAAGCAACTAAGAGGGCTAAAGGAAGTTGAGAGAGAGCAACCTCGTTGAGAGGATGGCACGTATTGAACGACTCCTCGCAGAGAACATCAAAAGAAAAAATGGTAAGAGGAAGTAAATGCGGCAGTCAAGATCTCATCTAATCTCTGACGTAGAGATATCTCATGCTAGCAGTCAAAGGACAAAACCTCCAGCAGAAAATCCTATAGCACACAGTACCGATCGTTTCCAGGGACTAGAAGGGCAATCTCCAGCTTCCAGCCCGGCTGGGCTCATCTACTGTGCCGGCTACAGGCTTGGGGACATTGGCCTATTTCACGGTATACCATTCCTATCCGGCGATGGACAGCAGTGGATTGGCATACGATCGGACGACGAAACTAGCGCCGACTGCGAAGCCAGCCCCTTGTGGCACAATCAGCGGCAACCATGGTCCACTTTTCCCAGCTTCATTAACCCATCCCGTTGGGATGTGACGGCGCTATTGCCACTCGCCTCGGTCGAGAAATTCCTGGCCAATTATCTCAAGTCCCCTTTTTCAGAGGCATTCCCGATTGCAGATAGAGTGCTTTTCTCAAAGGTCATCGAGCGAGCATACACACAACAGGATTCTTCTCGAGATAGCTGCACCACAAATGCATGCATCTTCGCCTTCCTGGCCTTTGCGTCCTTGAATGCGTATCCTGCGGATACGAGCCTTCCTCCTCTCGATGAAGAACAATGTATCACTGCGGCACAGCTTCTAGTACCTGATCTCCTTGATGCTCGTCCTAGTACAGAGATTGTTGATGCTCTCTTGATGTTTGTAAGTACCCCTGTGCAGTAAAGCTCAAGAAATCAAGCCTTCCGACAGCCGAAGCTGACACTACGTTAACCTGCGATAGGCGGTTTATCAATTCGGCTGCGGGAATGTACACGTTGTGGATGTAAGTACCTACCACTCGTGAAGGCATGACACTATTTGGTGGTTACTTTCACGCCTTGCCTTCTGGTCTCACTGACACCTCGTAGATTTTGTTATCGGCCATCGTTAGATTCCTTTTTATGCTAGGAGCGCACCTCTATCCAGGTGAGGAGATGGAGAGCTTGTCAACCGAGGCTCTGACTTTAGAAATGCGAAATATCCTGCATCTGAGAGACGACTTCTGGATCTGTTATGTTCTTGACAAGGAAATCACCTTTCGTACTGGACGGCCGCCCATCATTAATGACAATTCATGCGATCTCACATTCCCAAAGTATTACTGGAAGCAGAGCGATGCGAACTTCAAGGGGTTTCGTCGGTTGCCTGGTGACCTGCGCTTGTCAACAATCAAATCCAAGGCGTACGAGAAATTGTACTCGCCTTCAGCACTTCGGAAAGTTGATGCAGAGATCCTGAAAGACATTCGAGAACTTGACGAGATGCTCGAAAACTGGAGACAGTCTTTACCTCTGGACCGAAGACCTGCCTTGTCAGTTACACAGCTGCCAAACAAATCCAACGAGATCGAGCGTGAGGCCTCTCTTGACTTCGACATCTCGGTATTCCTGGTCAAATTGGAGTATCACCATTGTATGACCACCCATTCACCAGGCGAGCAGCCGCTGTACCAACTGGGTGCACAATCACCGGATCGACGACGGACTTAGTTCCAGCCTTGATCTTGCTCTGGCATCCAGTCGTTCGATGCTCACGTACTTTTATTCTGTGCAAGACCAGCTAATCCCGCATATATTCTGGTAAGTGACGGCTGTTATAATCCATGGTTTTCATATATGGGAATGTCCCGAAGCTGATTATCATCTTTCTCGTCCCAGGATTGTCATTTTCTACCCTCTGTCGGGTATATTGACGCTGTTTTGCAACATCATGCTCAGCCCAGCAAGTGTGTCGGCAGCATCTGATCTGAAAGTCCTAGAATGGAATGTCAATTTCATGCACGAACGAAAGACCAGGGACGTGCGGCTTTCTACCGCTCAATTGGCCCATCTCGAGCGAGTAAGACAGTCCTGTGGTGAGCTGCTCAGGCTGGCACGAATGACCGTCCACCAAAGTCAAGGAGGTGCCCAATAAGTCATAAGTCGTATTGTACAAACCACCGGGCGGCAGGTTAACTTTATGCTGCGACCACAAAGGGAAATAAATGAGAGGCCATCCTCAACACAAGCCTACTGCATCCTCGGCGCCTTTTTAAGGTTACTCCTACTGCACTCCAATACCACGTCGCGTTGTTCTGGGCTCGCTTTGCCACGCGTACGACGGGCAGCAGCAGCAACACCTGATCGGCGAAGGTATGCTTGTTCCTGAAGACCAAAAGGACCGCCGTTCCAATTTTTGTGCATGACCAGCAACGTGGCATTACGTACTGTACCTTGCACAATCAACTTGGAAAAGAGAGCAGATCCGGCCCTCCGGCTATCGCCAAAGGCTACCATGTTCATTGCACCACTACGAGCAAGTTTAGAATCCAACGTCCCTCGGGGTGCACGAGTTATCGAGTCAGGGTATGATCATCTACCGCCGTCGTCTCGCAAGAGCGGCTATGACAGCATAAAATCCACTCTCCTCGCCTACTCCCCGCAGAATTGCGCCTTTCGGTATGACCTATCGCCCCTGAGGTCCCCACCATGTGAGCTCGCTGTGACCTCAATGGTTTCCCCCCCGCACCGGCGACTCTCCGTACATCTCATCCTTCCCCCACGGAATCTACATATGCCGGTCCACCAAAGTGTTGGATCAAAGTACGGACTATTATTTCACCGTCAAAATGTCCAGTCCCAGTGTCAATAGGACGTTCTCGAAACAGTCTGGTTTCCACTTGGTCGGTACACATCGGTTATCAATGCCCAAGATGGAAACAATCGAGGTGACTTACCGAGGGCAATCACCCACCTCCAGTCGGTCCGACTGGGTACTTTGATCAAGGGTCTAGGGAATATTACAGTACAGCATGGGAGAAGCTTTGCTTGGAGCTCCTTTCTGTTGACAGGCAACCGAGGAAAGAAGTGTAACGGGAGTAGTATAAGACAAAGCAATCCAAGCCTTGTTGAACCGTCAGAGTCAAGCTTCTTGCTACTCAAGCCACTTTTCTTGTCCCTCTTGCTTGGTATTCTTTGACTTTCCCTCCCGTCTCTCTCGTATTGACATTCTACCTCACCCAGCCATACAACAAGATTTTGGCTCCCACAACTACTTTTCTTGACATTCAACAATTTTTCCTTGAAGAGGGAAAAAAAAGAACACGGACAAAAAATGGGGGACCCAAAAGGCACTCCTCTCGACCATCTCAACTCTCGCGAGGATGTCCTCCGCCGGGTTCAAACGGCAGACAGCGTCTTTCTTCCACGTGAAGTGTTCGAGGCTCTCTACTTGAATCCGGAACGTAACGTTCCAGGTGACTTGAGAAAGAAGGTGTGTTTCGGGTTCTGTTCTTGATTACTGTTCTGTTCTCGAGAGAATGACACGTGCTGACCACACCACGTTTTTCCTGGGGGGGATTGTATAGTTTGGTAACCCAACTCCGGCGTGTCTGATCGGCTTCGTCATCGCAGCCACACCTTATGCGTGTGCCAACATGGGTTGGAGAGGTGCAGGAGGTGCAGGAGGTGCCATTATGTATGTTGTTTCTCGCACTTCGCCATCGCCCCGGAGAGAAGTGATACTTCTCCTCTCCCAGAAAGGGAAAAATGGCTGACGTCGTCTTTGTTTCTCTCTGTTACTGAGAACAGCCCGACCATGATCTTCTTCGGTGGCGTGCTCCAAGTCTTGGGGGCGATAGGAGAATGGATCCTGGGCAACACCTTCTCCATGTGCCTGTTCTTCACCTACGGAACCTTCTGGATCGTCGCCGGGACACAACTCATCCCTTGGTTCGGTGTCGGCGTGCAGTACTCCCCCGGTGGAAGCAATCTGCAGGGCATGACCGAACCTTCGTATTATGCCACCTTTGGTACGTCGTGTTTCGTGTCCCTCGAAAGGTCCCGCATCTTCAAAAAAGCTCAAAGTTGAAAAGCTTTGAGCAAGAGATTACAGACAGGCTAATTGTTTCCCCCCCCTCTCTTTGCAAATCAGGATTCTATTATCTATCCCTCGCCCTACTCACCACGATTTTCACCGTCTGCGCACTCAGGACCAACATTGTCTTTTTCTGTGCCTTGTTCACCTTGGTCTTCAGTTTCGCTTGTGGTGCGGGTGCGTTTTGGAATTTGGCTTTGGGGAATGTCCATGCCGGTGAAAGGTTGACCGTTGTAAGTATTTGGTCTTGACCCCCTTGAATATCCTGGCTATACATCTCTCCGATTTCTTATTCCGAAAGTTTTTATCCCTCAAGTCAAGTCATGCACTGACGGAGAAACCCCCCCAAAAATCAACAGGCAGCAGGTGCTTTCACGTTTGCCTTGACGGCAATGGTATGGTACGTTTTGGCCGTACAACTCTTGGAGGCAGTTGATTTCCCAATCACCCTCCCCGTGGGGGACCTGTCCAGGTACATCAAGGGGAAGAAGGAGAGGGAACAACTCGTCAAGGAAAGGATGAGGGGAGGGGGTGCCACCGCGGCCGAGTAGTGAGAAACGAGTCAGCCTTCTCTAAGGACGAGTACAGACGAAACCATCAAAGGTCAAAATGGCATCATAATCATCATCATCATCAATCAACGGACTCGTCAAAGGTATGGATGGGATCGTGTCGTCATTTCCAAAATGTTGAGCAAGTTTGATATCGGCTCACGCCTGTCTATACTGCCTGTGGCTACGAGATAAAAGGCCTAATCGATCTAACAAAAAAAGTGTCCTTGACCTGAAAACTTCCACTGTAAGAAATCATGTTGCTAGCACTGCGTAGATTGCCACCTCATCTACATTGATATTGTGGGCAATGATGCCGACCATTTCAGGCAGATAAAAAGCTGTAATTGTACGGAATGTATATTTTTTTTACAGACGTCCTATACAAAGAAGTAATGAATCTTCAGTTCTGGAGTACCTTTGAACATTGACTGACACAAATCATGTACATAAATCGGAAGCATGTCATGAACTTAACAAATCTCTCACACTCATACCTTTTCCCCTTTCTCCCCCCTCCGATACCAAAGGCGTCTGACCACCCCCTGGAGGTCCCGAGACGGAGCCTCTCCAGTCATTCGTCAACATCATCAACGCAGCACCTGCCGTCGCCTCCGCGGTTCCAGACGCATCGCTCAACGCTGCCGGAGACTTGCTGTGCGCCTCTCTCCCGTCCGGAGATTGCGACTGCGAGGAATGTCCGTTGTTGTACGGCTGCGGTAATTGCAGATACGTCATCGGCGGTGGCAAGGGCATGTTGAGTGCCGCCCTTGGCGACGGGAGTGGTGCCATGCCCGGGCTCGGATTGACCGTCGTCCAGGAGTTGGAGGTCGAGGTCGACGAAGCGACTGGGCCTGGACCACCGGCACCACCAGTCTCCGGTGACTTGCCCGTGGCGGCACCGCTCTTTGTGGTATTCGTCTGTGAGCGGGTGAGGTCAGGAGAAAAATGTATCGAATTGAACGCCGGACTGAGCATGGTCGGCGTAGGGGTGTTGGACGTCGCATGGGTGGAAATCTGAGAGGGCGAGTCCGTGTAGGAGGATGGTAGGCCCGGCATACTCCTGCCGTTGCCACTCTGTCTGTCCGAATGGCCCTGTGTTTGGGACAATATGTGAGGAGAAGGATGTGCCGAACTAGACAAGGAAGCCACCGAGTGTCGGTGGGCGTCTCTATACTGCCACTCGTCTCCAACAGATCTGTTGGTCTGTTTGCCCGCTCTGCTCGGCTGAGCTGGCTGCGAGGGCACTTCGACGTCGTGTTCATCCTCGTCCTCGTCCTCGTCACCTTCCTCATCCTCTTCGTTCTCGTCCGGAGCAAGGTCAACTTCACGATGGTGGTGATGGTGGCGTTGCGTCTCAGACTCCGACGATCTTTTCTGCTTCTCGTTCTCGCCCTTGAGTTGGGCAACGCAGCCCTCGAGGTACCGAACATACTCGATCCCTGCCTGGAGAATGGCGAGCTTGTGCATCTCCACGCCTTCACAGGCAGGTATCATGTCTTTGAGCACTCCAAACTCTTCATTCATCTTACTACGTCTCCGCCGTTCGATGATGCTATGTGCTGTCTTGCGTGCAATCTTTCGACCAGCCGCACTCGTGGCAGAAGGCTGTTTCCGCTTGGAGGCCGCCGTGGCCCCGGTCGTCTTCGAGGCTGAATTGGACGCATTCGCCGCAGACGTGGGTGGGTGGTAACTGGCGTCACTGTCTGGAGAGGGAGCGGACTTGGGTTTCATCTGGATGATCTTTCTCGCTCGGCTCGGGGGTGGAGGCAGGGCATAGGAAGACGAGTTCGAGGGGCCACCACTCGTGGCAGGGTCGTGGGCCGCCTTGACTGCTCCAGAGGCAGTCCTCTTGTTTCGAGGACTCGTAGAGAGCGGCTTGTCCTGAGGAGATATCGGAGGAGTACTCTGAGAATAGGCAGAGGCATTGTTGTTGTGCTCTCGGGAACTACTGCTGCTTTTCGTGGCATGGCTAGAAGACGATGTTGACCCTTCGGCTGCTCGCAAGGCTGGAGGTGGCAGTGTGAACGTGGATTCCATATCTGTGGAGGGTACAGCCTTTTCCAATGCTTTGAGGTCTGTTGATCCAGTAGGGGTGGGAGGGGGTCTTGGTCGGGGCATAATGGCTTGCCCTGAGTTAGTCGGTAGATTCAGTCTGCTGGACTTGTGAGGCGTGGAATGGTAACAAGATAAGTACAACACCGAGGGGAGCACAGCGAGTCTCTGATGTCTCACAGAGGGCAGATGCAGAACAGAAGGAGTTCGAGGGGACGATTCAGGTAAAGAATGCAACGAGGCAGGAGAAGCATCTGAAATGGTGGTTTAGAAACAGCCGTTCGAAACAGTCGGATGTGGGCACGTGTATGAGCACACGACAGCAGCTTCTGAGAGGCTTAGGCCCTCGTGTCGCCTGGGGGGGCCATGATAGGATGAGACTCGTAACCCGTAGCGAGTAGCGAGCATTGAGCAATTCGGCCATGTCTACCTACTTTTTGCCCTGATAGATCCCGAGTACAGAAGAGGTGAAAGGCTGGTGAGGCAGACTTGCACACTTGGGTCGATGGGCACGTGTCGAGGGCCAACATTTGATTGGAGATCTCATCCGGATTATCAAAAGGCCGACCACCCGAGAAGCTCCTTTCCCCGCGGCCTGCGCTTAGAGGATCCCCAAGACAAACACGTGACTTTGCGCCTTGCTGAGCGACAAGAAACATGAATTCACCAGACTAGAATCGTAGAGCACGAATGATGCACTCCTTCAAGCATCAACACTTTTATATTATAATATAAATAGGTATAACGCGTATAGACAAGTCAATTCAGCGTGTCTTTCGCCGTCATTATTTTATTTGCCCCTGATATCGTGAACACTGCTCAGGTCTTTGGCATCACCAACTCCGTTCTTCTTTTCGCCATCGCTGAGACCTCGCGACGACTCTGGTCTCTTGAAATGGACTTTCAAAGGTTCCCAGGAGTGAGCATTGTATGTCTGCAAACATCATGTCAGTGTTTGTATTCAATCAACCATTAAAGATGAACTCGAAAACTCACCTCTTGCACTTTCTGGCAAGTCTTCAACCCCCATTCGGTGACGCCAACCATCAAACAACTCTCAAACATAAACGCCATACTGCCTTCCCCAACTTTAGTCGGAGGTAGGTCCATCGTCGATGCCTTCTCGAACGTCTGCATGTCCGGTCCATGCCCACTCATCGTATTATGTAAACTAGCTCCAGCCGGCTGGAACCCACCCTTGCCAGCCCCTTTGGCATCATAGTTGCCCATGATTAGGCCCATAAACTCGGACATGGTGTTGCGATGATACCATGGGGGTCGGAATGTCTTCTCAGCCACCAACCAGCGCGGTGGGAAGATGACAAAGTCCGCCACTGCGGTACCTGCTCCATGAGGGATGGAGGGTGCGGTGAGGACGGTGAAGATGGAAGGATCAGGGTGGTCGTAAGAGATGCTGCCGACAGGGTTGAATCGGCCCAGGTCATATTTGTAAGGGTAGTACGTGCCGTGCCAGCCGACAATGTCGAAGGGAGTGTGCGACTGCTTGGCTGCGAACAAGTTGCCTCCGAATTTACCGTAGAGTGTCCATTCGGTGTTCTCATAGTCTTCAATGAAGTCGGCCACGGGAGTCTGGAAGTCGCGTGCATTTGCCAATCCATTCGAACCGATTGGACCTAATTCAGGCAATTTGAAATGGCCCTGGTATAATTCCAAGATGTATCCCCGCACCGGCTCGTTGCCATGCAGTGCAACGTGGTAACGAATACCTCGCGGTATGACGCAGATTTCGTTCGGTCGGACCAGCATCTTACCCATCTCGGTCCGGATGTCAAGGACGCCATGCTGTGGCACAATGAGGAAGTCTCCATCGGCGCTGTAAAAGGCCGTTTTGTCAGGCATGGTGGAACCAGCGGCGTAGATGTAGATGCCGAGGCCTTGTTTCATCGTGGGGTCTCCTGCGCCGGCCACGAGATGCAAGGAATGGATCCAGGATGCCTCCTTGTCGAAATCGAAAGGATCCCATCGCAGCTGATTGGGGATGGCATTGAAATGCTTGCCGAAGCTGGGTGTGGTGGATGTGAGGGAGTTCGGGGACGACTCTGGCACAGGCTGGAAGTTCTGGTGGCTGGCCGAGGGGAGGATTCGATAGAGCCAGGTCTGTAGGTTATCGTCGCGCGGCGCGGTGAAAGCGGTCCCCGACAACTTCTCATTGTATAGGCCGAGCGGACATTTTTGAGGAGAATTGGCCGCCAACGGCAAGGCCCCTTCTACAGCTTCACTCCTGCGGCTGGGTGTCAGTCCAAGTGTCCCTAAAATGCGGGCGACCTCAGGTAGCGCCTACTCTTTGTACCCCCCGAACCCATTCAGATATTCGTACGTGTCGGTCACAGCGAATTGGGTTACAGGCATCGTCAATGGCTTGCTCGTCGGTAAAGGTGTTTACGTTGCGAACTGCAGGAGGAGAATCGTCAGCGAAATGCGGAGTAGAAGAGCGCAGAGAGAGGGAGAGGGAGAGAGGGAGCGGCGGGTTTTGCCCACAATCACTTACTGGTGAGGGGTGTTTTGTATTTGATGTTGATGTCTTTGTTCTCACGGTGCCGTTCGATGGCTTCTTGTAAACGTTTGAGGCCCTGCATGAAGGGCAATATTGTCGTATGATCACCTAAGAAGTTTGCGAAAGATGGTCAGAGAGGGGAGTGCGGAATGTTGGTCGTGGGAGTCAAGGAAGGGATTCCGTGGGAGGAATATGAATGAAATTGCGACACAACAGAAACAGAGGTCTGATGCGGGATGCGGGTCCTGGTGCTGGTCCTGCGGTCCTGGTGGGTTCCTTTTTACTTGTTGAAAGGCCCTAGAGGAAGAAGCCCAGGCGGACTCCGACTGAGGGCGAAGTAACGAACGGGCCGAGAGCCTCTCGTACAGAGGGTGAAGTGGTGAGGGAATTGGGCATAGTCAGAAGAGTGGTAGTGGCCGGTGGTGCGCAAGGACACTCTCGATTGGTACTTCGGCACTGCGAAGTGCGTTGAGTGGCTGCGGTGTCGCGCAGTTGGGACACTGGGGCGTCACCAGCAGCGGGAAAGCGCGGGATGGTTTTCTCGCCAACCTTCACCATGATTTGCAGCTCATTTAGCCAGAAAACCGGGGCGAGGGACAAGGCGAATCGAGAGACACCAATCTGTGCCGCCCGAGCCGCTATTGTTCTTTGGTATGAAGTATTGTTGGCGCCAGAAAGACTGCCTCAAAGCATAAAGCACATTATTGTGCGGCAGTTCGGAGGAGATGCATGCCAGTGCTGAGTGACTAGACACCGACCAGTGACCGAAGCATCACATCTGTCTCGTCGATGCTTCGCCATGACAAAAGTAGCATCATCAGCCATAAACAAGGCCTTGCCCTCGTTTCAGAATCCAAAATAACAGCATTACCGGCGGCTGGCCTGCTTCAAATTTAGGCGGGGCTCAGATCGGAAGATGCAGGCCGAAGGGGCGATTCAGAGGGCCTGCTTTAGGTACTCGTAGAGAAGCCTGGACAGCCTGATAAGGCCGCTCTGGAAGATTCCCCAGCGGTGGCCTCGGACTAGTGAGTGCAATACTCGCGATTGGCCTGGGGCGGTGGTTGGATTGCATTACTCCGTATACGACTTGGCTGGGACTCGACACCAGCTGCGATGATGATGGATGCTGGTGTCGCAACCAATATCTCGTATTGTTGTGAGCACTGACCTTCCCCCCCAAGTCCACCTTTCCCACTTCCAGCCGCCTTTACGGAGTTCTATAGTACAGTAACACACATTATTCTGCCCATCCCTCAACCGGCCGATGCGCACGGAAAAGACTTCAGCCAAAATGCGACCACAATGACGCCAGCGATCGTCGTATGGATCGCCACTTTGTCCAGAACCTGCCCTGTCGATTCTCGAAACGACACAAGCCGAGACCACGTTGTTGACTGGGAGGGTGACGGCGAATCCCTTCCACTTGCGAGCAGGATTGACACGGGATGTTCCCTGTAAGCTGGCAGCACCGCGGAAACCTTGCTGTCGACCGTGTCCTGAATACTCGTCCTGGGTGGTGTGTCGGCGACAAGGGCCAAGAATTGACCAGTGGGTGGCAAACAGGGACCTCGCGATCTCTTCTCATCTCTTCTTATCGCAATGGTACTGTACGGAGTACTTGTACTGTGATCTCTCTCTTTGGCTACCCGGATTGATAACGACGTTTTCTAGCCAAACTCTCTTGGCTCTACCCGTATGGCCATCGTGTGAGTCTGCGATAATTCTCCCTTCAGAGTTCTTGTTGGTGTGGTCTGTACAGTGCAGTATCTGGCGGCCCCTGCCGTTATCTGGGATGGCCCAGATATTATCACGGTACTCCTTTCAAGCGAAGCCGAGTACAGGCGTCCCCCGGTGTCATCACGCAATACCCAGAGTGTCTGCACATGCAAATGCAAAATGCCAAAAACCAGTCTGATGATACTTTTGAATGGGACCGTGCGAGATTGCTAGGTAATGTAATAACTCACCATGCGTACTTGTACACTGCATCTTCTCCCTCCTATGTTGCTCCAGCGCTTCCTTGGCGATCTGGATGACCTCACTTCTTTCCCACCACCTCACATGTTCCGTAGCATAGCACCGTCTGGGACTAGGGGCCATGTCGCTTTCTCACTTCTCGTCAGGTGTGGTTCGTCTGTCGCTGAGATGATGGATTTCGCCGGCGGCCGTCTCAGAAAGTAAAAAGTTCTAATCAGGTGCGCCCTCGGCGTTGCAAGGTGTCGATGGGGGGCTTGAGTCGGAGGGCATCAAAAGTATAGGTTCGATATAGGTAGGTTAATAAAATGAGAAGCATAAAAGTTCTTCTTTCACAGGATGGAGGAACTCAGCAGAGGGTCACATTTTCAACAATAAAAACAACAATAACTACCACTACCAGCAACATCAGTTAAAAAACAGAAGAAGAATTCAAAAGGGGTGGCAGGGAATAAGGATAAAGTACGTTGAGAGTGTTGGGCGGCAGTGGCAGGTCCTCGGTGTTTGTGGGCTCAAAGGAAACTCTTGTGCTTGTTTTTATTCTTGTTCATCCACAATCTGTTTCTTACATTCATTTTCAAGCGCGCGACGCGAAGTCGAGGGTGTTTGTCCGGAACATCCACTCGAAAAGTGAACAAAGTGAAGGAACGATGCAACTTTTCAACGGAACCGGCCATGACAAAAATGCTTCAGGCTACTATGATCCATTCAGAACGCCTGATGAGTCCGTAGAGAGGCGAGGCGCATTCGATGGCCACTTGTAGGTACTCCATACATGACAGAATAAAATTCCATCAGTTTTTGATAGAAGAATCACGCTAATCAAAGCACTTTGGATTCGAATTTCGGACAAAACATGCAGTTCGTGTAAAATACCTGTCTTTTCCCTTTCTCACTCCCTTCTTCAAGCCTCCTACCCCCCAACCCCTTTTTTGTTCAGCAGCCCCCATCACAAATCCTTCGTTCTCTGCTCACTGTCACGAATCCACCTGTCCAAAGCCGCCTTGTTTCGAATCTTGAAACCCACCTTGAACGGCTTTGGCTCCGTGGTCAGCGCGGTCGGGATGGAATTGCACTCCAGGGCGTCCAGGACAGGCCAGTCTTTTTGGTCCTTGGCCGGCACAAACTCAAACGCGACAATCATGCGCAAGAACGCCGTGTAGATCTCCCGGTTGGCCAGGTGGGAACCGACGCACATGCGGCTGCCGGCCCCGTAGCCGTAGTGTGGCGTGCCGCTGCCTTCTTGGTCGTCCAGGTAGCGCTCCGGGATGAACCTAGCGGGGTCCTTGAAGTGTGTGTCGTCGTAGTCTGCCGCCCAGGCGTTCATGTAAAACACCGACCCGGCCGGGATGACGGTGTCATTGTACTTGATGTCCTTGATGCTCGTGCGCGGCAGGCACACAGGGATCACGGTCCAGAAGCGGAGGATCTCCTTGGTCAGGGCCGTGACGTACGGCACTTTTTCCTCGATGAGACACTTTTCCCACGCCTCGCCGTCGGTCGGGTAGACCTTCATGATCTCCTCGTACGCCTTTTTCTGGATGTGCTGGCCCTCCGGTGACGCGAGGTAGCCCAGGCCCATGATCATATTGCCCGGCACGGTGTCAATGCCCGCTGAGACCATGGTCAGACAGATCGACTTGAGTTCGGCGTCGTTGAGGGTTTCCTCGGGATCCTTGATGATGTTTCCCGTGATGCAAGGTCGGTCTGTTCCCTTGGCGATCCGGTCCTTGAGCATGTCCAAGAAGGTGGTGAGGTACTTGTCGCGACGGGTCCGGTACTCGGCGGCCGACTTGTTCTGTCGAGAAATGAATGGCAGGCGAAGCAAAGGGATGTAGTCTTGCCAGTTGTTGGAGGTGCTTCGGAAGTTGGACACGACGCGTTCAACGTGCACGACTGTTCAATGGTGGTTAGCTTCGTACAGGGTCCATGGGATATTGGAGAAACTGGATCGGTGGATTCATTTCTCTTACCTTCTCTCAAGAGTTCCTGGTCGATGCCTCCGTCAATTCGAATGCCATAGTTCAAGGTCAAGCTGGTGTTCAGGGCAAAGCGGTGGAAATACTTTCGTGGGTCCAAGTCGATCGTCCCATTGTTGCTGTCCTTGTACATGTCTTTGATGGCCACACAGCTCTCGAGGTCGATGAAAGGCATGTAGCTCTGTACGGCTGGCTTGTTCAGTGCTGTAGCCGCCACCTTGCGACGTCTCTTACACGAATCATCCCAGGGCGAAGTGCCGATGGTGAAGCCTTGACTGCTGGAAACGACACTGTGGAACGTGTACAGGGTCGGACGTGATATCAGGGCCGACTGGTTGGTGATCCAGAAGTGTTTGACAGATTCGAAACTGTTGGCCCAGATGATACGACGGTTGCCCAATCGAGTCTGGAAGACCGGCCAGCCATACTTCTTTGCCCAGGCGGCAGTCACTCGAGCATGGTCTTGACCAAGTTGTAGTAGGTTGCCAAAGAGCGGGACCCCGGGGATCTCAGGGAGGCCCTTGATCTTTGGCTGATCGGTCGAGTTCAGGTACCGTATCAAGAAGTAGCCTAGGGCGAGGAAGAGAAACGAGAGCGTCGTGGGCGATAGTGCCTCGAGCATTGTCGATTGATTGTGTTATGTTTTGGGATTTTTACCCTCTGGATGAGTTCGAGTCGATGTCCGATGGTGTTCAGTATGTGGCCTTTGGGTTTCCGTTATAACCAGGTCGACTTAGATCAACCATACATCAGTTGCAATGGTTGTCTTCTGAGGAAGAGGAGTGCTACTGCACAGGACAATGGGTAGTGGCTTAATTATACTCCTTACCGTTATCTTTGATTCACTCTGCTAAGTAGAAGCGTAGCACACGGTTGTCGTATATATCACGTCCAACCTCGGGCACATGGCCTTCTCACCCATTCCACTTCGTGTCATTGTTGTTAGCGCTTATCGTCGGCGATGGCTCACTCGTCTGACCTGGCACCCTTGACTCCGTCATGGTCATTTTCAGGAGGGGTCAAGGGCGGAGAAGAACAAGGGCTGTTTTGAGAGTGCGGAAATGTGCCGTGAGGTAAGAATGCGTAGAGGTCATTGTTTTGGGCCAGTTACAGAGTTACAATGGGCTTTGCTAGGCGCGAACGTGGGGAAAATCTGGCAATGACCAGCAATAATATGGCACCTAGAGACCCTCTAGAGAAGGCGACTGCTGAAGCCTATAGGAATCTTGGGGATCCCCCCCCCAAGCGGCGTTGAAATCAAAAATCAGCGTGCCCCTGATTGGAACGCCCCGCAGGTCCTCCACGGCCATTCAGTCGCGGAATTGACGCCTACTAGATTCTCCTCATCCTTCGCCTCGGAACCTCTGTAACCAGCATACAGGAGTCTAGAGATGGCGGGAAAAACTCAAGATCCATAGATGTAATTTCATATCAAGCACTCGGACAAACACCGAATATGTGCCGATCTCAGTTTATTCTAGTGGCTACCGTCATTACGAGATCACCTACACATCACAGTCCTGCGCTCAAATCTTGGGAGCAGGTAAGATCTTGCCTGTGCACTCCCCGAAGCCCACCAGCCCAGTCTCCTCGGAGCCGCACACACCGTACATAGTGATAGTATCACCATCTTGCAAGAACTTCCGCTCCACTCCACCCTTGAGTGCAATGGTTTCCTTTCCGCCTTTGCTTATTTCCAACATGCTCCCTTCGGTGCCAGGTTCGTTTCCACTGATCGTACCAGAGCCAAACATATCTCCGACAGCCATAGGACAGCCTCCAATAGAATGGTGAGCGAGCATTTGCGCAAAGGAGAACAGCAAGTGTCGTCCATTCGAGTTCAAGATGGTCGTTGTCTCACCGCCATCGGCTATCAGAACACAACAGTCAGCACATTTCACTCTTTTCTTGGCTCTCGATAAAACAGCTTCATTTAGGCTTAGTAGACTCACGTGTGATATCGACCTGTAACTTGATGTCATAGACGTTCTTCTTCTCCTTCTCTTGTAGATATGGTAGCAACTGCGTGTCGTTTGGAATGCCAGTACATCTGAAGGGTTCCAGAGCGTCCGTCAGAACAATCCACGGGCTTATGGTGGAGCCAAAGCTCTTGGACAGGAAAGGCCCAAGGGGAACGTATTCCCACGCCTGGATGTCACGCGCCGACCAGTCATTGAGGAGAACGAAGCCAAAGATGTAATCTGCTGCTTCCGAGATGGGAACGTTCGTGCCCATCTTGTTTCCTTTGCACAGAAAAGCCCCCAGCTCCAACTCGATATCAAGCCGCTTACACGGGCTGAAGGTTGGAACTTTAGGGGTGGCAGCAGGATTTTCCAAGATCTGCCCATTTGGCCTCGTGATGGGAGTCCCCGAAACAACAATTGACGATGCGCGGCCATGATAACCCACGGGCAAGTGTGTGTAATTTGGTTGCAGGGCGTTGTCTGGTCCTCTGAAAAGACAGCCAACGTTGAAGGCATGGTTCTTTCCAGCGTAAAAATCGGTATAGTCTCCGATATGCATTGGCACGTGCATCGTGACTTCGCTGCGTGGAATTAGGCATTTAGCTTGCAATGTCTTATTGTCTCGCAATGTTTGCGAATTCGAGGTACTCTCAGCAAAGACATCCTGGAGATATTTCCTAACCGAGCGATGAATCGGCCGGCCCAACGCTGCAAACTCATTCAGGGTTGGCTTGGAGAATACTGATACGTCAATTCCCAATGACGAGAAAGCGCCTGATGCTGAGAATTCCTGGAGGTCTAGACAGTGATCGCCAATTGCAACTGCTGGTCTTGGTGTTGATTTCGAGGCTGTCGAGATGATGCCAAAGGGGAGGTTGGCAAGAGAGAAGTGGCTACTCTTTGGGATCGGAAACCAGGACTTGATGGCTGCCATTGTAACTGATATTGGGTTATCTCTTTTCGTGTGCCTTTTGATCTCGAGTTCAATGTCGTCTGAGAATATATACCTACCTAGATTTCTCTACGAAGTACAACTACGGTAAGTGTCGTCGAAAGTGGTCATGGACATGGCGTCAAGAAGCGTCGGAGCAATTCCGTGGTTGGTGAACGGAACAACATTAAAGCGACTCCGCACCCACAACTGCAACTGAACCCTGTACTGTACCTTGATACTTTAATATCTTGAAGATAGTATTTCCAGATCATATCAGGTTATCTCAACATGTCTCATTGTGCCTGCCATGCGGACCGAAGACGACGTCGACTCCGGAACCGACATTCGGGCGTCAACCTGGGCAACAAGCCCCTAAAGAACCCCGTAATTTGACACCTTCAGAGTTCCTACGAATACTCGCGAGATTTTACGAACGACTCTGACCCATCTGATTCATACCTGGGCCACGCAGCTGTCGAGCGACCAGACCGTTCCCGTCCAATGCACGCTAGATACACTCGTCGAATGTCAAAAATATCGTCGTCGCCAACGAGAACAAAAAAAGAAGACGAGAATATGGAGATGATGGAGAAACTCCAGAAATATGAATCAATGACAGCACTTCCGCATCCAGCCACGATCGTCAGGGCGGCGAATCTCTCGCTACAACCAGAGTGCGAACACTGCATGATGACCCAAATCCTCTCCATAGAAAAATTCCAAGTCTTTGAAGAGTGAAGCAGTGTCTACACTGACATTTCACATCTATTTCTATTTCTACTTTTCGTTTTGTTCTTCTCTTCAGCGATTGTGTGATAGATTCAAAAAACAATGGCAAAGTCGTCCAGCTACGCCACCCGAAAATGGTGGAAGGAATCGGTGGTTTATCAGATCTACCCATCATCGTTTCAAGATACCAACGGTGATGGCTGGGGCGACGTCAAAGGCATTACTTCCAGAGTCGACTACCTCAAACAATTAGGCATTGACGTGGTTTGGACATCTCCCATCTACAAGTCACCGCAGGCGGACATGGGCTACGACATTGCAGACTACAAAGTCATCGATCCCATCTACGGCTCCGTCGAGGATGTAGACAATCTCATTTCGGAGCTCAAGAAGCGCGACATGAAGCTCATGATGGATCTCGTGGTGAACCACACCTCAAACATGCACGAGTGGTTCTTGGAAAGCAGGTCGTCCAAGACCAACTCGAAACGAGACTGGTATATCTGGAAGCCGCCCAAGTCCGTGAGCGAAGCAGGCGTGCCCGAGCCACCGAACAACTGGGCTCAAATTTTGGGAGAGGCCAACTCGGCATGGACATACGACACCGAGACGAAAGAATACTACCTTTCCGTCTTCACGCCCGAGCAACCCGACCTCAACTGGGAAAACCCTGAGGTGCGCGAAGCGGTATGGGACGTGATGCGCTTCTGGCTCGACCGAGGCGTGTCCGGATTTCGAATGGACGTAATCAACATGATCTCCAAAGTCCCGACGTACCCAGACGCCCCCATCGTCCTCGACCCGGCCAGCCACCAGTACCAACCGGGAACACAATTCTTTGTGAACGGCCCCAAACTGCACGACTACCTCCAAGAGATGCACCGCGAAGTCTTGTCCAAGTACGACACCATCACCGTGGGCGAAATGCCCGGCGTGTCGGACGAAAGCGAAATCTTACGCACCGTGGGTGCCGACGCCGGCGAACTGAACATGATCTTCATCTTTGACGTTGTTGACATCGACAAGCCCAACGTCCGCATGGCCCTGAAACCCTGGGACGTCAAGGAGATGAAGTCCATCATCACGCGGTGGCAGCGGTGCATGATCGAGCGCGATGGGTGGAACTCCGTGTTTATCGAGAACCATGACAACCCGCGCAGCATCAGCCGGTACGCCGACGACAGCGACGCCTTCCGCGACAAGAGTGCCAAGCTCCTCGCGCTGATGCAGACCACGCTCGGCGGCACGCTGTTCGTCTACCAAGGCGAGGAAATTGGGATCCGCAACGCCCCCACCGAATGGGACATTGACGAAGAGTACAAGGACATCGAGACCATCAATTACTGGAAAAAGTGCAAGAAGCTCTACAAGGACGACCCGGAGAAGCTCGAGCACGGCCGGAAGATCATCCAGATGAAGGCGCGGGATCACGCGCGCACGCCGATGCAGTGGTCCGGTAGCCAGGCCAATGCCGGGTTCTGTCGAGCCGACGTCAAGCCGTGGATGCGCGTCATGGACGACTTCAAGTCCGGCATCAACGCCGAGGACCAGATCAAGGCCTCGGACGACAAGGAATTGTCGACATGGCAGTTTTGGCAGCGAGGGATTCACGACCGCAAAGAGCACGCCGACGTCTTTGTCTACGGTGACTACCAGGAACTCTCGCCCGAAGACCCAAATATTCTCGCGTACGTCCGCACAAGCCAGGCCGGCGAGAAGTGGTTGGTCGTGTTGAACTTTTCGGGCAAGGATGTGGAATGGACCTTGCCTGAATCCCTCAAGGTCGACTTTTACGCTTGCAGTACCTATACAAAAGGCAAACCTGAGAAGCCGCAAAATGGCAAGATTCCGTTGAAGCCTTGGGAGGGTTTGTTGGCGAAATGCGCTGCATAGAAGAATCCCGCGAGACGAACAGTTCAAGCCTTGTTGGTTTCTCTAAGCATAGAACATCTCCGGTCACGAAAGAGTTTGTTGATGTGGGTTTGGGGAGGAGTCAGAAGACTAGGTATCCTTTCTCCGACCTTGTTTACGACTTGTGGGACCACCGGATGTACAGAATGCCATCGAGTATGCCATACGGGAGTTGAGCTCTTGCAAAGTAGACCTTACAACATTTCCTGAGATAGATAGAATTTAGATGACGCCCTTTTTATTTGGGCCCACGGAGCACGATTGCTTCCAGACATTGTTCCTACCATCACGGGCATGGCATCGAAAACCCTGTCCTGTTTCGATCCTACACACGACGATATCGTTTCCATTTCTCCCTCAACAAGGATACTTGACATTTGTTCCCTGGAACCCTCTCGCTCTCGGCTCGATTACCAACACCACCAAGGTAAGGTTACGACTCGTGAAATTTCCCATTCCAATCCTATATTTTCCAGTTTGGCCTGCAGGAGTTTCGGGCACCTGCATGAGGAGTACGAGACCTCACTTACGGAATAACACCTTTTAAACAAACATCTACCAGCAACTTCACATCCAAGTCGTATGTATGTTATCAACGAGAACGGGCATTATCCGAGGGCTACCTGATGGGCGAACCCTTCCCTCCTCTGGTAGCCACAATCTCAGGTATCTACCTACCTAATCAGCGAACGGAAGATACCCGTGAATCTTGTTCGGACCCTTGTCCGTCCGGCGATAAATGTATAACCCCATGATACTTGTACCTTTCGCTGTTCAGTACAGTACAGCATGCGTAGATCTTTGTGTTAGATGAATAGGATGTTGAAGGTATGCATAGTGTCGAGAGAAATCGTGGCTGCCGTCACCTACTTCCCACCTTTACAGTACTGGTACTTGCAAGGGGTATAGTACATAGGGGAGGTTGAACAACAGAGCGGTGTCTAGTTCCGTTCATCCTTACTCCTCTGTCGTACTTAATTCCGCTCTCTGGTCTCCTCTTTTCATTTACGGAGTATCGTACGGATACTACGAGTACTGTACAGTAGATTGCCCACCACACACAACACCTCTCCCTCTCCCCCAATCAACTCTTGTCTTCACACCTCGGATATGCCAATGTTCTTCAGGCTATTCGCCCGTCAAAAAAACAATCAGCCACTGCTTTCCTGACAACGGAAATCGTGCGGAGTTGTTCTGCGGGAGCCCCGCGAGAGAGCCCGGATCGACGCCCCCCTAATCCTCCTTCGGATACCCAGTGGTTTGTTTTCTTTGAACCAGCTGCAACCATGACCTGCTGATGATGATGATTTGCCGCCGCCCAGTATATTTTGATTAAGCTCTTGTTGTGAGTAGCACAAAAGAGTTGCTTGTCTCATCCCCTGGATCGGCAAACAGGCCGGTTACTACCCACAACCCGCATTCCACGTCCTTGTACTCGTCTCTGAAGGTGCTTCTCAGCACTAGAAGAAACGTCAAGCAATCCTACCGAGCCAAGCTCTCCGAACGTGGGAAAGGGTAGCGCAGGGTCTTCGATCGCATTACCAAGACCCTAGTGTATACCCCCAGACACCATCATCAGAGTCCATTGGCCGCCCCCAGGACGGAATGATAACTGCATTCGTTCACGGTAATCGTCCTCGGCTGCTGTCCTCCTCAGCGACTGGTCCACGTTCAGGATCGGCGACTGGATATAGATAATGCTCGAGATATATAACTAGTGGTCCGGCCATAGCAAGCGACAACCCCAATCGCCTGCCCAACCTCCCAGACTTCTCGCGTGTCGCAGTATCCGGCCGACATCTTTCTGGGTAACCACAAGGGCATTCTACAGTCTTTCCTCACCTTGCTCCCCTCAAACCAACCCTGCCGGCAACAATGGCGGACAAGGTCCGTAATCAATCCGAGATTGAAGATGTTCCCGTCGAGAAAGTCGAAAGCAATACCATCATCAGTCTGAAAGGAGCTGATCTGGAGATTGACCCCGTGCTCGAGAAGAAGCTCTTGTGGAAGATCGATCTCAATTTGATCCCCATTACTTTCTTGCTCTTCCTCTGCGCCTTCATTGATCGGTAATCTCTCCTCTTGCTTGTCGTTTGGGGAAAATTCGCCAAATGTTGACCGATCTCTCCCAGGATCAATATCGGCAATGCCCGCATTCAAGGCCTCGAAAAAGACCTCAACATGCATGGATCTGATTACAACATCGCCCTCTTTACCTTCTTCGTGCCTTACATCCTCCTGGAGGTGCCTGCCAATCTGGTACGTGACGGCCTTTTTGAGCGCTGATGGTGGTAGTGGTCGTCGAGTTGATCCAAAAAAAGGCGGGTCAACAAGATAGACCGGAATCGCCGACCACAATTAACAACGGGGGAAGATATATTAATGTGACTCTCTTTAGGTACTCAAGAACGTGCGTCCGTCCGTATTCATCAGTACCATCATGGCACTCTGGGGTGTCGTGACAGTATGCCAGGGAGTTACACAATCATTTGCCGGCCTTGTTGTCTGTCGAGTTATAATAGGCGCTTTAGAGGCTGGATTCTTCCCGGGATGTCTGTACCTGATCTCGATGTAAGTGGACAACTGTGACGTTTGGCAACCATTGACTAAGCTATACCCCCAGGTATTACAAGCGTTATGAGCTTCAGTTTCGTTTCAATCTCTTCTTTTCGGCTTCGATCATTGCTGGAGCTTTCTCGGGTTTACTGGTTGGTTGACCCGTCCATCTTTGTTATTCCATACTCATAATTACCAGGCATACGCCATCGCACACATGGCAGGCATCGCTGGATACGGAGGCTGGCGATGGATCTTCATCCTCGAGGGCATTTTTACCTTTGTCGTCGCAGTCATCTCGTACTGGATCATTCCAGATTGGCCCGAAACCGCAAAGTTCTTGAAGAGCGACGAGCGAGAACTGCTCATCCGCCGTCTTGCTCTCGATGTTGAGGACGCCACGATGAGCCACTGGAATAAGACAGCTGCAAAGCGAGTCTTTGGCGATATCAAGATATACCTTGGGTTAGTGAACCCCTTCTTCCCCTGAGCAAGTGCGAAAGGAAAGCTAACCTTGAACATAGCATCGCCATGTATATTGGTATTGTGACCACCAGTTATTCGGGAGCCTTGTTCACGCCGACCATCCTGAAACAACTGGGCTGGACTTCGATCCATGCTCAAGTCATGTCCATTCCCATATTTGTTGTCGCCACCGTATGCGCTCTTACTACAGCCGTACTGAGTGACAAACTTCATCACCGATTCAGTTTCATCATCTTTGGCTGTGTTGTGGCAACCATTGGATATATCATCTTGCTGAATATCCATCGTGTGGCAGTCGGCGTTCGATACTTTGCTCTTTACCTGATCATCTCAGGTGGTTATATTGCCCAGCCAATCACCCTTGTCTGGGTGAGTAACAACATGTCGGGACACTACAAACGGGGTGTTAGTAGCGCCATGATGGTAGGCTTCGGTAATTGTGGAGGTATAATAGCCTCGTAGGTGCTTGACAAAGAATACAAGAGTACCATTGACTGACCTTCTGCAGGAACATGTTCATAACGAGCGAAGCGCCCGAATATCACCTTGGCTATGGGCTGGGCCTCGCATTGGTCTGGCTATGCGTTGTAAGCGCCATCATACTTCTCTTCTACATTAAGAAAGAAAACGCTTTGCGCGATCAAGGTAGAAGGGATGACAGGTATGATTTGCCTGAGGATGAGAAGCGAAATCTTGGTGACGACCATCCGGCCTTCCGTTTCACTTATTGATGTCTGAATTTGGACTATTGATGAGCGCTATTCGAAAAATCTGACACAAGGAAACAACTCGAGGATGCTGCAACACGGCAGATTCATGTGATCGAAGAGGAAGCCGAGAATGAGGAACATTGAATGTTTGATTTGTCGAGGATGGCATCCGACCGTAGGGATGGGAGCATAGATACAATCCACTTGATTGAGGTCACTCAGTGTCAAATCTTGACCATCATATCGAAATCTGGACTTGATTCTTGTCCTTGTTGTTTCGCAGTAAGGTCTTATCCCTCCTTTCAAGACGATTGCTGGATAGTTCTCGCCTTGGGCGGACTCTCTGCAACGACGAGGGCAGGTATCCAATGATCGTAAGCTTTGGCCAGCACCTCGTCAGCATGGATCACCTAGTCCAAGCGGGTATGTCGTGCGCATGTAGACTATTTGGCTTCCTTTCCGAGCGTGAGGGTTGATCACACAGCCAACCACCTTGCGACGAAATCTCTTCCACGTATGCCTTTAGGTATCAGATTCTTCGTCCTCGGTGAGACAAACTTTGACGAGGGCCATAGGTAGCCCGAAATGGACACATCTTCCAGTCCAAAGGTATTTCCCACCAGGTCACACATGTTTTGTCGTGCCAATAACTTCCCCTCTCACTTTTTCCCAGTCTATACTGTTGTCCAACTCCTCGTCTACTAGACCCACGATAGTGATGTTGTCCCCTCTTACTAGGTAGAGGCCATGGCTGACCTGAGAACTCGGCTCCGGATCGTCTGCTGGGCGAATGATGCGTTCCACAGTATCGTTCAAAACAATATTTGTGACCTGGTCGCAGGACAGTAAAATACCGACGAGCGTGCGCCCATCCACAGTGATGACAAGAACTTTCTCTGCAGATTTATTGTCAGAGTTATTTTGACGCAGTGAATCAAGGGTCTCTAGTGTCAACTCACTGTCAATGTAGGTTTGAAGAGACATGGCACAAGGCTAGCAGTAGTGGTGAGAAACCGCAGGTAGAAGGATTTGCTTGTTGGGCAAGGGGGAGAGCACAAGCTCGACGCGTCAATGGCGACTGCTGTACTCAAAGGATCGTAATTCAACGACTCATCTGTACAATCAACTCATTCAAGTTCTGTCACGTCTCAAGAGAAGAGGCACACTTGACTGGTGAAGCTGCCATAAAAATGAACATTCTCCGCATACGAGAGGGACAAAAAAGCGTATCCCGATGGAGGGCGACTTCACGCCGCTTTTTCAGCCTCGCCACGGGCCCACCCAGGCCTCGTACTCGTACTTCTAGGTACGGACACCTGGGCCTTGTACCCCCGTACGCCCTAAAACACTCCCGCATAACGAATAGTCAACGTCGCAATCGAGATGTCATCTTTTCGGGCCAACACGGGCACGTACGGACGTTTATAGTCCACCCTGCGCCACCTTCACCACCTGGCTGGTTTCTTTGCCCCATGGGGAACAGTGACCTGGATCTCATGTGCCGATCATGACTAACAGAAAACCAGAGTAGCATAATGCCCCTTTCATATCTTTGTGCCATCCCGCCAGTCGAGGTCGTTCGCCAGGTACGACTTGCGCAACAATGCAGGACACGTCCTCCCCAGGCCTGGAGTCACTTCTGGCATTGTGGCCCGTTGCCAGCAGCTTGAGCGAGACGCTTCCTGTTGGGGACCTGATTGCTCTTTCAAGGGTCAATGCCACGCTCCGTGCGGTCCTCCACGGCTTCGCGAGACCTGAAAATACCCATAATCTGGGACAACCCGTGGCCGTCCGGAAAGAGCTCAGGGTCGGTCAGCACGCAACGAAATACTGGCAGAGTCTCAAGACTCGAGCCCCGTTTGAATGTTCGTCTCCTGCTCATACAAAAGGTTCGAACCCAAGGCCTTGTCGGTATTGCTCGAAACCCATCTGTGCGGCTTGCATCGTTCGGTCATCTTTCGCCAGAGGCCACGAGAACACGTTTCAGAACCGGATCCGTTACCTATGCAAGGGTTGTTGGGAGTCTGGGAACATCAGTCGAAGCCATCGCTTTGAATTGGATGCTTCTGTGCCTGTTGCCAAGCACACCCAGTGGCACGATCCTGACGGCAGCACCAAAGACTACTGCACCTGCACGCTAAAGGACGACGGCTGGTTATGCCTCAATTGTAAGGACCTGCAAAACTGGGAAGCCATTTCCTCCGGGGACACGGATTGCCATGGTCTGCAATGTGGCGGCAAGCTCGACGCTGACAAGGAGCGAAGGAGAATTTGTCTCTGGTGCGACAAAGCCCTACCCAGACAGATTGGAGGAACTACCCGGCACCACTGGAACCAGAAGATGATCGAGGCACGGGCGAGGAACGCCGCATCCCGCCAGGCCGACCTCGAAGAGTACAATCGCAGGCGGCAGAAATTGCTGCGGATGTCTCGTCGAGAACTGCGAGGCGACGAAGCCGTCAAGGACGATCCAGACGCCGACCTTCCTCAGTTCGTCAGACATCTGGACACTGTCAACTACCGGGCGTATCTCAGCGAAACGGCCGCTCCCAGTGGTGACAGCGTCTACGACTCCAAACGGGGCTACTGGAGGTACAACAAAGAGTTCCTCCTCAAAATTCGACTTCGGTGCCAACAACTCCCCAAACCATCACAGCTCTCCGTGCTCAACCAGACAGACAACGGCGGGCTGCGCTTCGCCCTCACCAACACCGAAAAGTCGGACGACACCTTTTCCTTCACGGCCATGGTCCCCTCCATGTCCGAAGACCGGGTCAAAGAGTGGTGTACCCTGAAGGCACACATCCTCGAGCTCCTCCTGGTCCAGAAGCTGAGTTACGCCGAGACACGCAACGTGATGCACGAAGACCACGACTTCGACGCAAGCCTGAAAGAATACAGAAAGGTGCTGCATCTGTGGTACTCCCAAGGCCACTTCGAGCGGTATCGAAGAGGCTCGTCTCTCGATCGGGAAGATGAGAGTCTTGTCGACGGCGGAGGCGGCGGTAGCCCTTTGTCGGGTTTGGGTCCTGATGACACGGGCCTCGAAAGGATACCGACTCTCGAGAGTGACCTCGACTCCACCACCTCAGCATTCACCTACCGGTCTGGCTCGAACGAACATCGTCTCGTCCGCACAAACACCAGATCCACCACCACTTCGGTCGTCGAGGATTGTGTTACGACCCGTCTACCAGACCCTCCTCCTCCTCCTCCTTCCTCTCGTAGGCGAGCTTCCACGTGGTCCGCGTTGAAGAGAAAGATCCAACAAGACCGGCAGTCTCTCTTGCAGGCGGGAGAAAGCTCCAACGTACAGAATGTTCCGGCACCGGCGGCACCATCAGCTAGACCAGGAAGACGACAGTCACAGCAGACACCCCAGTCGCCAGCCGACGGGACACCCTCGGTATCAACGTCCGACACGTGGGCCCCCCAGGTCCCAAACGACGGTGATGATGACTTGGCCTCTGGTCCCACAGACTCGGCCGGAACCATCACCAACGTCGGTGAAGCTGGTGACAATGATGAGAACCCCCCGCCGTATTCTCCAAACGGGTGGATATGGCCATGATAATAATGTTAGGGACACCGGGTCATATGAAAAGTGCTTGCACTTGAGAGACTGCGTTATTTTTCTATCTGTCAGAGTCACCCCTCGAATCATGACAGCGTTGAAGATTCCCATGTGCCTGGGTACGAGTACCATCACGCACATGGCATCAAAAGCAAATTAGAGTACTTATGCATCAATGATAGTCTGTCTAACAAAGAATACTCTTCGAATTTTTTGAGGAAACAAAAAAGGTGAAAATTGCAATTCTTGGTTTCTGCAGACAGGACGCCCTCCCTGTACACTCACTATCGACGCCTCCAAGTTTGTGCAGTGACCAAAAGTTTTATAAGTCTCTTTGCGTGACAAAAAGAAAAGACACATGTGTCAGAGCTTTCTCAATTGTTGTACCAAACCCGATTGTTGACTCTTCCTGTGTGAATTGTCGCCGTCGCCAATACAATCCAGCAAAACTCCATCCCACCGTCATTATGTGCAATGACAAACCTAGTTTCGCTCTCCACAACTACATGACTGTCCATCTCACCAGCAAAAATAAAGACCCAGACTCTAAGAAGAACTTCTGCATAGTCGATCGGCCTAGGTTGGAGAGCAATCTTCATCATACGTATGGACGGCAATTACGGGTTCTTTGCTTGCTTAACTCTCATCATGATGTTGATGCTGCAGCCTCGGTCTGTTTGTGTATATCGCCACATCACCGCCAATACAACCATAACTCTGGGTGCTGAAGCGAAATCGCCACCTGTCGTAACATGGTAGATCTGTACAAGAGATCAATTGGTTGGTCCTACTCCTGGCCGAAGCCCAGAGTCTCTTCGACGGCTGTAGAGAGTTTCGAGTTGAGAACGTCATAAGTCTTGTAAGAAGGCAGATCCAGACGGTTGAAGCTACATTATAATGTTAATAAACCGTCAAAGATCGAGGATGGAAGATACGTACCAGGTATGACTCTTTGGCAGAGCGTTGATCTCACCTGCCTTTTCGATGGTAAATCGTCTTGGACCATCACTACCCTGGAGATCTTTGAAACCATTGACAGGGATTCTGCTTGTTCCAGTTGCAAATTGCAAGAGACGACTCTTCTGTTCTGCATCCCACGTTCGAACCACTTTCCAGAAGTTCTGAATGACTTCGTCTTGCTCCTGGTAGCCACGGTAATCGGTGTGTTTCTTCCAGTCGTCTACGTCGATATCAGCAATACCGCCAATGAGAAGCTCGAGTTCACGCTCGTCAAACACGTTGACAAGATCAGCAGGAATCAATTCGTTGAAACCAGTGATGAAGGCATTGAACTGTTCCTCGACTCGCTTCACGATTTTCCATTCAGTCACAAGCCTATGAAAAGTTAGGATTTGTTATAACGTTCAGCACGAAAAAGGGAGACTTACTCCACGTATTCTCTCTTGTTTTCATTGGTAACAGGAATGTCTCGACCGCCGGGTTTCAGGTCAATGGTCTTAGTCTCTCCAAACTGTTCGTCTTCAATTGAGAAGGTTTGGTCAAGGATGTCGGTGATATCGTTCTCCAGGGTCCACGTCAAGTTTTTGTGGTACTCTTCGTCCACACCTTCCATGTCCTGAATTTGGACTTTCTTTCTCAGCATCATTTTGTAGAAAGCGCCGATAAAGAAGGAGTCCAAGAATCGCCGGTGGAAGATGGCAAGACCAACTACACGGCCAATGAACTTGAAGTAATTCAGGTGCTCGGGGTTGATGCCAGAATGTGGGTTGATTTGAAGGGTATAGTTGTCATGGGCGGAATATTCGAATAGACAGTAAAATGGGTTGAACATCTCGTGTGAAAGCAAGAAGAAGAATTCGCTAGGTTTTTGTTAGTAAAGATCTTGAAATGTGGGTGAGTATCCTTACCGTGAAAGACCACCATAGTCTAGACCGTCTTCGCCGTCGAACTTGATCATCAAGCGCTTCTTCAAGTCGGTAGCGCTTTGTCTCATGATTTCAGCATACGAGTCCTCAAAAATATTGCCACGCCGGACTTTGATATGGCATTGGCCAGACAAGATTCGTAATGCAGGTTGCGAGCGGAAATAGATAAGTTTCCTTCTGAAGTCTCGCTTGTACTGCGGTACGCCCTGGTCCAGAGAGGATGGCAAGCGTGGGTCATCCCAAGTTGTTGTCTTGGTGTTATGATCCACGAAATATACCCGGGCAGTGTTGGTCAGTCGCATTTCCCAGCCACTAGGTAAGGGACCCAATTGCGATACTGGCTGTTGTTGAATGGTGGTGTTGTTGCCAGCAGGGTTGTTGCCATACATGCGAATATACTGTTGTCGCCGGGGATCAACCCAGGTCGTGGTTCTCGTGTTGTGGTCGACGAAATAAGCACGACCTTCTGGAGTATGTCGCATTTCCCACCCAGCGGGAAGCTCTCCGGTGCCAGCAGTTGTCGCACCGGTGGCCATCATTGCCACAGAATTTTGGGAGGGAGAACCAGTGCGGGACTCCTGCAGATTTGGCGAATTGGCGCCGGTGCGATCCTCTGGAAGCATGCGATTTTGGTGTCGTTGTCGTTCAACTTGCATGTTGGCGTCGATACGATTGCGAACTTCGGTCTCACTCATGTGATTTGATGGTCTAGTCCAAGTGGTGGTTCTGGTGTTATGATCCACGTAATAAGTTCGGCCCAGATTGTCCTCCCGACGCTCCCAGCCGGCTGGTAAGCGTCCTTGGCTGTCTTCGAATGAACTGAAACCTCCCGCCCGTCCAGATCCATTGGTTGAGGCTTGTGGTCCAGCTCCATTCAGGGCGGTAGCTGAAGCTCTCGCTTCTGCCGACCCTGAAGTCGCAGTTCGCGACGGTGCAGGGCTCCTTGACCGCACGGGCAGAGTTTGGTTCACGTTTGTGCTGCTGCCAAGCGACGCTGAACCGTTGATGCTTGAGGCACTGCTCGGTGTTGGCCGATTGGCTTGGGGATTGGGGGCTGGCGCGCTCAGATTTGTGGACAAATTTATGATCAACTTGCCATGGACGACGAGATTGTCAGTAGACTTCTTAAGATCCCGAGTCAGCATTTCTGGTGATGTTAGTATACGATCCAACAATAGGAGTACTAGATGAACAAACCATCTCCGCCCATATCAAGTTCAATGACATCGCCGATGCGGATGTTGATGACGCCGAGAAACCCTTGATCCTTCTTCTTAAATTTCTTCTGGTCGAATATTTGTATGGCAAGGATGCTGTCTTCTGTAACTTTCCTGCAACATAGTCAGTCTTTGAACGTCATGCTGCACAGAGTATTCGTGACGAACATGTCAAAAGACTCGTTCCAGTAGGGATTCAATGTCTTTCTAATGACCGAGGTGGTCCTCGTTTGCTCTCCAGAGATGGTCGCGACCGCGAATGGATCGGGGAATCCTAAAGATTCGTTCAGTATTCCTGTAGCATGTTTCGTTGTCTGCCAAACTCACTGAAGACATCTCTTTTGTACAGTCCGTCAGCCGCAATGACTAGAGCGTGGTGTTAGTCTGGCACAATTCGCGGATGAAAGGACGTGGCATACTCGTGACTCGAAGATTGGGCTCTCTGTTCACAAGATGGTCAGCTCATTCAATCACATCTGATATTTGATGAAAATACTCACGCAGGCAGATTTGCTTCAGGCATCGTGGTGTGTTGACCACCAGCAGGTGGCCCGAATATGTCGAGTGCAGCAGCTCAGCGGCGGGGTAAAGTGATTTACAGCGAGCGACGATAGGCGATCAGTTGGATGAGGATATCGACCTCCCAACAAAAAAACGGTCTTGTTGTGCTCAGTCTCGAGACAATCCAACGACAACAAGAGTTCTCTGACAAACGATCTGGTCGTATTCGCAAGGAGCCAGTTTGATGGAGGTGCCGCAGGGCGAGGCGCAGCTCGACCGTCTGAGACGCTAAGAAGTTTGCGGAAGGGACGGTACGGGGTCGAGGACAATCGCCGTTCGTGGTTGTACGTCGCAGTTTGGGGAAAATCTCATCTCAGGCTCGTGTCATGATTGCATAATACCTCAGGTTGGTAATGATAATGGATGAGTTGTAGGTAACAAGGTGCATGGTAGAGATTTCGCTTATGTGAATTCCAATAGTGTTTTAGTGAGGGCCACTGTCCAAGGTCGAGGCAATACGCGGCAGGGTCTACGGACTACTGGCTTTTGGTCTCATTGTTACGGCTGGTTCCAACCATTCCGCTCTCCAACACAAGTCTCTACACTAATACCGTCTAAGTACGAATATCGACAGGCTCCTACGCTGACTCTTACATCATCCCTTACGCTTGGACAATATGGACTGTACGAGTATCTTCCCGTATAGACAACTGCCGCACCTACGATAAACCACCACCTAGATTGTATCTGAGGGTGGTATCTACGCAGTAGGCCGTTACCACTCGGGCCCAAAATTTTTGCACGAACATGATAACATATCAATGGGGGACTGTGTCTTCCTAAACATTATTAATGTCGTAGATTCGCACAGTGGCCATAATTTTGTTCTGTGTCGCCCATTTTTTCAATGCCTTGAATGCCACCCAGTTCCATCAGATTCTTGTGATCCTAATGGCAAGATCGGAAGCCTTCCCTGTGATCGAAACAAGCAGTAACGTCACCCAAGAGTGTCGTAGCCTGTCTGGTCATCGAGACAACTGTCTCGAGGCATGTCTGTCTCAAACGCTCTCCCTGCGCGGCGAATCTATCAAGCCCATTGCTGTCGCGTGCCCACGAAAGATGGTATCAACCGGTTGGTGTCGTTTCATCTGCCCTCAATAAGGAGCATAGCCTCGCCCACGACCTCGGAAACCACCTCGTGGACCGCCTCTTGGACCTCCGTAGCCACCACCGCCACCAAAGCCGCCGCGACCTCCGAAGCCTCCACGACCGCCTCCACGCGGAGCACCACCTCTCCCACGACCGCGACCCATACCAGGCAGGTTTGTACGTTTTGGCACGACCTAGCATCGAGTCAGCAAATGATGATGTAGCTTTCATATCGGCTCACCTTGAGGTTGCGACCACGGAAGACGCTCTCGTTCAAGACCAATGCCTGCGACACCAATGCCGCTTCTGAGAATTCCACATATGCATACCTGCGCGAGTTCCATTAGCGATCCAGCTCTTGCCAGGTAGCAACAAATGATTCAAAAGTTTTCGAACAGCATCCAGCTCTTTAACAAGCCTCGTGCAGAATAGTGCTTGGATTCTAAACCCACCCCTTAGGATGACCGGTGAATTTGTCCAACAGTATCGTCACCCGGTTTATCGTTCCCGGTCCACTTGCAAAGTGTGCCTGGATCTCTTCAGGTGTAGCGCTGTAGTCGACGTTGCCTACGAAGATGCTCCGCGCATCGACGTCTTCTCGATCTTCGCGAGGGCCGCTTTCGGACTGTGACTCAAGTTGGCTCTGCATCTCTCGCAACTTCGCCGCTTCTGATTCCATCTCGGCAACTCGTCGCTTCATCGCCGCGATCTCTTCCTGGAAGTATGTGGTCAGCCCAAGTCTATTTGTGTGAAGCTGCGGTCATGGACAGCATACGCCGCAATGGAATCATGTCTTACTTCTTCTTCTTCACCGCCATCGTCTTGAGTTTCTCTATGCTCATCCTTGACATCGTATTCGTCAGGCATACTGGGTGTAGATTGAGGAAATACGCAGGAGATCGAGAGAGCAAGTCGCGTCAAGATTGCAGATGAGCTGTGCAGTCTCAGAAGGAAATTTCGAGAGGCGGGTGGGGGGTTTGATCGCAAGCGCGAGATGAGGAAGACAGTTCGAGATGAACGGCAAAAAGAAAATGGTGAGACGTAAATGAGGTTGTCACCTATGAAATGATCGAGGTCTAAGATGGGCCGCGAAGTTGTTTAGTTGACGTGGTGCAGCCTGCAAGCAGCATCTCGTACCTGCCAAGAATCTCTGTCCCCGGCTTCAACCCTTGACAGGAATGCGAGGCTTGTTTGTTGTCACTTCACATCCCCGGCTTCACTGGAGAAAAACACGTGGGAGACATCGTGGTCACTATCATTGGACTTTACTGAATTATGTGACATCTCGACGACTATGATGTGTCTCCCAGTTCGTGGTGAGTGAAGTCTCTATGAGTGATGCATTCCCTGGCCTATAAAGAGACTAGACGCAGGTCTTCTGATGCAATACCTGGTCACTCTTCAAGTGACTACGATATGGCTTATCTTTGAATATCTTCCCAGTTGGCTTGAATCCTTCTTTGCCCTCAAGAAATCGTTCCCGAATTGTCTGCACAGTCAAACACCTTTGAAATTAGCCCGCTAGCAAAGGCGTCTTTGATAGAAACAGCTACACCATACCTGCGGAATCAATAGTGAGTACAAGTACGTGATCATTTCAAGACAACACTCGGGAGATCAACTTACGTGCCACCAACAACCATGAACAAGCCCACAAGGACAATCAAGATATGTCCACCATACGTCAGCTTCTGCAGAGGACTTCCGCTCCTGTAGCCCTTGAAATCGTACATCCAGAGCATGGCAGGGAATATCAAGCTGAACGGTGCAAAGCACAACGATCCCGCAAGGCCCAACAAGTAGTTGAGGATGGGCACAGCTTCTGCTATGATGAAGCCGAGAATGCCCAAGACAAGATTGCTTCCGAGCCAAGTCGACCAGTGCACGACCGTGTTCGCCTGGAGATGGGATGAGTTCCGCAGGATGCGCACAAAGATCAGCTTAGCTGCAACATGCTGGTAGATGCCGATACCAATGACGAGGCCGGGCAAAGCAATGCCATATGAGATCTTTTTGAAGAGGGTGCCAGCACTCCCAAAGGCGGGCGTTGCCAACCAAATACCGCAGTAGCGATATATGACCAGTGAGAAGGTCAAGTACATGGCCCCCACCAAGGCACCGGCGACAATGGCGGCCTTGCGGTAGTCGCGAGGCTTCTTCATCTCCGAGATCACAGGCAAGTACATCTGCGAGCCGCTGCCACTGATGAAGATGTTGGCGCTCGCGGTGATACCGGCAACGAAGCCAGGGTTTGCGATAGCCACCCATCCAAGATCGAATTTTCCCGTCGGCGGCGCAGCAGCAGGTCGGTCTTGTTGCGTCACAGCGACCACGAAAATAAAAACAGCGATGAAGAAGGTCGTGAATCCCACCCACGTCAGCCAGCCCAGGCGCGAGAAGGTACGCACGGAGGAGAAAATGGTTATCAACACTGCTGACACAAAGCCGAAGACCACAGTGCACGCCCCATGCTCCGAGAGGGCGTTGAACGCTGTTGAGCAGGACACAATACCCGCTGCCGTTATTAGGACCTGAGCGATGAGGATCTGAAGGGACACAAGCTCTTTTCCGGTTCTTCCCCAGATGTGACCACACATATCAGCAAGCGCTACGTCATGTATTAGCGACGATGACTTCTGTTTGTTTGTCCTCATAGCAATGTGACTCACTATGGCACTCGGGATGTCTGTTGCGAAAGCCACCCAGAATGACAGCAGTATCTGCGCGAATCGTCAGTCATGGACACACATATTCTCGGTTTCTCTCTCGACTTTCAGAAACTCACAGGTATTCAACACCTCCCAACCCACGATAGACAACGCTCCACCGACGGCGCCCAGCGTCGCAAGAGCTCCAGGGACGGCCAGAATGCTCATTGCGAACTGTATCTTCAAAAAGATGATGGTGGCCCGCTGCCAACTCACGGTCCTAAACTTGACACCTTCGGCTTCATCGTGGAAGATCTCGCGTGCCTCGAGAATGTCCAGCTTTTGCTCTGGCGCAAAGTCATCAGTAGATCTTGGTGGTGCCTCGATGACATCCTCTGCGACCCTTTTTTCGTTCGGTTTTGGCGTCGTCATTTTCGTAAAGTCGTCTAGATGTCCTGTTTCAGGCCTTTTTTTTCAAAGGAGCACGCGAAAAGACCTTGGGTACCAAATATTCCCACGAGAGGATGAAGAACGGTCTACGAAGTGCTTGTAAACATTTTATCAGAAAGTGCATCTCCCGCCCTCGCCACTTACTCTTCGACGAGACTACATAAAGTACGGTACTTAATTCTAGTCCCACCCGTGCAAGCTGTCTGGACTGATTAGACCCCTCACTGAGTACCCATGTACGTGCTCTAGTTCGCGACCCTTATCAAGCATGCCCCGGTCGAGTCGAGTCGAGTCGACAAGCGTTATCGGCTTGTATGTGATCACCATATAAAAGAATCCTGTAGAGGGTTAAAATTTGCGTAAATCCCACATCCTGTACAGTAGAGCCTCCCCGACCCCAAGGGGGCGCGGGCCGAAGACCCAGTTCAGTACTCGTATCTTTCATGTCCCAGTCATCTGGTTTTTATATCTACTCGTACGACATCCCCGTTAGATGAGTTCTCAGAGTACATACAGTACCTCCGTTTATTACTATCTGCAGGTTATGAATTTGATAAGAAGCCGGCAAAACAACAATGGCGTAATTCGGAATTTCTCAATACGATACGAGTACAAGTACCAGGCATGATCATCAGATACTCATCAGATGATCATGCCTGGTAGGAAGCGACTACTTCCGGAATAGTATTCTCAAATACCATCTCTATCATTTTCCCCCATGATGAATTTCCAGTTCTCTTCAGAAAAAAAAACTCCTTCGCTTGATGCCCGATGCCGGATGCCCCAAACACCACGATGACTGAAGTTCCCTTTTTCCCATCTCAAACTTTTGCCGTCCATGACCATTGCCAACCCAAACACGCCCAGCGGCTGAGGGTGAAGGTGCCCAGACTCAATGCAAGAATCGCACACATGAAGCCGACCATGATCTGTGGTCCGACCGACTCGACGAGTTCGCCACTGATGGGCACACAGACCAAGGTCGCCAACGACGCGACAAAGTACATGGTACCGTAGTAGCGGCCAAAGTGCTCTGCCTCGCAGAGTTGGCCAATGCAGGCCGGTGTGAGTGCCATCCAGGAACCGGTGCCGAATCCAAACAGTGCACAAAAGGCGTACAAGGCCGCGAGGCTGCTGTGCCCGAATGGCAGCCACAGCACCAACATCAGGATCAACGTCGCGACGATCATGATCATGAGGGTGTTGAAGCGCCCAATGTAATCCGAGACATAGCCCGGGATGATGCGGCCTGCGCATGACACGCCGTTCATCACCGCGATGATGTAGAAGCCGGTGTCGGCGGGAAACTGTCCGCCCAGGCTCGCATACGTCGGCAAGATGCCCAACGCACCGAACAGGACAATCTCGAACCCAAACACGGTGATCGTGAAGAGGGTGAACTTCAGGTCGCCAAACAGGTTGAGGGAGATGATGGCCTGCTTCTTGGCTTGAGCCGACGGGGGCAAGCGTGGCTTCATGAGGATGTTGCTGATGACGAGACACCCCACGATGACGAAGCCGAGGATCCGAATCGACCACGCGTACCCGTACCGGGGAAAGGCGTCCTGAAGGATGAGCGGGAAAGCGACGCCGCCGAAACTCGAGCCGGTCATGGCGATGCCGTGGGCGAAGCCTCGTCGTTTCTTGAACCAGTGGCTCACCACGGCCATGCTCGTCGTCGTCAACATGGCGCCCGAGACTCCGCCCAGCACGCCCAGGCAGAGCAGGAAGTGCCAGTACTTGCTGCACTGCGCCAGCAGGAACATCATGACGATGTAAGTGATCGAGCCGCACAGGGCGAGGTGCCGAGGACCGTAGCGATCGAAGATGGGACCGACTCCGATACCGCCACCGAGAGAGAGGTAGACGAACACAGACGGGATCCAGCCGATGTCGCGAGCGGTGTAATGTGAAAGCTGGTGCAGCTGGAGGTACTCCTGGACCGTGCCGATGGCGACCATGAAACCGAAAGAGCAGAACAGAGCGAGGAAAGAACTAAACACCACGAGCCATGCTTGTAGGCCTCCTTCTGGGAAGTCATCGATCCCAGCGGGTCGAGTGGAGGACTCGAGATCGATGTTCTGCACATTGTCATCTACAGGAATCTTGCTGTCGCCATCGGTTTCTCGGGGTGCATTGGTCTTGGGCTCGTATGACCCGGTGATTCGGTCTAGATGAGCATCACTGTCGACAGCGTCGTTCTGTTCTTGTCTCGAGTCAAGCAGTTGAACGACGGGTGCAGACGTTGCATCCATAAAGTGCAGAGGGAAGAACGGATGGCTCTGAGGGGGGGCATTGATCACGACAGAGTCGTCGCGGAGTCCTTTTATAAGATATAAATCCTAGAATGTTCTGTGCCTATCGACATCACGCCCTTCGAGAGGGACGTGGAGAACGGGAGGATTGACGAGTGATGGAGATGTCGGGTAGAATTTTTCGAGCCTCAACTACTAGTGAAGCCGCCTGATCATTCGTGCTCTTGACTGAAAGTGGAGTTGACAATCGTCTTGTTGCTACACAATTCACGGGGTTGTAGACGCTGTTCTCCGCCCAGCAAACACGGTCCCGCTCATTATGACTGTTTTCTCAAGCAAACATTGAACCTGTCATGTCAAGATGTGGATTACTCATGTGCTGAGGCATAGCGGTCGACTACAAACCAACTCACAGCCTCCTTGGCTCAGACTTGCCTTTTGGTCTTCAACAGGTGGACTCGGCGGTTGTAGGTCTCACACAAAGTAGGACTACATCCAGCACGCGTCCAAATGCCTCAGAAGTATCTGTGATTTGTCATCACCGCCAGGGGAGGTTGAGTTGTGTTTGCGTCCTCGCCTATGCCAGAATAAGTCAAGGTAGACATGTCCTAGGTAGTCAGGCGGCAGCTGTTAGAATGTCGGTTCCTTTGGTGCGGCCTTTGCCAGCCTCCATTTTCGCAGTCCGCGCTCCAAATTGTATTGCTCTTTTCCTCTCTGTGGCTGTCCTCTTCAGACCCAGATGCCACGCAGCGAGCCGTAACAACATCTTCGCAGGCTCCAGGTCTTCCGGGTTACGAGCCACTCCTGTTGCTTCATGATGTTTGGGCACGGGTTTCCCCGGTCGGAAGCCAGCCTTTTCCCACACAGGCAAATCAAGGGAAAACCTGAAGAAATCTTCGTCCAAGTAGGGATACCGGATTTCTTTACCCCAACAGCTCATAACGCGATCATCACGGCCCAGGTTGCGGGAGCCAATCCTGTTGAAGTCCATCTCAAGCTCGTCTGCCAGTCCTCGAAATCCTTCCCGTGAAAAGGCAGCAGCATGCCTGGAGTAGCCGGCGTACAGCTCATCTGCGCCTAGGCCGGAGATCAGAACGCGTGCGGTTGACAAAAATGGTATTGGTTCAGAGCAAACATTGGAATGGACTTTCAGCAGCTCTCCTTGGCCTCGCGCAGCGAAGTACAGTGCCATCGCAATCGACAAATCCATCTCGGTGTTATGGGGATACATGAGTCGCATAATCATAGGCTTATGCGCGATTGATTCGGTGTAGGGAACGTTGATAGCCACAAATCTCCACTTCCTCTGCGGACATACTTCACAAATCTCTGCGAAGCTCGATCGGCCGGTGACTCGGTCGGGGCATAGCTCATATGCAGTTCCTTGGACGCTCCCCTTCGCTGCGAGCGAACGTGGATTTTCAAAAGCCACATTGAGCAGGTCAACGACCTCATCTGGTGGAAGAATCTCGTGGATGATACGGGCGAGAAGAGTGCAGTCAAGACCTCCAGAAAATAGTATGGCAACTTTTGCTGAATCGCCTGTCATCTGTGGATGGGAGTGGTCTCGGATGTCAACAGACCTAAGGATGAGCGATCTTCGAAGGTGTGTCAGCAGGTCATCAACGCTCTGCTGAGATGGAAGGGTTGCTATCTGTGTGTCAGGTAGGCTTTTGTTGATTGGATATGGTGCAGATGCCCACGGCAATTTCCCTCGTATCATTCCCCCTCCCGAAAACTGAAGAAAATGGATCGTTTCCGTTGAAATTTCAGATGGCGCCGCAGATTTGCCCAAAGTACTCGTACTGGTACTAGCTAGTGTCAGTGAACCATTGTCTCCTTGATTGATAAGGAGAGATCGACGTCCCAGCCTGTCGCGACCATAATACACAGTGGCGGTGGGAGCATCGTAGAAGACAAATGCGAACGGACCAGCTATCTGGGAAAGGACTTGAGTGATGCGATGTTGTCGCTCGGGTGAGTGAGGTAAAGAGATTTGAAGGAGATGCCAAATATAGGCGGAGTCGTTGCCCTCAATTGCAACACCGTCTGATTTCCACGCCTCACCATTCCAGCAAAAGACAGAGCGAGACAGAGGGTCATGAAGAGGTTGTTGCTGGATGTTTGCTCCTCGCAGTGCCAGCACGGAAGAGATGAAGGTCAAGTGCAGCTTCTCGTCACTGTCGCCATGGTAAGTGCTCTTCAAGACTTTGTAACTGTCTGGGCCTCGAGCATGGAGAGCATCTACAGCTTCTTGGTCTGGTAATATATGTCGGTTTTTGGCCACAGAGAAGAAGATGCCGCACATGAGTATCACCAATTCCTTCAGATAGGTACAGAGGAGTGGTGTTTTCGGAGAATCTGATATCTGTGAGGATGGTCCAAGTTCAAGTTGAAGAGACTAAAATTGAGCCAAGAGATGCCGCAGTCTGTGTAGCCTTTACGAAGTACGGACGAGGCGGTGATTTAGGCAGTCTCCCCGGCCTTGCGGTCCATTATGGTGCGCCTCATAGCCTGGCGAACCACTTGTAAGCAGCCCCAAGCACAGCCTAATGGGTCATAGTGCCGCCGAAACCGAAGCCTCCAATATCGTCATTCGAAGGTCAACGGGCGGCCTCATTACATCTTTATTACCGAGAATCCTAAACTATGCAGAGCGGATTGTTGGACACCATCAAAACACTTGAGCCTTCATCATCCTACGAATATCGACCCCTTGAAACTGTCATCTCTATGAAACACGGATAATCGAACCTAGGTCGCGTAAGACATATATCGACTTGGAAACGACCTCTTACTTTCCATGAGCATGCAATCATAACAAACGGGCTGCTGTTCAGCCGCTGGCTGGGACTAATTCAAATGAAACTCCCCTCGACTTCTCGTGTACAATTCTTTGATCATATTTGCTCATGTCGTCGCCCGATCATGCCAGGATGGCTCTGGCCGAGGGAAGTGAAGGATCATCAAATGCACAGGCCTTAATAGACCTTGAGGCCGAAGAAAAGGGCTCTGCCACTGTCGAGTCGAGGCCCAACGATGCTTCCATGACTCAAGGGAAAGAGGAGGATACAGGGCCTTCCCAGAAGCTCCAAGACCTTCGTATCGGCGACGATGCTCCCGCTACAACCGATGCGTCCAAGCTGCAGAAGCCCCTCCCTTCGACGCCGCCTCTTCTCCCTCAACCAGCGACCACGGCTCCAAAGCCCTACCGAGACCCGACGCCCAAGACTCCTACGATATCGAGGCATCCTTCTACAAAGGCTCCGGATGTTGATTACAATGAGAAAGACTCTGACTATACTCGAGACCCTCCAAACGGTCTGGCCAGCGCCTCGGGACAAAAATCTGGGCCAGATAACGATGCCGAGTCAGCTTCAGAGATACAAAGCATAATGGATCAATTCGATGATGCCTCTCTGGCGCCATCGAAGGAAGACATAATGTCTCCCAGGCATGAAATGGCTGGGCCTATACTTGGAATGGGCTCTCACTTTCCGCCCCGGAGGTCTAGCCTGGATCACATTCGATCAAGAGACATGGATCTGATAGCATCGTCACCAGTCGCAGCTCATGCGGAGAAGCCTCTGCCTTCACCTCCGTCAGACTCTGTAGAGAACGAAAAGGAAGCACTGAGAAGCCCCTCACTGAAGGGCACAAGTGCCCCTTCGACGACCTCTTTGCCGCATCAGCCACCACCTCCCGAACCAGAGCCGGAATTACCATTTGATTTTCATCGCTTTCTGGAACAACTTCGACATAAATCTGCGGATCCAGTGGCGAAGTTCTTGCGTTCGTTTCTAACAGAGTTTGGTAAGAAGCAATGGATGGTCCATGAACAAGTCAAGATTATAGGCGATTTTCTGGCCTTCATCACGAACAAGATGGCTATTTGCGACGTTTGGCGTGAGGTATCAGACAACGAATTTGAGAATGCTAAAGAGGGCATGGAGAAGCTCGTCATGAATAGACTTTATTCACAAACGTTCTCGCCTGCAATCCCTCCACCTCCGTCACTACCGGCGCGATCGCGATCGAGGGGTCGGCGGAAAGAGCAAGAAAAGAACCTGGGCGTTGGCAGACGTGGTCAACACCAAGAAGACGTCGAACGCGATGAGATCCTGGCCCAGAAGATACGCATCTACAGCTGGATTCGTGAAGAGCATCTGGACCTACCCCCAGTTGGTCCTAATGGTGAAAGATTCTTGAGATTGGCCCAACAAGAACTGCTGAAGATCAAGGGCTATCGAGCGCCAAGGGATAAGGTCATTTGTATCTTGAACTGCTGCAAGGTTATATTTGGATTACTCAAGAATGCAAAGAGCTCAGATACCTCGGCCGACTCTTTTGTGCCACTGCTGATCTACGTTGTGCTGCAAGCGAACCCCGAAAACCTGGTATCAAACGTTCAGTATATTCTGCGATTTCGAAATCAAGACAAACTCGGTGGCGAGGCAGGGTATTATCTCTCATCTTTGTCCGGGGCAATTCAGTTTATCGAGAATCTGGATCGCACGACTCTGACTGTCAGTGATGAAGACTTTGAACGGAACGTCGAGCTTGCAGTGTCAGAAATCGCTGCACAAAACCGTGAAGCCGAGGCCATAAGCCCTCGTGCATTATATCGAGAGAAGTCCAGCATTGCTGAACCAGAATTGACTCCGAGAAACTCGGTGGACGTCACGTCGACCAGTCCTATACGGAGAGATCCCAGCCGGATCAATAGTAATTCCGAGGGTGGTACCGACGATGGAGTGACCAGCATTCTACGTTCTATTCAAAAACCGCTCTCGACAATTGGTCGGATGTTTTCTGATCAAGACACTTCGCAGGAGCCGAGTGCGGCTCCGAGTCCCACCCCACAGCAACAGCAGCAGCATCAGCAAGGCGCCCGCCTGAGCCCATCAGTATTCCAGCCAGTTGGTGCCGACGGCAGAGTGCCATCTTACGACGCGCAAGAGGCAGCCGCGAGACAGGCAAGTGCTGAGGCAGCAGAAGCACGACGAATTCAAAAACAGGAACATAGAACTGTGGTCGAGACGTTGTGTGGCATGTTTCCGAACCTCGACAAAGAAGTGATTGACGACGTTGTCCGTCAGAAGGAAGGTCGAGTCGGTCTTGCGGTCGATGCTTGCTTGGCTCTGACTGCTGGAAGCTAGAAGCCGAACGCGTAACTAGAGTTCCGGTTTCGTCTTCTCTTCCTCTTTCATCTCAGGAGGAAAAGAGGGGGGAAAGCGAGGAATGAAGAAAGATTAATTCGGGGGCGGAACACGGAATGATCAAATCCGACGAATACCGTTCATGAGACACCAACGGACGTTCGCTTTGCATGTGCTATTTTACGCGACATATGGTCCGCTCAATCAGTCGTTCAGGCAGTAACCTCGGCCTGCTACGACTTGCACACGCAGGAGGACTATGAAGATCCAAAAACGCAGCATTTGACTGGTGGATTGAGGGTGAACCATTACTTTGATTGTTGAGGCTTGGACTCATCGTCTGTGAGAGCTTGCGGCAGGATCATCATCACCATCGGCAATCAATGGCTTAACACCAACGATAATGACTCGGTTGGTACTCTTGACACGCACAGGGGTCGCCTCAACGCGCGCATGCACCATTTTGGCTCCATGCAACTCGATCACGACCCCATCCAAGATCGGTTTCGTGGTCTCCGGAACAATCGATAAATTACTCGCGCGGTACGTGTTCAGTGGGAGCTTCTCTTTTCTGGCCGTCGGCTGCGTTGGAGAGAGCAAGGCAGGAAGAGAGAGAAGAGATCATAATTTCCTGACCTTGCACTATTGAGCCCAGTATTTTAACCCCTGCGAATTTACGCGGGCTCTGCCCGCAATGATACGGATAGATATACTACTGCGTGCGGATACTGGAACCATATTCCGTACATACCTAATAATTGAGCGCCTTCTTTTTCCTGATTCACTGACTTGTCTCGTCAGAATGATGTCGTGTCATGTCACAACCATCGTCGTGTAAATCAATGGATCTCTTCGTGATTTGTTTCAGTATGTACTGGAGAACACGGTCGTGTGAATCCAGGGCTGGGGGCGTTAATTGGGTCAGGTTGGGGGGGGGGGGGGTGGTACTTGGTGGTGGTCCGATGTCGAACGAACCACAAGGTTTGGTTGTCCGACTTCTCCGTATCGGGGATTGACCTGCCACGATTATCCCCGTCATATCCGATACCGCTCCGCAAAAGGTGTACAGTTTCGGGACCCCAACTGTCTTGATCGACAATGACCCAGCCTGTACTCTAAGAATGTACAAGTGCTTCTGAAATCAATTATCGAACTGATGTTTGTGTTGTGTGTGAGAGAGAGAGAGAGCGGGGCCAAGAAGTCAAACTAGTCAAAATTGAAGCGGGAAACATACTCTCTCGTGCATACACTTACAATAAGTAGTGGGATGGCTATCTTCGCCGGGGGGAGTGTGCGAAACACGTACTCCGGCCGAAAAAGTGATCACAAGGCTGGCCATCGGGGGTTACTCGTAGAGTCAATACTAAAGAGTAGATGTTGATAACATTTTGCGGCCTTTCCACCGGAGGTCAGGGTTCGAATTCTCGGAGCCTTGGGCGGATGGACGGCCCCCATCAGGTACTTTTACTTACTACCTGGATACAAACGGTTCTTTGCTCGAAACCTACCCGTTACCTGAGAGACCCGGTGGGTTTCTTTTTACATTTTGTTGGTTGTACTAGGAATGAACATTCGCGGTGTATGCTCCAAACGGGAGTAACAAAATGTAATCAGACGGTCATTGCAAAAAATAAACTCGAATATTCCGTGGCTTATGGTGGTTCATGGAAAAATCGGAACTATTCTTCATTGTCGAATCTACATAGATCCCGTGGAAACGGAAAAAGTCCGACTCCGATTCGTCTGTGATAACCGCGGTTAAACATTCGGAAGGTAAATATCGGCCGGTGGACTACTACAGAAAAGTCGCCTCAAAGTCCGATGCTCGGCAAGGCTGGAAACTGACCAAAAAAAAAAGAAAACCTTTCGGATCCGACACGAGGCATGGGTTGTAGTTCAGCATCAACGAATGAGGTCGCTAGGATATAGCCGTGAACTACCCTTTGTGCCGTGCCCGTTTCAAGGTCATTCATTACTAGTTGACGCCCAAGTTGGTTCGGAACGAGTTAGAGTAGGTGTTATGCGCGGTGTGCACACTGTTGAAAAGTTTAATGATTCAACAACGATGATCGATAATAATGAACCGTGCAGATCTTGTGTAAAAAAAAAGGTTACGGCGGCCCGGGTTGGCAGGGAATGGCTGTGTCAATGTGTTGCCCCTGTGTACTGTAGTAGTTCCTCCATACTTGCTCCCCCTGGGGTGACAAAAACTTCCCTCCTAAACACATCTTCCAGGAGACAGAAGGCGGCGTCGCCACCAACATCATCCATGCTGCTGAGTGATGGGACGCTGGCCCTGGGAATCAGAGAAGGGTCACTCGCATGAGATGTCGATGCAGCAGTGATGCCGCGATGAGCAGGTTAGCCAACGGATCCAAGATCGCCCTCCGGTCCAGATTAATCGCTCAAAGGCGCCAGTTAAGACCAAGAAACCTTTTTGGATTCACAATCAAGACTTTTCGTGAGAAGGGCCTCTCTAGGCAACGGAGACCAATGAACAATCCATGGGCTCGGAAAAAAAAGTAGCTAGCTGCTAACCATCTTTTGAGGGAGAGGGAGGGGGTCAGGACTCGTGCAAGGGTGTCATATCCGGGCGTTAAAGGACTTGGGGACCCCGCCCAAAGGTTCTAGGCAATGAAGCTGTGGGCCTGCCTACCATTATTCGTATGGCGTGTTGTCTCTTTCTCACACACAGATGATCAGAGTGGCATTCCTTTTGCACGGTGTTCTGCTTGTACTGTATGTACAGTCCATACCTACCTTGCCCTGAAAGTCATGCTGCTGTGTCGAATCTTGGGGGCGACGACGCTGACACATATCGCCCTCGTCCCCTCTGGAATTGCCCGGCTCTGACTCACACTGTGAACAAATCATTTAGCCAACCTCGGGTGACACCCAGACCTTTGTCCAGATTCAATGGTTGCTCGCACATTTATCACAAGAGATCTCGTTACTCACGTAGACAGGGATGCAAGTCTGACGTAGGGACTGCAGCTGAGGTCAGCGCCATGGGTGCAAGTGCCCACGGGGGGAGGGAGGGGGTTAGCTAGCATTACGCGCCCAACGATGTGTGTGGGTTACATGAGTATGACATTTACTTTTCGAGATCATCCACATAGGAAGTGCATGAACAAAAATGACAATTGATGTGTTGCAAGAGAAACTACCGCAAGTGGCCACGAAGTCACCGACAGTGTCGCCCAGCAAAAGGAAAACCAGTTGGGTGACGAATGGACAAACTGAATGTAAGCGAGGTGAACATGAGAGAAAAATAAAAGTCGCAGAGGCACATTCCTTTTAGATTGTTTTTGTTTCTGTCTGTGTAATTCGTCATCTGCGTATGATCGGTCCCACGGGTACGTTGTTCGTACATATATGATTGAAAAAAAAAATCGTCACAGGCATGGATACATTCTTATCCTCGCATGACATGAAACAACTCCGAAATATCATATTGCCAACGGGGAAAGGTCATCAGCTGCCTCTTCCAAGTCAAAAAAGTCGTCCACACTGAGCGCAGCGTGCACGGGCATGACAATCCCAGCAGGAGCCGTGTCTTCTTCTGCTTCTTCTCCTTCGTCCCCTTCTTCGGCGGTTGGACTGAGACCGGATGAATGTACGTCGTTCTCTCGCTCGCCGTTCGTCGTGACAGCGTACTCGTACCCTGAGAAATCGGTCGCCTCTACTTCGTGCCGCGACGGTGAGAACATGGTCTGGAATGAATCATTGCCGGCGCCGAAAAAGTTCGCAGGGTCAACACCACTCTCGTCCAAGTCTGGCATCTTTCGTTTCTCGCCAGACATGGACGCAAACATGTCACCGCTTTCGAGTGATGGATTTAGAAGATCGTTCATGAATCCTCGTTCGTGATCGGTCAGTCGTAGGCCATAGATCAAGTCGCTGAACGGGCCGGCAGACGCAGGCGGCGTCGTGCATGCCTCGCCCAAGTACTGTGGCGAGGATGTGTCTGTCGTCAGAGATCCAGGCGACGATATACTGTCCTCGTGGTTATTCTCGCGACGGGAGGTCATTGAGATTCGTCTTGGCTCTTCGGGTCTCGTAGTAGTATCGCTACTACACGTCGGACTACCAGGTAGCGAGTACCTCGATCGGTCCTTGGGGTGAAGATTGTGAAGGTAGACCTGCATGAGGCTGGGCTCGATGAAGGCGGGAAGGCAGGACTTTTGAACTGATGAAGAGTTGGATCTGACGGAGCTTGCTGACGGTGTTGGAGAGTTCCGAGGGACGGACTCGGAATTGGATCTCCTAATCTGTGTCGATTGTGTCGCGTATCGGGGGTTGATGCCGCGCTGCTGGCTCGACGTCGAGAGTCGGTGATGTCTTATGTCTGGAATGGCAGAACCGCTGTTCTGTCTTCGAACAGGTGCTGGCATGGTCCAGATCCTCTGCTGGTCTTGACTTGCACCATTGTCGAACTTTCTCCTCTTGGGAGCACTCTCCGGCCACTTGTTCCCGAGTGCCTCCAGCTGTTCGACGGGGAACAAACGTTCCAAGATTGACGCCATGGTGCCCTGGGTGGTTCTCTTGATGTACGTTGATACCCAAGGAGATCAGTCCGGTTGGATTGGTAGCAAGGTAACAAGTCAAGACGGAGAGAGCACCAGGTGTCTGCGTGTCGGATGCGGGCAACGACAGTAAGGACTAAGAACAAGAAAAAAAGAGTAGAAGTAAAAACATGTGGAGGGTAGACGGAAGAGGGTTTATAGTGTGACCGGGGATTCGAGGAAGAGCATAAGAAGACCAACAAATTACCCTTTTCCGGGGTCCTCAAGTCAAGTCCAGGATTTGCTCAACCTGGACATGCAAAGGCATGGGCTTGTTTACGGCCGGTTCGAGAAAGATGACTTTACTCCATACATAAACCTGGAACTAAGATTCCCGGGCCCGCGTCGGGCTCCAGAAATTCCAAGCTGATGCGGCGGAGGCGCAAGCCAGTCCGTGCTGCGGTGTCGTACGGTCATCGGATCTGGGGGAAGGAATTATTGCTTCTTAGCAAATTTGGCGGGCGGATGTACAGTACAGTTTTCCCACCCAAGGCGGCGGCGGCGTGCGGCTATCCACATTTAGAATTTCGCATGACATACGCAGCAGTACGAGGGCAGAGTTGATAAGAAGTGAACGCGCTATTTAGTGCATGTCTTGACTGGCGAATGGCACCGCACGTGAAGCGGCACAGAGTTGTCAACGAACAATAGGGGGCAAGGATTACTGCAAAAGAGGAAAATCATGGCGGAGTTGCTTCGGGGGCGGTTCCCAAGACCTTGGAGTCTCCGTAAGTCTCCGTACGCCCACGCTGATTGTTCCCAAGCTTGCACCTGGGGGTGGCAACAGGAATGGCCCATGATCCATTTCGAAAAACCCATAAAAATGGCATGATATCAAATCGACGCCAAACGGTCAGAAGGGATTCGATCATGACGGTATTTGCTCGGTCGTCAGGTTTGGATTGTGTCTGTGGACCGCTGCGTGAAGGCTTTCAAGCCAGAACTTACAAGAGATGTTTGTTACCAACTGTTCTGTTACTCAACTATCCAAAAAGCCCTTGTTTAGACCGTGCACGAGCTTCGACTGCGAGAACCCAATATTCAGAGTTGTCTAGTACAGTACCAGGCAGATTCTCGTAGCCCGTAGCACGAAAAGTTGGGCAGCCTGAACAAGTTCCGGTGTCGGGTCCACCGGGCCACGCAGTGACGCGACAACGTCCATCGGATCCGATAGCGGGCCATGCGGCCTTGCGGCCATGCACAACGACCCTTTGGAAATCAAACCTCCTTCCATGGATCTCAGATGATCATGCAGGGGGGTGGTGAAGCGATACAAGAGTGTGCATGATGGTGTGTTAGAAACCTCAACCAATAAACAAGTCTTCTCTCAGATTCGTACTTCCCGGTCACTGTCAGCCTTCATTCGCACCTAGCATGTTTTACATCTCGCCCCTCCTCAACCGTATTTAAGTACACGCCTATCCTCTGCGTCCTAATGCCCGGATACGAGTACGACATCAATGATATACATTCTGCTTGAGGTCATACCTCATGGCTCGATGTTATGACGGTGTCTAGTGGTGGTGCCGATGCCTTGACAGGGACATCGTCGCCCAAATATTATTCATCTCGCTTTATCATGACCGGTCGATCAAGTTTTACAACAACACTAGAAGGAGTCGGCACAGCTGAACGAGCTTGCTAGCAACGGATCGCCCCCATTGTACCGCGCCACCTTGGGCCAGAGACATACATTTCGAGTCATGTTCGCGCCCGTCAGCGGACTGGGAGCTTCACCGAACAAGACATCAGGCGCTGTGCCTTCTTCCACCCAGGCCACCAGAGCATCTAGGCCGCCTCGTGGCACCGGACCACGACCACCACCACAATGACCCACACCAGGGGGAAAGAAGAGCCGGTAAAAGTCGTTGACTCTCTCGTTACCACCCATGGCACCTTCGACCTGGAGACGATATTTGATGGTGTTGTTGATCATGATCCGCTCGTCGTTCATCCCGTGCCAGGATAAAAGTTTCCTGCCCGCATCTCGAAACTGCGAAAGATCCGAGTTGCTGGTGCCGATGACGCCGTCGTAGAGCGCGGGCGCCAGTGCGTAGAAGTCGGTCAACTGCTCCAGCGTCGTGGTCTCGAAATCGAAGCTCGGATCCTGCAGGATGAAATACTGCACCCAACTGTCAAGGATGGCATCCGGTTGATTGACCCACGTCCCGTTGACAAATTTTGTCGGTGCCATGGAGCTGTACATCATCCCCCAATCCATGCCATCCCACAGCTGTGTACCCCAAGGTGTTTTTGGTCCTTCGCGTATCTTGGCCACGACGGTGGCGGCGGCGGAAGTGATTGTATACTCTTCCTCGCCACATTTGGCCGTGGTCCCAACGAGCGAATGAGGGTCGAAGTTGCACGCTGCGACATCACTTATGATGCCATCGGAGACGCCATCCAAGGCATCACATGCCGCAATACTCGCATTCTGAAACGCACTGTATTCGCACGGTGAGGGGTACGTCTTGAGCGAGTTCATCAAGAAATGCGCCCAATTCATGGTCAAGGTAAATGTTGGCCAGTACAGCGCGGGGCCGTTGGCCAGGATTCCGTCGTAGTCGAGCGGATACTTCTGTGCCAGCATGTATCCTTGACGTCCACCAGTCGAGCACCCGTTGAAATACGCGCGCGGCGCTTTGCCGTAAAAGCTCTGTGCCACCGCCTTGCCCACGACAGCAGTTTCATGCAGGGCACGCGACGAGAAGTCCACGAGCAAACCCCAGTTCACATCGCCCGACGATGTCAATGCGTCGGGGTTGAGTACACCCCCGCTGGCGGAGATATTGCCACCGTCTGTCGTGGCAGCAGCCCACCCTTGTGACACTGCGTATGCCAGTGCTCGTCCACCAGGGTATCCCGCCAGCCAACCGCCTCCACCAACGCCTTGGAATCGTCCATTCCACCCTTCTAGAGGCAGCCAGACGTTGATATTAACAGTGTCGTCGTCTCCAGGATGAGTAAGGCTGACATTCACATCACACACACTGATGCCCTCCACGGAGGTGACTTCCTCCAACCCGGCAGGAGTGGCAAACCCTGTTCTGGCATTGGTCAGGGAGATGTTGTACCTCTCCGCTGTAGTGATCGAAATGACCTTGGCAGCGAGAACCACTGGAGCTGGTATAGCTGAACATGCCACGGCTGTGGAGGATTTCAAGGCTGCACCGCCAACAGCAATACCACATGAAGTGATGAGATAAATGAGCCAGAGCAACGAGTAGGCCATTCTGGAATATTGCAATCGTACAAAGCAAAACGTGGGGAATTAGACATCGCCCTGATGCCAGGTACAATGAAGTTTTATGGTTATATGCCTGGCTCATAAAAGCAACGGCTCGATACACTGAACTCTTCGGTGACTAGACATCGTCCATTGTTGATTGTTGAAGACAAGCTCAAAGTTTCTCGGTTGTCGTGAGTCGCAAACGCGTTTGGTTCCTTGTCTAAGCTCCATTATTTCGCAGCTATCAACCTTACCTGAAAAGCACGACTGGTGAGTATCGAAGTCTTGATTTTTCGTGGATGGCCGAAGCGGAGAAAGTTCAGCCATACCCCAGACTATGCCGATAGTTGGGGTTTGGCGCTGAATAGTATTTTCGGTTTCATTAGATGGCTAGAACAGATTGAGGAGTGATGCGACAAGTCGTTCACCAGCAACGGACTGGAGAGGCGCTGGAGAGTCGAACGGGGATCTGAGGTTCATTTCTCCGCCGATACGGACGAGTGCATACCTCGCACTTACTCTGCTCGGGTACCGCATCTCGCAATACCCTGTGATTGGATTCCGTAATTCCCTTGAGCACTTCCTTTGTCCTTGGCAAGCTCTGATGAGGTCGATACGGACGAACACGTTTGAGCCGAGGAGGCTGCAAATCAATACCTGCTCTTCTTCTTGGGTGGTTTGTTGAGGATACTTGAGGCGGAGATTTGAACTGGTTATAGCGGCGAGAGAGAGGCATGTCCGAGGCTGATTAGATAAGGTGGAATACATGCCGCTACAAGGGATCGAGTATCTATACTCAACCGAATATAGAATAGCCTGGCTTGGCTTCCAAACCTCAACTCATAAGTGTACGGAGTATCCATATCGAAATCGGCCACATCACCATAACAAGATCGAACGTGAGGTACGGATCACGAGGCCGAAAGAAAAGACGTGCTCTTAGCCCTACTGTGAACGTTCACAGCTTTCTTCAACCATATAACTGTGGAACATGGATATCGCAAGTGCCGCAAATCCAGAGTTACGGCAGTCGTTGGCACCGAGACTCGTAAGTATGCTATAGCGGCTACACTATAACCTGGGTTAGCCACGAGGAATTTGGACAAAACTTGCGACGAATTGTCTCTCAATTTCAAGAGACGTGGTCACATCAGAGAAACTTGGACTATTGCATGTTGCGAAAGAAATTTAACGCATTGATAAGTGTGGTCATTTTCATCATTCGGGTATGCCACCAAGTGACTGAGGAATCGGCCATCGGTTTCTCGAAATATTACGACAGTGGATTTTGCGACTAGGACTGGAGATGGAGAATTCGAGGTAAGGCCTGTGGAATCCGTAAAGTTGCCCCAGCCAAAGGTGAAGGTGGGTTCCCGAACATCCATCAACAATTTTTATATCATCCTTCGTGCAGGTTTGTTTCTCAGTACACCCAGACTCGAGCATTCAAGTCTCCACTTGCTGCAGTCTTCTTGTTGAGCCGTCCATAGTGCAGCCTCAGGCCGATTGCCAGAAGAGCCGAGACGAAGCTGCAGACGGCACACACTATATTTCCAGTCGGAAAGCCACGGGGTGCCTCCTGTGCCCTCCAGATCCAGACCGAGACCACCGAGGCCAAACCGACGCCGGCGCTGTTGAGAGCCGCACAGAGGCCGACGGTGCGCTGCCCAGGCGCGTTGCAGGTGACCCAGCCGGCGAGAGGTGCGAGGGTTGGGAACGCCCCACAGGACGCCAGGAGCAGACACCCGTACCGAGCCCTATAGGCGTGGGCCGGCAGGATGACGCACGCCAGGAATCCGATGCCGCCCAGCGTCGCCGTCAGAGCCGCATGGTATCCGCGCGCATTAAACTTATCACCCGAATAAGCTACGATCAGTGACACGACGAAGCCGATACTCCAAGCCGGCACCGTCATCAACTGTGCGTGAATCGAAGTGTATCCCAGTCCGTTGACGATTGTGGGACAGAAATACACCAGTGAGCTGAATACGACAACATCGAGGAACTGTGGTTTGAGGTTTGACGGTTTAGACACTCGCGCTCGAGAGGAGAAGTGAGAGAAGGGTGGGGAATTGTGGAAGCACTTACAAACGCCATGTAATGTGCAATCATTCGAGGACTCAAGGCCTCGAGGATCTCGTGCCGACTGGCACGTTCTCTCGTGAACGACGACTGCTGCTCGTCTAGCCGGTCGATGGCGAATTGCCTCTCTTCTGGTTTGAGCCATTTCGACGTGGACGGGTAGTCTGGAAGGAAGAAGAACAAGAGAGCCGTGGAGAAGATGGTGATCAGGCCTTCAATCACAAAGAGCCACTGCCAGCCCTTGAGACCGGCACGTCGGTTGATGAGGGCGACCCCATACGCGAGACATCCTCCGAAGGCGCCCGAGAGGGTGGTGCCGGCCGAGAAGAAGGCAATTCGAAACGATCGTTCTTCTTGCCTGTACCAAAATGTGATGTAGTAGACGATCCCTGTGGACCATGAAAAAGAGCATCAGAGTCAGTATGACGGCCACACCCCTGTCGACTTTCACAATTTTGACCAATATCGCCCAAAAAAAAGGCAAAAAACGCACCGGGATAGAAGCCTGCTTCGAGAGCTCCGATGAGGAATCGGACCACGACCGCAGAAGGGTAAGTTTTGAGGAAACCGAATCCGAGCGTGAGCACCCCCCACGAGAAGAAGAGAGACCCGAACCACAGCGAGGGCCGAAAGAAGCGCTTCAACACAATATTGGCCGGCACGTCGAAGATGCTGTAGGCGATGGAGAACAAGGTCACCGTGACCGCGTAGCCGTTGGGGCTCATGTGGAGCGACTGGAGGAAGGAATCGCCCGTCTCCGAGTTCAAGATCTTCGCATTGCCGATGTTGGAGCGGTCGAGGTAGTTGACGAGGTACACCCAGAAACAGATGGGCATGAGGTGGAGATCAATCTTGCGCCTCAGCCGGCGGTGTCGCTCTGCGTCGTACGGCGGTGTGGGCTCGACTCGGGAGACTTGAATGTCTTCGACCCTCTCCTTTTCGTTGTCGAGACTGCCACTGTGGCCATGTTCCGGATCCATTGTGGTGAATGGTCAAATGATGGGCCCCAAATTCTTAGAGATGGGAATGCTTTTGGGATGCTGCGAGAGATCTGAGATCTGAATGCTGCAAGACTTCCCTGACACGATGATAAAAAAGAACGAACTCTTCGATTCTTGATGAATTCGATGTTGGGTCTCTCTTTCACGGCCAATATGGCTTTTTATGCAAAATCTGACATCCCTCGTCGGCACATCCAAACTCTAGGCTTTTTGTGGGGTGATATCAACTCGTGGGTACCCATCAGCTGGGGGAAAAAGGAATTCCTGGGGCGCCAGACTCTCTGGAGAAGAGATCAACGCCGAGCCCAGGGTCTTTCTAGTGCATCGGGTGTCGCAATGCATCCTTATAGGTGGATTGGATACAAAATCGCTTGTTACAGAGGTCTCCCTTTTTTGGTGGATCCATCCGAATAATACAGTACCACACCGATTTGAACCATGATTAGCCTTGTGACTCTAACCATAATGGTGGACGTGATGTATACGAAGCGTTGAGCGACTATACTCGTTGTATCCAGACGTTAAAACTGGTTCTCCACTGTCCACGCTGATGTGGAGCCAAGTGGAAGACATGTGAGGTCCAGACGGCCCCTCTCCTTGCACCTAGAAAGACTCGACACGGTAGTGACCATGAATTTGCATCACCACAAGTCGGCGCAATTGACAGCAAACGGCCACTGGTTCTATAACTGTTCTATGTACAAACGATAAAAGGGGCCAATCTGTACTTGACCCGAGTCCTGACGGGCGTGTGTGGGTGGGCCCATCAAGGGCAGAGACAAAGGACAAGAGAAGCCATCCTTCGCCAATTCGTCAAAAGGTCTAGAACTCCATATGCTTACAGCCTAGAACTGAGTGTCCCACGGTCGTCTGGCAGGGCACTGGCCTCGCTCAATATGCTTTGAGCAATCCTTCTCAGATCAGGTTTCCTCAACTTCCCCGTCCCGGTCTTGGGCCAGGCTCGAAACTTGGAGTGGGTCCCTAGCCAGACCAAGTATCTCGGTGCCTTGAAATGAGCCAAGGTTTGTCTAACCCAAGCTCTGACTTCGTCATCCGAGGGCAACACAGATTCCGCCCGGGGCTCAAGAAATGCACAGATTTGCTCTCCATATTTCTCGTCGGGCACGCCGACCACCGAACTTTGTGCGACTGCGGGATGTGCCGCCAAGCGAGCCTCAATTTCCACGGGACTGATGTTTTCTCCTCCTCGAATGATCATGTCCTTGATGCGGCCTGTGATGGTGAAGAATCCTTGATCGTCGATAATGCCTTGATCACCGGTATGGAACCATTCGAGACCATCCTCGGGCGATTTCACGTGGGCCTCCGCCGTTTTGCTGGGGTTAGAGAAGTAGTTGGTTTGAATGCCGGGCCCGCGAAGGACGATCTCTCCTCTCTCGCCTCGTGGCACGACAAGATTTGTAGCTGGGTCGACGATCTTAGCCGAGAATCCAGGAAATAGTCGGCCTGATGTGTACATTCGTTGATGTAGTGTGTCAGTGTCACGGGTCATGGTGACGATAGACCCTGCCTCTGTCATTCCCCAATTGGTGTGCGTTTGTGTAATTCCTATGGAAGCCCATACCTTTCGAACCAGCGCCTCGGGCACGGCAGAGCCTGAGAGGATGGCGAAACGCAGGGTCGAGAGGTCATAGGCCGCGAAGTCTGGGTAGTTCATCTCGGCGATGAACATGGTGGTCACACCGTATAGGCCAGTACACTTATACCGACCTATACTTTCCAGAGTGGCCTTGACATTGAACTTGTTGTCACATAGCACTACGGACGCGCCATGAACAAGGGCAGTAGTGACTCCAATGACTATTCCGAAGCTGTGAAATAGAGGCACGGGTAGACAAATGCGGTCCGAGGGCGTGAGGTACATTGTGTCTCCAATGTTTTTGGCACAGTGTAGTAAGCCTCGATGTGTAAGTGCCGATGCTTTGGGCAACCCCGTCGAACCGCTGGTGAATTGGAGGTTGATGACCTCTTGGTCACTGAGAGTTTGTGCAACACGTTCGAGATCGAGATCATAATCCATTTCATGTCGTGCTCCCGAGGAAACTAGCCACTCGTAGTCCATGGCATGACCATGATCCATGTCTGAGCGGCTCCCGTGGAGCAAGACGATATGCTGTAAGCAACGGATTCTCTCCTTGAATCGGGGAATCCATTGGCGGTAGTCGTAGCGGTCGAATGCCGGGACCATTATCAGGACAGACACGTTAATCGACGCCAGGACCGAATGCAGTTCTTGTTCGCTGTAGGCATAGTTGATGAGGGCACACGGGGTTCCAAGTTTCGTGCATGCCAGAAACACCTCAATATACTCAATCTCGTTGCCGGCCATTATGGCCACTCGGTCTCCTTTCTTGACTCCCTGCGCTGCGAGTCCACGAGCTAGGTCGTCACTTCGATCGTTGGCTTGAGAGTAAGTTAGACTCTTTTGTTGGTGATGCGATTGTATAAAGAGTGCATCCGGACGTTCTTTGGCTTGTTTGCGGATAGCGTCGCCAAATGTCAGTGACAGAGGGCCGACGGAGGACGGAGCGTGAACAATTGATACGTTGTCTTTCTCTATGCAGCGCAGCCTTCGAAGACTCTTCCTATCGATGCGTTCAGATGCCATGATTCTGAAGGCTGCGTCCCAAGGAGTGGAACAAACGCTGGTAGAGAGAATGAAGTAAGGTTGATACTTTGGTATCGGAGCTCCTATTCAATTGCCGGTCTGCAGCGGCACCAGAGTGACAACTTAAAGAGTCCTCGATGAGTCGATGTTTGGTCAAAGAGTAGGAACGTGCTCTAATGCGGCTATTGCAATCCAGTTGAGAAATGACTGACAAACGATGGCTCTTGATGCCGATTGACCATTCACAACCAGTTGCGATACCCGAGGGCGAGTATGAACCCTCATCTAAGTGGTTGTATTCTTCCTACACAGCTGGTCTCCACTGTCTCCGCCATCAGAGATACTCACTCTAGCTCCATTGTGTAAGTCTCGACGTTGCAACGAAGAATAAACTGGATAGCAAAGAAGGGATTCCGGGATTTTCCTGTGAGGCACCACTGTGACAGGAGGCTGGGCAGAGTTGAGCCGAGCAGCTCTCTCCAAAAAGGGAAGTTCCTCGGACACCCTTCTGTTACTTAGCCAGATAGATACAACCGATGTTCTTGTATCGAGTTGTATATCACACCATTTCAGGACGACATTGTTTAGACTCAACATTTTTGGTGAACTTCGGCAAACATGGCAACTTCCACCTTCGTCGTTGGTGTAGGCATGACACCATTTCATTCTCCCAGAAAGTCGGCAAGTCATGCTCAAGATCCTGGTTCCGATTATTTTGATCTCGCCGTCGCAGCTGGAGTCAAAGCTCTCTTGGATGCAGGCATTACGTACGACGAGGTCGACCAAGGCATTGGTTGTTACGTGTACGGCGACTCGACATGTGCCCAGCGCGTCTTTTACAGCCTAGGTATGACTGGCATTCCGATATTCAACGTGAACAATTGGTGCAGTTCAGGGAGTACAGGCATCTGGCTGGCAAACCAGGCCATCAAGTCGGGGTCGGCAGACTGTGTACTAGTCATAGGATTTGACAAGATGTATCCGGGAGTTCTTCCTCAAACCTTTAAGGATCGAACCAGCCCGCTGTCACGCATTCTAGATCTTTCGGCAGATCAAGTCCCTATCGCAGACAGAGGAAAACCATCACCAGGCTGGACTCCTCGGCTATACGCAAACGCGCAAGCGGAATATCTCGACCGATATGGCAGCAACGGGGCCAAGGCAGAGCACTTCGCTCAAATCACAGCCATTAACCGGCGTCATGGCATCAACAATCCATACAGCCAACTCGCGCAGGCTGTCAGCGCTACAGAGGTGCTGCAGAGTCCAGCTGTTGCCGGCACTTTGACCCGATTGCAATGCTGCCCGTCATCGGTAAGAGCTTTGGATTGTGTGTGATATTGTGTCCGCAGCTGACAACCGCATTTTAGACCGGAGCAGCAGCCGCAGTTCTTGTTTCTCAGTCATTTCTCAACAGCCATCCTTTCCTAAAATCCTCTGCAGTCGAGATTGCCGGTCAGGCCTTGTCGACGGATAGTCCAGTCCTCTTCGAGCAGAACAGTGCAATTGAGCTCATTGGCTCAAACATGACCCGCCAGGCCGCAAGAGAAGCATATGAGCAGGCAGGAATAGGCCCCCGTGATATTTCCGTGATAGAGCTCCATGATTGCTTCACCACAAACCAAATGTGCGCCATGGAAGACCTAGGACTGGCGACCCATGGATATGGCTGGAAGTTGGTGGAAGATGGGAAGCTCACATATCATCGCGATCAGTCAAGCGCAGTTGGCATGCGCAACTGGCTGGTGAACCCCAGTGGAGGGCTAATTTCCAAAGGACATCCTCTTGGAGCCACTGGCTTGGCTCAGTGCGCCGAGCTAGTATGGCATCTAAGAGGTTGGACCAAGAAACGGGCGGTGTCATCCACAAAATATTGTATGGCACACAACATGGGTCTAGGAGGGGCAACAGTGGTGACAATATACCGCAGGCACGATGGACGTGAAGCACCCGAGCCTGGTACAACCAGACCAGAGGCTGATGGGCGTGACAGGCTTGGATATAATCCAGCTGAAGAGGCACGCCCAATCACTCGACGTGACTGGGACCGCGTGAGAGCTCAAAAGGCTGATTTCTCGCCTTATGCAGTGGCGACGTTACCTTGGGTGGTTGCTGCCTCGGATGGTGGATCAAAGTTGTAGAGATTTCAAATTGGCAAGAAACAGAAACCATATAGCGATCAGTTGTTGAAGCTTTTTGATGATAGTGGCCACGCATGCAATTCTCTTGAGTATTAGTACCCAGTAGACTTCTAAACCAGAGAAAAGTAGCATCCAAACATTTCCATCGACAGGGTCCTGTCATCAACGCGGACCTTGGTCTTTTGCTGTCGCCGAATTAGCTCTTTCAGGAGTAGTAGTGCTCTTTTGGCATTCCGAGTCACACCTGCACTCATCTTGAAAGATGGCAGGCCATCAGAATTGCCCGTTTGAGTCTGTAACACCATTTTTGAGGATGCTAAGCCCTCGAGCTGTTGGACACTCCACGTCCGGTGGGTTTCGTCAGTGCACTCCGAGCCAAACAAGAAAACCTGCCAGAGCAAGCCGGGATGTACGATCTTCGACCCATCGATCTCTTCGCCGTAGCACTGCTGAAAAAGTTCCCAGACTCGATTGAGCGCGGATGTTGTTGTTGCCGAGTGCGGGAGGTTCCACCACACTACCCGATGAAGGTAGACGAAGAGAACCCAGTAGCATGCAAGATGCACGCTATAAACCTCATGTAATCTCAACGCAAGATCGGTCGGTAGCATGCTGCATAATTGGTCCTTGCTGAGAGATATCATGGCAGGTCTTTGGTCCCAGATCTCCCACAGTTGTTCCTCTAACTGTTTGCTGGCCACAATAACGGCAAACTCATCGTCGGGGGTGCCTCGGGGTCGGTGATGCCGATCATGGGAGCTTATCTTCCGACAGAAAGCTTGCGTGTCCATGTACCATTCGATGGCAGGCTGAAGCAGCGAGTGCAGCATGATCTGCTTAATGTGGGAGCTTGTCAGCGATGATTTGGGCTGCAAATCGATCCTCCGGCCTTGAACAACCTCGTATGATTTGGAAGGCATACGTTTGGAAGCACCAGTCGATTCCAGGGCTTCGTTCTCTATATCTTCGTCGTTGTCTTCAGCCTGAGAGATGACTACTTGATAGGGATGGCGAGCTAGGACGAGCAGAGCTTGCTCAGAGAACAGCCGACGCTCGCCAGTCAAATGCGTGGCTTTGCTGTCTAGTGACCAAAGCCACGATAGTAACACCCTCGAGGACCGGTTCCAATCCGTATCCTTGACAAGGATGGCATCAGCTAGATCCTTTGGAAATGGAGTGCTGTGTGCATCTTGGTCTTTCATAGCCTCTAACCACGCCAGCAAGAAGAGAGCGCCCAGCTGCTGTTCGTGCGTTGAAGGAGTGGGTTGTTGGGTGTCCGTGACCCAGGCACGAAGCGCGATAAGAAGCGATTGACGTCGGTCCATAATATAGCTGAGACGCGTCTCTCGACTCTGTCCCGCACTCTGACAGATCTCGTCGATGAACAAAAACTCTATAACGCATACCAGGCTGTCGAAAACAAGGTTGCACTGAGAACCGAGCCTAACAAGATAGTGCTGGAGGCGGCGCCATTTTCGCAAACCTCCAATAAGTATCGACGCCGGTGGCTGGACAATTGACTGGAAGAGAGAGAGAAGGTGCCTGGTTTCGGCATCGTTGGTTCGGATGTGGTCGTTACGCGCCCACTGAGGCGATGAAGAAGCCTGAGTACTGAAATCCGTGTCTCCCTCGAAACCCTGTCCGAAGCAGTCGTCCTCCTGCTGGCCGCTGTAAGACCTTCCCGTTGGCTGCGTGGTTCCGTGCGGTTGATTATTCCCGTCATCGTTCTCTGGCTGCTCCTGGCGGCTTGTGTCGGCACCGACCATGAAACCTGTAGTATGCTCCAAGTTCCCATCAACGGAATTGAAGTCTGCTGCCGCTGCTACGGCGGAAGGTATCAGGTCTGCAGATGTACTTTCCCACATTGGAGCGTTAAAGCCGTATCCCTCCCACAATGGACTGAGTGGGATAGAGCCATCGTAATTCATCTGCATGAGGTCACCATGAGGCCACCCCAAATCTCGGGATTGGTCATTGAACTCCGCGGTAGCATTGATTAGGTGGAAGGTATCGCCAGAAAAGTTGTCCAGATAGGCATTATCCCGCCCGCCCTCTGTGGCCAGGCTTACAAGGCTCAAGTTGGGCTCCTGATGGGATGCATCTTCGTGTCTAGGAAGGGTCGAAGTCAACTCACGAGCCCTAGACGAGGTCGTAGGCACCTCCTTGTCAGGTGTCGCCACAGCTAAACCTCGAGGCTTTGGACGAGATTGCGACAGGTAAGCACAATCAAGTCCAAGTCGGGCGCAACTTGCGCATATCGGACGATCTTCTGAGCATTTTACTCGTCGCGTCTTACAGGTTTCACAACCCAGCCGGGAACGAAGCACTCGCGGAATACGCCAGGTGCTAGAACTGGAGGAATGAGTTGCCCTGCGCTCACCGGTGCCATTCACGGCCATAGCTAGTCGAACCAATAGATATAACAAGAAGGAAAATAGCACTCAGTGGCCAATACAATTCGCAGTGCGGAGTGTTGAATGAGATTTACGAGGCAGGGCGAGATCGAATAGGTAGGTAGGTGGGTAGCTAATAAAGCGGCGTGAAAGGGGGTAATACTCAGGGGGACGGCGCAATACTGCTCCGGCCGTACAAAAAAGAGACGAGAGAGAGAGAAATTTAGGGCCAGGCGGGCAGGCCTAGTCCAGGACTACTCTGCAGGTAAGTTATGTACGGAGTATATGTAGCCGAGAGAATCCGGCACTAATTAATCGGTCGTTAGTTGAATCCGGGGCAGTTAGGAGGCTCGAAGGCGTCTCCCCAAGCCAGTCCGGCTTGGAATTGGCAAGAGGACGGGTCGGCTTCATGCTGCAAGCTGCTATGTTTGAGCGGAAAGCCTTCACCAAACCTAAACATGATAGCACTGGCAAAAAGGCCTGCAGCGCGTCAATGCTAGCAACTCAGTTTTAATGGCCGGGGAAAAACCAGTAGTACCTCGATCAACCGTATAAAACTTGAATCGAGACATCAGAGTAACGAGACCTGCCTGAAGATGTAGTTTCCTCGGAATCTAAGCCATAGCTCCATTACCAACATCAATGCTTAGGTTAACAAAGGATGGTACGAGTAGTCGGCGAGGATAATACCGACAGAGGACAAGGAAGGCTATGACAGGCAAAGGGTAAAACGCCCAGCTCATCCCCTTCCGGAGGAGAGTGTCGCCGCCCTGTTCTCAGCCCCGCCGCGGGGTGAAATGCCAAGATCTTGGGGCTCGGACACCTGGGAGAGGCAAGGCTGTTAAGAGCAGGCCATCAAAAGCGGCGGCCCTGAGCAGATATTAATGACTCTCGATGGTATTATATAGGACTTGGATTACTCAGCAGTGGGCTGTCGCTACCTACCAACAAAAAGGTACTCAGGTGGCCTTCGCCACCATTCGGTTATCCCTTTGTTTAACTGGCTCACTTTCCGCGGTCCCTATAATTGACCCCCAAGTCAACCCCAACTCACCCTGATCTGGGCGCTAGACCGAGATACAACTGACCTTCTCGTCATTGTCGCCTATCACCACCTCAGAACCAAGTGCACTGAAGACCTACGAAGGTGAGAACATCATCTTGATGTGATTCTGGCCTTCAGTGACGCGCTCATTGCAACTCGACCACCTGTTTCTGTCATCTGCGTCATGGGGAGAGCCAAGATCGAGGACAACAACTGGTATGGCGTGGAGGATCCACGGAAGAGAAAACAGATACAGGACAGACTAGCACAGAGGGCGCGACGTCGGTTGACAACTGCTGAGGTATTTCACATAAGCCTCGCTGACTGGTAACGACAGGGAAACGCTTAGCAGAAGCCAAAAAGATCAGTCTTCCATCTCCGGACCGTGGCTCTAGCGAAACCTCCGAGTCGAACAATGAGGCCGACGAAGAAATGTTGCTGCAATCGTTGGTGACGCCAGTGCCTCGATCACCGACCGGCTTGCAGGCGATTGTCGGACTATCAACAAAGCCCGATACTTGCGTGCACACCACCACTCCTGCCTCTGTATACGCCGCGCTTTTCCACAATGGCGCCATGATGGGACTGACATGCTCCATCAGCTTCACCTCGAAGTCGAGACCTTTCGGTGAAGAGATCCCAGATTCGTTGCGCCCGACTCCCCTGCAGCTTACAACCATTCACCCGCAGTGGATCGATCGATTTCCGTTCCCTAAAATGCGCGATAACATGATTACACTGCTCAGTATCATCGACGAAGAAGAGTTCTTGGGCGACTTGTTCTGTCTCACGAGCTTCACGGTCGACGGCCGGATGGCGTCTTGGGATCCTTCTGCGTGGAAAATAGGTCATGAGTTTTCTGCCAAATGGGGCTATCTATTTTACTGATTCACCCGACGCAAGAGATCACTACAACTTCTCCTCTGATCCTGTTAGTTCGGAAGTAACACTACTTTTTTTCCCGTCACAATCTCAAGCTACCTTTAACGCCTGAGTTATGAGCATCGCTGTCTCCAACCCGGCACTCGCGTTGGGACAATGCCCTGTCTTGAGGTTGTACACATCGACTTTGTTGCCACTCTCTTTCTCGATCATCTCGATGCACTTCCGTTGAAATTCCGGAACCAGGATGAGATCGTCCTCACAGAATATCCACGACACCGGGACATGATTGTACCCCGGATGTGTCAATTTGTTAGCGAAACTCGGGGCTGAGTGCAAAGGCATTTTCTTGACCCAGTCGATCCCTACTTCTGGCGGCAGATCCGAGAACGTCAACCGTGCGCTCTCCTCGGGCGGTTCGTGTCTCATGTATTCGCCCTGTCCAACGTGTGAGCCTCGCCGTGGTCAAATGTGGCGGCGATCTTACCTCGACCTTCAAATACGCCGGCACTAGGTCCCCCATTACATCGGCCAACGACTTTCCAACTGGCGGTACCACCGAAGTAACGTACACTATTCTGACCAGACCACCCTCTTTACCGGCCGCTTTACGCTCCGCTTTCGTCAAACCCTTCGAGGCTTCCGTACCAACTACGCCTCCATAAGAATGCGTGACAAAAACGACGTCCTTGCCCTGGTCGGCGATTTTCTGCGCAACGTCGTGGAAGAAGGCAGCGTCATCGGTCAACGTGGCCGCGGGTTGAGGAGGTGTCCGGCTGGCTGAGGGAAGGTCGTACGCCGCAGCCTCGATACCATTGTCCCGGAGCTGGCCAACGATCTTGTCGTAGAAATACGCGGGCGAAAATGAGCCAGGAATAATGACAACTGTTGGCTCAGGATCGGTACTGGCATTGGCGTTTTGCACCATTTTGAGAATGCTGAATCCCTATGAGAATATAAAGAGTGGGATGTCTTGCTTGGGTAGCTCTTATGATGACTTCTTCCAAAATCCTAGAGCGTTTACGAGGATACCTATCATGTCCAAAGAACATGAAAACTCCCAATAACCGAATGTGCAATGGATTAAATATTTGTACCTAGGTATTTGTTTGTCATAATCAGAATATGGGGGCTTCAATGTCAGAAACAAGCCGGTTGTTTTACCCCAGGAATCATCTCCGCTTCTTTGCCGGGGAAGGGGAGTTAGATTAGGAGTCAATGTACCGGCCTCGGGCTTTTCCATCTTGTCGGTAAGACTTGAGCTCTAGATCTCTAGTTGCCACTTGATATAGGAGATAGTGAAGTTGAATGGATACTTGGCCGATCGGAGCTGGTATCAACCGATCACGTGTCAAGGCCAAATCAGGGTAAAACAACACGACGTAAGCACCTTCTTCTGAGGCCTTGTTTTCACATCTCCTTTTCCCCCTGCTCAATACCTTGTCGTGGCGCTTGCAAACAGGGACTTAACATGATATGTGCCTGTCATCGATGAGACAGATGACAGGTCTTATTCATCTCAACTCGGAGGAGACGACTGTACACCATCGATCAGATCCACGACTTGAAGATCTTTGGTCTGCAATGCTACTCGACGTGAATACTGCTAGGCGAGATCCATCGGGTACGAGGAAATTTCCATTGACCTATCTATCCAGATCTCAGACTGCTGAACTTTGGTCATTATGTGTAACCTTGATAGTTTTGTTGACTCCGGCAAATCCTCTGTATGGCTACAACTCCTCGTAAACTAACCCTTAAGCCATACAGCTACTGTCCCTTCTACTCGTTGACGAGGACATAACGATACCTGGCTTTCCCAGCGTCCATATCAACAATGGCCTTGTTCGCATCTTTCATCGGGACATTATTGTTCCACGTATGCACACCCTTTTCAACAAACAACTTCAACATGTTTTTGATATCTTGAGGGGAACCAATCAAGCTTCCGGCGATGGAAACCCGTTTGGCAATCAACGCGAACATGTTGATCGGGGGAACGACATCTTCGGGTGCTCCAACTTGGACAAATTTCCCCTGCAATCTCAAAAGCTGAAGATATTGCTGGAGTGGCATTTTTGGCGAAGACACTTTTGTCGTGTCAGCAGCTTACTTGATTCTGGCAACCTCGGAACTCACCTGTTGAGACAATGATATCGAGAGTACCAGCATGCTTGGTAGCCCAGTCTCCTTCCTCATCCGTGGCGATAAAGTCATCAGCACCCATCTTCAATGCGTCGGCCTTTTTGGCCGAAGTTCGGGAGATGGCGACGACTTTGCTGCATCCCAGAGCTTTGGCTCCGAGAATACCAAAATGCCCTAACCCGCCGATGCCAATGATGCCGACTTTCTTTCCCGGCCCAGCACCATTTTGTGTGAGAGGAGAAAAGGCCGTGATCTGGGGAGCACCGTCAGTATATGGGAAGCGACAAGTGCAACCGAGATACACCAAGGGGCAATTCTTACACCACCGCAAAGCATTGGCGCTGCTTCATCAGACGGTATGCCGTCGGGAATTGGAATGACGAAATCAGAACTTCCTCTCCAGTAATCGGCGTAACCACCATAAGATTTGCTTCCATCCGGCCACCTGGAGTTGTAAGTCTGCACCATGTGTGGGCAGTGTTGTTGCAGGCCATCTGCGCATGCTTCACAGTCACCCTTTTGATTCATGCAAGCTCCCGCCTGAGCGCCAACACCGACTCTGTCGCCGACCTTGATGTCAGTGACCTTGGAACCAACGCGGACCGCATGGCCGACGATTTCGTGCCCGACGCAGACCGGGTAGTCACTGGGGTACCAGCCAGAGCGGAGAGTATGAATGTCTGACCCGCATACGCCGGAATGGGTGATCTTGATGTCGACGTCTGTCTCCTCGAACGGCTTTGGTTCGTACTCCTTCCACACCATCTTGCCATTGACAGACTCTGCGTCAAGGCCCAGCCATCCTTGAAACTTGTAATCCGCGGACATGGTGAACGGCAAAGAAGTCAGAAGTGGGTGTCTACAAAGTGTGATTATGATGCGAGAAAAATTGAAGAGCGAAAAGAAGAAGTCTTATCTGGGTCACGAAGGATCATATCTACTCACCGCCACACGAAGAAGATTTCATATTCTCTTTCTCTCATCTTCTTTGAGCGGCGATTGCGGACTTTGATGAATCATGTCTGAAGGCTTCAGGATGGTACCGGATTTATTAGATGCCCACGTTTTCCGGGATATGTCACCACAGCTTCCAAAAAAGATTTCTCCACTTCGCCTGGTCACCATGTGGCTCTTATCTGTGTCTTGGGACGATGGAGTTCGCGTCCAACAATCACGGTCACGAATCATTGCGTACGATGGACAACGGTATTGGTCCTTGTTTCGGCGGTGAGTTGAAAAGCCTCGGAGCAAATTCGTCATGAAAGGGTGACGCCTGGACACACGAAAACTTTCTCAAAGACCCAGATATATAAAAATTTTGGCCAGGGTCGATACCATCAAGGGCCTTTGGTCCGTGTCCCTGGTCCGTGATATCATACACCTTTCCCGGTAACGAGGACGGGGGGTGCGGCGCGAAGATCTCGGACGAGGAACTCCGTAACGATCCATATTCCAGGGATCCCACTCATTTTTATGGATACCTGTCTTACCTGGTATGACAGTTTATGGGATATAATTTGGTGGTGGCAGTATTTTTTTCAATGACGCTCCCCCTGGGTTCCATGCCACGGCCCGCGGATGATAACCACAACACGCATCGGCCAGAACGTCACAAAGTACCGACGATATCTTCCCAAACCTGAGGTAGCTTACCTCACAGTAGATCTTTGGGACTTGCGCAAGTGCGAGGGTGTGACTTCTTGCTTTGTGAGTGTCACTCGTACGAGCACCAACCAGTACGTACGCGGTACTCCCTCCTTTTCATACGTACAACATTCCTGAGGATCGTTGGAGGGATGGAGATACCAGTACTGTACTCGATCCACCTTTGACCAGGTATCGCAGGTACAGGTAGTGAGGTACTCCGTATTATGACCTACCTAGGTAGGTTCAAGGTAGATACAGTAAGTCCAAAAAAAAAGAACACAACACAATTTGTAATCAATACTATTTTGACCTGGACTGGCCGCCCGGCCGTTTCTCGGACGAAGAAAAGTCGACAAGGGAAAAAAAAGTGAAACACGAAAAACGTCGTCCACATCCATATCCCTACCAGTACCAGTACCAGTACCAGTAGGAGGTTAGGTGCATATCTTTCTCGATCACTTCGTCCTCTTTCACTTTGGCCGCGTACTGGGTAATTTCGTAAAAGCTGTTGCGGCCGTAGTCGCATCGATGACGAAACACACAACCACACATACATACCTATACACACACTCTCTCTTTTCCCTGAGAAGCTGACAAAACATCTACATCACAAAACAAAGGACAAACAAAAAGGAAGAATCGTATACTACTATACTTCAGCATGTTATTACATCACTTCGAGTGTCATCTCACTCCATACGTTGTCTTCCAGGTCTTGTCTTGTCTTGGTCTTGCACATCTCTTCGCGGGGAAAAAAAAACCAAGGTCCCGCTAGGAAGTCCAAGGTGTTTTTCAAGAGGTAGGTACGTAAAGGGCAGCAAGGAACAAAGTCTTTTTCTTTTAACCCCACCGATCATCACTTAGGTTCTGTCTCCTCGCCGTCGTCCTCCTGTTTATAGTGACTTCGACCTGACCGGGACCATTCCCAGAACCTGTGCCAGAACCGGCACCGGCGCCGCCTTGTTGTTGTCTCGGGCCAAGTCTCACAAAACCATTGTTCCCGTTACTACTGCTCAAACTACTCGAATGTGCGTGACGAGCTTCTCTTCGCATCCTAGCCTCGGCCACCGGCGTGAGGGTGATGGGTGTCCCGCTTGCGCTGCTGTTACTGTGATGTTGCGAGCGAGAGGTTGTTGTTTCCTTTTCGGCAGAGCTTGACGTCGACGCGGAATTGCGCATCGACCCCACCATGCTCTCTCGTGTGCTCTGTCTAGACAGGCGATGTTGGCCAGTGGCGATGCCGGTGCCGATGGTCGACTGTCGTGGCAAGCGGCTCTTGTTGATGTTCACTTCCGAAACGGCGCTCGCAGTGTTGGCCCGCGTGAGGCTCGGCATGGCAAACGCAGGGGAGTTCTCCCTCACATACGTAGATCCGTCTCGGCTGGCTGGTCGCATCACACTCGTGCCATTGACATAAACACCATTACGTTGCCGTCTGGGTGTTTGAGCGCCTGGAGGATCGTACATGTTCATGCTTGCCCGTTCGGAGCGGCCCAGCTGGGGTGACGTCGGCATGCTCATCTGACGTTCCAGTAGGTGCGGCGGAGTTGTCGAGCTCGTTCGTCTTTGAAAGCCTGGGTGTTTTCGTCGACCGGCGGTGGGCGCCACAGAGGCCCCCTGGCCACTTTTGATGCTGACGTTATCACTTTCTTCACATGACCGGATGAGGTCTCCTGCCATGCTGCGCACGAGAACTGCAGAGTCCGAGTACGACAACTCTCGGACAACGTCATACAGACCGTATTGGTCAAGCAGGAAACAGCCTTCTTCGGTCGAGTCGCAGATACTACCGATGATGCGGAGCAGATTTAGACGGATGGCAGGTTTATTGTGGCTCAACTTCTGGCCGAGGGTATCGAACAGAGGAGGACTTCGGGCCATGGACGCAGCAAGAGGCGGTGACAGCCGCAGCAGCTTCTGCAGGGGCTCCAAGAGGTTCTCGAATGAGGTGGATTTGCTGCTTGTCAGGGCAGCGATGATCGCGGTCGCAAAGTTCTGGTTCTCGAGCAAGTGGTCTTCAACTCTGGCAGTTTCTTCTTGCAACCATGTGAAAATAGCATCGAGGGCTGTGACCTGCCAGTATGGGTCGGACAGCAACGACACATAGAACGCCAGGCCCTTGTTCTGCCAAAGTTCTCGTCTCGCGGCTCGCGTAGAATGAGCCATATCACACAGGATCGGTAGCGCAAACTCCTTCACTGGCGTCTTTTCCTGCTTGACGATTTTGATGAGAATAGGGATGATGCCCACCAATGCAGCGTCCTCTTGCCGTCGTTTGGACAGTCGGCAGAGATTGTATATGGTGTTCAAGATCTGGTTCGACATCTCCCTAAAATGTGGCTTGTTCATACTGTTGCTCAACAGCTCGGACAAGACGTCAATTGCATTCGAGTTGTGAAGAGCATCCAGCGTGTTGGACAGCATCGACAAGTTCTTGATAAATTTTAACATGGTGACCTGGTGAGACGGCGACATGCGTTTGAGGTTCTTAAGGACTCGATGGAGTACCGTACGTTCTGCAACAAGCTCTTTGACATAGTTCTCGGCCTGCGAGAACACAAAGAAGATGCTGGCAATACGACCTTCGCACAGGTCTGCCAATTCCTTCTGATCGCCAGATTCGGATGGCTCCATCAAGACTCTGTTCAGGACCAGGGACAAAGGTTCCAGAACCGAATTGCGGGATAAGATCCTACAAAAGTCGTTTCTTGGAGTTGACCCTTGCAATTCGAAGACGCTCCATATGCCGTTGACACCAATCAGGACCAGCTCTCGGTCATCGTCGTAGTCATCTTCCAGAAAGTCAACCAGCACTGTTAGGCCTCCAGCACTCACAAACATTTGGAGAATCAGGGTCGATGTTTGATACATTTGTCGGACAAAGGCCGCCGCTTCAAGCCGTATCTCTCTAGGGAATTTCTTCGAAGCAAACTTGTTAATTTTGGGAATACCACCAACAAAGCATAGATTCTCCTGGACATCTTCATCGTTGAAAATGAGTGCATTGACGATCTTGAGGAGATTGAGGACGACGTCCAGCCGCGTACAGTCCTCGAGAATTTCCAGAATCGGAAGTACGCCATGGGCACTGACAATCACGCTCTTCGTATCTGAGAATAGGTCGAAGAAATTCATGAGATCTTCAGATATCTGTAGTAGTGCATCATCATCTTGCATGACCTTCAATTGACCTACTAATGCCTCGACATCTGTCCGAAGACGGGCATGCTTGTCTCGAGCTATGTTGGATTCGAGGTCGACTTCCGGTAACCCTTCTTCCAGCTGTGCAAATGGATCGTCTTCGTCTTCGGCGTCTGGCAGCCAAGATAGATTCGATATCTTCGAATTTAGCATTAGCTCGGAGCCGTCCTCGCTGTCGGGCTTTTGGAAAACAGAACTTGTATGAGCAAAGACATCTGAGAAGTCTTCATCCTCTTCGTTTTCGGCAAACCGCTGTATCTCAATGGAAGACCTAGTTCTTCGCATTGACAATTTGTTGCGAGGAGCCGAAGGCCTTCTGAGACTCCCGCCAGGTTTTGCCGGCCTCATACTTTGCATCAAGTCGGTCACGCTTGGCGAATTCAAAATCTTTGAGGGACCCTCGCCGTGTAAGCGCATCATGCCCAGCTTTGTATCCAAAGTCAGTTCGTTACCGTTGATCAGGTCCGAGAAATCTTCGACAGAGTCTTCTCGGTAACGACGAGTGGGAGGTTCATCTGCAGTCAACTTCGGCGGAGGAGGTTTACTCCTCGAGAGGTTGGTGGTCTGGCGAGCGGACGGCAATGAAGCTTTGCGTGGTGTCGGAGATGGCTTTGTTCTGGGTTTGGGTGCTTCAGACTTGTGACGAGCATGACCCTTCTCGGTCTTCTTCGGCGGAGCTGGTCGTACCGTTCTGTAGCCTTCGCTCCCTACTAACGAAGACGCTTTCAATGTGGAATCCTGGTCTTCAAAGACACTTTCGTTCTCCTTACCGGCACCATTTTCCAGGGAAGCGAAAGCCTTCAGCTTGTCAGACGATAGCAAGCCCCCAAAGTTATCATGAGGTCGCAGATGCGGCAGTTCAAAGGTGCTCGGGGATATAGCAGTAACGAAATCGTTATCCCAATTATCATCATCCTCCAAAGAGCGGAAACGCATCGTGGTATCCTCTCTATTGAACGCAGGAGCAGGCGACTTGACCTGGTTCCTCATGGGTCGAAGAAGGTCTTTCGGTGCCGGGATAGGGCTAGCTGTTGACGCATTGGAATTTTTTCGTATCGAGTTGCTGTTGGGAGAATCTCTCAGGGCTTCGTTCCATTCCTGCACACTTTTGACTGCTTCGGTATATTCCGTGGCATTTTTTGGTTTGTCTGAACCTGTTCTTCTCGCATTCACGATCCATGGATGTTTCAATAGCTTTTTGGCCGACACCCGCAGATTTGGATCTTTCTGAAAACACTGCATTAGGAAGTCCAGCACTCCGGGCGAGGCGCCTTGGGGAAGTGGCGGATGGTCATCATTGACTATTCGAAACAAGGCCGGCATGGGCTGAAGTGTGTGGTATGGTGGTTTGCCGTCCAGCAGCTCAATCACCGTACACCCCAAGCTCCATATATCCGAAGCCGTAGTTGCACCCGTTAATTCAATCACCTCAGGTGCCATCCAGTAGGGAGTGCCGACAACGCTGGACTCGTGTAGCCCGGTCGTGCGACTGGCGACGCCGAAGTCGGCCAATTTGACCAGGCCCTGCTTTGTGGTAAGAATGTTGGCTCCCTTGATATCCCGATGTATGACGCCCTGCTCGTGCAAATAGACCAACCCTTGAAGCACTTGCGACATGTAAAGTCCCACCAGGTTCTCGGGAAATCGACCAAAGTTCTTCGAAATGGAGTGCAGTGAACCATTTTCGCAGTATTCCAATATAATGTTCAGAGTGTCGGGGGTCTTGACCGAGCCATGGTACTTGACAATGTTGGGGTGGTCGAGGTTCTTGAGTAAGTCGATTTCCAACATGATGACCCTCAGTTCGCTCTTAGGCAAATCTGCCAACTTGATCTGCTTCACCGCAACCGTTTCGCCGGTGCCCCAGTTCAGAGCACGGTAGACGGAACCGAATGCGCCCTTACCCAAGCAGTCTCCCAACTGGTAGTCCTTCAGCTCGGCTACATCTTGTGCCTTGGTCCTCTCCTCTTTCTTGGTAGGGCTGCCGGGAGGTTTGGGTGTTTTGGCCTTGAGGCCCAAACCCTCGACTTGTCTCGCGGTGGGAACATCGTCGTGGGGTTCGGCGGTGCGAGCAGGCATCTTGAGAGGAATGGTGGTGATGAGAATCAGGAAGTCCACCGGCTTTTATGGCTGATCATCATATGGCTCGCTTATCTGCAGTGGTATTGTCGATCAGGGTTGATTGGATGTGTGCAGAGTGACCAACGCAAGGTACCGCAGGTGGGTTTGCACTGCGACTGGTTCGGCGGCATCAAGGGGAGACGGAGGATCCTGAGGACGACTGCTTCGGCGAGTAAGACAGCTCAAGACAATCGGGCAATGAGACAATGGGGTCAAGAAGGACGGTGACAATTACAGAGAAGCATTGTATAGGGAATAAATGGGCAATGTAGAGAAAATTGGCTTGGCTGAGGTAGTTAATATCATATTGACTGGTAACACTGTCGATTCTGTGGTGTTTAGACTGACTGCGGTACCGGGCAATTCTTCGGCTTTGTTGCCAAACAAGCGCACGCGACTTTCACTTTCGTCCCCATCAACAACTAATGTAATACGGACACTTAATCAGGCCTACATCCGACCGCATGCATCTTTGCTTGACCGCTGTTACGATCGAAGAAAAACACCTGAGCAGAGTGTCATTACTACGGACTTTTCCAAGATCCTACACGTACTGTACCAACATCACCCGCGAGGAACAGATCGATCTTGACCAACGGTAACCTGCCATGTGGCGTCACAATGCAGGCCAGCACAGACACCGACAACAATCACCCCGCCAGATCGACCATGCTTTTTCCACCTAGCCAAAGATTCGCCGCGTTAGTTGGATGTGGGCAACCAGTGGATGTCTCGCAGTTCCTAATCCAGCCGCGTAAACAGCTGCAGCTGCATACCGGAGCGTGTAACTGAGAGCAAGGCATACCCATGCAAAACCTAGAGCTTTGAATTTTTCCTGTTCTGATCAGGTCATGGCCTGAATACGTGCCTCCTAGCAGGAACTTACGATTCTTCTCTAGCCCAGCTTGCTCGCCAAGGTAGATGGCCAGATCTTCAAAGGTGATTGCCACTGGCTGCATCAAGAAGAACGCCACCTGGGCCCACGCCATAGGTGAGTAAGGATTGTTGAGAGATCCGACATGGTGCATCACAGCAGACAAGAAAAAGGCATTGTACAACTGCAAATAGCGGGAGATAATGGAGCCCTTGGTGACCCCGAGCATCCTTCGCAGGAGGGAATTGGCACTTTCGAACCATCTCCGGTGAAGCTGATCCCTATCAAAGTGGTGAGTGATGCAGACACCAAGACAATGGAATAGGCGTACCAGCAGGATCCCCAAATATTCCTCAAGGTATACCCTTTTTCGGTGAACGAGCCAAATAGAAAAGGCCATGATTGAGGAGAGGATATACCCAATCCAACCATGACGGCTGAGATGAGGTTGTAGCCAAAAGCCATGGAGCAACCACTATACAAAGCCAAAGACCAGGAAAGGAAAAATTGTTGACCAAGTGGGATCGAGAAGAAATCCAAACCAACCATGCCCGCACGAAATTGTGGGTGGTTGATCAAGTACTCGTGCACATCCATAAAGAGATAGCAATATCCCATCCTGACAAGTCGTTGGAAAATGTATTGACTAGGCAGGCACAAGTGTCAGCTGGAACGCCTTCGAGACTGATCATACAGCGGCCTTGAACATACCGTCTTGATAGCTGCATCGGCACTGCCTCGACATTTTTGACCCTCCAGTTCCAGCCAACGCCTCTCATTGTCATGAACAAGTCGAAATTCCAGCGGAATTTCTGCCAAATGGTCATGTTTCGGACGTCGCTTTCTGTCTCGGCGTTGCCATCAGGTCGGACACGATGGAAATCACGCTCCGGTACATTGATCACGCAGAAATCGAGATATCTCATCAAACACGTAAAAACATTAATGGCGTTTAGGTAATCATTTTCGATTTTGCCGGTGGAACATCGTCGTAGATTGTAAGCGATGTATAGAATTGGAGGGAGTCCTGTGAAACTGCGAGCCGCGCCTTGTGGCAACAGTAGAGTCAGTATAGCCACGGTATTGGCAGCCGCAACACTCGAGTCTGTCGCGGGTCGGAGTGGACGATTTGGTGGTGCAAACCACATTGGATTCATTGTGCAACAAGAGATATTGGGAGACCGAGTAAGCAAGCAGAGAAAAATACGTCGAATATCATCTGCTCGATACTGCAGGTGTGCAAGTGCAGGTGTAGAAGAGGTCTGTGTTGAATCAACCAAATGGAATGATCGTGAGGGATTGTAAATGCGAATACGAGGTTCGGCAGCCTTGGTCTCTTTTTTTGGTTTGTGCCTGAGGCGCCTTATCACTTGCCTTGTTGAACGTCTCATTGTGACAAGAAGATGATCGAGATTGACGCGATAGATATCATTCTTGGTCAGATAAGTAACATTGTCTGGAACTTTACGATCAATGGTCATGCTTGGTCTCTAAAAGTCGATATACTACGGAGCACCTACTCCGTAGGTAGTAGCAGAAAGAGACGGACGGAGACGTCGGCAAGGCTGAGCCTCACCTCAGCAGTTTTTCTTTTGGCTACCCGGGTATTTCACTATGTACGAAGTACGAGGTTGCCGTTTGGATTCGCGAGTAGTAAGGTGACAAGAGACGGATTGAAGTTGCGTACCATCATCTTACCTACCTACAGTACAGGAGTACGTAGTAGGTGCGTAGTACTCCGTACCTATGCAGTAATTGACCACAATGTCCTCCATACGGGCAAGGATCTAGGTAGGTACGGAAAATGAAGGTCGGATGTCGTTGATAGGGGGCTTTTGGGTCGTGATGCGAAAGACTCCTCAAGATTCGCATGTACTTCCTCTTTTTTCCATTCTCATCAGGTTCTGTACCCACCTATCTGATACTGGTACTTCTAGCTACTGTAAAGTGAACTCACTACTGGGCGGATGGTCGTACTCTACTGTACCTAGAAACGGCCCCCAAACCCCTCCAAACACCCCCGACCCAGCTACTGTACGAACTACGAACTACCTACCTACATAGGTAAGGTAGGTTACCTACGAGCCTTCCGCGTCGGACACTTTGCGCTACCTTTTGGTATCAAACCACTGTAACTTCAAAACATGGCTTGCTCTTCTCTTTGGATCAGGTAGCCCCAACTTGTACTTGTACTCCGTTATTCCGTGAATAATACGACAAGTCAAAAATGTCTCTTTGCGTGGGCTGGATGTTATGCCCGGGCAGTATGATGCCGCACGCCCCCCGTACAGGATTTGTTTATTCTATACGGAGTACAGAGTCTACATAGGTAGTGACTACTCTCGTACTTGTTGGTCTTGGACAACTCGGTTCTTGTGGTCTTTTAGCCCCTTCTCGACAAAGACCCTGCGAATTTGTGAGTTTGCGATTCGTGCGATATTTCTTTGTCGACATCGCACAGTCCATTGGCCCGGACCTCGCTCCATCTTGGGCATCGGCGCGTGTGGGTTGTTGTTGATATCGTTGATGTACAGTACAGTACAGTACAGTACCCTTAAATAGCTACCTACCTGCGGTACTCCGTAGGTAGGTAGGTGTAGCTGTTGTCAGTGGGTACGAGTAACTCCTACCTAAAATCATGCGATACAGTACAGTACTCCCTGCAAACAAAGTACCTTTCTCAGAACTGGTGTCTGTCGTTCCTTGAGGTACGGAGTACGAATGAGAACTTTTGTTTGGCCTCACAACTCAGCTCGTATTACTATGTCAAGACCCAAGTACTCCATACCACTCCCCGTACTTTCCACGGTATTCCCTCCCTCCTTTCCCCCTTTCTCCCGAGACTTTTTGTGCATGGCATAATCTGTGATATATCATTCATTTCAAAAGTTGCTCCGTCTTGTTTACCCCAAGGTAGTTTGTACCTACTGTTGTTGTCTGCTTGGCCTTCTTCACTAATTCAGGTAACAACAACTACCCCGTGTTAACATCAAAAAAGTAAATACCGCTCAACCGTGATACCCGGTATCCGTACGAGTTTCTGGTCATGAAGTCAACTCTCCTGAATAGGAGATGCACACAGAGTAGTGACCACACAGAGTAGTGAATTTTCTTTACCTTCTGTCACCTTGGGTAGTTTAGCCAGGAAAACCCGTACTACCCGGCCTTACTCCTAGGCAGGACCCCTAGGAAGGTTGAAGGGCTCAAAAGAAACGGCGGCTTAGCTTGCGTACCTAAGGACAAGTACTATTAGGTAGCGCATAAGGTACGAATATCTCTCTCTATCTACTTCCGTCCTCCGTACTCCGTCACTCCCGTAAACCCCCTTGCCGTACCAAAAAGGGAAGCGCAAAAAGACTCGACTTTTCCCGTTTCCCGTTCCTCCGTAGTTCGTCCAAAACTCTTTTCTCAATTCCTATCTCATACGGGTACGAGTACGAGTACGAGTACTCAGTATACTCAAGGATCGTAATCCCAAAAGTACAAATACCTCCATCTCGTCCATCGCGAATACCGTACTGTATTCCGGATATGAAAAATAACAATCCTTCGCACGCCGTCTTAGATAACACGTGTACTGGCTGCTGAGCCAAATATGGCTTGCCCCTTTTTGGCAGTGTGCTTACGACTCCCCATAAACCATACAGGCTCCTCCGACTTCACCGGCACGAGCACAAAAATGCCGTCCACGACACACTTTTGGTTGCCTGAAATCTTTTGCTGCGCCTCTGATCGAGGCCGGACAAGTGCCAATTATCCTGAATATATGGTCTTTGGGTCAAGACCTTCTAGGAAACATTGTTTAGCCCTCTTTCAGGTATCCGAGACCCGAATCGCAAGTCACGATTCAAATGCACTGACGAATACAAAACCGGAGCCCTTATACGGCGTATGACTACTAACACATTGTCTCATTGACCTACTTCAAGCGGTCCGCCGTGTGCACGAATGTGTACCGAGTATGCTTTTCCAAATGCACGCTACCATTTCAAATGCTGTTATAGCCCCTTGCGGCCTCGCCCGATGCACCTGCATATGCGGGCATATCCAAAACTCCAAAACGTTCCCCAGCATCCGCACTCACCATCATTGTCATCATCATGCATTCCCTGTTTGCTTCCTGTCCCGTAGTCACCACCGTAAAAACATTATCCAGAGGTGCCTGCGCCCCTTTGTTAAAAACAAAACAGGTGTAGTCCGACCACTCACCACCTCCTACCCTGATACCGGCAAGGATGAAAACAGTCTGAACGCTAAAAGTGAAGGGTCGATGACGTGTGAGGATAGGCGAGGTGCTCACAATACCCCCCTTCTTCGTATACTCGGTCGAATCATAGTACCATCACCCACAGCCACAGATCGACATGCTTCAGGTTGCGTCGATTCCGCGTCATGCTCGCTTCCAATTATGTCCGCTCGGTTGATGCGAAGTACCAGCTTCGGTAGTAGGCGCCGGATCGAAGCTGCACTTTCTGAAACATGTATTTCCTGGGCATACGACGGTGTAGGTCCATCAGTTTTCCCCCCTCCTTGAAGACACCTTTTGACGAATGGTATTGCCTGTGTGTCGGCCCGCGACAGATCCGGCGAGCGAATGACGAGTGTTGCCATGCCAGATGGCTTCCCAAGATGGTATGACACCATAAACTCCACCGCTAAACTTCCAAGGTGTTTAAGCTGGCCGTGGCCTGGGACTCATGTCATTCACATTGAGATGTTCATGTGTGAACAGAGCTGGTCGGCTTCATCGACGACCCGAAGAAGATTGGTAGCCGCCGCTGGAATATCCAGAGTCATGCCACGGTCGTCCTCCTCCCGACGGTCGGCTCTCTGAAGTGGTGGTGCTTGAGCGTTTCTTTGAATGGTTCGGACATGCAAACCCTACTAGAACCGTTTTCTCAGTCGTGCTGTGGCCTTGCTGCCCGTAGCGCTGGCAAGGGTCGACCGAGTGTTTGTGATAAAGGCAGCGGCACACCGAATACCGTTCGATAATCTGATAGCACATGATGTCTGTTTACGCTCCTAGTACATGTATGTGGAAAAGCTGTACAGGAGAAGAAGACGTATTAAGTAGACCTGGTGTCAGGCTTTGCAAACCCAAATGAACAAGAAACAGAATGCAAGTATGTGCGTGAAATGAATTCCGAACAAACAATGGTGAGTTGATCCAGGCACCCTGGTGTTCACCACATTTATATCGTGGAAGTTGCGACTGTAGCCTTGAAGAAGGAGCCAATCATTCACCAGATGAGGTTAGGCAGGGAGGACCAATATGTATGGGCGTTCGGACAGTCATATACCGCGGGCGTAGTTCGTCCAATTACAACATAGAAGAGACCAATATGCAAGAGAAGGAGCGACAAATATCATCGCAACGGCGAGAGTGTCAACTGATGCTTTGGGTTCCGGCAAGACGAAATGCCCGTCCAGCCACGTTTTGGAGGATGTTCAAGTACCAATGAAATGGCCGAGAAGGCAATGTCGACCGATTAAGAACGCGGCCTTATCCAACACTAAGACCAGGGTCGGAAGAATGTGGTACAGGCCGGCCAGACAAACGGGCATGGTGTTTGCGGACAGAGTTTTGGGTCCAAAATGTGAATTGTCATGGTGCGAGGAATGGACTCGCAATCGAAGTCATGACGGCCAGAGAGCCGAGAGCGGGACCCAACGTCGTCACCTACCATGTCACTTCTGGCAAGGCTGGTCCCTTGCGATGACTGCGAGATCTCGTGGTAGGGTCTGAGGCTGAAAGACGACCTATCACCTTTCCAGCCTAGGGCGGGCGGTGCTGAAAATCGTGACCCATTTCTGGGGACCACATTAGCCTCGCGGCTTTGATCAGGATCAAATACCGCAAGAGTCTCTCCGGACGACCAAGGAACCGGCCGGGTGGAGATGGATGGTACAGAAGGTTAGAGTAGGAAGGGGGCCAGAAGCGATGGACATTCGAGCGGCGTTAATCAAGACGACGAGTGAATCCGCCTCGATTTGGCAATACACGTACGGACCTGTCAGCAAGCCAAGTTCGGTGGGGTGTGTGGTGACAGTAGCGGAGGCGGAGTGGAAAAACGTTCAAAAAGATTCGTATAAAAGCTCATTACTCTGATTGATGATCAATGGAGTTGGAGAAACAGCGAATGGCGGGAGTACAAGTAGGTGCGGATGAGGAAAAAGAGACGGCGTGATGATGGCGGACAGAGACGAAAAAGACCAGATCGCGTGCCCAAAACAGACCCGATAAACGCATGATCATGTGATATCATGTGATCTCAATTTGGGACACGGTGATTGGTCATGGTAAAGCAGCGCGCACGTCGTGGACCTTACGGCAACGTCATCTCACCCGCGTTGACCATTGGGCTGAGTATACACTATTTTCCAGCCCCGGCTGATGCACGCCGTTGGTCGGTTCGTAATGTGTAGTTTCGCGGAGCTGGAAACCCAAAAGTTATAGACGTGATTTTCTTTGTCCATCGCGAGGTGTACGAGTAAGTTTTTTATATCCTCATGGTTCCACCACCTCATTGGTGTCCGTCCAAGGGCATTTACCCATTATCGAATGGTGCAAGGCTGATTCCAGTGCTGCCTAGATACCTTCTCTGATCCTATCCACGTCGTTGCTGACTACCGCCCGATCTCTGGAATTCGGTGGCTAAAGTGCCTGACTAGCCCGAGTATCATCCTCTGCAAAAAGTATTGCGAAGTAACCACGATGCTGTAAGCTGCGAGACGAGAAATCTGACGCCCATGTGTTTACCGTATGAGGTATAGAATTGGTCGATCGACCCTAACACTCGGAACGTATCCTCCTGGCGTGGAAACTTCTTTCCTCAGACCACAACTTGACCTCATCAGAAAAAGCAGAAGCACTTCTTAGCCAGTGCGGAAAAGCCAATCGGCTTCGGGATTGGGCACCGCGAAATTGGGATTCATTGACACATTCATCGCCCCAAGGTCTGGGGTCGCCGTAGGACCTAGCCCCTGTCCATTCCCTTGTTCTAGGCCTTCCTGGCCCATCGGCAAGCGTGGAAAGTTGAATAGGTCGAATACGTCAAGATACTCGAGTTCGTTTTGAGCCGGCGTATTGGCCCGGGTGGGGTGATAGGACTTGACCGCAGCAGCATGTGGTTGACGAGAGATCAGGAAGTCAAGGTCATAGGCACATCTGTTTCATCGTGTTAGCATGACTTTCCCTCTTCCAATGATTGCAAAGAATGTGCTTACCGGCGCATGTCGGCAAGTATCTTCACACTAGACGGGGTCATCATCTCCCCTGTCATGCCGCTCGCCCGCTGCGACTGTCGGTACTCTCCCAAAACTCTGCTCAGAATCTCGCTATACCTCTTCGCGACCGTCCAATATTCACCCATCTCGGCAAGAGTCGTGACGAAAAAGTCAATGTCAGGGTCCACTTCGTGATCCATCGTGGATCCATGAACAAGCATAACACGAGAACCCACCCATATAGCGAAACCGAAGGGGGGGCCAAGTTTGTCAAGTAGACCACTGAGCTTGACAAACCTGCAGAGCTGTCTCAAGTTCTCTACTGCTGATAGGCAACGTTGCATAGCACTGTAGGAAGAGGAGAAAATCGGCGACGTCTGGCTAGGGTATGCCGCGGAGGAATTTAACCGAATGACCGTCAAACAGTAGGCTGCTTGGAGCATGATCCAGCCACAATTGGTATTTTTAGCAGGCACGTTCGATTTGAGCAGCCGAGTGATGTTAGCGAACTCGTCAGGCAGACTGAAATGCCAGGCATTGAGGTCGCTGTCTAGGCCACGATACGAGCCTTGCCATTGTTCTACGTCGGAAAGAGATCCAATGTCAACGGGCCGCTTCAGAAACTGGTGGATCTGTCCCAGAATAGCCATCAGCTCGCAATGGTATGAAAAATGACCATGGGTATCAGCCATCCCAGTGGTGTAACGAGGCCGTTCTGGAGGGCGAAACCATCGAGTCTCGACAGGTTTGTTCGCCGCAAAGAGGTCATCTCGACAGGGCAAGCGCCGGTCGACCTCTTTCTCGTCGAGTGCGAACTCGAATGCTGTCGCTATGGTGGCATATCGATCAAGAAGGTAGACGGCCCAGAAGAGTCGACGTCTTTCTTCGTCTTCGATCCAGCTTCTGGCGTCTGGCAGTACTGATGCCCTCAAGGTCGCGATCGATGGATACATCGGCGAAGCAAGATTTGAACTTGATTCTACGGCAAGGCCCAGCTGCACCATGCTTCTGCTAATCAGTGCCAGCAAATTCCACGCTGGTGGTCCATTTGTACTTCCGGTCACATCCAGCGCCAGAATGACTAGTGCCTGAAGTCCCCTGACATTGGAATTCTCAAGACCGAATAATTGAACACGCTGTTTTGATGTGTCATGGTAGTGTTGGCGGCTCTCGGGTGTCAGTCGAGGATCCTGTGAAAACCTGAGGGTCGTTGCCACAATGGCATGCAAAAGGACTCGATCAGATTCGTCTAACGTTGATGGCCCGAAGAGAGTGTCGAGGGTTGTTTTCCTGTCCAACAAGGGCAGCCAGTTGTTGACATGTTTGAAATAGAGATCAACGAGGGAGTACAAGAGATCATAAGGAGGCAGCATAGTAGCATGCTCATTGAAAATCTGTGTTCCATGATATGCGCTCGTGGAATGGGGTGAAGTGATTGGATGAGAATGCACAGATGGAGTATAATGATTCTGTGGCGGAGGAATGGCTTGGTCAGAGAGTGCTTGTTGGCCGGGTTGAAACTGCAATGATCCGTGGCGAGAAGTTGCTGAATTCAACTTGGGATCAACTACCGGCTGAGAATAATCGGCATCACTAGCGAAAGTGGCCGTTTGGGGATCGAAAGAGTTTCGGTGTTGAGTCTCGGGCGTAATACCTTGACCTTGAGATGTTCTTGAGATGTTCGTGTTGACTGTACCTGTGGTGGTGATGGTGCATGCTTCTGCTAGATGAGCGGCTAGTTGACGACCTTGCTCATAGAGAAGAGACTCCAGTCGATCAAGCCGTCCTTCGAGTTCACGACCATAGCCAGCTCTCAGGCCCGGCTTTTTGCGTTCTCTGTATTCACATGGGTGATCGTTACGAGTACACCAGCCACAGGCAGGCTGGATACGATCTATTGAGGACGAGTATCAGTACATTAGGTGTGTTAATCCAGATGCAGAGGGGCAAACACCAACCACATTTGACTTTCCTTTGCTTACAGGCCTCGCAACTATTTTCCGCAAGCGGACTGGGCATTAGCAACTATTCTAGAGGTCGGAAAAACAAGGACGAAGAGCGCAGGGTGAGCCACGGTGAGCAAGAGAAGGATAAAGGCAGCACACGTACGTGACGTTCATCGGCCTCTTCCGTTTCCTGGGGCTGTCTCGATCATCTTCCCCGGATTCGGATTCAGATGCGGAGGGGGAAGTAGCGCGTGGATGACTCGCCATGATGCTAGTCAGACCCATATCATTGTTGTACTCGCATGTTGTGAAGAGTTCTACAATGCACAGGCAAAGATACGAACAAGATGATCTGGGAAGATCATTGCACCGAGTGGGAGGAAGTTGAGCCGAGCTTTTCCTCTAGGGAATTACCGAGGTAAACCCGCCAAGAGAGCAGTCGTATCAAAATTACAGGTATTGTAAGAGGGCCCGGAGAAATCAGCAATACGCTCTTATAGGGGCACGTCTGTCCGGTAGGTCCAAGCACATCCCACGCCTATCTCCCTGCGAGGATAATCCACCACAAGGGTGAGTCTTCGTAATTACACAGATACCAATGCCGAAATACCTCAACACACTTGCTCCCACTCCTCCTGTGGGTATCTCCTCCCAGCATTCATCCCACACCCTGCTGTTCGCGAACTCATTAAACCCCTACACAGCACCGAAGTCTCTCGACCGATGTCGCTCTGGTATTCGCTGGCACTTCTTGGTATCTTTGTCTTGTGTAGCCTTCTTGGTGTCGCCACGGGCCCAACCCAAAACTTCTCCACTGCCGGCGACAACTGTCCCGATGAGCGAAGCCCAACTTTCTTTTTATTCAGATCCCCGCCAGATACCTAGTTATGCGTGTCTATGTTCTCTATCCTGCACACTCGTGTCTCTCTGATATTAGGCTGATTCTGCTACTCTCGTGTTGTGTTCACGTCACAATATAGTGCTCTCTGCCGAAACGACCACCTCTTGAGAAACTCCAACAGCAGACGAGAAAAGACCATATGAAGGCCATGGCCGGGGTCAAAGCATTCCCCACCATCAAGACCATACGAACCTTTGTCATCGAAGGCGTTGGCTCGGGTGGTGATTACCACAATGTGAAGGGCGGTCACTGGCTCATCGACAACAAGATTTCGACTCCCATGTCCAAATGGGAGCGATATCGAAAGTCCCGCACCTCTTTTGGTATCAACGTCTTGGGCTCCTTTTGCGTCGAGATCGAGGCTACAGACGGTACCACTGGGTTTGCCACTGGATTTGGAGGACCACCAGCGTGTTGGCTAGTGCAGCAGCATTTTGAGAGGTTTCTCGTCGGTCGGGATCCTCGAGATGTCAACGATCTGTTCGAGCTCATGTACAAAGGGTCCATGTTTTACGGACGCAAGGGTTTGCCTGTTGCAGTCATTTCAGTCCTGGATCTGGCTTTGTGGGACCTCTTGGGCAAGATCAGAAACGAACCGGTGTACAAAATGATCGGGGGCAGTACCCGAGACAAGCTACACTTTTACTGCACAGGCCCTGAACCTGCAGCAGCACAAAAGATGGGCTTCGGCGGTGCTAAAGTTCCCTTGCCATACAGTCCCGAGGAGCCTGAAAGTCTGAAAAAGAACATTGCATTCCTGAAAAAGCACCGTGAGGATATCGGACCAGACTTTCCCTTGAGGGTTGACTGCTGGATGTCTCTCAACGTCCAATATACTATTGAGCTCGTGTCAGAGGCCAAGCGACAAGATATTCGAATAGATTGGTGGGAAGAGGTCCTGTCTCCTGACGACTTTGACGGATTCCAACTCTTGAAGAGAGCACATCCAGACACGAAATTCACTACAGGGGTATGCCATGCAAAATTGATCTGGACATGCTGAAACTAACACAGCGCTAGGAGCACGAATATTCTCGATATGGGTTCCGCAAGCTTCTCGAGGGCAGAAACGTCGACATCATCCAACCAGATGTCATGTGGTTGGGAGGCCTCACTGAGCTTCTCAAGGTTTCTGCCATGGCTGCGGCCTATGATGTTCCCGTCGTTCCTCATGCCTCTGGACCATACTCATATCACTTCGTTGTCAGTCAGCACAATTCGCCGTTCCAGGAATACCTCGCCAACAGCCCTGATGGGAAAAGTGTGCTTCCGGTATTTGGAGATCTCTTCCTGAACGAGCCGATACCGACACAAGGATATCTCGATGTCAGCGTTCTGGACAAGCCTGGCTTTGGCTTGGAGCTGAACCCAAAGGCCCGATTAGTCGATGCGACTGGACTACTTGGCATGAGGCCTCAGCGTTCTCTACCTCTGCCTTTAGAGAAGACCGAGGGCAAGGAGAATGTGGAAAAGGTTGTGAATGGTGATTACAACCCTTAAATGGTACATATCCTTGGTGGTGCGGTATGATGGCTCTTGTACAAGTGCATATATATCACGGGGAATTGATGCAGTCTTTGTTTGAATATATGTCCCCATTACTCTGTCGTTCGTATGTCTATTTATGCGTACATTCTCGGCCCGGTGATGGTTGGTAAATGTGCCCGACTCCGGTCCCATCTGAGTAAATATCTTTCACCATCTGCCGGCCTTTCTCCGCATCCTCCTTCCCGATTTTGTCTCGCGTTTTGCCCCACGTTGACCCCAGACGATAGAATCGACACTCGCACGATCACCGCGGAATTTGAAACAAGATGATGACCTTATAATGGGGTCGATTTGTAAAAGAATGATCAGTACATCTCGTGTCAGAACTCAACAAAAGAGTTGGTAGGTCTACGTGTTTAACGCCGTCTCTTCTGTCAGCTGAGTTGCTGCCTTGTCATTGCCAACATCCCCTGTTAGGAGATACTCTATTCAACAGCCATTGTCAATACGTGTGTGATATTCGCAAAGAAGCAATGGGTGAAGTCGGCGAGATTGCCATCGCACCGTACGCACCACGGAGTATTCTCGAGACACTTCCTTGCCAGCTTCCAAAATCCCAATTTGAGGCCACCGGCGGCGACTTGGAGGCCGAGGTCAGCTCATCGATCCGTTGCTTAAGTAACCTTCAAAGCACCGACCTCTTGTCCGACTCGATCTGGAGAGATTTATTCGCCCTCACAGGCACAACTCGTACATTCTACTCTCCTGAATCAATAATCTCCGCCTGGACAACGACCTGTTCACAGCGACGAGTCAGCGAGTTCTCGATCATCAAGGGATCAACGATACCCATTCGGCTAGGTGGGGATACAGGATGGGTGAATGTGGCATTTACCTTCAGCTGCCAATCTATTCCCGTCACACAATGTCGTGGGATACTGTCACTGGTCTTGGACAATGACGGGCAATGGAAGATTTGGCTCATTAGAACCATCCTGGAGCAACTCGAAGGATGCAACGATGTCGACCAGCTCGAGCCTGTCCGCCAACCCTCTTCCACACACGAAACGCAGAACCGAACAGAACCAAACGCTGCCTCGAACCATCACTTTGACTGTGTAGTCGTTGGCTGTGGCCAAGCTGGTCTCTCGGCCGGCGGCCGACTACAAGCCCTGGGCATCTCGTATGTCGTGCTCGACAAACATGAGAAAATCGGAGACAATTGGATGACGAGATACGACTCTGCGAGACTGCATACATCCCGCGAGTACGGTCATCTCCCCTTCGACCGAACCTTTCCGCTGCCCTATCAGGAGTTCCTCACTAAATATGACCTCGCGCGGGGATACAAAGACTGGGTCGAGAAGTTCGGCATCGACAAGCACATCTGGTTTAGTTCAACGCTGCAATCTGGAACTTGGAACGAGGAGAGACGACAATATGCACTCGAGGTACGACAAAAACAACCAGATGGCGTCAATAATAGTATCATGATTACTTGTCGGTACGTGATCATGGCTACGGGAGGCGGCGGCCAAATCCCCATCAAGCCAACGTACCCCGGTCGCGACATCTTTCAGGGGACGGTTCTCCACTCGTCAGAATACAAGTCCGCAGCGGGCTGGCGAGGCAAGACGGGGATCGTGGTGGGCACCGCCAACACGGCCCACGACGTGGCCGAAGACATGGTCGAGGCGGACATGTCGGCCATCACCATGGTGCAGCGCACGCAAACCTACGTGTTGCCGTACGAATACTTCAAGACCATCAGCGACCGGTCGTACAACGCCGACGTGCCGACGGTCGACGCCGACCGGGACCAATACTCGATGCCGCACGTGCTGGGCAGGTTGATGAGTCGGAGGGCCCTGCACGCGGCCGCGTCGAAGGAGCCGGAACGCTTCGACGCCCTCGAACGCGCGGGGTTCCGGGTCGAGAGGTACGGCGACATCATGTGGCATATCTTGGTCAAACTGGGAGGACACTATATGGACGTCGGGTGTTCCGATAAGATTGCAAAAGGATTGGTAAGTAAAGCATTCGCACAGCACTTGTAGCTCCTTCTAGGTCGACCCGCCCCTGCCCTCCTCGTGAACAAGCAGGGTTGGGCCTGTTTCGGGCATTGTATTGGCATATGTCCAATATCGATACTAATCTCAGCCTCTTCCCTCGTGCTCCGAGTTGTGAAACTAACCAAGTAAACGTTTGATAGATCAAGATGAAGTCCGACGCCCTTCCAACTCATTACACCCGAACAGGTCTCGCGTTTAGTGACGGCTCGGAAATCCCAGCCGACGTCATCGTCTTTTGTACAGGATTCATAGGAAACATGCGGACCGACGTCGCTCAGATCTTTGGCGAGAAAGTGGCCTCTCGAGCCGATGATTTCTGGGGATTAGACGAAGAAGGTGAGCTCAATGGAGCATTCAAGCGGCATGGTCGTAAGTTTCTGCATCAATATCTCCCCTGCCCGTATGATGTATCTGATCTGACCTTGCGTCTTTCTAGAACCTGATTTGTTCTATGTCGGAGGCACAGTCGGACACGGTCGATACCTGCCGCGGTTTGTAGCGTTGCAGATCAAAGCCGACATCGACGGAACGCCACTACCGATATACGACGGTGAGAGACGACAGAAGATTTAAGAAAATGATATCAGGTCCAGCACAATAGCCCTTGACAGTCATACATATACTCACAATTCCACATACACATTAACAGTCACATTCACATACAAACTGACTCAAGTTCCAAGTATCTGAAATATTGTTTTCTCCTGCATTACCTACTTTGTATGTATGTTGTATTTCCCATGAATCAGTATCACCTACAGACTGCCGGAAATGTTCCGAATGTGATTCTTGTGGCGCAAACAATGATCAATCACTCCAAGAAACCCCAGAGATTATTCAAACTCTCGGACAAACAAGGATGGGCAAACATTGCATTCTCCAGCTCGTCGTACGTGAGACCACCGATCATGGCGAGTTGGACCATGCTCATGATCTCGCCGCCCGCGAGGCCGAGACACGTAAACCCCAGAATCTCCTTCGAGTCGGCGTCGACCACGGCCTTCATGAATCCCCTCGTCTCGTCCCTCTCTATGGCGTGGGCAACCCACGCCATGGGCATCTTGGCGACCTTGATGGTTTTGTTTGGGTGTTGTTTGCGGGCTTCCCTTTCCGTCAACCCGACCCGTCCGAGCTGCGGGTCCATGAAGATGCAGTACGGGATCAACCTGTTCTCGATCGAGGCCTTCTCCACCGCTTTGGCCCCGTCGGCGGTGATGAGGTTGTCTCGGAGGACGCGGAAATCGTCGTACGACACGTGGGTCTGGGCAGGGCCACCCTTGATGTCTCCCAGCGCGTAGATGCCCGGTGCCGAAGTCTCGAGGTGCTCGTTGACTCGCACGTAGCCGTGTCCGTCGACCTGAACGCCCGCGGCTTCGAGGTCGAGGGCTGGTGTGTTGGGGTTGCGGCCCGTCGCGGCGAGCACGTGCGAGCACAACAAGGACTTGACGCTGCCGTCTTGCTGGGTTATGGACACGACAATCTGGCCCAGCGTGACGTTGGACACTTCTCTCGTCTCGGCTCCGAGGTAGACGTCGATCCCGTCCTCGACGAGAATCTTGCGCACCTCTTCAGACACGTCGTCGTCCTCTCGTGGCAATAGCTGGTTGTTGCGTTGGATCAGGCTGACTCTCGCTCCGAATCGTTTCATCATCTGGGCGAACTCGAGACCGACCGCGCCGCCACCGATGACGACGAGGTGACGAGGGACCTCGCCTAGTTCCATGATGGTCGTCGAGTTGAGCAGGTTGCCCGTGATGGTCTCGGCGTTCCTGGCCTTCAAGGGTGCCGGTGAGCACCCGGCATTGATAAAGATGTGATCGGCCTCTAGTGTTTCTTTCATCCCGGAGTCGTTGACCGACACTTCAATGGTCTTGGGGCCAGTGAACTTCGCCTGACCCATGATGAGGTCCAGGTTCGCCGTGTTCTTGAGACGATTCTCGCTCCCGCCGCGAAAACTGTCCACGATGTCCCGTTTCCGCTTCCTCACCGTCTCCATGTTCACGGTCAGGCTGGATTTCTTGAACTGCACGCCGTAGCTTGGGGCCCGGTAGGCCGCGTGCGCGACGAGGGCGCTGGCCACCATGGTCTTGGTCGGCGTGCATCCTTCGTTGATACACGTCCCGCCGACGTGCGTGGACTCGATGAGCGCGGTGCGTCGACCGGCTTTGGCCAGCGCTTGGGACAGGGGCGTGCCGCCTTGGCCGGAGCCGATTATGATGGCGTCGTAATGTGTCGACATACTGCGAGAATGTCGTTGTTGTTGTAGTCCAGGCAAGATGGTGCCGGACGACAAGGAGGTCACTTTCAAGTGTCGTCCTGCTCTGACCAAGTGTGTCACGAAACCACCCTGGTGCTTGATGGTGGCAGTGGTGGTGGTGATCACGGCTGGGAGCATCAAGGCCTTGAAGAGTCACGCTATACGAGGTGATACTCAGTGGCAACGCTGTTGAATAATCTTAGACTGCTTACCTGGACCTACTCCGTATGCAGGGCGAGGCTCTTGATGTTGTAGAAGATTCCCAACGTCGAGCTTCGACTATAAGTACAGGGCCCTTCTGGTAATGCATGAGGCTGAGTCAGCTGGCAGTCTTTGTAACGCTGCCCGAATGTGGAAAGTGAGGGGCATCAATGTCAGCAACGCGGCGAGGCTGAACGAGACTGAAGTCACAGAGTATAGCGGTGGTTTCAACCCGATTTGAGGTCAACAAACTTGTAAATTCCCTTAATCATGATATCATTCCAATGAGTGATTATCTGTAGTATCGCCAACTTACTACACCGTTAATGTTTCCCCCTTGATTGCCTTCCTAATCGCGCTGATATTCCAAATCCTTCCATCATAGATAGTACAATCTGTCCGAAACCTCAATACAACAAATGGCGGCGATTCGATACGTGCACACTCAAGCGGTATTATCTTCCACATGATCTCCGTTCATGCCGTTGCTCATTGCCATATCGCTGTCAATGATTTCTGCCTGTATTCCCGGAGCGCCAGTCTCAGCGGCAAGTTCTTTCGATTGGTCTCTCAACAAGCCTTCGTGGTGAACTTTGAGTGCTGTGGTGGTGGTTGTTAGAATATGATCAAGGAACGACATGAGCAGAGAATGAAACTTACTAGTTGGGAACGGGTACCATGAACTCCAGTCTTCCAGCATGAATGCCGCTACACTGCCGGGGTTCGGCTTCGGGTCGCTACTGGTCGGATTGGGCGCCGGTATGGTCTTCTTCAGGTGTCCTTGAAGGCCTGGTGCTCGTCTGAGATTCTTCAATTTGGCAAAGACTTTGAGTTGTGCCGCCATGGCTACTTCTGCAATGGGACGCCCCAGACACGAGTGCGGGCCCCAGCCATGGTGGATGTACAACGATCGATCGCGAGTCGGGTCAATCTTGTGTGGGTTGGGGAACACAGTCTCATCAAGCCCGGCAGTGATGAAGTCAGTGTATATCTGGTCGCCGGCCTTGATTTGAACCTTGTTCCCATTGTCATCGACGACCGCATCAACTGCAGCCACCCGTAGCAGACCAAAAGCCGCGGGTGCAAGACGGTTGGCTTCAAGTGCGTAGCCCTTCAGCTTTTCAAAGTCCTCGGGGTTGTCCGACCATGCACACCTTTGAATCTCCGGCCAGTGTTCAGTGTAGTATTCATCCTGTAGATAGATATCAAGCATCTGCGTGAAATGTTGTGCTTGGGTCGCACAAGCGGCGGCGGCGGTGGGGATGATGGTCCACACAACTTCATCGACGCTCTTGCCACCTTCGAAAAGACGCTTCAAGAATCTGCCGCCGTAGTCTTCAAGGAGCTGTCCCGCTGTGCTCATCGGGAAGTACGCGCCAAGGTGGAAGAGCCCACCGACCTTGGCAACCTCGGAGACGAGTTTCACTAATTTTGCCAACTGATCAGTTGCATCTTTGGCAGATTCCCTCAGTTTGAATGAGCTGGCGGTGTCTCCGTCGAGGAAGACGTAGGCGAAAAGCACTGATAGCGCAAGGTACAGTTGATCCACCTCGACCCCTGCAGGATTGAGGTCTCCAGCCTGCTTTAAGGGCAGGTTAAACATGCGGGCGACGAAAATAGCGTGCGAGGGATTGGCCACATCGCTACAGGCGTCCAGCTGGTACCACTCGCCGCGTAGGCGTTCAGACCGTGCCACAACCAATTGGGTGGTTAGATCTTCATAGTAGGTTTGGACTTGCTTCAAGCCGTTGACTGGACTATACATTTCTTTCTGGACCTCGTCTCGCTGGGTGGTGTTCGCTGGTTTGTCACCACTGAGCATGTAGTCATGGTGTGTGAGATAGTATGTGTGGGGTCCCCATGGTACCTTGAACGAAGATTGATCTCCTAGTACATCGGTGACTGCTTTCCATGACCTGATTGATATGGGTGGTGGGATATAGGACGGTCGTTCATAGTTGTAAGTTTGCTCTTGACCAAGTTTGGCGAAGATCTTCCGATTCTCATCTGGGACAGTGAACGGGTACATTGCATAGATAGAGTTCCCGCGATAATAGAATGGCAGAGCACGCATCAACAATTTGTAGATGCAGCCACCTTGGGCTACAGTGGGGTCAGAGTTGACGGTGGACCATCCCCAGTTTGTCAAATTCGCAGGTGTATAGTCCTAAGAGTTAATACATTAGTATTTTCCTCTCAGCGAAGATGATAAGCAACTCAAGGGCTGTGCCTCAGTATCACGACTACTCGAGAAAGACAAAACTCACCACAGTGTAGAACCTGTCGCCTCGGGTAAGAGCAACAGCATCAGCAAGGATGGTCCTCGAGATGGTGTAGCCCGGACATAGGCCGGAGCCTGGTTCCAAGGGTTCCTTCGCATCTTCGGCAACCAGGCCTGGATACAATTCAACATAGTCGGGATGACCATAGAGTGCTTTCAACGAGCGAGCAACCTCGTCGTCTCTAGTTATGCTGCGAAAATCCTTGTGAGGCTCCAGCTTGAAAAACTTTCTGAATTCATTCAGAGTTGCGACATTCCATGCTCTGGCTTGCTTCATGCCCAAGGTCTCAATCAATTTCATGACCACTGGCACGTTCCGTGGGCCAAAGGCACAGGCGACATCTTCGGTAGCATCGCTCAGGATGTTGATCAGATCCTCATCTCGGAAAGTCCCACGTTCAGTTCTCTGATATTTGCCCATGTCAAGTTGCCACTTCGAAGGATCTGGGTCGACCTTCCCGAGCCACCTGTACAGACCCATGACGAGCTCTTGCTCAGTCAGCTTTGCGACATCTTTTCCGGGAAACAGTGACTGGTACAGCTCGTTAGTCCACTTTTCGTCCTTGATACTGATAGCCGAGTGCCATCTGTAGACCAGATTGAACTCAACGCTGACTTGATTGCCCACACCTGAGGGTGCCCCAGACTCGTCGAATACATTACCGAAATTCTTTCGTGGATCGAGAGTCCATGTAGAGTCGGTGCGGTTGAGGTTGAGAATTGTTCGTACATAGTCGGTGAGAATGATATTGACGTACAAGCCGCATGTGACCAGTCGAGCCGTTTGGAAGAGGTCATTGTCCAGCTTAGCGATGGCTTTGGTATCATTGTCATCGGTTGGAATCTTAAACCGACCGCCTTCGTTGATCACCTTCAACTGCATTGCCACGTAGTTGTGGAAGCGATTGAAGCACACTACTAGAGCAGAGACTCCCGGGGGAAAGCCCAGGATTCGATTTTCTGAAAACGTATCAGGCTTCAAGAGACCATCTTTGAAGGTTCTGATCTTCTTCAACTCTTCTTCGTTACTGCCGTAGAGAGGTGCCAAATCGAGATATGATGATGTCTTCACAACAGCCGGATTTCGCTCGTCCGTATGAAAGCAGTCGTGAATGATGATCGTGGCAAGGTAAAAGAGCATGCTGGATACTCGGTTTGGATGCTCTCGTGGCTCGTCACCACGTGCAAAAACAGCGTCAAAGATGACTCCTGGATCAGGAAGTACCCCAGGCTTAAGAGTCTGGGGAGTCACTGTACGTGCGTAGAAAGAACCAGCCTTACCAAGGTTGGGATACATGATGTTGTTGTTCGAGCCATCTGCGGTCCGATACTTGTACTCGTCACCCTGATAAGACAAGGGAGGATGTTCGAGATTCTCCCAAAGTAGCTTGATGAACTGGCTTGACAGGTCGGCTAACGCCTGCGAGTTGGCAGGGAGTGAAGCCGCCAGCTGAAGAACCTTCTCCATCTGGACCAACGACATCAGTGACGGCAGAAATAGTACTATTCGAGGAGCTCATACCTGATAGTTGCGGTCATCCACAATTCCGCCGTCGAACAGTGTCGTATCAACCAACGAATTAATCAGCCCAATGTTTTGTCCCAAGCGAGGTGCCTGGGATGCAATATCGGCGAGGATCCTGGCCAAAAATGGCCGTGACTGGATAGTGGCGCCATTGATGACAGGATTGGTCGGGTTAGAGCCAGATCCAGCGATGGTCTCGAAGAAAGCCTTGACGGTGCTGGTGACCTTCGCACGAGTCCCGTCCTCTACATCGTTCATAAATAAGTCGTTGGACGTCTCCATGGTGTTGATCGAAGTCGCGGAGAGCTTTCGTTTTCGAGACATTGTATTGGGAGGATTCGCGAGGGCTATATACGGGGCCGATGCAACGCGAGGATGCGAGAATGATCAGGATCTCAGAGGTGGCCCCAAGGGTAGCGAAACAAAACAAGGAGGCCAGCTCGTAAAGCTGTGGAAGAGGAGGCTTACGGATACAGGCAGACAATCAAATCAGCGAGGGTAAGAATGGAAACCGATCAAAGCTTTGCGATCTCATGCTCGCGACATGGCTTAGGGCTGAGCAACTCGGCAAAAGGCCCAGAGACTTGAGGCTGACAGCCCATGTACGAATACCACGAGGACAAGGGCTTGATTGGGGGCCATTAGAATGTGGTTGATAAAATGACCGACATGATTGGCGCGAGTGTCGCCCAAGTGGTCGTCGTCAGATTCCAACCCGCCCACGTCCTTAGTTTCTGTGCTAGGCTGGACAGGGGGATCAGGGTGATTTGTAGCAGTGGAGAAAAAATGTTGAAGTGGGCGGAGGAGGTCCTGCTTAAGGTACTCCGTAACAGTCAGCACCAAAACAGTATCGTTCTACCACAGGGGTTGTAGACCTTCGACTTGGAAAGACATTATCAGACAAGAGATATACATTCAAAGACTCACGATGTGAACGAGGTGGTCTATTCAAGCATGATGGCCGTGGCCGTCGAGGTGGCCGCCCGTTAGGCTAGCGAGACCGGGCCAGATCAGGCCCGGTGGATGATGCCATAATAGGGGCTGCCTTGCCCTAAGGGCCCCTCAGCCAGCCTCTCTTTTGGAGTGGCTATGGCGAGAAAAGGCGACATGAAAAGTCATGGTACTTTTGTTCCCGGTGAACGATCTGCTGTCACAGAATCTTCTCAATCTTTTCTTGCCCCGAGGCCGAGATGTCAAGGACACGTTCCACCGACACCTGAGCACTGTATGACCAAGAGCTCGGCGGCGCTTGTGAACGGCCAGTGGACAATGAGTCTCTACTGCTCCGCTTCGATTGCTTGTGAAACAGCTCCCCCAAAACATGGGTTCTCAGGCAGCCACTCCGTCCTCCCGGCTGAAAGATTACGGATATACCAAACAATGGGACTAGTTACGTATCCGTATTGTTTGGTGACCCAGCCCTGTAGCCTAATGTAGGAACGATTGGCTGAGTGAGTCACAGTCTGAGCATCGAGGGTAGTTTGAGACCAGCATCTATTCACAGACGTGCATCGGAAAAGGTTTCCTCGTAGTGGAAGAGACGACATGGAGGAGAGTCGCCTGCAATTAATTAGAGCATGGGTGCCCTTCAGCTCCGTACTAACTACTGCCGGTGGATGCAAGTGAGTCGAGGGACTGTGGAACGAGCTTCCGCTATCACGAAAATGTCAAGCACTTCAAGAACACCAAATGTAGCGAGCGCCATCTGAGAGTGCTTGACTAGCCTTGGTCTAAAGAGCAACCAGATTACGAGAACTCCGTCCGCTGTGTCGAGCAGTGTCTCTTCAGATGAAGAAGTACCTCGCAAAACTCGTACTCGTACCTGTACACGGCAAGGCTGCAGATAATTCTCAGCCTTGTCACGTGAAATATAGCCAAGATTTCTTCTTGGCACTACCCGCACGCAGGATTTTTGGCTCGACTGACTAACTTCGCGATTGATCGCACTTCAATCTTTGCACCTTGAAAGGAATTAAATTGTTGTAATCACAGTCCGTCAATATGTCTAAACGAGGGTACGTCCATAGTCGCAGCGATGACAACACGTTGGCGGTTATTCCAAGACCGTGAAAACCTATACTGACCATGCCTGCTATAGTCGCGGTGGTGCCTCTGGCAACAAGCTCAAGATGACTCTCGGTCTCCCAGTGTACGTTCATTCGATGATGCTCCTTTCCTAGACCACAACCCTCCATATACGATGCCTCTTGTCGGCGGGAATGAACAAGCATGAACTTTGACGCCTGCGAACGCTTTCTCGACGGCTTTTGGCGAAACTGAGGATAATGGAATGGAAAATTTAGAAGAGAAAGAGACTAATATGGAGATCAGGGGAGCCGTCATGTCATGCGCTGACAACTCCGGTGCCCGAAACCTCTACATCATCTCCGTCAAAGGAATTGGTGCACGATTGAACAGACTGCCTGCCGCAGGTGTGGGTGATATGGTCATGGCTACCGTCAAGAAGGGAAAGCCTGAACTCAGAAAGAAAGGTATGCTCTCCCAGTTAAAGTCGTTAAAAATATGAAGGCTTACGTCCACGTAGTCATGCCAGCAGTGGTTGTGCGACAATCGAAGCCATGGAGACGAGCGGACGGTATCTACCTCTACTTCGAAGATAACGCCGGTGTCATCGTCAACCCCAAGGGCGAAATGAAGGGCAGCGCTATCACTGGTCCCGTCGGAAAGGAGGCAGCTGAGCTGTGGCCCAGAATAGCCAGCAACAGTGGTGTCGTGATGTGAGCAGGTGCAAAATGCGGAGTTTGGGGCACTTTGAAAAAGAAAAAAAAGCTGTATCGGTGGACAGATGCAGAATGCACATGCTTCCTCGGTCAGAGCCGGAACTACGAAGCACGCATAGAAGAACGATACCATGAACAGATCGATCAATTTTCGCCATTGGAATTGGACTCGAGCCTTAGCATTTCGGTTTCCACAGCCGAGTGCGGGCAACAGAAGTGTCCTACTGCTGAATGCGATTTCACTATCGATCTATTTAGCGTTGCTCTTGAGACACCGAACATGCTACATTCGTGGTCTTTTGGCATCGCTGCCTATCTCGTATACGATTACCCAGTTTCGAACCCAACAAAGTATGAGATGGCTCCTTCCAGCTTGACCACATTCGTCCATGTCTTCGTAATGTGCTCGTAATGTGCTTTCTTTATGCACGTGGCATTCGTGTCCTCTGACTTCTGCATCCAAGATACGATAAGCTGCCGTGAAGCGGACATTCCCTCGTGTAGAGACACCACTCGCCTGCTTGACACCTGCTCGCTTTTGGCCGGGGTAGTAGCGATAGCCTGCTATCGAATGCGACCCTTGTTAGTAACCGACAATGCCTGGGGGACTCGAGGTGGACTAGTTTGCACCGGTGCCACGAGTCGGCCTGAAAAGAACAGGAGAACGCCAGACCCTGTGTCACATTTTGCTGTTGCACTACTTAGTGGACCACAAGCCATGACAAGTTCTAGCGATGACCGAGGATACCTGGGTCAGTGTTGGCACCATGGACTGCATCCGATTTACAGCGAGCATCAAAGTCCGGAAAATGCTGCTGCGCAAAGCCGTGACACTCAACTTACCATGTCCGCGACAGTATCGATTCAAAGTCAGGTAAGATTTCCAGCTCTTCCTAGAGGACGAAAGCTTCCCCACTACGGATAACAGACATGCAGAATGGGCGTTGCTTCTTCCCGGAAAAGAAATAACAATCAGTCGAGATGTCAGTCACACAGTGGGTTGGACGCGCCATGGCCTCTTTGGCTCCTATGCCGTTCAAAGGGTTCCCTTTTCTATCTAGGTATCTCACGTCAAGACCTGGCATACAGGAGCGAACTCGGTACGTACAACATCGACCTTACGATCGTCGGTCGGCAGATCTCAAGATTTAAGCGAGGGAGACACACAAGGCGTGAAGCTTAGGATCCACTGCAGACGACTGGAAGCGAGATTTCAAGATGTCCGGCTTTGAATGACAGCAGTCGAGCAGTGATTTGGCTATCCTCGCCTTGCTCTTGGTTCAACCCTGGGTACATGGAATCGCTGTAGGTGTCCGAGTTTCAGCCTGTATGACGACTTGTTGACATTCATCAATCCACTGACAGGTAGATACTGTCCAGTCTCCATATCTTGGATAGTGATAGGTCAACTTCTTCATGCAGGTTCACGTAGTGATGGACTACTTCATTCAACAGCTGCCGCATCTCAGCATGTCCTGGAACGTGTTGTCATGTTGTGGCTGCAGCGAACTCAAGCCACCCACGAGCAATGCAGTGAACGACTCGTGACAAGCTGCATTCGTTCTGACCAGACAGCTGGAAAGGAACTTGGTCCCCAGTGATTTTTTTCGGTTGACGATTCTATATTGTAGACATTGACGGAGCCAATGGGCTACCTGTCCGAGCTCTCAATCACTGTCGTCCGCCGGTCACCGAAGTTCTTTTACGACAGGTTAGACCGTACAGGGACCGCATAGGGATCATACACCCAGGAGAGCCCGTTTCCCAATGCAGCTCGCTAGGCTGAAGTCCGAGGGCCTCGTCAATTTGCATCGCACCCTGAATTGCCGCAGAGACCTTGACCTGGGTAACACTGTATTTGTTATCTGTATCGAGGCAGACAGATGCACTCTACGGGCGCTTGAACTTAACTTTCAGTATTCCGAAATGCACCTGGAATTCCCAAATGCCCACACAGAGCAAGGATTACAGAAGATGCCTAAGCAATATCCCGTGGCCACGCTTCAGTCCCCGCCAACTTCCCTGACGGGATCAAATAGCTCCTGCAGGGCACGGTTCCAGCAACCGAAAAGACGCCAAAAGACGGATATTTAGTAGGCAGATTCGCCAATGAGACCCGGAGGTCATGCGACGGACGTTCTTCCCCCTACAGGAGCCCTTTCAGTTCAGTCGGTGAGTTTCAACTAGTCCCGCGCCCGGTTACGCCTCCTTCTCAGCTGGCCTTGGCGAGACTCATCTCATGATTATCCCTAGACGGTTTTCAATTCTTGCTGTTCCTCGTCAAGGTTCGCATTCTTACTGGACAACCCGTGAGAGATACTGGCCGTCCGGTGCTTGACAGCTGCATGCGGCGCATGCGGCCTATGTAAAGTGGGAGAAGCTAGTTCGCTTGCGGTGTGAGGTATCTTGACCGAGAAATAGTGTCATCATGCCTTCGTCCACTGGTCGCTCACCGTGTTAGGCTGCCATCTTCACACTCATCTCAGTTAGGCAAAGCACAAGCGACCCTGGCCCACCGGACTGGTTATCAAATAATAACCACGAGAGGAGCCGTCCATTTTTGGCACTTCACGAGGCAACAAGACATCCCCAGAGTACAGAACGCGGTCTAACCTGGGGATCAGATCATTCGGTCACTCCATTTGCCATCGCACCAAACTTCCTTCTGCACATCCCTGCGAAGGTTTCCAAAGCTTTGGCTCGCTGCTCTCATTGAGGCCCCCACTGTCAAGGACACTCTTGTCGTCTTCTTGACCAGTTGTTGGCGACACCGTTACCGTCTGGATCAGTCGATCGATCCAATGCTCAGTGGATTAGGCTCCCGGCTACTCGCAAACCCTCCCGTAGTGGTTGACTCACTCATGTTGGAGGAGGGTGAGAGTAGAAAACTCTCGCCTCAAAGTTGTCTTAGTCACATCAGGCCAAAGCCGGAAAACGCCAGCTGCACGGCGACCTGCGGGATGCTGTTGATTCCCTCCACCATGGCTGTTGGCCACAGCCATTAGTAGCCGGTTTAATACCTGGTCTGTGTTGTGCTGGTCACATCTTCTTACTAAAACTAACCCGTGCTAGTACGATCGCTCGGCTTTGAATCCCAGTTCGAGGCCCAAACTGACGCCCTCCGAAGTCGAAAGACCAAAGAGCAGTCGACGGCCAGGGAAGATGCCGCAGCTGGAACAAATCGAGGCTGAGTGGCAGTTCTCCCATTATTGCATGGTATCAGTAACATGCCCCTCAATGCACCCTGCCGCGCTTGAGTCCGGTTTGCTAGCAGGCCATTGCCACGAGGTCAATTCCAGCTAAAGCACTTACATCTAGCCATGCACCTGTCGTTGGCAGCATACGTCCTTTTTCCATCTTCTCCATCCCAGCTATCACTGCTCTGTTCCCAACCATTGCTGAATTTGACCTATTGCACATGTTGTCTGTTGCTGACAGTTGGGCTTGCGGATGACGGAAAGTCGAATGACGCTTCCTGTCATACGATTTGTCTCCTCCCTGGCCCAGTCAGATCCATCCTGGCACACGTCCGTCCTTCTCAAGTAATCTTGTCTCCTCCAGCACCTTGTGGGGCGGATCTCTCCTCCTCAGCCTTATCATAAATACATACGTCTTCCTCTACTGGATGGAACTTACTCTTGGACTAAGATTCACCACTTCTGAGAGGGAATGTTGACATCCAACCTGACCAACGGCGTAAGATCCTATAGCTTTCTCAGCTTGCGCAATTCAACGTGGGCATCTATATCGAGTAGATCTGCCACACTCATTTCTGTCTGCAGATAGTTGGAATTTACTTCGGCTTCATCATTTACATTTGTCAAAGTGGCGCGGAGAATGGCAGGAGCAGGAGGACCACCGCGGAAGAGCCACACAAAATCACGCAAGGGCTGTCGGACATGCAAGCGACGACATATTCGTTGCGATGAGCAGTTCCCACAATGTCGAAACTGTACGAAACACAACTGTCGCTGTGACTACATGGATCTCACCGCTGCAGGAGAAGATCCTCCAAAGGGCTCGAACCCTCCTGATCTTCTCATGGACGCCGAAATCCAGAAACAAATGGACGATTGGCGCATCTCTGGCGAGCCACCCTTGCGGGAACTTCGTATGCAAGATCAAAAGTACTGGACTCGGTTCACGACCTTAGATCTACGTCTGATCCATCATATTGTAATCGAGTCAACAAAAATGCACCTCAGAGGTTACAGTAACTGCACAGTATGGGGCCCCAAGATACACTCGTGAGTTGTGCATGTCATGCAGATGTCGATTCTCCTTCGATACTTACATCAAGGATAGATTGATTTCCACGGCCATGCAGCACGAGTTCGCAATGAGTGCGCTGCTTGCTCTGTCAGCATCAGATCTGGCGTGGCAAACGAAGAACAACGATACATATAACCTGGCATACCAGCACCGTGGAATAGCACTCAAGGGCTTGCACGAGGCCATTGGGGACTTCTCACGGGAAAACTCCGAAGCCATTCTTGCAGCGTCCATTCTATTGTCGTGGCAAGCGACAGAATGGTATGAACCCTGTCGATATCTTCGGAAGAACCATGAGACTAACCACTGCCAGGCGCGCGTGGACCAATCTACAGTCAGGCACAGCAACGGTACGCCGCGTCCTCGACAGGATGTTTGATCTTTGTTGACAAGTCATAGGTAATGAGTGCGATGAGGCCATGGATTCACGAGTCTGAATTTGCAAGATACCTACAAGACCAACATACAATGGCACGAATAGGTGCTCCTTCCACGCCGTCTATGCCACATGGCCAGCTCGCTGCCTCTCCCGATGATCTCCGTCGACTCGACCACATCATGACAGCCCTGAAGAATCTGCAGCTCCGAATGTCCAACGCGCAAGAACTTGTCGAACATGCGACCCGTCTGATCGAGTATCTGCAACAGTTGCAGCAGGACATGCAACCCCGGAACGCTGAGGAAGCCTTTGCCAAGTTGCAGTTACTCAGAGACTGGATCTTTTGGCTGCCTCCACGCATTCTGCGCCGAGGAGAGTCTGACTTGGCGCCGTTGGTTTTGCTGGCGCACGTCTACGCCAGCGCACTTGCAGTCGAGTCGGTCTTCCCTGATCTTGGTGGGGCCTATCTAGGAAGCATGTCCGTCCATCCGCTTGACAATATACGTGGGATGCTCGAGAAGAGACGAAAACAACACCCACAAGATACAGGGATACATATGGCACTTTCTTTAGTCGAGGCTCCCATGCAGGTCTTGGCCTCTTATCGACAACAGCAGCGTCACAACAGTCAGGGTAGTCAGGGCATGGAACCATACCGATATTCGCCTTCAGGAAGCCCTTATGCCGCCCCAAGCATGTCGCTGTCGTCGGCAACTTCGGACGTATCAACGGCATTTACGCAATCGCCTCGCCCTGTCCCTGGAATCATATCGCCTCCAGCATCTTCCTTCTTCCAAGCGGCGCTGGGTCCAGGGGAGACAAGGCGGGATTCATCCGCGCCAGTTTTAGGACGCGCACACTCGATGGGTGAGCGGCCGTTGGGCTCCAGCAGTCCCCACGCCATGAGCATAGTGTACGGGACCTCTCCCCAGTACCCACGAAGCAGCCACGAACTGCCAGGGTCAAGAATGGACTATTTTGGGCAGGCCCAGGTACCGTACGGTCAATACGGCAGCATGAACATGAATACTCGGTTCGTCGCTCCTTCACAACTTTGGACTTGACGAACATCGCGGCTGAGTATTCACCCACAGGACTCCACCACCGACGATGCCTCCCATCTTTCCACGAGCACAGGAGAAAGGAAAAGAAAGGCAAAAGTGATGGAGGGTTGCCCCTGATGACGTGAGAAATGGCAACTTGGATACTAATTTGCTGCTATCAGCGAGGCGCTGGGTAGGGTAATCAACGAATGGGAACCATAGGAACCGTGTTATATTCGATTTGGGCAGAGGTCTTTTCCGAGCTGAAAGGTTAAAAGTATTCTCATGATGTCTTGAGGAAGGGAGTTTTGAATGTGCTATGATGGTTTGTCTGACGTTCTTCTTTGGGCCACCACTGATCTTCACGGTACTTTTCATGTCTCTTTCGATCTTTTGGGGAACAAAATTGTTCATGATGTGATGTTGACTTGTGGAGACTCACGGCAGGGCGGAAATACTGTTTTCGGGTGTCAGCCTTACGTATCACGATCAACAGAGATTCTTTCGTTCGAGATGGCACCTTTGTTCCTCAGAAACATACCCGTGAAAACAATTGCTGTCATCCCGCTCATGCTGGAGCATTGCAAAGCGATCGGGACTTCTGGCTTATGTTAACCCTACGGTGAACTTTCGACCTCGTTTCACTCCCCGAGCAACGGTACGTTCGGGATCTTCGGGAAATCAATGCGAAATGCTCGGGCTGAGCTACCGAGACTCGATAGAATGCCGTTCTTTGGTATCCTTAAACGACTCGGCTTGCATATGATGGTATTTGATCAGGGATCATGTGTCACGGTCATCCTTACTGGAAGGCCTGAGGACACTTGGCCGATGCGGTTTCAACTCTGGCTCGAGCCATTTTCCGGGTCAGATGAGCTTGAGGTAACCCTGATTACGGATGGCACTTCGTTGCTTCCAGCAGATCCCGTTGTCTTTCCCCCTTGGTTGGAAGCTAAGTTCACACGTAAATCCCAGCAACTTGAAACCACGTGGCTTGAGAATTTCGTGTTGCGATGGAGCGCACCAGCGTAAGGCGAATGTTTAGGTCCACATGAACTTGGGAATTTTTTCGAGACAGGTACCAAAAAACAATAGAGTCACATCGATCGCATATGATAGCCTTGTCTGTCACATGGGGCGCTCGTGAGTGAGAATAAGGGTGGTATCCAGCTAGCTGACCCAGTTGGGGGATCCGGAACAGTTTTGTTTGAGATATTGCGGAGGGTGACCACGACAGGGGACATGCTTACTCTGTAAGGTACTTGTCACGAGTACTTCGTAGATTCCAGAGCATAGCCACCTCCAGCCGCACCGGCCGATTGACACTTGATTTGCTTGACGGCGACGTCATCCTGCTGACATACCCAGCAAGAAGAGATGGTGTGCTTGGTGATTCCGTGATTGAAGGACCCAAGGGAGATGGCATGGGATCTGAAAGATGGAAAGGCGGGAGCGGTAGCTAGGACATGGACGATGTTATTCAAAAGGGCCATGAATACATCGTCTGCCGCAACTCCAGATACTGCCCGTCGCCCTTGTATCCTGAATTACTTGAGGAGCGAACATCGCGATTTTCCAAATTCCAGGGTCCAAAATTCGGATAGGTACGGAGTAGGGCGGTCATGGAAGATTCCCATTTGGTAAAGCCGGTGTTAGGTGCGTACCCAAGCCTCATGCAAGGGCTCAGCAGGTACCTCAGGTTAGGTACATGTACCTAAGACTGCGGCTGAGGTCGGCGGGCTCAATACTGGGCCATTGAAAAGTCCGTAGTCACCATGCTCACTAAGCTGCACGCTCTTTGTAGGGCTCACTGGGTTCAAGGATGGTGAATCGTACAGTATTGTGTGGTTCCTGGCTCACTGTTCGATTCGTAGTGGAGAAAATTGTACAGTAAGAAGCTCGGACGGTTTTCCGTACAATACAAGCAAAACTACGTGTACCGTCTCTTGTTGGTACGGAGTACGCCTCGTCATACCCGGGGAAATAATAGGAATATCACAAACACCCAAACAATTCAAGAGGCCAATGGCCAATATCTGTACACATACACCCCATCACCAATTCCAAAACTAGAAACACTACTGAGCACGATACTTGTGTTGATCATCATCCGCCCAAAGTACCAATTCTAGATCAACCCTGACAACAACCAACAACAACCAACACTCAACACCATCACCGCAGTCTCACCGGGCCTTCCAACCCTTCACCTCCCCTCCTCCCTCTCGTCGATCCTCGGAATCTTAGCACCTGCTGTACCTACCCTTCTCAAACGGTAATCAATGGCGGATGACAATTCTAGCGGTGGTTGGAGCACGATCGAGTCGGATGAGGTGAGTTAGAACAAACCCAGCCCTACAAAAAACATGCCCATCTCGGTGCTGACACCCCCACCCCAAAGGGAGTCTTTACCTCTTTGATCGAACAACTGGGGGTGAAGGGAGTCCAGTTCGAGGAGCTGATAACACTGGAGCCGGAAGCAATTCGTGCACTGAGGTAACGTGAAGGTCGTACTATGGAAAATCCCTTGGGCCGTACTCGTTGTTTTGCTGACTTTTTCGTCCTATGGGCAGTCCCGTTTACGGCGTCGTGTTCCTCTTCAAATGGATAGGCTCATCGTCCGAGAGCAAGAACGCACCGCAAGATGGCTCGTACGATCCGGCGGCGGTTGAAGACGAGGGCCTATTCTTCGCGGCCCAAACCATCCAGAATGCCTGCGGAACCCAGGCCATCCTATCGGTGATCCTGAACAACGACACCTCCACAACTCCAAACCCATCATCCTCGGCCGCAGCAGACTCAAGCCCGGAGGCGCAGATTGACATTGGGCCGGCGCTGCAAGAGTTCAAGGACTTCACAACGGGCTTTGACCCCGGCTTACGAGGCGAATCGCTTTCCAACTCGGATCTGATCCGGGAAACACACAACAGTTTTGCGAGATCCAGTCCGTTTGCAGACGAGGTGCAACGGGACCCCAATGCCAGAGCGGAAGACGTCTTTCACTTCATCGCGTACACGTGTTACCATGGCAAACTGTACGAGCTGGATGGACTGCAGCCGTATCCGATTTCGCACGGAGACTGTCCCCGTGATGCCTTTCCAGAGATGATCATCCCGGTGCTCCAGAGGCGCATCTCCAGATATCCACCGGGAGAGGTCCGGTTTAACCTGATGGCCGTCTGTCAGGATCAACGAATCAAGGCGCAAGAGTTCCAGGACTCGGAAGGTTTGGCCCGTGAAAGACGGAAACGAGCACAGTGGGACTGGGAGAATGCCCTACGGCGACACAATTTTGTCGGCTTCACGGGCGAAGTGCTCAAGGGTGTGGTCGAGATGAAAGCCAAAGACGGTTCATATGACACTTGGATCTCGGACGCCATGAAAACCACGCGGAAAAATTTACAAGAGAGACATGCATGATGAGCGATTGATAGCATAAGACATAGATCTGCAATAGCCATACTGCATTGCTCTCTACTTCTGATTGCGTGTATACCAGCCTGGAACACGGGTGTGCAGTAACCACATCCTAAAGGCCGGAGGAATATCGAGCAACACGATGACTGTATGAATACAACTTCCTTCTGATCAAGATTTAATCCACCTTTTTGTCGAATTGCATAGACCGAGGGGTTAACACGGAGTACTCTGTAGCATACTCTGTCAAGTGTACCTATTTGCTTGATCTGGTTTGCGCAGAACGACGGCTTTTGGAAACAACAAACGATATCGGGCGGTGAATTGATGAGAGAGAAACCTCTGTTTCACTGCCTCACTGCATCTGCTGCCTCCCCCTTATAGTGCTCTATTTGTTGTCGCTGCCTCTGGCAATAGAAAAAAACCTATTGGGAGGCGTTTTAACAGCACAATAGGAGCCTAATCCCCTTTTGTCATTAGCGTCTGCGCCACCCTCCCTAATTGGTTCGGGGCGAATAGTTTACTGTTAACTCGTTCGTCCTTCTTTACAAGCATCGAGACCTTCCCCAAAATCCCGTTTTTTGAAGCATTGTACCGCTACCTCTTTTGCTTTGAACAATCCATATTTTTTCCCCTCCGGTTATTGTTCGCTGGTTTTGATTAGCAAACCTTTGATTCATCCGGGTGGCTATTGTGCTTCAAAAAGACAAATCTTCCGCTATTTCCCCCCAGCTGATATCCCTACTCTTCCGCCTATCACTTACTTGTTCTTACAACCATCCGTCCACTACCACTTTTCTTGCTCGACCCATCTACCACTTCATTCAGTATCCGTCACATGGACTAGACGATCTGCTGTCTTGGTATCATCTCAGCATTCATCACATGGACTAGACGGCCTTTTTTGTCGCAACATCATCTGATTAATCATTCCCCAAAATGTCCACCACCGAGATTGATTCTCAGTGGGTGTCGGCTTTTGGAGCATCAACCCCCCGGCCAGTGCTCTATGCTTCCGAAGAGTTGAATGAGGATGGCTTCCAACCTTTGAACGACCCACAGACCTTCATCATGAACATCTCCAACTTCAAACGCAAACAGCTCTATGCTGCGAGTGTCAACAACCAGATTGCCATGAAACTGGCCCAGGATGAATACCTCGACCTGGAGCGTCAGATCAATCGCATCAAAGGCAAAGAGACCATGAAGGACCCCCAGTCGCTTCCTCGAAATGACGTCTTCGAAGAACGCAAAGAAGCTGCCCTTTACGGTTACAAATACGAGGCCAACAAGCCGGCATTGCTTGTGGCCGGAATTCCTGGTCTGCGAGCGGCAGATGACATTTCTGAACGTGAGAAGCATGACGTACGACTTTTCCAAGAACCGTTTGAGCAAGGTGGCTTCGTCCCCAAGGATCGAGAGTACAAAGCCATGGTTGCCAAAGCGGTCAACCCGAAGAACATCGACGGCTGGGCCCCGGTCATGAAGAAGGGCAAAGCGCTCTACCCCAAACAACAGGTCCATCACGATGAGTATTCCATCACATATGTTAAGCGCAATGTGGATGAGAATGGTGAAATCAAACGACCTGTATCACCAGACAGTAACGCCTCGAGAGACACTCCAAACAAAGCTGTCAACAAACGCCTGACCCGCACCAGGTTCGATGGCCGAAAGGTTCCCGCGACTCGCGATGTATCCGAAGCCCCGTCTGGCGTCACTACCCCAACCAAGAAGAGAGGCAATACCCCTGTCCCTGATGACCGTGAAGACACACCGACTGGCAAACGACGCAAGCTCAACGGTGCAGCAGCAGCGGAGTCATCCAAGCCGAAACATCCAAACCAGTACACTAGAGGTCGTCCTGGTTATGGAAGCGCCCCGCCAAACCCAGATCGGCCCAAACATCCCAACCAATACACCAAAGCAAAAGAGTTAGCTGCACAGACTGCCGTTTCGACCACTCCCGTTCAAAGTGTACCGAAAGCCACAGGCTCGAAGGTGCCTTGGCAGGGTCTCTCGGCCGAAGAGATGAGAAAACGCAAATGGACAGACGAAGAATTGCTGGAGGCAATCAAACATGACCACTCATGGTTGAGCATGCAAGGCCCGGCGAAGGCCGACGAAAACAAGACCAAAATCCTCAATGGCATGAACCCTGTCCGAAGCTACAGCATGGTGATGAAGTGGGAGCAATGGAGAGCCGAGAACAGAGACAAGCGGCCACGAAACAAGAAAGAGGACCCCGAGGGAACACCGGATGAGTCTAAAGATGCCAACGAGGCATCTCGACCAAAGAGAGCGGCCGCCGTCAAGGTCGGTCGGCTCATCGAGCCAGAGAGTGTTCCGACCACTCCGTCCGTAACACCGGCGCCAGATGCTGGTGCTGTTGCGGCGACGCATGAGGAGGAGGTCAAAGGTTCGGGAGGAAGTAGCCGGGGGGCGAGGAGAAAAGGGGGCATGGACCTCAAATCCATGATGAACGATGAAGACCAGGACGATGAGCTGCAGGACGACGAGTCGGTGATTGTGGTCAATGGTGCCTCGGAGCCACCTAGACGGCGGTCCAGGCGCAATGCGAAGTGAGGCTGGACCTTCCTTCTATTCCTTTTGTTGGAATGTATGATAGAATAGGTTTTTAGCGCAGCGAGCATATGCAATATCGAGATTGCAACATTGCCCTGTTTGTGCGTATTGGGTAACAGGCCTTGAGAGTTGTTGGTTGCAAATTGCTTAATATTACGTGCATTTACGGACAAACTCGGGGAATTGTAAGGTAGACAGATACATGCCGGATGACCACTGTGAACTATGCTACCGTTCTATAACAGCTTCACCCAGAAATCCAATGCCTAATGCTCTTTGTCCTTCGCCATCGCAGTGCTCTTCAAATGTCCGTCTACCAGGTACGTACTGAACAGGGCTCCTGTGTTCAGTTGTTGGGGCACGCTTGAATGGGGAGAGCAAGCCACTCTTTGACATCGAAGGAATCATCACGCAAGACACGGTTGATCAAAGCCATAGCTTTTATTGTTGTGACCAAGTGTGCGGCTGATATACAAACCACTCGTCGTAAATGCTGCGAGTAAGAAAGTGACGCTTCGGCGTTTCTATTACTCCGGCCTTGGCACCGTAAATTCCGGCCCAGCCACGCTTTTCCTTTTCCGAGTCTCCTGCCTGTGCTTCACTTGGCTTCACTTGGCTTCACTTTTGTACCCGGCCGCCTATTACTTTGATCAATCACTGCAGCTGTGATTGCTGTCATTTGCGACTCACTTAAGCGACTTCATCGTACGCGACACCTTGTGCTTCTTTATCTTCAACCTAAATATTTCTTCGTACCTCTGACGTTCGAGACACGAGTGACCACCGATCCATCCTTCAGTCCTTGGGAAAGCTTCTTTTTCTCTGCGCGATTCCATTATGACCAAAAAGAAGCGCCACCACCCAGACGTCGAAGAGGTCCTCTCGAGGCCATGGTGCTACTACTGTGAGCGTGACTTTGATGATTTGAAGATCTTGATCAACCATCAGAAAGCGAAGCATTTCAAATGCGAGAGATGCGGACGACGGCTGAATACAGCTGGAGGTGAGTCGTTGGAACATGTCGCCCTTGCCGAAACTATTTCATTGTCACTGACATACACATTCAACCCCAGGCCTCAGCGTCCACATGAGTCAAGTGCACAAGGAAAACCTCACTGCCGTCGACAATGCCCTCCCTAATCGCGCCGGATTGGATATTGAAATTTTTGGCATGGAGGGAATTCCAGAAGACATTGTCCAGCAGCACACGCAGCGAGTTTTGACAAATTTTCACCAAAGCCAAGCCGAGCGTCAAGGTGCCGGTGGATCTGGTGTGCCAGGCGGCTCGAACCCCAACGCTCCCAAGAAGCCCAAGGTCGAGTCGGTGTCGGATATCAAGAAGCGGCTCGCTGAACACAAAGCTGCAAAGCTTGCCGCAGAAAAGGACAACGGTGGAAGCAGTGCAGGCTCAACACCGTCTGCTGCACCTCCTGCACAGGTCCAGCAACCAAGTCAAGCCCAAGCCCCTGCTGTAGGTTTCTTGTTCACCCAATCTTCCTCTACTCAAAAGCTAATTCGCGTCTCGAAGGCCGGCTCCCCTGTCTATCCTAGTTATCAGCAGTCGTATGCAGCGCCTCCCACAAACGGTTCGTACAACCAAGTTCCTCCTTTCGCCCAACCACCAGCTGTTACTGCTTCTTACCAAGCACCTACGTATGCCACTGCTGGCTCTCCGCCTCATGGGGGAGGTTATGGTCAAGCTGCGTCTCCTCAGCCTGGACAGCCAGGCTATGGTCAAGTTCCTCCGATATCGTACCCAGCACAGCCTTATGCTCAACCACCGCCCGCTGGATATCCTGTCCAGCCGGCCTTTTCGCCACCACCGTATCAGTACCCTGTTCAGCCGTTCCCAGGGCAAGCTGGAGCCCCGCGTCCTTTTGGCGCGGGTTCGCCGCCTCCAGGATTTGCTCAAGCACCTCCAGGCCATCTACCACAGCGAGCTATTTCTCCTGCCACCAACCCTAACTTCCCTGCACCGGTACGTACAGGCAGTGTAAGTCTACCTAGTGCTCCAGGATTACCACAGAGACCAGCATTTGGGGCTCCACCTGTCAGTGCTTCTCAATTTCACCAGATGCATCAAGGTCAGATACCTCTTCCACAAGCTCCTCATGTTGTTCCACAGTATCCTCCGCAACAGCCATCGGTCGGAGTTCCTCACCCACCTCCACAGTCCCAGATTCCTGCACCCTTCAATGGGGATGAGTCTTTAGACGACCTGATCAAGGGCGCTCGAGATCAAGCCGATGCCAATGGTGTATCGTCATCAGCAGCAGTTTCTGCAATTACAATACCTGCCCCAACCGCGGCTCCGGCTCCTGAGGCACCGTCTGCAACCGCTGCCGCACCAGCCAAAGAGGAAGCCGGCGAAGACAAGGCTGCCAAGAAGGAAAAGGAAAAGGAGAAACCAAAGTCAACCAGGTTGGTGTACTCTGACAATGATACAAGCCCTGAAGAGAAAATGGCAATGCTGGCCAAGTACGCATTTACTCCTGCACAGAAGACCATCATGGTATAGATCGGCTCGCATGTTTTTTTTTAAAAACCTTTCAGCATTACCGCCATCATCACAACGCTTCACACCAGGCCGGGTCTAGACGACACGCATACCACTTCGGAAGAGCTTTTTTGCCAAAACCTGGTGCTGCCACGGCACCTCAGCTAAGTTCTCCTTCTGTGGCATATATCTGATTCTCTATCGTCACTTGATCCTCGGGCACCCAAAAAACCCCCCCACCTGCCTCGGTTTCAAGGCGGGACAGCGGAGCAGCAAATTGGAATGAATGACTGAAATGAATGGCACCAAGCGAGTCAGGCGTTCTGGTGAGTTGATAAACTAGGCTTTGAGGCGCAAAGGGTTAGAATAATTGGGCACTGTTTTCTTTCGTCGAAACCCCGACTCGCCGTCGTCTGCAGATTGGAGCAACGTGATGGAGTTGGTCCCTATCCAGAGAGTTGAAAGAGGGGAGAGGGATGCAAAGGACGGGCGCCAAGGCAGCAACCACCTTTGTTTTTTCTCTCTCTTGAAAGGAAAAACAAAGTGATACCAAGGGCTGCTTGCTTGTAAGTGCAAGATGGTTGGTGTCTTCCTCCTTTTTTTCCCCCTCCGATCGTCCAACACAACACTCTCTTCCACAGTGGTGTGTTTTTAATGCAAATAAATTTCCCTTCACGCCTTGCGCTTTGGAACGTGTCTAGTGTGTGTATACCTACAACGTGATGAACCGTCAAGGAGGTGATGATACGAGAGGACATGCACTGGACAAGTTTATACTCGGTACTAGCCATTCCGTATGTTCCCACGCTATGCTATCTAATATCTACCTGGCTACCTACTTGTGGAGGGCGTGGACCTACGTCTCTCCCCTCGTGGGAATGAGGAAACGCAGGGTCGGGTTGGTTTTTGAAACCGAGAAGAGAAGGAGAAAAAGAAAGAGAAAACTACCTAAACTTTCATCTACCGTCCCGGTCACGGACTCGCTCCCGCGGATTCGCCTTGTGGAAGAAGGGGGGGGGAAAAGACCGGCGGACCCCTTTTCGTCTTCTTCATCTTCCTCCAAGAAGGGGGGGGATACGCTCAAACCTCGACGAATGCGTGCTTGAGAAGTTTGGTTCGATTCTCGCTTCGTGGTTCCGTCGCAGGGTCGACCAATTTTCGACAAGTTGAGAATGCCATCGTCATGCATCTTGAGTGCTTTGTTCCCCCCGCAGACCGCTCGAGTGTCTCTCAACTCGACGGTTGAATTTGCAAGTGCCACGTCCTGGAGGAGGTGTCACGCGAGACACAAAACGATCCCTTTGTTGCACGGCCACGAAATCCCGCTCCTCCTCTCTCCCCTTATCAGGGTCGTCATCGTAAATTCATAAAACTCCCATTTTAATTCCTATAAATCGGCGGCTGTTGTGGGACTCTCGAGGGGTGGATGAACGAGTCCGGTTCAACGTCATGCATGAGGCCTTGTTGTCGCTCAACCCACGCCAAAAAAAAAACAGCCACGGGCCTGATCAAGATCCCAGGCCGTACCCGTCACTCAACTTTTGTTTGACGGGCGCACTCAATCCACTCAGAAAGTTGCGAAAGCCCTCCTGTCCAATCAGCCCGACATATCCCTGTATCACTCGTCCAAAGCTCGCGCGCACCTCGCCATAATCGGCACCCTGTTTTCCCTTTTGAGGAAACTGGGCAATGGCCGAGAAGTACAGCGCCAGACTGGCCTCCATGGCCTGGGGGTTGCGCTCGATGACGTTGTTGAAGCCCAAGAAAGCGCTGGCCTTTTCATGGGATGTGCTGATCTTGGACATGCTCGACAAGAAGGGCTCCGCGAAATCGCCCAGGAAAGGCGCAAGGTGTTCAGGACAAACGAGGCCGAAACGACCAAGGGCCGTCGCGGCATTCTCGCTTGCGGGGTCCGAAACTTCTTCGTTCTTGATTATCGTCACGAGACCGCGGTAGATGGGCTCGACGAAAGAAGAGATGCGAGAGGTCGATGCGCGTGCGGCAATTTCGCCAAGGGACCAACATACGTTGGCAAGCACGTTGAAGCTGTTCTCGGAATCGTAATCGGGCACAGCGTCAAGGTCGAGCTGTCGGATCGACACGGGGAGAAGTTTGTCGAGATAGGGGTCGAGTGTGCTGAAGATGGCTATGGCGCAATCGCCCAAGACAGCATATGCAGATTGCCGGACATCGGTGCTGGGGTCTTCCATGCAGAACGAGAGCAGATCAAAGAATTGTGGTTGAGAGTTCTGCACGAGCGGTGCCGAGTTCCCGGGAGAAATGGCCTGGATAATGGCAGAGACTAGGTCGAGGGCTGTCACTAGAAAGTCCTTGTCTGGTTCGTCCACCGTCTGGCCGGACACAAATGCCATGTGGTGCTGCAAGTTTGCATAGATGACTTTGATGCAGCGGTCAAAGATCGGAGCTGCAAATTGAGCAAAAGTGTCGCCATATGCCATGGCGATGTAGCCTAGACAACCCAACAAGGGAAACATTTCTCTAGAGTCGTCTTGAATCCTGTTCCATCGCTCAATAAGCACTGGCATAAGAAGGTTGACGAGCTCGGGTTTGGCGATATCCTGCCCAACGTTCTCGGCCAGTGTTTGCAAACAGTCGTACAGGATGTACATATTCTTGTCCTTATATCGTTTGAAGCACTCGGTGAATTGGCGAAGGATAGGTTCAACGTAAGGCTTGAGTTTGTCGCCCGACTTCTCCTCGAGGCTGGCGAATGAACTAGCTCCGGCTTCCTGTACTTTCTTGTTCTTGTCCAACATTCTATGCAGCAAGCCTTCCATCATAGGCTCAAAGAAACGTTGTTTGTCTGCTGGTGACTCCAGACTGGATGCCCATTCGGAATATCGTGCTAAGCACCAGCAGGTAATCTGTCGGACCACCGGCTCTTCGTCCGAAAGCAAGGAGATCAGGAAGGGCACAAGCTCGGGCAGATGCGGTGAAACGACATCCATACAGCCCTCTGCGATGGCGCCGAGGGCTAGGACTGCCGCTTCACGTTTAGGCCAGAGGCTGTGGGAGAGGTTTTCCTTCAGGTAAGGCAGAATGATGTCAAAGACAGCCACTCCGTAATTAACGGCAAAAACGTCCAGTGCAGCTGCGGAGCATTTTCTCAGGCTCCAGGCATTTTCAGGATCATCATCATCCCATTCCTCATCCTCGTCTTCCTCCTCGATCTCCCCATCGCTGAGATCGTCATTCTTCGAGGGCGTGCCATTGGCCTGAGGCGTACCTGGAGCAGACTCCTCTTTCTCCGACTTGACACCTCTTCCGGCTTTGGTCTGAGCGAACTGAGGCTTGATATCTTCTGATCGATCTTCGACGTCGGCATTATTTTCATCACCCCCAAGCCGGGAGACTTCTTCCTCTCCATAGACCATTCCCGCAAGCAAGACGGGGATGATTTTGTTCAGATATGGCCCCATCCGATCTCTTAGCTGATCTTGCTCTCCCACGCTGAGCCAAAATTCCGCGGCATCGAGAGCGAGATCGGAGTTTCCAGAGGACTGTTGTTGTGTCAAAATATAGTTCACAAGGCCATCGAGATGTGGAGAGAGAGTATCTGGTCGAGTCTCCACGAGCTGGACGAGGGATTGACAGACAATCCTCCTGACTTGCACATCCGGATCTGAGGCCAGCTGGAAAATTGCCTGCAGATAAACGTCCAGAGCCGAGAATAGAACCTGTGACTTTTGCGGTATAAAAGTCTTGAGCGTGCTCAATGCAAGTACTCGGATCTTGGGGTTGGAATGAGTCGCAAAATCCAACAATTTGGGCACAATGACAGACATTGGTCTCTGGCCTTGAAATTCCTTGTCCAACAACTTTCGGTTGTCTTCACAGACCTTTGCCAGCGCCGACATAGCCCCCTCTTGGGTTTCCGCAGGCACATTGCCGGCATTGTTGCCGACGAGCGACAATAACTCTTGCAAGATCTCTGGCCATTGTAGCAATCCACCCTGTGTCACGATCTCGGTAATGACCGTTCCAGCGAAACCTCTCAATTGTGGATTCGGGTCTTGGAGGACTGTGAGGGTCGCCGCTTTGATGTACGCCAATTGGTCTTTCGGAATGCTGGAGTGGAAAAGCTTGATATGGTTCTTGAGGTTGACGCCGCCGGCGTATCGAATGAGGAACAGGCTAGGGGCATTGAGCTGGAGCTGCTGTCCTAGCTGCGCTGTACTGAAGATATATGTCAAATAATTCACATAATCACTATTGTTCCTCGCGTTCATGATCATCTACGGGGACTCATTAGTGGGCCTTCACTCCTGGTGTTCGAATGTGATGTTTGCCATACCAGCTCAGCCTCTTTTTGTTTTTTTCTGTCATGACCGCTCAATGAGTTCTTGAGGTATTCAGACAACTGTCTCAGCGCCTCCTCCTCCGGTTGCCACGCCATGACGGGCACCGTTGCCCTGAGGGCCTGGACACCAGAGAGCGGTGGATGGTGAAGCCGTAGATAGGCTAATCGGAGAACAGACTCCCAGGAAGTCGCTGTTTGGCCTCACCCTTGTGTCGGAAAGGGTGAAACACTGACCGGACCTGGGATTCGACCGCTGGGAGGCTGTGAAGCGTGAGTTGCAGTGCGTGCACTGCAACAGTGTCAGGTCGTAAATTTCTGAGGTCGGAAGTGGGGGGTTGGCAAAGTGCGACGGCAACTTGCAAAGGCAGGAAATCGTCCCGACAGAGACCAGACGACGTCGTAGCCAGTGGAGGAAGAATACTGGTAACAATTTCAACAGGCGTAGTCGCAAATTTCTGCAAGACGGATGTGCAGGCGAGCGCAGGCTGGTTTGGTTGGTAGTGGTGGTGCGCTTGTCTTTCGTTGTTGGAAAATCTGCTCCGCACGGGGTTGGGCGCGCCAGCTAGCCGAAGTTTTTGATTATTTCGATGGGCAGGGGAAACGGAAAAATGAAAAATAAAATCTACACAATAAAAAAAAAATTGTATAGACATGAGATTGTTGAACCAAAAGGCTGGTGTTGGACACCAATGTTGTCACTATAACCAGACACTGACATCTCTTCGCGGCAATTACGTTCCTGTCAATAGGAAGGAGTAACAGCGGTGTCAAAATCGCCCCTTAACGTCTATCTACTCATGTCAGTCGTTAACAATATTCCTCAGCTTCTGGTGCCAGGTGAAGATGGAAGGAGTAATATCCATTTACTACGTCTTTGCTTTGCGAAGCGAATGAAGCTGCGCCTTTGAGAAAGGTGGTTTGATGTAGGACAGAATGTCACTCCTCCCCATCAATACTACACACTGTATCCCAACAACACCATGGACTCCTCCTCACGACCAAACAAGCTTCTTGATAGAGTAGCCCAACTGCTCAAAGTATCCAGTTCTCTTTTTGGCCTCCGCCAGAGAGATAATGTCGTCCTGTTGCACCAACTGATTGTTATTGTTGTGATCCTGTTGCTCACTCGTGACGGCTGGGCCCTCGATGGCTCTTCTTATTTCCTCAGCGATTCTGCCCGCCATGGCCAGAGGAAGCTCGGTCTGCTTTCCATTAGGCATGTCGAAATGTCTCGTGGTTGCGTCGATGACTTTGAGAGCCAACGTCCGTGAAGAGGGTGGTGACGACGGACTTAGCCACGATAGGATACCGGTGCCGCCATCGATCCGATTTTCAGAGTCGTCCGTTTGGGGTTCCACATAATTCTGCAGGGATCGGGTGTTTGTCCGAATCATGCTCTCTTTACCTGGCTGGTATACCACGACGAGCCCAGCATTGAATCGCTCTTGCATCTGTCGCTCGCTGAATGTGGATGTAATATACGTTCCATATCTGATTTTGGATATGGATCTAAGGTCAACCTTCTCGAATGACCTCAGTTTTTCTGTTGTCCAGTCGAATTTGCAGCAATAGAGTGCGACATCCGTCAATAGGACGACGGCTTCTTCGAATGGAATAGTCCTTAAAGTGTTCTCGTGGGCAGGAGTCAACATCGTCCAACCTTGGATAAGGTCTTCATCATCTGCTTGAATGACTTGTTTTCTGCAGTTGTCGATCGCAGCCTCGCGAATCTGCTCGATGTTAATGCCTGGATCCGCACCCATCATGCTACTTTCGAAATCTTCAAAGACTTTCCAGGACAGATTTCCTAGGACTACGTCGATGACTGCTTGTGAGAAATAGTCGTTAACCATATTGTTATAGTAACGGGTCAATGTCAAGCTGAAGTCGTTGAGTGCTCCACGGTAGTTGCGGCGTCGAGTACGGGTAAAGTCACCTTTGAGCGCAGCTGTCGACGCATATTGTCGAGATATGGCGTCTCCGTTGTCAGCCCATAGCGTGTTGAACCAAGTTGTTGATTCGTCATGCAACAGATCAATGGCAAATCCTTCCTTGGTAAGATCTCTTTGAAGCATGTACTGGCCAAATGCACTTTGAGCCACATTCGTCCGATCCAGGCAGTCCATACAGTTTGTTCGAATGACACCTCTTTGAGTTGTCACGATTCCACTCTCCGAAATCGTCGTCTCATTGAAATCTTCGATATTCGGTTGAAGCTTGTCCACGAGTTTGGACACATTTTCAAATTTCATCCCTCGACATTCTGCGTGAAAATCAAACCACTCGAAATCGACATCTCTCAACACGCCCGACTCTGTCAATGCCCGTACAGCTTCTTCATACGCCTGACCGATGACGGTTTCTGAGCCATGTTTATCTACCAGTGCCGCAATTTGAACGCGGCCATAGCGATCTTTGAGATCTTGGAAATGCTTTCTCATGGCATTGTTGTTCTTAGCTGCCGATTGGTGAATGATAGGGATCGGTTTGAATGAGTAAGGCGACTGGGAAAAATACAGTGGGATCGAACACCGTATCTGAACAAAAGACCGAATCTGTCTCTTTGTCGACCAATCAGGCGAAGACAAGATCTGCTCAGTCTCTACAGCGTTGGCACAGTTACCTTCATCATCGATGCCTCGCCTCAGGTAACGTAAACCCGACCGCTTCACTGAGCGTCGGGATATAAGCGTCAGCAAGTAATCTTGCGACTCGCCTCCAATATTTGCGAGCCCTTGTATGGCGTGGTTCATTGCATGTTCAAGCCCAGGCGAGTCTTTGTCATGATCGGCTGAGATAACACATGCTGAATGAGGATCGTTAGGTTCTGCACGTTTGACCGCAAAAGCTCGCTGGCCTACGAAACCTTGCAATACCGGCGTAAGGAAACTATCCTGTCTTGCGGTGAAAAATGGGGTTGCTAGATGTCGGTTCCAGAAATACTACAACAAGTTAGCAATGTCTGGACTCTCAGACGCAAAATGGCGTACCAATGGGTCCAGCGTATCCTTAGTCGGAGCTTTTGGACTGCCACCTGTCAGAGACAAGCGCCGAGTGAGATCAGATTCGTAAGAGAAAAAGTAGCTTCCTGATGTCAAGATCATCTTTGTGGTCTTGACAATCTTGGGTAGCGCATCCCGGACCGAAGTACTGGGTATGTCATGGGCATCGACGTCTGATTGGGTCTTCTTGTCATCCTCGCACCGCGTTTTTGAAGAGTTTGCTTCTGTGGCAGTGGCTGCGGCAACGGTCGGAGAAGTCCTCGCTGGTTCCTGCACCTGCTGAGGCGGTGCTGAGGCATTTGTGGTGACACTTCTCGGCCCTTTCCATCCTTGCTTCGAAAACCATTGCGAAGCAAATCGTGCATATTGGCCTCGGTTAGCGATGACATCTCTCACAATGCTGGTGGAGCTCGAGTTAGTCTGCTGGGTCGGTGGATGCTCGACCGGTGTCTCTGGCTCCAGCTCCCTGGTCGAGAATTCGTCTTCTTCCCCTGGTTCACTGAATTCCGAGTCCGAATCTTCGGTGCTGGTGGCAGAACCTTTTGACGTGAGAACCGATGTGATGGCGCGCTCGGCTTCATTTTGTGATGTTAACGGAAGAAAAGCCACGTCTCTGATAACATAGACCGGCTTGCCGAAGATCTGAGCGACCTGTTCTCGCTGCGTTATGGCAATGAGAAAAGAGGTAGAAGCGATTGAGAGAATTCCTGCATCTGGTAAGGCGTGGTTGTCTGGCACACAATGATCGGTCTTAGCTTACCTATAACACCATGAGCTTCTAGCCAAACATTCTTCTTGCTGGATACATCGCTGGTCTGGACTTCTGTTACATGGCGTCTTCCGTAGTCTATCTTGATCGTTTTGTGGTGTTCTGTAGAGCCATGGGCCTGGAGCACGAGTCCATCAATCGTCGCCCAGATTAGAAGACGCCTGACCAGGGCTGGCATCGTGGCTCATTATTTTATGGATAACGATTTTGAGCACGGCTAGTTGCCATATGTCGCGACAACCTTCATAAGAATAATTGAAAAATTATAAGACTGAAGGCTGGTGATTGATGAGAATCCAAAGTTTCTTGTCGTGTAAATTGGTCGGAGTCGAAGTTGTAAAATGACCTCTGATGTCATAAAATAAGCCGCAATCTACTCAGTATAGAAATGGTACCCATCTCTCCGAACATCTAGGTAGTGTACCGTAATACTTCATTCCACATGAATCTACCCAGAAGTGGCTTTTCTGTGTAGTCAGACGTGTCAATAGACATGTATGAAGAAATAATCGAATGAGTAACAATTGATGTTGGTAGAACTTTGCAGAACAGTGTATTGTGGCAGGCTAATGTCACCGATAGTCTACACTATGAAACTTATTGAGCTCTCTACCAAATGTTGGTGCCGGATGATTGTTCATTCCTCGGTACCGTTACAATATCTTTCATGGTGTTTATTGACTTCCCGTCCAGACTGTTCATGAAGCGAAGTCAAGACCTTGCACCTTCGCCGCTAGCAAATCCAGAGAATCAACGCGAGTACCAGAATTTGCCTGCTGTTCAGCTATCGCATTCGCTTCGGCATCAGCTTCGGGCTTTGTGAGCAATGGGCTCCCAGGAACAGCATCTAGAGGTGCTTCGTGCAATGCCGGCTTCTTGCTCACTGCCAACTTGCCCTGCCTCTTCTTTTCTAGTGCCGAATTGACCCATTCGGCGACCTCTTTATCTGCAGTGTCGGGAACACCATTTTCCACAAATGCCGATTCAATGCCGGCTTCGGCTGCCTTTTCAGCCTCTTCGTCCTCAGAAATGGTCGGCGGTTTCATCAGAGGAGCCAACCAGGCGTGTCGAAGAAGCATTGCATAGGTCGGTCTAAGTCGAGGTATCTTGTTAAGGCATCCACGTACAAAGTCAATGGCTGCCTCCGAATATTGATCTGCTGGTAAATCTGGTGGATCACCATCCACAATGGCCTTTTCACAAACATTAGTAACCTCATCAGCTCTGAGACGGATAATACTTACATTCAGCTGACTAAAGATGTTGTCGTATGTCTCTGGAGGGTAAGGATATCTTCCGAGTGCACATTCAATGATGGTAAGACCTAGTGACCATATATCAGACTGCACACTGTAGGAGCCTCCAGCGCCGCCAGCCTGTGACACACCGCCACCAGATATCCGTTCAGGAGCCATGTAACTCTGACAACCAATGTTCGTTTTCGCGATAGATGCGACCAGATTTCCACTGACGCCAAAATCACAGATCTTGACCTGTCCTCGGGTGTTGACCAGGATGTTGGTGGGCTTCACGTCACGATGGATGATGTTGTGTTCATCTTTCAGACACTTGAGTCCCATCACAGTCGACAACGTGATCTTCTTGAGAACCCCCTCAGGGACCCCATCACCGTATAGTTTGTCAATGGAGCCACCATCCATATATTCAATACAAATATACACCGAGCCTTCTTGAAAGAATGCACCGTAAAAATCAATGATAAAAGGTGAAACGCAACGATGCAGAATATCCAGTTCCATGATGATCTGGGCGAATTTTGTATCGTCTAATTCAAGCCGGATTTCTTTCATTGCCATGACCAGGCCGCTGGTTCCAGAGTCTGTAGTTGGACATTCACCTTCGCCATTTTCCGTGAGGTTTGAACTTGTTACTTGCCTGACCATATTGCCTCGTAAGCCAAGGCCAGGTCTTCGCATCTTGGGACGGGCATGTCGTACTTTGAACACTGTCCCGTAATTCCCTTTTCCCAGTTCGGCCATGGTGTCGACTTCATCGAGTGATATTGAGAAGGTGCTGCCTCCAGCAAACTCGATGCCGCTGCCGTGGATGACAGCCTTGTTCTGAAAATTCAGTGTACCTTTCTTGGTATCTACGATGCTGGAAAACTTGTTGAATTGCGAGCCGGTATCTTGTTTTTCAGGATTCTCACCGGCAGGCTGCGGCTTGTGAGCATCGGATAATTTCATCGCCCCGGGCTTGAAGCCTCTCTTCGCTGCGAGCCCACCCATCTGCAACCGTGGTTGCGGACTGGCCATTCTGGGGCTCCCCGTCGCCGGAGATGGAGAAGACCCAAAGCTGGAAGCGTTGGGTCGGCTTAAACCTCGAGGCAATTGTAGTCCACCGGCCGAAGAGGCCGGTGAAGATGGAGGAGCTCCTGCGAGAGGGCCTCCAACAAACCCGTGCGGACCTCCCGATTGTTGCGTCGCAGAGGGACGGCCCCCCTGCCTAGACTGCGAGAATGCCTTCATTTTTGCTTGTATATCGGAGTTGAGGCCACTTGCACGACCGGGCAGAGGACCGGGCCTTCTTGCGGCATTGACAGGTCCGAGTGGAGCGGATGAGGGACTCATCGAGGAAGCCATGCCGACACCAGGCGACGTCAGTGACGGTGGTCTGGATATCGAGTCTGAGGAGGGATTGGAAGACGTGGTGGGTGAGGAATTCGAGACTGCTTCATCGGGCTGGGAGTCTGCGGGAGGAGACGGCTGCTGAGGCAGGCTGTCGGCCATGGTGACTAAGGTGGCCAGAGGAATGGGTGTTGCAGCAATTTGTTGCGCAGCTGCGCTGACCGTAGTCGATTCACGCCGGCATGCGAGGACCACGGGCGACAGTTGAATGGATGGCCAGACGGGGTCTAGTGTCGATGATTGCAAAACTTGCTTCCAAACAAACGACGACTCAGGGTAAGAATTGGTGCGGTCGAGTCGGGCAGCGAGCTTTGTTGGTTGGGCTGAGAAAGCACGTTTGGACAGTGCCGGGGGAGGGTTGCTGCTGGAGGGGCGAAAACCGAGAAAGTTCTGGTGGAGTCGATAGAGGGGGAAACGTTGTGTTGGGCACACCCTCGAGAGCGTTGTAGGTCAGGACAAACGGCCGTCGCAGGAAGACGAGATGGAATGATGAAAGCGTAGAATAGGAGAAATCTGGAGGGAAGGAAAGAATCTTGATATTGAAGTAGCCTGCGATTGGCATCAAGGGTCGTGATATGTGTCGATCAGTACAGTAACAGAGGTCGATGAGCATAGGAGCCGAAAAGCAGACGAGGCTCGTGCGTAGCGGGACAGGGCTCGACTTTATTAGGCGATTCCCCTACGACGTTCTCGTTCTGTGCTATTGTCAAGTGTTGACTCTTCTGTATCTTAGGGCAAAAAAGGGACATGAAGATCTGCCACAGGTGAAGACTCGTAGGTCATGTAGCATCGCATTGACGTTGTTTAATCATTCGGATTGTCAAACTTGGCCCGAGATGGATGATCCAGGGCAGTGGCACAAGCTACGAGGCGAGACGAAACACACAGGCCCCAGTGCATGGCATTTAGTGAGAATTCCATAAGCACCCGACTGATTACTGTACAGTAGACTATGGCAGGTAATTACTCCGTAGTGAGGAATACAACCGTCCTGCGGGTCTACTCAATACAAGGAGTCTTTGTTGGCCTGGGGCGTGATCATTGATTTCAGTACCTAGTACGGAGTACTTAGGCATTGATATGCCTATTGGATTGTGGTTCTGGGCTGCAGTGTCTGGCCGGCACCGCCTATCTCAACCACCTAAAACTACTAGTACACGTAGTGTATTCCGTACAAACCAATCAATTAGATAAGGTAGCTTAGCTGGGTAGGCATACTGATAACAAGATAGCCCTACTCCGTACTTCGATTGCTATAGACGCGAAGACTCAGAGCATAACGAATGGCAATTCCTTATGGAGAAGCCGAGAAGAAATGCTTTATTGTAATATTTGCTTTCAAAGCCTCCGTCTGCAACTTCTCTTGACTCATGCTCTAGCACACGGTACCCTTATCGACAAGGAGCATGATTAGCAGGTTTGCCGAATCTGACAACTATCCTAGGTTGCAAGTTTTCATTCATTCTTCTCATGCCTTTGATAGGCAAATACTTCTGCGGTCCAACGGACTGGACCTGGTCACGGGCCTATATATGGGAATCCACATCTTTGTCAATATGGAACATTTTGGAATTAATGGATTAAAGCTGCAGCTCAACTTCGCACCAGTCTGCAAAGCTGCTGTTCAGGCCACGATCAATAGTGGCCAACCTCTGCATCCAGAGCATCTCGCACTCTTTGTGCATAGAGTTGATCTGGAAAGTTCAGCCTACTCCAACAATAACCTTGCAGGCCGTCTTTTTAGACCAGAACATCATCCATCATCCAATCTCTTTTTCCTGGGCTGCCATTGAGTCCGAGACTCTATCCACGACTTCCTCTCTGAACATGTTCAGGTGAACCGTGTCATCAGAATCGTCTTGGATATTCCTTGGATGTTGGCCTATTATCCTGTCTCGGTCTCCCTGTCGGCCAGAGGTGTTACGCTGGAGGATGTCTGATCAACAGCATCCGTGACATCACGACACCACTTCTCAACTCTCTTCTCCTTTGCTTTTGGGTCGCAGTCAATCTCTCCAATAGCACCCTCTGGTCTGGTATCCAACGACCAAAACGAGCCACGCTCAGTCAGCTCGTCATGGTCGTTGGTCCATATCGTGTAATCCATTCGACCGCTCTCCAGTTCGACTTGCAGTGCTTGTAGCCCTCTCCTCGTGACCTGCGTTCTGTAGTCCTGGAAACCAGGATCGATTCTTTCCTTGGGAGGTGTATTGGGTGAGGCGCTCTTGACCCGTTGAATCTGCTCATATTGCACACCAGAGACTAGGGAAGTGAAAGTACACTGTTGACCTGAATGCTTGCTGCCATCCTTATCCTTCTCAGGACCCTGTGCTTCTTCAGCAATCTTGAGACGATTTGGTGATTGGGTACGCAAGCTATTGTCCTCAAAGACACGCTTGCGATGTTCAGATGTCTTGCTCATAGTCGTCGGCGTTGTGTTGGCGTTCTCGTACTTCTGACTTGTTCGGCCGATCGAAATGTGGGCCACGCGAGAGGGAAGGCTGAGACAGGCCAGGGGAGTCGCGACTTTCAAAATGCGGAGGAGCGGGCATCTTTCTCAGCCTGCGCGAATTCAACTTGTCATCCACTCACCACATTGCGCATTCACCACTTACACTTCATTCATTATCCTTCATTCCTCACACTTCACGCACACTGCGGCAAAACCTGTCACGGTTGTACACTGCACCACAGTCAACGACTTGATCTACGGCCTAAAGGTTACATCGGTACTGCAACCATCATACCCACATCGCAATAGCCTCATACATTGCAAGGAGGGATGGACATGGACGAAACAATGACGACTTCGACTTCTTCTTCTTCTTCTTCTCCTCCGGCGCCTTCGCAACCTGACAACAATAACGACGATGATCTCTTTCCTCAGACGTCAGCCTCGGCGCCCAATGCTGCTCCCCGAACCCCCAATCCACCACCAAACGAACATCTGAACGCTTCTGCACCAGGTGAACTGTCTCCGCCGCGCTCACAGGGCCACGCAAACGACGATCAGCAACCCATCTTCAACAACGGAGCAAACACAAGCAGTCGAAGATTACGAAGTGGAGTCGGCTCTAGTACCAACGGCACTGGTAATCGGATACCAGGCATTACGAGTGTTGCGAACGCGACTACAACATCAGGCACAGCGTCGTTTGTGGAAGACAGCAGAGAGGAAGGTCCGGGATGGGGTTGGAAGAATAAGAAAGCACAGGAAGAGATGTCGCGTGCCTGGGATAATGTGGTCGATCGGGATTTCAGTCTCAAAGAGTATGGAGATATCATGATGCTGGCAAACCAAGGGCGATGAAGTTGTCACGATCGCCTTGTTGAACAAGACGTCGACTTATTCCAGATCAAACCGGATAGAGAGGTGCAAGCTTGGACCTTTGCTGCGCAGGAAACCCTGTTTTTCTGTTTGACATGCATAGCGGTGGCGCATAACGTGGATACGCGAACGAATCCGTGGCTTCTACGGAGTACGTATCGAAGAGAAGAAGCGAGCAAGATCGGTGCAGATGACATTGCACTGTTTTGCCACGAAGTAATGGAAACGGCCGCAGGAGGTCCTGGGAAGCAGATAATGAATGAACGAATGAGAATAGCCAATGCTCGAATATGAATGCTAGAAATACTCAAGCCGCTCAACACCATAATCAGGATCAGGTATGTACCACCTACGAAATGGAACGTTCGAAAGGAATGAAAGGGTGAAATAGTCTCTCCTGTAGGAGTATTTCTACACGGGGATATGCCCAGGCTACATCTGTCTTTGTCTCTCCCTCGCTCCTCGGCGCCAGATTTCTCTATGTGAGTTACAGTATCTAAGAAGTGCCCCTCTCATGTCACATCCCGGCACTCCGTATCAATGCAAAATTTGGGGTGCGGAGCAAGGAAGGTCTCGACTTGTTGCCGGCAAGAGCCTCCCAAGTCTGTACAAAGATTCCATTACATCAAGCATCAAGCAACTGTGTGCTTCTTCGACACGTCGTGTGCACTTTGCATCATTCCCGCCCGCTCAAAGTGCGCGAACGATTTGTCGAACTGCATAGCGGGGCTTGTTCGCAATCCGAGCCCATCAGACAAATTTCGGGAATACTAAAATAGTGAGGAGCATTCGAGGCCATAGGGTCTTGGTGAATATGTCATGTGGCCGAACTTTTTCAGCTCTGCATATGCACAAGACTGTTTCGTGGCTGACAGAGCCGGGCGTTCATCATGGAGAAGCATGTTCGAGGATTCGGCTGGCATCTATCGGAGCTGTGGCGAAATCATAGTGGCGACCATTGCTTCACCGAGATGCAAATGCAGCTCTGACATTGGAGAACTCCGAGTCGTAGCACCAGGCAATAAACTGCCTACGCCGGAAAATGATCATCTCTTGCCTGTAGGTGCTAGACCCGGGACGTTACTGTATCGTTCGTCTCGCTCTGTCTTGAACAAGACCTGACACCAGAACTCCTTGGCGTCAGCATCCCACCATGTCCAGTATCGTCCTTCGCGGCGATCGACCTCGCGGGATTGTAACTTGAACGCACAAGTCTCGTATGGTTCAGCGGCGACAAGCAGATACTGGTAATCCCTTTCCGGCTCTTCGATCTTCTGCTCAAAAGCGCTCATGAATCGTACTCTAGGTTCCACGCCCGGAGTGATTTCAGGGTACAACAGCTGAAAGAGTAATCCGACCTGACGTGTCAGAGGGTCTCGAATCTTGGTGATCTTGTAACCTGGTCGCCCGATCTTGACCATGTTCTTTTTGACTTGCACACCCATCATGCCTGACATCATTTGTCCATCCTTCTGGGCTTCTTTTTGTTCCCTGGCCGCGCGGCGTGCAAGGTTCGTCTGGTGCTTGCGCCCTTGTGTATGTGCCAGGTATGAGCCATCGTTCTGGTGGACTGTCAGACAGAGTCGACATTCGAAGCTACCGACGTGGTTTTTAAAGAAGTAAGGGTCCTTGTCAAGATCGATGGTCTCGAGCGCGAGTTTGCGTAGCCGTTCTCGTCGGTCGGCGTTGGTGGCGGATTGCGAGGCGACGCCGCCACCGCCAAACTTGGAACCAGCGCGGTTTTGGTAGTCCATGTTTGATGTCAAATGTCTGCGACCAGGTTGATTTGAAGAAGCGGTTTAACTTAGACAGCTGCTGGTTGTTGCCTGTGTACGGAGTATGGAGCATGGGAATTCAGGAAAGAAATTCATACAAAGTAGCACAGCCTTGCTCCGCACTTGGCAAGGCTGCCGATGACGAGGCTGGGCAAGGCTGGATATCGGAGGCACCCCATAGAAGCGCGATTCGAGGTGGGCAACGTTTGATTTACAACCACACACTATGTTCAAAGATGTCTGAATCCTTCTATACCTCATCATCAGCTTCCAACCTGCCCAATGTTACCGCGACCTCTACGCCACCTCCTTCATCCCCTATCACAGGCAGCGCACCCCCTCCACCCCCACCGAAACCAGTCTCGCATCTGAACAGCCAGGCTCAAAGCGCCAATGTAAGCCGCACTGGTACTCCCACGCTCTCGTCGACACCTACGAATGCTGTGCCTGGTATAACGAACTCTCCTCGTCCTCAACCACCTGTTCCAAACGCACAACAGACCTTTGCTCCGGTCCCACCACAACCGCAGCAGCGGTATGATCCCATTCCACCTCCGTCATTGTCGGACCGCTGGATTCCGTCACAACTACAAGATAAGCCGATCAATGAACTTCATACACTCGTCAACAATGCTTCCTTACTGGCGTCGATAGCCTCGACGCATCCTTCCTACACATCGTCTCTCAAACCTCTCCAGGACGCAATCCATGCCAATCTCCAACTAGTACAGCAAGTGTCTCAGGCCGAGAGTCAACTACGTCAACTCCGAGACGAAACTGGCCAACTGTTGCTCAGTCACGCCTCTTTGCAGACACAATGGAGGAGAAAGCAGACTGAAATGGACGATGCTCTGTCACCGTGGGGTCCACGACAAATGTACCAAAGACTCGTGTCGAGTATAGGTGAGCAAGAAGCGTTGCTCAGAGCCACACAGGAAAGTTTCCTCGAAGGCTCGACTAGTGATGACACGAGCCATGGCAAGGCCAGTGAGAAGGAGATTAATGACTGGGTGCGGAGGATAAGAGAAGGTGCTACGACACTGGAGAAGAGGAGAGAGATGAGGGCCAGATGGGACGAAGGTAGAGTTGGTGGATGGAGATGAAGACCGCACCTTGGGATATGATTGAAGAATCAACGAGGCTATTGATACCGGTCAGGAACATTGGATTCTATTTTCCATGGCCACAAGGGCACCTGATGTATGAGACGAAGTCACGGACAGAAGCCCGTTCCTCTACCTTGCAGGGCTGATACCGAGAAGACAAGTACCTTCCTGATGAGGTTATGCAGCGTAACAGTTCAATTGTCGGAGACGAGACACTGCTATGAAGCGCCGTGGCCTCAATTCTCCCCGACGGAGTTCCCGAATGAGAACGACCAATAGCTGCAACATGAATTACGACTTGACATCCTTGGGGAATATCGGTCGGTTTCGACCACTGTGAGACTCTTGGAGCAGTACACGAAAATGATGTCTACACAGAAATCTTGTCATGATCCTCTACCGGGTGACTTCTGGCGGGGTCGGGTCGTCGAATTTGAGACTGTTCCAGCTCCCGGATCATCACAGCAGCGAGTCACCCTCCAAACAGATAGGAGCTTCCTCTCCCACCAACCTCAACCATGCAGACAGAGACAGACATGTTCTTCGCGTCGGTGTCATTTTGAGACTGGACCACTGGACACGGTTCTAAGATATAGCCAGCTCTCGGAGCCCTCAAGGGACCCGTGGAAGAGGTATATAGCTACCTAGGTACAATACCTTATATAATTTCCTACATTTCCCAGTGAACGGAAGACCGGACCAAAGTTGATATTCCTTGATGCCGTGACCTACCTTGGTACGTATACGCTGTGTACGAATTCTCACTCGGGAGAACAGCTCGTCCATGCCCGTCCATCTAGTGGCCATAACCACATGATTCGTGTGCGTACCATATATACCATGTCCTTGTCCATATCCCCTTGGGCGACCAGAGTCATGTTGGAAGTCCTTTTCCCTGTCCGTATCCCCCGGCTCCTCAAAATATCTCTGCACGTCCGACCCCAGACAGTCAAAGTCCGACGTACGAGGTGAGATTTCCCCTTTTTCTTCACAATACTTCTGCCAACGTCCACCAGGTCCCTTTCGTGTTCGATCATCTCCACCATCTCTCAAGCACTGTTATATTGAAGCAGGCACCGAGGCCACAACGACCCAATACCTAGTTTCTTCTTTTATATTCTCCCTTCCCTCGGCTAGTTCGTTCATTCTTTGCACAAACAGTTTCCTCGCGCGCTCCCTCGTCCCGTTTTCAGGTTTTCCAAACCGTTCAAACATTTCTTTCTCGACGGCCTCGTCAAAAATCTCTTCGGCCTCTTTTGGTTTGTAATGCGTCGTGGCGTACGGTTCCGTCTCGAACAGTTTTTCGATCTCGAATCCGGCGTCGCGTACCACTTTCCCCAGGTCTTCGATACTCTCGTACCTCGCCGCCCCACCGTCCCAGATGACCTTTTCGCCCAATTGAGCCGCGACGTGGCGAAAAACGTTCATGATCAGATTGGCATCTCGACTCTGCACGTCCGTCACGATTTTTCCTCCACCCTCCTCGAGAAGGGTCTTCCATTGTCTGAGTGCACCCACCGGGTCATCTAGCAGGATCAGAGCCGAAGCACAAGTGATGACATCAAATTTGGTCGCCGATGATGATGATGAATCCTGTGTGAACCGTGATGAATCTAGATGTTGAATGTCACCTTTTATGAACGAAACTTGTAACCCTGCTCGTTCGGCCTTGAGGCGTCCTCGATCCAGCATCCCGGAACTGACGTCCACGCCGATGACCACGCCAGAGTCACCGACGATCGACTTTGCTCCGATCGACACGAGACCCGTCCCGCATGCTAAATCCAACACGTTTTGACCGGCCCGTAAGTCCGCCCAAACCAGATAGTCTCGCGCTTGGTCGACATGAACTTGGTTCTCGTCGTACTTGTCGCTACGGGAGTCGTAGAGGGCACTGATTGAATCGAGCCGAGACGGTGGAGGCATTTTCTTTTTTCGGCTATAGAACGATAACAAGAAGTTATATTGAAGTACTTGGAACAAATGGTGGTAGTTTTAAGGGGAGTGATAAGAGAACACAAAAACCACGCAATCAATCTATCTACCTCAGGTGCCCACATATATGTAGTACAGTACTGACCTAGGTCCCTTTCTGTGGAGACTTTGAGTATTTTTGCCACATTGACGGCATCGCAATGTACTTTTGTTCAAGCACATGCTTTCCATCACCACCCCTTCTCTCATACAGTCGTGTTTAGATATAAACAATCTACCGACTCTTCCCCTTCCCCCTTACAATCCTTCCTCTACTCCTTTCATCTTCCACGAAAAGTACCTCTGACATCATCCACCAACAATTCCGGTACTTCCCAAGCCGCCAAATGTCCCCCCCTGGCGTGTTGTTTGATGTACACCACATTACCCAAAGTGTGCAACCACAACTCTCGCGGTGGCGTCAATTCGGCGGGGAACTGACTCACTCCGATCTTGACCGTCTTGCCGGTATCGCGCTGCGCCGTGACCACACTCGACCCGCCACCTTTTTGGTTCGTTTCTTCGTAGTATATACGCATACTGGCGGCGGCACCCGCGGTCGAATACGCGTAGATGCAAACCCAGGTCAAGACCTCTTCCTCCGTCCAAGGGTACCCGTCCGTCCAGTCGTGAAGTTTCTCGTAGATCCAAGCGAGAAGCCCAAGCGGGGAGGCCGTCACCGCGATGGCGATCGTTTGCGTCTTTGTCGCCTGGATGTTGTAGTACCCCATGCCCGTACGCAAGGTGTGGACGGTACGCTCGGCGGCGGCCTTCTCCCAGTCGTTCAACGGCGTGGATTGACATTTTGCAAACAAATCCGGATGAGACGTCGACGTGGGTTCGGCCGGGATGGCCATGTTGATGTGTTGAGCCTGGATATGAACGGGGTATTTTAGGGCCATGATCCGGGTGACGAAATAACCCAAGTCGCCTCCTTGGGTCACTGTTTTTGAGTTTTTAGCTGTAGTACGCGAGGACGTTGTGAAACATCTCTATCAGCAGGCCAAACGTACCATATTGATCATAACCAAGTTTCAGCATGAGTTTATGACACATTTCGGCATGTTGTTCGACACCGAATCCTGGCTAAAAAGACAAAACGAAACGTCAGTCGGTCAGTCGACGTCTTGAAAAATCACTCGCCGCGGAATTTCAGGACCATGAGCAATGGTGTCGGGAATAGCAACCGAGCATCAGGAGTTATCAGGAGTACCAGCAGAGTTTGACTCACCTTTACACAACCCTGTGAGAAACCAAAGTTCACCAAACTAGGAGCGACGACATGAAAACGAGGTTCTTGTCCACTCTCGTCTTCCAGTAGCAAGGGCAAAATCTTGCTAACCTCCAAAAAACTCCCAGGCCATCCGTGTACGAAGATCAAAGGAATGGCGGCGTTCTTGGGGACTTCAGTCCTGGCGTGAACGAAATGAATGTCGAATGTACCAAACCCATCGACTTCGATCTTGGTCGTGAACTGGGGTAGTTCGGTGTTTAGTCGAGTTTCGACCTTGCGCCAGTCGAACTCGTCCCGCCAGTACTTTGCCAGACGATGGATCTCGGAGTTGGGTGTACCTCGGGTCCACTGGTCGCCTTCCTCGACTTCGACAGGAAGATCATCGTCATCGAGGGAGATTGAGAGTTTGGACCTGGTCCGTTCGAGGACGGTGTCTGGTATTGATATTTTGAAGGGAGTGATATCTGGAGTGGTCATGTTGGGGAGATATATATATATATATTGGCTTGATAGAATATAGGACTCTGAGGGCGATAGTGACAGCAACAAGAGAAACGAAGTAGGATGCAAGAGAGGGGAACCTAGTCTTAATCGTTCTCATGTACTGATTCTTTATAAACCCCTAAACCCAACTATTCGAGTCAGGCAGTCCATGTAATAACATTCGACCACCTTTGGAGGGAGGGGCCTGTATCACCGGAGCAAAAGTAACTCCTTCGGGGGAGGGGGGCCAAATTTCCTACCTACTATAGGTGCATTCCTACGGAGTACACTGACTTTTCATCGATCATCGTTTGGACCCGAGCAAAAGAAGAAAACTCGGTATCGAGTCCTATGGTTACAAGTACAAGTATCTTGAGTACAGACCAAAGCGAAAGGAGTGGCACGTCCCAGGAAGTTGTGGATCAAGTACCTGAACAAACGAGCTAATGTTGTACAATACATCCGTCTCTCAAAAAGGATCCGGCAGCTCGCTTATCGACCTTACCGTAATATTTCGGTCAATGATACGGAGTACAACATCCTCTGTACTCCAAAGGAGTATCCCATTTTTGTTTAAACGAGCAAGATTCATTACTATACCATACAAGAGGCTATCTGTATCTACTCTACTCCGTACTAGGTAGGTAATACCCACTATTGTACTCCCTCGGTAGGTACAACCATACATTCCACACCAAGAAACTCAAGACCACAAGACAAAGGTCAATATGTAGTTTCGAGTTTCGTTCTCAACCAAGATACCGAGTACTGTATCTACCATATCCATCCTTTAATCCGTACAATTCTTACACACCGTGTAAATATCAAAGTTCAATTTTATGACCCTCAACTCCGTACCAGTATATCCCATCCCATCCATCATACTACTCAATCAGTAGTTAGGGTATCAAATGATCATGACTCATGTGCATCCCATTCATATCCTTCGTCACATCCTAATCATCATTCCAAGTTCGGATCAAATTTGTTATAGTCATAACAGACCGTCAAACCAACCAGATATTCGATCCATCCGGTGGTGTATTCAGTCTTCATGCTCCCCCTCCTCCTCCATCGCGGTCGCAACTTTCCACCATCGTCAACCTGTTCAACTCCGTCTGCAACTCTTCTATGGTTCTTTTCAACATGACAATTCCACCACGACTCAGCGGTCGTAGAAACACCTTGGTCATATCATCTTTTTCTCCCTGAGAATCCAACAAGCTCTCATCATTCCTAGCCCTCGCAGACTCGGACCTTTCAATCAAAAGCTTGCCTTGGCTGATGATTGTGCCGAGCAGACTCTCACCTGGCTTGTCTGGGTGGTGAGGCAAATACAACCACGCCAGGACATCTGTCATCGCCCTCGGCGGACGCACCAGCGCGTTCTTGGTGAATCTTCGGGCCATGACAAACGCCTTTTCATTGTACTGCTCTGCCTCGTGAATGTATCTCTCGTCGTCTTCGTAACCTTCGAAACCGGCTTCATTGTAGAAGGGGTTCTTCACAAAGACGAGGCCTTGCAAAGACACCAAAATCTGCAGGATTGTAGCCATGGGATTCCATGATTCAGTCTTGTGCTGTCCCGACCAAGTACCCAGCAGACTCAGACAGATCTTGCCTTCTTCGTAGAGGTTGGGATTGATTCGACCCATTCCGCTCGTCCAGCTATGAAAATGCGCCGTCGGCGGTTGCTCTGGAAATCGTTCCGGTAGTTGCAAGTCTATCAGAAAAGGAGCATTCTCATAAGGCGTATCTCGAGGTCCAACCATGAGGCATCGGAAGAGATCAAGTCGCCTTTCATAGGTTCGAACATAGATTTGCCCTTTGGGCAACGAGGACGCGAGAATTTTATGTTCTTTGGCAATCCGTTTCAGTGCACCGATAGATGAGGAAACTGATTGGAGCCCAAACTGGTCTGCTGGAGGCTCTTGGTCGAGTATGAGGAATTGCGGAGGTGGCCCGGGTGGCATCGTGGTCGATAAAGGGGCCTCTGCTGGGGCCTCTGCTGGCTCAGGTGGCACTGTGGTCAAGATTGGGGCATGTGATTTATGAATCAGATCAGCCTCCTCCGGTGTCAAGTCTAGTAGTAAATCATCAACCTCTCCCATTTCCACGTCGGCATCAGAGTAGTCATCGGACGAGTCGTCCGAGATCTCGATGTCCACGTCAAAATTATCCACATCCAGCAAATCGCCATCAACTGATTCCATGTCGCGTCGGTCACCAGGAATGCATGCTAAGAGTCCATCAAGATCCATGCGGACATCACGACAATGTTGAGCTGCCCCCAGTCGCACAGTCAGAGAGCCATCAAGTCCAGTTGCAACCACCTGGCCTACCCAGTCCCGTGGCCCTGCACCATTCGGTTCAGTACGAGCCTTTGGCATTCTCCACGGCGCTATACTGATAGGGGAGAGCTCTCTATCTACTGCCCTCTCTATTCCAGGTCTGGGTGAAGTCGAATTCGTTGGTAGTGATATGTCAACGCTTTCGCCAGTCTCGTAAGCTTGCTGGCCCCTGGTGACTTTTACCAAGTCCGCAAGGACGCACATGTCCCTTGGTAGACAATTAAAGAAAGGAAATGGTAGAATCTCGTACAAAGAGACATCCGATACTGTGTCACCGATGGGCCCAAAGTGGGAGGCATGGCTCAAATTCCGCCCCGACGACAAGAGCTCGATCTTCGGTTTCCGATACCAGCGGATCGAGGCCACTCTCTCGCGCGGGTCGATGGTCTGAATGACACCCACTTTCTGCGGCATCAAGTCGTGTGGACGTTCAAACAATGCCATCTCATTGAACTCTGACGTTTCAAAGCTGACGGCGGAAGATGATGCTGTGGGTCTTTGAAGCATTCCCTCGCGCATAACGACAATATTCGTAGGCTGTAGTTCGGGTTCGAAGAGGTCATGATCGTGCAAGTCCATTGAGTCAGAGGTTGTTGTCGAGCCATCTTGCCAGAGTACAGTTGCCTTTTGTTTCATATCGACGACTATGAATTCGTTGAAGTCCCAATCAGGGTAGTCGACAGATACCACCCTCGTTAAACGGCCGTGAGAGTTCTGTTCACTCCCCTGATACTTGACGGCCGCCCCCGTGGGATCTCGGAATCTAACGTGAGTACCCACTGCAATGTATAGTCCCAGGAGGACGCTTTGCGTGTCTTTCGGATATCCTGATATTGTTCTCGAATGCAATGTCGTTGTTATTGTTGCTGTCTTGCTTGGCATTTTGGCAGAATCATAGACAGATACATACTTGTTAAGGGTTAATTGGGCCTGGTCTTGAAAGGTGTCAATGTTTTCGTAAATGGATTGTTCGCATCTCGGTTTTGTACTTGCGTTTGATTTGTCGCGCCGATTGTTGACTAACCACATCGTAGTAACTTCTCGAGCGCGAACATCTAGCACCACTCCAAGTCTACGGCACTTGGGGTCGTATGAGCCACGAATCCATCTTCCTTCTCTCAGTGGACCATGATTGATAACGACGTGATCGCCGGGGCGTAATACTTCCACAGGAACCCCATATGTGTTTTCGGTATTGGCAAAATCCGGCAGCTCCTTTCGCGTAGCATCCCCACGGATAAACATATTGAACAGCGGTATCCCGTTATCTTCAAGTGGGAGACAGATGCCGCCAAGTCCTGTGACCACCACGACTGACTTGTTTTCAAGTGCAATGACCACATTGTATCCAACATCCGAAACCAATCCTATCCACTTGTCACTTGTCAGGTAATCACCTCTAACCACATCTTGTGCTACTTTGATTTCTCGGGACGGGACGTTATAAATGAGAGCGTGCGGGTTCGGATGGGAGAACCGTAGTGGAGGGTGCGAGGCGCATGCAGGTGAGCACGATGGGAACAATTGTTCGACGGAGAGTAGTTTGGCGACTTCCCTGTCGCAGGCGAGTGGTGCGAGCGTGTAAGTTTCGTCGACATCGATGACCTTTCCAGTCATGCAACTGCCGTCCTGCCTCACAACGTCGCCAACTTGAAAGGCGCGGCTCAGAAGGGTCAGATCATTCTCGTCCACGAGCGAGCAACCATCTGTCTCTTCAGCCCATTTGACATAAACATAACCAGCTGGTGGCACGCCGGTTGCGAGAAACTCATCCGACACTTTAGAAGGGATGGTAGTGTGTGCGAGATTCAACCTATTTTCTAGACGAGGTGTGTCCGGCTCGCCATTCGTACGGGTGATTGCCCCGTGCAATCGTGTGTTCTGCTTGAGAGCAACATGATCGTAGACTTCGAGGGTTCGCATCTGCCTAATGTGACGAATTGAACGTGGCGTAAGGTCAATGGTGGTGGGCTTAAGAAATGAGAAGACAGGCACGACATGGAAACAGTACGAGGAGAGCACAACAAGGCTACGGCAAAACACCGGCATGAATCTATTCCTCCTTTACCAGCCAAACATCAAACGTCACTGATATTCCAAGACATTTATTGATCATCTTGCTTCCCGAGTATCTCAGACGTATTCTTGTATGTATCGCTACCTTCTGCCTACTCATCATCAGGTCACTCGCCGTCCATGTTGCATCATATCTCAAACTTCTCTCCAACCAGCTCTTCACTCAACTTCCACAGTTTCTCGGCGTTTTCCACCGATTCAGCGTATTCGTAAGTCGGCTGGCATTTTGAGTCTGCCATGTACATACCACTCTGGCTCTCAATTCTGGGGTCCAAAGCTGCCACAATGGTGGTGGTGATGCCCTGTTCAACCGGCTTGGGGGGATCTTGAGCCAGTGGGAAGGGTTTGCCCGTGTTCTTGAGAGCAATCGGGTCAATCTGTGCCAACGCCGCCATAACATCAGAGATATGGTTGGCCAGGTTCGTGGTCATGATGCCACCCGGATGTACACCGTAGCTTTGAATGCCTCGCGACTTCAGTCTCTGTGTCAAACCTAGAGAGAAGAGGACGTTGGCCGTCTTTGCCTGACCGTACGCTGACCATGGGTCGTATGCCTTGCCGTTGGAAAAGTTGTAGTCATCAAAGCGGACCGGTCCAATCTTGTGACCGAGACTCGTCAAGTTGACGATGCGAGAACCAGGACCCGCGGCGAGGATCTTGGGCAGGAGCAGTTTCGTGAACAAGAAGTGGCCCAGGTGGTTGGTCGCAAATTGCATCTCGATACCATCCTTGTTCGTCTGGTATTCGTTCAGGGCCATGACGCCGGCATTGTTGATCAGATAGTCGAGCTTGTCAATAGAAGAGTTGATGGTGGCAGCTGCGACGCGCACAGAGTCAAAGTCGTCGAGCGAGACAGGCACGAAGGTGACTTTGATAGCCGGGTTCAGCTCCTTGATCCGAGCAATGACTGAATCGACTCGGGTTTGCGAGCGAGCAAGGAGGATCAGATGCGCAGGGCTGGCATGAGCGAAAGCGATTGCAGTCTCAGCTCCCAGCCCTCGTTCGCTGGCCCCGGTAATGACAACTGCGACGAGATTCAGTCAGCGGTGGGTCTTTCTCCGGAACAAGGCAGAATGCTCACTTGTTTTGCCATCGACTCGATCACGCAACTCCTGGACTACCTCGACACCTGTAGTTTCTCGAGTGAAGTCCTTCATGTTGAAGATTCAGAAGCACGTAGCAAGATGTTCGAAGCGATCACTTTGGGAGTTGGTAAGTTGTCTTGAAGTTGGTTTGTGCGGGCGAAGAGAATGTATTCTCTGTTGATCCACGAGGCAAGTCTTCTCCTTATATACTGCACGGTCACCCTGATCAGGGAGCCAGACCATGTCACTTGCTTACCTTAACATGGCCAAAGCATACCTAACTCCATAGCACAAGGCCGACAAGCCCATGGTCCTGATGAACAATGCAGATGGTATGGATACTGAGCCAGGCACCGAGTACTCTCGAAAGAATGGACATTCTATGCCCACGAATCAGGTCATCTTGTGCCCTGAGCAAAATAAAAGACATGACTCTTTCCGACGGAAATGCGGACGACGTGGATCATCTTGTATCGGCCGTATGAACGTTAGTGCGAAATCTGGCTATGAGGCGGCCGCTTGCGAAAACTGCTGACCGGACTTTACGCAAAGGTCATAAGAAAGCCACAAAGTACATGTCTATCGCCGATGTCATCAAGCCACGATCTGGCTACGAGTAGATACATATTGCCACGGAGTACCTAGCTGTATTTCAAGTGGTAGTATACGCTGTTTGCGCTAAGTCGTGGGCTCTGCTCTCAATCTACAGTAATGACACCGTGAATACAGATGCCAATGAGAGATCCTCTCGATTACTCTACGCGAACGCTGCCGGGGGATATTAAAGCGTCAAGGGAAACGAAGAGTACAACTAAACACATTCATTAACAGGACAAAACGATCAACTAACAATATGAGAAACAGCAGATAGCTAGATCAAATAATTGTACAATCGTCAAGCGAGTGCCATGATACTCATTGAAGGGGTATCTCAACAAAGAAAATTCAGATGCGCCGAACCTCCAGACCCATTTTAAAGGATTCCTGGACATAACTGCGAAGATTCCTGCGACAGAGGGTATGGGATCATTCGTCAATCTTCAACCTCCCAGCCATTGCTATTCGTAATGACCAATCACGTCACCGTTGCCGTCGTCATCCAACTTAGATGTTCTCAACGACACGGGCATTCATGGCTTGCTGAAAGCCATCATTGGTCTCGGTGTTGAAAGGGTTGTTGCCAGTGTGATGTCTCGAGTTGTAACCACTAGCCTCTCCTGAGCTTGGGTGCTGCAATGCCGCGTTCATGGCGTCGGGTCCAATGGTCTGGTTGTTGGCCGGCAAGAAGATGACCTTGCTGTTAGCAGTCTTGGCCATGGCTTGCATTGCCTCGAGGTATCTGATTTGCATGGCAGGAGCAGAGCTCAGGATATCGGCCGCTTGTCTCATGAGTTTGGCGGATTCGACTTCGGCACGGGCAGCAATGACCTTGGATTCACCGATTCTCTTGGACTGAGCGGCCATCGAGAGGGAGTCCTGGAGGTCGTTGCTGAAGATAATGTCCTTTATCAGCATAGATTCGACTTGGACACCCCAGCCAGATGCGACATCCTCGATAATTTCACCAATCGACTGGGCAAGCTCCTCGCGACGCTCAATGACATCTTGCAGGACACGCGCTCCAACAACGTGTCGCAGGGTGGTTTGGGTTCGCTCCACCAAGGCTTGACGGATGTTGGAGATACCAAAAGCCGCCTTGTGAGGAGATGTAATGTGATAGTAGATGACCGAAGTCAAGTTGAGTGTAACATTGTCCTTGGTCATGCACACTTGACGTGGCACCTCGACAATCTGGATCTTGACATCGACTTGGATGAGTCGTTCGGACAATGGGTTGATCTTGACCAAACCAGGGTCGACAGCTCGAGAAAAGCGACCGAACTTGGTGACCAGACCCACGTTACCCTGCGACACAGGCTTGTAGGGGTTGGGGCAGATAACGCAGCAGGGGATGGCACCCAGGAAACCAACGCAGCTTCCCAAGGAATTGACTGCGCAGCGTTAGTGGGTGCGGTACAGATGAAAGCGCAGAACCAGTACATACTCATAGATCCATACCAGCCATGGGTCTCTGCCTCATTGTCGCCCTGAAGGGTTTGGGCATAGGAGGGCTGAAGATCCTCGCGGCGCGGTGGCTGCACCTTGATGATTCCTCCATTTTGCGGGCGAAAGCCCACAGGCGGGGTTGGCGACTTGCCGTTGTCCAAGTTTGATCCTCGTGGAGAGTCCATTGCGGAATGTTGCGATTCGGTGTTTAGAGGGCGTGTCGACGACAGGATGGGCGAGCTGGTTGAAGTGTTTATGGAGCGCGCACCTGTTGATGTGGATGGTTTGGTTGTTTGTTTTGGGACTGAAAGGTCTGCGCTCGCGATTTAAGCGACAGGCGATCGATGATACAGGATGTGGCGGACGTCTACTTCGAGATTATAAGTCACGAATGAATAAATCTGAAGAACAGAAATAACCCAGATTCAAGGCGTCATCAAGTTCATATAAGTGTACACAGTCGAGACGGCGGTGGAGTGAGACGGCAGAAGCGAAGGAGGAGATGGAGGGTGCGGGAGATTTGGTGATTGGAGGATGCCCAAAGACGCCTACGCTTTTCCCTCTGGGCGTGATCATGAGGGTCCGATGGGTGCCATTGGCCGTTTCTTGGGCCCTTGTAGGGGGGCTACTTGGCTTAGCTGCAACCTGAGGGCCGCTATTTCTGGAAGCATGGGGCATGGTTCCGTTTTCCGGCTTCGCAATAAAACGAAAGTAATGTAGATCCCACGGTCCATCGAGCTCATGAGAAAAACCCTGGAGACCAAAGCATGCCTCGCATCTTAGCTCATACTTGTGAACAGTCCACCCGAGGGCGCACATGACGGCGAAACACCTACAGTATGGAGTACGACTACAACCAGGAGCTAAACCAGCTCGTATCCGGGATTGCAAACGTGGAGGCATATTGGGTGCTGTCCGGGGTCTGCCTTGCACGCTACGAAGCTGCGAGGCCTGTCAGTAGTGAGATGCTCAAACTGCGAGGTGGCTTTGACCCGAGGAATCATATCACTCCAGCGACAATGCTTTAGGGGGGCAGTGCTCAACCTCTTCCTCCACTGAGCTTCGTTACTGGTCTTCTAGTTATGTAAAGGCCATGCTTAGCATTTGACTTACAACCTTCTCCCCCTGGCTTTTCCGCTCCCTGGGCTATGCTGCCATTCGCTCCGCGGCAGATTCTGAAGTACATCGCGTGGCACATTATCCCTCTCACAATGATGCTCGATCCCCGTCATCCTTGCTGCCGTGTTGCCGTCCGTCTCCAAATGCGTCAAGGCGTCTTCGGCAAGAAAGCTTGGTCTCGTCGTCTACCCTCCACGAAGCACATGAACGTTCTACCCCGGTTCTCACACACACACCACCTCCTCGAAAAAATTCTCTCATGCAGCTAACATGCGGGGAGGCCGCGTCGCCAGCAGACTTGTTGATGGAATCAGTTCGATTTGAGCATCACACCCGTCTTTGGGATTGTTGGCCACCGGTCAATGTAGTCCAGCCGTTTAGGGTGCCACCCATCGGCATTGACAAAGGAGACACTGCCAGGAGCAAGTGAGCCTCATCTTGGCAAATCAGATCCTTCGGGGGGCTTGGAGATGAAACCACAGATTTCCAACTCCTCCCCTGAGAATTCCCTCAGCAGTATTCCCGTGCCCAAAAGGTTATTCCTTGGCCCATCACAGCATCCTGTGACCGGGAATTCCTGGCACATTTTCTTCACTACTGCGCCTTCAACCACAATGTGGTCTTTGGACTGACAACAACCAGAACGAACTCGTCAAGATTGTCCATCTCCACTGATCTACATAACCATTAGACTGTACGGAGTACTTTCTCTCACAGCGCCGTGGCATTTCTTGGGACACGGAATTCGGCAGCCAAGACTTCAGCTGTTCTACCGACCTTCGAGAACTTTGCCCAACATAGCTAGTCACCTGCCCACCGTAGTATCCCGTGACCGGCTGCGCACCAGCACTGTCCTCAATGTCCAAAAATAACAACTGCGATGGACGGATACTCGGTCCTCGTACTCGTATTGTTGTACCGACGTCCTGGCACTATCTTGCTACTGTCCTGCTTTGGGCATCGTGGCGTCATGAGATCTTGGAGAAGATCCGGGGAAAAGCCAGAACTTCCTATACATCCGCTAATTATGCCGTATCGTGTCCCTTACTTAACATCTTAGGCTCTCGGACCGTCACACCCAGGTCGCTTGAGGCAAAAGAGGCCTTGGCCATATCGTACTCGCATTTTGGCATCATGCACTGACATTTAACAATTCTAAAAGTAGCAGCATTAGGCTTGAGCTCAACTTTGCCGTCATAGCCGCTCTAGTCAGGGGAATCACCCTCTCACAATGGTACAAACTTGAGCACAAACAGAAGGCATCTGGTACGGCTGATCATGGGTCCAAACCTTCTGCAGAGAACGTATCCAAGAAAAGAAACCACGGGGAAACGGAACCTGCCAAGGTCTTGAAGGGACCTCATCCAAACAAGAGAGCCAAAACCGAAGTGCATGATCGTTCCATTTCTAGACAGTCCAGCTTCAGGGCATCAAACCAGAAACACGAGCCCTTCGAGACGAACATCGGGCAGTCATCTTATCCTCGGATCGAATTCCTCGTTCAGCGGTATGGCTCTGTCCCGCTTTCAGACACCGAGCTCGAAGAGCCTCTGTCTCCGAAGCCAGAGACCATAATGTCCCTGTTGCTGAAGGTCTTGTTCTCGTCGACCCGCATCTCACACGAACTTGCCGCCAAAACAATTGCTAGTCATCAAGGCCAACTACCATGAGATTGTCTGCTTGGAAAAGTCTCAATGGCTTGAGCGGACCCAAGTTCTGACCGAAGGAGGCTACACTAGATTCAGGGGAGAAGACAGCCACAGGATTGGGTGAACTAGTCAAACTTGTCGACGCGAAGTACAGCGAGTGTTATTCTCGCCATCCCATTTTGGTATACTTCACGTTGTTCCCTCGTCCAAAAATAGAGTCGAGCCTGTCCTGCAGGGAATTCCGCCACCGCCGTCAGTTTCGTTGATTTGCGCACATCCTAGATGGCGATTTGAACAACCTTTCCCCAAAACTTCGGATGGTTTCGTCTCCAGAAGAGAGCCGTCTTCGGCTGAAAGAGATCAAAGGTCTCGGAGATGTTGGTGTTGATATCTTCATGGACACCGCCCAGACTCTCTGGCCTTGTCTTGCCCCCTTCCTTGACCCACGCAGTGCAAAACACGGCAGACGCTGTCGGTGTCCCAAGCGGGGTGCAAAGGTTGTGGTCAAGACCCTGTCAAGATGTGCAAGCTCGCTTCGACGTTGACTACCATCAGACTCGACAAATGCGACAAGGAATTCCAATGAATCAACAACAATTGAACGACTCGGATATGACAAAGATGTGGTGCATTCTCATAAAATTTCTCCCCTCCTGGTTTCATGGAACAGCATCATCGAGGTTTCTGGAGAGGTCGAATTAAGGCGCAGTCTACACAAGGGCACCGCGACACGTACGACGACAACTACCCCATACTCAGCCTTCCATTCTTCACTTTCTCCCCTCTCGTCCCACCAGCGCCTGACGGCACGCGATTCCTCCATACAGAAGATGGCGTTGTTGTCACTTTGACATGTAAAGGTATGGTTTGTGAAGTACTCAAGATTGTGTCGAGTGAATGTGGCATTTCCTCATTATTCTGAACACCGACCATGTCATGTCACATGGACACGATTTCCATTCACTTCTCACTGACAACATGGGCGGTTAGAAAAGTCATTTCACTTGCAAGTCATAAACAAACAGCAAGTATCACATACATTTCCCTTTCCCATTACCCGTCATGAATTGAACCTCTCTTCTTTTGTCTTCTGCTTCCACCCTTCCACCCTTCCACACTCCCAAGGATCTCGCAATCTCGCCGACCGTCGTCTCCATCACGACTCACAATTGACCCCTCTCACGACATTGAAGAATCATGGCAATGCTCCCAGACGTCCAAAGAATCTGGCTCGTCTTCTTGCTTGTTCTTCTCATCCTCCTGACCTTATGTCCAAGTCAGACCTGTGCTCACCCTCACGCTCATCCTGCATCTGACACCGACATCACCACCAACGTCACCTTCATGACTGGCCGTCTAAACTTTACAGATGCACTCTCACATGGATTTCTCGCCTCTGAGGCCGTCGAGGAGAAAGAAAAATGCAAGTGCGACCCAGGTGAATGTTGTATCAAGTACGGGGACCACGACACGTGCTGTCACAGTGATCAAGATTGTTGTCCAGGAATCATTTTCTTCCCTCCAAGCATTGTACATGTGAGTCTACCTACCTAGTCAGTTTAGTTCCATTACGACACCGGGATTCCCCATACGCAGCTAGTTACCATCCTTGGATGTCGTTTCTGTCTTGTCTTTGTCGAAAACATTACAATTCGCAGGAGTTGACAAACCTTGCTGACGTATTTTGGTGTAGCCATGTTGTTGTCAAACTTCCATCGACGACGACGATGTCGGTGTGAAGAATGGGTATTGTGATTACTCTTGCTGTTGAAACTGGACAAGCCAGGAGAATATGCCCGATAGGACCAGGGATCCATTCCATTTGATTACACACAACTCGCCACGTACTACTAGTAACTCGGCTATGCCTGTCAAGGTATATTCATTCCCACGGCTCTTTTTGATTGGGGGAATGGATATTCAATCGGCTGTCAAGAGAGTAACAAGCAAGAAATTGGAGAGAGATTGAAGATTGGATCACAAAGGGAGTGCTTGTGACAGTGGAAAAACGAACACACCGAGTACTGTACTTCGGTCATGGTCATATGGCGTGAGGTGAACCGAATGACAGAAGATCAAAGAGCAAAAGGAATGATAGACACCTCAGAGAGACTGGCAATACTTTTACAACAGTATTCAACTTTGGCCTCTTACATTCTTGTAGCATCTACTTTCTAATAAGTCTACTTCTGAAATCTCGACACAAGACAAACTCCACTATACTTACGCTGCACCGTTGATTTCGAATCATCGACACAATCAACTCCATCTTTTCCGTTTTCAATATACTCATTTCCTGACACACCTCGAAACAGCACATGTACAATGATGTTCCGTCGTCCGACCATTCTTCTAGTTCCAGCTTCTCTACAACTTCTTCGTGTGTGTATATATATATCCAATTCGATCGTATGAAAATCTTTCATTCATTCAGGCGTCCGTACTCACCTGAAAGGGCTCCGCAATCTCACTCGCCATGCCCTTGATCCCCCTCTCCTCGTCAGGGTGCAAGACGACATTGAACCACGTCCTCAGGCCGACGATGCGATCCTTTTCGGTCTTGGCGTCGACCACGACCTCCTTGCCCCCCTTGCCGCCGTACTCGGCGCCCAGTCGGCGCTCGATCTTGCCGCCGTTCAACGTGACGGTGCCGGTGGGCTTCAACCGCTTCTCGTCCACCAGGATCTTGGCCAGCACGAGCCGGTGGGTGAACCAGCTCGAAGGGTCCATGGAGGTGCGGTAGTTGATGATCTCAAAGTCCCCGGGGAGCCACTCGAGTTCGTTGAAACAGTAACCCGCGGCCCATTCGGGCTTCGAGGCGTTGCGGGTCTCAAACACCCAGAGCCGCTGGGTCGGGTCGGTGTTGGGCGCGATGGCGCGGTAGACGAGGCGGCACTCGGCCCCCGGCACGGACGGGTAGACTCTGGCGTCCGAGAAGTCGGGCGCCGTGGGTTTGACGAGAGGGATGGCGTCGATGAGTGGTTGAGATCCAAACCCTACGTCGGCCTATGAAACCTCACAAAGAAAGAAGCCGGTCAATAGGCGGTGGGGGAGATGAGGAGAGAGAGGTGACAGGATCACAAAATATTGAGAAAAAGGTCGTCGTCGTCGTCCAGAGGTAACAAAACAGGGGGAAAAAACACACTCACCAAATACTTCTGTCCATTGATCGTAACTAGGATGACTTCGTGTTGCCTGTCATTGGGTGTTTCGGTCAGATTTTTCAAGGTCCAGAATCAATGGACCCGCGTGTTACGGTGAGGTGTGGTTTGGGACGGAACATACCATCCTGCAAATCCATGGGGATTGGCGCCTCCCTCGAGAGAATAGCTTATCCTGGCGCCCGTCACGTACAGTTGATAGCCCAGGGATCGGAGGATGGTGGAAAAGAAGGCGTTGTTCTCCATACAGTAGCCGCCGAGTTTTCGCTCGACGATCTTGTGGAACAGAGCTTCGGGGTCGAGAGAGAGGGTACGGTGCCACGAGTAATGCAACGCCACGTTGCCCCATGGGTTGAACGCCATCTGTCGGAGCTGGAGAGTCGAAAGAGCGGCCAGTGGATCTGCTTTGATCTCGGCCTCGAGGGTCGACAGGGTGTAGCTTGGGTCGGGGGCGATACAGGAGACGTACAGTGCGAGCTGATCGCGGGTGTACGTCGGTCGATAGGACAATTCATGTTCGTCGGGCAACATTGTAGCGGCTGTTTCAAATGATTGAATGAGTGGACAAGTCTGAGAAATCTTCCACAAGTCTGTATGGTCAGGCAGCGCTGAGATTGAAAAATCAAAAAGTGTGTTTCTTGTGTATGTATATACCTCAAAGATAAAATATAAAAATAGTCCCAATCCAAAAGAGGGTGTGGTGCAGCACCTTAGACCGGAAATTCCGGTTCTCGAAGAAGATGATAGTTATTCATCAACAAAGGGATCGACACACAATAAGTACGAGGTACGAGATGGGCATCAGGTAGACAAGGCAGTGATAGAGGAGAGAGAGAGATTCGGATATCAACGCACCTACGCAGTAACTGTGAGTTATAAATCAGAAAGTGGTGAAGCGGAAAAGGCCCCAATCGATGGTTGGTGAACAAGTTGTCGCGAATCTAGACTCAAGCCACGAGGACTTCTTTCATATATTTGATACTTCCGTACGCAGTAATAGGTGATTGTTATCTTTGTTGAGAAGTTCTTTAATAGAGTATGTACTTGTGTTTATATTTCCATAATTGATAAAGATGGTGGTGATGGTTGGCCTGATACTCCGCATGACTGAACAATTTATGCTCGGGTGTTTTGTGCGTATCTCACTCCGTACAATCTGCATAGTACACACAAATGTGAAGATTCGTAAGGCCTTTCTTTGTTCCTTGATCCCCTGTGTATCAGATTGAGAACTTGTCCACTACAGTAATACGGAGTATCTTATGTAGTATTGTGATGCTTAAGCGAACAAATCAATCGTTTCCATTTCACCGGATTCTGAATCATCTCAGCTCCTTCTCATCAATGACCAAAATTCCCCCTGTTTGGAAACTAGTCAAAATAGTATTTTATTATCGCACTCTTGGTTTTTTTCATTTGAAGTCTTTTAGTGAATACGTTTTGTGTTGTATGTTCTTTTTATAAACAAATTCTTTCTCTTGTTCTTTTCTCTCCTTCACCGAGACACGGAGCTGTACTGCCAACTTGTCCCGTTCCCCGCCTCCCCCTTTGAAAGTGCGCCACTTGAATCATCGAGCTGCCAACCTGGAATCAACCGCTAAATTACCCGGTACGAAGCAGCTCGTCCCTTCGTACCTCATCCAAGTTCCCTCTTTCAAACCCTCTTGATCTGATAGTGAAGATAGAGAGGGTGGAAGTGAGAAGTACTTAGTATGAATTATAAACAGCCATCCGTGGCTTGTCCATCATGAAGGAAACGTTGCGTAAAAAGTCCACAAGATCGGACTCTACCAGCGAAATTGACAATCCTTCCACCACAAGTGAAGCCCCCTCTAACCCATGGGCGAGCGAATCTTCGTCCGCTGCGAACGGTGAGCCCATCTCACGACAGACTTCAAAGTCGTTCAAGACACCAGAGACAGGTTCTCCCATTAGGCCCACAGCTCAGGAAAAGTCTTCATCATCATCACCGCCACCACCACCACGGTCAACAACGCCAGCGACACTTGAAGTGAACGGCGGAGAAAACGGCACTGATAAGCCGACCCGTCGAAGAAAGACCATCACAAAGACACCTCACACCTTCGAGCTCGAGGTCGACCTGAACCCCATGAAGAAAGAACAGCAACCACCACCCCCGACGCCAGAGGTGCCCAGGACAGAGACACCCGCCTCGACGCCGGCGCCGAAAAAGAAAAAGAAAGCCGCCCAAAATCCTCCTCCAGAAACACCAAAGTCGATTACAGTAGTCAATGCTGTACCTTCCATTCAATCGACCCCTGCCACACCGACATCACCAAAGCCTGTCTCGGTACCTCCATCACAGACATCGACACCCTCCGCCACAGCGGTTCAACCGCCTCCCACACCCGCTTCCAATGGACCTACCTCCCCGAAACCGGCTCTCCCGACACCTGCTGCTCACCCCTTTACCAACACCCACCGACCCAAGAAATCTCTGTCGTCGTCTACCGCCGTCACGACTTCCAGCAACCCATGCCGCTTCACTCCACCGCTTCTCCCGGACGAATCCTTCCATGGCAAAGTGGTAGTCCTGACCAACGGTGCCTCTCAGACCGGTCAAGCTCTGATCCGTCAGTTTCACGCCGCCGGCTCGCGCGTCATCTTCGGCGACAAGTCATCCGACCAAGCGCGCAAACTCATCTCGTCCCTCCCACCCCCCCACGTGGTACATTTCAACAAATGCGACATGACACGGTACTCGGACATGTTGGAACTCTTCAAGCTCGCGACGACCATGTACGGAAGGGTCGACCACGCCATTTTCGGGGTCGGCGACGACGGTGGACACGCGCGGTCCGTGGCCGAGGCCGAACGCGGCTGGTTCGACCATGACCGGCCGGGTATGAACAAGACGTTCCGCATGGCCGTCTCCGAAATCGAGCGGGAACCCTACGGTCTGGGCGAGACGTTGACGGCGGCCACGCGGTTTGCCAGGATCGCAATGGCTTATCTGAAATACTCACCGAAGGCGAAACAAAAGCCCAAGATTGTCAATCCTTACTCGAGTCCACGACCCGACGAGACCGTGGGAGGAGGACCACCAGGCAAGGACGATCGCAGTTTGACCTTTGTCACGAGCGTCGCGGCTTTCAAAGAGACGCCAGGTCTACCCATCTACCAGATCTCACAACACGGTATCCTGGGTCTGGTCAGGAGTCTGCGTAGTGCCGTCGACCCGGACCCCGAACGGGACGGGGTGAGGATCAACGCGGTCGTCACGAACGTCATGGTCCCCCGGGCGTTGGCCCAGAGCGGGGGGAGGATGAGCGTTCAACTCCCGCCCGACAGGCCGGAGGACGTGGCGCGCGTGGTTGCCGGGGTCGTGGCGACGAGCAGCGCAAACGCGGTGGTGACGGAAGGGACCGAAACCGGTATCACGAACGGTGGAGGCATTTGGTACGAAAGGGGGTTCGAGAGGGGTGTCAGAGAGAGGTTCTTGCACGGCCGCGTGATATATGGTGTCGGTACGGAATGTTGGGACGTCCAAGAGGGTTTGGATAGGAGCGAGAGTTTGTGGATCGGTTCGAAACCCGTCGAGGCGATGATGAAGGGGTTTGGGACTACTACTACCACTACAGGGGCAGGACAAAACGATGGGAGTAGTAGTTGGATATTGGATTTAGCGTAGCATTCAAATTTTCTTTTTGGGACCCTCAGACTCCTGTCTATCTATACTAGGTAGTAAATGTCTTATCGTGGTACCTGTCCGGTTATGTTCCACTGAACCCGACTGATACCTTTGTTGCCCATGAGCCAGACGGTGTTGAACTCGTCACCGGTGAATTGGAAATTCGAGACCGTGTGGTTGGCCTGGACTCGTAGGATCAGTTGACCTTTGGGGTCGATGACGTCCAGGCCGTGTCCCGAGGCGGCGACCACGAACCCTTCGCGGCTCACCTTGATGCCATCCGGGATGTAGTTCTGGGCCAGATAGAAGGATCTCTTGTTGGTGATTCGGGTGCCGTCTTCCTCGACGTCAAAGGCATAAATGGACCTGCGTCCGGTGGTGTTGTAATGTTTCGTCCCCGGTCCGACCTCGGGCGCGATGCTTCCCGTCAACGCACCGGACTCGGTGACGTACAGAGTCTTGCCGTCGGGCGAGAAGGCGATCCCGTTGGGTTGTTGGATGGTGTCGTCGACCAAGAACGTGGCCCCCGTGCGAGGGTCGAAACGGTAAGTGGCGGTCGGTAGCTGAGGGGCGGTGTCGACGCGACCGTTGAACCAAGGGTAGTCGGGGTCGGTGAAGAACAGGTCGCCCGTCGGGGGGTAGACGGTCACGTCGTCGAGGTTGTTGAAGTAGAAACCGTAGTAGTTGTTCAGGATCGCGGTGGACTTGTTGGTGTGGGGGTCCACCGTGTACAGGGAGATGCGTTGCTCGGTGCCGTCGATGTCGTCGAACCCTCCGCTGGAAGCCCAGTAGATCAGACCGTCGTGGTACACCCCGCCGTTGGGGGCGAAGATGGGGGGGTCGGGCAAGTACTCGCTCAGCGTGGGCGGGGTCTGGTTCAGGTTGACCACGAGCTGAGCGATGTAGTCGCCCGGGGCGGCGTTGACCGGGGGGAGTTGGGACATGTACAACATGTTCAGCTCGGGGACGTAAACCGGAGCCTCGTGGACGGAGTCGCCGATGGGGAACATGAATTCCCACCGTGGAGAGTCGCCCAGGCATTCCAGACCGCGTTCCTTGTCGAAGACGACAAAGTTGGCGTCCTGCAAGAGGTCGAAGCTAGGTGCGTTGGTCACGCTGGTGTTGCGGAAATCATACTCTTTTTCGAGAGTCGTGATGGATCGGTTGAAGTGGTATGGAAGGACCGCTGCCTGTTGGTGATGTTTGTCAGAGGGATATTGTGAAGAAAAGAGTCAAGGACAGGTACTGTACATACATATCTGTTTACACAGACGACAGAACCGTTGAAACCACCACAATCTTCAACGATCGGTGTAGTCACTCCAGGTGGTTTGGACTGCGCCAGGGCATTAGATGCTAGGATCGAGGCCACGCTCAAGCTGAAGATGGTCTTCATCATGTTTCAGTCCGACTATCAGTCTCGAGATTGAACAGCGGTTTTCCCCCTTGAGGTAATTGAATTCTTTTGTAGCAAAACAGAAACCCGACCTATTCTACCTCGGGGGGTCTAGGGCCGCCTCTCTGCCTTTATGCGTTCTGAGGGAAAAAAGTCCCAAGCCATCTCCAACTTGGTTTTTGGGATCTTGGGACCTGACGATCATTGTACGGGAGTACCGAAGCTGCACATACCTAGACTCGAATAGCCTATGAACAACCACCTCGGACGAATCCGAGTAGCATTTCCTGAATTTGTGCCAAGTCGGCAACGCAGAGTTGAAGTAAGTTATTTCGTTGGAGAAATAGCTACCATAAGGTAGAGTAGTTGTCAATCATTGCTTCATTCAGCGTATAAGACGGCTTAAGCGGTCAATGTTTGGATCATAGACTAGATAGATAATATTGCTCCACGGGGTCCCCAACAGGTCATGTCCCTTGGATAGTAACATTACGTCGTGTAAAGAAAATCCAAGTTGGAGAAAGCTAGATGATCTTGGGTAGGTAGTTTGGTACCTGAGCGATCAGACATGATTAGGTATCTTCTTCCCCCGGCGATCGACCGAGGACGAGAGAGTGAGAGGAGAGATGAGAGTCGGGGTATTCATTGATCAAAGGCGAAGTTGAAGACCGTTTACTCCATACTGTTTGTACCGAAGGAAGTACGGATATCTATCGAAGCCTTGCGGAATACGAGAGGTACGTCGGGCTCGTACTCGCACTCGTACTCGTACGTACTTTCCTTCCGTAACACGTTGAAGCCAAGATGTTCAAGCTACGGCATGACTTTATCCAAGCCGGAAAGAAATTCCTTCTCTCCAACATGCCCAAGTTGTAACAAAACCGCAAGCCTGTCAGTGATAACACGGAGGACCTTTTCATAAGATGGGTAGATATGCACCGAAGCTCCAATTATCAAGAATGATGTATCAAGGAAGGACGACAACAGAATCCCATGACGAAGACATGGACTCCCACATGATGTTCAGCTACTAAGATGAATCTGGAAGGACTTTGACCAGGGTTCATGCTTGTGGCTTGCGTCGAAAGATTCTAGACCATCACGAGCGAGACACCCTGAGACAGACTTCTTGAAGCCCTCTGATGAGATGGGCACATCAAGTTATCAATGTAGGATGCCATCATGACACCATTGATTTGAAAAGGTGCCCTCAATATGCTGCTGATCACGGAGTATGGGCATGGCTATTGAGATGCTCAAATTCAAGTCCCCCGGATACCTCGTACACTGACTTCTAGAAAATGAGTGAGTCGACCGAACCAATCCACGAAGGTGTGGATGAATTTGTCTATGACCCAATCCGGACGTCGCTCTTCGCAATCATTGATGACGAGCAAACAGCATACAATGACCTCGAGAAGCAAGATCGCCATTCTCTGTTCAAAGCAGCAACCCTTGACATCTGGGAATCCAACTCTCAAGGTGTCCGCATTCTCGACCGGACTTATCCTGTGTCTCGAAGACTACCGGAGGACTTGTTCGATGCTTATCACCCCGAAGTTCCCCAAGGAGGTCGCCTGGCCTTACGACTGCTCTGCACAAGACCAGCCCTGAAGTTTAGCCAAGTCCCTCGCCGTCACAAGCTCCTCCATGCAGAAGACCGACAGATCGCCCATCTACCTTTCATCCCGAGCGAGATGCAAGACCTCATACACCAATGGGACCTCAACCGAGAATATACCTGGTTGCGACTGATGTGTCGAGAGGTTGGCAATTTCCAGCGCAAAACAGTGTGGGACGATAGTATCAGTCCCTCACGAGCTGTCAGAATTGGTATGTGTTTGCACTTATATTGTCATGTCCATGATCGTTCTTACGAGCTTCCTCCTGTAGGAATTGTAGTCAACTTTCCCTTTGTCCTCCGTCCAGCACGACAAGTCCAACTCCAGGTTGAAGCAAAACCCAAACAACCAAGAAGCCCAATACTCGTGGACCGCTATCGTCTCCAACTTCGCGAACGAGAGGAGCCTCGCCGCGAGGACCCCTTTCTCTGGTCCTTCGCCATGTCACACTCGCTCGACAACGGTCAGACTCGAGCTCTCCTCGACGGCACGACCGATGCCGCCGTGGGCGACTTAAAACGCCGTCTCCTGAAAGCCGGTTCTCGATGGTACCTGCACCCATTACACGTCCCTACAGTTTTGTTGCACATCTACTTCGACCACGCAGCCTGGGAGGTCAACCGTCTCTGCAAGGCCGTGGCGCACTTTGAGTATTTGTCGCGCGACGCCGGGATCGGGTCTCTGGAGCAATTCGACACCATCACCACGCAACTCCAATACATCCGACGCTCCTTGGACTTTCAACAGTCGCTCGCCAAGTTTCTGTTGGAGACAATGACCTTTCTCGACGACAAGATGCTGACGACAGGGGCGGCAGGAACGACGACGGCGTCGTACAGGACGTACGTCCACCGCGCCAACCCGCACATGGAGGAAAAGCTCGCCAACATCCTCCACCTGATCGAGAACGACATCTCGACGAGCCAGTACTTGCAATCTCGGACCCGGGACGCCTTGGACTTCATCAAGGGCAAGATCGCCCTCCGCGACAACGAAGCCAACAAGGAAGACGCCGACAGCAACAAGACGATGCAGTTCTTGCAGATGACCTTTCTGCCCGCCACCTTCGTCGCGGCCATCGTGTCGACCAACTTTTTCGACCTGACCGCCTCCCCTCCGACGGTGTCGTCGTACTTTTGGATCTTTTGGCTCGTGAGCGTCAGCCTGACCGCACTGACGCTGGGGGCGTATTTCCTGTGGAAGTGGCGGGCGAAGCAGGAGGCCAAGAGGCAAGAGCAGGAGGCCGAGGCGCGGAAGAATGAGGTCGAACGGAGGGACGAAGGTGGCACGCTCGGGAGGGAAGGAGAAGGGTTCGACACGGACATGACAGACTCTGATGGTGGTGGTGACTGGTTGGGTCACCGGAGAAGACGGAGAAGGAGGCGGAGAACAACAAGAAAGTCATCTTCTGTAGCGGCCATGGATCCAGAGAATGGTCAGAATGGTGGGAAGAAAAAGGAGAAGCCGGAAATGGTACAGTGAGAGAGGCTGGCTGGCTGGTGCGCAGCCTGCATGACTACATGTCTGGTCGGAGAGGATGGCAAGGAACAAATATGGACAAATGTGTGAATTATACTAAAGGTATATTTGGAAGTAAGCAACTCCGTATCAACAATTCCGTTTTCATCCATCCTAGACAAAACCACTCCCCTTCCGATGTAAGAAATCCCGAGATCATAAATCAAGACGCGCTGTGATGTTGGAAAATAAAAAGAGAGAGGTATATACACAATAAAAATGGTGGCATGAGAATATTCGTCATGTTTGAATCTTTCTCTGAATCATCCGACAACCATCTGCTCTTGAACCATTTGGCTTGAGCTTATTGTTGTTCCCCGGCTCAAGTTGTTTCGGCTTCCTGCTACCTCTTTCACAAGTCCACTCCAAATCTCTCGAAGCCGGGATAGCAGGGTTCGTGTTGGTTGGACAAGATGGTCCGGTAGGTCTGAGGCAGGACTCGGTGGATCTCGATATTGCGGTGAAATTTCACGGTCCGAGTGAGGAAGATACAGTAAAGGAAAGTTCATGAAGACTTTTTTTTTATTCCGTCGAAGAGTGCTCGTTGGAGGGGAGATGATGCTTCCAGGTGTCATAAGGAGCACACTTGGTGTAACCGGTTGGAGCGCGGACACCACGGATCGTCGAACCACCGTCGGCTCTCTGGAGAGTCTTATGGCGGCAGTGAATGACGTGGTCGTACGAGATCAATTCCGTGATGATGGGGGCTTGATTTCTCATGGCACGAACCAACATCTCCCACGCATAAATGCAATGCGTGATGTGGTACTCTTGGGCCACGTAGACGGCATCGTGTTCTCCCTTTCTCATCTCCTCGAGGGACCAGACCTTGTTGGCCGTGGTGTCGGCGTACCAGGTCCAGTTGCCTTCGGCCAGGAAACGATCCGAGAGGGGGCGATCGTAGCAGGCGGCGGGGGTCCAAAGTTGCATCATAACATCAAACACACATCCGTTCGCGCGTGCTTCTGTCGGGTTGCTCCCGCAGCCCTGGATCTCGACCTCGTTGGCTTCAGACACACCACCATTCAGGATGGCCGAGCCGGTCGCAGTCGAGGCGACGGCACCTGTTGTGGCCGTCGCAGCCGCATCTGAACTACCGCTGGAATTGTACGAGACGACGGCGGATCCGACGGTGGAGAGGACGGCTGCGATGACTGCGATGAAGAGAGTGCCGGTGGCGATGGACAGTAGAATCGACTGTTTTCCCCAACCTGATTTGGGTGGCTCTTTTTCGGGAGGTGCCAACGGGAAGGATTCGTCGTTCGAGACGGAGCGGTAGTGATTGTTCAAACCCATCTTCGCGACTGGGGGCAGGGTTTTTTTACAGTGGGAGTGATGAAGAGGAACAAGCGCGTCAAGTGAGCGGAGGACTCGGGTGTTTTTGGGTAGGAGGGGTAGCAGTGAGCAAGTTAACAACCCAAACGAGCGCGAAGTTGTTTACTGCGACAATGTGGATGGAAACGAAAAGGGTTGTAGGAGAGAGACTGATGAGGAAAGAAGGGGAAAAAAAGGGTTTGTGTCTTTGATGGGTAGAATTGAATTGAATGGTGACGGGGCGGTGGTGATGGTGGTGTGTTATTTGAAAGAGAAGAGACAGAACCTGCTCAAACCTGCGCCCACAAGAAGATCTGGCTGGGTCTGGGCGGGCGGCATCGGTTGGCATCAGGGGGGGAGGAGGCAATAATGCCGAGCCCCCGAATGGGAAACGACAGGCGAAAACAGACCAGTGGGAGACCAATGTGAGGCCTTTTAGGGGGCGTTAGGGAGGAGCCTAAAGGGCCCCTACTCCGTACTGTACGAGCCAAAAAGAATCTGTGCACTGCCCATCCCCATCGTCATGAGATGGTGCCCGTTAAAATTACATTATCGATAACAACTGACCAGCATAGAAATAGAGAGATGGTCTCCCTTTGTTTCCAGAATTACTTTACCCTTACTCGGCGGTACCATACAAGAGTACGGTAAGACAACTACTAGGCCATCACCTGAGGTACTTTCCTCCCTTAGGTGCTCCGTACCTCTACATAGTTACATATTACCGTGGGTATTGGTACGGAGTACTCCCCCCCCCAAAAGCCTGTGTCAGTTGATTTAAACCACCCAACACACCACTTGTCTGATGTGTCTGACTACCCGCAATTTCCCTTCCCACTTCATCATCAGAGACTGTACGGGAGTAGCAATCAAGCGTTGGTTCTCGTGTAAGAAAACAACAGGATCCTCCATCACCAGAACCTGGCCTATCATTTCTCCCCAAGTCTGCGGTGAGACCATCTCATTTTGCGTCATATACTATTTATTCAGTTCCTCCATCGGTAGCGAAAACGTATCTAGGTACAGTACAGTACAAGTAGTCTAAACCTCCACATCCATGTGGGAAAATGATCTTATCGACTCCGTAGATCAACTGTCGCTACTTCATACGACACCTTCGTGTAATCTCGTTTTATACGCTCACACCATGATGCTCATCTTCGACATGTCTCTGAAACAACTCGACACATTAACCCGCATTCGACAGACCCTTCAAGTCCCCGTGAGATGAAAGATCACCTTCAGCCTGGGCCAATGTCTTTCTACCATCCTCTATCGTCTATCCACTATTCCGTACATTTGACCACCCACTCCGTTCCTCAGTATCATCTATTGGATCATCATTCCCTTCTTCCCCAACGTACAGTACATTTGTCTCTTCATCTCAGCCACAAATCCCCAAATCCCTTCAGCTGAAAAATTGCCCAGGCACCATACATTCTTCACACCACGATTCGCCCATCAGCCATTTTTAGTCGGATCGAACTAGTCCATAAACCGCCTAGCGCACACCGTCTTTGCTAGCACCAGCCACAGCCTAATGGCCCTCGCTCCCCCGTTTCTCTCCTCTTCTTTTTCTCGCCTCTGTGACTTTCATCCCGCCCAAAGCTTCTCCTCGTCCAAAGTATCCCTCAGGCAGACGGCATACGAACCAATCGTCACGCCGTATTCGTATCCGACTATACTATACGAGTGTTACTGCTTTTGAATCTCATGTTGATCATACAAGCTATAACTACAGGCTTGGGATCTTCCAGGTAGAGACAATTCACGCATATATTCTCAAACATCTGTCTCCTGCCTTTTGTATTGTGCAGAAGAAGAACTTTTTTCTCTTGCACGAGTGGCCCAAAAATTAACATCAAGATTTCATTCCCCGTCGTTGTGATTGCCGACGTGAAGACTGCGACGACGAATTACCGCACCCACTCACCTTCAGACTTGAACGAGGCTATACTTAGCACTCAGCGACAACCATATCATCATGGGTAAACTCAGATCCCAAGATTCGTCTTCTCCTCCCTCGCGACCCGCCGAGCCAGCAAGCAGTACCTTTCCCCGAATGGATCCTCCACCGCCCTACGAAGCATCGGCATCCTCTCGCACGAGTTCGGCGCACAGTAACGACAGACTTCAAGACACCTCGAACCGCGATGCTTCCCCTCCTTCCCAACCGACGCAACAAGAAGGAGCGCAGCCACAAGACCCCACGACGCAACATAATCGAGCCGCGTACCAACAAACAAAAGAAAAGCCGGCAGAAGGATGCTTGACATTCGGCAATGGCGCAACAGGGTGTATGAATTATGGCGATCACTCAGAAGGTTAGCATTGTTGCCACGAACGTTTCGCGAAGATATGCCTCGAGATCGGGCACATACCAGTGATTTCAGCACTAACATGACAATCCTCGCTCGATCCAGGTTGTATGAATTATGGTGACTATACGGATGGATGGTAGGTACCTACTCACAGTGGAGAAGATGATTCGCAGATCGACGTTCGAAGTACTGACGTGTCTTGAAAGTTGCAACTATAAATCCCGCAATGGATGTATGCTTTGGAAAGCTACGAATGGAGGGTACGTGTCTCAGCACAGCTTCGGGCTTTTGGGGATAAACACCATTTGCACGGGGCAAAAAACACTGACTATTTTCCCCCTGAAACAGATGTTTGAATTTCAGCACCGACAAGAGTGGCTGTTGTCAGTGCGGATGAAGGATGCCTTCTTGTGTTGTACTGATGTGACGATTCTATCACGGACGATGGTAAGCCTCGGCGCAAAAGGAGGTTGGTTGGCATTGGACTTTCTACGATGGTCGCACTACACGTGTGGCCATGTTCTGTTCGGTCTACATGAATATCTTGGGGGCTTACCTCTAGGAGGAAAGGGGTGAAATATACCATTATGACAGGAAATTTTGTTCGTTTTCTTTTAGCAAATGACAATATCAATCCCAGCATCCAGTTCACCCTCGGATGTTTTGATCGCCTCTCCTCTCATGATGCCGTGAATATAAACCTCGCCTTTCATCTTGTATCGACCGGTCCCATCCCACTCGCGAAGCACAAAAGATACCCTTGACCCGTACAAAACACAACAGACATCCCCTGCTTCTGCGCTGACGGGACCGAGTCCGAACCGGCCCTTTTCTGTCAAGATGAAGCTCCGTCCGGTGCAACCCAGCCTCATATCGGTCAAGAACCTTTCGAAGTCCCCACGCGAGGCATCCCCCGGTAGGACACGTTTTCGGGACAATTCAGGTTCGGCAGTGTCGTCGTGACTCGAAGCTGCTCCTGCTGCTGCTTCTCTTCTCGTCTGTTTCCAATGAGGATAATAAGCTGCAAAGTCGTCGCAATGTTGTTCCAGTCTATCTTCTGCACATTTATAAGTCGACAGGCCCGTACACAACGTCAGACTGAGTGCCATGACTCTCTCTGATGAGGAGTCGTAAGCGTGGCCGTTGTGGTGGTGTTGATCCGTCAGGGCCTCCAACATGATGCGATCCAACAAAGTATTTTGGTTGTCACTGGGCTTTCGACCACTGTCCGTACAAGTATGTTTGTTGATCGTCGTCTTCTTTTCGAATTCGTCATCCTTTTCTTTTCTTGTTGTTGTTATTTCCAAATCTTGTAAATCAGCCTCTGAAAACTTGAAGGTCTTCTGGACGACATCGACCTGACAACCTCTCAACTTGAGATCTGTTTCATTCACAAATATAGGGTTGTATTTCTTTTCCGTGGAGTCAACATAGGCCGAGGAAGAAGAAGAAGAAGAAGAAGCATCAAAATAAAACCCAGCAAAGACACCAAGACTGTTGGTCAACGAATTGACATTGTGATAGAGTGGTACCCAAGAAGGGACCGAGTGACAATCCTTCCACGTGTGCTCATCGTGCTCGACGGCCGAGAGGACACGAAGTCCAAAGTGCTTGAGGAGGGTCTTTCCAAACTCCAAAAACACCTGTTCGGCAGGCTTGTCGTAATCAGGTTCGACTATGGGACTCTTTCTCTCGTCGTCGTTGTCCGCCTCCACAAACGCCAAAGGGTGTCCGAGAAAGGCATAAATGTGATCTTGTCTAACTGCACACTCCAACCAACGCGAATGACACAACAGATCCAAGAACACTTCGTCTGGGTACGTTGACGTCTCCTTCCACCCGACGGACCAATCGATCCAATCCGTGTGGACGCTGCCGAACGAAATCCCATGACGGGTCTCGAGCTGAGGGGCGCATATCATGGTCCACACCGCCAGCCGCATCAGGTCGCGATAATGGAATTCTCGACCACTGCCACCGCCGTACAGACACACCGGATCCTTCGCCATGCCTACCTCTTGAACCACCCAAGCCCTCGTGAACCAGGGATCCTTGGAGAGCGTCGCCACGGCTTTCCATCGCGTGTCGGCGAGGATTGGGTCTCGGGAATCGAGCTGAGGATTGTCGGTGGGGGTGGCGGTGGCCATGGAGACCTCAATGGGAATCTTGGAAGAGTATTCCGCGACGAGGTCTGCGACGTCGTCTGCATCATCATTACCATCATCACTGCTGCCGGTCCAAGTACTGGTGTGTTTGTCATGACCTCCAAAACAAACAAGAACTCGTTTGGCATGTCTATATGTCTCACCCATGAACGAAACGTGATGCGATCGTTCAGCCTTGTTCTGTTGATTGATACAGACCGCATCGGCCCACAACACGCGTGATCGGTCTGTGTACCGAACTCTCTTGAACACGGCATGTAGACTAGTCGTTATTTCCAATGGCCTCCCATTGCAAGATATCGACTCCGGGCAGGTCGGATCCCCCCAGACGTACGAGATGGCTTCGTAATCTGGATGGTATCCCAGTTCGACGATCCAGACACGGATGGAGACCGGGTCACGAGGCTGGCCGGGTTGAAGTTCAACCAGTCTGAACATGTATCCTTCGAGGAGGGGCAAGTACACAAGGTGTCTTGTTGTCGGTGATGTTTCTTTTTTCTCATTTTCATTTCGGACGTTCTTCCTCGCCCCCTCGGAAGGACGTGTGGTTCCACATTTGAGGTCGTCGTCGGCCATTGCTTTTCCCCTTATGCGAGACTTTTCGGCTGTCACGTTGCGCCAATGATGTAGAAAAGTACTCTGTAAACAATCGAGATAACAAGGACATCAATGAGGAACGAGTGGGTTTGGTTACGTTGACCGAAGACTCTGTGGTTAAGATCATGGCCGAGTTACTCGCAATGTAAGACGAATTGTCGAGCCGCGTGGGACGCCAGCTGAAGGCTCATGTACCAAACTCGAAAACCGACGTGTGTAACGCGGCCCCCAACGTACTAGCAGGCTTCGAGACCTATGAGGTTGACCAAGTCTAAGGCTGAAATAACTCGTGATTCAGAGGCGCTTAACCCCTGGCGAGGGGCCAAATGTGGTGTGTGATACGGACGAGCAAGGGTATTGAGAAAAAGACCCTACAAGCTCGTATTCAATGAGAACTGCCTAGGGGGCTCCCTCGTTTGTTTGTTACTTGGGCTGGTCGTGCTGTCGTAGTGGGAAAAGTCATCCGACAACGGGAGAGTGATTCCCCAATCTACCATGGTTCGGCTGCATCGTATTCGCATGTGGTCTCTGGTCGGGCTGTTGTCCATTGACAGAGCTTCCCGTGGAATCTGTGGTACCACCACGCGGGGCATGCATAGGATCATACAGGCTGCCCGCCCTCACCCACAAGTCGGGGTAGTTGGCGCGAGCATCCTTTCTGGCCCGGTTGTAGGAGCTCCTGACCTTCTCCATCTCGTCAAAAACATTCCCGGTCCAGTTTGGGTTCCTGAAATTGGCCTCGGCGTCGTCGAGTTGCTGGACGCAATCTTGGAGCGCGTCTCGAAACTGCCGAGCTCGGTTGGGTTGGTTGCGACTTTTGAAATAGGTCAACAAACCTGCCACCACTGTGTTGGTGGCCCCGAGGAAGATGGACGCCGTTCGAGCCCGGTGGTCCTTGAAGGCCCCAAGCACCGTCAACGACGCCGCCACCAAGATCTGCAGGAAAAGCAGTCCGTTCGCCAAACTCGCGACAAACCAGTACTGGACGGTGTGCGTTTCGTACGCTTGAGTAACGCGTGTTCTCAGTGAAGTGTAGTGCTCATCATCTGGAGTATCCCAATGTCAGCTTGAAAATATCCCGATAGTCTTCGTATCAGCATACCTCGTGCGACGATTTGTTCAAACAGCGTGGGGTTGAGAGCCTGACCTCCACTGGCCTGCCCGGGTCGACTTTGCGGTGACGGAGGCTGGCCCGGCGGTTGTACAGCGCCATGCCCATCATGAACCACAGTCGAAGCCGATGGACCTGTGGCCGTTGATGGCGCCGTTGGCCGTGATGGATTCGCCGGTTCACTTGACGTTGCTTGTGCAGAACTTTCTGGTTGTAGAGACATTGAGCTGAGAATGAGTATGATGCTATGTCGAAGAATTGGCTGGCTTGAAGTGTTTGATGCCGATATTCTACTACAAAAGAAGTCGTATGCGTGTCAATGGCCCCAGAGACGCGTCCCTTTCAATCTACATACACAAGATACTCGTATAGGGTCGGGGAAAGCAGGTTCTGTCAAGGTTATTAAATCCGTAGAGCAAGGATGGTGAGCGCTAGTTGGCAATTTCTTTTGAATGGGAAACATCAAAAGGTCAACTGGCTTCAATGGTTCGTTCGTGATATTATGTGGCTTGTTCAAACCTGTGTAACATGGCAAGCGGGATGGCCCAACTCATCTGGACCAATGTGAGGCTCTCTTCAACGATAGCCACGTCTGCAAGCCAATTGGTGACCTACCACTCGGCAAGGCTATGTTAATTCAGTCAGTCAGTCAGTCCTGAGAGCTGAACCTTTGCTTGTCTCTCAGCTCGGTGGAGTTGTAAGATAAAGTATCGCGGACAAAACTACAGATGATGACACATGATGCACAGATGCAAAAGTCTGACGATGAAAGAAAACATGTAAAAGCAGAATCAATCTGAGCAGCCGTGACGAGACTCGAGGGGTCGTGAATCCATTCTAGAAAAGCCATTGACGTGGTGGCTTCCAAGAGAGGCGCGCCATTTCCAGGGCCAATGCAAGAAGTAAAAAGGAGAGAGATGAATCGAGTATGTAAAAGGGATTAAAGAGGTTCATGGCTGGCTGAAGTTCACACCGACGAGATTGTCAGAGATTCTTTGCTGTCAGACAGTCGAGAATTTCCGTCATTGCAAGTTATACATCGTCAGAAATATTATTGTCAGACAAGATCGGAGTGCTGCCACAGATTTGTCCCTGCGCATATGACCTTCTCGCAGAGCCTACTTGAATTATAGTACTCCGTATGTAGGTTAGAAATATACTGACGCTATTAATGCGGCCTACTCAGGGCGAACGATGATTTTAGAGATGAGCTCGATTCGTTCGGACTGTTATCTTGAGAGTGAGTGCATCTTAAGCACCGAGCACCACCACTACCACTGCCATTTGATACCTTGAGCGAACTTCTTCCAAGTAGTCTTCTGCGCACCCGAAACCAAGAACTTGTCGCTCTGTGCCTGCTTGTCCTGCGCACCTTTGCCAAAGTAACTATAGTCTCTGATCAGGAGCATGTTTTGCGCCAGTTCTTCCGCGATCTTGTTCCCCAGATTCGCTGCCGATTCCACACTCGCGGGTTGTTCGACGAACTTGACTTCACGGCCAGTGAGTTGCGATAATTGATCAGTGATGTCTTTCGGATGCATCCACTCGCTTACACCTTGAACAAAGACGCCATTAGCTTGTGCTCCGGCCTCGAGTAACCCAACGGTAAAGAATCCCGTATCCTTCTGGATGTCGAGCATGGGAATCCAGGTCTCAGAAGGCTTCCAAGGCTGACTGATCGCGATGACACCAGTCTCCTTGTCTGGTTGAAATTGTCCAGTCAAGTTGGACATGAAGAAGCCAGGCATGAAGTATGACACGAGCATGTCGCCTTTGGTCTGCTCTGCGTACTCGGCCACTTCGGCTTTAGAGTCGAAATGTTCCACCTTGGACAGTTCGCCGTTTGTCAACTTCGTCACGTTCGGGAGGCTTGACCAGATGAGATGTTTGATGCCTTCTTCCTTGCAGGCGTCGACGATATTCTTTCCCTGCTGATACTCGACCGTCTTGGACATGGTTTCCCAATAGTTTGTGACCGCAAAGACGCCGTATGAGCCGGCGATCGCTGAACGAACACTGTCGATATCGTTCAAGTCTGCCTTTGTAAGTTCTGCGCCCTTTGAGGCAAGAGCCTGAGCTGATGGCTTGGTGGGGTCGCGAGTGATAGCCCTGACTTTGTACTTGGCCGATAGCTCTGGACTGTTGAAGATGCCAGAGGCTGTGCTACCACCTTGGTTGCCTGTCGCACCGAAAACAGTGATTATTTTCTGTGTCATACTGGATATGTTTCTTGCCGCCGTTTTGACTGAGCGTGGTGTAGAGGACGTTGTTTCTGGTTGAGTTATTGTGGGATATTCTTGCTTGGATCTGAGCAATGTCCTTTTCCACAGTGCGAATCTAGTGATATTTATCCTTTGCAAGCTCGAGTAGAATAGACATTGCTCTCAGCCCCCGTCTCGAAGCATTAGGTAAGTGGTCGGTCTCCATTCTAGGCGAAAGATGCCGTCGAGGGGGTCTAAGGTTAGTCAGCTTTTGCAAGCTTCGGCCTTTTGCTGATAGGATCATTGCCTAATGGTGGCGTTGACAAGCCTGTATTTCGCGCGCTATTATTGAGATCAAGGCGAAGCTATGCACTGGCCAAGGGAATTGACAGTAACAGATCGGTATAAAGTCAATGCAGTAGAGAGTTGCTGGTGTCAATTGTTTTCCGTAAGCCTCGCGCTCTTCCAATGCCGAGAACGAGCTTTGGCTTACGTACACAGCCAAACATCTACTAACATATGGCACATGTACTGAAATCGAATACTATCGACATGATATCTTGATTGCTAATATTGATATTGCCAACATTGGCCAGGCTACAGGAAAGACGTAACTCTTGGTGGGTGGTGCGAAGGTCGGAGATGAGCCGGGCAGATCGTGCTGAATTCGGAAAGGACAGCAATAAGCCAAAACTCCCAGTGCGACCAGCTTGAACCCAGTAGTAACACGTGCATGATGAGGTATGATAAATTAACAAAGGGAATTGCGAAGAAGAACGCAAACTGAAGGAGATTGCAAAGAAGTTGAGGTTGAAGGTCGGATTTGATCTCCGAAGCGGGAAAATTTCATGGTGACACAAAGACAACCACATCTGGTCAGTAAGCCAACGCATTCGACATAGTCTATTGATTTCACGGAGCTCTGGACGCTTTATGTCAACACAATGTCTGTAGACGCGGAATGGTTGCAGAGTTATGCAACAGCGAGACATGACTGGAACGGCATCACACAGAACGGCAAGCAATTGTTCGTCCGCCGAATCGGCATTGTCGAGTCGATGTTTGATGTCGATGGAACAGATTTCGAGGGGCGAGCAGACCTCACAATACATTTACATATTGAGGTCAGAACATCTTCTACAATCGACACTCTGCGAGATAGGCTTCTCGAGGCATGGGCTATTCTGCGGCAGGAACATGTGCTTCTCTCAACCAAGGTGACTGAGGCAACTAGCATTGTACCATCTGACCCTGCCTATACTCACCAAGATCGAGTCTTCGTCTTCGAGCCAGCATCAAATGTCGAAGACATGCGATCCAGCGCCAGAGATCATATAGTGTTCGTGGACGACTTTTACCATGATGTCAATCCCGAAGAGTTCTTCATCCATGCCCTGAATTCGGGCCGATGTATCAACGCGTCCGAGGCTTTGAGCAAAATCTATGTCATGCCTATGAAATTGGACAAAGAGGGCTTTTGCCAGCTGCACCTAGTCGTTATTGCAGCTCACCAGATAAGCGATGGTCTCTCATTTCAGAGATGGATGGCTAATCTCATTGACTTGATCAATTTGCCACCAAAGCAACTCAGATCATACGCGAAGCGTCTTTGCAGTGCGACTCCTTTGTCAAGACTTCCACCAGCACAGGAGTCTCTCTATCCACCAGCCCAAGGGAACAGAGCTAAGCAGCGATGGTTCTGGTTGCTAGCACGCATTCTACGTCACACTCGAATTTCACCTCCAGCATCGTTCCAGAACCCTTTAAGAAGAAGAAACCCACTTCCATCAGCCCTGGCGTTCCAACCCAAGTTCTCCAAAGTGCTTGACTACACAAATGTCCCACCTCTCAACGGTTTCCGGGTTCGTGCTGAACTCAACGCAGGATCAACTCGAAAATTAGCCGACATATGTCGCCAGGCCAAAATCAGCATCGGCAGTGGCTGTTTCGCGTTGGTGGCGATGGCGATGATGCTGTTTGAGGAGAAACGTAATCCTCACGTGCCAATGGAACAACGACGGCCTTTCGTGGGGTCGTTTCCCATAAATCCACGCCCATTTCTGACAGCGAAAGCAACGACTGGGAGGGAAGACAGCTTGATTCTTGCTTTCAGTGACGGTATTACCTTACCTCATCTGCCTAGTCACCTTGACTTTCAAGGCAGACTCAGACTGTTGGGGAAACAGGCATCACGACAATTGCGCCAGTACCAGAAACGGCCTCGGAAGCCAGAAGAAGAGATCCAAATGGGTTCCAAAAGCCCATCCCAACTATTCCCACTCCTCTATCTTTCAACCATCGAGCGTTTAGGAGCGAAAGCCACTGGAGATCGAAGACATGGTTGGAATATTCAGGGTAACTATCCAGCTAAACGCTCGGCGACTCTCTCAACTTGCGGAGTAAGTTCTGTAGGAGCGCGATCTTCCGTGATTTCGTCCGGCAGGTACAACACACAGGAGCTACCAAGAAGCGATAAAATCAACGCAGACTTCCGCAATCTAAGCACCACTGTAAGGGCAAGGGACGGGGAATTTCTCGTGGGAGTGGTTGGAGACACCGACTGTATTCGGTTTCAGGCCAGCTACGATGGCTGTGCGATTGATCCTGAACTTGCCGAAGAATGGAAGACATGGATAGAGACTGTTTTGGACCCTGAGGAGGTTCCAAGCGCAAAGCTTTAATGATTCAATGTGACTGGGGTTGAGATGTTGGAAGTATGAGAAAATGATATATGTTTCTATCTTTCACACTGAATGGAGAGGGATGGCCGCGATGAAGCGGCACTGGCCGTGAATGACTTTTCACATACAATCTCTCTTCCAGATGTCATTCTGTCGACAGTTGAATCTGGTCCGTAGCCTTGTCTACGAGTACGAGTGACAGCATCGGCACACACACACGTGACAGCGTGATGCCAAGTCCATCTCGCGTCGCGCGTCTTTGTCTCACTTCCAAGTCCAAGCCAAATACAGTCGCCAAATGATCCATCTATCATCCTGCCATGGCATACCCAGCGGCACAATGCAACCCCATGTGCTGGACATCCTCGTGGAAAGAGTCAAAGGCTACTCACAGGAACAAATTACTCGACTGTACCGAACCCTTCTTGCCCTACATGAAGAACATCTAGCCCTGAATGCCGACAATATCACCAAAGCCTATCTCCGAATCTGTAGCGAAGATGGGTTTCAAGGCGATGGCGAGGACGATACTTGTGGGATGTGGATCAGATGCCTCATACTTATGGACAATCACATCCCACCACATAAGAAATTCTTCGAGGTCCTCGAAAAGGCACATATACAATTAGTTACCGACGATTCCGAGGCCGACGAGACGGAGGCAGAGAAGAGCCATGACAATGCGGATAATCATGAAAAAAGAGAAGGGGACACTATTGAATCTGTCGATGAGCAAGATCCACGTTGGCTGCAGGCAGTTGCGCTTGACCATTTTCGACTCAAAAGCCAGGCACTTTCATTGTGGAGGGAGACGATCAAACAGCCATTTGTTGATGCACATATTGAAGAACCGCGTGGCATCGTCGACAGAGGCAATGGAAAGGTTGAGGAAGGGTACGACGATGAGCAAATTGCCGAGCTTGAAGCGGTGGCGGATGAATTTAGAGACAGAACTTTGAAGCAAAAAGCACTGTCTCATTGGAGAGTTGTGACCGCAGAATATCAAGAGCAAGAGAGAAAAGCCGACAGTTTTCGAAGGAAGAAGGATACCGAGAACGTGCTAGGCAAGTGGGTTCTGGCTGAGCGTGAGGTCGTTCTTGTGCAGGTGAGGATGGCAAACGCAGGCAAGAAAGCTCTTGATTCTTGGCGCCGGCAAACAAGGGAACTCCAACAACAAGAGAGAATGGCTGATGTGGCCGCTGAGTACTTCGCGGGCAAGCATGTATTTCATGTCATGCGTGAAAAAGCACTGGAGCGACTAGAGCAACAGTGCGAGGAAGAAGAGTTCAACAGAACTCGGCAAAGGTATCTCGCCCAGAAATATACTTCTATATGGCTTGATCGGGTGGAGCAACGAGCCAAGCAAGGCCAGTACCAATCAGCCTACAAGACGATGAGGAGAAAGGTGAAGATGAACCTTGCTCGTGATGCTCTGAGAACCTGGCATTCGCAAACGATGGAGGAGAAAGTGAAATTGGGAGAGCTGGAAAGAATAGCCGATGAATTCCGCCAACGAAAAGACCGTGAAGCTGCACAGCGTGTAGCTCTTGGTGCGATTCAGACCATGTATGAGCAGGGTATGGATGGGAAGCGACTCGAGCAACATGCGGACAACCATTACCTCCGTACCCTCACCAATAGGTTCGGGCTCTGGGACTCCAAGTGGCGAACACCTGCAATGGATTACAAAGAACATGAGAGCACTGCCGATAAATATCGAGAACTCAAAGATCTCGAGTTTGCTGGAAATAAACTTCGAAACTGGAAGACTCAAGCTTGGAGACACCAACGAATGGAGCAGGATGCGGATGTTCTGCGTCAACGACATGACAAGAGAAGAGCTACCGGCATTTTCCAACGTTGGAGACAAGCAGCTACTGATCATCGAAATAATGTTGAGGCTAGAGAAGATCGGGAGCGTTTGGTGCCTGCAACACCTGCGGCTCGAAGGACCCTATTAGTCGCAGCATCCACCACGCCAGCCTACACACCCGCTCCTGGTCTGTTGAGTGCAGGTTATATTGAAGAGGAAACCGAAGGCGATGGTGAAGGCGAGTCTGACTACGATGAATGATGGTTGTGAACGAACTGTACGACTATTTTGTGTCGGGAAGTGCTTCTGACTATGATGGATGATGAGTTTATGACTAGGAAATGATACCCCCTGAATGAAGTATATAGTGTGTATGATAGAGATATTCTTGAAGGTCCTCCGTCCTCCATGTTCCAATTCACTCATGGTCGTAATAATACCTGGCCAAGTGTTTTTTGGGTGCCTAATTAAGGTCCTCCCAAACTCCATATTGACGATCAATCTGTCGTCGTCGTCGTCGCCTCCGGTCGTAAAATCTCCAACATGCGCAGAATTTCCTCCTTGTCAGTGACGACGGACTCTGGTGCGATCAAGGCCGAAGAATGATATGCTGAGGAGTTGATTGTTTGGTGCAACATTTTTAGATTTGTAGACCTAACACCTCCTCCTGGCATGACGGTGATTCTTCCCGCGGCCTCCTGGACGAGTTGTCCTAAAACCTCTGCTCCCTGGACGGCATTGACGGTCCCACCAGAAGTGAGGACGGTAGTGATGCCACATGATATTACATCCTCCAGTGCCCTCGACAGGTTTTCCACCTCGTCAAAAGCTCGATGGAAAGTGCAAGGTAAAGGGTGAGCTAGTTCGACCAATTTTTTTGTTCTATCGATATCGATGGCGACCTCGATCGACGAGGACGCGGTGGTGGTGCCGCCACCGTCATCACTGGTCTTGAGAAGAAGAAGAATACCAAACACGAAACCATCGACTAACCCGGAGGTCTTGAGCGAGATGATTGTTTTCTTCATCTCCTCATATTCTTTGTCGGTATAAATAAAAGTTCCACCTCTAGGACGTACCATGACGTTGATTGGAGGGAGAAGGAGGCCATCAGGATTGGATCTGTTGGTCAAAGTTCTTGATCGAATTTCAGAGATCCATCTCATCACATCTTGGGGTGTAGTGCCTCCCAGATCGGCATTGTCACACAATTCGACTCGATCTGCTCCGGACTCAATAGCGGTGATGGCAGAATCAAGGTTGAAACATGCTATTTCCAAAAGTGCCATTGATATGTACCGCGGTAGACATGTAGTAATTGACAAGAATTACTATATAATCTACCTGGTATCATGGCACTTGAGGTTGATTGTTAGTGAGCGGCTACCGTTGATGCTCCTATTTAGGTGTGAAAAGGGTCTGAACAGGGAAAGTCAGGCGAGATCTCAATCTGCACGCGCCATAATACAGAATAACCTGATCGATTCAGGGGGTTCACCAAACCGACAACTTCCCCTCTACGTGGTAATTTCCAGTAGGTGCCTTCTGCGTCGCTTACCACGACCCCGGCTACCCTCTACGCCAATAGATTATGCTCCCTTATCAAGGTTGACGACGCGAGAATCAATCAACACCCCGGCCATGATGATGGTTCGCAATCAGGTGGGCATCGACAGCCCCCGAAACACACCCCTGCAGTTAACCCATGATTTGCATCGACTACGGAGTAACATCTGTCCGTTCAGAGTACAGAAGTACATGTCACGAACGTCTAAATTGTCGTTCTAGGCCCGCGACCAGGTTAGGACTTTCTGCGTATGATCAGCTCTGGATATGTCTCCCCCCGGTCTACTTTGGACATTTTCTTCTTCTCGAATTCCGTTCCGCGAATAGTCTGTCAAGCTTCCATCTACACCCATCAAAAAAGTTGTCGTCTCGCGAACATGGTCTCAAAAACGACAGAATCAACTGCGTACGCCAGGGTCGAGCCACGGTCGAGTTTGAAACGCCAAAGGTCCGCTCGTCTGTTTACCATGACCGGATCGCTATTGGCAGGTCTCGTTCTCGCCATTGTCCAGTGCATATTTTATTGGTACTTGTCGGGTAAGACGGTGGGCAGCACGATTCCCCAGGCCTGGGCCAGTCGCGTGGGAACGGCGCTCGCATTTCTGGTGAAATTACTCTTTGCGACGGCCGCCAGCACGGCATACGTCCAGCGACAGTGGTTGGCTTTGTCCAAGACGTCTTTGAAGATCCGTCAGATAGATTCATTGACCGGGATATTGAGCAACCTTTTATTGTTTAGAGATTTCAACCTCTGGTGGACGCATCCACTCCTCTCGTGTCTTGCCACGATTACCTGGTATGAATGAACGGAGATACTTTGCTGATGACAAGAGAGAGAGATAGGGTGTCATCATCAATTGGCTGACTTTTTTTTTCAGGCTCATACCATTGGCTGCCATCATCGCGCCCGGTTCTTTGTTGGTGACTTTTGAAGCCCGACACAACACGACAAATGTCAAGGTACCCCAGTATGCCTTCAACTACGCGGCGTACGGTCAGTACGACGGCTTCGATCCACAGACCGGCGCCGCCTACTTGGTGGAAGCATCGATTCCCCTGCGACGCGTGACTATGTCGACAGCCACATCGGGACAAATATCACCCATGCAGGCGGTTTTCCAAAACTACACATACAATCAACAATTCCACGCACCTGCCCTTCGATGTTTCGGGGCCAACGGCACAATCATCACCAACCTGACTACCAGTCTCGATCAGGCGTTTGCGGTGGAGGAGTACCTCCGATTTCTGGCCTTCACGCCCAATTCGGCCCTGGATCTCTCTGCACCAACCAACATCACCAAATGGGAAGACAGCACTCTATACTCGGGCATGGACACGGTTTCCGAGGATGTCTTTCGGTTGTTCGTCGTACCCAACACCAACGACACCAATTCAAACTTGAACCAAACCGTCGAATGTAATCTGCAAAACGCGTCCTACACGGCGCTTTTTAATTTTACAAACGGACGTCAATCCGCACACGTCTCACAAGTCGACATGCTCAACGAGGTCGCTCCGATGACGGAGGTGGGAGGAGAGGCAGATTACCTGCAGAGAGGAGGAGGAGGTGTGTCGCCATTCAACTCGACCAAGGCCGGCTACGTAGGAGTCATGCTCGCCTTCACCCGCCTGCTGGTGGGTTACGGACAGGAATCTCACTACGGTGGTTCGACGACGACCTTTAGCAGTTTCGACATGACCTCGGTCAATTGGACTACGATGGATTCTTCTATCCAAGGCCTCGAGCAGTTGTTTCAGAACATGACATTGAGCGTCTTGTCCGTTCCTACTCTCACGTAAGTCATCCTCATACAGTCATAAATGGGGGGTTTGGTTTTTCCTATTTTGTTTTGTTTTGATTTCCAGCTCAGCATCATCTTATCGTCGCACTAATAGTCATCATATCAAACAGAAAGGATGAGACGAGTGCCGAAGAAGTCGCCGTGGACGTTCAAACTTTCCCCCTGACCTATTCCTTCGAACCGGCGGATGTTCTGATCGCTTACGGACTCGCCTTTGGATTTTCGTTGCTGAGCGTGGTTTTGGGTACTCTGGCCGTCATTTTCCAGGGCGGAAGTTATCAAAACACCTTTTCTACCTTTCTGCGAGTCACTCGAGGTGTGAGTTTGAATCATAGTGGCCCGATACTACTACCACAGGAGGAACCGGACGACGGAATGGACCCATTACCTCGGAGCGTCGGAGATACGAAGCTTCGGTTACCTGCTGCTGCCGCCCCTTCTGTTTCGGGACGAGAATCTGGAGGAGGAGTGGATGATGCCGTTCAAAGAGTGGTCCAGCATAGCCAAACAATATGATCAGATTCCTGCCGCAAATAAGGGGGGAAGAGATTTACCATTTGTATGTTGACAAGCTGATTTGAATCAATTGATTTATCCAGGGTACCTACTCCGTAGGTAAGGTTTTATTTAATCTCGACCCTAGGCTGTTCAACTCAGGGAGAGTTGTTGAACAGAGTTGGGCTTGTCCATAGGTTGGTCCGTCTTCAATGCCACATCCTTGCTCACCACTCCTCCCCCTCCTCCCCCACCCCGGGGCTCAGATATCTGTCCCTCGTGGTGAGCGACGACAGTGGTCATGGAAGACCAATTCTGATTGGGGTTGTCACGAAACTATCTTCAAAAGTGTTAGTTAAGAAGGTCAGTGTTGAGTTCCAATCATAAGTATGCCCTTCCAGTTCGACTACTAGCGACCTAGTATTCCAAGCCCAAAAAGGGGGGAAAGAGCCACAGCCTTGCTTATTGTTTAGTCAAGCCTGATTTGCAAGGCTAATAAGAATCCCTGAGCGTGTAATGTCTACTAGGTGAGCGGCTTGTCGATAATGGATGTAGCATCATCAAAGTATCCTGTACCGTAGAAAAAGATACAGAGTTGGATGATTTTCCTAATCACCTTTTCTAACAAGCAATGATCGTCTTCCATTTTTCAGGCCAAGTTCAATTCATTGGCATCTCACGTCTATCTGAAGAAGTCTTTTTGAAAGTCCCAACGACAAGAATTATTGAAATCAATCCACCCTCCTTGTTGGCCCCAAATATGGGGCCCCTGAACACTGAACAAGTCAGGCCTCTGCAAGATTTACAAGAAGAAAATGCGATATGCCATGTACCATAGAAAGCAAAATCACCTCGTCGAAGCTGTCTCTCTTGTGCCAAGGTGGTATGATGAGGACGATTGCAATTAGACATGGGGGTGTGCTAGATTAATCGCGTCCCGTCTGGGAAATCGCGATTTCGCCTTCGTCCAGGCTTCTTCCATCGGCCTTTTCTCCACCTTCGGCAGCAGGAGGAGTGTCTATCGACACCTCGCTCGCACCCATTTGTGCCTTTTTCATCCTTTCTGCGAATTCGGCCGCCTCGGCCGCGTACTTGCAGTTCAAGCGGATCTTTTCGCCGTATTTATAGAAGAGAAACGGGAAAGGGACGCATACAGCAGCCAGGGCCGCCGGTATTGTACTTCCCCAATGTATACCCAGATTTTGAAACATCTGACGGGTGAAGAGAGGAAAGGCGAAGCCCAGGAGGGACCGAAGAACCGAATTGGCCGCGAGCACCGACGCCGCATATATGAGGTAGCAGTCGATGAGGTAATTGATCAGGCTGAGAAACAACAGGAGCAGGCCGAACCCGAACGGGACCGTGGCCATGATGGGCACGATCCAGTGAATGCTGGGGTAGTTTGTCCAGGCGAACCAAAAGAGGCCTATCGGCAGCGCGACCGAGGCCACCAGGGTCGGCGGTAATCGCGCCTCGGGAGGTGCGATCCCGCCCGGGGAAGCACGACACAGGCGGATGAAACGGTGGTTGTCGTCCCAGATGTAGTAGCACAAGGCAGAGAACATGCCCACCGCCACTCCCAAGAATGCGAGCCCAGACACGCCCTGGTTCCAGCCACGGTGGCCCTCGAAGACGATGGGGAAAGCGCCGAAGCTCAGGTAGAGAATGCCGTAGACGATGGCGATGTAGATGGACGACAGGAGGCAGATGGGTTCCCGGAAGAGCAGTTGCCACGGACGGAGGAGGGTGACCTTGAGGAGCTGGCCGGGGGTCTTTTTATTGTCCTTGTCGAGCGCGCTGATGTAGACCTTGCCGGTGTGCTTGGACAGGATGGCGGCCCGGTGTTGGAGCAACACCGGAGCGTAGGTTTCGGGAACCAAAAAGGAGCCCATCAACCACAGGACACCGGACATGATGGCCAGGAGGCCCATGATCCACCTCCAACCGACCGTCATCCCCATGAAGCCACCGATGATGGGGCCCAGCGCCGGTCCCAACGAAGGGGCGGCGGCGAAGAGGGTGGAAACGAGACCACGTTCGTTCGAGTCGAACAGGTCCGATATCACCCCACCGGCGTTGGTAAAGGGGGAAGATCCGAATGTCCCTCCCAAGAACCGAAGGACCAACAAGGTCTCGATGTTTTGTGCAACCGCCGTACCGACGTTGAACGCCGTGAGGGCGCCGAAGGTGATGAAGAAGACAACCTGGCGACCGTAAAGCTCCGAGAGAGGAGCCCACAGCAGAGGGCCCAAGGCGTAACCCAGCACGAACAGGGCCAGCCCCAAGGTCGCCACCTCTTGGTCGCAGTGGAAATGTTCGATGACCTGCTTGATCCCTCCCGAGTACGCCGAGCTGGCCATGGCGATCGACAGGCAGGCGACGGCTTGTATGGTGCAAAAGGTCCACTTCTGTACACGAGTGAAATGTTTTGGGTTCCGCACGTCGTGGGGGAGGAACTCGACGAGAAAGGGGTCGTCTGTCGTCCCGCTGCCCGCCCAAGAATGCTCGAGGGTACGGGTGGTCGGGGTCTCTCTGGTCAAGAAGATCCGCCAACTCGCTTCGGTGTCAGGTATATTGGAGAACCGCTGCTGCATTTCTGGGTCTGCCTTGGCCATATCGGCACCGGCTGTTGACGAGTCCTCCAAAATCATCGAGAAGAGTGTGTTGGTGTCGTGGAAATGCAGAAGAAAAGGGAGCAGGGGGGACGGAGAGAAAAGAAAAAGGGAGACTGCAGGGTAGAAGAAGCATTTCGATATATCAAAAAAGCCCTCGGGAGTAAACATAACTAAATGTGAAGGAGAATAAAATGTGCACAACTTACACATTCGTGAACAATGCATAGACGTCCAAAGCCAATCTGGTGGGTTTACAAGAAACTCCCTCGAATAGTCGGGCAGAGAACGTTATCCTTGGGGTCCGTGTGTTGGCACATTGTACACTGGGATCCCGATCATAAAAGGTATGCTGACACTGGGCTACAGCTCTCTTGATGTACTGTGTGGTCAAACAGGGCTGCAGTCTGCAGTTGTATTCAAGTTCGTTCAAAGTGGATCCTTCCTGGGGACGACAACTCTTCAACGTAACTTCGCATTAGTCACAGCCCTGCACGAGTGCTTTCTACAGTGCATGATAATTTTTGGTGTTTGGGTTAGCGATATTGTAAGGTCCTGGCAGGCTGGAAAGAAAACAACATCAATCAATCGCCGTCTTGGCCTAGAGACTTGTACTTCTCGGTTCTCTCATTTAGCTCGCCGAAATGCCGAGATTGGTACTGAAACTTACCTGGTACTGGTAGAGAGGCATGTCTTGATGGGACTCTCGGAAAATATCCTTCGCCGAAGAAGCCGATGTTCCGATCTGAGGTGAACATCACCTGAAGCCTGGACGTCGCCCTCGATTCACCCCAAAATGAATCACCTGACCAGGCGTTTGCTCCATGAGGATTATCAAACCAAGCATCTGTTGAGAAATAGATGTCACCAATTCTCTCCATCCGGTGTAGAGATTGTCGTGTTGATTATATGCCTCTTATTGACTCCGCCTCTTCGTCTCGTATTTTTCTCACTTCAGCACCATAAACTGCGGTCGGGCGAGATAACGGGGGACCAGAGCCCGTTTTCCACCGTGGGCGTACATGAAAGGGGAGGATATTGCCTTCCTGCGTACTGGGGCTGTACCTTGAGTGTTTTGTGAGGTGCAGAGAGTGATTCTCGGGGATCCCACGCATCTCGGCTTGAGAAAGGATCACTGCGTTTTTGAGCTCCTCCTGGCATCCAGAGGCAGCCAGACTGTTTGTCTGAGAGTTCTCAGCGGACACCACGTCCAGGTGGGAGCTCGTCGTCCGCCCCTGTCGTGCAAATTTGGCCGAAAAGATACAACATCACATGCAGATGTTTTACCTGTTGTGATGCTGGTAACTTTCTCACTTGTACCCAGGGTTCCAACATACCGTTCTAGACCTGACTTGAAGTAGTCGGGATCTAGACAATACCTTGAAGCCACCTAGTTCAATTCATGAACCAGATGGCCAGCCTTGGCCTTGACAGGACCGGAAGATCCTTGCATTGCAGGCGGCGAGGCAGTGACCGTCTCTTCACTCTCCGCTTTCCGTGCCACAATCTGGAAAAGCCCGTGTCCAACTTGCATCTGATTACGGTCAAGGACATGGTGAAGATTGCACCAGCAGCGTGGACGACGACCCTGAGGGAACCTTGACAGTGAATAAAATAGGAATTTTGTTGGAACATGGTTGGTACTGGCTTGAACTTATCACGGCTATGTACCGTTTACTTCCCTGCTCAGCTCATAAGCGAGACATCATTTCGATTCAGCTCCAATCTTCTCTCATGATGTCTATGTGTGTGTTTGATCAAGTACCTCGTATCCAACGTAACACGATAGTCTTTGGTTCGGAACCATCTCACCTCGAAACCAGAGTCGCGCCGTTCGTCCCATTTTGTCCACCGTTCTCACCCCCTTTGTGCTCTTCTGTCTGCGGCGGCGGCGGCGGCAAGTTCTCGCGCACCCTGGGTAGAACGTACCGACCGTAGTCGATGGCGTCGTTCAAGTTGTCATAGCCACGGATTGAGATGAGCTCACACCCGAGCTTCACGTAGTCGAGGATCGAGTCCACGACGGTCCGATACGATCCTACCAAGGCGGTCGAGGCGCCGCGAGCATTCGTCGCCGTGACGGTTGGGTACCACAACGCGCGGTCCTGGACTTCCCCCCGCTTCGCAATCTCCAGGAGTCTCTGAGACCCCACGTTCTGCGGCGCAGGGGCTTCGCCGGCCTTGCCGTGCGCCACGGCACCGAAGACGCTCTGTTTCTTGGCCGCGCCGGCCTCGAGGGCGTCGAGGGTCCGATGCGCCTTTGCCCACGCCAGGTCGTCCGTCTCCGCGACGATGGGCCGGAACGTGACCCATATGCGCGGCCGGTCTCCGGGGGCGCGACCGGCCTCTTCGGCCGCGGCGTAGATCTTGTCGATTTGGTCCTTCGTCTCCTTGAGCGGCTCGCCCCACAGGCCAAAGATGTCGGCCAGCGCGCCTCCGACTCGGTATGCGTCCTCGGAGGAGCCGCCCACGGAGACGGGGATGCTGGTGCCGTTCACGGGCCGGACGAGGTTGCGGAACCCCTTGAACCGGTAGTGCTCGCCGTCCCAGTCGAAGGCCTCGGTCGAGGACCACGCCCGCTTCAGGATGCGGATGTACTCTTCCAACCGGCTGTAGCGTTGCTCCTTGGTGAGGAAGTCGCCCTCCCGGGCCTGTTCGACGTCGCTGCCGCCGGCGATGAAGTGCACGACCGCGCGGCCCCGGCTGAGCTGGTCGAGCGTCGCCAGCGCTTTCGCCGCCACGGTCGGGTAGAGGGTGTTGGGCCGCACTGCGATGATTATCTTGAGGTTCTTGGTGTGAGAGGCTATCGTGGCCCCGACGGTCCAGGGGTCAAAGTACGAGGAGTCGTACGGCACCAGGGTGTAGTTGAATGCATAGTCGTCCAGGTTGCGAGCGTAGCGCGCGAGGTAGTCTGGGTCGATACTTGCGCCGGGAATTGCGTTCAGCTCCGTGGAAGCGTTGAGGAACGTCGCGCTGATGAATTCGACTGGCATCGTGGCAGATTTCTTATTGTGGTTTTTCCCTGACTTGACTTGTTGCTGAATTATGCTGAAGCTCGGCTCTTGAGGATTACAGCATGAGTGAGGGCGTCGAGGTACTTACAATACTTGACACGCACCCTGATCTGGTTTGGTCTGGTCCCCATCATGGATAATATGCCCATCACAGACAACATGGCGACATATGGTCAAACGATGACGCCTTAGGACGCCTTATCATATCAATCGACCTGTAGCCAATACCCTGAGTCTATGTCGATGGATGATAATCTGATTCCAAGTCCGCTTGCTAAGCATTGTACAAAGTGTTCTACTTGTCGTAAATTTAAACTGTTATCGTGAGAGTGCGTAGAGCGTCAGTAAAAGAGTGAAAAGAAAGAGTGAGTTGCGAGTCGGTCGTTCTACAAGCGACACCGTCTGCGCGATCGTGCCGAGAGCTCCAGAGAAGTGGAACCATTGCTTCGTAACTCATATTCTGACCTCATACTCGTAACATTGGAGAGAACACCTCATCGTCTCTTGGCTGATGCTGGTTGTCTTTGTCGTCGTGTTACAACATTGTACACTGTAGGGTTGAACACTTCCATAATCTATGTGATCCAGTTCAGATTTCTCGGTGCTATCGACTACTGGTGCAATATACCGGAGTACGTATCTCTTCGTTGTCCAAGGTATGTTCACTATAACCTCAGAGAATACTTTCCAACTTTTTGGAAGTTGATTATTTCTATACATAAGTATAACCTCCAGCCTCATCAAAAGACATCCAACACCTATACTATCAACGGGAGTCGCCGACCTAATATTAGAAAAGTCATGTCTAACACCCCCATCGCCGACTTTGACACCCCGGACCCATGGATGATCCGCCACAACAATTCTTACTATTTAACATATACGTGCGGTGACCGTGTAGACATTCTTATGTCTCCCAACATGCAAGATTTTAGGTCTCGTTCTCACAGAATAACCGCGTGGCGCCCACCCCCCAACACCCCATGGTCTGTCGACCTCTGGGCCCCGGAACTTCACTACATCAACGGGACATGGTACATATACTTTTGTGCGGCGCACCCAGGCCAAGGGAATCCATCTCACCGAACCGTAATTTTACGATCGTCGAGCCAAGATCCCATGGACGTGAGAGGTTGGACGTTTCTAGGTCCTCTCAAAGGTCTGCCGGATCATTGGAACATCGACGCCACCGTTTTTTCTGTTGGTGGCCGGTTGTTTTGCTGTTACAGTGGTTGGCCTTTGGGTGATTTTTCCGACACACAACAAGATTTGTTTCTGGTTGAACTTGCCAACCCGGAACAGGCACTCCAGAACACGTTGATCTGCATATCGCGTGCAGAACTGCCCTGGGAAAGACCAGACGGTGGAAGGAGAGGGGTCAACGAGGGTCCGACGTGGCTCAGCATTTCCGGCCTGGGCGCGGGGTTCGAGGGCATAGTTTACTCTGCCAACGGGAGTTGGACGAGTGATTACACGCTCGGCCTGTTGAGGTTAGTACCTGGAAGTGATCCTCTTCTGGCCTCGTCGTGGCAGAAAAGGCACCAGCCGTTGTTGAAGAGTTGCAAGGATCAGGGTGGGCCATTTGGACCTGGCCATGCGAGTTTTATAGTACCCGCGGTGGATGATAACGGTCAAGGAGGACATCAACAACAAGTGTATTGCATATACCACGCCACTGAACACGAGGGACAAGGTTGGGCCAACCGTAAAGCGAGGGTGTTGTGTCTACACAGCCACCATTTTCATCCGCAGGCCGAAAGTTGTTGTTGTTCTATGAATCCTGCAACGGCGATGATGACAGGTCCGATTCCAGGTCCAGGTCCAGGTCCGGGTCCAGGGATGATGGTATATCAGGGTGGAGGAGGGACCGGTGCATACGGGCCGCCTCCACCAGCTGGAGTTACTGGACGTCCAGACCACGGTCGTCCAAGACAAGGAGGAATCCTCTACGATCTTGGAAATCGAGTCATGAACAAGTTAAGAGAATTTTGAAATATTTCGTTCTTGGAAATCGAAATCAAGACCGTGTGAAGGTCCCAAAATCAAACCACCATATCATATCAAGCCAACTTCTCATCAAGCACCTGTTGATCCACCCCTCTAAGGTGACTCGGTACGCCGCTCCCTGGTTCATGCGGACCCTGACCACCTTGACCTGCACGACTGTGCCTAACCTCAAGACTTTCCCGGGCCGTCTCCTCCACCGACTTTCTAAAGTGCAACGCACTTGCCATGTTATCTATTCCACCCACGTTGGAAAATCCCTTGGGATTCCCCACCATACTCTCCTTTCTCAACACCTTTTCGTCATATTGTTCCTCGTACGCTTCCTCGTCGGTGGGGTCGGTCGGGATACCGTACACGGTCTTGGACACGAGCTGGTTCGAGGGTTTCCAGATATAGCTCGTCACGCTATAAATGAAGATACTCACGACGAACCCATACAACCAGTCAAAGGTGTACAGGTGCTTCGCCCCCGAGGTGATGCTGGTTTTATCGTTGATGCTGTACGCTAGACCGGGCAGGTTGGGCCCGACGGCGAGCAGGAACGCCAGCATGGCGCGCCAATTGATGCCCGTGGCGTTGTACCTGTACCGTCCGCGAGGGTCGTACAGTGCAGGCACGTCGATGTGTTGCCTCTTGACGATCCAATAGTCCGAAGCGATTATGCCGGCCATGGGTGCGAGGAAGACTGCGTATCCACCCATGAATGCCAAGAATGTCTGCGCGGAGCTGAGAATCTTCCATGGCACAATCACCCATCCTCCGATGATGGCCGCCAGCATACACCCTCGCTTGATGTTGATGTACTTGGGACACAGGACCGTCATGTCGTTGGCCGCTGAAATACTGTTGGCCGTGATGTTTGTGCCCACTTGGGCGATGTACCACGACAGTGCGGCGAAGAATGCAGCGGCTCTCCCACCGTGACTGCCCAGCCAGTGGGCGATGATGTCCAGGGGGTTCCAGAGAAACTCGTCGTAGATGACTTTCGACGCAGAGGTCGTGACGATACCCATGACGCCGCAGATTGTGAAGATGGCCGGGAGGAATGGCAGTTGAATGTACTGGCCCCTGGTCGTCTTTGCGTATCGACTAAAGTCGGGGATGTTGCAAGCCAGAGTCGCCCAGCTGCCTGTGACAGAGGACATGCAAGACAGCCAGAGCCAGGCCCGAGTGCTGCCATGGACGGTCTCCGGTAGATTGAAGATGGCACCACCGCCGCCAGCCTTATGGACGATCCACCCGAGTGTGGCGAGAGCAGTGATGGGCGCCGCGACAAGCTTGACGATAAAAAGCCATCGTAATCTGGTTGGCGGGATCAACAGGAGTGGCAATTGGATGATCCAGAACAGAAAGTAGCTTATCATGCCCTGGGTGGTGATACCTGCGTCGTCCGGCAAATGGTTCTTAATGTGTGCATACGAAGGCCAGATGGCAGTCAGCATGATGGTTATGCATTGTGCCCCGTTTGCACCTTGTATACCGAGCCAGAAACAAGCCAGAACACAGCGTGAGAAGATGCAGAAGTACGCAAAGTAATAACCGAAGCCGGATCGAACAATGACGGAAAATGGTATGTGGAGTTTCGCGCCGATGGCACCGTTTAGAACCATAGGGATGGCGACGCAGGAGGTCCCGACCACCATGATGGGAATGGCATCGCGCCAGTTCAGGCCGACGGCGATGACAGACGAGGCCGTCTCCCAGGTGCCTAGGTCAATGTCAGAGTACGGATCAAGTGCAACGGATAGAGAGCAACACACCCAAGTTAATGGTATCCGTTGCCCAGTAAGCCATCCAGGTGAATAACGTCCACGTTTGGTACTCTGGAGGGACGGGATCCATATCGGCATTTGTCCTGATATCAACTGTTAGTTTGAGCCTCACGTAATGAGGTGAATTGAAACTTACCAGACATCTTTGGGTGCGAGAGCCGATTCTGCGAGGGCGGTTAGCCGAAATAGGTCTATCAATAACTTCAGTTGCTGATTTATCTACTCACCTTGCTTGGGAAGCTCCCATGCACTGATACTGGTGACGCGAGCTTTCACGGTCGAGCCGCTTGGGACGTATTTGGTCACGTACTTCGACATCCTGGCGAAAGTTGAAACGGTGAGGATGGGCCAAAAGGTTCGTGAGATGGCATGAAAAATCACAAGGGACAAGGCCCGGGTTATAACCCTCGTCTTTATCTGACAAACAATCGAGCATGGCAAAGTGATACAGTGCTCGAGGTGCCAGGCCAGGGTAAGGCCATAGGGAAAGGTTTAGTGGCTCTTCTGGTCTGGTCGGAAGCATGACCCACTTTCTGCGATCAGCTTGATAAGGCTCAGACTCGAATCTCTTTGGCCAACAGACGAAACCGCGATCAAATCGTGGTCAGAAAAAGGTTTAGCTTTGACCCTTAGTCAACTTTCTGTGCAAGTGCTCGCGGCTTTATGATAAGGCGCACGGCTTATACGTTTGGTAGCGAGCCATTTTGCCATGTGATACAGCCATGCGTCATGTCGATCTATGGTTGCTGGTGCTTGGACGGGCAAAGCTTTATGAAGAGATCTTGATTGTTGGCTTGTTCCCTCGAACACAAGATCTGGATTGGAAAGGAGCATCCGCGTCCTTGGGCTTGGATGGAATATTCGTATCGCCTGCCAGCAAGGAGATTGACGCCACGATAGCCAGGGGGTTGTATCCTTGGAGCTCGGAGACCTCCACCTTCAGGAATATGCTGCTTAAGCTTCAGTGCTTATCTCCTTGTCAAGCAAGCTTATCAGTACGTCAATCTCTCCGGGGCACTTACGAGGCCTGAGATGGCGGGACGTCGAGCGAATCTCTTTGGGTGGTGGCGGGGAATAACATGAGGAAGCCCGACATCGCCTGATTCATGGAGAATCCGGGACCCTGTGAGACGCGCTCGTACTCCCTTAAGAGGGTTTTCATATATCCGTACTTGGTTTTCGCCTTGCATAAGCCCATGTGGTACGTACGCGCAGCACTATGAACCTCTATCGCGAGGACAAGCCGGAAACAGGTTGGCCTAATCATCATCACTTTTTTAAAGGTCTCATCGGACTGGTTGATACGCCGTACCTTGCACAGGTCTGCTTTGCTTTCTTCGTCTCATTTTACTCGATTTGGACCGATTGCAGTCACAATCATGGTTATCTCCTTATCGAAAGTTCAGTATGAGGCGATGATGATCTAGACCGGAGAAACGCCAACAATTGTGGCAGATGATGATCGTTCGATCGTGTATCTTCGATGTCTGATGGCTATCTCCGATCTAGATGGTTACGTATATGACATAGAAGATCAGAGGTACTGTGGACTTTTCGCCGGACCCCGAACACTCTTTCCTGGATGCTCGCAAACACAATTCTTTCTGGAGATGATTGCCGATTCTTGTGATGGCCAGACTTTATCGACTGTCCCAGTGTTGTCGGCTGTTGTAGTCATGCGAGGTAATAAGAACATCATCACGTTCTTGGGCGATGACAATATCATATGCATGGGCACTTTGAGGGTTGGTGGTGGCTTTTGTGATTTCGTGGCCGTTGTTGACCAGAACAAATGCTTGTGAGTATGATAACCGTCCTTCCGTAGCTCACAATCACAGTCCCAATGTGCTCTCACCTTGTAAGATGCAACACCTTATTTCGAATGATGATAGAGAGGGAGAACGAAGCATTGGGCAACGAGTTAAGCCCCCAATTCGCCTTCAGCCTTGCAATCACCTGCTCAGCATTATAATCACCTCGCCTCCTGCTACAGCAGGGATTCTTTTAGCTTCCGTCGGAAGACTCGTGCTCTTTCATTACTTACATACCTATGCATGATTTCAGCCATGTCCTCGGACTGTACCAGATAATTAAATTGTACTGTCTAGCGTGAAATTGAGACAACTTCTGTTGACAGCATTGCAGTTTTGGGTGGACGGTAGAAGCTCTCATGAATATCTCTTGACAGCCTCGATAGTATGGTCATATAAATATCCAAAACATGCTCATGAGCAATAATATACTTCTTACTTCCATCTTGTACTCTGTGTACAGATAGCACGGATAATCATATTCTCCATTCTGCGCTCTTCTCTACGTCAACTGAATATATTCTGTATATGTGGGGAAACGTTCCCCATGTTTCTTTCGTCGCAAACACCTTGATCAACAAGTCTTCCACCCCTCGCCACCACATACTAGGTCCTGCATTTGTTCCTACACTTTCCAAATGGAAGAAGCGAGACATCATACTTCACGATCTCATTCGCGTTCGCGCTCTAGATCCCCAGCGCGCTACGAAGAGAAGCGAGCGGGGCACCACCATCATCACCGTCACCACCATGCCCGTCATCGCTCACACTCAGATTCCCCACGACACGGCGGCAGCAGCAGTCGAAGCAGCCAATTGCCTCCTCTTGATAAACCGTTGCCCTTGAACGCTCGCCAGCTGTCGAAACATGACCTGCCCACCCATCGACCCATGTTCGCTCTCTACCTCGACATTCAAAAACGGATAGACATTGACGAACTCGACGGGACCGAAATCAAAGGAAGATGGAAGAGTTTTGTTTCGAAATGGTACCACATCCAGATTTCCCCCTCACTTCTCACAACACGGAACAGCGGCGCGCAGGACTAACATGGTAGGAACCGAGGAGACCTCGCTGAAGGATGGTACGATCCGAAGACTCTCGCAAAGGCTCAAGAACAAGAACGAGAACAAGCCCAAACACAAAGACAAAATTCTTCACCCGTAAACGATCGGTACGCTACCGAGCCCCGTGTCGGCAACAATCAGGGTGACGAAGAGGATGAGGACGAGGATGACTACGGCCCTCCACCGCCAGACTCGGCCATGGTATCACAAGGGCACGCTTCAGGGTCAAAAGATGGATGGCGTGGCCACCACGGTGCTACAATTCCTTCGTTACAAGATCTCCGGTCCCGCGACGAACAAGCGAGAGAAGACGCCGACGAGGAGCGAGCTGCACAACAACAAAACCTAAAACACTCGCGCGCCCTCGATCGGAAACTACAACGCGAACGTCTCGACGAGATGGCACCCCGCGCCGAACCGGGCACGAGGGAACGACAACTCGAGAAGAAGCGGGAAAAGGCCGAGTCCAACCGTGCGTTTGCGTCGGCCAAAGACGGAGGCGGCGAGGTGGAGGTGCGCGACGCGGACATGATGGGCGACGAGGACAGCCTGGGCGAAATCAAGAGGATGCAAAAGGAGCGCGAGAGGAAAAAGAACGAAAGGGAACTGCGCAAGGAGGAGATCCTCCGTGCCCGTAGAGCTGAACGAGAGGCCCGCGTCGCCGGCATGAAGGAGAAGGAGGAGAAGACGATGAGTATGCTCAGAGAAATTGCACGGCAGAGATTCGGAGGTGGTGGCAACACCGATGATGGGTGAAGACAGAGAATTTAGTTGATGTAAAAAGGTACATAGATACAACAATTGTTCTCTCGGGTTAAGATTATTCATAAAATCCCAACATGGCATGAAATTTTGTGCTGTCATTACGACAATTCCCTTCTCAGACACGAGTACGAAAATACATAGTAGGTACCTAGGAGACTAGCTTGCATTAAGTGCGGCGACGGCATCGGCGCCATCTTCTTGTTGCTGCTGTTGCTGTGCTTTATCGCTCGTCCCATTCGTCGTTGGCGCACCCGTATTGGCCTCCTTCGCTTTGTTGGTCGCAGCCATCTGCCACGCCGGGATGGCGGATTTACTCGTGTTCGCATTGTTCGCATTATTCGCATTGGCACCCGCATTAGGATCGAGGCCCAGGCTTTGGGCGAGAGGCGTGATGGCAGTTTGGAAGGTGGCCGCACTCGGTGGTTTTGTTGAGTTAGGCGACTGGGGCGCTCCCATAGCGTAAGGGTTTCCCGGGACGTATCCAGGCGGCGGCCGAGTTTGGTTTGCACCATACGTCTCCGTTGACGGGGTAGTTGAAGCACTGCTCGACGTGGGCAGGATACCAGGCTGGGATTTTGGAATGTTTTGTGTCAAACTGTTCGAGCCGCTACCGTAACCGCTGCCGTAACCACTGCCGTAACGGTTACCCATGAGGGCTTTGAGGCTGCCGAGTTCAGTACCGAGTTCCTTGAGTTGCTTCTCGCTTGCATCGCGCACATTCTCGATGCTGCGGGGAATGGTCGATTTCATGGAGCTGATCTCCATCTCCCAGCGTCGTGCGTCATCTTCGCGGCGCATGTTGGCGGCTCGGAGGTCCGCCACGATCGTCTCGATATCTGCAATAGCATAGTCGAGGCGCTGCGTGCGTTGTTCTTCTGCTTCTTTCAAGGCGGCGGTGTCGGCTGACAGGGTATCAAGCAAGGCAAACGCTTTGTTGAACTGTTCATCGATTGAAGCTTTATCTTGCTCGAGTTGTTCGGGAGTCGGAGGTGCGATCAGTGGCTTTATGTAACGCTGTGCGAGAACATACAGACCGTAGCTGGCGCCGGACACCACTGTAGCCATGATGAACCAGTCGCGCCAGTCCCGTCGAGGAGGCTCCGGTGGAGGCTGTGGTGGTGACCATTGGTCACCGTAGGGATTGTAAGGATATGGGTAGTGCTGTGATGGGGGCCCGCGTGGGACCTGTTGAGTTGGAGGAGGATAGTATGCATTCTGCACGGGTTGAGAGGAGGGATCGGGACCGCTGGCTCTGGCGAGTGAAAGATCGATTTCTTCTTGAGTGAGGTTCTTGGACTTGAGGAATTCAATGCGCTTTTCCAGCGGCGCCGAGGCGACAGAGGGATCTTGAAGGAAAGTCACGGCGGACGTGATCAGATCCTCTCGAGGAGCCATGGCGGCGGCAAGGACTGTCTGCAAGTCACCACATGTGCCTCAGAATATGGTTCTGGGCGAGGTGTTTTATGAAGTCCGAGAAGAACCGCTGACACGACGGAACGAGTGGGAAATTGATGATGGATTGTTCGAAAGGACGAAATAATGGTGGATGGGAGGCTGGCTGCAATTGAGGTCCAGGGAATTCAGCCGAGGCTAATCATCACGTGCCAAACGGGCCAATCTTAGTAATTTATTATCTAAGAATTCCGTCGCCGTGGTAATGGCTGTAAATCGCGCTGATTGTTGTTTAGTCTCATTTCGACTGAATGCTCACGAACTCCACGATGAACCTTGGCTACACGTTTTGCGACAACATTGATTGCGAAGGCGACTGACTCTCCCACGGGCTTATAATCAGACGCCATGTCGCAACCACCTGGACTTTTCAGCGTGCGCCGTCCTCGCGAAACCCTGGGCCACATACAGAACTTCTCGGGAATCCCGCAACCTGCTTCTGCTGTGAAGCGCGTCTCTTCAAGCAATGAATTACGAAATGCGCCGTTCACAGCATCCCACGCTCGATCAATATCGATAAACCAGAGCGTCCAGCGTCCTGCACAGCCGAACTTCCATCGCTCATCTTCCGGAGGAAATTTGGCCGACATGGGCATGTCCACTGCAAGAAGATCAGTTTCTAGTAACATGTTTGGCAGCGCAAACACTGGCAGGCAGAGTCTTGCGCCAAATCAGTTATTTGGGTCACAAACACCTGCGTCGCAAAGCATGCAACGACGAAGCAGTATATTCTCCCGACCCTCCGGCCATGGTCCCGTCGCTCACCAATCCTTCTTCTCGCAACCTCCTGCTCCTGGCATTGCGCCCAAAGATCCTCGACCTCTGCGGGACTCCTCGTATAGAACGCGACTGAGTCAAGAATTGCTGGACTATCTGACACAGAACAACTTCGAATTGGAAATGAAACACTCGTTGACACAAAACTCTGTAAAATCACCTACGCAAAAAGATTTCACCTTCATGTTCCAATGGCTCTACCGGCGTATTGATCCTGGGTACAAATTTCAGAAGAGCATCGACACCGAAGTGCCACCGATCATGAAACAGTTGAGATATCCATATGAAAGAGATATTACAAAATCACACTTGGTCGCAGTTGGAGGACAGAATTGGCCTCGCTTTCTTGGATTACTACATTGGATGATGCAGCTCGCACAAATGTTGGATAATTTCACCCGAGGAGCCTACGATGACGCATGTGCTGAGGCGGGTGTCGATATTGCAAGTGACAGAATTGTCTTTAGGTTCTTGTTCGGCGCATATCAGGACTGGCTGCAGATGGGACCTGAAGACGACAAGGAGAGCGAAGAAGCTGCTTTACGACCTCATATCCAAGCAATGACAGATGAATTCGAGCGGATCAACTCCAAACATGCAGAAGAGCTGCAGCTGTACGAAGCAGAGCACGAAGCTTTGAAAGCGCAGGTCGAAGAGTTTGAGCGCAACGCACCCGATGTAGCCAAGCTGGACAAACATTTTAAGATTTTGGAGGATGACAAGAAAAAATTCGAAGAGTATAATGCAAACGTACAAGCGAAGATTGAAAAGTACGACGCGCGAATCAAGATCCTGGAAGCAGAAATCCAACGAACAGAGGCAGACCTGCAAGTAGTTGAGCAAGAACGCCAGAGCCTCCAACAGTCTGTCGATCGACAAGGCCTGAACATCCAAGACATCGACCGAATGAACACGGAACGTGAACGACTGACGAAAAGCCACGAAGACGCACTCGCGATGTTGGATGAAGTCAACAAGAAAGTGCTGGAGAAAGAGGCCGAGACATCACGCAAACTTGAAGACCTCGAAGTTATCGTTAAACGGTACAATTCATTGGGCTACCAAATGTCCCTCATCCCCTCGACGGCTGTCAATGCTAAAGGTGCAGACTACGAACTCAGCCTCAACATTTCGGACAGTTTCTCGACGTCGACATCGCGGAGGAGAGGATCCCCCGACACCGACCGTCTGCTGGCGGACAACAACGTAGGCTACTCGCCCGTCCACCTGCTGAATCTGGATCTACGGGGCGCGGTCCGGAACGCCTTCATCGCACTGCGCAAAGACATCAACGAACGCCGCAAGGCCGCCGCGGACGCGGACCTGAACGCGCGCGACTTTTTGGACAACATTTCGGAAGCTCTGCACGAGAAGAACACCGAGATTGACAATCTGAATTACCGCGTCAACGAAGCTAGTCGGATGTACGCTTCGCTCAAGGAGAGTCAGACCACGACGCACACGCAGCAGACGAGCGCGATCGAGAAGCTCGAGAAGGAATTGGCTAGGATGAGGGAGGGCTTGGAGCGCGGCGTCGTCGAGCTCGAGCAGCGCGAGATGGAGGTCGGCGTGGCCTGGGAGAGTATGCGAGAGGAAGCGGCCAGGGTTCGCGAAGAATTACATTCGGGCATCGAAAGATGTCTGGAGGACGTGATTCGATTCAAGGTTCACGTCCAAAAAGGACTCGAGGAGTTTGAGGGCTGGGTTGGGGAGGAAGTCGAGGTGGAGTTGTTGGGTGACGAGATGGATGGGATGGATTTGGATGGTAAGAAGAAGGATGATGAGTGAATGAGTTTTGAGTGAAGTGTTCTGACCAGCGCGGTTGAGTGCTTGGTTGTGTTTTTTTTGTTTCTTGATGACGAACTGGATGATGATAATGGTGCACTTTTCACGGTTCTAGTTGGGCGCTCTTGAGAAATATATATACACCTGGTACTTTGGTACAACTGGAAAAATATACTGCACACCGACTCCCCTGTTAGGTTTCAATCCGTACTCTTTATTTCTGTTGAGCGTGACTATCTGACAACTCAACTACAACCTGTCTGTATCTCCCAGTGCAAAAGGTAAATAAGTAAGTAGTCATTGTTTGTTGTGTCTTTCAGGCCTGGTTCATTCCCTTACTCCTTCTTGACAAACAAAATCACCCCCCTGAACACGCCCCTCAACCTTTCTTGTCCTGGCTCGACACCGGCGTCGTGCAACAGTCCCTCGATCTTCCTCCTTAGCATCCTGAGAGGGTCCCTTTCGGTCCCGACAAGGTCAGGGTGCGCCTGGCGCCACCTCGTCTCGGCGCTTCCCGTCGCCATGGCCTTTTCGAACAGGTCCATGTCGACTCCCTGCTCGTCTTGAGGTTTGGCGACGTAGAAGGGTCTGTCGATGGGCCAGTCAAGCCGAACGAAGGAGGTTTCGTCAAACCCTTCAGTTTGCTGTCCGGGTGGACCGCTCCAAGGCAAAGGCAGGTCAGTGTAACGATCCCTCACCAGGATGTTACCAGGTAGGATATAAGGTTTCAATTCGGTCTCTTGGTGCTCGTCTATGGCGGCCTGGATGGAATCGGCGTTGGGCATGGACGGGTGTGGGTGACCTGGACCGGATGTCCAGATCGCGGCGGTTCCTGTTTTCAGATCCGACGTGACGTTAGATGAGTGGCCAAGACAAGGAAATTATGACGAGGACCCTGAGATTGACAGATGGCATGACGAGGAACGGGACACGAATCAAAATGACAGGCGACACGACAAATAGAAAGGTTGGTCAACATACCTCCTGGTTTCAAAACTCTTGAAGCGGCAGCCCAGAATCGTGGCATGTCGAACCAGTGAGCCGCGTTGGCGGCAGTGATGAGATCGACACTCCCATCTTCGACTGGAGGTGTGAGGTTGGACCCCAACTCTTCACAAGTCGAGATTTCAAAGGAAACCTTGGTAGAATCTTCCGGATTCGTGAGGCTGCTGCGTGCCGTACTGATCATTCCCTCTGCCGGATCCAGACCAAAGACTTTTGTGAAATGTGGTGCAAGTGCTCTTGTAGCGTAGCCCGTACCGCAACCTACGTCCACAAGAATGTCGAGTTGACCACCGGTCGAAGTGTGATGATCCAATATGGTCCGATAGACTCCCGGGTCATAGTCACGACGGATTTCCGAGTACGCTCGTCCTTGATCGGCGTTGTACGTGCTAAAGGTCTTTTCTTGAGAGAACGACGATGACGAATCTGCGGGAGGAGCAGGGTTAGGAGTGGTTTCGGTCGTCATGGTGACTCGTTGAAGAGGTAAGAAAGAGCTAAAGTACTTTCTTGAAGACGTAGACGATACTAGAATGTCCTTTGAGCAGCAGGCTTTTCTTTTTTGCTTTTCCCCAAAAGAATGAAACAAAAAAAGAGACAGAGCGGAAGAGAATGAATCAAGTCAAGACCTGTGTCTAATACACTAAAGCAATGTTGGCCAAGAAGATGTTGTGTTTGTAGAGGCTTGATGAGCATACTTATGTGTTGTATTAGAGTCGGGGGTTTCGGGGGACGTGGAGTCGCAAGGCTGTCCTTTTGGGTCAGAAAACAACCAATAGGACGAGGGTCCGAGCCACCAACGCTATGCCCTTTACAGGGCAGCACTGCGAGGTTTCGCAACCGATGCCTCGTGGTTGTCGTTCTTAGCGCTAAAAAGGCATTCCTTGAGTCGCAAACGAGCCTGGAGCCCGTCACAGCAACAAGAATCATTACGTTGGTATGTTCGGAAGGGTCGATCGGCTCTTGACAGAACCAAAAAAAAGGTTTCAAATCACGCCGGACTCGGGCAACGCGCTGAATAGATTGTTTTCGGCAGTATCGGCCAATAGACGGGCCTGTCTTACCCCCAAGGAAGCATCGATGTGTCTCAGTTGTTCAATCGCAAAGACCCGTAAACTGTACGGAACCAAAGTTTCCAGGGCGACGAGGTACAATGGTTGGATCAACGATATGTAACCTGTAGCCAAAGCGTGTGTCAGAAAAAAACGCCCCGGGAACTTGACAAAACGGTGGCTTACTAGGACTGCCGGAAAAGTTGGAGACAGAAATGCAAACGTCGGTACACAGCCGGCGTGCCATGTTTTGGGAGGTGGCAATCTCTTGCGGATCGACGCTGATTTCTAGTCTCATCTGGCTGACCAAAAGTCGAAGGATGCGCCAGTTGTTCCAAGCCTCCGCGATCCAGAGCGTAGGGTAGACGTGTCGGACCCCTTGTAGGAGTTCCTCGGCGACCCTCGCAGGCCCATGAACCACGGAATACCTCCAGGAATCGGGCAATCCGGCCGCCCATGACTCGAGGTCGTTGTCGATATCGACCGCCATGTTTAGTAAGATTTTCCCGTTCATCTTCGTGTCATCACCTTCTTCTTGACGATGAAGAGCGGCCTTGAGATTGACGACCCGGAAACATATCTCGGTGATGGAACTCGGACTGGCGACTCTAGAATTTTGCCAGAGTTGTCTCATGAGACTCCCTTGGAAATCGCAGGTGGTTTGGACCAGCGCTCTGGGAACAGCCACGCGTTTCTGCATACAGACCAAAAGCTGCCAATTGGTTCGTTAAAAGAGCATGGCAAGTCGACAGAAGAACAAGAAAAACTTACTATTTGAGAACGGACCTGGATGTAAAGTTGTCCTCCACGTTGACGTTGAAATTGATCTTGACCTCGAAGTTCCAACAAGGTCAGTGCTGCATTGACATGGGCTTCCCAATACCTATGTCGTTGCCAAGTTCTAAAATTTAGTAGCTAGACACATTGTGAGACTGATCAGTAATCTGGTCCGGGAACGATAAACTTATCTGTGTCGGGCAAAAAGTCATCTCGTACCTCGAAAAGAATCAAAAGGGTAATTGCAAGTAGAGTGTCGTCGGACTTTGCTCGCTCTGGATCGTCTAGAGCAAACTTAAGGGCTGCCAATGTTTTGGAATACTGCTCTGAAGATTTGATCTGGATACCTAGATCCAGAGAGACATTGAACAAAGCACTCAATCCGACAGCTTCGATGACCGCCCGGATCAAACCACCACTGGAGGTGTCTGCCGTGTACAACTGGCCCAACCAAGAGGAATAATCGCCGAAGAATGTACCCTTTTCGGACAAGAATTTGTCAAAGAAGAAGTTTGCTCCAATATCATAGACAGAAGGGGACAGGGTCGAGTAGAAGATATCGGGAGTGCTTGTCGTGCTTGTGGTCATGCTTGAAGATACCATCGCCAATGAGCGTCGAGATTCTGCAGAACAGTGTTCGTCTTCTGGCGGTAATTTGAATTTGCGAACAACCTCCCGAGTCTGATCTCGGAAGATGGCTTCGTCGAAATTGCGATAAGTACAAGGTTCTCGTGCCTTTTGACATTTGAGACATGTCGGCTTCGTCACGTCGCATCTGATCTTCCTCTGTCGACAACGTTGACAACCTCTGCTCGGTTTGCCACAGAAAACCATGGTGAAGACGAAGACCCGGGCGATGGTTTTTGGTGTGACACTTTGATCATGGGTGGTAGGGTTTCAGTTCTCGGCCGAAGCCATGGGGTCTTGAGGGTTTCATGGGCACATCTCAACGAATGGGCCGAGAGGGGGTCGAGGAGAGGTATGAACGGTACCTAGGAATGGAATAACAAATTCGATGAACGTACGGTTCGAGTCAATTAGCGAACGGAGTGTCGACTATCCCAATGGCACCACCAGAGAGAGAGAGGCTCAGTTAAAAGCGGCACCGCGAAAATTCCTTTCCCATCATCTTAGAATCCCGATTCCGCTCCGTCATCGGTATCTCTGCAAGGACTCAATGTTGAAGCATCTCTTTAAATAACTATCATGGTCGAAAAAGAGATCGAATTTGTTGAAGCGATTGGATATTATTGTAACTTTTCAGTCATAGGAACAAATAACGATCGTATTACCCAAGTACCTTACCCATCCTGCAGAACTCCCTCGAAGCATTGCTCATCCTCCTTTTTGCAACTTGCCCAGCTGCCTCACTCGACATCAGCTCTATCAATCATCGAGTCCATCTCAATCAGTCGACACCATTAGCCTCACCATTGGTGTGACCATTGGTTTCGATCTTGTCCTGCGTCAATGTCCAATTCTTCACATTGACATCCAAAGCCCCTTCGTCACTCTCAGCCTTGCCGTGTCCAAACTTTTTGATGTCCCATTTCTCGACGCCTTCCACGCCACGCAAGTCCTCCGGGAACGTGCGGAACGCATCGGCATTGAGCTGCTCGTACTCTGCATATCCCTTGGGGTAGTCACCGAAGCGTTCCAACGCCAATTTCAAGAGGACCATGTGACGACGAGCGTACGTCCCCTGGGACGCTGCCTTGTCCAGACCCAAAGCCGCAAGGTCCACGGGTTCAGGATCGGTCGACAAGACGGTAACGTCGTCGTCCTCGTTGAGACCCATGGGGTCGAGGGTCAAAGCCCGCAGGACGTTTTCGTGCACCCCGACGGCACGCTTGAAGTACCGGCGCGCAATCTCTTCCGCCCCTTTGGTACCTTGCAAGGCCAGACCGGTACTCACGAGCAACTGGCCCAGGAGAATGTTCATCTCCAGCGTGACCACGTGCGACGAACCGTAGACGCGACGCAAGTTGTACGCAATGTCGGCAGCGAGGTTCAGCGCGAGATCATGGTGTTTGAGCAGGAAGCGAACAAGAACCAATCTGCGGCCGAGCGTGAGTACAACCGACGGTCCCCAGGCGGAGTGGGTTTCGCGAGCGTCCCACAGCCGGGTCAGCAACCACTAGAAAACCGAAAAGGTCAGTCCTCTGAGTCTTGGGGAGCAGCGAATGAGTATGTGTGAGATGACAAAACTTACCTCTAGCGTGACAAAGTCCTTCTGCTCGCCAAGGATCGTAATGATGGTGTTCAACTCCTTCAGGGGTATGACGGTGAGGTTGAGTCTTTGTACCTTCGCAGACTCCAACACCTGCCGTAAAATTTCACTGGCAATCTGGATCTGGGCATAACGAGTCTTCTTGTGATGGTGAATGTCGGCGAGGGTCGCCGCCAAGACGAAGCCATGCTTGATCGCCCCAGGTGTGGTGTACCAACCGTTGGCATGACTGTATCGGAAGGCAGTCTGAGCCAGATCGCAAGCCTGCTTTTCTTGCCCACGCTTCAGGAAACGTCTTACTGCTTCAATACTTGCGAGGTGGACAGAAAGGAGGAACGACTTTATCTGATGGACCTCGAAGTATTCGAGGAGTGTCGTGACGAGGATTTTGACCTGCGCAACGTCTCCGACCTTGGCCTTCTCACCTGAAGATCTGAGGAAGAAGCTCACCAGCTCATCCTGCACGTGCACGAGCAATGTGGCACGGCCCTGCTCCTTCAAAAAGGAGTGGAGACGGGCCGCGATACCGTAGACCTCTTCAAACGAAGAATTGCTACGGATTGATCGTTGGAAGTCTTCATAGTACACAATCTCGGTCAAGATGGAAAGGTAAATATCACTGAACGACTGTAACGAGTCTTGCCTGAGACTGTGCTCCAGTTGTGCAATGTAAATTGCGCTGGAGCGACTGGCCGATGCGAGGTCGAGCTTGTACTTCTTGGAGTTGCTGGTGTCCTTGGTCACCAGTTGCCAACGAAGTTCCTCGGCAAGCTCCAGCCCTTGGTGTGTCTCGCTGACGGCAATGAAGCTCGCGGCGACAGCTGACGCAGCACTGACGAGTCGGGTAGAGCTCGTCTCGCTGGTCACGACGTGGCTGGTGAACTCGGTCAGCTCCTTGACGGCCTCGATCTTCTTGGACTGTTTGGCGTAGAGGTGAGACACCTCCTTGAGTTGCTCGAGCGACTCTTCGTGGGCCCATCCGTAATGACTTCTGGTCTCCGTCATACGTTTGCGGACAACGGTCACCGCGCGTTCAACTTGTTCCTTGGACGCAGTGACGTGGGTGCTTCGAGCTGCCTCCAATGCTCTCATTTCATAGACGGCATCCAAGCTGGCTCTGGCTTCGGCATGGTACTCGGTTGCTTTGGCGTTGCCAGCAAGCTCCTCGTACAGTGCCACAGCCTCAGTCTCGTGGCGTTTGGATACCCTGCACAAGCGTGCAAAGCTCAAGGTGACCTCTTGGGTGAACTTGTGTTCGGTCCCGAATACTGTGATGCATGCCTGACGATATCTTTTCGTAATCTCGTAAACGAGGGTGGACTCCGTTCGTGAACTTTGAATGCTCTCCACGTATCGATCATATATCGTGGATACGAACGTGGTGCTGTGGAATTGCTTCAATTCTTTTCCTTTGTGAACAAAAGTGTTCAGAAGCAACGAATATGCCCACGTGGCATCTTGATAGCGCCGCTCGAGCCAATACAGATTGGCGACGGTACTGAGAGCATCTAGTGCTTCAGGATGACAGGTATCCGAACCCTTTGACAACAGATCAACAATTTGTCTGTAATACCCAATGGAGATGGGTTCGGGGTTTGTGAGCTGAGCGAGGGTCCACAATGTCTTGATCACTTGAGCATCGCCTGGTCCGTAGAACTTCTTGTAGTCCTCCAGGAGTTCCTGGTGAAGTTGGACTGTCTTGCTTCGAGATCTGTTCTGGTCAAAGAGTCTGAGCAGGTGAGCAAGGTTGTGCTTTACAATGCTATCATCAACCTTGCGTGTCGCCCTGACGCCATAGTAGAGTCGTTCTCGGAGGTCCTGCGCCTTGTTGAAGCGCAGACGTGCTTCGTAAGCAACGATGAGTTGATCAGCAAGTTCTAGGGCAAACTCAGGATTGCTGACTGGTTGGCCAACATCCTCGATCGAAGCAGACAGGAAGCTTGCCCAGAAGATTCGAAGCACTTCTTTGATGGTGGACGTGGCCTCCTTCCACCGCTTTTGTCCCATGTAGGCATAAACCACCTGCTTGACTGCCGACGTAGAGGTCACGTCTAGCTGTGTTGACTGCGAAGTCTCAATGCTAGTTATGATCTCGGTGACCATAGACTGGCTGATATGTGTTTCAGAGCTCGACGAGGAAGATGCCTGCTTGAGGATCTCTCGTTGAGTCGACTGTACTTGCTCCTCCACTTCCTTGTAAGATGAGCTCTCGACCTTGGAGTAGGCCTTGGTAACAGATGAGTGGTGCTTGAAGATGTCCAGCGCCACTGAAGTTACGCCCACAGTCTTCAAGATCTTACCAACCTCAAACAGTCGCGAGCTGATTTCCTGTGAGCGCGCTACTGAGGTTGACTGATACTCCTCCCAAAGTCCAACTAATAACGCCGATGCCTCAGTGGAGCGTTTGGTCGACTCGAGGAAGCTAGCGTACTTGGTGGCAAAGTCGATCCTTTTGCGAACCAAGCTCATTGAATCACCAGTATGGCTTTGAATGGATAGGTGATGCCATGCTTCGATGTATGCATGCTCAGCTTTGGCCATGAGCCCCTTTGTAGTGTAGCTCTGAGCTACATGAAAGAGCTCATCAATATGCTTGTGGCTTTCTGCACGAATAAGCGCGTGATCTTGCTCTTCGTCCCAGTCCCAGCTTTCATACTCCGAGTCTTTGCCACGACGCGAGACAACCCGAACACCTAGAGATCCGGTACGTTTGATGGTGCCAGTCTCCTCAGTGCTTTGGGTACCTTGTGTGTATATTGTCTTCTCGATCTCAACTGCCTTAGACTCTTCTTTTATTGATCTGTAAAGTTCAATGAGTTGAGATTTGTACTTCAGCACCACCTCAGAACTCGATCCGTATTGTGTGGTGTAGCTTTTGATGAGAGTAGTAATGATCTCTTCTCTGCGTGAAACAACTTCATTTCGGGTGGTAATTGTCAGGGTGCTTGTAACGTCCAAAAATTGAGTTGCACAGCGACTATACAATGGATGGGTGATTGAGAAAATGCTTGCCGTGAGCTGAGTAGCTGAGTAGAAGTAGTCACCAGCGGACTTGAAGTGGTTCTTCTCAGTCAAGATGGTTGCGAGGACAATCAGAGTTTGTAGGACGACTTGATTGTTCGCGTTGAGAACCTTCCGGCGTATATCTAGCGAGGTAGTGTGCCATGTTTCTTGGAGTGTGGCGGGCTCCCAGGTCCAGACGGCCTTTTCAAGTAGAGGCACCGTTGCCAAGGTGGGAAGGACCGGAAGAAGAGCTTTCTTCAACTCTGCGGTATTGTTTCGAGTTTGCGGGTGCATGTCAAGGTAATGGATCAGCCAATACCTTGTGGCATACTCAGCAAGGGGAGCCTGGTCGAAGATTTGATGGATTTGGCCAGATGTCAAAGACGAGAAGGATGGCTCTTTGTTTTCCTTGACGCTGAGCTTCAGGTAAAGCAGGAGTCTCTGTACCAGCTCAAAGGATGGTTGCTTGCTGAGTTCAAAGTATTCTGACACCACGCTTTTGATAATAGAGTGACGCAGATACAAAAGACCATCTTCGAGAGAGACCAAGGCAGCAACTGGCTTCAAAGCATGTAAAGGCTGGATCTGCCGGTCACTGATGGTGCCTGCCTTCAGATCGATTGCATAAAGCAACGATAGCTCCTCAATAGTCATTGGTCGTTGAGAGATTGAGAGCCAAGTCAAAAGCTGTTTGCCTTCCTCGGAAAGATTTGCACTGATGAGCAAATCACGAATGCCTTCCTGAAGCGGCTTCGAGCTCTTGCTTATCGCTGCAGCAGCCTTGAGGAACTTCTCTCCAGACTGCTCTCTGAGCAGGGACTTGGTGAGTAACTTTGCCCACAGGAAGTTACTCTTTGAAGCTTCCACGATCTGATGAATGAGAACATCTTGATCCAGCCTTGGAGTGTTCTGCAAGTAATGATGGCTATGAAGGAGGCCTGACACTACCGCTGATACATCATCATAGATAAGATCGTACGAGATGTCAACGTCATTTGGCGCCTTCGATGCCAACGCGGTTGGCTGAGAAAGAGTAATGAGCTTCACCTTTTCGTGCATTGATGTTGTGTCGAGGAGATGTTTGTGCAGCTTTTGAGCGACTTTTACGTCACTGGATACCTCATCGAGCCCATCGACAATGATAAGGGTCTCCTTCGCCTGGGAATGTGTCGATGCAATCACTTTCCCAAGTGCAGTCCAAAGGATGGACTCATACGCCGCAAGGTCATGTGCTTCGTGTGAACTCGCATACGCTTCGGATAGAATCTTATAGGATTCCACATTTCCAACACGTGTTTCAAGAAATTGCGACAAGAGACGCTGAACAACGTGCAAGCTTGATGCCTGTACCTTCGTTCGGCCGTTGATTGGAACGAAGAGGACAGTGTACGAGTTCTTGGAGTGAATGCGTTGCACAGTATCAACGATGGTCCCCGCGAGAACGGTCTTTCCAGATCCTGGAGGGCCAGTAATGGCGAGTGATTTCTTGCCACTGTTCAGGAATCTGGTCAGATAGGGCTGTGCCCACAGACAAGTCAGCTGCTGACGATCATTTACGAGCATGGTGTGATCTCCCCATTTGTATTTCAAGATACTGTCTTGAATGGAAAGCCACGAACGCAAGCTCCTGAAAGCAACCAGGTTGTCCATGTCGACATTCTCCTGGGAGAGCTGATATTTCCACATTGACTCGACAATTTTGTCGCGTCGACTTTGGAAACTTTCAATGGTGTTGCTGAAGTCGCTGTAGATGTCAATGGCTTCATCTGATTCAGCTGAGGACCTGATGGCCTGATAGAACTTGAGAGAGACATCAGACACGAGAGTCACCAAGTCCGCATATGCAAGGACAAGTTGCTCATTGATATCGAAGGAAGCATTGAACAGCTCGACTCGGTCAAGCAACGCAATCAGGTCCAGAGAGCATTTGAAGAAGAACCCAAAGGACGCCTGAAGCGCAGCAGCATTCTCGTCACCGAGATCCAGCAACAAGATGCAGTAGCCAAAGGCGATCTCGGCGCCGTCATAGTTGCCTCCCGTGAATTGTTCAATGGCTTGGTCGAAGTCATAGAACTTCTCGGCAAAGGACTGGGCCCAGGCAAGCACTTTGTCCCAGGCGCTTCCTTCGGTCGGAAGCCTGTGAAGTCTTTCTTTGCTGATCTTTTCAATCAGAGTTGGGTAGGAGCTTACGATCCCCTTCGAGATGGCGGCCCCCAACTCGTCTGCGCAGCGACGCTTCAATACATTGACGGTCTCTGCCATCTTGGCTGAGCCGCTTCCGCTGGATGTATTCGTCGTCTCTTTACGGAAAGACCGCATCGTGGTTTGGTGTGCTGCGTGCGATCCATTTGTGTATGCCCCGTAGCTGGTGGATCGGTGAGCTTGGTGATGATTGTTGCCTCCGGGCTTTGGAAAGCCGTTTGAGAGATAGCTCGAAACTGTCGCGGCCATGGTTAAACTATGGCTCGTTGAACTTGTTAATGTCGACAGTATGTCATGCCCTTGCTGCCCAGCGTCTGGTCTCTGAAGTGGTTGGCCTTGCGGTTTGCTTCCGTCAGGTTTGCTGTATACCGTCTCGGCGGTGTTGGAGGGTCTGTCTGTATTTTCAGAGAGGGAGCTCCTAGAGTCCGATGATGGCTGTAAATAGCCTCGTTTGTTGGGGTTGTACTCGCTGTCACCGTCACCATACAACCAAAAGGGTATATCTGTGCTTGATGATACAAATGATCTTTTGTTTGATACGGTACAGTTGGAATGAGCGACAAGCTTCTCTTTGGCTCGGAAGGTCGCCGTGAGGGATTTTGAGCTTGGAAAGGGAGAGATTCTTCACGGTGGCAGTTCAATAACGGCGAATGGAGATAGTCTTCACGTACATATCTGGTCTCAGAGTCCTACAGTTCAATGGTTGGAGGTACTAGTCAAGTATACCACCCTCCACCGACTTGCCTTTGACCCTTATATCCTTGCCAATCATTGCTAGAAGCGTCTCCGCAGAACGAAAGAGGGCAAGAAGTGAGGTCATGTACTTGATCAATTGCTCCTTCAGGAAAAGTTCCGTCAATCCCAAGGCCACAGGACGTCGATAGTCCGGACAGTAGCTTCGTCGACGTCGACTCATATCCAGAGAGGCGACATTATTGGGCTCTGATTAGCCCAGTGGTCTGAGTTGCATACATCTCCGGACCCCTTGATGGTGACCAGTTACTTAGTTCAGGGTTCTCATTGGTTTGACGGGCTCCAAAGCTGAAGGGGGCTTTTGAGTGGGAAAGGATGCTGGTTTCGTTCAAGTCAGACAAGAGATACATCGATCGGTTCCGGGGCGGCCGATTCATGTCGGCTATTTCGCCATTCACAAAATTCATCCTGATCTTGACCAACTTGGTATTCATGTATGAGAACCATGTTGAGAAACCATAGCTAACGGCAGTTCGAAGGTTCTGTAGAGTTTTCGAAGCGAAGCTATACTATGTTTGATCAAAGGCGAGGCTGAAGTTTGACATAAAATTTTGATACGTGTACAGTGACTTGCCCCGGCTCCACCTTCACGGCCGTGGGGACCGTGCCGAAGACGCTCGCCAATGACGCCAGCCAAAGAGCAGCTGCTTCCTCGGTGGGGATGGCTCTACTTGTACTGGCACTTTTGGCTACTCCCTGGGGTCGCTAGCACATCCATCTCCCAGCCAGCCAGAATGAATAATGTACGATCGAGATCACTGGAGATCATGATCAGCATCGTAAAAAAGATGAAGACTGTCCACACGGGTACTCGTACTGAACACCACACAAGCGTCCATGATGTGATTGCTCCAGCGAAGAAGCGAGAAGCACACGGAAGCTTTCTCCTCTGATTGACCTGACCCGGCTCGACTTGACGAGACTGCATAACTAACCTGCTCACCAGCTCCTCTCTGATCCACCCATGGCATTTTTGTGGCTGGCTGTTATTGAGTGCTGTCGTTGTCGAATCATTGTCCACCAGCTCCTTGAACTTGGAGGTGGTTGACCGCGTCACATATTGGATGTCAACCTGTACGTCTGCAACAATTTTGAATCTTATTCGCCTTCACGTAAAGGAATACCTACTCCACGGGCATTCCGGAGGTAAGCGAGAGCATGTGCAAATGCAAAAGAAGTTCTGAGGGGTCGGGAGGTGCAGCAGAAGGTTGTGTTTTTGACTCTCTGGCACGTCCTTTTGGGATAGTCCGAGAGGGGTCACTGTTGCGAGAACGGGCAAGGGTCATGTACCCATGGGAGCACGGGCTTCAGAAAGCATCGGTGTCCACCAGTGTCAATTAGGCTCATACTTTGATGTTCTTGCTCGAGGTTGTTGCAGCAGTTCGCAGGACGGCGTGATCGCTCTTGTGCTATGATTGGAAAAGAATGTGGATATCCGTCGAGTTGCTCAAGGTTGGGCTTCGTAAAGAGCACGAAGTCGAGCTATTGGTTTCATGTACATCTAGTCCTGCAGAGGCTGTGTACATTGGCACATATACTAAACCCTTTTCACAGACTACGGATCATTCGATTGTCGTGATGTCGTCAATCATTGCCATTTGTGCATTCAGGTAGGAGGGTTTGCTTCGGTAGCAACTCAAGACCTCCGGAGAGCTCGGGAAGGTGAATATAGATGTTCAAGAACACCAGAACAAGTGGAAGGTCTCCTTTTTCGATGTCTTTGGATGATTGTAACCTCTCACCTCTGATAATTCCAACCTCCAAGCTCTTTCGATCATACAGAAAACATAGACAGCTTTTAGCCAAAGATGGAGACCATTCTACCTCACGAGCACAGCATTCATGGCCATCATCATAGCCAATTGACACCCGAGAAGTTGGCCCTTATCAAGTTGACAACAAATGAGCTGAATGGAGACACAATGTCCGACGCAGGCACTGTCAATGTTCGTCGGGCTTCTCGACTTTCTCGTGTGGGGAGCACTCGTTCCACAAGACGCCAAAGCTCGTTGCTGCGCACTTCATCACGCATGGAAGCATCATCTTATGCTAAGATGTCATCGGAGCTCACCTCTCAAGCTGAGACCAAGTTCATGGTCCTGGTCGATGTGATTGCTAATGCTTCAAAGGAAGCTAGTAGCCTCAAGGCCATCTGGGAAAAAATGAAACATGAGCGAGAAGTATACCTTGAAGAGCGGGAAGACTTGCTTGCTCAGACTGCTGATCTGACCGCCGAGTTGACAACTTGGGAAGAGGAAAGATCTCGTCATGGTTCCGAGGCCATCGACAGGAAGAAACAAGTCGAAAAACTTCTTGCTGAGCTCTCCACAGCTCTCGCCAATATCACCACTGAAAAAGAGCGAGTTGCAGAACGTGACTCTCAGCTTAGAAAAGTCAACCTTGAACTTCGTGAGTTGAGAGATTCGACTACCCGTCACACCTCGCAGTACGACCGTACTCGTCAAGAGCTCAACACTCTCATCGCTCGCCTCAAACAGACTGAGCTTGAGCGCGACACCGCCGTTCAAGAGTCTGAGAGGTATCATCGTGAGCTCACCAAGGCCAACCGTGAGCGCAGCGAAGTGACAACCAAACTCTCGGATGTCACTTCTAGCTTCGAGACAGCTCAGCATGATGCTCACTCTTTGACAGTTCGCATCAAGGCTGTCGAAATGGAACAGGAAGAAAGCCTCCAAACCATTACGCAATTGAAAGAAGAGCTCAGACGTGCCAAACAACAAAGCGTTGACGACTCCAAGGAAACCATTGAAGCTATCGAAAAATATGAAAAGGCCAACCGAGAGATCACGAAGACGAAGGATTTCCTTGGTCTCGTCGAAGCAGAACGTGACGAGCACGTGCAGACCATTGAAGGCCTGCGCCGCCAAATCAAGACTCACACGTCTGATCACCATGAGTTGTCCACCCAGCTCAGCAGCGTCACCCAGAGATTCGAAGCCACCAGGCGTGAGCTTGTCAGTACCCAGGAAAGTCTTCGTACTCTTGAGGTGGGACGTCTCAAGGATGTGGAGAACCTCCAGCTTGCTCGCGAATCTCTTCACACTGCCGTCCGCGAGCGCGATGAACTCGGCGACGAGCTGAGTGGTCTCAAGAGACGCTTCGAAGAGCACAAGCAACAAGTCACGATTGGCAATGAGAACTTGAGCAGAAGCGAGGAGAAGATCACCGAGCTTCAAGTCGAGCTCAGATCCTTGGGCGAACAAGTGCAGCTCGCCCACCACGAGCGCGATGAAGCCGAAGGCAAGAGCGCCCGAGGGCTGACGGAAATCACTCGTCTCCGTGAACGCATCTCCGCTCTCGAGCATGAAAAGCTGAGCATCGTCGAAGCTCGCAGCAAGCTCAGTGCCGAGCTTGATCATCTGCGTAGTGAGTACAGTGAAGTCACCGAGACCGTCACGTCCTTCCGCGATGACGCAGATGACATGGAGCAAGAGATCGAAAGCCTGCGAGCACTTCTCCACGAGACCCGCGAGCAGCGTGAGCGGGCCATCCATGCCCGTGAGTCCGCCGACAAGGAGCGTGACGAGTACATCCGCAAATACGAGGAAAAGTGTGTCGAGATTGAGAGGTTCAAGGAGAGCAGTTTCAGCCGTGCCAACAGCTACTCACACTCGCACCACCGTGCTTCCCGCGGGGCCGGGGAGCTTCGGACGTCGCGAACCGTCATTACCAGGTCCGGCAACCACTCACACCTAGACCAAGAGTCCAGACATGACGCCAACAACCTGAATTCCTCTGGTGCCGTGGAAAACAATGGGTTCCATGAAGGCGCAGCTGAAACCCCAGTGGCAGCTTGACTGGAGTCTTGCAGCCGGACATAATTCCGGGAACTAGCTGCAGGGAAATTTTTTTGGATAAATGGAGGATAGCAAGTATAGTTTTGTGGTTCTTTGCTTGATTGAGACGGGTAATGGTTGTTGGTACTCATACCATTGTTTGTTTGGAACCATGAAAACCGGGAAAGGTAGTGATCTGTTTGAAGAGTTTGGTTAGGGCCTCTCTGACAGTGTCTATGTTGATGCTCGTAGTGCTGTGCATCTCTTCAGACGCAAAAATTGACTTTCAACACGAAGGGGGGTTGCTCTCCCATGTCCGGGGCTGCTTAATGGAGGATGGGAGGTAGTGGTAAACGGCCCCAGCCGAGATGTGCACGGAGATGCACACGGGCCTAAACGGGCCTGAACGGGATGGTGGAGGGCATTTGTGGAGCGGTGTTTTCGTCACTCTAACCGAATGAACTAGGGGAAGCGATGTTCGAAGCAGAGACCAACACGAGGACAGAGGACGGGTAAAGGGCCACGATCTGCAAAGACGTTCGGGTGTGCCGATCTGAAAGCGGATGGTTTACGTAGATGAACGTGTAGGAAGCTGGTAGAAAATTGAGGGGTTGTTCCCACCTGGTGTACGTACTGTCTATTCTGGTCTGTGTCCGGCTTTGGATGCAGGCATGAATAATGGGGCACCTTTACGTCAATTAACATGTACTCCGTAGAAGCCAAAGATATGCATATCCGGCACCGCCGGTGCTCAGACTTCAAGAAGCCACACGGCGACACGGTGGGCAGGATAGTTTCCATGGATGGGCTCCGTTGCCAGATGTGACACCCTTCACGCCATAATTGTAATGCCTCCAGTCAATTGTCTGAGTAGCAGCTTCGTGGCTGCCTGAGCATTGACATGGCCAAAGGAGAAAGCAGGAGCCGATCTCGTTCTCCCTGCATGGCTCGCTTATCCAGATCAGGCGAGACTCCATCTCTCGGTGGACCGACCTGGGTTTGCGATCGATTCACGGAGTCCGTCCGGACGCAACACCACAGACTTTCGGCAAAAACAGTGGTCCCAAGTTGAATCAGTGATCTCAGCATCAGAGGATCGCAGTGTCATTGAGTGTCGAAGCGGAACATTGTAGTATAGACCGTTCCACACGTTCCTGAATGGTAGGCTGTCAAGTCTATGAAGGATGAAGGACCCCATCAGATCAAATTGATCACTTTTGTCTCAATCGTGAAGGTGAGAAGTGTGCAGGCATCGCACACTGTGATATCCACAACCACAATCCGTCGACATGCATAACACTAACGTGAGAAAGGTCCTTGTCTGTCAACTTTTGGCATTAGCATGTCCGCTTTCGGAACATCGTGATCTCCTTTTCACTTGATCAATTCAAGTCTAGCTCGCTGACGACATCAACATCCCCGGAACTACTTGTCTCCATCTTATCATTGGTGGTCAAGGATGTCACGCCAAAGTACTGATGAGCGTTTTATGGCCGACGTACTCGTTCTTCAACATCCTATCGCATGAGCGTGCTTGTTAGTACTTGTAGTGGAAATTGTATCTAAATCAGCGTTTGACAAAGGTTAATCCAGTCTTCTGGACAACGGACTTAGACCGCGGCGGCGGATGACATTGAGGGCGAGAATATGAGCAATGGAAGGCAATTCTTCGTATTAGAGTTAGACTTGGGGTACAATGACGAGGAGATAGTCCTGTGGTCTGTCTGGAAGCGAAATGCTCTGCAGTATTGCATGTGCGAGCATGAAGGCCAACAAGACACCTTCTGAGGCTGACTCTCGATGGCACTAAGATCACTTTCGTACTGACTCGCGTACTCTGGAAACGGTTGTGATCTCGTCATTTCTCCCCGATGGAGCGGTGCTCGATCTGGTCAGCCTCTGCCTCTTCGAGACCAGCGTGTTTTTGAGCCACTGCATCCCCAGGGGCACCGACGTATTCTGTGAAAGCAACGTCGTCGCCGAAGACCTCTGCAATTTCTTCCAACGTCTTGCCTTTCGTTTCACTGGAGTCAGCCTGGTCAGTGTTACAACTCACAACAGAGGAGTCGTTCGGCACTAGCACTCACGGGAATATGGTAAAGAATGATAAAGCAGCAATAGCATCGCAGACAACGAAAACCGCATAGTAGCGCCATCCAATGTGAGCAAATGCTTTGGGTGACAGTTGATTAAAAAGTAGGCCAGTGCCTGTGCCCATGAAAGCGCAAACTATTGAAACCTGTAAGCATAGAAGTCACAACTTCGGAATGGCTAGTCTCACTGGCAGTAGCCCGGGACCGCAAGGCAGTCGGAAAGATTTCGGCAATGTAGACCAATTGGATTGGGTTATAACTAACAGCTTGTGAGTAATCTAGAGAGCAGCAGAAAGCGAGGTAGATCTTACCCGAGCGAGAATATGAAGGAGAAGACAAAGATCCATGCAATCGTGAATCCCTGGCCGACTTTATTGTCGCTGTTGGCATAGTACTTCGAAAACACCATCAGGAGAATCATGTCAATCGTCAGACCAACTGAAACCCAAGCAAGTGGCTTCTTTCTTCCCGTCTTGTCGATATAGGTGAGACAGATAGCCGTCGATATAACACCGACCAGGCCTGTGATCGTGTCAGAATTATTGTCTTTACACCATATTGGCATTGCAAGGTATTGAAGAGGCATGTGCTGAAATGCCATGCATCAAATAAGCGGCCAAAGACACCTACCAAATCCAGCCGAGGTCCACAACACATCCCGTCCTTTGATACCGATGCTCCCAAATATCTGAGTCTGATAATAGTTGACGACTTTGTCAATGTCAGCATAAACACAACATCAAAGGGGTTTTGGCGGAAGAGGCCATACCATTAACACCGGTAGTTTGGAGGAAGACTTGAAGCAAGATGCCCAGGATCAGACGGCGGCGATTGGATGGCTTGGTGAACAGTTGAGTCCACGATTTGATGCTAACTTCTCGTTCGTATTCGATCTGTTGCTTCATCTGGTTGAATTCCCTGTCTGCAAATGTGCTGTCGCCTGATTCGTCCCCGTGAAGCTTCTTCACAACTGCATGTGCCTCCGCTTCTCGTCCGTTTTGCAGAAGCCATCTCGGTGACTCCGGCAGCCAATACAGCCCGACAATCAGCACGACCGCAGGAACACATTGGATTCCCAAAGGGATTCTCCAGGAAGCGTTGCCCTTGGCGAAGGAGCCAAAGACCCCGACCCAGTTTGACAGGGAATAACCACTGGCGATAAGCAGTGTTTGCATAGCAACCATGACACCGCGAATTTTCGGAGGCGCTATTTCAGCGTTGTAGATTGAGGCGACAGCGTAGACCAAACCTATGGCGAATCCCGCAAGAATTCGGCCCACCAAGAACATGGGTATGTTGACTGCAGCGGTCTGGAGAATGGCACCGATCAGGGCCAGGGTTGATGCAAGCCATATAGTCTTCTTTCTGCCCAACTTGTCGCCCAAATAGCCTCCAACAAGGTTACCGATACCCTGACCTCCAGAGTATGTCGACACGATAGCGCCTGTCAAGTTGTCGGATGGGTAATTGAAGTAGGCAGGAAAGGTCTTCTGTCCAAGGGTAGTACTGATGATGCCCGAGTCATAGCCATAGATGAGCGATCCCGTCGTGGCAAAGATGGAACAGTACAAATTATATTTTCTCATGTTGATTCGAGGCGACCAGCTTTTCCGCAAGCACTATTGGGCAAGACTCGAAGAGCGAATCTTCCCATTGCCTGAGATCAGCGCAGACCTGCATGTATATATACATTGGAGAAAGTCTGGAGACCTGGGGAAGAATCCATGTCGTCGGTAGAGTGTGTAGCGGGTCAGAATACAATCAACCACTGATGAGCTCGTTCATATGGAGCTTGATGTTAGTGACATTGGATCTTGTCGCGGAGTTGGGGGTCTGACTCCGCGAAGACAAGCTTGATCCTCTTTCGAAGCGAAGAGAAAATTGTTAGCAGATAAAAGGGTCTATTAAGGATCCAGAGCATCAAAGTGATGGCGCATGGCTTTTCTCCCACGATCAAATCCTCAACAGCTCCGTAGAAGAGGCTTGAATCGATGAACATTCATCAGTGTGTAGTTGCTTTACATTGCAGGCTCGAAGAACATTGATAGACCTAGAACGGTTAGTGGCTTGGCGATTCACGTGCCCACCTTTTGGAACCTCAAAAATTGCTTTGTATCTCGTGATGAAGGACAAATAGTCACGTTACATCGCAATATCTTGGAGACTGGCATCGATTCCCACTCAGTCGTGGGACGTCTAGTTTGGACTGCTTCTGATCATGCTGTCAAATCGTCAGGTGCAAAGATCCCTCGGTTTCTCCAACAATCTCGGCTCAGGCGTGTCGACCAAAAACCACACCTCCCCAAGCCCTGTCATAGGCATCCCAGGGTGTCGGGAAACACATATGACCTCCGCACGCGCCTCGGCTAATTCCTTGAAGGGATCTCCACGATGGAGCACACTATCCTGCGTCTCACTGTGCTTCTGATTTGTGGCGCTATCTCAAGTCGTCCATATTAGTTTAATTGCTCTCCTTGCACGGAGTACATATGTTCTGGAACATTTCAGAGTCGTGGTGCCTCCATTCGGCCTTCTGTTTCCCAACTCCGCGGTGGTATATTTTCACCAGATTAAACCATGGCAGACGATGTCGAAGGACATGAGCGGGACCAGGAATCTTTGAATGAGTCTCCAGAGTCACGAGGACCAAAGCGTCGAAGACGAGTGACAGACATTTCGGATGACAAACACGCCAATCCTCGACGCCGAGGAATCATTGCATGCGAGGTATGTCGAGCGAGGAGAACGAAATGCGATGGAAAGCGCCCAGCTTGCTCGTTTTGCCAGGTATGCAATCGCAGAAAGACCTCACTGTACAACAGGCTAAATCCGGCCACAGAAGAGTAACTCAGTATGCGAATATCGCAAGGTTGCAGAGCCTCCTCCGACAAAGTGAGTACCTGGTCTACATGAAATCAGGACTTGACTAAGGGGCCAGACTCGAGAGTGAGATAACTACGATCAAAGAACGCCTAGGGAACATCGAACAACTTCTGGCTGCCCAGAGGAGACCTGCTGCCGTACACCGAGATGTAGATGCGCTTCTCTCACCACATGCCACTTACACGAGTACCCCAGCGACAATTGTGCCGCTGCTTGAAGGAGCTCATTCCCAGTCGCCTTTCGTTTCAGACTCAACTGGGTTTCCCGTCATGGTCATCCGTAACAAGTCTTTCATGCATTTAGTTGGCGTAGAGAATGACTTGGCTACACACTTATCAAAATTGGAGAGGCTTGCAGGAAGCAAAACGCTAGGTGAGAACGGCAGGCATTTTCTCCTCCAACAGCATCGGGCGATCAAGTGCGGCTTAGAAGCTCCTCTGAGGTCAATTAGCTGCTGACTGGACATAGTGCATTGAACACCTTCTTTGAAGAGATTCATCCGTGGTACCCAATCTTGGATCCTCAATATCAGGATGTCTACGCTTCCGTGATGGATGGTGACCTCAAACCTTCGTCGGAATCATGTTTGGCGCTGATTGTTGCTGCTCTCGGGCTTTTCTCCTCGCATGACGGGCAGGAGAAGCATGCCATGTATGCCGAAATGGCGCTAAACATGGTTGCTCGCACCGTGGCTGACTGCAGTGTACTGGCTGTTGAAGCTCTTGTGTACATTGCAGTATACTATTGCTGTCTTTGCAGTCCCCTTGAAGCATTCGAATATAACGCCATCGCGTCGCTAAAGGCACAAAGTCTGCTCACAGTGTACGTTGTGTATCCAACGTGCCTATATCTCGTTCTGACAAGCGACAGCAATCGACATCATGTCACCGAGGCGGATTCCGAGACTTTGAGACGTGCTTTTTGGGCGATCCTGCTCATTGAGAGGTAGGAGGATCTGTCGTGTCCGTATTTCCTTCTCACTGATTGACTGAAGTGAACTATGTGTTCAATTGGAACTCATTGACACTGGCGTATGGAATTTGGACGAGTCCACCATGCTGCCAAAAGTCCGGGATTCATGGAGTACCTCTCCCCAGTCACCATTCCAAGCCCACCCCGACGGGAGCCAGACCGCAAATCCGGGAGACGTTGACGCATATTTTCTTGCCGAGATTGCCATGCGACGGATTTCTCATCGTGCTCCGTCAGCGATCCGTGGAACATCTCGTGGCGAGCTCGTTTACGCGCCCATCGTCGCTTCCGAATTGAACTATCAACTTGATGAATGGTACCACCACCTGCCATCAGCCCTCAAATTCCCCCGTGGTACTGAAGGCGAAGCTCGAGACCACAGAGGTTTGGTGTTGTTCCTAAGGACTCAATACTATTCCTGCATGACTTCGATTTACTGGCCAGCGATTTACAAAGTCATTCAGACTGGTAGACGCGAGAGCGACCTTGACCTGGGATGTCAGAAATTCTTCGATGCCTACCACGACTTTCTGATCAGTGCGACTGTCTGTCTTCAGCATTGCATCGTAAATAAATGGACATTGCTGGCAAGGTGAGTACCTCTGATTCGTGTTCTTGCCGACCGAGGTGCAATTTCGTTGACCACGCTCAGTATATTTGCTTTTACTATGGCAGCTGCTCGCGCCATCAAAGAGCCTGCACTAGCTGATGCCATCCCAGCGCACCTCTTCAACTCTTTGACACTGGCAACTAATTCTCTGGCACCGAGTGGACACCTAGGGCCTTCGCTTTCTTACCTGCATGATCTTCTGAAGGAGCACCTGACAGGTTTGGTGGCCTTCAGCCCCGAACAGAGTAGTCGGACTGGCATGTCCATCCCACAGATGCAAAGAGCAGATTTCACCTAGCCGAGAACTTCGTGGTTCAGAACTGTTGATTGACAACAGCTGATTAATTATACCGGGATGCAAGACTTCTGCCGATTTTCTCGAGGACTCCGTGGAGCTGTGGCTGCATATTGCGACTCCCGGGGACAGACAAATATTGTTTGTGCCTTTTCGGGAAGCGATCCGCGAAGTCTCAGCGATTCCATCGCGGAGTTCTACTCCTGACTCCGCGGTACTTCGATCGCGCTTTGCCCACCAAACAATTACCAACCGCGTGGTCCCTAATTAGCGACGAACGGAACCTCGGAGGTTCCCATCACTAGAGAATAGTATGCTTCACACTGAAAGCGCAGTCGAGACTCATTAGGAAGAAAGTCAACCTCCAACGCTTCACTTGCTCGACTCCGACCTCATCGTTCATCTACTTTGGTATCGAGATAAACACCTGGTCGACACCATGGCGACGGCATATACTGAGTATGCAGGGCAATTACACCCTCCATATTCCAATGGTATGTCACCTCTTGGAACCTGATGGGCTGCTGAACTCACCGTTTCCGAGGACCTCTCAAATTGCCATACCAGAGGCCAGTCAAGGAACGAAGAACATACCACTCTACGGGGGTGGAGAGCCTTATCGAGGACATGACTTCCCAGATGCAAGACAAGGATCTTGCACGAATGTTTGAGAATTGCTTTCCAAACACCCTCGACACGACAGTGAAGTGGTTTAACCATTCCGATGATACTTGCCAATCATTTATCATTGCCGGAGATATGTACGAGCGGAACAACCCCCCTCATCCCTTTCCCAGCCGACCACGTGGTCTGATGATATACTAATGACTCCCCCGTCTACACAGGGATGCTGCCTGGCTCCGCGATAACCTATGGCAGATTCAAGCTTACAAGTCATTGCTTCGCACCGACGGGTCAATACGAAAGTTGTGGCAGGGTGTCATCACTCTGCATACAAGGTGGATCGCCAAAGCACCATACGCCAATTCCTTCCAACCTCCCAAGGAGAGTGGGATGAAACCGGTGGCCGACCATGTCATCGATATGGGTGCAGACATCGTCAATCCACCCCTCGACCCCGACCTCTCATTTGAAGGGAAATGGTCACTGGACAGCATCGCCTCGTTCCTTCGGATCTCAAACACATACGTCCACGAGACGGCCGACACGTCAATCATCGACGAGTCTTGGATCGCAGCACTGACCGCCATCCTGCAAGTGCTGCGCGAACAGTCACAATCCACGTTCGACGAGCAAGGCAATCTCGACACGCAAGCATATTCCTTCCAGCGTCCCGCATCGACGAGCATGACGTCGGTATACAATGGTCCCGATCAACCTCCCAACCGTAAGTACCAACCTGATAGTACTACATATACTCCGTAATACTTGAAGACTTCGAAAGCTCACTCTTTTCACGCAGTCGGCACAGGCAACCCCGTCAAGTCAACAGGCCTGATCCGCTCCTCCTTCCGCGCCAGTGACGACGCGACCATTTTCCCCTTCCACGTCCCCGCCAACGCCTTCATGGCCGTCGAACTCTCCCGCACCGCCGACGTTCTCTCTTCGATTGCGCCCGAAGTGTCCGTGCAGTGCGCCGCGTTCAGCCAGTCGATCACGCAGGGCATCTACGAGCACGCCGTCTTCCCCCACCCGTTGTACGGCAAAGTGCTGGCCTACGAGGTCGACGGATACGGGTCGCGAGTTTTCATGGACGACGCGAGCCCGCCGTCGCTCCTGTCCCTGCCGTACCTGGGGTTCATCGACGCCTCGGACCCCCTGTACCGGGCCACGCGAGCCATGGTGCTCTCCCGCGACGGGAACCCGTACTACGTCGTCGGCGCCGCGCTCGAGGGCCAGGGCAGCCCCCACATCGACCTCAAAACCATGTGGCCCGTGGGCACGATCGTGCAAATCCTGACGAGCGACGACGACGCGGAAATCCGCAGGTGTCTGGGAACCCTGAAGACATCGAGCGCCGGCCTCGGTCTCGTCCACGAGGGCGTCGACGTCAACGACTCGACCAAGTTTCTGAGGACGTGGTACGCCTGGGGAAATAGTGCGTTCGGGGAGATGATTGTCGACCTGGCCACGAGGAAACCGGGCCTGTTGTTTGGTGAGCGGTCGATTGCGATTGCGAATGCGAAGACCGAGGCAGACCACGATTACGATGATGGAGTTCCTAAACTCTAGTCTAGCTTCCATTTGGGGACGGTTTGTTTGGGCCCAAGTACACAATATTTGTATTTCACAAGGACAACGGCGATCTCTTTATAGATTTGTACATTGAAAATAGAAAAGACAAAGGCATTCTCGTTGCTTCGTACGCATTCGTCATCATGGCTACCATGAAAAGCTGGTCGAGGTTCTGAACCCAAAAAACCCCCCCTCTCGACTTTGCCCTCCCTTGAGAATAAAACACCAGTACAGCACTCACCATCTACCAGATCAGGAATGCAATGCAGCAAACCCACACACTCTCTCTCACTGGCCTCTCACCACCACCGCCGCCGCCACCACAACAAGGCAAATGTCGGGGTAGGTATAATTACCATTTGTACGGTGCCCAAGTTACAGAAAAGGCCCGGGATCAAGCATCTTATGCGCCTACCCTCAACCCGCCGCCCTCTCCCCCGTTCACCGCAGGTTGATCCGCCCCTTCAACGTCCGGCAACATCTCAATCTGTCTCAGCAGGAAACTTTTCTCGTCCAGAAATTGGTCGTCGTCGGTACGGCCTTCCAGAAAGGTGGGCAAGAACTTCAACAACCTCCCCCGGTTCTTCACAAGTATCCGCCTCACGTCGTCACTCTTGTTAGGATTGGCCACAAAGACCTTGAACACGTGAAAGGCCTCGTATTGGACCATCTTCCGGTCGTCCTTGAGCAGGTTCATTGTGAGTTTGAGGTTGTCGCCGCTCGCGACGTACTGTGTCATGATGACATAATTCGCACGGTCCAGGAGCAACTCGCCCAGCAACTTTATCGACTGGCGTTTGGTGACATATGACTGTGATAGTAGGAGGGTGGGGTTGTAATGGGTTTTGAAAAAGAGGTCGTAATTCGTGGCCAGGTATTGAGAGACGATCGATTTGTGTTTGGTCAAGAGTTCCTATGCACACCAAGAAATAAGCACTCGGTGGCCTTGAAAAAAAGAAGATGGGCATTCAACAGAAACAGAAGAACTTACTCTGAATGTCGTAAATGCATCCGCACTGACTTCGAAACTTCCTCTGTTGATCCAGCTAAAGAACTTCCAAAACACACCGTTTCCGGTCTGTTTTCTCGTAACGTCGACCTCTTTAAGTTGCACTGCCCTTGCTCCCTCGACATTAGGCTGTGATTCATCGTACAAAATGACGGCGGCGATGGTGTCGTACTGCAAGGCTTGTCGCAGTATCGTGCCGCAAGCCATTGCAGATTGAGGATACTCGTAGCCCCGGCAGAGCTCCACGATGATCTCCGGCCGTTGCACGACGAGGTATGATATCGCCGACGGCTCTGTGGTGGGTGGTGTCCCGTTCGGCCGCCATCGCAAGATGTGTGAGAATATGATCTGGGCGTCTTTGCGGGCTTCGAACGGTAATAATCGGATTGAGCGGGCGAGTTCGTATAGGATGTCTTCTTGGATGATGCAGGTCACCAGTTGATGGACTTGATCGGGGGAACATTCTACTTCTGTAGATACACACCTGTCAATATGGATTCTGATATACTTGATCTCGGGGGGGTGAGAAGTGCTTACCAGGAGTCCCCTGTACGATCAACTTCATCTGGTTCATATGCTTGCCGACTTCTTCTTCGACCTATTATCGTGGGAACGTGTACGGTCAGCCATGTCTGACTCCCCTTTTTGAGCCTCATCTTCGCGGCGATTCATCTTAGGATATACATAAAGGTGCCTCATACCTTTGCGTTTGCATCATTGGCACTCCCATTCCCTCCCTTCGACCCTTCACCCAACTTGCCTAGCAACTCTTTCAAACCCCTCGCAATCTCAGCAGGGTGTTTCTGTCGTCCTCTTGAGCCGAAGAGGAAGGCCATCTTATTCCCCTTTGTTCTTTTTAATCTTCTTTACTTGCGCAGTCAATCGAGCATGCGACTCTCTTCAGCGAGAATTGTTGGTGATGCTTTGTGGTCAAGACAAGGGATCCGACGCGGTTATGGATATGCCGTCAAGACTAGGGACCTGAAGCAATGATTTGTCGTCGCATGCCAGTCGAGGTGCCCTAAGGTGTCTTGTTCGGGACTATGCACAAAGGATGCGACCAGGCAGGTCGAAACGGTTTTGCTATTCCTTTTAGCGGGAACCGGAAACTGGAACCAAGGGCATAGAATATATCTCTGTCTGTAGGTTAGAACAAGTCGGTCAAAGGTGGTTCAGCAAATTGTCACTGTGAATTTGTCCACAACGGTTTTTACAGTGCTTTTCTGCACACGTTACGGAGTAAAAGGGATCAAGAAAAAGTGACTGTCTAATTCACGAATAGAGCGAGTGTGTGCTGCAGCAGAAAAGAAGCACCCGTCGTCGCCTACGAGCAGGTCAGAAATCGAAAGTCCGGATGTTTTGGGCTTGAATTGAGCGCAGGCCGTCGATTGGGCAACCGCCTTAAGGGGGGTAAACAAGATTAGATAAGATGGATTGATCATCACTCAGCCTTGTCGCCTGCCCTTCATTTCTCAGCCTCGCGATGTCACTGCCACCAATAGATATTACAACGATTGCGACAAGGCTTGAGTGTCTTGAAGAAGGATACGTATGATTCATGAGTAAGGAGTTTCTAATGGAGTGTGTTGGCTCGCCAAGGAAACAAAACTTCAACTTCTAAGAATACCTATACACCTCGCTCATTCACAGCCTACCGTTCTCAAATCAGTCCCAATTAATGAAAACCCTTCTACCGCATTGACAGTTGTACTCTCCATCGAGGTCTGTCGGAGCCCCCACTTGAGCATCGTGCTCATCTCTTCTTGACTTGTCCGTCTACAAGTACAGCCGTACTTGTGCCGGAAACCTGCTCTTTCTCTTCATCCTCGTCATCCGTTGGTCCAGACAGTGTCTCTTTGTCCAACTCGGTGGCCATCTGCTCCACCATACTAGTCTTTCTCTGCGGTCGCTTATCTCGTTCATTCGCAAACTCATCATGTGGCTTGCCTTGGAACCTCTTTCGGACGGTTTCGATCATTTTCGCAAACCAATAGAAATTCAAACTGTTCAAAACAAGGTTGCTCACCAGATACACACCAGCGAGCCAGATGGGGACCGCCGATGTATCTGGTCCTGTGAACTTCATCACTTCACTCTGTGCTCGTATACAAGACACATCGCCAGCGCACATCTGTCCGTCCCTCGGCACGAAGATCGAGTGGCCTGGAACACTGGACTCGGCTAGTTCGCGAATGAATGGTGTTTGGCCTTTTGCGTTCAAATGCATCGCATGCCATACATCTTGATACACTCGGAGAGACTGGTAGGTGCCCCATATCAACCGACACGAGAAAAACATGCCGAGTAGCAGCATGCCGTTGTACCATTGCAACTTGGACCCTGTCATGTTAAGCTTGTCGCAGAACCAGTGGATGTTCAAGAATGGAGACGACAATTCGTAGAGAATGAATACCGGGCCGTAGTAGTTGCAGAATGGTCGCTATCGGGATCCACCAAATCAGCAAGTGGACAAAGTATATAGACCGGGAAACGACGTAGCGTGGTATACTTACAAAACCCAAACTGAACACAGCCAAAGCCGTCACGGCATGCATCCATATGCCAATCCCAAAGATTTTCAAGTATCGCGTACTGACCACGATATCCCACACAAAGTAGCCGGTAGCGAAAGCCTGAATCAAGCCACTGGCACCTGTGTATCCGTAAATTCTTTCCACGGCACCCTTGCCGCCGCGATCTTTCCCCATCTCCCTACGCTCTTCACTATTGAACAGACTGTCAGCGAGCGGCCTCCTGCTGACTCTCTTGGTTAGGAAAGGCGACCTCACTTACTCCACGCTCATCACCCACAGGGCAAGGCCATTGATCAAACAACTCTGCACCAGACTCACAACATGCACATCCCAATTGATCCTCGTGCGCCTGTTCAATTTCGGGTAAATGTTCGGGAACAGAATATTGCTCAGCACTGGAGAGATCACACTTTGAGTGACTTGGTACAATACAAACGCAAACAGAACCTCGTGGATGTGATAGGCAAATGTCGGAAGGTTGAGGGCGTCCGAGTACGGCTTCGCCAGAGCCACAAGCCATGGTGGCGGAGGCGGTAGAGGGTCGAGCATTTTATCCTCTCCCTGAATGGGTACAGGCCCAATTCCTCCTCTTCTATCTTCTTCTTATTAAGTTATTGCTACGTTGACTTTGGGTAGTGCTCTGTGACAGTCCCTCGAAGAACTTGCTGGGGTGAATGCTACTCGTAGGAGTGTCGTCGATAGAATTGTTCGTGATTCGATCGAGGCCGGTTGATCAGGTAGAGCGAGGTGCCGCCAAAGGGCGTGGGATTAGTTGGCGATAGGAAAGAGGCCTTCAGGTGGTGGTCGTGTGCGCAGGTCAACAGCCTCGATGGTCACGAAGTTGGAGGTCAAACGCAGCTGAACAACTGCGACAAGATGACGCAGCAACCGAGGCGCGAATTGTTGGGGAAACATCCTGGTCCGGTGAGCCTCCAGCCCCCCCAGTAGCACCAATAAGGGACCGGGGGGGGCTTCTTGACGCCTATCACTGATGCCTATTGGAAGCCTGAGGCTTTGCAGCCTTACAAGCCTAATAAGCCTATCCAATCTCACTACGGGTGCGACCGAAATCCACAAATTTAGGCACTTGTTGGCACTAGCACGAGGTCATCCCAGGCGTATGAGTATCGTCGGTACGGTATCGAATATGAAGGCATCAACACCAGAGATAATACAATGAAATTCGTGATCATACTGAGTACTCGACTATCCACATGATTCAGTCGTACCTGCTGTTGTACTAAGACCATAATTCAATCACCATCAACCCTGTCGCTCCCGCTAAACGCTCAAATCACAACAATCCAATACTCCAGCCAGGTCAACGAAACCAAACACCCAAACACCACCCATCATCTCAATTCAATGCATACTATTTCCCATACTGTGCTCATGACTGTGTTTCCTGCGCAGTCATTTGGAAATACTCTTGTGCTTCGCCGATTCTCTCCTCCGTCCCTGCTGTAAGAGGCTCGGTACCTAGTCCACTGTCACTACCATGATGGTACTTGAATCCCTCTGCTGTCACAATGGGTGGAGGCTGAAGATCAGACAAGGCTTCTGCCACGATATTGGGAGTCTCAAGACCATCAAATGTTGTCATAGCCATCGAGTTGTCCTGCCCTGAGTTGACATGTCCGGCTTCGTGTAAAACCATGGCAGTCGAGTCCGCCTCTTGCTCCTCATCTTCTTCTGCAATGCTGTCAGTCTGACCATTGACGGTACCAACAATGCTACTGCCAGTTGACAGCCGACTGTGTCCGCTCAACGAACTGCCAGTTCCAGAAGTCATACTGTCAGTATACATGTAACTGGTGCCCAGGCTGGTCCTCCTTTCAGTGCTTGCATCGCTGTGGGAATCATCCTCGCTTTCACTGTGCTCAAGACTGAAGTTCTCTTTGTCTGCGAGTTCGGAAGTAACACCATTCCAGCTCGCCTTTCGACCATTTGCATAGCTGCTGGGATTGCTTTTCACCGATTGGCTTCGCTTCAAGCTGACCAAGCCCGTAGTCGGCTTCGGTGCTGGAGCGAGCATCAACGCCATGTCAGGAGTATTGCGTCCGCGGTTGCCCGTGACATGACTAGTACTCAGGATGCGACGGTCAACTGCAGAAGTCCTGGGAGTGGTAGAGGCTCGGGAGTTCGACGCTAACGGTGCTCTCTTCTTTAAAGCCATGCCAACGGCACTGCCCATCGCTGAACTTCCATCCTTGACGGAGGTTTTGGCAGTGACGGTCGTAGCATTACTAGGAACACGTTTGAGGCTCATCGACGCGTCTCTCTCGGCCGGATTGACCCTCCTGGCTTTCTTGGACCTTGTGGGATGGATAGATCTCGCCTGGTTGACAAGCCCATCCAGAATGCGGCGTTCCACAGTTTCAGCTTGAATGTTCATTTGGCGCACTTCTTCTTGTCGGAGTTGAAGTGCCGTCTCAAGCTTGGCCACTTCCCGGTTCAATCTCTTGGTCTGTCCACTCAGCTCCTCTTGTTCACGCTTGAGACTCGCCATGGCTTCAACAAGCTCGTTCTTTTCTTGGTTGAGAGCGACGATATCAGCTTCGACCTTCTCCTTTTGAGCTGTCCGCTTTTCCAGCGCAATGGCTGCCTCAGTAGCCTCAGCCGCCTTTGACTCATGATGTTCACCCATGAGCCTGGCCTGGGTGGTGACCATACTAGCAATCTCTGCGGCTGTAGCCAGCACCTGGGCATGGATATCGTCGAGCTTTTCAAGTTTTGAAAGCCCTGCCAAAGAGTCCCGGGTATCGTTTTGTCGGTTCTCGATGCCGGCAAACACTTCTTTGGCCAAAGCTGCGTGTGAGAGAAGGGTGTCAAGCTTGTCATGCACTTCGCTATCGTCGTACTTCTCATGAGCCGCCACATCTCTGGACACTTCTGGACTTGCTGGCGCGGCTGGTAAAGCGGGCAATAGAGGGGGGATGGCTGCGGGAATCGAGTCCACGCCAGACTTTATCTCTTCAGTGGCACGGGTAAAGCTCTCACTCTGCTGTTGCGAATGCTCATAGTGTTGGCTGACCATGCCCAGGACTTCTTGGATGGCCGCCAGCACTGCGGGCTGGTTCTCCCCCACCGATCCCTCCAATCTCGTCACGGCAGCCAGTGTTTTGGCGACCTCTTCTCGCGTTACTCCGTGCTCGAAGGCGTTTGAACTGTGAAGGTTATCCAATTTTGAATTGGAATCCTCGATGGACGTAAAGACCGTCTTTGAGTCTTCGGACACACGCTCACAAGTTTCAGTGACAGTAGAACCCAGAGTGTCTATCAACAACTTCAACTCGTTTGCCACGGCCTTTGTGCCTTTCGTAGCCTCTAGATGGGCGCTGTCACGATCATCAAGAGCAGTCAGCTTGATCTCGTTGGCTTGCTGAGCGTCGTCGTATTTCGTCATGAGTTCATTGAATTTCTCTTCGATAGCCGTTTTGATGTCAGTTCCTGTTTCCTCGTGCTTGTTGAACAATGTGGCGTCGCGTTCCTCCATCTCGGACTTGATGTTCGCATGGTGATCCATGTGACGATCGAGTTCGGTCTTGATCATCTCAGACATCTCTGTAATGCTTGAAGAAGTAGCGTATTTACTCATGTCATCATGATGCATTCCAAGCACTCTGTTCAGCTCGACGATGCCTTCTGCACTGCCTTCGACCTTCGTCATCAACTCTTCCCGGAGGTCTCCAATGACACCCTTGACGTCGTCGATTTTGGTGGCTAACCCGCCATGCTCAATTTTTCTTGCCTCAAAAGCTTGAGCGGTCAACCCATTGTCGGCCTCAAACTGTTCGCGGAATGACTTGATGTCGTTTTTGACATCACTAAGATCTTCCTTGGTGGGCAACCACTCTAGGCTGGGAAGTTTGATGGCTTCCATCTGGCTCTTGATATCCATACACAAGGTCTCGATGACCTCGACATCGGTTTTGCTGATGGATCCGTCATCGCGATTAACCCCGTCCAGCTTCGATTTAAAGTCTTCAATGTTGCCTTGCACATCCTTGAGCATAAGCTCGATGATGGTGAAATCTTCCTTGTGAGTCTGCTCGCCAGAACGTTGGGTACACTCTTCAACGGCCTCTTTGAGATCTTTGAGGCCGAATTCGACTGCATCCAGCTGACTCGATTTCGCTAAGGGTTCCGATTCTGGGGAAAGGACTTCATCTAGTCTGGCCTTGATGTTTCGAAGCAGCGTCTCGATGGCATCGGTATCGTCCTTTGAAGCGGCATTCTCAGGCATGATGACTTCTGGCAAGGGGATTTCTCGAACAGAATTCACGGACTTATTGACCTCGTTGATTGCAGTGTAAAGGCCATCCAGGTCGTCCTTATGAACGTGGACTTCCTCAACCCTGTTCTGATCGATGGTTTCACCAACCTGCTGGATGGCATCTTGGAGCTCGTTCATATCGTCCTTGTGTAATCGTGTCTCAGGGGCAACAGCTGTAGCTCCCAGACCGTCCAGTGCCTCGACTTTGATCCGCAACTGGGTGATCATGACTTTCAAACCTTCAATTTCTGTCGAGATACGGTTTTGATCGTGGATGACCATTTCTTGACCCCTGGAGGTTCCCGATTCGGATCCCTCCTTTTCTTTGTCGTGGAGGCTTGAAATATCTGCGCGAATGCCTTCGACGGCCGCTTTCAAAGCATCCAAAACGTCCTCGCTGGCACTCAGATCGATAGGTCGATCATTCAATTTCTGGATGTCTGCTCGGATGCCATCTACTCCATCCTGGAAGGCGTCCAACAGCTCGCTTGTATTGGAGAGAATGCTTTCGGATCCGTCCATTCTATGTCCAGAGCGAGATGCTTCCAGTCCTTCACGGATGGCATCCAGAACTTCGTCGCGGTCCAAAGACGACCCGTTTCTAATCAGAGTGCTGGCAAGAGTGGTCCGCATATGTTCCAACTCCTCCTTCACTAGACGGGTAATGTCCTCAGTGTTTCCGCTCAGCGACGACTGTCGGTCATCCGAAATATCTCTGATAGCATCAAGTATTTCGTCCTTGTCCGACATGGATTCATTTCTGGCCATGCTTTTGTTGATCGTATCGCGAAGATGCTCGAACTCCTTTTCCATGGCGTCCAGTAGCTCAGGGGTATTTGGCGCTGCCCCTGAGCGAGTCGCAAAGCCTTTGTCGATATCGGCCTGCATCGCAGCAAATCCGGCTTTCACCGTGTCGATGATCTCATCTTTACCAGTGACATCTGCAGCACGGTCGACGTAACTTTCGATGTCTGCTCGTAGATCTTCGAGACCATCTTTCAAAGCATCCAGTACTTGCTCGGTGTCCTTCCCACTCGCAGCTGAGTATTGCTGAAATTCGGTCTTCATGCTTCCCAGGAATTCGTGCATGGCTTCAATAACCTTTTCGCCCATGCCACCCAGAGGATTCTGATCGCCCTCCAGGCAAGCTCTGATAGCGTCGAACAGGTCTTCCCTATTGAATTCGATCTCCTTTGCGACCGCCTCTGGGTGGGAATGACCATGTTTCAGACTTTCGGCCACAAAGTCTCGGGTGACTACATCTTGTCGAGCCAGAGCCTCTTCAACGGCGCCAGTCACATCGTCCCTTGTCAGCCCGGCATCGAGGGACTGTGGTGGATGTACATTTTGCCACTCAAACCTGTCCAGACATTGTCGCACGGCCGAGTAGACATCGTCTTGGGAGATACCAACAGGGGTGGGAAGACTTGGTGGTTGGTAATCTGAAAGCGCTTTCTGAACAGCCTGAACCACTTCTTCATATGTAACGCCGGCGTCTTTGACTGTTGATTGTTGAGGCTGGTAGGATTTCAAGCCTTCTTTGAGGCACTCGAGTATCTCGTCTCGCTCCAAGCCAAAATGCTCCAGAGCAATCTCGGGCTTGCAGTCCTCCCAGGCTTCTCTCACTGCCACCAGTAAGTCCTCCCTTTCAGCGGCTGGATCTCTTACAGACTGTTGGGCTGTTTGCGGCATTTCAGCCAGAACTTCGCGTACAGCACGAACAACCTCTTGCTGATCACTTGACGAACGAGCAACTTCCATCGACCTGCCTCTGTTTTCCTGAACGATTTGATGCATGTGTTCTTTGAGCTCCGCTAAGCCCTGTCTCACTGTCATAGCAATCTCATCCTGGATTGCCGCGTGGGCATCAGGGCCACTCGCTTTGGTCGTAGTCGATTGCTCCAACTTCCTTCCGATCTCGCGACCCATTCCAAGCACTTCGCCTCGAAGTTCGCGAACCAGTACTTTGACTTCGTTGGTAAGACCACCATTATGTGCCATTGACTGCTTTACACTCTTCAGAGTCTTCGCAACTTCTTCCGTGAGATTGTCAGATCCGGGAAATGATGCTCTTCCTTCATAGGTAGGCTTCGACTTGGTAATCGCCGCGTCTTCGAGAAATGCATCCAGGTGAGAAGTCCGCTTAGCATTGTCATTGCCATTGGGGCGAATCAATGCCCGAGAGCCTGACTCTGCTTTCATTTCTTTCATGGTGATCAAGATATCCTCCAACTTTGACATCATGTTAGGGTCGACCGTGGTGTGTGTAGACACCATTGATTGTGATTTCTTGGTGAATTGAGACTTGACCGCTTCCAACGTACCCATGATGTTATCCTGGCCTTCGCGAGTGGCCATTTCTCGAAGGACCTTTTCCAGGAGAGCGATGCTCGCAGCACCATCCACGCATGCAATTGAGGGAGAAGCACTCATTTCCCGCTCTAGTTGGGACGAGAAACTCGTTGGGCTCCCAATACGTGGAAGTCCAAAGCTCTTGCGAGGCGTTGTAGTATTATGGGCCTTGTCGTCCAAGTAAAGTCCTCCCATCGTCGAATTTGGGCGACTGGATTCTGGTGCAGAAAGGAGTCGAGTGTCTAGACTACTGAGCTTCGTTTCCAGGCCAGCAACAAGTTCCCGAAGACTCTTTCGAATGTCCTCATCTCGGGACGTTGCTGCCTCCTTCAAGCCCATCAAGTCGGTATAGTTGTCCTTGCTCCGCTTGTTCAAGCTTGACATTTCCTTTTGGACATTGGTCACAATACTCGTCAGGCTCAATATTTGTGAAGATAGAGAGTCGAACGAGAAATTCGCGATGGGAGGAGATACGCCATTTGTGATATCCCCAAGCGGCGCCTGGTCCTGCCTATTCCTCGCGCTTTGTAGCGCAAGCATATTTGACCCTGGTGGTGTATTTTCGAAGTCTCTTGGTTTTCTTTCACTAGGTGTAGGTGTTTCTGATCTGTGAGGACGTTCCGGTGATCTGTTGCTGTGTAGATCGTCGAAGTCCACAAATCTAGCAGTCCGCAGGCCCTTTTCTGGCGATCTTCTCTCCAGTGAATCGCTTAGTCGGTTGATGCTGGGACTCTGGATGCTCTGCATTCGTCGGTTCTGTGCTCGCATGATGTTTCTGTCAGGTGAGATGCATGTAGGTGGAGGGTTGCTTGTGTAAGAGCTAGGTGCATTCTCTCGCGCCTTCGCAGTGATCAAGGCAGCGGCTTCATCAATACGTTTCGATGTGTTAGATCGAGTGATTGGGCTTCCTGGCCCTCCAGGATTCAATGGTAATGGAGGAGGTGCTCGGTCTGGATCTGAGCTGTCCCACCTGTTGCCTGTGAGTATTGTGTTTACTTTGTTGTTAGAAGCGACGAAGGCACTTACATGGGCACGGAGCTCCTGCCAGACTCGGAGAACGAATGTTGATGCTTCACTATCCGAGACTCAGCACGGTCCCTCGAGTTTTCTCGAGAGTAGGTCGACATGGTCAGTGCCTCGTGGGGAACTTCAAGAATGCTGTCACTTGAAATGAGGTTATGCTGCAGTCATATCGTTTCACTGTCAAGCCTTTGGCCTACGCAGCAATATTCAAAACTCCCAACAAATCGTATGAAGCATTAATAGAAATCCAAACGCCTCGGGTTGCTGGTAAATTTCTGTAGGTCGACACGAGTTCTTTAGGCGGCGATGAAGCAATGGTTTGTTGACGGTTCCGAAAGTGGACTAGTCCCTGTCACGTGAACAGGGACTATCATTTCGAGCCTAGTCAATCAACATGCGGCCTCGCTTACATAAGTCGTGCTCGATTCTCTGCCAAGCCCACACAAGAACTTTTCAACCCGATGCAGTTGGTAGTCCATCGTCAACTTCGTTGCGACCACCGAATTCGACACTTCCCGACAACGACACCACGCCCCCTCTGACCTCAAGATGAAGTGTAAGTTGCTTACGCTTTACGTTCTCAAAGACCTCCTTACTGATATCATAACAATAGTTCTCAAGGTCGGCCGTGTGGCCATCATTACTCGAGGCCGATACGCCGGAAAGAAGGTACGTTCTAAAGCAGCCGTGGGACTCTGGATGAGCAACTTCGAGCGGGACATGGTGGGCAGAGATACTGATTTAGTACGCAGGTCGTCATTATTCAGCCAGTCGACCAAGGAACCAAGCAACATCCCTTTTCCTACGCCCTTGTTGCCGGCATTGAGCGCTACCCTTCAAAAGTCACCCGCCGCATGGGCAAGAAGCGAGTCGAGAAGCGATCAAAGGTCAAGCCATTCATTAAGATGATCAACTACAACCACATCATGCCCACCCGATACACACTCGAACTCGAAGGACTGAAGAGCGTCATCTCGAACGACACATTCAAGGAGGTTTCTCAGAGAGAAGATGCCAAGAAGAACGTGAAGAAGGCTCTGGAGGAGAGATACCTCAGCGGAAAGAACAGATGGTTCTTTACTCCTCTCAGATTTTAAGCGCGTGCAGAAATTTGGTTGGTTCGGATGGCATTTTATGGCGGGTTCACGACATAAGGCTCTAGTTCTGCACACCGAAGACGAGGCGATCAGATTCCGAGGCTTGAAAGCGAGATAAAAAAAATTTCATGAACAAAATGGATCACCTGGCTGCCGTTGCGACTTGCACAGGTTAGCCCTTCTTGAGCAAAATCGTGGTGTTAAGAATCTCGCAGCAAGGGAACGCGCCGAGTAAAAGCTGGGTTACCTTTTACGGAAAAGAAGTGGTTGTAATCTTGTTGTCCAGAATTACTAGCATTATTCTAGATACAAGTCATCCTTCAAGCGCTGCAAATTCCTGAACAACCCGGCCGCACCACCTTCATTCGACCCCTTGGTATTTCTGCCCATGGCTGAATTTGGTCGAGGTAGGCCATCTGTTCGTGCAGTTCGGGACAGCCCACGACTGTCTAGTGTTTTCCTCCTGTCTTCCACCGACTTTGCTAATGTATCGACAAACTTTGTTCGTACTTTCTCTTCGCCGGTGCCTTTCCATACCAGGGCCAGTTGCCTCAATTCTTCCACTCTCTGCGCTGCAGCCTCGAGGCTTGTATAGCTTCCCCCATCAGCATTGAGTATTTCGTTAAGATCCGCGCGGATCCCCTTAAGAACTTCCCACGCCTTCTCATCGGCCTCCGTGCTCTGAATGCCCAATTCGGGTGCAGAGACCGATATCAGTGAGGAAGCCACCGAGAGCTCTGAGGGAGGTACTGGCCACTTCATGGCTTCGCCAAAAATGCTGACGACGGCTTCCAGACGTGTTTTGACCTTGCCCAGTAAGCGCAGCTGTGACATAAACTCTGGTTCCTCTTTCTCTGTCTGATCGTTTCTGTCCGCCGCCGGATCCTGTGTATTCGTCGTGGTCCGAACAAATTGTCTGATGTCCTCTCGCAGAGAGTCCGTTAGGAGCTCATGGAGGCCGTTAACGTCCCCACGAAGGACTTCCACCTCGTAGGCCAGTCGATTCCCACTGCGAATGATCTCGTCCGTGAGAGAGGTCAAGTCGGAGGAGGCGCGAATGTTCACAGTATTCATAGACGACAGTAGCGACAGTGCGTCAGCTGAGGCACTTTGAATCTGGGTGGACTTGGCTGTCTTCTGAGCCTGCGAGTGGGACGAGATGTTAAGGACGGGGAGGCTGTGATTCAGGAAATCGACTGCATCAAATGTAGGCTGATCGAGTTTCGCCAGAAGAGTGCCAGTTGGATCGGCTTGAGACGTCTCGGTCTCTATGCGAGCAGGCATGTTCTCGGAGAATAGGAGAGGTGATTTTTTCGAGGAAAGTTATGAGATGACTGGAGGTCGTTGTGAATGAAGCAGCATTGTCAAGTCGATGTCATTGTCCTTCTATCCTGTCTCTCTGCGCCGCGATGGCTCCCGCTCTGTCTGCAATAGAGTACAGGTAATAAGCAACAGCAATAGCTTCAACCTTTCTGTATTACCTGGTAATAGGATGGTGAAGGTAGTGCTCATATCATTGTTTGCTCACTACGAACACGCCATCCTGTGTCCGTATCTTATGCGACAAGAGTTGTTGCCCTCGATTGAATTGGCTTAGGCGGCTTCTCCGACAAAACTCCCGGCCCTCAGCAGTCTAATCACAAACGCCACGCCGCTTTTAACGTCCCTCTTTTTGCATCTCTGAAGCAAACTTTTGGAAGCTTTCCATTACAGATTGCTCTAGGGAATGCGCTCAAAGCCCAGCAAACGGCTTGGAGAACCTCTCATTTACAATCGATTTAACTCTACTCTGTACATGAAAGAAGGGTCAGATATCCGGAAATTTGTTTGTTGGAAGCCTAACTATCATATGCTCTTTGTGGTTGAATATATTTTCCAACTCCGCTTAAAACTTGAAGTCGAGCAGTAACATATCTTCCTCAAAGAACTCATCCCGCAGCTTCATCAATCTAGGAAATTTGGTCAGTACAATGATTGCATCTATTTAAACAGCCTTTCCATTCAGTTCGCGGATGAAGAAGCTGCCGTGAACAATCAAACATGTTGGAGGACTTGTCTAGGGTAGCCTACCCATCGTGGAGTGGATGCTTTGCAAACACTCCAATGTCCTCTGGCTTGCTCAATGTCACTACAGCCCCGACATCAAATCCATGCGTGAAGGGCTTGGTGAATTCCAGTGCTTCACCGAACTCGACAGCCAACATTCCTGGAATCTGGCCCAACATGGTTTTGGCGAATTGAGCGAAGCGACTGAGCTCTTGTGGCCCGATATCGGGTTTGCACTTGAAAAGGGCTATCGCGAGTACTGTCAGTATCCAACCAGACAGTGGATGCTAGCCCAATGCTACAACTCTCGGTGTCCACGGAGAATAGATGGCTCAGCGGTACGGAGACCTTGATAATGATGGATGAGGTAAGAAGGCAAAATATTGACCAGGAAGACTTACCTATGTGATACACTGTCATGTTGATGAAAGCTAGTATTCCTGTTGTATATAGGATAGTCTCAACTGGCGATACGATTCAAACTCGTTGAAACAAAGCACGACTGCATCTGCCCGGGGGATTCGAGCCAGCAAGATCCTACGCTCGTACGCACCAAGATACTTATATTTTCGAGAACGGGGTCGGTGCAACACTGCCTCCGAGTCGTTTGGGTCCATGGTAGACACATTTGTCAGATTCAAGGTCGCTCGAACGTCAAGGGTCGCTTTCGAGGCAGAGAAGACATTGACGGCAGCACTCACGTATATCCGTTACGTGTGTTTTGCCCTACTCGTTTGAAATGACCGTAGGCCATTCGTATTAAAACTTAGTATAACAAAGCACCCCACAGCGCGGTAAGCTAACCTAAAACGTAAGTCACGATGTATTGACCAGTTGAGAAGCTCAACATCATTGCCCATTCATACTTGCTACATTGCGTTTTTATTTCTCGGTCGAAGCGCTTGCAAATCCAAGTCTAACCCCGAGGCCAGAATCACACACACTATATAACATCATGCTTGTCAATCAACATGCTCTCTCTGCAAAAGACCTAGTCATCCGAAGCAAACTCGTTGACAAAGACCAGAAGAGATTTACACAATTCCCGAGTTGTATCGCTATTTGTTGCTGCTGCCTGTCTTTCAACCCAATATCGGTGACCCCGATCAGCTGCCTACCAACTTGAGAGTCATGGAGTTGAGCTGCGCAACCTTCGTAAAGGGGGCCCCCGAGTACGAAGCCGTCAGGAATGGAGTAGTGTGGAATGGACACAAGCCTGAACGCTACCCGGACGTCATTGTGCAGCCGATGACCGAGGGAGATGTCATTTCTGCGGTCAAGCATGCCTGGCAAAAGCGCATGAAGATCGGCATTCGTTCAGGTGGCCATTCCTGGACTGCCAATTTTCTGAGGGATGGAGGCATGCTGATTGATGTGTCGCGACTGAACCAAATCACTATTGATCCTGATACTGGAACCGCCACTGCTGGCCCTGGGACTTTTGGCGGCAGCTTGAATGAAAAGCTCAAGGACCACGGCTACATGTTCCCAGGCGGCCATTGTCCTACTGTCGGCCTCGGAGGCTATCTTCTTCAGGGCGGGTTTGGCTGGAACTCTCGACTCTACGGTATGGGCTGTGAGAATGTACTTGCCATTGACGTGGTCCTCCCAGATGGGACGTTGGTCCACGCCGATGAAAAAGAGCACTCCGACTTGTACTGGGCAGCACGAGGCGCCGGACACGGATTCTTCGGCGTCGTCACCCGATTCCATCTTCGGTGTCACCCGCTACCAAGAGCCATCATGAACAGCTGCTTCTGGCTTCCGATAGATCACTTGGACGAATTGATATCGTCTCTCGACGACGCCCAAGACTCCTTCCCTCGCCATCTCGAAGTGTCCATGTTTATCGGCCATGACCAACAAGGGTTTCCCGGGCTGAGTGCACTTGTGCGCGCGGACACTCTGGCAACGACCCGCGCCGAGGCGCGTTCAGCATTGGATACTGTACATCGCCTGCCAATCTTGTCGAAAGCGTTGAAGGCAGATCTCTTTCGTGACGTGGATCTCGCTGTCCTATTGGACACGGTAGCCGGTATCCTCGAAGTTGGCCACCCCGAAATTGTGGCCGACAACACGTGGATGGACGCACCAGTTCGTACCATACTGCCGCAATTGCATGAGATGATCGCAGCCTTGGGTCCTGCACCTTCTCACCTATATTTGCTTTACTGGAACCGCAAAGACCACAAGTTACCCGACATGGCTTTCTCTCTGGAAGGAAAAGTGTACATCACCTATTTCGCGTTCTACAGGGATACGGCGGAGCACGAGAAATGGGCCAAAATCATCACCGAGGGCATTGCCTCCGTGGCAGATATCGGAGTGGGCTCGCAATTGTCGGATGAAAACCTCCTGCGGAGGCCCGCGAGGTTCATGGCGCCAGAGAACTTCAAGCGTCTCGCGGCCATCCGGCGCAAGTACGACCCTACGCGCAGGTTTCATGGGTTCATGGGTCTGACAGAAGAGTATATTCAACTTGAGGCATGAAACACCTAGGTAGTGAAAGATAGAATGGAGACGGATGAGACAGCAAGACCCTCTCAATTTCATCATTGTGTCTCCACCACCTCGCATACCAAGACAGCAGTGAACGAAAAAAGCAGTCTCGAGGCTCCAAGGCAAGACAGCCCCTGGATTCTTTTACACTTATCCTGACCCGTTGAGTATGATCTTTTGTATCCTGGAAGATTGACTTATAATACTTTTATTAATCACAGAAAACGGTAGAAGACTCCCGGTCAGTCCATCAAGCAGCTAAATTTCCAAGGATACGCCTAGCCCCTAAGTCACTCGAGAAAAGGGTACAATTTGACGTGATAGGTCCGATCAAGGTGGTTTTTGTTGAGGAGAATTTAGGTATAATCGTGGTACTTGGGGCTTCTAGACTTATGATTGAACTCCTTACATACATCTCGTCTCAATCATTTATCACCAGCCATGATCTCCTCAACAATTTGCTTGTTTGTAGCATCAAAATCTACCACAGGCAAACCTAGGGCTTCGTTTGCCTGGGGACCACTGAACGAAGTGCCTACACCCTCCATGAATTGGCTGGCACCGAGTAAATTCATGACCCCCATGAAGTCACCCTTTCCGAGCCGCTCTTTACCCTCGAGGTAGTGAGTCTGGGTTGGCTTGTAGCTGATTTCCCACCCATCCGCTCCGACGACCTTTTGAATCGACGCCAGCATGTCCTTTTGGTTGACACGGAAGCAACTGACAAAGACGGGCCTGTTTCTGTACGACTCCAAGGACGGTCCATTTCCCTCGGGGGCCGTCTTTGGCAGACTGAGGACCTTCGCCGTGGCGAGTGCCGCAAAAGGAAGCGTGCTCAGATTGGTCTTTTGCTCGCCGTCGTCGAAAAGGACGGCCTTTTTCGCTTTGACGTTGATGCCAAAGTATCCGCCTTTGGTGTTCCAGTCGTACCACGAACTGCACATTATGGCGATCCAGCTGCTGACACCGAGATCCTCCACCAATTTTCTGGCGGCAGCCTTTTTGTCGGCCGAAGGGTGATGCTCGATGATCTTGGGGTTGGTGGTGTCACTGCCAAATTCCGTCGGCAAGACGTATTGCACCTTGGCTTCCGCGGCGGCGTTGATGAGCAGAGGTTGGTACTGATGACACACCGCGAACCCCAGGGCGATAACGAGTGCCTCCTGGCCGGCAAGTGCCTCCAAAAGGAAGGAGTGGTCGCCATAGTTGCCGACCGCGAAACTGACGCGTGGGTTGTTTGCGTGGGTGGATGTGAGGATGCTTGAGCCTGGTCGGGTGATGATTTTGACCTTGAAACCGATAGAGGGTGCCTCGGCCAAAATTGCTGCCAGTATCTCGCTTCCAAGACTACCACCTGCTCCGACTATGGCGATGTTCTGAATGTGGTTGGCCATTTTTGTGGCAGTGAAGATATGTTGGTACGAAGAGTCACCAAAGCCAAGAAGATTCAGTGAGTTCTGCTGGACAAGTGTAAAATGGTGATCGATGGTCTGTTCGGTAAAAAGAGAAAATGGTCATGAAGGCGAGGCTGAATGTATTTATAGCCATGGCAGATACGGTTGCCTTCCTTTCAATTCGCCCCCCTTTGGAACCAATACTACAGTGTTGATCAAATCCGTCGGGATCCATGACAATGATTCCATAGTCATATGGTTCGGAGAAAGGAGTTTAAAAGCGACGATAGGCCCGAAGCCGAAATCATTGCATGTTGAAGGCGAAAGGCGAAAGGCGAAAGGAGGTATCAAAAATTGAAGCCCAAGTACGGAGTGTTCGTATCTCCATATTCAAGACGTATTCATTCCTCAAAATAGAGCCAATCATATCTCATGCTCGCGCGCAAAGCTAATCAAAAGTTGTCTAGTACTTCCCAGCGGCGGTAAGCTAACCTAAAGAGTATTTAGTGCTTCAACGCGCTAAGCTAACCTAAAACGAAATAAAATGACAGCCTTCCCTAAACAGGCCTGGCGGTTGATCCAGGTATCTGGGGCGGCGAAGACGGGTTTTTATCATCAAACATTTATCAGCCATGCAATATTGCACGATAGTCTCAACAGTGCGGTAAGCTAGCCTAGAATGGCCGTGGTATTTGCATCTTGCAAGGTGTACGTTCGTTGCCTAAGCTCACTGTTCTCCTGATCCGACGCCCTACAGCCCCGCGGTCCTGCATTGCCACGCATAGCTGTGCGCGATCGTCTGGACCTTTTGATTCCTGACCTTCACACCACGCTTTCCAGCATTTTCAATACTCCACTCTCCAGATTCGGTAGGACGATCCCCTCTGACCTGATTCGGCGGAGATATGGTCAATAATGGGGTTTCGCGAGGTTGTGAAACCTGCAAGCGACGACGCAAAAAGGTTGGTTGCCTGACTCGTGCTGTGAGGGGAGTTCATGCTAAAGTTTTTGGATCTGGTAGTGTGACGAGGCTCGGCCAGTAAGTTCATCAGATCTCCTCTCTCTTCCTCGTTTTCGTGCTCTGTGCGGAAAATTGGAAGATCGTAGGATCGTGGCGGCGTAGGTGGCTCTTCGCTCCCTTGAAGCTCCTGGTTCGAGGCCAACCGCAGCGCCGGAATTTGGGCGTATTATTTATTTCATACTCTTCGATGTCTCTTGTGTTGTTAACAGTCTCATACAGGTGTGTGAACGATGCAAACAAGCGGGACTTCACTGTTCGGGATACAAGGATGATGCAGACCTCATCTTTCGGCCATACGAGGGCTCTTACCAATATCAGGCGGGTTCTGTTGCAACCTCCGAGGAGCAGTACAATAGTTCCGACAGTACAAAGAATCCTAGTGAGGCCTCGGACGCCATCTCACCAGACTCACAATACGACGAAGAGCAGATTGACAAGCATGCACTTCAGACCTTCTTCGTAGACTACTGCGTTTCTTCGGCCGATCGATCTCTATCCAGAGGATACCTCGATGGGCTGCAGACTCTGCTATTTCATGCGGGGCCCCAGTCTGAAGTTTCACAGGCTGCTAAGATTGTGGCACTAGCAAACTTGGGCAAAAAGTCGAACAGTCCATCTCTTCTGGAAAGGACGCGATTACTCTATTCTCGGCTCCTACATTCCTTCCAGAGAACTATTTCAAATCCCTCAACGTCATCAACGATTGAATCATTTATGACTGCTGTGCTTCTTGGCTTGTACGAGGTATGTTGTGGCCCTGACGATCTTGTGAGATCTCGAAAGATATCCGGGACGGCTCATACCGCTGACCGTGTCTGCTCTACAGATGATCTCCGCCACAGAATCTGATCATGGTAAACATGGAGCCCATATCAGAGGAGTATCGGCAATTTTGAGTACTGGAGAATCTCGACTGGATTTGGTCAACGGAGTGAAAGTATTTCAAGTTGCGGATCCACAATTGATAGGCGTTCCTACAAAGGTAGGTAAGTCCTTTCCGTGGATGCTTACTTGCTCATCAAGCCGTAGCAACCTGAAGCCCTCCAGGGTATCCTCGGTGCCCCAGCATTGAGTCCTTTTGTTCAAAGTCTCGATTCCATCTTTGTCAAAATGCGGCCACTTATATCGAGAATCGAGGCCCTCGTTACGTGCACTTTGACCCACTGCGATGACATCCAATTTCTTAAAGCCGCTGCACTTGACATAAATGCAGATCTCTCGAGATGGCAGGACAGCCAACTGAGAGAATGGAAGCCAACATCAATCGGCTTTTGGAGCTGCTGCGATGATGTATCGGATGATTCTATATTTTGGCCTGGACCGGTTGACGGCTATTTTGATCGTAAGCAGATCCTCCGACACCCAGTTACTCAGGGAGGGAAACTGACTTTCATAGCCTACGTGGCTGCTGTGTGGAATACGTGTTACAAAGCTCGTCTGATCGCACTCGAGTTTATTGTTCGATGTTCGTTGTTGCTGCACGACGGAGATACACACAAAGAAGAGCATGCCGAAGCTCAGAAACTGACAGGAAAAATGCTTTCATCCATTCCATATCTCTTATTGAGGGATCCAAAAAGTGTTATATCGGGCCCTCGAGAATTCCAAGAGCCTGGGCGACCGTTTGGCGGCTTATTACTTATGCACCCACTGTATGTGGCCACAAAGGTGTCGGTGGTGCCAGCGCCCGTACAGGCACACATGTCGAAATGCCTTGCATGGATCGGGAGACATATGAATATCGGCCAAGCCACCTTGCTTTCAATGGTAAGTGTTGGAAGCAGCATGTGAATACTCGGGGGTTTCTGACGGTCTTGTAAGGCATCCAATCCTGTTCCGGCCCAGTTCGTGGTCGATGGCCACACTCTTCTCTGGGCGGGTATGCTCACCCAACCGGCTTGAAAAAGAAAACTCCTGCGCTCAGGTATATATTATATCCGCTCCTCCCAGAGTGAGCCTTTTCCTACGCCTACCTTTCCGACTATCCCCCGGAATATTCTACCACCTTGACAGATCACTCACTGAGTTGTCCAGCACAATGGAGAATGGCTATGAAAGTCCTATGCGGAGAAACAGGACTTGAGTTAGGGCATGATGGATCCGGGCTAAGTGGCTGGGCAGGACAAGAAGAAAGCAGATTGCTGGAGGTGTGACCCGCGCAGGGAGCATGTTGCGATCGTTGTGCCTCGTGAACCACTCTCAGCTCGACTCAGGAGCTCCCCTCTGCGGAAATTCCACTGAGTCCTGCGTGTAGAAAAGGATGGGCTCGCATTTGAAGCATCTATCCCTCTTCAATGGCCAAAGTATCGATGGTCTGCATGGCCTCATTGCTGACAAGGGGATTCAGTTAGGGCTGCCAAGGCTAATAGAGCAGGTTGCCAATAGAGGTTGTTCGGAATGGCAGAGAGCCAAAAAGATTAGGGGCGAGTGCCCATAATAAACTCTTCAATTAGGCGATGACCACTTAATACGGAGTATTTTCACTGACAGCAGGCAGTAACGACCTGTTGAGGAATGTTATCCGATTGATGGGTATTTCAGGTATTCTTAGTGAATTAATTAATCTGGATTCTGATTTTACTATTCCTCATTGGAGACAATCAACTCAACGATCTTTGTTAAGGCTGTGTTTTTGAGACCACTGGCGTCTTCTCTACCTTAAACAGTAACAGTGACAGATGAGCGTATGGAGCAATGTTCCTCGTTCATTCCGCGTTGTTGCGACAAGCGTATCCTTGTCCTCGTACCTTTTTGCAGGTACTAAGTAGGAAGAGTGCAATCCCTGCGATTACTAGCAGCAGCATCAGAATTGCATTGTGAGATCTAAAAAAAACCCTCTTTCGCCTTTATTCACCGTTCATTCAGATCCTTGGACTTTGAAAGCCCTTTTACTCTTCGTTCCCTTGGAGGTATCTCGCAGTCATTCACTTTCGCTGCCATTCCCTCGAGTCTTCCCTATCGTATATTTCCAGTTCTTTCCTATCCCACTCGTCTTCAACTTCCTTTCCATCCAAAGCCCCTCTACACCTTCAAGCACCAGTTTCAACTTCGCATTCGTGATTTCTCCACGACAATCCCTTTTCCGTGCTGATACAGCCGCGCCCTGCCTTTTCCTTGCGCCGAAATCTCATCTCTCGTTCAAAATAACGTCACCCATCACGCCAGATTTGATTCAGGAAGATTCAAAAGATTGCAATGGGTCGGCGGAAGTTCCTCCAGGAACTGGCCGCAGCCAGTGTTCCTTCGATAGGGCATATCGAGGGAGTGCATACACCGGATGAAGGTGTTGTGAGTTTCATCTACTGCTGCCCAGGGTCATATCCGATCTCGAGAGTGAGCATCCAAGCCTGCGCCACTAACCTTGATGACTATCCTCACGACAACTCGTTCATGCTTTTCACCGATGATGACCTCACTGATCCAGTCATACCCCAAACATTACAGAGTGTTGGAGCCGAGACGCAAGGCAAATCTCTCTCTCAGATCCTTCTAGAAGTTAGTCAACGATTGACACTTGCCCTTGAAGAGGGTGAGCTGGCAAACAGCCTTGAAACCTCGGTCGAAGACGCGTGTGACGACGATTTCGAGTTTGACTACGATTCCGACGATGACACCTTTGGACTTGCAGATTTACAACAGCTCAAAAGCGCAGCTCCAAATCACGGTTCATCTGCTTTGAGGAGATCATCAAGAACTTCAAAAGTTTACATGGGAAAGATACAAACTGACCTCAAAGCACTCAAAGACTCAGGCTTTCGTGTGGGCATTTTCGGGGATCTGGCTAGTTTAGAGATAATAAGCGCATCCATTCGCGTTTCAAAGCTGGGTCTGTCGGATGAGGCAATGCAAGCATGGGGTCTGCGGCGAAGACAATACCTTATTCTCCTCATTCAGTACGCCGCAGGTTACTACGAAGCCCGCCATATCGCAGACCTAGACGACTTTGTTGGAAGAGTGGACATGCAGGTCGGTCTCTGTGAGAACTACAAGCCAACGTTGGAAGATGCCCATGCATTATTCTCTGGCAGCATGACCTCCAAGGAAAACCGACCGGCGGATTCATGCAAACCCTGGGAGCCCCTCTTTATTGGCAAGCCACTCATTCAGCTCCTGAAGGAGAGATTTTTCAACATCGTCAAGGCACGACATCTTTACAATCTCAGCTGGCTAGGTGCTGAAAAGATGGTGGAAGCGAGAGCTGTGTGTACCAACGAGACCTCAATTGAGAGTTTGAAAGACTATCAATGTGATGACAACGCTTTGAATGGCACGCAACTTCCGACAATTGTCATGGCCGATCATATGGCCGAGGTGCCCCTCGAGAAAGCCTCTCTGCCGTTAATCGCCATGCAATTCGTGCTCAGACATTTTGTCAGATGCACCGAATTTTGCTTGGTATGTCACTCGCGTGTGGACAACTCCTTTGAAGCGTTGAAACCATATGTCTGCTCGAAGCCTTTGTGTCTATATCAGTACATGAACCTTGGATTTGGTCCAAGTTTGGAATGGGAGATTCGTTCTCAACCCTACGTTGTGGACCTGCTCGTCAGTTTCTGCTATATTGCAGCAAGTGCCGGTCGAGTCAAAGAATTACCTCTTGGGTTGAATCTCATGGTACCACTACTACCTGATGACCCTGCACATGCTCCGCCACCAGCTACAGCAACCACCCAGCCAGCACTTCCGCAATCAGATAAGAACGGCAGTCCTCCGGCTAGATCCGAGAAACCTTTTGGCTGTACGTGGCACGTCACGGAGCAACGACTCGACAATGTGGACCAAGACATTGTGCTTTCTCAAACTCTGAAACCAGGAGACTGGATAGTCACAATAACCCAAGGCAGAGGCACCCTTGCACATCATCGGGTGAGAGAAATTATGCCTCATTCAGTCGACCTCGAGCAGGCAGTATTTGTGGACCCAAATGAGGCAGATAGAGCATCGCAAGGTGGATCAGGAAAGAGCGTGAAGGTCGATTGCTATATCTACGACAGGAGTCTCGATGATTTGACTCAAACCCAACAGCAGCAAGCAATTGTTACGTTACTGAGCACTCTCCCTAGGGTAGGAGAGATGTTTACACGCCTGAAATCTTACCGTGATGCTAGCCTCGAGTCGTGGCAGAGAATCTCGAAAAGCTCACTGACTCTGCTACGTTGGGTGGTGGCTTCGAACCGATCTTGTATTCTCCGTGTTGGAGGATCACAAAATGATAAATGCGATATTGGCAGCGCAGGCACAGAAGATCTCGTGGGAGGCATGGAAGGGTACATCCAATTTCGATTTGCTCAAGGTGCCCCTGACAAAGAGCAGCGATTCAACGACGCCGTCCAAAGCCGATCACGACCAGCAGGGTCCCAATATCCCACACTCTTCGCATGGCACGGAAGCCGCTTGGCAAATTGGCACTCCATTGTCCGGCAGGGACTTCGTTCTGATGAAGTAGCCCACGGTCGATCTTATGGGAATGGAGTCTATTTGTCCCCACGGGCAGAGATCAGCCTTGGTTACAGCCAAACTGCTTTGCGTTCAGTGGGAACATCTCATCACGAATGGAAACCCTCGATGCTCAAGATCTCGAATGCATTGTCGTTGAACGAAGTTGTCAACGATCCTCGCATGTTCGTATCAAGCTCTCCACATTACGTGATTTCCAAGCTCGACTGGATTCAGACTCGATATCTGTTCGTGGAAGCATCAGGCCCACCTGCGACTTCGGCGGGTGGCGCGATTAAAGTCAAGACAGTCGATTGCAAGGAAGTTTATGAGCAAGATCCTACCTACCAGGCTTTCGGTGTCAAAGGCCTACCCATCACTATTCCGTTGGCAGCCATATCGAAATCACGCAGAAGTTACGACGCCGTGCAAGTGGCAAGAACTGAATCAGGCAAGCGGAGCAAAAGCGTTGTGAATACTGATCAAGCGACTGCTGAACGTCAAGAGGATGATGCCGAGAGTGTCATCTCTGACGCGCTGGACCTGGCCTTCTTGGCTCAAGACATTGATGGCAAACATGAAACAAAATCGTCAGAGACAGCGGACGTGACGTTGGCACAAGCGGTGGACATGCTCGCTGGAACCGATTTCAAACCTGGAACGCTCGATGTGTCGGACATCAAGCTCTTGGGCTTGCCTCAAGACGCTACCAGTAGCTCTATCAAGGCACTGGTGCGGTGCCTTCAGGAAGCGCTGTCGGTGCAAGACAAAACGCCACTGGCAACTTTGGGTTGGTATATTGATCGGAATATGGTGAGCAACATGTATCAATGGCTTGTGGAACTGCACAGCTTCCCATCCACCTTACCTCTGGCCAAGGATATGAAAGCAAGCGGCCTCACGTCCATTGTTCTAGAGATGCGATTCTCGAACCAATTCCCATTTAGTCCGCCTTTCATCCGCGTGGTCAAGCCTCGACTTCTCTCATTCGCGCAGGGCGGAGGTGGCAACGTCACTGATGGAGGAGCGATGTGCATGGAAGTCTTGACCAATAATGGATGGACGGTAGCCCAGAACATTGAGAGCCTTCTGCTTCAGGTGCGTATGTCTATTTGCGATGAAGAACGACCTGCCAGACTGGCGACATTGCGCAAGGGTCAACACAACACTTACGCCATCGGAGAGGCCATTCAAGCCTACATCCGCGCCTGCCGTAATCACGGTTGGACTGTGCCGATTGGGTTCGACAAGATTCAGCAGGAGTGACGGATGGGTTACTTGCGTGGTGAGGAGGTGGTGTTGGGGTGGTTGGAAAATTACCTACCTCGATCGACCAAGAGTTGCGATTCAATGGCGCAGGGTTGTCGATACGGATGTGCATGTTGAGAGTCACACAACAGGCGCGGATTGCCAAAGGAGATTGAAAATGGGCTGGATCCTGGTGGTTTTGGGTGCTGGATGCTGGACAAGTCACACAAACGTGGCGTTGGGGCGTTGCGAGGTACAGGAGATTGTCCCTTTATCAAAGTGGACTGACGAGCGAGAGCCAAATGGCACGACAACATGACAACATAATTACCACAAGTTGGCAGCAAGCATGGCTACCTAGATTAATTACAACCTTTCCTCGTCAGCTTCTCCTGTGTTTGTGTTATCGCCTCATGCAATAGTCTCAATATCCGTGGTGCTGCGATCGACTGACATGTGCAATGGAGGCTCGAGTGGAGTTTGGCTTTGACCTGGATCGCCACAGATTGATGATCGTCCGATGAGTGGGCTTTGAGGAGTCGCGGTAATAAGTAGCATGATGGTGTCCCAACAACAATGCATGGGATAAACATGTGTTTCTAGGTATTCATGAGCTGCACGTGTTATCAAATAATGTAGGAGGAATGTAGAGAGCCACCACTCACCTTGCTATGTACGAGTAAATGTGTAAAAATGGCGACTCATCTCAATTGTCACATGTCAGTTTGAGTGTCAATGATAAGGTTCTCTCTCCGGTACTGTATGCACTCGATACGGAGAAGGTCAAAGGTTGTCAATCAATAATAATAACACATGTTTGACTGACACCTTACGAGGGTTGTTGATCAGGCATACATGGCGCGATCCTGGGGCCGACTTCTACAATTTCACATGCTTGCCGGGGGGGCCTTATCTGTTACATCTTGTTGCAGGCATTTGCCTGTCCGTCACATCTGATGTGCGAGATGATTGTTTCCTTGAGAAAAAGGAGAGAAAAAAGAAGGTGCCTGACACTGATGACACCCGTTAGCATATCACAAAAAATGTCAATGCCGGCAGTTTTGTTCTTGTCTCATTTCTGGCACATGGAAAAACGATCTCGGGTGATTTCTTCAGGGTGGCGTGAAGAAAGTGATCGTTACGATGTTCGGGGAAGACGGGACACGGGGGTTACGAAGTATCGCATCGGGTTGATGTGCCTAGGCTCGGAACGAAATATGACTTCCTTTCAGTTTCAGGAAAGAGGTTTATTACAATATCGGATTGTCTAGTGGGCGGCAAGGCATGGCTTAGTCCGTAGATACAATAGCACAAGACAGAGACGAAAGAAGCCGTTTTTGCCTTTCTCTATCCCGAAAGAAAGCTGGTGTGTTAACGTTCTGAGAGCTGCTATCCGTACATAGTTTGGTATTGCTAGAGATCCAAAATCATGCATTATTGGCAGGTTCCGGAAATACGAAGCGTGTGCCATGGCTGACGATGAAGGAAGACAGCGGCAAAAAGGATAGGACGGAACCGAAGCATTGAAGTTGAGATGACAGACAAGAGAGAACAGTACATACTGTGGTATATTGTTGTTGACATGTGAAAAAGACGGGTTAGGAAATAAAAGGCAAAATTGGTTTCCAAAAACAAAGAGGATCAAAAACTCAAAGGTTAAAAGGGACACTAGGAGGTTCTGGAGAGATGCAGGGACCCCCTTGTCTACCTACAAGTACAAGTACAATACGATACGAGTAACTGTCTCGTGGCTTTGACCAAGGTCATGTCTTCGTTCGTTGTTTGCTGTACGGATATGTACGAGGAAAGAAAGACGAGTTTGTTAGAAATTAGGCAGATGGTCATAGTTGCTGATAAGGTCAAGGTCAAACTTGGTTGGTAGCGGAAAGTACTCGATGTTGTTGCCGTCACCACTCACACTCGTCTGTCATCCAGTCAAAAGTAATCTGTATTCTACAGACTAGTAGAAGGCAGCCATCATCTATCTACTGTACAAACACCAGGAATTGAGAATGAGAAAACCTCATTGACAATTGTTTGATTCTTTAGATATCAACTTCAAAAATCGTTCGAGATATTGATTGCTGTAATTACGAAAGCGAAAACGAGTACGAACCTGTACCGGAGGGCAGTTACCTTTATGTAAGCAGAACCGTGTATCCGTAACAATGTGCAATTTTCACATGCTTTTCTTTTCATTGTTACGTCTTGCGTCCTGCATCTGCGCATCGTGCATTTGCCTTCTGCCCTCCAACGGACCGACCACCACCAGCCTTCGCCCCTACGTACCTACGTACCTACCTACCTACCTGAGCCTTGACCCTGATCCATGCCTTGGAACCATCCATCTCTCAACAAAAAATGTCTCAGCAAAGCTCCTTCCCGCTGCTCTCTCATGTTTCTTTCCCTCTCTCCTAGGAACAATTAGGCCAGACTACCTTACTTACCTACCTACCACACATTTTCCAGCAGCACACCTTTTGACACCTCTGTTTGACATCGCACTAAACAAACCGACACAATGGGTGAAGCTACCGTGAACGGTGACCTTCCTCACTCTGCCATCCTCTCTGTAAGTCTATCTCGACCATCTCCCCCGTTGAAGCGCATCATGAGTGTGGGGGTGTGCGAGTGACCGCTGACCCTCTTGTCTTGCGCTCTTCCTACAGCACCTCCAATCCTATCCTCTAGTGTCCGACTCGATCAAGACGATCAAGGAGAACCCTTACGGAGCCAAGTCCATCGACCTCACCAACGCCGGCTACACGAAATTCGTCAAGCCTACCCTGCCATACTTTCAAACCCCCGCGTCCTATGCGAAGCCGTACGTGGCCAAGGCGGACGAGTTGGGTGACAAGTTCTTGAGCAAGTTCGACGAGCGCGTCCCCCTTGTCAAGTCCGAGACCAAGGAGATTCAAGATACGTTGGTCACGTACATCCACTGGCCTCTCGACACCGCGAACAACACCAAGGACTGGGCGTTCAAGACCTACAGCGACGAATACAAGAAGTGTGGCGGTGAGGGAGTCGTGGCCGGTGGCAAGGCGGTCGTCACCACCGGTCTCGTCCTGACCAGCGACGTCCTCAAGTGGATCAGCAACTTCTTGCAGCAGAAGAAGGAGGAGGCCAAGGAGGTTGTCGCCCAGGACAAGTCGACGTCGAAATAGAGGGTCGAGTCGTTGCCGCCTGATGATGTGCAGTGGTACGGGAAATATCCTTCTTGGTTGATAGAATTTGAAAGTCAAGGTGGTGGATGCCTCGATATGCCCCGATACGAGGCGAACCCGGGCGAGACAAATTAAACGAAGCACAATTGTTATCATTTCTATTTGCTCATGAGCTGCCATGATGGACCAATCTGGGTCCCTTCCGCAGCCATGAGTGCCCTACACGAAGACATGAGCACAGGATTGAGTTGAGGGACAAGTTGGGTTTGGTTGCTGCCTGTGTCTGGGATTTGAAGTCTTTATTGTATGTAGTAGCATCGAGCATGATTGTTGCCGTTCAGCTTGAGAATGCACCTTGACGTATTTTCTAATAGATCAAACTTACAGATAACAGATCAATCGTATTTCAAAGTCTGCTGACCACCAGACAGTCGATTAATTCTTTTTGCCTTGAATTTTCACATGTCAAAGGCGACAGAACCCAAATGATGTAAGCGAGCGATAAGCCCACCCGATAAGCCATATGGATACTGGCACAATCGAGTACTCCCCTATCCTACGAGTACAGGCAATACCGTGTCGATCGAGTCAGATGTCTGGAGGTATTGGTAACTCCTCTTTGAGACAGACTGTGAGATTGATGGGGTCTGACATCGATGATGGAATAGATAAGTATTTCTCTTGAGCCCACTTGTCTAAATGACTTTAATGGGTGGTAACCCCCATCCAAACTGAACAGAGTCTCTGAACTCGAGCTATAATCTATAGTTCTTTTCGTGAGACAAAAATGAGTATCCGAAACCTCCTTTTCTATACTGAAGAGCAGACCCAAGTATATTTCCATTTGAGAACCATCCCATCTCAGAGAAACCATTACCTCCGTGCAGGGCCGCGGACGTCAATTGCGGGAAATGACAAAGGAGTCCGCGGGCACCATCCTGTAAACAATCCAAACAACCAGCAGCATTATCATTGACTTGATTCACAACACTGGTCCATGTTACGGAGGATTGGAAGCAATATTGGGAGGCACAGGCCGCACGTGATTGATGCTTACATAAACCACCATGACTCCATGCCAAGTCTTTCTTAGGGGCCGAGGAAAAGAATCATTTGCTTCGACCAAAGTTCACGGGTTCGATTCCTCTCGATCAATCTGTCCCTAGAAATTGCACAAGAGGCGTAGACCTTGCTCCTAGATTTTCCTTGTCTTTGTTTCATAGTCGGTCCGTTAGACATGCATATACTCGTGAGCCATGCACGTGATGACGACTCTTGAGAACGTCTACTGACGATTTGATCAGGTTGTCAACGACGATGGCCCTCCGTCGAATCAGTCGTCACCATACGTCCATTCACTGATCGACACCCTCCAAAAGGCCGGCCACACCGTATCGGTGGTCCTGCCCCATGTGCAGAGGTCGTGGATCGGCAAGGCGCACATCGTCGGCCAGACCTTGACCCCGACGTATTTCCGCCCGGGAACTCTCCACGAGGACGACGGCGTCACTTCCGATCGGCCGTTCGACGACGGGGGCGAGGAGTGGGTCCTGATGGACGGCACCCCGGCGAGCTGCGTGCAGATCGGCCTCCACCACTTCTTCAAGGAGCGAGGTCCCGTCGACCTCGTGGTCAGCGGGCCCAACTACGGCCGCAACACCACCGCCGTCTTCGCCCTGTCCAGCGGGACGATAGGCGGGGCGATGGAGGGCGCCATGAGCGGGGCGAGGAGCGTCGCCCTGTCCTACGCCTTTGACTCGAGGGAGCACGACCCGGACGTCATCCGCGCGGCGTCGGAACTGAGCACGCGATTGATGGAGAAGCTGGTCGGCGAGTGGCCCGACGACGTGCACCTCTACAGCATCAACGTCCCCCTCCGGGAGGACGTCGGACGGAACAAGATCGTGTACACCGAGATGCTGCAGAACCGGTGGCTCACGGGCAGCTCCTTTGAGGAGTTGCCCCCGGAGGAGGACGACCACGACCCCAACGCCGACGAACAATTCATCCGGGAGGGGGGAGAGGGCCACGCGGAAGCGCTGCCCCCCCGAAGATTGCACCGCAGGTTCAAATGGGCGCCCAATTTCCAGGACGTGCGGAAAGCCGTGTCCGACGCCCAAAAGGGAGACGGATGGGAGGTGTTGCAGGGGAACATAACCGTCACGCCGCTGGTGGCCAACTTCTGGCACTTGCCTCACTACACAGGGGAAATTAAGCTGTGAGTGAGTTTTGCGCCGGTCCAGCCAGGTCGAGTGCCTATCTATCTACTGGGCATGAGAGGAAGGGAGTTTCTGACTGAACATGATTCAAAAGGGATCATAATAAATCATCGAATTTGACACAAGAACCATCCCCCAAGACTATTTATGCAGTGGTTGACTACCCGGATCCGTACGTGCAACCGTTGATCCTTGAAGGTCTTCGCTCCCTGGAGGGCCTCTCGATACAGCAGATTTCCTCAATGGGCGAATTGCAGAGTGCCACGATGCCCGTGTTACAAGTCACCGCATACGAGTCTTTGGACTTTGAGCATGCGATGCAACACGCAAGGAGCTCACAGGTTTGTGCGTACGTGATCAGGAAGGCCCTCATTCGCAAACACTACCTTTCAAACACCGTGTCCACCTGGCTCGTCAAGAATCCGGATAGTGTCCTGGCCAAACATTTCCGTCCCTGTGTCCATTTCGAACTAGATTATGCAGAGTTTCTAGACGAAGCTTTGGTGGATGCCTGGGACCTGAATGAGAGCATGGCTGAAAATGAGCGGACAACATCCACAGAATCGAAAGACTGGTGGATTTTGAAGCCTGGTATGAGCGATGGTGGGAATGGCATCAGACTATTTTCCAGCTTCGAAGAACTCCAGGCCATTTTCGAAGATTGGGAGGAATCCGACTCTGAGCTCGACGAGGAAGCTGAAACTGTTGACCATCAGGCCGAAGATATCACTGAGGACCAACGAGATGTCTCGAACCAGGATCACGCCATGACATCTCAACTCAGACACTTTATAGCTCAACCCTACATCGACCCACCTCTGCTGCTGGAAGCGTACGGCAATCGGAAATTTCATATCCGTGCATACGTATTGGCAGTTGACGCGCTCAAGGTCTTTGTGTATAGAGAAATGTTGGCCTTATTCGCAGCCAAGCCATATCAATCTCCAGGCCACAGCGCAGATGAAGACATTCTGGACCTCGCACAACACTTGACAAATACCTGTTTCCAGGACGAAGAGACCAAGAGCTCCTCTGTCCACCGCTTCTGGCACCTCGAATCACCTAACATGCGATCTGATTGGAAAGAAAGGGTATTCCAGCAGATTTGCGACGTTACTGGTGAAGTCTTCGAGGCGGCTGCCCGGGAGCAGATGGTACATTTCCAGGCATTGCCTAATGCCTTTGAAGTTTTTGGTGTTGATTTTCTGGTCGACGCAGATGCAAACGTTTGGCTCCTCGAACTGAATGCATACCCCGACTTTAAACAGACAGGATCGGACCTTCAAGAAGCTGTTGTCGGAGGCCTTTTCCGTGAAGTCAGTCGTGCAGCCGTCGGACCCTTTTTTGGCAGTGCCACCCATGCAAGCTCTCAAATGCCTTTGGTACGAGCCCTCAATTTGGGCCGTGGCTGAAGACTCTGGCTAGGATCTGTTGTATTGACTCCTCATGATGGATGTCATGCCGTGGTCTTGTTCCAGAGACGTTGTGCAACACTGCCCTTCAAACGATTTGCAATGATCTGTGACAATGCCTGTGGAGCGAATTGGGACGTTTGTCGACCGTCAGCTTCATATCCATTCAGGTAAAACGCACTCGCGTGGTTTTAGCACATTTTTACCATGCACCATCATCGCGATCGAATCGACTTGCCAGCTGTAAAATGGCGGATATCCGATATTCAGCTTGAAATCTTTACAGACAGGGGTGCCTCGTATCGGTCACCTATTACTTTGCCGACTGTGCCATTGTCTCAGGTCTAGCCCAATTTCACCTTCGAGGGGACATATATGCACTGTCTCAGCCTCGAAGGATTGCGACCGAACCAAAGTTCCGTACCTGCGCTTGCCTTATTATGGATCGATGATCCCCTTGTTTTCGGAGAGACTCCGGGGCAGGAACAAACAACAGCCAGTCCAAATAATTCTCGCTTCATAAACCAGGCTATAAGACACGACATCCACCGAGTACTTTTGATCTTTGAGTCACCAAGTCATCCTCGAGCCAGAAGCAGTACACATTCACCGGTTTCAGCTGTATGCCTTTTCATATGACCCCAACTTCAGGCCTCCCTTGCGATGTGTGGATTTGAGCCTTGCGCTCCAGGCAACAACAAAGCCAGTATTCAGCCCTATATGAGCCGCATCTCTTCCTTAAATTCTCGGATTCTCTCCATCAAACACATCGAGTGCGACCTACTTCGTTTGATTTGTGTTTTATCATGTCTCATTTGTCCGACAAGCTTAACGCGATACGAGGTCTTGCCATAATCGTGTCTTTCAGCTACCATGTTGTCGCCGTTTGCTATGCTTCATTCAAACCTCACTGGTCTATCGGGGGACGCATGCGCAAAGTCCAACTTGTGCTTTGTGGTCTCGCAGTTCTGTCAACTGGTGTGCAGACTGTCATTGCGATCAGTAACAGCAATCCTGCTTCAACAAATGATCCCGACGTAGTGTACTCCCTCTTTCTCACATTGATCTGGAGCATCCTTCTCCTAGAGACCGTGGACACGTCCAGTGGCACCTCATATCCTCGATATGGTGCTTGGGGTATCCTCCTAGTTTCGGAGAGTGTTGTTCTAGCCCTTCAGGTGGAGGGCGAGCATGGCTCGAAATCTTTTCGTCACGGCAGCATCGTCCTACAAAGTGCCAGGATTCTCTTGGCGACCCTTCTCTGCACCAGTGTGGTTATGGCATATTGCGGCAACAGAAAAGAGACTGGAACTGATGAAGAGACGCAAGCATTGCTCGCTGATCCGGATTCACCATCGAAATCAAATGAAACCGACAAGCCGAAGAAGCCAGATCAGGACGAATTGGACAGACTCGAGATCCGCAATCGGCCAAAATGGCAATACCTTGCATCTTTCAAGATTTTTGTCCCTTTCATGTATCCTAAAGGCTACCGAAATCAGGCACTTCTCGGTGGAATGCTTCTAAGCAGTCTTGTGGAGCGGATTGTTATGGTAGTGCTTCCTTTAAGCCTGGGAGCTATTGTCAGTGGACTGAGTTCGCATATACCATGGGCGGCAATTGGACTCTACTGTTTCCTCAGGTTCTGCAGTTCAGCTGCTGGTCTGTCACTGTTAGAGACCTATCTCTCCTGGCAGATTGTCACCGACATGACCATAGCCCTGAATCGATGCTCCTATGATCATATCATGAACCTATCTGCCGATTTCCACGACTCGAAAAAGTCTTCAATCATATGGCAGACCATGCATCAGGGCCAGGATGTGATTGACTTCTTGAAAGATATCATTTTCAGCTTCATGCCAACCATAATCGACTTTGGGGCGGCGGCAGTGGTTCTTACCATCATGTTCGGGCCATATATGTTGTTCATCATCATGTCAACCACCATTTTCTTCTACTGGCTCACTTTCAAAGCGCTGGCTCAGAATCGCGAACTCAGTCGAGTTTCACTGGATGCGTGGCATGACCAATACTACCAACTGACCGAGTCCACAGTTAACTGGTACACTGTCTCCCACTTTGGTCGTCTGCCATATGAGAAGCAACGGTATCGGGATAAGGGAGATGCCAAGCGAGCTGCATCTTTGACTTTTTGGGTACACTATTGTTGGAGCAGAGGACTACGATATTCACTTCTGGCCGTCTATTTCGTGGCCGCGTGCTGTGTTGGCGCCCTTCAGATCGCTTATAGTGATCGAAAGGTCGGCGACTTTGTAATTTTGGTCACCTACTGGTCTCAACTCACAAACCCTCTGGATAGTCTTGCATACAGTCTTTCAAGGATGGGCCAAAAGATGGTTAATGCTGAAAAGTTGCTGGTTCTTCTGGAGAAATCGCCACGCGTTCAAGATGTTCCCGAATCGAAGCCGTTCACGTTCTTGGCTGGAGCTGTGGACTTTGAGAATGTATCTTTCTCTTATGACGGCCAAAGGAAAGTGGCGGACAATATTACCTTCAGTGCAGCCCCTGGACAGACCGTTGCCTTGGTTGGCCGGACTGGAGGAGGGAAGAGCACTCTCCTGAAATTGCTCTTTCGTTTCTATGATCCTGATCAAGGCCGTATTTTGGTCGATGGTCAAGACATCCGGCAAGTGACCATGGAGAGTTTTCGAAAACATATCGCAGTCATTCCTCAGACTCCTGTGGTGTTTAACATGACAATAATGGAGAACATGAGATATCCTGATCTCGAATGCACGGACGAAGAGATTATCGAGGCTTGCAAAGCAGCTGCACTTCATGAAAAGATCACCACCTTTACGAATGGTTACCAAGAGCAAATCGGTGAACGTGGAACAAAACTGTCTGGAGGAGAGTTGCAGAGATTGGCAATAGCTCGGGCAATGCTGAAAAAAGCCAATATCCTGCTGTTGGATGAGGCTACGAGCGCCGTGGACAGCATCACGGAGAAACAGATCCAAGGCAGTCTGCGTAAGCTCTGTGCAGGCAAAACCACGTTCGTGATCGCGCATCGCTTGTCGACTATCCTTCACGCCGACCAAATCCTCGTTGTCCACGAGGGACACGTGGTTGAATCTGGAACTCACAACAGTTTGATGAAGCAAAACGGTTCTTACAACGAATTATGGTCAAGTCAACTACAATTGCAAGCTACGGATGATCATGGCAATTCTCGCTCACGTTCTCCAAGAAAGAAGGAGACTCCTTTCTTCTACAACGACCTCAGCAGCAACGGGGAAGACTCTCGGACTCTTGTTACGAATGGCAACAAAGATTCTAAAAAGTCAGACGAGGCAAGGCAAACGGAGGACCCTTCCAAAGCCGACGGCAAAAGTCACAAATCTGGTAGTGATGGCCGAGGAAGAACCAGAGCAAGGCAACTTGCCCGGGCACTGAGTCGTACGCTCAGTCGGTCGAAGTCCCCAACGGACTCTGCGAGAGCCAAGTCACCGAAGCCACCGGCCAAAAGCCCCACCAAAGATAACGCAACCGCCGCTGAAAGTCTTTCTCCTAGTGTGCAAACGGCGACTCGGAGATCTGACAGTAATGAAACGGACCACTCTTTGCTCTCGACGCATTCCAACAACCGGTCTGAGAGATCTAACCATTCACCGGCTTCCACATCCAATCATGCTGAGACGTCTTAGAAGGGTCGACCACACTCGATGGGCTTCATTGAGAAGAAACATGGGCATCGTCGGACTCCGAAGCCAGGTACCTCTACATAAAAATAACGACAACGCCGAGGGAAAATCCAGATTGGAACAACAAATGCTCGTTGAGGAGAACGACAATGATACTCGATCCACGGGTGCAAGTAGCCGAGTAGCGTTCATGTAAGAATGGTCACCGGTCGTGTCGATAGTATATAGATTCTCCGAGAGCCTTCTTTTGCGTAGGTCGTTTGGTAGTACATGGATAGGTAAAAGGAATCAGTCAATTACATAAGCTGCCACTCAGTGATCACCAGTCAAGGTGTTAAAGGCAGTTCAATCTATACCGTTGTGCTATTGTTGCATCTGCCCGATCAAAACAAGATTGTCTCACGTTGACCGCCACCACCGTCTTCATCGTCCCGACCTTCATGTTGTTGGTGATGATTGTAAATATGACGTTTCAAATTTTGTTGTTTAGAAACGAGTTCGACGGTTTATATCTTAACTATCGCCTTCCAAAGGACACGACGATTCTGAGCAATTCGTGCGCCATCCACCGTAATGAGCGCGACTTTGCTGAACCTAATCGCTTCGGACCCGGGCTTTTTATACAGTTATGACTGTTGCGCAGATACTATGGCCCTTTGATATTCGCAATGCGCTAGAATCAGATAACAAGGGGACGATGGTAGAGAGTTTTGCATATGAGACGGCTTTGAACACCAGGTCCAAGCCTTTCAAGTGCCGCGTTGAAATTCCGAACGTCCGAACTGTACAAGTCATCAGGAGGCCGATAAGTCTATTATCCATCGATCAATCAATCACGCAAGGTCTAAAAGTATTCGCAATCGTAATCTTCAGGGCGCATCACTATCGTGTAGCCGGGGTCCTGGCCGCGAAGTTGCGACATTCGAGGGGCTTCTTGCAACATCGCCAGAATGGGGAACGAGGTGGAGCCAATGGATACGGAGACGGAAGTGGGCCCAGCCTTGCTGTCTCTCAGTCTCTCAGCACCCAAGCATTGTCAGATTCCTCAAGCACGACCTCCCGTAAGCTTCGAAAGCTTCCACGGCTCTCGGCTCACGACGAAGCCGTTACACTTGGTTCCTTGCACAGATAGACACCGTCTCGTACTACAGGGAGCCAAGCAACTGATTCTCCTGCAGGTCCTCAACAACACTCCCAAACGCAAAGCCGGAGCGTTCCAGAACTACGCCATACATTTCACACGACGCCTGTGCTGATCACGCACATCTCACCACCGATGGCACCATGGCTGCTCTGCAGCATGAGAGACCTTCATGCCCCCGACACGCCCGTTGTCCCGGACTCGAACGCACATGGTGGACGGTCCAGACCCGCCATGCCACCACTTATTCACTGCTTGCCCTAGAAAATTATCGTCAATCAACTCCATTCCATCACGCAATTTTGTCTTCTCGGACACCATAGGGCTTTTTTCCCATTTCGACGTCTTGGAAGAAGCTAACGCACGTGGAACCATTAGCCGACGTGAGAGAACACAACGTATATAGCCAAGAGTGTCCCAGAATTGGTACCGTTCTGGACCTGAGACAAACAGAGTGCGCTCAAACAGTCGCCGAAGATGTCCAGTAAGGAAGGCCTCGTTGAAGCAGCTCCCGCCGGAGTCTCGACGCCGCGCAAGCGACAAAAGTGGTACCACCTCTTCGGCGAAGACGTTGTCTATGTATCAGTCGACAACGGCTACGCGACAAGCTCGGAAGCCTCTTCCTTGAACGAGAACACCGTGGACAACCATCACAATGTCTTTGCTGCTCCCGAGGCCGTTGATATCTACAAGTTCGTAGAGGGCTTCGAAGGTACCCACCGCTTCAACCCTTCCGCGACGTGGGACGTCCAGGAGGAGAAGAAGCTGGTCAGACGGGTATGGCCCTCGGCCCCGTTGTCTTTCGGTGAATGATCATGCTAACACGGGTACCAGATTGACTGGCTCATCGCCCTTCCAGCCTGTCTCATGTTCTTTGCTCTCCAACTCGACCGCGGCAACATTGTTCAAGCTAATTCGGATAACATGCTCAGTAAGCTCGCGGCCGACGAGGTTATAACGCTGGAGGTACTAACCCCGTCTAGAGGACCTCGGGCTCAACACGAACGACTACAACAACGGCATGACCATATTCTATTGTTCGTTCTTGTTCGCGGAACTCCCGTCGCAGATCATTGGGAAAAAGCTTGGACCGGATGTCTGGATCCCTATTCAGATGATACTCTGGAGCGCTGTGGCGATGTCGCAAGCCGCAATGCACGGAAAGACCGGCTTCTTCATTTGCCGCTGGTTGCTTGGAATGCTCGAAGGAGGTAAACATTCACCAGCGCCGGGTCTCTATTCCGTACTGACAAGGTCCCAGGGTTTATCCCCGACACGATTCTCTATCTTTCGTATTTCTACAAGAATAATGAGCTTCCCAGGCGTCTCAGTTGGTTCTGGACGTCGTATCAAGGAACGCAGATTGTCGGTGCTTTTTTGGCATATGGCATCCTCCACCTCAGGGGCCACAGTGGGTTGCACCAAGGTTGGAGGTATCTCTTCGTGATTGAAGGCGCCTTTACTGCCCTGATCGGCATCTTGACCTTCCTCTACTTGCCGCCATCGCCCACGCAGACGGCTCGCAACGGCTGGAAAGGTCTTTTGCGACCCAAGGCTGGATGGTTTTCCGAACGCGAAGAGACCATCATGGTCACACGAGTTCTCCGCGATGATCCGGGCAAGGCCACCATGCACAATCGTCAAGGCTTGACGTTGAGCTTGATCTGGGAAGCTCTCACAGACTACGACATGTGGCCAATCTACCTCATCGGCATGTCCTGGGGGATCCCCAACGGGCCTCCACAAGCGTACATCACGCTCACCTGCAAGGCTCTTGGCTTCGACACCTTCCAGACCAATCTTCTCACCATCCCGGCATACACTCTGTTCATCGTGCAACTACTGTTCTGGACTTGGGTATCCGAAAAGATCAACCAGCGCGTTCTTCTCGGCGTCATCGCCCAACTGTGGTGCTTGCCCCTTCTCGTCGCCCTGGTGGCTTTGCCGCCGGTCTTCGATGGATGGAAATGGTCCAAATGGGCGCTGTCTACGCTCCTCGTCGGCGCTCCCTACATCCACGCCATCCTCGTGGCTTTGACGTCCCGCAACGCCGGCTCCGTCCGCACCCGTACGGTTGGCTCCTCGATCTACAACATGTCCGTCCAGCTCGCGAGCATCATATACTCCCAGATCTACCGCAAAAACGATGCCCCATACTACTACACCGGCAACAAAGCCCTACTCGGGGTTTTGGGCTGGAATATCCTGGTTTTCATCCTAATCAAGTTCTACTACGTCGCGAAGAACAAGAAAAGAGACAAGATCTGGGACAGCATGACCCGAGAAGAGAGAATTCACTATCTGAAGACGACCACGGACAAGGGAAATAAGAGACTCGATTTTAGGTTCGGTTCATGATTGCCACCATGAGCCGTCCGTATATACGCGAAAACGATGATGTACAATGGAGGGTACAATGGGCGACTTTTTTTACCTCGGTGTGGGCGGGTGGATGGGACGAGCGTGGGAGGAATTCGTCTTGAAGCCATATCATAAAGCCAAACCCATAGAGCATTCAGAACGGTGGAGAAAGAACTGTAGAGAAGAAACTAAGTAGAAGAAATATTGTACGGAGCTGCACAAAACTAGAACAATTTGTATTTGAGCCTTGGTTCTAGTCCAGAAGTCTGAATTATGATCAGGTGCCTTTTTGTGCGTTGCGGCTTGGTTTGATGTATACGGCAGACATCGAGACCACTCAACGTGAAAGTGCGAATTCCATATTGACGACTCCCAGGTCCATTATTGCGTGATACGCCATGGTTCCTCGAGAAGTCAAGAGTCTTATCTCTCGTCATTTCCGTCAAGAATGGCGCAATACGCAAGGAGCCAACGTGGACTCACAAGATAAGCGACTTTGTATGGAGGTGAGTGCTCGCCCAGGTCCGACAGGAATGTTGTGATCGTTCTAGAGGCTTTATGAGCGGTGCCGGAACCCGAACGTGATTCCCATTTCAAATCCTAATATATTGGGCTCCCCTTCGAACCCGAAGGTTCATCTTCGTGCAAGAGACAGAAACAGAGACTTCAGTCAGAGAGCCTCAACAGAAAATATGGCTCCCAGCGCAACCCTACCGATCAGGGCAACTGACTCGGTCGACGCAGACACATCTAGACCTAGGAATGAAAAGCCGCTGAAAAAGAGCGGAGTCCTAGATGCTGCGTTCGCATACGACGAACTCACCCCGGCAATTGGCAGGGAGTATCCCAAGGCCAACATCGTGGACGATCTTCTGAATGCGCCCAATTCGGATCAGCTGCTTCGCGATCTGGCAATTACCAGTGAGTACCAGCGCGCCCCCGTCGTAGGCAGGCCGGTCGGTCGCTTGCGATCCCGAAGGCTGACGAGATCTGCTCGCTGGAATCCGTAGTCAGCGAGCGCGGCGTGGTGTTCTTTCGCAAACAAGACAATCTCAGCAATGACTTGCAGAAGAAGTTCATCCTCCGGCTGGGCGAACTCAGTGGACGTCCAACTTCGTCGACGCTGCATATCCACCCGATGCTCAATGGCAACAACGAGTTCGGCGTCCCTGACCACGAGATCAGCACCATCTCGTCCGTGGCAGCCAAGAAATTCTACCCAGACCGCGCGCGCCAGCGCCCGAGCAATCGCAAGTACGACGCGTCTGCCTGGCACAGCGACATTCAATTCGAACCTTGCCCTGCCGACTACACCAGTCTGAGGTTGGTCCAGCTGCCGTCCACCGGCGGGGACACGCTGTGGGCCTCGGGGTACGACATCTTTGACCGGTTCAGTAAGCCCTACCAGAAGTTCCTGGAGGGCTTGACGGCGACGTACATTGGCGACGGGTTCTTGACCGCCGAAAAGGCAGGCAGAGCGACTCTGTACAAGGAGGCCCGAGGGTCCCCGGCGAATGTCGGCGGCGAATTGTCCTCGGTGCACCCGCTCGTTCGGACCAACCCCGTCACGGGCTGGAAGACTCTCTTCGCCATCGGTACCTTTCCCAAATACATCAACGAACTAAACGTCGAGGAAAGTGAAGAACTGCTTCAAAAGTTCAGGTCGACTCTGCAGGAAAACCATGACCTGCAGGTCCGGTTCAAGTGGGGAAACGAGAACGACATCGGTAAGCTCGGCGTCCCTCTGCTTCGTTCATTTGTTCCACAGACTGACAGGTCAAACCCCAGCAATCTGGGACAACCGCAGTGCGTTCCATGCCGCCACATTCGACTACGAAGGCCTTGGAGACCGCTTCGGTAATCGTGTTGTCGGAATCGGGGAAAGGCCTTATCTCGATCCGAACAGTCTCACCAAGGCGGAGGCACTCGCTACGGAGGTCAAAATAGATGGATAGGTGTGCAAGATAAGGATCTACTGTGACAGAGGGGGAAAAAAGGGACGGGTCAGTGACAGAACTCTGTAGACGGATAGAACAAAAAAAACCAAGATTTCCAGGACTGATATGGAGCATTTTTCACTGTGGGTCATCATCTCACCTGCGAATCTGGATAAACTGATACCTGCAGAATGGGACAACTCAGCTGATGCTTTCAGCGTATTGATAGAAGAGGTAAATTCTACAATAATGACTTCGACTCATAATGTATATACTGCACATATTTAACGGCCTTGACGGCGGGCAAAGGTCTCCCAAGTCGAAAGTGTCCGGGTAAATGTAAGTGGATCGAAGCAGTTGTGGAAATCCCAACCTTTTAAATTTGCTCGAGGCTGTCGTCAGCTTCGTCTGAACATTTACGCACATTATTTCGTGCCAGAGTCATGGTAAGTGAAGCTGGACTACTCACTTCATGAAGCTTGGATAAGATATGATCAACCTGACCTGATCTTATCTTGTATTTCTCTGTGGCTCCCTTGACTTCGCACCCCCTCAACCTCTGGTGAAAACGGACATACAAACACTCTATCCGGCGTGTCTGGATCTCAGCAGTCATGGGCACTACCTCCATTCGTTCATCATCGCGCTCGACACCTTCTTCTCCAAGTTCTCGCGGCAGAAAATTCTCATACCTTCACAACAATGACTTGACTCTGACGTTGGTTCTCTCTCTGGGGCTTCTCGCCATGTCCTCTTTCAACTACGGGTTTGACGTACAAGCAATGGCTGCAGCCCAAGCCATCGACTCATTCGACAAGCAATTTGGTATCTACTCCAAGAAGACTCAGAAATGGAAGCTCCAGCCGTACTTCCTGTCTCTTCTGAATAGTTGCCACGCTCCGGCACAGATAGCGGGTACTGACTCCATATCAACAATCTGGGGGCGATGCTGGTTGGTGTGGTACTGATCGGCTTCAGGAGTCTACGTTGGTAGCGTCATCAGCAACCGATACGGTCGGCGAATGTGTGTGTTTGTCATGAGCCTTTACGCATTGTTCAGCTCAGCCATCATTCTCTCGTCCAACACAAAGGCCCAGATCCTGGTTGGGCGAACCATTCACTGTCCGTTGACCTGTCTTACATTGCGCTGTGGGCCAACGTTCTAATTCCACTTCAGACTGTTACCTTGGGATGGAATTGGCCGTGGTGCCAACCACGCTCGCCGAATTGTCACCTCCACGCTTCAGAGGTTCCATGGTTGGTCTGTACTGGTTGAGCATCAAGGTTCGATCCAATGTCGGCGTTGGCCCCTGCCCCCGCCCGTCTAACAGTGATGTTGAAGGTAGGAGGCTTGATCATCAGTGTCATTGCGAAGCGGACGTCTCAATTGAATACAAACTGGGCCTGGCGGATTCCTTTTACCCTTTTCTTCATCATTCCCACCATCGTGGCGAGCTTGATCTGGCTCCTTCCCGAGGTACGTCGGGTCATTGACGCATCATATTTCTACTTACAATGCCGCAGTCCCCAAGGTGGCTTGTACTACGCAATCGACATGACGATGCCGTAAAGTCGCTCCAACGCTTACGAAAGCCAGAGACATCCGAGGCTCAGCTGATGGCTGAAGTTAACGAACTCGAGACAGCAGTAGCACAACAGCCTCAGAAGGGCAAGTTCTTGGAGATTTTCAAGGGTACACACTTACGGCGAACCATGATTGCTTGTGTGGTGAACTTCTTCCAGCAAGCCAGCGGCCAGTCGTTCTCCTCTCAGTACGGCACACTGTTCGTCAAGGGCCTCGGAGGTGTCGACGCATTCACAGTAAACATGGTCAATAATGCCGTGAATGTTATTGGGATTTTGATATGCTTACTTCTCAGTGACAGACTGGGACGGAGGTGAGCATTCCAGCCAGTCGAACTAGACGGCAAAGATCCCATGCTCACCACTTATCAGACCCATGATTCACGTCAGCGGATTGTTGCAAGTTGGAGCATTGTTCGCTATGGGAGCCCTCGGCGTCCACGTCCATGATACCCTTCCAGAACGACGAGGCATAGTCGCCATGCTTCTGGTTTTCTCATTCGGTTATTCCCTCGGATGGGCCCCTCTGACGTACCTCATTGCCGCGGAGGTGCCCTCGCTGGCATTACGCGAGCACACGTTGCGTCTGGCATACACCATTAAACTGGTCACAGAGTAGGTCTCCTGTCTCCCCTCGACAAAGCATCTAGATTGACGCTGTGATGCAGATGGGCTGTAAGCTTTACTTACCCGTACTTGGAGGATGGCCAATACGCTGGCTTGGGAAGTAAGCTTGGCTTTATATACGGCTCGTTTGCTGCTCTGGCGGTTATTTGTGGTTACTTCCTTGTCCCGGAAACACGAGACCTCGCCCTGGAAGAGATTGACTGGCAGTTTAGTACTGACGTACCGACACGGAAGATCCGAAGTATCAATTAGATCCATGTCGGAGGCCGCAATCAGCGAGAAGTACACGGCCGAGCAGTTGGCAGAGGTGGTTGATGAGAACCCTCTGTTCAAGTATGCGTACCAAACGTCAGCTACGACTAGTCCAGAAACTCGAGTCGGACCAAAGATCGCGGGAGCAGGACACACATGTGCTTGCCCATCGCCGCTTTCTTGAACACCGTCGATAGGACTTTGTTGGTGTGTAGTTTTGGACCACCTGCCATGAACCCCATAGAGCCTCAATGCATCATTAGCCAACATGGTGCGGTGCATGCGCCAGAGACTAATTTGCTTTACGCTGGAGAGAAAACCAGAAGTAAGACAGGACGGCGTTGTGCGCGTTCCACCGCCTTATGACACGTCGATTATGTATGGACTTGTTACGATTAGGTGAGCACCTTAGCGAATACAGTACATAGATATCGGACCGGATATGCAGATCGCACAACTCGACTACACCTTCTACTGACAACGTCTACTACACAATCAAACATTGTATCAGGATTGCAGTCAATGGGATCCTCGTCAGACGTAGAACTTCAATCTCCGCATGGCAAATCCGATCCAGCGCCTCAGGTTATCACTGATCTCACCGATATTCCACCACGAGATGCTGTCTCGGTTGAAGAGCCGCCGCCCAATGGTGGCTACGCCTGGGTGTGCACGGCATGTTGCTTCATGATCAATGCTCACACCTGGGGTCTGAATAGTGTAATTCTACCTTCCGTACTCCGTACACACGACCTTGTTTCCCTACTGACCGAAAGGCCGTCAGGCATGGGGAATCTTCCTCGCCCATTACTTATCCGACTCTACATTCGAAAATGCCTCTCGTCTTGAGTATGCACTCATCGGAGGACTCTCAATCTCCACGTCGGGCATCATCGCCCCGGTCGTGGCTCTATCAGTCAGATCGCTGGGTACGCGCAACACTCTCCTGATTGGCACTTTGCTCGTCTTCGCCGCCATGTTCGGTGCCTCGTACGCGACGCAGATCTGGCATTTGTTCCTCAGTCAGGGGGTTTGCTTTGGATTTGCCTTGGGGTTCCTCTACATCCCCTCCACCGCCGTGCTGCCTCAGTGGTTTTCGACGCGGCGGAGTTTGGCCGTTGGGATAGCGGCTTCGGGATCCGGCCTCGGAGGGCTCGTGTACAACCTCATCGCTGGACGTCTGGTCCAGGAGGTCGGTGTGGACTGGACGTACCGCGTCCTGGCGTTTTGCGGCTTGGTCGTCAATGCGGTTTGTTCTGTATTGCTCAAAGATCGAAACAAGGCGATCCAGCCGATCCAGGACGTTTTCGATTACCGCGAGTACAGGCAGACCGAGGTGATACTGGTCATACTTTGGGGCGTCGGCAACGAACTGGCATACATTGTCTTGCTCTATTCACTTCCCAACTATGCCATCTCCATCGGCTTGTCGCCAGGTCAGGGTTCTGTCGTGGGAGCGCTTCTCAACCTGGGACTCGGTGTCGGGCGCCCGATCATCGGCTACTACAGCGACTCGTTCGGCCGGCTCAACATGGCGGCGCTCATGACCGCCCTGTCCGGAGTTTTGTGTCTGGCACTGTGGGTGCCGGCCAAGACGTACGGTGTTTTGCTCGTCTTCGCATTGGCCTCTGGCTGTGTCTGCGGCATCTTTTGGAGCACGGTGGCGCCGGTGACCACCGAAGTCGTCGGGCTCAAACGATTGCCCTCTGCGTTTGGCATGATCTGCCTGGCTCTGGTGTTGCCCTCGACGTTTGCAGAACCGATCGCGTTGCAAATGGTCGCGACATCCGGATATCTCAGCTCGCAGATATTTGTGGGTTGTATGTTTCTCTTTGCCGCGGCGAGTACATTGTTCCTCAGGTCCTGGAAGGTTCATCAGGTCGAGCTCAAAGATGCGCTGGATCGAGAATCTGAGGGGGCCACTGCCAACCAAGACGCGATTCACAGGCAGTTCTGGTTGACGCCGAAGAGTTTACTCTGGTTGGGAAGAGTCTGAGAGTGTTTTTATCACAAACAAAGAAAATGTATGCACAAATATTGCATCGAAGACGAACTGTGATCAAAACCCAAAAGGGGGTACATGACTGGGAGTTTTCTGAGGCTCGTTCAACAATGTACGTCCGAGACAGTCTCGTTTCACAAGTATACCAAGGTAAGGTAGTGCCTTGGGTGTATCAAGATCCGAACAAAGAAATGATTATACCAGTTTACTGCCCAGGGGACAGTATACAATGCCGAGAAGTGAGCATGTCTGGCACTGCCTCTCGAGACTAGCCACCATCACAATGAATCATAGCACTGTTGCCGCGGCGTCGACGACTGCCTTGAGACGGGGCCTGGGACTTTCATCGAGGTATTTAAGCGCTTCATCCTCTTCAGAGATCACCGATTACCACAATACAACAGACGCACAACGCCTTGCAACTGCCAGGGACGGTGAAAATCATCATCCACTGACACCACGAAACCTTGCAACGATACAAAGACTCAAGACCAACATACACGCACAAGCACAAGTCTCGACATACATACAACCCCTTACCAGCGGCCATTACGGTTCGACCAAGTCTACAGTGAAGCCATGGCCAAACTCATCCTGTACCTGTTCATGCAATACTACGCCATCCTCTTTGTCGAATCCATCGTATCCGCCTACTGTTCGCCCAACAACGCCAAAGGTTACGTTCTCCTCTGCAAATTCTCGAGCTACCTGTCATCCGTGCATGCCAGTACCACCTCCTCTGTCATCTCTTCATTGACGTTGTTGTGTGCGACTCTTGTCTTCCGCTTCGTGACTAGTGGTCTCTCATTGTCCGCGTATCTAGACGCTCACGTAACCAGAGCTGAGGACGACAGTCCGACTACAACCATGGGTACAATTTCGAGCGATGATGACACCCACTCATTACTGGGACTACCTGGGTCCTTTTCGCGAGCTCTCAAAAGCAGTGCAACATCGTCAAGATTTTTGTCCGTCCCCTCGACTGATGTTCACGTATCACCGTTGCCTACCAACACAATCGAGGGCTACGCGTCTGAAGATTTTGCAGGTCCCGCTGGCACCAACATACGATATACACGAGTCCGATTTACCATGCCCTTGGTGCCTTTTATCCGAATCCACCACGTAGAAATCGGAGACTGTCCGAGCAGAGGCACCATCGGATATGGAAATGGAAGTGATCACCAACATGACGACCGAACCAAGTCGACTCATGGTCCAAAGTCGAATGACACGACAGAATGCGCGGGTCGCAAGCAGTCGAGTACCGGATCGTCACCATTCACAACGGCAACCGGCTCTGGTTCAGGGTTTGGTCGGGGCGACGACGATGACGACGATGACAAGAATCGAAAGAGAGGTCACCACGGACACCATGACACAGCAGGTGCTTCTTCTTCTTCTACTTCTACTTCTTCTCAAACTTCAGACTCGGACCCTGAATCGGACACGGACACAAACTCGGGCTCCATCTCTGGTACAGACACTAGACGAGGAGGTATTCGTCAACGTCGACGTCGACGTCTCCGTCTCCGTCCTCACCCTGCATTCGGTACGGGCTCGACCACTCCCCTCACGTTCGACCTGACCACCGACCCGGGATACATGATCCAAGACCAAGTCGACGATGCTGATGTCGATACCGACACGGACGGTTCGGAGTTTCGAAACAGTGATGGCGACAGCGATGGTGGTGGCGACCATGGAGGTGAACGAGGTCAAGATCATCTACGGCGACAAGACTTGACACACCGTTGGCAAGATCATCGAGGTCGACGATTGGCTTGGGATTGGACCGCCATGCCTCAGAATTGAACCCGTGGCTCTCGTCGAAACTGTCGAGTGGGGACAAACCCCTGAAGGGCGTGGACGGACGTTGTCATTATCGTGGTGTCGGATGACGAATACTGGTGTCCGGGACGAATCGAGAAACGAGTGACGGCAAACGGTTGAGCAAAACAGCGAACACTGTTCGTGGGCAGTCATGGGACCAGAATGACATCGAGTATGGGTTCGAATGGTGTTGTTTCGTTGTGAGAAAAATCAGGGTACCAAGGCAGAAAACACTCTTTCGGCTACAGCGATATCGACGTTGGAAACCGTTGGGTCAGGCACATCGTGTCAAGCTTTCCTAGTTTTACAGCATGTTTTTATCGATAGACCAATAGACAATACAACAATTTTCCTGATCGTCATACAGTGTACAGTGTACCGATGTTTTGGTTTTTGTTTTCATCCCTCATGATTGCTTTTCACAGGTAATTACGATTCAATGTCGAGGACACAGATTTGAGCACGACAGAAAAAAGGGGGAAATATCGCCATGCCCTGAAATAGTTGCCGTTCACATAGACGCATGTCGTCTCACAGGCTCAATCTCAATCTCAATTTCAACTCATCAAATATATAGTCATATCGATCCAATTCATTTCCAATTTCCACCAGGGAAAATCAAAAAACAAATACACAAGAGTTATCTGATAGATATATTTGTCCATAAAGTCCGATCAATCCTTCAATGATTCATTAAGCGCGTAAAAACAGGGGGGTAAAAATCCCACCTTAAAAAAATTCGTCCAGGTCGTTGGTATCGTGAGTAATACACAAAGCGCCTTGTGTTTCCAGAGAAATCGGTGCTCGTGAGAGAATTTGGTGAGATTCCATATCGAATTAAATTTCCCAAGGGATGTCTTCCTCTTCACACCTCATACAAGTCAAATATCCCAACCCGCCGCCGCCACCTTGCCCGTCACTCAAAAAACTTCGTACATCAAGTTCCAAACAGTTTCTTGTTAACGGCTTCACAATATCCCTGGCGACATTTTTGATTTCGTCAATCTTTCGTTCAAATCGTCGAAGGTTGTCCCTCGTGTAGACCGCCGAGGTGGAATGACCCGGCGGCTGTATCTTGAGGAACCGTTTTAATTCATCCCGTGGCAGGAACGCCTCGGGATTCGTTGCTCCAATCATCCGGAATACTCGACCTGTGTTGACAGGCACCGGAGGTGGTGGAGGTGGATGTTGGACGGCCAAGGTCGCTGTGTCACCTGCCGTAGTACCTCCTGTTCGTCGAGGCGGAACATTCGCACCACCGGGGTTCGCACTGCCTGGTCTCGAGGAGGAAGAAGGCGATGTGTTTTTCAATATACCACGGACTTCTGGAGTTGTGTTTTCGGCAAGCCATTGCCTCCATAGGCTCATTGCAAGCCAGCCCAAATAGTCGTTTACTGGATTGACCCGTTCACCACGACTCGTGGTAAGCGTCAATCTGAACAATTTCGTCTCGATGCGCAACTTCAACTCTTCTAGTTCGTCGACTTTATCCTCGATCAGATCAATTACGGACTGTGGGACTTCATACCCGCCCCCATTGGGGTCAGGAGACTTGATGTATGGCAGACCTGCGGGCCACTGGCCAACAACATGTGTAAGTGCTTCGGAGAAGATTATACGGCTCCGGGCAAGGTAGCCTAATTTCAGATATGATGGTGGGTATTTCGCGATCTGCTTGAACAGTCGACTCGAGAATCGCAGTAGATGGTGATCAATCCGAGGCCCGACAACTGGCAAGGCTTCGTACATGTCTGCCAAGCTGAGCAAAGCCTTGCACTCGGAATAGGCAGAGGCGATGTTCGTGGCATTCAAGAGTGGAGGGTAATTGTAGAAGATTCGGAACAGGTTGTCGTAGTCGCGCAACAGAGGATTGCCCAATGCAGGGTCTACCGTCACAGGGAGCTGAGCTGTTGATTGCGACGCTCCATGGTGCGAAGTTAGAGCAAGATTTGCCATGGATCTAAAAAAAGATGTATGTGTAGGTTGTGGGCGCGGCCTTCGTTGCGGCTCAGCTTGATAAGGTGGTGGCGGTGGGTGGGATGTAGTAAACAAAGCTCCTTCGGGTGTTCTTCGAACCAGAATGGGCTCGTCTTCATCTTCCTCGAGATTCTCCCAGTCTAATTCAAAACGCCAGCGCGGCCGAGGCGGTGAGATCGGTCTCCCTTGTATACTGTGCGCAGAGCCGGGATGCGATGACTCTTCGCCGATCACACTGAGAGCTTGCTCCTGCCGTGAAGGTGCAATAGCTTGATTGCGCGACCATTCTTCGCGAGTGTTGCCTTCAAAGAATCCCGAAAACTGCGCCAGCGTAAAGCGGTGTAATAGATATCGCTTCTCGTGTCCATCACATGCTATCACAATCTCGACATCTCCAGACTGGGAGAAAAAGGGAAACTCGTTCAGAGAAGTCTGAGTTTGGCCTCCATGATGTGATCTATTTCGATGGTGGTGTCTAGACCGCGACGTTCGAGAAACGACAGAGGCAGGCCCTCGAGACCGATCTGCTACTTCAGCACGTGAAACCATTTGCGCAGAAAACCGATGGTCAGGTTCGATGTATGTTTTCTAGATCCTGTCGTCTTCTTTCTCGTGGTCTTCGTGTATGCATGAGTCTTGCGCCGGTTGTTGTCCAAAGTGTGCCCATAACAGACCACAATGCCCCTCTCTGTCTGTACACCCGGCTCGGCAAGACTGTACCTCCTCGTTATTCCAGGTCCCGTGCTTGGGAAAGTTATCGAGGCAGACAGCCCACTGCAGTTGGGCGCAAGGAGGAAGGTCCGTAAAAGACAGTCCGAGTATCTAGGTCGCGAGCGCGGATGAGGCGCCTTTCGGGTATCGGGGGTCGCTGATTGCACTCGACCTCGAGTGACATGGACAAGAAGTCGCGTAACGTCGTCGAGAGACCTCTCTCTTTTGCGCCATGCGCGAAGAGTCAGGCTGCGGATGCTCATCGACTGCGGCTGGCGCCGTGGGACGAAGTGTGGCAATGAAGATGCAGGCGATTCATGCCTCTTAGGACATAGCTCGTATGCAGGTCCGAAGCAGCGCAGCCACTCGTTCTCAGCGCAGTACCAAGGCACGAAGATGACCGGGGTGTAGTCAATAAGGATCGGCTTATCATTTGCGGAAGACACAGGGCACTAAAGGAAAACTCGGTAAGCCAGCAAGTTAATGGATGAAGAAGAAGTTTACACAGAGCCCAGTCAATCCTCATCGAAAACAAAGCAGTCTTGATGGTTGAATCCGCTACTGCTCGGTGACCTCAATGAATTCCCAGGCCAAGATATCCTGTCTAGGTTTATATGATGAAGGCTACTCTTCAATACTCCCTCATACAAAGAAATACGTCCTCAAGAGGCTGAGCTCAGTAGACTTCAATTGCACTTATCCCGCTCATGTCCACACGAAATCGCCACGCCCACTGAACAACATCAACAATGACAACGCTATGCTAAATGATGGTCCAAGAAAACAAACGAAAATGCTAACGACGCATCAGAAGACCGCAGTCAATCCGCTCTTGGACTGCCGTTTGCTAAACCGCTTTCTGCCCTTGAGTGATTCGGTATCGCCTCCAGAGTGTTGTTTGTGCAGCATCATACGACCAGAGTGCCCATGGTTTACTGAATGAGGACTCAGGTCTGATGTCCTATCGATCGTGCTTGCATGACTAGATAATCCGGAAGATGATAAGTTGAGTGTATCGTCGTTTCCGTACGTGCTGCTCGAGTTTTGCAGAGAGATTGCAATTTCTCGAGCTCTCGCCAGGACATCGAGCCACTCCTGTGCTGACATGGCCGTCGCCATTTGGTCGTTCGAAGGTGGTTTCGGATCCTCGAAAACGAAGTGTCTGTCTTTCTGTTCTCTCAATTAGTCATGAAAGTGTGGAACAACGTTAGGAGACCTTACCGTATCGACAATCCACTGAGTAATTCCCTTCGAATCTGTCGCACTCGAGAATTCTGTGCCTGGTGACAACAAAGAGATCTCTGACTTGGATTTCTTCTCCTCGCCCCCAGCTGCGGCAATGATTATCCGAGCACTTGATGTCACCATAACAAGTCTTTGTCGCTTCTTGGTGTCTCTACTGCCGAACAACCTGGATAACTTGTTTCCACCTTCGCTTCCATGAGGACTGTGAGGATTTGGTGTCGATACAACACAAAGATTACCCAACTTAAGGATTCTCTCGTTGTTCCTGGTGAGGACCGGTGACCACTCAATGTCGAGTTGGCTCGGTGGCGGTAACTCGGTTATCACCCGTGGGCGCGGTTTCTGATTGTTTGGAGGGAGCATGGTAGGGTGTGTACTATGTGCTGGGGCAATGTTGGAGGGATAGCTCTCTTGCTCCGCGCCACCGTTGAGCTTGATAGGTGCCTGTGGAGGAGGGACATAGGCCTTCAACCGCGGCGCTTTCTGTTGCCATAAGCCTCGACCCCACTGAATTCCGTTAAAGAAAGGGTGGTTTCTGGCATGTTCGAGTGAAAGGCGCCTCTGTGGATCCAACACAAGTAATCTTTCTACGAGGTCCCGAGCAAGATCTGGGAAGCCTCGAGGGAAGTCGTAGTCAAGGTTGACAATTTTCTGAAATGTCTGATAGTCGTTACTAGCCTTGAATGGCGGTCTACCAGCCAAAAGCTGATATATGATACACCCAAATGCCCAGAGGTCGCTGGCTTTGCATGCATTCTTGTCCGTCAATAATTCAGGGCTCACATATTCCGCAGTTCCCACGAATGAGTTAGCCCTGTTCTCATCTGAGGTTGCGTCGGGTTCGAAATCGACTCGCCCTTCCATATCCTTCCTCTCTGGCAACAATTTGGCCGTACCAAAATCGGTCACTTTGATGTGCTTGTTCTCATCGAGCAAGAGATTTTCGGGTTTCAAGTCCCGGTGGATGACGCCTCGGCTGTGCATATACTCAATTGTGTCGAGAATCTGTGCTCCGTAAAATTGGGTGCATTCCTCGTCAAATGTCGACATTCGTTTAAGCACCCCCAGCAACTCACCTCCGGGACACAAGTCAAGAACGAAATACAAGGATCTCTCATCCTGAAAGGTGTAATATAATCGGACCACTCCAGGATGATCCGTCAACCGATTCAGCGTGTCCCGTTCAATGTTGACATATTTCACCTTCTTTTCTTTGATGATATGGCGTTTGTCGAGCACTTTAATGGCGTAGTCCTTGCCCGTCGATCGATCTGTCGCAGCAAGCACCGTACTGTAAGAACCTTCTCCCAGTGTTCGTCCAAAATTGAAATCCTTCACCCCCTTTTTAACGGGTTTGATTGATACCCGACCATCGGCATCGTACTCTTTTTTGACGCCCACAGCCGCTCCTCGTTCTTGCCAGTCTTCGGCTGCGCTGGTCAAGGGTCGATCCTCGAGATTGTAAGGTGAGCTGGAGAGAGGTGTCTGTATCGATTTCGGAGTGGTAGACAGTGGTGTGCTGCCGACCGGAGTAGAGCCCATGCGTGTTGAGCCCATTCCTCGAGAAGTCCTTCGGGGGGGAAGAGGGGCGTTGCCCAATGTATATTGTCCTTGCCCGTATGCCCTTTCCGTATGTGAGTCGTCTCTTGATGGTACACCGGCCACTTCTCCCACGCCTGCTCGCTTTGAAGAGGTCCTTACAGGGAAGCCTGAATTGCCGGCGCCGTCACTCCGTACTCTGTACGACCCTTGTCTCGATATCCCGTTGCTGGCGGCACCGTTAACAGGCATTTGTGTGTAATATACTGACCCGGGACGATTCGAATTCGTTCTGGGGTCTTGTCCATTCCGGGGTATCATGGTTGGGTATTGAGGAAACTGTGCTTGCTGTTGATCTTGGTATGTGTAGGGAAGATTCGACCTCTGTGCGGTTCGGTCCGCGGGGCGACTATTCGGGGTAAACGTTGAGGGCGCAGTAGATGACGAGACTGATGATGATAGCTCAGTAGTCATTTGAGACAACGGACCGTCCGGAGACGTCTCCAGCGGAGAAACAGGACTATCGGATCTGCGAGGGACAGCTGAGAGGTAATCGGTCCGTCCGGTGACATCGTTCAGAGGAGAGACCTTTGGTACTGTGGCCGACGTAGATTGTGGCTGTAATGCGGTATCAGGAGAAGCATCATCCGGGTTCGCAATCCTCAGCGGACCAAGAGATAGGTCGGCCATGCTTGCCTGCAATCTTGGGAGTCGTGGACGCAGTGGCTTGGAAGAGCAACGTGGTGAGCGATGACGTGCGGCTTCGGGCCTCGAAAGAATGTCTCGATCACAGTGTACGTGTACGTCTCTTCATTATTGCTGCTGCAGAGAGCCTGGCAGTGTAGATTGAGGCAATGAGGCCGTGAAGGTGTAGTCTAGAGACAACCAAGGATAATGGTGCAGGATGTGTAGGGAACTCGGATTTGTTTCAAAATCTCGCCTAGGTATGGGGTCGCAGGGGAGAAAGAGGCCGTCGGAAATGGCGCAAAGGAAGACGTCGACGATAACGAGCAGCGGACAGTCCCAGCAAGGTAGCGAGCGTAGAAACGACCTTTTTTTGGAAAAAAAGAAGTTGGGAGATTCAATTGGAGGATGTGTTGTTCTGTCTGGCTTGTAACTGAGAAGCGAGACGACGATGCCGATGCAAAGATGGCGGTTAGTCTGTTGTTGGTGGTGATTTGAGATGCAGGCCACTCGTAGCCTGTAATCGTCGTTATAGGCGCAGGCGCAGTTGCCATTGCTGGTTCCAGTTCCAGGTCCCGTTACCGGTGCAGGATCAGGCCTAGTGAGCCCCAGCAATAGCAGTAGTAGCAGCCCCAGGTCCTCTGTAATCTGTCAACTGTAGCCTATTGTAGCCCCAAACAAAGTCCCAACTCCTTAGTGAGCATCGTAGTCGTCGGGTGGCTCTCCATCCACCTTTGGTGACGTGCCGCCACGCCCGGTGGCCGATCTCATCTCATTTCCTGGCCTTTGGCTTGCCAGGATGCAAATCACCTCGCTCGATACTCGATGAACTCTTGTACCGCCGATGGAGTGGCGTCTTTGTCTTGTGGCCTCAAACCTTCGCAAGCCACCAGTTCGCCGGCAAGGCTCATTCAAGCATAGCTTTCGCCATCGCACAACAGTCCATCATTGAAGACTATTCCGCTTCGGTACTGATCGAGATTACTGTGGAGTTTCGAAGAACTGTAGAGGCTCTGCCACGTATGGGTATGGGTATGGGTAGTGGAGGCCTTGGATTAGCTGGTCTCTGCTTCGAAGACAGAAGTCGTGAGAGACATCACATTTCGAAACCTGAGTTGTTCTACGATTGTCAAGAGAATGTGGGATTTGAGAGATATATGTCATCGAACGCAAGTGATATCAAGTGATATGTGATCTTGCGTGTGCTCTAGGTGAGCAGTTGAAGAGACAGAGGTAGGAACAATGCTCTCTTTCTCAGCGTGAACTACTTGCTACTGCTATTGTTTGCGATGGCAACTTCCATGATGATGACTCTCAGGACCACGTTATGGCTCTCTTGACCTCCGCATTATCGCCGTCAATAGCAACGCGAAAGAATTAGAAAACACCATGATACGCCTACCGCTCAGCAGTATATCCCTTTCTCCTGTTGATGTCGAGTGCAGTCTCCAACAGGCTGATATCTATTATGGCTTACTGCGGCAGGGTTTCAAGAAACATGATATTGCTCGTTATCTCAATGACTATCGACAAGCTCAAGCAGAAGCAAATGGCCTGACTTGCACGGACTTCAATCTGGCAGCCCCAAGTACATTCGAGCTTACCTCTCAGCGTGCCATTCCACATCCGCAAGAAGAGGAGGATCAAACACAAGACGCTTGGCAGACTGGGTCAACCATCAAGAATGCCTTCTCGGAGGTTGGCTCCCGGTCGACCTCATATGGTCAAGATATTGAAGGTCAAGAATGCAGAGTCGAAGTGCACCATGAAGACAACAGATCACCATCCCCGAAAACCACGGTTCCAACGATGCGAGTCAACAAGCATGCCCCCCGCAAAAGCTCACTCCTTCGCTTCTTCAGAGCTGCCTCACCAGAAAAGCAAAGTTCTGAAGTTCATTCGGAAAGCGTCGTTGGCTCATCAAAGCACACCACCATCAAGAATCCCAGCAGGCGAAGTTTGACTCATTTTTGGCGAACAGCCGAGGTCGAAGACTATGCTAGTGACACAACAGCGAAGATTCTGCTCACTGATCAATTGAGGCGATTGTCCCTTGAAAGCACCAGCCGCCCGAGCGAACATGCTGCCGAATTGCCTGCCCTGGTCCTGCCGCCACCCTTGTCAGACACTTACACCTTCCATGACAACTCTGACCTAGGCACGAATGAAGACTTTGACGGTTTGGGCGATCTGTCCGATGCAGATCAAGCACACAGAAGTTGCAGTCTTTTGTGTTTAACAGAGCACTCGACCTACCTGCCGAGTTCACCTCCTATCCCGGATGCATCACCAATCGAGACACCTTCTTCGAACCGCGCAGAATCAGCATCTCCAGAGTTCCCAGTCACTCCAACTCCAGTCAGAAACGCAAGCGGGTTTCCTCATACCGAGCCACGCCAATACCGGCACCTATGTCTGGACGGCCGTGGCTTTCCGGTATATAACGATTCTCTTCCTGCTGTTTCCCAGCCACAAACCCCTGCCGATCTCTTGCGAGGCCCATTTGTCACCGAGCATGATGCTGCATATACTGCTCCTCCTGGCATGCTTCTTGCAGGTCCTGGTAGTGTGTCTATGCTCGACAATGGCAGGTGGGATCACCGGATTGGCGAGCAGAGTCCGACAGCCCGGGCCATCAGCTTGCGAGAACGACGAAACCGAGAGTTACAGCGAAGCGTTAGAGCTGAAGGCATCCGACTGCAAAGGTTGCGGCTTAGGGACGAAGCTATGTTCACCCAAGGAACATTCGCAGCCGGTCCTCCTGATGGTGATGGTACTGGTGAGAGGCCTCAGGCGATGGCGGAAGCATTGCAAGATGCATGGAGGGATGATCTTGATGCCGATCGTGTCGGAGATGAAAATTTCGAGGTAGAGCTCCTCTTGCTTCAACCCCGAGGAATGAGGATTGTCAGCGGCAACGCGAGACTTGACGCATGGGAAGGGGAGGTGGGTAGATAGGATAAGGCTGAGACGGAGACATGGAAGTAACCATGGGCCATGTCATTATCCCAATTTCCACAGGCGCCTGACCGACAAGTATGAGGGACTCTTTTAATCAGCACTCGTTTTCTGGACTCTGTACTTGTGTTTGCACTTGCGCCTGCGAAGTACTATCCGTGAACGTACTGCGTCTCTCGGTCTGCTACGAAGGTGCTTGATAGATCATCAAGGCTTCAAGGTGGCCAGTTTACACGGCAAGCAAAATCTCATTCACGTTTTCCATGACCCAGGGCGACGGTACCCCCATCAACGCCCGTACGAAGATACAGGAGGGTTGAGTATTATAAAATAGGTCGGCCCGTCCTTTTGCTTTTTTGTTTTTGCAACGTGCACGCCCGGAGAGTGGCCGTGTGTGGTTTATCGGACTCGTGAGTACCCCGTAATACTGTAAAAGTGAGCATTTTTGTTTTACATTACTTAGATGACTAGGTATATATATTCTGGACTTTATTCCTCACGAGGGTATACCGAAAGGTGCGTGTGTGTACTGTACACGACAACCGTTTTCTCGAACAATCCCGTCCTACTATGGGGCCAGCAACGTCGGACATAACGCAGAGAGTGTCGAGAATCTCATTGATTCCCTCATGCTCCCCGCCTCAAAGCAGTCACTAGGCGTCCAAAGCAAACGAATCCACGTCTACGATGTACATCCGGTCTTATACATCTCCCAGAAAAGTCAATCCCCTCTCCCTCGCACCGCCGTCAGGACTCCAGGACATCTAAAAATGTCTTGCCTTAGGTACCACTCCAGCCAAGAAACGCCCTTGGGCTTGGTTTGTGTGTTGTCATCCTCAGGTATAGGTACGTACGGCAAGACGCCGCTCGTTGCAAGTTCGGAGACTTACTAAGTCCCAGTCCCAGTTCCCTCCCCCCCTTTCGGAGTCCTTCCGCTCTTGTTGTCCATTGACTCAGAAAAGGTCCAGGGGGTCGGCCCGACCATTCGAGACTTGCTGCAGAGAGAAATGCAGCTCGCTTCAGTAATGTCGCTCTTTCCCCCATGATCGCGGGACGGGCCCTGCAGCCCTGCTGGGCTGGGTGTCCTTGCATCTCTGTCCGGAGAACAGGCGCATCATGCAGGGTTGACGTGCATCCCAACAGAAGAAAAACCCGCATGGCTGATCCCCGATCGATCGGGTCATTCGGAATCCTTCCCAAACGAATCTTGCAGCCTTGCAGCTTGGAGATCTCGGATCGGCATACCCTTGCCCACACTAGCTCCTACTCGGCCGAGGAGTTTTCGTCAATTGGTATGTTGTTTCGTGTATCACACGTCTCACACTCTCGACGGACCCATACTGGATCGTCAATCAGACGTCGTGATGGTTTGGACCTTTCCCCCCCTTTGTTGCCGCGAACATGCTGTCGAAGGCGTTCACACCTACTGGTTTTCCCAGCTTCTTTCTCCACACTTCGCCTTTCAAGACGACAAGGAGCATGGGGATGAATGCCAGTACGCTTCCAATCAGGGCAAACATGAGGAACGTCCACTGATACCCGATCTCGTCGCCCAACCTGACCACGTAAAACGCAAAAGTCATGCCGATCTCCTGACGGATGAAGTTGAAAAGCTGCGCCACTTCGCTACTTTCCTGCCTGTAGCAGTCGGTGGCGTATGTGTACGTTGTAGTCGTGATGATTTGGAGGCCGAAGCACGCAATCCCCATCCCCAAAATCGGGGCGATCCAAGACGTACGATACTGTAGACAAAACCCATAGATCAAAAGACCAGCCGGTACGAGGAATTCGCCCATCCAGATGGCCTTGAGTCTGACTTCTGGTTCTGGGTCACGACCGAGCTGCTTCCGCCCACGCTTCACAATGCGGTCGACGACCCAGCCTGACACACATTCGCCCAGGATGCCGCCTATTGTGAGCGAGCCACCATACGCGAGTCCAATGGTCAGTGTGGTCCAGTGAAAGAATTTGGTAAATATCGCTGCCACGGTCACCGCCGGAAGAATCGAAGCGAAGCCATACATGGTGCCATAGTAGAGGGCGGGAAACAGAACGGAGGGGTACTTCGCCATCTTCAGAGCGGGTATGACGAATTGACCTGGCCGCAGGGAGAGTTGAGGAAATGACGAATATAGTCGTAGATGCCGAAGATAGGTGGTTCGGGTGAAAGTTGCGTGCGGTGATGATTCGCGTCTGGAACTAGGGCTGGACACCTCCGCTGCGGCGGCGACATTCCTGATGTAGAGCGTTTCAGGGAGGCAGAAAAACGCAGTGACAAACATGACTGCATCGACGATGGAGACGAACTTGAAGATCCATCGCCATCCACAGTAATGCCCCAGCAATCCACCTACAATGGGTGCGAGGTGGCTGCCCGTGGTCATGGTGACGGTGAAGAAGCCCATAGCCCTCCCTCTTTGGTCGTAGGAGAAAAGGTCAGTAATAGTGGCCGCGCCCAAGGCGAATGCGACGGGAAAGAACCCGTTGAATACTCTTGCCACGATCAGTTGTCCGTACGACTGGGCATATGAGCAGCCCAGGGCAGAGGCGAAGCCGAGGAAGGTGGTTCCAAGGTAGACTGGCCGCCTGCCATATTTGTTGGACAATGGTATCCAGAGCCATGGAGCAATTCCGTTGAGCGCGATACATACAGTTCTAGGGTCACAATGTCAGGGCTTCATTCTTCAGTGGTCTACCCGGGAGATTTTTGACTCACGTCTGGTACGATGCTCTGACTGTGCTGATACCAAATTGTTCAGCCAGCAAGCCGTATGCAGGATTGATTGTAGCGGTATTCAGGCCGCCTATGGCTGCGAGTAGTGATGCTTGGATAAGGATCATGATCTCCATGTCGTTAGAGTTGGCGTCTCAAAAGATTGTTGGTTCAAAGAATAACCTACCTTGAGCCATAACGGCCAATTCAGAGGATCTTGCGAATCTTCATTGGTATCAGCCTGAGCTTTCTCATCACCCATGCCGAGATGTTGAGTGACCGATGGACGATCGTCGTCGACCTTGAAGTCTTTGTCGACTGTTGGTTCCCCATAGCGATTCGCGGCTGCCATCATCGATGGTGTGTCCTCGACGTGTCAGAGATTTCTCAACACGACAGACAAAAGCGGTGTGAACAGGAGACTGGACGGCCTGATGGTCACAATCGAGTCTAGTGACGCATAATTACTGATTATGTGCATGAAGCGAGCAACAATGTCGGCGTCGCGAGATACTGTTGCCCGACGGTTGTAGTGACGTGTGTGAGAATGCAGGCGATCAGGCGAGTGAGGAAATTAGTCTCTTGGTATGCAGAAACCCTGGTTGACGAGGCTGTTTCTTACATCTTACGGCACAATGTTATTGTAGCATCGTATTCTAGAAAGACAGATGCCTGGGAAATATAACAGTCTCGAGGGGATGGAAAATGCTGAAGTCTGCGAGGGGAAATGCAAGCCGAGGACAACAAGGAATACGAATAATGTCCTGGCGGAAGATGATGCCGGTCACTTCTCTCCAACTCTATGAGCCCATAGCCTTTGTCGACATTCTGGCTGAATTGTTGTTGGGGGGGGCAAATTAAATAGCAGATCGACATGAGAACGTTCTGGAGAAGAAAATCACAAAAACCCACATCCCCAATGAATAAATGACTTGAGCCAACAATGCAAAGCCGAGACAAGCATTTGTTCCCCAAAGCTTGAAATCTGCTGGACTTTGTCACTTCAGTTGTACATCCAGCAGCAAATATCTCCAGCTACAATCAACCCACATCATGACTCGCATTGCAGACACCCAAATTAGTATCAAGGCGGAGCTGCACGAACTGACGTCAAGCAGATGACCATGTTGTCAGCAGGTTATCATCTACTGTATGACGGAGGTTGCGGGCGCGGTCTTGCTAGCCATCTATGGATAGTCACGACAGCAACATCTTATGGGACCCTTGCCAAAACGATCCTTTGAAGATCCCGGATTTTCGGCTCGGGGGCCAATACTGTTGATTAGAATGTAGACCTCTGATCAGCCTTGTCCAGCACATGATGACTATAGACAGGTCTGGCGCAGAGTCTGTCGGTTCTGGTCGCAAGGAAATCGTGACGAGGGAATCTCTTGGGCAGGAGAAGGGTCTGGAATGCAAGGATATTTCGAAGGATCTGAGCAGAGGAAAACATATTCCGAAGCCAAATTCTTGTTACCATGGAGTCATGGCTCTCGGAAGCCTCTTGACGCCGACTTGCGAAACTAACTGTAGACGCGATGCCGAAGCGGCTGACAACCAAGTATGGATATTGCGCTTGTGGAAGGTTGCATTTCTTGGAGTCTTGGTTTTGCTTGAGCTAGAAGAAGACCATTCTTGATGGCATCGACTGATCTATCTCCCCTCACACTCAGCTGAACATGACCAGCTCAAGCACTGTAAAACACAATGGGCACATATCTCCATGCGGTGAAAGTTCCGTGGAGGGGGGGCCCGGGTCGGGACGTCTGCTCGTCAGCAACTTGCTGCTGCATCAAGGAGGGTGATGTGATGTATGATTCAGCAAGGCTTTGAAGGGGGCTATTGCCATCCAAAACGGATATGAGCGGCGTATCGTGCCTGATTTGTGTTGTTGTTGAATGAATATCCGGAGGCCGGCGTAAGAATCCGCGCTCGCACCACTCTGTCGAGGTTAATAGTTTTGCCCTGTGAACCAGGGTGTGCAGCATAGCATCAAATGAAAAGTGCGGCTGAGAAAGCAACGACTAGGATTCTCCAGACTTGACCGGGACCTGTTTGCTGGATTAATACTGACCGGTGCATGGGGCGTTTACTGGCCTCCTCGTGGCAGCAGGGAAGTGGATTGATGCCTCGTGCTGGAGTCGGAGATGCTTGTTTCAAACAAAGTGCTGATGGTGCTATAGTTGGGACAGGACGAGCCTGCTGATTCGTCTGGACCTCGTATTCGTTCAAGTGAGAGAAGGAAGATTTTCTTTCCAGACTTGCGGATCCGCTCTAAGCGATGAGGAGGCGGATTAGTCGAGACCGGGAGTGAATGCATGAATTGACAAGTAGGAAATGTAGTGTTGCTTTGATTGGGCAGCCTTGACCTAAGACTCGTGTGCACGGCGAGGGTATCCATGTATCCATTGTGTACCACCTGCTAGTCATGTTGGTCGGTGCCCGTCGGTAAAAGGCCCTGATGCTGGTCAATTCCGTCGCCTGGTTCACTCAGGACCCCGTCATCACCGTCACCGTCACCGCCAGCACATCCAGAATTCCTCCTGCGTGGAAGAGGCTGAGAGGAAAGCAGGAAGAGACAGTGGTCATGGATTCACCAGCCCTACTCGTAAGAGCGTTGACCCTCTCTGTCGCATATTTCGGGGCCAAAAACACCACGACGCTTGCGAGATACGGAGCACGAGTACCCGTTGAGCTGGTCTCCGTAATAATGGGTCTCTTCATTCCCCATACCCATCGCTATTCCCACCGATGATGCCGACTGAGATAGGGACCACCTTCCCGTTTGAACTCCCAGACCCCTGCGGCTCATCGCTCTCCAATACGACGACACTTTCGCACATTTGATGCCGTCTAGGGCAGTTAGAAACACCTTTTTCGAGTTGCTCCCCCGACATAGCGTCAAGCTAAGCGAAAGCATCCCCGGGCCAGTGCCTCTCTGCCTAAACATGCGAGTGTCCCGGGACAGCCATGGGACTGATATTGTAAGCATCTGTGGCGGATTTCCCCAATCCATCGGTGATCATCTCAGTCCACCCAAATTTCTTTGATGCAAGCTTGACTGTTCGATGGCGCTAATGGCCCAGTCCGAGCCCAAGCGACTGTAGGCTCAAAGTCTTACAGAATCCTTCCTCGAGCACAATAACTCGTATCATTATTCTCTAGCCTTGCACTGCCTGCATGGTTTCGTCAGAACTAGGAGGTCTTGCTCGAAACTGGAGTCTGCGAGGTTGTCGTGGCCCTGGCATTTCGGCTGCAGCGACGAGGTTTGTGACGATTGGATCCAGACCCCCTACCCTTCTCGTGCTTGCTCACCCACCAACCATCTCTGTGGACGGGATCGATGAGATATATTTCGAGAGGCTAAGTATGTTCATCCTGACATGCTATTCCCGTACAAACCGACTAATCCTCTATGGGATAGCTGCCGTGTGCCCTTGACTTTACTCTGCGGCGCCAGCGCAAAAGTTCATCTGGCCTCCCACTGAATCACCACAAGGCTAAGCCTAGCCGCGTGCTTGTGAACAGAGCACCCCAGTAGAGCTGCAGGGATCCCAGCACTCCGCTGACGACTCCAATTTGGAACCATTTTGTGAGGAGAAATCGATCCAAAAGGTGCTCTGATCCTATAAGGCTTGATTACATTTCGAGAATCTAAACTTCACACCACCTGCTTTTCATTGTCGCAAGAGACCTTCACCCATCAACATGCCTCCAGAAGTCGAACCGAAACCAAAGTCCAAACATCGTAAATCTACGTGTGCAGGTTGTCGTAGGAGAAAGGTACGTTGCACCTCACATTTCCTACACCGAATTCCATTTCTGTTCCCAAATTCCCAAACGACATGCCTTAGAGTCTGAAGTGGGCTGACTGTATGATAGTCCAAATGCGACGGGAAAACACCAAAATGCACAACGTGAGTTGATCACCTTGGGACACTTTCTGTTCACAAAATTGATGGTTGGTAGGTGTATAGCCTACAAGGACGACTGTCACTATGACAAGCCACCGTCACTTGCATACGTGAGATCTCTCGAAGAGGAAATTCAAGAATTAAAAACACAACTCCGACAAGCCAAAACACAAGTCTGGCTATCAAAGGTGGGCAGCGACGGTAGCGTGGCGAGCATTCATCAACCACATACTAACACATGGCAGGCCAGTGCTCAGGACGAGAAGAAGGCAGTTGTTGGCGCTTCCCCAGTGAGCGAAACTGCAGGCTCGCAAAATTCAAGTAATTTTGCCTATCGCAATCGACAAGTGAAGTGGGAAGCAGACATCAGTATAGATGACTCTGGCAGTATTGCCTTTCATAATTCGACGTCTCCCATCTATCAGCCACCCTCCACGCAAAGCAACCGTTCACCCATACCGCCATCACACCCACAAGTCACCGGAAATCCTCAAGAGGACCAACGTGTAAGACGAGATCTTATTTTGAACGCCAATCACCAAAGGCAGATTGAACCATTTGCCATCGCCAATGGCGCTGCGAAAGCCAATGTGCCCAAGGAAATCTCCCAGGAGATTCTTAAATACCACTGGTGCTGGCAACATCCGCTATTTTTGATTGTGTACAGACCAGCGTTTACGAGGGGTATGGCCATGGTTGACTTGAACACGCCCGAAGCCCAAGACCCACCGTATTTTTCAGAAACCCTGTTGAAGGTCGGTACCTGCCCTCGCATAGAGTGTCTCCAGAGCGACTTCTGACTTTCTTCTAGGTGATTCACGCACATTGTGCTAGGTTTCTCAATCATGACATTTACCAAGACCAGTATCATGACGTGTTGAGCCGACAGAATTCGATTGGGAGCTCAATGAGTGCGTCAAGTTTCATGCAAAGGATGACGGATGAAGCTCGTTTCGGCTTGGGTATGGACATACTGAAGAAGCCAACTATTGCAACCATACAAGCGCTTCTACAACAGTCGGCTCGTGAAGTCATGTTTGGAAACAACTCGCAATCGTGGACGTTCGCGGGCATCGCGTTCCGAATGGCTCTTGATATGGGTATCCATTTGCCCAGCGACCGACTGCAATCTTTTGTGAAAAGCTTGACCGCCGAAGACATCGAGGTCCGCAAGCGACTTTTCTGGAGCTGCTACACTTGGGACAAGATCCTGTCCCTTTACCTTGGTAGAATGCCTGGATTCACGCCCAACACGGAAGAAGTGCCTGTGAATTTCATGGACGACTACAGCGACAACGACCTTTGGGCGCCGTATTATGGTGAAACCCCTCGGCCGGACGTTCCCAATGCGCCCAACTACCAACCATGTCCTGGATACGTCGTGTCGTGTTTCCGGCAACTGTGCAAGCTCTGTGTCATACTCAACGACGTAATGCACAATATCTATTCACCCGAAGCAGCCGCCCGGCGTGACATGGAGGACGAAGAGCGCTCGACCGAAGCCAAAGCGGCAAACGAAGCAGTTTTCGTTCGGATATCGCGAGATCTGCGTGACTGGTTGATCTCTCTGCCTTCCCACCTGAGAATCAACCCCGATCAGATGCCGTCCCTGGCACCGCCAGTCCATATCATGTCACTCAATCTGCTCTACCATACGACAGTCATCCTACTGCATCGGCCTGTCATACTCGGGGCGCGAGACGTCAACGCGCCCGGTTCTACGCGATCCTACCAGATCTGCATACAAGCCACGGCCGCCATCCACGACTTGATCATGTTGCAAGCAAACACGTTTGGGTTGTCGCACGTGTCGTATCTCAACGCGTACAGCGCGTACATTGCGGCCACGATCGCCGTGTTACGGTTCGAGCGAGAATGTCAACCTGGAGAGGACCAGGCGACGGCCGCACAAAGAAACGGGCTGGGTTTCCTGTTGGACGTGCTGCAAAAGACGGCCAACGCCATGCCGGCCCTGGAGAGAAGCAACGCCATCATCAGGAAACGCATGAAGGCCGTGCTGGATCGACAAAAGGTGGCGAGGACCAACTACTCCAACGGCTCGACGCCTCCCAAGTTCACCATCCCGACGCCGACGAGTCACCAGATGGACCTGGCGCAACCGACGGCTTTCCAGGCCTTGTCCAACCCGGCCCTGGCGCACACGACGTTTTCCACCCCGGACGCCGCGAGTTCGTTCATCGCCCCCATGCCCTGGCAGTCCGGGATCAGAAGTAGCATCTACTCTGAGCAGCAAACCCAGGGGTTGGACGATTTCTTGCCTGCGTTCCCGGGTCAGCAATTCCCCGTCGGGTCCGAGCACAGCTTTGGAAGCAACGAAGTCGACTCTCATGCCCGGACGGCCTTGTTGGGCTACAATCTCGACCCGCATCCTCGACTCAACTCGGGCGATATCGATTGGACTTTTGTGGATAATTTTGAAAATCACCACCAAGGTCGTCTCTAAGTTTTGGGGTTCTCTTTCTTTTCCTCCTTTAGCGATGGTTTTATTCCCTCCAAACATCAGCAAGAAGTTTTTGACGATCGTTTTTTGAGATGACGAAAAGAAAGGGAAATGCACAAGCAACAGCCAAAAAAGCATCGGGAATTTGTTCATGTCATTTTTCACGTCGGCAACATACAGGAAAGGGGATGGAAAGCTACGATTGAACCTATTTTGTTTTTTTTTGTGTGTACATGAAGGACAAGTCACGTTGTTTATCATTCTGTTTACTTATACGAGCGACTCCGAGGGGAGAGGGAGGGGGTTTTTTCTTCTTTCCACTCCCACATTACATGTATCCAGTCTCTACTGCGATTATCTGTGCAGTGTGAGACAAACCTGCAGTGATCTAGCAGGGCGCAGGACTTCGCGGCATCTCGAATGGAGGTTTCTATGATAGATTTTACGATAATCACCCCCAAAAAAACATATGATCTTGTGTGAGTTGTGAGTTGTGCATCATGAACATAATTCCCGCATTTCTTGAGCTTGTCCTTGGTCAACCAACACGAGACCCTCCATCTGCATGCCTCGTGCTTGGGGCCAATCGACGACATGGAGTACAACAAGACGACAAGACAAGACCGTGACAGGGTCGACCCCTGGAAGGGAGACAAAAAAGAGAGAAACTTGAAACGAGAGACGAGAAACGAGAAATTCTCGACAAGAATAGAAACGTCCGACTCATGACAAAGGTACGTGTACGATGTCCCTCTCCACGGAACAGTCATGCTCGACAATACCTTCTCCGGTCCATACTTTACCCTTTTTTTCCTCCACAAGAAGAAGGTGCGAATATGAGGAACGACCATGAGACCTCCTCAGCTTCATCGAAGGGCTTGCGAGGAGGGGCATGCGAGCTATGGCCTGTATTTCACAGTGATTCCATACTTCATCCATCTGTCAATACAGGATATTTCTCCGTAGGTTTGTCCGTTGTGTGCCAAAATACTCTGCGGAGTCAAGTACAATTACCGGTTAGAACCATACGGTACACAAAGTACCTACCTACCTACAAAGGTAAGTAAGTATATTGGCCCCCTTTTTTGTTTTCCAACGGAGTAGACGGATGGCAAACCCCGATGGAGCAAGAGGTGAGATGTGATGTGATTGGACCAAAGTAGGTAGTGAAGGGGGGCACAAGTACACGAAATGTCAGAATAGAAAGATAGTTATCTTTTGCCAGATCATGCATATACTTTTTACACTCGTCCGAGCAAGCTCGGGTGTAAAACGTTGACCCAAACCAATATCACGCGGCATGGTAAGAATAGAAACATCTACTACCCTTGCATGTGCTTGCATGTACTGGTTTGTTTACAATGTATCATAAAAAGCTTGAATACGAAGACGACGACAGGGGGGGTGTTTTGCCAGTGGTTGGAACACAAAAGAGGAAGGTGGCTATTTATTTTGCTGACCAGCCCTGACACAAACAAACATTTTCTCTCCCTTGGACCCGCGTAGTGGCCTTTTGGTCTATTACACACTAGTATACCGACCTGGAAAAAATAGCCTTCACCATGGCGGACATGAATACGAGACAATGACTGTGCATTTCGAGTAACACGGAAAAGAAAGTCACCCATCGGCTCTAGACACGAAAGGCTGAACTCGTTTGAGGGAGCAAGGGTCATTCTGGCCAATAGGTACTAGAAAGGTAGTTATGGCTCAAAGTACTCACCCCGTGTGTCTTGTGATATGTATAGCAACAGACTATTGACAGGGGGTTGGTTCGTGTGTGTATGTGTGTGCCTGTCAGACACCAAATGGAACTCAGGGAGGGACGACGGTCGATACTTCACCCGGTGCTTCAAAGTCGGTCGAAGATGTGATTTCCTTCCATCCATCCAAGAGTGCGATGGTCTCTTCGCACTTCCCCTTGATGATCCTGTTTGCATCTGCCCCGAGAGCGATGCGGACGGGAATATCTTTTCGACCTTTACCGGTCACACCGGTGAGGACATCGACGATGACCTTGGCCCCCTTTGCCGGGTCCCCGGGTTGGTTCTGGTTTGTCCTTTCCACCCTCTCTTCAGTCTTTCGAACAGCCGTCCCATCATAGTCGGCAATCACGTGCTCGTGCAAGTTCTTGTGGCCGCTGGCCAAGAAGTCGGAGCGAAAGTACCCCGGCTCGATGCTACAGACCTTGATGTTGAACTCGGCGAGCTCGAGGCGGAGTGTCTCTGTGATACCACTGACGGCCCACTTGGACGCTTCGTAGATCCCGACGGCCGGGGTCCCTCTCCATGCGCCGATGCTGGAGAAGTTGGCAATGACTCCAGACCGTCGGGCTCGCATATATGGTAGGATGGCCCGAGTGACGTTGAGGAGGCCAAAGACGTTGGTTGCAAACTGAGCCTGGGTCTCTTCTGGACTATCTTTGTGATGAGCTCAGAGAGTCAGCTATGCTTGTCAGGTTCGCCACTCACGTGAGTTCTTCCAAACCTCCAACCTGACAGTATCCGGCGTTGTTGATGAGGTAGTCGATTCTACCGTACTGATTGTTGGCCCATTCAGCCATCTTCTTCAAATCATCGAGAGGAGAGGTGACGTCCAAGCGGAAAACTGTGGCACCGGCACCTTTGAGAGCTTCGAGCTTCGTGGCACTGCGCGCCGAGGCGAGCACTTTGTCACCACGTCCGAGGACCTCAAGGGCAAGTGCCTTGCCGAAGCCAGAAGAACATCCGGTGATGAACCAGACCTTGGAAGGAGAAGCCATGATGTGTTTTTCGGTCGAGTATTGCCTGGTAGTTTTCAGCCAAGTTTCTCAATACCAGGCCGTGCGTTCACAGTAAGACCTTAAACTACATCCTCTTCCTTGCATCAACCTCGGGGGAACAGGCTATATAGCCACAGTGGTGCCGCATCGTGGTGCTTTTACAGCAACTGGATTCAAATCCACCTGGTTGATGTGTCGTCTGACGGCTGGAGGGACTCATTGGATACTCAAATGATCATGTCAGGCACCGCAGAGACAAAGAGCCCACAGTAGCATGTGTAATCGTTCTGCTTCGAGGTACCCGTTGGACCTCCTCAGGATTGTGCGGCCGCATTCGCCGCACGTCTGTTATCGGATGTAAGATCCTTGAATATTATGGCTCGTAAGTATACGTTGCAGAGGGGACGGGCAAAGTCCGAAGGAGAGCACGGCGGTCCATTGACCCAAAGTAAGGATAGCTCAGAAATGGTGACGCAGAAACAATACTTCTGCAATAACACAGCACTGCTCGGATTTCTCATTGCCGACGGCAAGCCAATACACGCGACTTGAGCAATGAGTGGACGAATGAAGAGTAACTGAAAAACGCTCACGGCAAACGGTAAAATGCCAAACGCCTAAATAGACAATAGAGGTCTTGGTTCGTACCTGATGAAACTCCCATCCCTCTGTTCATTCCATCTCATCATCCTCGTCCTTGATCACAATCTCGCTCTGCTATGGGCCAAAGCTCAGCCAGCCACCTGATGGGCAGTCTGGTAGGTATGGTAAATTACCGCTAGTGGCCCCTTTTGGCTTCCTGCGTTAGGGACCCCTTTGATTTCGTCCGTACACTGAATGCATCATCTCCGACCTATTTCTGCCTCCAGAGTTTGGTTATAAATTTGCTCTTGAAGACTGGCTCACCTATATACCCAGCTCGACAAGTATTTCTTCTATACTCCTTCCGACTTCTCTGAAACTTCACTCTTGCGTTTATTCCGAATCCAACATTCCGCTTAGAATGAAACTCCTTCTCGGTCTCCTATCATAGAATAGGATACCAAAAAGCCGTCATTCTTCCTCGAGATTGGCATAGGACGCTGCGGTAGAATCCACGACTGGTCCCAGTGAATCCGAGTACAAAGTACATGTCGTGCCTTGAAGTTGAAATTGCGCAAAACGACAACCAGCCACCTCGGAACAACGGACGATGCAAGCCTGGAAGGTCTCAGAGCTGAAAGAACCCCCGTCCAGCACCGTGCCTCCTCCACTGATTAATTTGTTGCAATTCAGGTCGTAGTAGTGATAGTTAGGCGTCCTGTAAGGATTCTGAAGCGTGCTGCATCCGTCCGTTGGAAGCGGGGTGGGCGTTGTAGTGGTCGTGGCGCTGCTGCTGGTGACTGTAGTTCTCGTACCGGAGTCGAATCCCTGATAGGCCGTGGTATTGGGGTCAGGTCTAAATGAAGGGCCTGAGTATGCCCAACACCGGTAGTCATCTTGGATGAACGCGAAGTTTGAGCAGTTGTCGATACTTGCACAATACGCGGCGCAAGATAGATAATTGGCGATGCCGTGGGCTTCGCTGATGAAATACGTGCCAACCACTGTTACACCGCATGATGTGATGAAGGAGACATCATCGATGATAAATAGATGGGGTTGTACAGCACAACTGCTTGGATCAGGTGTAGGACTTGTGGTGGAAGTAGAAGAGGAAGAGCTTACTATAGTCCGGGATCCAGTCGAAAACGTGCTTCCTGAATGGGACCCCGTTATCGTCATAGAGCGAGTAGTCGTAAAAATGGTCCTAGACGATGTCTGGGAGCTTGTACTTAGAATTGAACTAGTCGCTGATGCGCGGGCAACAACAGCGCCTGAGTCGTATTGGCTGTAAGGTTCGCCAATTACCGTCGGGCCTGCATAAGCATAACAGTACCTTTGACTTGGTATCGAGATAAATGTTGTACAGAGCTCAAGAGACGCACAATATGCGGCACAAGACAAGTAGTCATTCAGTCTGGTAGTGCCAATGATGTTACGTCCATAGACATTCGTACCACAATATGATGCAAACGAGACGCCATCGACAGCGAACGGGCTGTCCTGCGCGGCGCAACTACTGGGATCAGGTGTTGCAGTAGTGGTTGTCAATGGAGTTGTAGTCGTTGTGGTGATCACTGGAGTCGTTGTTACAGGTACTGATTGAGATTTGGTGCGAGAAATGGTGCTTATCGTCGTGGTTGTCGTCGTCACAGCATCGATAATCCCAGTGTCGAAACTGTTGTCTGGACCTGCCACAGTTTGCCGTCCTTTGTAAAGATAACAAGTATTCCCAGAGAAGCCATTAACCCCACGTTGGAACATGAAGGCCGAACAAGATTGGGTGTTGAGACAAAAAGCAGCGCAGTCCAAGTAGCTGTCTATTGCTTTGTAGGTGATGCCATTGACTCCAATAATTTTTGTCTCACAGTATGGAGTGATGGAGACGCCTTGATAGAGAAAAGGGCTTGTCTCATCCGTGCAATCGCTAGGAAGAGGCAGTGAGCTAGAGGTAGTTGACACAGCGGTGCTGGTGGAAATGGACACAGAAGTGCTAATGGTAATCGACATAGAAGTGCTGGTAGTTGATGTCGTCTCAATTATTCCGCAGTCCGAATCATCACTTGGACCGTGAACAGTTGACTTGCCCGTATAGGCAAAACAAGCACCACCCCGGTCAAACACGAACGTCGAACAAGCTTTCACGTTGACACAATAGGTGGCACACTCCAGATACTCGTCCACAATTTTATAGGAGATGAAGTTCGTTCCATAGACTGCGGTGCCACAGTATGGGATGATAGAGACCCCATTGCTGAAGAATGGATTTGCTTGGGCAGCACAACTACTGGGATCGGAAGAAGCACTGGTGGTGGTCGATATAGAAGAGGTAGTAGCGCTGCCAAGCGTCGTCGTTGTCCCCAGAGGCGACGTTATTGGAGATTGGCTTGTTGTGGTCGAAGATTCAGTCGTCAAGGTAGATAGTGTGAACGAAGACGTGCTGTCGGGTATTGTGGTGTGTGTCACTGAGCTTGAGGATGGCGATGTCGATACCGTGGTCAAACTTGAAGATGGAGTTGGAGACACAGTACTGGTAGTTGGCAAGAGTGTCGAAGGCGAGCTGGAGGAGAGAGAAATAAGAGGCGTGGTACTAATGGACGATGATGAAGTTTTCAAGACCGTTGAGGAGGTCGTAAAAGGAGTTTGCGAGCTCGGACTAGTCGGTGCGAAACTAGAGGAGGTCGACCTCGTACTTTGAGATCCTGAAAAGGTTGATGATGAACTGGAGCTTTGTGACGAGGCTGAGGTGGAGGAGGTTGTTTCTAATCTTGAAGACGGCGATACAGTTGAGCTGATCAATGGACTCGTTGAAGAAGAAAATGAGACCGAGGAAGTGCTTCCAGATAATTGTGAGGAAGAACTTTCCGTTTGACTGGACATTGTGACTGTGACGCTAGTCGAAACTGAGGTACTTGTCGGAGATGCCGTGGACGTCTTGCTCTGCTCGAAGCTCGTGGGTGAGGAGATAGATGATTGCAGAGTCGAAGATTGGGCTGAGTTTGTAGAGGAGGCCAGAGAACTGCTGCTGAGGGTGGATTGCGAAGTGGGGGACTGCATAGTTGTACTGTCAGAGGTTCCGCTGTTGGTTGTGCTTGGCAATACGGTCGTCGAACTTGTAGGCACATTCTGGATGAGGAAAATCGGACGAGGGCAAGTTCTAGGCTCATCGTAAGCTGTGATAGAGCCTGAAGGACTCCTACAGAATCCCGTAACACCTTGTAGTTCGATCAACCTCGCGGTGATCAACCAGGTATAAAGCCCGAGGGGGGCACCGGCGGTGAGTCGGAGCGGAACCTCTCCCACAAGCCCAGGAATGCCAAGGAACATGTTTCTCGATACCAGAGAATTGTTGTTAGCCATGAAAATAGTCGCTGCCAAAGCTGAATCTGGTACTTCGACAGCAATGTTATTGTCATCAAATGAGATGTATTTTGTGATTGGGTCCTGCCGCCGACCTATCCCGGAAGGCGTTTCTTGGACTTGGATCTTGAATCCAGCCCCAGTTGTAGTGATAGGCACGTTTGTAGTAGATTGTGTGATCGTGGATCGGCTGCTAAAAGCGCTGGTCGTAGTGAACTCACTGCTTGTAACAAGAGTGCTGGAAGTGTTTAGAGTAGTTGTGGGCTGGGCTGTACTGCTGACAACGTGGCTGGAGCTAGTTGATTGAGAGCTCGAGGTGGTCAGTGAGATACTGGTGCTCATGGTCACGAGGGAGCTTTGAGTACTGATAGATCCGTAGCCACTACTCGAAGTCGTAAATAAAGTACCTTGACCCAGTTAGTTGACTTCCGAAGTTGGACTCCTCACTATCATGTAGATGACTGACCCGAAGATGTCGAGGTAAACTCATTGGACTGTATGGAAGTGGGAGGTCTAACAGACGATGAGGTTGTGGTCGTTGGGTGTTTCCAGTCCACCCAAGGCACCTCTGGAATTGTTGTCGTAGTGCTATCCTGCGTTAGTAAGACTTCGCAAAAAGAAAGCAGGCGAATAAAAAAAAGAAAGACAAGCGAGAATATAGCTTACAGTTCACTCGGGAAAGTCAAAGGCGAAGCAGCATATGCTAAGGTCTTGGTCATGGCAGTCTGAATAGTAATCAACGTGGGTTCGGTATAGGTTCGAGTGATAGTGAAAATCCATTCAGTCTCCGAGAGAATGGACGTAATAGGAGCTTTAACACTTGTCATGAGTTTACTATTTATGAAATAGCTGACGACTTGAGTCGGAATCGAAATTGTAGAAGATGGTATTCTATAGGGAAATCGGAAAGTGTAGACACCGGCGGAGGATAGTGATGTTTGCGTCGAGCATACGGTCGATATAGTTCGGGAGATAGGAGGCCGTGTGATATACATCCAGACTTCAGGATATTGGCGGCATATCGCATTTCTTTCCGTCGATATTTCGAGACATTCAAGAACATCCAGTGATTGTACGTTCTGTCCTCCAGGCCCTAAACAATTAGTACAGATGCCACTACCCATATACCCTGCTATGGCGAAAGGACCCAGGTTCTTGTACGGTGCGCTCCACTCTTTGACGACGGTTGTATGGATGATGCTAGTTGTGACAATTGTAATATGCCGTTTGGCCGATTCAGTAATGAAAGAAGTAACCACAGGATTTGCGATGGTGGTCAACAATCGAGAGACCCGGACAGATTGTTCAGTTTCAGTAATTGTGGAAACTGTCGATGGTGAACCCGAAGGACAGGGAATGACCGTTAACACAAAATCGTAGGTGGAATAGGTGTAGTGCGTCCAGCATTTATTTCGTATGCACATCTCGGATAAAGGTACGCATGTGGACACAGGCTGATACTGTTCAGTCACGATGATAGGCCTAGGCGAAGATCCTTCGACAGCGTGTAGGCATGGTGTGATAGTGGCGAGAACGGTCTCTGTTGGTTGGGCATAGGTGAGTTCTAATCCCAGGCCTGCCACGAGGAGGCAGGCGATCAAGAGAGGATTGATGACCATATCGTAACCGACGCCTTGCGCGGGATGTGAGGCCAACGCCTGTACGACACAGGACGGTCTGGGTAGTGTGCCTTAAATGCTATAGGAGAGAGTCTCCTGCCGCAATATTCCAAAAGGTCTCTTGGGTCGTGGAATTGACGGCAAGTAGCGAACCTACCTTGGAATAGTTTGAAAGGGGCAGCAGCCATCATGAATATCATTCTGGATAAAGACTCCTGCGTGGAATGAGATTCACGAGGTTTATAAGGTTTCTCGAGGGAAGATTGTTAGCATTGACGTGAGTTGATAAGCTGATCTGACAGGGAGATTCAAATTGCACTTTCAAAAGGCGTTCGTCGCTCGATCGACTTTTGGGCATGAGCTCCGATATTGACAGAGATCCATAGGACGGATGATCCGCAAGATTGCCCTGTGCGAATATTACTTTGATGCTATTATAATTACCCGACCAATATGGGACTTGAAGCGGACGTTGGGAGAGATGATGAAGAAGAAGGCCCAAAAAGAATGCAAGATTAACCCGGACTATAAAGGCCAAGATACTTGTTGAGCTTCTGCCTGTTTTGGCCGCCTTCGGCAAACTACAAGTATGCTCGTTTACCTTGAGGTAGATCGTTCACGCTCTGTACTTGCTCATGGAGACAGGTTACGTGTTCGTCACAGCTGCTTTATATCCCTCTCACAGACGACTCACATTTCCCTCATGGAGAGGTTATCATTCAGGGTGCAAGCGTACCAGCCAGGTCGTTTTACTCGGTCTATATAGACTCGAATTCATGCCAGGCTGACAATGTTCGGAACCTAGAGTAGATTGTCACTCGCAGAGGTCCATACTATACTGATGTACCTATTCGTGAATGACAAACAAGAAGACATGGAATGGGTTTAAACAAGAAGAATGGTTGTTGACTACAGGCAAGTGAAAGGACTCTTGGATACCGAGCTGTAACCGACTTGTACGCGTTTTCTCTATCTGGAAGAGTTTTCCCAAAGACCTTCGAAGCCCAAGATGAACCGCACATGCTGGAAGACAATTATTCTTCAGCGTCGAGCTTCTCTGTCTCTGCTTCGGCTGCCGTTGCCTTGCCCTCGGATTCCTGGACAACCTTTGTCTTGACCGCAGGCTCGTCCTCTTCTTGCTCTTGCTCATCTTCCTCATCGTCTGGAGCATCATTTTCAGCATCTTCCTCTTCATCAGCGCCATTCTCTTCAGTCTTGCTCTTCTTAGTTGCAGGTTCGGCGTCGTCGGTGTCAGCCTTGCGCTTCTTCGCGGGTGCTGCTATGTGGTCAAATCAGTCAGCACGACGAACATGGTTCAAATTCACACAGAACGAAACCTAGAACTTACGCTCTTCAGCCTCTTCGTCCTCTTCTCCTTCTCCATCCTCTCCATCCTCTGCATCCTCTTCGTCTTCTTCTCCTTCCTCGTCGTCGAGCTCGGAATCTTCATATCTGATACAGATTTGTCACGTCAGCATGAAATCACAGGTTGTCCTAGTCTGTACTGCGATCGCGAGAGATAAAGAAACATCGCGCAGGATACTTGATCACAACATGGAATGGGTGAGGTCAACAATGCATATGCCCATTCGAGGCTGACGCAGGAACGTTGACAACAGCATACAAGTCGCATCAAGCGCAAATGGATGGAATATTAAAACGACGAAGACGCATCAACAGGGAACAGCAAGCAAAGGTATCTTACTCTTCTTCCTCTTCCTCCTCATCACTGGGAAGAGCTTGGAGCTCCTCCTCCTCTTCTTCCTCGTCGGAGTCCTGGCGTCTTCTTCGAGGCATTCTGAAGGCTTGTATGGAGCGAGTCTAGGTGTTCTGGGAAGAGGTGGAAGAAGTAGAGCAAGTGTGGGCGCTTTAGGGTTTAGTGGGCAGAGAGAGAGAAGAGAAGGGAGAAATCAGGGAGAGACAGGAAATATAGGTCGAGGTAGAACGTCAGTACGGCTGAGAGACAGAATCAGGGCTCTTGGGAAGAGCTTCTAGTCAACGTCAGGGCCCAAAGCAAACGAGACTAGTGGAAAAGTCAGGAGTAAGGCACAGGAGGGAGCAAGGAGTACGAGAGGAGCGAGTAAGAGGAGGGAGGAAGGGTAGAGGAGGCATGATGATGCAGCAGCCGGTTCGGGCTTGCGTCCGGAGCCAGCATGTCCAAGCTATTGGCGTCAGTGGGAAGCAGAAAAGGCTGGGTTAGGAAAAGGCCGTCACAGAGGAAGAGGGCGAGGGCGAAGGTTGAGAGGGAAAGATGGAGATGGGAGATGGGAGTTCGGTCTGGCTTGGGTGATGGGAGGAGGTTGGGAGGAGCAGGAGCTGGAGCTGAGAGAGTTGGACCTGAGTTCGGAGCTTTGGCCTGACGAGCTTCCCTTTTCCCCCCTTCGGCTACCTCCCTCCCCATCTTCCCTTCTCTCCCCTTCGGTTTCCACTTTACACGTAGCCCTCAATAGTTCCGTCATTGTCGCATCACTCCCATTATTCATATTTCTAGCGCTTGAATTATGAACGAAGCTTAGCCGAAGGAGCTCCCAGAGAGTTTAGTTGTGCGAATGCTCCGTCCTACTGCACATTATGATTACCCGTAGTCCACAGCACAGCGCAGTGCTGAGCTCTGCCCCTCGCTGCCCCCCCTCATTCGTATTCGTACCCTCCTCCGGCTGCGTTCACGTGATCAGAAATGCTGACACGGATCATCGCACCTCGGATCCTCGTAGTTTGACCTCGGACACCCATCTTTGGTGGCTCATCTCTTCGGCTCTCGCTCATTCATCACCAATTTCGCAATACCAGGACCCCTATCCGTACTCCCTAGACTGAAGCCATACTCAGTATCCTGGCTGGCAGGCCTCTACACCTATTTGAAAGTTGACTCGAATCAATCTCATTCTGCCTTGTCTGCACAGGCGGATTACCTTCATCAGACAACAGGTTCACCTTTTCTCTATTCATGCGTTGTGATCGAATTAAAATCCAGCTAGATCACCTCAAAGTCGGTCTGTTAGCAACCCACTGTCGCTCTTCTCAACGCTTGCAGCCAAAAACATCACTCCGCAGAGATATCACCCTTGCACAGAATGGTTGTGTAGCACTGACTTTCCAGGCTCCCGCTGTACAATGCACTCTCCGTTCCGAATGTGTCACCAAACATGGTGGTGGTCGGGGAATTCCTGCCATACCACTGTCCTCAACCGTTCATCACATTTGCACTCCCGACAAACACCACAAGAACCGCAGCAAAGGCTGTAGTGGACATAAATACGTCAGCTCGTCTCTGAGCAATGACATTCATCACCAAGGAAAATATTAAGCTCATCATGCTGATGGCTATCAATCGTCCTCCAATGCTTTGTACACTGAACAAGACCAGGATCGAGAGAGCTGGTATGACTGCGGACAGCAGCATGCAAATTGTATTTCCAATCCGCACCAAGGTCTCGGGCGTGTAATAGCACGTTCTTTCGAACGCCTTTTCGTCCATGGGACGGTGTATCCTGTGTCCGACCGTGCGATGATATAGTGGCACTATTCTTCGACCCAGGAACCTGGCCAAGGCATCTTGACTCTCCAGATTCTCTTTCAATGTCATGAAGTCTGCCTCGATCCTCTCGTCACGAAAAATGGCTGCCTCCACCCCATACAGGAAATGGTTGCCACCACTTTCTTCATCGTACCACTGCCTTCGTAGGTCCAGATTGTCCTTTTGGGGCGCGTGCATCGCGTTTATTTTCGCGGTCTGCAGCAGTGTTCGATCTTTGTGCGCGTCAGAGTGTGTTCCCTGGTCAATGGCGGGACGGCTGCGGCTCACAGTACTCGTCAAGCAGGGTCCTTGACCGCTCAAAAATCTTCCGTATATCATCTTCTGACATGTGTTCAGGACATTCGATCCACGTTCGATCAAAACTGTTCAACTCCGGGATCTTCCTTATCTCATTGATGATCAACTCCAGGTGTTGTAACTCGGCTTGCATGTGAAGAATATTTTCCAGGTTCATGCTGGAAAACTTCCTGAAAGCTTCGGCGCTCTGATGGCTTGCCATCATCGATGCTAGGGCCCCGTAACCGGTCATTTTGGCAGGCGACCATGTAACAACCTCTCTCACGGCTCACAAAGTCAAGGAGTTCTATCCAGGCGGGCGCACAATGACCCGGCTGTCTGCTTATATGTGGTGCCCGTTGTGTTCTTGTCCTACTTGAACACTTCTGAAAGCCAATGATGACAATAAGCTGCAAGGATACCCGACCCTGCCAGCGGGCCTCGCCCTCGAGCAGAAAACACGGGAGCAGCATCCATTAGCATGGCCCCGTATTGACAGTGCATCACCGCTCGCTCCATCCATGGGTCGTCGCTCAATTCCCCTGGTCAGCTTGCCAGTCTCTCAACGACCACACAGCTTCTAATGTAGTGACGAGAAGATCAACCGTGCCTCCGCCCGATACACGTGTCGGGTGCCGCAACAAACATTGTTACGCGCATCCGTGGACTGATATCGACACAGAGGAATCGGATTCATCTGTGCGTGAGTGTTGTGCCTCCTGTCCAGTCAAACTCATTGACATACCATAGGTTGCGGATTGCGGTCACAAAATCCTGATATTTTATCCGGGCAAGCTATCTGCGTTTTCCCTTTCCTCTCACGCTTGGATTGGTTTATACGACTCTATCATTGGCAATGCTCAAATCCAGCCTTGCAGTCAAGCATGCCTACCTTCATAAACTATACTTCGTCCTGCAGTGACACCAACTCACAATAGTGGGAGGTCCTTCCGATTGCATCCCAAAAGTATCTCGAAAGTATCCTCCCATATGCCTCTCTCCACCATGTCTCAGAATATCGGAGAGTCACAGCTGTGGATCATGATACGAAGGCACAGTTCATCCTATGCTTGCAGGAGTTTGCAACAGTCCGCCATGCTGCATTGGCTCGAGGGACGAGGCCGACTTTGTACGACATGTATTTACCTGCCATAAGCACAGCGTTGCCAGACTTGGACAGCTTTTGTCTTTTCTTCATATATAAGAACAACAAGAGCATCCTTGCGGGTGGGCTCATCGTGGTGTTGCTTTGGCATTGGAGTAGTCCAAAGCTTTGCTGGGTCCTCTTTTTAATCTACACAGTTTCAGTGATTGAGACGCAAACTGCAAACAGGCAAAGAAGCTGGGGGTTCCTGACCGCCCGCCTTTCAAGCAGGGACCATCTGTCTGCTGAGGTTTCGCCGAATGCTTGATCGACCAGGAGCGATGATGAGATTTTCTCTAAGAACTCGCAGTCGGAATGCCGCGCACTCTATGCCTGAAATGTGCGTTATGCAAGGAAGCGAATCCTCCCGCGGTGTCCACAAGAAATGTCCCGATCAGGAAGATAGTCCCCGGAGGTGTATTGCGTCAAGCTGCCCTGAGAAGGTCGTGATGATGAATTGGACAAGGCCACGCCAAAATCCTTTCATCTTTGACATGTTCATCGAACTTGAAAAAGAGAATACACACCATGGAGGACGCAAACATTCAACCACCTCGAGACGCGCTCTCCTTGACACAGGAGCCGATTTCAACTTGATATCCCACGAGGCCTTCGCCCAGCTCAACATTGAAGGAAGGCCTTATCAAGGATTGCTTCACTCTCTCGGTGGATATAGCGAGTTAGAAAGCACCATTCTCTTGAATTGGCACTTTCGCCTTTCCTCTTCTCAAACAACTTCCACATATCAGCATCATGCATCATTTTACATACTTCGGAATACCTCGCCAGCAAAATTTGATTGTATCATTGGCCGTCCTTGGATCGAGGAAAATTGGTCCGAATTTGTTGCTCTCGTTGAAAACAACCGGAAAAGGCCAGAATAATCAAGTGGCAACTTGCCGTTTCGAGATCATCGGTCCAGACGGCAACAGGAGCCCAGCCATTGCGACACGTTGGCGGCTTCTCTGCCATTGCACGTCGTAAATTGAGTCGATCGTTATGTGCCGAACCAACTTGTCGGCGTGCGCAAGCCCTCTTATGAGAAACTGAAATTTCTCAATGTACAACTTTCTTCGAGACACAAAACGGGCATTCTTCCGGGGTACTTGTCACAGTCTTGGTGATGCTCAGGCGTGTGACAGAGGTGGTTAATATCTGGAATCGGGCTAAGCGGGAGGGCTTTTTCTACCAATGGCGCGGAAAAACTGAAACCGAGCGTGGGCACAATGTTACACAGACACAGTGACAATGCTGCGAGGTCTACAGAATCCCTTGAGGTGATTCTTGAGACTTCCTGATAACGGGGTGGTCACCTGGTCATGTTTTCACTCTGTGAGCCACGATGGCTGCCAAACGCGATAGACTTTCCCTTGTCTTTTGTACCTATAAAAGCTCTGTTCCACCTTATCAAGAGTCCTTCTTGGTGATTCCGCCACTCCTCAGTTTGCTTGTACGAGTACATCAATTGACAAATACGCCCCCGGTGTATACGTGACTCCCGATCTTCACGAACGGCGGAAAGCAGCATCGATCGAGAGACCTTCAGAGGTCATTCTGGACAAGGATGTACAGTTGAGGGCATGGCCAGCTGCCGCAGAAGATTCCACCGCCGGGATATATGAGGAGGAGAAACTCCCTCCAATGCAATTCCGCCAGCACAGGCGGATCATCGAAATTTGAATTCGGCCTTGGGCACGAAAGGCTGCCCTGCCCAGTCAGAAGAACAAGTCAGGTGAGGCTGGTGTTTGTGCTGTGCCGTGCTGAACTCTGGCTGGCTTTTCTTTCCTCGGCCTCATTCAAATTTGCCTCCACAGAAATGGCGACGGGGCGCGGTCGCCCGTCTCCACCTCAACAACCCGCAAATGTGAGCCCAAGTGCTATAATGCAAGAGAATCACCGGCAGCTCGATGCTTCTTATCATTCCTGGCAGAGCCGTCGGCCGCAATTATTCCATCAATCACAATCTGGTTCAGTGTCAAGGATGGTGCGTCTTCTTGCCCTGTTCCCTCAAAACCCCAAGATGTTACATGCCCGTGTCGAGTTGGGCTTTCTCTGTTGGTGTTTTGTTTGCTGCCGGGCGTGGCTCACTGCGTGGGAGCTTGCTTCCAAAACTAACATGGTGGTATGAAATTGTGTCCAGGCCTCCAACACCAGAGTCCGTATTTCGGTCATTGCCGATGACCAGGAACACGTCGTCAAGCTGGCCAATACTCTTTACGACGGCACCCTTCAAAGAAGCCTGATATGCAAAGCAAAGGCGCTGGCCACGTCAGGCGAAGTCCGACGATGTGCACCGGTGATCCTGGTCGATCATTCGGGCCGCACCCACACTTCCGCCTCGACCATATCGCTCCGCTGGTACTACGACAACGGCCTCCAGACCTTCCAGGAGACGTTCAACATTGTGGACAAGCTCCCATGCGCCGCCGGCGTCGAACACGGTGGTGGTACCAGGAATGGCGGCAGCCGTGGCGGTGGCGGCGAGTGGGATGCCATGTTGCGAGTGGGCGTCGAGCCTTGCCCCGACGGTGCCCCACCCAGCGCCTACCCGTACATGAGTGCGCCATCGGATCGGAATGCACAGAGGGAGCAAGAAAGGCGAAAGCGCGAGGAGGAGCTTCGGAAGCAGTACGAAGAGGAGAAGGAGGCACAGGTCGCGAAGATCAAGGAGAAACTTCTGAAGAAGGCAGCGAAGCGTGGCTAGAGCGCGTCGACGCCTCGAGAGGCTTCCAAGCTGCCACCCATGCTCATCAGACATCACGTGAATGTGATGCGGTATGAATTGTATGAAAGTCATGAACGAATATTTTCTACGGGCTCGTGTATTGTTTGATTTTGAACTATTTTGTTGGTCGTGTTTGACTAGAATATTTGACGAATCGAATAGACGAAAGACTCAAAATGGTATCGCTAGCCTTGAAATACCTATACACATGCGTTTGCATCCTCACGTTGACCTTTTATTTTGTTAATGAGAGAGATGGCTCATTCATCCTGTTACTTTTATCCTCCTTCTTATTTAGTGGTCGTTATTCGTCGAATTTATTACTCGACACATTTCACGGTTGTTTCAAGTATTGTCAAATCAATGCGGGGGCCAGTAGAGATTTTTTTCACACACATAAATGACCGCATGTCCAAAATTGCAATCTACCTAGGTATCTAACTAGCTGGAAGTCGTACGGAGAGTAGTCCAATTTTGTATCATGCCTGGCCACCGTTCACCCTGATGTTTTGACCGGTGATCCATCTCGCCTCCGGACGGCACAAGAAGACGATCGCCTCGGCGACCTCTTCGGGAGTACCGATGCGGTTTTGCGGGTTCAAGCTCGCGATCATCTTGAGGATTTGTTCTGATTTGCCCTGATAAAACAGGTCCGTCCCCGTCGGACCTGGTGAGACGACGTTGACGTTGATCCCCTTGGTGGCCTGTAGGTCTTTACTCATGGTGCGACCCATCTGGTCGATGGCCCCCTTCGTGGCGCAGTACAGGGTGTACGGGGGGGAGACGGTCGAGGCGAAGTTTTGGGTGGTCGAGATGAGGACGATGCTGCTACCGGACGACATGTGAGGGATGGCCTTTTGGACCAGAAAGTAGGGACCCTTGACGTTGAGGGTGAACGAAAGGTCGAAATCGGCCTCGGTCGTGGCGGAGACCGTCTTCATCTGTAAGACTCCCGCGTTGGGGATCAGGATGTCGATCTTCCCGAACCGGTCCACGGTGGCCTTGACCAACGACTCGACACCTGCCACGCTGCCGGCGTCGGCCTGGACCGCCACGGCGTTGTCGGAGCCCCCGAGTTTGTCGGACACCATGGCTTCGGCGGCGGCAGTGTCGCGGCCGTAGTTGATGACGACTTTGGCCCCCAGGCGGGCGAGGGAAGCAGCGACGCAAGCACCGATGCCTTTGCTGCCGCCCGTGATGAGGGCGACTTTGCCAGAGAGGACGGGTGTAGGAATTGTAGCCATGATGACCGATGACCTTGTCGAGGCGAGAGAAGAGAGGTGTAGGTGTTGCTGCTACTGTGGTTGTGTTTTCAAATCGTCTTGGGAACTTGGGAAAGGAATGACCTGTCTGGGAATTGAGTATTGCTTATGAGTGCCTCTGCGGTGGTTCTTCGAAGTTCAAACTTGGGGTACGTGAAGATGGTTGTGATTTTTGGACTTTGGTAAAATTGAGTATGACGCTCAGGAGACATTCGTCCTCACCTTATATAGAATTTTCTTTGCATCCTGACATCATTGATATTAGTCCGTCAAGACGCATCCGGACTTACTGTGTTTCCTCATCGTGGAGGTGGAACTTTGCTCATCGCAGGCGCTGGAGGAGCATGAAGCTCAGATCGCGGCGTTTACTTACGGAGGACTTTGGTTCGACTTGTCAACGGGGAGCGCTCCCCGACATGCATAATGTGTCACCGTAGAAAGGACGTGTTTATGGTGTGAAAACTCCAAGGTGAAGCATATACACCAGCGAGAAGAGGCGGAGTTTACGGGTTGTTCCGACAAAACGATAAAAGATGTCGCTGTTTTGGGAAAATCCTTGATCCGTAAAGACCGATGCCATGCAATTCAGGGGCCGGAGAAACTTATAGCCGTTGATTAACAAATACGAGAACGAAGACGAGCTCCTCGTATCACAACTACTTTTGTTTGACTCTGATGCGACTTTGATGACATTGAATATCTTTTATTCTCACGTGGTGGCATTGAAATTGAAATATTATAACAAGCCTAGCACGCCAGTATTCCACCATCAACCGCTATATCCTGTCCGGTAATGTAGGAGCTCGCAGGACTCAACAAAAACGCCACTGTGCTCTTCAATTCGGACCTATCCGCGAATCTCTTCATTGGCATGGAGCTCTCAAACTTCTCCAGGAGGGCGAGGTCTTGCTTGAGGTAACCCGGTGTCATGTTCGTCAGGAAGAACCCGGGGCTTATGCTGTTCACTCGGATATGACTCTCCGCGAGCTCGACAGCCAGCGATTTGGTAAATGCCAGTATCGCGCCTTTCGAGGCACAGTAGATCGAGTTGGTCTGCCCTGGGATACCTGCGTGGCCCCCGATCGATGACACATGCACTATCGCACCGCCAGTTCCTTGCTTCGTCATCTGCTGAACGGCCAACTGAGAGCTCAGGATCGTCCCGGTAACCTGTACACAATGTCAGATGGCGACAAGTCAGACACTGGTATCAGCTGGGGGGAAGACCTACATTGATAGAAATGATTCTCTCAATGGCTGACTTTTCGTAGGCGACGAGTGGACCTCCCAGCCCGATTCCCGCCGCTGTGACTAGACAATCGATACTTCCGAATTGAACTGTGATGGCTTCGAACGTCGCGCGCAACTTGTCATTGTCCGTAACGTCCACACTGTTGCCACCTCAGTAAGTACGAGTACTCTGCTGCTGTTCGGCATGTATCTGTATGGGGAACAGACCTGTAGTACTTGGCAGTCACATCGAGGTCGCTCGTCAAGTTTGCGAATTCTTTGGATGGCTCCAGTAACACATCGAGGGCAGCAACGTTCGCCCCCAGTTCAGCACATCCACGAGCAATGGCTAGTCCGAGTCCGCGAGCACCACCTGCGGCATCGATGTTAACGGAAACGCTCGTGGGATTCGGAATTTCACGTTATGGCTACCATCTCACCGGTAATGATCGCTGTCTTGCCCTTGAGACTGATGAGGTCCTGGACAGAATGTTGGCGGTAAGCATCAGTCTCGGCCACAAAGCGTTCCATCTTCTCGATTCCAGACCCGTCTTACACAAGCGAAGCTATGGTATCAACCCATGATATCCAGATTGAAAATGGAAATAGCAACAAGCATGCCCAAGTCTGGGGGCTCAACCTAAGTGGAGATTATCGCCTATGCCCGCCGCCACTTGCGCGGAACGCCGCACATGCTCGTACTCAATATGGATTGTTGGCACCATTCATATTCATAGGCTTCAGCAAAATCCACAAGTGTTCTTACAAGTATCACAATAGTATGTCCAAGTACGGTATACATACTATACTCCAAAATGTCAGACCTTGGCTCCAGACCGCGTACATGAACTGGGCGGCCTTGAACATAGGTCTTACGTGGGCACTTCCCACTTACAGTTGATGTCGTCGTATTTTTGTTTCGGACGGTCCAGCGCCATCTCGCTTTGTATAGCTAGCTACCCATTGATAGACCTCGGCCGAAAGAACTTCGGCCTCAGCCGCAAAAGGCGTCAGAAATTCAGCTTGTCAACGCTAACTCAGCTGCCAAGTCGGCAAAGTCGCAGACATCGCTTGTTGGAGAGATAACAAGCACATGTCTCTGCTCGAGACTTTGATGTTTTAGATCTACGGACCAAGTCATAAAATCCTGGCATCACATCGTTCGATTTCGAGTATGAAGTCGAGATGTCCTGATCTGCGGAATGAGGATCGTTCGTGAGCCTGACGGGCGCTAATTGATACCGATCTACAAGTACCTCCATATCCCCCATAGATAGGGTAAGAATCAGCTTGTACGACCGTATGAAAAGCCCTACGAGCTTGAGACCATCTGTGCTTTGAGACTCGACCATCGACAATACAGACGTCCTTGTACAATCGGCCCATCATGGTCGTTCAACCACTTGCTCATATGGATCCCTCCAGGCTTAAAGGAGCCTGTGTGCTCATCACTGGTGGTGCTTCCGGCTTGGGAAAATCCGCAGCCGTCTTCTTCGCAAAGTCGGGTGCACGGGTCACGATAGTCGATAAACAAGATGCATCCTCTCTTTGTGCTGAATTGAGACAGCAAGGGCATCAAGCTATGTTCATTGAATGCGATGTGACTGATTGGGACTCTCAACTTCGGGCATTCCATGCGGCCCTCCACTTCTCTCCTACGAGAACACTAGACATCGTCGCAGTCTTTGCCGGAATTGATGGGTTCACCGACGTCTTCGAACACATCTCCCAGAGCGACCTTTCAGTCGATGGTCCTCCTCCGGCGCATCCACCAGCTGCCCCTCTCGAGGTCAACCTGAAGGGTGCATATTACACATCGGTCCTCGCCTTGCACTACTTTCGCCTCAAGATTCCCGACGACTGCCCCGGGAGCACCATCCCGGTCTCGCCGCTGTCCAGGTCGCTCACGATCGTGTCTTCGTTGTCCGGGTACATCGATGAAGACCACAACCCAGTCTACACGGCATCTAAATTCGGCACACGAGGTCTTTTCCGCGCCTTAAGAGCCAAGGCCTATAGCCAGTTCGGCGTGCGTGTAAATGCCCTCGCACCGTGGGCGATGAAGACGCCAATGACCGAAGGAGGGCTCGAAGCCATGGCACAGATGGGTATTGTACCTGGGAAGGGCATCACGCTCGTGGAACATGACGTACTGACGCAGGCATTGGTGACGATAGCGTTGGACGAGAGTATTCGTGGTGAGTCTGTTTCCGACTGTCCTACCTCGGACGTATCAACAATCACGAACCCAACACTAATGACCAAATGTTGAAACCAGGTTGTTCATTTGCGATCGTACCAGAAGGAGCCATCGACTTGGAGGATGACATCAATGGAAACTATGCAGGACCCAAACTCGTCGAACTGTTGGCCTTGCGAAAAGCAGCGGGTGACTACATCTCCAGCTGAAAGAAATACGGATTGCCCCTGCAAGAGGGCCACAACATGCTTTTTGTCGTAGTCGTGCACGAGTTTGTTTCAAATGTCTCGAGCGCTCAAGGCATGCTTTAGTCATCTTACACTTTTGCGCGAGTCGTGGCAAATACCAGGATAACTAGCCATCACTTTTTTAGACCTTTTCAATGTTCTTTGGCACTCTGATGATTTGATTTGTCAACAATATGTGGAACATCATCGTGAAAAAAGTTGTTACTCAGTTCACGGTGGTCCACATATGACCCCATTTGGATATTCCACCGTTGGAATGCAACTTTTAGGATGAATCACGGGGAGTGATCAAGCCTTGAGTCTCGGTTACAAGTATAATGAGATAACCAAGCTGAAATAGTTAGTATTCTACGAGGAGTCAATAGGTCATCAATCGTACTCGCCCATACAAACCGCTGTTCCCGCCGTGTCACCTCCGACTTGTCGGGGCATGATACCTTTTGTAGGTAGGTCTTTAGTGCTTACACCATAGTACAGACTACCCCCGTATCCTGGCTCACGGTTGAATAGCTATTCCCGACTATCTCCACAAGCGATGCTACTTTTCTTTTAATCACGAAAAGATGGTTTCGTGTAACATGGCATGGCAATGCTGGCGGCGTTCGTCCGTTCGTCCAACAAAAAGCCTTCAGCTCCATGCCCTGCAAGCGAGCGCACACATCCCTCCTCTAGACGTATCACTTTTGAGCCATTGTGGATTCCGCCGTGACTAAACATATGCATCAACGCCATCATAGTTTTGCTGTCCGAGGGTCCTATTATTACCTAGGGACGCGTCAAGTTTTCCTCTAGAGCAAGATGCTGACGGGGATGACGGTGACGAACCGCGCCTTGCAACCAAATCTGATGATTGGGCCAGTCATGTAAATACCGAACATTACTAGCATTACTGCAACTCGTGCTGTATCAGGCCCACGAGAGGTCCTAGATCCTAATCGGTCGGTCGGTCGGTCAATTGATCGGCGGACCTCCCATGGAAAGGAATTGGCTTGGGTTGGGTATATGTTGATGATCTGTTTTAGGTAATTACCTCGAGATATATCAAGCATGTGCTGTCATCATAAAAAACGAGACATTCCCTCCTCTGGAACAGAGACAAAAACAGTGATCGCGGTCACGGATCCCTACCACAGTCACAACCTGGAACTTACCAAAGACTGAACGAAAAAGGCCATGGCTTCATACTTACTCCAAGGTGGATTCGCAGTGGGGGTTGCATATTTCCTTCTCAAATTCTTCTTTCTGGGGTGGTCACGGAAAAGCACGACGACCACCCGACCTCTACCTCCTGGACCAAGACCAAAACCATTGATTGGAAACCTACAGGACCTTCCACCGGCGGGTGTGGAAGAATGGATACATTGGGCCAAACACAAGGACCTATACGGGCCCATCAGCTCCGTGACGGTCATGGGCCAGACGATCGTCATACTGAACGACGCCCAGGTGGCGATTGAACTTCTCGAAAAGAGGTCCATCATTTACTCGTCACGCCCGAGACTCGTGTTCGCGTTCGAAATGTGCGGCTGGCTCAACTTCTTGTCCAGTCAACCGTACGGCGAGAGGTTCCGGGCCTACCGCAAGCACGTCCACGGCCTGATGGGGTCGAGCCAGCTCCTGGACAAGTTTGGACGACTCCAAGAGCAGGAAGTCGGCCGCTGTCTTTTGCGGACCTTGCAGAGACCCCAAAACTTTGTCGACCACATCCGCACCGAGGCCGGGGCCATCATCCTGAAGATCGCGTACGGCTACACCATCGAACCACACCGGGCCGATCCTCTGGTGACGCTGGCCGACGAGGCCCTCGAGCAGTTTTCCCAGGCCACCGTGCCGGGGAGGTGGCTCGTAGACGTCGTGCCCGCCCTGAAACACATCCCCCAATGGTTCCCCGGGGCCGGGTTCAAGCGGACGGCGAGAGAATGGGACCATACTCTCCAACGGGTCGTCGAGGGACCGTACGACTTCGTCCGGCACCAGATCTCGAGCGGGGACGCACCGACTTCGTACCTGGGTGACTTTCTCAAGGACGAGACACTCGGCCTCAAACAACGAGTCGAGGTCAAGTACACTTCGGCCTCGTTGTACACGGGTGGTGCCGACACGACCGTGGCGTCGCTTTCGGTGTTCTGTCTGGCCATGACCTTGTACCCTCGAGTCCAAAAGAGGGCCCAGGAAGAGATCGACCGGGTGATCGGGGACCACAGACTGCCGACTTTCAGTGACCGTGCCGACCTGCCGTACGTCGAAGCCTTGCTCAAGGAGACCCTGAGGTGGCACCCGATCGGACCCATGTGCGTCCCTCACGCTTCGACCCAAGACGACGAATTCGGAGGGTATCACATCCCCAAGGGATCCATCCTCATGCCCAATATTTGGCTGTTCACGCACGACCCGGACGTCCATCGCGATCCGATGCGTTTCGATCCCGACCGGTTTCTGGACACTGACGGACGTGCCCCCGAACAAGATCCAAACAGGTACGTGTTCGGGTTCGGTCGAAGAATCTGTCCAGGCCGGGTCTTGGCCGATCAATCCATGTGGCTTACCGTGGCACAAATGTTGGCCGTGTTTGATATTACCAGGCCCGGTGGTGCTGATGCGAGTGGTGACGATGCCAATGTCAACCCCAAATTTCTAGGAGGGATCATCAGTCATCCGGAGCCGTTTGAAGCCACGTTTGAACCTCGAGACGGTCAACGTGAAAAGTTGATACGACAGATTGAAGTGAGGTATCCTTGGGAAAAGAGTGACGCTGATTATTTCGAGAACTCTTTGAAACGATGATCTCGCAGGTTTGAGCCTAAAAGGTGGTGAGGTGGGTCCTTCATTGGACATGCGAAGATGTTGTTAAGTTTCTAGAAAGAAGAGATCTTCCTCAAGGATGATATGTGAAGCCGAGGGTCATTCTTTGTGAGAAGTATCTATAGAAGGTATCTACTGCATTCCTTGCCCCCCAAATTACGAACACTAGTATTCGTAAAAGTAGCGATATCGGTTCTTTGTTGTCTCTATAATAAGAGTCAGTGAAATCGGCCGGCCACTTGCCGCTCCCTTTTCCATCTTGTCAAGTACTCGGGTAACTGAGTTGGAGAAATCGTTCAACTTCATTTTCATCGAGCGCATCTGTTGGGGTAGAACAGGATAAGATCTCTATTGAAATCCATCACCCAGATCCAGTCCATGATCTCGAGATGTAGGCATCTAAAGGTACATAATTCCCAGGCAGGATTTCCAGTCTTTCCCACCTGCCTCCCCCCTTTCGTCGTCAACCATGTCTTCTCCTACGAGTACCCTCTTCAGCCCCATGACGATTGGTGGGTCTTGCCACCTCAGTCATCGCATGGTCATGGCACCATTGACTCGACTTCGAGCCGGAGAAGACAACATTCCTTTACCCATGGTGACGGAGTATTACTCCCAAAGGGCTTCGGTACCAGGGACTTTACTCATCGCCGAGGCCACGTCCATTTCACTCGCAGCCGCGGGAAGGGACGTCAACGCTCCCGGGATCTGGACACGAGCACAACTCGAGGGTTGGAAGGCCGTCACGAACGCTGTCCACTCTCGAGGTTCGTTTATTTACTTGCAGTTGTGGCACGTTGGTCGGTCGGCTCGAAAAGCCGCCTCCGAGGCCAAAGGGATAGACATTGTCAGTAGTTCCGACGTTCCCATAGTGGATCCGACCGACCCCAACGCGGTGATCCCTCGACCGATGACCCAAGACGAGATCGAGCAGTGTATACGAGATTTTGGCACCGCGGCGAAACACGCGATCGAGGCCGGGTTTGACGGAGTCGAGATCCACGCAGCAAACGGTTACCTCATCGATCAGTTTTTACAGGACGTGAGCAACAAACGAACAGACGAGTGGGGAGGAAACGTCGAGAACAGAGCGAGGTTCTGTTTGCGTGTCGTACAGGAAGTGGTGGAGGCCATCGGTGGCGAGAGGACAGGGATAAGGTTGTCACCGTTCAGCCCTTTCGCCGGGATGGGTATGAAGGACCCTCGCCCTCAATTTGGACACGTGGTGAGGCAACTCGACAAGTTTGGTTTGGCATACTTGCATCTCATAGAACCCAGAGTCAGTGGGAATCAAGACGTCGACGAGACCACAGAAAAGATGCAGACTGAAGCAGTCCCAAAAAGTCTAGCTTTTGCGATTGACGAGTGGAACAAGGATACGCCGATATTGCTCGCGGGTGGATTTGACACCAACAGGGCCAAAAGGGCGGTTGAGTGCGACTATAAAGATCGAAAAGTGGCAATCGTCTTTGGGAGGTATTGGATCTCGAATCCGGATTTGCCGTACCGACTCAAAAATGGGCTCGAGTTGACACCCTACAATCGTGCCACGTTTTATACCGTCAAGCAGGAGCACGGGTACATTGACTACCCTTTCTACGAGGGGAACCCTTATCCTGGAAGACGAGAAGTTGCTACTGTGTCCTGACCTGATCTGGACTTATTACAAGTTTAGATTGTGGCACAGGAGATAAAGTAACGACTTTGCACTGAGGAATTTCAGATCAGACATATAGATATATAGGGAAGGGAGTGTTTGGCTTGGTGGAATATTGAAGCTCATTTTGACGTTAGTAGAAAATATATAAGTACAACATTGAAGATAGCGACACAGCGGTATGCGGCAATGTAACTTTCATGGTTCAAAGATGCACGGTCTTTGGCATCCTTCCCCAAGATCATCAGACATCAAGCATCGAATGACCATGAAATCTGTATGGAGACGATTTGCATCGGGCGACACTAGACACTGTGAGATATCCCAGGCATTAGGGACCTGGGAAGAGGTATCATCCGAGAACAGGGTTGGAGCGCCGCTTGCAGATTCGAGGGAGGATATCATACTCTGGAATATGTTAGCTCGTGAAAATGTGAAGACATACGGGCGATAATCATTCACCTTGATTCTCCAGAATTCGCATACTTGATCGATCTTGTTCTTTTTCCAATGTGATCAAGCCTGTGGTCTTGCTGAATTGAACATTGAGCTCATGCGTAGCCGAGTACCACTTTTCAGTAATCATCATGAACGTCCATAACACCTCAGCCAAAATTTCAGTCTTGTCATAAAGCCCCTTTGATTCCGAATCGATATGCAATATCCCAAAGGGCGTTTCTTGCTTGATCGGAATGATGCTGACGTGTATATCGACCATTGACAACAGTCTTCAATCCGACGATACTCAAAGAGGCCCGAGATGCCTTTGGAAGACTAGCTGATGGGTTTTGTCCGCCGCCCTCTTCGACTTGACCAAGAATCCATGGAATACTTGTACATATGTCCTCGTTCATTGTGTCAATTATCGAGAGTGACTGGGTCTTCAGCTCTTCCAGCTCCTCATCGAAAAGATTTATCATATCGGAATCCCCGGTATCTAGAATCATGTCGTAAGACGCAACCATTGTTGTATGTAAGGATATCCTAGTGACACGATAGGCATGCCACATACTCATGATCCACGAGTCGTGGTACACCAGCGCTTTGCGGAAGGTTTCATTCCATTTCGATTTTGGATTGGCTTCGCGGGCAGGTATTGTCGTATAGTACCAAATAGGATCTAGACCCTGGATGGCCAACTGCACCTGCTTTTCGAGTTTTCTGACATTCTCCAAAAGTGGCAGAAGAGCACTGATGTCTTTCGTCGAATCATCGCTATTCATCCACATGTGCATCTGAGTGAGAAGGGCTGCAGAGATGGGCCACAGCATCCCCATGCGAGCGAAAAGATCGGAAGCGGCAGCTTGTGAAGCTTCACCTGAGACAGCTTCTCCCCCTCCTCCTGCTGCTGCCGGTGACGCAAGAAGTTTCTTATTGTTCTCCAGATGCTACACCAACGTCGTTTAGCGTGGATAGAGACCAGTAAGAGGGTTGACTTACCATTAGTGCAAAGAAGTGTCGAGTCAGGGATAGTGTATGGGCACTATGAACACCAGTTCTGGCTCGGAGTTCAAGCAGTTTGTACATGCCGAGTGCATGTGCACCAATCTGCATTCTCAAATCGCCGTTTATGTGCTACCATTGTCAGTCACGCTCAAGCTAAATAAAGGGCAACTCACCCCAAATAAGCACAAAAGTAATATGGCGGCAAACGTTGTGTCGCTGGTAGCAGTCTCTGGGCTTTTCAACTCTTCATTCGTTGATCGCAATGCTTGTCCATATAAGTTCAGGGCTGCATAACGGAGAGTCTCATGATCCTGCCGATTAGCCAGCGCAAGGTACGAACATCCTCGAAATGCAATGTCCAAGGCTGAGGATGGCTCTGCGTGCGAGAGAAGTTCCGGTAGGAACTCAAACCAACCAACATTTTGACCGGTTTCGGGAGCGACCACAAACTGATCCATGAAGAAGGACGTAGACTTGCTGTCCAGGGGCGGCTCTAAGAACAAAGTGGTCGGGCTTGTCATTCTTGGAGATTCCGTGATGGACGAGTTTGTGTCGGACTTGGACGAAGATGGACTGTGAAGCTTGTAGTTCTCCTTTTTCAATGCTGCCCTTGATCGCCGTTGATAACCCAAGCAAAGGAAGCCACCACGTTGACACCGGGCGCAAAATGGTCTCTCTTCTGAGCACTACCTCATGTTAGTAGCGAATCAGGGCTATGATGTCGCGAAGCCATGTTGGTTCCAACAAAAGAAATGTCCAAAGTGTACCTTGACCTTTCGCGCTCGACCTGACGATGGTATTAGCATGGTCAGTTCTATATAGTTAGATCAGCTGTCGACCACCTACATGTGTCGCAACCTCGAGAGGGACCACCCTCGTAAACCATTGTCGAGTCAAATCAAGGCGAAACCACTCGCCACTGCAGGTATGGCAAGATTAAGATGGAACAGGGCAGCCAAGGCCTATGGCCAGTGTTTCTCTAAGGCTGGACGATATTGTGAATGATTTTCTCTTGGTAGAAGTGACAAAGGCAGGATATTCAGATGTCTCCAGTCGCAAGGGAAATGTCACACTAACCTTAACATCATGGGGGGCATCAAAGACGGTTCTCGTATAAGCCACACAGAGTATGTCAGGCTCACCGAGGCATCCATTACAACGGCTCGTGTCCTCGGATGGATTCCGTCCGGCTTGGAGCCACCGATAAGCGAATCATGGCGAGAGGATGACGAAAAGGCTACGCCATAAATAGTGCACGGGACGGATGATAGGGCTGTGTCGATAGAGGCTTTTTCCTACAGAACAGACTCTTGTCCACGAAAGAGTAAGATCGAGGTGTATGACAAATAATGCAAGAGGAAAGCACCATACACGAAACGAGATTGACCATCGTACCTCCTCTCAGTCTGGCGCTAAAATATTTTACCTGGTGCCTTAGAGCGACGACGAGATACGAAGTACCATCAGCACTACGAGCAGAGGCCTGGAAGATGGTATTGAAATAGATTGTCATATGTCCAGAACAAACCAAGGTACCATCGTCAAGCTGTCAATCATCGTCTTCCTCGTCGTCGCTTCCAGGGAAATCTAGAGCAACCTTCCGTTTTGGCGGCGCTGGAGGCAGGTCACCACCTTGTCTCTTCACCTGTTGCGGCATCGACGCTTGACCTGATCCATGAGCTTGTTCTGTTTGGCCTGAAGGCCCAGGTAACGTCCGTTTCGCCAACTCTGGACTCGACCATCCCATTCCCTCTTCCGCTGCGGTGTTCTCGACCGGCTCAACCACCGCCTCCGCAATATCTTCACTTTCTCGCACGAGCCTTTCAACCTCACGGTCCAGCGCGTCTTCAACATTTGCACCCGCGGTCGCCTGTTTCTCCTGGTATAGCTGTAGTTGCCCCAATGCGCCCACACGCAGCAAGTTGGCATCCGGGAAGGCCATGCCCATCTGCGCCCTCGTCTGTGCGACCGTGTTGTTGATGCGCTCCACTTCAGCCTCTGTCTCTGCCGTTGCATTCTCTTCTCCGTCAGCAGCACCATTGACTGCCTCGCGCTTTGCAGCAACTTTCCGTCTCACAGCTTCTGCCTCGGCCTCGCGTGCAGCTGCGGCATTGTGTTTACCTATCCTCGCGGCAAACGCCAGGAGTGTGTGGTAATCTATTTCTGTGATATTATTTTGTGCGTCATCATCATCATCCTCCTCCTCCTCGTCCGAGTCGTCGAGTATCGTTGGATGTATCTGAAGAATCTCGTCTCTGAATGCAACACTGCGACGGATCGTGTCTTGGAGTTGTGTCTGTAGATCTTCAACCTCGACCCGGAGGTTCAAGAGGCGCGCGTAGTTTTGTTGATGCTTCCGCAGGAGGGTGAGGGCAGAGGATAGATTATCGTCGTCGGTCACCAGATCTTTTGCCAGTTGGGGCGCATTGGCGAATGTGTTGGTCTGGGTGATATTTGCTACAAGAGCGTTAAGATGGTTTTCGAGGGAGCTGAGGGGGTCGAGGGCGACTGAATCCATGCTGATAACACTCCCAATCTACTTTAGAGCACGCGCGACAATAGCGACAGTCTGGACGAGCGTTTCAATTGATGGGGATCAACAACATCAAAGAGGCGAAGATTGTATGCTACAAGCGGAGAAACGAGATAATCCGGGGAAGGCTTGGCGGGCTTCACAAGTATCACTGGAGCCAAAGGCTTGAGGACGACTTCTACTTTGATCCTCATTCTGATTCTCAAGATCCTCAGCGCTATATTCTCAGGATCAACAAACCCCTGCCAGAACTAAACCACAATCGAGCTCCTATTAGCCTATGATGGCTGCCCATGGCAAGGAGACCCCCAAGTCGAGCTTATCCTCCATGCTACTAGCTGCATCTCCTTTCCTGCTTGGAGATGGCCGAACATCAAGGAGGGAAGGAGACGCAGCCAAACAAACGTCGAGGGTATTCGCTTATATGGTTTCGCCAATGATAATCTCAGGTGTGATGGGGCTGAGTCTCTTCTCACAGATGTGAATTATGCCACGCCAGGCACCCACCCTTCGAGGCTCACTACACAACCATACCTTGGCTGTTAGCGAATATTGACAGTGTCATATAAAGAATCAAGCTCCCACGCTTGAAATTTTAGCCACTGCTCTTAGGGTAGGTCATTGACATTCTTGCCAATATGTGCCACCAGATCATTGAAAGATATATCAAATGCCACTGCCTCTATTCCGTGCATGCCGTGGACCGGTGTTCGAAGCATGGACAGCGCGGCCATTCTACCATTGAAAGGGTTGTGTTGGTGGGATATATTTGCCCGAATCACGATAAAGCCTACAGTGGCTTGCGCGTGGTTGGATTGTCAAAAGATACGAACGGAAAGAGCGATAATAACATGACTTCTGAGGCACAGCATTTCGAACGGCTCAACCAGTTGGACCTAGACACCGAACTGCCACCTCATCTCCGACATATGGAATCTAGAGAAAAGGAATTTTCTTATTTCGAACAACCAGAAAAGAAGCCCAAGAAGACGAGAAATCATATTCAAGATCCTGCAGCGTAAATCCCTACATGGTATTCCGGAATAGAGGAGCTACTTGGACTGACCGTTCCGATAGCGTAAACTTCTCCCGCGAGATACCTGTGAAAGTTCCCACCACTGTATCATCGATTGAATGTACTTCCTGCGCAAGAGCTAAGACGAAATGTGAAGGAGGTGTCAGTTGCCCTTGATCCCCTAGGCACAGAAGATGCTTGCAGGCAATCGTGTAATGGTGAAAACACGATATTTCGCGCGGATCGCTTTCCGGCTCTATAGCTAACGTATGAACGAATAGTCCCCAAGGATGCCATGCTGGCGATGTCTGATGAGAAGGACCATTTTCGAACCACAAACCGTTGGCCGATTTGAATATCGACGGGTAGGGCGAGCCCTCTTCGCAGTCCCAATAGGCGAGACAGGCCTTGAAACGAGCAGCATGATAGTGACAAAGAGGCTGGGATCTGCATCAGCCTGTGACCACTGTAGGTCAAAGAAGGTACGTAATGCTTCGCCGAGGTGATCAAGGCCCCCATTCGAGCTGAGATCAACAGATCGTTTGCGAAGGATACGATTTGTCACGGGACGGACGCTGTCTGAATTGTACACAGCTCGGCAAGCAATGCCGGTCTGGCATGGAGCCGTTCCACCAAGTCCTTGTGTCGCCAGATGATTCTCCAAGACCTGCATCTGATCAGCTTCCTCTGACCATGGAGTCGCCAAGCTCGAAGACCGACGACTGGCTGAGTGGTGTAGGCACAAGAGAGTCTCTCGATACAGTCATGGTCAACCGAGACGGGATCATGCCTGAAAGCGACTTCCCAAATTTCAACGAAGCATTTCTGAGTTCTGAGGGTGAAGACTCCTTCGTCCAGGATTCAGCATCCCCACTGATTGAGGATCTCAGTGAAAATAGCTGGGACAGCATAGTGTCGGAACTTGTGTACGATCTAGTCCAAGAATTCGTAACAGACGCAAAAGCGCATCTCACATGCCGGCCGCAAGGATCCGACCAGTCATCGTCCCACTCAGGAGCGACCGCGCTCAACACCTTGACAGGCTACGAAGCCTCAAGCGCCACGAGCTACAGTTCATGCTCTCTATCAAGGACTAAATCACGCCAGATTGAGGACGAGGACCCTGAGGACAAGAAGAGAGGCCCGAAAAGAATGCGTTGTGATGAGAATGATCCAGGGGTTGCTTCGACAGAAAAGCTTCTGGCCTGTCCATACGCCAAGAATGATCCTTTCAGATATTCTGAACGCAACACCAATCCAACAGAAATGGTCTACCATAAATGCGCTAGTAAAATTCTTACGAATATCCCTCGATTGAAACAGCACCTTTATCGTGTCCACAAGAGGCCCGACCACTACTGCTCATCGTGTTTCCAAGAATTTGACAGCGAGCAGAACCGCTCACATCACGAGCGTGAAAGGTCCTGTCTGATCGTTGATTGTCCCTTTGAGGAAAAGATGGACCCGGACCAGTGTAAAGCCGTCAAGAGACGTAAGGTTGGAGAGAATTGCGCTGAAGCGTGGTTTTCAATTTTCAAGACACTGTTTCCAGGGGCGCGACTTCCTGATGACCCATATGTGGAATGCACCGAGACTCTGCTGGCGGGCCGAATTGTGAGTGAGTTCACTGCATTTGCCGAGCAGGAGGCGCCCACGAGGCTGGCCGAGAGAATGGCAATCCCTCTTTTTGGCGCCGGATACGAGTTGGAACTCCAATGGAGACTGAACCAGGTTCTCGAGGAGTCGCTACCCCTCGTATTGTCGGAGCTGCGCCAACAGTTTTCAATTCTCAATAAAGCTCAAGCTGGCACGACAGTTCGGCCGAGGATTGCTGATTCCGAGCGATGAGATACACTCCCGTCTCAGGCTTTGCGAAAATAATTTCCGAGCGTGTTCTTTTGTGGGCTCTTTTCTAGTGGTTTGAGCTTCTTGGGCCTCGGCTCCTCGTCTCCATCTTTCTTCTCAGGCTTCTCGCCTATCTTGAGAAGTTGCATTAATTCCTCAAATGCTGCAACAGGCACGACGCCTCCACTGGCTTCTTTGTGGCCTCTTGCAAAGCTTTCGCCAAGTCGTTCTCTAAGACCATCCGTTGAGAGGTCTGCTGCGGCTTTGAGACTTTCAATGATATTGACTGGCGGATCCCGAGATCTGGCACTGCGAGCAATACGACAGGAGAAATTGACCATGTTCAACAGGTATCCAAAATTTGCACAAATTACTATTTCCAGGGTTTTTGAATTGAGGTACCCAGCCCATCGCGTAGCGATGACCGGGTGCACTTGAGCCGGTGTGTTGATCCGTAGAACTGCAATACGGCCGTCGGAACTGAATTTTGGCGGTGTATGGGTATTGAGCTCGACCTCTTCATTAATTTCGGCACGAGCACTCTGGAGCCGACCATTGCTCAGAAGATCTTTCGGATCCGTCGAATTGAGCAAGGCTGTCCATGCGGTGATGACATCGTATTTCGAGGTGCGGCGAGGAGCGTTCACAAGAGAGACGGCGTCATTGATGGACTTCTTGGTGTGAACCTTGAAAGTCTCCTTCATGTCGGGAAATGGTGGTAACCACTTCAGGGTATTGCCCAAATCGCCGTGTGTTCCAATACAGGCAAGATATGCGCAAGCAGATTCGATGTCGTCTGAAAGTGTCTTGCATATCTCGTATATGAGAAGGGAGGTTGTCGACACGGGCGGATAATGACATGCAGAGACCACCTCGGCGCCTTCGGGGAAATGATCGCTTAGATGATGATCGATTATGAGAGACTTTGTCGCCGAGGAGTCGACGACCGGAGGTCCTGCCACCGATCCTTGGTCTAGGACAAAAATGTAAGCTGGGTCTTTGGCCGCCATGGCTTCTCTCTCGGATTGGACGTGGATGTTTGATCCTTTCTGGACTAGATGTACGTCGATCAGAGACTCGTCGAGGCCCAGTATCGTCAGAGTACGATAGAGGGTGACTCCAGACGATAGGCCGTCGGCATCTTTGTCGGGCACGATCAAGGTCTTTTTGCCACTTGCCGCACTGTGATCATTAGCCTGTAAAAATCTCGTAGGATCCCAAGGTGTCGAAGGAGAGAGTAGTACCATTCTCTGATGAGTGCCCTGGCCTTCTCCATGGCTTCTGCTGGTGCAGGCCATATAGCCTTGCCAGTCTCATCTCGCTTGGGCTCAACGTCGCAATAGTCTGGAAGTTTGGGGCGAGGTTTGGCAGGACTGGCTCGCTTCATGCTTCTTGTGCCATTGGCCTTTCGCAATTGGGCTGAGAAGCTGGAAGGCGAAGGCAAGATAGGAGCAGTGTCTGTCACTCCACAGGTGACGATTCTGTAGGACCTTAGAATAGCCGTATTGAACAGCGTTAGAATTCGTAGCATAGAGTGTGAAGATATCGACACGAAACAAAGATCCCTGGAAGCCTGGGGAACAATGGTAGGGGAATCATGACGTCTGGTCGAAAATACTATGCTGTCAGACCAGTGCCTTTCGTCAAATTTGCTCTATGTCCCTCGAAACTTTCGGTCTGTCGCAATCATTTCAAGCCAGAGCCTCCACGATGATGCCTACAGGCGAGGATGGTTGTGTTCATGCACTTCAGACTACTCTTGTAATCTGGTAAATTATGCCTTCTACGGACCATTTTGATGTCTTCGGCGTGACATGCTGTCTCTGAATGGCGACTAGGAAATCATCATTGATACTATTTTTATTTTGGTTTGCAGCAAATTGTTGCGCATCTGCGATATCGTCACGACGATCGGTCATTCGCACATATGCTGCTCTAGGAGATTCTTACGCCGCCGGGGCTGGGGCGGGCCATCTGATATTCACGCCGGGCTGGGGCTACGGTTGCGGCCACTGGTCGGATGCATATCCTATTCAGATTGCGAATGATTCAAGATTGGGCGTCGATCAGTTCAGAAACCTCGCGTGCGGTGGTGCCACCAGCAGCACGGTGCTGCATGACCAAGTACCGCACATTGCCGATTCCGACATTGTGAGTATCACGGTCAGCGGTAACGAAGTGGAATTCTTCGTGGTGCTCAACGAGTGCGTGTATCACTGGTGGACATCTTCGAGCTGCGAGGCCAAGCTCGTCGAGGCCAGAAGGCGCATTGAATCCCATGTGCTATGGGACAACTTTCAAGCACTGGTTCGAGGCACTCTCGACAGAATGAAACCTAGAGCATTGTTGTTGTTGACGGGGTATGCGAGGTTCTTCAACGCAGAAACCAATATTTGTGATCATGTCACCTTCAGTCGAACGAGGCCGCTGGATTACCTTATCAAGGAGAAGAGAAGAGCTTTGAATCAACTAGTCGATATGCTGAACGATGTTATCCGGGCGACCGCGGAAGCTTATGGGGCTGTGTACGTCGATATAGATACTGCGTACGAGGGTCATCGATTCTGTGAGGACGGTGTTCAAGAGCCGGATCTGGGAAGAGATGAGACGTGGTTCTTCAATCTTCCTCCGACTGAGACCGACGAGGTTTTGATGCAGCAGGCCTTGCAAATTGGCATCTGGAATCAACACGGAAGCAGTAGCGGAGTGTCAAACAGCGACTTTCTTAACGTTGAGAGATGGAGGGTTTTTCATCCTACGAGCCTTGGACACAGAGGCATCGCTGAAGTGTTGGTAGACGAGGTCGTTGCGCGCACGGCGACGAGTGTTTGATCTAGCCTTACTGATGAGAACGTAAAAGAAGGTTGTAGCTAGTACTACTCCCTTTGATATCACGGAAGGGGTTGCAATCTCTCATTTCCACAGTATACTGAGTCTAGCCCAGGGATGATGTTCACGGTTAAAGTGAACAATCAATGTCAAAAATGTCAGGAAGAGAAGCCAGCTTCAAAGGGGAAAATGGCCAATGACGTACATTTGAAGGGACGTTGTTTGATTGGCTGAATGCCCGACGCGTCGACACGCGACAAGGCGAGAGTTTTGGTAGCATTCGTTCATTACTCGTATTATTTGCCAGGACTATGTACCGTAGAACTTCCCATACACCAGGACCACACACTCATAGAAGACTACGGTTACGAGACAACTGCCAACAAATACCCAAGAAATTGTCGACGCTCACAAAGTCGCCAAAGGTCAACATCGCTTTACACTGTCGCGAAAATAACCAACACAACATGCGCCATTAGCCCTCCACGTTCCAGAGACTTCAATGCGATGCCCACGCCTCAAGCCGACATACAAATTGCAGTCTCGTTTGTTGGCGCAGGTCAATCATGTACCTACCACGTGAACTGATTTCTCAGCTTTACACGAACCTTGTCCGCTCTCATCATCCTCTCTCCCCTCCAGCCCTCCTCCTCGTGGCACTGGAACCGGACGCATTATGTGCTTGTCGGATCCTTACTTCGCTGTTCAAGCGCGACTACATACCTCACAAGATTCAGCCAGTCTCAGGATATGCAGATCTGGCAAGAGCTGGGGAGGACCTCATACGGCCTATGAAGACGACAGAGGGCGGCAGCGGCGGTGTGGTCATCTGTCTCGGAGTGGGAGGTCTAGTAGACCTGGGAAGCCTGCTTGGCTTGGAGGATGAAAACTCCTCTGAAGCAATGTGTGGTGTTGAGGTCTGGGTCTTGGATGCGAGACGCCCGTGGAACCTCTCAAACGTGTTTGGTGGGCTTCCCGTGGACACACAAACTGCCGAGACAGACATAGCCACGAGGAGGACACCAGGCGTCGACAAAGGCTGTATTCAAAAATCATACAGGCCAGGGAAAGGCGGGATAATTGTCTTTGACGATGGAGACATTGTCGCCGAACTCGGCGCCGAAAGAGAGGCATACTGCACGCTGTCCTCTATGCCGGACGTGGACGAAGACGAGAGTGATGACGAAGATTCCGAAGACGGAGATGAAGATAACCAAGATACTTCCTCTTCCAAGAAAAGGAAATCTTGGTCTGATCGAGACAATGAGGGCGAGGAAAGTGAAATGGACGAAGAGAGGCCACGCCAGAGACGAAGAAGTAATTCAGGGTCCTCTATTGCCTCCACTCCCCGGAGCAGGAGTCCTTCCTCTTCTCAATTGACTTCACCAGTCTCGAAACCTCAATCACCAAGGTTGCAGACAGCAAAACAACTCCGCAAACGATTACGAAAACTCCGAGAGAAGCACGAGCGAGTGCTTCAAGAGTACAACAGCCTGGGTACGTCGTATTCCGAGCCCATTGCCACAATGGCATATTCTTTGGCCACAGACCTGGGCCGAGAAGACAACGATCTTCTTTGGCTTGCCATCATCGGCGTCACGTCTTTGGAACTCTATGGCCACACCTCAACTGGTCTGGGGACTTCGGTCTCTCCCATGAACACACACGAACATCACAGGTCCTGGCGGTCCACACGATCTTCCCAGACGTATGCTTTGCTCCGTGACGAAGTCCGCCGTCTCAATCCTCCCCCGGCAGACCAGTCACCTACGATATCACCGACTGCTGGTGGCACGAGCTCACCTAGCGACACGTCTATTCGCCTAACACCAGACCCCCGATTCCTACTATTGCGACACTGGTCCTTGTATGACAGCATGCTCCATTCTCCTTACCTCGCATCACGGCTTCACGTCTGGAACGAGTCCGGCGTCAAGTACCTACACAAGCTGCTCGCCAAAATGGGAGTCAGCCTCACTCAGTGCAAACAAACATACACACATATGGACATGGACCTGAAGAAGACGTTGCGTGAACGCCTGCTGAAGTACGCTGGCGTGTATGGGCTTGATGACCTTGTTCCATCTGGATCTGGTCGCGCCTCATATGAGCAAGAGGGGTGGGGATTCATCCGCTCATGGGGCTGGAAAGCCCAACTCTCGGCAGTGGACGTGGGTGTTATCCTCGGCGCTATACTCGATGTTGGTACAAGCCATGCCCCAGCCCCGTCGGCTTCAGCGCCTCAGAATGGTTCATCGCAACGGACGAATACAGCAGACGATGTGCCCGATCGATCCGAGGCGTTGTTACCGCGGTTCTTTGCGGCATACGATGCACTCGCACCCAACCATCCCAGCCATCTCTTGACTGCAATTCCGATAGCGCAGCATCTTTTGAGGTCTATTCTGCGAACCGGCTCGTCGCTGATGGTCAAGCACCAGATCCGCCATCTGCGTGCATTCAGGATGGGCGTGGTCAAAGATGGACCTGACCTTGCCCTGTTCGCAAATAGTCCTGGTGCGCTGGTAAAGTTGGCGCTGTGGGTTGGTGAGGCCGTTGCTGTCAAAGAGAAGGATAAGAAGGGTAGTGAGGCCCCAACACCATTGGTTCTTGCGGCCCTAGACGAAGTCCGCGGCACGTATGTTGTTGTCGGTACGGGAGGGGGCATCGGAGGCTCTGAGGATCTTGAAGCCCGCAAAGAGAAGGCTGAGCGGAAAGTTAAACGCGAGGAAGCAAAGGAGGCAAAGAGGAAAATTAGAGAGGAGAAAAGGGCGGCGAGGAAGGCAGCGAGGGAGCTGAACGGGGATGACGTCGACGACGAAGATGCGGATAGCGATAGCAGTGAGGAAGAAGATGAGAGTGAAGATGAGAGCGACGAGGAGGATGAGGAAGAATTGGCAAGACGCAAGAAACGAGGCTACGGACACAATCGATTCGGCATTGCGTTTCAAGAGGTGGTGGAGGAGACGAATGCAAGGGTCAAGATTGATAGTTTTGACCATTGTATCGTCGAAGTCAAGAAAGAGGATCTAGGCGGCTTCTTGGAAGGGTTGAGTCTGAAGGCCGTCGTGGGAAGATGATGACATGAACACGAAGTAGGGAAGGAAAGTCTGAGTGTCGACCGTGATGTCTATTTTCTTGGATATGTTTGCGATCGCTTTTTGCCTGGACTTTCACTGAAAAAAGGGAGCATGGGAGTATATTTCGCTTTTGCGAAGTGCATTGAACCCGAAAGCCTGCATTATTTTTGAGCCCCGTTCTACTGCTCTATTTGTTTTGCCGCATTGGTGGCATCGCGAGATAAGACTGGAAAATCGAGAGATCTGAAAATAATGTGTTGCTTGTTCGTTCGTTAGGAAGTGCCGCAGAAATTGTGCCTGGACCTTACCTTCCTTTCACCTTTAGCAGAGGGTTGCTGTGCGCATCTATCACTGATCTACTACTCGGGGCTTCCTTTCTTGTTGCGGAGGATGGCCTCCGTCCGTGTGAAAGGTATGTGACCGACACGATAGTGTGATGCAGCTGATTAGGGAGATCAACCCGGGCTGGTAGCGCTTGAGAAACTTGATACTCAAACTTGCTGACCCAAGTGTGACCTGGCCGCTCCTTACCACAACAGTGGGCTTCCGCCCCAATTCAAAATATCAAAGTCCTCAATAAAGATGTATGTCCGTCAGTCGTAAGCAAGGCTGAGGCGTCGTTCGTCGTCGAAGTAGAGATCCATACAAACGGAGGCATCGACCGAAAAGGGAAGAACGTCCGAACTGAGAGTATCCAAAAAAAAAATCCAAGGATGCATCCGAACAATGCGACTGCTCCGTAAGGCTGCTACTCATGCAGTACGAAGTATCCGCATCTATATCGACGTCAATGTAACCTTGTCGTCGACATTTATATGTGACTTTCTCCTTTGGCGACCTCTACTTGTATCTTTCCTATGCGTATGCGATCACAGGAACAATACAACACAACCCAGTCAACACTGGTATCTGCCGTAGGGAAAATGTTTTGCGCCTACGGAGTGCCAGCCTGCAAAGAAACCGTTCTGCACGGAGGATCTTCTCCTTCTGTAATGCAGTCCGAAGCTCGAGATCGTCATGAAAACTGTCCAGATCTTGCTTCAAGGCCGGTAACAAAGTCGAACAAACCACATGGGCACAGAGTCACTAACGTAGGTAAGTATTGGGGGCCATTCATTCCCATCGGGCACACACTAAAGGACTGAAATCCTTAGTCGCTTGCTGCCGGCTCGAGGGACGCAAGAATTGGAACTAGTCACCACCAGGGAGTTGTGCCTGTGAGTGCGCGAGAAAAGCAAAGTGTTTCTAGTCGACTGTTTTGGTCTGGGGGCGCACAAAATCACTATCGTTGTTTTCCTGAAGGATCTCCCTCGACCAAGCAGCCGAAAGAAACGACACATTGCTCCACTGGCCAAGTGATTTACCTTGCTTGACAATCTCAATTCCTAAGGACAAGACGATGGTCACTCTCGAAGTTTCACGACGGAGTAATAAAATCACACAAAGGAGAATGGCCGATGTGATTATTGACGCAAATTTTGTTGAATTTCCCTTCCACGCGAGGTAAGGCGTCCCAGAAACGAAGCGCCACCAACAAGTCTGGCGCGGCGAACACGGGAAGCATCCATACCCCATGTGGACGGCCCTTGCATACTCAACGCCTTCTCGTACAAATAGCCAGGAACCTGAAACACCTAGTTATATCCTGGCTATATTTCCACCAGGGGCAAGCTCTTCTTGCAGCCACGACTCGAGCAAAAGTCGTTCCCTATCGTTCGCCAACCGGATCTGGTCAAGCTCTGCATGGATTTTCGTCAAAGAAGATGATTCTCTGCTCTGGCCCGTCATCTTCAAACATGAGCCCAAGCCTTGAATCCTTTCGAGTCTCCTTAAGCGAGCCCACCATTCCTTCCCTAGTCCAGGATACCTGGCAGTGGATGGCACTAGCAGTCGAGAGTGTCTCCTGAAGACCGCGTTGCACTCCAAGCCATGGATTCTTTTTCGACTTGTACGGAGTTCGGCTGGGGCAGGCGTGCAGTGAACTCCATTTCATAAGGCAGGTTTGGATCCTCATTCGAGCCCGCTCGTCTGTGTTATTCTTCTTACTCAGATGACCATGTCTCTGGGCCTCTTCGAGCTCTGCGAGCGGTCAAAATGTTGTCGCTTCTGCTCGTCTTTGTCGTCGCGGCGTTGATTGTTGGCTCCTTCGGCGCTGATCAGGACATCATTACCATCCTCAACCAACAATCGGGGATTTCGACTTTCATAGGCCTCCTCCAGGGTTATCCAAAACTGATTGATACGTTAAATGCAGGGACATTCAGCGGTAAGACATGCCTCCAGGTCGTCAGGAAAATGTACTGACACTAGGAAGTTCTGGTACCAAACGACGAAGCGATAGCAACATTCTCGGACGCAAATCCGGATCTCGTCAAGCAAGAAGATGTTTTGCTCGCATTGTTGCAATATCATTGCGTCAATGGCACTCATCCTTCGGCTGGGTTCGGACTAGAACCTACATTCGCGCCAACTCTGCTCAGCAATTCAAGTTATGCCAACGTGACAGGGGGACAAGTGGTGGATATAACGTCGCAAAATGGGAAGCCAACCATTCTGTCGGGCGTCAAGGCTGCGTCAGAGGTGGTCGAGGCTGTGAGTTGTGATCGCGAAGGCCGGAAGCTCTGGGTTGCTGACTGAGTTAGGATATATTTTACATTGGTGGACTCATCCACATCATCGACTCGGTCCTGACTATTCCCATTTCTCTACCCGCCACGATAACGAAGGCCGGGCTGACTGATCTCATTGCCCTCTTGAACAAGGGAGGATACTTGACCCCCAACTCACCAGCTGTCACTATTGGTGAGTACCAGCCTTCCAAAGATTTGCGCGATTTACTCTGCCGCTTAACAACACTGAATGCTGACTGAGGTTTTTCTCCTAGTAAATACCCTTTCTGACCTGACAGTATGGGGTCCGAATGATCCACGATTTGGCGCCTCGTTCACCGGCTGGGATGGTCTATCTGATTCCGACAAACTTTCCATTTTCGAATATAGCATTACTCAGGGACAGGTCATCTATTCATCGGATTTCAAGAACAACTCTCGCTTCCAAACCTTGGACAAACTATCCCTGACGATGACGAACATAAGTGGAGGTTATTTTGTCGACACCTCCGAGATCACAACGACCGACTACCTCGTTTCGAACGGCGTTTTACAGATTCTCGACAGGTAGGTGGTTGTCACGCAAATGTCTGAGTTTCCCACGACGGAAAAAGTGCTGATGATGTATGATGTGATAGTCCATTGAACCCCAACACCACCGGACAGCGACCGGCGTCTCTACCGTCCGTTTCGAGTGGTGGGTCAAAGGGCCTGAGTGCCGCTGCGGGCGCAGGTATCGGCATTGCCATCGGAGCCGTCGTCCTCGGTGGTACCCTGGTGATAGCGCTCTATATCCGCACCAAACGTCGTCGACAAGGTCAGATGGGCGGTCGCAGCAGACTTGACGGCGAGTCCCGGGAACGCGTCGTATACCACGCCCAGTCTGGTGATCCGAGAGAACCTCCACCCACGTACGAGTTGGACACGAAGTCAATAACAGGAGGGACCGAGAGAGGTTTCGGTCCCGGCGGAGGTGGAGGCGGTACCACGACACACATCTTTGAAGTTCACCATCCACCCAAGCCGCCCTCGCCTCTGGAGATTGACGGAACGGAGAGAAGCCGGATCAGTATAACTATACAAGGCAGTCCTCCGAGGCACTTGGGCTTTCAAGCGAGATATTGACGAAATGATTTTCCATGATTCGATTTTCTTGGTCGTTGTGGCCGTAAATGGGGTTTCCCGACAGAACGGGGAGGCCGAGATAAAATTCTCCAGTTTCTTTTTCTTTTTGTGTCTTTATGGGAAAACCAACGACACTTCAATCGACAGCCGAGATGTTGGTTTCAATGTCGATGTACGAACATGTATCCCAGGCTATGACCACTTTTCAATGTCCGTTTGGCGTTGGCAGGAAAGGAAAAAAGTTGACGGGGGTTAACTTCTGCTTCACCGGGAGGATCTTACTGTACAAATACCTCTTCTGTATGTGGCAAATTCATGGATAGACCATCAAGTGACCCGACCGACATGTGATTCGGACGGCCCAAAGACATATACGTATGATACAGCTTCTTCACCTGGAGCTCTGACTGTGATAAGACTGCTTTGGCGCGGAAGACCAACATGCGCATGAGATCTCAGCCCCGCGCGCCAAGTCCAGAAAAGGCTGAGCTCCTTGCTAATAACAGTTTCCCTTTCCTCAGTATTCACTGGGTGCTCAGAGTCGACATGCTGGGCCTGAGAATTGCTCCTATTTGCAGAGTTGTACTGGGTTGTAGCCCAGAAAGAAAAGGATTTTTGGACAGGAGAGGCCGAAGAAGTCCAAACAATCAGACGAAGCACGAGCACAACAAACCTGGCTCGTGCCAACAGGATGTTGTATGTTGAACTGTGAATGACATCTACCTCGGACTTGGGAATTCAACTCGACTCACCTCAGGCATGAATGTTCACCATAACCACCACCATAACTACCTATGAGTGGTGCCTGGGTATTACGTCTTGGCGATCTCGTGAATTCACCCTACCACCGGGTCATCATCTTCATCTCATTACTGGCGTGACTCTCAAGCTTCCAAGTACCATCACCGGGTGACCTAACTTCGTCAATATGGACAACCTATCATCAGAGACGGAAAGACAAGACTTGGCAAGAGACGGAATTTCGTCCACCGGCAAAAGAAATCTGACACTCATCGATATGCCGCCAGAGATACTCTCACGGATCTGCGAGTTCCTCCTCCCTGACCGATTCCTTGACCGAGCTCGAAAGTTGGAACACCAATTCGAGACAGTCGAGGGCGAATTTGGCTGGAGCGAGAGCCTCCCGAGGTGTTATTATTCCCTCCGAAAACCCTTTCGCGACAGTGACCTTGATCTTGACTACGATCCATCTTACGATCGTGTCCCTGATCTTGACCACAGGTTACGGCATTCTGATGAGAACTCGACAAGGTGGGTGAAATACGTCCGCAGCAAATACATTCAGCGGTCATGCATGGTTAACGACATGGCCAACTTTGCAAGAACCTGCAAGTGGGTATCGAATGCGGCTCGGGACATTGTCCGAACTCACCACTTTTTGCTCACCATTGCCCATGAGGAGGTTGCGTTTGAGGGAGTCCGCTGTTCTGAGCCATATTCGTTATGGACGAGCGTCTTCATCTCGAGGCGGTATATCACCGTGAATGATGACGAAGATGAAGAGCGCATCATCTTCGAGATCCCGAAGGCCCAACTTCCTCGTAATGCCGCCTTCAAAAATCTAACCAACATGGTCTCGAAGATCAACCATCTCACCATCACCATTGATCTGGATCTATCGGTCTTTTGCACATTATTTAAAAATCTCCATCGCTGGGCGTGGGCATCCACAGACGGTACCCGAAGTCCGAAGTCAAAGTTGTATTGTCAGAATATTGGCGACTTCTTATGCGCCAACTCCAAGAGGCTGATCAACTTCTCATCTTTGCAAATCATAATTAAAATCAGCCTCAAAGAACTGATGGAAATAATAAACTTGTTCGCTGAGCGCAATGCTCCGACCTATGATCCGCCGTTCCGCGACCTGGGCCGGTTTACCCTTACTGGCGGCAGAACCAAAGCGATCTCAGGCAACATCTTTCCAGCCATCCAAGACATTACAAATCCTATCATAGGTCCTTTGATGCGTATGAATATGAAGCTGATGATAGATGGAAGCCACGAAAGCAACAAGTGGAATAGAACAGAGACGATGATAGACAAACTGGGCTCAACGCTTTCGATCGAGTTCGGCGGATTCGAGGCGTTTTGTGCGATGTTGCAGAGCGAGCTTTTGGGAGAGAGTACACCCAAGGCACAGAATGACATCGACAGCGATGCAAGACTGTGTCAGATGGGCCTTCCCACCTCGGCCAGATCACCACTGAGCAAGTGATCAATCAGATAGACAGCGATGAGACGAAAAATGAGACGAACAAACCCCAACACGCCTCCGTTTGCATACGGAGGCAGCAGGGTGTATCGTGCAGGGAATGGATTCAGTTGAACAAGGCTCTCTGACATGAGTGACGCGACGTTGAAACTCATGTTGATCAGGGGGAAAGTGCTGCTGACGATTCTGTGTGGCCCCGTACTGATCTGTCTCCCATGCTACTCGGAGGACGGAAGCTCACACAAGGCAGACGGAAATATTGTTAGCATGGGACAGGTGCAGGAATTCAGATCAAGACGGAATAGCTAAGCTGTAGCATAAGCAAGCAACAATCAGGAATCAACAACTCCTCAGTTAACGCTCAGTGATCTAAGAGCTGGCAGACCTGCTTCAGTGACATGGTTGGTTTCTATGATCCACCCAACTACTTGTCGGAGATACTTTGTTCCGTGGACTTGAACACCGCGCTGCGCGTATTCCATAAATGTGTAGACAATATTGACGCTGACCAATTCTCAATACTACGAAAATGATTCCAGCAATGCCCTGAGATGGATTTATACACAAACAACCTGTCTGTCTTCTTGCCCTGTCCTTCGTAGAAAGAACCGTCAAGTCGTTCAATTTTCTTCCCTTGTTTTCTTTTTTGCTTTTAGCAAGCATGCACATCCTTCACTCTCTATCGGCGTTCCTGGCCCTGGCTTCATTGGCCTGCGCCGCCCACACGTCCAACTGGGCAGTGTTGGTCTCGACGTCTCGGTTCTGGTTCAATTACCGTCATCTGGCGAACACTCTGTCTCTCTACCGCACCGTCAAACGACTCGGAATCCCCGATTCTCAAATCCTCCTTCTCCTTCCCGATGACATGGCCTGCAACCCCCGCAACGCCTTCTCGGGCACCGTGTACTCGAACGCCGACCGACGGATGGACCTCTACGGCGAGAACGTCGAGGTGGACTACCGTGGCTACGAGGTCACGGTGGAAAACTTCATCCGCCTCCTGACGGATCGGTGGGAAGAAGGCGTCCCGGCGAGCAAGAGACTACAGACGGACGAAGGAAGCAACATCCTCATCTACATGACCGGCCACGGCGGCAGCGAGTTCCTCAAGTTTCAGGACAGCGAGGAGATTTCGAGCTGGGACCTGGCGGATGCGTTCTCGCAGATGAGGGAGAAGAAGAGGTACAACGAGATGCTCTTCATGATCGACACGTGCCAGGCCAACACGTTATACCGACAGTTTTACGCCCCCGGGGTCATCGCCACGGGGTCTTCCGAGGAAGACGAGAGTTCGTACTCGCATCACGCCGACAACGACGTGGGTGTCGCGGTGATTGACCGTTGGACGTACTACGTTTTGGAATTCCTCGAGACACAAGTGACGGGTCCGACGTCCGACAAGACGCTCGGTGATCTCTTTGACAGCTACGATATCGGAAAGATCCACTCGAACCCGGGAGTGAGATGGGACTTGTTCCCTGGTGGTGAACAAGCGGGGAGAAGCCGGAGGGTGGTTGATTTCTTCGGCAACGTTCAGAGTGTCGAGGTTCAAGGAAACAAGACGGGTCTGGATTCGCTCAAAGAGGACCTTGAGGGCTTGAAACGTCTGGTTCACGAATACGAGACCTTCGCAACGGCGCAAGAAAGCAACCAGACCGAAATGTCAGATGTCATGCAACGAAGAACTCGGGAGGCGACCTCGAGCAAGAAACTACCCAAGATGCAACAACAAAGTATTGGAAAATTGAAGCTGTCGGAAAATGCGCAATGGACTCGGAAAGTAGGGGGCGCCACCGTTCTTTCTGGACTGGCGGCATTGTGGTATTTTGCGCCAAAGCTGATGTGAAGTTGCAGATACATTTTACTATCTGCAAACCTTGGTGATTTCCAACTCGGCACAATGCGGGATGATGAAAACCGCAGAACGCCTTCGTTCACAAGTATGGAACAGGCTTGTTCTTCTCCGTCCACTCCTTCTCGGCGTCTGAGAAAGACGTAGGTGGATCCATGCCTTGCACACGCCATAAATCGCGCGGAGTTTCATAAATGTGCAACTCCCAATCCAGTTCGTTGCGGTCGATGATGGAGGTTTTCAGAGTCTATTTGACAGGGGGAAAAAGAAAGTCAATCATCAGCAATCGGGAACTAACTGTCGACAAATCACGACGGCGGGTAATTGTCGAGATCTGAGACGCGCGAGCAGCATAGAGCTTACATCATTGATCATGTCCATCCAGGCTCTTCTTCGCTTCTGTCCTTCCTCGGTGTCTGGCGAAGCCATGGTCCTGGCGATTTGTTCGACGACGATCCTGACAAAGTTGGACTTCGGCTCGCCACCTACAAAGGTGGCTTTCTCGTCGACGTCTATGAAGATGACGTTGACGTAGAACGCGGGCAGACCACGAGACATGTACAGGTCCGTGACCTTTTGGGCGAGGGTACGACGTTGGTCGAGTGTGAATGTTTGAGGGTGGGAAAAGATTCTCCAGAGAGGCATTTTGATCTGTCTTGGGAGAGATGTCGGTTTTACCTTGCGAGAGTGTTGGTGTCAAGTGGTTGGGCGAACTTGGATAGGTGACAGAGATTGAGATGGGCAAAATATGCTTTGGGCGTTGGTTGAGGTCGGAAGGGAAGGACTTGTGGCTTTAAATACTACGAGGAGGTAGTCATCACCTGGGCTGGACACTGTGGTTTTGCCTCTAATGAGTACTCGTACGTATAGTAGACATTTCGCCTTTGGGATGAGATCAGATCAGAGGAATCAAAGGGTCAGATATGACAGGCACTACGGCGATACGTTGTATGCAAGGGTCCAGTGGTTTGTCTTACTACGGAGTTACTGGTAACAATGGTTCTTGTGTAGTAGGAAGTCCACAATACTCCATGCTCCATCCTCCGTATCCCGTACTATTTTTCTGTTTGGATGTCGTTGCGAGACTGGTGACCAATCACTTTGTTAGTTTCTTCCAAGTCGTCACGGCAGCACTTTAGTTGGAGGAGTAGTAAATAGTAATCCCAGTGACTTTACCGTGATTGTATCGCTTTTGTCGACTCCGTACAGAGTGTGATTGATTACTCAACATTCTCGGTCTTGGAGATTTCAATGTCCTTTTTTGTTTGCCCCAGTACGGATTACAGCGAAAGGATGATTTGCACGTCTCGACCACCAATGATGGCCTCCACACGTCATGTAAGCTCCCATGTCCTCGAGGAGAATCCCCTTTTTTGAATGATTAGTCGAGTCCTTTTGTTATGTCCTAGTCCGGATCCTTTTGGAAAACGTATCTCCTAGTTCTTTGCATCATCCCCTACCGAGTGTGAGACAAGTCGGCAGAGTGGACTGAGTGAGTGCGGTCTTTCCTGAAACTCGTCGCACCCCGAGGAACACAAAAATCAAATACCTGATATGGCTACCTCACCTTGCCCCAAAAATATGCCATGTTAGATTCATTACAATCCGGGCGAGGTGACCTTTTTCCTCTTTCGGTAGATATGTACCAGAATGGAGAAAGAGGTTTTATTCTGTACTAGTCGAGGCCTCCTTTTCTATGGAGTACACATCGACATCATCATGGTCAAACCGACCCAACAAGACCTACGGGTGAGGGGTTTCGACGGTGTGTGTGTAAAAATGACGATCGATGAGACTTGGTTCATCACTTCTTCCTACCTAAGTCGTCACTCGTCACACCACCTAGGTGTTTATAGTTTTGTGGTGTTGTGATGTGTGTGCTCGATACCCAAGTTGGGGCGACACATTTTGTACAAGCACATTCGAAGCCCCAGATCCTCTGGAGTTTCTCTCTTCGTTCCACGGTCGACATGTCCCTCTCATCCCCCCCCAGATAACTTATGCACAATTCGTCCCCGGGTTTGACGCTACGGGACGTGGAGAATCTCCAGGTCCTTCCCGCCCGAGATTTCTTCAGGTTCGGTTCACAACTGTGATTCCAATAACTCGCTTCCGGCCACACACCGAACCCGAAACATTCACTGCCTACGGCCATTGTCGTGCGTCCGGCGTCGGCGTCGGCTTCGGCACCTCCTCCTCCTCCTCCTCCCTCATCCAACGATCGAAGACCAAACGAATTGTGCGTGGTACGTGATTGAATGGTCCTCAGGAGGGACTGTTGGACGTGCGGAAGGACCTGTTCAGGAACGGTGGCGAGTAAAACCAGGTAAGCTTCGACGTGAAAACCGAGATCTTCGGTGTTGATGTAAGGTCGAGGGTCGACTGCGAGGTCGGCGGTTGATGATTCCAAAATGCCGTCTCGACCGAGAACTTGAGTGACGGCGTCGAGCAAGAACCATAGAGTATCCGGGTCGGGATGTAGGGATTGTCGCACCTGTCTCAGAGTCTTGAGTTGTGCCTTGGTTTTTGGGTTTGACGTTGATGATCGAGCGGCTCGAATCAGGTTGGCTTTCTCCTCCGCCTCTGTCCATGCTTTCTCGATCTCTTCGACGGAAGGTTTGTTGAAGTCTACAATCTCAGAATCCCACAACTTTTGTTTGTTGCGCCGGACAAGAAATTCCTGGACTTGTTCACGTGCGACGAGAGCCGAAGGAGGTGTAGACGTCGACCATAGTTCTCGACATGACTCGCCGCAGAACACGACATTACGAGAATTGTCGCGGATCTTCCACAAAACCCCACGGTCGTAGGCGAAACATTGCGCGCAAACTTCCTTGGCGTAGGGTTTGTATATCGTGCTCGCCGCTATGAGACACGTCTCGAGTAAGGTCGTGTCGGGTGGGATGTCGGTCAAGGCGAAAACTCCACGGCCTGATGTTTTGGTGTTGCGGACTTCGAAATAGTCCGACAATGGACGTGCATTTTGACCAACAGGTCCGGGTCGGGACATGGCATTATGTCGACTTGAACTTTCTTTCTTTGTTCTTGTCCTACATTTGACAAACGATGGTCGAACCCCCAGTCAGGGATTTGGAGGAAAATATTCTCTTCTTTGCGGAATGGAATGGCTTGGCGTTGATTGGCTCGTATTCCTGGACAACGTGAACCTACCACGGTATAGAACCTCGACGTCAAAGTGATGGTATTTATTGTTGGTTCAAAACCATTCAACCTCCTTGATACAAAGGACCCAAAAGGAACCGAACAAAGTGTTGGGAAATATCTAGACATCGGGATTTCACCAGGAGAAAGACAAGGCTACGAGGCTGCAGGGCGCGCCTCAGTCTTGACGTCATGAATATTTGTCCCCCGCGTCGCAGCCTCGTCGAGCATCCAGCATATTACAGTAGATCGTCATTTCAGACAAGAATCAATTGAGAAGAACAATTCAGGAAGATTCCAGAAGCACTCTCGAGATACAGGGGGGTCAAGTACATATGTAACATATGTAACCTGTACAACAATGTACCACATTCGACCAGGTAGAAACAAAACATGGGAATCAAAAGGCGGGCGGAATTGGACTCTTGGACTCCTCCTCGTCTTGTCATTGCATCATGATGCTCACCATCATCATCATCATCATCATTAGTGACGCGCAGTCGGGTTCATCTCTTCTCCTTCTTTTGTGTCTCTCGCTCTCACGCCACACACGGCTTGAATTACCCCAAATGGCTCAAAACGGCCCTTTCGATTCGCGTGTTCTCATGTCACGATGGTGTCTCGATTCAGATCGGGAAAGAATGGGGGTTTTCCTCCTTGTTATCGAATGATCCCCCCCTCTCATCAGCATTGCATTTCCCTTGGGCCATGAGTTACGAGTTCCTCGTACTTTGTATGGCTGTGTGTGTGTGAATGTTTAGCGTTCGGTTCCTGGATTCACTCTTGTAGTAAAAACGACGTCACTCATGACAAGATGCGAACTCGTACCCTTGACACACACATATATTGAGATCCTTCCCACTTCACGTACAACTCACTCTGTCTTGCTTCAGATACCAAACCAAACTTGCTTTCCGATCAAATCCAAAACGAAAAATCTCTTCTTTTCTCTTTGAGAACTCACAATCATAAAAACACAAGTCATCAACATCATGGCTTCCGGACAACCTGCTGACCCGTATGTCCCAGACTGTTTCAGTTCACCACACCAAAGAGAGCTTGCACAGTTAACCATCAAGACAGATACAAGGCGAAGAACAAGGATGAACCCGGTGTCGAGACCAAGATCGAGGAACTGAACAACTTCGTCCAGTACCAAAAATTTGGAATGATGACGACCCGTATCGCCGAGAGTGGTCTTCTCGTGTCCAGATGCATGGCTTTGGCGGCGCAGGTATACATTCAACCCATTTTTGTTTTTTGTTTTTGTTTTTGGCCTCTTCTCACCACAAAACGTTCACTCACACACGACACATGTCCACACACACAATGTGAAGCGGTGACTGACATGTTTCGTTTTGTTGTTTTGGTTTTTTAGGAATCCGGCGGAGTCGACCTCCTCTTCCACACAAACACCGAGTCCGGCAAGACCCACGACCTCGAATCCGACTCCCACATCAACATCTCCTTCTGTTCGGCCAACGGCAGCTGGGCCAGCGTCTCCGGCACCGCCACCGTCATCTCCGACCGGGACGTGGTCAGGAAGTACTACACCCCGACCCTCAAGACCTGGGTGGGTGACCTGGGGGACGGCACCCACGACGGCAGCGAGAACGACCCACGCATCGGCATCATCAAGGTGAAGGCCGTCACCGCCACCTACGCCGTGTCCCAGGGCACCTTCATCGGCAGGGGGGTCGAGATGGTCAAGGGCGCCATCACGGGTGAGGCCGCCCAGGTCAACGCCCTCCGTGAGATCAACGAGCAGGAGATCCAACAGTGGAGGTCTTCACATCCTTAAGAGAGAAGAAAAACAACAGCTCAGAGGGGCAAAGACCAAAGTCGAGAGAGGGATGCGAAAGTGGTCAAATGAGTCTGACCGTCGGTCATTGAGCTCTTTTTTAAGAAAAAAATCCCCTAAAAAAACCTTTGCCGACACACGTCTATTGATGTCACTAATATCTTACAAAACGTCCTCGGCTTGGGGAACGAGAAAACCCCCAAATAAAGAGATCAATGATAACTCATTTCAAACTACTTGCATGCCCCTCGATTCCCTCTTTCTTTTTTCTTTCGCGTCGTTCCTTTCTGTGTGAAGCAACCCCTTTACTACTCTACCGTGCTGCGCATTCGAAAACAAACAAAACATGCCTTGGATGAGCTAGCCTCAACGTGCGTACCTCAAGTTAAATCCGTCTAAGAGTTTGCACTGACAATGTCCGAGTAAAGAATCCGAGAGTATAGAAGAGTAGTTGTGTAGCATTAGAGGAGATGGTTTCTATCCTGTTTTCCCCTTCGTCCTTTTTCCCAACCCAAGGTATTGTTCGTAGCAAATACACACACACAACGAATGTTTTCCATCGTACGCCCTTTAACACCCGCCGAGTTAATGCCTCATCCCTGCACCATCTTGTATGCAAACAATCGAGAAGAAGTATTCCTCGCATAACACAAATATACCGCTCTGATATACACACATTAAAAGAATTCTACATGCACATTTGACTTTCGTTTTCTCCGACACAATGCTCGCATAGCGCCAGAGATGGGAATCGAAAGGTTGAAAGGTGAGTTGGTCGCTCCCTCATCATATGTATGGTAGGGAGATCAGTCCGGATCGTAGCGACATGGCAAGGCTGGAGTTGTTAATACAGCTGTTGTGAATGATAGAAAGGGTGGCCTCATGGTTCGAGATCCCTGCTTGTGCTGGAGACGAAGTGTGGCTTCAGAGGTAGAATTGTTCTGAATGGAGAATGCTGCTGAAAGGCTTGTACCATCGAACGTCTCCCTTGCCTGAGGATCTCAGAGATCAAGATTTGGAGCATGCATGGCGCACTGCCGGGAATGACCGTGCATAGCATAGTCGATAGGCTCCAACAACCGACCCTAAACACCCTCATGGAACTCTTGATTCGGATGAATCTGTTTAGTAGCGAGAGCGTCGATCGTTGTAGCCTCCACCAGACCTTCGATCCCCAAAGCCGCCAGTAGATCGTCGGTTCTCAAAACCGCCTTCGGAATTGCCGCCTCGGAAGACGCCCTTACCTCCACCTGAACCAAATGGGTCGTCCTGATCATACCGACCCCTTGATCTCCGGTCTCCTCCCCTCATCTGTCTGGGGTCGCGATCCATATCTGCAGTTATATTCAGACCGTTGGTAGATTGGAAACCCATCTTAGCAACCCAATGACTAGAGACTCGAGGTGGAGTCTCAAGACCCCAACCATATTTGGCAAGGTCGTTGGCCATGTCCACAATGGCTTGCTTGCTCCTGCTGGCCTGGCTTTGAACCAAACCCCCCATGATAGTCAAGTACGCCTTGGCTTTGTCAATCATCGAAGTAGACTTGACTCCTGTCTCAACAAATTGCATGATCTTGCCAGCATCCACTGACAGTTGTGAAGGCTGGGTCATGTCTAGCTTGCTTGTCTCCAGATTCTCATCTTCGCTGATGTTGTGTGCGTGAATGTCGCGCATCAGCGATCTGAACTCGTAACGTTCGTCATCTTGCAAGATCAACCAACCCTGTCCAGACTTGCCAGCACGTCCAGTTCGACCCAGTCGATGGATGTAATCCTCAGTACTTCTGGGTAAACCGACTTGAATAACATGCGTAACATCTGGGAAGTCCATACCTCTAGCTGCAACATCAGAGGCCACCAGGATAGCACTGGTCGAGTTGCGGAATTCCTGAGTGTTTCTCTCACGCTGGCTTTGAGTCAGCTGAGACGAGATCTCGAGCACTTTGCACGGTGATAGGGGATGTGGGGCGAAGAATCCTCCTCTCTGGCCGCGGTCACCAAGATTTTTCAGGATCTCATAAGCCAGTCTCACTTCATTAACCGAGCTATAGAAGATCATGGCTTTGAAGGGTTTATTGTTATGAGGGTCTTGTTTGTGTGCTTGAATGGCTTTGTAGGCGATTTCGGTGACTGATGGGATTTGGTTCTGCAGAGCCGGCAAGTAAACAACTTTTTGTGGTACTGTTTCGTGCGTAGCAGACTCGTTCGGGTCGACGGTTCTGACGAATTTGAAGTCTGGCTTCATTGTCTGTCTCACCAAACCCACCACGGACTTGGGCATGGTGGCTGAGAACATGAGGGTCTGGCGGTCCTTTGTTTCGAGAGGAGGCATGTATGTCTGGATTTCTGCGATTGCCTCTGAAAATCCGATAGTCAAGAGTCGATCAGCCTCGTCCAGAACAAACGTCTCAATGTTGTCAAGCTTGAGTCCGCTGTAGCGATCGGATAAGAGATCATTGATTCGGCCAGGCGTGCCAACCAGGATATGACAACCCATACGCTGCATGAGCTTAAGGTGATACTGTTTCTGAGTACCACCTACAGCAGTCTGGACTTGAACTCTTGTTCCGTAGACGAGCTTGCGGGCTTCTGCAGCAATCTGCTCCGCGAGTTCTCGAGTCGGGGAGATGATCAAGGCCCTGGTATCGCCAATATTGGGACGTCTGCCCTCTAAAGAGGGGTCTTTCAGTATGCGCTGCACAATTGGTGTCAAAAATGCCAAAGTCTTTCCAGTACCAGTCCGAGCCTGAGCAACAACATCGGCACCGTCTAAACACTCATTGATAGTCATTCGCTGGACTTCGGTCATTTCGTCGATGCCTCTCTTGACGACAAGATTGTCTACAATCCTTTGGTCCACAATGCCTACCTCCCCCAGCTCTGAAAAAGTGGCATATTCACGTTGGACGTCCGAGACGTCCTCGGCGCCCATATCTGCGGCAACGGCATGTTGGCGATATTGTGAGATTGACGAGAACTGACTGATGCGAGTAGATCTGAAGGTTATCGTCCTGCAGGAGGAAGGTGATAATCGGGAAAGGGTAGAGGAGGTATAGGTCGATTGGAGGGAACGGAGTGCTCTGAAGGCGAAACGGCCCTGTCGGGCAGCGCCGTACATGTTGCCGACGAAGGAGCAAATGGAGGAGAGTGCGGAAGAGGTGATAGGAGATCCGAGACAAGTAAAAGAAACGATGAATGTAATGAATGTGAGGACAATACAAAAGAATTGAATCAGGCAAGAGAATTAAGGGATTCCTTTCAACGCTATCGCGATTCCAAAATTTCGGCGACAAAAAGTTCACGAGCCGGAAGAGAAAAGGGAAACCGTGCCATGGTCCCGTAGCCAATGACATTGGAGATGTCCCAAGCTAGCTTCTTGTGGCTGATAAGATAACGAAAGGAGGAAAACACGATCACGTGCTTTAAGATCTTAGTAAGCACTCCTACCCCGTGGAAAAAGAGTAGGAAGGAGGTACATGAGGTATACAAGCACGGAGTAGAGCGTATGGCAGTACTCCGTGTATACTGTTGCTGATAGCATGAGTCTCATATCATCAAGACAAGAGTATTCTCAGCCACTGCAACATTCCCATGCGTGAAAAAGTCATCGCCATAGATGCTGGCAGGAAATTACTGCTCAATTCTCAACATCGATTGTGAGTCTCAGAAATGGCCTGGACAAAAGGGTCTCGAGAACGTGTTAAAACCGCCGCAGTGGCCAGTCTACTGACGCCGGAGAGCAATGAACCTAGGTCGAGAAGGACATCAGCACTCGTACTGATGCTCAAAATGGCACTGATGCTCCGCAGATAGCCGACAAGATATGCTATCGCAATCGCGAGAAGGCTATCATCCCGATGTCTACGAGTGTCCTTTGGGCCTGTCTGATGCTGGGTCGGTTATGCGGCAAAGGATCGTGACCTATGATCATCATTGTCGCAGCTAGATGTATATTTTGTGCTTCGGGATACAAGACTCTGTTCGGGAAGAATGACAATTCAGCGTTCAACATTGGCCGTTGGCTACTCCCCGTAGTTCACGCCGCTAGTCAGACCCTCGCGATCTGGCCAGTCAATCGAGGTGTAGAGAGTTTTGCGACATCGGCATCAGGGTCTTGAACATTGGACACGGCGCAATTTGAGGCCAGAGAGACAGCGGGTTGTGGGGAATACTTTTCAATTCCGCGATTACTATGTTGCCACTTGCCCTGCCCGCACCTTTCCCCCTCCCTCGTGTATTACCACGGGTATTACCCGTGCCCTCGCTATCATATATATCCGAGGGTACGAATACTCAGTATTTCTCTATCAGAGACAGATCTCGTATCAAAATTTCCTAATCTACTCTCCTCTCGCACACTCTTTACCATCAGTCTACTGTCACCTATATAGTATCGCGAGCCATGGCACCCCCCACTGCCACCGAGACCACAACGGTGCCCGCCGTGGGCTTCGACAAGCCCGATAGCCAGCCCGCAGGCACCGCACCCAATGAGCCTGGATTGGCAGAAGAGCCCGCGATGAACCATGTTCAGAAGTTCCCCAGCCCACCGCGATTCACCGACAAGTATGAAGAGCGAGAGTACCTCAAGGGCCGGCTTGCTCTGGCCTTCCGCATCTTCGGCAAATATGGCTACGACGAGGGTGTGGCAGGACATATCACGTTGCGTGACCCTGTCAACCCTCACACGTTCTGGGTGAACCCATTCGGCGTCGCCTTCTCCCAGATCAAAAAGAGCGACCTGATCCTCGTCGACCACGAAGGCAAGGTCATTGACGGTGGACCATGCCGCCTCCTCAACACCGCAGCGTACATGATCCACGCCGCCATCCACAAGGCCCGACCAGACGTCCTCTGCGCCGCACACAGCCATAGCATTTACGGCCGGAGTTTCTGTGCTCTCGGCCGACCCATCGACATCATCACACAGGACAGCTGTGCGTTCTACAACGACCTCGCAGTTTACCGGCAATTCAAGGGCATTGTGCTCGCGAAAGAGGAGGGCGAGAATATCGCAAAGGCCATCGGTCCCAAGAAAGCGTGCTTGCTGCAGAACCACGGTCTGTTGACATGCGGACAGACGATTGAAGCTGCCGTGTTCTGGTTCGTCAGTCTCGAGAAGTGTTGCCGCGCTCAACTCATGGCCGACGCCGCGGCCGCTGGACGAGGTGGTGAGACGATCAAGATCGACGAAGAGGATGCTCAATACACGTACAAGAGCGTCGGCACTCCCCGAGCTGGATGGTTCAGCGCGAAGCCCATGTTTGATGTCATGGCCAAGGAGTGTGGTGACGAATATCTGCAGTAAGATGAATGCTTAGCAAGTTGAAAGTCAGAAACAACCCTTCTTTGAGAAGATTCTACGCCCGTTGAATATGATACACTTGATGATGAGATAGGTAGTTATGAAATTCAGAGTTGTCGTAGTATTGTTTCGAATCTAAAAGCCTTCAACATTTTGCATTTCCTAATGGCCCAGACACCACGCCGATAGCCGCTCTTGTCATATCTGCCTGGATATTTTACATACGATCCCCGATTGTGATGGTGATCATGAGCTTATTGTGTATCTCACTCTGCTAGCTTAGTGTGAATTGATTGCGTGGCAGTGGACATATCGATACTCAAGCTGACTCGCATGGCCGATGTACTCGAAATGATCCTCGGCTCCGCTCCACTTTCGCGGGGGGTGTGGACGTGGTGAATTGGTGGACCGGGGAGTGTTGTGCAAGGTCGTAGAAGAACTGCCAAAAAGATCCATCGTCCATTTCATTGATTAAATTTTCGACCTTTTCAGGCGTCCGAGTCATGGGAAGCTCTCGTATAGCCGAGAACTGATCGAATTGAAATCGACAGAGGGAGGTGAAAGACTACTCACGGAGTACAAGGTCGAGATCGAAAGTCAACTTGTGAAAACCGCCCCTATACACCACCACGATCACAGCCTTCCCACCTTAGGATGCCGTCCAAACTACAAGGGTTCTCGATCCTGCTCGCACTGGCTGCGGTCGTGTACCAATTCCTCCTCAAGGACATTCTGTTCCGAACCGTAGGACTAGGTCGAACAGTCTTACCCGTCTCTTCATTCCCGTACAAATGTCATCGGATCCATGGAGATCCCAACATCCAAGCATGTGAAGATATGTGGCTGGATGAGAATTCCAGGACATTGTATCTTGCCTGCTCGGATTCGGCTGCCCGGAGAGATTGGATGCCCAAGTGAGGGTTTTTTTCTCTACTTCTACCTCTTTTCCTGCGTGCTGGTGGTAGATTGAAACGCTGACCATTCTTGCAAAACAGTATCCACCGCCTCAATGCATCTGCACGTGCATTGAACGATCACATTGTTGCGATGGAGATTGACAACCCGAGTACTTCTGGCGGCTACACTTATCGAGTTCTCGAGACTCCAGGGTTCCCGGGGGTCAATGGCGATGGACGTATCCATGTCGTGGGCATTACGGGAATTCACTCTACAGATAACTCGGACGCGCAACTGTGGCTGGTCAATGACCGTCCTTCTGTGGATTCGACCACGGGCGAATTTCTAGACCAAGAGGTCGTCGGTGCCAATGCCACAATCGAGGTATTCGCGACCAAACCAGGTGCAGAGACCATGCAACACGTCAAGACATACGCCGATCCACAAATTGCGACACCAAACAACATAGCCGTGACGAAGGATGGTGGTTTCTTCTTCACGAATGACCATGGTCCTCACAAGGTCGGCTGGGTAAGTACAGTCATATACACAAGGCTCGTGCTGTATGTGAAATGCTGACCACTGCAAAGCGCCACCATCTCTCACCTGTTCTCGGGACCGGCGACGTCTCGTACTGTTCGGCGACTGGCAATTGCAAGAAGGTAGCATCCGGGTTCAAGTTTCCCAACGGACTCCATCTCGGCAGTGACGGGTTGTTGTACATCCCCAGTGCTGCAAAGGGGGATATCACCGTGCTCAAACCCGCCGCCGATGGATCAGTGACACAGGTGCACTACATCCACCTCGACTACCCCATCGACAACTTGTCAGAAGACGCGAATGGCGACATTTTTGCCGCCACGATGCCCAAGGGTCTCGCGTCACTGGCAACGTTCAACGACCCGTTGAACGCGCCGACTGCGCCCTCCACGGTCTGGCGCATAAGGCGACTCAATCGACATTTACCAGATGAGTATGAGTATCAACTCGACAAGATCATCGAAGACGGCGCAGGGGAGAAGTTGCCTGGTATGACCACCGTCATTCATGATGCGAAGACCGGAACATTGTTCATGAGTGGTGAGTTATCGATCCTGTTGTACGTATGCCCAGGACTGGTGAAGCTGACGATCATGTGAAAGGTGTTGTTTCTCCCTTTATTACCTTCTGTGAGAAGATCTAAAAGGAATGTCTGTTCTTCCTTTTGGTCTCCTTTCTCTCGACCTTGAATGATCCTCCTAGGGCAGTACTCGTATCTGTCCGGCTGGGCTTTTCTTCACCTGAAACAACTTCCAAGTGTACTAGAACCGGGAGTCCTTATGACGAAACTGGCTTTCCACAATCGAATCCTTCCTGCGAGTAGCACACTCAGAAGGCCCATATGCATACTCCGTACATGTTGCTACTCCACAAAAGATAGAGCCTCGTTTGTACTCCGTACTGTAGTATCTTCGAGCACCCGCCATGTTCATGACGGCGGGCTCTTCCTGCTGATCACAACGCCTACGACGTCATAAGGCTACGAACAGAACTGGGCCCTAGAGTCCCTGGAAAGCCCAGAGAGGCCATCATCGAGCCCCTCTAAAAACGGCCAGTCGGCGCCCCGACACTCCGTGATGCTGAGGGGCCCATAACGAGGATCCAGCCCGTGTCGCCAATCTTTTGGTTGTTCCTATTGTACAGTGTGCATCGGAATGTCGATTGTTGTGTCTGTACCTGATCATCATCAGCTTTCGCTTGTCTCAGTTTGAAGACTTTTTTTTGTCCGCCTGCATCTGTGGTTTAAGGATACTCGTAATGAGTTATCTCCTGGTCTCTGTAAGTACGAGCAGACTGATGTTACCTTGCATTGTTCAACAACCTCGGACGCCTTGGAGTGTTATACTTTGTACAGTATTTCTCGGACCCCGAACGACCAATGTCTGTCTGGGGAAGACACCACGGCCTACCCACGTCAAAATCCAAGAAGATCCATAGGCGCGTTACGACTCACCAAGATACCCATGTCAACTTGGCAAGCCACACTCGTAACACAAGGTGAGATACTTCCGTACTGGAGTGCAGGGTCGGTCGGTCCCCTTTGTGGAGTTTAGGAAACTAAAGGGTACGGAGTATGCCATGCCATCTATGACCTACTACAGTACTCGGATACTCCGTAAGAGCCCAAACCCACTATCGATGAATCCGATGTTCTGAGAAAAGTGTGATCCCTTCAGCTGGATGCAGATGGCGTAACAACTAAAATAAAGAGGAGGGGCCTCCTCCCTCTTCTTTCTCACAAGCTGACCTTACTTTTTGTATCGTATCTTCCAGATTGAAGCGTTATAAAAACATCTCCCACTTGATATACACCACCACCACCACATTACTCGTACTCCGTATACTCAAACAATCTCAAAACCATCACAGTTCAAATTCAGCCTGACCGGTCCCTCGTCCTTCTCACCTCCCTCAGCTTTTGGCCTCGAACCACCATCTCCTTTTTTTCCCCTCGAGTCTACTACTACTTTACCTCCATACCCTTTGCAACAATGTCCGCCATCCCACCACCACCCATCATCACCATCAACGCAACCAACACCACAATTTCAGGTCCAGGGTCAGCGACCTCATCCTCTGCAGCTGCGGCGGCGCCCCAACCCACCACGTCCTCCTCGCGACCCCAGAAACCGGTGTTGGTCAAGACCTGTTACCTCTGTGACGAACAGAACCCGGGTGACTTCAGCCCCACGACGAAATACCTCGAACAGTGCCTCTTGTGCAGCCGCCACTTTTGCCCGATCCACAAGTCCGAACAGTGGGACCAGGTGTGCGACATCAACCACAGTTCCTACTACCACGAGTGTCTGGAGAGGGCCCGAGCCGAACTCGCCTCCCAAGGGAAAGCTTCCCCCGACGGGACCAACAAACGAGCCCTGGCCGAACAGTTGATCAACGAAGGGATATACCCTAGTTTGGGGGAACGGGAAAAGGCCATCTTTTCGACGAGCCCGGTCACCGACGGTACGTTTTGTACATGCCCCAAAAACGACACACCTGCGCTTCCCCTCTCTTTTTTTTTGATGACGACGAAGGCTGACCTTTTTTAAATTTATTTCTGTGTGTTTCAGACAAAATCCACGAAATCGAACAATTCCGAAGTCTAGATGCAGCATTGTCTGGACAACCTGCGAAAAAGGGTGCACCCGTTGAAGAGGTGGATGTCGTCGGGGCTGACATTGCCGTGTGATTGATATACTGGGTAGCTGAACCACCTAACAACTTCACCACATGGACCACAATGCGTGGGAAGGATAGGGCTAGAGGGGAGATGCGGGTGTTCTCATGTCCTCGGGAAAGAAGTCAATTTGTACCTCCCCCCCTACCCTCCACAAAGAGTGTGGTGAACTCGAGTACAAAGTGCGGCAATCGGAAAAGGACGATCTCGTTGGGATAAGAAGAAAAAGGGAGCGCGTGGAGACAAGACACATATTGCAAACGTTGGAACCATTCTACCCTTTCGGAAGTCGCTTTGTTTCAAGGACGAGATGAAGATATACCCATGAGACCTGGAAATGATATGAGTCAATCAAGACGCAAGAGAAGAGAGACCACGGTTGGAATTCTACCATTTTCAAGATACATACCCAAGTATTCATGTCAACTCGGCTGGTTAATGGATGGACGCCAAAAAAAATAAGCCAAATCCAGACAGAAACAAAATAGGACAAATGAACCTGAATAAATCTTGATCATTCGAACACTTCTATGAACATTCAAAAGCAATTCGGTCCAAGGTATATCATTGTACCTGGCATGATAAAAGATTTCCAATAGTATTCAAACGAAGAACCAAATCCACACACAGACAGACACACCACCCTGCATGCCCACAATCATAACGCCGTGCTCGCTCATAATGCATTGACTCTCGACCCTCTCAGGGCCTTACTAATACGCTCTGTAACTCAATTCTCAAGATTCACATTTGATACTCCATGACATGTCAATTTTGCACGCCTCCCCCTTTCATACTGCATCATATGCACACACCGAAATCCCTGTCCGAGATAATCCCAAATCATACACACTTGATCGCCTCCAGAACACCCATAGCTCTCTGTCCTTCACGCTCAAATACACCCACCACCCTCTCGGCTTCCGCTCGTAAACTGCTCTCTGCTTGACTAGCGACATGTCCTATCCACTCTTGCACAGTCATTTGTTCTTCCTCTCTGGATAGTTTGCCGCCTGTCAATCCCAATAGATCTGCGGGTTGAGGTGTACCAGGTTGGAAGACGAGCTCAATGTCAGCTGGCTCCCAAGCAGGCACGACCTCTCCAGGACTTGAGGGTGCGAGGGGAACTGTCTGCGTTTGAGTCTGAGATGTCAGAGCATGCCGCACCGAGGCAGAGCGCGCACTGGGAGGAGCGTTTTCTATATCTGTAGAAGGTGAGCGACCCGCCGCATAAGGTGATTCGGTGGTAGCCTGAGGGGTAGCTTGAAGATGGGGAATGGATCGAGGAGCGGTTCTCGAAGAGGTGGCAGTGCCTTTTGCAGAAGGTGTAGCCCTCGTTCGAACTGGAGTTGGCGAAGGTTGTGGCGGAACGCCGATTGGGCTCAAATGTCGTGGTGTGCTCCGTATCCCGGGACTGTTGGCAAGGGTCGGGTATTCTATTTCTTTTCGTGGCGTAGGTTTTGGACTAGGGAGAACTGGGTCTTGTGATATTACATCAGGTATAGATTCTGCTTCGGGTTCGTCTTGCGTTTGCATTTGTGTCTGAAGCTGAGTCGGGGTCTTGTCATCATCGATTTCTACTTCCGTGGCATGCAATTCAACGGGTGTCACTTCTGGCTCTGGCTCTGGTTCCGTCTTCTTGGCCTTTGTTGAACGTGTCGTCTTCGCTTTCTTGCTTTTCGTTGTCTTGGCTCTTCCTCCCGCACCTTTCCGCTTTCCTTTAGTCGTGGCTGTGGAAGCAACTGACATTGTTGATAACACGGATGTCGTACTGGTATCTATTGATTCGTCCAAGTCTGGTATGTCATTGAGCGAGGGAGCTTCAGAGAGCATGGTTGTATTATCTGATTGAGTCGAAAGTCGAGTCGAGACTTTGGATGACCGAGAAGACCTTGACGCGCGACCTTTTTTGGCTTTGGGTCGTTTTGAAGGCGCAGTTGTGCCTGCGAAATGGAAGAAAGGACAGTCGGGAGACCTGCGATAATGCTCATCGAAAGGGTTGTCCTTGGGTTCCCAGCCATCTAACGATAGTTTGCAATATGTGCAGCTGACAAAATCATCGCTCTCGGGTGTTGGGGCATAGTACCAGCCTGCCTCCACCATCTTTTCAGTTTTACACGTCCAACCACGCTTCGATTCGTGAGGCCATCCTATACCAAACGTAGCTCGGCGTGCATCTGCGTGATGCTCTCCCGTTGGATCGTCCATATTGTTGATATCAAGTCTCACATTTTGAGCCGCGTCCATAAGGATCGCCCATGCGCAATCGCTTGAGTGTTTCAAATGCTCCTGGATTGGATCATCATCAGGTTCCCAGCCATCCAGAAATCTTCCGCACATGAAGCAGATGGTGTTATCATTGCTTTCGCTCGAGGGTTTGTAGTAGAAGCCAGCTTTGGCCAATTCGTCGGGTGTTGGTGTTTTGTGAGGCCATCCTAGCTTTGATCGTTTCGACGGAGGCTCGAAGCTGGCGAGACGCGCTTCAAGAGTAGAGTACTCCATTTCTCGAGTACAAAGTTGTGGAGAGGTAGGTAGTACATTGGTGAGAAGCGCAGTTGCGAACCTCATTCATGTGTTTGTTGACACGGCCGCAATCAAGTTCTGCCGAGGCTTTACCGATGGCTCGCGCTCTCTTGGCACGACTTAGTCAGCAAGGGGCTGTTCGCCAATGACGCAAGGGCTGAATCTGTCTTGCGAACACCTTACGTAGGATGGGCCTGAATTGGTGCTACGTGGAATTCTCCCCATTCAATGCACACGACCCTTGCCAACAGCACACCATGGAGTCTTTAAGTATGCGGTAGCATTGACGATGGTTCACTTTGTTATATCTAAATCTTTACTGCCTCCAGGATGACACTACGAGTTGTTCCCAGTGTACTGGGAAAGAGAGCCTTCCAGGAGCTCTACCATGCTCCTCGACTTCCTCTCCTCGTAGCCTCCAGACGCCTGCCCACCTCCTACAATGTCCGATACTATGCCAGCTTGCAGGAAGATCGCGGCCGAGACTCAGGTCCTCCTCCCGGATTCGACCCATCAAAAGCTAAGAAGCCTCAGAGCAGCTCTCCCTCCACGTCGCAGCCCTCTCCAGGGACCTTAAGCCCCTCCAAGACTAAATCTTCCAGTGAAGGTCCGCTGAAGCCTTCGACGTCATCATTGGGGTCGCAAGACTGGGAAGATAATCCGGATTTGAGCATATCAAAGTTTTCTGAATTGCCTGGGAAGGATTTCGGAGTCAATCAGCATATGTTGATCAATGAAGAATTCAAAGAAGCGTTGAGACAGATACTTTGGAAGTTTCGTGCGCCAATCCGGTATGCCTTTGCGTATGGATCTGGTGTATTTCCGCAAAGCTCAGGCAGCACCGTGGGAGACTCTAAATTACATCCTTCGCCTCCGGAAGCGATTATGAAAGTTCAAGATGGAAACCAAAAAATGATTGATTTCATATTTGGTGTTTCATACAGTCAACATTGGCATTCTTTGAACCTGCAAGAGCATCGGGACCATTACTCGGCGGTTGGCTCGTTGGGTTCTTATGCTGTTTCCAAGATCCAGGACTCCTTTGGAGCTGGAGTCTACTTTAATCCTTTTATCACTGTCAACGGAACTCTTATAAAATACGGTGTGGTCAATTTGGACACCTTATGTAAGGATCTGTCAGAGTGGAATACTCTGTACCTTGCCGGCCGCCTACAGAAACCAGTCAAGATCTTGCGCGACAACCCAGCTGTCCGACTTGCCAATCAAGTCAATTTGATTGCAGCTGTCCGTACAGCCCTACTGCTTCTTCCTGCCAATTTCACCGAACGCGAGTTGTATGGGACCATCGCCGGGATATCCTACATGGGTGATCCGAGAATGAGCATTGGGGGCGATGATCCTCGCAAAGTTGAGAACATTGTAAAGCACCAGCTCCAGAACTTCCGCCGTCTCTATGCACCACTTGTTGACAACCTTCCTAATATCTCTTTTGTCGATTCCGCATGCTCCAGTCGAGATTGGTTGGATGATCCGACTGTCAACGCGAAACTGGCTCAGAACATGGACCCTGTCACCCGAGGACATATGGTTCGACGCCTGCCCAGTGCCTTCCGTCAGAAATTGTACTTTGAATATCAATCCAAATTCAACATCCCTCGATCCGAATTCTTGAGGATGCTTGAACAGACAAAGGATGAAGATCCAGATCGTATCCGAAAACGGGAGGGTGGTCCTTTCGAACAACGAATCGCTTCTGATACCGAAGGCGGCGGCTTACGTGAGGAAGTGCGACAGGTCATAGAGTCGACCATTCGATGGCCTTCATTTACGCAGAGTCTCAAAGGACCCATAACAGCAGGTTTTGCCCGAAGCTGGCGGTATGCGAGTGAAAAGCGGGCAAAAGCTAAAAAGGGAGCTCTTGCAAAACAATTGGAATCGGAAAAGGAGAAAAAGGTCTGATTGATCCAAGGAGGAGATGTAGACAGGTTATAACGTTTTCTTTTGTGTATATGTATGTGTTTGAGACATTGGAGCGGATGATGTGGCAGCTACTTTCCTGCCCTCTCCAGAGATAGTACCCCAAAAGATTTTATACAAACAGAATTCAAACCACAGACTTGTGTTGATCATCTGAATGATGATTGGAGACTTTGGTCTGTTCTATTATATCCTCGTAGCCTCATTGCCCCAACCCAAAGAAGCATTACGAAGTAGAAATGCCTATAGGTTAAAACTTCTTCGTCTCCCCCTTGATACCATCTTGGCTGTTGTTTGTGTCCTGGGTGGCCCCCGCCGCGACCTTCCAACCGGCCTTCCAGAGGACGTAAAAGGGTATGCCCACGCTGTAAAAGTAGACCGCGGACCTGAGATAACTCGCCGCCTCACTCCGGACGGTCATGTACAAGACACTGTACACGACCCGGGCGGTCAAGTACTCTGCCGCACAGATGTTGAGATCCCTCGTGGGGAGGGAGGTGCATGTACCCGCGATCTGTCGCTTTCGGTCAGCGGGTTCGAGTAAACGTATCAAGGGGGAGGGTGGAAGGGGGGATGGGTTTATGGAAAGACTTGGGGATACTTGATGATCCATATGTAACGATTCTGGGTCCAGGGACTTACCATCGCAGCCGCGAACAGAGGAAACCCTTCCAGGGCGTTCAAATGGCAACCCCTCGCGCGCCAGAGCATGTCCGTGGTGGCTTTGGGTAGGGAGGGTCCCAGGCGTTCCAGGTTCACCCTCGGGACCATGTTGGTGAATGCGTGAGCGGTCGAAGACGTCGACGTAGACATGAGCTTGCCCAGGACGTAAATGTGTGGTGGGTACGCCAGGGCGTAGGAGACGGGAATGGCGTGCAAGGCGAAAGAGCGTGAAGAAAAGTATGGCCAGGAAGATTGTGGTGGTGGGGTGGTGCTGGCGCCGGACATTGCGGTTTTGGTTGTTGAAGTGGTGGTCATTTCTTGACTCGAAGAGGTCACACGATAGATAGGCAACAAGTGTTTTTGAGGGAGTGTAGAATCTTTGTATGGAATGGATATTTGTACTTTGAACAATGTTGACGGGTGTTGATGATAATACGAATTGTATACTGACCATTTTGACAACAACAACAACAGGACAACCTTACCTTTATATACACCCTTCATACACGGCGATGGATCAAGATGACGGAATTTTCGAATCTTTTTTCCTTCGCGTTATGCGAGGGATATAATTTGGTAAAGAGAGAGAGAGAGAGAGCGAGCGCGAAAAACAAGAGTGGATGTGAGGTTTGGTAAACATAACGTTATGTGCGGAACATGGGCTAGGGAAGATTGGGGGACGCCAACAACACGCAATCAAATCCACGTCTCCCAACATGACCGGACAAAAATCGCAAATCTTGTTAGAATGTGTGTATTGTCTATCTTGTGTTCTGGAGAACTGACGCAATGATCAAGAATGTATGTTCTGTAATGTTGCTAAATCTCCTCTGTAACGTATAAAAAGTATCACTGTACCAGTCATCATCATCATCATCACCGTAACCACATAAAATGCATATCCATAATATATTCCAGTATTTGTATATTCACCACCCGAATTTTTCCACATGTACATTTACATCCCATCCTTCCTGGACAAGCTGGGCTACAACATTCCTAACATCCCGCACAAGTCCATCCGGGCCGGAGACAATGATGCATATCTTTTCTCTGTTTTTCGAATCATTCTGACTGCTCGCCGAATCTTTGACAGTGATCACCCCAGACTCCGTCCCAGCCGCGGCAAGCAATGTAGAAGACGATGATCTCGTTGACGAGGTAGAAGTCACCCAGTTCCAAACTTCACCTTTGACATCAGGTCTACCACCCTCGGAACGTGGGCCTCTTGTGTCGAAGGACCGAGTCACAATGCTCGCCACTTCTTCCTGATCAGCATCACCTTCAAGGCTTCGGGGATAGACTTTCATCATCGTAGGATCTTGTTTGACACTTCTGGCTCGAGGAAACATCGAAATCCACGTTGCGTGGGACGAGTCCTGTCGTACCCAGAAATGGGCGTAGCCGGAGAAGTTGGCGAAAGGACCACAGTCAACCACGGATTGTGTAGACTTGATCCCTCCACGGTAGACGGTTCGGGTGCTCACTGGGGCATCGGGTTGCATCGAACGGTCAACTCGGACGTCCCAGGCTAGTGGATATGTGACGGCGATGCCACTCCCACCTGCGACGAAGCAGACACGATCGGCCTTGTGGGCAGCCTCGAGGGCCTCGATGCCACCGTGTGGGCCGTCCATGATTACCTCGCAGTGTTGATGATGACGAGCGTATTTCAACAAGTCCAAGGAGAAGCCATCGATGGAACGAATGACAAGCTCGAGAGGCCAAGATTTGACACCAGCGTTCTGTGCTGGAGCTGGCGATGCAATAGTGAAGGGGTGTGTTTGGAAGCGATATTTGAAGCCCATCGATGGAATGGTGAGGAACACATGTTGTCCAGGAAGCCATCCGTGATGTAACCCAACTCGGAGGCCGAGGAGTGTCCGCTGCAGGTCTATGTCGCAGTGAAGTAGAACGGTGTGCCCATCCGGAGCCACATCTAATGTAGCAAGGTATTTCCGGCTGGACAGTGACATCCGCCAGACCAGTCTATCAATGGCCCAAATGAAAAGCGTTCCTGCCACGTACGGTCGAGCAGTGGGATAATGGAAGAACAGAAAAGCGAGTGCTGCCACCTGGAAGAATATGTGCAGACCAAGAAAAGCCTCGTAATATAGATGTCGAAACCAGCCGACGCTCGTTATGTATATGATAAAATAAGAAATTATGGCAGAGATTCCGACGAAAACCACAGGTGCGGTTAAGTATCGTATGAGGTCGAAGTCGAGTGGACGAAGGATGGTGTACCAGACGACGAACATACCAAGCATATGGATAATGGACACTGCTATCATCCATTCGCCCAGTCGTCGATGGAAAAGATTCAACCCTTCGTAGGACCAGCCAGTGACGAGTTTGATGGGTTGGTTCGTCTTTGCTGCTAAGAGATAGAGAACTGGTAAGTTCACGACGAATAAGAGGCCAGCTCGATCAGCCAGGATGAAGATCCATGATATGGTCAGGGGTGATCGGTACAACAGGTAGAAGAGATTGACTCCAAGGAAGAACAAAAGCAGCAAGGATGTTCCGTTGTCGGGGAGAACATTGGATGGAGATGTCAAGGCGCGTATAGGCGGCGGCTGGTACAAGAGGAAGGCCTTCAACCGGTGTAACAGAAGAGGCCGCCGAGGACTAGTGACGGACCCCCGAAAGAGCAAAGGTGTTGTTTCACTGCAGCACACATCGTCACTCTTGCCAGGGGGCGGTGTCACCGTGCCTCTCAATGTACTGGACGATGATGATACCGTCTCGGACGACGCTGCTGTACATCTCTCGGTTTCATGTCGCTGTGTTTTCCGCCTCTTTGAACTTTTATATATCTTCACACCACATGAGATCACAACCACAACACCTATGACGGCGTAATAGGTCACAATGAACCTGCGGTGCCATAGTAGGACTTCGATGATCTTCTGTAGATGTTCCGGCGTCGGACCCCTTCGTCGGGAAGTTTCTAAGACTTGGACAAGATCACTGGAAGATTTGAGGGACAGTCGGAGGACATTTTGAATGTCGAACGGTATGGCGTCGTCCATGGACAGGACTGACTGGACGTCGTATAAGAAGAAGATGCCTGGATGGGGGAATGACGAGATGATCAAAGTTGATGCTGATTATCTGATAAGATCCGAGTTTTCAGTCGCTTTTGGATAATGAGCGATATCGGTCGAATGTGCCGAGACTCGGCAAAACAACCACACGACAACATCTTCAAGACTTTCACATCTGCCACGACTTGTGTCGGAATCCCAGTCATGAACATGACCGTCTAGTATGGGTTCTTAGGCTCTGTAAGCTACCATGACCATTGATGCTTTGGTCGAGAATCTCTGGCCCTTGCACTCCGTCATCATGGCCCTGGACAAAAGCATACGCATGCAGCTCGTCCTCGAGTTTCTTTGTCCATTCATCTCTGCTGTGGCCGAATCGTCTCTCCTCTCTCGTATTACAAAGACCTATCAAGTTGTCATTATGAGCTACTACTATGTGTGTGTTCAGAGAGGCTGCAAGGGTACACCACCTTGGCTTGATTGATCTGGGCCACATTCCAGAGCACTGATACCATCAACATACTTGTTGCTCCTGAAGACCACTGGCACAACAACTATGTGCGGTGGGAACCCTTTTCACATTCTTTGTTATGGGCCATCGCCGTCTTTTTCTTCTTTGTTGATATCTATTTATCACTCACCGTCGATATACTCTTCGGTTTGCTCTCTGGTTTCTACACACTCCCTGCGTTCTGTTGTGCTGTCCGCGTGCCACCTACGTCTTACCATAACAATTCAGTGACTACCTATCAAGATGCACTACGCAGTCTACCTTGTGGCATTGGCCACCAAGCTGGCCCTGGCCATCCCCCAAGTCGATTCGAGCCAATTGAGCGGTCTTCCACCTTGTGCTGTAAGTAGTCCTCCTTTGACGACTTTTACGCCTAGAAACGATTGGTCTGACCACACCTCCTGAGCCAACAGAGAGATGCAGCAGCTGCGGCATTGGGCTCGTCTGGTTGCTCTCTGAGTGACACGACTTGCATCTGCAATTCGAAAGCATTCCAGGAAGCCATCACCACCACCATCCTACAGTCCTGCTCTACGGGCGACGTCCAAGGTAAATATTGCTCGTCGCATTCTTGCAGGGGCTCAGATACTGACCATATACGTAGCTGCCGTGGCGTTTGGTCAGACCATTTGCGGCAAAGGCCTGGGTGCCGACGCTCCGACGGCAAGCGACTCATACAACGCCCCCACCGACGGCGCGGTTGTAGGTGGTGTTTCGACCACCACTGTGCCCACGACCGAGACGTCGACCACGAGCGTACCCGTGGACACTGCGAGTGCCACGATCACGGCCTCAGTGTCGACTGTCCCCACCACCTGGACGACCATGTGGAACACGTCCTGCACCACCACCACGGGAATGGCACCTACCGCTCCTGGCTCGGCACCGGCAACGTACACTGGCGCTGCGGTGGAGGTGAAGTTTGGTCAGGGAGTCCTCGCCGCAGTGGTTGGTGTCGCCGGCGCCGTCGCTCTGTTTTGAGGTGGTGGTTGATGCGTGGTCAGTCGTCTTGTATGACGCGGTTCACTCTACGCGAGGATACTAGTAAGGCACATACAGACAGGCCTGAGACTTGGTGTGGTGCAAAGGGGGGGGATAGATTTGGAACATGGGTTTTTCGTTCTATATCTCACTCAACTTATTTGGGCTTTTTTTACCTGACATGAGGTCGAATTTGATAATCTATATTGGAAAAATTTGGAGTTTGTGGCCATTGCTAGCAGTTGACACTGGATACCTTGATTACAAAGATATCGGAGAGACAAGTGTCATGTCTGTATGATACCAATATAATAATCATGGAGATGCCCGATTTGCACAAACATACGGATTTCATCGACGCTGTGTTGACGACGAGTACAGTCAATGGTGTTCGGCCCTCTATGGCGGACAGAAAACCCTCACGGACTATTCCATATTCTTTTATTACGCAGTACTCGACAAGAGACGTTCTTTTTTCTTCTGTTTTTTGGCTTACGAAAGACTTTCTTTCATACTATTTGTGACCACACAACACTCTAGCATTCATGATGGCACCTTTTACAGACCACGTAGTCGTCATATGCGGAGCAGGTAGTGGAATCGGAAGGGCAACATCCATCCGCCTAGCTTCGGCTGGAGCAAATCTAGCATTGTCGGACATTGATTCAGAAGGGTTGAAAACAACACTAGAATTGTGTCAAGATGCCGCCGCCGACTCTGCTTCTGTCTCTGCAAGTCCTGACAACAACCCACACTCTGAACAACAACGACAACAACAAAAACAAAACCACATGACCGAAATTGTAGATGTCAGATCTACAAAATCCGTCGACACCTTTGTCGCCTCGGTCGTACACCGGTACAATGGACGTATAGACCACGTCTTTAACTGCGCAGGTATCAATCCAACTAACCTCCCCACGGAAGACATAACCGACGAGTACTGGTCGAAGCTGATGGACACGAACCTGAAAGGGACTTTCGCCATGACGAGGGCATGCATCCCCCACATGCGCCGTGGCGGGTCTTTCGTCAACGTCTCTTCGGTTTGTGGTTTGTACCCGACGGCCGGGTTCGCCGTGTACTGTGCGACCAAGTACGGGGTGATTGGGTTTTCAAAGTGTATGGCATTGGAACTCGGGGAGAAGGGGATCAGGGTGAACGTCGTGGCGCCGGGGATAGTCGAAACGCCCACGAACGTCGCATTCCGTGCGGGACCGGAGAGGGTGCAGGAGCTCGCGAGGGATATCGGTCTGAAACGTACAGGCACGCCGGATGAGGTTGCTGATGTCGTGGTGTTTCTTTTCAGTGACGGGAGTAGGTTTATGAATGGGAGCGTGGTCGAGGTTGATGGTGGTGTTGGTATCGCTCAGTGATGATTTATTGACATCTGACACAAGGCGGAGGACCGACTGATTGTCTTCTTACAATTTAACATCCGATTTTGGTTGGGGTACTTCCGCATCTTGGGTTCCGACTGTTGCATTGTGCTTTTTTCCGATGCACGGTGTCAAGACGAGAAAGGCTGCGGTGCTGTTCAACAATCGAGACGAGCTTGTGCTTGAACCCTCAGAAGTTGGTGTTGAAGATCGGTCCTTGGAAGTGGATTGAGCTGTATCGGAGATCAAAATGTTGGCCTCCTTGTGCTCATCGGGGATCAGTCTCAGGTATGACATGACGGTAGCAGAGGACTCTGCAGAAGAACTTGAACGTGATGGTGGTTGATAATGTGTGCTTTGCTGGAATTGAAGCTGGAATAGAGCACCAAGTAGTTGTAGAAGAGTATTGTGTATTGTAAGGTAAAAATCCAGACCGAGCAATATAGGCAGGCAGGCAGGCAGCAGGCAGGGGTGGGTTTTTGTAAAGTGAAATTTCTTCATGGTTCAGGCAGTTGTCCATTATGGAGGCGCCCGGTGAACGCGAGACCGCGATGACTGTTGGCGGACCACAAAGCATGAATGTGAGACAAAGCCAAAAGAATTTCTTTGTAGTCTGTGCGATTCAATTATAGACCATTTTTGCGTATAGGTCGTTGTATGGCCGGGTAGATCTTTGGATGGATGGCTTGGAAAATTTCATCGTATCAGGAAAGCTGCAGCGATACCGCCTCCGAACATGGACGCGACGGTAATGAAGCTACTGAAGCTCATCGTCGCCATTCCACTGATGCCGTGTCCACTGGTACAACCCCCGGCCAGCCTGGCACCAAATATCATGGCAAAGCCGCCGGCTAGGGCCGCAGCTGGACTCGTCCCAGGGCCACTGTCTGCACTGATTGGGACGTACTGAGAAATGATCTTGGACCCTGCCATGATACCACCGGCGAAGATGACATTGGATAAGCCCGGGCCCGCCTTGCCTTCCAAGATGCTCCAAAAGTACCTGCCGATGTCCAGATAGGCGGTCGACACACCGAGAGTCTTTCGCGTGAAGAGAACCGAAGTGGCTTGAGCGACACCGATGAGAAACCCACCCAGGATCGGATTCAGCCAGTGGTTTTGTGCAGGCGGCGCAAGATGATTCGCCGCTATTATCATCAGGACACACAGAGCTTCGTAGATGAAGACGACGGATGTCGTAGAAAAGCCCGTCTTTTCCTGGACGGTATGTGACGCCGTTCCCTTGTCTGTCGCTGCTGCCGGAGTGGTCTGCTGGCGTTGCTGGTTGAGAGCATCTCCAATTTTCGCAAACACGATCCCGCCGAGGACACCGCCCACTGCGACGCGCCAGGCGGACTGGATGCCTAGGGCCATCTGCACCAAAACCGTGCCGGGACATGCACCGGTCAAGGTCATCCCGATACCTTGGAGCAGACCGCCGACGACGTTGGCGTCATATCTCATGAACCAACCATACGACGAGTCTGTTCGAGGTGCTAGTCGCGCATAGCCGGAGCGATTGGCGCCGACCACAATGAGTGCGCTGCACGCGCTGGCCGCGAGAAAGGACTTGAGCATGTGGAAATTCGAAAGTCCCATCTGAGAAACAATGACCGAAGGAGAGTAAACCCCAGACGCGGTCAATGCAGATCCGAAGATGGCGCCAGAAGCGGCGCTGAGTGCGAGCGACGCCATTGTCTGGTGGCGGTGTGGTGTTGCTGCTGATTCTCGACCCGGTTCCCTGGTCGCCGAAGAAGAAATATACGGGTTGAGAGGGAGAGAGAGAACGAATCGCGATAGCTGGAAAGGTTGAAGCTTGGTAAGCTACGTATGTTCTCTACAAGTTCGATACCGGAGAAAAGCCGATCTTCCCCGGACTCTCCAAGGTTCTCAGCGTCATCAAACACGTATACAATAGTAAGAATACACCATGTCTTCTTCCTCTGTATATTTACCTACCTTATGATAATGCTTTGCAGTCTACTTTTTCTCATGGTAATACAATGTCGGCCAGACCTAAACTGAATGTGCAGAACTTCCCACGACCACCCTTGCTGGAGCAGATTCCTCGACACCTACTGATACGATGGAGTGGTCAGACTCTTGCTGACACCCGATCTTCTTTCTGGGTCTTGGAAACAACACACCCACCGACATACTATCTTCCGCGAGACTCAATCTTGCATGATTTCAAGCTCAGCCAGGCACCAGGGAGAGCCTCGCTGTGTGAGTGGAAGGGTCGGGCCACATATTGGGATGTCACCAACCAATCCACGGGCGAGACAGTTAAGGGTAAAGTATGGAGCTACGAATCGCCCACGCCGGCATTCAAGGACATCAAGGGGTATCTGTCATTCTATGCCAATGATGTCCCATGGGAATGTTTCGTGGACGATGAGAAAGTGACACCTCAAGAAGGTGATTCGGCTTGTCCACACCCGACTTCACTCTTGACCTTTGACCTAACCTTTGATACAGGTGACTATTATGGTGGATGGGTGACTAGTGAATTGGAAGGTCCTATGAAGGGTGGCCCAGGTACATGGGGCTGGTGATACACTGCACATGCACAGTGTCAATGTCACGCTCTGGTCAGGAGCTTGTGATCAGAATAGGTTGCTGCGAACCTGGACAATCTGGACGAATATTGCTCTGACATGGCATGAGACCAGGCTTTGCTTATCGAGTCGTAGATGGGTATGATAGCACCGTCACGATACTCGAGAAACGCCATTCTCTTGTTCAGGCCATTCCACACAGCTGTAATCCGTATGTCCCAAGCTTTTACGCTCTTCGTGTATAACATGAATATTCCTGCCTCTCAGGGCTACTGCTTAGGGACTTGTCTACGGACAGCAAAAGAGGATGCGGGGGATCTTGCAGCTGGAAGGAGATGGAGGGAGACAATCGCATCACTGGAACCGCGCAAGTAGCGGGAGGCGAATTTCGGGTTGCAGGGATTGATACTCCGTACTTTGGATCTCATCGGAACACTGCCGGGTCGCGTATCTGTTGAAAAGAGTCCGGGGAGATGTGTCTCTAGAAAGGCACAAAGGCCAGAGTGTAGTGGGAGGTAAATCGCAGCTTGGGTTAGACGTTTATCTAGAATTGCCACGGGAAGAAATGATGGTCAAAGCCGAAGAAACGGCAAGACTCCGGGTAGAAGCGACAGGCGATTCCTGTTCAGCGTCGGCAGTTTGTGCCTCCGATGTATTTCAGGAAAACGCAGTTCAACCGTCGCTTTGATTGGGCTCTTGCGCCGTCCAGAGAACGTCAAGCCTCTCGAGATACCTCTCTATGCCTTCTTTCGCCATCTTCCGGTTGATCCCTGAAGCGAAGACTCGTCGTAGTCAATCTCTATCCGGAAGTGGCTTACTGACCTGAGAACGCCATATATACCTAGGTCGTGCCTAACGCGGCGTCAACGCTGCTTCGCACAAAATCTAGAGGTGATCCTGCCTGAAATTGTATCTTGTAACAAGGATTCCCCCCTCAAAGTCGGTCGGTGTGTGGGAAGGGTTCTTTCACAAAATCCCCTTTCTTTTCCTCTTCTCACCACGACGCAATAAAGGATGGGCGATATCTCGATGCCACCGAATACTCCATCCATCATGGAAGTGATTGACCTGTCCACTGGATGGTCGTTCAAGCAAACTGATGATATCGGAGACAATGCATGGAATCCGGTCAAGAAAATTCCATCCACTGTACACCAGGACCTCCTCGACTGCGGAAGGTGTGTGTATTATTGAAAGGCTTTCTACTGACGCTGATCGATATGCTACCTCTAGGTTGGAGAACCCCTTCATAGGTTTCAATGAGACCAAAGCCGAATGGGTAGGGCAAAAATCTTGGACATACCGCACTACCATTGCTAGACCAGATGTGTCGCCTAAGACGAAAGTTGTTCTGGCCTTTGACGGTCTCGACACGTTCGCTCATGTCAGGCTCAACGGGAAACTCATCCTGGAGAGTGATAACATGTTCTTGCCACATCGCATAGATGTTACCGAAGCGATCCAAGCAAGATCCGACAACGATCTAGAAATCGAGTTCGATTCCGCATTTCTCAAAGCCAGAGAAATCCGCGCCCAGCATCCCGAGCATAGATTCCTTTGTTTCAATGATCCACCTGATCGCTTAGCAGTGCGAAAAGCTCAGTGCCACTGGGGCTGGGATTGGGGTCCGATCTTGATCTGTGCCGGTATATGGAAGCCGGTACGAATTGAGATGTACCATGCGAGAGTCTCAGACCTCAAACTCGACATCAACATTTCGGACGACTACCAACTTGCGACAGTTCATGCAACAGCAGAGATCGAAAGAGATTCTAGCACACCTCCTCAATTGCTGGCTCAATTCAACATACTTCTTGATGGTAAGGTGGTATCAGCCAGCCACTGTGTAGCGGACCAAGATGGGAAAGCTTCAATCAAACTTCCCATTCCGAGTCCGGAGTTGTGGATGCCAAACGGCTACGGAAAGCAACCACTATATACAGTGACTGTCACAATTGCTACTGAGGGTATGCCACTTCATACGACATCTCGAAGAGTCGGCCTGCGGAAGATCGAACTAGTACAGGACGACGATGCTCATGGCAAATCATTTTACTTCAGAGTCAATGGTGTAGATATCTTCTGCGGTGGCTCCTGTTGGATACCGACTGATAGCTTCCTCACCAACGTAACGCCCGAGAGATACAGGGCATGGATCGAGCTAATGGTTCCCGCCAATCAGAAGATGATCAGGTAAGCTCATGATCGCAGTGCCACTGTACCTTGTCAGATACTGGTGAGGTCTATGCTGACGGTGGACCTAGGGTTTGGGGCGGTGGTATCTATGAAGACGACTCATTCTACGATGCATGCGACGAATTAGGAATAATGGTTTGGCAAGATTACATGTTTGCTTGTGGAAATTATCCTTGCTTTCCTGCCATTCTCGAATCCATCGAGGCAGAGGTTATCGCCAATGTTCGACGACTTCGACACCACCCCTGCCTGGCAATATTTGCGGGCAACAACGAAGACTACCAGGTTCAGGAGCAACTCAATTTGACGTATGATTATGATGACAAGGACGAGAAGAACTGGCTCAAATCAGACTTCCCGGCTCGATACATCTATGAGTCACTGTTACCTCGGCTCTCCAAAGCTGAGGCTCCTTGGATCCCATACTGGCCTGGTTCTCCGTGGAGCCATGGGAAGAAAAGCTTTGATCCGACAGTTGGAGACATGCACCAGTGGAATGTATGGCATGGTAAGCAGGAAAAATACCAGATCTTTGATTCACTAGGTGGACGCTTCAACTCCGAGTTCGGCATGGAGGCATTTCCTCACATTGCGACGATCAAAAGCTTTGTAGAGAAGGATGAAGATCTGTATCCTCAAAGTCACGTCCTCGATTTTCACAACAAAGCTGATGGACATGAGCGACGGATAGCCACGTATCTGGTTGAGAACGTGAGGACTTGTACCGACTTGGAGGCTTACATTCACCTGACTCAGCTCATCCAATGTGAAGCTCTGATGTTTGGTTATCGGGGGTGGCGCAAGCAATGGGGTGATGGACGACACTGTGGTGGAGCACTGGTCTGGCAACTCAATGACTGCTGGCCGACAACGAGCTGGTCGATCGTCGATTACTATCTCAGAAGGAAGCCTGCTTATTATGCTATGGCGCGTGTCCTGGCCCCCGTGGCGGTAGGGATCCGCCGTGCCCACCATGACTGGAGTGTAACACATGCTCGAGAGCCCCAGACCCAGGCCTGGGAATTGTGGGTGGTCAGTTCTCACCAAGAAGAAATCGCCGCAGACGTGGAGGTTAAGTTTGTCTCAGTTCGAACGGGCCGGGAGATCAAACCCAAGATTACAATGCAGGGCATTCGCATCGCGCCCAACGGTACAACACATGTCTCTGACGGACATATCGACAATGTGCACCAGGAACCCCACATACTTGCTGCACGGATTTGGGTCAATGGGAAACTAGTGGGTCGCGATACAGATTGGCCGCAACCACTCAAGTATCTACAGTTCCCGGAGCGCAATGTCAAAGTCGACCTTGTTGGTGACGAAATGCATGTTACAGCAGAGAGGCCTGTCAAATGTCTTGTCTTCGAAGAGCGGGAAGGATGCCATCTCAGCGACAGTGCTATCGATGTGGTTCCCAACGATAAGCAGATTGTCAAAGTAAGAGGTCTCAGGGATGGCGATCCTCCCTTGACCTGGACATACTTGGGGGCTGGCGAGCAAGGCACACATGCAGACTAGGCTATAACGTCGATGTCATGAATGCCTGGCGGGCAATTCCCAGTGGCAGAAGGTGAGTTCCATCAGCATCCAAGGCTCAGACAAGTACCATGTTGCATGCGCTATCACGACATCGCCAACCAGACGGCGAAAGGCTGACACCAGCCGGGGAAAGTGCCACGTATCGACAATCAATGCATCCAGGCAGAAGCATATATTCTAGAAATCTTTAAGAATAGCTAGATCGATGCAACAAGGGTGAAAAGGAAGCCGCCAGCGCATGATGATGATGATGATCCGGCCGGTAGTTGAAACGCCAGGCGCACCGGTAGAATGTCGGTGTGTCTCTTTGGGACCTCATAGCTTCACACCGGGATATATCTTTTCTCCTTCGAGAGTCATCTCACTACTCTGTCACTTGGCTTGGGTCTGTGCCAGAGCATGTACGAGGTCCATGAATATGTTGTAACTGATGAAGTGTTCCGTTACTGTTCATTCCCTGCTTGGAACCCTCCTTTTTGGAATTGTAGAAGCCGAAACAGCCCTGTTATGAGTGAGATTCGTTTGTCGGAGGAATTGTTAAGCCCTTGGGATGGGTTGCCTTGCGGATAATTTGATTCTGGAAAAAGCCTGTTATCCATGTCTATGCAAGAGCAGGGGGGTGTTTTGGCTTAGGACGAACGGAAGCCTCAGCAGCCATGGTATACTACGAGTCACCCTTGCAACTTGCATCATTGGCCAGTCAACAGGATCCGAATACGTAGCCACAATGCTGAGGTGGTTGTGTTTGTGGGACATTTTGGAAGTAGTGGTGTCTCTCTTGCGTTCGCTCGTAGGGTGATTGTCTGCCCCAATCTACTTTTGATGGCTTCATAGGTGGTGGTAGTGGTGGCTCTAGGTACTTGATGCCACATGTTAGCCGACGGCATGGCCTGGCGACGGGCTTTGCCGGTGGCAGATGTTCGGGAGATCAAAGGGGGGGCCGGACTTTGCTTTTGGGGGCTTTGAGACGCTTCGTTCAACATTGTCGAAATGCCCGAAGTCGTGCCTATACCGATAGTTACCTGCACAATCTCAAACCCCAGCGATCTGGTGGAGGAGGAGGGTCAAGTATAGTCTACTTTACCGTCCAGAGCACGAGGCCAACAGCTGCCGAAAATGTGTCCGAAAACATGCAGGCCCCACACAATCGAGGCAAGGCAAGGAGAAGGCGGCTGTCTACTCGTACTCCGTAACTCGCTATCTATTACTGTAGCAGGATTTGCATACACACTGACGAGGGTTTAGACTCACCCTCACTATTATTGGCGTGATATCAATTCAAGGAGCTAATTGCCTGGTCGTTTCGCTCCTTGACGGCTATAGCGCGATGCACATGGGCCAAGGTCAATGGAGAGACAAGGGAGTCTCTACTGGTCAGAGCGACTTCCAATCCACCCTCCGATCCTGAGTTTCCCTTCCCTGGTGTGCATCCATTTCTGCGACCCTTCCATGCTTTCCACCGGTCAGCTCTAGCTTCATGCAGGCAGATCATTCCAAGCATGCTAGGAAATGGATCCCAGCCGCAGCAATTGTCACTTTTTCCCCAGATTCTGCCACGGGCTCAAAACATACATGGACTCGTCGAGTCATGACATGTCTTTTAGCCACAATACGCCTGAACCGACTCTAGGCTTTACAGTGTCACTCTACACGCTCGAGAGATTGCCCTGCGAATCATAGCAGGGGTTGATCTTCATCTCACTCGCTGTCTCGTGCTTCCAGCCCCAAATATCTTGCCGACTCTCTTTTCCGCTTCATAAAGACTGTCAGGTCGCCCCAGGACCAAATTTGACTCCCGATGATATTCCAGACGCGGTTCCCAGTGAACAAAAGGTTCGTGTTCCAGGTAACCTTTCCATCAGTTGTTCTCCTCGGGCATCATCCTCTCTCTCCGGGTCCATTGATAAGGTTACGTGGCTCGTCCCTTCACGCTCATGACTCGAGACGACACGGAGAAAGCGACTCGCTATTCTGCGACCACCTTTATTCTCTCATTCAACAACATCAAAAATCTTGACCACTTCCAACATGTTCCATACTTTTGAGACTGCTCAGTATACAAGTCCCGAGCACACAGATCAAAATGCAAGCTCCGCGGCGAAAAGAAGAACCTCCACTGTAAGAGCCTGTGAGCCTTGTCGAAGGAGGAAGATTCGTTGCAATGGCGAACATCCGTGCGAGACGTGTCAGTGGTATCGGAAGACAGCTTCTTGTCATTACACTCAGCCGCGACAGAGACAAGTACCGACGCGGAGGTGAGTCCAGGTTGAGCTCCTTGTTGATTGTCTATCTAACTCGTCCCCAGATCGGTCGAGAAGATCTCACAAACACTTCAAGATTATCGAGGTGTCCTGCAAAAGCTCTTTCCCAATGTACATCCAGATCAACTCAGAGAGATGTCAAGGGACAGACTTGTTGAGCTCATCTCAAGAACAAATCCATGTCATCCACCTTCTCCTCGAACTCCTAGCGTGGATGAGAGACCTCATCGGGTGAACCCAGAAGCAGGCAGCCTCGAGCAGCTCCAGCCGATGCCTGAGGAATACAACGATTCGCTTGATCAAAAACCATCTCAGCTCCAGGGCATTACGGATGACGTGGACATGCTATCTTTGCACGTAAAACAGAATCCATCTTACCTTGGTATCTCTTCTGTCATGGCTGTGCTGAGAGTCATCACATGGCTGAACCCTGATTGTCTTTCCAATTCTCCGGATCGAAACGCCATCATGGGTCGAGAAGCGGCATCTTCACCTGAGCACTCACTCGCAGAGAGCGGGATAATGACAACGCCCGGGGACGCATCAGCCTCAACAGCGTGGAATGAAATACCACTTATCAATTCGTATTTCACCTATGTACACCCATTCATCCCACTTATTGAGGAACAGTCGTTTAGAGATACTTACATGGCCGCAAAGAGAACGGATTCAAGATGGCTTCTGCTTCTCAATACAGTGATGGCCATGGGCAGCGTTGCCAACGGATCTGCAGAGGATACAAACCATCAGATCTACTACGAACGTGCGAGACAGCATCTCAGCATCGAATCCCTGGACTCTGCACATCTGGAGACGATCCAAGCATTGGCTATCCTCAGCGGCTTTTACTTACACTACGTGCAGTCTCCCAATCAGGCGAACTCTCTCATGGGTTCTACGCTGAAACTTGCAACCATGCTGGGCCTTCACCGGGATTATTCAGAGGGTGTCGGTCCGGCAAAGGCCGAGAAGGCGGCTTACTCAATAGAGATGCGGCGACGAGTATGGTGGTCTACATTCATGCTGGACACGTGGGCTGGAAATTCTTTAGGGAGGCCGAGTATGGGCAGGTTGAGTCCTGCCATCACGGCCAAATTACCGCAAGAGCCCATCGGGCAGTCGCACGCGTTGCTTTCACTGGTACGGGAGAACATACGTTTCTGCGAGATTAGTACGACGATGGAAGACGGTCTTGCTTGCTCTCCTCTTTTAGATGAGACGGAACGCCAGGGTCTGGAAGCGATGTACTGCGAATGGTTCAAGAATTCATCGGTAGGAGCCGCTGCTTCGACACCACGTTCAACGGCAATTGAATCGCCTGGCCTGACGACTCTCAAGAACGTCATGAGATGGCGCTATTATACCAATCGTATCTACCTACATCGACCGGCTCTTCTGTGGTACGCAATGCGGAAAATGAAGTGGGAGAAGCTCTCTTCCGAGAAAAAGGGTGCTGTTGAACTATGCCGCGAAGCCTGTGCTGATCTGATCAATGACATCGCCACAACTTGGAGAGGCCAAAAGCCTTGCCAGATGGCGGGATGGAATGCCAACTGGTTGATGTATCAGGCGGTCATGGTTCCGCTGCTGAGTCTGTATTCTGACCCATCAGACACTGCCGTGGTTCGAAGCAGTCGACAGCAAGTCGAGACCGTGATGGCCACAATGCGGGACCTACAGTTGTGGTCAACAACGGCGAAAAGGTCGTTGGAAGTTGTCGTGCGATTGTATGAGTCTAGCAAACAGTCTGATGACTCTACATCTGCTGCAAGTACTTCCACCTCGTCCAAGGTCCAGGCGTCAGAGGCACAAGAGGTGTATGTTCCAAGCAATATGACACCAAAATCGACATCCACTCCACTTCCTCAGCAACAGCAGCCACAACAGCAGCAACAAATACAAGGGCAACAACAACCGTCATCAGGATTTCGCCCCTCGTACATTGATGTTTCTTATGCCAATTCATACGGCATTACTACGACCCAGCCACTCAGCACGGGTGGCCAGGATGTTTACATGGACAATATGTTTGATACTTTACGATGGAGTACGAGCTGGGACAGTCCCATGGGTGGCCCTCAGATGAGTCACGGTTGGGATTACAATGCCATGCAGCACTGGGCCGGCATGCCTCATGCCGACGAGTATTTCGATGTCGCGGGTGGTGGCGGAGGGTTCAATGATGATCAGCAGCAGGCACAGATGGGGGGATTTGATCTAGACATGCATCCGAGGCCTACAAACCATGCAGCACCTACTTCAAATCATCCGGGTGAGATGATGATGCGAGGACAATATGCACATGATACGATGGAGTTGAGACATCGATCATTGTGATTGGGATATTCCGACGTTTTGTCATCATCAACAAGCAGAAATGAAAAAGAGGTGTATATAGCGTGGCCAATTAGTCATCGTCAGCACAACCAAGTCAAGGACGAGGAGGAACCCCTGCTTTGCATCCATGGACTTTCTGTGTACAGCACCTGTAATTTGTTGTAAATTTTTGTATAGGTCAGCACAGGAGATTGTGGGTGAGATTGAGAAGCCAGGGGGCCAAGATAGCTCCTGTTTCGGTCATTCCTTGCGACATGGAATTCATCTCTGTGAGCTACTGAGTAACTACTGGATAAGCAAGTAGGCCTTACTTACACATCTCAAAGCTTTATAGGGAGAGGGGGGAGGACAGATTTTCCGACCTGCCTGACTTGGAAATGGATGAGATGTGGTGGTGTAAATGGGGAAAGTAAGTACCGATCACAACGTTCACCGCAACTGTGATGGGTGAAGTGTAGCCATGCATGCGGAGCATGCATGTTGTTCGCTTCATGTATCTTTGTATGCAACGCACAAGAAATCTTGGAATCAAACAAAAAAAGTCGCTGTGACAGGGACAGATGAGGAAGGTCGTGCTCAATGAGGAAGGTGGTGGTGTCGTGTTATTGTTAGACCTGTATATGTACTGTAGTAGGTTCTCCGTACATAGTGTACATCATGATAGACGAGGCTGTGGCTCGCACCAATTTTCACCACCGAGGACTCCGAGGGTATTTGCACGGATATTGACAAGCATTACTCGTTACAAATTGTCGTGAAGATCATGATCGTCTGGGGGTGACCAGGTCATATTTCGTAGTCATAATCGCAATGATTCATTTTGTGGATTCATCTTGAAGATAGGCTATGGTCCTTTGAAGAGGGGGGCGTGCTGCTGCTCTGTTACGAAGACGAGCGATCGACCTTCAACCTGTGAACCCATTGCTCATTGCTCGAAACTTCTCCAGGGATGGGAGAGAGATTCATGGTGGTCGTGAATATCCTTGGCCTCTTTTGGGGTCCAAAAGAATCAAAAACCAATCAAGAAATCAGAAAAGCAGGCTTGTTCAGGTATGTGAGGTACTACTGTCCTCCTGTGGGACTTTTTTCTTTCCCCTTCCACCGGTACGAAAATGCCAGATTATTCCCCCCTGTCGTTTTTACTATAATCCTTGCCGCCGGCAAATTCCTTGTGGCTTCGTCACAGCAGGGTACAAAAAGTGCCCCACGAAATTTTGCGAACTCCCCGGCCAGTCGGTGGGTTTCTACCCCATCGGGCACTGATCGCTCCATCGTTCCTTAAAAAGAAATAGTCTCGGCCGGTGTCAAAGCCTACCTTGGATCAAAATCCAATACTCCGTAAGACACCCCGGAGAACCTCAAAGCCTTGCAAGAAAGATCGATCAAGACAGTCCAGCACCATCACCACGAAATCAAGACCCATGACGTAAATGGCCATGCTGGAGACTTTGTACTCGTACTCACACTGTAGAGTAATGATTGCGGCCGAACTTACTACCAAATATAGACTGAGTATTGATTTTCTTTTTCGATGACCATTGTGCTCTGAGGAGAGAAGAGAAGTTCTGTGCCATTATTCAAAACAGGCAAGACTCTGAGCCGAAACAGCTGTCCGAGACCCGACCATGTACAGTCTACCATGTAAGGTATGCATATATAAGAGAGTAAAGTATGGGAACCTTTTGAATGAGAGGTAGGAACAACATCATCATCCAGACAAGTCAGACCGGATCAGCTTCAAAAAATACGAACAAGAAACGTTGAATCATGATTTCAAATCAGATTCTTCTCATCACCGGAGCCAATACGGGACTTGGCTACGAGACAGTACGATCATTATGCCAATCATCTACTGCGTATACCATCCTTCTTGGAGGTCGTGACATGACCAAAGCCGAGGCGGCAGTGAAACAGGTCCAAGCCGAATTCCCAAACAGTCCGAGTACGGTCAAGCCGATCCAAGTGGACATCGAAGACGATACTTCAATCAACAAGGCTTTTGAAAAGGTGTCGTCCGAGTATGGGTATTTGGACGTCTTGATCAACAATGCAGGTGAGATAGCACGCACCAGAAAACATCCAACTGACCAATTCCGGGGTCTACGTCGGCATGCCTGCTGACTTCTGAGAATGAAAAGGAGCCCAATTCGACCCTCTGATAGCCAGTGGGAAGTTGACCATGAGAGAAGCCTGGAATAAGTCTTGGGATGTCAACACCACGGGCACTCAGATCATGACCTACACTTTTGTGCCGTTACTTCTCAAATCGTCGAGTAATAATGGTCCCAGGCTACTCTTCATCACGAGTGGCACGTCGACCCTCACCGAAGCCGAGAAGGGGATGTTGTGGATCGATCAGCCCGCGCCCAAGGGTTGGCCGAAGGAACCGATGAGGATAGGACTGGGTTCGTATCGTTCCGCAAAAACCGGTATGAATATGATGATGAGGGAGTGGGTTCGCATCCTCAAGGAAGACGGTGTCAAGGTGTTTGCCATCTCTCCGGGTATGTTGGTGACGGGACTGGGTGGTAACCCGGAACTGATCAAGAAGATGGGAGGGCTGGATCCGACCATCGGTGCCAATTTCGTCAAGGATGTGGTCGAGGGAAAGAGAGATCAGGATGTTGGGAAAGTCATCAGAAGAGACAATGTTCAGCCATGGTGAGTTGGCTTTGAACAATCACCGGGGGGTCCGGCAAGGCTGGCCTTTGACCCACCAGCAATGTTCGTCCGTACGGAGTTTAGCCCCATCGAACACAACTTACCTCCGTGGCGCACGGCACGCTTGATTGTGGTAGCTTAGAAATGAAAGGCATCAGTATTGATGAAAACCCTTGTCAAAAACATGTTTCTCTCATGCCAAATATCGCTCCGGATACTCCCAAGACTTTTCTACCTGGTAAAAATGTACTCGTAAAGAAGAAACATGACAGACTTTACAAGTTTGACCACCAAATTCCGAGCGGATCCATCCACGTCCAAAATCACCAAACGACCAAGAGAGTCTCTGGCGTGTAATCAATGTCGAAAATCCAAGCTTCGATGCGACAGAGCGCAGCCATGCGGGAGTTGTGTCAAAAGAGACGTCGCAACGGCGTGCTCCTACCATCGACCTACCCCGTCCAACCACTCTCAAAATGAGGGTGCCCGCTCGTCGTCCTCCGTGGCCGAGGATAGATTGATGCACCTCGAAGCCATGGTCAGGGAGCTGATGGAGCATCAGCAGCAACAGTCGTCGTTGTCGTCAGCCACTGAACAAAAACCGACGGCGGCACATGCGATGCCAACCAAGCCCAGAACACCACCTTCATTGCCTCACGACCCGGTCGACCTGGACCTCCCCACTGACGCGTCTTCCTCGTCGCCGTCCTCCGGCGGCGACAGTCGCTACGTCGGATTCACACATTGGTCGGCCATCCTCGACGACATTCAAGAACTAAAGGTCGCGCTGACGGCGCCGGACGAAGTTTCTGAGAGTACCACCGCCGGCACATCTTCTTCTACTACTTCCACCCCACCCAGGTCGGCTCTTTCAGGGTCGGCAGGAGACAACGACGATGACATCATCTTCGGAGGAGCGAGTAGTTTCTCGCTTCGAGACATTCTGGATCAGGACCTCCCTCCCAAGGTCGAAATCGACCGGGCTTTGGCCGTCTACTTTCGCGGGGAAACGTTTGTCGTTCCCTTTGTACACACGTACCAATTCCAACGTCAATACCGGGAGTTTTGGGCCGACCCTACAAAGGTCAACCCTTTATGGCTTTCCATGTTGTTGTCGATATGTTACATGGCATCTTTGATTGGGGGTTTTACGGGTACCAGTGCCGCCACCACCGCCACCACCACCAACTCCACGACAGACGCCTCTCGTGAAGGAGAGGAGGGCGACCTCATCCGTCGACGCCGTCACCGACTCCACAGAGCCGCGGCGAGGTGTTTGGTCTTGGGAAGTTATCGACGACACCAACCTTTCGCGCTCGAAGCTCTCGCCATCTACGGCCACTGCAAAAACCTGGGCACGCTCGAACCGTCACGCGAGGCCGGCACCATCCTTGCCATTGTGGTCCGCATGGCGTACGAGATGGGCTACCACCGTGACCCGGACCACCTGGCCGGTCAGGGCCGGGGCCACGGACGCGGTCACTTTACACCGTTCGAGGCCGAGATGCGCCGTCGGTTCTGGGCGGTCTTGAAACAGTACGACACCATGGTGTCGTTCCAGTTGGGTTTGCCCAGCAGTATCGTTTTGGAAAACAGTGACACAAAGCCACCTCGACATCTGTTGGACGCGGATTTTAACGAGTCAACCACGCACCTACCACCTTCGAGGTCCGAAGAGGAACCTTCTCGGCTCCTTTGGTTCATCGTCAAAGACCGGATGCTGGCGTTGTTCAGTAAAGTATCACGAGACGCCTTGTCCTTTTCCGAACGGTCAGAAGCCGAAATTTCGGAACTCGACCGAGAGATCCGTCGCGTCCATTCTGGTATCCCCGAAGTCCTGCGAAGTCGAGCCCTGGCCGATTCTTTCACCGACTCACCATTTTTGATCATGACTCGGTTCTACATCGAATTCATCCACTTGAAGAACTTGCTGGTTTTACATCGCAAGTACATGGTCAAGGGTAATGTGTTTAGTACAATGGCTTGTGTCGAGGCAGCCAAAAGTCTGGTGAGTCAATTCGTCGACATGTACAAGGAACAACAAAACCCAGAAGGTCAATTGTACATGGAAAGATGGATGTTGAATAATTTCACCATGAATGATTTCTTGTTGGGTGTCATGGTTTTGTGTCTCGTGGTACACCTTTGTCGTCAAAGAAGATTGAGGAAGAATTGGAGTCGGGGTGGTATTTCTGGTCATACTGCTACCACTTCTACAGCTACTACTGCCGCCGCCGCCGCCGATGATGACAACGGTGGTACAAATCAATATCAAAGTTTCGCCATCGAATTAGCCACCCAAAAAGAAGTCTTTGGTTTACTCGAACATTCTTATGACATTTGTCTGGAAAAAGGTCCGGCTTGTAGAGACGCACAAAGAGTTTCACACGCCATACGATTGACTTTGGATCAACACCGACACCAACAAACAAAGTCAGAGTTCAAACCCACGACGACCTCTGATTCATCTTCTACTGCCCAGTGGATTAATGTTCCACCACCTCCTCAAATGTTCCCTGCCAGTACAAATACAAGTACGAGTGTGAATACGAATGGTGTACCCTCGGGAGGTATACATGATTTTGACCATCGGACAGGTATCGACAATACTGATGTGACATTGTTCGACTTTTCCGAATCCTCTCTCGACTCGACCCTCAATCTCGATCCGATGTTTTTGGGGCCAGAGGAATCCGGACGTCCATCGACTACTTGGTTCAACAATAACAATACCATAAATGACAACAATGTTATCCCCACCGATACAGGTTTGGCATTCGATTCTCTCAACCTAGTATTCAACGATTTGGACGATTTGAATTTGAATTGGATGTCAAACTTTGATCCTCAAATATCGGATTCTTAGATTTACACGACGGTGCTCCTTCTCCTACATATACTTCAGGTGAATAGCCACCTCCAAGAGGGGAAAAGGACAACGAAACGAAGTCCCAATCTCTACGATGGGCAACTTGCAAAAAAAAAGAGTGACATTTACCAAGTTCGAAGCACGCTCCAAACTCCCACACTCCCCTGAACTATGTACTCGTACTCACCGTATACCTAATCTACATTTGACGGTGAGAGCCAGATCAACACAAGTCGTGAATATGTCTTGTTACAACCCAACGCCGATTAACACAAAACTACCATGCCCTGAACAGTGGCTACTGCTACTACATGTCCCATCGCAACAAAGATTTCAAGATCCACGACGTCCTCAAAAAGCATCTTCTTCAACTACCTGCAACAGCAGCCCGAGAAAATGATCAACATCGCTGAAGATAATTGCTAGGTACCAAACCAACACCACCACTCCTTGTCCCCTTGACGCTCTCGCGAACCTCTGCTTCCCACCATCCGTCGTCTTGCAACCTCAACACGGCCAAGATGTCACCCTTGCTGAAACTCAACTCTTCCGGGATGGCAGCCGTGTAGGTATACATTGCTCGTGCTAATGAGTCGCATGTCAGTTTCTTAGTACATCTGTCTTGACGCGGGTGACTTACCATAATGCAAAACTTGTGGTTGACCAGGTCGGAATGGAATGTTTGCCAAACTCTTGCTCCTTTCCCTCTTCAACTCAACATCCATACCACCACCGCCACCACCTCGCTGTCTGGATTCACGCCCGTCATAGCCTTGTTGGTACCGATCGCCACCAAAGCTGGATGTGGGTCTCATCATGCTCTGTCGTCCTCGGCCGCTACCGGATCCATCGTACCTGGTTACATCTGACGAGCTGAGTTGCATCTCCATTCCGCTCCCTTGCCTCGATGCCGAGCCTTGACCCCTTGGTCTGCCACCGTATGGATTGGGCGATGCCGCACGGTACTGCGACCCACCTTGCTGTTGTTGCTGCATCATTCCTGGGCCTGGATTACGAGATCTCATGTAGGGATCCTGTCGTTGAGGTTGCGGGCTAGCAGCTCGAGGCATTCCGGGTGCCGGGCTCCTTGAGCGCTGGTATTGATTCTGTGGTTGAGGGCTAGCAGCTCGCGGGTTCATGCCAGGTGCTGGACTTCTTGATCGTTGATATTGACCTTGTGGTTGGGGACTGGCTGCTCGCATCATACCTGGTCCAGGACTTCTTCTTCCATCTCTAGCTTGCTGAGTACCTCTCGGATTGGCCGTTACCGATCCTGTGCCCCAAGTCTCTGTCCGGTTCAACATTTCTTTCTTTGTGTGAGCTGGCTGCGGAACTCCCAACACACTGTGTCTTGCCGCTCCAGACTCGTATGCTGGTGGTGGTGTTCCTCGCTGCGCCGCTAAACGAGCCTGAGTTTCAGCGCTGCTGATACCGGGTCGGAGGGCTGGGTCTTGATCAGGAGTTGGGGTGGCCACGCCGTGATATCGATCCACGGCTACACGGGTACTCGATTGTTTGGCCATCCCTGTGACGCCGTTTGAGGTTCGTTTGAGATCTGCCAGTGCTTGTGCAATAGGGTCGTTCATCATATCGTCACCCATTGCTGAAGGTGGAGGAAGGAACGAATTACGATTTGTCATGCTGGCTCTCGGCGTAGAATCCTGTCCATCGGGACTAGCGACATCGAATACGTTATTACCGACATTCAATTGGAAGTTCGCGCGAGGGTCCACGGGCTCTTCCCCCTCGAATGACATCGATCCAGCATTGCGGTTGAAGAAGCCCGTCGATTGCTTGGTGGGAGATTTGGTAGGGCTGGACTGTGTGCTGGATACTGGAGCATTGAGGTTGATTCTCCCGCCACTTGTTGGGTTTGAGGACCATGGGTCGCCAATCTGAGGACTGGTCTTCGAACTGTCGTGGCCTTTTCTCGACTTTCTCCGGAAAGGACTGTTTGAGAAGAACCCAGACCGCTTCTTCTGCACCGATTTTTCTGGTGAGCCCATTCCAGGGAGTTCCACACCACCTGCCGGCGCCATTTTGATTGGTGACGTTGCACCTGACATCGGATCAGCACTGGTGAAGGAGCTGGGTACGGAATACTGGCTCTCGCTGTCTCTGCTTTCCGGTCGGGTGTTGGAAGACAAGGCAGACCCTGACACCGAAGACGCAGCATCTGCTCGACAGAACATGGTCATTCCATCTGTTGGATACTGGTTATGTGGTACTTGAGGCACATCGCCATGTTGACTTGGCGAGTAATTTGGAGGGACATTGGGACCAGTCTGTTTGTAATTGAGAGGTGGCGGCCGTCCACTGTTTGAATTTGAAGGGGTAGGCAAGTCTTCTTCATTCGGAATCGTCGGCTCTTCTGACATGCGCTGAGGTGTGGTTCTTGTTACGTTCGAATGTGTTGGTGATGAGCTTCTGAATGCGGGATTTGTCGTTCGTGAGAACTGTGCCACTGAATAGTTGTCATCTTCCGAAACTTCAGATTGGCTGTCAACATCGCCTCGGCAGAAGTTGATGTATCGTGGAGGATCTGGAATTTCTTGACCGGTACCGCAGATCTTGATGAAGCTGGTTATGTCCTTTTCCACCTCACAACTCTCCAGTGCCAGCCTAATCTTCTCGCAGGAGGCATCATCAGACACGCAGACTGTCGATGCAATGTTGGCGAATGCCCATAGAGAAGATTTGGTAAAGTCCAATCGTTCTTCTTCGAGATCCTGGAACTTGTCGCAGGCGGCTTTCCACTCTTTGTTCCATCGTCCAGTGGTTTCCTCCAGCACTTTGACGGCAGCTTCGTATTCTTGAGAGTTCGAAGCCATGTTGATCTGTGTCTTCTCGAGTTTGGCCTTGTTCTTCCGCTCCTCTTGTCCCATGACCATATGCCCTTGTGCCAGGTAACCTTTTATTCTCAAGCAGTCTTGTTCATACTTGTCTCGAGCCTTGTTGACGTGAGCGGTTTGCGCTTGCTTGGTCTTTAGGAGCTTCTCAATCCCATTCTGTATGATTTTGCGGCGCTCCTTCATGCCGCCTGCGAACGCGGCCAGCGGTTCTTCCAGCTCAGATTTCATTTGCTGAGCGATCAAGCCATGTTGTTTGGCCATAGCCTCCGTCTCCCCTCTCGCGACATCAAGACTCGCCCGCAACGTCCCTTGTTCAACGCTTCCCAGTGGCTTCCTTGACAAATTGTGAAGCTTCTTCGCATAATCTTCTTCGAGCGCGGCGCGAGCGGCGTAGAATGTCTTCAATTCGTCGCAGGTCGTTCGGGCACTTTGCATTCGGGTCAGCAGAGGATCGACTCCAGCGTCATCTCGTCCCCAAAAGTTGTTCGAAACTGGTCTTGTTAGTTGCTTCCATTGATGGTTCTATTCCGTCGGAAGTCTTACAGCTTAACGGCACTGAAGGAGGGGCTCCTATCTCGGACTCAGTGCCTGGAGGCATTATGCCCTGCGTCGTTCGATTCTGTTACTGTAGAGAGTGCGACAATAATTTGGGTTTATGATGGCTGCGATCACATATGGATAACTGATATGACAGAGGTCGCAGGTAAATGGCTGTATGTCTGTGCACTCTGGTCTTGAGAAAGGAACTGGCCTACATTGAACACGGTCCTGGAGTGACAAAGTCGGTCAACTCCCCAAACAGACTCGTCGCCCCAGCAACAAGTGGCGCAGTTTCGAAACAGGCCGATGTTATTCCCAGCACCAACAGCACATTGTCATGGTTTTTATCGGTACAATGCATTATTATTATAATTATTATTTGAATAAAGAGTTGCATCTCCCTTCCCGGATACCTTTCTACTGCAGAAATCGTTTTCCAGGTTGTCTGCCAGACGCCCGGGAAAGGAAGAAGCCGCCGGAGGTGGAGGGTAATCTACACAACCACGGCACCAATACTTGTACAACTGAGCCGGAATTTGCCCCCAAGGCTGCGTTTTGCGAAGTTAACTGACCCATCAACATTTGCTGCGTATTGTGTTTCTGGATGGCATCGGAGTGAGAATTGTGGCCTTGTCTGAGAGGCTTCAATGACTCGATGGAGAGAGGCACGCCTGCCCAGCAGATTCTGTAATGTCGACGTATGGTGGTTCCAAGCCGTCCTCAACAATATCCCACTTTGGCACTGGGATCTCACGTGTAATCAGTTTGACGATGGCTGAATCGATCTGGGCGGCTTGTACAATTTTGTTAAAAGTCCGTAGTTTCACCCATCTCTTCTTGGATAAGCACCATCTGCCGATTAGATCTCGTACTCTTTGAGAAGGATATTATACAGGTTGTCCGAAAAAGCCTTCTCTTGACTAATTATTTCTCAACGCTTTGTCTTCTGGAGGGGTCCTGGCAGTAAATCGACTGGATGCAATCGATGCTCACTCATCATCCACAAAGGAATTCGCCAAACGCCCGAAGAATGGGACCTCGTAGTGATCCAAGGTATCGACATCCCGATAAGCATGCATAGCCAAAAAACCAATCAGCAACAGGTCGACCGTGAAGAGCATCCACGAGAGTACGCTGGACCACGCGAGAATGAGGTGTAAAACGAAGATGACGGCGAATAGCATGCTCGATTGCCATGCGTGGAAACGAACGTAGTCGCTCTTGTGTTCGAAGATGAGAAGAAACACCCCTCCGGCAGGTGGAAGTAGAAGGTATGCCAGGCAGGCTTCATAGTCCAACCTGATAGGCAAGCTCGTCTCGAAGGCCTCCAAACTCTGTCCCCGCTCTTGCTGCGAAGAAGCAAAGGCATTATTATTATTCCCGAAAGCTCTTTGCGGGTGTGGTGCAACTTCTGATATGGTTCTCGAGGGAGGCTGCGATGGTCGGCTTTGAGGTGGAGGAGGAGATCGCACTCTTTGAGAGTCGAGAGACGGCCTGCTCTTAGCAGGAGGGGGAGATAGAGCACGTTCTCTAGAGAGAAAGCATGTCAGTTAGGATCAAAAGATCGTACCAGACGGTTCTTAGCAGAAAACAACTCACATCTCTGGAGATTCATCTTGGTACGGCGCAAAGTCCATTGTTTATTGTGAAGCCGGGAATGGTGACATGAAGAGATGTAGCTGAGACGGGAAGATGAGATGAGATCCTAGTTCAGCAGTGATCAGTAACGGCAGATTGAGTCGTCGCGGGATCCTTTTTCTGCTAGTCGAAAGAGTCGAAAATGTTCAGTAGAATTGTCACTGTATTCCACTCGGGATGAAGCCATGTACTCAAAATGATGCTGCCTACGCGGCGGTCTCTGAGGTCAGAATTCGGGGGGCTTGGCCACTAGCGAAGCCATCGTCCAGATCATGGTTTCGTCCAACGTTTACTCACTCACCAGGTTGTAAACATGCAGTACAGCACTAGATTTGCTGCTCTGATCTTAACATCTTGATACGAAAATCATCATGATGGACACAAGCCACCGCAGCATCAAGAAAAAAGCCCAAGGTAGGGAGATTCAATACACTCTGGAGATAATGACTGGTCGTGCCCGGGCGGAGGAATTGATACCGCCGCCGCTGTACTCAGAGCCCCGAAAAGCCCCAAAAGCCACAAAAGAACCGTGCGTCGATTCCATAATCGTCGTATTCGTATCCGAGGATATATATGGGGGATGTACGGAGTACTTCCTTCTTTATCATTTGCTATTCCTTCTTCGATCACCATCTGACCGTAGATGATAAACACTGAAGAATCTCGAATAGATATTTTGTACGATTCACATTCCCTCTATCATCTTACCTCATCATGTCGGATGATGGCGTTGTAAAGACATGGCCACGACTGCTACTGCGACTTGAAGGTGCCTGTATCTTCGGCTCGACAATTTGGGCATATTCGCGACTCGGACAATCCTGGTGGGCTTTTGCCGGTCTACTACTCGTTCCAGATCTGGGCATGGCGGGCTACCTGGCCAACACTACCGCTGGTGCCGCTCTATACAACACTGTCCACACCGAAACACCTCCGATATTGCTGCTTTGCACAGCATTGGCACGAAACAACAAGGTCCTTACCGGAATAGCCCTCAGTTGGCTCGCGCATATTGGCATGGATCGCATGTTTGGGTTTGGTCTAAAGTATGGAACCAGTTTTGGTCACACCCATCTGGGCAGCGCCGATATCACAAAGAAGACGGCCACATCTTAGACAAATGTTCAGCTTTTTTTTGGATATCTTGGAAGAAATGATTTCTTGTATCGCAATTTGGGTATCTCCAGGAACATCAATACTCCAGGAACATCAATTTGGTCGCCCACTATTAGCATTATCGTCAGGGCCTGATAAAGTCAAAGACTTTTGTATGTACTTTGCGGCCTTTTCCATCGCGGCCTAACAAATCTTCCGCATTACTACACGAGTATCTTCAGTCTTCCTTTCCTTGTCCATTCTTGTCCTCTGTGTAGATTTAGTCATGTCTTGGTTCTGTTTGTCGATTGCGGACGAAGTTGTCACGCCGTCACTGGGGTCATGTTCGCTTTCAGATGTGGTCCAAGATACTCAGGGAGGAAACAATCGCGCCACTTGAGTTCTTTCGGGCTGTCATCTCTTTGTCAGTATCTCATCAGTCCATTGTATCTTTATGGTTGCATACCTTGAAGGGTCGATCTCGAGGTTGAATTCTCGAAAGACGTATGCAAAAGTCAGGTACAGCTCTGCCCATGCCAGACTAGACGATGATCAGTATTGGCCGGGGAGCCAGGGGCAGATATGACGGCTTACTTCAGGCCGAGACAGCTACGCGGGCCTCGGGAAAAGCTGACGAGCCATCTCTCCAGCTTCTTCCCATCCGCACCGAGCCATCTGTCAGGCTTGAATTCGTTGGGTTGCTCAAAAATATCTGCGTTACGGTGCACAAAATGACTGCTCATTTCCACAACGGTCTGTCATCGCGAATCAGCATTGGGGAGACAGATATTTTCCATCGCGCGGGGGAAACCATACACGTCCTGGTATATATCTGCCGTCGATGTTTGCCCCGGCCTGAGGCACATGTCTCGGTAGCGGCGAAGCGACACCGGGACTCATTCGGAGGGATTCTTTGAGTACTGCCGTCTGTATTCTATGGTTAGCCAGCCCTCGTCGACAATCGATCATGTCGACTCACCAGGTACGGGAGTTTCTCCAAGGTTGCCAACGACGGTGGCTGATCCAGATCTGGCCAAGCTTCATGAAGTTCCGCAATGAGCTTCTTACGCACGTCTGACTTCGTCATGACGTAGAAGCTTCCATGCATTAGTGTTGTGCCTGTCGTGTCTGCACCACCAAACATCAAAGCCTGCGACTCCTCGTACAAACTTCCAGCACTTGGAACCTGGCCTCCGGGATTCGATTCTGGCTTCAGAAGCTCATGATAGATTGTCGTCGAGTGTGGTAGCTTCTTCAAGTTTTCGGGATTGCTGGTGACGTTGTTAATCTCCCTCTTAAGCTCCTGCATTGATTCAGCACGAAATTCACTCGATCGGTTTATTGGCGGGCGCATCTGACCTGTTGAAGGTCGACCAGACCCGCAGTTTGGGGACTGATGACCTTGGAAATGTTAGGCGGGCAGTGGATGATCATGTTCTTGTACATGGACGAATGCTTGAAGGCGGGAAACACTGGCAACGAAGCATCCAAGGCTAGGATGATAGGTGCCGCATGATCGGGGGCATTGACAGCGTCCACCGAGTTACCGAAACACAAATCTACCCCCTGCGTATTAGCACAAGATACCAAGAGACAAGTCATACTGACAGGTAATGACATCAATCGACATGCAGCGGAAGGCATAGAACAAATTGACTGGGCTGTCCGTATGGCGACGGAAGGATTCGCACAGTGCAATAACCTTGGACCATGTCAGTTCACGTCTTCTCCCCTCCATCTACCTTTATTTAGCCACTCACCTTTTCCCTCACGAGACCTTCAGCCTCGGTGATTGCCTTCTTCGAAAAGACGCGGGCCAGGACGTCCTTTCTCGGTTTGGCGTCTTTGTACTCGAGAAACCCAAAGGATGACCTGTCTTCGCCGAAGCTATGATACAGGTTCTTCTCCTTGTCCCATCGGTTGTTGGCATTGTAGATCTCGTGGTAGACTTCGGGGTTAGAAAAGTGCAGCTGTGCACCAGAGTTACACCGATTTGAAGAGGCACAAAAAACAATCTTCCAACACATACCTCGTTAGGACCCACCCTCACTACGTTTCCTGTGGATAGCCGGTCAGATACTGTCGCAGAGAGAGTTGGCTAATGACTACCGTATTGAGCATGTAACTTCTCCAGAGCCTGTACAAAGCCCGTCTTCGCAACGACGTCGATGTATGCCTTGTACAAACTCGTGGCAGCTGCAAGTCGAGGGCCCGGGAAGGCAGCCAATGGATGGAAATAGACGTTGTAGGTGGCATGTAGCACCACCCATGCAGAGATTGCCAGCACCAAAGTGACACAGCCTTGGACGATGCCGAACGAGGCAATCGTTTGGGCGAGTGAATCAAAACTTGATGGGACAGCCATGGTTGACATGAAGTGACAGGGATCTCGATTTGTTCGGCCCCCCAGCTTGTGGGAAATGATGGGAGGGAGAAGAAACGAAGAGCGTTTCAGGATGGAGAGAGAGGGTGTGGACAAACTAAACAGCTCTCTTTTTGAGGAAATGGGAAATGGACGGCGATTGTCCATGCAACCGATAACACTATCGTCCAAGGTGCATAAGACTGTGAGGGGCGATCAATGCTAAGGGCAGCGGACCGGCCCAACCGGGTATAGTCTAAAATCTCAGTTGGTAGCTTCGGGATACTAGCACTAATAGCTACATTACAATTAGCGTAGAATACCTGTACCTAACACCGTATAGTGCAGGATTATGCCATATAGTACGAATCTTTGTATAATTAACTACTCAAAGTTATCCCTATACCGAACCAAAACTTTTGAGATTTAGTATTAATGTATTATCCATAATGTTTATAAGTTAATGAAATCAGCTAAATGAAAGGTTTTAATATGCTCAGTTAATTAATGTATTTAATGAATTTTGTGTTAACAATTGTCTAGACAGTCTAGGCAGTCTAGACCTCGTCTAATATTGTAATGACATTTACTTATTTTCTGCAAGCCGTGCGAGAACATACAGCGACGGCCGAGATTTCCCGTGGACCGATCAGGGAAAACATTAACTGGGCATGTCATGTTTTCTGCAGCTATCAAGAGATAAACATCTGCTTGTTCTGTTCTACCCATTCCTCAAACGTAATTGCTTTCTTGCCAGTGTATTTCTCGACACTCGACAGCTGCTCAGGGCCGACTGGATAGCCACAAACCAGACCGCGTGCCGGGTCTACGGCCCCCGATTGTCTGATCATGTAGTCCGCGAGAGGCGCAGGCCAGCGACGCTGTTCTGTAAACATCTTGTATGCTTCCTCGCTCCCCATCGTTTCAACGGTAGGATTCTTGCCCAATACCTTTGCGAGTGTCTTGACGCAGTCCGCTTGGGAGATCAATTGTGGCCCGTACAGATACATGGCCGGGGTGTTTTCGTCCAGCGGCCCTTTCACAAGAACCGTGCCACAGGCCCTCCCAATGTCCTCTTGAGCAATTGCATCGATCGTAGCATCTGGTGCGAAAATCTTGACCGACCCGCTCTCAAGTCCTGCCTTGTACTGTATTGTGTTGCTGGCAAATGAACCTGGTCTGGCCGCGATGTATCCGCCTGGGCCAAACACCTCTTTCAAACTGATCTCGACTTGAGCGTGTAGGTAGGGTATAACCTCACTAGGTTTCACATCCTCTGGCTCACCTTGGATGGTGAAGCTGCTGAGCAATACCACCAGGTCGATACCGGCTGACTTGAGTGCCTGAATGGTGGACTTCATGTTGTCGGGTGAGCGGTGGGCGATGTAAATGAACGCACGGGTTGCTTGAGTGCTAGTTACAGCGTCGCGTACAGAGTCGGGGCTGTGTAGATCGGCTTGTACTCTCTCGAAACTGCCATCTTTCACCTTTGCCTCGTCGAGGCCTGGGATGGGCTTTTTCGTGTCCCGCATCGCCAGTACCACCCTTGCTCCGAGTTCGTGGGCAGTCCGTGCGGTGGCCGACCCAACCGCTCCAGACGGTCCAAATACTATAACCTTTGGAGCAGCCATGTTGAATTTCCAGGTGGAAAGTACTAAGTCTGGTATTGAAAGCCTGGTGGAAGATTTTTCGAAGAGTCACCGTCAAGAAGGAATGTTGATAAAGGTCAGATTGAGAAGCAAATGCTGCCACTTATATAGTTTCTGTGCATTTACTCGCAACCGAGAACAATAGTTCAGCCAGCGCCATCTGGGCCGTCTCTAAAGCATACCATAGGAGACAGACCTGCCGCGAAGAGCGGAATGAAACAAGGTTTCGTACTACTCCTTCACTTGCGTTGCGGAAGAGTACATTGATGCCTATTTCCAGACCGGATGTGCATCGGCAATCAAGAATGTACTCAACGTATGTCTTCAAGAAAGAATTCATACCCACAGCGCAGGAGTGTGAGGGAGGTAATTGGATGGTGGCCTCGAGAGCAGCTCGCGCTATTCTTAAAGCGGGAAACAATCTCAAGCACGCTAAATCTCTCCGCCGGCAAAGCTTTCGACAAGAACTTCATCCGTTTAGAAGATTCTGCGTGTACAGTATTTCGTCCCATTTTGAACGTTTCTTTCAGAGCTGTGTTATGTGTCCGGCTCTTTTGGTGAACAGAGCCTACCCGGTTTGAAAGTCCGAATGGTTCCGCAACGGTGTTTTCGTCAGGGTGTTAGGTGAAGCTTTGACGCTGCATCAGAATTTTCTGACTACCATGGTAGCAGCATGGCTAACGACAGGGATACTTCGGGTGAGTTTGCGGTTATCTCATTTCCTAGGCGATTGATTTGACCTTTCGCTCGTCAATCAGCGCCAGGGATGCCATTCGTCATCTCCACCAGCATGGCGAAAACGGATCCTGAAATGCGTAAGTTGATCAGGAGCCATTGCATGCTGGGGAAGAATCGCGGAAAAATCTTGCATAGCAGACGAAAACCCAAGACGGTTGTTCCAATCTCAGTCTCAAGACCAGTCCAACAAGTGCTAGACCTGGAGCCTGCTTCCTCAGTTCCCAATCGGCTTGGCTCAGAATTGTCTCTGTTACGGTTTGCCGATTCAGTAGAGCCATCTACGCTATGGGAAGTTTTGAAATGTAAGTGACCGCGCCCTAATGTATCTGGCAGAATATAATGTAAGATGTGCTGAGAAACTAATGGTGCTGGCCTTTGAAGTCACCTCCACCTCGAAACAGATTTTCTTTCCCTTAGAGAGATGCTTTGATTTCAACGTAAAAGACAGATCAATGTTCGATCCGTTGACATACGATCCTGCCTATCTTAATGCCGTAATGTTTGGAGCTCAAGCATACTTGGATTTGGTTTCGGGTCGCTCCAGTAAACGGTCGTCGATGCAGATGTTGAAGACAATTCAGCTCCTTCGCGAGAGGCTTTCGATTTCAGATGAAAACGAACCGGAATCTCTTTCTAATCCCACAATACTGATCATCTTAACTCTGGCACACATTGCACATTTAAATGGCGATCATATTACCGCTAAGAGACACTTGGAAGGTCTTTGCACGATTGTCAACCTGCGAGGAGGCATTGCTGCTTTTCAAAATACTCCTAAACTTCTCACCGAGTTAATAAGGTTAGCAAGAGTCCTGGCATTCACTCATCCATTGGAAACTGTGATACCTGGTGGTCTATGGCTGATCTTATTCAGGTGCGACCTCAGCATTGCAATTCACAAAGGAACAAAACCAGTCTTTGACTTCACGCAGCCTTTACAATCTATCAAATATCAACTACAGACGAAGTCCTCTCCACCAACCGTTCGTTGCCTGAATTACGAATCCCCCAACGTCAAGGATAAACACACACATTTTAAAACAGACGAGAAATTAGCCGAACTGTGGGACACTATGAGCAACTTCTGTTATCTAGTAAACTCAGTGGCGGAGAAGAATATCAAGCTCAGCGACCAAATCCTCTTAAACACCATGGGCTCAGTGATGTACGCCCTTCTGGGAATGAACTTTCCAACCAACCCGATCAACGAAGCGATTCGTCTCGGTATGCTTGCATTCTGCTCACATTCTTTCCTGGAGCGACGGGGAATTCATCTTCCGAATAGTTACCTTTGTGAAAACTACAAGACTTGTTTTGAGGACGTCAACACTCAGCTGCAAGGAGACCCTTCTCAGGTTTCGTTGTGGCTTCTCATGATTGGTAAAATCTCCATCTTTGCCTCTGACACAGATGACTCTGCATGGATCAAATCCAAGCTGAGAGAGAATATTGGCACGAATAATGGCTGGTCGTGGCCACAGCTACGCCCGAGTCTCAAGTCCTTCCTTTGGATCGACATACTACATGACGCACCTGGGAAAACAATTTTCGAATCTGTTTCCTAAGTTGATGAAGTTGCAGTATACGAATTAGCATGCAATGAGATTATTGTTGACATTTATATGAATGTTGAGCTATCCCACAGTATCGGTCATGAACCGTGGAGACTCGTAGCCACTTCCCGAGGCACGGGAGACTGGGACTTCATGGATCCATTATGTGCCCGATACAAAAAGCTACAGTAAGTTTCCCCTCACCTTCCCCCCTCCAATTGAGAAGTACTCATCTTTCGTCCTTCGAGAACTTTATTGTGACAGCGGATTTTGTCTTGCTGTCGAGAATCGGTTCGATCCCTCGACGTCTTTGTCGAGGCCAATGCAATCCGTAGTCCCACTGGCCTTTGTGCAGTCGGTGATGCTATCGAATTTTACGCCCGCACAGACTATGATAATACATTCCGTGGTGGGCGCCTTCGTAAAACGGCGAAATGAGCCGTACAACGTCTCCCCAAGTTGCTGAAAAAGGTACTGTGCGACACTGGCCTGCAGAGTGAGAATCCTTGAGATTGACCCATATGTCCAGGTTGCCGCACATGTGCGCAGCGGCGCATCTTATGTGATAGAGCGTTACCAACCTGCAAGAAGTGCTCCAGCAAGGGCATGGAATGCCCGGGTTATGGCTTGCGGCTTCGCTGGGCTACGACGTCGTCGACCTCACGTCCTTCGTCGAAGCCTCTCTCTACGCTGCAAGCTGTCATCCCCCACCCGGACACTCGTGGGAACAGCAGGCCTCAGCTCAGTGATTTGTCTCCCGAGAAGATCAGTGCTCAGCCGGCTCGAGATCCAACAATTTTCACGCTTTCCGACTCTGTTATCATGAAATTCTTTGATTATTATGCTACCAGCATTGCACCAATGATGGTCTGGTTAGATTCCGAGGCGAACGAATACCGGCGCCTGGTCGTCCCCATGGCAAAGCATCACCCGGTCTTGCGTCTCGCAATTTGTGCTATTGCTGCAGCTCACATGCCTCAAGAGCCAGACTACGGACGGGAGTTCTCATCTGCAGCGTGTGAGGCTGCCATCACCCAGATTACGGAACATATACGGCAAATGAACGTTGTCGAAAACAATTTGGTGGTGGAAGGCATTTACGGTTCGATTGAAGGGACCTTGGCTTCCATGCTAGTGCTTGCCAATCAATCACTCTTTGGAGCCGAACTTCCACGAGCGCGATTCCACCGACAGGCGGCTCGAATCCTGCTCCATACGTTATCTCTCAAGAGGTCACCCTCGGAAGAGCTCTTTGCATTCCTCAAAAATCAACTTGCTCTATGTGATGTTCTCATGTGCACCACGTTGTTCGATCCAGAGCAAATCCAGGCCGTCATTCTGCCGGAACTCGGACGCGGCGACGTCGTTCTCGGACGGTTCCTTCAGGTGGTCCATAAGATCACGACCCTGTCTTTTCAGGAAACCGAGACCATCTCACGAGATCCCGTTGCCTTGCTAGAGGAGCTCGAGGATGAATTTGAGCTTGCGCGAGGCTCAAGCCTCCTGGCAGCCGGGCAGATGATGGAGGGACGATGCCATCAGTTTAAAGAGGATTTTGTCCGGTTCATTAACATCTTCCATCATTCTGGGGTTTTGTACGCATGCAAGCGTCTTCAACTCGAACTTGGGCCGGCGGCACAATATCACGCTGATAAACTTTTCCAGTCACTGAACCAATTTCACGATGTGAAGTCCATCATGCATAATCTTGCGTGGCCGCTCTTCGTTGCTGGCATCTGCAACTGCCGTCATCCTGAACGACAGCATTTTATCGCCACCACGTGTGGATTGATGTCGGCCAGCACAGGCTTTCGCCATTTCTCGAAGATACGAACATTTTTGCAAGAGCTGTGGCAGACTCCTCAACAAGACTGGATCATTGTTGCCAGGGAGTGGGAGGAAAGAGGCAATCCCGTGGTGGCCGTCTAATCATCACTCCAAGAATTCGAGTCAGAAGCCACGTCGGTGGCGGTTTCGACCATTCCCTTATCGTGACGCTCGTAGCTGATATTCAGCCTTTTCGACCAGCGCGATTCACCTGCACGGCTTCGGGCTCGGCACAGATTGTCTTCCGCTCATTGGTGAGAGCACAAGGCTAGAGGAAGTCCCTACTGGATTATCTTGACATGTTCGACAAAATATACGCGCATAGGACAACTCCTGTTATGGGAAGCCTTTGACAACTGACAATGTTCCAACCAAAACCGAGATGACACGGGTATTCCATGTCCGTTCCAGTCCGTCCACATGGCCATCACCTGAACAGCGCGAGCACTAACAATCGCCCGCATCAGGCTAGACCATACTAGGTATGCGAATAGAGTTGCCGAGGACCAAGTGGGACGATTGGGCCTTAGACGATGGAGCACGACGACAAAACAACATGACCGTATTAACGATCACAGTTCTCAAGAAGTGGAAACAGGCCATAAATGAATGACTGTCTGTTGATCTTCTTTCACCTAGAATTCAGTCACCGTCGATGGCCTTTTTCTTGGCGCAGCTGGACTCATTCGCCTCTTACAAGCTACTTAACACGAACAGATCTAGGCAAGATCCATCCAACGTGCTATTCTCCACACCCGTCGGCTCCCCATGGGTGAAGTCTGCGTACCCCATAGCGCCGTCGACTTTGCCAACCGCTTCTTGGAATTCGTTGAGGGAGGCATTGAAAAACTTCAAGACTTCGACATCTCCTGCTATTTCTTCTACCATCACCCCGTCCTCTTTGGCCTTCCCCTGTCACCCTCTCTGCGGATTTCCTGCCTTCTCCCCCATACTCAGCTGCCGCTCTTCCTTGCTCTGCGCTCCTCTACCCTCCCGCCACAAAAGATATAATTGTCCCTTGGATTTCTGTCTCAACTTTTGGCGAAGCCTATCAACATGGCGGAGCAATCCAAATCTCTCGATAAAGCCCTCTCACAGAGCTCTGTGGCTGAGCCACAGCCAATCTCGCAAACCGAGGGCCACGAACGCCAAATGCGAGTTACCTTCAACCTTTGGAGTACTCTAGGCCTCGTCTACAGCATCACGGCGACTCCTTTTGGGGTTGGGAGCTACCTCACGTTCAGTTTGATTCTCGGCGGCAGCCCTTTCTATATCTATGGCTATATCTTCGCCATATTCTTCAACATCACCCTGTGCGTGGCACTGGCTGAAATTTCTGCTTTATATCCCCACCCAAGTGGTACGCCAGGTCTATCCAATGGGGTGTCAGCCCAAAATCCTCTGGCTTAACTGACATCAAAACAGGACATATATATTGGGTGGGTAAAATGGCCCCGAAAGGATGGGAGAATTCTCTGAGCTTTTGGACTGGAGCCTTGACATCGGCAGCTTGGTTCTTCTGGAATGCCGGTACTTACCTCCTCACAGCGCAAATCCTCCTCGCCGCGGTCGAGCACCTTTACCCCGAGTATACTGCTCAACCATGGCATCAAGTTCTGATTGCGTGGGCCCAGGCGCTTGCGTCGGTAGCCTGGAATATCCCGTTCTTCCAAGACCTGGCCATACTCCCTCAAGGCCATGATTGTAATCACCAACGCCGGAATCATCTTTATCGCCGTCAGCCTCCTGGTCCAGGCACATCCCAAACAGTCGGCACGATCCGTTTTCGTAGATGTTGTTAACGAATCCGGGTGGCCTTCGAAAGGTGTTGTCTTCTTCCTCGGCTTGCTGCCAGGGTCAACGGCGATCAACGGGTTCGATTCCGCTGCACACATGGTCGAGGAGATGCCAGATCCGGCACGCCAGGTTCCACAAGTCATGGTGGGAAATGCCTTCTTGTCCGGTCTCTCGGGCATACCAATGGTCATCATATTCTGCTTCTGCATCACTAATGTCGACAACCTCTTGGCCCCTGTCGGTGGGGTGACAATCATACAAATCTTCAAGGATTCTCTGCACAATGACGCCCTCTTCGTCGTGTCATCCGTCATCTACATCCTAGTAACCATCGTCGCGGCCACAGCCTGCACGACGACTTGCAGCCGAGTGTGGTGGTCGTTCTCTGAGCACAATGGACTGCCTTTGCATTCCTGGTTTGCAGTCATCCACCGAACCAAGCTCTGGGCGGTTCCAGTCAATGCGATTGGCGTGATCGCCGTGCTCTCCTGCTTGGTTCTCTTGATCAACCTGGGCCCTAGTTTTGTGCTGGCGGCTCTTTTTAGTGCAGCAAACATTTGTTTCTACGTCAGCTACATCATCACCATCTGCTGCTTTCTGTACACGAAGTGGACGAAAGGCTTGCCGGCCCACTACCTGAATCTCGGCCGGCTGTTTGGCAACGCGATCGACATCACAAGCATCATCTGGTCGGTGTTTGTGAGCGTCTGGCTTATGTTTCCATACTACCTACCGGTGAACTCGAAGAACATGAACTACACCATTGCCATCGTGGCCGTGGTTGTGGTTGTGTTCGGGTTGGATTGGTTCATTCGAGCGAGAAGATCATACTTTATTCCTTCGCAACTTTTGATCTAGATAGTGCAGGTAACATCCCACTAGGTCCAATGGAGAAAGAAACGTGTTGGCCTATTTAGTTTGAATTGTAACCCAGTTTCCATATCAATATTGGGTATCCTGCGCGGGTTTTCATTGTAGGGCGCAGAATGAAGAGTCGATAGAGCATCAAAGGCTCAGCCACCACCTGCCAGCACCAGGCGGCCAGTATCAATTCGAGATTGTCAACCATTGCTGCAGGCAAGTACTCTACCTAACCAGTAGAGGTGCCAAAATTGCCACCAAACTCAAAATAGTGCCTATCTGGGTTACAAGCCTCTCGGGCGGGCGCGAATCCCCACCTTGAAGGAGGCAAGATGTCCCCCAACTGATCTGGCCCTTCTTCGTCTGCTATCCTGGGTACCCGTGTATACTTCGAGGGTCAAAAGCTTCATCATTCCCATCTTCAGATTGACGACTCGTCCAGCCTATCCTTTGTTTCCGTCACAATGGCCATTCCAACCACTCTCCCAGCTAGCTGGTACTGCCACAAACCACTGCACGAGCTGGAGCGGCGTGCCATTTTCCTCCGGGCGTGGTATTTCTTGGGGATCATCACCAAATTCGAAACTGGAAAAGACCTAGTCTATGAAATCTCTCAAGTCTCCCTGCTGGCTAAACCCACCACCGGGTTTGGTGACGATGAAAAAGAAGTCAGAGTATTCAATCAGTCTACGGTACGTGTGCCGCATCAGGATCCGAATGACGGTATACTACTATTGCTCATGCTCGTCCGTCTCACAGGGGAAGGAAGTACGCACACACCGAACTCGGTCTGGCCTGGTCTTCACGACCATCTCAGAAGAAGCGCCCTCATTCCAGGAATTCTTTCCGGGCCTCGAAGAGCTGCTCAACAGCTACGATCTCACAAAGATGCCCTACCGCCGCAGTCTGAGTTATCCCGGGAAATTCAACTGGAAAACCATGATGGACGGCTTCCAGGAGTGCCTGCACTGCCAGTTCGCCCATCCAGGACTCTCGAGGCTCTATCCCCCGACCTTCTACCGGGTGGAAAACCACCACAACTGGTCCCGCCATTTCGCCAACCCAAAGGATAACCAAGATGGATTGTTTTTGTACTTCTTCCCGGCTTGCACGCTGAATTTGTACAACGGCGGAATGTCCTCGTTCCGCGTCTGTCCGGACTCTTCGCCGGGTCTTTCGCGGATGGAGTTTGATTACTACAACGAGGTGACCGGGGAGAAGTTCAAAGAGTATTACAAATTCGTGCGCCAAGTTGCCAATGAAGATTTCGATCTCTGTGAGCTTGCGCAGACGAATCTCGAGAAAGGCGTCTACACAGAGGGATGCTTGAACCCTGAGAGGGAAAACGGAGTCTCCTGTAAGTATTCTCGATCTCACGCTATCTTTCCATCTCCTCCAGTCGTTTCAAGACGAAGACATTTCTGACATTACGACAGATTATCAGCAGATAGTCTATGATATGGTTATGGACCAATACGAGAAGGAAAAGGCCATTCCTGTAGACTAAGAAGGGCAATGAAACTCTGGTCGCTACGAAGCAAGGTCGAGTTTTCGGCAGGAATCAAAACCATGCGTCCATCTGTGGGCACTAATAGATCGTTGAGCACCTCTGCGAGACTTGAGAAGTTCAAAAATTGTGCAAGTATCATGCTGCTTAGCGGAGCAATAGTCCTCAACCATCAATAACTACTTTCATCCAGCTGAGGTGCCTGGACCTCCGTGGTGCTGCAGTCAACGATTAGAGGGCGTGATAGTCGACGTTTTCTAAGGCTTCTCTACAGCCTTGATACAGCACCATAAGAGCCTCCAGACCACAAGCTCAATGTCCCTCCCTCCCCCACACAGGACTTTGGTTATTGGGTCGACACTTGCGTTGCCCGTTCTTCGAGGGTATCACTCATGGGATCCACAGAAATTTAGCCGATAACTCTAATTCATATCCCTTTTGGGTTTCAAAGTCCTGGGATTTTCAATTGATTGGTGAACTCTGTCGTAAAGAGATCTACTTCAGAATCCTTAGTAATGTTGGCGTTTTCATTATTACACAGTACCCTCACAGCTTTAGGCTATACACTCAACATATAATTTCTGGTATCCTGGTACGTTTATCGAAACCCGTATCATAACTACCTAAAGTATAAAGATACCGTCAAGGAAAGGGGGATAAAGAAGACAGTATCACTATTTTCGCTTGGGGTCGCTCGGTGGACTTGAAGCTCTTTATGTCATCTCACTTTTCAACGTTTGGCTCTCAACAAGATGGGCGAGATGTTGTGTACCAATTGTCCCACTGGGTCACACCCGCCGTCCTGACGGTCACGGCGCTGGTAGTCAGCCTTGCTACATTCCGAGTTCTGTCTTCACGGAAAAATCACACGCCAGCTTCTCGGGCCTCGTTCCCCCGGGGGAAGCTGAGTGACTTTACCATCACCGCTCGGAACGGCGATGTGACAAAAGTGTCGGACCTCCCCGACGGTTGGTGGACTTCGGAGACGAACTTCGACGACGAGAAACGGTCTATATTGGTCAAGGTGAGCTGTTCTCGAGGAGCCGTCCGACCGACCTGTTCCAAAAGCTCATTCCTCTCGAACAGATGCCCATCGCCGTGGCGCACGCGAGCATGTTCCAAACCCCCGGGAGTTATCGAGTCGTCCTGCATCCGGCAGGCTTCCCTTTGTTCCTCGTCCTGGGCAAGGACCGCGTTCTGCGGTGCTTTCACAACGTGTGCAGGCACCGTGCGTACCCGGTCGTTTCGACCAAGCAGGTGGGCTGCACGCCGGTCCTGTCATGTAGATACCACGGCTGGTCGTACGACCTCAAGGGTCGCCTGGTCAAGGCACCCAAATTCGACGGGTTGAAAGGATTCCACCCCGAACAAAACTCGTTGTTCGAGGTCTATGTGCGCACCGACGGACACGGGTTCATTCATGTCGACCTCAGCCTCGAACCTCGCTCGGATGCCCATATTGACACCACCACGCCAAAGAGATTCGTGGAGAGTTGGGACGTCGAGGGGGCATTCAACTGGAAATTCGCCGGTATCACTCTTCCTCCGCCAATCTGGCATTGATTTTGGGACTGACATCGAGCGTGCAGAGTCCACAGACGCCTTTTCGCTGCCGTCAATCAGTCCTCAAAATGTCGGACTGGTCAAGAATCTATCGCAGGGGCATGAGAAGCCCTCTATCATGTCGGACATTTTCACCTTGAGAGCCCCCAGTTCTTACCTTCTGATTACGATCTTCCCGTCAGAAGCAGCGAAATGCAAAGTCACCTATACAGTTGTGGCAAAATCCTCGGAGTCAGCAACTTCATCTGCCATTAGACTCAAGTCCGACGTCGCTCAATGCATTTCTCGACTGGAAGAGCTCCACGCCAAGGTTGGAGCCTCGAATACAACGTAAGTCTCGCATCGGCCGTGTTGTCTCAAAGTGGTTTTCCAGATTGGCTGACATATAGCCATTTTTTTAACTGCACAGCGCCCCAAGCGCTCACGATGTGGTGTTTCTAGAAATGCTCCATTCCCATCTTCGCATGGAGCGAGAAATCGGAAGGAAAAGCTGGCCAGTCTTACTGGGAAGCAAGGAAAACAGTACCAGATTCAATGCTGCCGAGACTTGTAAGTCCTATGGTACTGATTATACCATTTTCTGCGTGAAACTTACAATTGTCACAGTGTGTCGGGATCTCGAAGTTGATGCGACTCGTAAGAAAGGAAAAGGATCGCTTGACGGGATCAACTGGTAGCTGATCAGCGGCACTGTTCTTACGGTCCCTCATTCGCCAATGTTCCAAGTTAGCTCCGTCAATAAGACCGTTTGCAGACGTCCGCGGGACTCGCAACGTGGACAGATAGATACCCGTGGACGGTGGAAGATTACTGATTGCATGTTGGTCAAGGTCGATTGCATATTGTCGTGGTTATGCCACAACAGGACGCGATATATCATCAAACGTTGTGAGTAGTGCTATGATCGGAAGCACAGTATTGCTGTGCTCTCTCACTCACGCACGCACACACAAACGCACTCTATCACAGGATGTGTAAAAGTGGACAGCCTGCTGGGTTGTCGGTAATGTGGCAACTGTCGGATTCTGGCAATGGGAACGTGCCAGCGTGTGAGACAGCTACGGGCACCTTCCACAAGATGAGCCTTCAGGACCAGCAACACCATTGAACTGTTGAAGGACACCTTTATCATGCCTTAGCGAAATCAGATGGTCTTTCGTCATCCGAGAGCCCCTAGGGACGTCTACCACCCTCTGGGTGCTCTGACGCCTTTGTCACCTCGTCGTTCCGTTCTTCGGGGAGACTATTCACTTTTCCATTTGGGGGAAATGGACTTTTGATCTCTGGTATAGCTTATAGAAAGCGCACACTGAAGGAAACGATGCTAGCTACGGACCAGACATTCTTTAATATGATAGGCGTGAGCGACTTCTAGAGGACGGACTAAAGTTTCAGATACGCTTTTGAGAAACTCTTCGAGCCTGTCCTTGACATTACCGTCCCAAAGGTAGGTTTATGTACAACCATTGCCTTTTACTTACTTCACTCGTGCTAGATTCGTGCCTCTTGCAACCCGAAGCTCGGTACTGGCTCGTATGAAGTCGGCCCCATAGGCCAAAAGGAATTTCATCAATGCCAGCGTGGGACCTCACGAAGAGCACAGCAGGATCCACGGAACAAAGCTCCACACTTGTGATGGGGGTTGCAAATCAAATAAACCCCTGAGAAACTTCGGGGCTCATTATAGATTATGCCATAGGCTAGGCCGGCAGGATCGCCTTGCCGAATGTGGTGGTGATTTTGAGTTGCGGCGACATCCTCCTACTTGTAGATGCCTCCACCGGGAGTGGTGCCGGATATTAACGCTTCTATCCAACACCAACACTTGCCAGAAGTAAGTATACGTCGTAAGCTTGATTGGAACCTCAATCCCATGTGTACGGAACCAGCTTCGCAAGATAGGTTTTTCCATGTGCCAAGATGCCTTTCGTTACCAAATCTGATTGCAAATTTCTCCTTCGGCCAGTCTATTCCAGCAGAGTGCCCCCCTCAACGCTCGGTGCTAACGGCATATCAAAGCCATGATTTAGTTCTTGTGTGCAGATGATGTCCACAAGCGGAGCCCCGGATCGTGTTACATACACTTGTGGAAGGGTGGCCACCCCAGTAGCCAAGGGGTGGTACGCGGGGTCGGGCAACCATTTTAACCCTACCGCCGTCCAGGGCTCTGCTTTGGCCTACGGCTTCTTGTTTTCTAAATTCTCTCATAAGCAGAATTTCTAGTGCCTTGTGAACGTCGACACAATGGAAGACTCCAAGATTGAAACGACCCTGAGTCGCCACAGCACAAATCTCGCCGAGATGAAAGGGGAATACCTGGACAAGGAGGATGCAGTGCTCGCATCACTGGGCAAGAAGCCCCAGTTACACCGCGTTTACAACTTTTGGACGTGTACGTTGTTCAGCATGATACCCACGGCGACTTCTTCTGATTACGTGTCTGCACAGTATGCGCCTACCAGATCATGCTCTCTTGTACCTGGGCATGTCTCGTCGTCCTATACTCGACCATATTTGACCTGGGAGGGCCTGCCGCGTTGGTGTGGTCTGGGTAAGTTCAAGGCCACGGCATTTGGAAGCAACGTCTCCCACACTGACCACCATATACAGAATAGTGGTCGCCATCGGGCAGACTCTGCTGATGATGTCCCTTGCGGAATACTGCTCCCTTTGGCCTACGGCGGGCGGACAGCAATACTATATCCAAGCCCTCTCCAGCGGAAAGCTGAGGCCCATACTATCGTACCTAGTGGGATGGATGGTCATGGTCGGCGAGATCTCCACTGGCTCCAGCTGCGCGCTCAACAGTGCCCAGCTCGTCGCGTCTTTTGTTCAGATCACTTATCCCGACCTGCGTTGGCATTCATGGGAGACTTGGCTGCTCTATTGCGCGTTTGTGGTCGTCCCCATGGCCTACAGCTTCAAGCAAAGCTGGCTCCCCTACCTGAACATCGTTGGCGGTGCTTGGACAATTTTGGGTGGCGTGGCTTGGGCAGTGGTATTCGGAGTCATGGCACCTAAACATGACGCCAAATTCATTTTCACCAAATTCATCAACAACACTGGCTACTCGAGTAATGGATGGGTTTTCATCATGTCGTTCTACAATTCTCTCTACGGTCTTTATGGAACGGATGGAACGATGCATTTGGTAAGAAACCTGTCCCTCGCAGAACAAAACCTTCTCCCCTTTCCGCCATGAGCCAGCCTATTTGAGCTGACTGATGAATTGCACAGGTCGAGGAGATGAAGGATGCATCAAGACAGGCGCCGGTACGAGCTCCTCAGTGTGCCAAGAACGCCTTCTATTCATGCTGACTTGTGGTAGAGAGTAATGGTCTGGTCGATGGTTTTCTGTGGCATCTCTAGTTGGCTCTCCGCAATCCTCCTGCTCTGGACGGCGGGCAACTGGGAGGAAAATATTCTATGTACTCTTCCCTTCCTTCACATAACTACAGTCCATTCTGACGGTTTGGACCACAGCATTCCAGCCTTACATGGACTGGTTCATGGACGTGACAAAATCCGTTTATGGCGGTGGAGTCTTTTGCACCCTGCTAATGGTGGGACTCAATTTCTTCATCATTGTCGGCATGAACAATGCAGCCAGTCGCCTGGCGTGGAGTATGGCCAGAGACAGGGGCTTACCCTTTTCCGATTACTTCTCCTACGTCGATCCCAGGTTGAATATTCCGCTGCGATCATTGGTTGCAGTGATTGTCATCGACCTCATTCTCGGTAAGCTCAAGAATCCCCTGCTTCGGGTTTCAGAGGAGAGCATACGTGATGTCTGACCTCGTCACTTTCTTAGGTCTCATTGTCCTCGGCTCAGATCTTGCCTTCCAATCTATCATCTCCGGCGCCGGCGTGACCATGCAGATTGGTTACGTCGCCCCCGTTGTAGTGGTACTCTTCCGCGGCCGAAGGATTCTCCCTGCGCGCCCGAACTTCGACCTTGGGCGCTGGGGCTATGCGGTCAACTTGATCTCAGTTTGCTGGTCTGTCCTGGTCATTTGCGTTTATAGCTTCCCGCTGTACGTACCCGTGAGCATCCCGAATATCGACTATATGAACTGGAGCTGTCTGATCGTGGGCGCGACCATCATTTTCCCGGGGCTCTTTTGGTGGTGGAAAGCAAGATTTCAGTACATCAAGGAAAACAACAGTGTACTGTCGGATAATGTGGTTATTGTTGACGGCCTCGCTGTCAGTGGTTTGACCTCCCTGGCCGGCATCGACAGAGACCGTGTCTGACTCCGTCCCTCTTTCGTACGAAGCTTCACAATATGTCGAGGGCTGATACTCCCAAAGCTTCGTACTTTGCAATATTATTCTACGCATTGGTTGAATGAAACAACCACGTATAAGACAAATGTGGTGCAAACTTGGTGGTCCAATGAAAATCAGCGCTCATCAATTATGACTTGTGGTTAAATGCCTTATTCGGATACGAAGTCGCGGTAGAGACTCGGCCCGGACACCCAAAGATACCTTTGGTGTAGTAACGCATACTGTAAAACCTGTAGGCGTTACAGGACCCAGACAGCAGATCTGGAAATTACTATAACGGCATCCACCCAGTATCAGCTTTGCCAATGTTACGATGCTGGTCAAACATGACCTCTGGGTCTCGTGGGGGGCCCGTTTCCTTATCCAGAAGGTGGTTGGAGAGAGGACTCCATCCCACAGCGTACACTTATGGGGAGCCACTGCGGAAGCAATGTGGCATCAATTCGGTAGGTGCTTCTAATTGAAAGCTTTTAGTCACTTTTCGGCGAATTGCGTCTATACTACTGAACTACATATAGAACTACATATATCTGGGTGTCCTCGTCCACTTACAGGGTTATTAAGAACAAAGGCTATCGCTTCCGGTGACCACGTCGAACATTCTTCGTCCACGTCCACCCGCGAAAGGTTTAGCATATACTGCCCAGTCCCATCCCGATAAAACAACAGAAGATGGCCAAATCCCGCGAAGGATGGACTTGGACCCCCAAGGAAGGACTTCGTGCGGGTGCTCCTTGTATCGGAGTAATTCAGCCACCACAGAACATCACAAGGAGCCAGGACGTTTTTGATGTGCTGGTGGTTGGGGCTGGATATGCTGGCCTCACTGCAGCTCGAGATACCTCCACCACTGGTCAGTCTCCAGATATGCCTTCCCCAGTCATGCCCCGTCACTCGACGAAGGTCGCTGCTAAACCAACGAGGAAGGATTGAGAACCTTGCTGTTAGAAGGGCGTGATCGCATCGGAGGTCGGACCTGGTCCTCGAATGTCGAAGGCTATCCTTACGAAATGGGCGGCACTTGGGTGCACTGGTTCCAACCAAACACCTTCCGCGAGCTCACACGCTACGGCATGATGGATGAACTCGAACATTCCGCCGACTACTCGAGGAAGCACAACTACTTCACGTGGGTCACGGAAAGCGGCCGGCGCAACATGAGCCACGAAGAAGAGGTTGGTTTCACCAAGAATAAAACCCCTCCTGCTTTTGTCTCTCTACAGTGCTGATGCCACGTAGGAAGCACTCTTCACCCGTGCACTTCACAAGTTTATGAACATTGACGGCAACTTGGGGAAAACCGTGATGCCGTTCCCCTTCAACGCCCACTGGAACAAGGATGTTCTCAAGTGGGCCGACCTATCCGTGGCCGACAGGATTGCCCAGATCCAGCACGATCTCACCGAGGACGAGCGAAACGCCATTGAAACCTTTGTGCTCCTGTGCAGCTGTGGCACTCGAGACGACTCGTCCTTCCTGGATTTCCTCCGCTGGTGGGCGGCCGGAGACTACAACTACGCCTCGGTCCTGGAGACGACGATTGGCTTCAAGCTCAAATGTGGCCAGTCGGGTTTCGCCATTCGCTTCTTCGAGGAAGCCCTGGAGAGCGGCAACCTCTCGTACTCGCTTGATACGGCCGTCTCCAGCATCGATTCGTCGCGGTCCATCGTTCAAGTCCGGTGCAGAGACGGCCGCGCGTTTCTCGCCAAACGGGTCATCTGCACCGTGCCCTTGAACGTCTTGAACAAGGTGCAATTCAACCCGCCGTTGTCGAAGGCCAAGGTCGAAGCCGCAGCACTCAAACACGTCAACCAGTGCGTCAAGCTCCACGCCGAGATCAAAGACCCTGAGATGAGATCTTGGGGCGGGATGGTGTATCCTCACAACAAATTGGTTCTTGGTGTGGCCGACGGTTTGACGCCCGCCAACAACACACACTGCGTCTTCTTTGGCATCGGCGCCAACCATATCAACGTGGATGAAAATATCGACGAAACCCTGAAGTCAATAAAAGAGTTTACGACGGTGGAGGTGGAGAGGCTGGTACGTCTTTTTTTGTCATTTTGCCCTTGGTCTTTTGAGACTTGGTTGGGGTGGTGGCTGGGACTAATCTTTGGCAATTACTCCGTAGGTCTTCCACAATTGGTCCAAAGATGAATTCGCCGAAGGTGCCTGGTAAGATATCGCCGAGACTCTGGTCTGTTCATATCGATTGACGCATGATCTAGGGTTTGGTATCGGCCGGGGATGGAAGTGAAATACCTAGGCGCGCTCAGAGAACGACACGGCCCGGTCCTGTTTGCCAATTCCGATTGGGCTGCCGGTGGCTGGCGAAGTTTTATCGATGGTGCCATCGAATCCGGGGCTGAAACGGCTTTGCTCGTCAGAAAGGAGCTAAGGACAAAGGCACTGTCGAGCCAGCTCTGAGGCACTGGGGCCGCGTCAATTTTTTTTTGAGAGGAGAGAGCAACGCCACAAAAGAGGAAAACGTGAAAACAAGGATCATTCTGGTGAGGTCAAGCTCAGCCACACCATCGGTTCTTATGTCGCACGGTTGAACATCATCAAGTCATGTATGAGTTGCTGTAAATGAGTGGAAGAAGGGCCCCATTTCTTTGTCTCCTATGTGGACTTTGGGTAAACTTGTTTGGAGTATGGAACATAGAACATAGATGAGTGGTAGTTGGTGTCTGTCTACACAGCAGCAATCCCAGCATTCCCATGTGGAGAAGATCTCTCGGATTAACCAGAGGCCATGGTCACTTCCAACTCGATCCTCGTTGGTAATCCAGTCCACCCAGTCCATCCGCGCGAGACGCTGGCGAGCTTGTCAGACCTCCGCTCACGTAAGTGGGCGTGGGCTGAAGGTGCGTAGGACGACGAGAAGACTGAAGAAGGCAGCGCGCCATAGAGAGCGCACGATAGGCCCATTCCGGGTCCATCCTTCCTCTGGGAGAAAAAAAAGGACCTTCAGGAGTATTCTTGATGCAAAATTACCTTCAATGAATTTGAGCGATGATGATGGAAGCCGGAAGCCGACGGTGCTACGCCCTTCAATGGATTGTGTTTTTCTCATCGCTGATACCGTCTCAACATCTACCGCAGCAGATGGGGGACAAGGTGTTCTTCAGTATTGCTGAGGGGACAGTGATTCTTCTCACCACCTACGGTGGGTGAGTGTGTACGCTGTATGTCGGAAGACATCATGTTGGACGCGTGAGACAGGAGACGTACACTACGCAAGGTTGAGTACGCATGAAATAGTTGATTATAAAATAACTATTCTGGCCTATTCTAGTATAGAGCTCTCTATTGAGCACTCCTTCATATCTGCATAGGGCGGCTTTTTTAAAGAGTCCCTCTGCCAATAGACTACACTCCTTACTAAAGTAAGTCTCTTAGGTACTCAATATTCACTAAGTATATAAATAGTATATTAGTAAATCTGTACTATTCTTAATTTCTTTATTTTAATATACCGCAAATTTAATTTTATTCTCTTATTAAATTTATTTTTTTCAATAAAGCTGCTGCTTACTTTCTTTATTTTTTACTTTCTTTCACTATAATTGTTTTAGAAAGTATATCTATGTATTTTATTTAGTACTTATAATTAGTTGTTACATTTTTTAGTTTATTTAATATTCAATACTTAAGAACCCCAATATTTATTATGCTCACTTCTAGTTATATTGTTGAGGGCCTAGGCCAGCTTTACTATAATAACTACACGGCTAAACAAGTTCACTGCTAAGTTGCTAAGCGTCACCTAAGATTTTAGACCATGCCGGGTTAATTGCTTCCTTCTAACCAAGCCAATACTAACTCCTTTTTGTCTTCCAGTGCACGCTTGTCGCAGACTCGCAGCCCGGAACTCGTTCCCCCGCCTGCGCTACGAGGCATTGAACCAGTCACACTCGAAGAAAAACAATCACATCCACCCTGGCTTTGCCGACTTGCTGCTTTTCCCCTTTTCGAGCTGCTGGCACGTAATTCCGTTCGCCTCGGCCCGGGTGAATTGATTCGCTGGCATCCGCGCGGCAGTTTGCACTCCTTTTGCCAGTATCCGTACCCGTAACTTTCCCAAGTGGCGTTATCTCTCGTTCATTTGTCCTTTTGTCGACGTCTACAACGAGTTCACCCCGGAGGATATACTTTCCAAGCTCCCTCAACCAACTGATTCTTCCTTTCTGACTGTCACCAATACTGGCCCCGTATTTGAGAAGTGAGAAGTTGACGACTCAAGAATGGCCGATGAAAACCTTCCCGAAAATGCCCAGCAAATTTCAGTGGTAAGGCGAGAAGAAATTATTTGTAGCTCCTTGGGTCGGACAAAATTCGTTCTGATAATCAGTAAAACAGGACGTCGGCTTCGATAATGATTCTGCGCTTGGTGACGATGACACTGAATCGTATGTGCCTTTCGAATGTTTTAAATTTTACAACCCTGTTTTTGTTCCCATGTATGGAAAGTGCCTGCTCACCATTTTACACGTATCACAGGGACTTGGCATCACTGAGGAGTAGCATCTACAACTATCACTACGAGAATGGGAGACGATACCATGCCTACCACGCCGGCTCCTACTGGTGAGTGGAATTCCAGATATGGCGGGCGACGACCATTGGCAATTTTGTTGACGACTTTCTCTCCCAGGGGTCCTAATGATGAGAAAGCAATGGAACATCTCGACATAGGGTCAGCGATTCTACCCGATAGCGGTCGTTGGTCTAGCTCACTCATCAATAGACACCATCTGTACAAATTGTTGCTCAATGGTGAATTGTATCTGGCTCCGATCGGCGCCACTCCACAGGTATGCTTTGTGACTTTTTTTCGAGGAAATGGAGAAATAGACAAGTACATTATACTTACTTTATCTCTTAGCGTGTTTTGGATGTCGGCACTGGAACTGGTATATGGGCAATGTGTGCAATTTTTCGATATGTTTCTTTCTTCAAGGTCATGGTTGTTAACCCTTATGTGTAGCGACTTTGCCGATGAACATCCCGAATCAATCGTGATAGGGACGGATTTATCCCCGATACAGCCAGAATTTGTTCCAACAAATCTGTCATTCGAGGTTTGTGACTTCGTCACGGCAGACACGTTCGTCGCTCAAAAATCCTGACATTTTCTAACCATAGGTCGAGGACTGTTGCGAAGAATGGATCTATTCACCCGAAGCAAGTTTCGATTTCATCCACGTGCGAGGTCTCTACGGCAGTGTGGCCCACTGGGACACGTTCTACCATGAAGTCTATAGGTGTGTCACTTTTCCGTTTCCACACTGAACAGCTCCACGGGCGTCGCTGACCGTCTTCAAGGAACCTCAAGCCAGGAGGTTACGTCGAACAGGTCGAACAGTCTGTGGTGCCGAGATCTCAAGACGGGACGGTCGACGGCACCATCTTTGAGGAATGGGGCAAAGTCTCCCTCGAGGCCGGTGACGCCTTTGGCAAAAGCCTCCGCATATGCGACGAGTCGGCGCAGCACATGCGCGACGCCGGCTTCGAGGACGTGACGGAACGACGCTTCCGTGTGCCCATCGGCAGCTGGCCCAGGGACCCCCACCTCAAAGAACTGGGAAGATTTAATCGTCTCCAGTGGGAAGAGGGTATCGAAGGGTGGACCATGATGCTACTTACGAGTATCCTCGGGGTATGTTGACTCTCACGGCCCTGTTTCTTATCTTTGAAAGGTTGCGATGTTTCCGAGGCTAACGTGATGTGTAATGTGTGATGCTACAGTGGGCGCCTACAGAAGTCCAAGTTTATCTTGCCCGAATGAGGGCCGGCCTCCGGAACCCGAGAATCCATGCTTACCAGGACGTGTATGATTTTCCGATTTACTGGGTTGAAAGCGCGCCGGGCTAACCCGGAGAGCAGAACTGTAGTGTACGGCCGGAAACCGACGAGAGCAGGGGCCGTGCCGTCAAAACACATCATCAAGACTCAAGAAGGCGTCGAGGAGAAAAAACCCGACGCCCCACCTTTGGACTCGAAAAAGAAGTGATCTGGAAACCGTAGAGTGGGTGGATCCATTACGCTTTGAGGCTACAAAAATGGTGGACAAGTCAATCAGCCATGGGGCGAGGAGGACCTGGAGAGTCACGTGTTGGCGCCGCCGTGGAGGGATATTGAGAGAGAGAGAGAGGCGGTGAAAAAGCGAGGGTGAAAGTTGTTGTCTTGTGTGCGCGGGACTTGCACAAATCCAACATGCTTCGAGTGTTGACTGAACGGAAGAGTTACCGGAGAGGAATGGATGTTTGGGCATTCTGATCCTGCTTCAACACTAAAGACGCATTATACAACAACTTTGTCGGCAGTAACAGTCCGAATCTCCCTACAGACTGCGATGAGTTACCAACTAGCTGGGGGCCAGATACAACGACCATACGAACATCGGAGGCAACATTCGACCTGATGCACGACATAACGATTATAATGATTAAATGATAAGAAAAGTGCAATGGGAACGGTCTCGTGCAGTATGATCATATTGATGATACAATTCAATTTCCTTTACTCGTGAATGTTTCGTCACTTCTTCGGACGCTTGTAAGGTGCTCCCCAGCGGCTGATTTACATCAGGGTGTACTCCTTGTGTAGTAAGACTTCTGTCTGTAGTCTCTCCAATTCACGTTTGCGTCCGTCAGCGCTGTGTAGTCTGCATGTTGGGATTCTGCTGCTGCTGCTGCTGATGCTGCTGCCGCCGACCCTCTCGATTCTGAAAATGCTTCCACACGGGATGTTGGGGAGCCGGAGGAGCTGCTATCCGTGCTTCTTTGGATTTTTCAATCTCCCGTGCCGTCATGAAGATCCTCATGGCGGTGTGTCCTCGTCTAGATGCGTTGAAGTCCTCCCAGAAGATGTTCACCGAGTCTTCTCCAATCTGGCATGCCTGCGAAAGCAACCTGGTCTCGGCCGCGTTGGGTTGGCTACGCATGGATACAAACGCTGAGCGCAGAAAAGACCTCGTCTCGGGAGTCAGGCCTAGGTAGTGGGCCTGTGACGTTTCGAGGATCGTAGAGTACATGCTGCGCACGTCCTCGGTGATGCCGAGTCGGAAGATGGGCGAGGGACCGTACCTCGAAACATGGTGGAAGAGGCGCACACGAGACTCGTAGTCGACGAGACTGAAAATCTGGTCGAGTTTGCCGAGGATGCCTGGAGGCCAGCGCATCACACCGGGCCATTTGAGGTTGATGGCGACGGGGTCCCAGGGTTCGGTCGCGACGAGGGCCGCGTAGTCCCGGTCGACGCTGTGGAATTTGTTGACTTTCGATCTGGGTCCATGAGCGGTGTTGTACGTGCGGGTATCACCGTCGACGAACTTCGGGACGTCGTCATCTGCGGTGTCGTTGACCATGAACACTTCGCCAAAGTGGCCTGGGTCGGTGTTGGCCTGTTCCTCTTCGAGTGTTGCGTATTCTAGTTTCTTTCCGTCCCGGATGTCGTCACGCTCGAAGAACTTTTCAATGCCGCGTCTGAGCCGCGCCATTGAGCCATATTGTTTGTAGTCGTTGAAGATCTTGCGCGTGTTGACGACCAGTCGAATTTGTGTTGCTCGAGGTTGGCAGGAGATGACGGTCTCAGCATCGAGGGTAAGGACGTTGAGTTCACTCTCGAGGTCTTCGAGGACTTGGTGTTGTGACTTGGCATTACCGTCTTCGCCGTTCTCATCGTCCTCATCTTCCTCATAATCTTCATCGTCCTCGCAATCTTCATTTTCGTTTTCGCCTGCATCCTCATCAGGGGCGGGAGTGGAAGCCGCCAAGGGTGCAGCGTCGTCGTCCTCGTCCATGTTAATATCAGGAAGTTCACCGTCAAAGACTCCGAACGGGTCATCTGGATTGTTGAGATTGAAATGAAAACTCATCTTAAGGCCTAGCTTCAGCGTGAGGGAAGTCCTGGAATGAGAAGATGAGATATAGTGTGAAGAAACAAGAGCACTAGGACTAGAAGGATACAAAGAGGGGAGAGCTTTTCAGGCTTTACCAGATTACACCTTACCTTCACCGACATGGTGTTGACATGCTTCTATAAGTATCGCGGCGAACAATACTAAGCTCCCAAAGAGGAATTGAATAAAGAAAAATTTGCCTCCTGGATAGAAGTGAGGCAGTAGATTTATTCACTGTGATTCAAGGGTGAGTGGGAAGGGAATATTGCATGTGACAGCTACATGATCGACCAAAATGTATCCGGCGGGCTATAGAGATACTACTGCAGAAACGTAGCCTTATGGCATCTACACCGCATTCATTTGTTTGTTGAAGAGCATTGTTCTGCTGGTACTTTGTCTTCCCATGTCGCTATGTTCGGATCGACTGTTGATCTGAACACTTCGTCATGTCGTTGCTTCAGACCCGGTCTGCTTTACTCTGCTCGATCTAGGCGAAAACCTCCTGCAACCTGTTTTCCATACCTTCACGTCCCTATACCCCTCCTACCTCTTTGCAGCAGTCCTCCCTTTTAGCACTCACTTCGCATCGAGCTGTTTTCTTCCAAACTTGACATCCATGCCCCCTCCTCAACGGTTAAAACTGCTCGGAAGGAAGATCACGCTGTCGGAAGCCCTTAGCGATGAAGATGACGTCCTCCAGATGCTCAAATATCCAAAGAGACGGATCGAGTTGATAGTCTTTGTTCTTGAAAATGAGCATCGGATTCTTCAGATTGCTGCACAACATCTCAATGTCAAAACTAATGCGTGTGAGCTTTCGCCTGGGTCTGAATGGGTTCATGGAAGTTTCAATCTATGCATTCCTGTTCAGGTCAACTGGAAAGGGCACACGCGTTTTGTTCCGCATTCCTCTCCCATACAAAATTGGAGAGGATCATTTTCCTGGCAACGTCGATGAGAAAATTCGATGTGAAGCAGCTACCTACATCCACATTCGCCAGTGCTGTCCAGAAATACCTATCCCTTTACTCTTAGGCTTTGGTCTTCCTGCTGGACCTAGTGTAAGTGTATCACGCTGAACAAGCCTTTCCAGGTCAAGTCTAAAAGAAAGTAGTTCACACCTCTCGAGAATACCTCCTTTTTATGCCGGATTCGACGATGGTTCTCAAACCAACTTCGCACATTAGCCAGGTATCCACTACCGTCGCCTTTTGTCCAGGATAACCAAATATCTAGTCTTCAAACAGGGTATCTTCTCCTCGAGTACATTGAGGACGGACAGACGCTCTATCAGACGTTTGATTCTCTCATGGGCGATTCGTCACGGCGACAGAACTTGTTTAAGGATCTGTCTCGTATCATGGTCTCGCTAGCGAAAATCCCTCAAGCTCGAATTGGTTCTTTCACCATTGACAATGAGGGATTCATATCACTCTCTAACCGCCCGTTGACCCTCCGACTCCAAGCCCTGGAAAATGAAGGTATTTCGACCAACATTCCCCGCATGCGGACCTATGAATGTACAGATAGTTACGCGTTGGATCTTCTCGCCTATCATGACAGCCGGCTCCTCTGTCAACCAAACTCAATGAACGATGGTATAGATGGGAGGAGACAGATGTCTGTGGTAGGACAGATGAGGTCTATCATGCCGCAGTTTCTTAACTCCAAGACTAAACGTGGCCCCTTCTTCTTCCGTCTCACCGACCTTCATCCAAGCAACATCTTCGTCAACGAATTCGGGCAGATAACATCGCTAATAGAATTGGAATGGGCTTGTTCACACCCAGTTGAGATGTTGAGGCCCCCATACTGGTTGACTGGTCAAAATGTTGATGACCTTGAAGGGGCTAATTTTGAGAAATTCTCCAGTGCCCAGGAAGAGTTCATGACCGAGTTCCACCAACAGGAGAGCCTCATCACGTCGGAGGTTAGACGAAGTGCATTCATGAAAGAGAACTGGACCCTTGGATCTTTCTGTTATTCTCATGCACTCGAATCTACGAAAGGCTTGTACAACATCTTCAAGCAGCATATCATGCCTCGCTTCTCCGGAGACACAGAGTTCCCCGACATTTCACAGTATTGCAGTAACGACACAAACAAGATCATCTTTTCCAAACTTGAAGAGAGGAAAGATTATCTTCAACAGTTGACATCTGCAGCATTGGCCCCCGACTCAGACTCGGATAGTGATAGCTGACCTCTAAGAAGGGGATCGTAGCTGGCTAGCACAATGCAAACGACGCCAGCCCATAGGATGTGCTTCTGTGAACGCATTGGGTGACCGCCTCTGCTACATGGCGATAGGTATTATGCACACCCCACCTCTGGATTACTCACAAGACTATACTTATCACTGAGGTCGCTCCCCCCAGACTTGTCGTGTAATTGCTTAGTATCAATATGAGTCAAATGGTAACTAACAAATACGAGTAAGTCAAGGGACATCCTTAAGGACATTGGGAATGATGAGCACCGAGACACCAGTAAGGACACTAATAATGACTAAATTATTAGTTACTCATTCGTGTGCCTTTCGCAAGGTATAGCCTTGTGCGTAACGCAGAGATTGGTGTGCGTAATATCTATCGCTCACTTATCGATTCAGCCTTCCATTGAGCAGAGGCTGTGCCACCATGTAATCGGCTTAGCTTCTTTGAGCCTGGACGTCTTTACAAGCCCTGGGGACCTTGGAGAGAGTTCGACGCTGTGATCACATGAGTACTAAAGTATGAGGCTGGCCTCAAGGCTGAATTCTGCCTGTAACAACTTCAGTTTTCGAGACTAGATTTTAATTATTGAGCATCCGCACTTGGTTTTGGAATATGTGGTCGTTGTCGTTCGCTTCTCTCATCAGACAGGATGTCTTTGAATCAGTTGTTGACAAGTTACGCCTCACAACCGTCCATTCGAAGCCGAATTAGCGGCTGGTATTTTGATCCAACGTTCCTGCAAGTAAACCTTTCTTTTTGATCGCCATGATCGGAGGAGATACGGACAACAAATCGGAATTTGAGATGAAGCATTGCAAGACAAACTGACGAGATTTTTCTATTTTTCGGAATTACTACAGAGGTAAAGATATCCTCACCAAAGCTTACGAGGAGGCCCACGAGGTGCTCAAGACCGAACTATCCGCCAAAGAGTATGACGAGATCATCAACCATCGCTCAGGCTCAAGCGGTGGTAGATCGCCTGCAGTAGCTGCAGCAAAACCAACCATGGAAACGTTCCTCGCGACTCTGGGTCAAGTGCAGCAGACGTACTCTCAGTCGCGTCACCACGACAAGGCTCGTAGATGGCTCAACACCTTTGCCGACAGGGTCGTTTATTACGGGAACATCATCGACGTTTTGGTTCAACATCACCCGGAATACGCATCCCTCGCATGGGGTTTATTCAAGCTCATATTTGTGGTGCGTTTACTATTTTTCTTTTTGGCTGTCCTTGCAAGACACCCACCTTTCTAACCCCACCAAAAAACGTGGGTTACTTACCGAGAACAGGGAATCAGCAATCATGCCACGACCGTGGCGAAACTCAGCAAATCACTCTCACAGACATCACTCCTCCTGCCGTCCGCTCAGTTGACCCTCTTTTTGTATCCCACCGAGGCGCTTCTGACGACCGTGGCCAGGATATACGCTCTGATCTTGAGGTTCTTGGTCGAATCGATCAAATTCTACAAGGCCTCGCGCCTGCAGCACTCCATCGACAGCGTATTTCGGCCTTGGAAACTGCGTTTCCAAGAGACCTATGACGAGATTGCACAGCATGCGAGCCACCTCAAAGATCTGTCGAGCCTGGCCGCCAAAGCCGAGCTGCGGGACATCCACCTTGACCTTGTCGAGTCACGCAAGGCTTGGGAGGACGTGAACGCACAGATCGTGCACATGAGGACCAACCAAGCGGGAATGGAGGCCTTGATTGCGACAAAGGTCGCCGAGCAGACTGCATTGTTCTCGAGTACGTGTGAATCGTCAATTTCATTCATTCATGATTCATCATTTCAGCCTGATCAACTTCCATCTGTCCATCCCGCAGAAATGCAGCCTTGGCCTGAATGAACGTAGACCTAGTATAAATGACCAAGATACACAGACTGACTCGAGCGTAATGTTGACTTCTAGCTTTCTACACTGAAATACGCCTCGACCTCTCTCAACAGAGGCAAACCATTAACCAACTCCACCTAAATCAGCTCCTGTCGATGCCGTTCTGGCAGAACCTCCCCTATTCCGGGGAGAGCTTGGAGTATTGTCAATCGATGCGCCGGCGCCGGCGAAACTGGTCCCCCGTCGTCCTACCGCGAGAAGCTGACCTTCAAACCTGGGCCCAGGGCAATCAGAGCAGTCTCCTCGTGGTCTCTGGCCAGAATCCGGTGATGGAAAAGGACTTTGTGGCAGATATGGCTCGTCTGATTCGCGACCAGAGCTTCCCGGTCATGTGGGCATTGCGTTTCGCCAACCATTGGGACCTTGACCTTACGACCACCGATGTCCTGCGCGTCCTGGTGCTACAGGCACTCCAGATGAATCCTTCTTCGTTGACCGGTCACGGTTATCCAGGCGCAGGAGCAGGACCACTTCATCCTGTCACGCTTTCGCACCTGAGAGAGGCAGCATCACCCGAGGACTGGCTTAGAATCCTCGAGCGAACTCTCAAGGATGTCCTCCGAGTCTTTATCGTCCTTGACGGTGACCTCTTGTCGCAAGTGACAAGTTACGATCGACAGGAAGTGGTAATGTTTACAGAGCTTTTGAGGAACAAGATCCCCGGCGTCTCGGTCAAGATTGTGATACCAGCATCGAATATCACCCAAGACCACATCGAGACGCTCGAATTGCAAGGCGACTGTGTCAGGCTCTCCACTGATGCGCACAACAACAGCAGGCCGCGGCCGAGAGCGAGGAAGCCAAATCCCATCAAGAGACAGCGAGTCTCGAACCACCTGACCGGTTACGTGACTAAGCGCCGGCATTTATAAAAAGGAGTCGGCTCATCATCTGAGTTTCTCATCCCGGGCTCTCTGGTCGTCTGTGTGGCCTTGCATTCTTTTGATATATTCATTGAATTCCGTCGACACGGACAGAGCTTGTTCAATGTGCGACCAGTCAAGGCGGCAGGCTTGGAACATTGCTAGCTGTCTAGCTGTCGTCATCGTGTTGCGGATTTGACGCCCATTTAAATCGATTTTTGCAAGTTGATCAACCTTGTATCGTATCTCCTCAAAGTTGACATCATCTCCATCTTCCTCCAACATGTCGATAAAATTGCCCCATATTTTCTTGCGCGACGGAATCGTGAGTTTCTCGTAGTGCAGCGCCACCTGGATCCTGGATTTGAATGCTTCGTCGAACGTACCTATTCTGTTGCTCGTCAAGATGAGAATCCCATCATAGTATTCCAAGATCCGAAGGAAAACAGAAACGAGGCTGTTGCGAGCAAGATCCGACATGGACCTCTCTTCAAGAAAGACGTCGGCCTCGTCCAGCAAGAGGACGCAATTCCACGTGACGCCCAGATGCATGACGACTCCCATGTACTTTTCGACAGACTCGGGCGTGGTGCCGATATCACCACACGTGACCCTGTAGAGAGGCATTTCAGCAATCTCAGCCACGCTTTCGGCGGTCAAAGATTTCCCGGTGCCAGGACCGCCGTGCAAAAGCATGATGAGGCCGTTGCCTTTTCCTGCGATAAGGTCCACCCTCTTCCCCGCGACGCCCAGGCCATGTTTGATCCCTCTCTGTGAGGTGCGGACAGTCACCAGAGCCCGAATAAGCTCCTTTGTTTTGGAGGGTATGACCAAACGGTCATACGCCGTCTTGTTCCATGTGATCTCATGAACTCCATCGACATAGATCGCAACCCACTGCTTCTCTGTCAGATAGAATCCATGAACAATATGAGGCATCACAAGCAACTCTTCTTGGTTGGGTGTCGTCTCGGAGTCAAGGTGCCTTGGCCACGGGTCATGGCTATAGATAACGGGCCCATATATATGCAGAGCCAAAGCATGTTCATGCATCTTCTTATAGACGGCATAATCGACCATGAAGCGAGAGTCTGGATAATAGCCCTCTCCTTGAACATCGGTGCCGGTGTAAGAGATATACGATGGGTTTTTGAGCAGCCAAAGCTTCATTCCTCTCTGTATCAGGTTCTTTCTGGTATGCTCGGAGACATATGCTGCGGGACAAACGGCTAATGACTGGATAGATACCCAAGAACTTGATATTGGTGGCACTGTGAGTGTGTGCCGGCTACGGTACCAGCCTGTTCCGTTATTTTGCCACGCCCAGCAGGTAAGTTCCAGAGAGCCAAAGTCGCGGATATAAGGCCACTTAGAGACAACATAGGCCCGTTCATTGCCATCAGCACAACTGATGACAATGGAGTTGGGTAGGTAAAGCTTCTCCAGATGTTTCTGATTCACTTGAGCTTCTGCGAACAATCGTTTCGCCTCTTGAAAATTCGAGCCGTATGTTCTCCTGCAATATTCGAGTAAGACTGTCACATGCTCACGTGCGTATGGATGAGTCTCCACATAGTCAAGCAGCCGCTGGTAGTGATGGAAAAAACGGAGCGGCGCGGGAGAAATCGTGAGCTCCCCCATCTGTTTACCGCCAGCCTTTCGGCCGTCGTATAGAACGTCACCTCCATCATAGTAGCATTGCGCAACATCGGCAATAGACCGCTTCAGAATTGAGGACTTGATCGCAAGAGATTCATGCCCCCTTAGTGATTTGCCATCGGCATGTGGAATCCCTTGATTCTCCTCACACCGGATATGGCGGAAGACAATAATGGCTGTCTCATCGTCGACGTTGTCAGGGGTAAATAAGGACGCAAGGTCATAGACTGGCCTGCTGCCGTTTAGGTGGATCAGCTTCGAATCGAGGCGTAAGTCCGTTCCTGGTTTGCTCCGCTGCAGAAATACTGGAACATCTTCGTAAGCCAGTGCTTCATGATAATCATCCCATGTATCCGGGCAGTGGATCATGTAGATGATTTTGACCAGTTGAGAGTATCGGTCATCGTAAGAGGCCTCTGAAATTCGGCGTTGAGGATGTTCATTGACTTTGCTGCGCTTAGATGTGCGCACACCCTTGCCATCTTTGTACTCAGTGATGGCTTTTCTCTTGCCAGACACCACCTCGTTTTCCATCGGTCTTCCTCGAAATGGTGGCGACATTGGACTGTCTTTGTCGAGAGGTTCAAACCCACTGCTTTCCATCTTGGAGCTTTCGAATGGGGCAGCCTCTGATTCATAAGGTCCAGAGTAGGGTTCGGGCATTTCAGGCATATCTATTGAATTACCCACAAAATTCCCAGCCTGATATCTACTCCACGATTTTGGTTCGGGACTTGCAAAAGGGCTCGAGGCTGACGGTATCATCAGCAGCATTGCCGGCGTAGAATCCGATTGTTTATCACCAGGCCTTCCTTTCTCAATTGCCTTTTCTTTTCCGAAACCAGAGAGTCGGATCGTCCTAGTCAAATTCTTCAGAGCCTTATCCTTTTGTATTAATTTTCCTCCAGCGAGATCCTCTGAAATTGTATATAGACTGTCAAGTTCAGGCCCAAGGGTCTTCGGATCAAGGAGAAGATCAAATTTGAAGGCGGGAGAATCCGAGATATCTTGATCTATGATTGTGCCACTTTCGTAGTTCTCGAAGACGTTAAGAGCGTTGTCAAGGGTGCTGAGATCAAACTCGTCAACAGGAGTTGCTGCGATTGAATTGTCGTAAGCCCTTGCGGGAGAGCCCATTTGTTTAGCAGGATAACACAGAGGTTAGGGTCTCTAGAGGTGTTTAGCCAGGGACATAGTATTGGAAAGTCGTGCACATAAGGAGTTGTAGATTGAGTCCAAGAAGGTCGTCAACTGCGCACCTGCGCTGATAAGGCTGTCCCCACCTAGCGGTCTGAATCATGACCTATCGCTAAGAGCAATGTGTAGAGCCATTGAGCACACAGGCGGTCGGTCTAAGTAGATCCGGGATGAGGCTGAGCCGCAGTTGAGCCGGACAGCTCCTTCCCGAAAAGCCATACCTCAACGTGTCAGCTCCTCTGCAAGGCTGACACAACGTACATCGATGATCGTTCCAGTGATTGACTTTCAGAGACGTTAAATTTAGTATTTCGTAGGTTATTCGACGCTCACAGTTGTCACGCCTTTCTTGAGATTGTCAACTGCGGATGGACTCTCCGAGCAGAGCGCGACAACCAGAGTTGAGGGCATCGCATATTGTCTTCCAGGCATCCTCAGTATGCCACTTCTATACGGTGCAGGAGAGGCTACCTCCATCGTGGCTTGAAGCATTGATATAGGGGAATATAGCTGTGCTCATACCATACTTGTACCTCAGGTGTGCTGATCGATGCCTGGAAGTGAGAAATCCCAGTGGATGGGCCGGGCCGCTTTCCAAGCCGTGACTGGAATATTTCGTGGATAGAGAGCGCAAGAGCCGGTCTCGGTCCGGTCGCGGCATTGGGTTACATCCTCCTTCAACACGGTCTTGGATGCTATTGGTGAATCAGTAACGATCCTTCAGATTAATAGACCTTCTTCCACGTACAAGTCAAAAGCTGTGTTGGAATATATCAAGGAGGTGGGTCGGTCACATTTCGACAAGGCCCCTGCATGGCTGGCATCGGTTCCCGGTCTTTGAGAGACTAAATCCCGAGCTTCTTATCACCGGCCTGCGCAGTCTGAAGAATTAGAATGCAGTTGTTTCTCTATATCCGCTGGACTTCAAGACACCTTCGCACCACTCATCGGTCAAGACACTGAAATCCATGGCGACTGTCGAGAGTGAAAATCAACAGGAGAGGAGAGGAAATGTTCCAGTCAAATTGCCGGTGTCAGACGGTGTCAACCGCAACGGCCTTCCAACAGGCACCCCAGAAGCCCAGAAAGAGTCTGAAAATACCACCAACGAGCCTCCATATACGATTTTGGAGGAATGGAAGAAAATCTCGATTATACTCACGGCTTCATTCCTCGGGCTGGTCTCCCCAATTTCGTCCAGCACGTACTTTCCATCGGTCAATCAAATCTCCAGCGATCTTCACAAATCAATATCGTTGATCAACCTGACTGTCACCATTTACATGGTAAGCCACTATTGCAACATCTGACAGTGATTCCATTGATTGATGAGGTCCAGATATTTCAAGGGATCGCTCCATCCTTTGTAGGATCGATTTCTGACGCCAAAGGACGACGACCCGCGTACCTTTGCTGTCTAGTCGTATACCTGGGTGCCAATATTGGTTTGGCATTGCAAACAAATTATGTTGCGTTGATGGTGTTGCGAAGTCTGCAGAGCTCAGGGAGTAGCGGCACCATTGCGCTTGCCAGTGCTTTGGTGGCCGATATCACAACTCGAGCTGAACGAGGGAAATACATTGGGTACGCTACCATGGGTGTGACCCTGGGGCCTGCAATTGGGCCATTGATAGGAGGTGCTGTTGCCGAAAACCTCAACTGGCACTGGATCTTTTGGGTACTTTCCATACTTGCCGGCATATTGATTCTGGTTGTCGTCTTGTTTCTACCTGAAACATGTCGGAGCGTGGTGGGCAACGGGAGTGTCCCTCCGCCAAAGTGGAATCGCCCGCTGCTCAGCCTCAAGGATCCCGCCCAGCCTGCGAGTCCAACCACACTCACTCCGCGACGCCGCCGACCAAGTCCGCTCCAGTCTCTTGAGCTAATTTGCCACAGAGAATCTGCCATCGTTCTCATCTACGGCGGGCCCATGTACGCAGGATACTTCCTGGTTCTCAGTACACTGACGTCTCAGCTGGCGGAGCGGTATGGCTTGAACGCGCTCAAGATCGGCCTATGCTATCTTCCCATCGGGGTTGGAAGTCTGACCTCACGCTGGACACTGGGGATCCTGTTGGATCGGAACTTCAAACGTGTGGCCGCTGTGGAAGGGGTAGCCATTGTGAAGAACAAACAGCAAGACATTGACAACTTTCCGATCGAAAAGGCACGACTTCAGGTATCTCTTCCATTCATCGGCGTGGCCTGTGTCACGATGTTGATCTATGGCTGGGTCATGGAACAAAAGACTACCCTTGCAGGACCGCTAGTTGTCTTATTCTTCCTTGGGCATTTCATCACGGGAAGTTTTAGCTCTTTGAATACGCTCATTGTCGATTTATACTTCCAGAGCCCGGCCACCGCAACGGCATCTAGCAACCTTGTTCGCTGTCTGCTGGGTGCAGGGGCCACTTCGTTCGCAACTCCGTTGATCAACGCTATAGGTATCGGGTGGGCAGGCACTCTGGTAGCAGCAATACTGATGAGTCTGTTCCCTTTGTTGCTGTTGGTATACTTCAAAGGGTGGTCTTGGAGACGGAGGAAGATCGAGAAAAGACGTCAGCGGGAAGAGCGAGCAAATAGTCGGCTTCATCCAAGTACGACCAGGTGATTGATGAGAATGTCCCGGCAAGATATATTGGGCTCCCCTGTGTTTACTCGACTTCTGGTACGGTAGTCTGCTAGAGAAGCGAGCGTCAAACAAAATAACCAAGCCCAAGGCATAGCTTCGACGTCCACTCAAGGATGCCGAGACCATTGGTCAATATTATACGAAAGGCCGCAAACGAACACATGAGATCTCGGGGACAGTAACAACAGTCTCTCGGCAGGCGCAAACAAGCATCACATATCTGCAGGCCGACAGCCGAGTCAGGCCCACTAGTACGGGGTACAGGGGGACAGTAACGGTGTGTGGTGGACGGGTGGGGTAACCCCAGATTTCCCAATGTGGTACTCTTCGTCGGGTTCCGTATTCATGATGAACCCCCATACTTCAATTTCCCCCATCATATTGAGTCCTTGGGATATACCAACAAAGCACATTTCAAGAAACCCCTCTTCGTGTTTCGAAATAAAGTAAACGGTGTAGTAGCCAAGGTCGTCGAACACACAGGGTCAACGTACATCCAAGATGAAGCAATACTTTGATCCCCTGCAACAGGAAGCCCACGACGCCTTCTTCGTCATTGGCCGTGATGGACCACCAGAGGTCCTCCCCCCAAACACATCGACGGAGACATTCTGTGAGGTTCTCGACAAGCTACGCCAAATCTGCCAAGCAGAGAATGTAATAACGGGAGACGACCTTGTCAGTTTCATCGACCCTTTCGCCGTCACCTCATCACATGTCCCGTCTGCTGCGGTATGGTAAGCTTTTTGTTTTTTGCCTCCCTTGCCTTCTCCTCGTCGTCACGTTTCGTCTCTGACACAAGAGTCAAACATCAGTCCAAGCAATGTCTCCGAGATCCAACAGATCCTGAAACTGGTCAACGTCCACAAAATCCCGGTATGGGTATGTTCACGGGGCAAGAATTTAGGGTACGGCGGTCCAGCGCCTCAAATCAACGGGTCCATTGTCCTCTCGTTACACCGCATGAGTTCGATCCTCGAAGTCAATGAACGTGGTGCCTACGCCGTCATCGAACCTGGAGTCACATTTCGAGATCTGTCAGAGTACTGTCTGGAAAATAAACGATCCGTATGGCCCAACGTCCCTTCGATAGGATGGGGTAGCGTAATCGGTAATGTATGTGTTGCCATGCAATGCCAACCACTCTCACTCTCTCGATCTTTTGGGCCGCCCATCCTCGTCTTGGCTCTTACATTTCGATTTTGGTTATTCATACGTTGACATTCTCTCCTCCTCCAGGCTCTCGACCGAGGTATAGGTTACAACGCTCTCGGAGACCATTGGCACAACATCAGCGGCCTCGAAGTGGTCCTCGCCAACGGCGACGTCGTACGTACGGGACAATGGGCGGCGACGGACGCACCGACGGCGTACCTCTGCAAGAACAGTTTCGGCCCCTCGATCGACGGGTTGTTTCTGCAGAGCAACCTCGGCATCGTGACCAAGATGAGCCTGTGGCTCCAACCTCGCCCCCAGACCTACATGTCGGTCAAGGTCGAGGTGGACAAGTTCGCCGACATTGCGCCCCTCGTCGACGCCTTGGGCTTGTTGCACCGCGAGGACATCCTCCAGAGCAACCCGCTGATAGGCGACGTGATAGGTCACCTGTCCATCTTCAACACCGCGGCGGAACTGTACGACGGCCCCGGTCCCATCCCCGAGGACAAGATCGAGGATCTCCGTGTCAAGAATTCCTTGGGTGCCTGGACGGCCATTTTCGACTTTTACGGCACGAAATCCATGGTGCTCGCCCGTCTCGAACGCTGCCGTGAAGTTTTGGAACAGCACTGCCCTTCGATGCGTCTGACGAGTCGCCTGTTTGAAGGCTCCGACAACAACGGCGGCGTCCTCGAGGCCCGCAAGATCGCCGAACACGGCCGTGGGGAGCCCGTCGGGGTGGTCGGCACGTCTCGCTCGAGCATGATCAATTTCGCCCTGCCTCGAGACGGCAAGGGTCACGGCGCCCACACGGACTTTGTTCCCTTGATGCCCAACGACGGAGCTTTTTTCCTGAAATGGTTCACCGAAGCCCGGAAAATCATGGTCTCGCACGGGTTCAACGCCATCCTGGGAGGGAGGGTTTTCAAAAAGCATTCCTTCACCATCCAGATGATGTTTTACGACAGTTCGAGCGCCACGCACCGAGCCAGCCTCCCTGCCATGTGGAGGGATTTGGCGAAAGCGGCTGAAAAGTATCACCTGACGAATTACCGGTCACATTTGGATAATATGGGTAATTTCTGTCCCCTTTCTTGCTCGCCTTCTTCCTCCTTCCGACAAGTGAGACATCTTTCTAACAACGTACTTTATCTACAGATCTATGTCAAAACGTATTCGACTTTAATGATCATGCCTACAAAAGATTCGTCGAAACTCTCAAGGCATGTTGCTCTTTCAATCTTTCACACCACTGCTAGTACAGTACAGTACTAACTACTTGTGTCTTCAGAACAATTTGGACCCGAATGGTGTTCTATCACCTGGTAAGCAAGGTATATGGCCCGAGGTCTGGAACAAGTATCGTAAGGAAAACAAGAATGACGAGACCACCACCAATGGCACCACCACTCCCTCCATTTCGTCCTTGAAAATGTAGACGACACTTCCACTAGACAACAATGAGGCAAAATCTTTTGTCATGACCAGAACCACGACCGTCCTCCAAGGTCAAGGTTGGAACAAGAGAAGAGAAAAAAAAAGAAAACGATACATACAAATTATGTGGTTCGTTCAAATGTTCATTCGCCGTCGTGGCAAGTATAGGAAAAATACCTTTGTTATATATTTATATCCTTGCAAAGTCGGTGACTCCTGAGGCATTATTTGCAATGACACCCCATACATAAATCTTCATGCCCTTTCTCTGGCACTCCCATTGTGACCTCTTCTGACCTGATCTCCACGGCGTCTTTTAAGCCGACGCCAGCACCAAAGTCATCGATTACCACTCATTCCCCTCTGACACCAGATATCCGACATCCAAAATCTCGACAGTGACTGTTCTCACCCAAAAATGAGTCCTATGCTTTGTATGCAAGGAATGTGACCAAACGAAAAATATACCCCTCCAAAACCCGGTTTTCCTTCCCATGAACCCTAAAATTTCTCACTCGTAACAGCTCTCGATACATTGACCAAGATCCACGCAAGCAATTGAACAATTGTCGTCAAAACCCATACCAGCAACTTGAGCCCCGTTATGAGAAAACTCAGAGTCGAACGTGTAAGTACAGGAAGTTCTTCGCCCTTGCGATCTCCAGATTGGTAGTGACCTAGTTTCTCGAGATCGAATTCCGCCATTGTAACCCTTTTCTTGTTGTTCTTTTTTCCTTTCTTACTCTTTCCTGAAGTCCTCTTTTCGCCAGCGTCGGCTTCATCATCATGTGAAACACTTCCTGGCATTCGCCCAAACCATGATCGCCCTTTTGTCGCCGGTCGACCACCAGCACGAACATCACTCTCATGCTCCCGGCGCATCAGTTTTGCTTCTTCCTCTGCCTCCTCGCGCTCGGCAATGGTGGCATAGAATGTGCTTCCTGCATAACTCTTGACACTACCAGCTCGGGTAGTACGCATGCTGTGGCTCCTGTGGCTCGGCCCCAGTCGTGTTGAAGGAGCTGGGCGGGGCTTCCATATTTCCATGCCGGCCATGGCCGGGTTCACCGTGGAGTCGCCCACTGCAACTGCAAGGAGAGCACTGATAACACTGTCTATGCTAAATAGCGACGGCATAAGCTCTAGAATGCCGTTTGCGTCGATGAATAATGTCTGTGCCGTAAGATCAAGCGTTGCCAGAGCAGGATTGTCTGAGCTCGCTGTCACTGCTGCATTAGAGTCAACCTGAGGCATCGTGGAAAGTCTTCTGATTCCAGAATTGGCAGAGGCTAGCGGAGTTCCCGCTCCGGTACGTTGGGCAGCGTTCGGGTCCACAACATATATTGTTGGAAGCGAACTTTCGAGCGACACTGAAATGTGCAGAACAGGTTTGCCGGTCATGCTGCGGACGGTGGTCGGAGAAACAGGGGTTGGGGTATTCGTCGCAAATTCTCCGCCCATTGACCCGCGACCGATGGCAGGATGTTCGAGTTCGTAGAAGCCGCCATGAGCATTGAAACGCAAAGAGCAAGCTTCTTGTTTCGCAGCTCTACGAACAGCCTGAGCTTCTATGTCGTCACGATCTGTTGGGGCGAGGTTATGCTCGCGAGCCAGAGCTGCAGATTGATTGATGGCAAGCATAGCTGCGAGTTTGGGGAAGATGAAGGCAACGAGACCATCGTTGGGAGATTGACGCCGGGAAGGTGGCTCCAAGGGACACAAGACAACATCCCGCGTAGAGGTGGCTTTTCGTGAGCAGGTTTTGGTTACCGCGATCTCATTCGTGTCGTATGTTTGAAGGGTATAGAACGGTAAAGAGGGGTGAGAACCAAAAACAAACGTTGCTTCTTCTGTTCTGTTTGTCCGTCAGCGTTATTTTCCGCCACACACCCACACACCAACACCACCTACCTTGCCAGTTCAAGCGTGAAGGATTTGATGGCCGCATCCGGTTCCGTCCCATGTGATGCTTCCCATAACTTCTCGAGATCACGCTGTGTTGAAATACGAGGTCCGTAGTTTACACTCATGACGTCGGAAGGAAAATTGATGATGCTCGGTGGTGCTGATCTCTGGACCGAAGCTGCGAATGGGAGAGACAGACTGGTCCGATAATCATCCCGAGAGAAAGCACCAAAGGGAGTGATGCCAGACAGGTGAGCCGGAATTGGGCGTTGGGGAATGTAGGGTTGTTTCGTCAATGGCACAGACGGGTTGTAGGTAGGGAACATGGACCTGATAGGCACGATTGGCGATGGATCGATTGGAGACTTGATGGAGACGGCTATCTGTGTCTTAGTCTGGGTTTGGGTCTGCGTTTGGACCTGGACTAGTGTCGTTGATGATCCAGTGCCTAGAGAAAAGGAGGCCTGCGGCGATGAGTGGTCTATTTGGGGAGACTGATACAAGGAAGGTGTATATTTTGCCAGATCCGTCGAAGGGGCGAACGGCTGTGTGGGAGTCTTGCCGTCAATGGGAGAACTGGTGGTGATTGCTCGTCCAATGTCTTCTGGCGAGGGAGACGAGTCTCTTCGCTCATCCAGGTGCGCCGGAAGTCGAGGCAGGGGAGGCTGTTCTTGCTCCATCTTGATCACGACCGATTCGGCATTCGAGACAACACTCTCTGGCGAAGCGACAATGCTGATTCTATGCAAGCTTGGGTTCTTCTTGTGCGGGTTCGGAATGGCGATCTTGGGCACGGTCGTAGGAAAGAGGGAAAAGCCTTGTGCTGAAGCCATAGTGCAAGGCTGGTCTTCTGCGTACCGTCACACCGTACAAGTATCGGGCTAAGAGAGAACGGCCGAAGTGGTAGACCTGCTGCCGAAGGCGATAGCAGAATGAAACAAAACGTAAACAGCAGCAACGCAGTAACGTAAAACCATGGACCAGCCGGGCAGAGAAAGAAAATGAAGGCGAGGACACAACAAGAAGAACGAGAACAAGAGAGAAGAAAGGACATCCTAAGAAGAGGGTCAGCAAAGAGCATGTTGAGTAGGAGCCAGTCCTGCAGGTTCAACGAGCCGAAGGAGGGATGGCTCCATGTGCAGGACATGCATCCAATCGGCATGGATTGGGAGAAGAGGTGCCTTGGCCGGCGTCTAAAACCTAATGATAGCAGGAAATGTAAGTTGTCCAGATCTATCACATCTGAAATGGCGGCATGAACAGTCATTGGCGAAACGAAAACCAATGGTGAGATGAGGAAGCGAAGATGCAGCGAAAGAAACGAACGAGACGAAGTCGAGCGCAGGCGCGTAAAGGGAGCCTTGATTGGTTGTTCTATTTTGAGGCCGATACTCTGGACTTGATTGGGTGCGCCATATGCGACCCCCTGTTCCTCCGAATAGATAATCCGTTCCGACAGGCTTTGAGAGCACGTGTCCATCTATGTCCTTCATGGGCGTTGTCCAAACGAGTACGAGTACGAATACGGGGGTTTTCCTTTCTAACACATTTTCCATCACCAGCTGATTGTGATTTCCGTTAGCATCAATCATGATGAAAAAAGCCGTAAATGAAGGATAACTCACCCAAATGTCTCCTCAAAGTACTCAACACCTCTCTTGCCCTGCTTCAGAGCAACATGCACCGCAGCTCTGGCATCGTCCGCCATAGCTGCAGGCCCGCATGTGAGGATGGCGATTCTACCACCTTTCGACCCGGCATTGTTGACCTCGTCGATGATCTCCGAAATGCATGCTTTAATATCAGTGCGGCCATATGTTATGCCGAGTTGCCCAGTGGCACTCATAACAGGAGCCAGCTTTGTGTTCGCCTCAATCACAGAACTGACTTGGCTGTCTGAGTCACTACCATGGACGACCTCCTTGCGGGCGGTGGCATGTAAGTTAAAGTGGATGTCTTCGCGTCCGAGGAAGGGCTGTAACTCTCGTGCCGCCACATCACGAATCATGGCAGATTGCTTCGCGGTCCAGACGAGATGTATGTCTCTCGTGATGGTCGTCACCTTTTTGCCGTCGCGAGTATCTTCAGCACTTTGGTTTCTGGCTCTGATATGTTGTTGCATGTACGGTAGTGCTCCAGCGATGCCACTGCCTCCGACGATGAAAATGACGGTCTCATACGAGGGGAGGGGGCTTCGTTCGCCATAAGGACCTTCGATGAAGACTTTGGGCGTGATGACCCCATCTGGTGACTTGAGGCATTCATCCTTAAGCCGCCTCGTCCAACTGCCGAATGGGCGTACAATGAAGGTGAGTTTCTGCTGACCTGCTGCGTCAGGGAAGACGGTGACTTCTTGTTGTGACTGTGAGGGAACACTCTCCGAAGGAGTGCTGGAGCCAGAGCTGCCAGGATGGATTTGGATTTCTTTCTCCGCAGCCTCCTTTGGAGCATCTGCTTCCACGATTGCCGTTGCACCAGCTCTCCCAATTGTCTCATATGATGCCAAGGTGAAAGGATGGTTCTCCCAGCCTTTCCACTTTAGCGGTTGGTACAGATAGTAGTGCTGACCAGGTCCTGGCTTCAGGAAATCAGAGCCAGGGACAATTTCGAGTCTGACAAAGTCGCCGTCCTTATGGTAGGTCGCCAAAGCCTTGGTTGTCAAGACAGATTTCGATCTCACATGGATGTTACAGTAAAGCCATCGGAAAATACGAGCTGCTCGATCGAAGCACCATATTGCCACTGGGGGCCAGAGATATCCATCGTACTCGCCATTGAAGATCTTTGTGTGGCTGTCGGAAGGATGTCAGAATCTGCTCATGAGCACAGGGGAATCACACGTACTAGAACAAACCAACAAGCGTTATCACAGAAAGTGCAATGTGAATCAGGAGAAACACTTCATAAGACTTGACGCGGAACCACATCACAGAGAACCCCAGGAGCAAACTCATTGTAATAGTGGCCTGTCTCGGGTCAGTACGATTATTCCTGGCCGAGATCGGTGGGAATTAGCTTACCATGCCTCCCATATACCAGTATTGTTCTTTCCATGACTCGGCAAAATATCCAGCTGATATCTTGTCAATGACAATGTCAATTCTAACGATGCGAGTGTACTTACCGCCACCTTCCAAAACAGACCAGTTGATTGAATGCACGATGGCCAAAATAGTGGCAACGCGGGCAACGTGGCGATGGAAGATATTGAATGTCCCGAAGCTCCAACCGGTCAACCACAAAAAGACGTTGTTTCTTCCAGAAAATAGCCACAGCCAGGGCAGACAAGCATATGAAAGAATGCCGGTGCGATCGCCAATATACCGCCAGCCTTGCTGTGCTTTCGTATAGCTATGGTAAGGTCAGTGGAGGCCAAAGTAAGGGAGCAGAAGCAAGAACGTACTAGAAATTTGGGTAGATAATATAATAGCCGACACAACACAAGATGAATGTCATGACGTAGAAGCACGAGACGACTATCGTCTCCATACGTGTAGGGATGGTCGACCACAGCAGCGGCCGACTGTGATACGAACCGTACGTCGCAGGTATGATGATGTGCGCTCTGAACCAGTGGTGGATCGAACTGATAGCGGTAACGGAATTTGATTGTTTTGATATCTCGCCTCCCTCCAGATCGGATGAGACATTGATATGACGAGACTGGGTGAAATGTGTGATGAACCGGTTGATGATTCCAATGAGAAGAAGGCCTCCCCAGAATCCATATATAGCCCAGCTATACAAATGAATCAGTAAAGTATTCTTCCACGAAAGGGATTGGGCAAGAAGAGAAAACTGCACCCGTATCTTGCGTGAAGAATGTATTCAAGGTTGAAGATACCCTAGCTGTTCGTTAATCGAAAGATACTAAGCGAGTCGTGGGCTGCAGGAACTCATACATAAGTTCCAACTCCAGCCTTCACCACCGTTTTTGACAGTTGAATAGATGTATTCCAAACAGTACCAGCCTCAATGTCACTGTATTCAACAAGAGGAAGGGAGTTGATATAGTCTTCTGTGAGATCAGGAAGCATTTTAGAGTACGGCGTCAACTCGACCGAGCCGTATTCCACACATTCATCTCCGAATGCTTTTGAGCCCGCTATGATTTCGACAGGAGTGCACTACAGCATATCAGAACGCTACTTTGACTGGTTGGTGCGATACGGGACATTTTCCGGTTTGAGCAGGATAGACTGGAAGGGAAAGGTACACGTACATATAGCTTTGCTGCAATCCACATTGATCTCACAATCATGTCTTTGACGCACAGATTCCCCCAGTAATCTTCTGCATCACTGACATTGAATTTGACCTCTGCAAGAGCTGTTCTAAGGCCCTCTACGCAGTCAGAAGGCTTACCCCAGACAAGAGACAAGCCCGAGAGGGCAAGAAGGAGCGCGGAAACCCTCATGTCGAAAGTCGGGATGGTTCAAGCTGGCAATAGTATCAGAAGGCGACCAAAACTGTGACAGATGAGACCCTTCGAGTAGAGATGCGTGGATTACCAGACAATATAATACTTACCGCCGCGGTGGGCTGGAAATGCGCAAAAAAACTGCTCTGGGAACATACCTACGCGCGAGGGACATGCTTCCCGAGCATACCCATTGCACAACTGTATGCGACCCTCTCCCAGATCTGCAAAGAACCGATTGAGATTCTCGTCGGCTCTGCATGTCCCATTCCAGACTCTTGCCAGTGGTGTGATGGGGAAGGATTCCCACTAATTGTTCACTAGCTATAAGGTTCAAGTTCTCGCTTGCCTGGGATGGCCAGTATGCACCTCGCTGGGGCCTTGTGCGAATGAAATGTGGTTACAGATAGCATATTGTGCTACACTGTTACGCTTTGACACGACTTCAGCAAAAAATCTTTAAGGGATCTCCACCACAGGGGAGCACTGTCAGAAACACCGATACCGGACAAATACCCTCGCTATTAGACTTCAATGCTGTTGGTCTTGCTATAAAACTTACTAGCGTAGATCGACGTATGATCTGCCAAAAAGGGTTTTTGTGCAGACGACATTTTTCGTAAAGCGTGAGGCTCAATACCGCAGCCAAGGCTGCTTGTTACCAGTCTATCAAGGAGGGGCAGAATCACAAGTTTCCATGAGCTTGTCCAAGGGAACGTCTCGTGTGTTCTTGGTGGCTATTCCAGTGACAGCGGATCTTGTGACTATTTCTCCCGTGTGGTCTTGTTTGGCTGCAGCGTGGCCAGGCTCTTGCCGAGTGCATCGTGCATCAGATGTTGTGGAACTTTCCTCGTGCTTCATTCATTGTATCGGGCAACTGACGCTGCCGATGACCCTGGTTCTCAGCGACTTCCTCGATCTTCCGCTCGAGCGAGGCAGGGATTTTTTGTGGAACGAGCCAGGCTTGTACCACAGTGGGAGGCTGGAGACCCGGGGACCACCGCACATGGTGATCCATCTTGCAATCGGCAGGTGGACTGAGAAAGAATGAATCCGCGATATCGAGGTCGACCGGTCAGGTGGAGTGTCCCAAGATTTTCTGGAGAATATTTGCGCGATGTAGGCGACTACCCAAAACGCATGGTTGGCCGTTGTCGATACATGTTTCTGGCCGTGCGTTGGTCGTTGTGGATTCTTTATCGGCGGATCGATGTCTAATCTTATCAGATAATGATTATCTGATAATTTCTGCCAGAAAAACCCTAATGTCCAGCCTAAGGCCAGAACAGTCCATTTTCTTCTCTGTTCTTCTCTGCAACTTCACTCTTCTCGTGATCATGGGTACTCGGTGGCTTGCGTGCCAAGTTTCTTCCCTCCCTATCAAGCTATCAATCCGGTTTCGGCGCGTAAAGCTTGAGGTTCTAAGCACTTGCCCCGGAAGAGGTTCGGACATTTGAGGCTCTCTCCCACACCCCTCCGAAGGTGAAAAGAAGAAAACCTCAAGGCGAGGCAGGTAATAACTCTACTCGAGACCTAAGTCATTTTTGGCAAGGCCAGCTTCAACAAGAACACTCACACCGACTCTTATCCTTTAGAGTGATTTCTCGTGAGAAAAGCTCCATCCAAGGTCAAGCCAATTTTTCATGGTCACGCTTCGAAAGCACCGGCTGGCGGCTTGAGTCCTCGCTTGTCATCTCTCCTTTGTCGGCATGCTGGTTCTGGTCCTTGATCCTGGAGCGATGAAGAGATGTGATGATGTTTCATTGCCTCAGACCGCAGGGTCTTGCTCAAAATTGCTCAAATACATTACGTGCTGCCCCCGTTCTTCCTCCTCCTTTTCGTCCCATATCTCGTCGTGACTTTCCATTTCTGTTGCAGATTTCGAACCTTTGAAGCTTCCCAAGTTCATCAAGCCGTAGAAATGACAGTCATTGGTCTTCTCCTCGCCGCCCTGGCAGGAATTGCTGTTGCGCAGTCAGGTGACCTAGTCACGGTCCTCAACTCGACGAACGGCACTTCCACCATTGGTGAAGTCGTTGGACAGGTCCCTGGTTTCCTAGAAGCTATATCTGGAAAGACAAATCTTACCGTTCTCGCCCCAAATGACACTGCCATTGCGGAGCTTCTAGCTGGACCACGCGGACAAGCCCTCGAAGACGCCGGCACCGACTATCTCCTGAACCTGCTTCTCTACCATGTCATCAACGGCGGCTACGGCAACATCACAGACTATACTGTTGCACCGACACTCCTCACTTCGAGCAACTACACCAACGTGACTGGTGGACAGCACGTCGCGTTCTACTGGGACGATGATGAAGACCTGGTCGGCTTCTATGGAGGCAATGACTATAAACCGGAGGCCAGCCACACATCCATTCCCTTTGATCAGGGATGGATCTATGTCATCGATGGCGTTCTGCAAATCCCCCCGGCCATGTCCGAGACCGTCACCTCGGGCGACTTCAACGGCAGTTCATTTGTTGCTGCGCTGGAAAAAGCAGGACTGAAAGAGGAGTTTGACCAACTTCATGATGCAACATACTTTGTCCCTGTCAATGATGGGTTCGACGCCGTCGAGGATGCCCTGTCAAAGCTGAGCACCGAGGAACTAGTTGAAGTTCTTCGATACCATGTCGTCGCTGGCAAAGTCTGGGACTTTGAGCAGTTGGAAGAAGTAACTCAAGTGACTACCTTGCAAGGAAAGAACTTGACTGTGTCCATGACGCCTGATGAGGAATGGTACATCAATCAAGCAGGAGTCAGCTATACCGACCTCACGGCCGCTGGAGGTGTCATCATCTTCATTGACAATGTCCTGAATCCTTTTGCCGGCTTTGCTCCACCTCGGAATGGCACCGATGGAGACGGTGTGCCTGCGTTCGCCGTCTCGAATGCGACCTCCACATCCGGGCCTGGCGTTTCGAGCACGGCATCTGCCACTGGTGGCGCCGCAAGCTCTACTTACACTGGTGTTGCAGCAATGCCATTGAGTGTTGGAATCAGCAGCTTGTTGGGTGGAGTTGCAGTTGCTCTTCTTTTGTAAGAGCTGTAATGGGAGGTAGCGGGAATAAGCTGCAATTACACGGAAGCCGTAATGAAGCTGTTTGACCTGTAGAAAGCAAATATCAGATGAGCACATAGCCTAGACAACAACCAGAGGAACTGTAGATCAAATCGATCCACCTTGCATTCATCTTGAAATAAGCCCATCCACACAACTTTGGCGCGTTAAACCGTGCTTGGGGCAAATATCGTCCCGGTTGCTCTAGGCATGAGTCAGGTACAGAGAGTCATGTCATCATTTCCCTTGCCATTGACTGAATTCGAAATGAACGATGCCGAATGGGAGGCCGATCCAAAGCAAACACACTTTGGTGAGAAGTCCACACCGGGAAGAATTGTCCGCATTGAGGAGACGCAGCCTTGCCAACACTACGCTACAGCCTCGTCGCGCTGTCATTATTGAATTGAACCAAGAAACCTCAATCTTACACTGTGACTTCAATGATCATTCAAGACATTAACGCCGACCTCTTGAACGATGACTTTTTCTTCCCTCAAGACTTTTTCCTCCACGCGTCTGCCTACCTTGACACGTCACCGCCCGTTTTCTCCAGCGTTTCCCTCACCGCCCGCAAAAAGTTTCTACAAGTACCTGCCCTTCCCTCGATTTTCTCTTCTTCTTTTTTCTTTTTTTTTGTCTCTTCACGTCTCGTTCGGGCATCTGGTTTAGCTCACACACACTATGGTCTTCCAACCCAGTGGTCTAGTATGGTTATGACGCAGTTGCCTACCTTGGTAGGTGTACTGAAGTGAGAGTTCGAATCTCTCCTGGGTTGGCTTCGACATGATAGACATCAAATCTTGCTCCAGTGTGTCCGGTCTCCCCATTGGCAAAAGGAGATAGAGATGGTCCCAGCTACACACAAATTTTGTTGATTTTCTTTTTCTTTTTGTTCTTTTTCCGCTCCTGTCCTTCTCTTTCCCTTTTCCGGGACAAAGGAGTGACGGAGGTATGAAGAAGAGGAAAAGAGAGAGAGAGAGAATCCGAGATTTCTTTTCACTTGCTGGTGAGGGTTCTCGGTCTTTTGCGTCTCTGATGTATCGATCGAGATTACCAGTTCCCGACGCTGACAAGGGACAAAAAACCTCGAGCCTTTTTCCTTTTTTTCACTTTCGGTTTTTCATCTTTCGAAATTCGAAACAAAAAGAAAAAAGTCATCTCGCAAAAGGGTATCAGTGTGACGCCATGTCTTGTCCCAGCTGATGAGGGGGTCGTGACTAGGATGGGGTACCGTTTTGACGGCATCACTGCTCGGCATTGTTTGCACCCAAGTAGGTGTTTGGATGTTCCTCGACCTGCATGCGCCTTTTAGCTAAGGCTATTCCCTCCGATGACTGTCCTTACGGCTCGCTGGTGGTCTTTAGCTCCTTCGGGGGGGATTCGCTGCGGGGGGTTCTTCTCATGATGATGGCAATCCAGGAATATTTTGATGCAAAAAAAAAAGTACTTCCTTGCCGAAGTGAGGCCTCTTACTGTAAGGCATGCAGGAAAAAAGGGCAACACTTCTCTCTCGGGACAAGTATTACCTTGCATTGTTAGGTGCAGACCATTTTCTTGCCATGACTATGGGCTCGAGGTTGATCAAACCTTCATTGGTTTGATCATTGCCATCACCACCAACCATCACAGCATTTCAAGTTGTGACAAGGGGTTTTTCTTTTTGGATCATCATCTCTTCCCTTCTTTCCTCCAGACGTTGTTGACATTTTACTGATTGAATTTCTTTTCTTTTAGGCTTTGCATCTGTTAGGACTCTTTTTTTCATCGTTATGATGGCCTCGCTGCCAGGTAACGGAGAAGAATGCACAATCATGGGCAAACGTCCTTGGTACATGTACCTTCACATTGGGCCCTATAGTCTTACTCAAGTTGCATACCTTGTCTTGTCTACAAGCACATACATTTCCTGTCCTCCCATTAGGTAACAATCCAATCGACGAATCATGACACTGACAGCAATACTACCAGGTCGATCAATTTCTATATCACCTGTCTGATACTTCAAACCGGCAATGTGAATTATTCGTTCCTATGCTTGAAATTAAAGGTCATCATATCTGTCAAGAGTCAAGAGAATCCAGCAGATTCCAGAATATCCATTATCACGACAATCCAAATTCTTCGTTTTCTTTCGCAGAATCTGCGCCAAAGCATCCCTCCAGATAACCAGTCTCCATATTCCAGTGATCCCTCAACTCATGATCCATTCGAGCCTTGACCACATTCCTACCACTGAATTTGCCTCGAAGATGCAAAAGCCTCCCACCTATATCCTATTCCCCTCTGCCACACCACTTCCTGTCATCAATGCTATCTTCGATCTCCTCGACGGCATGTTCAAGACGAGCAATGAGATGTGTCCGAATTACTCGTCATCCTCAATCAAGACCGCGTCGCCCAGCGTCTTCAACGCCTCCATTCGTCTCTCCAGGATTCTTCTCTGAAACTGTCGCCGAACCGCAGCCCCATGACCTGCGACTCTAAAGAACAACTGGGCGTGTGAGATCATCATGGCTTGGAAACGTGTGGCGAGAACACCTATCAGCCATTCTTCAAGTGCGTCTGTGTCATCGCTGCGTCCGTTATAAAGCTGGTCTTTCGCGTTGGTATTACTGTTGTGGTTGTTCCTCTTCCTCTTGTTTGCATTGGCTCCTTGGCTGTGGTTCGGGGTAGATGATTGTTGTACAACTTAAATCCCACCGTCCGCATCGTCCGGACGCGAAAAGACCACCATACTCACGTCGAGCAAACATTTGACACCCACCGAGGCCGTTGCGTACCCGCACTCTGTGATCTTCCTCTTGACGAGCTGCCCCATACTGGCCATTCCCAACCGTTTCGCCAGGACGTACAGGTGTGCCGCTCGAATTGTCTCACTTCGGTAGTCTTGTGGGCTGTCGACACCGTCGAGCGTCTTGGGTAGGAGGACACTTTTGTCACTACTGTCGTCCTCTCCAGCATAGTTGGACACGATGGCAGGGATGTATTCGTCGGCCAGGAGAAACTGTTGAACAGCAGCAAAGTGGTCCGGCTCGATACTTGTGAGTTTGGGGTGCATGATGAATGTGCCTTCGGCGCCGGTGCCGCTACCACTGCGACTGCTATTGATATTGATTTTGCTGCCGCCGTTGTACTCTCCTCCTTGTCGAGACACTAGAGATTTCAGGACAGGCGACTTGTCCAGACTTTCCAAAGATACCGTGAAGATTTGGTTATGCTGGCCCACGAAGATCGAGACGCGCTCGTCAATGGGGATGCGTGAGATGGACTCCTGCTCCGCTTCGGTCTTGAAGTGAACATGGACGTCATTCTTACTCTGGCCGACAGGGCTTGTAGGAATTTGTCCTAACGAATGTCGTTGCGATTGTGGTTGTGATCTCGGAGGCGAGGCGTATGGGTGATTTCGGCGGCGGCGATGATACTCGGCGCTGTGGTGATGTGGTCCTTTAACCATTGGGTCGGGCTGAGATGGGTCAGCGAAGAAGAGGGCTTCGGTGTCAGTGTCTTGGTTTGCTCGGTGTCCAGCGGCGAACTGTGATAGCGGCGGCGATGGCGTGATAGAATTCGTACGACGTCGTGTACGTTCTGCTGTCCGTGGTGATGGTAACTTGTCGAAGTAGTTGGACATTGTGCTATGTGTAAGAGCAATAGGGATATTGAAGGAAACCGAAGCAAGAGACAGAATGAATGAAGAAGATATCAATGAGAAGAAGGTAATGTGTACAGTATGATGATCAAGAGGCAAATGATATAAAAGTGATGCGAAGCAGATGCGCAGCGATAGGAATGAACAAGTGATAGATGAGCGATGTGCTTTTTGAAGATGAAATGGGAGAAAGTGATGCAGGTGCAAATGCTGATAGTGAAGGGAAATTTGTAGGCTATTGAGGCCAGGAACATGATTTCACATGCTTCAGGGCTCACAAAAACCATGCACGTGCCTCTTGCTGTTCAAGTGTCAATGATCATGAGAAAGATGGAAAAAGAAAGCGAAGAACAGGTAGAGGTGGCTGAATATCTCAAATTCCTATATCTGATCACAAGAGGTCTTTCCATCTCCGAATCATCAAGACCAGAAATGAAAAGGCAGTTTCCCCATATATCAGCAGAACGGTCGACGTCGAGTCGAGAAACTAATCGATACAAACAAAGGAGTTGCGAATTGTAGTCGCAAACTATGTGTGTAGTTTTGACCATTGTTCCAAAAAAGAGCCGAAAGAAGGCAGATTGCGCCAGTCACACACCCTAATGAAAGGCTGTGGACTCATTAGAAAGAGTAGGGTTTCGATGAACCATTTGGTTAAGTTGGCGGCCAAACCTCGAGAGAAGCGGAGTTGATGCAAAAAAGAAAAAATGCTATCAAAGCAAGTTTTCTATTCTTGTTGAACCCAGTCGCACGTCCGTCGGTGACTTGTTCAACCCTGTTCCAAACACAATCTGCCAGAAACAACATTTACTCTCCTACGTCAGCACCAATGTCGATCCTGTCTCGGTGGTATGGGCGAAACCACTCAGATGACCTTGGGAGAACGGCTGTTGCTGTATAGAGGACACAGGTAAGCTGTTGGGCACAACAGACACAAATTGCAAGAGCGATAGTAAGAGTCAAAACATATCAAGTACGCCACGCAAAGCAAGGCAAAGTAAAGCAGCAAGTAATCCTTTTAGTCTTACCTGATCTCGACAATGTCGTCGATGTGGTTGCACATGGCCACAAAGAGGTCGAAAAACAATTTGCCCCCATGCTCCATTTCCTTCTGCATGGTTCCACTCCTCTTGAAAGTCTTGCGACTTCGAATGATCAGAGCAAGGTAATGAGCGCGGAGGCGCGATTCGGTGTCCGGCGTGTTCTGGTACGCGTACCGAGCAGATCGTAAGATCACGTCGACCTGGATTCCGGACTGTAGGCCTTGCTTGCGAAGAGCAAGGAGTTTCAGTTCCTCCAGGCCATACTTGTCGGCAGCGCAGTAGATGACGGTATCTCGGAGGATATCGCCCACGTCAGGAATGAAGATTGTCGAAGCGGCGTTTCCGCGACCACCATTTTTCAGATCCTGCACTGCATCCTCGAGATCCCAAGTGTTTCGGCGCTTGTTGTGCAGCAAGCGTGGATAGTAGTCACCCTTGTACAGAAACTCAAGCACACAGGACAGGATTTCAGGTTCTTCGTCGGGCAGTTCCACTCGCTTCGAGCCGCCATCCAGAAAGTTGCCTTTCAAGGCGGAAGCGAAGTAGGCGGAATGACAGAGGACGTCTTCATGAGCGGCGAAAAGACGCTGTTCATGACCCACCACGAGAGTAACGATGGGACTCGTCAGTGTACTAAGGGACGGTCTGTGTCAGTGATTGACTAACTGCGCTTGGTCGGGATCTTCTGCCTACCTTGCCACCGCCGAGCCTTCGTCCACTGTGTCCTGCATCTTTCTCTTCACATGTTCGGGATAAGTATTCTTGATGGGTTTCGACTTGATGATGCGACCATCGCGGGTATTAAATGATCGTTTGAACATCTTGTCGAAAGAGCGCATGGGAAAACGATTGTCGAGTACTCTGAAATCAACGAACGGGGTGGGAAGAGGAAGAAAGAACGGCTGAAGAACCTATGACTGGAGTAAAGAGCGTGATAGGTTTTCTGGGTTTGACGCTTGATTCACACACAAGGACCATGTGATGTCGGAGCTGCGAAGTTCTCGAGGATGACTCCCTCGCCTGCCAGCCTCATTCGGACGAAAGAAGCCGGACAGCCAATGAAGACCACACTAGAGAACTTGACGGGTTTGGACAGTTGATGACCAAAAGCGTGTAGAATTTGCCTGCTCGGTGCGTGAAGAAGCGAAGAGGAAGAAGCGGGAAAGGGTCCTGAGGCTGATACAATATATACCCTACCGAGCGTTGCGCGGGCGCTTGGGAGCCTTGGCGAAGGCAGCCATACAAACGATGCTGCGTGGCCGAATCACGATCGACCTGCTGCATGCAGATTCCAGGCACTTGTGCATCTTACCGAGGGCTTGGAGGAACAGTATGAGTCGAAGGGGGACGGGAAGAGATGAAGACACCCCGTTTAGCTTGATGCAAGATTCATCATTGTTGACACGGTCAGATGACCACAATATTCAGTGCACGCGTCGAAAGTCTCCAAAAAGCGCGTCAGCCGCATGTCATAGGTTCTGCATCCTCATTCGAAGATGTCTTCCTCCAGACTCAATTGTTTGGCGCTGTACATACACAGAATGACCACTTCTCGTAGCATCAGATGGCCCAGCCAACGTAACCAGCCGCACCCTCTTGTCCGCCAGTTCTTCGCTGTGGAAATCTCAAAGTATCGAATGCTCGCTCCTGTAGGCATTTCAAGGCCCCGAAAAGATGGCAACAACGCACCCACCGTTTAGATCAATCTATGCATGGCAACGATGCTCAAGAGCCTTCCTTCCACCTTGATCAGCACATCTCGCAAGGTTCACTGGGTGATCGCAACCTCACTAAAAATAGTGACGCTGACGAGAACTCCAGGCGTTGCCTGCGATATTCGCCTGTTGCACATCGGGTTGTTGATCTTTGGCAAGTCTAGCTTCTTTGTTGATACGAGACTGAATCCGCTCCAGAACTTCAGGGCCTGGGTTGGGTATAGACTCGGGAGTAGGTTTGGCATTTCCGGCCATGAGCGCGTCGTACCTAGAATGACAGGCATTCTGGGAGAAGTTGATGACAGGCTGATACAAATTAATCCAAGCACGCCGCACGACAGAATGCTCTCACCTTCATGTTCTTCATGCAGTCAGCTACCATGCGCCATTTTCGGTTATCGATCTCAGCCTTGAGTCTGTCGACCTCTGCATCCGCCTTGATTACAGCTTGAAGTAGAACATCGTCCTAGGGCCTTGTCAGTTGGTGTCGAAGTGTGGTAGGTGAGTCGCACGTACATCTCCATCATGCCAGTCAGTCAAGTCTGCATCCAACAGATCGTCCTGTCTCTTTTGCAGTTTGGCTTTGATGCGTCTCCAGCGAGTACCAATGGTTTTTGGGTTGTATGCGATGCGGCCTTGGTCGACAAGGGCCTGCGCAATATCTCTCTCCAAGAAACGTGCCTCCTTCATACGAACAATCAGTTCATCGTCCGAGTCGAGATCCGCCGTCACTTTTTTGGCAATCGCGGGACGGCCACCTCGCATCTTCATGCTCTTGACATCAGCAGCTTTGATATCGCTGCCGATAAAGTCAGTCTTGCGACGAGCTTTGGATTTCCGTGCCGGTCTCTAAACAGCTGTTAAGGGGTGGTTCCTTTTCGGACACTCGAGCGGTTTACTTGCCTCTCCTGCATCTGATTCGAGATCAGCACCATTGTCGCTATCGTCATCTTCCCAGGCGGCATTGTCGCCATTTTCAGCCTTGGGACGACCCACTGGAAGACCGATATCTAAGACTTTTAGCCCTACACCCAAAGATTGCCGTGGTTGAGGAGGACGTTACCTCGGGGAAAGTACGCGAGATCGAGCTGTTGATGAGCAAAGTACGGTAGTGGACATTTACTCTGCTTTGTGACGACAACGGGGATGCCGCGTTTGCGTGGGTAATTGGTTGGCTTGGGCCTAGGTCTCATAGGAATGATGGCTTGCGCACCTAGATTCATGTTGTCGCTCCGTTCACAATCAAGGTATGCTGGATGTCGTTGTGAAAGAGAAGGAGCTGAGAAATCAACGCGAGGTTCCTAGTCATGAAGAGGATGCAAAGAAGAGAGATTTCAAGAATAAAAGTGATAAATTGACGGTGAGAACGCGTGCTGCCACATATATTTGTTGTTGGGTGACGGGGCAGTGAAGTGCGAGGTGACCACATCTGATGCCTCTGCTGCTTTGCATGTTTTGCCTTAATTTCACTACCTCGAATGTCGCTGTAGAGTCATTCAGGACCTAGGTAGGTACATAAGCAGTTGGTTTTTGTCGACCTCGTGCTCTGGTCACTACCAGCAAGTCGCTACAATATCTACAACATCTACAATATCTACAATATCTACAATATCTACAACATCTACAATATCTACAATATCGGGGATGTTCTCTCGTCATGCCAAATACGAGGCTCTAACAATTTATCGCCTGCAGTACAGTCGCCTTTCGTTACATGTTTCTATTGGTGAACCCACTTTCTATAACATGTGCTCGCAACATTAGGACTAGCAGAAGATGATATTATGTTTGACTAAATACTGGCAACCGTGCAGGGATGTGGCCTGTAGTGGTGGCAGTGCAGACAAAATGTCCCTAAAACTTGAACTGTGGCCATGACGTTGTCGTGGCGCAAACCACCATTCCGCTCTTCCCACTCTTTCTCCTCCTCCTACACCATCCTCAATCCAGGTGAATTGCATAGACCTCATTTCGGTCGCAAGAGCCTTTATTCTATTCTTCTTTTATACCTATTCTCTTTACTTACTACCTTGTCGTAATTAAGTCCCCTTTCTCCTGCAACCCTTCTTGGTAGGTTTATCGTTGGCCAACCATGGCTATGCAGTATATCAATTACATCAAGGCCAAGGCCCATTTGGCCACGTCCAAGCCGTCCGAGACTCCTGTTCTTTCCGAGGAAGATGAACAATTCCTGGATCGACTCACATCTGCTGATGAGAATCCTCCTCCCCTGCCTGCTCGGCCGGATGTGATGGCATCGATCAAGGATGCTCAGACAGCCCTTATGGATGGCGCTCAGAATATTCCTCTGCCAGAAACGCCAAATGAGATTAGTCAAGAGCCCTTAATGACTCAGGATGATGTGGGAAGTGCAGATGCCACCGCATCTGCGCCTTCCAAATCCAAGGCCACATGGAGCTGGCTTCGACGCGACAGTCGGGAGATCCGGCAACAGGGACGTGAAGCCACTGCCGCCGGACTCGACGACATTGTCGCTAACCTCAAAAAGGCGGACGAGGAAGACAGTGAAGAGGTCAAGGAAGCCAAGAGAGAAGAGGAGGACATGACCATTGTCCTCGAAAGGCTCAACCTGGCTGCCATCAACAATCGCGTCTTCTCCATTAGTGATGAGACTCAAGAACTACTTCAGAAATTCAACCTCGTCTTCAAAGATCTAATCAACGGAGTGCCGACAGCTTACGATGATCTGGAAAAGCTTCTGACGAATGGCGATCGACAATTGCAAAAGACGTTCAATTCCTTGCCGGCGTTTCTGCAGAAGCTCATTGAAAAGTTGCCAGAGACGATGACGAAAGGGCTTGCTCCGGAAATCATGGCAGCTGCAGCGGAGAGAGCTTCTAAGAGTGGTATGAACGTGGGAAATGCTGGCAAAGCTGCTGCAGCGGCTTCGAAACTTGGGTTTAAGACACCATCGCTCAAAGAATTGACAGGCAAGCCGGCTGCGATTGCGGGAATGCTTCGCTCCATCATCGGCTACTTGCGGGCAAGGTTTCCGGCCTTTATGGGAGCCAACGTGCTATGGTCGCTGGCACTATTTGGTAAGTGGCACTCTTTCCAACTTTTCGGCGTTGGACCCCGATGCTAACATCATTGGCAAAGTGTTGCTCTTCGTTTTCTGGTACTGTCACAAGAGAGGAAAAGAAGTGCGACTCGAGAAGGAGCGCAATCTTACAGAAGAAGAAGTGGAAAAGATGGACGCAGAATTCAAAGCCGAACATGGTGGCGCGATTCCAACTACAACAGCAGCAGCTGGAGCGCCCATCGAAGAAGTCAAGGCCGGGGTCGAAGAGGTTAAGGCTCTAAAGGCAGCAGCTCTGAAGGAAGATGCCGTGGCGGAGGGGCCAGTCGATCCGGCAATTGTTCCTCCGGTCACGGTTCCCTAAACGAGAAGAGAAAGAAGCTTGAGCTACGACGATCTTTTTCGATCCTGTTACGATTAACGAGCGACGACAACAACTGGAGGGTGTAATTATGACGAGTGAAAGTCGATTGTGGAGAACTGGAGTTGCTCTGGGCTACTGAGACGATTCTGTAGTGTTTTGGGTCTGATTTCCGATTTTACAACTGGTTGTATTGACGCAGTGGGTGCTCTGGGCGATGGGCGGTGGGCGAAAGGGGCTCAGGTTGGCGGGGTCGATTGTTGACTCGGATCATCCAGCCAGCATGATGCTGGACTGTCTCCAAGGCGCAGAGAAGCAAAAACAAAGCGCCAGGCCAACTTGTGACTCAATAATTAATTGTCCAGATGTATTTTGACGGTATGAACAATGCATGGATGGTCAGCCTCGTCCACATTCGAACGATGGTTGGTCTGATGTTGGATGGTGACTGGCTAGAGGTGGCCTGGTAGGTGGCCTGTACCCTGTACGAGTACTCATGCTGTACACCATTTTCATTATCCAGAAGTTTAGCGCAGGCGAGGGGCTTCATTGGACCCTTATCTCGACTGTGCTCCGTACACTACGCCATACAATTCAATCGTTACTCGTTGAGTCTCTAGTCTCTCAGCGCCTTGACTCACTTTGGATTTTCCACTCCTCTCATTGGCGGAATTGCCGGATTGCACGTGATGAAGTTCCGCTCTGGACGGGGAACTTTTTTTCCACCAAAATTTTTGCATTTGAGCCCGAGAGCAACAACATGCCACCCAAAGGAGCACAAATGAGTCGAGTCAAGTGCTGTACGAGTCACCGACATGACACCGGATGTAGAGGAACATATTCCGTGCAAATAGCGAACCAATTGAGAACCAGAGAGCGTAGTAGAGTAGTGTCCTAAATGATAGTCAGAGAATAGCGGTGTGAGGGCCCTACGCAAAGCCCCAAAAGGCCGCGGTGGGGGGCAGTTCTGCAGTGTCTGTTCGCCCTCACTACTAGTTCATATGTCAACCTCTTTTTCCCTCTCCTCTTCTTTTCTCTCTTCCCTACTCCCAAACCACCACAACCACCAGTCCAGCCAGTCCATATTCTTAATTCAGTGCACCAGTATCATTATTTCAACATATCGTACGAGGATCACATTTTGCTCATGGCCTCCGCTGCGTTCTAGGTGACTCGGGAGGCCCTCGGTCCGTCTGAGGGTCTCTCGATCTCTTCTCACCAGGCAGCCCAAGCAAATCCTCGTTTACGATATCAAATCTCTTTCGGGAGCTCTACCGCATAGGAGCTCATTTAGACATCACTGCTCTCGAAATTGCACTGCACACAACCAAAGAAAGCACCCACGAGTCTATAGCGACTAAAGGTGCTTTGGACGACTTCTCACCTCTCTCTCTCACCCTCACCCATCTCTCACATTTCTCACTTCTCCGTCACCAACTCCTAATACCTACTCTTATCCCTCCCCGACGACTATCTCAAGAACCATGTCTCGTCTCTACCACCGCAGCAATCGTGGCCGCCAGCCCGTGGTGGCTACACCCAAATTCCCCAATCTCAAGCAACGTCTAGTTGATGCATATCAAGCACCCAATGCAAAGAAGAACAAACCATCGCGCAAACAAGCAGTGACAAACAAGAAACGCAAGCGAACTGCAAGTACATCCTCGGAGTCATCGTTGACTGACCTCGGGACCGAGACGGGAGACGAGGCTTCGGATGAAGAAAGCGACGAAGAGGAGGCTGATGATGAAGATGATCTGCCAGCTGTCTCGGCCCCGTCTCGTTCTCGCACACTGAACGGGGCGGGGCGCAAGGTAGAACCTCGTGACAGGGATGACATCTCTGTCGCTCCCAGTGTCGACAGCATGTTTGGTGACTATGCAGACTACTATGAGGAAGATGACGACCCTATGCTTTCACCAGAAGAAAACCGCAAACGCTTCGAGCATCAGGTGTTTGATTCTGATGACGAAAATGACATTTATCAAGCGGTTGACGATATCAGCGATTCTGATGCTGAAATGGACGAAGGCCGTCTTGAAGAACAAGAATTGCTTGCCATGTTGTCGGAAGAAGGCAATAGCGACGCAGACTTTCTTCTGAACCAGATCGATGGCTTGTCCGCTTATGGCTTTGGTGATGACAGCGATGCCAGCATTCAGCGCTACCCGTCATCGCAGAGTGAGAGCGGTGATACAGGCGTCGAGCGCCATGTGCATTTCGCCGTAGACAATGACCCCAGCCTGTTCTTGACGCGTATGTCAGAGTCTCCGACCATTACTCGTGCATTGCTTCCTTCAGCACTTCCAGAATCTGGGGTTCCCAGCATTCCAGAGAGGCGATTCATAGGTCTGGCCGACGACGATGATTGTATGTTGCCATTCATTTGTGCATATGTATATGTGACTGACAAAACGTAGCTGACCTGACTGATGACTGTCTGCCAACTCAACCTCGTCAGCCGACGCAGCACGATATTGAGCCCCCGAAGGGATCTTCACCATCTACATCTCCTTCTGCCAAGAAGGCATCGAAGAAGACGCCTCGTCGTCGAGGCCCTCCTCGTGGTATCTTCATCGACGATGGCAACAAGACCTCTGGCATTCTCGATCCATCAGGAAAGATCATTCTCATGACAAACCCACATCTGCTAGGTGAAGAATTTGCTCGTCGTTATGGAGCTTCGCAGACGTCTAGCCCGGACATTGGCTTTGCTGAACTTATCGAGGACAGCGACGCCGGCGATGCTGACACATCCAATGCTGGCGTTCTTGGAGCTCCAGGTGCTGACATCATGCTGGCGAGTCTCAACTCTGCCATTAACGACCCTGCCAATCTTGGCCAGGCTATCGGACCTCTTGAAGCATTTTATCCCAACCCAAACTTTGTGCTTGGAGATTTTGCCATCGACCCAGATGATTTGGAGGAGAACTTTCGCCCTATCGTGGAGACTGGAGAAGACGTGATGGACCTTCGCGATGTGATCAAGTTTGATGACGAGACAGATGACAGTGATGCACCAACTTCACCAATCTTCATGCCCCCCAAGCTCGAGCTCTCTGCTTCAGGCGAGGTGAGAAATCAGGCATCGCCCTTCAGCAACAATATCATGGCATTCCGACGTGATGCTGAAGCCAGATTTGCTGTGCTTGACAACACACCGAAGCTGCGAGGTCACGTCGAATTGTTCAACTCGCCGTTCGCCACGCCAACACCAAACAAGCGACGGCGCAAGAATCACGCGTCCCCCTACACTTCTTCGCACTACAAGGGCGTGACCCCAGTGCAACGAATGTGGGATCCTACTCAACCTCAAACTCCCGAAGCATCGACACCCACTGCTTCCAAAAGGCGCAAGGTAATGATTTGATGAGATCACGGTGGACATGAACATCTTGTTTCAACATGTCGAGTTTTTTATGGGCGGACCTATCTTGCAGGCGAGCCATGTACGAATGCGGATCAATCATGTGGCGTTGATCTAAACTAAAGGTATTATTTCCTGTTGACTTCCCTGGTATGGGCAGGTATTTTCCATCATTCTCGTTGTTGGGTTTTCAGATTCGCAGGAAAGAAAAAGAAAGGGCGAGAAGAAGACAAAAAAAGAGATTTATGAGAAGTACCCGAAAAACAGTTGGCTTTGCTTTATTTCCTACTATTCAATCGTTTCGAAACAACGCAGGGGAGGTCAATGTGTGTCAGATAAGGAATGCTAGGCTTCAAAAGGGGGCGTTGTAGATCTCATGAGAGCAATTGTTGAATGATCAATGATAAAATTATGTTCAAAAAGATGTTTCCTCTACGGAATAACCTTGTAAACATGCGATACCTAGTACTGTACACTGATAAAGCACCTCATTCTCAGACCAGTGTAGAGGAGGGCAGTGGACCATGATGTCAGGACAAGGCTACGAGGCTGAAATTCGATAGGCAGAGGAACCCGCTAATCAAGCATGCGCTCGCTCGCTCGCTCGCTTGTTCTCAGGGTTCCTGACTCAGGAACAAAACTTGAAGAAGAGACACTTGTACTCTACTCCGAGCCGTGCTGAGCAACCCAACGCGACGTGCATAGGCCCGTTTGTACTCGTGGCTCTATCCTGCTTCGTGTGGGCTGTGTGAACCTGCCAGGTCTTACGTTGCAGTTGTTGATTGCCTGCCCTTCTTTTTCGAGTAATTCTCTCACATGCCTTCGGGTCCAAACCGATCGTCCGTTCTATCCGACCAAGAAAGCGTTTTCTCGCAAGACAACTCACCCTCTATCTATCACTACTCCTCAACACGCACGTCGACGGCTTTTCTCTCTGCCGCCCTTTCCCGTACGACCGGGGGGAACCTCGCGAATGGGAAAAGAGACGCCAATCTACTGTTGGCTCTTGTCGCCGTTTGACGAATTTCAGCTTGCGATAAAGAAAGTGACGGACTGGCTTGGTTGAATGGATTTTCTATAAGAATAATAATACCGAGTTTTACAAAAAACACCTTTCTAGAGAGAGAAAGAGGGTGGGAAAGGGATGGCTTGGTACTCTATCCTTCCTACTCATTTGACCGTCTATGAAACTTGGATCATTCGAGGTTTTGTAAGTCGTCCCCTCTCCTTGACCCAGAACTGTCTTTGCTTGTTTTTGGTCTGTCCTTTTGAGCATTTTCTTTTCTCTCTACCCACCAGTTTCGCTGACCCAATCTCTTCGAAATCAAACAGTTGTTACTGGCCGTAATCAATCTCCTCCCTTGGATCCTAGCCATCCTCTACGACGCATGTCTCTACGTCGGCCGAGTCATCTACCACGAGATCCCTTTTTTTGGTGGCCGGGCGAGGGGTGAGCATCGACCTCGCGCTCCGAGTTTGAGAGACAGGGTGAGGCGGATGAGTTTTGTGGACCTGGTCACCGGGAGTGGAAGTGCGCCTTCGACACCGACTCGAGGCGGTACGAGAAGGGACACGGACGCGGAAAAGAGGAAATCGGACGAAGGACCGAGGCAAGATCAGACATGAGATATATTATGAGAGACACGCAAATAGGGCAGACCTTGTACGGAGTGTGCAGAAAGAACAACAAAACATTGCGCAGAGATCATTGACGAGTCAACAAGTTTGACGAGAAGGATGAGAATGAGGATTGAAAGTACAACGAATTCAAAAGCCAAAGATCCACGGATTCATGCGACACCATACACGAGCCAAGTCTCCCCTGAACTCATTCTTGAAAGTCAGTGGTGGAAAGGGAAAAAACCGTCGGGGGTTTCCCTGGTGTCTTTTGGAAGTCTCAAACGCATGATTCGGGTACCGGAAGAGGAGGATGTTTGTTATTACGGTGCTCCGTACGGATACGCACCAGAGATATATCATCGTTGTTGATCGAGAAACACGGAATCTCTCACATCTTCAACTATTTATTTGCACGAGGAGTGCCGGCGATCGGTAGAGGGAACACGTACTGTAAGTTGTACCTCTGGTTGTGCTTTTGTTGGCCACTACAACTTCTGTATGGGGGCATATCCACCAAGTCCCTCTCCTCCTGGTGGTGGTGCCGCCGCCGATGCCGGTCCAAAACGACACAGACATGCACACTCCCGTACAGAGAGTGAGGAAACCTAGAATCCATTTCCGGCATGGCCTAGGCAACGAAGAAGGACTGAACTTGTGTGGTTTTTGTTCTTTTCAAGGACGCAAGGGTTCCCGCGCAGGAATATTTTCTCTACTGACGAGGGGGGGGAAAAGGGGGGATCCTATATCTGATTGTTCAAAGTAGGAGTAGTCCACTATCGAGGTATCCTTTTCCTTCACGTCGTCAATGAATGAGTGCCGAGTTGATAATCTATCCAAGAAACCCTTGACTCTTGTGCTGCGTATGTGTACGTTTGTGTCATAATTTTTGATTCATTGTGATGAGTCTGCTCTAGCATTGTACTGCACCCGCCTGACGGCAGTAGTATTTTTCCAAGTCTACTCTGTACATGTTACATGTGTGAAACTGTTTTTGGGGGACTCTTTCGCGCGCCAATACTGTCGTCCTGGGGTGTCCACTGGTGTCCCATGTTTGTTGTTGTTTGTCGACCACCACTTCAGTGAACCCGAAAACACCCCCGACCAAAATCTACTACCAATCCTCATCACCATCATCACCGTACCGTCCGTCGAATGCGGCGTCAATATCACCATCATCAATCTCCCGGACATAATCTTCTCCTGCATCTTCTTCATCATCGTCATCGTCATCGTCAAGGTCCTCGTCGTCATCATCTTCTTCCTCATCCTCTTCATCTTCATCGTCATCGCTACCATCTTGATCGCCAGTCTTTTCTGCTTCTTGACGACCAATACGAGAAGAGTGATTCGCGACGGTGGCAGTGGTGCCTTTGGTCCCCGTCCGAACTTGTGTCGTAGGACCAGTGGTCGCCGATGACGGCGATCGAGGCTTCTGTACAGCCACTGATGAGGAACCGACGGCCGGTATGTCGGAAGTGACTCGGACGCCGGGTGGTCCCTGACTTTGTGTGGATGCGACGATTGGGATGCCACCATCTGCATGAACAGGTGATGGTCCCTGTTGACTCTGTGTGGCCGGAGGAGTACGCTGTTGTTGTTGTGGACCTTGCGAAGAAGAGGATGCAATTATCGGTACGTCACTTGAAGTACCAACCGATGGTGCCGTTTCTGGATTCTGCGTTGCCGGTGGCGACAGATGTCCTTGATGCCGTGGCACTGTCCGTCCAGTCTCGACATCTCTTCCCTCTTCGTCCGCAGCAGCCAACAAAGCTTCAGAACTTGATCCACTCGCCTCACGCTTCCTCTTGACGACCACCCGTTCGTGGGTTTCAACACCGGGTGCTGCCTCACTCGGACTTCTGCTTCTCACCGCATCCGAAACGTTGCTTCCTTCTCGCAGATCTCGCGGCGCTTGACTGCTGCTTTGCTCACGTCTCTTTCTCTCCCGTCGTTCCGCGGCGAAGGAAGCTTTGGTCCTGTTCTTACCACTCGTACCGCTGTTGCCGCGGAAGATCCCTTCGGGTCCGAGGGTGGTCGACGCAACGCTGCTCGCGACACTACCTTCCCTCGCATCCCGGGGCATGTCACTGGCCACACTCTGGCTTCGGCTGGCACTTCTGGACTCACCGCTCGCATCATCGTCGTCGCCTCCTCCAGTGATGCCGTAGATCGAGTCGAGCACGTCGTAGTTGACCCGCCTCGAGTAGACGCCCCGAGTTTTGAACATCTTCCGCACAGACTCTGCGGCACTGCGTTCGCGGTCTCCACGCCCGGGTTCCGCCTTGGCCTGTTCATCCAAGTAGCTCACATCGCCTCGGCGGCCAGGCTTCTTGGTACCGTCCTTGCGTCGACCTTTGGCCAGCTTCTCCTTCAGCGCTTCCTTGGCGGGATCGAGGCCACGTGCGCGCAACTCGTCGTCCTTGAGTTGTTGCTTGATCTGTTTGTAATGATTCTTTCGGATCCAGTCCCCGTTCATGGCAAGCCATATGGTCTCCTTGATCGTACTTTCTTCCTCACTCAGAAGACACATTGACACATCTTCGTCCGAGTCGAACTCCTCGGGTCTGATGGTCGGAGAAAGCGACACACAGCCAGTGTTCCCAGCGTCCGAGTCGACACGGGGCCCCGGGGTCTTGTCTTTGCGATGCGGTCCAAGAGGATTGAGAGCGTCGCCGCCATCATCCGGCAAGGGCAAGGGCGCCGGAGTTGGATGATCGGCATCGGCAGGCCGGGTATCGTTATTTTGAACGCGGTTTGGAGCGAGCTCAGGGTTGTCTCGGAAGGCAAGCTGTATATCTTGCTCGATCTCGCTCTCAATGGCGAGTTCAGCTTCGGAAGGTGGAGGCACGACAAACGTTCGTTTTCGGCGGCGGACTTCTGGGGCTCGTGCAGGATCCTCATCAGATGTAGGGCCAGCGGCAGGAGCACCAGCATCGGTCCGGGTCAGGGCAGGATCGATTGGTGTTGGTCTCTGAGGAATGTCGGGAATCTTGTATCCATCTGCGTCCACCCTGGCACGTTTGAGAGGTGGCCCTCCGTCACCAGTCTCTTGCACGACAGAAGATCCTGTCTCCGGTTCCGCAGTTGCTTCTGGTGGAGGGATCTTTCGAGGTCGACCACGCTTCTTCTTCAAGGGTTTAGGATTGTGAGCTCGTTGATAGGCAGGAGGGTCCGAGGCTATTTGGGCGTCGAGAACCGTATTGTCCCTGAACTGTGATACTGAGAGCCTGCTGCTTGCCGTATCCTGGAATTCTTCAAGGCGTTTATTAATGGTGATCTCGGTGACCTTTGCAGTCAAGACCACTTCTCTTGTGGTGCGACGATAGTTGTTCATCCGAGCTGCGAGAATGACCGCCGCACCACAAACTCCCGAAGGTCGTCGGCCAGTAGACATCCAGTCACGCTTCATACGTTGAACAATTCTGATGGCATCCATTTTGATTTTGTCACGGTGAGCTTTGTCGAATTCAAGCTCGTCCACAAATCGATTGACGAGCACTTCCGGGCCCATGGCCAATAGGTCGGACGACACGTCCCCTTTAATGCTGCCATCCGATTGAAGGTACAACTTGCGAACAAGGTCCGAGTACATTTTGCCGAGAAAGAACACATCGATGTTGAGTTTCTCCGCAAAGTCGATCAACATCAGGCTGTACATCGGACGGCGCTCGTTCTGTATCTGTTCGTGCTTGCGTCGACAGGCGAGGTAGAGGCAGACCACTGCGACACTATCGATGGTTCTACCTTGGACGAAGGAATATCCCCAAGCAAGCTTGAATAATTGTAAGCCTGCGTCCACCTCGGCCTGTCGGACTCCCAGGAGAGTTTGGTAGGACTGCATGATCGTCCTGGCTTGTTGTTCTGACCGTTCTCTGTTGATGGTGGGTTCACGACCGGCATTGCCGAGGGCACCACCTGGTGCGTAGGTGCGCTGATGTGTTTGGTTTTCATTGACGCGGACACCCAGAGCCGTAATTGCTCCAGAATCTGTCTCGCCGAAGCCTTGTTCGCTGACAAGGCCGGACTCCTCTAAAGCGACAGCACCACAAGTGTCACAAATAAGACCTTGCTCGCTCTCGACGATATGAGGATTGGGACAAGTTGGGTTGGTACATTTGAGAACCTTCCCTCCAACCGGCCGTTGTATGCTTGGTGTTGATGCACGGCGAAAGGAAGGTGTGGTCGCCCGGATTGATGATACTGGGCCCGGGCTGCCCAAGCCTTCGATACGACCACGAGGGATCGCTCTTCGGTGTTGTCCGGCACGAGGCTTTGGCGGTGGCGGTTTGAGAGTAGGCATTGTGGAAGCTAGGAGTTGAGTAGTTGAACAAGTGAACGGAGGGTTTCTGTCAAGGTTCGATGGCTTGGTGTTACATGGTCATACACGTGACCCGATCTTTTGTCAGGAAAAGGTGATGGAGGAATGAGTCAGGGTGTTTGGATCTCGACGACCATGGCTGGAAGAGTCTGTATCGACGGCGTTAGAGCTTGCTTTGCTACTGAGAAGGAGTATTCGATATGGCCCCAAAGCGGCGAGAATTGGTGGATCGTAAAAGGAAAGCGAATGGCGATGGATGATGGTGATAAAATTGATGGTGGTGGATGAAGATCGAGGTGAAAAAGTGGTCGAGAATTTGCAACGATGAAGGCGGGGGGAGCATTACGCAGTGGGCAAATCACTATTTCTTTCGCCAAGACTCGGCCACAATAAGCAGGTTCCCGGGTTCGAAACGCAACAACAATTATTTTCACATTCAATTTGCCATGGATATTGCATCATCTACATCCTGTCTGCTCGGTCCATATGCACATTTATTTTCGACGAAATTCAATCTGGAGTCGAACCCATTCCGCCGGATGAGAAAATATTCACCAGCTGGTCCCGTGACCTGGTCAGTTTTGTACTATTCTACTTACAGCCCTAGTCTGACTTTAGCCTTGGCAGTGCTTACTCATCCTCTGACCGTTTCACTTCATTGATATCTCTCTGCTCAATGTGCCCAGAAGAACTCGCAAAGTCTTCAATGCTAAACTAGGTTGTGTGAATGAGGAGTATCATGGAAGATCAGCTCAATACAAGGTCGATGACTTGGCCAAGCCTCTTCCAATGTTCATCATGAACAACCTCCACACTCCCATCCTCTCCGAGATAAACGTACCCATCTTCCTCCCGAGACACCCACTCGAAAGGCTCTGAGTTGACCAAGCTACAAAGCGAGCCTTTCAGCCAGTCGGAAATGAGCACGGCTTCGCTATCCATCAGGCCCATGTGTCGTGTCAGCCACCAGGTATACATGTCTCCACCGTGCGTTACGCCAGCCTCGGGTGGATAGAACTTGTCAAGACATCGCGGCCTGAGCGCGATGCGGTATCGAAGGATCCTTTCAACAGGCACTCCGTTTGACATGAGCTGGTGGCACAAGGCCCGAATAGGCGCCCTGACCTGAGCATCCGAAGTTATCATTCCATACAGTCTCTCGGCCTCTGCCCTGTCATCTTTGTCGGTCGAGGACGATATGTCTAGGGTGGCTTGGTACTGGGAAAGTGACATGAGGCGCTCGCATACTTGGGCGGCATAGTAGTTCTCCAAGGCCCGTGGGAGGCCTGCGAGAGATTCCGGTGGAATTACCTTTGAATATAGCCATTGCTATAATCTCAGAAAGATTGCATTAGTTTATGGAACGACAAGGACTGGGGAGGGTCAAAACAGGGCTTGATGAGCATACCTCATTCTCTGTTTCTCCAATCAAGATCCTCACTCCTCGCTCCTTGAAAAGCCGTGCAAAGGTCCCATCGCGGAACTTTTCAATCATGTCGCCACGTATGAACTCACCATCGGTGACTGCCCGGAAGGTGTGAAGCCTGAGTTTGTGAAAGGATTCGATGAGCTTCGTACCATCAATCTTACGGAGGCCGTCCAGTCTTTGTGATAGTGGTAGTGAAGGTGAGATTTGGAAGTGAGCAAAGACATTTTCCAGTTGAGTAGTCGCTGTACAAACGTTAACCCTTCCCTGTTCATCTAGACAGAGGACATTCACTCCGGAGTACCTTCTTCAAGCGACTTTGGCTGCGCCTGGAGAAAAGTTCAGTGTCGATCCACCCACTAATACTGGACCTTGGTTCATCTGGACTTACCGGTATAGCATTTGAACACAACCAGACATTGTGAAAGAGAGGTCTCGATCCGTCTGTGTGCAAAAGCTCATACTGGAGCTGAGCATGGGTTGAGTAAGCACCCGCACTGTGTCCGCCGAGTGTGACTTTGTTTCTGTCGCCTCCGAAATAGTGTATATAATCCTGCACCCATTCGAGAGCACATCGTTGGTCCTAGAAATATGAAGTTAGCTCATCCAACATCGTTTTGAGACACCGAGTTCAAAGGCTCACCCAAAATCCAAAGTTACCCTTGAGATCATGACCAGCCAGGAACCCAAAGATGTTAAGACGGTATCCAATCGAGACGACCACCGCATTGAGACCTCCACCATCCGGGTCTATCAATCCCTCGGGCCAGTGACGCTCCTGGTGCGATGGACTGCCAATCTGTAACCAGCCTCCGTGTATCCAGGCCAGGACAGGCCATTTCTCCTCGCCGGAGGTCGGCAAGGGCTTTGTGGGTTTCCAGATATTCACAACCAAGCAATCCTCCGAGTACTATAATCGGGCATCAAGGTCAACATATAGTACTGCACACCATATAGGCGGGAGGTTTGAACGGGATCCTCAAGTACCTACATTAGCACCGGGAACAATCGACATGTCTTTACCATTGACGAGATATGGTGGTTGAAGACATATATCGCCGTAGGTTGTACAATCACGAGCGGACGAAGAGTGCGCCTCATCAGTGTAGATGTGGTCCTTCGGCAAGTGAACTGGTTTCCTCCATCGACGTTCACCTATCGGCGGAAGGGCGTATGGTATGTTGAGAAACCGATGCGTGACGTCGAGCGACACCGTGCCTCGCAAGCTGCCATGTTGCCCGAGGTTGAGCAATACATCTTTAGACATGTCGAACGGTCACTCTTTCCTTTGGTCAAAGCAGGGCACAATGATTCAGAGACTCAAGGGTGTACTGAACGGTGTCATTATCCATCAAGTGGAAATCCATTACTGTCGCTCAACTCCGATGCATGAAACCCCCGAAGAGCAACTAACAACGTCACCTATTTAGTCTGCAGGGGTGGATTGAGTTGCTTCATTAACAGTGAAAGGCTATCGATCAAATTCAAAGGGGATGAGTATCTAGATAATATTATTCGATCATCTCAATGCCGGTCTCTCCAAAAGGCTTATGATCCAAAATCTGTACCGAACTCAATGTAGCACGGGGAACACCTTCTTGAAGCTCTCCCTCTCCTGCATGGTCTTCCACCACTGTCTGACCTTGGGCCCGACCTTGAATCCCGGGACGGTCTTCCTGACCACCGCCTCCAAAGCAGCAAAGTCATCAAAGTCCTTGGCTCCCGCGAAGCACAAGACATGACTGAGCCACGGGACGATGTTCAAATCAGCGTACGTGATGTGGTCCCCGGCGGCGTACGGCAGGACGAGCAGAGATTGGAGCTGGTCAAAGGCACCTGCGAACGCCTTGTACCCTCGGTGCGTGTTCTCGAAGAACTCTTCGTGTTCGCGCCCTGCGGGAGTGGTGGTGTACACTTTGCTGACTCCACCGTTCTCGGCGACCTTGGGTCCGTAGAAGGGGTGGTCGGGACGACGGGCTGCGTTCTCCTCCAGGACTCGCTGGCGGGTGGTGATGAAGTCGTAGAAAGTGCCCTTGACCTTTTCGAGCTCCTCCGTGTCTCGCGCCGTCAACAGGATCAGGTTGCTGCCGAGGTCCATCGAGTGCACCAGGGCGATCAGTTGGGCCGCCCTTTCCTTGGTCGCGGCGTCGTTGGGCGCCAGGTTCGTGCCCCTGCTCGGTTCGAGGCGGTCGAGGAATTCGAGAATGTCGGCGCTCTCCGTCAGTGGAGCGTCGAGGGACGGCGTGGTCAGAGCTGGTAGGGTACCGTTGTGGTTGATCTTTAGGTATTCCACGTCAAAGTTGCCGGCTCCCATGAGGTCGATTTCTCGATGCTCGTATTCGTGGGGCTGGATGCCTTTCTCTTGGATGCCCAAGAGAGGAACCATCGCCCACTGAGAGGCTTCGGACGAATAGATTGTGAATTTGGGTGCCATATTGGTTGGTAGGTATCGTGTTTGATCCTGGTATTGGTCACTAGGAGCTGAACCTTGGGCGTTTTCTTGTCAACTTTCGATGTTTTGCTGTTGCGCTGCTTGAGAGACGAGTACTTTCATCCCACGACCAAAACATCGTGGTCGACTTTATATTCATTTCCGACGACAAGAAACGTCAATCGACATGGATCATCACCTCGAGTCTCTGGAGCAACTTGGCATAATGACGCTGGTCTGATGAGGTGTGAAAATGCAATGTCTGAAGTGGGTTGCTGAAACACAAAAGATTATGGAATCACGAGAAACATTAGGTAAAGAAAAGTAGTCCTAGCTACGGGTACCTACAGGTATCGCCATGTTCCTGGGCTTCATATTGGAGCAATCTAAACTTGGCACCGGTAACGAGTAATCTGCATCTGTGCTCAGAGACCACGCCATATGACAAACCCGCTTCTCACAGCGCCAGTTTCCAAGTACTCGTAGGCTTAGTCAGTGAGTCGGGCTTCTAGGCGCAAAGGAGAAGGGCGGCCTTGCATCACTTTAGGAAGTGTTTGATTTCCCGTTTTGAAGTAACTTCATCTGCTGCTCTTGAGGTCACTACTCACGTTACACGCGCCTGGAGATAGAGTATACCGGCGCCGCCTATATATACTATCAGCCCATGATCCAGAAATGGAAAGCACTGAGAAAGCATTCTATCTATGGGTGACCCATGGACCCTCGCCATTCAGTGACTCGAGTCAACCAATCCCGCACAAGGGCCTGAAACACTCCATCCTGCTCAACGGGCAAGTCGTGCCCGGCGCGATCCAGAACAACGAAAGTCGAGCGTGGGTAGAGCTCTAACAGACGGAGGCTATCACGATACCCGACGGTCATATCTTGTCTCCCAGACACGATTAGCGTGGGCGCCGCCATCACAACCTTGTCGTCGTCCAAGGCGAGAGATATTTTATACCTGCTTGGATCTGCACGAATGGGGTCCAACACTTCATTGTCGGCCGCTTTCATCGCAGGGCAGTAGCCATATTCGTATTTTGATTTCAGACACTTCATGTAAGAGGGTGTCTGGACAAGGACGTTTCCGAGAAGGGCCTTGTCCTGGTCCGATATGCTCGACATGAGCCCTTCGTCGGCAACGAGTGGTCGGAAGGGGTCGAGGTCGCGCAGGCCGTCCTGGGGCTCGACGAGCGGCACTCGCAACAGCAGACCGTCGACTCGTCCGGCGTATTGGTGCGCGAGTGCTCGAGCGAGGTAGGCACCGCAAGATGATCCCACAAGCATGAATCTCGATGAAGGTGCCAGACGACCGTCGATGAATCCGGTCAAGCGAACAAGCATGTCGTCCAGATCTCTCAAGCCGTTGGCGGGTGTCGCGCCCATGCCCGGAAGGTCGACGTAGATGCGACGAAAATCTTCTTTGGAGCTATCAAAAATCGGCTCAAAGTCCAGCTCCTCAACTTTGCCATTCATCTCCCACCCATGGATTATCACTATGGGTACTCCTTCGCCGATTTCATGTGCGCATAATGTCGACTCCATGTTTGTTGCTGAGAGATTGTGTTGGGTGAAGTTGTTTACTTCCAAAGAAACAACGACGAAAAATCGATTCCAGGTGATGGCTGAAGGAAAGGTCATCAGGCAATCCCTACAGAGTAAAGTACATAGTTATACGCGCTGTGGACACTTTTACCTCGACCTATCTCGACCGGAAGGGAGGCCTGAACCACCAATCGTAATGGCCGTTCACTAGATGAACGACCTAGTGATCATATTATATCGTGAGTGGCACTCACGTGGATCAACATGTCATTCTGAAGGCTATCATATGATCGGGAGTAGGGAACCTCCTCAAGTCGTGAACTGCAGTACTTGGATGATGAGTTGTAAAGATGGTACTCCGTAGATAGGTGTCAGATCGGAGGCTTGTGGGCATTTAAGGGAGTTTCATGGGCTACCGGTGCTTAAAGCTTTTAAGCACTCCTGTCCGGAGTATGACCACTCGGGTAAATAGGCACACTTTGGGCGCTGTTAAGCGGCGATAGCCAGGCAGTCCCAGGCCCAGCCTGTCCCTCCATCGAAGATTGATAAGCACGTTCAAGGCTCCAGCACCGTTCTCTCCAGTATCCCCAGTACTCCGTCTCTTCTCCATGTTCACTTCTACCACGTCAGGGACTTAAGCGAGTATTACGACTTTGCCGTATCCTCGATCAATCTAATTGGAGGCGATAAGACATGTCCGGACCCAGATTTCTGTTTGAGACCGTATTAATTCCGGATTCGAGTATCGTTGATTCGTTGTAGGTGGATTTGAGACGGAGTCTCTCAAGATGTGGATTCATCATTCATGGTATTTTCCGGCAACAAGTCTGGGGGGCCTAGGATTGAAAAGGCATATATGAATGGAAAATCTCGTCGTCTATCCTCAGTTACACAATCAACCATTGAGCGACAATACCAAGTCATTAAAACACAGCGGTAGGGTGCCGTTAGCAAAAAAGAGGCCCATATCGCTATCAACATCGACATCGAAAGAAAACCCTCAATCCAGGCAACAGAACTCGTCTTCCGCAATGTCCTCATACCTCGTCACCGGTGCTGGTCGGGGCATCGGACTCGAACTCGTCAAGCAGATGGCGAAACAACCACCGAGCAAGGTCTCCGTCGTCTTTGCAGCTACCAGAGGAGAAGAAGCGCCCAACGCTTTGAAAAAGGTCATCGACAGCTCACCACCCGGCCGAGTAGTGCACGTTTCGATGGTCATCACTGAGCGTTCGAGTCTCGACAAGGCCGCTTCAGAAGTCGAAGCCAAACTCGGCGGCGGTCGCGGTCTTGACGTCCTCATCAACAACGCCGGAGTCATGCCGAGTGACGTCGAAGGGATCGCGAAGATGAAGACTCTGCGGTACGCCCTCGAGGTCAACGTGGAAGCTCCACAAGAGACGACGGCGGCGTTCATCCACCTACTGAATAAAGGCAAAGAGAAAAAGGTGATCAATATGTACGTTGCATCTCCCGAGTTCTGACCTTGTCACTACCACCAACACGTTGATCGAACCGTGACTGACATTGATATCTTGATATGTTTTCAGAAGCTCAGAGGTCGGTTCGATCTCTCGGACGCACAAGTACATCTTTTCTCCGACTCCATCGTACAAAATCTCCAAGGCGGCTCTGAACATGTTGACCGTGCAGTATGCACAGGCATATGCCGAGGAAGGATTCAACATTTTCGCCATTTCACCCGGGGTAAGTACTTTTTTGCTTTTCACCTTTGCCCACTGCTTTTCGAGTTGGGCTGTTTGGGCGTATTCCATCGATGTGGTAACTGACAATCCCCTTTTTCTCGAATGACAGTGGCTGAAGACCGAAATGGGATCTGAGATTGCCGACCTGGACGTCAAGGTCGGTGCTGAGGCAACACTTGATATCATCTTCAAGAGTACCCCTGAAACGACCAATGGTACATTCCAAAACATTCGTGTACCGGGTTGGGAGAATGCCGAAGGTCCAAATAAATATGACGGAGAGATTCTACCGTGGTAGAGACAGGCAGCGAGTGTTGGTTTTTAGATCGACCTTCGAACATCATCTGTCCACAAGAAACATTCTCATGGCACCAGATTTCGCCATGGTCCCAGATTCAATTCCCTCCAAAAGTCCTCACCGAGTTTGTCACAGTCTTGTTCATACCACAGAAACGTCAAACATACACCCTTGATATCAGTCCATGAATACAAAGTAAGCTCCCTGCAAAGCTTGATCGCAACTTGGCAAAACCATGGTCTCAACGTCGATGCCTCGGCTAGAATGCCACCGAGTGTTGTCGCCCACAAGAGCAACTCGGCGTGACGTTCCCACAGATCGAAAACGAGACAACTGTCGAGAGCATGTTGGATCCGTCGTGCCAGAGTGTAGTGTAACCCGGAGACGCGAGGAAGCGGGAACAGAACCAGCAGCATGTAAGCCAATGTACCGAGACGGCATATTTCGTAAATGCAAGAATCCCAAATCAGGGGGTTGTCGTCCCACGACCTGTCCGGAAGGCGTAGGAGATCGTGCAACAACGTGTTTCTCGCCCACACGACGTGGATATGCCGGGGTGCCGTCGGGTCTTTTCTCATGTACAGATCATAGCCGATGGTCACGTCGCGGATGGTTTCGATTGTTTGTACGAGAGGGTCTTCTAGCTGTACAGCTGCTGGCGGTGGTAGATTGGTGAAGCTGGTCGCCAGCAATTGTAGGGCTTGCGGCACCGTGTTTGAATGCGGGTCAGGGTAAGGCCAGATGGCCATCAACCTTGCCGTAGTGATACGCAGAGGATACGTTGGAGCAGTTAGATTCTTGAAAGCCTCAATCACATCTGCTCTGGAGGTAAGAGTAAAGAGTTAGCGTTGGGGAGCTCAAGACGGACAAACAAAAATGAAGGGCGACCAACAATGCAATGACATTAGACAAAAACTCCTGCTCGATGGTATGGAAGCCGCCTCTCTGCCTGATCATGACCTTGACGGCGTTGAAATGTGCCATTTCCCAGTCCATATGGCCGTAGAAGTGGAAATTCTGGGCCACCAGCAAAGGAGAGTCGTCGGTGGCTTGTGATCTCGGCATCAGCGTGTCCCCGGACCCGTGGAATCCAAGAGTCACCATGCAGAGTAAAAGTTCGTCCGAGACACTCGTTGTGGCATGCATGCGTGATGAGATTTCCCTGTTCAGAGCCTTGATCGCATGGGTCTTGTACGTCAGACGAAGCACTTGGTTTTCACGGGTGACTGGCATGCCGGTGTGGGCAAAGGCATTGTGCGTGGCGCCGGCAAAGACGATGGTGTAGAAGGCCGCGGGCGAACGCATGGCACTCTCCAGGATCGTGTGTTTGATCTCGCTGATCGCCCCGGCGGCGACGGAGCAGGAGAACACGGGCCATTGGTGAGAGAGCGCATGGTCTAGCATCTCCTGCACGTAGTGAGGCACGTTTCGTCGAATTAGGACGTTGAAGGGGTCCAGCTGGCCTACGCCGACGACGTCGAGGGGTGATGGCGGACGGTGTGTGACAGCAACATCCTCTGTCCGCATTAGGAAAGCGTTCTTTTCGTCGTCGTCGTCGTCCCGGGATGATTTCTGATGGCTGGTCGACACGTCGTCTACCCCAGCACCTTGACGCCGAGATCCTTGCCCTGATCTGTCGCGACGAAACCCTGTACCTGGATCATCACGTACATTGTGGCTGCTGCTGCTATTTGCGTAGGCTCGAGCGAGTCGGGCTAATTTGGCTTTTCTATGGTACTCACGCGCAGCATGTTTCTGCAAAGAGATGCCGGGGCCTGCAGGGGTCTTCTTAGTCCCGCTTATAGGTCGATAAGGGATGAAAAGGAGTCTCGTGTCCATTCCCGACGCCATTCGACATCGGAAAGCAAATCAAAGATCCAACAGAGAGAGGTTTTGGGCCGTTTTTTTGCGTGCAAGATTCGAGATTAAAATGTAAGCAAGTTTGATAGAATGTGGAGAAAGGGCGAGCAGGCTTCCCCCCTGGGGATGAGTTCACTTACGCTGTCTGCGCGCCAATCCGCCAGCTTCTTCCAAGTAGGTTCAGCCCTCCGGATAGAAGAGTTAGTTGCAAGATGGTGCCTCGCACCCTGTTCAGGATAGGTGGGGGTGGTCAAACGAATACAATTATCGGCAGTTGGAACCGAAGAGCTGAGCACATGGCCCTCACGAGTTGACGAGGTTTACTAGCTCGATGTGCTAAAGAGGCCTAGCCCTTGATCGGCACTCCTCGAGGCATAATCAAGGACATATTAATGGACTTCAGATAGACAGTTGGAAGGAGTCTCTGACACTGCTTTCTTTTCAACCAGACCGTTGTCTGTAACATCATTCTTTTCGTCCTATGTACATGACTATCTTTGACGTTTATGTGCGTTTCTATTCTGATAGTGGGGTTCCCATTTTTGGCACTACCCCAAACGAATCGGCGGGCATCGTGTCCATGACCTTCCAGATCCTCATGAAGCTGTCAATTTGTCTTGACATGGCGGCAATATCGACCAACTGTCTTTCGTCAAAGTCCTCCGGCCACTCAGCCAGGAGGTACAATGGCGTCGTGATTATTGACATATTCGGGATGCGCTCATCAGTGAGCGGTTCGCCTTCACCGGTCTGCACACCCTTGGGGATTGGATCGTTCACGCGGAGAAAATTAGGATATGCACCATGCCAATTTTGTTTGGTGATGTTCAGTACCTCGGGGGTGTTTGCATAGAGCAGTTCGGCCGTCTGATTACCCGTTGTATAGTACTTGCCGGTGGCGAGGTCCTCGACCCAATCGATCGCACCCAGATGCTCTACGCATGTGCTAGCAATGGCCTTCATTTGGCCCTCGCCACCTTTCCAGTACTTCGGATTATCGTCCATCCAGCGGGTCGTAGCACGGCCCTTGGTGCTGAAGGCCGGTTGATGCATATGGCCCGTAATAAAGACTAGAACCGTCGTGCGTTCGGGCGGATTGGCCACAAGATCTTTGGCCTTCGTGAGCAGGGCGATATGTCCATTCTCTTCGACTGCATTGACTCCATCTGTGTGCGTGTTGATGATGACTGATTCGTTAGGGTACTTGGTTCCTTCCACGACGGTCCATATCGTCCTTGTGGGATGTTTGGGGATCAACTCGCCACTGAGCGTGAGGTGCGCCTGTTTCTTAGCCTTTGTCGCATCGAGTACCGTCTTCGCTGCGTCAGCAGCGACAAAGACCGTCGGACAGCCTTGGTACAGTCGCTTGAATGGGACGTACTGGCCTTGCGCATTCCCTGCGCTCATCTCCTCCCACACATATATGACACCTTTGACTCCGGCATTAGCAGCCTCCGTCAGATTCGCAACGCTAGCGTCTGCTGACAGTGATGCTACACCGGTACCAATTGGCCACTGAGGTTGTCCGGGCCAAACCGTCAGCATGGTAGAAAAATTCGCTGGGGTGTTGGTTATGTTGAGCACCGCAATATTGCCAGCAGCCTTGGTCCAGTTTGGCTCTATGGTCGGTCCAATCAAGTCAATCAGGGTGCCTGTCACCCCGGTGTCGTTTGTCTCGCCTGAATAGGGAGCATAGGATGAGATTTCGACATCTTGACCTCCGACTGACAGGCTTGGTGGAGTCAATGGCTGGTCAATGTATGTGAAGTTCAACGTGTCGGTGTATACTTTCAGTCCCAAGAGTCCGAGTTCGGCCTCAATATGGTCAATGAGTTTGTTGTGGCTAGGTGTACCAGTCACTCGACTCTTTAGGTCAGCCAGGAAGGCAATCTCAGCCTCGTACCAGGCTGAAACGGAAGCATTGGCAGCATGGCCTAGCAACGGTAAAAGTGCCGACACCGCGACGCCTACGAAAGGATTGAAGTTCAGAAGCATTTTTCAAATCGTCTGTGACTTCTTTGGCTCGTTCGGCTCCTAAAGAGAGACCATTTGCTTCAACAGGCGACCAGATACATGACCTTTTAATACGCCATTCTTCTCCAATATTCGCCATGATGCCCCCGCAATGGAGGCTCCAGATAGTCGTCACTAGTCGTCAAGAAAAACAGTCCGTAAGTCGCAAGGTTGTAGAAAGTATTTGCACAACTGGAGCCTCGGCATGGAAATGTGGACCAAATGGGAAAATGCAGCGTTGATCTTGTCTCGAGATACACTGAGGAATCTCTACAAGGTATAGTATCAGGCAGAATACCGAAAAAGCCGCCGGCATAAATCTCCAACAATTCTCGATTTTACGGAAAGTTGGTACACTAAACGGCTCGCGTATGCTCACAGCAACGTTCTCCGGCCGATGACCTCGGGAAGACCGTATATGTAGTTCTCCCCTCAAAGTAGTTTACGCGATGTTCACGGAGAAAGGTGACAGTTGCTCATATGAAGCCGAGTCGGCGACAGGAGCAAGCTTGTGCCACCGGGATGTGCACACCATGTCACTAATATAAGACATGTCTGGTTGGCTGGGCTTACGACGCCAATGCATTCAAGTCAAATCCGGACTATCCCAGTCGATCCACATGGTCTGATCAAAGGTAAAGTTGGCTTCCGTCCTGAAGACATTCGCGTCGACTTGTTCTTCCCGCAGGTACTTACCCACAAACGCGTCCAGCTCAGCACCTTGGTCCTGAACTGGAAACTGACAATGTGTATGGTCTGCTGCCTCGGAGTAGCCTAGGGATTGCTCAACACCGAGTGCCTTGTAGATGGTCCTTGCCGCGGTCATACATCCGTAACTGCTCCATGGTGACAACCATTCGTACCCCAGATTGTCAAAGACCAAAAATCCTCTTGGAGCCACCATACCAGCTAGCATGTGGTGGTCAAACGGAAGTCTCTGTGTGCCATCGGTCTCGTTTGCGAAAACTTCAAACTCGTTGCTAAACCATACATTTTCCGTAACGATCTCATGAGCTGTTTAGACGGTGTCGGCACCGTCCACGCTAATATTCTCGACGTCAGAGAGCCTCCAGCACGCGGTACCACCGGATTCAGATTCCTGAGCTATGGTAAGGGCTATCCTTTCTTCGAACGCCCCAGCGACAAGGGATCCTTTACCCCATCGCGAGCAGCCGACAACACCCACGCGTACGGGATCAATACCTGTGTCTTTGTTGTTGGCGAGGACGTCCAGTATACGTGACACACCCCACAAGGTATCAAGGCACCTGCAGCTTGCGGAGAGTTGTCTGGATAAAGCTCGTAAAAGCGACCCTTACCTCGGGAGGTGGTGTTGTCTTCTTGTGCAAAATTCGGACACGAAGAAGGTCACAATAGCAACACCTTCCGGGGATGGTATTGTTAGGAGGTCCAGTGCGATGAGTGCAGGATATAGCCCCTCCTCTTTGTCACGTTCGGGTATAAAATTGTCGCTGTCCACTCTATCGCATTCTCACCGTTGGATGCTGTTAAGGTAAGGTTTGCCCCAGTGCCATTCTCATACTTGGTGAAAGTTGACTGTAGGTTCTGTGGCCGTCCAGGCTTATGCCAAGCTCATAGTGTTGGAACAGAGTCGCAATCTCAATACGGCGGCACGACCAGTCCGCCTTATCGACAACGAAGGATCCAGACAAGAATTCGAATGGATTTGGAGGGAGTGGCTACTGGTTAGCGAATGAGAGGTCAGTAGTCGTAGGCGTGCATCTCGGCGATGATTCTGCTGTGACTATTCCAATGATGGCGAAAATGGCCTGTCCAAGAAGCATCGTGAGCTGTCCTGTGTTCGTCTGAGATTCGAGATTTATTTGTCTCAATTGCAATGTTGCCTTGTTAGTCCGTAGTTGTGAACTACGAAAGATGAGAGCTCAGGACTTTGACTGGCTGAATTTTTACGGCGTCATGAGATACTACCCCTTGTATCGATGAAAGGTAGCCTCTGACATACCTGAGAATCGTCGTCAAGAGCCGTCGATCATAACTAGATGCCCGCTTAGTTTTCTCGAATTTAGGCTCTTTTGTCGCGAGACTGCGGAGAAACTTCATGACCCATCATCGATTCATCGCCCCAGAGAGCTTCTAGTTCGCTTCTGAAGTATCGATGGATGGCCTTGGGCATTATTGGCTGACGGACACTCGCCTGAAGACTTGTCTAGGAGGATGGTGAGTCTGTTGGAATGATTGATCCAGACTAAGAAACTCTGTTCAGTGATGGAGACCATTTCACAGAGATGGGGATTGCTATACTGTGGCCACGATGTCTTCTTTTTTGTAGAATCTCTGCGCCTTGAGTCGTTGAGAAGGGCCAGTCATTGAAAGAGAAAGGTCGTTGAATGGTGAACTACGTTAGATCGATATCGAACCTGAGGAAGCGTGGCTCAGCCTTGCGTAGCCTTGCGCAGCCTCGTCACTTGCACCGGTTCATCCTCGGGCTCATCGCCGCTGCATCTTTGGAGATTATCTGTATTTCGCGACATCAGATTGAGGATCAACTCACTCAACCACGCACCACGCTCTCATGCAGACAATGCGCCAGTCCTCTCACGTTATTATCGGTTCTGTCCTGCCGACATGACTTCCGGAAATTCAGATAGCTCCTTTAAACTTGTCGCACCTACCAAGAAGTCCATTTTCGAACGACAAAAGGCGGAAGCTGAGGCTAAAAAGGCTCGAGAAAAGGCAGAGACTGCAGCCGTTCTCGAGGACTTTGTCAAAAGCTTCGGAGATGATGGGAATCCTAATACGCTCCCGACGAAACGAGGTGGCTTCGGAGGAGGCGGTGGAGTTCCCAGCACCACCTTCGGGCCTGGCCCTGCCCCTGGGAAGCGACATTTTACAAGCTCAGGATTGAAGAGTGGACCTGGCAGTTTGGGACCAGCACCGACTTTGCCAAAGAGCGGCCCTGGAAGCTTAGGACCATCCCCAAGCTACGGCAAAAAAAGACATTACGATGACTACTCGGGAGGACGAGACCGCGATCAGGACCCGGGTCGAGACAGAGATCGAAGAGACAGGATGTACTCGTACGGTGATCGTGGTGGAGACAACAGAAGAGAATCTGCGTTCGCTGGTGAAGAGGAAGAGTCTAAAGATACAGAGGAGATGAAGGCTGCAGCGAAACCGACACTACACCTGTCTTCGCTCCCTCCGGGAACGTCTATGGCAGTCATTAAGGGCTTGTTCGCTGCATCTCCGCTGAACGTGGACAGCGTGCGCCTTCTGCCAAAACAACCAGGGTCACTTAATGAGAGGAACTCTCTTTCGGCAATCGTAACGCTCGCTGCCGAGACTCCAGCGACTGACATTGACACTGTGGTCTCGCATCTGCGGAACCAATATCTTGGGTTCGGCTTCAACCTATCTATTTCACGACACCTCTCATCCGCCGCGCTGTCAGGCTCGACCTCTTTAAATGCGCCATCAACGAACATCAACAATCTTCCATTTGGAGCAAAACCGATACCTCAACACGGCTCCCTCTCTCGAGCTCCCCCACCAAGTCAAGGGCCAGGCCGCTTCGCCCCCCCAGCATCATATACGCTCTCGACTCCATTCGGATCCAGAACAAATCTTCCGACAACCCAAGTGACAGTGCAGATCCCGAATGACCTCAAGCAAATCCGCCTGATCAACAAAACTATCGAAGCTCTCCTGACATATGGTCCTGAGTTCGAGGCTCTACTCATGTCCCGGCCCGAAATCCAGCGTGACGAACAATGGTCGTGGCTATGGAACTCCAGGTCAACAGGAGGAGTGTACTACCGCTGGCGGCTCTGGGAGATTCTCACCAATGCCAAGTTTCGCAAACGTCGTCAACGACCAGGCTTCGTAACGCGCCCCGATGGCGACACCATCTTCGAAGGTCAAAGCGTCTGGATTCCGCCCGAAGAAACTCTCAAGTTCGAATACACCACCAAAGTTGAAGAATTCGTCAGCGACGAAGACTACAACTCATCGGATGAAGAAGAGGCTGAAGAGAGTAGTCTCGCTCGACGGTACCACGACCATCAGAAGATTGGAGGCAATGCATCCGAGATTTCTGTGGATACGGACGGGACAGGATATCTCAACCCACTCGCCAAAACGAAACTTGTCCACCTTCTCTCTCGACTTCCCGAGTCCAATGCAAAGCTGCGCAGAGGTGATGTCGCGCGTATCACGGGCTTCGCCATTGAACACGCCGGCGCCGGTGCAGACGAAGTCGCCACTCTCATTACGCGCAATGTGGTTAAACCATTCTGCCACAACATCAAAAGACCAGACACGTCATCCGGTGCTTCTGACGACGGCCACGATGATCACTCTGATGATAATATGATGCCATCCTTTAATCACACTCCTGCTGCTGGCACCCCTGCGACCGATGGTGCTGCTCCTCCTCCTCCTCCTCCTACTACTACAGCATCTGGCGACACTGACCCCACCAAGGACGGAGAGGATCTAACAGGCGTCCCGATACCCACATCCAAATCCAACGTCCAAGACACGACTCCCTCGTCCCTTGTCGGACTGTACGTCATCTCCGACATCCTCTCGTCCTCTGCGTCCGCCGGCGTCCGCCACGCCTGGCGCTACCGCTCACTCTTCGAGACCCAACTGCGTCTCCAGGGTGTCTTTCCCACCCTCGGCCGCTCCGCGCGCGAACTGAACTGGGGAAAACTAAAGGCCGACAAATGGCGACGCAGCGTACAGAGCGTCTTTTCGCTGTGGGAAGGGTGGTGCGTGTTCCCCTCGGCCGCCCACGAGGACTTTGTCCAGGAGTTCCTGAACCCACCCCTCACGGCCAAGGAGGAGCAAGCACTACTCAAACAACAAGAGACCGAAAAGGTCGCGTCGGAAAGCAAGGCCAACGACAAGGACAAGGTCAGCAAGTGGAAGAGTGTGAGTGTCGGTGACCGTGATCCCGCCTCCTCTTCTGGTGATTTACCGCCGCGTGGTGGTGGTGGCGGTGTCGACAGAGACAGGGACGGTGACGTCGACATGGACGGGAGACCCATGGAGGATACCGACGACGGCGAGGACAACGACACCGTCATGGATCATGCCGTCCTACCCGATGAAGACCTCGACGGTGTCCCCATGGTGGACAGCAGTGATGAAGAAGACAATGTCGATCAACCACAATCCGAGGACATCGTGATGCAAGGACAAGGTCAAGCCGGTACCGCCGATACTTCCGCCGAGGCCTCGACGGCGGCACCCTCGGCCCAGACAGGACAAGGACGACAGCGACAGGGCTCCAGACAGGATGTGCCCCACGTCCCGCAACTCTCTCAGGGTCGTCGTGTGCGCCCTAGGGCGGCGGATTTCGACGACATGTTTGAGTGAGACGAGACACATGCCAGCCTCGTGGATCACCTACCCAAGGTACATTACTATACATGGAGCGACATGAAATCCAAAAGGCGTTCACGAACTTCATGCATGACTTGTAAACTTGTTGAGTCCGACTGCGTAGATTTAGTACTACCCCGTATTTCCCCATAAACCCGAATTTTGGTCTCCTCCTATCTGATAGGTCATAATCCCGTATATCCAGAAAGAAATTTATAGCTTTCTGTACTTCTATACCTACACGTCGGTCGCTCTATCCTCCGACTCTACGGTTTAGACTTCCTGTGCGCTGGCCTGGCCTGGCTCACCCTCGGCCAGTTGATTGGCACGGGGATCCTCCGGCTCATTGGACGGTACCTTTTCCAGTGGCAAACCCTCGTCCTTTGCGCTTACAGTGGTCTGCCTACTTACGGAGATCTCATCCGTGTTAGGCTCTGCCTGTCCACTGCTGGCGCTTGTCTGCTTGGAAAGATGATCATTCTCGGCCAAAAGTTGATGATCCGAAGGAGCCAATTTTTCGTCTGCAGCCGACTCAAGGGCAGGCTCTGCAAGTTCACCTGCGGTGTTGACGGCCAACGCGGTAGCCTGCGGCGCTGGCTCATCCTTGGTGATAGGTTCCTTGGGGGCTTCTTCTACTTGGTCAGTGGTGTCGATGGTGGACGGTAGAGGTGCGTCTGCCGGAGTTGAACTATCGACCTGTTCAGCCTTCTTGTCCGACAGGCCAACGGCAGCTGGCATGTCATCCACTTTGGTTGTTTCTTTTGCCGACGACTTGTATGAAGAAACTGTCAGATCATCGCCTTCATCAATGGACCATAACGAGCGAGGCATTGATAATGCGAATGATAAGGGTTTGGAAGCAGGAGCGGCTGGCGACTTGGCTGGAGCTCTTCTTTGAGGGCCGCGAGCTCTACCCTTCCGAGCGTCTTCCAAAGGCTTGCTTTCTTCCACAGGCTCTGGTTCTTTCTCCTTTTCTTTAGGTGGTCCTTGGCCCAATTTCTGATTCAGATCATTCAAAAAGTTTCCCCGAAGGTTGGCAATCTTACTGCTAACAGCACCAGATCTGGCGGGTACCTGAGGTTTTGCTTTGACTACAGGAGGCGAAACCCTTTCTTGCTCCGAAGGGCTAGCGGTGTCTGGTTTCTTGGCTGGTCGAGCTGGAATCTGCGGCTTGGGTCGATCAGGTATACTCGGCACCTTCTTGAGCTCTGTTGGCGATGTACTTGACTGCTTCTGTGGGCGAGGTGGGACACTTGGTCCGACTTGTGCCTGCGATGCGCCTTCGCCTAATCGACTCTTGCCTACTGGCCGTGGAGGCACAAATGGCTTGGCAGGAGCTTCGGATGGACTTTCGGGCTCATTGTCGTCCTGGGGAGAGTTGATCGTCGTGACAAGCTGATGACTTTCCGGGGTGTCCTCCCAAACATCAGAGCTTGGAAATCTTGGGGTCAAGCCAGGTCTGGTAGGCATGTCATCCCGCAAATGGGGAGCAAATCGAGATTTGGCAAGACGCTCTTCCTTGGAAACAAGCTTCTTACGCTCCTCCTCTGAGGGCTCCTCCTTACGGGCACCTTCTTGCTCGGGAGTTTCAAACTCTTTCGACGCTGGTTTCTCAACCTGGGCCGGGAGATCGGGGGTAGAGACCTCGGCCGAATAATATAAGCTGCTCGGAGTATCTTCCCAGATGTCTTGGCTGGGAAACCGCTGTTTGAGTGAGTTCGGTCTCTGCTTGAATCGTTCCGCGTGACTCAGTGGCTTCTTGTCGTCTTCGTCGGGGAAAAGGGGTTCGTACTCTTCCACGTCTTCGAGAGGCGTGTGCATATGGTCTCGTTCATCATGATGAGAAACAAATCTCGAAAGCGTGTGAGAGACAGCAAAGGCCCCATGCACACTGGTCGGTCTGCTAGAGGGACGAGACGATGGAGTAGCGTCACCACTTCGATAAGCCTCTTCGTAGAGGCTCTCACGACGCTCCGCTCGGGGGGAAACAGCGGGTTGGAGATGTTCGACACCGACTTCTTTGGCAACTTCGTCCGCTGCTAGGATAGGAACGGTGTATCCGTGCTCACTGGCATAGCCTCCCTCGTCGTCGGTTGTGGAAGCATATGGTTTAGTTCCAAGCGTCTCGTTAAGTGTTTCCTCACCACCGGTGACCTTGTTGTATTTACGGCGGGGCTGGATATGTACTTCTTGTTCAGCTTCGCTGTCCACCGCTTCATGGCTATCGGAACCGCGGGACACTGAAAGCCGTCCACGGCGAACTTCAGCTGGAATGGACTCATCGGCTGGGAAACTGGCCTTCCTTAACGGAGATTCGGCAACAGGTTGCGAGGAATTGGTCACGGTCTTTGCCAGACTGTTCGGGGTGTTGGCTTGAGATCGTGAGATGTAGACTTCAGAGGCGGCATAGCCGATCTGTTCATCGGGAACTCCATAAGTTTCACCCGAGGTGCCTGTGAAAGTCAGTAAATAATCGAGGCCACAGGGGTTAATGCTCACCAAATCCAGCACCACGGCTAGCAGTTTCGCGGACGATTTTGTTCAAATCATCTCGGCTCAAGGCAAAAGCACCTCGACCACTGCCGATGCTCTCATATACGCCGTGTCCCGAAGTCTCTTCATGCTGAGCTGCTTCGGGATGTTTGGCATACCAGTCCTTTTCAAATTTGTCCTGTGGGGGCAAACCGTGGCCATGCAGACCATAGCTTCCAGGGGGGAGGAAATCCAAGGCACTTCTTGTCCTCCCATGAACTGATCGTCTCCTATCACCATTCGACCCGGTGTGGTGAGGACTGATTCCGGGAGCGGGAGACGGTGCCTGTACGTCGCCCAGCAATGGATTAATGGGGACTCGAAGACCCAGTTCGGCGGGACCCGTCTCTTCGGCCTGAAACGACGGGCGACGCTCACCACCCACGGCCGAGCCCGGGCGCGAAAAACTGGTGCGCGTGCCGATGCGAGAAAGACTCTCACCGTCGTCTTGAGCTGGTGTCGGTGGCTTGCCGAAGCCATGTTGAGCCGCTTGGGATGAATCGGTCCGGGTGACAGCTTGGACTTGCGCAGCCGCACTAGATTTGGGCAATGAGGGCTTCGGAGCATGCAGCTTGAGGTCTTGTGCAATATTTCGAGTCTGTGCGGCAGCATCGGCAGCCAGAGACGAAGACGGAGGTTCTTGATTCGTCTGCATGTTCATGACTTCTGCATATTCCATGCCTTCTTGCCCGATGGACGGCAGATTTTGGATACTGGGACGACGGGGCAGGGCTTCGACCGATTCGTTGGTCTTTTGACGAGTAAGGTTACCGGTCCATGGCTCGTTGAGAGGAGAACGAGGAAAGTTCGCGGGTGAGACTGATCGATCGAGGCGTTTGTTGATCGGTCGAGGAGGAATGTCAGGGAGTTTGTTGACGCCCCGAACCCCAGCGGCTTGCTGGGCTCTCGTCGGACGAGGCGGGATGGTAGGAGCAACTTGGGCCGACATACTGGGCAAATCAATGCTTGACGTCGTTCTAGAAGAAGTGTTGTCAGTCACTTGTTCGGGAGAATCATTATCGAAAAAGCAAGGTATCGAGGAGTCCCTCACCGCCCTCACCCGAAGATGATGACGATGGTGAAATCCGGGACGGATTGGAGAAAGATCTCCATCACGGTAGTACGTACCAAGTTGGAGAATGAGTGATACAAAGGAAAACAAAGATTAAGTGCAAGAAGATGATAAAGTAGCTGTTGGTGTTGTAGTGAGATGTTGGGGATCACGGAATTCAAACGGTGGGAGGATGTATTAGAGAATTCGAGAATAAGGAAACAGGGCTTAGCGAGGTCGAAGGGTGTTTCGAGTGATTTCAATGATAAGGTACGCAGGAAGAGTGTTTGGACGGTGACGGAGAGGGAGCGAGGCCATGCAGTAATATTGATTGTCCTGAGCTACGGAGAAGCGGGAAGGTCCATGCACAGCACGCCAGACGCAGGAGAGAAAAGATTTGTTTGCTCTTGATGATGCCAGTCTGGACCGATCAAAGACCACAAGACCAACAAAACAAGCTGTGCATCAACGATGGCGTCCTTACATGCCCCTTCGAACAACTGAGACAGCGAGTGAAATGCGAGCAATTGACGGCACTGGGGCGATGGCGGCCCAATCTGACCCTCAGCTATTGGTTCTTTGGGCTTTTCAGGAACCGCAGCCTGCGCCATGTTCCCACTCATGTGACGTGATAAGTTGGCATCGCTTTTGCTTTGGATCGTGAGAAGATTCTTTTCTGACTTGTTGCAAAAAGTGCTCATAATAATAATATCCGTATGATCCCTCAATTCCTCGTCACGCCGGTGTAGAAACAAAAAGCCCTTTGATCGAGAACCATGGATCAACATCTCGTCGAGCTCGATTGTTCACTTGGAAAAAGAATCATACAGCATGTACGAGATCGGATTCAGAGCCACCTCCTGTTACCCACAGCAAACATCATCATGCGCCATTAATTCCCCCACAATCAGAGACATTGAACGCAGGATGTTCCGAGGGAAAATTCATTCCCCTCACGTGGTCCTCCTGATGATTCTTTCTTCTGGTCTAGCCACCTTCACTCAATCTCCCAAGTTGATTGCTTGTAGCTGGTGCTCGCACGAGTACGTCGAAATGAATAAACAAGGAATGTCGTCGGCAGAGCGACATCTACCTACCTGACAATCACTATCCGACTTCCCCAGCCTAAGCGACCAACTGATATTGTACGTGATCGTGCGAACGCGGCCTCCTCGTACTCGTCCCCCTTGAACCTCGATCTTAGCTTGTTTTCCCCCGCATTTGTTCCTAGCGGAAGCGTGGAGAGACGACAAGAGCATGACTCCTTGATGATCTGTACAATACATCATCAAGCGAGACTGTTCCCTGCCGAGTAAGTTTTACTCACTAGTATTCCAGCATGTCGCAGCGACATTCATCCACTCATCCCGCCAGGATCAGGGAGAAACAAGGAACGAGCCCGTGTTTGTAATGGATTGTCTACCGAGAAACGAATCCTTGTGTGGAAAGGTTGATACTTTTCTTGACTCCATGCTTTCCATTCTATGTGCTCCGTACTCTATCGAGTTTGATTTTCTTCTGTCTTGAAATCGGATCGAACCCCACAAATTTAAAGTGCCATTCCCCAACACTCTTCACACCGCATTATGTCTATCGTAGTCGTTCACTATGCCCCTTCCAAGCTGTGTACAGTATTCATGGCAGGACCAACGGTTTTGGAGCTTGTCTTCAACCCGACCGGCCGCTGGTCTCCACTCGTCCACCCAGCTCAGTCTTGCCCCCCGTCATGCGGCGTCCAACGACAACATTGTCGGTTGGTCGCTTGCCAAACAACTGGGCTCCTTCCACCAGTCGTCGTTCCGTGTTCTGTCGGCCATTGACAAAGTCGGGGTAGTTGAGCGTGAGCTCCACCGCGCCATTGATGATGTTGTCAACCGCCTCCACACCAAGCATGAATGAGTGATCTTGATTGCCAACTTCGTATCGCCATGAGCCAAATCGGCCTCGACTCCAGATGCCCTTTTCTTGCAGGGCAGGAAGCATCTGCTTGAGTACGCCCTCGCGCTCCAAGGATGGGGTGGGATAGCCGTGGTCAAATCGTCGGTGATAAGTCGACACAATCTCGTCCTCGGGTCGGAGCATTTCCGTATTCACCAGTCCTTGGATGCAGTCCTTGAGGAGGCTTTCCTGGTTGACTGGTTTCATGCTGGACTCGGACACTTCCAACATGATCGACCAGTAGGGGCCTTCCTTGGCTTGCATGCTTTGACGACGAGATCCATTGGCAAGTTGCAGCGTCGGCAGTTTCACGTCCTTCTGAGGCTGGTTGTACGGTGAGTAGTTGGAGAAGATGGTGGCTCGATAGAACGGGCAGTTGTCTTCAGGGAAGTACAGCCAGCACTTGTCGCCTATCCGTTCGGGACGGCTACCACGAATGCCAACTCCAATGACGTGAGTGCTGCTGTAGAATAAGCCCTTCGACAGGTCAACCAGCTTCTGGTCTTGCATGGCCTCGACCAGCGCATCAACTGCCATGGTGCTTACAAGTCTCTGGTATTGGATGGTCGTTCCGTCCTCCAGCAAAACTTGTTTCTTGTCTGCATTGACCTTCTTGACCGTGCTCTTCTTACCGAAGCGTGTCTTCTCCTTCGGCAAGGTTTTGGCAACAGCGATCCAGATGCCACCAGTGCCATCGCGAGCTGGGAAACGGAAAGTCGCATTGGGACCCCAGTTGCCAGCAGTCTTTTGTAGGATGACATTCTTCGCCACGGCCTTGACGTTGGGTGCGGCCACACGCTCGCCGAGCCACTCGCACTGCATCTGTGCCCAATGTCAGATTCACGGCTGCGCTTTATTTTGGTTCAGCTTACTTTAGTGGTCGGAACTGCCCAAACTTTGAAGTTGTATGGCCGCATGAACAGATCACAGATGCCGACACCCTGGTTACGCAGCAGCCACTCGTCAAAGTCCTTGGGCTTAGTGTTGGCCACTCTAGCCTCCAGAGCCGCATCGATCAGACCATCCATGCATTTAACTTGGTCTTCCTTATCCAGCATAGAGATGTTGTTCTGGAAGGGATATGGCACCCATCTTCCCTTCAGTCGGACATATGATATTCTCTGATGTGTGTACCAATCGTCTTCCTTGGGGAGGGCTTCGTCAATGCAATCGTCAAAGTACTTGTAGTGAGAGAAAATGACGTGGCCGCCGACGTCGTAAAGCTGGAATTGTTAGTATGTGCACCACTGTGAATGTGAGATTGTTCGTACAAAGCCTTCTTTGGTCACATCTGTCGAGGCCAGACCGCCAGGAATCTCGTTCGAGTCAATGATGAGCCAAGATGGTCCGTCCTGTCGCTTGTTAGATTACACACTTCTCCCCGATCAAGGACAGACATACGATCTGGTTGAGTCTCTTAGCAGCGCCCAAGCCAGTTGGGCCTGCGCCGATGACGAGCACATCGACTGAACTGGTCGCCAACGTTAGTGGATGCGCTGGGGGGATGGACTCAGTGAAACACATACATATTAGACATGATGGCGATTGAAATCAACGAAAGTGGTGAACTCAGTTAACAAAAGGACAGAATGTCGCAGTTCAGTCGTGCACGCGACGACAGCACTGATTCAATGACCAAAGTACAACAAATACAGGTATTTCGAAAGCTGCGCAGGGAGAGGAGCCGTCTAGAGTACTCTCCACTGCGACTATCTGCCAGCTTGGGCCGTTCAACCTTTTTTTGGTGCCAGGATGCGGGATGATGGTTCACAGCAGCTTGGCTTGGCAGGGGTCGCTGCAAGCTCCTTTCAACGCCTCACTAAACAGAAGGCCACCTGTGCCCAGCGTCACCTCTCACTGGCTCATGCGTTATCACTGCCGTTCACAGCCTTATGTCGAGCAGCTGTAAATTCAGGATTGTTTTCTACAATGGTAGATTCAAGGCACATCGTCGACATCTGTACTCTGTTCTCAGGAAAGAACAGATTTTCTCCTATGGCTTCAGCCACCATGCCTCCGTCCCTATATCTAGTAATGAGAAGTCTCATCCAAGTGAGGCATTCCGAGGCCGACTCTCCTGTCCAGATACCAGGATTGTACGTAGCGTCTACGCCGTATATGTGCTTCACATGCCTCTTCAACACCGTGTCCACTCTATCGATTATTGCCAGGGGTTTCACCATGGAGATCGTCATCAGTGATTGATTGTTTGCCGTTTCAGATTGCACAGTTGTATGACGATCTTTTCTTCGTGATACAAGCTATCCAGAGATGCGGACGTCCGGTAGACCAAAGGCTGCCCACCTTGTCCAACCCTGAGTGCGTTGTTCTGTTTACAGGTGCCTTTGCTACAGAGTATGCGTAAAACGGCGTTGTTCCCAGTCCCAGCCCTGGTGTATCCTTTTTGTCCTATCGCCATCTGTCAACATTACGGAGTTTGAAGAAACTGGATCTATCAAGACGGAGCCGTACGCGTGTCTCTTTGGGCTTAGACTGGGAAGGATGATGCCAGCGGACATTTAGGGGAGAAACAAGGATCGTTCATTGGGTCAAATTTCCTAGCTCCCGGCTAAGTTGCCCTGAGTGTCGCCTCTAATGCTGTGAATTTGACTGCCCCCAATTTTTTTCCAGCAGCCACGAACTTTGTGCCGGCCCGGTTTTTGTCGCCTCCCATTCTCACGGGGTGATAACCGTCTGCACACTCTGTTCTTCAGCATACTAAAATCAAGGCCATCGTCACCAATTGCCGTGGTTGCGCCCCTGCCTTTTCATTCCTGGATTCCAAGTCCTTGGACAACTGCCCGTCGTTTCTTTGATGTTGCCTTAAGTCCGCCAATCTGCTGCACCCACGAGCCTTTACCAGGTCTTCCCGGCCCTTCTCCTTTCGAGACTCCTTGACCCGTATCTCAATCCCTCTGCCCCCCATGGCCGACGTTGAGAAAAAGGTTCGCTTGTCGGGTGAACAGCCCAGAGCTGCAGAACCAGCGACCATTCTTCCTACCGTCAATCCAGCCGCCGAGAAATCTGCTCCTCCTCCGCCGTCTCTCCATCCTGCGGTTTACGTGGTGTAGGTCATTGTTTATTCAAGCCTCAGTCAGGGCTAACAAGAGCTTGACAGGACATGGATTGGTTTCAGCGGTGGCGTTATTCTGTTCAACAAGTGGTTGCTCGACACTCTAGGATTCAGTATGTCCGCAAATGTCTTCCCCACTGCCAGACACGAGTATTAATCATGGAACAGAATTCCCCATCACTTTGACAGCATGGTATGATGGACTGGGAGGTTTCCTGATGTGAGAAGCTCACTGTATTGTAGGCACATGATATTCGCGACGATCATGACCCAAATCCTGGCTCGAACCACCACACTCCTCGACGGACGCAAGACTGTTAAGATGACTGGTCGTGTCTACCTCCGAGCCATTCTTCCCATCGGTTTCTTCTTCAGCTTGAGTTTGATATGCGGAAATAAAGCCTACCTCTACCTCAGTGTTGCTTTCATTCAGATGTTGAAGGTGAGTTGGTGTGCATCAGGTAACAAGAGCGCAGACTGACATGAGACAAGGCTTGTATGCCGGTGGCAGTACTCCTGACCTCCTGGACCATGGGCGTGGATTCTCCAAGTCTGAAAACATTGGGAAATGTGTCATTTATTGTCATTGGAGTTGTCATCGCCTCATACGGTGAAATTGAGTTCAACCTGACTGGGTTTATCTACCAAGCTGGTGGTATCACATTCGAAGCCACCCGCTTGGTTCTGGTTCAACGGTTGCTCAGTTCCGCTGAATACAAGATGGACCCTCTTGTGTCTCTCTACTACTTTGCACCTGTTTGCGCGGTCATGAACGGCGTCACTGCACTGTTCCTTGAGATTCCACAAATGAGCATGAACAATATCTACGATGTTGGCATTTTCATGCTCGTCGCAAACGCCATGGTTGCCTTCCTCCTCAACGTCTCCGTTGTGTTCTTGGTAAGTTGAATGATGCGAATGATGCGAATCCTCATCCTGTATTTTCTGACCAGCATCATAGATCGGAAAAACTTCTTCTCTGGTTTTGACCCTTTGCGGCATCCTCAAGGATATTCTTCTAGTCGCCTGCTCCATGTTGATCTGGGGCACTCCAGTTACCGGTACACAATTCTTCGGATATGCCATCGCTCTCGGAGGTCTACTGTACTACAAACTTGGCGCTGAGCAACTTAAAGGCTACATCAGTCACATGGGTCGCTCATGGTCTGAATTCGGCGTCCAACGACCAGCTATGCGCAAAGCTCTCGTATTTGGGCTGATTTTGATTACACTCTTTATTCTCCTCGGCGGACTTGCTCCTACCTATGCCCCAGATCAGACCAAGAACCTGAAGGACATGCTGAGCACAGGGATGGGGTCTTGAGGGAATAGTGCCAGGCTGTTGAATGAGTGATTAATTTTCTGCTCGTCGAGCACAGGTTTTTTTTTCATACCTCCAAACATATGACGATAGAGATCTGGCAGTGCTTTTGAGCTCTGCTGCAAGGTCACCCACTTTCCACGACTTGTACAGTATGAAATGTGGTGGGCATTTGGCGTCTGGATACGCGACATTAGATGGGACGAGATGCCGGCGTTGATCGGGAAAAAAGGTTGAGCGCGCATGTCCTGTACAGCACAGCGCAAAAGAACGTGGGAGAGCATTTTAGAGGATCCAGGGTCAGTTGTTTAATTGCTTACCGTTATCGAATACGAAGTAGCTACCTACCTAGGTACCCAACCTAATCATGACAAGAAGATGCAAAAATGACGAATATGTTTTGATGCAGTCGTTGTGAATGTTACGAATCGTTAGATTGTAGATGTGCTCGTAAACCACCTTGAGGGTCAGGCAGCTGATGACTTGTCTCCTTCTGCCTTACCGGGCACAGGCCAGGCTTACTCTTGACTTGTTGGACTACTGTAGGCGATCAATTTCTGGCCAGGCCTGTCGGAGTCGCCCAGCTGTTGTTCCCCCACAAAAGGCAAGCCTGCGCCGGTCCTCGCTTGGCCCTTGGACTGACCATTGAGGAAATGGTGGATCAATAAAACGAGCCAATATTACGTGGTGTTGCTGGACCCTGCCACCAGACTGACTTGTGGTCCTCTTCCTCGTCTTCGCTCATCATCAGCCCAACCAAGAGACCGAGCCTTCTGTCCATTTGCGTGGTGGATCGCTTCTCTCGGTGCTTATGCATGCCATGCAGTTGAGCGCCTCAATTGTTTGCTCCAATTGACAGCGCCCGATCGCCTGGGGTGTTGATGGCGTTCCTGGCAATCCGAGCCTCCCAAATGGCCATCCAAGAGAATTTCATGTGCGTTGCCGTGATGCCGCTTGCGCTCAGACCTTCGTCTTTACGTCGCTCTTTGCCTGCCTCTGTCTCTCTCTCGCCTCTAGGTTTTCTTTCTTACTCCACCGTCTACAATGCCCATCCAGAGTCGATCAAGGCCATATCCGTCTGTTTCTTTCCGCTTCAACTCTCAGCTTCCCAATGCTCTCAAATGTGACCCTGCGTCTTTGACCTCTACTTCATCTTCTGTCCTCGCCTCTTCCTTTCACTCTTCCTCCTTCCCTTCACATCCCACCTGCCCACTGAATCGACTAGAAAACTGTCGTTGTTGACGTACACTCTCTTCAACTCTTCTGACTCGTGACTATACCTCGGCGCATACTCTATTCCTACTTCTACATCTCTCCCGGCGTTGCTCTTTCTGACCCGCGCCTTGTTTACACGGTCCGCACCACCGCAGCCATGTCTTCCGTCCCGCTTCTCGATCAGATTCAGCTCCCCACCCCCTCCGACACACCCAGAGCCATGGAACAAGACGACCCTTCTCCAAATACCTATGTCAATCACTCTACTACCTGGACGCCCGTCGATGGTATGACGCCTATATCTACAAACCCTTCCAGAAAGCGGTCGCGTGATGATACAGCCGCTGATCATGAAGCGGACGGCTCCTACTTCGCTTCGGTGGAACAGCCTGAGCCTATCCCTGAAGAGGAAGAGCCTATTTACGGCGAGGGCATGGTCTTGCTCAATCCAAAGACCGGCGTGTCGATCTCGGCTGAGAGCCAGACTGGAACTTGGTACGAGGAAAAGGTGGATAGAAAACAGTTGGAAGAGGAGGTCGCTGCGGCAAATTTCAGACCTAAGATGCCTACGAGCCGGAAGTCTGTCAGACTATCTCAGACGTCCCTCCGTCTACCGGCTGATGCCTCTGTCGCTTCAGCTCCGGCTAGCCCACCAAAGACGGCTGTCGATCGACCGCAATTCGATGAGGCTACATTGGCACTCGGCATTGGCTGGACCACAATAGCTTCAGAAGACGAGGCTATTCAGGCCGCGGCAAGAGGCTGGGCAAAATACTTGGAGAATCATTATGCAAGATACATCCATGGTGCTCAAATCCTGCTGAAAAGCTCTGGACTCAATGCCTATCTTGTGGGCTGCCAGGAGGGCTTCTTCCTTTTCAGCGAAGACTTGCTTGAAGGCAAGCTTGTTGGACGTTCTTGGGAAACCTGTTTGCAAAACCTTCGATCACAGCCGATCGTCTTCGAGGGTGAAGAGGTGCTCCGAGCAGAAAGAACTCCAGGTCCAGAAGCTGCCCTGAGCCAAGTGCCCCAACGGTCTATCATGGAGAATTGGGCCGATTTCAATCGCCTGAACAGCCCTCAACCAATCACTGCGACTGGGAACGGGATGGAATTGGATTGAAATGTCGCGCCGGTTACACCCCGTTTCGCGAGTTGTGTGGCGACTTCCGCATCATGCTAGCAATGAACGGAGGTCGTTGCGCTCAAACAACAACAACTCCAAGCCTTCACCGGGTTCTGACCACTGCTGACGGTCGGTGCGTATCCGATTCTATCCAGAATATCCTGACACATCGACCTTCGGTCCACCCATTCCGGCCAGGGAATAGGCTACCTGCACTCTTGTGCTGAATCTTCGTGCCGGTAATATCCTCGCCTCTGGTGGCTTGAGATACGATCTGGAAACCTTGAGGCTGGGAACTCCTAACGTCATGCACGACGTTGACGATAAACAAAATCATGTTTGTAACATAATTTCTGATGACTATTCAAGAGGCTAGCCAGAACATTTCCGGCCTCACGAGAGACACCCCCAGCGAAACTGGGTTCTCATATTCTGCAAAATAACAATGACTATCCAAGAACGTGCTCAAGTTCAAATGATTTCATTTTTGCAGTCCCTGTCGGCGATGTCTTCCCGAAAACATCACCCGATGCAGCGTCATCAATCCAGACCCAGTTCAACATCTCTCTCTCGATGTTTCCTCCGAACGCCGAAGGGCTATCAGTTACCTCACCCATCTTTGCGAAAGCTTGGTGGTCCTTCTGCACAGAGGCACTTCTGTCCCAGCCCCCAGCTCCTTTCCGCGACTTCCATTGATTTTCCCACCTAATAGCCTCAGATTCATGAAGCTTAGCCAAAGTGACTCTCAATCTCTTCGGTCTAACCGCACCCAGTGTATCAATGTCCCCTTCGATGTGCTGGACAATTTCAGCACTGACGTACTGGCCGATTGCTTTTGCAAATTCGACTGCTTGAGGAGAAGAGAGGAAGGCGATATGTTCGTCGGCTGTGCGCCAGCCACCCACGAGATAATAGATTGTCGCATCTGAGGTCGAGCGGTACAACTGGAACGGCGTACCTGCTTTTGTTGTCATGATCTCGAGGACACTTCGCCAAAGTTCATTGAACGATGATGTCGACGTTTGGGTTTGGATGGAAGGGCGCAAGCGCACTTTGGCGAGCTCGATTAGGGGCATGTCGAAGACAAAGGGCTCAGCTGTCTACCATTTGCTGGGACGATAGCGAAGAGGGTTCACTTATGGTTGGGAATGCTTCAACGGTTTTCGAGAAGGACCTCTGGGCTTTTATGTGACATGGCTCTACTGTTTAATCCTTTAGTCTCGCCCCAGGAAAAGCGCTGACGCTGATTTTTGTTCTCACATTCCCCAAGACATGGATGAACAGTGAGAATTAAGCGAAGCGACCATCATGAAATTGGCAAGGAAGACAATGGCATAAATCCTACATATGACCACGAAGTACATGAGCGAGCATGATCAGCATTGCAGACACCTGGGACAGCCTAGCACCGCGATTCTCTGTATCGGTCGGCCATAGAAACCCGAGGCGATGATAGGTGGAAGTAGAAAGAGGTGCGATTCTTACTGTAGAGGATTCGCTCACCATGCTGACGTGGGAAATTCAGCACGCCTTTCTGCGAGGGGACCAGGAATCTCAGAATTTAATTTTGTCTGACGAATCCAGTTCCAACCATGTACATACTGGCTTGAGTGCAAATTGGTATTTTGAAATGTCTGACGACGATATTTGATGTCACACTTCGCAATGATGCACAATTGAGCTCTTAGAAAGTTACGAAAACAACAAGAACACAATCGAAGTCGTCGCATACTGCATTTCTGGCCATCCCACAATAAAGCACCGATTGACGTGTCAACGTGGTGAGTACTTATAGATGCCACCGCTGAATACACGTGGCGTTGTGTAGACAGACATGAGCCTCAAACATTTGAGAAACGCATCCCATCGCTCGATCGTTCAACCCAGCTTTTAACGGAAGATCGGTAAGGCAGTAAACATGACGAACTGAATTGTGCTCTAGAGGACTATGAGAAAACTTGTCAGGTCCTGAAGATGACTAAGTCTCCTCTCCTCCTACCAAGTTTTATAATCTACGGCCTCCTCGAACGCAAGCTGATATTGGCGAGTTTGCGACGCTCTCATCTACGCGATCCTCCACACCCACTTATATCCATGGACGGAACTTGAGATGGCGGAATGGCGAGTGAAAGATTTCAAGTCTATAGTGCAGGTGCTTAGAAGATGAGAATGGGATATGGCCAGCAGCGACTCCGGGTACCAGAGCTGTGTATGCACACCTCTTTTCTCGATCGATCCGGCACACTTCATTGCTATTTGGCAGTGGCCTGCGGGCTCATAAGGACACAATGTGTATATGTGGCAAGGCTGGTCCATAGGAGAAATCGATCACGGAAATTTGGCCTTGTACTGCACTGCTAGGTATGACGCTACCGAAAACGATACAATTCTCAAGACTACGACGTCTTCTACTCCGTACTGCCACCTTATTCGACTTCAAAAACATTGCCTTACGAAAGCCATGCCAATGGTTCCCTCACATTGATCAACTTATGGACGAAGTTGGAGACTGGCTCTGATGCACGAGCCGGCTGTCGGTCCTTGCCAAGGAAGTGGCTTGCCTGTCGGCAACTCGTGGCGAACAAACACCCATTCACAAGCCCATTGCATCTCGAGACTACTGATGCTAGTGATGCGAACCATTGCTTATGCACATCTGACAGTTGTCTCCTAGCCGTTGGCCGTTGTTACTACTTTGGGATGCTTTGCACTCTTAGCTTAACGGCTTTCAGTACAAGATTTCCAAAGCGCGGGCCATGCGGCTCTCACGGTAAATCCTAGATTACCTTCAACATGGTAACATACGCTCGAATCCAGTAAAGAGATATGCCTTTAGCAATAGCGCACAGACCCTGGTCAGGACCTATTCAATATGTCGCAGCAAGAGTTTATGGACTCGATAACGTCCTTCCCGGAGCATATCCTCGGCTACTAAAAGAGAGTTGGGCGCCCGCCACATCCGAAACCTACAATGCTTCAACATCAACAGGCGGTGAGTATTCGATTTCTACGTCCTGCGAGGAAAGAGAGATAACCAGGTGACAACACCAAACGAAGAGACTTCATCCGTGAACTGTTCAACAGAGCCATGTTATAGGATTACTACAGCCTAGTAGTAGGCTGGATCATTCGACACGACGGCAGCAAAGTCTGGTTCAACATAAATCGAGCATCCAATTATGCCCATCCCGTGGGAGAGGTACATGCCAGGCGGCTTTTATCGCCAGCAGATGACGACTCTACTATCGCCTATAGTAGAACTCCGTGAGAGCCCATTCAGTCAAATACCGCCTCCTTCCCGCCGAAATCTGACCAACAATGCGAACAACGAAAATCATTCCGTGGACTCATACTTTCCTGGCACTTACGAAAGACATGACGGTGTCCGCACTTCATTCGGCTCGATACGCACCATTAGCAGCACAACTTCCTCCAACAGCGAAAGAAATGCCTCTCAATTCCCCGACGCCGAAAAAGAGGAAGCAAAGCTCGAGGATGAAGTCGAGGACCATGGGCTAGATCCTTCCGACCTGAGGGGTACGCATGGTGTGGCTTCTGCCCCTGCTCCGGCTGGCATTCCAAATTTCTCATTGCCCGGTCGTGGCACGAAAAGACCGATCTTCCCCAGTCGCTTTGGGGATGGCAAGATTGAAACTATAGACTGGGCATACAATGTCCGTGATTTTGGTCGACATCGCAGCACAATGTGCCCGCCGGGCCACTGGCGAAACTTCTCTCTGCCTTCGAACGTAGTCATCCGGAGGGCTAGTGTTAGTTAGGAGACTCCTCGAAAGCAAAATCATTTCAGGCGAGAGATGTCCGAGGGTACTCTTTATCTGCAGAGACACTATGTCTGAAGGCACTTCTAGACCAGTACCTCGTCGTCCTCAAATACAGATATATAATGTTATTCAGAGAGAGAGGACTTTTGCTTGCTTCTCTACACCTAGTACTTTTTTTGGACTTTCGCATTTGTTTTTGCTGACGAGTCTGAGAAACCGAGACAAGGTTATTCGCTTTCATGAATATCTCTAGAGAGCTTGTCGGCGGAAAGTATCGTACGTACTTCCCGCATCCTCCAAAGACCCAGAAACTCCACTATATAGTACAATACTAAAGCTCCCGGCACACTTCGCCCCGTCAACTTTTACCATCGAAGCATTTAGTACAACATAAAGACCTCAGCTTTCTTCTTCTTCAAAGGTTTCTCAGAAGGTTTTGCACCCTGGCAAAGATGTCTTTCTCTTCCTGGCAGAGACATCAACGTGCGATTCGAAGACGAGTCTCGGCAAGAAACATTTGAAACTGCCTCTTGAGTATGTTGTGTCGTTAAACACTCTTGGGCACAAATTTTCCGCGAGATTGATTTGCGCAAGTCATACTCTACACCGCGGGCTACACTGTAGGTCAAGGCCGTAGACCATCTGATGTTCGGAAGCAAGTCCTAATGAGGACAATCCAGTTCCCAGGAAGGATGGTGAATTGACCATGGTCATTGGCAAGGACCGGAAAAACATTCCAAACAAAAGAGGCGCTTGAAATTCGTCGTTGGACACGACGTCGGACATAGCGTACGCGGAAGCTTTTACTTCAAACTCTTTTCTGAATTCTGTGGACTTCCCGATGTCTGTACGGATACGTCTTGCTTCCTCATTCTCCCCTAGACCATGCAAGGCTCCAGAACTTAGGGATCGGCCCAGCAAGGTCTTCGATTTTCCCCGAAATGAAGAGTCTCCCAAAGCTCGTTTCAAATTTGATCTTTCCGAGAGACTGATCAGACTCGAGTGATTTGAATTAGGCTTTAGAAAAAATTACGCTCAGATTCATAATATTTCAAAACTAGGCTTTGATTTGGGTCCAAATTAGTTCTGTATTGGTCCATCACTGCGTTCAATAAGATAATATTTAAGTGTAGCTTGAACCGCAGTATTGTAATTGCTAGAGTAGGCTTAGACGCGCACTAATCGACTTGAAGTCAGCATTCTAAAAAGTTTCTAGTCACTCCCGGGAGCCTCCTAGAAATCGAAGAGATTTTGCTTTGAAATTATCGTCTCGTAATATTATAACAGGAGTGGATGAGGAAGCACCAGGTGCACTCAGGGCATGTCTGTAACTCAACAACACACGTCCTCGTTCACTTGTAGCCTCCTGTTGACAGTCGTCGCTTAGTCGCCCTTGCTGTCGTATGGACCTCCGCGACATTCACAGGTGTCAGATCAATTCTTTAACTAGGACTTCGTTGCACACTTCATCGCTCGCACTGCGCGTAGCTGCGCTATCGTTCTTGCAAAACTTGGTTGATTGCATGTCCGTCTATCTACTTGTTGCTCCTGGAAAAGCAGAGGCACTCACACCTCTCGCGTACTCATCAGCCAATCACAGCACCCTTGGCAGGACCCCCTGCTTTTCTCTCTACAATATTAACCCGTCTAATACTTGTCCCACCTCCTCCTCATTTCACACCTTGGCCAGCTCAATATGTTGGTCCTCGACATCGAGAGATTTGCCATGCTCATTGTTCCAAACTTGTCGCTTGATTTCCTCGGACTCTTCCTTGGCGCGACCGGCCGCCTCCTCGAAAGAAATCTTTTTGCCGCTATCGTGATAGATCTCAAACATGCGGTCAATCTCCTCGAGACTGAGTCTCTTGGTCTCGACGTAAAAGTACCAGATGAATGGCACGAAACAGGCGTTGAGGACTGCGAACACGATAAAGAATCGCCAGCCGATGTTGGCAAGGCCTAGACTACTGTCAGCACGGTACAACTGCCCTTTTGGGGGGGGACATACTATCCGGCGTGATCAAAACGATGATGTAGACAAAGAGCCAATTGACCACCATGGCAATGGCAGTCCCGGTGTTGCGCATGGTTTGGGAGTTGATCTCGGAGGGATATAGGTACGGGATGGACACGAACATCAACCCCTGACAGATTCGAGTATTGGTCAGATTTATTCAGAACCCGTCTAGTGACTCGAGGAAGAACTCACATAAGGAACGTAGTACATGAACAGGAAGGCGACTGCCACGCCGTTCCATGCCTTGGTATCCTGGCTCAACCCGGCGGCGACAAAGACGTAACAGAGGCTCATGCATGCGGCGCCAACTATCATCATCCTTACCCGGCCCATGCGATCAATGAGGAGCGCACCGAGAGCTCCCCAAAGAACCATCGTCATGGACGCGACGGCGGCGAGGACAAGGGCCATACGTTCACCGAAGCCGAAGGCGCGCATGAGCACAACGGGCAGGTAGGACGCCGAGACGTTGATGCCTCCCATCTGTTGCATGACGAAGCACCCGGCCCCCAGACAGATGCGATAAAAATTTTGTTGTTTTCCGTTGGTGAAGACTTCCTTGAACCGATCACCCGTGAATTCCCGTTCGTGCTTGAGCTGTTCCAGCACCAGCGCCATGGACTCCGTGACCTCTCGCGAATCGGGAGGAATAGCGGCAAGGCGGCCCATGATTTCCGTCGCCTCGTCGTGGCGGTCCTTGAGGCAGAGCCAGCGTGGCGACTCGGGCATGAAGAAGGTAAGGATGATGCTGGTCAGGGCGAAGAAGATCTGAAACGCGATCGGGAACCGCCAGCTGATTGAGCTCGACTGGACAAAGGAGAAGCCGTAGTTCATCCAACTCACGATCACCACGCCCGACAGGACGAGGGTCAGCTGGATGACGATCATCTTGCCGCGGTGTTTGGCCTTGCTCATCTCGCTCTGCCACATGGGGATGGCTGTGGTGTTCATGCCAGTCCCCATCCCAGCAATCACCCGACCGGGGAACATCTGACCGAGGGAGTACGATGAGGCCTGGATCGTGCCGCCGATCACCACGAGCGTGCAGGCGAGCATGATTGCGCGTCTTCTGCCGAGTATGTCACCGACGAAGATAGAGATGAAGGCCCCAACTATACATCCGAGATAGTAGGTCGAAACTATCTGACCTTGGATTGTCGGGTTCGGATTCTTGAAGGTCTTGACGAACTCGGGATTGGAGAGTAGGCCACCCATTAAGCCTTGATCGTAGCCGAAAAGCAGGAAAGCGAAGCCGCACGCGAGGCTGACGCCGGCGGTCAAAGACCGACCCTGAAGATTTTGAAGCATGTTGCTGAGAATGGGCGACAAGGAGTTAGAATCGAGGTATTGTCCTTCAAGAAGTTATGGTAGGACGTCTGGTTATATAGACAATCAGAAGCGCTAGCTAGACCAGGAGTCGTCACTCAAAAGCAAGCTTCCTTTTCATCTCTCGTGGTCAAATCTGACCCCAACCGTTCCCCGTAAACCTCCTCCATGGGGAAAGGAAACGGACTGGGTACAACGGGTGTCTGGAGAATGTTGACAGAAGATGAAGCTGGATGGCGTTCGAAAGAGCTCGGTTGATGTGTAGCGCCGGTTATATGGACTCGGTCCCCACACCCGAGACCCAAATAGCCATAATGAAAGGCTACTTTTACTACAGGGACTTTATCCCAATTCTAGTCAAGCTGGATATATTCATTCACCCTTGTAGTGTAGCTGCCCATCAAAGAAAGACCCAACCCTTGTGTGACATAGCTGGACACGAGATGTGCCTATCTTCCCGAACATTTTTGCACTAGATTTGTCAGGACCCAAAGGAAGGCTTTCAGGTCAGATTGTTGGAGCAAGACCAGAACGAACCAGACAATCTTACAAGCGCTTACGACGGTCTATAGGATTTACTGTTGGTCTAGACTTGAAATAGTGTTCATTGTCTACTTCAAAAGTGTCCATCGTCGGGCAGAAGAATCTTTCCCGTTATGATAGATATGCTCCATGACCTTGCGTACGATACCGGAAGCATCGAGTCCAAAGCGTGTCATGTTTGCTGGTCCAGCACCAGAATAACCGTAAGAGTCCATGGCTACCGATGCCGTACAATACCGTGCCCAGATAGTCGATACGTACGGCTCCACCGAGATGATATGCCGAGATTTTGAGAGGATCTCGTCCTGGTAAGAGTTGGTCTGCTGCTCAAACAGGTCGATGCAAGGCATGCTCACGACCCGAGTCGGCAGCCCGCTTGACGAGAGCTGAGCCGCCGCCCCAACTGCGTGCTGAAGATCTGACCCACAGGAAACCAACGTGACCAGAGCGTCGTCGCGCTCGACAACAACGTATCCTCCTTTGGCAACTTTGAACCGATCTGTGTTTGGGATTGCAGTAGTGGCAGGGTCTCTCGCCAGGGAAATCATTGTAGGCTGGTTCTTTGCAGACAGTGCTACGAGCCACGCACCGATCACCTCCTCGGCGTCGGCCGGGCGAACGTAACACAGCGATGGCATCGCCCTGTACAGGGAATCCAACTCGACCGGTTGGTGGGTCGGACCGTTCTGGCCCTCGGCAATCGAGTCGTGGGTAGCGATGTGAATGACCTTGAGACCGCTGAGTGCGCCCATTCGAACGCCCGGTGCAGCGTAGAGATAAAACATGAAGAACGTCGCCGTGACGGGCACAATGGTCTGGTGGGAATAGGCCGCAATGCCGTTGGAGATGGACGCCATGGCGTGCTCGCGGATCCCATACCGTATCACTCGGCCCTGGGGATTTGCGCGGTCAAAGATACGTTTTGATTGATCGCCCAGCTGGTTCGACACCCAGAGATCGGCTCCCCCGGCCATGAGACTGGGAACCTCAGACATGAGCTTGTTGAACACCTGTCCATTCCACTGCCGCGTGGCTTGAATCTCGTTTCGCACCTTCAAGGACTTCAGACTTCCAAAATTGAGATCGCCACGAATGCGAGCTTGGAGCTGCTGGCCCTGAGCCGGAAACGCCTCGCAGTATTTGGCAAGCTTCTCGTTCCAGCTCGCTTCCAGCGACTCGCCCGAAGAGACACACCACTCAAAGTGCTGCTTCGCCCTTTTGGAGAGAGTGTGAGTTGAGATACCTTCAGCATAGAGCGCAGCATCCTCATCGCTGTAGGTGCCGTGATGCGATCTGAACGTCCCCGCAGTCGAGGTTCCATATCCGATAGTCGTCCGAATATTGACAAAGGTCGGCTTTGCGTCGGGCGTCGGGCTTTGTGCGAGGCGGAGGGCTGCGATGATGTTCTCGACAGAAGAATCACCGTCAAAAACGTCGATCACTCGCCAGCCCATGGCCACCATCTTGGCATTTGTGTCTTCTGACAAGATCCAGTCGAGCGGTCCGTCACATGTGACGCCGTTGTTATCGTAGCATAAAATCAGATTGTCCAGTCGCAGGTGGCCGGCGATCGCAATCGCCTCCTGAGCCACGCCTTCTTGGATACAGCCGTCACCGGTGGTGCAAAAGACGCGTGACGTGACAATCTCATGCCCCTGGCGGTTGAAGGTTGCGGCGAGGTGTTTAGAAGCTATGGCCAGCCCGACTGCGTTGGCGATTCCTTGGCCTAATGGTCCCGTGGTGACCTCAACGCCGGGCACTTCGATCTCGGGGTGTCCATGACATAGCGTCTCGGTCCACAGTCCGGTCTCAGGGTCAACCTCCTTTGCGCTGGCGTACAGCTTCAACTGGTCAATAGTCATATCGGAGTATCCGGTGACGTGAAGCATAGTGTAGAGGAGAATGGCCGCGTGCCCGTTGGACAATACGAACCGATCGCGGTCGAACCACGCAGGATTTCGAGGGTTGTACCGCATCGTGTGCCTCCAAAGAGCGACGGCCAGAGGTGCCATGCCAATGGCAGAGCCTCCGTGGCCCCCTCCATGCTGTCGACAGCAGTCGATGATAAGCTTCCGAATCTCACGAACTGCTTGTTGGTCATCGTCATGGCCGTGTCTACGGGAGGTAGGAGCATCAATCGTGTGCTCGATCGACCCATTGGTCGCGGTGTTTGAGCTCATTGTCGTCGCTCTTGTCACTCTACAGTCACTGAGGACACATTGAATATCCCGTACCTTTATGAGCCACCAATCGCCACATCCGTACAGCCATCAAGACTCTATTCGGCATGTCCTTCAACTGGAGCTCCCCACCAGACCCTTCCCCAAACCGATACGGATGTATGATGCCAACTTGTTAAGAGATATAGGCAGCATGGGAAGCATGTAGCCGGTTTGCGGTCTCACCACCATCGTTTCACAGTCGGAGTCAGGTTCAAGGTCCAAGTCGGCACATTATTCTGTTTTCTGAAAGGATATATTAGATGCAATGATGTGTGTCATTTACACATATTCTTGTGCACAACTGAGCCTCATGCGACGAGCTATTACCTTCACGGAGCAGAAACTCGAAATGTCATTCTCAACAAACCAAGAACCCCGCCTGATCATCATCGGAGGCGGAGTCGCGGCAATCGCCCTCGGTGTGAAGTTGAAGACTGGGTTGGGCTATACAAATTTCACTGCCTACGAGAAAGAGGATGGCGTCGGGGGAGTCTGGCGCACCAACACCTATCCAGGGGTAGGTTGCGATGTCGACTCGCACTTGTACTCGTTCTCATTCAATCTTAACCCCAACTGGTCTCGACGGTTTGCAGATCAGGCCGAGATTCTTCGGTATATGGATGATACTGTGGACAAGTTCGGCATCCGCGATCACTTTGTCTTTCGTACCAAGGTCACAGATGCGACGTGGATAGAAGAGAAAGGAGTATGGAGAGTCGGTCTATACGACCTCGACACAAAACATCATTTCACCAGGGAGGCGGAGATTTTGGTCTCCGGCTGTGGCGTGCAGTCCTATCCCAAGGCATGCGACATACCAGGGAGCGAAAAGTATCAGGGAACGATCTGGCACTCAGCTCGCTGGAACCACGACTATGATTTACAAGATCGTCGCGTTGCTGTTGTCGGCAATGGATGCTCGGCTGCCCAACTGGTTCCGCACCTGGTCAAAGATGCCTCACAAGTTTATCAATTCCAACGTTCGCCCCAATGGATCAATGAGCGGCCAAACGGTTATTTCACCGGTTTCGATAAATTTTGTTTCCGCTATCTGCCCCTGTGGAACAGGCTGTACCGATTCTACTTGTGGAAGACCACTGACGCACTGCATGAACTCTACACCTCTGAAACGCCGCACGCTATCAAAGCCCGAGCGGCGGCACAAGCGGCAACAACAGCTTATATGAAGAAAACAGCCCCAGAAAAATATCACCATCTTCTGATTCCGGATTTTCCTCTGGGATGCAAACGTCGGGTATTTAATCCAGGATGGCTGGAATGTCTCTACAGCCCCAATCTCGAGCTTACCAATGAGAAGATCATCGAGTTTACAGAACATGGGCTCAAAACGGAGAAGAGAACGATCGACGTGGATGCTGTCGTTTTGAGCACCGGGTACAACATGCAAGAATTTCTCTCGCCTATCAAGGTGGTCGGCCGCGACGGCCTCACACTCTCTGATCACTGGAAGAAGACTCGTGGCGCGCAGGCCTATAAGGGAACGTTCGTCAGTGGCTTCCCTAACTTTGGAATTGTGTTTGGGCCGAATTCCTTCCCTGCGCACAATTCGGTCATCTACACCAACGAAGTTCAAGTCGAGTTCATCATCAAAACGGTTATTCAGCCGATCGTGGCCGGGAATTTCAAGACTATCGACGTCAAAGAGACTGCAGAGAATATCGACGCAAATTTCGTTCAGAGGAGGCTCAAGACGATGGTCTGGAGTGCCAACTGTACGAATTGGAATCGGGATGCTCATGGACGTAACACCACCAATTACCATGACAGCACCTGGATGTTTTGGTATCGTTTGTACTGGCCGGCTTGGAAGGACTTCAACGTGTCGGGTGGAAAGGGCAAACAGCCAATCCATCCTGGGTGGAAGTTGGCCGTCAACGCACTCGGCTTTGGTTGTTTGGCAGAGGCCGCATTCTACTTTTCTCCAACTCTGTTGAAGGCATTTGCCAACCTCAAAGCACACTCATTGTAGATAGCCGACTCAGAGCGGGGTGAAACACATAGCCGAGATACTAGTTGTTTGCTCGAATAGGCTCACGAGGCTACCATCAAAATTGCGACTATAAACCTGTACCAGTTGTTGTGTTTGGTCCATGACTGAGTGTAGAAATCTATTACAAAATAACAGTAAGAGAATGGGTTCTGAACTCATGTCAAACAACCACCTTGCGGCGGTGCTCTACGGCGCTCAAGATCTTCGCATGGAACGGGTGAGCACCGTCCCTCCGCAGCCACATGAGGTCCAGATTCGACCTCGAGCTACGGGAATCTGTGGCTCCGACATCCACTACTACCAGCATGGACGCAACGGCAGTTACGTGGTGCGAACTCCTCTGGTACTCGGACATGAGGCAGCAGGTGACGTGGTGGCGGTGGGCAAAGACGTGACCACGGTCAAAGTGGGCGATCGGGTCGCCATCGAACCACAACGGCCGTGTTCTTCCTGCCGACAGTGCAAGCAGGGCACCTACAATCTCTGTCCTTACCTCAAATTCACTGGCTCGGCGACCGCAAATCCACCAGTTCAAGGATCACTTCAACAGAGCTACAACCATCCCGCCAACTTTGTGTACCGGCTTCCCGAACACCTCTCGTACACTGAAGGCGCACTGATTGAACCTCTTTCAGTCGCAATCCACGCTGTCCGACGTTCGGGGTTGGGAGCTGGACAGTCTGCGCTGATATTTGGTGCCGGTGCGATCGGCTTACTCTGCGCCAGCGTCGCCAGGGTGTCCGGAGCGTCGACCATCGGTATTATTGACATTGACCAATCTCGACTCGACTATGCAAAGTCGTATGGGCTGGCGGATCATGTTTTCAAGATGCCCGCCGACGCAAGTGACCTATGGAGTAAGTCAACGTGGCCCACAAAGCTGGCGGGAGACATACTGCAACAACCCGGATTTGGTTTGGCAGATAAAGTGTTCGAGTGTACGGGTGTGGAGCTATGTGTCAACGTCGGCATCCACTGCGCAGCGCCTGCTGGCAAGGTTGTCTTGGTGGGCATGGGATCGCCACTCCAGCATGTCGACGTCGGAGCGGCAGCAAAACGCGAGATTGATCTATTAGGTCTTTGGAGATACGCCAACACCTTTGAGACCGCCATCGATCTCTTGGGGTCGGGACGCCTCGATGTCAAATCACTGGGCACGCATCAGTTCGAACTCGACCACGCGGCCGATGCATTTGACCTGGTTCTGAAGAAGCCGGCGGGGTTGGTCAAATGCATCATCACGTCGAATTAGCATAGCCAGCCTTTCCAAGCTTGTCCATCGAAATACATGACACGACTAATGCTCAGTTAGATGACACCGGACACTAATGGCAGCGAAGGTCACACGAAATGCGACAGAGCTGCCCCAAAGATTCTTTGCATTTGGCCAAAAAAGCGAGCGATCGTGACAGAAGCTTAGGAACGTTGACCTGGCAATATGGGATCTGGCGAGCAGGCTATATATCTACGAGATCATATTACCATATAGCCGGCAGTAGAGTCTACTGGTCATGGGACAAGGAACCCAGCTAAGAAAGTTTACACCGTCCTCCAAGACAATGCCCCCAAGTCTCTAAACCTTGCGAACCTCGGCCGGAATTTCACAATGCAAAGGTCCGGCACGTCTCATTATCTCCTTTCCTTGCATCAAGCATTGCGAACAACAGGATGCCACAAGACCCAAGAGGATCCTTCAGACCAATAGTCTCCTATAATCGCCGTACGTGCTCCATAGACCAGAAAATGTACTCCGTATCACAACCACCTTTCTTGACTGGGAGGATGTTGTGGGGGCGGAGAGCGGGGAGCAAGACGTGGGATGTGGAGCAAATACGCCCCAAGGTACTGCATCTGAGCCAAGCGCATGGCCTGACACGATGTAGGGATTTTCTGTTCTACTTCTTCTGTACCGAGTTTCTGGTTGGTAAAAAGAATCTGTAATACAACATGCAATGAATCACTGGAAAGCTGCCTACCACAACTAGATACTGCGATTGTGAAAAGTAGGAGAGCTTGCCGGACTTGAACAAAATAAGCTACACGAATGAGTGCACCCTCAAAGGACGCTTGCCAACTTGTTGAAATCACACCATGGCCCTCAATGAGGCAAACCGCTTCCGCGCAGCGAGGGCATGCCAGCGTTGTCACCTTAAGAGAGTTAAGTGCGACGCCATGGTCCATGGTCTTCCCTGCACACGATGTCAAGAGATTGGCAACGACGACTGTGTCCTGATGCAGTCTAAAAGAGGCACCTACCTTCGAACAAGGTCACGGTGGTCCAGGTCACAAAATGCCCAAGGAGTGACCATGGAACCTCCCTCGAACACGAACCCTCACCACTGCCCTTCTCCTGGGCCAAGGAGGACTTCCGCACCTGGGCTAACAACGAGTTCCCGGAGACCTGGCAGACACAACGAGATCCCAACGTCAGAATCCGCTCCGTCCAACACCGGAGATAGAGAGCCGAGCGTAAACCACTCGCGGCCGTCGCTGTCGCCCACCAACGCGGTGTCTGTATCGGCAGTACACCAGTCTAACACAGAGGCTGCGACTTTTCCGAACCCCGGATTCGCCGGGAGCCCTGATTCGACCCATGACAAGGTCTCATGGATCACTATGTTCGACAAGTTCTTCGATGACCTGTCACAGGACCGGAGCTCCGTCGTCGACAAGTGCTCCATCACTTACCTAGGCGAGTCGTTCCCGCTCGCCATGGTCCTCGAGGAGGTTAACGACGGTAGGAGGCCTCGCCTGCACCATGCTGGCCCTCCCATCTCCGAACCCTCAGTCGCCATCGAGCCGTCGGGCTCGAAGCATCCGCCTCACATGCTCCCAGAAGACATCGCCTACCTCGAAGCCAAAGGAGCCTTCACGTTTCCCAACCCCGACATTCTAGATCGACTGATCACGACATTCTTGAGTCGTGTCTACCCTTTATACCCCATTGTCAGCCGACAAGAGTTTCTCCGTCAGTACGAGACTGACGACGTCCCTGCCATGCTGTTGCATATGGTCTGCTCGATCGCGGCCACCTTCTGTGACCTCTCCCTCATACACCGGGCTGGTTTCGATAACCGACTCGAAGCCAGGCACGCCTATTACAGCAAGGCTAAGGTCTTGTTTGAGATCGGCTACGAAACCGATAAAATCGTGCAGCTGCAAAGTGCCGTTCTCATGACCTTTTGGGGCGGAGGGCCCATCCACCATTGGAACTATTTCAGTTGGACCGGTACGGCCGTGACAATTGCCGAAAGTCTCGGGATTCACAGATCTATGGCAGACACAAACATGCATGCGGGCGATCGGAGTCTCCTAAAACGGCTCTGGTGGACTCTTCTCATACGTGATGCTCATTGCCAGAGTCTTGTGGGGCGTCCGTTCCGCATCAACCAGCAGCAGGTGGACATTGAGCCTTTGACCTCGGAGGATTTCGCTGACGACATGCAAAGCCCGGAGTTCTTCTCCCATCCTCTGCGATTGACGTATGGCCTGTATCAAATACACATGTCAAAGCTGTGCCTGATTCTTAAAGACATTGTTAACACTCGGCTCAAACCGGGCCGCCTAACACCGCGCGTGACCGAATTGTACGACAGTCTACGACGTTGGCGGGCAGAGCTCCCTCCGAAGCTTCAATGGACCGATTCTGATCCAAATTTGGATGTCTTTCCTCTGGCGCTCTGCTCCATGTACAATCACCATTTGATACTTCTCCATCAAGACCGGCCATTCTCAGCTCCGATATCAGACAGGGGTGACGCAAGTGCGCTTTTGGTAGAGTCCATACCGTCTCCCGAGGTCGTGGCTCAGGGTACGTCTTGCTTATTGTACACAATATTCACAAAATCCAGTCCGTTGTGCTTGCCTCACGAGACTTTTCAAGGTTTGTTTCTGGCCGAGGCCGTGTTTTTCACTCAGATGAAGAGCTCCGAACCCATGGTGGCTCATTTCGGTCGAGCAGCACTGAATAGCTGCCAAATGTTGTGGAATGCCGTTCTAGATTCCTGGGATGCTTCCCCATGGATCCAGAAGCTGTTCCATAACTTGGTCGAACGTCTCGGATTACCAACGGGACAAGGGGTGAAGCCGCTTTCCGATATGTCTGACCAGTCGACCAGAGATGTCTCTGGACCTGGCGATCTTGCCGATGATGTATGGGCACAGTTTCCGACTCTCTCCCCATTCCTTGACATGGTTCAGGACGGTGGAACACTTTCGAACTGGGTTGAATTTCCCATATTCTCGGGCTCGATGGACATGATGGAGCCAGTCCAAGGCTGTCATAGCCAGCCATCTCGATCGGACTTTGGCTCATAGCTTATTGTAAACACAGAAACAACGGGTAGATCTGGAAATTAAAGTCCAGTTCCATTGCGGAGTAGCTAAGCCAGTTGATCACATACTGGGCGGCCGGGAACCTCAAAGTGACAGAAACAGTGAAAGAGTTTGAGTGTCTGATTTTGAGACTGTAGTATTTAGCAACTGATATTCTTGTACCTGCTTAGTATCTCAGGTGAATCCCCAGATATGGCATCTTAAAGCCTGTATTTGAGACTCGAGTGAAATTCCCATATGCCCGATGTGGACCGACGGTTGCAAATTGATATAACTAAAAGGGAATGGGTTGGATACACAAGAAAAGACCATGTAGCCGGAATTCCAGGCCCCCAACTAGAATTTGTTGGTGGTAGCCTTGCCGTCTCTTTGCCGAGAGAGAATGATATCTTGCATGCAACAACCTCAAATACGTAATTGAGGTCAACAGACCGAACTTTCAGAAGATCAGAGAGTAGTGGCATGAATTAGACAGCCATGGAATACGAATCAATATATGTCTTTCCAAGGTTCGATGACCTTCCGACTGTCCTAGACACCCCACAAGGATGTCTCTGGGGATTCTATGACCGAAATAACGAAAAGGACCAAGTTGGTGGTAAGTTCGGAAAAAGAGAGATAGCACTCCCTAGTATGGCTTTTGTGTCTTTCCCTGACCAGGTGTATGCTCTACAGCCATCAACCTTCTCACCCCCTCTGTCGTCAAGGAATCCAGCAAAGAGATTCGTACCGGACGCCATG